CTGACCTTGGAATACATCCCTGACCTTGGAATACATCCCTGACCTTGGAATACATCCCTGACCTTGGAATACATCCCTGACCTTGGAATACATCCCTGACCTTGGAATTATATTCACGAGCTCGGAATTATATCAGCCCCGCTCTTATTTGTCCCCTAAAGACAATCGAGGAGATGATGAACACAAGCTTCGGGGGATGTCTGTCACAACGCCTTCGTTCAGAGTGGCCCAGTCCAAGGGCTCTCGACACTGGACGAGTATACCGTGACATGCCAGGACAGCCAGCGACTGAGGACCGCATCTACTGGGGCATTATCGAGATCCCAGGTTCCGCACAACATATAGAGGAAGGCTGTTTTTTCGAGAGATACTAATTCTTTGGGTCGTTTGCGAAACTTTCCAGTCTCACGTTGTCTTTGTCCAACTTGACACGTTCGAAAATGTCGCACCCTCGGGCCGAATCTTTGGGTTCGGACTCCAAGCTCTTACTCTCATGGATCCAGAAATCGACGATCCGGAAACAGTACTTCACGCCACTGTTACGGCGCCATTACTTGGAATTCCGCTTCGATATATATATGACCGTGTGCCCACCGATGATCCGGAAACTACACTTCACGCCACTGTCACGGCGCCGCTATGTGGAATTCCGCTTCAGTACATGACCATGTACCTACCGATGAAATGGGATAGCGATAGTAGGACGTTCAGCTCCTCAAGTTTCCAGGTCGATCATTGCCAAATTCTACCCCTGCCGAACACAGATCAGATTCTCAGGAAGCGTTGATCCGAAGTGTTCTACCTCTAAGGGTGACGGTGGAGGTCGCTTCTAGCGACAAGGCGTATCGGCACCGCGTGTCGTGTATGGCTCAATTGCATACTCATTGTGCGATGGCCGGAGAAAACTCGCATTGAAATGGTGTAATGACTCGAAAAAGCACAGCGGCTTTGCGAAACCAATACCAAGTGTTCCACCGTCTTCGAAGTCGTCTATCCTCCAGTTACCGTGCCCACAATTGCCCCAGCATGGTGAGAGACTGAGGAAGCAGAACCAAGCTGAGAGTGTCCCATGGACAATGTCCTTCCTGTGTATTATGACTTCCTCGACGTGATCGAGAAGCTGAAGGCAGAGGAGTTGCTACGTCTACACCCTGGCCTTGATCATGAGATAAGGGCCAAGATTGTGTCTGAAGAAGACTTACCCTGTGTCTCAGCAGGAGCTGGCCGTGGTCAACTTGAAGAACATAACCAAAGGCAATCAATGATGAAGTCGGACTCGATACCCTGTTGAAAGGAGACAACACAAGGAAAAGCAGTCTATGTGAGATCCTCGATGACAAATACCTCCTGCGTCCGATCCCCCGTCAGCCAGCAGACTGAATCCTCGCCGCCTCATCCTCCTGAGATAGTGGTTAGAGACGGTATCGCCGTTATCTGTTTATGCCTGAGGTAATGAACAGTTCCTACGAGACATGTTTGAAAAGGAATTAGAGGTCTCGCATCACTGCCACCAGCCTAGTTGAATGGGTGGTGCTGGAGAATGGGTCGTGCTGGAGCAGTCAGACTCTACCACGGAAACTTCGCCTGGATTCAGTTCCAGGTCAGCACTCATATTAGCTCACTGCAACTGATCTTAGGACATCGTGATGAACGTCACATGGAGATCTCACAATTCAAGAATGTCCTCCGTTTCCCTGCAACCGCAGTCCATCTCATATAGAGCGCAAGCAACGAAACACACAAAGAATATCTCAAGCAGGATAAGAATCATCGCTACTGGTGGATTGGCCTGCATCACCTCAGCGATCACATCAGCGCCGAGGAAGTTTTCTCTCCGCAAGTCAACAAATGGGTGCAGCCCCTACGAGACCACTAAGCAAGGGAAAACCTTGTGGTTGGACGCATGTGGCTTTGATTTCACAGTCTCTAACGGACAAGCCTTACAGGAACAGTTTATCACCGACAGAAGAGACCACCCTCTAGCTAAGTGGATTCCAGAAGGGAAAACCATGTTCTTGATTCGGCGGAGTGAGTTCATGGAAGAGGATCAGCGTCCTGAGTACATTTCTCTACTCCCACCAGCCGGGCCGATCATCGACGGTGAAGCTATATGAAGAGGTCCATCACCCGCAACACAGTCCTCTAGGGACATCTGCTCTTGTTCAGCCAGGAGGGCACGTTGACTCAATGCCTAAGCACTCATCTCGTCCGCATTTGAGGAGCCAGCCAACCTCGTTTTTGAGCGGGGGGGAGACTTCAACGTCCTGGCCCAATTGGGCGGCACGTGGCCGGATGAGGAAAAAAGCATTTCATGTGCTCTACTGCCTTACACCTGATCGAGATGTTCCTGAGAATTGAAATTCACCATCGATACTTAGGGTTGATGGGTCTGCTCCCTCCTTAAGACTACTGGCACTCCACTGCATTCCGAAGACCTCACAGTTTGGGTCTCATTTATATGTGACCTGCACATCAGTCACATCGAAATTGAGATAACCAGACCGCATAGACATCATGTCGAAGTCGCACAGTTCCGACGACCATCCAACTCTCCAAGTTCTTGGATATCCCGGACGATTATCCGTCTTGCTACTGATACACTTACCCATGGAACCCCAGAGTCTTCTCCGACTGCAACCCTCACGACATCGATATATATATCACGTTTCAGCGATTGTCCAGCGCCTTCAACCCTGAAACTGAAACCGATGGACAATCTGAGAATTCCAATCAGATTATGGAGCAGTACCTTCAAAACTTGTTGGAACTACCTTCAGGATGACTGTCTGTCATTCGATCAAGGGGAATGAAGGCTTTCTTCGTCATTCTGATTCTCGACCCGATATGCCGACGGCCTTGCTAGTCTGTGTCACGAAGACACATCAGTGTCCGCGCAGCCGGCGGGAACAACTGAAAGGTCACACCCAATGGTAGCCGTCTTACCACGATATTACGGAAGTGTGCAACGACTTCGGCAAGCACTTCGATGGGTCAACAAGGCGAATCCATGGCATATCCCACAGCCTATCCTGGGCAAGCAGCACTAGAATTCGCAAGAGTGCTAGGCCGTATGTCATCGGGTCCAGTCCAAGTTCCAGCCAAGGCAAGCCTCGGAGAAAGGCAACCCACTATGGTGCTCCACCATTGCCATCGGCCAGCAAAAAGAGGAAGCGAAACAAGGCTGCTTCTCCCGAGGAAGAAAAGTTCACCGACAGAGCATTCCCAGAGGCTCCAGATCAGGCCGACGAGGCTGATCAGATGCTGTACAAAATGGGAGGCAGGCTGGAGAGGAACTGGGACGAGATTGAGAAAAAGCGGGAGGAGATGACTGGAGAGGCACCCGGAACGGGAACCAACGTCAATCTCACGGCACGATTCTTGTGGACAATCAAGCTCAGTTGCCATGACAAAAGTGTATTCCACAAACACTTGACCGAGCTCATGAAAGGATGTCCCAAGTTAAGAGTCCTTGAGACGATCCTTAACGAACAACTCCGCCGCACGGATTTCCTCAAGCGCTCGGCCACAGCGGAACCCTCTTACCCTTATCCAGAATACACTGCAGAGTCTTGAATTACGAGATACACGACAAGACGATGCAGCTCATACGGAAAGTCGTTGCCAACAGTGTCTACAAAATAGGCCCGAATGGCTCTACGGCTAAACCTAACAGTACCAAGGTTACCACGATGATACAGAAGGACACTTTCCTCCCAGCATTAGCAAGACTACTACAGAAGAAGTTGACGGACCCTAAGAGGCAACTCACGTTTGACTTTAGTGTAGCTTACATGCACAAGAACAAGGTCTTCACGCAGAATCTTGACAACTGACAACGACAACAGTGTATTCCATAAACACTTGACCTACCTAACAAACAAATACCTAAAGATAAGACAACCGAGTCGGTCCTCACTAAACAACTCTAACGCGAGGATTTCTTCAAGCGTAATTCTAAAGGAATCGTCTTCACGAGGTTCAACGAGTCTGCTCTTGTTATTTACAAGCACTTTAAGGACAACTACCAGAAAATCGGAACCGTGGAGATAGTTCCAGTACTGGTGTAGGGATCTATGCCCAAGCACGTCCGTCAGAAGGCATGTGACGACTTCCAACACGGCGACGAAGTCACTATCATTATTGGCGTATCGGAAGCCCTTGGGCAGGTAGACGACGACACGGGCGACATTCGAAGTACTGATGGAACAGCACGGCGATCTTGGGATGCACCTCAAGGATATATATACGAAAGTCGGAAGCGCTCGGCACAGGTCTGACACTAGCACGGGCAACATTCGCCGTGGTCATGGAACAGCACGGCGATCCGGGAATGCATCAGCAGATGATCGGGCGATGCCTGCGTCAGACCAACTGGAACTGGGCTGGGCTGAACATTTTCGAAGTGTGCTATACAACCTCGCCGTCGCCGTCTGCCTCTGCCTCCCCCGAACCGCTCCCTTGCGCCCGTTGCGTCCGGTCCCTGCGGGAAGGTCTGCAGCTGGTGGACTGCCACTATCAGCCCGGGCATACCCGGTAGTCGCGACAGAGCTTGCGCTGCAAGCAAGATGACCAGGCAGAGAAGCCTTCGCAACCCAACTCGACGACGAAACAAGAGATAAAGGGAAGAAACTAGGGAAGAAACTAGGGAAGAAATTCGGGACTCAAAGATCAGGATAAAACTGCACTCTCATATGACCTCGCCGAGGAGGCCATGAAGTGTCCCTTGGCAAGACCATCAAAGATGTCAGCGCCGACCCCGGAGGTCTTGCACATGGCCATCTCGCCAGTCATTCCGACTCCTTTTGCACGCCCTCAGTAAACGCAAAACCACTCCCCTGTGACGCCGCCGAGGAGGCCATGCCGTGTCCTTCTGTGAATACCATCCAGGGACCAGATGGAGGTACAGTCTGGTATCCTGGACAGGACAAGTCAAGATAAAGGGGTAACCCATTCTCAAACAAGGATACTGATACTTCATGACGTGTCGAAGACTGTCATCCCACAGAATTCAAGTCACGTTAGGCTTGGAAGTGGGCGTGGACAGCGAAGAGAATGTCTCATTCTACTTCGAACCTTATACCTAATCTGTTGGCTGGCAGCTACAACGGTGCAAATGCCACATGAGATATTTTGCCTGTTTTTGGGCTGTCTCTCGAATTCAAGCCGCAAGAGGCTCTATTCTCATTGCGCTCAGCTTGGTCAAGAGATGAGATGATCTGGGAAGAGAATGGAGTCACGATGGGATCATCCAGCTCATACCTTGTCTGCACCACCACAGCTATCACACCGGCTAACTGTGAGCAATTCAAATTACACGGCATCGACGCGAGATATAACAGTAATGATGGACCGATCTTGGTGATGATGCCTAAATCAGTGCTTCCACAATGGCAGCAAGAGATCCATGCATCAATCGATATGGACAACGGACCAGAGTGCAAGCTGTACATTCAGAAATGACAGTATCAAAGCAATCTCAAGAGAAGACTCCTGGGATGCAGGTGTATCAAACCGGGGCACTGGCCTGCTGTCCGATCAAATCAATTGGCAACTTTAAGCCTCGGCGAGGGACCAAGTTGGCAGCCACTTGCTTATCATGTCAAGACAATTCCAAAAACACTGCAAAGAAGCGAACTGCCTCGGCGGCGCCATTGCCGAGTTCTGAACGTCCACCATCTCTCATCTGCTTGCATCGGCCCCCGGTGGAATCTATCTCTCATACGCACTAGTACTATTCACTCAGTCCGTCGTGACTGGAGCCTTCGTGGGTGATTCACAACGAACACAACGCGTCGCGTTATCAACGGACGACCTATCCCACTCACTGGCTCAGAACTACCGTGGACACGTGGACATGAAGGTTCCTGGAGGCCGAAATCAGAGCTACACAAGCAATTGAAAAGCATGTTGTGGATTCAATCGAGGCCCTGCGTAACATGTTAGCCAGGGAAGCAACCCCATACCCGGTGCCCCGAGCATGCGCGATAATGTGTACGAGGCATTCGCGTAACCAAGAACACAAATATATATATCTATATCGTCAGGCCCAGCTTCTGTGTTCGTCCCCAAGCACCATCAGGTAATTGGCACCGCTTGGCAATTGGAAATGGAAGCGTCTCCTATCCGAGGGGGCATTCTGGGCAATGATTGCGGCCTTGGCAAAACATCACAGTCGTACATGCTAATCTTCTTCTCGGCGCTCCGCAAGTACAGCACAGGTCTACCAGATCCATCAGGCCTCCACAGATGGCCCTGGAAATGGCTACAGGCCGACCGGACAGAACTGCCAGCGACAAGGGAGAGGTGAAGGCCGAATGAAAGTCGAAGGCGGCAATTTCACCGCCAACGCCAGTGGCTTGAGGAACATGGTCGTTCCCTGGCAAGATCCCAGGCACTACATCCCAAAGCCAGGATCGTACCAACAAGGAGGATCTACGTAGACCTCCATCGCCTCGTCAGCACTGTCACTTTCCGGTGCTGTTGATGCACCCCGAGGGAGTGGAAAGCACAGAGGCGCCTGCCGGCAGACGTACCACGAGGCTTCCTTCATCCCCATGATGGTGTCCAGCATGATGGTGTCCAGCTCCTCATCTGAAGTCTCCTCTTCCTCCTCTCTCATTGTCAAGGTCATGCAGCGGGAGTTCTTATGTCGCCTCGGCAAACACCCGGCATTCGAAAAGGCCCCGTTTCTCTTTATCTCCGACGGCGACCCGCATGGCATTGATATGTATGCCATATTAAAGTACGGGGTCCGGGTGATTGGGGAAAGCTGGAGGACAGGAATATGAATGGTCCCGGACCGAGTGGGCGTCTGTGGCTATCTCGCCGGCACCTCCGTCAAGTTGCGATATGCCTGCAAGTACATTCATATGGCCCTCTGGGGCGACGTTAACGGCCAGTTTAAAGGCAAGGTGGTGTTATCCCTTCCGTGGTCGAGAGGGTCAGGGCACTGGACTGGATTTTCTAATGAGCGTGCTACGGTGTGGCGCCGGTACGCTCAACAAAAATGGTGGCTATTGTGGGAGAGCGACGAAGATTGGAGGCCGCGGCGAGAGAGTGGACTGACTCCGAGCTGTCGTTGGAACCCGCGATTGGGAGAGAGAGTCCATCTTACCCTATGTGCCGAACTCGAAATGACGCCACTTCCTAGCACAAATCGACTTGACACTATATTATATCATATATCATTCGGAGAGCCTACGCTGGACTTGACGGACTTCCTTCGGTACGGCTTAGGGTCCAGAGCTGGAAGCCTGGTGGTCTTCCAAGTGCTCAGATCGGTGTCATCGGATCGACAGCTTGTTGACACACTTCTCGATACCACCCCTCGAAGTTGATGCTTCTGACATGGTAACCGCAGGAGTCCTATCTCAAATCAAGGAAGATGGAAAGCTCCACCCTGTGGCGTTCTTTTCGAAGAAGATGTCAGCGGCAGAATGCAACTACGAAATCTACGACAAAGAACTCCTAGCAATCATCAAGGCATTTGACGAATGGCGACCGGAGTTGGCAGGAACCAACCCAACAAGACCTATTAGAGTACTCTTTGACCATCACTCGCTTGAATATTTTATGACGACAAAGCAACTAAATCGTCGACAAGCTCGTTGGTCAGAATTCCTCTCCGAGTTCCACTTCCGGATCCAATACCGTCCTGGCCAACAGGGAACCAAACCAGACAGCCTGACACGTCGATTGCAAAACCAACATGTGATTAGATATCCTTTGGAGAGCGTACGCCTGCTGAGCTGATGCTGCCACGCTGGATAAAAATGGAGGATCTTGCGGCAAAGTCACACTTCACAGCACAGCCAGGCCTGGTATCTTTCAATGTTGTTGATGGGCACTCAGAGTGAGTATGATTGCGCCTTTGAAAGAAAACGACTACATACCAGCCGCAATACCAGCCAACACCAATCCACAAGGTCCATCGATAAGTAGAGAAATCAATCGCCGATTTGATTTCGGACATCTCGTCTCGTCGTGATGAGGAACATGTTGTGTTATCCAAGGAACTTCTGGTGAAAACTCCCAAAACCAAACCAGCGTTTTTGAAGTACCATAACCATGAAGACAAGACCCGATGGTTTCAACGGACTAAACAAACTGCCTCCTATGGACTGTTGGCTCGTTCCTGTTACTGGTTGCGACAGCTCAGCTTTGACCAACTATATAGTTACGGAGTCTAGGACATAGTTCCCACATTCACACCTCTGCAACATGGATGTAGAGAACGCTATTGCCATGATGGAGAGCAGGGGATGGCAGTTCCAAGGTCCCTTTATGACTCAAAAAATCGAACGAGGGCAGAAGGTCGTGTTTTTCGACCCCATCTGCGAAAAATGAAGCAGATTGGGAGAAACACCGTTTCCCTTTGAGTAGTGGCGGCAATGCCATGTTACCATGTCAGAAGAGTTCCAGGAAAGCCCAGAGCGCTCAGGCTGACACCCTATTCCCTAACAATGGGCGATATCTGTTGCCGAGCTCTGGATGATCCGGGGTCAGAAGAGACGATCGCGAAAAGCCGAAAAAGAGGTGGCCCGTGCGGCTGCGTCCTAAGTGAGGCATGGCTCGTTCTAGTATCAGGTATGACACAGACTCACTACAACTATTACTACAAATCTAACCTAATCTAGAGGGGCAAATTTCTCCTACCAGTATCTTCCCGATCGAAGTACGAGGTGTTCTACGTTGTCTGTTATCCCTAGAGAGTGAGACGGATGGGGAGCCTGCTTATCCTGGGCCGGCCGAGCCGTGGTTGCAGGGCAAAGACTGGCTTTTTCGAAAAAGAGGTGGCGACCGAGGCGGAGGCGGCGATGTGGCAATTACAGCAGATGGAGTCGGCGATTCAGTTCAGCCATCGTCACTGACGCCAGCTCAGGAAGATCCCTCGCGTGACGCTCCTCGTTTCCTAAATGAAAGTCTTCGGCCAGAGAAATATACCAAGCAGACCTACGCCTACACATCCTGGTGGCGCAATACGAACCAAAGAGATGGATTGTTCTTCAAAAAGCAACTGCCAATTGCTGAAAGACAGTTCATGATCTGGCAAGCCCTCATGTGTATCAAGTCGCAGCTTGCACATCCAAAAGAAAGGAAAATAGCGCCCCCGTTGCAGATTCTGATATGTTCGGGCAGATCCAGATCGAGCTTACAGATGCGGCGCCGCCAAAAGGAATACGCCATTCCATTTCGTGACACCATTGATTCTGAACAGAACTGACAGTGTGACACGTGTGGAGCCACTATACAACCTCATCTGTGGCCGGCTTGCCAGGATGGGGAATCTAATCTCTAGTGAGATCATCGGCATACTATCTAAACTGATGGGCTGTTTGTGAGCTATGAATGAAGAAATCATGCAACAAGAATTGAACTCACCCACCTTATGTATGACGACCGTCCCAGAATCGACTCCACCATCCCGGACATACCTTGCTGGTTTACCTTGCATCTGGATCTGGCAAATATTGACCGCGTTATGGACCTCATGCACACTGTGGTGAAAGGTCCGAAAGATGATTGACTTCGTCTGGACAGAGAAACATCAGCAGGTCTTTGACACTGTGCGGGGAGATCTCAACTAATTCGCTGTCTGGATCTGAGGATGATGTGCAGTTCCACTTGGCTGCAGACGCTTCAAAGACGGGGGCTGGAGGCGTTCTGTTCTCAAAACGATATGGAGCCGCGCCAGCCTAGGGAGCGGTGATCAACGCAGATTGCAGTCGGTAAAGGTATCTCCTATCACCTGGAAAGGAGGTACTCGGGTATTTGGGCTACAATGGAGGGGGCAACTCTCCCTAGGAACAATCCTATGGGTTTGGGGGTTGGTGAGGTGGACGTAGGGCAGGATACATACACTCGAGCTGACTTCTGGCAAAATAAAGGCAACAAAGGGGAACATTGGTCATCGCAATTGATCAAAAACATGATTATCCGCGTTCTCAATCAACAGCAACCCTATTTTCCGAGGTCTACGAAATTGCCAGCCGCTTTGGACGAAGCCCAGTGCGTGTCGAAAACAAACTAGGTCAGGCACGCTGCAATATAGGGAATACCAACCAGAGCAGTGGTCTGTTTGTCTGGAACGCCGGGCCACAATAAACGAAATGCTCTTCTGGCGCTTCAAGAAACCACTCTTCAAGAGGTTCTGTCGATATCCCGATACAAACGGAATATATACACAACCTCTCAGTTGCACAATGCAGCGCAGGAAGTCGTTTCTTACGGCGAGATGGAGGAGGCCGGACAGTTCCGCCACTACGATGAAGTTGTCATCCGTGGTGAAGTCGGACCAACACTGGACGCCACATACTACAGCTTTCAAAAGGGTGACCGCTTCCGTCGTGAAGTCATCCATGGCTACTTTATATTGTCTACTGGTACACATGCTGCACATCAACATATTCATCTACGCAAGTTGGAGATGCCACGTGGCCCTGATCAACCTCGGACTGAAGCGGAGCTTCTTAAGCTCGAAGAAGACGCCTTCGCAAGACCAACTAGAATGACCAGGCGCATTCATCACGAAGACATAAAAGCCTATCGAGTCTTCAGCATAATCCTAACCCTAAGAATCTTCTCTATGCTCTTCGGTCATCATCGCCAATCTCCTAAACCTGCTTTAGTTATTATTACCAATCTTCTACATGCTCTTCGGTTATTATCGCCAATCTCCTGCCCAGACACCGGAATTGAAGGATATGGACCGACGAATCCGTAAGACCTTCTCCACGGACATGTATCAGACTGTGAAGGCAGTCCTCTCTAACAAGGGAGTCCTAATCTTGTCCGAATGCGCTTTTACTCTGGAGTTCACTGGCAATAAGACCCAGTTGGAAGCGGTGTTCAAGAATTGTCGTGCAAAATATATATCTGGCTCCCCGTCGTTTTGAACACCTTCATGCCTTCTTTGACCGAGGCTAGCGACCCTGCCGAGTATTTCCACTTCGAAAAGTCTTCTAAGTCAGAGAGACATTCTCCTGGGAGGAGTGATGGTTATTCAAGATGGCTGGCGGTTTGTGTCATAAATTTCGAATCTACCTAGGATTATGACAGGTGAAAGAATCATGGGAGGTGATGGTGATTGTGACTCTCGTGCTTCTGACATTGACATGCTGACCTCCTGCTAGCAAATATCATCTGAGCGATGGCTTCACGACTTGAAAAGATGACGAAGAAAATGATATCGGTGGAACGCCTGATAAGGACACCATCTACATGCATTCCCATTTCCACTGGGCAGACCTATCCTCAGTCACCACCTTAGAACCTTTGTTCATGTCAAGAACTTTTCCCGTGCGGTCTAGGTTCTGCCCTTTGCTGCTTCTGTGTCCAGCAGACGACCACTTCACAAAAAGACATCCATGACGCTGGTCAAGAACTACTTGATTCCATCTATTCCGCCTCGGTCATCCATGAGGTCGCTCACTCCCCGTCTGGTATGTACCGTAAGGGAATCCCATAAGAATCTGATGTGCTCACTTCCTACAGTAAGGTCGAAAGGGTGCGCCAGTTTGGATACCAGGGTTAGTACGTTCCAATTAGGAAGGTGTCAGGACCCCATGGGGTATATCTATTCTATTTTCCCCCTGGTTCTTCCTTCTCTTCTTTATACCACTACGGCCCTCTCCCCCCCCCCCCCTTCCGCCCTCCTGCCACCAGTGTAAGTCAGACCCCGGCCGTTTTTTCCGAGAGATGCTAATTCTTTGGGTAGTTACCGAAAATTTCCAGTCTTACGTTGCCTTAGGGTAACTTGGCACATTCGACGATGTCGCACCCCCGCTCTGAATCTTTGGGTTCAAATCAGAAACATGGACACCGGAACGAGCCCAGAAAGTGTTGAGGGACATCGCCCTCACCCTCAAAGTCCATCCCTTTCTCTTAGGGGTCGAGCCAGAGTCAGGAGCATGCTATCTTGCCGATTCGTTTATCGTGAGCCTGATGTATGTCGCAGTCAGTTTTTATTGTTGTTGTTACCGAACCAATCCAAGAAAGAATTCAGCATTTGCAAAGAAGTTTATGGACCGACGTGATGTGCGAGGAATTTTCGTCAAGAGAACGTAGCGAGAACTGACAAATATGGCGGCAAACGAACTTATGGCAGTTGAACTAGGCATGAAGGTCAAGAGCGGCGATGTCAAGGGAGACCCTGAACATAGGTTTGACCGTACCACAAGAAAAGCAGCAAGATGCCACCCTGCTTCACTTCCAGGAGAAGGCACATTAGGAGGTCCTGGAGACGACCAGAACCATGGCATGTGATCACAATAGATCATCCGTGAGCGATGGATTGTCCATGGACGTGGAATCTGCCTTCACTGTACTTAAAGATGTGCATGAGACCTGGCGAGCTTAAGCGAAGTAGGTTCGTCTACTTCATACGCAACTCGCCATCGACACTTCGCAGACCTTTCCGACGACGCCTCTCCGCAGCACACGGGTGAAGAGGAAGCCGGAACAAGCGGCTAACATGGAATTGGAGCAAGAACGGATAGTCAAACGGAAGACCCAAGTCTTTCCTCCTTTTGATGGCCAGGCGAGGCAAGAGAGCCATGAAGCGGGCCCGTCGAGCTGCGAATGTTCGTGCCGCCAGTGCCGTGTGCCCGATGCTTGCGTCTCGGCAAAATGTGACCGACACCGTCGAGTACAAATACAACCGGGAGTATACCCAGTGCGGTGGTTATGCCGCCAACAAGCGGTCGGCAAAGGACTGTGGATCAGTATGTTCTCTCATATGAATCGCGAGCGACACGCTAGCTGACCAAATTAAAGCTCCCGGAGTTCCTGGCCCCTGGGGCGAGAGAGCTGTTGGAGCTGGCCGACCGGGTTGCTGGAGCGGCGGAGGACCGCGACATCGTCGACCGTGTATCTGGACCAGCAAGATGCCTTTTGGAATCATTTACTAAAATATCCTGAGTATCAGGTACGAGATCTCGATCTCCTGTCAGCCATAAGTACGAGTTCAAATCAAATGACGAAAACGGGAGAAATTCGAAGCTTTCAGATACAAACGACTGGGTCAAAAGAGCGGCGATGATTCCAAATACATACCACATACCACATACCACATACCCCTCGGCACTTGAAAGGCATCGTGAGGAACTGGCGTTAGTAAAAAGGGAGCTTGACAACATGAAGGCCAAAGCTTTTCGTTCGATCTCGGAACAGGAAGAGGTGCAAAGACCGTCAACTTCGTACGTGTTGCTTGTTTCATCCAAAGACCTTGTGCAGTGCAAGGGTACCGAGAATGCTGAACGTGAGTGGTTTCCTTTGCAACTGTTCGTAACTGACCCTCGCAGGTTGCCTCAAATGCCAATACAACAACGGAAAATTCGGCTCGTGTGTCTCCCCCAGGTCCGGTGTCAAGCGTGGAGGTGAGTCGTCCCCCTTCGCATCCGTTCGTAACTAACAAGTTCCCAAGCCTGCGGTGCGTGTCAAAGGAGGTGGACTGTGTTCATGCTGCTTCCTGCCATGGCGTCAAAGGCCCCGACGGCCAAAGCAAACGAGGCCACACCCGCTTTTGTCGAGGCGGCACTCGTTTTGTTTTGCTGCCATGAATGCTGGCAAGGATGGGGGTGCTCGTTTTTCTCGAGCGTGTGTCCGATTCTTTTGCTGTGTTGAGCAATGCTGGGGGGCTGAAAGGTCGAAAAGATGAGCCCCGAAAGAAACGAGGCTTATCTCGGTGTTTTCTATTAGGCCATCCCGACTGATTCTAATCAAGCCCCGATGATTCTGAGTCTCAGGAGTATGTTGCTTGTGGCTGTCTTGCTTTACAGCCCCCTCCAATTCAAAAGCATACCGTGGGGCGCTGAGTGGATGGGAACAATGACCATCAAACTGGCATTGTTCTGGTTGCACATTGAAACTGGAAACGACCTTCCGGTCCAGGACTACCCACCACTAGGGAGAATAGGTGAGCATTTCCCTCCCTTCTTGCTTTTCCGAAGACTAACTCGGCAAGTCCGTATCAGCCAAGATGAACAAAATATATGGTGATTTTCGACCTACTTTGACCATAGAACCACTAAACCTGGGGAGTGTATAGGCTAAGAGTGGAGATGACTTTGGACAAAACAAGCATGCCATCATGGAGGAGCTGCTTGTCATTATGAAGGAGGTTCCTGTCATCATGGACATCTACCCCTCTCCACCGACAGTGAAAACGACAATGCACAAGATGACGATATCGGCCGGTCAAGTTTCGCAAGAGCAAGACCAACGCACATTTGATTGTAATCCTGGCCAGATACGGTGGAAATCACGATACGAGTCAGGTCGAGACAGTGGATGAGATCACGACTGATGACTTTCTTCATCTTCGAAACAGCATAATCAGGGCGAGCAGAAGCTCATGGCCATATGAAGAGTGAATGGGTCGTTGACTGTCCAGAATTGATGTCGCATCGATACATGGTCGCACTCTGCCAGGTCGGCATATGAAGATGGCAGATTCGACGTATTGCCTTCTGAACGCGAAGAAGTTGGTCAGGAATGAGACCGACCCGGAGAGCATAGCCCAGTGACTGAGAGAACATGTAGCGTCCGTCAATAGTCAGGGTGCCCAGCAGGCCCAAAAATGAATCTTTCATCTCCGACATTCCACGTTAGATGATACAGAACCAACCCCTTGGACGGTAGATAGTTGGTAGAAAGTAGAATTAGACGTATAGCTACACATTGACGATAGGCTAGTGTAGACTCGGTCGGTCGGACGGTCAAACTGTCAAACTTAGGCATTCCAGTCTTGCTCTGACACAAATGCCCAAACGCCCAAAAGGGCAAAAGGGCAAAAAACACGTCTCATAAGCTCAGTCGTATAGAGGTTAGTGAGTGAGTGAAAACCCGGGTTTGACCCCAAGGGTTTTTTGACCGCAATTTCTGGTCGTGCTTATTTCTGGTCGAGCTTATTTATGGTCGAGCTTATTTATGGTCGAGCTCATTTATGGTCGAGCTTATTTTTGGTCGTGAATTGGTCGCTTGTGGGATTCGAACCCTGTTTTGTGGTGTTGGTGTTGTTGGGATGCTGGGTAACCGTCGCGCCTTGGTTGAGAGGACTTTTCTGCAACTTCATATATGAAGGTGTGATTAAAGCTCCTGGGGTGCTCTCCCGGACCTGGTCTGACCTGACCTGACCTGACCTGACCTGACCTGAACTGACCTGACCTGATCTGACCAACCTAACAATCTGGATGGCAAGCAAACCTTCACTTCACACCGTCTCTGCTCTGAGTTCTGCCAGAGTACTTGGACTTGGACTTATACTTATACTTATACTTGTACTATGGATATGTCTGTCTATGTCTAGCCTCGTCCTCGCAACATGAACCGAACCGAACCGAACCGAACCGAATCGTCGGTCACCTCGAGCAGTATTCGGTATTGTATGACTATGACAATGGCGATGGTAACGGTAATAGCGACACAGTAGCAGAGGACAAGTCAAAGTCAAGGTGTCACACCAAACACCGCCACCAGCCAACGATCACATCACATTGCATCACATTACAGCTCGTCGTGTGGTGGATATCGTCCGGCAATGGTCCTGAACCTTAATGAATTGACCGTTGGGCATTGATTGGCAAGGGGAGGGACAGGACATATCCACCCTCGCCCACGAATTGGTCCCCGCGGGAGATACTGTACAAGAGGTTGCCATAGGGCCATTGAAGAGAGATAGTAGTATCAAGATCTCATCGACTGGCTTCATCCCTCAATGAGCAAAGACGCTGTCTCATCTCGTACACCCCATGCCATTGCGTGCTTTATCTGTGCAGAGACCAGTCACACGCACTCATCCTGAAACCGACTCTGGCCGTGGATTGGCAATACATGCCACGCCATCCTGGTTCTTGTTCCAAATTCCCCGTGGAAGGTCGTCCGTAGCACCTTGGGAGATCTTAACCTTGTTGGTCCTTGAAGAACTTCGCAAGGAATCTCACAGAACAAACCTGCGTCCATCACCAACTTCAGCATATATAATCTGTATCCTCCTTTCTCCACCTAACACCTATTGTTTTGAGGGCCTTCTCCCCCGATGAAGGCCGTCTGGGTCGTTGATGAGCTCTGCTGGCAGTTCCCGACAGCAACAAGACAGCGACTCTTCAGTATAGTGTGTCTAGGAGATTGGATAGTATGTCAGGCGGGAAAACGAATGTATGTCATGCCTCGAGAAGCACATATACATTCCCTCCACGGTACACATCTCCTGGGCTGCTTTTTTTGAGGCAGAGGTTTTCCCTAAGGCTCTGGCTCCAAGCAGTGGCATATAGCGACTTTCTCAAATGACATCATGTAATTTTATCGTCAGGCGCCCGACACAAGTATCTCATTTTCTTTGCGCTCGTCGATTCGGTCGATGTCACCAGGCGTCGCAAGAACTTCTTTCGCAGCGGCCAGCAACTTCGGATGGATGGATGGGGGGGCGGCGACCAGGCCAAGATTCTTCTCGAGTGACCTTCCTAGCCCAAAGTCAAAGACCTGACCACTGGTATCCAACACCACGCCTCCGACCTCAGTATATATCAGCTGACCACCGGCATGGTCCCATACCGACGCTCTGTATGACCTGTCGGGGGGGATGCGGACCATGGCGTCAAAGGCCCCGACGGCCAAAGCCACATACTTCATCTGCATGGCCCAGATGTCGGTGCCTGGCCAACCAGATGAACCCACCTTTTCAGCCACGGCACGATGATTCTGCGGAGTTATGTTGCTGCTGGCGAGGGAGTCAACCCAGCGAATCTTGGCCGGATCGGTGACCTCTGTAACTTTTCTGAGCCTCGTAGGAGGTTCCACGCGTCCGCGTGCAATGGGACGTATGTAAGCTCCTTGACCGTCGACGGCCGACAGCATCTGGCCGAGTCCTGTGGTGTCGATGAGGTCCTCACGCACCTGGCCCGCGTCATTAATCAATAGATTCGGACACCCTAGCACACCGAGTATCTGCCTTCCGCCTTCAACCAAGGCCAAACATACGACGTATTGCTGGTTCCGCATAAAGGTGGCCGTGCCGTCGACCGGATCCAAAATCCAGGTTCTTCCGCTGCTGGACTGGGAGCCTGCGCCCAGGTCTATGACTTGCAGCATCTCCTCTTTCGAAGTGACCCTCCCCAACAGCTCCTCGCTGTCGGCGTCCTCTAGTGTTGTCGTCGACACCAGCTCCCAAACTCGGTCTCCCAGCTCGGGATTTTCTCGGAGTGCCCCGGCGCTCTCTTCGCCGATGAACCCATCCGAGGGAAAGTGGCGATGCAGTGCGCTGATAATCAGAGCCTGAGCTGCAAAGTCGGCAATCGTGACGGGACTGGCGTCGCTCTTGTCGATGACGCCTTTGTCGAGCGCAGTGACGATGCGCTTGGTGAGAAGTGAGGCACGCTGGACGGTGAGAAGAGCGATGGAGAGTTCCTCACTGTAGGGAGGATTGTCTGCCATAATTCGCGAAATCCTTGTCTGTCCAATCTGAGCCCAGACACCGATAACTTGAGACTTTGTAAAGCGATGGAGTGCGTGCCAATGGAAAACTGGCGTACAGTTATCTACCTAGGTAGGGGTATAGGTAGCTTAAGTTTGCAATACAGAGTTTTTGTCGAGGGGAAGGACCGCCAAGGTGTTATTGAGCCGGCGCTACTCCACATTGGGCAAGAAATCGAACCTTGATTAGACGTCTATTGCTGGTGCTGGCATTATCAGTCAGTATGCTATGCAACTACAGCATTACACACAGCTTGTCCTCCACAATGCCGACACAGCGAGGTGTTTAGATAGTGGCTAGTCCTAGAAGTCTGACAATGAAAATAGAATCCGCCCGATCTCAGTGAATGATAAAACAAAAGCGCCCAATGGCCCCCTACGTGTTGAAGTAGAAGCCAGCAGGCCCGTAGAGTAAATCGTTGCCAGGCTCACCGTACCGAGTAAGACTCTTTGTTTGACGCCTCCGAGACTCTCACTGTCTCTACTCACGCCGAAGTCAATTGGCCATAACGGAATATTCCCCATTCGGAGCGTATGTGGGAGGATCGGTAGGTATGCACTGATAGGTTGGAGTGGTTCTGGTCAGGACTACCACTAGTTGAGAAGCCTGTGGAAAGGAGGAGTCTGTTGTGATCGAACAACGAGTTCTGTTTCGGAGCAGATCCCGGAGCTTCATGGGCGGCTCAGGAGACCGGAAAACCCAAATGACAACCAGGCTGCAGCCCAAACACTGTAGCCCACGTTGACGGTCGAAGAAGACGGAGTTAGCATTGACCCGGAGGTTCAACGTGACGCATTTCGATCTCTCATGTTGCAGAAGTCATAATCCACTTGGTTGGATATCGATCGGTCGATGGTGATAAGGTAGTGCACCCCCAAGCACCATCAGGATTACTATACCTCCGGTCGCATTGGTGTCGTAGATATTTCTTCACACAGACCACTATTTCATTGGAGCCACACTCTTCCACGATTGGTGTGGTTACACCTGACGGCTAAGCTCGTGTCCAGGCAGGCGATGGCCTAGAAAGAGCAACCAAACATGAAACAGCCTTAATGGTGGACTAACCACCGAGAACAGTGCCGCAGAGCATGCTGCTTTCGGTCAAAGGATGGCAGTGAGTGCAGGCCTTTCTTCTGGTCGCCGTCCGACATGCAGTAACTGCTGCTCGGCGTATTGCTATGAGCAGAGAGCGATATCAAGATTTCCTCTCCGATCAAGTGTAGGGTGCACCCAAGGGAGAGTCGTGGCAATCTCAATGCCGTGCTTGCAGCCCTGTAGCGTCTTCTATGCCTCCGTTGACGCTTGTGGTCGGATTCAGTGACTCCCCAAGGATGTTGGAAATGACCTTAGCCTTGGCATTGGCCTTTGCAATGCGGTCGTCGAACTCGGTGACCGCTTCGTCCGAGTTGCTTCTGGCCACGGTCCTGCCGTCGGAGGCCACATGCAGGGTCTCAACGTGCTTTCGCAGCCGGGTGTTCTTGGAAATTGGGGCAAGCATTCGAACGGTTTGGACCAGCTTGCCTAGGTCCTCAACTGCGGCTGATTTTGAGACCTCGTCGTTGGCAGCCTCCTCCGCGTTCTGACTCGATGATTTGGGTTCGGAGAACCTGGCTTGCCAGACAAGGGCACGGCCATGTAGTTTGCCGAGCTCCAGGGCCTTTTCGTACCCCTTCTCAATCCCAAACACCTTGCCTTCAATCATGCCGGCATAAGTGCTGTCAGCGACACCTTCTTCGTAGCCTTCTTGATAGTAGTCATTCTCCAATTCGAGCAGAGCATCAAATGGATCGGTCGACATGGCGGGTTCGGTGTCTGGCTGCGGATATCGACAGTAGGTCTCCGACGCTCCAGAAGGCAGCTAGGTTGCCTGGAAGTTGCCTGTCGTAAGTGAGTCGGTTGAGGGCCCTGCTACCTTTAGGCAACGTCGACTGAGGACGACGGGAGGAATCAATCCAGACGACAGAAGGCAGAAGCGGGTGTAGTGGCTGGCTTAATAATAAGCATCATTTTAGCGCCTCGGCGGGATTGCGATCTCGCCGCCTTTTGCGCCTGCGGGGACTCGGATTGTGCGTGACTGTTTCGCCTACAGCCACCACAGCGTACGCAGTTGAGGACAAGATACATGTACTCCGTACTCCCTACACATAGCCGCGCTGCCCTTCTGGTATTATAACACCCATCGGCGACAATTGGCACCCAGCAGCAGCAGCCTCGGCACCCCTAAATCGATCATAGAGCCACCTGTCGCGGCGCCCTCAAAACATCCTGCGATCAGAACCACCTACCCCTCCAACCGCTTCCAGCATCATTGTCACCCAAGATGAGCTCCGAAAAGATTCTCCCAAAGGAGGGCCAGAGGAACATTCTCATTTCATCTGCCCTACCCTACGTAAATAACGTACGTATTTCCAGTCTTTGTGGTGCGCACCGAACTAACCTTCCCGACAGGTGCCACATCTGGGCAATATTGTGGGCAGCGTGCTCAGCGCCGATGTTTTCGCCAGATACAACAAAGCCCGCGGCAGACCGACCCTCTTCGTCTGCGGAACGGACGAGTATGGCACGGCGACCGAAACAAAAGCCCTGGAAGAGGGTGTCACACCAGAAGAACTGTGTGCCAAATACAACAAAATCCATGCCGAGATCTACGAATGGTTCGAGGTAGGCTTCGACATATTCGGCCGGACGCCTACTCGGCAACATACCCAGATTGCGCAAGAGGTGTTTCTACAACTCCACGCCAATGGCCACTTGACCGAACATACCAATAGCCAGCCTTTCTGTGAGAAGCATGGCAAGTTCCTGGCAGATCGCTTTGTGGAAGGCACATGTCCCAAATGTGGCTACGACGATGCTCGTGGAGATCAGTGTGACAAATGCGGCAGTCTCCTCGATCCACTTGATCTGATCAACCCTCGGTGCAAAGTAGACGGAGCCACGCCTGTGACCAAAGAAACCAAACATACCTACCTACGTCTAGATGAACTCCAGCCCAGAATCGAGGAATGGGCCAGGCGATCGATTGAGCGAGGTGGCTGGTCAAGAAGCGCCAAAGTCATCACAGAAGCATGGCTGAAACAAGGGTTGAAGGAACGGGGCATCACTCGGGATCTGGCGTGGGGTGTACCTGTCCCCCTGCCCGGCTATGAGCACAAAGTCTTGTATGTCTGGTTTGAAGCCTGCATTGGCTATCCATCCATCACTGCCAACTATACGGAAGAATGGGAAAAATGGTGGAAAAATCCCGACCACGTCCAGCTGTACCAGTTTATGGGGAAAGACAATGTGCCGTTCCACTCTGTCATTTTTCCTGGGTGTCAGATGGGTACCGGAGAGAAATGGACTCAACTACACCACCTGTCCTCCACCGAGTATCTCAACTACGAGAGTGGCAAATTCAGCAAAAGCCGTGGTGTCGGGGTGTTTGGGAACAACGCCAAGGAGACCGGTGTGCCTCCGGACGTCTGGAGGTATTATTTGCTGAAGAACCGTCCAGAGTCTGGAGACACCCAATTCGAATGGCGGCCATTCATTGATGGCAACAACTCGGAACTCCTGGCCAAACTGGGGAACTTTGTGAACAGAATCATCAAGTTGGTCAACTCACCCAAGGCTTACTCCGGCGTCATCCCCGAGTTTGATCCGTCCAATCTACCGGCGTCTTTCACCGAGCCGCTGCATGAGATCACCGAGCTTACCAAACAATATCTTGCCGAAATGGAGGCCGTGCACCTCCGCAATGGACTCCTTGTCGCCATGAAGATTGCAGAGGCAGGTAATGGTCTCATTCAAGCTCATCGTCTTGACAATTCCCTGATCGCAAGCGACCCCACTCTTGCGGCAGCGGTGGTAGGAACGGTGATCAACCTGATTTATCTTTGCTCGGCCATCTTTGAGCCTTACCTTCCTGCGACATCTGCGTCGATACGGAAACAACTGAATGAGGGCTTTTTGCAGATTCCGTCCGAGGAAGACATTGCCAACGGCTGGTTGCCCACCTTCATCAAGCCAGGCCACAAGGTCGGCAAGGCAGAATATCTCTTCAGTCGCATCGACGAGAAGAAGGCGGATGAGTGGAGGGAGTATTTCGGAGGAAGTCAGGCTGAGCGGGAGAAGAAAAGGAAAGAAGAGGCGGACGCTGCGGCGAAGAAGGCCGCTGCGAAGGAGAAGACCAAGGCGAAGAAAGCGGCACAGAAAGCTGCTGCAGCTGCTGGCGGTGAAGGTGTGGAGAAGAGCGCAAAGGGGGGGAAACAGGGCAAGGAGTTGGCAAACGGGGTACCCTCGGTCGGAGAGGATGCAGCGGTGGAAAAAGTGACGGACGGGGTGGCCCAAGTAACGTTGCCGTCGTCCTAACCACAAGACGGAACGAAAATGGAACCTGGGCGCCGACACGGGTACGCACCTACTTGACATGTCTAGAGCAGGTGAGGTTTAGAAAGTGAGCCATCAACTATTTATGCAGCATCTGACGTGGTTCAACTCTTTCGGTCCCATCACTAAATGCAGCCATGCTCCAAATCTGCTAAACCACATGACCAAGGCAAACAAGACTCTACGGAGTACTAAAAGACGAATGAGTTCTAAATCTGATAATGGACCAAACGAACCAGCGGAACACTGCAATGTTGATGTTGATGTTGATATTGATCGAACTCTTTGCTTCGGCTGAACACTCGTCTGGAGGTTGCAAATGTCTTCGTTTTGGCCGAACACTCCGAGTGGTCTGGAGGTTGCAAATGGGACCTTGATTTGAACGACTGATTCTTCTTCAACGAGTCCACGCCCAATATCTTCGTTCTCGGAGCCCAATGCAGACCGGGATGGTTGAGAAAGCAGCTAAACGTCATGATTCTGTAGAACGAACATAACATCAACGCCTACGCCTACGCCTACGCTTACGCTTATGCATATTCAGCGTCCACGTCGAAGCAAATTTGAACTTGAACTTGGACTTGAGGTTGAGCTTGAGGAAGACGATTGTTAGTCCGTTAGGTAGTCAAATATTAAACCTAGACAGTGGACAGCGGATTAGGATTGGGATTGGGCCCGATTGGCGGAACAACAGTTCTTCCATCCGACATAGTAAGTGTAAGGTAAGGGGTGCAGCCTCGCGTAACTAGCTACATGTACCTTATGTGCTTTGGGCTAAAGCCTTGGACTGCCGAGCACTGTATGCTGTATTAGTCGCCTGTCAACCGGACGAGGCATGATGACTGCAGCAGAGGCCAGGCCGAACACGGATATTCTAAGACGTGAAGAAGAGCGGTTGCGGGTGCAGTATAGGTATAGATGTAATCGTTGAAAGAAGCCGACATCTGGGTTCCCTCAGACAGACTCTATCGCTTCACACTAGGGGAGATCCAACAGTATTTGCTGTACAGGTTCTTTCTTGTCCGTATTCATGATTGCATTTCTCGATCGCACCCACTATAACTACCTAGGAAAGCAGGGGTAGATGAGGAAAGGAACAGAACTATCGGCAGAGAATACCGCAGCGTAGGTGAAAGCTAATTCGTATGTCTGTTTAAGGAGCATCCTTGCGAGCTACGACACTTCTTCGCTCCTGGTGTGACGCGCCTACGGAGTACTTGGATCTGACTTCGACACTTGAATCTGGCTTCGACACTTGAATCTGACTTCGACTTCTTCAGAAACACAGTGGTCTCGTCAAGCTTGGGCTTGTTCAGCAACATCGACAATCCAATCAATGGTTTCTTGCGTCGATGTGATATTGGGACAATGGTCGGCGGGGATCCTGGTCACCCTGACCTTGTTCCCGCTCTCTTTCTCAATCATGTCGATCTCGGCTTTCTGGATATTCGGCGGGATGCACAGATCGTCCTCGCAGAGCAGATATGACACGGGGACATCCTTGTACCCGGGGTACGTCAGTTCGCCGCCGAAGCTGACGGACGAGTGCCGGGCAAACCGTCTGATCACGGCTTCGCCTTCTGCCGGGGTGAGATGGTTTACCGTGATCGCGGCAGTGGCGGAGGGCTGATCGTGGTACATCCAGCCAGTTTCCTGTCGTGCTCGCATGTTAGAAGGCCGATAGAAAGCCATAAAAAAGAAAGAGCTTAGAGGAGTAGTACTGGCTTGTCACAGTGACAAATGACAGATAACAAGCAAAGCGTCGATTTCTGGGCGAGCTAAAGGGGCAGGACAACCCACATCAATCTTCAGATCAAGCTTTTGTTCCTGGGGAACTTCGGCCAGTACGCCTGCCGCCGATACGCCGACCGCGGGCACCAAGGAAGTCATGTACGCGAGCCTGACAATTCCGCCCGGTTTGCCTTGCTTCTTCCTCTCGCTGGCGGCAAGCCCTTTGACACTCTGGGTGGTCGGGACGCCGCCATACGAGTGGGCGATCAGCACCACGGCTTTGCCCTGGTCAGCGAGCTTTTCGGCTTCCTGGGCAATGAAGGCCGCGTCGTCGTACATGGTGGGCAGCGATCCCTCTCGGCCCTTGTCCGCGGCGAGGCCTACGCTGGGGAGATGTAGAGCCCGGATCTCGTAGCCCCGCGCGATGACCGGATCGACGACTTGGTCATAGAGCTCGGGGGGGCAAAAGGAGCCGGGAATGAGTAAGAGAGAGGGCTTTGACATCTTGACTGGGTGTAAGAACAGTGGGGATATGAGGGAGTCCTCGTGCAGGCAGTAAGTGAAGTGGGTGGTGTCTGTGTTTGAGGATATGATAACAGAGCTGGAAGTATATGTCAATAGCGAAGGGGTTCTCTTCGATTAAATACCTTCTCTGCCTTTCTGACGCCGTTTGTCATAACTTGGCTCCCTACCTGAGTGGCGGAGATGCTTTGACACTGACCGAGGTCAATTTCTGACAATCAGAAATAAGCGGCTGAGCATGACCAACCCCTCTGAGCCAGGGTGCATCAAGCCATGGACTGTAATTGTCTGACATATGTCATAGGTAGAGCATGCTGTGACAGCAATACCTCAGAGGTATGCACACATATACAATGAGTAATGCAGCCAACCCTCAAGGAAGCTGGACTTGCTGCCATGGCCAATTTGTGGACCAATGTCCGAAATGCCCTGAATGATTGGCCTTCCCTCAAAATCGAGGCGCTGCGTGTCTTTCGCCTCCATCACGATCGGTAGGTGCAGCCTTGAAGATCCTGCCGATAGATGGTGTGATATCTACCTCGATGTCAAGCAGAGTGCCAGGCTAGTATGTGTATAGTTGGTCCACTCGTACTGTCCCTGGATGTTGAACTGAGAATTGCGGTGATGGGCAAATACCCACCCGTGTATATCTGCCCATCACGTCGGTCTGGTTCACCGTGCTCCCTTGGCATTCTCCATCGCCGAGCTAGTCCTGTCTGAGTTAGTTCCATGTTCCAGGGCAGGGCACCGCAGGCACCTACGGAGAACAGTGTTGGACTTTCAGTTACTACAGAACTACTCCGGACTAGTATCTGCAGTTGGTGTTGGAGAATAATCACCAGCGTCGCGAGCCTGACCACCCTAATACTCTATATGATGAATTCACGCGTCTGTCTTGTCCACCTTGCCACCCTCACTTGAGCTTGATTACCCTTCTCTGCTCCTTGGTCTCCTCTCTGTCAACGGGGCCATCTCACCCCTCCTCCCACGACCAACACCTCCACCTCTTACGCATCGCATCGGACAAAATGTCAGGCCTCTTCGGGACCGCAACTTCAGCCACGGCTGCGTCTAGCACCACGGGAGATGTCTCGAAGGATGTCGCCCTCACTTCCCCTCCTGAGGACAGCACGTCGGATCTACAGTTCTCCCCGGCGGCTGATTTTCTTGCAGTTGCATCATGGGACAAGAAAGTGAGAATATACCAGGTGAACGAGCAAGGTCAGAGCGAAGGCAAGGCAGCTATGGATTTTGAAGCTCCCGTTTTGAGTTGCTCATGGTCAGAGGTACGGAAACACTCCCTGCACCTTCTGGTGTCAACTGACTGACTGGAGGTCTAGGATGGAACCAAAATTGTGGGCGCCGGCGCCGACAAAACCTTCCGCTTACTTGACCTTGGATCTGGCAACATGACGCCGCAGACCCTCGTGGCGCATGAACAGCCCATACGAGCATGTCGCTTTGCGAACATCAACAACTCACCCATTTTAATCACTGGTTCGTGGGACAAGACCGTCAAGTATTGGGATCTGCGGTCGCCCAACGCGGTCGCGACCCTGCAGTGTCAAGAACGAGTCTACACAATGGATGTCAAGAACAAGCTCCTCGTCATCGGAACCGCGGACCGATATATCAACATCGTCGACCTGAACTCACCGGAAAAATTCTACAAATCCATGCAATCACCGCTGAAATATCAAACTCGAGTGGTCAGCTGTTTTACCGATGCCACAGGGTTTGCCGTGGGCAGTATCGAGGGAAGATGTGCCATTCAATACGTGGAAGAGAAAGACTCGGCCAACAATTTCAGTTTCAAGTGTCATCGAGACAGCCCGACGTCCGGCCCCAGTCGCGACGTCTCCAACGTCTTCGCCGTCAACGCCATCTCCTTCCACCCCATACATGGGACCTTCTCAACAGCCGGCAGCGACGGGACATTTCACTTCTGGGACGGCAACGCCAAACATCGACTCAAAGGATATCCCAACGTCGGGTCGCCCATCACAGCAACCGCGTTCAATCGGCAGGGCACTGTCTTTGCATACGCGGTTTGCTATGATTGGAGTCAAGGCTACCAAAAGAATACTCCGCAGACCACCAACAAGATCATGCTTCATGGTGTGCAACCAGAGGAGGTGAAGCCCAGACCTGGAGGAAAGAAAAGATGATGAGCAGAAGGCGCGGGAATCTGGGCCAAGAATCACTGATGTGCGGGTTTGGCACTGAAGTGGTAACAAACGTAATGAAATGAAATTCAGGACTGCATGAGCAGTCGTGTGGAATGAAGAACAACAGGAGATGCTATGGGGCATGGTAGGGTGGTGGTGTTGATGTTGAGACCGAGAATCTTTCCATTCCAGTCTGAAACGTTCACCGGTTTAACAAGGCCAAACCAGAACACCCGACTCGGTGCCCCCCAGCAAATGCCTTTCAAGGGTTAAGCAGTTCACAAGGCAAGATCCAAGGACACAAGGACACTGCAAGGACACTGCAAGGACACTGCAAGGACAATGGGAAAGTCCCGATGAAGGGCTTGGGTTATCGTCAACACATCACGAAGGACCACGCGCGAGGATGCTCCACAACCATTCCATATACGTGGGACTATGCGTACAGTGCCACTGGTCTATGTAGCTCTAGCTCTAGCATATGACTCTGACTGGAGCATAGGAATGTCAAGTTCAAGTTCAGTCTGACCTGGATGGCTCCCTCCCGAAACATGTATCAGAAAGAGCAAAGCAGATCATGAACTATATCACAGAACGACCCAAGAAGATCATAACAGGTATCACAGAGATCCAAGAGGATCATAACATGTATCACAGAAAGGCCCAAGAAGATCATGAACTAGTAAGATAGATAGAAAAGACACAAACAAGCATAAGCACGATAATTGAGCATTCTGCCCCGATCCTATCCTATCATCCTTTCCATCCTTTCCATTCTTTTTTTTTAATTATTTAAAAATAAATCCCAAGAACCATCCGGTACTCCTGGCCGCAGTATTGAAACTATCCGGTACTCCTCCGCAGTATTGAGTATGAGTACCACTGATGGACATGCGTAGCACGTGCAGAAGACGCCGTAGCCTCCCGCCCAGGACATGTGTAGCATGTGAAGAAGAACACCATAGCCTCTTGCCTTCCCTTCCGTAACTACCTTACTATACTCCGTAGCCTCTCATATTCCTTTCCGTAACTACTATACTCCGTATACTCCGTATGCTATGATATGCTATGCTATGTCATGCAATGCTTGCTTCCATCGTTGCTCCGTCCCCGTCCCCGTCCCCGTCCCCATCGTAGATACATACCTGCACATGAGGTGGTTATGCGGGTGTGTCTCGTCAAAGGAAAGCAAAGCGCCAGTGTGGTGCGCACCACGTCGAAAATCCCAGCTCCAGCTCCATCTCCATCTCCATCTCCATCTCCATCTCCCGCTCCAAGATATCTTCTCAACCCGCCCTCGGCCTGGCGGTGTTGATTGTCGTTCCATCCTACACTGGCACCACACCATACTGTGCCTTTAAAGCTTGGCCTTGAAGACCGGAACTGGAATGGATTCAAATGACTCTCGGTTCTTGTGTGAATATCAAAAGTCAATGTCCTCTGTGTAAATAACAAAAGTCAACGTCCTCTGAAGTTTTGAACATATGTTTTTCGTGAAGGAAATGACTGCCGGTGGGGCTCGGCCAATACCCTTTCAGTTCATGTCCATGCCGTCCTCCTCGTCGCCCTCTGTTTCTTCGGCTGTTTCGCTGGGTCGATGGCTCCTTCTTCGGTATCGGTACCCGCTTCCCAGCCCGAATCCGTCGGCACCATCGTCCAGCTCCTCGCCACCGACGACTCGGCCTTCGGTGTCGACGACCTCGCACAACTCCATCAGACTGTTGCGACTGAGGTTCCTAAACCCCTCAGTCCGGACGACTCGGCCCCAGTTCATCAGGCAGAATCTCGCGGCTCGCGCTCTGAGCCACTCCTCTTCGGTCCGCCCTGCGCGCTCCCAGATCACTGCGGCGTGGTCGATGTCTATCTCGCGCGACAGCCGGTTGACGCACAGAAGTCGGAGTTTCGGCATGTCGTATAGATTGGCCATGACGAGCATCCCGGCCACGTCCGTCAAATCTCGGCAGTAGACGGGGTGTGGTGCGATGCTGTCCGTGTACAGGTAATACAGAAACGCGCGCACCACGGAATACGGTTCGGGAATGTGCAGGCGTGAGGTCTGGAACTCGAGCATCTTGGACGCGTAGAGTCGTTTAAAGTGCGGCCAGCGGGCCTGGAGAATCATTTTGTGCACGTGGATAGGTGGCGAGATGTTGGCGGCTTCTAATTCCGACACAAACATTTGGCTGCCAGTCGAGTTGAGCGAGAAGCGAGGATGAGAGTCAGCCTCTGAGATGTCGTCATCATCGCTTGATTCCACATTGGCTGTGATGGTGAAGTCACTCATGCTGGTTTCTGGGGGCTGGTCAAAAATAGATGCCAGGTCGGCGCCTAGTCCTGAGCCCACACTGGACGCAGTGTGGACTGTTTGTCGTTCAGATGCAAGAATACGGTTCTGTTCCGAGGCCATGGTCGTGTCCTGTGTGCCTAGCAAACCGTACGTCCTAAGATCGACCGCTAGGATTTCGCTGAGTTGCAGTTCCTGGTTACTGCCGAGAGACTCGTCGGCAGGAGATCCGAGCAGCCAGACTTTGGTCCCATCCTCGTTGATAGTGCAGTAATGCCATTTGTAGCCGAGTGGGAAGATCTCGGGGCCTTCCACCAGCCGTTGCCACCTCAAGGAGTCGAGCTCGAGAGAAGATAGATTGCATTCGGTGTGACGGATATTTGATGCTGGTGTGACAAAGTCGAGCAAGGCGCCTGAGGAACAGACATGGAAATGGTTGCCGGAGGACTGGAAAGGGACGTGCGGCCCCGATATGAACTTGAGCGACGATATCGCTCCTGGTGCCGTCGGTTTCTCCCGGCGAGTCGAACGGATATGGAGGCTTCCAGAGTTCGCAGTGTATGTATCGGTGCGGTCAGCGCGGCCATGGTGAGACCACGGGTCTTGTCTGGTCGCAGGTACACGGCCCATCGTCGAGTAAGGTTTGCCAGCACCTGAAAGCGCTGGGCTTCCTTTGAGGTCCAGCCACCAGATTTCAGACGACCGTTCCATATCGGCACCAAGACCACCCAAAACCCACAGCCGGCCACCCCAGATCCAGGCACTATGATCAAATCTCTGCACAAAGCTCCATGTCTTCGACCATGTCCATGTCTTCAGGTCGAGGTAGCAGATGTCGTCGAGGATGTAGTTGGCTTCGCCAGTCAACCCACCAAGAATGAACAGTTTGTCCTCGTAGACCACGGCAGCGTGCCTCGCGCGACCCTTGGGAATGGGTCCTTGGATGTCGGGCTGAGTCCAATGATGGTCCTTTAGGTTCAAGATGACGACATCTGACAGATACTCACGGTGCTCGTTCTCTCCACCATAGACCAGAAGCTTGTCACCTTCATAGAGCGAGGCCGAATGTCCCATGCGGACCCCCGGGATGTCTCCGTAGTTGTCCACTAGCGTCCAGGTTAGCGTCTTCAGGTTCAGCCTCAGCACGTGATTGTAGACTTCGTCGGTAAACTGGTCGAAGCCCCCAAAGGCGTAGATCTGGTCATTTCCACAGTAGGTCACTGAAGCATTCACCAGGCAAGCCGGCTTCTGACCCGAAGTCTTTGAGATCTTCGGTTTCATGCCATCTTTGGCGGCAAGGGAATTCTTGGCAGGACTTGTCGGCATCAGGTAGGTGGAGCCGGTTGGAGTGTTGGTGCCGGATCCTGAAGGTCTAGAAGCAGACGAAATGCCAGTCCAGGCGTGACCAACGGCGGCGGAAGGAGCAGCCGGAGATAGTTCTGATTGTGCTGCGGACAGATATGCCATCGTAGGGGATGATCAGCCCAGGGGGGATTGCTGAGGCGGATCAGAGGACGGAGGTAGGGGCCAGGAGAGCAAGCCCGCGAGAGACACTGTCCATGCACAGGCAATGCACAGGGCGGTGGTTCGGAGGTGCCCGAAGGCTGAGGTCAAGACTGAGGTCCAGGCAGGTCGTTGGCCTATGCAAGAGCGGATAGGCGTCTGTCCAACAACAGGCTCTTGGAGTGAACGAGACTTTCGCAAGTTGTCGTCCGGAAAGGATTAAGGTAATATCCGCGTCCCGGCTTGGCGCTGACATAATAGCCTCGCTGGGACCTCGACTATTCCTGATCGGGTCAGGGCGATTGCAGTTGCCGTGGGCTGCGGTTGCCGTGTCAACCTGCGCCCACGAATTTGGGTACTTGAACTGCGACCCTTCATGAGGCTGGCAGCAGCTTTCCTCTTCTCTTTCCTCTCACCACATATCTCTCCCTCCTCTCCAAACCCATCCATCACTCTCCTCCAACCTCACATTCTTGCTTGTGCATAGCATACAGTCCACTAGATCATCCTTGCATCAGCTAGCTTTGATCGACCCTCCGGCTGCATTGCCTGCCTTGCAACCCTCGGTTATCCAATCATCCAACAATTACAGCGACACTGAGACTAACTAACCAACCACACGACGACAACAGCTTCTCAGGATCCATTCAGTTGCGTATCTTGAGATATCACTGAATTGCTGGACCCAGGCACAGACTTTCTCGACAAGTTCTGATTGCTTAATCGACAACATTACTAACCCCGAGGTCTTGATTGATCCTCGGTTTACACAGACTTCGATCGAAACATTAGGTTGTCCATTCGATCACATACAATCATCATGGCTTCAGTGTTGGTGTCCACCCCTCTGAAAAGCCATCATGGCATCTTCTCCACAAAGACTGCCGGTGGCAGAATGCCTCTCACTCCCTCACCTCGAGCGAGGACGACAAGTGTAGCCACCAATGTCTCGACGCATTCATCACCCTCCACTCCTCTCCGAAAAGACCAATCAATCCACAAGTCAGACCCCTCAACCTTCTTCTCGAGATCAATTTCCCGGTCGGTGTCGAAATTCACTTATGCCAACTCTCCCAAGTCCAATATCGCGAGGGGACGGCAATCTCCCAAACAACTCGAGCTTGGTGTCACAGAGTGGACGCTAACTGGTACTGGCCCCAATACCAGCACTACACCTTCAAGAGAAAAGTCGCGGAAAGAGACAGCTTTGAGGACACGAGTTGGCAAGACCACCATCAGACTTCCCCACAAGACTGCCGATCGATTCATCCCCAATCGAACTGCAAGTGCCGGCCTCGTGACGGCAGGATCTGGGAAGGCCGATGAAAACACTCGACCTCGAACTGCTGGAGCGGACGGATCGATAGTACTTGCCAATGCTGCTGCCAGTGCGTTTGACATCTCTGCTCGGGGCGCCGACGCGGATATTACCACCGCATTGGAGACTCTGGGTCTGGAGGATGAGCGCCCTACCTCATCTTACACCCGATCAAACCCTGACTCGACTGCCTATGAAAGCTCTCTGGCCTCTGCCTGTGGTATCTCCACCAGTCAACGTATCCTGGAATTCAAGCCGGCTCCTCCCGAGTCATCCAAACCGATTGATCTGCGAACTCAATACAACCGTCCATTGAAGCAGGCCAGTGCACAGTCTGCACAATTCCGTCGACGGATCCAGTCGGCGCCAGAACGAGTGCTGGACGCGCCAGGTCTTGCCGACGACTATTACCTCAACCTGCTCGACTGGAGCTCTGGTAACCAGGTTGCCATTGGACTTGAACGTAATGTCTATGTCTGGTCGGCCGACAGCGGCACAGTGAGCTGCCTGTTGGAGACATCTCCCGACACCTACATCAGCAGTGTGAAGTGGTCAGGGGACGGCGCCTATGTCGGCGTAGGCCTCGGTTCCGGGGAAGTTCAGATCTGGGATGTTGAAGAAGGGACCAAGCTTCGAAGCATGTTCGGCCATGAAACCCGAGTGGGTGTCATGGGATGGAACAAGCACACCTTGTCGACCGGAGCACGCAGCGGACTGGTATTCAACCATGACGTCCGGGTTGCTCAACATAAGGTGGCGGAGCTCGTCTCCCATACCTCGGAAGTGTGCGGACTGGAATGGCGCTCAGACGGCGCGCAGCTTGCAACCGGCGGCAACGACAACCTGGTATCCATCTGGGATGCTCGGTCACTGGCGGCGCCCAAATTCGCCAAAAAGAACCACCGTGCCGCAGTAAAGGCACTTAGCTGGTGCCCATGGCAATTGAACCTCCTGGCTACCGGCGGCGGCTCCAACGACCGCAACATCCATTTCTGGAACACCACGACGGGTGCCCGAGTCAATAGCATCGACACAGGATCCCAAGTGACGAGCCTCAAGTGGAGCAATCACTACCGAGAGCTGGTGAGCTCGGGCGGCTTTCCCGACAATTCATTGAGCATCTGGAGCTATCCGACTTTGGTGCGCAACGTGGAAATTCCGGCACACGAGTCGCGGGTCCTTCACAGTTGTCTCAGCCCCGACGGGCAGATGCTGGCGACAGCGGGTAAGTTCTGGGGATCCATACTGTGGGAAGACAAGGCTAACGTGCGGCACAGCGGCTGATGAGAGCTTGAAGTTTTGGAAAGTGTTTGAACGGAAAGCGGGAGTCAGCGCAGCATCCTCGCGGGAAGGCGGTGTCGGGAAAGGTGGCGCCATGGCAAAGCAGATGACCATTCGCTGATGCAGGTCCACGATCCTGCAGCCGCAGACATGGTGGCCCGGTCCTTTGAGCATGGTGTTGGGGTCTTCTTGATTGGGGGCCGAATGTGGATGATGATGAATTAATCATGGCTGGCTGGCACTGGACTATTGAGGCTTGCGATGACTCGGCTTGCGATGACTTGTTTTTGTTTGTATGCTACGAATCTTCTTGATACTCTGGAATTCAGGACGGGGTACGGATAGAGTGGCCTGAGTAGTTAGCTACTGAAGCTGGCACTGACTGGCTCCCAATGAAGATGAGTACAACTGGGATAACGTCTCCGTGTCCGTGTCCGTAACATGACTGTACGGGTACAGAATTGATACTTACATACCACACTGTCGCTGGCTTGCTTCCTTCAGCTAGACAGTCTGCAGTCCGCAGTCTGCACTACACCTATCGCATCTATCGCATCCTGCAGCCGGGCGCTTACTTGCAGCTCTGACACTGCACTCTGGTCGCTGTCATTGGCCGGGCCGCAGTTGAAGGGCGGGTGGAGTTGGGCTGGTTGTCTGTGTCCCGCGAATCACCAACACCACACCAACAACACTTGAACACACACCCTCTAGACTATCCGTCCTGACGACTCCTGTCCTCTCCTCTTCTATCTCGCTCGTGCGCGCTGTCTGGGAACTGCTCCCTCGAGCCTCCTCGGTCACGCTTCCCCCCGCACCCTCTTTTCCTCTTCGGCGCTTAACTATCGGGCAAGACAGGGCAGCATCCTCGAATCACGCCCATCGGGACTTGTCGATCTATCTCCTGCACCTCCGCCGCCGTTCATCACCCTCCAGCTCGTGGCCGACCGGCACTGGCGACTACTAGTCTGTCCATCCTGCTGGTTCCCAAATTCTCCGATGCCTTGGATAGCCTCTCCCACGATTCCTCCCCATGACCCACTGCGCACCTCCTCGAGCCTCTGTAACGCCATGCTGCCTCCTTGCTGGCCACTCACCTTCGCGCCTCGACGCGCTGCTCCCTCCTGAAACCGCCGGGCCATATGCAACTAGAGTTTAGCATCACATTGCCTCAGGTTTCTCCAGCTTCTGAGCTAGGCGCGGCGCGAGTCTGACTTGGTGGAGGGCCCGCACCACCATGGTAACAGATGGATACTGTGTATGCTTTCCCTCTACAGGAGCTTTCTGTCCATCTTCGTGGCTGTTTGTACGCTGCCGTTAGCCAGCCCAGGCATAGCTGTCATGGCCAGCCGGCAGTAACAACACAACGCGGATGCAGAACTCTGTCCCAAATAATATGCATCCCAGCCATGGGCCTAGAGGCAGGCCCCTGGCTGGTGATGGCACTATCAGGCCTCCACCAAGCTCCAGCTGCTCCTCCGCCTTGCAGGCCCCCTCCCCTCCTCGCAGGCCTCTTTATTGATGCACTCTCGGTCTGTCTGGTGTCTTCCAATTGTCATTTTCCACGTCTCTGCTGGTCTGCTACTGTTTGTGCCCATTCTCGACGAACCATGTGCGCGGGCTGTACCTGCGATCCATGATTGCAAGGCGGTTGTTTGCTCCCATCCACTCCCCCTCCATCCTCTATCTGCGCCCACTCGCATTGCCGCACACGCGACCGGATTTCCGGCCGCAACAGACCTGTGTGACCGTCGTCGGTATCTACCCAAACACGCGGCAAGACACTGTTCCCTCGGCAGCCCTGTAGGGTAGTCTGCCTTGCCTGATTTCCCTTCTTTTTTCTGGCCTCACATTCTGGTCGCGGGACGAGAAGACCGATTCTGTCCGGCGCCCCCATTATCCTGGGGAGTGGTGGTCGACTGTGCCGCAGAGACCTGGGCTGCGTGCTGAGATGATGGCAGTGAGAGCTCCTCTCGCGTTCAGTCCTGCCACCAACCCTCTTTTTTCGCCATTTTCGCCCTTCCCAGAACATCCCGCCTCGCCGGCGCGACCTCGAACTGCTGGGGCGTCGAGTGTCCATATGTAAGTCAGCTGGGGGCTAGTTTTGTGGCAGGAAAAAGATTGACCTAGACAGGTCCGGACCAGAGAGGTCGAATATAACCGGCGACAATCATCTCAAGGCACCGCCAGTTACCGGCAATGGCATAACCTCGCCCCAAGATCCCGTTAATCCTTCTCCCGTTTCCTCGGACGTGACGAACTTTGAAGACGTGGACGAAGAGTTTGAAGAGGACGATACCGACACAAGGAGGAGTCCTTTGGCTGAAGCTACTTCCACCCCCAATGACAGTCAACGACTATCAGTCACTTCTCCAGCCAGGAACAACTGGCAACGAATGACAAGTCCATTGACTGTATGTGGCTGGAGTTATTGGCATTTGATCGTCAAGCTGATGGTGCTTGCAGCTTGACACTGTTGCGATATTGAATCAACAGATTCAGGCGAGATTGGAAGAAGAGACAGAACCCCAATCGGCCATTCACATCCCAACTGAGTTTGGCAAATTTGTACGTACTCCCGAAACATTGCCGCCGTGAAATGCTCGCTGAGGGTGGTTCTAGCCTAGCAGACAAGCTCCCGAACACCTGAGCCAACCGAGGGTCCAGGGTTTGCTCAACAAAGCTGGAGAGGATCCTATCGCGCCACCAAAGGAAGCGGAAAGGGCCAGGGCGGATTCTACCGATTCTAAAAGATCGGATTCTACCGTCACCGAATCAGCCGCTCTTGAGAGCACACCTACTACCAAGGTTTGCGATCCTTCACTCGGAAAGGTGAAGCTCTGACAGACTCTTTTGCCAGACTCATGGTGTTCCGATGCCTCCGACCCCTTTGCAAACCAGCCTCCCTCCACTGCCGATCCCACACGACTGGTCTCGAACTCCCAGAGCACAGACGAGACAAGACCTCAACGTTCTGAGTCGTCCAGGCTCGAGCCTTGCCAGTAATGCTAGTCTCTTCGTGTCGCTGTTCCCCGTTGACTGATCCTTCATAGGCATCCTGGAGGGCGACACGGATGATCACCCGAGTACTGATGAGACCGGAGATGAAAGTCAACTCGACAGGAGCTTGCGGGATGCTGAAGCGGAGCTCAATGCCCTACGCAACGCACTATCTGAATGCTGGACGTTGTGCAATACACTGGCCAACCTGAGCCACATTCACCGGGCGAGGATCTTCAACTTCTCCGGCCGGGGTGACATGCAAGAGCAAGCATGGAAAGCCTGCTGGAAGTTATGTCAAACCCTCTACAACACTCGGGAGGACAATGGGCCGGAGGCATTTTCGCACAATTCGTCTAGGCCCACGTTAGATCTTTGTCGCGATTTCTGCCAGGCACTCTTCGAAGTCAGAGTTCGAGATAATGAGACGGCAGATTCGGTGCTGAGAGTCAGCTTTGAATTAAACAATCACCTCTTCAACACGCACGATCGAAGCCTCCCCGAAGCATTTCGGGAGAGGACGCTGGACTTCTACATCACCCTGTGTCATCGACTGATGAAACAGAAATCGAAAATGGCCGAGGAAACAGATTCGTTACTCCGAGCTTGCTGGTCTTTGGCCGAGATGTTGTTCAGCCTGCGACAGAACCGACGCGAGGGGAAAAGACCAGATGAGGAACTGCTAGGTTCGGCGATCCTGGCCTGTTGGGAGCTCTGCGACTTATTTAGAGAGGGATGGACTCGAATCCGTCCAGAAAGAGGCACGCCACGGCCCAGCCAGGCGACATTCACACAGGCGTTTAACCAAGCCAAAAGATCGGGATTTGCGCCGTTGGACGAGAATGCCAATCCCAGACTATTCCCAGAAACCCCGACGACGATTTTCGAAGACACCGTCACCACCATCTCACCCGATGAAGCGCCCACGCCCAATATCTTCGTTCTCGGAGCCGATGAAGCGTCGCGAATGTCGACTACCTCGTCCGAAACGTCGATCTCCGGGGGCCCTCCCCAGCGTCAGCCCTCTCCCAATCCCCGAAATCCTCATTCCGCCCAACCTGGTCCGTCTGTTGCAAGCCTCGCCAATTATGCCCGATGGTCAGCCAACTCTTCAACCTTGTCGCTTCCAGCGTCTGCGATCTCAGAAGGCGGCCCCAATCCTGTTTCGGCCACGACCGTGTCGACCATCCGCACCCCAGGCGAAGATCCTACTTTGATTCTTCTCAAAGCGTTGTTTGTCAAAGCCGCCCTAGCCACAGGTCGTCGGTTCACTCAGACCTCGCCCGACCCGAATCTGAATTCTCTACCTAATTTCGCCAAGAATCTCCCGGACACGGCATTCGGCAATCAGACGTGGCAGGTTTCTTTGCTGGAAAACTATCGCAAAGCCATCATGAATGATTCCGGGTTTCGGAACTTGGGCACGGCCGGGACCGTGGGTGAGCGGGGCAAGCTGAATCCCGTGGAAGTTGGCCGCGCTGTCCTGGGCATGACCTCGTGCGTTTATGGGTTCGGGTGGCTGAAAGACCTGTATCGGTTCGTGTTTGGGTTCTATGTCGAGGAGGCTTTGAAAGGAGGCGGAAGCGAAAGTCACGCCGCCCAGACTCGGGTTCAAACGTCTGGCGCGGGAGGCGGAGGCGGAGGCGGAGGTGGAACAGGTCGGCGGTTAACAACAGGCAAACAACAGGGAGTAGGAGTCACTGCCGCAGCTAGTCTGGTAGCCGCGGTGATGGGCAGTGGCAAGACCAGCAGCCTCAATGTTCCGACACCTACGGGCGGCGGCGGAGGCAGCAGCAGCAGTACAAAGAGCACAGGAAGTGGAGGGGGAAATGGAAGTGTCAAAGGAAGCAACAACGGCCGGCGGACAATCAGTCAATAATGAGCAGACTAGAAGACGAAGACAGAAGACGGGGTGTATCTACCTCCTACGGCCGATGTAGAGATCTATAAATTGGCGACAGAGAAAGAAATAGCAATATCGTTATCAGTATCAGTATTAACATGAGTATGGTATCAATATCAGTAGCAATATCAGTATCAATATCAGTATCAATATCAATATCAATATTATTATGGATTTCCATTTCCATCTCCATCTCTATCTGCATCTGCATCTCATTTCCATTTCCATCGACCGAGGACAAGAAGTGAGCGAAGCCAAGCAAGCAACTATACAAATACAAGTATAAGTAGTAGTGGTGGTGGTAGTGCAGTGCAATGCAGTGGCAGTGGCTAGTGTAGGCAATACTTACTATAGGCACAGGGAGTCCCGACACCAACACCAACACAAACACCACCAATGCCGTGGAATCAATGAAGCCGAAACGCAGGCACGGGGATGGGGACTTCCTCTTCCTCTTCCTCTTCCTCACCGGAGCGATCAAAAACCTTCCCTGGGCCTAGTTCCGAGTCATAGCTATAGCTATAGATGGCATGGGAAGGGAAGGGAATCCTTAGGCCCCTTAGCTACAATAGTGGCTTAGGCCAATCTTAGGACTGCAACACAAACAGAAACAAATAAGAATATACCACGAACAGCCGATACAGATACAGATGACCAAAGACAACTACTCGCAGGCACCTCATCAAAAGTGCTCCAGACGAAAATGGAAATGGATTCTTTTTGTTGGCGCCTTTGGCTTAACTGTCTCGAGAAAATCATCGACATCTCCCCTCTCGCTCTTGCTCGCTTGCCATCACTGTCACTGTCACTGTCACTCTTCCCCTCCCCTCATCTATCGCTCTGTCTGGTCCACTCGTGGTCATGTCGGCTGCCTTCACCCTCTGCTCTCCTTTCATTGCTCGCTCGCTCCCTTTCCCTTCCCTTGATTCGTCTGGTCGGCCGGTTGGGTTGCGTGTTGGAAAAAAAAGCGCCGTGTGTGGTTTCTACTCTCCTCATCAGATCCCCGACATCTCAGGGTTTCCGATCAGAACAGAAAAGCGCAAAGTTCAGTCGTTGCAAGGTCGTGTGTGCGTGTCAAACGTAAGGCTCGGTGATCGTCCGTCAAAAACGCCGTCTCCAGTACAGGAAAGAGAAACCTCTCGTGCGAATCCCCAAGTCAGAGAAGTTCATTGGTCACAGGTTAACCTTGTTGCCTTTCCGAAACTATTTCGTTCGAGGGTGATCCCGGTCTTGACTTGCCCCTCCGGTTGTGGAGAGATTTTACGTCCAATGGTGTGGTTGTGAAGTCGTGATAACGTTAGAGATGTCGATGTTTTCAAAGATTATTGCCCCAAAAAAGACCAGACGCAAAAGGGTCGGGTGGTATCGTAACGGAAAAGTTGAAAAGCTTCCAGCTGCAGAGAGATTCGGGTCCAAAATCAAAAGTACCGAGTAAGAGTGCGCTCGGAAAAGGCCGTTGGGGCATCGGGGTTGTTCGCGCAAAATAGTGGATAGATGCAAAGTACGATCGGACAAACACAAAAAACGAAAAATATCAGCACGGCTGAGCGGTGTGAGAGATGGTTGTTGTCTTATGCCACAGCTGCAGCAGGTGCAGCAGCGGCAGAAATATCGGTAGCGTCTGCTGCAGGAGCAGTTGGAGCAGCTAGAGCACCCTCAGCAGGTGTTCCATTCGTCACCCCGGGCGCCGGACCATTGGTCTCAGTGACGGTGCAGTCTTTGCTGATATGGCCAGGCTGACCGCACTTGTAGCAGGTCTTGCCAGCCGCGTTCAATGGACCGCCGTTCGGGGCAGTGCAATCCCGGGAGATGTGGCCCTGAAAGACAAGTCAGCATGATACCTCTCGACCACAGTGGAGTTGATCCTTACAAGCTTGCCACACGCGTAGCATTTCATGGCTTGAGCCTGACAATCTCTTGCATAGTGGTTGGGACCGCCGCATTTGTAGCAGGTGGCAGCGCGGTTGTTGACCACCGTGTAACCACCGCGGAATCCACCATAGCCACCACGACCGCCACGGGTGGAGGGTCCAGGTCCAGGCCCAGGTACGGGCCCAGGTCCAGCATGTGGTGTTGGGCAGTTACGTGCCAAATGGCCGATTTGGCCGCATGAGTAGCAGCGACCTCCCGCAGGGCCACCGCTAAGACGCAGAGTCGGGCAGTCAGCTTGGACGTGACCTAGGCCCTGGCAATGATAGCATTGCTTCGCTGCAACGAGAAGATTCAAATCAGCCACCAAATCGCTTGAGCCAACCCGATAGAATACAACTCACTCTCCGTAGTGCGCGGTAGAGGGCACTGGTTTGACTCATGGCCTGGCTGCTTGCAGTTGTAGCACAATCTCTCGGACGAGGTGCAGACTTCCGCGTAATGCCCAACATTGCCACATTTGTAGCATGCGCGACGGGAAAGAGACGACATGGTCTACGGATGTTTTGTAGTTCGTCCTCTGTTTCTCTGTACATGATATCAGAACCCGCTTTGATATTTTTCGCGTACGCGGAAAGCTTTTGCTTGTCGCAAGCATATTTCGAGTCTGACGGGAGCAGGTGAAATGGGCGACCAGGGAAACAGTGCTCGCGCCGGCCGCAGAAAGGGTGGGATAAGGCATACCTGCTCAACTTGGACCTCAATGGAGATATCCCAAAGGCCCGCAACCTGTGGCTCGATGTTAGCCGCCCCTGCTGCAAAGTCGCGGATAGGTGCAGAGGGGGGGGAATGCCCAGCTGGAGGAGGGGTGGCACCCTTTACAAAAATGCTCTGAAGGGGACGACGAGGAGACTTACAAAAGGCGCAACTTCCCACTCGACCTTTCCAACGACTTCCAGCCTCCGTAGTACCGTGCGACCGATCAACACCTGCTGATAAGAAAGGCGACTGGAATTGTCCAAAAAAGGCGCAGTTGAAAAGCCGATGGGGACGAACGGGCGACGAGACGGCCAAGACGAACCAGCGCCCAATCCTGCCTAGCGTAGTCGAGGGTGACAGATCACGTGCAGGGCAGGGTGCAGTCTCGAACCAGATTCATTCAGACAACATACTACGAGTAGAAGATAATTACGGATACATTGGATACATTGGATCCTGTCATGCCTTTGTTCTATGCCCCTGCATGTCTCGTTCTACTACTCCTCTGATTTGCTCCTCTCAATCACAGCCGGGGCCCTGATCTCTCGGCCTCTCAAGTAATCGAGCCCCTCACCTCCCTGTTGAAGATCAGCAAAGCGTATCAGTCACTGGTAAGAGGCCAGACTTACATAGCTGATGAGAGGAGACACTTCAACTCCAGCATCACGGTCCTCCGAGACCACGATCGCTCCCGCGGTGCGCAGCCATCGAGCCCCTTGCTCGGTGATGTCTTGTTTACTAGTGTCGGGATTGTCCTCTGCTGTGCCTCGAGTGTTTTTCAAGGGAGAGAATTCCTCCTTGCGATCCACTTCTAGACATGCAAACTTCTCCATAGGGAGGAAGGGGAAGACGTCAAACACAAACTGCTCCAACTTGATGCCATTTGGCTTGTCGGGCTTCACAGTCTCACCCGTCTCCGTATTCATGTAGGGGATCTTCTTCTTAGCGACATGGTGCGGTAGCTTGTACGCCCATTCCTCAATGCTTTCAAAGAACCTGAAAGAATAGTAGTGATTGACGATGTTGGCCGCTCTGAACTTGAGCCGGCCGGAAGGGTCTTTGGCTTCGGCCATCTGCTGGTCAATCTCGGAATACTCTACAACATCGGGCTTGCCGTTCTTTTGAACAATCAGACCGACAGGTTCATTCGCAGCTCGTTTTCGTACCACTTTTGTGGCAATGTCAACATTCCTCGAGGATGAGAGGCCTATGAAGACCGGATCGGCGACTCTGGCCAAGCAGTTGTCAACACAGTAGGCGTGAATATGTTCGATGCCGCGCTTCTGCATATCGTCGCGAGACCCAGACAACAACAGCGCCTGATAGATCCCTCCGTTCCCGTCGGGTGCCACAGCGACCTTGGACTTGCCCTCCAGGAGGATTTGTCCTTCGTTGGAGATGCAGGGAAGCACACCTTGCTCGAAAATGATCACATTCTCCTTGGACAACCCAAAGTAGTTGTGCTCTTCAAAGAACTTCTCCGTCGGGGCTCTGGTAGGACCGCTGGTCATGACATACCACGGTACGATTGGCTCCGTCGACAAAGACGCATGGTGTTTGGCCAGCTGTTGGACCTTCCAGATCCGTTCTGCTTGTAGTTGAAACAATGACTTCTTGCTGGGAAGGCCAATATCAAAGCAACCCTTTGGATCTGAACTGCCCAATCTTGTCCCTTGTCCGCCCGCCAACAGCACCACCGCAACTTTATTCTTTGCAATGAGATCAAGCCCGGCGTGGTACCACTCTTTCTTCTGTTCTTCGGAAGCATCGAGGAGAGAGGCGGTCGCGGATTCGGGGAGGGGCTCAATGGAGGATTGTTCGTCCGAAGTCTGAGGAGGGTGAAGAGCCATATCTGCGAGCACGCTGACACGCTCCGGATCGAAAGTGGACAGTTGGTCGAAAAGGGCGGCTTTCCCTGCGGTGTCTAGTTCGTCGTAGAAAGCAAAGACATGGCCTTGATTCGCCTTCTCGTACTTGTCGCGCAGTTCCTTCAGCTCCTCGGCGTCAGGCTCCTGGGCGGGCGCTCCACGCTCCGGAGAAGTCAGATGAAGCGTCTCAAGCAGACTGTTTACCATGCTTGCAGCCATCTTGCAAGCGTCTGTTTATGTCGTTCCTGGTGGTGTAGATGGGCGAGAAGGGGTCAACTCTCGTGGGTGTCTGCGGAAGGGGCACCGAATGGACGACCCATAGAAGGTCAGGACCGATGCTGATCTTGTAGCGGAGGAATTGTCTGCTTCAGGCTGGGGGTTGCGTGGTGGCCTTAGGAGGTCCTAGCGCAGTGAGACGGAATCCTTTGAAACTGGCTGAGCACCTGCGCGGTGCACTGGCCACAGCCTCGCGGTGACGTATGACGAGGAACGCAGACTGGTGCAGACAAGGTGGTACCACCCGACACATTCTACAACACGACCTGTTCTCAAACATTGCTACATGCGGAAAAGCTATACAGGTAGTTATATCACGAGTGAGATGGCTCAACCTGCCATCTACTGCCGCGTTTGAGTTTTGGTTGTACAGTTTACAGGTACAATGGTACGATCGATCCTCCCTTCATCTGTCTCGTCCCCTTCGCGGACCAGGACGATACCCATCTTCCCTTCTGTCTCGATCCCTGTCCCTGTCCCTGTCCCGGTCTCTGCCACGATCTCGCCCGTCGTACCGATCCCTTTGTCTGTCTTGGTAATCACCATGATATCTCCTCTCCTTTCCCCGACCATCAAGCTCTGTTGCTAGCCGATCACGTCGTGGACTCCTGCTTCGAGAACTTCGCGATGCATGCCCTGGCACGGGATCCCTGTTCCGGCTGATTTCATCTTTGTCAAAGACCATTCTATAACCCCGGCCGCCCTGATCTCGCCCATTCTGCTCCCGGTAGTGGCGTTTTTTCTCAAGACTTGCAATGCCACCAAAGCCGCCAGATTGTCTTGCTCGTTTGGAGTTGGTCGCAGTTCTCCAAGTGTCCGAGAGCTTGGACACACTCTGTGAAAAGTCTACGTGGATTCGATGGTCGTCGATGAGAACACCTTGCATCTTGAAATAGGCTTGCTCGCAGTCCTTCTGATTTTCGAATTCGATAAATGCGTATTGAAGACTGTCCCCTGTGCGTTTGTCTCTGATAACTTCGCACGACAAAATCTTGCCAAATCGACTGAAGATCAACTCCAGATCCTCATCACTGGTGACCGGGTTGAGTTTGCACACGAACAGGACATTCTCGGGCGGTTTGACTTCTGCGAAAGGAAGATCGCCAACCATCTCCAGGGTAAGAGCCTGGGCGCGTGCCTCTCGTTCTCGGCGCAACTTCTCCATGGCAGCCTCGTCCACTTCTTCCCCCAACTCCTCATCATCCGCGATCATAACTGTGGCTAGTTGCGCCTTGGTCGGCGGAGGACTTGTGTCAGGTACAACAAGGCCTGGGGGATCTTCAAATGGATCTTCTAAGATGACGGTGTGCCGAATTCGAATGTCTTTCAGCGGCCGACCGTTTGCATCCGTGAAAGCGTCATTGATCTTCTCAAGAATGTCAAACCCTTCCACCACCATGCCGAATGGGGCAGCTTTTCCATCCAAATAGTCAATGTTGTCACCTAACGTAATAATAAATTGACTGCCCGCAAGCCGCTGATCAGCATCGTTGGGTGAAGGCACAGTGGCCATACTGACCGTCCCCCGCTGCGTATGTTTTAGCTTGGGATCGATGTTGGCCACGAAACTCTTCTTCGCGGGGTCAGAAATGAGACCCCAAATTGAACTGCCGCCATCACTATCAGGCGAATCCGGTCCAAGCGGATCTCCTGTTTGGCAAGAGAAGCCCTTTTGGACACTGTGGAATGGCGAAAAATTGTAGTACTTGATTTTGCACAGTTTCAGAAAACTAAGGCCAGTCAGCAAAATGATCGGCCCAAAGAAGAGGTTGCTTACTTTTCGCAACATTTCGGGGCATTGTCGACCAAGAGATCTATGACGATCTCGCCCAAGGAAGTCTCCAGCAAAACACTCATGGCAAGGTCTTGGGTGAAGAGGGAGGGGGGAGGGGGGAGGCGAGCGGCTGCCTGTAACTGCCAACTTCTCCTGCCAAGGTATGAACGTAGTCCGGTTACTTCAAAGACACACCTCCTCGGCGTCGACTACGACATGGAAGACAGAGGTAGAATGGTGATCGAACTACTCAAAGCATGGAGATGATGGCAAGGCGGAAGTTGGAAGGCTTTCAAATGACGAGATATGGATGGTCATTCCTGTCAACAAGTCATGTCACATGACTCCACGCTAATCCATATCCAGTACAGTCAAGAAATAGCCACAGGAGGTGACAGGTACATCACTGCAGGCCACTCCGTACTCTGTATCTGTACTCTGTACACAGTGACGACCGCCCTTCCTTACCTCGGATCCAGACTAGACGTGTTTCCGCAACGTCGCCTCGCAATGTAGACTGCTATGCTTTGGATAGCAGTCTGTATCTTCATCGTCTTGTCGAAAGTACAGCCAATGTGACCACCAGACCTTTGTCCCCCATTCCCTTGTCCCCAGCGAATGCCGTTCCCTGTTTCCTGCCCCTGCGTCCTGGTCCTTTAGACCCGCATAGCAAGAAAATGATACTTCAAGGATCATGGCCATCTCTTCACATACGATCGCTTGTTCGCCAACATGGGTACCCACTTGGCCGATTCTGTGGACCTCCAGCAGCAGGCTCTCCCTCAGCACTCCTCCTGTGTCACCAGCTCAAGCTTGAGGCAAAGCGCTTGGATTCACCGAGTGGGTAGTCTAGCGAAGACACGCTCAAGATCGAAACTTGGTGGTCTACTCTCTCAGATGCTCATCGCGTCACAAGTGCCTGCAATATCTTTGCCCAACAGAGACGGTCAACTACTGGATATGCAACCAGCCACGCCGTTGCTCCTTTACACAGAAATCCCCCGATTCTGTCACGAACCGTCTTCTTTCTCGGCTTCCACCCGTTTCGATGACAGGTCTAGCATCCTAGCCCTGGTTGGGCCACCAACCTCCTTTTCACTGCTACAGCAAATCCCATGCACCTCCCGGACGGTCGCAGCGAAAGCTGCGATCAGATATGGACTGGTTTCGAACTGGAGGTAAGGTTGCCGTGCACGTGGGACTGCAAATACCCTTGGAACGTACCTCGATCATGCCAGGACGGCTCTCTTGATTCGCCATGAATGGCCAATCCTTTCCACTACTTGTCATCCCCCTCCAATCAATTCCACCCCGGGCATTTATCCCATTCTCACCCCCCATGGGCGACGAGGAAGTGGAGCCGAGCTTCCAGGCTGCCTGATGATGTGCATTACAGGCCGCATTCAGGGAAGGATTTGCCTGGTTGCCCTTTTCACCGAGGTGGCAACAGTCCTTGCCTTACTGGGGCTTCAACCTGGGAACATTACGCCTCTGTATCACAAGCCTGCACTCTAAACTCACCCTCTGATTTGTCAAGATATTTGGCGGCCAAAGCTGCTATGGGCGAGGTCCATCTTTTGACATCTCTGTGTAACTAGAATCCCCTGCAATGTTCCGCAGCCATTTTGCAGATGATGTTCAGGGGCTGACCTTGCATACAGAAATCGGCCTAACTGAGACCACTTCAAACGCCTGACAAGCTTGACTCTGCCGTCTGTCATGTGCCTTAATCGGATTGTGAGCCCTCTGCAGGAAATTTTCCGCAGGGTTTGTATTAGCTCCACCATCCAAGAGAAAGCTGCTTTTCCAACGGCTTGCTCACAGGTGGATCGGCGCAGGATCCTTGCAGACCCTACCACGGCCCCTTTGCGCAATGCTCCTCTGCGTTTGCGGGGAGAAAACACGCTCGCATTCACTTGAAGTCCATTGGGTCCAGCATGCCAGAAAGGATAGAAACCCATCCTATGGCTCTGGCCGAGATTTGGAAGCTTCGTGATGAAGAAGATTCTCTAATCATCCGGGCTTCTAATTGAACGGTTTGGGTCAGTTGCAAGTTTGCTCGGCCACGGGTGCTGCGTTTCCCACGCTGTCAACAATAATCTCCAACCAATCAAGGGGTGCAGCAAGCAGGTTGGTAGCAAACAGCACCCGCTCTTTTCCACGCTTGGCTGAGACCAGCATCATCTTCAATGGTCGGTTCACCGTGCACCGTCTAGAAGCGTTGCCAGTCGAACTGGACGTCACGCTCTCACCTACAGATGCATCCTATTCGGAGGGTGCAAGACCTGTCTCGTTTCCCCACACGGAACCTGTCGACATAGGCCCTAGGTCCAATGCAACCTGCACATGATGATTAAGTACGATTTTCAAGTTGAGGTTGAAGTACCATACGGCTGCCATTGGTCGACGAGAACGCAATTCGTTTCACAGCTGATACTGTGGGCACCATATCATCCCCTCAATGACTGGTCGGGCCTCTTCTTCGCCCGCTAAATCAGGTTGTTGTGGTGGACCAGCTATCGTCGTCACACGACGGAAACCTGCAGCAAGCCCGTTACAAAGAAATCTTACGACCAGGTTTCAAGGACAAGCCCGACAGCATGACTTGCTGTGGCTTGGGGCTTAAGGCAAGCAGACCCTTCGAAGTCCAACACGGCTTGTGATATGACATATTTCATGAATCTGATCTGGCTGGTGGGGAAAGCAAAGCCATCTCTCCTGCAATTGGTCTTGCATGCTTGGAAATGCTGGGATGCACTGGGATCTGGTTTTCCCTCTTCTATATTCTCCGTCAAACCGCATAGTTTGGGACCAACTTCTTGACTGATCGAAACGTTCAACCCATCTCTTGATTGCCTCACGTTTGTGCTTGGATTCGGTCGGTAGTGGTCTGTGGCGAACAGCGGCACAGTTTCGAACGCCAAACATACGCGGTCGACAGTGGTAACCGGGGGACTAGGTGTTCACGATGGTGGCCGAAAACCGTGCATTTGCATGTCTCAGGACTAACGGATCTCAGATCTCGACGCGGCTCTACAACCCAGATATTGAGTTCTTCAGACGCAATGACCGTGGCTTTGGGATGCCGTTGACCCAGCATCCACATCAAGACCAGTACGAGACTGGAGGCCATCCCAGCAGCCGTACTACGCCGTCTTCAGAGTCCGAGCAAAGAGCGACAAGTGGCTCCAGAAAGCGTGTTCCAGTTGCGGTGCGGACCAAGTTTCCTATTTCCTCTGAATCCCCCCCGTCCCCTGTCTGTACTGACGAGCTGAAGTGCGAGAGATGCCGGAAACGCAAGATCAAATGCAGTGGCAATGAAGGGAACAATCAAAGTTGCGCAAATTGCATCAACGCGGGCCATGAAGAAAGTTGTCGATTTCTCCGTGTAGGTACATGTTCCTATCTGAGAGAGAGGCAACTGTTGACAGATGTTAGGTCTCTTCAATAGAGACAGCAGCATTCAGCCTTCGCGGTTGGCAGGGACCTTCTCGGTATTCTCCATATTCACTTCCCACGCACCATCGCCTGAACTATGTGTCGGTGCCGTCGAGATATAGTCCACCCAATTCTCTGCAATATCCCACTGTGCCGGCGAGTGTCGACTATGGCGGTTATGCCAATCCAAGTCCGAATGTGGACTGGACGAGAACACCATATGGTGCATCCTACTCACCATACCCCGATGATGAAGAGCCCAGCCCATATCCCTCCCAAGTGCAGCCACCTCCATACATCCTCCCGCACACGGATCCAATGTCTACCACGAATGCCTACTACATGCACGCCCAGGGAGTCAGACCACAGCATTCAGTGCTCTGGCCTGAGCCTCAGCACTGCATGCCCCAAGCAGGCTCTCAGCTCAACAATCCAGCCTATGCAGCCGCCACACAAGGCCCTCAGCCGGTTCAAGCATTGGGTATTCCTGGACATTCACCATCTGACCGGATCCTACCAACACCCGTCTCAGCCCGAAGTATTGTTTCGTCGTCTGTCAACCCCATGGACAGTACTCCAGACACCAGCTCCAGCCACCGAAGCTCCACTTATTGGACCGGCGAGAACAACACTTCTACCCACCAGCCGACGGTCCAGGTAGACACTGGCGGAGCTCGAGAAAGCTCGACGGAGAGGACGAACCGCTCCTACCGACTCCAGGACATGCCATACGCGCACATGGGCCTAAATGAATCTCTGGCTTCCACATCGCTTCCCCAGGGTCTCCCCGTTGTGGTCAACGAAGCACAGCCCTCGACCACGGCAGGTACGCCAGAAGAATCCCATGCTCCCAATCTCAACTCGAGGAATGTTTCTCATGACAACCTCACGGCGACGCCTGAGAATACCTCCGCTGGCTACAGTTACACAGATCCGATGGCTGGACGCAGCTCTCGGCTGAGGAGTACTGCTGGTCGATTGTCGAACGGATCGTTGTACTGCCGCACACAGAACATGGTTGCACGGAGAGAACCAGCACCGGATGATTGCAGCCCAGATTGTTCTAGCTGCCAGACCGATTCAACTCGAACCTCAGTCATATCTATGAGCAATAATCAGTCGGGGTATTGAAGCCGCTATGCTTCCATCCATGCGGGTCATGCACGATTGATTACCTGCGTCCATGATCATGGTTCATCGCTCTCGTCCATGTTGGCTTAGTACCAACGCGTTGCAGAAGTCTCTGTGATTACGCTTGCGATTCATTCAACCAATACGCTGCAGAAGTCCTCTGTGATCACCAAGGTCACTCACTATCTTCCTGTCACGGAGCACAGGACTGCAAGGGCCACAGTCAAGTGGCATTTTGCCTTTTTTTCGGGGTTTGCTAGGAAAGCGAAAGACTAATCATCGTACCAACATATCTTTTAAGTCGGCATCTCTCCAGGCATTGATTGACACGAGGGTAGAAGGAAGGGGAGAGGAAAAACGAAAAAAGGGAAAAGGGAACAGGGAAAGGGGAGAGGAAAAACGGAAAAAGGGAAACGGGGAAAAGGAAAAGGGAAAAGAACAATGCTGCAGAATGCTAATGTCCTGTTATTGCGTTGTCCTCGGTGGTGGCTTGTGTCGATGGCACCAGGTGGGCAAACCCATGCGTCTCTTCCAGGGGCATTCTCGGGTCCAGCGTCTAATGTCTGTCCATTGTTTGTCACCACGTCTTTCTGGTGGGCTGTTACTGTGCATCTCTTTCTGCACGGGAAAGTCGGGCTGAAGAGGGGAGGGAGGCTGCCAATGCAGGTCCCTAGAAAGGGAAAGGAAGGCCCAGACCTTGTATCACGATAGGATAGTGGTAGCCGTAGCCGTAGCGGGCAGTGCATGCTGTGGGCTGAAGAGCGCCTGCTTGCCTTTCGGTGGGAATGGGGAATGATCTGTAGCATTAGCTCTAGAGAGTGACTCTATCTCTGTCTAGCTCAAGAGTCTTTCTTCCAAGCACCTACGTAGTATGGCATCGACTCAAATCAAGATGGTCGGTCAACCACGCGGCAAGACGATCTGGAGCCTGAGCTGAATGGAGCTGATCTCGCGCTGTTTGGCTAAAACCTCAGCGGAATGGAGCTGATCTCGGCCTGTCTGGCTAAAACCTCAGCTGAATGGAGCTGATCTCGCCCTGTCTGGCTCAACCCTCTTCCAAGTGCAGCGTCGACTCAAATCGAAGCGAGGGATTCGATCCGACCTGACCTGGCCTGGCCCTCAACACGGCCTGATCGCACGCGGCAACCGCCGACCGCGAGTGTTAGCAATGTATACACATGTGCCATGGAAAATCATGCAGCGCTCCGGGAAAATTTGGAAAGGGAAAGGGAAAGGGAGCGAGGTGGGCTTTGCTTCTTGTCTTTTGTCTTTCACATTTGATTTTGATAATGAATTCAATGGTACCAGAAGCTGACATTTGATAATGAATTCAATGTACCGGAAGCTGATACGCCAGTGCCCGGTGTCTCTTAGTTATTCGTCGCAGAAAAATTGGTCCCCCATAGGACCGACGCCAACAGACATCTGAGTTCCATGATTGGGGGAAGAAGAGTCTGTCCTTTTTCTTTTCGCTGGGCCGAGGCCTTGCCCTGCTTGCAGCACAACACCCACACTCCATTCACCTCTCGGCTTGGAGGATTTTCCCCCCCAGGGCGAAGAGCCAAGGCAAGATCAGACCATGCCATCCTCTCATCCTTGCTTTTCGCCCTTCGCCTCAAGGTCTCTACCATCCGACTCTCCGTCCATGCTAGCATGTCCCCACTCCAGAACACCTCTCCCCCAAGCAACACAACCAGCGCAGCCATGACAGCAACAGCCGTGCCAGTGGCAGCGTCACATCTATTTCTTCTTGTCCTTGGACGCACCCTTGGTCTTGGCGGTGCCTCTGAACTCCTTCTGTCTGTTCTTCCTCTGTTTCCGCTGTTGTCTGCTGGCCTTCTCGATCTTGGTGGCGTGGCCGACCCGGACCAATCGGTAGTAGGGCTCGAACTTTTTCATGGCCTCGACGCTGTCGTAAATCAGGGCGAACCCAGTGGACTTGCCGCCACCGTACTGCGTCCGCATGCCGAAGACGTTGATCTGGTCTTTGTTGGACTTGTACACTTCGGCCAGCTTCGCGCGCAGGTCATCCTTGGACACGTTGGGTCGGTTGGGGTGGAGGACGTCGCTGTTAAGCACCGAAATGAAAACCCGTCAGCCATCAGCTACAAAATGTCGAGCCGCCCGCAATATTCATGTTATACTTCATCCCACATTCCTCCTTGGACGAAAGCTGCGGGCGGCTTGGGCTTTGGCTGGCTCGAGGTTTGGAGGGGGCAATGCTTACACGACCATCTGCTTGCGCGAAAGCAGTCTGTTGGTGATGAACTTGCGGGTTCGGATGGTGACCGGAGAGTCAGCCATGGTTGCGGAATCTAGGTAGACGACGACGACGGTGTCGGTTCGCGGAACTCGCAAGCGATTCAATTGACCGTGGAACTGAGAACTGGTCGGTTGGCGATGTCGACAAGATTCGAATTCGGTGGTGGCCCTGCAGTTGTCGAGTTGTGCCGTGGGAGGCTGAGTTCGCTGCAAAAGTGTGGCCTTGGCATCTCGAAATCTTGGCGCGCTTTTCAGTTCCTTGAGTGGCGCTAGTCCGCTTTGGGCGAGCGAGGTTTGCATCCACTGACTACTCAGCACTCTATATGCTGTGCCTCACCACCACCATCACCAACACCAGCCTTACCCCCACCATACCCATACCCGTACCCATACCTACAGTTTTTGCTGTTGTCGAGAAATCCGTGTCAAGACGGGCTTGTGCTCGGGGTGCCGGCGAACCAGCCAGCATCGCGAGTGAACCCGCAGCCACAACCACGGCCACGGCCAGTCCGCAGGCTTGCTCGGGTTGACTCTGTCGCTTACAGACAATATCTCGACCTGGACCTCGACCTCGACCTCGATCTCGCCTGCAATCATGGACATTTCACGAGCAGGAGTCGAGCCGGCGGTGGTCAAGTTCTACCGTCAATACATGCAGCAGATCAGTGACGTGACTTATCCACCGGGCAATCTCCTCGTGAAGCAGGATGTGCAGGACAGTCTGTACAAGTATTTCTTCGACGGCTCTCAGAACAAATTCCTCCCTCCGCCACGGTACCAGGCGAGGATTCTGAAACGCATCATCGAAGAGATCGAAAAGTCATGTCGAGACCCTGACCAAGATGTAGGCCTTTCTGTTTTTGTTTTGTTTTGTTGGCTTGTCTTTGTTTTGTTATTGTTGGGTTGACTTGATTTGCTTTTGTTGGCTTGACTTAACTTGATTTTCTTCTACCCACTCAGACTGAACTAGTCGCTGACGACTTGTTCGATTCCATTCGTTCTCGTTATATCAGCCTTCTTGTTCTCCTCGCTTTTGACAAACTAATCCCTTTCTAACCAACCCCTTCTGGCAGCAAGTATCGGACCGGTTGATGGAGCATATGGGATACCTGGCCACGATCCCGCGCCAGCCGGATTCAGACGAGGCCCAGCAGATGCTCGTGCACTCGTATTTCCCGCCGCTGCCTCTCGACGAGCCTGGCGTCCGACCGGTGCTGATCAAGGAAGCAAGAAACCTGCTGTCGCGAGGCACCAATGTTGGGCTCCGTACCTGGGAAGCGGCCCTCCACCTTGGATGGTACCTGACTGTCCAGCGGCCAGACCTAGTGCGGGACAAGACTGTGTTCGAACTCGGCGCCGGCACGGGGTTCCTGTCTCTTCTGTGTGCTGGCCAGCTCGGAGCAGCCCACGTCGTAGCCACCGACGGTCTAGCGCACGTCTGCGACATTCTGCAAGCCAATGTCGACTTGAACCGGGACAACTACAACGGTAGTGGCAGTGGCAGTGGCACTGGACCTGGCACTGGCCCTGACCCTGGCACTAGCAGTCTTTTCCGCGCGCCTGAAGTCCGACTACTAGACTGGACGGACCGGCCTGAACTTGACCGGGTCATCGCCGAGGCGAAGGCGTCCGGCGTCCGCTACGACCTGGCCATCGGCGCCGACATCACCTATCACCCGGACATCTTGCGCCCGCTGGCCGAACTGCTCGGCGTGCTCAAGGACCACTTTCCAGGAATGGCCATTCTCATCTCCGCCACCATTCGCAGCGATACCTTCGCCCAGTTCACCTCCATCTGTCGGAACGAGGTCGGCTTTAAGGTCGTCGAGCTGCCCTGCAACATCCCCGACGGTCTGCGGTGTTCGGGACTCTTCCATTCTGTAGCCACGGAAATCAAAATCGTGTCACTGGAGCGATGATGTAGCCACGGAAATGTCACTGGAGCGATGAGCCTGCTGACAATTGACGGACCCACACTCCATGCCATGCCATGCCATGCTACCCGTTACACTGGTCATCTTCGACAGCCACGCACAACACCCGCGGAACGCTGTATAATCTATGGATTCCTTTTTGAGGAAGACTACCCATCCGTATGAGAACCGACTAATAATAACGAACTTGTCACGGACTATGGTATGCATCAAGCAGCATAGTTGACGTGACGGCATAGTCTTACCGCCCCATTTATCTCAACACTGCCTCCTTTGCCGTGATGTCAGCCATGTATGTCAACCACTGCCTCCTTTACTGCATGCCAGCCTCCAGCGATAGCCATAGATAGCCAGTCGCTGCCTCAGTCATAGCGCGCGACAGGGAATTTCTATCGCCTTCGACGCGCACCTTCGTACCAGTACCAGTACCAGTCGCACGGCCCTTTCTTTCTTACTCCCTAGTTCAGACCCTTGAGATAGAGGTGTTTCGAGACTCTTCAGAAGGGTGATTCTAGACACTTTAGATACAAAGGTGATTCAGGTCCATGTTGGGGTTGGTATTATACCCTCGTCCCAGTACCAGTCGTAAGGCTGCTCTTTCTTCTCTCTGATTTGGACTCTTCAGATAGAAAGGTGCTTCAGATCCATATTGGGTTGATATTTCAGCTTCTTTCTGAGATTTCTATGCCGTGCCACCTAAGTCACTTCACTTCGGCCATCACTTCAAGGACACAGAAACACCATGGGAAATAGTAATCTACTCTATTCCAATCGAAGCAGAACTGATACAACGAAGAGTAATCTACTCTAATTGAATCGGAACTATTACAACGAAAATAAATCAATGAATTAGACAGTACAGCACCGCACAGCACCGGCCGCAGCATTCATGTAGCATAGGCAAGTCAGTTCCACTGTCAGTTTGGTCGCACAGCATCAATGGTATAGACAAGTCACGAGTATCAGCCCAGTCATCAGAGGAGAGGTAATCAATTAGTACAGGTTAGTTTTGGTGGGTTCAAAGCAAATCATGTATTTAGATACCCCTGTAACTTTTCATCTTGGCCATTTACGAGTATTGATCGCTGCAGAACAGGATATATGTCCTTGTCTTTGCTAAGTATATGTCCGTATCTTTGCCCTAGAGCAGACCCAGCACCCAGCCAGGCTATCAGCCACGAGATTTCAAAACCAGTTGGTTGCTTTCGGAAACTTTCTCAGGACAGCCACGCGATTTTAAAATCAGTTACTTTTCGAAGCTTGCTCAGGACAGCCACGAGATCTCAAAACAAGTTGCTGTCGCTTTCTCAGGACAGAACAGTACATGACACCCAGATCAGGCATAAGTTCTGGACCGGCCCTTAGATTTGTCAAAGGTTGAAATGTTCCATCTTCTCTATCACAGGGTCGCAGGCTAGGTCGCAGGGGGCGCGCATGCTATATAGTATAGCATAGTATAGTATAGACTAAACCAGCCTTCTACTTAAATTTAGGCCAAGGCAAGGCTAGGAGTGTCTAAGTTTGACAAGATTATCCGTACCCTCCACCCTCTGCCTTGCTGGACGAAAATGGTGGGAGAAATCCACAGTTCAGGGTGTATATATATTTATGTAGATCCGACTCTAAAGATCCGTCGATATCAATATCTATCTGTACCTTCCCTCGCTCACCTACTACTACTATGAACGACACCTTATGTACTACCTTACTCTGTAAATGTATTAATTGTTTTGACGATAGACAGCTCGCTCTCAATTAATCAGATTGCAATACAATACAACAAACTACAACACACTGCAACACACTGCACTGCACTGCACTGGATGGATCGTCATGCTGTTGTCATTACATGTATTATTATGTAGTATAATCAAGTGTCGCTGCACCTGCTGAGAGAGCTGCTGAAATAGCTGCTGAACACCCAAAGCAATCCAGCCTTCCGTGAAGAAGCCCACATAACTCGCCGACGCACTAGCGGGATGAAGAGGAAAGAAATCCCGGCCCGGTTTCTAGAAGCCCCAAGTCCCAGGGTCACTCTGCGAGAATATCCTTCAAACCCTCTGCATCCATCATCAACACTTGTACTCCAGTGCTGGGTGGCTTCCGAGTGGGCTTAAATCCGGGGATCGCTCCGTTCTGATTGATCCCAGGTGGCCTTCCACCCGGCAATTGGAATGGCAACAATGCCTGCGTCCCCGATAGGGACGAGGATGAAGATGATGACGCCGATGTTGCCGAAGTCGACGGTCTCGAATCATCCCCTGACTTCACAGGTGCAATGCCCCATTTTCCTCGGACCCAGCTGCCCACGAGGCGACCTAGTCCACCAGCGGGTGCGTGCCGCTGTTGCGACGCCCCTGTCGGTAAGCCAACAAGCCCGCTCAATGCTTCAACGCTCATGCTGGTATTTCTGTCCGATGCCTGCCCGTCACCTGGAACTGTGTCGGTCCACGCAGGGGCATCTGCACTGAGAGATCTCATCGAACTTAACGCGGTGAACTCGGTCACTGTAGCCAGAGGTGCGGTGGAGAATGTTCGTGTGGCTGAAGGAGACATGGCAAAATACGCCTTGTTGCCCTTCAACAGACTAGATGATTGTGAAGTCGACGTTGTCGGTCGCTTGGCAAGGTGTATGTCCATCCCTGAAATCGAGACCAGTGACTCATGGGACCCTGCTCGACGGCGACCTGGTTGGATAGCTAGCTGATGCATAACGTCAAAGTCAGATGAAGAGCTAGGCCCTGACACGCCACCTATGTGCTTCCGCTCGTCTGGATTGTCTGGAACGTCTTCCGTGGTCTGCTGAATCGAGGTAAGAGGTGAGGGGATTGGCTCTGACACTGGGAACGCTGATGAGGTATCTGATGTAACACGGTCTGGCGGTTCTGGGTCGACAAGGTCATTTGCTGGTCCCCCAGTGACGAGAATCTGGGAGGGTTTGGGGGTTAGTTCATGAGAATCTGACTCTATGGGTTCGTCCTTCTCCGAGTCTGAAGGAAGACTGTCCTGTAATGGAGGTGATGATGCCAGGTATGGCGCTTCCGGCTGGGTATCCCGGGCCTCACCATCATCCTCGTCATCGTCCTCTCGCGGGTCTGTCAACCCTTCGTCGATTGAAGCCTTTCGACGAATTGTTAGGAACGGTGGATCGGCAAACCCGGCGGCAGATTCGGGACTCGTTGGTCTGGACGATTCTTCCCCACCCTCTATTCGATCGAAGATGGAACTGTTGTGCTCGTAGTAGGACTGTGGCGAACTGGGGAAGCTCGACACTGCCGACGAGGTTGTCGCAGCGGATTGTACAGACCAGCGCTGGCGTCTAGCCTGTGGAAAATGAAGGGCGATAGGTAGGACTGGACTGGAAACCACACGCTGAGGCGCGGAAAGCGGAGTGGTGGGATGGGATGATTCTGGGGTGGTTGGAAGCGTGCCGACTCCCATGACCGCGCGCCTGCGTACCGGTTTCCGCACCGCAAGATTTCGATCCCTCTTCCCGGCGATTTTGGCGTGATAATGGTGATGAACATGAACTTCTTGTTGGACCTGTTTGAACGGTGGTGCCGGCCAACCAAGTTGTTCGCTCAGAGGTCGCGAGCTGGCTCCCTCTTCTTGGGAGTCGTCGTACTCGACCGGTTGGTGCTGGAAGATTTGCTCCCGGAGACTCTGCACCTCGTCGTTGGAAGTCTGGAGCAATTCGCGTAGTTCGGCAATCCCCGCCTGGAGGTTCGCATTGTCCTGAAGAATGTCGCGCACAAAATGACTGACAACCTTGGCCCCCGTCGCGCCTCCTTTGAGACCTTGCAATGCAGCTGCTCCTTTGAGTCTGCCTTCGGCGCCACCCAACTCCCTTTCGAGCACTCGTTCACGCTCGAGTCTCGCGACCAGTTCTTCATGTCGCTCCATCTCTTGTCTGGCCTCCCATTCGATCCGCTGGATGTCGGACTCGAGTTGTCTGACTCTAAGGTCACTCTCCTTCCACCTTCTCATGGTGTTTCGGGCTTCCTCTTTGGAATCGCCCGCCTTTTGCAACAATACGGCGTGGTCCTTCTCCATGTCAAGTATCTTGAGCTCTAATTCTTCAGCCTGTCGGGTGAGTCCATTCAACCTTCTGATCTCCAACTCACTGTCTCGGAGCAATGCCTCAAGCCCCTTGACATGTTTATCGCTGTCCCGCAGAGATGTGTTGGCTGTGTCTAACTGGGTGCGGAGCTCGCGATTCTCTACGACAATCCTCTCGTTGGTCGTCTGTAGAGTTGCCCTCTCCCTTTCCAACTCGTTGATGTAGGCTGTGAGACGTTCATGTTCGAGCTGCGACTCGGTGACATATGACTCGTGGCGAGTGAGGAGGGCCTGAAGTGCAAAGGTCAGCCCGCTGCTCGTCTGCTTCTTCTCCTGCTCAACACTACAGAGCGCCGCCGATAACATCATCTTGCCGTCATTGTATAGTCTGTGAGGTGCAGGGGACGGAAAGGCGTAGGCGTGGATGAGGCAGCCACGTATAGGCAGGTATAAGCCTCGAGGATTTGCGCAGCTTCTTTCTGCAGACTATGGACACCAGCCCGAAATTGCAAAGACCCAAGCGCAAGTAGGGTTCCGCAAGCGAGAAGACGGATTCGAAACGAACAAGATGGCGAGCATGGATGGGAGGCGCACGTACCTGCCCTAGTCTGGCGGCGGTCTCGAGATCCCTCTCGATGCCGCCGAGTAGTGTGTTGTTGTGCTCCAAGTAGATACATTCCGATCTGCCACAGCAACACAGTAATTTCATGTCTTCTGCCCATGTGCGACTGTCATTGGCCCGCGTTAAGAGGATGTCCACGTCGTCCGGAGGGTGGTCAGAGCGCGTGTCGGTGCTGCATGGAGCGGGGATGTCATTGTTTGTGCTGCAGAAGGCCCGGAACCGGCGGGAGGTCGCGTTGAACGGTGAGGCCATGCTGAGGACATGGCGGAGGGTACGAACCAGGCAGTCGAGAGGAAAGGGAGTGAAGGGGTCGCTGCCGCCAGAGAGTGAGAGAGGGCGATGAGCGCGTGAGGTTGCTTGGATGAGCGGAGATGGGGTGCTGCGGTGATGTTCAATTTCAGGACATGGAGTTCCGCCAAGGCGTCATCCATTGGCCCAGCCTCGGTGTTGTATCAAGGTCGCGCAATCGGCCGCTGACGCTGTATCCTGTATCCGACCAGAGAAGTATGTCCTATGATCCGTCCGCATACCCTGTGAATCGGTGACACGTCGCTCGCTAAACGCCCACAAGACCCTTCAGCAGAAGTGGTCAGAGTTCTTCGGCTGTCAGGACGAAGAAGCTTGGGGCACCATCACAACAATACCATACATGCTACGTACTCGTGGTACTCAGGTACGGAGTACTGTAGACTAAGAATATTTTGGGGAACTTGTCGAGCTTCTCAGAGCTCGAGATGTTCCGTGGTTGGTGTCAGGCTGTCGCTAAATCTACTACAGTATCCGAACGCCTAGCTGTCACTGCAGGCACGACCCTCATTCGCTGTCCTGCACCACCATGGGACCTGGACCTCGTCTTCTCCTCTCGAGGGCCCTCTGCACCGCTTCCCGGACCTCTGGGTTCGTTCTTAGTGCTCCGGCAAGCAAGGTCTCTTTCATGCCTGCCCGGAGCATCTCCGATTTGCTCGCGTCACCTTTGAAGGGGCTCAATGCCAGCTGAAGCAAACCCACCGTCTCTGCGTCTAATTTGCCCGCCGCCTGAGCCAGGTGGGCAACTTGCTGCTGAGTCTGGCCATCTCTCACAGCCGGGTCTCTTGCCTTGGGAGGGGCGAGCTGTGAAATGAAGATGTTCAAGGACATGGACAACTTCCTTGCTAGACCCAGGATCTGGAAAGGGAGAAGGTGTGGTGGTAACAGATGCGGCAAGACCTTGTGCACTGTGGAAGCCCAGAGCAGGATCAAACGCGGAGGCTGCCATGTGTGGGTCAAGAAATACAACTCCAAGAATGCCATGCAAGCAACAATAAAATAGCGCCAGAACTGTCCCCAGCGTGGCAGCCAGGTGTAGTTCAGCACCACCAGGATGGCTGCGTTGGACGCGTACTCGGGGATTTTGGAGCGTAAGCCGGCGTAGACGTAGTGCCTGATGGTTTTCAGCCCAGGATGTTGCACCTGGACGATTCCCGGCCCGAATCGATCATAGGCAAACCGTTTGGCGGGATCCAGGATGGTGTCATGCGCAAGTTTGTACTGGACAAACACTCCTTCTCCGCCCGGGAACGGCTGCCCATTCTCGTGCAGTTTGTCTGGGTGGTATCTCGCGGCCAGCCTCCTGAACCGACTCTTCACCTCCCTCTCCGTCGACCAAGGCGTGACTCCGAGAAGGGCGTAGAAGTCTCCCGCCAGCTTGACATCGTACAGCGCCTGCAGAAGGGTGTAGAGGAGGTAGAGGGACAAGACGAAGATCCGGATCCGACGATTGTGGTAGGCGAAGAGGGGCTCACCGGGCTGCGGATGGCGCTGTCCGGCACGAATTGTGAGTCGGTAATAGACAGATTGTAAGAAAGCGGTAGCATACTGTGAGGCCGATAAGTCTCGCGTCGCTGCGCGTCTTGGGGGTTCATACCGCAGGTAGAAATGCCCATCCGACCAGAGAGAAGGCTTGCGTTGCAACCTGGTCAGCCATATGGAGCTGCAGGAACAATCAGAAATGGCAGCATTCCTGTCCCCGTGAAAAGACACAGGGAGGACGCAATCCCAATGATGAAGGGTTGATGAGACCTGTCAGGTACAGATACGAAGTACGGAGTACGGAGTGGTACATATTTGGGTACTCGGTGACATGTGACCTGCCCCGATTTCGGCTCAGCCTCGCCCACACCTATATATATATATATATACCTATCCAGCGTTAAGTTGATATTACTCCTGTCTTCCTGCAGACATCTCTCTTCCAGGAAGTGACAACATGACATGGCCGCCTACTATTCATATGTTATATATGAGGCTGCAGGTCTAGGAGCCCCTAATGCGAAGCTAGGCTGCTTGCAGAGCCCCTATGCCCTCAGCATACGAAGACCAGCCGAGGGCCAACATTCTAACATTGTACTGACCCCTGAGGTCGATCTACCATCTACAACCAGAGAAACGGACCTTAGCCGGTTGGCGGGACTCTGTAAAAGAGAGGAAAGGGGCATTGTATGATTTCTAACGCTGTGGCGGACATGTCCCCATCCCTCCACTACTCTTTGACCTATATAGCAATTCCTGACCGCTGGTGAAGGGCTTACTTTTTGTATCTCCGGTCGTGAAAGCCAGCCAGGACCTCGACGGTTCCGTCCCCTTTCTCGGCCCATCGTTTGGCGGCGATGTCAGGATTCAACTGCAAGGTCTGCTTGGCCTTGACCCATTCTTGGGCGGTGACGAGCTTGTCAAAGCGCGGGTGGACACCGGCCTTCTGCAGCACGGGACTGTCGGTGATGGGCACCAACACGGTGTCGTTGTGCGGGCGGGCAAAGTACAGCAGACCAGTGCGGTTGTATTGGCGCTGGTCCTGGGGCGGGGCGACCACACGGTGGACGGAGCTCTTCAGCCAGCCGCCGGTCAGATGGCTGATGGTGTCGGCCAGATTGACCGTGATGGTGCCGGGCTCTGGCTTGACGTAAGTCCAGTTGCCGTCCTCGCCGAGGATCTGCAGGCCTGCGACGGGTTGGCGGAACAGCAGGGTGACGGTGCCCAGGTCGGTATGGCCGCCGCCCCTGCCGTAGTCGGCCGCCGCCCACTCCTCTTCGGTGCGAGGGTGGTAGATCATGTAACGGAAATGGTCCTCGCTCTTCTTCTCGTACGTGTGCTGCCTGACCAAGTAATCCTCGTCCGGCAGCTGCAGCACGATGGCAAACAGACGCAGCAACGGCAATACCACGTTGTTGTGCAGCGCGCGGTGGAACACCTCGATCTCCGGCAGATGCGCCTTGATCAGGTCCGGGTGGTGGTATTTACCCGCAAAGTCGGGCGTGAATTTGGCGAAGTTGTACATCTCAATGTTGTCCTTCGCCCCCGACTGCAGAGAGCGGCCAGGTCGACGCCAGCCGTTGTAGTCGGCGATGGAGTAGTGAATCTCGGATTTCTCCTTCTCCGACACGGGGAGCTCGAAGAAGTTCTTGGCCAGGGTGAACTGCTGCTGCACCTGCTCCTCCGTCAAGCCGTAGTTCTTGACGTAGAAGAACCCGACGTGATGGACCGCGTGTTCGAGCTGCTTCGCCAACCGCTCCTTCCCACCGGGCCGGTCGTAGTCCTCGAGATCGAGGGTTACGAGTTCCGACCAGGCCAAGTCTTCCTTGGTTTCTGGCGGGTGCACATATGGCTTGAGCTGACTGTAGTCATACTGATGGAGGTCCTTGATAGGAGCCTGGACTTCACTGGCGGTCTGCTGAACCGTAGTAGTTGCCATGGTTGCGTCTATGTCCTTGTCCTTGTCAAAGCGTTCGAATAGAGAAGAGAGGAGGGGACAGGGGAGGGGGGCTCAGGATGCCTGTTATCACTTAGGAGATCAAGGATCAGCTGGTTTAACTTGGATGACCAAGCCGTGTTTCTTATCAATCGCCATAATGGCATAATAATGACACCTCGGATGGTGGGAGGATCACTCTGTGCTGTATGTTGTCAACAACCCCTCACATGTCGTGATCAACTGTCTCCACATTTTGTCCATCAGGACAGGACAGGACGGCGTCTCAACAGCCAGTGTCCACTCGAGTATAAAAGAGTGAGAAGCCTTTCTTTTATTGGTAGATTACCGATATCGAGCGATGAGTGTAAACCACTGAGTGAGTTCTGCTGTTTTGGCTGCTGCTGTTACTCTTGCACCTTCTCCGCCAAAGTCTGGGCTTCTACACCAGTATGTGACCAGGTTCTGTCTCCCCCGAACACATACTAGGTCAGGTAGAGAGCTTCATTTTTGAGATGCAATGAGTGCCACCCGTTGCAACAGCTGCTGAGCGGGGTAACCACTCTCGAGTCTGGAGTCCGGAGTCTGTTGTCGATCCCTGCTAGCCCACCCATATAGGGGACCCGTACTGGTCCGTCACAATAGGCTCTGGACCGTCGAGCAACGACAACCCTCTACAAATTGCGTGCTAGACCGGGACTGCCGAGGTGACATGGTGGGAAGATCATAGATCAACTCTTCCGCTGAATGCTTCGCCCAGCCTTGTGACAGCGCACGGGTCCGGTGGCGTGGGGAAAGGAACATACTGTGGACGCCGTCCAGTATCCATTCTCCCGACGGAGATGGGGACATCCCGGCGGTAGAAGCAGAATCTGGCACCATGCCCATACTGCTTGATGCTGCTTGTCGTGTGATTGAGCCCATCCGGCAGCTCCAGGACTCACTTGCCCTCGGGCTCGGGCCTAGTCTTCACGCCGACCTGGCTGGTTGTAGTAGAGCACTTCTTGGCTACATCCAGGTCACCAGAGCCAGAAGACCTCGTCGATGGTGTAATACACTTACCCTACCTGGGAATGAAAGCTCTGTTGCATTTTCAACCCCGAGATGATGAAATCAAACATGAGATGGCGCCATGTCGTTTTGAAGAGCTTCCATGTCTATATAGAGGATAAGTCCAAAGGCTGATTGGTTTTTCGCCAGTCGGCTGAATCTCCAGTGAGTCCAGCAAGTCCAATTCAACCATTTCGAGAGGCCGAGCACGGAGAAAGAGTGACGGAAACTAGAAGATGGCATCCCCAAGCTTGGAATCACCTTCCAAGCCGGTCGCCGGTGTTGGGATAGACGTGCTGTCAGATGTTTCCCCCGACACTGATTCTTCGGCTGCCAGTGCAAGCCAGCCCAAGCCTGGGGCAAAGGGCGGCTTTTTGGGAACATCTCTTCGGTATCTCCGTTCGCTCCAGCGGTACATCTGGGATGATCCGGATAAGTCCAAGGAGGACAAATGGTTCCTGTTCAAACTTGACGCATTCCTCCTCGGCTCGACGTGTCTCGGCTATTTCAGCAAGGGCCTCGACCAGTCAAACATCAGCAACGCATATGTGTCTGGGATGCGCGAGGCTCTGCACATGAATGGCAGTGAGCTGACCTACGCCAGCAACGTCTTCACAGCCGGCTATGTGGTGGGCCAGATCCCTGCTGTCATTATGGTGACCCGTGTCCGACCCTCATACCTGATTCCCACCGTCGAGATCCTTTGGTCCGTCCTCACCTTCTGTACCAGCGCCGTTTCATCTGTGTCGCAGTTATACGCGCTCCGCTTCCTCATCGGTCTCTGCGAGTCGGCATACTTTCCTGTGGTCATCTATATGGTCGGTGCCTGGTATACCAAAACAGAGCGCGGCAAGCGGGTCACCCTCTTCTATAGTAGCGCCACCCTCGCAGGGATGTTCAGCGGCTACCTACAGGCCGGAGCGTATAAAGGCCTCGACGGCAAGTTGGGTCATTCAGGTCGGTGTTGAACCAGAGATATGGTGAAATTCTCAGTTGCTTACATACCTGAAGGTTGGCAATGGCTGTATATCATCTGCGGCATTATCAGCTTGCCCATCGGCGTACTCGGCTATTTCCTCTTTCCAGATTTCCCGGAAACGACACGCGCCTTCTACATCACCGAAGCGGAACGGGAGCGGGCTAAAGAACGTTTAGTGCGTGACGGGCTCAAGCCCCTGGGAGCCTCGACCTGGAACCGAACCAAGATCCTTCGAATCATGTCTCAATGGCAATTTTGGATCCTGCCGATCGGATATTTCCTCGTCCAAGGCGGCTTTCCTGTCCATCAACCAGCTTATGCCCTGTGGCTAAAGTCGACACACCACACCATTTACCAAGTCAACGTCTGGCCAACCGGCCAAGTCGCCGTCGGTGCGGTGGTCCAGATATTGGCAGGCATGCTGTCAGACTCCCCCCTGCTCAAAGGCCGACGGTGGCAAGCCATGATCGTGATGAGCGCCCTGACTTTGTTCGCTACCATCGTGCTGGCGGTGTGGGAGATTCCAGATGGTCTCAGATACGTCGCATACTATCTATCATGGGCCGCTGCAGGGGTTCCTGGCATCTATTTTTCCTGGTACCCGGATTTGATGTCCCACGATCATGAGATGCGCGGGTTTATGATCGCCGTGTCCAACATTTTCAGTTACATTCAAATCATATGGTTCACCGATGTCTTCTGGAGGACCGTGGAAGCTCCCAAGTTCCGCAAGGGGTGGATTGGATCTTCGTGCTGGGGGTTCGGGCTGATTGTGCTCACGCTTGTCATCCGCTCTCTTGAGCACCGAGACATCAAAAGGCGACAAGTTCACAGCGAAGGAGCCAGTGATGTTGAGACTGCTGGGATAGTGACTGCGAATTCGGACAAGGCCGACACGACTGCCCCTTCAGAGCCGCAGCGAGAAGAGATACGTCTTCGGGAGTGAGTGAGATGCTCAGGGTGTATCAACAATCCCAAGAGTGGCGTTAACTTTGAGGGTGGTTCCGTGCCACCTGAAGCTGGAGACTGCGCTTCTCAGGCATGACCATGGCAAGAGCAGTAGTTGAGCACAGGTGGCCCAAACGGCAGCGTCAAGGGCTGTACTATTCCCGAGCCATGATGCCAAAAGCTGCTCCGTACACAGTACTTTCCACCCAGTTACTGCATACACACATGTAGGCGGAAACTGCAAGGGCATTCGAGTGCATCAAGACCAAGTCGAGGAGCCTCTAGTTCTTCTATCTCTCTCTCTGTGTGTGTGGGGTGTGTATCTCGCTACTCTTCTTGCCTTGGTGTTGATAAAGGAATTCCCCGCTTATCGTACTTCGAAGGGCGTGTCATCTTGGCACTGGCCGAAATATCCTGGCCAATTACGGTATATACAAGAGCACCGACACATCGAAGCAGAGCTTCCATCTGGTTGTCCTTTTATGAATTTGATCCCCGAAGACACAAAGCGCAAGCGAAGGACAGAAAAGGGAGCCACCACCGAGACAAAGAAGCGTTGATGCCCTAGGATTGGGATCAGGATTGAGATTAGAATTGGAATTCGGATTAGGATTAGGATTGAGACTCTGAGTGATCTGTCCGTCTGAAATACAACATGGAAGGCCGGTGTCAATGTGGACTAATCCGCTTCACCACGCCGACGCCCAAGCCAAAGGCCATCTACGTCTGCCACTGCACAGAATGCCGACATCAGTCGTCGTCGACGCACGGCATGACGGCCGTGTTTCCCTGGTTTAAACTTGAGCCGCCGTACCCCGGCGCCATCGGCGTCTACAGCCGGCCGAACCCGCATGGGCGGACGGACGGGTACTTCTGCACCAAATGCGGGTCGCGACTGATTCACTGCCCGGTCTCGCACACCGGGGAGCCGGCCAAGCTGCTCAGCGTCAAGTCGGGCTGCTTGGACGGCATGACCAAGGAGATGCTGCGGTCGGCCGTGCATATCTGGACCAAGTCGGCCGTCGTCGATATCCCGGACGGGGTGGAGCAGTATGAGGAAGAACCACCGGGCGGGGATTGGAGTTTCGACGAGGAGTGAGAATGAGATATCTGTGCGGGAGTTGGGTTTCGACGGGGAGTGAGAATAGGCAGCCGTCCGGGAGTTAAGGTTCGACGAGGAGTGAGAATGCGCATCTGTGCGGGAGTTGAGTTTCGACGAGGAGTGAGAGTAGGCATCCGTAACGGTGTGTTATGTCTGCCGAAGATCAAACATCAAAATTGATGGCTCAGTCGGTGTCATGTTGGTCGTCTGGGTCGCCTGTCGTATAACTAACGTCTCTGAGATCTGGCGGTCGGTAACAAACCACTGTCAAGAGAGGTAGATGGACGAGGCTGCAAAGAAACCAGCCAACCACAATCACATCAGGTATTCGACCGTGGATGGTGCATGGCCGTCGCGTCGTCGAAGACTCGAAGACTCGAAGATTCGAAGATTCGAAGACTCGAAGCGATGTTATCTAGGTTGTTGTGACTCGCAGAGAGAGAGAGAGAAAATAGTATCACGATTGCAACACCGGGGCGTGCACCAATTGAGGCGTAGGCGTAGGCTTAGACTTGGACTTCTGCGTCGAGTCAAGTCTGCTGCCATCGTCGGGATTCTTGCCGTGACTATTGTCTCCTTTGCCTTGCCCTTGCCCTTCAGCCTTGCGATGGGCGTCATCGTATTCCTTCTCATCTTCGCCCTTGGAGTCGCAGCACCAGCAGCACATGAGCATCCACCAGTTCAATAGCTCCATGGCCATAGTATGCTTCGGGATTGGCGGGCTGAAAGGCAATGGATAACGGATAGTGAGGAGTCGGTCGACGATGAACGAGCGCTTCTGCAGCAGCTGGAGTCATTCTACACCACACCGCTGGCCTCTGCAGTCATTGAATAGGAGGAACCGCTGGCCTTTGCAGTCCTCGAATGGAGGAAGACGGGGTGCGGTGACGGTCGGGCGAGGATAGGCAAACAGGTGAAGGAAGAGCAGAGTACTCCGTAGGATGGTCGGAGAAGCAGCCATTATCATTTGATTTACCTGTACTCCGTACTTTGCGTACACATACACATACACATGGGATGTGGCAGTGCTGCCAAAAAGCCAGGGGAAAGAAAGTGAATCTGAACCTGAACCTGGCACTGGGGAGGTCACTGTCGCTGTCGCTGTCGCTGTTGCTGTGGCTGTGTGGAAATCTGAAACCCTTGCTCGCAAGGCAGAACAGGCCTAAGGCTCCACCACCACACTATATCCATACTGCGTATCAGAAGATGAACGGAGCACAAAGTATACCAGGGTCTCAGGCCCCAGGACCCCAGTCGCCAGTCGCCAGTGGCCCAACGCCCCTTTGAGGCAGATTGAGGTACGGCGGAGTCAGCCGGGCTGTCTCAGACTCATCGTGTCTGTTTGGATGGAGGTGTCTTCTACCTCGACCATATGGAGTACACATGGCAAAAGTAAAGTATACACTGGGGCTATAGACAGGAGGAATTGAGCGTGCAGTGCGATAACTGAGTCTGAGTCTGAGTCTGAGTCTGCTTTGGCTGGATTACTTCGTGTGCTCGGTCACAATATCCACACCCACACGGGACCAAGAGCAAGATAGAAATAGAAATAGAAATAGAAATGTAGATACTTGGCAAGCTCATGCATCATACACAGCGTTCCCTGCCCGGTGCGAAGTTGAGAAGAGCCAAAATTTCGAGGCATCACCCACTTCGTGGTGAAACAGTACGTTTCGGGTGCAATTAGACAAATAGACATTATCTTTTATGTAGTGGCTGAAGAGTGAAGACAAAATCTATTTTCAATATGTCCCTGGGATGAAAGTGAAAGTGAAAGTGAACCCAATAGAACTGGACTGTTCACCCTCTCATACATAAATATAGCAGAATGGTCCTCCGGTCGTGCTCAACGCGTCCTGGTTCTGGATGGTCGTTGCCAGACTGCCTAGATTGATGGGATCAGTCAGCTTGCCCGGCGGGCTACCGGTAGGGTCGAGCGTGGAGGTACCGCCACCAAAGGCCTTGATACGGTTCTTCAGATCTTGGTTCTGCCAGATCCACCATGTGCGGTCGATCTGTGCGTGGTGCAGGAAGAAGGTTGGTTCGCCAGGCGACGCGAAGAGATCTCCGCCTGGGTCGCCACCAGTGGTGAAGTGGCCGCCGGTATGGACGCCGTAGAATCCAGTAGGAAAATCGCCTTGCATGTGGTTTTGGAAGGAGATAATGTCCTTGTAGTTGCTGACGAGGTCGTACACGTCCGAGTCCTTGGTCCAGTTGGACGAGACCCAGGAGGAAATGTCCCGACGCAGGCAGCGAGGGTTGTAGGCCAACGGGTCGGGGCTGGAGTAATCAATGATGCCCGGGATGGCCAAGGTCGGCGACACCGGGCCTAGATTGACCACGTAGTCCTTGAAAGGCCCGGTGCTGACGCAACCACCGCCCGACCCGGGAGGGATGCAGTTCAAGCCAGTAGGCAGGGCATTGGTGCAGTTGTGCGGCTCGTAGACGCCGTTGCCGGACATGCTGTAGTCGCTGCCGTCAAAGAGAGGCGAGTGCAGTGGGTCCAAGGCGTATTTCCCCCAATTCCAGTACGGCTGGTAGCCCGTGTAGCCACACTCGTTCCGGAGTTCTTGCTCGAAAGCCCAGGTGAAATAGCGATGCCACGCCAGAAAGTTGGCCGTTCCATGGATCGATAGCGTCTGGTTGATGTGGACAGCCACAAAGTCGTCGTAGCGAGATTTCGCTCCCGCTGCAAACGACGGGTCTTTGGAGGGCTTGGACATCAAGCAAAGTTCGGCGTCAATATACGCTCGTCTTTCCTGCTTGGAAAGACTCGACCATTCCCGTCGCACGGCGGTATTAAAGAGGTTGCAGCTTGAGGAAGGATTGCTGGCCTGGTAGATGGCCAGGTTAAGAAGCCCCTTGGCGGCTAGTATGTCGGTGTACAGCGTCGACGCAGGGATGAAGACTGACGAAGCGGCGGCCGTGTCCCGTTCTGCGAAGCTGTTTTCGACATTTTCCACGGGTGCTGGCGCCGCGTGGATGCCATAAACAGCCAAAAAGGCTGGGACCAAGTGACGAAGCTGCATGACCGGAAGAAGCACACTACCAACGAGAGGTGTGGGTTCGAGAATAAAAGAGTGAACGGACGGGCCTCGAGTGAGGTTTCCAAATAAACAGGCCGCGAAGTCGTGGGGAGCGAAGATCCCTAGGAGAGGAAGTCTCGATTAGAGAAGAGAAACGGCGGAGTGGCTTATAAGGGTTTCCTTCGTAATCGTGTCAAGGCTCAAGACCCATGTGGCCGGAATTCGGCTCCCACGCGATATGTGAGATAGGCAATAAAAAGTGGGATATACCCGTAGAGGGGAGCTTTCCCAAAAAACCAACCAAAACAGATAGTTTTCTATAGCTGCTCGCGCCGTGTTAACATCTAGAACTAGAAGTCCACGACGTTTCCCCAGGTGGAAAACTAGTGATTTTCCATTGGGTTTACCGAAACCAGACATGATTGCCGGGCTCAACGTTCAAATTGAAAAACCCATGAACGTGGCCCTGACTAGGCCTGAATCATGTAGTGGAACACTGAGTGAATCAAAAAGATTGGAGGAACGGACAGGGTGGAAGGCATCGGGCTGGCTTGGTGGGTCTTTACGGCGCACATCAAAATTCAGAGTGGTAGTGGGCCGTTCCGCTCGCTCCTGTACAGTGTACTCCGTATGTGACATGAACAAGAGATAAGTGTCGACAGTTGCGTGACCGGACTTTGGCGAGCTTAGTCCGAACCTGCGAGCGAGATTGCAGTAAGAGATCCGTCGCAGTTTATAGTACACAGTATGGAGTAGATAAGTAGATACCAGCGGATATAGATAGCCATAGCTGCCCAGTGCCGGGGTGCACCGTGAACTGACTACTGTGGCCAGTGGTATGGCCAGCGGTAGTTGGCCACAGTACTCCGCACCCATTTGGGAACTGTCCTGCAAGCTACTCTGTGTGTGGCCGTGTGTGTGTGGCAATGGCAAACAGCACGGAGGAGATTGGTAAAGGGAATGGTGCTCCGTGGTCTAGAGGTCCAGAACGGGAGAGAGGAAGAGAGATGAAACCCTGTGCAGGAGACTCGTACTAAAGCAGCGCATTAGTCCCGGAATGGTCAAGCGCACCTTGGCAGCCAGGCTAAATTCAACATCCGTTTCCCCCCCAGGCAGCACCAGTTTTTTCCCGCCTGTCCACTTGTCTACCTGTCTACCTGTCTACTCCGTACCTGTCAACCTGTCAAACCTGGCCCGCCCCCACAAAGATGCTTGGATTCCTGTCTCCGTTGTTACAGCCCTTGCTTGCTGCGAGTAACTGTGCCGGTGGCGGTGATGGTGATGGTGATGGTGATGGCAAGCCTGCCATTTTCCACCCAGCACTCGGGTGGATGTTCTCTCGTCAACTCGGCATTCGGCTCGTCGAGTCCCTCCCTCTCTGCCGTCTACGCCGTATGGAGACTCCTATCCGATCTGCACATGTTTAGGTATCAGCCGATCTGATCGTCGGGGAGGTCCAGGCACAGAATACTTCGCCCCCTTTCCAGACCTAGGCACCTATGTAAGGTGTCGAAGCTCGCCTCCCAGGTATCCTGCTGCTTCCGCTAGCTTCGTTTTCCTCACCAGCTAAGCAGAGTCTGCCAAAATGTCGACTACTGTCACGCCGTACCTGACTAACCCGAACCATCATCCCGAGGGGTCCTTCGGTGAGACCACGCCGATGGTCGCCTCGCATGGCGTGCAGCGTGCGTGCGGAATGCTCTTCTCACAATCATGCATTGCAGTGGTCTGGTGGGCCGCTGTTGACCAGCGCGAGGCTTGGATTTCAGCCACCATGTGTCGTGCCAGGACCCCGGGGTGAACTCTCATCACGGTTTATGAACCGGTGTGCGCCACTCGGCCCACAGCCTGGGACTCGGTTGGCCTGTTCCACGGATGCAACTTGCAGGGGCCCCGCCGTCGTTGCACAAGGATGTACTCTGTACGTAGTACCTGCATGTACTCCGTACAGTTACAGCAAATGCGGTAAATGCAGGTCTCAGCAATTGTGAGCGAACCCTCGTCTTCATACGAAGGGCTGCAGCTTCCTATCCTAGGGTAACCTGAAGACCACACTATTGGAGAAAGTAGTTTCGCTATCCTTGGAACTCCAGCCCCTCCAAACCCTTTAGCGAGGCGAAGCCAACACCTGGGCAGGAAGCGCAGGACCGAGTATCCGCCATCTTGGTCAGGAGTCATCTGTTGTTATAGGTGTTGCGTTCCAGTCTCGAACCAGCCTTGCATGTCCATACCGGAGCACAGAGGAACTCTTGTCCAGGGGATCATGCTCCGAACTCCTTAGTTCGCTACCAGGCAGGGCGCCAAACATCTTCCATCTCTCCCTCCGACGCTGTTTAAGAAGCTCGCGCCCAGTCTCAAACATCTTGAATCTCGTGTCCTGACACCGGATATCCGCACAGGCCACTGGTTCTTGTGACGATCCCTCCGACATCATGGTGATTTCAGGCCTCTTGTCGGCCTTGCTTGAGCGAGACGCTGCCGACCCTACAACTCATTACAAGAACGAGTCCAACGCCGGCAGCCTACTCGCCCTTCATGGCACCCTTTGTGGTATCGCACTCCTCACGGTTATACTGAGACTCTATGTCAGGATATTCATGCTCAAAGGCGTGGGCGCCGATGACTATGTCATGGTCGCAGCAGCGGTCAGTTCTTCAACTTCTTCCTTGAGGGCACACGCACTGACTCCCGTCGATATACAGGTTTGCTCGGTCGGAGTCATCATCTGCTTCTCTGGAGAAGCTGCCGCAGGTATCCTAGGTCGACATCCGGCCCTCGCGGCTCCCGCAGATTACTCCAAATTCATGCATTGGCGGTATTTCCATTCACTCATCGTTATGTTCGGAATCAGTCTGGTCAAGATTTCCATCGCCTGCTTTCTGCGCCGATTCGTGCCGACCAAGGGGTACCAACGTTTTCTGATGGGCTCGATCGTGTTTCTGGTTGCATTTACCCTCTCATGCGCAGGAACTTTGATCTTCAATTGCGGCGCCACGGTCTCTGCAAATTGGAATTTCGACTTGCGGACCTCGGGGAAAGCCAAGTGTTTCAGCAACAACACTTTCACCAACATTGGCATTTTCAACAGCAGTATCAACATTGCCACGGACGTTCTCTTTGCGCTTCTTCCTGTGCCGGTCGTTTGGAAATTGCAGACCAATCTACGTACCAAGGTCACACTGGTCACCATTCTAGGCCTCGGTCTCTTTGCCTGCGTTGCAAGTATCATCAAGGCAGTCAAGCAAGCTGGGGCGCTGAAGGACCCTGACTGGACCTTCCATGACTCCTTCTTTATGTGGAACAATATTGAGTTCCATGTCGGGATTCTGGCTGCGTCCTTGCCTTCGCTTCGGCCTTTGTTCGTGAAAATCCTCGGGGCCACCCAGAGATTGACTTCAAGCGGCAATCGCAATCCACAGAACTACGGCGGCTACGATGCAGATGGGCTGGCGTACGGCAAGGGGAGATCGACCGTGCGGAACAGCCGCAATCCAGCCCGACAGTACTACCAATTCGGCTCACGCCATTCAACAGAGTTGGGAGATCTTGGGCGTGGTGCTAGCGGACGTGCGTTTAGAGAAGATCCCGACAAGGCCACAGGTGTAATCAGCACGGTCACGGCGGGAGACGACGACAGCGACAAGGTCATGCTCGACCAAGATTTTCACGCCGTCGGACATGACAAGCAGTGGGCGAAACCTACGGGGACGGGCATCACGAAGACGACAACAGTCCAAATCGACCAATACTAGGTTTTGACGGAGCGGGTGCAGCCAGTTACCCTATTACGATCGCGATACAGTCACGAGAAAAGGCTGGAACGATGGATTTCGGACGCATTGGGTTATGCTACCTAATTCATCCTGATTTGGGAAGATCAGTCGAATTTCTCTCATACCAGGACCTCTGTACAGATGTTTCTACCGTTAACGCTCCGTTGGGGGACCCAGCTATCTACGGGCACAGTCTGTGATGCTGAGCTGTACATATTGATATATACCCCCTACAGGCAATCGCCGTAGCCGGGAGAAGACCATGAGAACACGATGTCCGCTTATGCGAAACCACATGTACAACGAGGCCCCAAGACCGAGCTTCGTTGTGCTTCCAGAGGGCGCAACCTGCCGGCAGGATATGGCTGCATGTTGGTGCGACCGTGGACAGCCGAAGTCAGTGGTGTGGCAAACATTTGAATGCATACAACTTCCTATGTGCAGTACTCTGTACATTGTTTTGCATAAGAAACGCGTGCCGGTACTGCCGGGTTCCATCTCAGTCGGCAGGGACCGGGATAAGCGTCGCTGGTCCGATTCTGTGCCTGGGGGTGTTGACATCAAACTGGCCCTAGACTGGCTCGAACTCCAAGTACCAAATACCCGAAACCGTCATGTGGCGGCAGCTTGGCTGGTGCATCAAGCAATAGTATTTCGGCACAGAACGCCTCCTACGCCCTCCAGACTTGATTTTCGATGCGTGGCGCGAGGCTGATATATGCATGCATGCACACACTGGATATGGATTTTGTAACCAAACACGCTGCTGGATTGATCTTCACCATTCTATCTCGTTTTTTCATTGTTCTCAATAAGACTGAGCGCTTCTTAGGTACTGTATCCGTGCAATGGGTCCCAGACCAACCTCCGCTCGGGGGTGGAGCAACACCTCCAGCGGTCTTTTGTCAAGGAACGGTTCAAGTGTCGGTGGGTACACTACTGCTTGTCAGGTAGCATCAGGGGTCATCAGCCCCTCCCTATGCTGAGTGCTACCCCCGGCTGACTGACCATGGCATTCATGCCCCTTGGTCCTTGGATGGTGTCATGTCAAACCTTGCGCCTTTCGTGTGTCAGCTAACTACATGTACGGAGTACAGACTCCAGAGCAGTTCTCGAGAACATCACCATCCACTTTCTACACACAAGTCTCAAGTTTGAGTTTCCGGGTGTCGAACCGTTCCGACCGGCCACGTCAAAGTCTATCTATTACAATAAGTTTAATGTGGAGCCTGGACACTGAATTTACAGTGCACTACTTTCCCACGGCTGTCTTCATGCATGCAGGGGTTTCAAGGGTCAACTTCGCTTATGGCCTCGCCGCAGCGACCCTACGCTATCTAGTATCTATTAGCAGAAATCACCATCCGACGTTGGTACAGCAGATAGACTCGGGACTTGACCAAATTGAAGTGGTGGCTCCATACGCCAACAACCACAACCACAACCACAACAACCACAACTACGATGTTCAAGCCCACGTGGAATCGCCGACCGACTGGTCACTGCCTCAGTCACCACATGGTGCTTCTTCCGAGACTAATCATCTTGCGATATTGTCACCCACTTCCGATCACGCAGATTTTGAATGCTAAAAGGACTGCAGGCATGGGCCATGCTCGGCTCCTGGATAGAGAACCATCTACGGAGTACAGAGTGTTCAAACTCCTCTCGGGTCTCTAGTGCACCATCACCATGGTTTCCGTCTCCTTACAAAGATAGGAGACAAGTCACCTACTTTATCTCCCGACCCCGCCCTTCCCAATCGAGGTTTGCAACATGCACCCACAGGCTTAGGCCATGAGCCTTAGCCCCCACATCCAGAGTCGGCACGACGAACTGGTGGAGGATTTCGACACCCAATGTTGCTTCCCTGGAGTGATACATAGCTCAAGTGAGCTTTCACTTTCTCCCTAAATGGCAGTTTGTGTCTTGAATTCAGTTGGGCTTCGATGTCAATGATGGATGGTCCCGCATGGCCAGCAGCTGTGCAATTCTGACCCGACATTCTGTTTATCACCAGCCTTCTCTCCTCAGCGTTGCCAAAGTCGGAAGAATCCATTTATGACAAGACGACGGCCACATCACTAATCACTAACGACACAAGCTAGCACTAACACCTGAATCTATGGTACGGTTCTACCAGGCCCAGGCAATCACGCCACCCACGTGTGCTCTGTGAGAAGAACAATTTATTTAAGCCAGCTCTGCAACGGGCACGAATATGGAGACAGTACCACAGAGGACTAGTATAACACGGGTATCCGGGACGACATTCCGTCTCTCCTACTCTTGCGGTCGCTGCATGATTCTTCACAAACGAGACAAATATGCGAACAGAGTGTTGATGAGAACTCTGTACGGATACTCTATACATGTACAGATACTCTGTGAGGGTTGGAGTCTGTACGGATTTCTCTTGTTGCCACCAATTCCCAACCTGCCTGTCTTGCTCCTTCAAGGAACCAACGCTCACTCCACAAGTGGTCTCGGACTGTTGATAGCAACTTTACTATAACGACCCACCACTGCTTCCTACATACTACCACCGCTACCACCACCGCCACTACTACGTACCACCTTGGTGCCCTCATCTTTCCCGGCACACCCTGCACCTTCTCTCCTGATAACCACGGCCACTCCGAGCCCCGGAGGTCTGGTAACGAGGGAGGGACAAACACGGTGAGACACTATCGCCAGGATGCCGGCCGGGACTAATCATCAAAACCAAATCTCACTGCAAAAGGCGATGCCAACCAAGCCCCGTACCCTTAAGGGGTAGAGTGGGAGCTGAGGCAAATTACCATCTTAGCTGGTGATTTGTTCGCTATGCATTGCATGCATGCCACGTGGTGATGTGTTGATGTGTTTGGCTCAGGTGGGCATTTCTTGAAGGACGGAGACAATCTTTGCGAACATGAAAGACTTGCTTCCTGATTGAATAGTGACCATAGTGTTTGTCGCGGACCCACGTTGAATCTACCGTACGGATGGACCTGAAGCCAGGGGTATAGGCCAGATGCGCAGGGCATCAATGGTGGCCAGCATGATCTGCCGGTGCTTCCAGTCCTCCCAGATCTCCATTCGAATCCTGCCATGCCATCCGTATCCGTACGTGTGGCGACCAGGTCGACGTTGTCACTCTCTCCGGTGTTCGCGTTCGTGGGGTTCTTCTGGGGTTCTGAACCCGAACCTGAATCCGAATCTTGATCAACACCCTCCCTCGCAAACTTCCACTTCCGCTCCGCAACCAAATCATACACCTCGGCAGATCCGTCGCCGCTCGTAAAGACGACGTCGTCACCTTACGCCCGCGATCTGCAAAGCGGACGACACCCGTTTCCAGCATACGAGGACGAGGCATGAAGCGACGCCGCTGCTCATCGATGTTTCCCTTCCCGTTTCCTTTTCGGCGACATCACCATCCACGCCAAGTTGACGTTCTTGAATCAGCCGGTGGTCAGCCTGCGTCTCCAGGTCGAAAAGGAGCAATCTTGCGCCGTGGTGTCCGCCTACACAGAGGAGATGATGGCTGTCGTCGGTGAGATGGCAATCGAGTGCCCGACACCAGCGTTTGCCGCTATCGTGCGTGAAGAGAGTGGCGCCATGGACGAGATTGTAGACATGGATGGTGCTGTCGCCGCATATCACAAAGAAGTGCGAGAAACTGCCGGTCCAGTTCTGGCCGGAGGTCTCGAATTGGAATCAGAGCTTGAGCTTGATATTCAGCTTGAGTGGCGGTTCAGAAGCAGAATTGCCTGTCAGATCCGGATCCGGATTCTGATATGGCACGAGGCCGTCTTCGTCTTCAGGGATCCACGTCCAAATGCGCACGGTCTTGTCCCAGGATCCGGAGCCGATGAGGGTTGTCTGCGTTGAATCCGGTCCAGACGACCGAGTCAGTGTGGCCGACTAGGGTGGCTAGGTCTTGGGGGCCGCCGTCGAGTGTACCCTGATCCCTGATAGCCTATCTGTCGTCTATGTCGTTCGAACGAGGCCGGTCACCAGGCAGGTAGGTATAGCATCCATTTGCCTCAGGGGCTGAATGGAATGGCTTGCTTGGACGGGAAGGACGTGACGAGTCGGCGTGTATGACCGCTGCCACATTTACATTTACATTGTTGCAGGTTATGTGTTTCCCGTTGTCTATGGGTATGGTGGGAGCCCCGACTATATAGGTAGGTGTGCCTATACTAGGCTTCTGGTTGAAGGGCAAGGCCAGGATTGCCTAAGTTTGACACATTCACATTCGACGCACCGGGACCTCCATTGAAGCTCATTTATGCAGCTCGTCCCCCATCAAAGCTCAATTCATGCAGTTTGTCCCCCATCGACGATACCAGCCATCGAATCAATTTAGGCAACTCGTCCCCCGTCGACAGTACCAGCCATCGTATCAATTTATCCAGCTCGTCCCCCATGTGAAGCGTGTTGAAGGAACCCTCTCACCCGAAGGGAGGAGGTCAGGAAAATTCCTCTCCTTGTCTGACGAATCTCCGTGATCCGGGTACAATTGAATTGTCTGAATTGTCTGCTGGAGCAGCCCACCTTCTCTTTCTCTTCCTCTTTCTCTTTCGGCCAAAAAAGACGCCTGAAGCTGCTTGTGTGTGGTTGGTACTGAGCGGCTCAGGAGTGAGGGCTTAGGCTTGAGGCTCTCTTTACAAGCAATCACAATGGCAATGGCAATCGGAATCGCAATCCGGGCCTGGGCATCTATAAGCAATGGCAATGGCAATGGCAATCCGGGCCTGAGCATCTATAAGCAATCTATAAGCAATCCGGACCAGATAGAAATTGCGAGTCCATCTTCCCTCAGTGCAGTGCAGGTGGCTCAATCATTCTCGCGTAGATTGACATGATGGCTGGCTGCCTGCCTATCCGTGTCCCCGATGTCGGTGGGTATACAGTATACAATATAGTGATCACATATATGCCTTCCTTCCTTGTGTGATCGTCGCCCAAGCCACCACGACGACCACCAAGAAGCCTAAATCTCGTCATCCTCCTATCATAACTTGACCAGTTTTATCACAGATGATTCCTAATACGCAGAGTTGAACCCAGTAGGCGATATTGATGCTGATATTGACGCTGAGACCAGCGAGACTCATCGTGCAAATCCACAACAAAGACTTCAGCATAACAAGGTACTCTGTACTGTCAAACTCAGGCATTCCCAGCCTTGCCCTATAGCCACAAGGCTGGTTTAGGCGTACTCTACTACTGTATATAGCATGCGCTCCCCCTGCAACCCTTTGACTTTGATAGAGAACATGGAACATTTCGACCTTTGACAGGTACACTGCTGTACAGAGTACGGATATACCACACCAAAAACTCGTATCGACTCTGTTCTTACTCTACGTGGAATGTGATCTGGTCATGACTTCCTATTTCGTCGCCATCATGTCACTGCAGATTGTTTGCGTACCATCGTACACCGCTCTCGGTGTCTACATTCAATTCCAACCATGCCCATGGCTTCCAACACCCCTCAAGACTTTACAGGCTCGCCTGCAATATGTCCTGGCCCCCTTGAATATCGGACTTGGAAGGCAACTTGCCATGCCTCATCAACTCGGCTGACTTGGTCATGATGGGATCCATCATCATGCTGGCCACCGCGACGATCTGGTCGCCCTTGGCATAGTACGCCGCAAACTTGCCGTTCTCCGGCTCACCCTTGATGACGAGGTCATCCCAGCCAATCGCTCCCGAACCGCAGTACCGCAGCTGGCTGCCCAGAGCTGACCAAAAGATAGGGATGAACGGTTTGGGCTTGCTTGATGGCTGCGCGATGAGCTGGCCCACGGTCCGGCCCTGGTTCTGTGCCACATTCCAATGCTCGATCCGCACAGGTGCTCCGTTCCCGCCGGGTCCGTGATAGGGGTACGTCGCGATATCTCCGATCGCCCAAACGTCCTTAAGCCCTTTGACGGCAAACTTCTCGTCTACGTCCAAACTTCCGTCTTTCAGCAACTGCACACTCGGGTTGTCGCGCAGGTACTCCGTCGCAGGGGCGACACCAATGCCCAGAATCACCAGATCCGCTTGCAGCTCTGTCCCGTCCTTCAACTTGATGGCACCCACAGAGTCCGCGGATGTTGAGGACGGGATGGCCGAGTCGACACCGGCGTTCAGGTAGAATTTTGCCCCGTTCTTCTCGAGTGACCGCTGGAAGATCTGCCCGACTTCTTTTCCCATGACACGTTCCAGCGGGGCAGACTCCATGCCAACGACGGTCACCGAATTCTCCTTGGCAAGGGCATTGGCGACTTCCATGCCAATGAAGCTAGAGCCGATAATGACAATGTTTTTGCCCTTGTCGCCCACAGCCTTGACGATCGCTTGTGTATCGCTGACCTTGCGCAGGAGGAAGATGTTCGAGAGGTCCTTGAACCCCGGAAGAGGTAGCTGTTTAGGCGTACCGCCGCTGGCGAGGATGAGTTTGGTGTAGGGAAACGACTTGCCGGTTTTGGTCTTGACGGTCTTCCCATCAAAATCGACGGCGGTGACGGTGTCCGGGAAGAACTCGATCGAGCCCTCGGCGTACCATTCTTCAGGCTGGAGGTAAATCTTCGAGGCGTCTGTGATGAGGGCTTTGGAGAGTTTCGGCCGATCAATAGGGTAGCCTTCGTCCGTGATCACGGTGATCTGGCCTGGGTAACCCAGTTCACGGAGTTTGAGGAGAGCACCGAATGTGCCGGAGCCCCTTGAGTTCTGTCAGCATGTGTTTTCCTGCCAGTCTGGCCCAAGTCGTCCAAACGTACCCTCCAACAATGACCACTTTGTCCGAAGAGGTGGGCTTCGTCTTGATGTTGACCTTTCTTTGGCCGCCCTTGATGTCCGACTGCTTGCCTCTGACATATACGCCGTCCTCTTTCTCGAACACGTCAAACTTGTTCAGGGCATTAGGTGCCGGGGAGTCCTCGACGTCGCCGGACTTGACGTTGAAACATGCTGTCCATCGATCAGCGTTGCACAGAAAAAATGACCGGTACAGTACAGGGCCACACATACCTCCATGCCATGGACAAGTCAGGCGGCCCTCGGGGGTGAGCACCCCATTCTTCAAGGGAGCGCCGTAGTGTGTGCAGTTGGCGTTGAGGGCTGATATTTCGTTCCCAACCCTGACGAGGAGGACTTTGCCGCCTTCGATGCCCTCGACCTCTGCCTCGACCTTATCTAAATCTTTCAGGTCGAGATTTGACACTCCTTTGAGCTTGAACTCTTGAGCCATTCTGGCGTGGTATTGCGAGAACGGTCTGGCGAGGGACGCTGCTACAGACTGGGGACTGGGTGGGACTGGGACGGTGGACGACGATAGGAAGAATGGTCTACAATAAGAAGATACGGCGAATAAGCGGGCAGTCGACCTGGCAAACATGAAAACACGTCGTTAGGGAGAGGAGAGATGGCGGGAGTGGGAGTCAGTGTTTATGGCCTGGCTGCTAGAAGATGGCCGAAGAACGAGGACATGATTATTACCAGTGGTAGCCAGCCCCTCCAGGTAAGGCGCCTTTAGTACGCGGGATACAAGTAGTCTACGCAGGTGAGGTGACAGGAGGATGGAGCATTTCATGGTGAGCGCACAGCAACGCGTTGCGTCATGAGCACCAGGTGCTGATGTAGAGGCCAGCCAATGGCGAGCCCGCGATTGTTAACCCGTCAATGGACTCATCATTGACCCATCAGGCCTGCGGCTGCGGTTACAAGTATAGACACAGTGACAACACCGGCAGCCAGCATCCAGCAGCCAGCAGCCATTCCACTACTAGGACTGACTTAATGGCGGGTCTGACCCTGCCCTGATTGAAAAGCCTCTACTCCGTATACATTCATTAATCTCATCCTCCATCCTCACACCGTTTGGCCCCGTCAGTAAGCCACTCGATGCCGCTGACTCGGCGTTGGCCCGGACAGCCTTGAAGCGACACTGCCCTCGCGACTTCGTGCTAGTGCCCCGCTCATCAACAAGCCTGTATCTCCTCCTCGATCTCCAGGCGTTTGAGAGCGGCTGCGCTGTTGAGCTAGTTCAAACTTGGCCCTTTCATCATCGGCCACGCGCCGCTCCGCCGCCTCATCCAACAGCGTCCCCTCAATCTGCAAAGACCATTTGTGCCGGTCGTGGGAAGGGACCACTTCTGTGTCGACCACCCTGAATTTCTGCGTTGGCAGGACCTTGGAGCCATGGGCATCGACAAAGAAGCCAACCTCGTCGATTTGCACTTGGGAGGAGGCGGCAGGGCCAGCGTCCCAGTCTCCATTCTGCGCCGCGATCTCGTCCTCCGGTGTCTGGCTTGGAGAATCATCCTCATCGCGGAGTCTGCCCTTCTTGCTTTTCTTTTTGGTCTTCGAAGTATCTTCCCTGCTGGGTCCGTTCCATATCCAGTCCTGGGGGATCCTGTTCTTGGCCACGGCCGTCTGGAAATAGTTGTAGCTTACCAAACCCACGAACCCTTCCGATGTGACATTGGTCCATCCGTACAGCTCATCCCCCCGTTCTGGTCGGAACACTAGAAATGTGGCAGTAAGCCAGACCCAGCAGACCCCAAATTCGTCGGCTGTCTTTGCCAGCACCTCCGCCCGAGGCATGACATCGCCGTTCGAGGGAGGGACGAGAGGTAGGTTGATGCCGGTATCAGGGTTCGTGGACAGAACAGGGTCGGAAAATCCAAGAACTATGCCTTGCGCGGGAGGGGAATATGTGAGCAGCAGTGGCGCTAAGTGTGTAGCAAGTAATGAAGGGCTGCCCGCTTCCAGCCCGATCGCAGGAATTGCTAAATGAAGGGACAAGCGGGTAGAATGAAAAGACGTCGGGTCGGCCGAATCTAGCAGATCTGCTACCATTTCTGATTCCATGACTGCGCCATCTTCACCATTGACAGCTGGCGAGGAGGTTGCAGGCTGCACTGCGGCGGTAGGCTCTGTTTCAGGGGACGGTGCATCGGCCACCTCAATATCCTCTGGCTCGGAGGACTTCGCGCTCCTCTGGTCGGGTACTTTCTCCAAGTCATGCTTCCCGTTTTTGTGCCTGGACACTTTTTCCTTGTCTTTGTCTTTCCCCTTCTTCTTTTTCTTCTTAGATTCTGCTGCCAAAGCTTGTGCCGGTGCAGCGACCGCAGCCGCACTCTCTGTGTCTGTGGGTGGTGGTTCTGTTCGCAGCTTCTTTTTCTTTTTCGACGATTCTTTTTCTTCGGCTCCGTGTTTTCGTTTCTTGGGCGTGGTCAGAGACTCGACCTTCTTGGAGGCCGACACATGTGTGCCGTCAGTCTGGATCGACATTTTTGTCTGTCGAGAGAAGCAATTGGCAAAGCAAACCAGCTGCAGTCCATACCAAGCGTTTCAAACTCGTTGAAGGTCGAGTCGCTGGCGCTACAAAATTTCTCGAGCCACGGCGGGTTGTCGGAGAGCCGGGGGCAGTTTCGCCGACACCGGCTTGGCGACGAGGCTGGCCTTTAGTTCCGTAATCGCGGGTTCAGCCTTGCGCTTTCACATGGCCCTTGTCATCTACAGCAATCTTTCTCAGATCGAAACTACATGGTTGTAGATATTGGAAGGCCTATTCCATGCTTATGACTAGTGGACGCCGAGCATCCCCTCGTTGTCTCGGGACGTTTTGAACTGAGATGTCCTCACCCGAAAGAATGGATTGTAGCACGATAAACTTTTTTCACCCAGACAGCCTCTTAAAGGGCCGCCACACATTTGCAATAATGAGAAGTTCGATCAGATCATTCTGCTCGATATTCATCTGGTTCGAAAGCAAGTATGATAGCGCCCGGTAACTGGGGAGACAAAACTAGATACATATAGCATATGAGAAACCGTGCTATGTCGCTCCAAGCACCTTCTCAAACTCCCTGTCGCCCGATGCTACTAGAGCAACATCATGTCTCACTGCCAAACCTCGGGGTCGCATTGCGCCCCTACCTTTATCAATGGCTACATTCGAGATGTATATTTCCAGCACCACTTTCCCCAAGTCGGCATAACTCCCTCCCATAACACGCTCAGGAGACCTCTCTGGCCCATGACAGATAGCTGCTAGCTCGGGATGAATAAACTGGGCCTCTCGAGGACAGAAGAACGCCTTCGAGCCCTGCATAGCTTGCGAACGCCTGGTGTCAGATCGTCCAGTCATCGGACGTCACCTCTCTCAGGCCATGGATATGCGCCCCGGCTACGTGGGTCCACGATGATTGCTTCGTCTCAACCATTCACGATGCGAACAAGGACCGAAGATTCACAAAGGCGGCAGGGCCACCCTCCTGGGCAAGTACATCGACCAATGCTTCGGTCTGTTTCCATGTCGTCTCCAATGCAGCGGAAGGCGATCGTCCAAGAGAAACTGTTGTAGGTCAGCGTGGATTTTGTAGTCCCAGAGTGGGTGATCATACCCAGAATGGCAGAGTTAAGCTCTTCTGCGACATTTACTCTCCCAGAAGCGTCCAGAAGGTGCCCATGAATACTAACCGTAGGGTCGGTATAGGCCATCAGGCTGAATATGTCTTGCAGGCTCTTTGCATACTCGCCATCATCTTCTCGGTACTCTCGCTGTAGTTCCTGGCCATATTGCATTGCTTCGTTGAGCAGTTGGTTGTATTGTAGCGCAGCATCGTCGGCTGATGGGTTATCTAGACCATTAGCCTCGTCCTCGCCGTCATGGCGCTCGTCAAGTTCCATGTCTTGAGAAAAGTCCGCGTCAACTGCCGATGAACCATCAGATCCATTACTTGGTTTAGGGTCTTGCTCGTGCCGCGACTTCCGAGCGTTCAATTCGGTAGTCTTGCTGATTAGCTCGACCCACTTTCGACATTTCAGACGGAACACGATGTCCGGGTTCTCTGCAAGTACACTGGGAAAATGGGTGTGGGTGACTTCAAGTGCTTCGTCAATGTCCCCTGAGAGGATGGCTCGTCGTATCCCTGTTCTTTAATCAACAATGAACAAGGCGTGGCGGGGGTAGCTTACGTTGCCGATAAACAGCGTCACTGTCATCCCGCTCTGGTGAGACTGGTGTTGTCGCTGGGAGGGTATTGGTCAAAGACTCTTTCTCTGTTCGAAGATCCTCCGCGAATGCTTTCGCCGTCTCGACGTAACCATCATGGGCCAAAAACTGCGCCACCAATTCTTGCACAAGAGTATTCTCGTCCCGCTGCAGCCGTAACGGGGAAACTCTTGATTTAATAATGTCTCTTGACACCTGGGTCTGCTCCAAAAGCATCTTTTCGTCAATGTCGAAGACGAAAGGTCGTTCGCCAAAGTTCGCCGACACCCATGCCCCTGTATGCTTCTTCATCCCAACAATTGGAAATGGTCTAAGAACCTTTTTCAGCTCTCGAAAGCAAATCCCAAGATCCTGTCCATTTCTGGTGAAAAAGGCGTAGCCGGCATTGAAGTTGATACCACAGCCAATAACATCGCCAGTACCAAATGTTGGGCCATAATTTCGTCCTGAATGTTCCCCGAAGAACATTTTCCCGTCGTCGCCATGGTAGCCCCATGAGTGTGTCTCCCAGCCAGGTAGCCGTTCCAGTGAAGCCTCCGCAGTAGAAAAGCCAATCGCGATAGCGGTATCTTTGTTCTTGTTTTTGATTTCCACCTCGAAATAATAGATTCCACATGCAGGTGACATTGGATAATCCGCCCGGACGGATGCCGCTTCAATATCAGCCTTGCTTCCTGAGCCACTGTATTTCACATCTCGGTCATCGTTGGAGAGTTCAAGCCCAGGATATCGGTCTTGCTCGTTCCACCGAGAAGGCAAAGGCATCAGTTGCTCATCCTCCTTCGGGGGATTGCTCTCGATTATGTCGTAGGTCATGCCACGGTGGGACGGCGCTATACGATGGGTATTTGTGCTTCCAGTACTAGTGGAAAGTGAATTCATCGCAGACGATCCTGACGCGGGCTGTTCCCGGTTTCTCTTCATCTTGGCTTTTTGTGCAGCTTCAAGATTCGCGGCATATCTGGAGTGGCGGAGATAGGATGGTATGAAGAATGGATTCGGAGGCATAATGCTCGTTCCTAAAGCCGGAATGTTTGCAAATTTCCTCGAAAACGACGGTAGAGATGGCGGCTTTCGCTGATATACACCGGAAGGAGAGTCGTGCTCTTGTCCCGAGTGTCGCCTTTGGTATTGAGGATGTGCTGGGTGTTGTGGTGGATTAGAGCTGCTGGGTGTCGAACTGACGAGATGAGAAAGAGCTCCCGCTCGCGTTGGATGGGATGTATTCTGAGACGTTGCGCCTGATGCCACAGAAGCGTACGACAAGCGTCGGGGGACATTGGGTGGGTACTGAATTGGCCGGCTGGTGCTGCCGGATCCTGTGCCGTCGGTCATTTTCGATCGGTTTCGGAGAGGTGCTGTATGGGATATAGATCAGAGGTCTCGTGGAGGAGGACGAGCGGTTGGGGAGGTTGGTCACAAGGAAGTACTCGGCAAGGTTGTCAGGTCGTTGAGGTTTGGACAGGGATCGGAGGCTTATCTCAATGCGCCGTGTTCATCTCGACATACATGGTGATCAACGGTGAGAAACGCAGAGTGCTCTGCCCGGGTAGAAGAGAGTAGTTGCGAGACCACGTCGATGTTGTTATCATGCCGATATGGATGGTGTTGATGCAATGTTAGGTGCCTGTGGTGGTCATTATGGGGGCGGCATTCGGGTGCAGGTCGTCCACTTGCGGGGGGACCTGATCAGACCCTCGTCGGGCCAAGGCGCCACCCATACTGCATGACTACGGAGCGCTACTACTCGGTAGAGTCCGGCCAGAAGATCAATATCATGCACAATGCAAAGACAACACAAATTCACAGAAGTAGTACTAGGTTCTGCAATAACTGGAGAGGCAGAGCGGCAATTAAGAACATCAAAATGGAAGTGTACTACTACGCAATTGAAACTTCCGCAGTCATTGGATTATGGAGTCGTACATAACATGGGCAGTGACATCGCCTCCGTGTGATCGAGGATCTCGAGGTATCTCGAGCGACGCAGAACTCGACCCAGCGCTGGTGACACTTGCTCCCTGGTGAAAGATAACCTCCATCCCATTTCCCATAAAAACCGTTTGACATCATTTTTGACCGCACCAGTGTTTGTCTGAGAGAATTCCTTTGGCCCATAAACGCCGTGCTGAATCGATACTGTTGTCGCATAAGCGGCAACTCACTTCGTTGGAGGTCCGTACCGCTCTCCATTATGCTTGTATGGAAGCTCCGATATGAGATGCAGCTTTTGCTTTTCAGAAGCCATATGCTCCTCGCTGGACGAGTCCGCGGTTCTGTCCATGGCTCATAAAAACAGTGAAAGGTTGCCAGATATTTCATTCCTAGCCTTGCGCTGCGATGGCCGACGATTGTGGCATGGGAGCTGGAGAACTTGGTGCGGGTGTGGACATGGCTATCGCGTCGGTCTGGTCACCAGCATTGCTATCCATGGCGGTGTCGCTCTCATTTAATTTGATGTCGCTGCTACTCAACTGCGAGATGTCTTTAGTGTCACTTGATTCTTCGCCGTTCAGCAGTGCCAGTCGCTCGTTGCCCTTCCACGAGGGAACTTCCCAAACAACACCAGTGAAGCTCTTCAACGAGAACGGCTTCTTGGCCCACTTGCGGCAGGGCTTGCCTGATCTGTCCAGAGCACGAAGGCCTGCGTTGATAGCGCCTTGATTTGCTTTGGGTCCTAACTTGTGACCACCGAGGGCCGTGGCTGTAGTGACTGCACCTTTCATGGCGGTGTGATCAATGGTACCGTCCTCCCTAGAACGAGTCAGTATACTATAGGGCGCAAGGACAGCAAGGGCATGCTGAATATCGGAAGGGACGTACAGTCTTGGTTTCTTCTTAGGACCGGGCTTTCCGCGTGGCTTTGGTAGTCCACCAGAATCTATCATTTGTGCCAGACTTCTCTTGGATCCTGTTGAAGCGCCTTTCTTCTTTTTTGGCCCATCTGTAGCGGCTAGGTCGGAAGGAGTTGCTGCAGGCGTCGAGTTCGACTCTGAAGCATTGTCAATGAGCTCTGGTACCTTCAAGGTAGAAGCATCTTCGACCAGAGGAGCAGGGGACGAAGCGGTTGATGGTGATGATTGTTGTTCTGATCTGGCTGAAGGATCCTCGAATCGACGCAGGATCTTGGCTGATAACTTGAGTGTGACTATCTTCTCCTGCTTTCTGGTCTTGTCTGCTCGAGAGGTTGAGGTCGACGGCGACCGACCTGCCGTGCTTGAGGACGCCGGGGCCATAGTTGAAGACGGCGAGCGTGTGTAGTTAGGATCGATAGCGAGGTTTGATGCGAAGCAGAGAGTGGATGTTGGTGCAGGCGGCTTGATGAGTGCCTGAGAGAGTTTCTGGTGGCTGAAGCCTGGCGGCTGAAATTATTTCTCAGTGGAGCTGAGGTTTGCGGTATTATTGTGAGTTTGTTAGCAAAGTGGTTTTGGCGATGGTTGGAGGGCGTGGTGATGAGGTGTCATGGTGGACGTGTATAGGGGAAGAGTAATGATGAGGTGGGCGAGGAAGGGGAATGATGAGACAGTGCTGGAGCTGGCGTGTGATTGTGTGGCCGGATCATTCTGGCAGTTTGTGTCGGATGGGATGGCTTGGGATTTGGGTTGGGTTGGGTAAGGTTGGCTCAGATCAGATCAGATTCTGAGGGCGGACGCAGGAAGCAGAGCGTGTGAAGGGGTCAGCGCAGGTCAGTGTGACGGGTTACGGAGGGCGGAGATGGCGACAGACAAAGGCGGCGAGAGCTGCGGACGGTTCTGGGCCTGCCGCACTCAGCTAGGGCCGGGTTAGCTCCAGACTAGTACAAATTAGAAAGCTAGTGTGATGTTCTGCCTTGGCTGCGCTCGCATTGTTACGGCACAGTACGTGGATTATCGCCGCGTCAGACCTATGAGGTCTTTCTTCTCTGATGCCCATCTCACTGAGCTGACAGTCTGACCGGGTGCGACGATATCCTGTCGTACCAGTCACGACAAGCACCGAATTCGCTACCTGCGTCCTGCGCTCACCACTCATACCTCATCATCCACGGGCCCCTTTTCTGTTTCTGCCTGTCGCCGCTTGTACCGAGAATTTTAGTCAGGAGCAAAACCTGCACCTCCCAGCCGCCGTCGCTAAGTCTGTCAGTGGTCAATCACTGGCGAGGTCACTACTACCGCACTCACCGACAGCTACGAGAAGCCGTCTGATATGCTGTTGGATGAATGGCCATGCACCGACGCCTCCACATCTTCATGAGTATCCGTACAGGTTCATCACCCTATTCGGTGGTCTCTGATGCACGCCGCAAAGAGGAGGAGGCTGGATGGGTCTCCAGCATTCCAAAATAAGCCATTCCGCTCGCCGCTTCCAAAAGCCATCAAAGCCCAACCAACGGTAGAAGATGAGCATCTGGGACACACCTCTGAGCTCTCTGGTCAGAAGCTCTCTTCCTCATCTATTGCAACCTCGTCTCCAAATGTTGAACCCAAAGACTCTCGAAAAGAGCGTTCTGTCCTTTCCATCCGGCTCACAAAGTTGCGTCAGTCACTTGACACGGCCCAACAAGCCCTAGAGATCGAGGAGTCAAACCAGGATGCAGAGTTGCGGACCTTGATTGGGAAATGGAGGACTGTCGCCCAAGAGGCCGCAGAAGAGCTCTTTGCTGATGCCAAAGAAAGAGTTCAAGGGATGGGCGGAGTTGTTGCATGGCGGCGACGCATGAAGGAGGATGCACGGCTGTGGACTGACAATCAGGATGAACGAAACCTCTGCCATGGCGATGATAATGAGCAGCTGGAGCACTCCCATAGGAGACTGCCTGGTGAAAACATGCCATCGAGATTGGAATGCTCCCAAGACAGTGAGGAGGATGAAGAGGTAAGTCGAGACGTGTTATTCCAAGTCTCCCTGTGCGCACTAATATGGCATGCACAGTCTTTCACCATGGATATGATGCTTCGACAGATGAACATTGATTTGCGACTCATTGGCTATGATCGGCAGTTCGAGCGGTGGGTGGAGTGAGGGCCCCATTTGATCTAGATGCGCGAAGCACTCAACTACAGTCGATCGACGGTGCTATGGCCCATGGAAGCTGCACCTAAGAAAGCAAGTAACTGACGCTGGCCGCTTCTGTGAACCTTCTGTTGCCAGATGTGCGACTGTCTAATGCCACAGCAGCACCTCTGACATGGTTATATGCTGTGGTCAAACCCCAATCTCACTTGCATGGCGCCCTTCCCCCAGAAGGTCTGGCCGACGAGCTGCATTGAAGATTAGGGATTGGACGGCCAACATGTATTGCACCGCGTTCCTTTGTCCGAAAGTTTGCACGAGTACTCCATCAGAGGGCAAGCCGGGGTTTGAAGAAGCAGCTAGCCAGGGGATGGTAGACTTGTATACAATTATCAGAGTCTAGGTCAGCAACCTTGTGTAAATTCAATCGTCTTCATTCATAAGTGAGACGCTTCTCGGCATCCTTCTGAACCCGTACGCTTCACTGTTCAAGTCACCTTGTATCGTGGTTCATGATACCAACCACATTACGAGAACAAAGTCTCCGTCAAGTTTAGGAACAGTCGTAAATAAGTCCTCATTCTTCCAATACTAAATCTTATTTCATGTAAGCAAGAAGCTCGCCGAGCAGGCGGCCTAGGGTATCAGTACGCCGAGTATTAAAACCAGTCTTTTCCCAGCACCAATTTTACCAGTGGCCCAGAAGATCAATTTCGGCAATTACCAGTCCGACAGTACTCTCGAATGATGTGAAGGCCAAGGGCGGAAAGGTGTATAATACCATGTCACCGGACGTATGACTGGAAGTTCAAGTCCTCTCAATGATTTTATAGCCCGTCATGTCCAGTCATCCGATTGAGGAGGTGTTTGCTGACCGAGTCTTGGGCGGAGTCCAGGTCGACACCCGCGATGGCGTAGAACCCTCATGTCTTGTTCTTGATTATCCCGGATCAGCGCGCACGCGCTTTGTTGTTGCCATTCCATGGGGTTCAAGGGGTTTGCTGTTCCGTTGCGAGAATAGTCCGAATTTTACGCATCTCTCCCCAAAATGGCAAGACAAATCAAGGCTCGTCGTGGACTTTCCCGAGAGATATCCCGAGGATGCAGAAGAAGCTACCCGCTTCAAACGGAGTAGCCTTATTAAGGTGGCACGGGACACTGTCGTCGTCCACGCCCAGCTCAAGGTGGAAGCGTGCACCTGACAGGCTTGCAAAAGAATAGCTCTTGTTTCGTATTGTGGTGCATGAACCCGCGGCGGTGGATAGCTGGTGCACCTTGCTCAGAGCAAACCGAATCTCGGCTCGAAAGTCAAGGAGAACAGGCCCTTTGACGGTATCGTTCGTTTGGTGTCCATCCAGTGCGCTAAATTGATGATCAAGACAAGTGGACAAGTACAGTGTACCGATCATCTCATGACTGGAGGGCGACTCTCCTTGTTCCACACAACCCGACTCTTAACCCACTCAATCGCCTCTTTCACTCCAGTTCCGCGAAGCGCGCTGACCGGCAGAACACGACTGTCTCGAACCATGCCTCCCTTTTCGCCTTCAAACACTTTCCGCACAAACCCCTCCTTGATCCTCACCACTTCCAGACAGTCTTCGCGATCTTGTTTGTTGGCCAGTACCAGTATCGGGATTCCAGCCGTGTCCTCGCTATCGAGCACAGTCTCGAGTACGGCCCTGCACTCATCCAGCCGTCCCTGATGCTGCCCGGACAGCAGCATGGTTGGGGTCATTGGCGTCATTGGCGTCCACGGCGTCTCCGGCTCGTCGGGATCATCCATCTTGTTCAGGAAGCTCTTTTTGCGTCCATGCCAGCCGGGAGTCCTGGGCATATCGTCAAGCTCACCATTCCCCAGGTCTGTGCTGTCAAGCACAAAAACAACCGCATGTGCACTCTTGTAATAACTTGTCCACAGCCTGCGAAGGCTCATCTGGCCCCCGACGTCCCAGATCTTCAAGTACATGTCCGGAAGGTCGATCGTCGCAACGTTCTGGCCCACTGTTGGGACGGTGTTGCCTGCGGTGTCTGAAGGTGGCGCATCGCCTGTTTGGCCCGCGGGGTCGACCGCTGTATTATAGAGCGCTTTGATCTGGGAAAGAAGAGTAGTTTTGCCTGCATTATCGAGGCCGAGTAGGATGATGGAGTATTCTAATATTAGACGTCTCAGCTTCGCCTGGACGATCGATATGTCCTCGATCAAGATTGGCCACGGTCTTACCTGGCTTGCTTGTTGCATAGAGATATAATGATCGTATAAGATGGTACATTTTGGCTCCTGATAGCCTTGCGCAGAAAGGACCGTTTCTAGCAGTAAATCGGGATCAAGGAACCGAAGACGAACAAAACAAGGACGCGACAACAGCCACGTGTATCATCGTTGCAAGGACGCCTCTTGACTGTGTGATATGTCTCCGGGGGCACAACGGAACAGACACATCTAGATGTCTTGTCTCAGCTATTTGAGAGCGTGCCCGGGTTCTGTATATCACGCGGCGTCAGTGGTGTTCAGCCGACGGAAACGACGAGGATTCCCTTGGGAGGTACCTAGGTACACATGGATGTGTATCTGTATCCTCCGTCATTTGATGGTCTGACAGCCGATTTAGATAAACCGCCAATATAGTCGTCCTAGACAAGCAGACCAGGTCATATTTTCGGGGAAGCAGCGTCTGGCTGGTGCATACCTACCTGATATTGTTCACAGAAGGGTATGAGTCAATGCTTTCAGCTTCTGTCCGATGCCCGGAGAGATGCCTATGTCTCATCACTACACCGCAATCATTCCAACACTTTAAAGATAATTTCACGCCAGACATGATCTGGCACTTCAAGAAAGGAGCTAGGCTCCCTACCTATGCAAGTACAATGTCCATTTTCAGATCCTTCAGCACGTCCTGCCACTGGATGTCGACATCCTTTGGCGCAAGGCTCCGTCTCTGCCACAGCTCCATTGCTATATCCTTCGACTTCTCGAGATTCATGAATCCATGTCTCCTCTTGAGCATATACCAAGCCAGCATGCGCTGCTGCAGATCAATGCTTTGACACTCGCACGCAACGACGAAAGGTGGCCACACCAAGGTACACCCGATAGCATCCCCGCCCAGGTCTTCGATGTCCTCCAAGTGCGCCACGGCGAACTTGACCAGCTCTTGCAACTCGTCTGGCGGCCGTCGGCGCACGGTACGCTGGAAATAGATGAGGGAAGCGTAGTAGAAGACATACGCATGATGGCGTGTTAGTGCCTGGCCCCGTGGATCGAGGCCTTCGAGGTCCAGGCTGTCAGGTGTTTGCTCATAGAGCTGTAGCTCGAGTTCGTCCAGGGCCTCAGCGTCTATGCTGAGCTTGGTTGTGGAGAAGCGTTTGATGAGCGAGTTCATCATCACTATGTGTTTCAAAATTGGTCGCGTGAGGCCAAAAAACCGGTCAAGAACGTAGTTCCTTTCGTCGAGGAAGTCCTCGGACTCGACATTGACGGTTGACGGAAGGTTGATGTTGCATAGGGCCGCTATGGCCAAGTAGCCCTGATACACCATAGACGAGCTCTTGTCGCGGTCCCACACTTTGCCTTCAATAGTAGCCAGCCAAGATGCTCCCCCTTGTAGGTGCGTACGCCATTCAGAAGACCGACCCGTGATCATGTCCATGGCCGAGAACATCGTGATAGTCGCGAGAATCGAACCACGCTGATCTTCCGCTTGCCGATGATCATTGATATTGGCCAAGCTGTGGCGCAGGTGCATGATGGCTAGATGGTAGTGCTTCATTGCCAGTGTGAGTGTCTGTGCGTCGCCGTTGAGGAGCTGGCCACGGCTAAATGCCGATGTGGCGCATAGAGCGTGAAACAGGGCGATTGATCCAGTCGATTGGTCCGAGGGTGATGTTAATCCGGCAAGGGCCATAGGCGTGAAGACGCTGCGGAAAGGATTGTCTGGCCGGTCGATGGGGACGAGGTGCCAACACAAAAACGAGGTCCAATGGTGGATCAGTTCACGTTGCTCTGAAGGGCGAGGGAGGAGGTCAAGATGGCGTGATATTCTGGGATGTCCACCATCCGAGGTGCACAGTGCAGTCTCTCTTGGAGACTCGCGGTCGTAGACCGGAGTTGAAGCCCCCAAGAGCGCAGGGGAGATGATCTCTTCTATGTCTTGGTCTTCTTCATCGCTGTATTCCTCCTGGAAACCGATAGAGGGATCACAAAGCGCCCCCGCTTCAGCCGCCGAGTACGAAATGTCGACTTCGTTGCCAGCTTCAACATCAAGCGGAGGACACTGCTTCAACGCAAAAACAGAGAATGGACCTGACGACAACCCCATGGATTGCGTTGACAATCTGTCTATCGTCTCCAGAGCCTCTTGGACATCGATCTGCATGAACCGGGAGTCATCCTCGTAGATTTCCGGCGTACCAATGGCCCGCCTGATGTTCTGTTCTCGCTCCTGAGTATCGGGATCAACCCACACAAGTCTAATCCCGTAACCCTGACAGTCGAATCCGCCCTTCAGACATCTTGTGCACTCCGGTCGGCCCTCGTCACACTTGACATGTCGGTCCCGGCAAGTCCAACATCCAGAAAAGGTCTTTGTGTGTTTGATGGGTTGGCGGGGTTTCGTTCTCCTACGCACACTGGTGGACGATTTCATCTGTAAGTCAAGACCATCTCTTGCTGAGGCGAGGTTTGAAGGTCGCAAGCGTATGGTCCGTCATGGCATTGTTCTTGTCATCGCCGTAGAGAAGGAGTTTGACCGAGCGTGGTGGGTTATCGATGACTTGGTTGGTTGTACGAGGCGACGTTGGCCGGAAGATTGATTTTCCCCGACTGACCCCGCCATATATAGACGCTAGACTCCTTTCGTCGATCATGTCAGTGGTGATCCCGAACCTCCGTGCGCAGGTGGTGGCTCAGCCTCGCAAGGCATCTACATATCTGGATAAGGTAGCCAGATTGATTTCCAACATCCCCAAGTGTCCATGCTGCCCGTCAGCCTCTCTGCATCCTGTGTCCTCGACCGGGCTCCGGCTGCTCTGATGCCTTGTCATTCCTGGATCGATGTCGGTCCACATCCAACTTGATCAGGCCAAATCCAGGTGCTACACAAACCTCGACTTTGTCTCCGGCATCGTCATCCTCAACCTTCCCAACGATGCCACCATCTCTGCCATCACAGCCAAACTCGAGGGCGAGAGTCGAACGCGACTCGCGGGCCCCAAATTCCCCAACAATGAACGCTCGGAGAAGAAGAGAACCGAGCTAGAATATCACAAGGTGGGCAAGAAGGACTATCAACCGCACCGTTGGCTGCGCTCACATCCAAGCAACAGCTCCTGTACAAAGTCGTGACAGTCTTCCCAACGCCAGAGCTTCAGGAGAAGATATCCGGATCCGTCTTTACTCTACATGCTGGACAGTATATCTATCCCTTCAGATTCAAGGTGGGACCGATGCAAGTGTCTGACGCCATGGGCTTCAGCTGACATTGCGCCACAGTTCCCGTTCAACAACGACTGCCAGAAAAATCCCAGTCCTCTCAAGGACCTCAAAGTTGGCCAGCTGAACGTACAGTTCGCCATAGACACGACAAAGCATGTAAAGCGGACGCTACCGCCGTCTCTCAGCGGATTTCCTGGCGAAGCAGAAATAAAGTATTATATCAAGGCGACGGTGGTGCGGCCGAAGTTCTTTCAGGAGAACATTCGATCGGTATGGCAAGTGTGCTGCTGGAAATCCTTTCTAGTCACTAACTCGGGCAGGTGGCCGATGTCAAGTTCCTACCTATCGAACCTCCTCGTCCTCCAGACCGCCACGAAGAGACCTTTGCCCGCCGCAAGAGGCAGTTTCAGCCATACCCGGCTCAGCCACAGAAAAAGGGACTCTTTAAAAAGCCATCTACACCAGTTTCGGCGGAAGAAGAGCCTCCCGCATTACAAGTCGACGTCCGTCTGCCGAGTCCTGCCATCGTCACTTGCAACGAGCCACTTCCTCTTCGGATACTCGTGGAAAAAATCAATGATAGCTCTGCTACTATCTTCCTGAGTATGATGCAGATTGAATTGGTTGGATACACACGGGTGAGGGCTCACGACTTGGAAAGAACTGAAAGCACCACTTGGATCCTGATGTCACGAGCCAATATGAACATGCCGCTCGGTAACCTTGTCGATAAGGGCAAGGGTCGTCGAGAATGGAGATTGCCTTCTTGTTTGTGGGATGATTTCCCCATTCCAAACACTGTTTGCCCGTCTTTCGATACTTGCAACATATCTCGTCGATATGAGCTAGAAGTCCGAGTGGGATTGGCACATGGTATGGCTGATGGAGTGCGGCCAGAGTTGATCGTCCTCCCCCTTCGTCTCCCTGTCTCAGTTTATTCCGGGATTGCTCCTCCTCCCCAGCTTCTCCGAGCCATGGCCAACAATCCTCCCCCACAAACTACGTTCGCGGCGCCTCATTTGTTTCCCCGCCCGTCAGAGAACAGTGGGCCGTCCGCTCCGCCCTTGCTGCCGGACACGCCGCTGGCCACACCGACAACTCCAAATTCTGAGCTGAGCTCCTTCCCGGCTCAAATCGGTTCTTTCAACCCGCAAGACCAGCAAGATATTCCCGACGAAGCGCCTCCGAGTTACGAGGATGCCATGGCGGATGAAATAGCACCTGTGGATGGCCCTAGGCGCGACTATCAAGTTCCAACACAGTCCGGAGAACAACAAAGTGCTTTCAACGCTGACTCTAAACGGACTGGTCTTGGGCGGCGTGTTAGCGAGAGATTATTCCCCAGTAACGGACCCTCTGGTCCTCCCACCAGGACCGTGTCGACACCAAGCATTCTACAAGCAGCGCCATTGGCTGAGAGTGGGGAAGAAGTCTCCCCGAGCTCGCCGACGACAGATGAGATAAGCCGCAATTCTCTGTGGAGGAGAAGTCTTTCCACGAAAAAAGATTAGGATCATTCGCACACCTGCCCCCTCTTAAGTTGAGGCTGGGCCGCTTCTATTATGGCAAGCAAGGCGTTGATCTGGAAGGAATCTTTTTCGTTCTTCTGGGAGATCCAAGATTCATAAAAATAATATTTGGCCCGTCTCATTGTCACGAGAATGTAACAACTGGGAACTTCATCCCGGCCGCGGTCACGTCGGTCACGTGGAGTGACGTCATCCTTGATCGTGAATCTCGTAGCCTGTTTCGATGTTGACACTTGACTCCTTACCGTAGACAGTATATTGGAATCTGTCCTTCACAGTATGCATACAGGTTGGGTTTGAGAGTCCGCTCCCATCCTAAGGACAGAACTTCTCTGGCAATTGCATCCGTCCATTCTAACCACACATGCCGTATCGTCGAGGGATATCTGTGGAGGCTGACCTGCTACAGTAGCAGACGTCATGGAGACCATAAACGACAAGGTGAGAGCTTCCACAAGAGAATCTTATAAGGAGACAAGATATGTCTCCTTATGTCCCTTTTTTACATTCAGCTCGATAGGTGTTCCAGGATATGGTGGCTCCAAGTTCCGTCGATGGCAATCGCTCCTCAGAAGGCATTAATCGGATGGTCGTTAACGTTTGCAGACACCAGGTGCCGGTGGCCATCGAAGCTCAGGCTCAACTTCATTTGAAGCGATTGCGGCGGCTCTTATACCCACCCTTATAACAGCCTGTGCCTTTTTGCTTGCTTTCCTCGCCCTCAGATCGAGGTATCGGAACATCTATGCACCCCGGACATACTTTTGCACGATACCGCATAAGTAAGTCGTGTTCATTGACTGATTTCTCCTGTTGACCTTGACAGGGATCGGACTCCTTCATCTAGCCACGACTCTGTGTCTTGGTATCACGATTATCGGGTCCTGGACGACAAGTTCATACTTCGCCATTCGTCATTGGAGGCATATCTCTTCTTGCGGCACCTGCGCATGATCATTCTCATCTGTGGTGTTGGTTGCTGTTTGACGTGGCCGATCCTTCTTCCAATAAATGCTACCGGAGGGGGTAACTCTTCTCAACTAGACAAGATATCCTTCAGCAATGTCCTAGGTGGCAAGCGGCTGTATGCGCACGCTGTCGTCGCCTGCGTGTTCTTTGGTAAGGCTCGCCGACGGGGCTATAGACATGGACTGATGTTTACTAGGCTTCATCATACTTCTGATCACCAGGGAGAGGTTGTTCGTTGTGGGACTTCGTCAGGCTTACCAAAAGGTGCCCTTGAATGCGACGAGACTATCTTCCCGGGTAGTACTGTATCTATCCGCTCCACCCGAGGCTCTCCGTGAGCAGAATATCCAACGGTATTTTGGAAGGGACGCTGTCCGATCCTGGGTGGTCTCAGATCTCAGCCATCTCGAAAAGGCTGTCAGTAAGAGGGACAAGAAGATTGATAGCCTCGAAGGCTTCGAGCTGCAGCTGCTGAAACAGGCAAACAACAGGAATGGAAATGCTCAAAATGGTCGCGATACAGTGGGAGACAACTCTCATGAATCACCGCAGCCAGATATCGATCGGCACAAACCGAAGTCCAAGTCGAAATACATCTTTGGAGAAGAAATAGACAGTATCGCAAAGTTGCGCGAAGAGCTTCCTGCCCTGATCTCTGATGTGGACCAAGTTCGACAAGCAGACTCTGGTAAGCCGCGGGGAAGGACAGGAGCCATTTTTGTCGAGTTCAAGGACCAGGCCAGCGCCCATCAGGCTTTTCAGCAGGTACAACATTCATCCCCATTATCTCTGCAGCCGAAGTATGTTGGTGTCCTGCCCAAAGAAGTTCTCTGGCAGAATCTCAATCTCGAACCATCGCTGCGGATCACCTATTCCTACATTGCGATCGCAGTCGCCGTTGCCACCATCATTCTCTGGTCTATTCCTGTTGGACTGATTGGAACCATTTCCAACATCAACTATCTCACGGACAAATTTCATTTCCTCCGTTTCATCAACAACCTTCCGGAGGCTGTCCTGGGCCTTCTCACCGGCCTTCTTCCACCATTGCTCCTCAGCACTGTAGTGTCTTATGTGCCATATTTCTTCCAGTATGTGGCACAGAAGTCAGGTCAACCAACGACGACAGAAAGTGCGAAATGGGCTCAGACCTGGTACTTCATTTTCCAAGTCATCCAGGTCTTTCTCGTCACAACCTTCTCGTCAGGTGCGGCGGCATTGGCCAACAGGATCGCGAATGATCCAACCTCACTCCCGAATCTGCTGGCCAAGAATCTACCGAAAGCGTCAAACTTCTATTTGACATACTTCATCATCCAGGGTCTTGGAACAGCATCCAAGAACGTCCTGAACTACTCGGATCTGTTGTCCTATGTATTCTATTACAACATCTTAGCCAAGACACCCCGGCAGAAATTCAACACCTACTCACGGTTGAAGGGAATTAGCTGGTTCACAGTCTATCCCAAGTTCACCAACTTGGCTGTGATCGCAATCGCTTACTCGTGTATCGCTCCGCTCGTCCTCGGATTTGCAGCAGTCGGAATCTTGTTCTTCTACCTTGGCTACCGATACAACCTGCTTTATGTCGTTCAAGTCAAGACCGAGACTCGAGGAGAGTGCTATACAATGGCCCTTCAACATCTAATGACCGGAATCTATCTTGCAGAGCTCTGCCTGATTGGTCTCTTCGGTATCAAACAGGCGGCCGGCCCGGCGACGCTCATGACGGTCTTCTTGGTGATCACCGCCCTTCATCACTTAACAGTGCATAAATACCTCGCTCCTTTAGAGCAGTATATGCCTGTTGATGTCTTGTCGGAGGATGATGAAGAACAACCGCTGTTGAGTGAAGGGGAGGGAGGGAGAGAACCAAGGGCAAACCCTACCGAACAGTCTCGCGTCTACAAATTTGGCGCGGGCAAAGTCCCGGCCATCCTGCTTGACCCTCTGGCTGCCTTCCTGGAGCCGCACCTCTTCGCTTCAGAAGAAGCCCTGCGCCCTTGGTTGCAGGATCCTGAAGCTGAAAGCGAGGAAGGCAATTCGTACCGCGAAGAACAGATCAAGAATGCCTACCTGAACCCAGCCTTGACATCGAAAACGCCAACAGTGTGGTTACCAAGAGATGGGAGAGGCGTCTCCAAACATGAAGTCAGTGAAAACGAAAAGGCTGGTCTGCCTAGCACTGACGAGGGGGCGGAATTGACCCCCTCTAACAAGGTTGTCTGGGATTGTGAGGACTTTGCAAGCGTTCCTATCTTCAAGCAAGCAACGAGATATTAAGTCTCGGCGTCTCCTCTGTCCACCAATCGATTGATTTCATCATGCGTCCTCTGTCTTTCAGTGAATGCTGTTCACCTAGGACGTCGGCGCATAAAGAACCATTGTCGTCCCTTTGGGGAATCCTACCACACTCCTATTCAACTAAGGTACATTAGTATCACCTCTAAGTCTTGGCTTCTGAGGCCCTCGTCGTGACAGGGAAAGCTGATCCGCCAAATCGAGACATCCTAATGCCACTCCTGTCCAAGTGCACAACCAAGTCTTGGCTTGGATGATGGTCGTCGTTGCACGGAAAGATGATAATGCCAAATTGAGAGATCCTTGCACTACTCCTGTCTACTTACCGTAGCGGCCCCCCGGTGCACACCCAAGTGAAAGATCGAGTCGAGATTTGCGGTGTGTCTTGCATGTCCTCGTCGTCGCACTGAAAAGGTGATCCCGCCACATCGGGCAATTCTTCTACCACTTCGATACAAGTGTCACAACCAAGTCTTGGCTGAAAAAGGCCCTCGTCGTCGCATGGAAAGCCGATGCCACCAAATCGAGAGATCCTTATACCACTCCTGTCCCAAGATCCGCACCTAAGGCTTGGCTGGTAAGGCCCTCGTCGTTGCACGGCAAAGTTGATCTTACTGGATTGAGCAATCCTTCTACCAATCTTGTCCAAGTGTCGCGATTGAGTCTTGGCTGAAAAAGGGCCTCGTCGTCGCATAGAAAGCTGATTCTCACGCCAAATCGAGAGAACCTTATACCATTCTTGTCCCTAAGGCTTGGCTGGTATGACCACCGTCGTCGCACGAAAAGCTGATCTCACTGGATCGAGCAATCCTTATACCATTCCTGTCCAAGTGTCCTGACTGAGGCTTGGCTGAAAAGGACCCTCGTCGTCGCACGGAAAGCCCATTGCCACGCCAAATCGAGAGATCCTTATACCAATCCTGTCCAAGTGTCACAACCAAAGCTTGGCTAAAAAGGGCCCTCGTCGTCGCACGGAAAGGTGATTCTCGCGCCAAGTTGGGAGACCCTTATACCACTCCTGTCCAAGTGTCACAACAAAGTCTTGGCTGAAAAGGAGCCTTGTCGTCGCACGGAAAGCTAATTGCTGCGCCAAATTGAGAGATCTTTATACCAATCCTGTCCAAATGTCCTGGCTGAGTCTTGGCTGAAATGATGTCCCGTCGTTGCATCAAGCACCGGATGTGGGAGGTGGATTGCTTGATAGGTCTAGTGTGGGAGAGGTATCCAGGAGAGGTCTCACAGCATGTGCAATGGACATGGCAGGACACCACCGGTCTAGATTGACAATACACTACGGCAGAAACAATCAGTGGTCAACAGATGTCACAGGCAGTGCGGCATAGGACGAGATATAGACAGTCCCACCCATTCTTTATTACGCACCCAACTTCATCACTGTTTGCTCTGAGTAGCATCAGCTACGAAGCAGCCAAGCTGTCCAAGGAGCCTTGGAAGAGTACTCCGTAACTAAGTCATGTATCCGTACAAACAACTCTTCAGCAAGCCATGCTGGCCATTCATTACCACTGCGCTACTTTACTTGAACCGTCGTCTCCAGGAGACTAAAGGGGCTGAGGCTTTCATCTTTAACTACTGATGTCTTCAGGCCAGCAGCAGAGCTTACCGAACAATGCAGTGGTTACAACTAGACAGTCAGTGACAATGCAGTGATTACAACGAGACAGCTAGTGTCGTTGATTTCGAACACAAGAGTTTTTTGGATAAACACAGATGACTGGATGGCAGGTGGTGCGAGACTTTTCATGCCGTGTCCAGTCAGCCTTAGGGCCCGCAAGTCAGCCAGCCCTCGGCTCTGTTCAGCTCTCGCACATTCACACCCTTGAAACTATCACCTGGCGAAGGCTGGCTGAGTCGAGTACCTATCTAGTACGGTAGGTCGGTTGGGGGTTTAAGTCATCTGGATTCTGGATTCTGGATTCTGGATTCTGGATTCTGGATTCCGATGGCGATGGTGATGGTGATGGTGATGCTGTGCTGATGCATATGTGTACACGTGTACAGACACTCATGGCCACAAAGGCCCAATCATCCAACACTCATGCCAACAATGGCCCAATCATCTCCTCAATAACCAACCCAGCCCCAGCCCCTGCGGAGAAGGCGTGTACAGACTTCGGTCAAGACATCATAGCTGGCCGTCCCAAAGTCAGCCGGCAAGGGGAGTCGCCCAAAGCGTTGTGCGGTGACCAACCACCAACCACGAAATATAACTGAGTTTCGTTTCTCCCGCACCGACTCAGCCTCGTATTCACAGCCCCGGAAAGGGACTTCTGAGAACCGTATAGCATGGATGGAAGGGTCTGGACTGGTCTATTTGCTCTGAAGAACCGTATAGCATGTATGGATAGAAGGGCTGGACTGGTCTATTTGCTCTGCATGGATGGACTGATCTGGTCTATTTGCTCACTTTCTTCGAGCGTCTCCGGCAACGTGGCTGATGACCTCTGACTTGTTCTTACATCGGTGAAGCCGATGACCCTGTACGAAGAAGGCATGCATGTCTGCATGGCTGCAAGTCTATTCAGCGATCGAATTCAGAATTCATGTGCAGTGAGACGTGAGATGGTTGAACGCCCAGGTATAAAGGGTTCGAGAATGTCGCTGCTCTGCTCACTGCTCACTGCTCAGCATAGCATCTGTCTAGCAGCCGACACACAACCTACCTATTACATTCCATTCCGTTCCGCCATTGAACCTGATCCTGACTGAACCTGATCCTGACTGAACCTGATCCTGAACCTGATCCTGAACCTGATCCGACCAAGTCTATTTGAATCGCACCTCGTCTTCCTACGGCACTACCAGTGCCCACCACGTCACATCACCGAACCAACCCCATGTCTTCCTCAAATAGTTCGTCATCGTTCACTCGCCTCGCATCCAATGCTTCAGAATATGGCACCTCCACCTCCACCTTCACGCAACAGGAACAAGAACATCAACCCGGCTCGACAGGTCAACATGCACGGTTTCGCTACGCCAAAGACGGCAAGGGCTTCGACTTTAGCATGACGTACCCTTACGGCAGTTCTGGCACGTCGTCATCTTCCTCTTCCTCTTCGCCTTCGTCTTCAGCCACCTCATCGTCCTCATCCTCGTCCCCATCCTCGTGTCTGTTGTCATCTGAGATCGAAACTCGAACCGGAACCGGAACTGGAGCTCTTAGTAGCTCGTCGTCAACTTCATCCTCAACCGTCCCTTTCAAGCTTCGTTATGCAAAAGACGCCAAAGGATTCGACTTCACCTCCGCCTACCCCTACTCGGCCAACTCTTCTACGGCACTGCTGTCGAGTGATGGTGACGGAGTGTGCTGGAACCGGGACCAGGGACGAGAATGGGAATATCGGGGGATGAGATACGCCAAGGACGGCAAGGGACATGATTTCGCCGCGTCGTACCCTCATGCAAGTGTTAAGAGCTAGGCTGTCTGGCAGGTTAGGATGGGCTGAGAGGTTTTTCTCCTTCTTTTTTGTTTTGGCTGAGAGGTTTTCTTCTTCTTTTTTGTTTGGGCCGAGAGTTTTCCTTCTTTTTTGTTTGGCTGAGAGGTTTTCTTCTTTTTTTTGTTTGCGCCGGGTGCGAACAATGAAGAGCACCAGAGCGTCGATGACTAACGTGAAAAGAGCATCAGCTTATGATCAGAAGTGTGGTGAGAAGAGCATCAGCTTATGATTAGACATATGTATGGCTACGGAGGGAGTTGTCAAAGCTTAGGCAATCCCAGCCTTGCCCTTCAACCAGAGAGGCAGGTTTAGGCTATACTATACTATATCGCATGCGATTCACCTGCGACTACGACCATTTGATAGAAAACATGGAACATTTCAACCTTTATTTGACAGGAGCGAGAGCGAGAGTGAGATTGAGAGTGAGAGACTGAGGCTGAGGCTGTTGGTGCTAAATTGGTATTGATATTGATCCAACGCAAGGAGACATACTGTACGTCCATAGTTTCATCCAGCGTAGTCGGCATTTCGAGTCGAGGGGCTTTTCTTTCCTGAGAGCCTCAAGTCTTCATTTCTGTGGTCAAGACCTCATTTCTATCGGTCAACACTTTCATTTTTCGTTGGTTTGGGCGACTGATTGGTCTGCGGCGCGCTGCGTAAGAGGTCCTGACTAAAGAGAGTCTGTGAGTTTATGTCAGGTTTCCAAGACAGACTGTTGGTGGGCGGATATGGGTATCTTCAGACTGTTGGTTGTTGGGTTTTCCTGAAGAGAAACTGTTGATGTTTTGGTTTGAAGAGAGACTCTTGGTAGATGAGGGGTATGGGATGGGTATTCTGAATCAACTCCGGCCTTACTGTGTACCGTACCGCAATGCTGGAGGCCGTTTGTTGTTGTATGTGATGTTGGGGTCGGTCTGGGTCTGGTCCTCTATAGGTAGAGATGCAGTTGGTGAATAAGCCATATTTATCAAGCCATGTCTAGAGATAGGCACTTGTGCGCTCAGGCTCTCACTCACACAGAACACAGTACACAGTACACAGGCTCTCACTCGCAGATAGTGCACAGTACACAGTATATCTGAGTTGGGTGGGGTTACGCATAATACAGGATCGAGCTTGGCTACATGTAGGTTTCAAGTCATGTTTCTCGCCTCGCTTTGTCCGTACCGCTAGCGACTGTACCACGGACCGCTATCTTTGAGCTATAAGATAGGTCTTTGAAATTGATGCCTAAGGAGGCATCCTTGGGTGCGCCCAGGTACGATAGGTCTTTGAGATTGATGCCATCCTTGAGTGAGCTCAGGTGGCTCGATGAACTTGTTGACGATGGGCACCTCATTTTCAAGCTCAAGCTCGCTGTCATCTTATTCCACGCCATGCTGTACCATGCTATGATGTGCTGTGCTGTGCTGTGTTGTGCTGTGCTGTGCTATGCTATGCCATGCCATGCTGTACCATGCTATGCTGTGCTGTGCTATCTCACTCCTACTCTAGAGCAGTGGCTGGAGCAGTGGTTGACTTTCTTCCGAAGTGGATAAGTCCTCGTTATTCTGCGATGGCGGCTCTGTTGCGTTATGGCTGCTCCCATTGTCTTTGATCCATTCTTGAACAACACCCGCGTAATCGGTGCTGACGTACGACGCGAATAGTTCAGCCACCAGGTTATGTTTGCGCCAGTACTTGAGCTTGAGATCCTGCAGCAACAAGTCGAAGTAAGGCAGTTGATCGAACACCAAGTCGGGGAAATGGCTGCCGTGGCCGTAGGGGGCGCGGTGCTTGGCATAGCGGCTCATCAGGGCAGTGTCTCGATAGATGGCAACAGGGTCGATGACGGTAGTGTTGGAGTTGGAGTTGGAGTTGATGATGGTGTTGGTGTTGTCGGTGTTAGTGATGGTGTTGGTGTCAGCATCGCTGTGAATGTTGGTGTCGGTATCTCTGTCGCTGTCGCTGTAGATGTGGTGCAATTTGCCGTTCAAGTAGGCATACCCCCATAGACACTGTAGCTCGCAGCGCGGCGTATTGGCCAGGTTGGAGAACATGCCGATAAACACCACCGAGTGGTCTCCCTGAGCGGTGAGCCCCGGCGGCGCGATGCCCCGGTACAGTCGGAACGGAGTGTATTTATTTCTGTCCGTGTCGAAGAACATGGCCCGGCTGTAGTGCTGCGTGGCCGTCGCTCGATAGCTGCCCGGCGAGATGACAGGCCCGACGAGGAGACTGGGGAACTTGGAGGCGATGGTCAGATCGGCCTCGGCGTCGAGCCGGGCCCAGAACTCATACTGCTGTGGGCTGAGCGAGGCCGACGGGATGCCCAGGTCGGAGTGGATGCTCGACGGGGTGAACTGCAGCGTCGGCTGGGTCGAGAAGCCGGTTGCGGTGATGAGGGCGTCGGTTGGCAAGGACTGGCCGCTGCCCAGCGTGATGTTGTTCTTGGCCAGGTACGAGATGTCCTCGCGGTGCACGCGCACCTGGCCCGTCTTGACCATCGCGTAGAGGTCCGGCTCGTAGCTGTAGATGCCGGACGCGGTGCCGTACCAGAAAGGACTGTTGATCAGATGAGTTAGCTTGGCCACCTTAGAGTATCTCCAAAAGACGAGAGGGTGCAAAGAACGAGAGGGTGTGATTTAGTGCATCTCCAAAAGATGAGAGGGTGTGATGAAGTGAAAAGCGAGACGAAAAGGTCATGGTCATACTCACTATCCATCTATTGATGGGATATCTGGGTGATTGTATTCCGCACCTTGGGGAAAGGTTATCTGGGTGATTGTATTCCGTGCCAAGGGGATGAAGAGACAAAGCAGGACAAGAAGAGGAGGGAGGGATGAAGGTGAAGGATGAAAGAGAAAAGAGAAGACACGGGAAGAGAAGATAACAACACAACAAACACGAAGTGGAAGAGGACCGACCAAACGGGACAAACGGCCAAAACAGAACATGACACATAACAGAAGAGGCCGGACGTAAACGGAACAAAATAGAACAGAACATACGCAGCAGAACAGAAAAGAACAAAACGCAGCGTGCTCACCTGGTCTCGGGCTCCAACACTCTCGTCCTCGCATCCTTCAACATGCCGCACTGGTCCAGCGTCTTCGCGTGCAAGTTGGCCCAGAACTTGCGCCTGAGCCATTTCCCGGCCGCAGTGCCATGCAGCCAGTGTCGGATCCAGCCCAAACCATCCTTCCACAGACACGGGCTGAAGCAAGTCAAGATGCGTCGGGTGGCCAGTCGCTCGCGCACGACCGACACCGGGCCGATGGTTGTGTGGCTGGGGAAAATCCATTCCGGCCCTTTGCCTGACTTCCTCATGATCCATTCGACGCGATGTCCCGTGCGGCCGGCCAGATGGACGGCGTCGAAGGCAGATTTGCCTCCTCCCAGGACGGTGACGGTCTCGATTTCAGGGTCGTCCATCAACGCCGCGCCCTTCACACCCAGCTCGGCCGAGTGGATGATGGGCCCTCCGAACACGGCTGCGCCGATGAGAAAAGGCCGATGAGGCCGATTGGTGATGCCGGTTGCAATGATCAGTTTCTTGGTCTGGATTTCATGTTCGTTGCTGGTGTTCTGGTTACTGGTGTTCTGGATTTTGGTGGTGTTCAGGTTTTTGGTACCGCCGGACGCAGAGGCAGACACAGACGTGGACATGGACGCAGACACAGACGCAGATGGTCTGGCACAGCGGACCTTCAGCCTCCAGCCCTGGCCATTCGGAAGCTGCCCGATCTCCTGGACATGGGTCTCAAAGTCAATCAGTCTGACGAGATTGGAGCGCTCAGCATACGCCCTGAGGTACGCGTGCATGGCCTCGCCGGTAACATGCTGGCCTGCGGCGACACCGAACCCATCGTGCATGGGAAAGTCGGAAAAGTCGATTCCACCGCGCAGGTTGTTGGTTTTCAGGCCCGGGTAGAGGTTCTCCAGGGCCCAGACGCCGCCGAGAGTCTTGTTCTGTGTGGGAGAGAGGTCAGAAGGGAAGGCGAGCAGTGTTGAGTGATCAAGGCGAGCAGGCTTGATGATCAAGACTAGGCCTGGTACTGGTACTGGTACTTACAGCATCGAGGATCTTCACGTTGGCGCCCGGCTCGCATTCGAGGATGGTCTTTGCTGCGCACAGCCCGGATGGCCCTATTCACCGGCTCTTCAGTACAGATCGAAAAAGACAAAGATGTCAACTCGGACAAAGCACTGTCATTGTCATGACTGGTTGGAATGAGACTTACCGGCACCGACGACGACGTAGTCAAGCATCCTGTTTGCTCGGCGTTGAGATGGAAAATGATGCTGCTTGCTCGGCGTCGAGATGGAAAATGATGTTCGGATCTGAGGGAAGAGTGAGAACGATGGCGCGTCGCGCAGGTCAGGCCAGATTATGTCGCGTGATATTAACAATAACACAAGGCTGGAACCGGCAAAACTTCACTGGAGAGCAGAGCCATCATGTTTGTGATTCACTGGAAGCATATTAGGGCTCAGTCGCCCGCCCGAGCCAACGGCGGGAAGTCCAGCCTTGCCTTGTCATGGAACCAAAACAATTCATGATATCAAGTGGCCTGAGTTGTGAAAGCGATATTGGAGATCATCCAGGGAAGCATTGTGTATTGCTGTTCAAACAGGATGGTTCAAGCATACATACTTGCATCCTGTGAACAAAGAGGGGGCTTGTGGTTTGCATATCGACTTTCAATCATTGTCAGCATCACGCCCTAACATGTCCAAGGTAAGAGGGTAAGAGAAAGAGACGATGTGGCCAGGAATGGAATCGAAAGGGTGAAAACGCCTCTGCATGATATGATTGTCAGTCGTAAGTTTAGAAGATTCCCCCTGACCCATTATCAAGACGCCTGGAGCGACATCACAATCCCAACCCCATCAGCCCGTCGATCATCCAGTCAATCAATCAACGACCATCCATTCATTCAATCAATCGTTCATGACTTTCTTGGACAGTAGCTGGACTTGGTCTTCGCGTACGTCAGACCAGCCAGAGAAGCCTGCCCAGCGCGAACGCCGGAAGACGAGGAACAGCAGTACCAGGACGACTTGGGCTGCAAGCGTGGTGAAGACCGAACCGACAGCAATGGCAGCCTTGTCCAGCTTTCGGAGGCGGCTACTGGTCTGGGTGGCGATGATGGCAAGAAGCGACGACTTCTCCTGTTCCTCTTCCACCAGCGAAACCAGGGATCCCGATCCCGGCAGGAACCGAGCGGGCAGAATGGCGGACTTGCCAATGGCGGTGCCGTTCTTCGCCATGGCCTCGGCATACACATACTTCCACGCGCCCCGTTCGGAGAAGACGGTCTCGAAGCCGGTTCTGCGCGCTTGGCCCAGCACCTGGTAGGAGCCGGAGACGTTGTGCGAGCCGTAAAACCTCCAGCTATGGACCTCAGTCGCCCCGTTCCAGCTGGCGTACGTGGTGGTCATGGTGTACGTCGAGTCACTTTGCGACCGGATCGTGAATGGCTGGATGGCCGGCCTCTCGGTGGGGATGCCGGTAAAGTTGGCCTTGAACGATCGGTAGGTGCCGAACCGCGAGGACAGGAAGCCCGCCTCCAACACCAGTTGGTTGTCCATGGTGTGCTCGGTCATGTATCCTCGGTCGCTCCAGCCGATGAAGACATTCCCGTTCGGCATCATCTGTGCGTTGCCGCGTTTGTCGCTCAGTCGCCCGTGCGGCCGGTACCATTCCTGGACTGCCTGTTGCCCGAGTAGAAGTCAGCAATCCAGACGTGTCGACCCCTTTGTGCCGGTTCGGCCCACTTACCGTTGCCTCCCATGTTTCGGTGTTCAGGACGACCAGCTTCACCGAAGACACGGTCGAAGTGTCGGCTTGCCTATGCTGGTCATCGGCTGCGTTGTCGAAGAAGAGGATTGTCACCGTTGTCGCATTTTCTGCCTGCACTGTAGCATGGTGCTGCGAGGAGAAATTGAAGTTCATGGAGAAATTCGACATCTTGCCTCCCAACCGCCACGCAATCGACTGGTCCGTCCGGTTCACTCGGTAGATTGTATTGGTGTGTCGACTAGAAAGGAGAAAGTCGCCGTTGCTGAATTTGTCTATGGAATTTGCGTGGCTTGGAAATAAATGCATCAGCAGAGTCCGGGTGACCGAATCGGAGGGGCGGAAAGTCCTTACAAGAAATCCCATGGTGCCCCTTCGTTGAGGCTCGGGAGGTCGGGGAAGGCGTGATAAGACTCATTCAATGTAACTCCATGATCTAGAGGACACCATGAGAAGTTGGCCTCGTTGGTGGTCAGGTCAAGTTCGTTGATGCAGTCATGGGCGAACCATCCCTTCTGATGGCTGTAGATGTCTTCCCGTTCTGGTCGTTCCGTCGTGAAGTACAAAGCCTTGGTGCCGTTATCGCGAATATCGAACTCGTGAATATTGAACTCGTGGCCAATTTCATGAGCAACCTTCCCTTGTCGCCGGTAGGATGGATCCAGGAAAACGCCGAATCCGTGCCGATGTTCGTCGGTCGCTCTGGGGCTGTAATGCAAGATATAGGATAAGAAGGTCGTCCCGTTGGCGTCAAAGGTTCGGAAATCGAAGGCATTGCGGTTTTTGCTCAAGTGAGCGCCGCTCCAGACGAGGTTCTAGGTTCAACAGGTCAGAATCATTCAAGTCCATGGCGTCGAACGGTTGAAACATACGCCATCGCCGTCATATATGTGCGGGCCAACCTGGAATGGTTGATACTCCATCCGCTCAGGAGCCGTGTCCCACGTGGTATATGGCCCGGTAAACCAGTATCCAGGATGGATCAGCTTGGGTCGATGCTTTGTTACATTGAACCGAGGGGCACGAATGTCCGGTCGCTGTTCATTGTGAGATGTCGTCTCATGGTTCGTGTATATGGGGATGGGGATGGGGATCCTCCACTTACTGTGACGAAAGAAAACAAGTCGTTGCCCTGGCTGAGGTCGTCATTCTTTTTAGCTCTGACTTGCCCCAGACAAGACCATATAATGATCAACACGATCGTCGACGACAACATTGCATGCTTTGTTTGCTGTTCGACGGTGTGGAGGGGAATGAAAATGAAAAATAACCAATCTCTGGGACCATTTTAAACCGGGAGAAGGATACCATGCCATACCATGCCATGCCTCGTGGTAGTCGGTGGAAGACCCGGCCCGGCGAAAATCAGGGGCTTACACGGACTATCCATCCCCAATCAATATCAATATCAGAAAGTCCAAGAAACGAACGCGAAAGTAGAAGTCCCGTCATATTTTGATTAATGAATTGGCACAATCGTTTAGCGACGGCGTGGATGTGGATGGCACCAACAATCCTATCAAAGTCATGACTCGCACAAAATGCAGGAACTAGAGACGATTAGAGGTATGTGATGGAAGCTGGCGCTGTGGAAGAGCCGCAGATGGTACATAGTAGTGGCTGACTGGCACCGAAATGTCAAGCCAGGCTGTCAGGTTTGACATGTTGACGTCGAGGCCGAAGGCTTCGGAGGTTCCGGAAATGGTCCAACCACCCCTATCCCTGTGAGGTGTCAAGTGTCAACCCAAGCCTAGCCTTGTAGCGTAGAATGGATGATGGATGATGATTGCCTCTTGCCTCGCGCCATGAGATGAGGACTCGAAGCTCATGGGCAGCTTTGCAGCCGATTGCCGCCCGACCGACAACCGCTCTTGAGTCCTAAGGCCGCCCACATCACACTGTGGCAGGTCTTCTCCAAGATAACCAAATGGGCAGTTGCCTACATTTGAACCTCACGACCAATTGCTGCAAGCCTAGATTCAGATTGGAGCTCACAAGACAGGAGACAGGACAGCGTCCAGAACGGCAGGCGTTATCTGGACTGGTCCTAAGGTCGATATCGCCTCTGAACTTCGTTGAGATGAAGACTGTTATGCTTATGGCCAAGTACCAAGTACTCATGTTGTCTGGCTCTCCAACTCCTCATCGAATGTGCAAAAGTGCCGTCTACCTCGATGGCCGAAGCAGAGACAAGAGAGACGAAGAAAGTAGAAGGCCACGTGACTGATATATGCACTCACGTGATATATATCACGTGTTAGATATTGGTGGTAGAATTACGGCTGATTCTACGACCTGCGGACGAATTTCACTTTCTTCCAGAGCGAGGGAAAGCTGTAACTGTCTGTACACGACTGTTTCCATTATCACTGATACAACTGGAGCAAGCACAAAGATCAGACTTGTCCATCAACTAGGCCGTTCTCAGCATCAGGACTTTACCGGGGGAAATTGTCTGACCATGGCGATACCACAATAGCTGGTATCCTCTACTCCATACAGGCTACTTCTCGGTGGCTAAGTTTGGACAGGTGGCTCATGTTTCCACCAGCACACCATCCACCTGTTTCTCGTCCGGTCCCAGGAGCCCCAGTGCTTCTCGCCTCGTGGGTGCGCTGGGATCAAAGTAGGGAACTTCGGCGAGGGATGTGACCCTGGTGCCGTGCCGGGGATGTCTCCCACCATAGTCCCAACTGGCGTTGTGGATTGTGATTCTGGCTCATTCTCAGCAAAAGGACGAAGAAAGGAGCAAAGAGAAAGAGAGAGGGAGGTGGGGGGAGAGAGAAAGAGGTGGCCCCGAGAAGACTACTCACCTATTGTCCCAAAGAGCACTTGTGCCCGGCGTCCATTTGAATCGAACCTGGATATCAATGTTCTTCTCATAGACGTCGAAAAGGTAACCCAGGATCAGGTCGCTTTCCGCCTTATCGAGGCCGACAATCCGGACTGTCATGGCGCGGTTGACCCAAAGGGCCCTCCAGCCTGTGGCTGGGTGCACGCGGACCAAGGGATGCACGCGCTCAAGGTACTGCGGTCCGCTCGTCGGGTTGTCACGGTCGAGGTACGAATGCGACGACCTGTACACGGCCTGCTTGCCGTCAATGTACTTGCGGAATTCTGGCGACAGCTTCTCGTATGCGCCGTATCCGCTGGCCCAGAGCGTGTCGCCTCCGATCGGCGGCACCGTGTCGTTGTGCAAGTGAGTCACGCCGGCGGGGTTTCGCTCGTGGACGAGGTCCGTATGCCATCGAGACGCACCGCCCGGCGAACGGAATGAAGCTCCGTGTTCGGTCGCTTGAAGATCCGGCCAAATCACCGTCACGCCGGGTAAACCAGGAACCTGGGGGGTTTGGGGCTGTCACTCGAGACTCAGCACAAGGGGACCGTCAAACAGGAAGGGGGCTGATCTACATGAACCTCAACTTCGCCATAGTATTCACCGAGCGCCTTTTGCTGCTGCGGCGAAAGATCCTGGTCTCGAAAAAATACCACGCTGCGTTCGGCAATCAGCAAACCAAGCTCGTCCTTTTGCTGATCGGTCAGATCCTTCAGCTGAAGCCCCTCGATCTCGGTGCCGATGTGCGCCGTCAGGTCGGTGACCTTGGTTGCAGCAGAGAACAGTGCGCTTTTCGACTTGTCTGCCCGAGAGCCAGGGTCGACATGCACTCTGTCCCTGTTTCGGATGTTGTAGATGTCTTGAATGTACAGCGGTCTGCTGGGCCGGTACGGGTACCCTTCCGAGAGATCGATCCCGGCCTTGGTCAATCGTTTCAATGCTGGCTCGGGCAATCCCAGCGTGTCCTTTTTCGGGACCACGAACTCTGTGATGCTTGGGTCGATCGGTGCTGGTGCCATGTTGTCTGACTGACTGGTATCTCCCCTCCAGATTAAGATAAGGCAAGCGAGAAGACGAACGGACGTTCGTTCCCCGACCTTTTAACGTGCCCAGTGAACTCCGCGCAGAGCCGACTGTTATTCCGGACTCTGGTCTTGCTTACCGATCCTGGTTGATACGGTCTCTCCATTCGTCCGGCTGAATGGTGATATGGAAACTCTCTATGGCGTGAATCATGGCGACTCGCGCTGAGTCTCAGATGTTGCAGTCCTCTACGAATCAAACACCTTGGAAGGAGGGGCCCTATGACACCACCGGCTAGGGATTTCTATATCTACCCCGTGTCCGGACAGGGAAGTCTTACTAGCCCTCCAGTCGACAGCTTGTCCATCCAATTAGGACGTTGGCTTTGGCGACGGCTTCTGCGGTGGACTTCCCCAACCGACTCTGTACGGAGGGACTGTGTACAACTCCAACATATCCATGCATGGACCATCAGACAAACGAATCACGTGAGGAGATTGCGTGCTTCGACCCCTTTATTTGCTGCTCTGTCTCCAACAAGGCTCCGATGCATTGTAACGCAACGATGCAGACATCCCGCGCCCAAGGTTGCTTCTTCGACGCGGTCTCTGCCCGATTGGCCCCGGGAGAATGTCGCCGGCGCAGTGATCAAGATACCGGAGTGCTACGGTCGCATGTCCACGCCACAAAGCTTACCTATATTGCTTGATACCATGGTCCAGGCCGGCAGCACGCAATGCTCGGTTTATAAGGTGCCATTGACACCAATGACCAATTCTGTGGGGTAGACCGGGCGCTGGCGAGATGATCGTCCCGGCGGTGGCGGGGGTACCCTGGTGCCGATCTCTTAGATGTTGATGGATGGATGGGTTTAAAAGGCCGTCAGAGCCAGCATAGCATTCTATGCATCATTCTCAATGGCTGGTACGTTCTGAATCTAGGAGAAACCCCCAGATCAATGGCTGGCTACGACAAGAGCGTCGAGGCTGGCGTGAGAGGTGTTGGGGCAGCGACCCTCCCCGCGAGTGCGAGTGCGAGTCCGAGTCCGAGAGGATCTATCCGTACGTCGAGCTCGAACCGCGACGCCGCCGATGTGATCCAGGCCAAACCCCAACACAAATGGCAATCATACATCTGGGACAGCCTCGACAAGTCGCCGCAAGAACGCAAGTTCTTGTTCAAGCTCGACGCGGCCGTCCTGACCTTCGCCAGCTTGGGGTATTTCATCAAGTACCTGGATCAGATCAACATCAATAATGCCTTCGTTTCCGGCATGAAAGAGGACTTGGGGCTTTACAAAAACCAGCTCAACTACATGCAAACATGCTGGACCGTCGGCTATGTGATTGGGGAGATACCCTGTAAGTCGACAATCTTTCTCTTTTTGTTCAGTTGAACTGAAGATCGATTTCTTGGTTTGATTTGTACTGTATGACCATGACTAACACCTCTTTTCCCAAGCAAACATGATCCTTACACGTGTCCGGCCGAGCATCTGGATTCCAGCCATGGAACTCCTCTGGACGGTGCTCACATTCTGTCTATGCAAGTGCAACAGCGCCAGCTCGATATATGCGCTTCGGTTTCTCGTCGGGCTCGCCGAGTCGACGTTCTATCCGGGAATGGTGTACGTGATTGGATCGTGGTACCGGCGCGATGAACTTGCGAAGCGGTCGTGCATTTTCCACACCAGCTCGGCCATCGGCAGCATGTTCTCTGGCTACTTGATGGCCGGGGTGTACAAACTGGGCGGGAAGGGAGGTCTCAAAGGGTGGGTTGAAACCAGGGATGTGGTGAAATTCTCAATTGACTAACTTGCTTCAGGTGGCAATGGCTATTTGTGGTCGACGGCATCATCTCCCTCCCCGTGGCCATCTCCGGCTTCTTTCTGCTGCCGGACGTGCCGGAAATCACGCGCGCGTGGTATTTCAGCCCGGCGGAGCGCGAGTATGCGAAGAAACGCATGGAATTGGAGGGCCGGGCCCAGCGGGCGCCGTACACCAAAGCCAAGTTCCGGAAGATCTTCACATCGTGGAAGATCTACGCCTTGACCGTCTTGTACATCACCTTCAACAATGCTGGGTCGGGCGTCGGCCAGCCGACATTCGCGCAGTATCTCAAGGCCTCGAAGCATCCGAAGTACACCATCTCGCAGATCAACACGTATCCGACCACGACGTACGCGGTGCAGATTGTCAGCACGCTCATCTACGCCTGGACGTCCGACAGCATCTTCCGCGGCGCCCGCTGGCCCCCGATCGTCTTTGGCGGCCTGGTCTCGATCGTGTGCTACGCCAGCCTGGCAGTCTGGAACATCCCCGTGGGCTGGCACTGGGCCTGCTATATCCTCGCCGGCTGTGGCGGCGGATTGAGCGGCCTGTGCATGGCATGGGCGCACGAGATCTGCTCCGACGACAACGAAGAGCGCGCCCTCGTCACCGGCTCCATGAATGAATTGGCCTATGTGTTTCAGGCATGGCTGCCGCTGGTCGTGTGGCAGCAGATAGACGCCCCTGAGTACCACAAAGGGTTTGTCACCTCGGCTTGTCTGAGCGCTGGCATGATCGTCACCGCCTTCGTCATCAGATTCTTGTGGAAAAGAGAGCAGGCCAAGACGCGCAAGAACCTCGAGCTGCCATGACAATCAGTCCCTCTACTATCTGCTTCCTGATGCTGAGGCTGATGAGGATGCTGATGCGGACACACTACAGCAGCAGCTCAGGAAGGAGCCGTGAGGATGGGGATGGGGATGGGGATGGGGTGGCATCACGTATGGGCGGACCAATTTCGCTTCCGGTGTCTACTTGTTGATACCTTGTTATCACTAGTACTGGTAGCTTCGCCCTGGGGTGTAAAGCATGCAATGACCCCATCGATGCTACCAGCTACAACAGTATACATAGAAGAAATAAAAAAGTGAGAGACAACTCCGGAACAACCCAACCATCTCGCTCAGTTCTTCCAACTGCCCTTTCCCATGCCCATGCCCGTTTCGTTTCCCAGCGACACAGGCTGAGGTCTTGGGTTCTAAGCCCTTCTGTGTCTTGCTCAGATCCGGTCCGGTCCTTCTCCATGCCGCCGATAGTGTACCAGTGACTGTATAGAGTAGAGAACACTTCTGTAACGTGAAGGAGCCCACCACTGCAGTCTAGTCTGTGTAGTCTGTGTACCTTATGTATGTAATTGCAGGCCCCCTTAGTCTAAGGTCAGGCCCAGCTACCGGCCTTACGTTGCAACGCTACTTTCTGCCCATTTCATTTGTCAAGTGGAGTCTACGACGGCACAGCTATAAGGCAAACAAACAGCTGCATAGCACTGCACTGCACTGCACTACATAGCACAGCATAGCACAATTCTCTGTACGTATAGTATTCTATTCTATTCCATGAGACAGACGATTCTCCGTACGTTTAGTATTCTACTCCGTGAGACAGACGATTCTCTCTCTGTAGGTACGTATTCTATTCCGTAAGACAGACGCTTTGGCGACGATTACGAACGATATGAATACGTAAGCGAGGCGTGGCATCTGTTGGTGTGCTTCCCGCAAATATGGTGTCATTCGATCGCATCAGCTGGTCCGATGCCGACTGGTTGGTTGGCTGGCCCTGGCCCTGGCTCTTCCGAGACATACACAGTAAGTACTCCGTACACATTCAATGGCCGGGATGGGTTAATTAGATATAGATAGATGTAGATGGTGTAATTAGATGCACAAATACAGAGGTACTCTACTCCGGATTGTCTCATGGAATGCTGACTGTATGCCAACGAACTCCACGAACGCTGTATACCAACGAACTCCACGAACGCTGTATGCCAACGAACGCCGGTAGCTACTGTAGATTATCTATGCAAAGAGGCTGAGAAATGATAGAAAAACATCCAAAGAGGGTTGCGGTCGTTGGCGCCGGGATCAGCGGAGTGACTTCTGCAGCACATCTGCTGAAGCAGGGTCTCGAGGTCACGCTCTTTGAAAGGTCAGGGATCGAGGGAGGTGTATGGCATTTCGACGAAAGGCCGGCACTGGAGCCTCCATATCCCAATGAGACTCCCTCACGCGGCGACTACGAGACACGGCCGGAAAGTGCGTCCCTTACGCCGCCGGCGGAAGTTGGCGACCAGCAGGAGGACATCGAGATCGCTCATGCACCGCCAGGCCCATGCTACGCAGGACTGAAGAATAATGTCTCGACTAGAATGATGAGGACCAGTCTCCAGGCATGGCCTGAGGGCACTCCGGACTTTGTGAGCCAAAGCGTCCTGGAAGAATACGTGCAAACCATTGCCAAAGTCCACGGTGTCTCTGCCATCGCCCACTATAACACTCGAGTTGAACAAGTCCGCAAGCTTGGCACCGAATGGTTGGTGAGGACGACGACTCTGCAGAAGGCACCGGCAACGCTTGGTGGATCGCGCTTGGTGGAGAACCGATGGCTGTTTGATGCCGTCGTCGTAGCATCTGGCCATTATCACATGCCTCGCGTTCCCGACATTCCTGGTCTCGGCGAGTGGAAACAGGCATGGCCAAATCGAGTGTGGCATTCAAAGGGATACAGAAATCCCAGGATATTCAAGGACCAGAACGTCCTTCTCATCGGCGCAGGGGTGTCGTCGGTGGACATTGCCAAAGAGTCGATTCCCTACGCTAAACACGTTTATCAGAGCTCTCGCGGCGGAGCTTTCGATCTCCCTAGCAGCTTCTTGCCAGAAAACGCGACCAGAGTTGGCGGTGTCAAGGAGTTCAGACTCAACACCACTCAGGATGTCGAGTCATCCGCATCACAGCCCATTCCAGGGACGGTTGTTCTTACCGACGGGCAGGAATTGACCGACATTCATTCCGTCGTGCTCTGCACGGGGTACATCACTTCATATCCTTTTCTTTCCCACCTGCATGCCGACACGAAGTCGGTTGACGAGGCTGACGAGTTCGTGCTCGTAACTCGTGAGGGAGAAATGGTGCATAACCTGCACAAGGACATATTCTACATCGAGGACCCTTCCCTGGCATTCGTCGGGGCGCCTTACCACATTGCCACCTTTTCACTCTTCGACTTTCAAGCCCAAGTTGTTGCGAGAGTTCTAGGAGGCAAAGGACTGTTGCCCTCAAAAGAACAAATGCGAGGAGAGTACCAGGAACGTGTCAAGACGAAGGGCTTGGGGAGGACGTTCCACAGCCTTAGGGGCCTCGGCGAAGAGCAGACGTATGTGGCTGGGCTGGTCCAATGGATGAATGAAAGCGCGGCCGAGCTCGGCATTGAGGACAAGATGCAGGGCCATACAGCGGAATGGCACCAAGCCGATGTTGATAGGCAGGAGCTTATAAGATTGATAAGAGGGATCCCAGATCCAAAATAGGTGGCCGGGAAATGAGGGGCAGGTATAGATGATCCCTTGCGCCGCGATGGTGCGACTTTATTGCCATAGAAGGCTGCATAGACTTCGGTAGACAGGAACGAGTTCAACTCTCTCGCTCAGGAAGTGATGTAGGTATGTTGGGAACGGAACACACACAACCAGGAGCATAGATCCGCCGTAGCATACTTGCGCGTGGAGGCTCCAGTGTCGCGCCGTAGACCACGCTAAGCCAATGCGGGACATCGATTCTTCTGCGCTCCAAATTTCCAGCTTCAACATCTCCAGTCCAACCTGTTGCTTAGGATATCATCTCAGTCAGTATTGCCATTTTATTCAGCGGACATCGGGCTCTGTTGGACTCATACCACCGGGATCCCAGCGGCTTCTTCTGTCTCATTGACCGTTGACACTCTTGCGGACCAACCGGACCATCTAGATTCTCGGAGGCTATTCAGTCTCTCTCTCACTTGGATCCTTCTGTCGTCAGCTTTCCATCCCGAAGAAAATGCCTCCCAAGCGCATCACCGTCCAACCGGCCCGCCGCTCGGCCAAGCCCCAGGGCTACTTCAGCTCGATCTACAACACGCTGACGTCGGATGAGAACTCGAGCGTCGTCATCAGCGTCGCCATGTTCGGAGTACGTACATATCGTATCTGGTATCTCGGAATGTCTGTTCATCTCGTCGGCTAACATGTACATGTACACGCACAGGCCGCCGTCGCTTTCTTCAGCTCCGAGTGGAGCGAGATGCTGCTTCCCGGCTTCTAGGTCACCTCTTTACTCTGTCTTCTCGAACACCGCGCAGTCCACTCACTCACTCAAGGCGGCCGGCCTTCGCTTCATAACCTACTGGGCTGGACAAGATACGTGCGATAACCTGGCTTGACAAGATCCGTGCGATAAACCGGCGCTTGTATGCTAGGCACAGGACAGGATGAACTACGGGTCGCCGCTGGATGCCGTGGATAGTGTGGCGATGGCGGTTCAACAACATGATTCGGAGGAAGAGTCATGGGCGTGGTCTATCTACCATACCACGCGGGAAGGCGGCTTTGCTAGTTTCTACGGCTGCGATCGGAAGAACGCCAACCGTGTTGCATTATCTTGAAAATAAATCCCTCATGGTTTTGTGGCTGACTGGACTCGTGTTGTTGGAACAGAAACAGCCACTACAACCGGAATGGGGACCGAGAAAGGCGTTCGGCAATTGTACGATGCTCCTGGAATGAAGGACGACGGTTGTGGATTCCAGCCGATCGGATCCATGGTGGTTTGGATTAGCCTGGACACACTGTAAAAATAGCGTATAAATCGCAATCGCACTTTATTTCTGCGCAAGACGAAGTTTGGTGAATTCTTCATGCTTCACATCGGAGTGCTATGACTATTTCATGGCCATGGGGCGATCCTTCATGCTTCACATCAGAGTGCTATGACTATTTCCTAGCTATGGGGCTGAAGTCATGAGCAGGCCGGCCTACCATCCCATCAAGATTAAGGTCCATCCACACTCCGCTAATTCAAAAGCAGATGCTTCCACACTCGCTAATTCAAAAGCAGATGCTTCCACACTCCGCCGATTCAACAGCAGATGCTCGAGAGCTCCTGAGGTGACACCAAAAGGGTTCCAAGGGCTCGACGCCCAGCCCCCAGCCTGTCCTATTGACAGTCAGTTCGCAACCGCGATGGGACTGGGACGGCGCTGAATGATCCGATGCAGGCGTGTGAAATTCAATCGACGTCGTCATTGTCACGTCTTACACCTTGACGGCAGCTCACACCTTGACGGCAGCAACACAACCAACCATCCTCAGGCGGATAGCAACGAGCAGGAAGCTAGCAAGCAGGAGAGCGATGCCGCCAAACAGCGACGGGCCCAGGTAATTGTTGGATTGGGTCAGGATGGCGCCTGCTGATGGGGGCCCTGCCAAAAGGCCGAATGCAGTGCAGAAGAAGCACATGCCGACATAAGTGCCGACGTTTCGTTGGTTGTTGGCGAACGAGATGATGGGCACGGCGGTGGCCGAGACCATTCCGCCGGTGAAAAAGCCGTACAACGACGCAAATACGACAATGCCCCCCGTCGACTGGACAGACGGCCAACATAGTGCCAGGATGGCCGACCCCGTGGTGAGAGGTAGGAGGACGTTGAACGGACCGCAGCGATCGACTACGTAATTGGGAAGAAGGCGGCCCAGGGTCGAGCCGGCGTTGAGGATGGGCAGAAGGTAGAAAGCTAAGCCATCACCATGACCGTCACCATAGCCACCACCATCACCATCACCATCATCGACGTTGACGACGTTACCGACGATGCCCTTCGAGATGGCAAAGGATTGCACATAGAACACTAGAATAGGACTCCTTGTTTACCACATAGAACAATAGAATGGACCCCTTGTTTACTAGGGATCCCAGATGTCGCAGCGCAGGGGCAAAGGCAAACTTACTTGGAATGAGAAAGCCCAGGAAGATCAGAAACATGGCCAGACAATAGACGACGAAGTGCGGATTGCGCAGCGCAGCGAGGTCGATCAGACGCCTTTTCTGTGCCGCGCTGAAACCGACCTGGTTTCTCAACACCAGAAACGGGATGGCCAGCGTGGCGGCGGAGACGAAGCCCAGGATGCGACAGGACCAGCGGAAGCCGAGTGTGTCGAGTGATGCGTGGAAGAGGATGGGATAAACCACTCCGCCAATGCTCGCGCCGGTGGCCGCCATTCCTAGGGCGGTCGCTCTCCTTCTGAGGAAATACTGTGGCACAATCGAAACAGAGGGCGTGAAGCCGGCCCCGAGGCCCACGCCTATACAGAGGCCTTGGGCAAGCATGACGTGCCAGTATTCGGAGCTGATGCTGGTCATCATGAAGCCGAGGGGTGTGCAGAAAAGACTGGATGCTAGCAGGAATTTCATGTGGCCCGAGTCAAAGGCCGGTCCACTGAGAACACTGACAAGCAGAAGGAGAAACGCCTGCATGGATCCTATCCAAGAGATCTGAGATGGGCTGCTTTGTAGGAGGATGGACGACGGCGAGGTTTCGTAGAATGTTTGGAACACCCCGAATGTCCCGACTATGCCCCTGTCGTCCGTCAGCCGAGCTGCTGTGATTCTTTCTTTCTTTCTTTCAATAGCAGGGCGCGTCTGGTGGTACATATGACATCTGGAATGGGCAAAGCACACCACATACCACGAATTGAACGAGACGAAGAAAGCCCCGACAACTTGAAGCCAAGCTTGAAATCCACCGTCGGGGGCAACAAAAGCTCTTCTTCCTGACGAGGCTGCGCCAACATCTTCCTCCTCGAGTCTACCACAGACAACGGTAGATTCACACTTGGGCGGACAATTCAACGGATCATCAGACCGAACTGCTCCATGCTGATCCGTGTTTACCAGCATCCTGTTCTAGTACTTCTTCCCTCGCGACAGAACATCCCAATCAAGCACGCGTGAGCAGGTTATCTATTTAACCAAAAATCAAACTCTCCTTCCTGGCGATTAATCGGGAAGACTGGATTGGAGGAGTGACTCATCCTTGATGCCAGGGCAACAATTCAGTAGTATTCTAGTCAGGAGTATCAGCTGTCATAGCCGGCACTGTATCCTGTCGGCAGAGGTTTTGATTAGAATTGCTGATAAATCACCGCTGGGAGCAGCCTTTGACAAGTCTGCAGTTTTCTCCGGGTGTGTGATTCGTCTATAGGCGAGCTTATCGCTCCAAGTTGATGCCCAGAACCGATTCAGAGATTCGTCTTTCTTGATCACGACATCTGTTCCTAGTCCAGTGGGCGTCTTGGTATGTTGACCGCTTAGCAGCATTATAAGCGGAGTGTTGAAACCTTTAACATGGTTCAAGTGCATCGGTTCATACACTGTAGTGTAGGCACTAGAAACTTCATAGAGGGCATTGGTTAGAAGCTGGAGAATATATTTTAGATATTTTAGATATTATATACTATACCGGTATGGCGGGCGTGACACATTTCTCGCCCCGCCAACTCGGGCGAGCCGCGAGCGGCTTTCACTTGTCTCTGCTTTTTCGATTTTTGCACCCGATGGCTCTGTCCATTTGCGTTTTGCTTAGGTACCATACGAGTTTCCGTTGGCAGTAGGCATCAGTGACTCCGAAGCGCCCTCTGCTTCTACTTCCAACTGTTCGCGCTTCATGCTACGGCTCCTCATATAGGTGAAGATCACCAAAGCTGTGCCCACGGTGACGGCAATGCCCATGAGGATGACGTTAACAGGGATGGGGTTGCCATTGAAAACAACATGTGTGACGGCGTCGAGTGGAGACTGCAGGAAGTTAAAGAGGCCGGCCAAACAGATAATGAGACCGTAAACTTTTCCAAAGGTCTGAAACCCAAAGACCTTGGCGGCATAATCCGAGACTGTTGTGTAGTAGAAGGGACGGTAGACAACGAAAAAGCATACGTTGGCAATGGCGGCCCACATGTATGGCAGGCAGCCCAGAACACCGATGATCGTGGCTACAACCACCAAGAAGCCCAGAGCAAACGGCGTGGACGTGTGATCTAGCAGAGTGCCAATGAACGGGATACTGAGCACCCCGCCAAGAGGGAGAGCGACATCAAAGAAGTCATTGACAAGCTTCGCCTTACGGGCAGAGCCGAGAAGGTACCGTTCCTGTGGCCGAATAGTGGCGACAAAGTAGTTGATGCGCGTCATTTGTATCACAGTGAAGAGAGTGATGAGCAGGAACCAGGGAGACTTGATTTGTTCCCACGCCGTGTGGCCATGCATGGCACCCCAGACGCCGGACTTGCTGTTCTTTGTTTCCTCCCTTTTCGCCCGTTTGGTGTTGGTGGACTTGTCGAGTAACAGATTGACCTCTGTGATTGTGCTTGCCCGACGGTCTCTGTATGCTCGTCTCTCTTCTTCGGTCAGTTCGGGGGGCGTAGGTGCATTTATTTCCTCTTCTGCATCCTTGACCACTTCGCTGACCGTCTTGTAAGATTCCTTGGGCATTATGAAGACCTGGACGAGGAAGATGAAGATAGGGACGACGAGATAGATGAGGAAGAGGCGGTGGGTATTGATTTTGCCGTTGGTTGCTTCGTAGATGAGCCGAAAGACCAGAAACAACGCGGAAGACGAGTCGAAGGCGCCGGTCAGGAGTGCTAGAATCAGACCCGAGTTCCGCGGGAAGGTGTTGGAGAGCTGGAAGGAGGAGATGAAAACGAAAGGGCCTGCCAAAGCAAGGAAGAAGTAGCCAGGAGTGAAGAGGTCGCCCTGGACTTTGGGGGCAAAGGAGAACAGCAAAGCCCCCACTGCCCCAAAAATACTACCGATGATACCGCAGACTCGAGGGCCGTATCTGTCAAGAATCGTCCCAATCGGCAATGCTGCGACGTTTGTCGAGACGGCAGCAAGGGTGAACATGAAGTTCAGCCGGATCTCCTGTTGATAACATGGCGTCACATGGTTTTCAACCTCTTCTGGGGTACAGAGGTCCTTGAAGACCCCTTCGTCGATCAGGACCGGTTTGATCGCGGCATAGCCGAAGACGATACCGGCAGCGAAGAGACAGTAGATAATGGCGATGACCACCTGGACTAAGACGCGCGAGATGTCAGTATGATGCCCACTTTCCTGCCGAACCCGCACCCGACATACCTATGCGCATCTGTTTGGAGACCTCCTCGAATTCCAGGGCGGCCTGGACGATACTAGGTCTTCGATCGGTGGGCGGAACCCACTCGGCGACGGGATTGAAGCTCATCCTCCGATGGGCAGAGGCACTGGAGCCTCTCCGTGACCGCTCCAGCCCATCGACAGAAGAGACTCGGGTGAGAGACATATCGGCAACGGGTTTGAAGCCGTGGAGGCTGGGTGCTCCGGGAGAAGGTCAGAGAAGATGGGCTCGATAGGGCGGGGGAGGTTGTCGCCGCCAAATGCGGAGTGATGGGATGAGATGCCGTGGGCGGGGAAAATCGTGCCGCAGATGCAGCAAAGCTCCAAACACCAGGAAATGGAAAGTACTCCGTACGCAGTATATACAAGAGAGAGTGGTCGAGGTGTATGGAGAACGGGTGAAGAAACTCAGCTTTGCACCGGACAGCTGTCGATGCTACTGTCCTCCGTCCTCCGTCCTCCTAATGTACCTGAGCACCTAAGCAACCGCAGCAAGATAGCAAGCTACAAAACGATCTGCAGGAGCATCATTGATAACTGATAAGGACAATTTTTTCAGCATAATCAGCTGGTTGATGTGGCGGGCAAAGGCCTCATTGGCTGCTTGAGGGTGTTAGGGGCCTGGGCGCGGCTGGAGTTGCCGCAGGCGGTGGCTGGAGCCTGGAGGACGCCGGGCTGTAGCAGCTTCTGAGTGGCAGCCTCCGACAGCCGACGGACCTGTCTCATTCGTTTCTCTTCTGCCTGCGCCAGAGCTCCCTCCCTGTCAACCAGCGAAATCTGCACTCGGCGCCACCACCTTCCTACAAACAAAGCGAGCAAGATGTCGTGCAGATGCTAGACGGGGCGCAGTGAAGAAGACATGGGTGTCGTGGTAGGCGAACCTCCCCACAGTCGATGATCTGGCTCATAGTATCCGTACTCCGTACTCCGGTAGCTGCCTCTGGTTGTCTTGTTGCCCACTCCACCGCAAAATTTTCCTACCGTCCTCTATTCATGGTGATGACGCCCGATGAAACATGCAGGTGGGCAGAAGAGACGAATGATCCACTATGGACAGCCTGGTTAGATGATGCGCTCATTGAGCAAATGAAACCGCAAAGAGACACGGCTCTGTTTGGCTGGCGGTTGCGGACAGGTTCAATCATAGCCGCCGCCCCAAATAGACCCTGGGCGTCTCTTCGAAACAGCCTCGTCTTGGAAATGAATCAACCACCACCACACGCTTTGTTGTCTACACATCAATTGCGAGACTGGCCAGAAACAGGCTGCGGTCTCACTCCGGGAGTGTGGCCACGGCCGTAGGATTTGTAGGCACATGGACGAGGCAGATATAGAAATACTTAAGCCTAACAAATCTTCTGTTTGCAAGTCAAGTCATCTCCTCAGCCTCTTACAACGCCTTCTCTTTGATCTAAAGCATTCTGGTTCATCACGGCGAGTCTCTCCTTGAATTCCCTTCGTCAAAGCCAGATCAAAACTGCACATTCCTTTGCAACTTTCTGTACCCAAACCGGCTCCTCGCCAGCTATCAGTACCCTTCCTTTTCGCCGCCGATCCTTTCACATAAACCACTCAATCATTCATCTGTTCCCTGCAAAATGGGTCCGGATCACGGTGTGCTTGGAGCCACCTTTAAGGCCACTCGAGCCCTACAGATGGCTTCCATGATCGCCATCATCGGAATTACTGCCAATTTCATCTCTGAGATGGTCAGCGCTGGTGCAACTCCACCACCGGTTATCGTCGCAATTTTGAGCATTGTACGTATCTCCATGCACTGGTCATCGGCCTCGATGCAAGCCGGACTGACTGCGGGCAGGTTTGCATAGCTGTGTTGTACTGTGCCATCACGGTCATTCTATATTTCGACAGCATTCTCCCATTTCTGATCAGCACGGCAATCGACTCTCTTTTCTTGATAGCCCTGATAGTTGTCTCGGTGGTAGTGGGCAAGCCGCTTTCCTACCTCAATTGCCAAGTGCTTGATGAGATCTCCAACGCCACATCAAGTGCCTTCGACTTCACCTCGGCGTTGGGTAACAGTCTCAATAAGGGCGGTGCGGTCAATTATGCGCAATGGATCGGCACCTCCAAAGCCACTTGTCTCGAAATGAAGTCCATCTGGGGTCTCAGTATTGCTCTTTGGTAAGTCAAGGTATCAGTTCGGGCACATTTGCAGTGGAGCAATACAATCTGACATGTTTTTCTTCAGCATTCTCTTCACGTTCTCGGCCATTAGCACTGTTTGTCTCTGGAAGAGAACCAAGGTACCCGCTGCCGACAAGACTGAAGCTTGACTTGATGAAGAAAAGTCCACAGCCATGCAAAACACGCTGGTCAGATGCATGGCCTTGACGGGTCGACTGGGGCAAGAACAACGCACACAAACCTAATATTCGCCTGCATGGAAAGCACAGCGATGGTGGGAGTTCGAAGCTTGCCCGGAGCACGCTTGACACTAGCATTCCTAATTTGAGGTCTCGGATCATATGGTTCCGGCATTGAGGTCCAAACTTTGCCCGGCAACCAAGCCAGCTAGAAATTTCAGGATTGGACTTGTCAAGAGCGGACTGGATTGCAGGGGAGGGGCTGGTGCATATAGTGTAGACCCGGGTACTACTGCGCTGTGCGAGAGTCCTGGGTGTCATCCCCGGTAATGTGTCAAACAATGATAGGTTAGAAATGTCAAGCTAGACTCAGCTTCTCGTATGCATTGCTTTCTCCCAGGAACGACGCTGGCCTTTCTTCCTTGGGGGTGACTCCGGTGCGAATGCGTTCTGCAGCTGCGCGATCTGGCCTGTACATAATTCCCTGTAACAGGGGGCGCCAAGCGAGACTTCAGTACCAGCGAGGCATATCAGCCTAAACCAATGGACCAACCGCATGTCAGTGCGTAGCCCACAAGAAGTACACATGGAGCACATCTGTGTGCGTTGGAGAGGAAGGATGGTCAATCTTGTCGATCTTGTGAAAGAGATATGTAGCTATGTACAGTAGCCAGCTGGCACGGGGCTAAGGCCGCAGGAAGAAGCTATGGTCGGTGTAATAATGGAGAACAGGAACCCCGGTCGGTAGTAGTCACGCTCTGGGTTTGGCCCTTGAGTGAACTTGGGGCTGATCGACGATTGAACTGATGAAGTGGCAGGCTGGCCGGGAAAAGGATCGACCCCGGATACATGCCACGAGGGGTTGCTTCGAAAGGAACAAACGAAGAAGGAAGAAAACGTGGCCGGTGTCAAGTGTGTCGTGGCGCAGGCAGGTCGCACAGCACATGGTGGTACTGAAGCAGGATAACACTCGGGTTTATGAACCATCCGCTTGGGACCAACGGGTGTCACGACAGATGAGGTCGTGGCGGGAGATGGTGTCAACGCGGCACTCGCCCTCGTTATTCGTTATTCGCCAGGCCATGGAGCCATGGTGGATGGAGACACGTGAAAGAACAACTACTACCCACTGCTAACAGTGGTAGTGTGTACGGTAGTCGCAAGCCCGACCCAGACTGCTGGGACCAAATCTCTGCAGTGGAAGACTTGTTGAGAGCCAGCGGCCCTTTCTGGAGGAGCGTAATAAATATAAACAATAATCCTTACGACTAGCGAGTGTCAAACTCACACAGCCGGCCTGAGCCCGTGAAGAAGTCCACCCTGGTGACCCCGTAGCAAAATGTGTAACCTGGGCGAACCGCAGTGGATCGCGGCCATTATTGTTAGGGGCGCCACTTCCCTCGAGTCATGTATTAATTACTGTATCAGTGTATGTACATTGTACCGAGTATCCATCCTCAGCACTGTATCCGCTCTGGTTGGGTCCAGTCCTCTACTTTCGTTTCTCGGAACGAACCAGGGCCCGATTCGACGGGAGGCGGCAGAAGCTGATGCCCGGAGCTCTCGGTTACTAACGAGACCAAGAGAGGAGAGTCATCCTTGCCAGCCGCAGGAACGAAGATCAGGAGTCTCGGAGTCCAAGCCTAGGTACAGGGAGAACTTGTGTTATGTCAGGTATGTAATATAGGAAGCCTGGTGAGCCTTAGGCCCTGTTGGCACCTGGGAGCCGGGGGTTTAGGCCAGGGCCGTAGCCACGGAGTACTCTATCCGTTTCTACTTTGGCACCTACTAGCCTACTACCTACGGTAGCCTAATACCTTACCTACGAGGATGTACGGAATACTATCCGTACACACACCATATGTATCAAAATGACACCAGGAGGCTAAGGGCATCTCTGGTAGGTCAACCCGGCCACAGTCCGAGATTCAAAAGTCGCTGGTGCCATGCAGCTGGAACTGCGGCGGGGGGTGAGGGGTATTGGGCTTGGGCTTGGGCTTACTCTGTAGGGGCTTAGGGCCTAAGGCTTAGGAGCCCAGGATCCCTTAGGTGTACGGAGTAGGGAGTACTTGATACCTATTATTTGTACCTAAGGTATACACTTCTATGCTCACAGAGCATGTACTCTGTACATACTCCTAGCAGTACCACCTCAGGTAGTGTGTCCCTAACCTACCACTACTGCAGAATATACCATCTACTATTAATACTATTTGTTTCCAAACCCCCTCCACGGTTACATTATCTTGCCAGCCTCCATCGAGTCCATCCCACTCTGTACAGTGTACACCACCGCACCCCCCCTTAGGTCCCCCAGCCGGTTACCCGCCAGTCTGGTCAACCCATGCGATTTGTTGCCTTGCTGTCCAACTGTTTGCCGCCCATGGCCGGTGTGCTCCTCGCATACCCCGTACCGTGCTTAAGCCGCAGTAGTGCCAGCCCTAACTTAAGTAAGTCAGGTCTGTGTCTTCGTGTCTTGTGTAGCACCCTGGCAAGTGCAGCTGCAGTGACATGGCCTCCCCTGTCGCCCGACCGTTTGGACTCCACCCCTCCCTCGTCTCATTCTCCCAGTTCCCTGGGTCTCTGACCTCCTCCGCCTCTTGCCTCTTGCCTCTGCCTCTCTCTGCCTTTGCCTCTGCCTCTGCCTTTCCTCCCGCGCATCGAGGCGAATTCATTAGTTGCATTGGTCTGCCTGCACTGCAGTCCGTGGTAGACGAGGTGCAGGCTTTCCTCATGTCAACCGACCGCTGCACTGCGCTGCGTGCCGGGACTGTACTCCGTATGCACTAGTTCAAAGAGTCTTCCAGAGCGCCCCCGGAATCCACTCTGCCATTCTCATTATTGAGTCTTGCTTGACCTTATTCCTCCCACAGACCATTTGGCTTTTGCTGCTTCTGGGTTTTCCATTCATCCATCCATCTTTGCCTGCGCCCGGTTCTTCTTTTTGTTCTTTTATTTTCTTCACCTCTCCTCTCCGTCCCTACTTCTAGAACTTCGGCATCCCGTCCTGCCCCGGTCTCTGATGTGGCCACCTCACTCGCCGCCTTCCCCGTTGTCCCGCAGATTTCTCTGGAATCTTCATTCACCTCCGGAAGATCGACCCTGGCCAGGCTGCCAGCAAGGACCGGTGGGCGATATCCCAATCGGCGGGTTCCGCTTCTTCGGGTGCAGGTGCCAAGGGGGCGATTGGCACTGACATCGGCCCAATCCACCTTTATGCCTCATCCGCAAAAACTCGGCTGGTATCTGCTAATACCACTACGTACAGTACCTACGACTACTCTGTGACCCAGAGCAGGTGGCCGCCTATCGCCCTTCCAAGGGTGCTCCGCTGAAATACGAATCGCTGTCACTCCCTCAGTAACACACTATTAGTACTTATTATCTACCACCATCCCCACTCCCGCGGATCAAAACTCGGGCTCGTCTTCAGACTATCATCTGAGTACCGTGGTCCAGTCCATTTTCGGTCCTCCTTCCCCTTCCGGTCCTCGGCAGTGTCCCGAGTCCTCTATACTTCTGCCATCTGTCGCCTCTGTCGGCCATCTTCTCACCCCAAATCCAACCTTCGCTCGATTTCCAAGACCATCATCCATACCCAGAGTCAGCCGAGTTGAGTGTTCGGACAGAGGGCCGCCATGTATCTTGAGTCATGACTTACTTTGATAAGGACATGGAAAACCTGAATCACCCGGCCGTCATCCCCGTGGATGAACGATACGGTCGATTCCAGTTCACGGAGGACGAGCTCGACGACGAATCATCCGCCTATTCCGTAGCCTCGTCGGCACACAACTTCCTAGTCGAGAATGGCAGGCGGTACCACGACTACAAGAACGGCCATCCCTTCCCCTACGACGAGGTCTCGGAGGAGAACGAAATTGTCCTTCACGAGATGTGTCTGCTCCTCCTCGACAACAAATACTTTCTCTCGCCCATTAATGAATCCTCTCTGCGGTGTGTTGCAGATGTAGGAACCGGATTGGGTCTGTGGGCCGAAGGAATGGCCGAGAAGTATCCCGACACACAGGTGGTGGGAATCGACACTGCCCCCCGTCCGAGAGCCATTTACCCCAATCTTTCTCACATCATGTTTGATGCAACTGACGAATGGGTCTTGGATGACCCTTCCATGAAATTCGACCTGGTACATATCAGGTCTCTGTTTGTGGGGGTCAAGGACTGGGATGCCTTGTACAAACAATGTTTCGAGTATGTTCACCTCACAAACGCACCGCCCAAGACAAGATGTCACCCGAGTTGAGGGCATATGGACATGTACCTAAGACACAGTTTTGCTGCTGCTGTCGCCTCGCCTGACCTCCCCACTGCGTCCCCTGCAGGCTTCCATCTATCTTGAACAACAGATTGTGCTTTTTTCTGTCCGACTCAATGCTAACCGTCGCTAGTAACATGAATTCGGGCGCCTGGATCGAACAGATGGAAGTGGAGATTGAGGCTTTGACCGACGACGAGGAGATTCTACCCAACAGTCAGCTCCGGGCATTGTGTGACTTTACCAGAGAAATGTCGGCCGCAGCGGGAAGAGACTTTCAGATCTCTTCGGCCATGAAGAAAAAGGTCGAGGAAGCCGGCTTCGTGGATGTGCAAGAGCAGAGACTGAAGCTGCCTCTGGGACCCTGGCCAACGGACCCGAAGCTTAAAGACGTGGGACGGTTCTACGAGCGGTTCTACAAGACCGGGCTACAAGGCTGGCTGTTGCAAATCTGTACCCGAAACATGGGCGTAAGTACCGGCAGTCGAGGCTCCATCTGTTTTCGACGCAAGTAACCATGCTGATGTGCTGAATTAGTGGACCTTGGACCAGGTCAACGACGCGTGCATCAAGGCCTTTCAAGAGATCAACTCCCGCCAACAGCACTTTTGGTACCCACTGTAAGCTTGGAATTAATCACTCCCTGCGCCAACAACATGCTGACCATCTTTGTTTAGTGTCATTGTTGTTGGGCGTAAGCCTTAATCGAGAGCCATTACGCGGATGATCCGCTCGCCGACGACGTTACCCTTTTTGTCTGTCTCAGAGTCAGTCATTGCTTCCAGTCATCATTCGCATAGCGACGAGCCTATTTGTGTGTGTATGTGTTACATTACCTCAGTGCACGACTTTGCCATTTCATACAAGAGATTGGATTGGAAAAACAGAACAGATACAGGTGCAGAAACAATTTGGGAGACTTGGGAAGCCATGGGGTCTGGATACCTACAGTTTCACCATCATGCCCTCACGGACTCTCTTTCGAGACGAGACAGCGTACTGTTGGCAGCTCCAACGTGATGCTGCGGTCGACGGCGAGGGACCAAGCCGCCGGCCTGGCCGGGAGATTAAGACTCGGTTAGAAACGGCCTCTAACGACTGTATGACGACGATACAAGTGAATTCAGAAGCTTTCGTACGAGCACGATCTGAATGCATACCTATATATATACTGGACTTTCTGGTCCTGGTTCTCGCTTTGCATCATTGTAAGCCTGAGACCACTGTCTAGGCTACGTGGACGGCTGGGGGGGGGGGGGGGGGGGGGCCTAGGCCCACAGTATAGCATAGCAGCACACAGTACTGCTGCTGCCATATATTGTACGTCAAGGACTTAGGGACCTTAGCATAGGTACATACCTACCTTAGGGACCTAGTAGTAGGGCTAAGGAGGCATACAGTGTACACATGTCGACTGAGTTCGTCGAAACTGCCCATTCACTCGTTGGTGGCCCACTATGTCCTCAGTACGTACTGTGAATTGGGGGCACAGCTTGCGTGCTCGCAAAGAAATCACTATTAATCTTAATAACTAATCTTAAATGCAGCTCCCAACCATATCAAGAACGCGAAGCTGCCACTTTGTTCTCGACAAATTGTCCTGGTAGTGGCCTCAGGGCCCTTAGCCTTAGGAGCCCTCCCTCTGTCAAACTTACCTTAGGCATCCTTGGCCTGATGCTTTACGCTTTAACCAGAAGGCTGGTGAGGGTGCTATCTACCTACCTAAGGTATACTACCTGGTATATAGTGTGAGCTCCCTCTGCGACCAACGGCGTTGATAGAGAATATGGAACATTTCAACTTTCATTTAACGCGCTCACCCTCACCGTTGACTAAGGTCTGAAATACACGCTCCCTCACCGTTAATTGAAATCTGAAATACTCCGTACACGCTCTTCGTCTGCAGCCTACCTAAGGTAGGTATGCATACAGAACAAGGCAAGGACCTTCATCTAGCACAGCGAAAGCTTAGCATGCAGTAGTAAGGAGAAGCAAAATTTCCCGTTGTCCTCTTGAGGCCTCGCCTCGCCGCCTCGCGAAAGCCAGCCCGTCATGGAAAAACTTGTGAATCGTCCTTCTTTGGCACCGAAGATTCTCCTTCGTCTCCCCTGGTTTTGGAGTCTCAATCGCGGCTTCAGCCGCAGGCCACTCGCAATGCTGTATCGAGTACTGTAGTAGGTTAGTACCTACCTAGGTAGTACCTCAGGTATATTATGGAATACGGTAGTATTACTGACACGCATCCCCAAAGTTGAGTGCAGTTCTTCGGCCACTCAATCGTTTTGATTCCAAATAACCGCCTATCTTGAAAACCGGTTCTCCGAGATCTATCTTAAGAAAGATGGCTGATTGAGTCTGGGGAAAATGGTGAAACGCCTCGAATTGAGTCTTGGCGGACATGTCCTTGTGCCAGCCCTCGCGAAACCTGCTCACAGCTCGTCACCAGCACAGCATTGCCGCCATTGTGACTCAGCACGGTGGGCGGCGACCGTGGTTGATGGTATTGCCGCGTTCTAGACTGAGGATCCGTTAATAAGCCGGCAACTACCAACCGTCAACTGCAACTGCCAGTAGAGAAGAAAAGGTGATGGAGATGGATGGAGATGGCTGAATATTATTCAAATCAGGACAGCGACGCCGGCCAATCGAAACAGGCTGACCGAGTGGGTGGGAACATCTGCCTGGGTCGAGTGACGACATGATTGCCGGCGGGGCTGGTGGCTGCGCTGCTTCCAAATACTGACAATATTGCGGGCCAAAGGCCAGCAAGGCTCCATCGCGACTCGGCCTGACTTGACTTGACTTCACACCAGGGTTGAACAATTGGACTGGTATTAAAGGGTCTTTGCCTTGCAGTCTGTCGTTTGTGTCACTGATCGTCAATATCAATCCAACAAGCAATCCCGTCGATACAACCTCCGAGACGCCCAGAACCAGCCCAGCGAACAACCTTAAACCTACCTTAATCGATACCTGATCGATATCTACAGAGTACTATGGCTCCCTACCAAGGCCAATGCCACTGCGGTAACACTACCTGGACCGCTGAAATCCCCGAAGAGAAACACATCCTGTGCCACTGCGGAGCCTGCAAGGCCCTGGGAGGCGGTGAATTTACTCTCAACCAGGTCATCCCCAAATCCAACTTCAACTTGACCAAGGGAGATCTCAAGGTCTACACCTACAAGGGCGATTCCGGTGAGCTTGGAATATCCTATCCAACCTGAAAACCCACTACACCTCAATACTGTGAAAACCCACCACGCCTCAATACTGATGTGATGTTCTTTTCTGCGACCAGGAAATTCCGTCGACTGTTACATGTGTCCCAACTGCGCGGCCAGCCCGTATCATCACCAGAATGTTATGGGTGAGTCTGATCCTAATCTTTGAGCTTCCATCGACCTCCCATCAGTCTAACCAACCACATCCAGGTCCCGACACCATCGTCATCCGGACGGGTTTGTTGAAGGGAAGCGAGAAATGGGGAAAGCCGGCCGCCGAACTCTACGACAAGTTTCGACCAAGCTGGCTTCCTCAGACGGGCGATGCCAGCTTTGCCCTAACGCCTCCTTCCTAGACGGTGCGACACATCACTAGCCGCAGTTCATGCCAGACGGGAAGGTCGGGGGTCAATCTGCTGAGTTTCGTGGTGATGAATGAGGAGCCTGGGACGTGAGAGCTGAGGGCTGGGAGGCTGTTGCTTTGAGAGGTTGAGAAAATGGCTTCCCAAACCAAATGAGCTCGAAATGTTCAACATGGGTGAGGATTTAGCAGTAATCAGAAAAGAAAGAATTACTCCACAGCATTCAATTTGTCCTGTGTCTCAGTCGCCTTGCATAAAGAAGTGATACTCTGTGTAAAGAAGTGATACTCTCGGCATAAAGAAGTGATACTCTCTGCGTAAAGAAAGGTGCGCTATTCCGGCTCTCGCCTCTCCATCCACACCGACCAACATTTGAGACTGGCGGTTCTGACTCTCACTCTGTTTTTTTGTTCTGATGAGATTAGCTTACGACTTTGACTTGTTTTCCCTTCTCAGGCGTATGGCTCTGATCTGATCTTATTGTCTCCTCAGTGGCGATGACACCTTCCCACCTTTGCATGTATTTTGTTCGAAGACTGTCCTACAGTATACGCCGTGTATGTGGGTGGTGATAGGGGTAGTACTGTATACCTAGTGAAATAAATAATCCTACTCTCTGTACTTTATGTACCTAGGTACCTTCGCCGGCATATAGCAGTTACCTAGGCGTAAATAGGTAGTTGTTGAGTACCGTAGTAATACTAAATAGATACGGTTACGATTTTAAGTACGAGTCGTAATAAAAGTTAGTACTTAGACCGTACTTATTAAAAATACGTACTATAGAAGATATATGATAATCTAACAAGACGTCTCGATATTATATACGTATTAGTATATAATGAATATTATCGTAATATTACGTATTCCGTAGATTCTAATATAGATTTTAAGTACGGTAGCGTAAGTTTTCTATAATAGCGAGCTAATACGTATTAGAATATATTATATATTAGTTTTATAAACGATATTAGTACGGTTTCTATAATTTTAATACTACTATACCGCTAGATACTATTTAGATAGAGATATACGATAGAGTATATAAAGATAGAATATATTATTAAATTCTCGTATATTTAGCTACGAAGTTAGATAATCCTTTATACTATCTATCGTACTCTAAAAAATTCTATCTAGGCTTATCTTCTATCTTAGTAAAGTACTATTCCTTTTCGGTTTCTATCTAATATATCTATTCTCCCTATTATTCCTAGCGTAGAGTAGACGTATTATTATTATATTAATAATATAAAGTAGAACGTATAACGTGGATAATAAGCGAGCTGGCCAGATAAGCGAGCTAGCCACTCTAACCCGACCACCTTAATATAATCGGCCTATACTTAATCGGCCTATACTTAACCACTATATATTAAATTGTTTAGAATTACTTAGATTCCTCTTCCTTAGACGAAGTAATAACTACTTAATAGGTTCTAGAGTTATACCCGACGTTGCCGTAGACACCATACCGCCGCGCGCGCGTTTTAGGTCTCTAACTTAAACTACTCTTCGATAACCTTTCCTGCTTCACTACGACCTAAATACGACTACGAGACTCTAGACGCTATCCCTCCTTAAGCGTCATGCTCCCTCCAGCGCGTAGTTGCTTCTTTTTCGCGCGGCGACGGCGGCTAAGTAGTGTATTATCCTCGCGTAGTAACTTAACCTCGGACTTTAATAACGCGATCTAATATATAATTCCCGTCGTACCCTTCGTGAACTAGTTAATAGCCTTAAGAATCGGTATCGATAAGCTTCCTTAATAACCGAAGACTCGATTCTTAATAAAGGTAGACTACGAGGTAGCCTTAGTTAGGTTATTAGGCGTCTTTAATACCTATACTTAGGTCGCCGTAATACTAGATATATCGAGTATAGGTATCCGTAGCTTTATATCTAGACGAGTAATTATACTTTCCGAGTCGTAAGGAACGAGCTCGGCCCCTCTAAATCCTCTCTAGACGTTTTAAACCGTTATCGTTTACTAAAAAGCGGCTAAAAACGCGAGAAAGAAATCCTTCTTCGAAATATAGATAGTACCGGCCCGGACTCTCTTCTTAATTTAACTACCGTACGCCCGTTTTAACGGACTAAAACACCTAACGTCGAGAGGCTAGAGGATATAAAATAAATAAGGCGATATATAGAGGGTAACGTGGATGATAAGCGAGCTGGCCAGATAAGCGAGCTGGCCACTCCAACCCGACCATCTCAACATAATCGGCCTATACTTAACCACCACACATTGAATTGTTTGGAATTACTCAGATTCCTCTTCCTCAGACGAAGTAATAACTACTTGACAGGTTCTGGAGTTATGCCCGACGTTGCCGCAGACATCACACCGCCGCGCGCGCGTTTCAGGCCTCTGACTTAAACCACTCTCCGACAACCTTTCCTGCTTTACTACGACCTGAATACGACTACGAGACTCTAGACGCTGTCCCTCCTCAAGCGTCATGCTCCCTCCAGCGCGTAGTTGCTTCTTTTTCGCGCGGCGACGGCGGCTAAGTAGTGCATTGTCCTCGCGTAGTGACTTAACCTCGGACTTCAATAACGCGATCTGATGCATAATTCCCGTCGCACCCTTCGTGAACTGGTCAATGGCCTCAAGAATCGGTGTCGGTGAGCTTCCTTGATGACCGGAGACTCGATTCTTGATGAAGGTGGACTGCGAGGTAGCCTCAGTTAGGTTATTAGGCGTCTTTGACACCCATACTTAGGTCGCCGCAATACTGGGTGCATCGGGTGTAGGTGTCCGACCACCAAGCTCGAGCCGGCGGCGCTTGTCTAGGAGTACATGATTTTGGTCGCCTTTATTGTGCAATGGATCATCAGGCCTGAGCGAGCTAGGTTCTGAGCTGTCGGAGCAGTGTCTTAGGGAATTGAAATGTGGAAATCCAAGAGATGGGCTGTCAAAGCATCAAGCACCCTCTTATGCATGGATGGACTAATAAACTTATGAAAAGGGAACACATTGGACTATTTGTCACACTCATCAGAGCCGTACGTAGCATAGCATACATGAATGAAGGCCGGGGGATGAAAAGATAGATGTCTACAGTATCGATCGAGCAATCAGTGCTGGGTATCATCATCAACTTGACGCCAAGCGAGGAGATTGCTGCACCTATCCTATGTACTGGCAGCTTGTATTCCTCTCTATATGCTGTCCCAATCTCACTTCCTCGCCTCGTAGTGAATCGACACACGAATCTGGGCATCGATGGACGAGCACATACGTACGGACAAATCAAACCAGTATCAATCCTAACCTCTGAATTCACTTGCTTGCTTGCTTGCTCGTCCCATGATGGCATTGAGCCAATTGCACCATGTGCTATCCATACCATGAGGCATTTACTGCTGCTTTGCCACCATTCGTGTCGTGGATCAAACTACGCGTAATTATTCGAGCATGGCTGTGCGAACCAGACAATTGAACGCCTCAGTGGACTCTGCACTGCCACCGCAGTCAAGTGTTGGGACAGAAAAGTTGATGAGTGGCGGGGTCCGGTCAGGCGAACGCGAACGCGAAGTCGAGGGTGCCACTATCAACGCTCGCCAGTCAGACATACTATGCCGTAGAGCCGCAGGACACGCAGCAGATTCAGAGGCTGAATTGATGACCTTTCCAGCGATTAGACAGAGAGCTCTTTGTAGGATTGCAGCGTGGCATATTTCTCGTGAATCGATTTCCTCGCGTGGGTGTGGAGGAGTTGCGGACACGTTCCAGTAGATCTGGTGGAGAATTCGGAGAATTACCCCACACTCTACCACGTTCACTGGCATTACACGGAGAAACAGCTCAACACCTACCACAGACATACAAAGTATGAAGCGAAGCGTCATCAGAAGTGTTGGGCAAAGTGCAGACAAAGTGCAGCAGTCTTGGCTAAACGCGAGAGTCATATAAGCAGCTCCCCCCCTCGCCTCTTGCTCAGTTTTTCTTTCTTCCTTCAGATCACAATCACACTACACACACACACAAGCCACAGATACACTCCACGATACCACAATCATGGGTTGTTGTTTCAGCAAGAAGACTTCCGACGAGACTGAGTCCGCTCCTCGACTAGTCAAGTCTACCAGCTCACCGCCACCAACTCCCTCTATGAGGAACTCGGCGATGAAACCCGCTGCCAGCCAGGCCGCCCGACCATCTCGGCGAGGAGCCATCCGGGGACGCGGAGCCCCTCAGACGTTGTCGGCTCGTGGTCAGGGCCCTGTTCGCAAGAATAGGCAACCCTACTATGAGACGGTGACCGATGAGGCGTTTCTGACGTTGTCGGGTCGGAGTCAGGGCCCTGCTCGCAAGAGCAGGCAACCCTACTACGAGACGGTGACTGACGAAACATTCCGCCGACCCAGCTGACGAATCTCTGCGGTGTGACGGCGGCCTGGTGAGGCTTCGTCAGCAAGCTTCAATATAGGTGACCTCTGGCTTAGTAGCGCTGTCAGCGAACAACAGAGCGAGTCCTTGAGGGCCCAATGGCAAGTCTCAGGCAGAACTGGGGTCAGTTGTTTGAGTGAATAGATGATGAGGGAGAGTGTCGAGGCCGGGTGGGACGAGGCGGTTGTTGCAGTTTTGACGATGATGTTGTTTTGGTTTTGTCTTTTTTCGCGCCGGCGGTAGTGTTTGTGATCTCCCAGCAGCGAAGCCCGAGGTGAAAGGATGGAAGTCCGCCAGACGGAAGCCAGAGGCCTAGCTGTTGCATGACAAGTCAACCTGTTCTCCAAGATTCGGTGAAAGAATGGAACTCCGCCAGACGGAAGCCGATGCCAGAGACAGCCGATGACCGAGACAACACACACACACACATATCCTTACCACATCCTTATCTCCCTACAATCCTACACACACACTCTCTCCCTACAATCCTACACACTCACACACTCTCTCTCCTCTCCTATAGACTCTCTCTCTCTCTCTCTCCTACAACTCTCTCCTACAACTCTCTCCTACAACTCTCTCCTACAACTCTCTCCTACAACTCTCTCCTACAACTCTCTCCTACAACTCTCTCCTACAAACTCTCTCCTCAGCTCTCACTGTCTCGTTCGACTCTCTCTCCTCCTCTCTCTCCTACAAACTCTCTCATTGTTATCATCATTGTTATTGTCATTCGTGTCCTTGACTCAGTGGAAGTTCGGAACTCCGCCGACCAGAACCTGAAGTCATCGACACCGGCGTTTGGGTTTGCTTTCTCATTGTTATTGTCATTGCTATTGTCATTCGTGTTCTTTGACTCAGTGGAAGTTCGGAACTCCGCCTACCAGAACCTGCAGTCATCGACACCGGTGTTTGGATTTGGATTTTCAATTATCTTCAGGGTACCCTTTTTGCGCATGGGGCCCGCTCCATCATTGCTCTCTGCCTTGTGCAGGGCTTTGGAGGGGTGCTTTTCAGTCTTTCTTTTCTCCGTCGCTGCCGCCAGTCTCTCTCTTTGCTCCGTCGCTGTCACCGGTCTCTTTCTTTTCTTCGTAGCCGCCGCAAGTCGCCGCCGCCAGTCATGAGGAGGCACGTAAGGATCATGAGACGCTAGTGGTGACGTGTACGTAGGTACTATACTACTATGTCCATAGTGGTCAGGTGTACGTAGGTACTACTATGTCCATAATGGTGAGGTGTACGCACTATCTATGTCCACAGCAGTTCTGTGATCTCTCGTCTACTGTTCTACTATCGGCATAGCCGTCCTCGCCCACCATTGGTGTGGTCATGTCGTCCTCGTTGATGAAGAATCGGCGGCGGCGGCGGCGGCGGCAACAACAACACCACCCAAGCATGTACTTCAGTCGTGTAGGTAGCGTAGGCAGCGCAAGTATGTACTCCGTAATAGTGCAGTCTGTATGTACTCCCTAGCAGAGCAGTGCAGTCATCAGCATGCTTTACGATAGAAAGAGCACTCTATCATTGTCTCTGGCGGCCTCCTACCTTCTACTCTCTAACCCAACACTGGGAATTCACTCTCCGCATCGACATCGACGTATGTACAATGTACAGAGGGTGCCGTGCAGTCGGCTCATTCGAGGCACGCCTCCGTAATCGTATTCAGATTAATTGCAGCCCTGAAGCCCTGAAGCCTAAGCCCAAAGTTGTCAAACTTAGGCACTAACTTACAGTAGGCATTCCCAGCCTTGTGCTTTAATCAGAAAGCTGGTTTAGGCATGCTACAGACAAAGCTGATTTAGGTATGCTACAGGCACTATATAAGGTATATATAGCATGCGCTCCCCCTGTGACCTTTGATAGACAACATGGAACATTTCAACCTTTGACAAAGGTGAGGCAGCCTTCGCCTTAACACTCCCCTACTGCACGCATATTAAGATGATGTTGAAAATTGATATTTCGGATTCCTGTGTCCTGGATGGATTGATTGATTCATTGATTGATTAATACCACATACATAGTACGCTGACTTCCTGTATACCTACCACATACAGTCTTACGATGACTTCCTGCACAGTACTACGATGACTTCCTGCACAGTACTACGATGACTTCCTGCACAGTACTACGATGACTTCCTGTATACCCAGTATTGATTATTGGCTCCTACTATCTACTTACTACCCACTGCTCACAGGCGGAATGATGCCGACCTCATCACCCGCTTGAATCAGCAAGTCCAACCCCAGTCCCTGTCCGGATTCTTCATCTGCATTTCCATCTCGTCGTGCTGGTATATCCCCCTTCTCCGCATCAAATGTGCTTTGCTGGCCCGCCTTCTCATCTCCTCCATACTTGCCCGCCTCCTCATCTACTCCATAGTTACGATCCCCCAGGTCGGCCACGGGATCTAGACCCTCCAGGTCGATGTCCAAATACTCCAGATTCACCGTCACTGCGGCGCTTTTGAGCACCTTTTCCGCAAAGCCGGGGAACAGGCGCTCGAGGGTCCTGAAGACCTGCCTCAACGAACTCGGCGCAGGTAGAACTAGCGTTTCCATGTCGGTGTAGGTCGAGGCTGAGGCGAAGAGGAGGAGTGTGAATGTCCCAGTAGTCCCTGTCCCTGTCCCAGTCCTAGCCTCAGTGACTCCTCCTCTTACTGTCCCAGGGCCCGTTTCTGGCCCGATCGTGGTCGCTCCAGCTCCAGCTCCAGTGCCTGTTCCCTTTTCCCGGAACCCAGCAGGTTGAGATATACCAGATGTGCTAGGTTCTATCCCGGTTCCTGTTTCCGTCGACGGGGCATCCATCGTCGGCTGGGTGTCGTGTGTCCAACGCAGCGTGGTAAGTTACCGTAAGTCCAGGTCAAGTCGACGGGCCCAAGGTCGAATCAAGCGAAGCCTGGACCGTCGTAGTGGTTGTGCCGAATGAGGCTGACTCGGGTCCTAGCCTTGACCTTAGCCTTGATGCCGTACACCGACTGAGTCTAGTCGTCTCCGAATCTATCCTGTAATGTCCTCTCAAGCTCCCGATCTGCAAATATGGTCGTGGCCGCTTGTGGGACGCAAGGGCTCAACCTCGAGTTGGCATCACTCTCCTACCACAGAACGGAGGAATACTGTATAGCTGAGTAGAATCCGTCGGAGCACGGAAAGGCGAGAATGGGCAATTGTGTCGTTTGTCTCTCGGTCCTCCGCCCGCCGCCTGGTCAGCTTGGTTGAACGTCCTCTGCCTGTTTTCGTTCTACCTCATATGGCCTTCTAGGTGAAAAGAGTGAGCCGACGAGGTGCCAGTTCTAGACCAGAACCAACCTAGCGTAACAAGGCCCGAAGTCCTGACTCGCCCTGACAAGAAGCGACGATTACTTCCTTCGCGTTCCGTGAACGAAAAGTCCCTTGTCTTGCTGAACCAGATCGTGAATTTCTGCCCGGTCTGCACCCTGTCTGCGTGAAGTCTGTCCTGTGAACAGACAAAAAACGTCCGTGGCTCTGACCATTTGATGACCAAGTGTAACATTAGTATGGGAGATTAGATAAAGAGATCTCGGAACGGAAAAATATTAATCCGAATGATCGGGAAACGTGATTTCCCATTGTAATCCCCAATATAAAATACCTGGCTACAGATGACATCATTACGTAGAACTCCAAATATCTGGTCTGACTTGTGTCTCGATTCTGCCCGTCCACAAAACCTCACAAAGAGGAATGCCTGTATCCATAAGAGTGCCATCTCATGATGCATGCACACACTAGAAACAAATCTCCCAACACTCAATTTTGGATCTTTCCATATTCACCACAATCACCATGATATTCTCCTCACTCCCACAACAAGAACCGCTCTCTTTGTTTGCAGTTTGAAAGTTGAAGTTTGCCGTCTGCAGTGAGCCGTACACATACTCTCCCTAATGCTCAAGTAGTCTCAAGCTCCCTTGCACCACAACATTCTCCAAGATCGAACCCGGTGGAATGTCAATGGTGCTGTTTTCGGTTGCAACAATGATGACAGTACCTGGCAACATCAATTAGCATTTGGAAACTTTCAAGAGGCGTCCCAAACTCACCTTTCAGGACAATACCACGGCCGAAGTTGACATCACCAGTGACGGTCAAATGGTCCAACTCAACAATGTTGGGGATGCTACCAATTCGCTTCTGGAATTGAGCCACCTTCTTAAAGTCACTGCCCAGCTTAATAAGTGGAGCAGGACCGAAGCGGTTGGGATCGATGATCAATTGACCGTGACTCAAGGTGTAGAGGTTAGATTTGACGAGCATGAGATCGGAACAGGTCTTGACAGGCAAGAAACGTCGTCGAGGGACATTGACACCATGGGAGTTCCTGAAATGTTTGATGGCAGCACCCACTGCGGTTTCGAGTTGAATGATACTGACATCGGCCTCTCCCTTCTTATCGGCAGGGATGGATTTCTCATTGGGAATGATTTCCATTTCGAGTTCGTTGGCCTCGACCACACGCTTGATGGCTCGAAGGTTCATCCAGATGTTGTTGGTGTTGAAGTACTTGAACTTCTTGATCGACTTGAATTCGTTGACGTATTGCTTAGGGACTTGAGCGATTTCGAGCAATCTCGCTTTGCCTTCATAGTCGATAATCGTGCCACCTTTTACGTCGGCCTTGGTCTTGTCGGTCAACTCCATAATGTACTCGGCCTTGCTTTCCACCATGTGCTGCAAGATGCGAAGATCAACTACGGCACCCAGGTTGTCGGCGTTGGATAGGAAGATAATCTCAATACCACGGTCAATAAGCTGGTCGAGAATGCCACTGTTGTAGAGAGACTCGAACACATCTCCGTGACCAGGAGGATACCAGTCCGAGAGTTGAGAGTCATACGACTTTGGTGCAGGTAGAAGGGAGTCCTTGAGAACACGAGGGTATCGGGACTGGTTGAAGGTGAGAATGTCGATGTTGTGGCCTTCGTACTTCTTGATGATGGAGGCAGTGTCTTCATCGGTGTTGAAGCTGTTCATCAGGACGAAGGGAACATTGACGTCATAGGTGCGGTTCAGATATTCAATCTGTCGGACAGAAAGGTCGAGGAAAGACATGCCATCTCTGACCTCGATGACGGATTTGGGACCGACACAACCCATGGAGGTACCGAGGCCGCCGTTGAGCTTGACAACGGCCAGCTTGTTCAAGAACTCAACAGCGTCACTGTTTGGCAGATCGTCGTAGCTGACGACTTGGTTTGGGTTGGGAGGATTGATTTTGGCCCAGTCAATGGTGTTTCCCTTGGCTCTGTCGTTGAGGTATCTTCTGAACAATGCAAAGAAATTGTCCATTTCCGCTTCAAATCTCTTTTTTTCTGCAGGATCCTTCACCGTATCTGAGAGGGCGTTGAGGGAATTGCGCATCTGGCTGGCTGCCACGTTGGTGGAGGTGTTCTCAAAGGCCTGCATGGTAGGATCTCTTGTCAGTGTATGATCTTGGGGGTAACCATCGGTAGTCTTCTCTAGGTCGAAGGATGAAGAGGCATTGAGAGGCATTTTGTCTGGTGCGACGGGAAGTGCAGCTCGGGGAGAACGAGTGGCAGCGAGGAGAAAGTGCCCAGTTGCCGGGTTGAGACCCAGCCAAGGTGGTGAAGGTGAAAACGATGAAATGAAGAGTTCGAGATGGTTTAAATTGCAGCTAGCCATCTCAAGGCACATCTCAAGACATCGGATGGGGACGGCCTGTGATATCAGGCCCGTGCGGTGGAAAGGAACGGCGGATCTATCCAATATTCAAGGTAGATGGCACCGAATCGGGAAGGGGGAGGATGTGATAACATCTTAGCTCTGACTTACCACATGAGATTGTGACTTGCCATGGTGTCTACCCTCAGCAGAAGGCACGCCGTTACTGCTGTTGGACCCGGGGCCTTGAGGGCGGAGGTGGGAGGGAATAGCTTTGGAGGCCATGGCTGCACCCGGTAGCGACCGTGCGAAGGACACCGAGGATCAGGTTTCAGCTGGAGATGTCTGGAGATTGATCAGAAACAGGAGATGGAGGATTACACCTGCTGGGAGATGGAGCGCAGGAGAGGTGAAGGAGAGGAGGAAGAGAGAGACGGAAGACAGAAGATGAGGGAAAAGTGAAGGTAAGGTAGCTAAGCGACCGTACACCGCAGGTAGAGGGCGGAGCGACCGTTGTGTCTCAACTGGGCAAGCTGTTGTTAGCGGTACGTGGGGGAGGAGATGGCGACGGCGATGATCATGACCGTGGCCTTAGGCCCTCTAGAAGGCTCCAGGCACCTAAGGTACGCCAATTACTCGCGCACGAAAAGGCTATTCGCCGAACAGAGACAGAGGGCCGCTTCAACCCGTTCAAGCTTGAATTTCATGTACATAACGCCCGAGGGCCCCTTTCCCACCTAAACCTTGTCGTTGACTCTTGCAGGGCCTGCACCGATGATCCCACGTCATTTCTCTAGCCAGGATCCAGATAAGCCAACCCTGCCTCTGGTGCCTTTGGTGCCTTGGTCCTTAGCGGTGACGTGGTCAGTAAATTATTAGCCCCGGCCTTCCTAAGCCCTGATTCACCGAAGCCTAAGCCCCTAAGCCGCTTGCTTCTGCTCAACCACTCAACATGCGTATGTCGGGCGCCCTCGAACTTTGCTGTTCGTTGATCACCACCTCAATCCTCGGTGCTTCGGCAAGATAGACGTTATACACATCCTTCATGTTTGCTAGATTGAGAAACAGCATCAATCACCGACCAGGCCTCTCTCAGCTAGCTAATGCAGACTTGAGACCTTTGTGATTACCCGAGTCTCACCGCTCTCGCCTCGACCCATGTCTACCGACTGTAACTCCTCATAGGGTCAGACCCTTGCTGTTCCCAACACTCAGAAAAAGGAGTAAAATGTGTGGCGCTTCAAAAAATGCACATGCTTGGACGAATGTACCGAAAATTGATTAGGGATTTTATTTCATGTTTATTAGTTCCTGCGCAGTTCATTAATACCCGCTAGGACTAGTTGCTCCCCTGCCAGCCATAAGGAGACAACAGCATAATTTTTGGTATCACTGCAATTCAAAGCACAAGGAATGAGGCGCCGGGAGAAGAGGTGGCCGGAATGCTCGAGCTGGTGCTCTCCGCCGGAATATTCCCCTTGCGCTCCAGTGAACGCCCACGCTGAAAATGGTCATCGCTTCTGCAGCATTGTTTTGCCTCCCTATTGTGCATCGTGCCTACTGCTCACCTCCCTTCGCCCGAAGAAGCTTCGTCGTCCCTCTCGCCTCGAGTCTGGACTATCCCGCCCACTGCTTGTTGGCTTGAGGCCATCCGCAACGCCGGTGTCGTTCGGGGTAAAGGTGCTGCGGATGGTGACAGTGCCTGGTCCGGCTTTCACGGCGTGCTCGGAGCCGCTGCCCTGATCAGATACGAAAAAGAGGCCTTCTCCCAAGTCTTTAGATCGGAACGTGTCGTGATCCTTGACCACAAGCTGGAACTGCGTGTCGGCCGTACATGGCACCTTGAAATTCTCGTGGCTCGTGTCAAATTCCACAGTTCCCGAAGTCGACTTGATAGCTTTGGTCTTGAACAGCTCTTTCCCGCCTCTGGGTCCCAGCATCTTAACATGGACACGAACATCGGCCCCAGGAGGGTACCCGCTGGCCGACACGAGGATGAAACTTGCGGTTCCCGTCTCTCCGCCTCTGGGAGTGTTGGTCACCGACGAGTGATTGCTCTTGGTGCGAGAAAGCGTGAAATTAGATGGCGTTACCGGAGAGGCGGCTCCATCCATCAAAGGAGGTAGTTTGGCCGGCGTGGTTGCTGGGGTCACAATGCCTTCATCTGTCGCCACAGATCCATTGACGCTGGACGGGGTTTCATCTTTGCTTCCGCGGCCAGTCAGACCACGTTTGATAAACGATGCTCCTTTGACAACTCCGCCGCCCACTTTACCGACACCTTTGACCGGAGCACCAATCACCTTTCCTGCAGGCGCAAATGTACCCGAGAATGTTGAAGTCCCTTGCCGAGCTCGGGTGATGTAGTCGGGTTTGAACAACAGTCTAAGTCGAATGACACCTGATTTGCCATCCAACGTATAATGCAACTCCTGTGGTTGGAACGGCTCCAAACCCCGTAGATCGATGGCGGAGGCACCCAAGTGGTCAGCCTTGTCACCAAAGTCCCAGTCGTACACATCAACTTTGAACTCGGCTGCTGTCCTGGAAGGAACCGGCACCTCGAAGAATTCGTTCCAAGCAGGGTGTAATGTCTTCTTCTGTACCTTGGTCTTGTATACCTCTTTGCCCCCGAGTCTAAATTTGCAGTACGGGTCACTGTATCCGTTCCGGTCGGCCGAGGGAAGATCCGCCGCATCAAGCACATCCACTCGAAGAGTGCCCATATTGTTGATGCTCTCGCTGGGATCAAGTTTCATTTTGACGGGTAAATACTTCAGGATAACAACCACCTTGTTGACCGCTCCGTTATTGCTCCTGAGAGTGAGTTCTGTCGGCTTATACAAGCATTGCTGTAGAGTGGTAAGAGTTGGACCTGTCAGTTTAGCAACCACGTTGTCCTCGTCCTGCTTCCCAGTCTTGTCGGCTTTTTCAGTAAGTCGCAGAGTGATTCGAGACATGTCGATCTCCCGAACCATGGCATCTCCGGTCTCCCCAAAATGGTGATCCCGTTGTCTGATTTTGGATGAGCTGTATGCGGGGAAAGCATGATCATCCATTAGCACCTCAAGGTGAACATCGGTGATTGCGAAATGGCCCTCGACAAGCTGAAATATTAGGAGCCCAGATTCTGTAACATGTTAGCAATGTCAGCAGCATATGAGAGATTACCCTACCGTATTTATTGAGATCCTCGGTTGTTATTCTGATCTTTGGCGCCTGCTTGGGCTGGGCCGTAAACGTAGAGCTGTGGATAGATGAGGCTCCATTGGCCTGACCGCCAACCCTGGCAGCCGTATCAATGCTTTGCCGGATATCTGTACTCGCCCGCGAGATCTCTGCCGAGGGTTTGGCATCAATCGATGACTTCTTGCTGTGTGAAGGCGCCCCGACCGTAGTTCCAGTAGCGTCAATTGCGGCCTGGGCAGTGCGCTCATCCTCTTCTTCTTCAGGGTCGACCACGTTCAGGGTCGGGAAAAAGGAGACGGTGTAATTAATGGTACCTTTTGATTCACCGCTCCCACCAAGACGCAGTCCGCCAGAAAGGGGTGTTCTGGTATCGTTGACTTCATACCCGCCCTCGTCGCTTTCTTTGATGTAGTCCGAGGCTGAAATCTGAACGAGGCCCAAAGAACGATCTTTTCCAAGTTTTTCCTCATCCATAACCTCCAGAATGAGCCGCTCGGATGGTGAGTGCACTGGGACGTAGATGACTTCATCCCACTGCGGGTTGAGCTCATTTTGGAATGTGACTGTGCGACCCTTGGGGATCCCAGATAACAATACTCTGGCATATGGATCCGACTTGCCGAGTGTCTCGAAGTTTCGCAGGTTTTGCGCACTTTTGGCATGGATGCGCATGACGCCGATAGGAGTGATATAGCCATCGGATCCACCGACGCCTTTCAGCTCGACTGGCTTCCAGTCAAGCATCAACTTGGCCTTACCACTCTTGGTTCCGTGCAAGTTATACCACTCCTGGCCCTTATCCACCAATTTAAGCAAATCGTCGAGTTTGATCTGGTAAGTGCCTATAATTGGATCGGTGGCGAGACCTCGACTATCTTTGATCACCAATCCAACCCTTGCCTTCTTTCGGTCTGTGATGAGCAGTGACTTTGTGCTGTCCGAGAAGACGGGATTGTTTGTATGCTTAAGCTTGTTGGTTACATGCACTTCCTTGCCGTTCAACAAGAGTACAGCGTAAGGATCCAAGGCACCAACCAGACTCTTGCTGCCATCAAGATCCTTGGCTTGTTCGACGGTAATTCGGGCAATACCGGTGTTGGACTCTGGTGGTGGAAGAATTTCACCGGTTTGAAGCTTCTCTGGTTCTAGGACGGGAAAGAAACGGATGTCTACCTGGACAACTCCGCGGGACTTGCCGTTTGCGAGGACTTCAAGGGACAGGCCCTCATGCTCGGGAACGGACTCGAGCTGGTCCAAGGCAAACGTTGCTGTACCCAGGTGCTTGTCCTTGCGAACATCATTGTAATCATAGACTTGCAAGGTAAGAGCATCCGTGAAATTCGTGATGATAATGTATAGTGTCTCATTCCATCGTGGATTGGCGTTTTCATGGATCGTCTTAGTACGCGCGAGTTCTTTGGAGCCATTCAAAGAGACAACCACGTAAGGATCAGGGGTCCCAGAGAATTTGTCCGGATTCTTCAAGTTGTGAGCGCTGTAAATGGTGACAGCAACAACGCCTACCGCCAGGTCGATGGGGTTGCCTGACAACATCTTGGCGACCTCGACCGGGAAGACATTGGGGGCGTACATCACAGGAGCGAGGTTTCCATGGATCTGCTCTTTAATAAAGCTTTCCAGTCCAGGAATGAAATTGATGTCGAACCCGAATGTGTCACCACCGATCGGCTTGCAGACGTAGTCGATGGTTGGTCGCTCGAGAAAGCAAATGTCGACTCTGTCGATGTGAGGGAAGGGTATCTGCAACTTCATTCGCACCCGCATCAAGCCCGAGAATTCAAAGTCTTCAACGATGATCTTCATCGCCTTGCTGACAACACCTTTGCCGACACGGATCTCCAGTACCACCTTCGGGTTGATCTTGGTTTTGAGTTGGCGCGCCGTCATGTCCATGGTATCGGTCGGAGTAAAGCTGAATTTCCAGTCCATCATCACAACATCGTCCTCCGACTTAGGATAGGTCTTGACATGCTCCATTCGTGGAGGCTTGGTGCCTAAAATGAAGCTCTCCAGCCTCATGCTATCCAAGAACGCGGGGGTCGAGGTACTGAGAACCTGATCAACCGACTGAATGATGGCCTTTGCAAGTTGTGGAGCATAGATTGGCCAGAACTTGACCAGGAAGCTATTCATCCATTCCAGACTTTCGGTATCTGTCTCCAAGCGAGCCTTTGCAAGCTCGCGAGTAACGTCGTCTCTGAAGTTGCGTCTCACGCGCCTGACCGAGGTTCGATAGTAGGTACCGCAAGTGGCCATGATGATCAAGAGCCATCCTAGACCACCGCCGAGCAAAGCGGCCAGCCATGATCCCAGACAAGCAAAGATGATGACGGCGGTGTTGTGGTACCAATCTAGAGGTCTCAGTTTCGAGTCCATTCACACTGGAATGATGAGTATACGCACCGCCGTAGAACTTCTCATCCAGCTTTCCTTCCAAGAGGGTTTGATGATCGAGCAGATTTCCGGCGTCTTTATCTTCCTGCGTCTCACCACTGCCGAAGCGGGGAGCCCAACCGACTTTTGTCCAGTCTTCCTCCTCTTCTTCCGGGGGTGCTCCATTTGCACCTCCAGTGCTGCCGCCGGGTTGTTGAGTAGAGTCCGCTACGGCCAGAGGCTCAGGGGCTGGCAGATCATATTGGTCCGGTTTGCCGTCATCCTGCGTAACCAGGTCAATTAGGACCCAAGACCATGGCAGGCAAGTTACTCACCAGGTCCGTAGCAATACCCACACCCTTAGGTGGACGGGCAGTATCGTTTACCCGCTAGTTGCAGGTTAGCCTTGTGAGTACTTCTAAAATGGGCCATCCTACCGCTCCAGCTTGCGCGGCCTTTTCCTCAGGTGAGGCATTGGCATCGAAGTGCAATGCTGTTGAGCCTGCCTTCTTACTCTCGTTTAGCATAACTCGCTCTGCATCGTCGGCAGTGACAGCACTGTTGGGGTCTTGTGCTGCCTCAATGGCGCCTTGCGCCTTGAGCTCGTTCTTAAAACCGGAGCTCATGGTGGGTATGCGAGGACGGGTCACCAATTCATTACCGGTGCACTGTAGGTTGCGGTAGACATGAGGGAAGAGAAGCTGGACGGCAGGAGGAGTAAGAAACAAAATACGCCTCAATAACTCCTGCCTGTAACTCGGCCTTGTTTGCCTGCAGAAGAGAGAATGAAATAAAATGAAGGTGGTTGACTTGCCTCTTGAGCAGGCGGCTGCTGAACGGATGGGTCCTTCAGTAGGTGGAAGTGCGGAGAGCTTGATTGACGGCTGCGGAACTTGGAAGCTGGGCACTGGAGCACTGACAGTCACTAAGCCGACTCTTGACTAGGTCGGGACCAAGCAAGCTGAACAGTGAACAGGCCGCGTGTGGCATCCGCCCACAGCCACCTTCAATCGAATCGCCCTTTCGATGGTCGATCTCACTTTACAACACTGGTGCCACCGAAGCATTATTATTATGCTACCGAGTACTAGATGATTGAACACTTCCATGCTCAATCCGTCATTCTTGTGCTCGTTTCAAGGCGCCCCTTTCCTCCATAGGACTTGGACTAGCGGCGCAGGTTGTGGCAGAGGCAGGCTTCCTGAGGCTGTCTTCGGTTAATCGCACATGCATGTTGAGCTGGAGAGAACATTCCCTCAGCAGGACCGGGTTTACAGGAGAAGATCAACCTGCTCGAACAACAGACAGAACAACACGTTTCCTTGCTCTATCGTGTCACTGGCCATGCTATGATCCTCCTTGGTGCCACTCACGATACCCTTGCTTGCGTACGCAAGGCGGAGCTACACCTATATCACATACAATAGCTAGCGAGCTCCAGCTTTGCTGATAGGGCCAAGGCTCAGCTGAGGACCGAGTTTCCCGATCGCGCTGCAAACACTGGGGACTGCTGAGGGGAGACACAAACGCTCTGTACAACCAATAAAATAGCGGTGCGTAGCGGTATCTTCCAAATTTCAGCCGAACCCGGCCCGGAGGCGACCGGGATCGCCGGATAGTGTGGGTATGAAAATGATGGCTGATCCGACACCCTTGCGACGAAAGGACAAGAAGACGAGGCAGCCAGGGGAGAAATAAAGAGGAATATCATTGATAAATGCTTTGCATGACTCGCAATACTACTGGTACCACAGCACCGCACAACACAATATCGCTACTTCCGACTACCTTTCTTCTTCAGGCGCACCTTCTCAATAATCTCGGGCTTCTCTCTGCAGGTTGGGCAGTACCAGTCTTCATCTTCGTCCGGCACTTTCTTCATGTTTAAGCAGCCAGTATGGAACCATTGGTATGGGCAGTCGTCGTTCTCGCAAGCAACCATTTCTCCATAGCTGCGTTGGTTACAGAAGCAGTAACGTTTGTCATCTTCGGCCTCTTCATCTTCCATTTCTTCATCTTCGCCCGCATCGGCGTCAGCGTCATCGACAGCTTGCTTCTTAGTACCCCGTCGTCCTCTAGATTGTGAGGCATCTGTTTCTGAAGCATCTGCAGAGGACAAGACCGAATCTGCGTCTTCTGACGCGGTCGTCCCACCTCGTCCGCCTCGAACCGAGGGCGATTGGCCTTTCTTGCGTCCCACCGACAGTCTTCCCTTAGGCATGCCCTTCTGCTTGAGCTTATTGACCTGCTGATGCGAGACCACCTTCTTCGAAAGGCCAGACTTTTTGGGCGGGCCCGTAGTTGGTTGAGAGCTTGCGGTTCGAGGAATACTGCCAGCACGACTTGCTGTGCCGGTGGGAGTCCCTGCTTTCGGCGTACCAGGGCCAAGTGACGACTGTCGAAGACCTGAAGGTTGAACGGGCAGATTTGCACCGGCAAGAGGATTCCCCAACTTCCGTCTCTTGTTGTCCGCGCCTAGAGAGTGTTCGCGTTCTCGTTGGCGTTGTTGCTGGACTGCCGAAGCGGGAGTCGCAGGGGCTGAGCTTCGTTGGGCGGGCGCAGTAGCCGTCACAATCTGTGGAAGTTGCCTAGGTTGAGGTGGTGGCACAGTGGCATTCGTGCTTGTATTCGTCCGATGCGCATTCGCGTTGAGAGCACTAATAGACGCATTTTGTAAAGGAAGGGCTGGGGGCACGTCGACAAGAGCCTTGTGTGACTCGGGTTTGCGGTTGAAGACACTCGGAAGTGGGGGCCCATCAAGCAGCTGACCATCGTTCTGCAGCTCCTTGATTTTCATGTCCAGTTTCTTGACCTGGCGTTCAAGAAGGTTACATGCTTTCTCACTCAAGTTTACTTTCTGATCTTGAAGTTGGAGACAAAAATCGTAATTCTTCTTAACCAGCTCGGTGTATTCGTTCTCTTTGGGGTGCGGTGTGAGAACTCCATTCACCTTGATATGCTTTTGGAGGTTGCTGTCTTTCTGATTGATGGCAGCTAGAAGTTTCTGCAGATCCTTATCCTTGGCCTGGATCTCTTCCATCATGTGGTTGATTTCCGCTGGCAAGTTGGCCGCATCATGGATAAATTGCTCGAGAACCGAGGCGCAGTCTTCATTTGACGCCATTTTGAGTCGGCTATAGCAGGAGACGATACCCTGATGCTCCCAGGCTGTGGCGACTTACGTGTTTCCAGTGAGCGTTCGTTTGTCACGACATATGGCGCAAGGGTAGCAGGATCGATTCGTCTGCCCGTAAAAGGTCGACGTAAGAGATGGCCAGAGCGCCACCGAAGTAGTGCGGAGTGAGTGAAGAGTGCGGTTTGGGGGACGGTGATCTGATATAAGGAGATGGCTGAGGATGTGAAGTTGAAGCGGCGAAGCAAATGGGGCTAGTCCTAGTTGGGCCAAGTGGCGCAGATTCCACGCCACAGCAAATTCGGCCAGCCACATCGCCGTCTGTAAAGCCTCGCATCTCGCATCTCGCATCTCGACTCTGAACTCTTAAGTTCTTCCATCCGTGTCAATTCGACACCCCTGCCCTTCCCAACTCGGCAGCAGCTTTGTACGCATACACAACGAACTTTCTCCCTGGCATGGACTTGCGCTGTTGTGATCGCTAATCAACCTCGACACCATTGCTCGCTCATCCTTGACGGCGGTGGCATCTCGCGACGACTGTCTCCATCCGCGCGCATCATGACTGTGTCCCGCGATCACAATCTTCTGGTTCATCAACTCTCATATCTGCTACTCTCCCCCTGGTGAACGCATCTTGCGCCTCCAGCCTGTCACTATGGCCCACGGTTCAATCGTAGAAGATTATTCCTCGGGCCAGGACCCTGACCCGTCGACAACATTCCGGCTGTCATCGAAAATCCAGCGCGAAATCGACGAAAACGAAATCTCTCGCCCCAAAGGCTACACGGTGTCATGGCACCACAACCCTGCTGTCGAAAACCACCACTTCGGCCAAACCCACCCCATGAAGCCCTGGCGCTTGACGCTGACCAAATCCCTTGTGCTGTCATACGGCATGCACACCGCCATGGACACGTACATCTCGCGCCCAGCGTCGAGGGATGAGATCGCCGAATTTCATAAGGATGAATACGTCGAGTTCCTCAATGTCGTGACCCCGCAAAATATCTACGAAATGTATCCCGAGCTCGCGACCGGCCCGCAGGGGTACACGTCCTCCATATTCGGCGTGGGCGAAGACTGCCCCATCTTCGACGGCCTGTACGACTTCTGCTCGAATTACGCGGGTGCGTCCATCGATGCGGCGCGCAAACTAGTCAACCACCAATCCGACATTGCCATCAACTGGAGTGGCGGGCTGCATCACGCCAAGAAAGCCGAAGCCTCAGGCTTCTGCTACGTCAACGACATTGTCCTCGCCATCCTGCAGCTCCTGCGCTACCACCCGCGGGTCTTGTATATCGACATCGACGTGCACCATGGCGACGGAGTCGAGCAGGCATTCTGGTCCACCGACCGGGTCATGTGCGTGTCGTTCCACAAATACGACAAGGAGGTTTTCTTTCCCGGCACAGGGCCCTTGGACTCCACCGGTCCCTTACATCCCGACAACCCTGGGAAGAACTACACCATCAACGTGCCGCTGAACGACGGGATAGACGACGAAGGCTACGCGTATCTGTTCCAGAATGTGATCGAGCCCACCATCAAAGTCTACCGCCCTACGGCGATCGTCCTGCAGTGCGGGGCCGACAGCCTGGGCCACGATCGACTGGGCTGCTTCAACCTCAACATCCGCGGCCATGGCAACTGCGTGAGTTTCGTCAAGAGCTTCCACATCCCCATGCTCGTCGTTGGGGGTGGTGGCTACACACCGCGCAATGTCGCACGCGCATGGGCCCATGAGACCTCCATCCTGATCGGCGCCGACAAAACCCTGAACCCAGCTCTGCCCGAGCACATGCCGTACCGCGAAGCCTTCCGCCGTGAAGGCCTCACCTTATTCCCTAACCTCAGCGGCTGGAGGAAGGAGAACATGAATACAAGGGCTGACATTGAACGCATCATCCGCCATGTGCGCGAGCAGCTGAGTTACATCCGGGGCGCCCCATCTGTGCAGATGCGCTATATCCCGCCTGATATCCAGGGGTGGAGGGCCGAGGTCGAGGAAGAACTGAAGGCGAACCGTCTGGAGAGGGATGAAGTCAAGGAGGAGAGAGATGGCGCTGGAGGTCTCCTGGCCAAGGCCAGTCGAAGAAGGGAGCTGGAACGCAACGGATTTGTGGGTGGCAACGCCAGGCTAGGCGATCTCATGGCTTAAAGAGGGCAAGGTCGAGAATCTATCGTGGATAGGGCATATGTATTAGGGCATATTATGGCAAGGTTTACATTCCGGCAGGGCGTAGGCGTAGGGTGCGATGAGGGTAAAATGGCATTCGGGGACACTTTTGCAAGACAAGACAACCTGGGCCCGCTAAGCGGGTTGTCATGGAATAACACCACATGGTGATGACAGATGGAGACATCGATGGTGTCTCTAGAGGAGGAATATCTATTATCTAGCCACCTGTGATCGTGTTCAAGCATACAGCCTGCATCTCAGGCCGTTGCAGGTCCCTTGCGACCCCAGTACATGTGATTTTCGTTCGCGAAAGGGTATCATCACGTCCCGTCCCGTCCCATCCCATGCCAGAAGCAGAGCTCTAGCCGCAGCTCAGTCGAGAATCCGGACGACTTTCCCGCTGAGACTCAAGCAACAGATGCCATCCATAAGGCATCGCAACGTGGATAAATCTTTGATGTAACGCCGTCGCCATGCTGGTGAGTCGAAAACACATGGCTATCAGACAGCCATGGATTGAATAAATGAATCGAAGTGAATCGAATTGACCAAAGCCCGGGCTTGGGGAGGCCGTTTGCTAAGAGAGCTCCAGATCCACATCCACTTTGGGCCCTGGGTTTCCATTAACCGTAGGACCATTCTCCTGCCCATCTTTGTATTTATTCTTCTCTTTCTCTTTGGAGCTGGGTTGTCCAGCACTAGCCTCGTCGTCTGCCCGCCTGAGCTGCACATACCACTGGTCGAAGTATTTGCAAGTGACCACATTGACAGGCCCACCATCACCGCAAATGTCGAACACGGGGCAGTGCATGCATGGCACTTCACTTGCTCCGCCTTGTCCAATGTCTTCCAGCTCTTGCTGTCGATACGCAGCCCTGCGAACACTCTCATGGCTATTAGCCTTGCGCTTTTCCAAGTGATGCTGCTCCAACAAATCATTAGGTGTTTTGAAGGATCGATACATGGTCACAGTATTGGCGATAGGGTCATCTGGGATCTCATCATCATTGGGACTGCGATGCATCTTGAACAGGCGATCGTCGTAGACCATGACCTCTAGTAATTGGTGAATTGCATTTTGAGGGAGGATAGTGGGCGTCACGTTGATGCTTAGAATATGGCTGGTGATGTCCCTCAGTGTGGGATATGATATCCAGCCAGCATCAAATGGTCGGTAAGATTTTTGAGGGGCTTGCTTCGGACCCTTAGCCTTATGCTGTCCTTCGTTATTCTTCACCGCTTTAGCCCTCTCATCGCCACGGCTTTCGAATCCTGCACTGGGGGCCTTGCGCTTCTGGCCGGGTGAAAGCGGCTCGTCCTCTTCGTCTTCGGGTTCGATAACTTGCCAACTCTGGGTGGAAACGTAGTGCTCGACGACTTTTGAAATGGTGTCCACGAGACCAATGTCGAGACGGCCTTCAGAGAACCAGGCCCCACCACTTGCTTCCTCGGATGGCTCCAATCCAGCCAGGATGTACATTTTTCGACCAGGGTTCTTGACATGTTTCATGGGCTTAATTAGACCTTTGGCCTCCAGGCTCTTGTACACCCGATCCAGCACCCTGCCATGGAGCGAGGAACGGAACTTGATCGTTTTGGTCCATATTCCCGAGGTTCCAGCGGCATCGATGATCAACAAGACGATTCCCTCGTCACGGGTGAGGCCTGCATAGCTGTAGTCATGGAAGTCAGGACTAGAAGTCAGATTCAAGGTGGTGTCTTATACTTTTTGGCTTTCTCTTGGTCAACTAATTCCCAGCCTATGGTACCCCCAGCTCGATCGTGGAGTCTGAATAGAGAGTTGTCGACCAGATGTGTAACAGAGGAGAGGAGGATGGAGAGGTCTCTATTGGGGATGATGCCGGCGGACAAAAGCTCTTCTTGACCGAAGACATGGCCAACATCGTGGTTTTTCCGACACCATTCATAGAGCGCTTCAGCGATGCGGTTTCGCCCTCCTCTTGGTAAGAACCCCGGCGTGGGGGAGGCGGCAACCTTTGGCGGCATTTTGGTGGATTGCTCACGAGATGCGCTATCGATGGGGGTAGAAATAGCTGAACATGATGGTCCAGCACAGATTGCTGAGCCACGGATTGACAGATGCAGGGCAGGTCTATTGTCACCGCGGCATGCTCACAGGGGAACCGTCTGTCAGTGAAGATCAAGTGCTTAAGAAAATAAACAGATGAGTGCGCCCACCCGACACTGAATTTTTGGCACAAATTCGGCGGCCCGAAGAGGTTAGTGGGGTCGGGCGCAGTTTGACTATGTTGTAAATGGCGTCGAAAGGAGTCAGAAGTGAGGCTGTCTTGTTGCCGCTGTACGGAGTATTTCTACAGGAAGAGCTATGGAGTGTCTATACGCGGGATAAACTGTTTGCGCTGGTGCGCTTGTCCTGTTGAGCAGACCTGGCTGGACCGTCTTGTTGTGTTCAGCCTTGTTGCGGAATGAGTCGCCCTTCACCGCCTTGCGCTTGGGGCCTCTATGCTTTCCCGGGTGACTTCAGGCTGCGGCGATGGGAGACGGTGGTCTGTGCGCCGAATTTTCTAGACAGTGCTTTGGGGGCCCGCAATCACCATACAGTGGATGACATCGAAGAGGACCAAAATACATAGCCCTGTGGCAGCCTCTGTACAACACCCAGCTCTTGAATCAGCTCCCATCACTCCATAGGATTGTATACTGTGTACCTCCTTACTTCTAACCATCTGTGTCGTTCATAGCCTCAAGCTTAACTAATTCCCGTCTCGACCATGGCCGACGCCCTCAAGGCTGAAGGCAACAAGGCTTTTGCTGCCAAAGATTACCAAACTGCCGCGTAAGTACCGTCAGTTACTACGACTCGTGGATACCACCTGACAGAACGAACAGTGAAAAGTTCTCCCAAGCTATCGAATTAGATCCCACAAATCACGTCCTCTACTCCAACCGATCCGGCGCATACGCTTCCCTCAGGGACTACCAGAAAGCTCTCGAAGATGCAGAAAAGACAGTAGAGATCAAATCCGACTGGGCGAAGGGTTGGGGACGTAAAGGCACTGCTCAGCATGGCTTGGGTGATCTTGTCGGCGCGAAAGACTCATTCGAACAGGCACTCAAACTTGAACCGTCCAATGCTCAAGCCAAGTCCGGTCTCGATGCTGTGAACAGAGCCATTGAGGCCGAGGCTCGTGCTGATGGCGCTGACGGCGCTGACTTGGGAGGTCTTGGAAACATCTTCAGTGACCCTCAACTCATCCAGAAACTAGCCAGCAACCCGAAGACTGCTCCCTTCCTCGCCGACCCACAGTTTGTGACCAAACTGCAACGGCTAGCCAAGAACCCTCAGGATATGGGCCAAGAGCTTGCTGACCCCCGATTCCTGCAGGTCATGGGTGTGCTACTGGGTGTTGACATGCAAATGGGTGCTCCGCCAGAAGGCGCATCGTCCAGAGCAGAAAATCCGGCGGACGCAGAAGAGGATGTGCCCATGCCAGACGCCCGACCTGAGTCAAACCCTCGCCCTGCCGAGAAGAAAGTACCCGAGCCCGAGCCTGAACCAGAAGAGGAGGACGAGGAGGCGATCGCAGCTAAGAAAGCAAAGGAAGAGGCCGAAAAGGAGAAAAAGTTGGGCAACGAGTTCTATAAGAAGCGACAATTTGATGAGGCCATTGGACATTACAGCAAGGCTTGGGAGCTACACAAGGACATCACATTTCTGACAAACCTCGCCGCCGCCAAATTCGAGCAGGGCGACTACCAAGGCTGCATTGAGGCTTGCGAAAAGGCCATTGAAGAAGGCCGACAGATTCTTGCAGACTTCAAGATCATCGCGAAAGCATTCGGACGCATCGGCTCTGCATATGAGAAGCTGGGTGATCTGCCAAAGGCCATCCACAACTACCAGAACTCGCTAACCGAGCACCGTACCCCGGAGATTCTCGCGAAGCTCAGGGCCGCTGAAAAGGCCCAAATCAAAGCCGAGAAAGATGCATACGTCGATCCTCAAAAGGCAGAAGAGGCACGTCTACTTGGAGCAGAGAGGTTCAAGAATGCAGATTGGCCTGGTGCTGTCGAGGCGTATACCGAACTGACGAAACGAGCGCCCGATGATCCTCGAGGCTACAGCAACCGAGCCGCGGCACTGATCAAGCTCCTAGAGTTCCCCAACGCCATTCAAGACTGCGACGAAGCAATCAAACGTGACTCCAAATTCATCAAAGCCTACCTCCGCAAAGCCCAGGCTCTATACGGGATGAAGGAGTATAACAAGTGCCTGGACGTGCTCACCGAGGCGGCGGATCACGATGAAGGAGGCAAAAACGCTCGCGAGATCGAGCAGCAGCAGCAAAAGGCCCTCGAGGCCATGTACGCAGCTCGCGCGGGCGAGACGGAGGAGGAGACCTCTGCGAGAATCCAAAAGGATCCACAGATCAGTAAGTGCCCGTGCTTACCCCTTTCCCATTCTGAATGGCGTCCCCCATAGGAATAGACCTCATCGCCCGAAGGAAAGATGCTGACGTGTGCGTTTGTGTTATAGTGGAAATCCTCTCCGATCCAATTCTGCAATCGATCTTGCAACAGGCCAAGAGCGATCCTGCAGCGCTGAACGAGCACATGAAGAACCCAGCCATCCGCACCAAGATCCAGAAACTGATCGCAGCTGGCGTCATCCGCCTTGGCCGGTAAACCCGGTTTGATTCAAGCTCAAGCTCTTCCAAGCTCCATACCCCATCAGCTACTGCTCCGACAAAAAGTCCTTGTGACATCTTATGTTCCTACCTATCGCATCGAACCCTTTAAAAGTGGAATTCGTTCCGTACCGCCGTGGAACGAATGGAGGAGAGCAAACGGCAATGAGAACGACTGAGGGGGATTTGTCACGTAGTTTGAACTGAACAACCGAGCCGGGAGGCCTGCCAGATGTGTCAAGGTCGTTGGTCTCTCAACCATGATGAGCATTTAGTGGGCTGTTTTGTTGCCGATTGATGTGACGAGAACAAGAAGTTAATCTCAGTAGTAATGAGGATCGAGCAGTTCATCTTTCACAAGTCACAGCGCAATACGCGACGCACCACACGAACTCGCATCAATATCTCTTGTTGTTTTGTCCGCTTCATGGACTTATCATGTGAACTCCCTCGAAAGACGTGTTCACTTCGCCCTTTCCTTTACCTGGTGTCCGATGTCATAGTGACGGTCCCATCCCAGTCGACATTCAAATAATAGCCAGTCTCATGTTCTTCATTATCATGTCAGCCGTGGAAGGTAAAGTGCCAGTGCACAAAATCCCAGCCTACGGCGAGGCAGCAAGTATCCTGCTAATCATCACCCAAGGTACTCGCCTTGGTCAAATGCAACGAGCCTTTGACGCCCACACTGGGACCGGTAGGGTCAACCTCATCAAGCTCCCTGCTTGCCTGCACAACAAGGAGACCGATGTTCTGCGCTTTCTCGTATACGGCCCTGCCGAGGCTCGTCGCCAAGAGCCCCAGTGTGCGAGAGTCGTTCCGACTGGAGCTTGCAGCCATAGCCATGGAGCTGGATAGTGAATGCTCGCCAGCGGATGCCGGAGTGGCGCGGCCGACTATGACGATCGTCTCAGCCCCGCTGGGTTGCGCAATGGCCGCGAGCACGGCTTCGAGGCCTGGGACATCAAGATCGACGACCGAGACTCTGTTCCGCAGACTCTCGGGGATACAAGCCCGAAGAAGGTCGAATTCGTGATCTGCTCGTGTCCTGAGGCCATGAAGTCCTGCTTCCTTGGGAGTCTCGTCAAACTCGTCAAGGTCACCCACGCGCGCGTTGAGTACTTGCAGGTCGACCGTCTCGTTTTTGGCCAGCTGCAGCCCCAAGCGCACAGCGAACAAATCATCATCGGTGCCCTGAAACAGCACCAAAAGTCTGTGCCTTTCACTGTCCGCAAGTTTGAACTGAACTGTAGAGTTTAAGTGCTCGACGGTGCTCTTTGCTGTCACGGTCCGGCTCAACGAGTGAGCGTGATGCTCCTGGAGAGGTGGTTCTACCCGCGGTGCTCCGTGTCTTGAAAGGATACTCTGGTCAATGAACACAGCAACATGGCAGGTTCGACGTGCTTGCTCGAACGTTTCAGTCACAAGGGCCCCGAATTCCTTGTTCGCGAGTGGATCTCCGGGCTTGTCATCAAAGATATTTGCATACTCTGACATGGATCCCGTCTCAGACCAAGGGATAATCACCAGGTCAGATCGAAGTTCATGCGCACGAGATAGGAGAGTGCTTGAGAACGAGTGTTGCGGTACAACAGCAATTTGGCCGGCAACAGCAATATCGCGAGACTGCCCAAATGTGCCAAAGGTTTTTATAACCGGATCTCGGCTGGCGAACTCCTTGATCTCGGCGACACGCATCACACTGGACCCTCGCTCTGTAAGTTGCATTAGGCGCAAGGCGTGAATTTGGAGCGGCCGTCGAAGGGTGGCCACTGAGTTCATGGCTTGTGTATTCTGCATGACCTCTCGATCTTTGGACAAAGGCGCGTTAACGACTGGGCGGGCAAGATCGTCAAGATCTTCCTGCTTGTGGGCGAAAAGCGACATCACGGTGAACAAGCTGGGAAGACCGTCCAGGCGAAGATAAACCAGTACTCTTTTCGCAACATTGATCTTAACCAAGGCGTCGGCTTCGCTGCTCTCGTCGGCGTTGGCGTCGCCGTCATGGCGAGTCGGGTTTCCATCCCAGTCAATTTTGCCTTGTTTCCACAGTTCCAGTTTCTGTTGGTACCAGGGCGGATACAGCCATGTCGTGAGAGGTGTTGTAGCAAAGGTGGTAACGAGTGCCATGACAACAAATATGGTGAACGTCCGAGTACTGAGGATCTTGGCTTGTAGACCAATGTTCAATACAATCAATTCGACCAGCCCTTTGCATGACATCAGGCAGCCAATGGTGAGGGACTCTCGCCAGACAAGGCCGTTCAGCCGCGACGCCAATGTACCACCGGCGATCTTCCCAAAGAAGGCAATTGCACAAACCCCAACCACGTATGCCCATGTGATTCCATTGTCCAAGAGGCCCAGATTCGTGCTTAGGCCAGACTGGGCGAAGTAAAGGGGTAAGAATAACACACTGACAAGATCTTCGAGTTTCTCCGTCAATTTGATTGCAAATCCTCCTTCGTGAGGTGCCATGAGGCCGATCATAAAAGCCCCAAAGATTGGATGAATGCCAATGATTCCGGTGAAGAAAGCCGAGGCCAGAACGAGCAGAACCGTCAATGCGACAACCGATTGGGTGGGGCCGTTGGCAAGGCTTCCTGTCCTTCTGAGAAGGTAAATGAAACCGGGCCTGACGGCGAAGGTCAAGAATAGAGTATACCCAACAGCGACAAGTAGAATCCACAAAGCGGTAAGTCCAGCGCCGGAATTGACGAGGGCAACGCAAAGGGCAAGCAGAATCCAGCCCGTCACATCGTTTCCAACTCCCGCCGAGAGAACAATAACACCAACAGGAGTGCTAAGCAGTTCCAGGGAGGTTAAGATACGGCAGAGGACAGGGAAAGCCTGGTGTTGGTTAGAAGGATGGACGGGTTATGTGGGTCTTTGGACTGACCGTGATAGCCATAGCCACACCAATGAAGAGCATATACACTCCAAAGCTGATAGGAGCTAGGTTGGCATCAGACCGAAACTCGTGGTATAGACCCCATGAGATTGCGGCTCCCAGACCGAAAGGCAGAGCCATCCCGGCAGCGCCAACACTCAAAGCGACGCGCCAGTTCCTGACAAGGAAACGCAAGTCTACCTCCAGACCAACAAGAAACAAAAACAGTACCAATCCGAGATTGGCGGCAAGAGAGAACGCGGGCATTGAGGCTGTGGGGAAAATATGCTCCGTGAAGCCTGGAATCCTGCCCATGATTGAAGGGCCCAATATGATACCGGTTATGACCTCGGCGATGACTCGAGGCTGTCGGAGATAGGCCAAAGGAAAGTGAATGATCCGAGTGAAAATGATGACAATGCTGGCTTGGATGATGAAGAGAATGATAGGGTTTTTAGGATCGTACCGAGTCGGATTCCCATGCTCAAAAATGCCGCCTTGAGGTGCCGCCCGGACGGTGCTGGTGCTCGAGGCTGCTGTCGCTTGAACAGTTTTGGTGAGAAGCTCGGTCACGGTAGCGGTAGCCATTGCGATAGCTGGTCCAGGACCAACAGCAGGGATGACAAGTTGTAGTTGGTCAATGGCTGCAATCGAGAAGGAGGAGGTGAGGTAGAGAGTAGGCGTTTATGCTGCAACAGTCATAGTGCCTGTGAGAGTGAGCGGCCAATGGTCATATGGTTCGAGGAGGTTCAGACCCCAGTATCGCAGAGAGCCACTAGACATGGGTGTTCAATAATGACCTGAGGACTCAGGAACCGTTGACACTCGATGCCTTTTTGTCTGTGAGACCAGCACTGCAGCTTGACCAATTGAGCTCGGTGGTGTGGTGTCAGGTGGGGGGAGGAGATTGAGGAATGAAATGGCCCCTGCTCTGCACATGCAGCCGAGAATCCTGTTGCCTGCTGAGCTCAGAGGACCCAGAGAACGCCATGCTCCAGTATGGACTATGGAGGAGCCGTGGGGCCCCTCACGGTGGTGGCGACCAACTGGTCGAAGACGGAGACCTTCCCAGAGGTTTGAATACTGGTAGACTTGAGACAGATAGAACACACTCCAGGGAGCTCCATTCGACTATGCTGCTGAAACTGATGATGATGATGATGATGTTGATGTTGTTATTGTTGTTTTATTGTTGCTGTCGTGCGTCGACCAGATCTGTAGCACAAAGGCCTGGTCGGTACGTCGCACGATCAACACCTCGAGCCATCCACGAGATGAGTCTTTGCAATTCTTTCGGTCAATCTATTGCTTCTGTCTACTTCGGGACATGTCATTCGTCTGTGTTCGATCCGTTGACTATTCACAACGGATTGAGCCGAACGCGAACCATGTCCTTGGCTAGCAATTCTGTTGTTATTCAGTGCTCAGCCGTAGGATGTCAATTGACGATCAATATATATATCCATCGCTAAAATGCTTCACATCATACATGTCGAATAATGCCGCAAGAAATAGAGATACGTATACAACCAGATGAGGTTGTTGTGTTCACCGATGCCGTTTCGACTTGTGCGCCAGCGGGCTGGCGGCCGATGGAAGAGCAGAAGGGCGTAGGGCGGCATGCCCCGACCGCTTTGGTGTCTGTATGCAAAATATGCACATATAGGGCTCTAGAATGCGCCGATTGTCGATGCCTACACATGTGCTATGCAGCCATTTGGTGCATGAATCACTGAAGATGATATATCAGCGTACGGGATCAAGGCACGGCAAGACCAGCAATTGGCGACATACCATTGTACCATTGGCACTGAACCATCCAGAACAGAAGAATTGCAGACACAGCGCATACTCATATTGCTGGTAAGGCTTTCCCTATCAGTACTGGGTGTCGCCAGATCTGGGTCGGTGATGGTAGTGGGCGAGGCGTTGTACATGGCATATTGGCTTTGTTGTAATGGTGGTGAGGAATGTAGATGTACTTGATTAGTGCCATCCCCTTGCGAAGAGTTAGATCTAGATCGGTCTTGAATGATTGCACGTAGTGCAAACTGCGCATTTCCGAACGGTCCATCTTCCGCCAAAGTGTCAGTTTCGATGCTTGGTCCTAAGAGTGGTCGCTTCCGTCGGGGTCCTTGATGCCCGTCCGACCCTCTTGTGTTCGAGAAGCTCGACACGGAGCCATTGTAGGGCGACTGTGTGGCAGAATTTGCCGACGCCATTGTAGAATGCGAATTGGTTTTCGCATGGCTATAGTGCCTGCTTAGACCAACATGGGCCTGAACAGATGGATCTCCATCTTCAGGAAAGGCAAAAGAGTTATCCTGGCTATGGAGAATGTGAAGGTCTGTTTCATCGAAAGATCCGGCATCGCTGCCTGATATCCCGCCCATGTCGATGTCGCGGGAGTTCTCGGTGAGAATCATCTTGGCGACACCATCTTCATCGATCGCTAGTGACAACGAGCCACGCTTGGTATTCGAGTTACGACTCGTGCTAAGAGTCCGCGATATGGGATCAGGGTTCGTCTTCAATGGGGACGATCGTCCAGGCCGATTTGGTCGATTCTGATCCAGTGTTATCGGTGAATTTCTGCTTCCCACGATATTCTGCGTTTGTAGGTTGAGAGTTCGCTCACCACGCACCCCCGTATGCGTCAGGCTCCTTTTCAGGCCAGGCCTGTTGTCCCTACGTGGGGAAACAGGTCGTCTCAGAGCCTCCATTACAGACCGAGTGATAGACGGTTGCTTCATGTCACCTTTTCGCAGCCGCTTAGTCTCTTGCTCCCGTCGAGACTCTTCGATCTGATGTGCATAAGCCGGTCTCTCAAGAGCCGGATTGTGTGCGAACATGTTTGAGTAATAGTCGGTAGCACCAAACCTGCGGGCTGGTGAGCTGAGGAACATACTGGGATTTTCAGCCTGTGGTGCAGGTAGCCGAGGCGAGGTGGTGAAAGGAGCAGGGAAAGTAGAACCGTTGGCGTGAGAGTAACCTGCTAAAGGTCGCATGACTGGTAAATCATAAGGCTGCTCTTCTAGTAGAGTTACTTGGGGAGCAAAGCTCGGCACCACGGTCGATGAGGAGGCGAACGACGAGCTCAACCCGGATGGGCTGAATTGGAATGGGTCTGGATACTGTTGTGGTAGAGACTGTGCCTCGAAGCCGACGTTCGAAGGGTCCCAGAAGAGCCTTTGGTCAGAATAGACCGGGACGGTAGCCGGACCCGAGAACTGATGTGCGTACAGCATGTCTGGGGAGAGTTGTAGACTTGGGAAAAGACCAGGGGATTGTTGCATGACTCTGCTAGGTGTTTCGGGGGGGCCCATAACGGGCCGCTGGTTTGCAGACATCATGAACGCCTCTTCACTTGTATAACGAAACAGATTCTCTTGTTGATTCTGAGCTCAAGTCCCCTTGTAAAGGGGAGCGGGATGCCTTTGTTTCAACAAAATTCGTTCCAGCAGTCTCCAGGTATAGTCGTTTGCAGGATACATGAACTGTTCGATCGGATCGGCTACCTGGTCGTAGGGTCTCCCAGCCTATCCAGATGAGCAAAAGATATGTTTCCTTCCCAATTCTTTCCTTCCTTATTGACGTTCTGACTGCCTTCTCTTTTGATGTTCACAACCAAATTCCGGTGAGGATCGGGTTCTAGAGGGGAGACTCGATTTGTCTTCGGGATTCGACTTGGGAAGTGCTTCGTTCAACACCAAACTATCTTGACAGTCTCTGCACATCTCTTTAGCACACGTTATCTGGTAGACAGAGCAACAATAATTTTTGGGTCTGGGATTCCATACTCTTTGACCAGGATCCACCCAAGTGTCCCACTTCGGAGGAGGTGACAGCATCCAGATTCACAAGTGAACGCTGCTACCAGCTTCTAGGTCTTGGTGGACGGCGGACAGTTCTTCTGGGAGGTTAAGTTTCGGCTGCGTGTCTCGCATGGGCTGCCAGAAAGGATCGGTTCGAGACGAGAGGACTATTTGGTCTGCAAATGTGTGAGGCCCGTTCTTTTGGGATTCGGATTGCCACAGGGGAGCAAGGTGGTTCAGGAAGGGTCACTGATGCGTTTGACAGCGAAGATCGAATATGGTGCATTCTCTCAGACGTCTACTTCCATCCCTTTTGATTCAACTGGAGTCATTTCAAAGGGCCCGGATGTCAGCCGCATGATTGGTCAGGTAGGAGCATGTATCGAGCTCGTAGAAGAGGCAGAAAAGGTTAAGCGTTGCATGGGCAGTCTGAGTTCGTGACGACCACCAGGGACAGCCCTGAGCATTTTAGGCTGCTCCGTACAGTGATATGTTAGGCTCGATGAGGTTGACATGCGGGTAAATAGTTGGTGTTGTGGAGGATTTTACGAGAAAGAGGCGGCTCAAGCTCGCCGGTGGCCTGAATTGGAGGTGCTGTGGGTAGAAAACACTAATTGGCACGCGACGGGCGAGGATGCCGGTGGTAGAAAGCTGAGACGCGGCAGGGCAGGACAGTTTCTGGTGGAGCTCAGTGAGCTCAACAAGCCCATGTTTGACTTGTTTAGGGGTGCAGTGCCCTGTTTGGCATTTAGGGTGCCTGCACTGGCTTGCTGAAGATCCCGCCTGCGCCCTGACTAGGAGGCACCTAGGAGGGCTTGACAGGCCTCAAGCGGGCGTCCCTCCATCAATCGACCACCTCGTAGCCCCTACTCCTGAGCTGTTTACGGACGTCGGATACAGATACCGTCCCACGACGCAGTCAAGTTCTTGAATGTTCCCTTCAGCGCCCTTCGCCAAATTCTCCCCAACTTTTCCATCGGCTCCGGCTATGGCTTTTGTTCTAATTTCCACACTGTGGGGGCCTTCGCTGCCGATCCGAGGGCTATCGATATGCCACCCAGCTCTTCGATGGTGTTATTATTTATGCCAGGGCGCGCGGAGAACTGACCCGTCGTCGCTGACTCCGAGACCCCAGGGTCTGCTTGAGACTCTCCTCTCCTCTCCCAGCAAGAAGAGCTTACGTCTTTGAGATTCGCAGCCTCCAAAGCTCTATCAGTGCTAGAATATGTCGCAACAATCGGCCGCTTATGCCACTGCTCATTGTCCGGGAACATTGTTTCAAGGTCTCCACGTTCGCAATGTACTCGCTTGGACAGTGCATCTAAGATTAGCGAATAGGGCTCCACCGTTGACCACCATCCCGGGGCTTTGAAAGAACCTTGGGGTTGGCCGGCTGGGCTAGTGGCGTCCGCTGCTCTGTGTGAGTTTACACCTTCTCTCAGCAGTGCCCTATCAACGGGGAGCTGCTGCCGAAGATGTTTGAAAGGTCACCAGGATTATATGCACATTTAGCGAGAAGCGGTTTCAAGAGGGTGCATATCTCTCGAAGGTGAAAAGAAAGGGGAGTTTGATTGCCGCTTCAAGCGTCCTCCAATCTACCAAATCGATGCTGTAGTTGTAGAGTCCTCGGCAGGCTCGATTCTGGTCAAGAGATACACTGTGCATTCCTACACAACTTTGTACAGATACTGCAGGTGAAGCTCCAGGTGAAGCTCCAGGTGTCAGACATCGTGGGCTCACCTAACACAACCAAGACTCGAGATAAGACCCCGTGAGAGCCGGACGGCGAACAGCGAACGGCAAATGCGGCTTCGTTTGGGGTTTCTGTGAGCGCCTCCGAAATACTGAGTCTGCCAGCGTTTATTGGTCTCTCAAACACCCTGCGGAAGTACTACTAGATCAAGATTCGGCGCTGTTCATAAATCTTCTCATGGGCATGTGATTTCAAATGTTCTCAGCCCAACGATTACCTGGTGCATAGGAGTATATCGCCGCTCCGTTTCTCGGAGTGTCATAAAGCCCCCTTCGGAGCCGGGTCGACCGCGATACTATGTACTTAAGAGACTGGTGAGGATTGATGTAGCGATTGTTTTGCCTACTCCTTGTCAAGCCGCTCAGTCTGCAAATAATTTATTCTCCGTCAGAGGTCTCTTCTTCCTCGATGGGCTCTACTATTAGGTTTGCTGCCCTCCCTATTATTTCCCCTACAGACCCTCCCTTCTCCAAGTCATACACGGTCCTCGGCATTGGGGAAACCAGTCGAAATCCGTACTCATGTTCGTAATTGACTGGTTCCTCAACTTCTTCTCCTATCGTGCCTGCGACCTGTCTCGCTTTGACAGCCTCGTAGCAATCGACAAATGCATAGAGCTCGTCCAAGTCCGCGTTGGAGTGGAACTTGCGGATGACCCGCTCACCAGAAGCCATGCGGATGCTAACTCGTATGGCATCATTCACCTCAGGCCCGGGTTCCTTCGGCAGTGACTGAGCCCGCCATTGCCTCCATTGAGCCATGTCTGCTCTTCTCTTCTCCACTTCGCGAGCTCGTTCTAGGGCCTCTTTCTCAGCTCGCGCTGCTGCCTCTTCCTCCTCTCGTCTCCGGCGGGCACGTTCACGATCTTGAGCAAGCGACCGTTCATAAGCCGAATCCTGCTCCTGTCGTAAATTGCGAGACGCCTGTTGTTCTGCCCGTTGAGCTCGGGCGGCGGCTAACTGTGCCTGAAGTGTCGTCATGGCGGTTCCGAGTTTTGCAACAAGCTCTGATGCAGGCATAGGCCCAGCTGCCCGCATGATGACGGTCATTGCCGTAGAGCCAGATTCGGTCGTCTGGCAAACTAGAGCGACGAATGGAAACTTGGTGCATTGCAAACTGGAGGAAACCTGGTATGCCTCGGGGTCCCGGACGTTGCCTCCCCAGAGGAACAGTTCATTTGCATGAGAATCCAGGAAGGATTTCATTTGGTTAGAAAGTAGCGTTTCTTGCACCCACGTAGTGTTCTCATCGTGACTGGGAGAAAGAAGGACAACAAGGAGAAACTTCAGATCCTTTTTCGCATTGTCAAGGCTCAAGTTGAACCCCGTTTCTACAAAGGGTAGGGTGTTTGTCCCATACTCTTCGCTGAACTCCCGTATAAACCTTCTCGTAGTTTCGGCCGGTGGCAAACCTCTTCGCACGGTCCTTGACTGCTGATATATCAGGCGATGGAAAAGTCTTGACATGAATGAGGGTACAAGGAACCCCAGAGGCGAGAGTATTGTGCTCAGGACGCGGTACATAATGTTGAATGGAGAGAAGAGGATGGAAAATAGAAACGAAGGACGGTATTGCGTTTCCGTTGCGATGGATGTGTCGACTCTTTCGACGGTGTCTTCGGGATTTTGACGAGGAGCAGGTTGTGTCGAAGAAAGCAGGGACTCGAATTGGAGGTTGGCAGTCTGTCGAGCGGCAGCAGGAGGCAATGCGGAACGAGCTTCTGCTAAAGGATCGGTGGCTGGCTCCCCGTCAAAGAAGCGGGCGATGGCGATCTGGACGTTCCATTCGCATCTTTGTAGCAAAGGAATGGCGGCGATTGGGTCCTGATCCGTCACTGCGGTGTAGGTCTGCAAGGCCTCCTGTTGAGAAGGACTCAGTTGGGAAATATCTTGAGAGGACATTTTCGAGGCTGCTTTCAGGGTAGAACTCGCAGGAGGTCGAACAGATGAGGCTATCGCTTGGAGGGGAAAGACATGCCCGATGTGCTGCCTGCTCCTGGCTTGAGGGAGGTTGGCTCACTGATAGAGTCTCATAGATAGGTATAGCTAAATATAACAGATGCGCTCTCTGGGCGGTCCACGGAGCGATGTCATACCTTCAAGTGCAGAGAAGAAGTGGGTAATGATGGCTTATAGTACTACGACTGCAGGAGACGCGAAACGCGGATAGCATGAAGTTGCACCGCCGCTCAGACCATCTGTCCCGCAGTCTGGTTGCTCATATCATCGACTCCTCGACTCTGACCTGACTTCCATTCATTCACCTTCTCGTCGCAGGCTCAGCCCTCGAACACTGGCCGCATCGTGTCAAATTTCCTATTCTTCTGCCATTTTGGATACTTCATATCGTCATGTGCATCCCCTCGCTTACTACTATACTGTGATTTCCAGCGTCCGCCTCAACACCATCACCCTCACCCGCCTACCCGAACGAACTCTTAAGATGCGGTAGATATCGCTTGTCTTGCGGGCGTTTCTATGAAGCGGATGGAGCCTCCTGCCATGTACAGAACCTCTCAGTAAACGATTATGGCCACAACTCTCAAGAACAATGTCGAAGACAAGCAAGCAGCTTTGTCCCCTCGACTCAAGGGTCGGGGTATGTGGACTCCGCCGGGCGACTCTGTCACCAGAGTTATTTCAATAGTGCCGTCCTTAGCTCTCCGAAGAGAATACGTGTTGCTGATACGTGGTCGTTGGTAGAAAATGCGAAGGATACGCTGTGTCGCAATGTCACGATTTATGGAAAGTGCCGCTATGAGGACAAGGGTAGACCACTCCAGGCTGTGTGGACTTGAGCAATTGTGACTGAAACAATTCAGGATGTGCCTTCAACCACAATATAGAAAGGTCGGCCTCCGAGAATGGACAGAATGACAGGTATAGCGTTCGGACTGCGGTTCAGATTGTATGCTGATACTCGCTTAGCCAGTCGAAGAAGACTCTGAACGTCGACTCTCCCAGTTTCACTCCTTCCTTCCTGTCTCCGAACGGTGCGAACGCTGCCATCAAAAAATCGGCCGGCATCTCCCCCAAGGCGGCAAGCGCTGCCCCTTTCATGCCCAAGGCCATCATCTCCCGTGAGCCGGAGTTTGCGATGACAAAAGCACATTATACCGGTGGCTGACATCTCATGCCAGGGTCTTCAAATGCAACACCCCTTCAGGATGCGCGAACGCCAGATTGGGCTATGGTTGACGTGCAGGAGTTTGTTCCTAGGCGGGCGCAGGAGCCGCCGTTAGTAAGTTGGCTTTGCAATCCTGATAATGACTCTTCTGTGGGGTATGGTTTCCTTACTGATGCCTTGTGTCGTTGCCTTTGATCAGACAAACGAGAATGAAATTCCTGTTGCGCATAATTTCGAAACGTTTCAACCTGGCCCCGCCCCGAATCCATACCTCGACCATGGCATAAACGGAGCTGCCTTCTTTCAAAGCAATCCAAGTTTCCAATTGCCGGTACCGTCTTTCTCAATCAAGCAATCGCTATGTCGCTAACCACTATAGGTGCAATATCACCAGTATGCACCCATCGGGCATCACAGCAGCAACCTTACCCCTTATCAGCGGACAGTGCACGACCTTTTCATTCCCAATGATTTGCGCGAAGAAATTCAGAAAAAGCTCGCCGCAACCCTTCAAACTCTACCAAGTATGCATTTTCAAGCCCAGATATGCACAAGCTTAACCACTGATATCATTTAGACTCGCAGTTGCCGAGTCACATCGAAAGCTATCATTCTCTGGTACCGCTTGACACCAATCATAAAAGCTCGACGATTTTCGGAGGCTACACTTCCTGGGTGTATAAAGCCCAATCCAGCACCAACGGTCAATATTATGCTCTTCGCCGAATTGAAGGTAATGGGGGCCTTTTGGATGCTTGGCTGTTTCTTTGTTAACTTCTAGCCAGGCTTCCGTTTGACGAACGAACTTGCCATCCGATCCGGGCAAGCATGGAAGAACGTGATCAGCGCCAGCGTCGTCCGGATTGTGGATGTCTTCACAAACCGTGGATTCGGCGATAGCTCGCTTTTTATAGCGACCGAATACCACCCCCTTTCCAAAACCCTGGCGGAGTACCACCACATAGGCCCAAATTGGGCACGGCCTGCCCGGAATATCAAAGAACAAGTCACGGAACCAACCTTGTGGAGTTATGTGGTCCAGATCGCATCGGCTCTCAAAGCAATCCACAGCAGCGGCCTTGCTGCCCGAGTCCTTGATCCCAGCAGAATCCTGGTGACGGGGAAAAACCGAATCCGACTCAATGGCTGCGGAGTCCTGGATGTGGTCCAGTTTGACAGCAGTAGTGGTGCACCCGTGTCCCAGCTGCAACGGCAGGATCTCGTGAATTTCGCATTAGTGATTCTGTCAATTGGCTCTGGAATCGCAGACGCCGGAGCGAACTTTGCGCGAAACATGGACATGTTTAAACGATTCTTCAAACCCGAGCTCCAAAACGCTGTTGTGTGGTTATATTCCGCTATGCAGAATCAAGAAAAGACGATCGACCAATTTGTCACATTGATTTCGAATCAGATGATTACAGCCTTCAATGCCGCCCTCCATACCGATGACACTTTATATTCGGAATTGAGCCGGGAAGTGGAGAACGCCCGCCTCGTCCGCCTCATGGCGAAGTTGGACTCTATCAACGAGCGCCCGGAGTACGAGCATGATCGCGCATGGTCAGAAAACGGCGAGAGGTATTACCTCAAACTATTCCGAGACTATGTCTTCCATCAGGTCGACGCCCAAAATCGCCCGGTCGTCGACATCGGACATATTGTCACATGCCTAAACAAACTGGATGCCGGTACAGACGAACGTATAACGTTGATTAGTCGCGATGAGCAGAGCTGTTTCATTGTCAGCTACCGAGAGTTGAAGAAGGGGGTAGAATCGGCTTTCCAGGATTTATTAAAGAGAAGCGCTCCGCTACGTTAGTAGCGAAGAGAATTATGGCGGACAAGTTATACAAGAGCGGGGAAGAGCAACTGATGGGAACGAATGACTGTGGTTTGTCGATTGGTGGTGATTGAACAATTCAGATGGTACGGAGCTAAGGCAAGATATGCAGAGTCACCGGGTGATGAGCAAGCTGGTTTAGTTGTGGGAAAGGCCAGGATCTAAAGTAGTAGTTGAATATAGACCCAAGACAAAAACCCAACGATTCTGAATCGCCGTTGCATTTAGTCTACAAGTTCTTTTCATTGCCAACTCCATGCGCAAACCGCGTTTAAGGGGCGCTGAAGAATTTGGCTTCAAGCCGCTGACATTGCACCTCGACCAGGCTGACTTGCGGATGCGCAAGCAGCGGATAGTCTCACTGTTGGCAACCTGATTGCGGGGACAGCATCGTAGACAGATACATGCCGGTCCTAGTACAAGTATACATGGCGAGGCAGATGGAGTTTCGAGTTCGAGATTCGTACTGAGCGAAGTGCTATTCTTCTGTTGGCTGCTGGAAAGGATTTTCAATTTCTTCACTTCCGTCCATCGGGGAGATCAGCACGAGTAGGGTTCCGCGAGCGACAACCAGACCCAGTGGCCTGGTGGTCTCATTCCCTTCATCATCTAGCACTCATCAGTCTCATCATTCCAAAGGCCTCTGCGGCTGGGGAGCACTCACCTCTCATGGTCTCTTTGACATCATCAAGCACCAGATTCATCAATTGATCGTAGCCTTTGAGGGTCCCGACGACTTGTAGACGTACAAAGTCAGCTCTCCACGAATCTCCAGAGGATGGGAGTGTAAACGTACTTTCTCTGCCGCCGTTGAATTTGACGTTGATCTGCTTGTCGACGTATTTAGTCAGGTCGAGAATATTTTCCTTCTTGGGCTTTTCATGAGATTGATTGGACTGGTGAGAGGCACTGCCACCACCTCGACCTCCGCCGCCTCGCCCCCCTCGATTTCCGCCGTGGCCTCCTCCACGACCGCCTCCTCGAAAATGACCTCGCTCGGACATCACTTGCTGCACTGCTATATCTGGGACGACCGGGGCGTGATTTTGTGGTTGTCGTGGAATAAGCAGGTTCGGTTAGTGTGAGATTGAGGATTTGCCCGATGCCAAAACAAGACTAACGCGGTTGGTGGATAATGCAGTGGTGGAGGGATTTGACGTCGGTCCTGTTTGACCTGTGGCTAACTAGGTAGAATGATGGGGGGGGTCGCTGGCTGCCTGTGTGTCGTGTTGGCCTGATGGGCGTCGGCGGCGTTTCTCGTTTCTAGGGTGGAGAGGAATGACTGAAATGCCGAACAAGCGAAAAATGGTAGGCAAATTAGGCAGTAGGAAAGGACGGTTTGGGGTGCGGTGGGTGGGAGGTTCGAAGGGACGGACGGGTTGGCGATGAATGGCTGCAGCCTGAGTTTCCGCCGACGCCAGTTAACCTTTTGCGGGCTGATCATTGGGCGGAGCGCCGCTCAGGATGGTGGCACAGACCGCAGCTGCAGCACCCCCTCCTCGCCCTCGGGCCTCCAGCCAACACGACAACTCGAGCTGAGAAATGGAAGAGAGCAAGAAAGGCCATTTGGCTAGGTACCTGGGTAGGTAGATGTGCTCGATATTATCATCAAGACGACAGCAACATCTGAGGACTTGCAAGGACATATTATTGTGTCCCCAGGTCTTCCCTCCAGCCCAACCCAGACACCTATTAATACTATAGGTCCAGGAGCTACCACCGAGGGTTGGTCACCTCCATCGCTGCCCAGCTAGCTTCCCGCCCACCACACGTCGGGCCAGTTCCAGAGCTCCTGCCGACAGTTGTAGCGGTTCCTCGACGAGCACGCAACGCGAGGCAACACACTCCTACATCCTGGTGTTTGGGAGAGAGAATGGCGGCCATCTTGGTTTGTGTTGCAATCAAAACAGCGGCTTCTCTCATCCCCTGGCGTCCCCGCGTCGTCCTCAGCATCTCGCCCATTGCTGATTCCGATTCCGCGGCCCGGAGGCCGCCCTGTCTTTTCACTGGTCGTTGTCCCGTTCTAAAATATGGTCGCCCATGCCGCCCTCCCACGGACCCAGCCCAGCAAGCCCGTGGCTGTCCTGCAGTGCAAGAGCATTAGTACAGTGGCCTTGTGCCGGGGCTGTGCTAGTAGGCTTAGGAGGCCTCACCACCCTCCACTCGAAGAATACTCTGTGTACCTGAAAGTATGGGTAGTCGTCCCTTCGCCGAGCCCCGCGAAAGCATCCCTACCGCACTCCGTACTCGCTACTAGAACAGCTAACTTAGTGGCAGTGTCCCTGCCTGCGCCTTTGTGATATGTTAGCGTGCCGACTGCCCTCCCTCTGCCTCTTGATTCTCCTCCCGTCCCAGATCGCTGCGAAGCACCACCTACTCAAGACTCTCGGTCACCTCTCGTCCTGCCATTCGCCATTCGCCACTCCTCCACCCTCCTCCGTACTCACTCACCCTTAGGCTTTCCGTCGGCCGACCTCCTGACCGTCCGCCGTTGCCCGACCTCAGCCATTCCTCCCCCTCCCGAAAGTCCGCACTACTAGTCCTACACCCCGACTCCCACACCAAGCTCCTCGTCTCTCTTCCTCCGTCCTCTTCTCCTTCTGACCCTCTGCCCACCTCCACCGAACGTCTCTCGGCACCTTTCTCCTTCGCTTGCGGCGCTGCAGCTCCAACACAGCTTTGCCTGTATCCAAGGCAACTGTGAGGAGCTGGACCAACACCGTCCCTGCATTCCTCCGCTCCCCTGTTTCACTCAAGCCTGCGACTGAGTTGAGCACGCGCAGCCCGGGCGCAGCGTAGCGCCGCGGCCACCTCCCATTCACACCACATCCATGCAACAGCCGAAGTGATGGAATCCTCCACCACCATGACTACCGAACATTCGTCCTCTCTCAAGCGGCCGCGCTCTCCCACTGAACACAACTCGCTCCCTGCTGCAAAGATTCCCCGAACCGCTGCAAATCATCTGCAGATTAACTATCTGGCCCGACAGCATAAAGAGACCATTCCGCTCGTCACTGTCAACGACAAGCTACCAGAAATAGCTCGTCTTCTGAGCGAATATGATGGAGTTATACAACGTCATGAGAGTATGGCCGGGAATTTGGGAGCATGCCCTCTCGGACCTATCTTGCTGAAGCGCTTCGAAAGATTGTTTGACGGCCCTCCCAAAGTGTTGAAATCGCACGCAAAGGATTCCAATGTCTCCTGGCTCGACGTGGTCGAATTTGCGCAGAACAATCCAAAACAATTCAACTTGGAAAGGACTCGCAATGGCATTAGAGTGTGCCAATTCTACACCAAGCAGTGTCGGGTCGAGATATCGGAGGAAGACTTTGTTCTCATTGCCAGTGGTATGCCCCAGAAGCTCATCCCACCCCAACCTATTCTGGAGGACGAAGAGAAGGAGCTCGGCGTTATGGATCTGTTGGACCGAAACCTGGGCCAAGTCATCCAGCTTGCAGATCAAGGTAGGCTGCTGGCGCTCCATCCTCTCGACATGGTATTATATTGACTAGCCACAGTTTCTGGTAGAGCCCGACAGTTGATCCATAAGATGAAGAACCGACGTAGCGCCATCCTAAGCCGACGTGAGCATGAGGCGGAGTCGGTGAGGAGAGGTGCTTTAGGGGCAGATGGGTCGCCTGTGTCCCCCGCCGAAACCAACGGAGTCCCCGCTGGCAAGCCCGTTAGGAGCATTGAGGTGTCCCAGTCGCCTCCTGTTGGATTTACTGCTGTCAATTTTAGACAGGCCGCCCCGGGAGATACAGAACCACGACCTTTCTTGGGGACGAGCGATGGCGTGAAACATCAAGGCGAGGATATGTACAACGCGTCGAACGCAAACATCACGATCATCAATGGCAAGTCAGTCAAGGACGCCTCACCTTCTGTCCGGGCCGAGATGATGAAGAAGTTCCTGACACCAGGCGAACGAGACGTTGGACTGAACGAGGACGCAGTTCGGCGTTCTTCGGTGGGTACCGCTCGTACAAACGCCATGCAAGCAGCGTCGACAGAAAGGGCTCGCTCTCATTCCGTCGAAGATCTCTCAGGCGGAACCCCAGGCAGCAAGAACCCACCCAGTGTGGCCATCCCCAATACACCCGCATCTCTATTGCCGCACATGAAACCATCCCCCTTCGAGAGGGATGATGGCGGACCGTTCAAGGCGGAAATGGTGCGAAGAATGGATAGTATGTGGAAAGGGGAGCGGATAATCCCTCCATGTGATCGCTGTCGAAGACTGCACATGGACTGTCTGAAGAACCTCACTGCATGCATGGGCTGTACCAAGAAGCATGCCAAATGCTCGTGGAAAGAAATCAAGGCTCACGAACTGCAACTGGCCGCGCGATCATCCTCACCGGAGAGAGACGTGGCAACGGCGGTGCCAGGTCCGGACACAGGCAACGCCCCACCGGTGTCCGCCGATGCGACCTTTGATGTGTCTCAACAATCGGACCAGTCAGCAGGGCCTGCTGGCATCGCAAGAACTTCCTTGACTCTGGCCCGGGAAAGCGGCGACGGGTTCACAGAGCGAGGAGCCAAAGAGTTGGAAGTAAGCAAGCCTAGTGAGCCGGCTCAACTCTACACAACGTCAGCCCGATTTGATGTCCGACCTCCGCCTTTGGCTCAGCAACTGCAGGATGCTGCGGAAGGGCGAATGACAGGTGGGCCGAATCCAGTTACTTCGCCGCGTTCGGCAGGTGAAAAGCGTTACGAGGAGGATGACGATGAAGGGGACCGGTTGCAGGCACTTGCAGCCCGAGTGTACCGTACCGCGTCTCAGAGTGGACATCGGCCGTCCTAGACGAGGTGACCTAGGTCAAGACACAATTTGGGAGGATCTTGCTGCTGGGCATCCCAGCATCTACTCTGTCACTGGAGACTTGGAGGAGCTACTTATGACGATTACTGGAAGAGACAATTGGGTGCTTGGCCACGGGATGAGTTGCATCACAAAAAGTCTGAGGAACAGGGTCAGTTTGGACGCATATAGGTAGAACGACTAGGACATGCTGGACTTATGTGGGGATATTGGCAGCTGTTGGTGACGATGCTTTGAAGACAATGGATGGCCTGATTGGTACTCGGTATTCTGGCAGAGTATACTGTAAGCGAGCAGCAATGTCTCGTGAGATGAATTAGTATACCGGACTTGGTGGACTCGAGCAGGACAATTATGTACTCCGTACAGTGTAATCTGTATGGTATCGTACAGAGGACTCCGTAGTATCATGTTTTATTGTATGCATTTCCCATGGGGAAGCTGACCAGTCACACCACCGGGTTTGCTAATATCTCATATACTCTCGTATTCGGAGTCACCACCCCCACTCCCCCTCGATGTGGGGAGAATTTTGTATGGGAGCCGAGTGCAATTGCCGATGTACCTCAGACCCTTCGGATAAGGTCAACACCGATGTCCAATCTTTCATTTCTCACTTCTCACTCCTGCCTGGCCTCCAGAGATTGTTCTTTCGATTCTTCTTTCGACCCTTCTCTCAAGACGGCTGCTTTGATTTGGCCACGCCGTGATTCGCCTGTCTGCTGGAAGTCTGCCCTACCGCCTCCGTAGCACTGACACTGACAAGTAACGCCGCATTTCGCACTTCCGATATTTTCTTCAGCTCTCTTGGTCTTTAGGTCCCCCACGAGAACGGAAGCGTTACGGGTAAGTCCTTGTAAATCCAAGATTTCTCTTGCCTGTGACTAACGTATGTATCGTCTAGACAGGACTACTCTCCTCTCCTTATAACCAACACTCCGGTCTGCCGAACAGATCTCTCACCAGCCTGCACCCTCTTACACAAGGTTACCGCAGACATGGATCCCTCGCAAGTCAAAGTTCCTCCGTTGATGGACTTGACCATTGATAATATCACTGAAAATGTCAACCTCATCAACTCGGGCAATCCGGATCCGCGCTTCAAATACGTTCTAGAGCGGCTGGTGGTGCATCTGCACGCCTTTGCTCGAGAGACACGACTTAGCACGCAAGAGTGGGCGGCAGGGATACAGTTCTTGACCAAGACCGGACAGATTTGCACCGACGTGCGACAAGTGAGGGCATTCCGTTTTGCGCAGACTTGTGTCTAGAGTCTAGACTTGACTTAATGCTAACTTGGACTCCTCGCCAGGAATTTATTCTGCTTTCTGATATCCTCGGTCTCTCCTTGCTGGTAGACAGTATCGACCACCCCAAACCCCCCAATAGCACTGAGGGGACGGTGCTTGGTCCCTTCCACACCCATGACGCCCACACTTTGGATCATGGCGCGTCCATGTCCCACGACGAGAAGGGCGAACCTCTCCTTGTCCTCTGCACTGCCAAAGACGTCAATGGGAAGCCCATCCCAGGCGTGAAGATTGACATTTGGGAAACCGACTCGTCAGGGCATTACGACGTACAGCATGCGGGTCGCACTGAACCGGATGGCCGGTGTGTCATGATCAGCGATGACCAGGGAGTGTTCTGGTTCAAGGCTATTGTGCCTGTGCCTTATCCGATTCCACACGACGGGCCTGTGGGACAGCTATTAAAGACGCTCCGCAGACATCCCATGAGACCAGCGCATATGCATTTCATGTTTGAGAAGGAGGGCTTTGATCATTTGATTACGTGAGTGAATTCTCGAGTACGTGATGGCGGGCAACTTACTAATGGCATATTTAGCGCGCTATATCTGAGGGGCGACCCTTATGAGACCTCGGACGCCGTCTTTGGGGTGAAGAATTCTCTAATTGTCGATCTAGGCAAGGTCGATAAAGCCACCGCCGAGAAATACGGCGTGGACGAGGGCATTGCGCTTCTGAAGCATGATTTCGTCCTCATCACGGATGAAGAGAGTAGCAAACTCCGAGAAGAGAATTCTAAGAAGGCCTTGGAAGCGCTGGGGAGAAGGGTCAAGATTGTTCAGGGGTTACCAGTTCCAGAAGTCGATTGAAGTACAATTGTCTGGGTTTCGATGGACAGCTATTCGAAGCGCGGAGAGATTAGAGTGCTTCGCGAGATAGAAAACATATGTACAGATCACGGCACTTCAGCTGGACATCCAGGAGCAGTCAGCTTCGACGGATTCGAAGCGAAGAACGGAGTAGCGCTAGGCACTACGAGGTATAGGTTACAGGTACAGGGAGAGTGTCTTGTAAGTGTAAAGTAACACCAGTCAATATAAAACAATCCATCCATCCATTCAAGATCAAGATAGCTAACGGTTTTGCGAATTCCAATAGGTAGAGGTACCTAATATACCGAACAGAGTGTTCTCCCACCCTCCCCTTTTCCTTTTCCACTTCCACATCCACTTCCGCTTCCACATACACGGCAGATCTAATAATCAGGTGATTGGCACGGACGTCCTTTTCAGGGTTGTCCTTCCAAGGGTTGTGACTCCGCTCCGCTCAGCTCCGCTCACCTCAGCTCACCTCAGCCTTGTTCTGCACTTGCACTCCACTTACATCGTGTCGTGTGTAATAATAACGACGAGTTCTACTCTGAGTGATCAGGGTAGCTGGATAGGATAGTGGTCGGCGGGTACGTGAAGTGTATATGGAAGCCTACATGTAAGAGGAAGCGTACGTGTATGTGTATGTATATAGATGCTCAGAAGAAGTCCCTATCGTCCACCGATTCCCAAACGAGCGGATACTTACTTCCTTACTTACTAATTATATATATCCGTACTTGGCAGTTAATTACCTAGGTACCTTAGGCAGTATGGTAGTACCAGTTCAAGGATTGTGAAGAGTGAAACTTTAGTAGGTGGAAAAAAGGAGACAGAGCCTCCCATGGGCCCTTGTCATGCAAGACTCCTCTTCTCTTCTCAATCCATCGCATCTCATCTCTCCAGGAGTCTTTGATTCATTTCATTTCATTTCGTAATTAGGTAGGTAGTTCATCTCTTTATTTTATTTCGTAAATAGGTACTTCGTCTCTTCGTTTCTTATTTATCCTCTCGGTAGGGTTTCTTCTCTCTTCTCAATTCATCTCATCACGCTATTTCCAACAGATGACTTCTCCCTGCATGACCGAGGCCCAGCAATCATCACATCACGCTCTATTTCCAACAGATGACCTCTCCCTGCATGACCGAGGCCCAAGCATCATCACATCCCCCCCAAGCAGCCAGGCCGGCCTTCATGTCCTCGATGGCGCGTTGATCATCGACGACGCCGGAATCGCGCCATCTCGCGCCCACGTCGCCATCGAGCCTCTCGGCATGAAGATCCGCCCACCATTTAGCGTCACCGCCCGGGCCGGCATAGCAACTGGCGCCGGCGCCGACTTGCATTTTAGCCCGGTCGAACCCGGCACGCAGGGCCCACAGATGCAGGGTCCGGCCGGCCTGGAACCCAGACGCACCTGTGTCGCGCACCGCTTTGTCCAGACCCTCGGCGTAGGCGAGTGTGCCGGCGTTGGCGGGGAGGAACGTGATGGCAAGCGCTTCGCGCATCGCGAGCATTCCCTCGGGCCGGAGGATGCGGTACGCTTCTTGCACGACGCGCTCTGCGGCCGGGATGTGCAGCAGCGTCTGGTGCGTGTAGACCACGTCGACTGAGGCGTCTGGGAACGGGAGCCGGGCGGTGACGTCGGCGACTAGGAATTCAAGGCTGGCGGGGTCCTGGTTTGCTGATTTCAAGGTTGCATCTTCGTTTGCTGAGTTCAAGGTTGCATCTTGTTCCATTTCAGCACTCGCACTCAAGAGAGACCTCGCCCGCTCAATCACCTCCGCCGACGCATCGATCCCAATCACCTTTCCGCCCGGCACGTGGGCGCAGAACCCGCGCGTGATCGTGCCCGGGCCGCAGCCGAGATCGACGACCGTGAAGCCGGGCTTGAGGTGCGGAAGGAGGAATGATGCCGAGTTCTCCACGGTGCGGGATAGATGCGATGCGAGGACGCTGGCGCTGTGGCCTTGTGTGTAGACTGTTGGTGGTGGTGATGTTGGTGGTGCTGATGCTGGTGCTGATGGTGTTGAGGTTGAGGTTGGGATTGACGTCATGGCTGATTGATGATGCACTTGCGATCTGAGTCTGGGTTGGGTCGATGAGTAGATGACAGTACTCCGTACCTTGGGTAGTACTCTGCACTCTACACGTATTCGTGTTGCGTTTGCGTTTGCGGATGTGCTGTGCTGTATTGTGTTGTGTTGTGTCTACCTGAGAAATAAGATCGCCAGGCTTACTGGTGCCTTACCAAGGGTGGCCTTATAAGCCTTTGTGTGGGATACAACTAATTACTGTAACTAATTATATATGTATATGCTTGAACTACATCTGCAGTCCAACTCTTGGCACCACATACTGTGAACTTGAGAGGAAAAGGAATCTCAACTCTATTGATTATTTTGTATTCACCCCGCCATAAGGTCATGATCGCGTTTAGCCACTTAATCACCAGTAAATCCGATGCTCCATGTAGATCTGTCCGACAAGACTGTTAGTTCAATCAGGGGAACGGAAAAGGGAGACCTTGACTTGGGATAGGACGGCTCTGGCGGATGATCCTTACCTAGATCCAGAGAATGGTACATGGTATGGTATGCACACATCCTCTCAACCTCCCTTGTTTACCCTTTTGTGATCGACAGCCTGTAAGGACTCGACTCAAGTGAAGCGATGAGATCGCTGTCCTGTAACAGAATGCAGAAATCGTTGTCGAAGCCGGTATCGCCATCGAAAGTTGCATCGAGGTCTTCCTGATCACGGCCATACACTTCATCTGGAGAGTCATCGACGTCGTCCCCGTCGTCCCCGTCGTCCTCATCATTGCCTTCATCAGCTTTGTCCCCGTTGTCATCCTTGTCCCCGTCGGTACCGTTGCGAAAACGTCCCCAAACGCCCATGCCACTAGACTCAACATGCGTGGAAGAATGATCAGATCCGAAGGCGTCGTCGATCAGACGCTTGATTGCTGAGCTGGAATAACCGCGACCAGAGGGTTCCGCTTCGTTGAGTAATTCACCCAACCAGGGCACCTGATTGAAAGCCAGGCAGTCAAAGTGGTCTTCAATAAAAAAAGACCTGACTTCGGAAAGGAGAGAACGGTATGAGCTGGCTAACTCTTCGTCGGTGCACTCGTAGAAGCGGTGCAGTTGAGACACAAGCCCGCTCATGCGCTGACAAGTCACCTGTAATTGAAGCTCAGGTGCCAACAAGAACTCTGTGAGCTTTTCAAAAACTTCGTCAGTCCCGCTCTCCATGATCTTGTCAATGCCCAAAGAAGGCACGCCTTTCGGACAACAGTCCAGGGTTGTCACATGGCCAAATTCGCTGTAGGTCTCACGATCATTAGATCCCCGAGATCGGCATAGGCAAACGCTGTGGCTTCCGTCAATGAGTAGTATCTCCCGAGAACCAAAAAGATCAACAAGTTGCAGCCATCGGTGTCCCTGTCGGAGGAAACCAAACCGGTCCTTTTTCGTCCCTGATTCTGAGAATTCAGGACCTTGATCCGCGGTGATAAGTTCCCAGACTTCATCGTGAGAAATGTCTTCAGAGCTCTCTTTGAATTCCGCCGCCCTGTAATAGTAAAATGCAGTGGAAACGCGTAGGTATTCACGTCCAATGAAACGAGCATACAATACCCTTCCGGCAAATGTTCCCTTAACATACGACGACATTTTATCCAAGACATCTATATCCCGAGACATATTCGTGGTGATAGGCAGAATACTCTGCCTTGCACACTTTAATTCGGTGAACAACTTTGCGCAACCTGACTCGTCTAGTCGCGGCGCAGCGGGGCCGACGCCACTGTTGCAATTCTCGGTGTTGAGGCCAGTAGCCGCGGGCTGTTCTTTTGAGAAGTCTTGGGGCCTTTCAGAGGCCTTTCATGTTCACCGCGGGCCGTGACACTCGCAGAGCAAGTGTAGCCATACTTGATGTAGCGATCACATCTGCGGCCAGGCCAGGGGCGATTGGCAGGGGTACACTGAGATCGATCAATCAGCAAAAGATTTTGGCAAGTGGAAGAGGCTGGACACGCCCAATCACCTTCTGACGATCCTGACGGCACCGGTGGCATTTCAAGTAGTTTAGCTTCCTAGGCTGGCGTTGCATATTCCAAAGGAAGGCAGTGATAATGATTGGATGAAAATGGGATGGGCTTCAGCCTTGCTAGAGTCAAAGATGGATTCGCTCAAAAGAGACTTCCTCAGATGTAGCCAGTGTTCTAACCGTCAGTGGTGCTGGTGTGTTTAGGTGTGAGAGAGAGAGAGAGAAAGAGAGAAAGAAAAAATGCGGATGAAAAAGTGCGAGGTTGGCCAGGTTCTTGTAGAAGTCTACCTTCATGGCACTCTATATTCGCACTCTGATACTCCCTTCCGGGGGTTCGCACTTCGCACTGCATACCCTGGTCATTTTCCTGAGCACTGAGTGGTCGCTTTTTTGGCCTTCGTGAGATTGAGATTTGATTGTGATTCGTCACCTTTTGCCAGACTAATGTGTCGGAAGTAAAGAAGCTGCACGTTTAGCGAAGCTGGCCGAGTACAATGCGTTTGCGGTGTAGATGGACACAGCACCTGTCACAGGTTGGCCACCTTTTTGTGTTGGCAGAGAGTACGGAGTAAGGAGTACGGGGTACGGTGGACTGCTACCACTTCTCGTCGCTTAAACGGAGTTGCAAGTGCAGAGTCGCCGTTGGTTCTTGCCGGTCGGGCTACTCGTAGTCAGCACAGCTGCGAGTAGTACTCCGTACCTGGCAATGGGCTTAGGAGGCCTTACCTTAGCCCTAAGGCCCAAGGCTGAGGTTTCCCTGGGTAGTACGTAGGTAGGACGATGTACGGATACGTATAGACTGGGGACTGGTGACAAAACACAAACCAGCAGATAGGTATAATATGTCGGTCGACCAACTACTCGCTCATCGCGCAGTAACAGTAACAGTAAGATTTATGATTCATGAATCCGTGCCTGTGAAGCAAGGCTGACCAATCACTCATCGACGTGCAAACTCATTGATCATTCTTTTCCGTCGGCCCCGAGACTAGAAACTACCTACCTAGGTAGGTAGGTAGTTGGTATAAGTTCCCCCTTTGAAACGAAATCGAAACGAGACAGACAAATGGCCCCTACATATTTATGTTATTCCCCTCCTCATGGACTGCTGCATGCATACAAATGCCAGAACCAACACCAAAAAAGGGGGGTGGGTCGTCTCGTCTGGACTCGAAGTGCCTTGATGTTCTCCCCATATTAATGGCTCGCCGCTCGCTCGCTCCTCCACATTAAGTCAGCCTGCCATAAACACATGCGGCACGCGCCACGCAAATCTACTGGTGGAAAGCCCGGGCATTCATCAACTTGTTGTTCATGGATCGCCGGGTCGCCGGGGCATTGGGCGAAACGGTGACGTTGTTGATGGCACACTGCTGGCCGAACGATTGGAGCCAGGCGCCGTTATCGAACTCGGCGTAGTTCTTCAGGATCTTGCCATCCGCATCGATGATAAAGTGGTTGATGCCGGTCACCGGCAGGGCCTGTGGGTTGGGCAGGAGCCGGTATCTCCAGGTGACACTGTTGCAGTCGTGGAAGACGTTCAGCGTTGTGACCGAGACTTCGGGTTGTAAGACACCTTGGCCGTAGTCGAAGGCGGCCTTGCTAGCGAAAGTGACCGACCCAAGCTGCAAGAGAGAGAGGAAAGCAGGTTAGCGGAGCACGGACAAACACAAGACACCTCACGCCAAAAGACCGCCGGGAGTAAACTTACAGGGAAGCCAGCCATGAAGTTGATCGAGTCGGAGATATCGGTGAACTGGTCGGATAGAGTCGCGTCGGATATGTCCTGCTTGTAACCACGACCAGCAGGGGCGCCCTGGGCCGGGTTGCCGGCGTACGAAGTGTACTCCAGCAGCGTTGCGAAGTTGTTGGTAAGCTCGGTGGCTTTAGCATCGTCAACCACGCAGGAAGATGCGGGAACAGAGCTGGTAGTGGTGGTGCCGGGGGCGGTGGTGGTCGCGCTGCTGCAGGCTGATCCAGTTCCGGACACCGTCACGGTCGTCGCAGTCACGTTGCCAGGCGCGGTGATGGTCTTGGTGACGGTGGTGGCGGTCGCCGATCCGGACACCGTCACGGTCGTCGCAGTCCCATTGCCGGGCGCGGTGATGGTCTTGGTGACGGTGGTAGCGGTGGCCCATCCGGACCCGCCGACAGTCGTGGTGACAGTGCTGGTCTCGGCGGCCGGGCAGGTGGTGCCGGAGACAACGACGGCCGGGCCGGTGGGAGCAACATAGACCGTCTTGGTGGTGGTGGTGGGTGCGATGGTGGTGGTCTTGATGTCAGTGAAACCGTAGCACGAGCATGCACTGGTGTAGGCGGCCTCGTCGCAGGCACTGGCATAGTTGGGCACATGGTTGGGGCAGACAGTCACGCTGGCGCGCTTCCAGTGGCCTGCGTCCTTGCCAGATCCCGTCAGGGTCACGGTCTCGGTAATGGCGGGGGGAGTGACGGTGGTGGCCAGAAAGCTCGAGCAGTGTTCGCCTCGAAGGTGCCCATCACCGAGAGCATCCTTGCCGGTCACGGCAGCCAAGCAGGCATTCGACTTGCACTGGGAATTGCCTCGTTGCTCGAGAGGATTCGCAACGGAACCGGCGATCAAAGCTGCCAGCGGCAGCGCAATGGACAAAAATCGCATCTTGAGAGGAGCTGAAGAGTGAGAAAAAACGAGAGGCTAAGGTCGGAGACCTTGGAATTGACAGCAAGGTCAGAAAAGAACGTGAAAACGAGTGGATGATTGGAACCCCAATCAAGCAGACAAGCAAACAGTGAGGTTATGAAGAGCGATAGTGAGATGGGGAAAAGCAAGTGAAGGGAGCTGTCATATAGGGACGGCGGATGCTCTTATGCCAACCTTATCCTTAGGTTCTGGCCGATCACAGACGCTATTGACTTTTCCGAATCCGAAGCCCCAGCCAGCCACGAGGACGGCTGAGGTCTGGTGGAAAGTGTGCAAAAAGCAAGCTAATTTCCAAAGCGAAACCTTGGGCTGGGTGAGATTCGCCGAAAAGGAGTCGCGGGTCCACGGCTTGCTGACTCCCATCCAGGCCCCTAACCGAAAGCCGTTGGTGGGGATGCACAACTTACACACAATGGCAGACTGCCAGCAAGGATGGACATACTCTGTTTGTATGAACTCTACTGAAATCCGGACATCAAGTATACTCTGTAGATGATAGCCGCCGTCAGAGCGCTCGGTCGCCGTCAGAAGTCGACAACGTGGGAAATGGTCAGTGTGACCGGATCGGCCGACGATCACAGGTGCCATATTGATCTGACAGAGGATTCAATTGCAATTCGACGTCTTGTCCAGTGGATAGTTCATCCTGCAGCAGCATCCGTACGAAGTACCCCGTATAGTAACATCACGCATCGTAAGCCTTCCCGGACTCCCCGAGTTCCAGCTCGGTACCAGCAGCGTCAACAATAATGAGCTTTCAGGAGATGAGCGAGCCAGAGAGGACCGATCTCGTTTAGTGGCTGCGAATGGATACGCGCCAGGGGAGGTGAAGTGCATTGGAAGCCAATCAGCGTCAGACTTGCTTGTTTGAGGCTGACCCCGGCCACGACCTCTTCTGGCCATGGGTCAATTTCCCACGCACAAAAGATGCACGCCTCAGGTCTCGACCGCGGTCGGCTTGTCTCCTCGAGTCCCTCGAAGTCGGGCACCTGACCTGGTGGCGGTGCGACACTTATGGCTCCAAGGACCAACCACATTCTTACGAATTTCTGGGCGCTCAGCACGCTCCATAGCCTGCTTCTGTCGCTAAGGTACTCTCGACAGCCTTACGCACATGGTCATCGACCACTTCCTGGACCGTCAGACGTCAGATTGGTCGGCATCCTCAAAGTGTACCTGGGTCTCCTCGCGATCAGGGGTGGAAGAAGTTGGGTCTCGTCTAGGGGAGGGCTCAGCATGGAACAATCCGGCCAGGCTGGTGCAGGCGGGGGTGCTCCATTTCCTCGCGGGGATGGGGGACATATACGTAATGGAGCTGAAAGGCAAGAAACAAGAAACAAAAATCATGAACCATGGCTGGATGTGAGCCGCGCGAGGGATCGCGATCTCCACGGAGGAAATCGACTATTGCTTGTGTGAGGGATCAGGGATCACCACTCCCTTCCTTTCTATCGACAGGGAGACAAGGACTTTCTGTACCAGGATTAGTGCTCACCACCAAGCATTCGCCTACCCGGGAGCCCACTCCTGGATCGACCAATGACAAGGCAGCAAATTATCTTTGCGGGATCCGCCCTGAGCCGTTCGTTCTTGTGCTTTAATTTCCACTGCGCTCACCTTCGCCAGCCCAAAAAATTCCTGCGGTCATGGATTTTCCCTTTTCTGCCATCTCACCATAAGCGATGACCGTAAGCGAAGACCAAGAGCATCACCGCGTTTCGAGCAGCTGCAGACCATGATCCATATTTAGCCCCTAGCGGGCTTCAATGGCAGCGTCACCCTCTACCCGCTAGGCGAGGATATCCCTGTTCACCTCGACGGTCAGCGTGTTTGGATTGGCGCAATTGTCTTTTTGCAGGGGAGCGGTTGTTGACTTTCGCAAATCTCGTGTAAAAAGGAAGGATCGAGTGCAGGCGCATACCCGGGAAAAATGTGTCCCTATTTGGAAGAACCCCCTGATTCAGCCTCCAAGCCACTGGATCCTCTAGTGCTTCATGGTAGGTGAAAGTCAAAGGCCCTCTTCGATATTGTTGCACTTCCTTACGTTCTTTTTGTCTCCGCAGTACATGATTTGCCTCAGCTCTATCAAAGACCCTCAGCGACTACCTTGCTTCAGACATTAGATCTCCTTTGTTGTGAGACGCCCAGTTTCTCCAAAATCAATCACGCTCGCCAGGTCAAGGTTGCCGAACAAGGTGTTCCGGGATATCTCACCTCGGTTGTCTCGTCAACTCTACATTGGATTGACGATGACGAGGCCAAAGAGTCGATATGGAGTGCTGCAAGTGCCCGATTGAGTGAGCGATCAGGCAGGAACGCGATGCCCTCGATGACTCGCTCGTTCATGATCAATGACTCACTTTCAATTAGCCTGCACGAACCCTCTCTTACGGGCGACAGCCTTGGGCTCAAGACCTGGACATCCTCGCTCTTACTGTCACAGCGGCTGGGGCAGTGCCGTAGGTACATCCCACAAGACTGTGCAAGAGTGCTTGAGCTGGGAGCGGGAACTGGTCTTGTGGGAATCTCCGCTGCTTGTCTATGGAACAAGCATGTTCTGCTAACCGACTTGCCCGAGATTGTCCCTAACCTCCAGCGGAATCTTGAACATAATCGAAGCGTCATCACAGATAATCATGGCTCTGTCGAAGCACGGGCGCTTGACTGGGCCGACGAGACTGATACTCCCGGTGACGAGCAAGAGAAGTTCATGGTCATTCTTGCCGCAGATCCTATCTACTCTCCCGACCATCCCAGAATGCTTGTTAACACGGTGCGCCGGTGGATTTGTCCAAATCCCAAGGCCAGGTTCATCGTTGAACTGCCACTGCGAGATCGATACGATCAGGAAAGACAGAACCTGAGGGAGACTCTGCGCCATGAGGACTTTGAGCTAGTGGCTGAAGGCACAGACACAGGATTTGATGACTGGCATGGCCGGGATGGCCATCCAGTTGAAGTCGAATGTTGGTGGAGTGTCTGGAAGCCAGATAGGTGAAATTGCGCAGGCGGGTTGGCTGAACATGACCGAATTTAGACATAGACATAGACATATCATTCAGCCAGCTCGCTGGGATGGATGTTCTCGACGGCGAGTAACTCCCCGCTGTGGTTTTTCGTGATTCGGGTTCTGTGTTTCTCCAGGCCACACCTTTCCTCCCTATGACGCCTTTCCCGTGGGCACAATCTGTGCGGAATAACTCGCATTTACTGTGGTCGGTACCACTTCGACCTCAGCATCGGGGATCTCGTGCAATGTCTGCGGTGTAACGCCATGCTCTGATGCCATCCCATAATCTTGTGAAACTCCTTTTAAACGCTTGGACGTGCCGGCACGCATTTGGTCCTCCGCAATAACGCCAAACACATTCATTTATTTGAGAATCTCCCTCGTCATGTTCAGCCCATCACTGCGCCTTCAATCTTCGTTCGGCAGGGTCGTATCTATGTCGCGAATGGAATATTAGCAAGTGCACATGCTTTCTGCCAGGAGCCCATTTGGTGCGTGTCTGAAGGGAAATAAACGTACTGTAGCAGCTTCTCGATCAAGTCCACGTGGGTCATCAGCATGCGCCGACAGCAGTAACGCTTTGCGCCAACTTGATCCATTGCCTCGCTATTCCAAGATGCACCGTCAGCGTTCCATTCTCATCAACTCTGCCACATGTCGTAGACTGGTGAATCATGTCAGATAGCACTTACCCATCAGGGACGCCTTCCTCCAGCAACTTCATGTAACGCTCCCATTTGTCGGCTATCACCTGGCAACAATGTTAGTTTTGGTCGGAGGGAAGAATGAGGGCAGAAACTACCTTCCCGCAGGAAAAGCAGCGGATGGGGATGATCATCTTGCACGACCGACAGATGAGGGTCTTCCCACGCAGTACTAGTATAGGGTCGCGAAAGAGAAATCTGATACGTGAGGTCCCCGTGGTGAATAGCCAGAAAATTACCTCGCTGCGGCACGACTCGAAAGAAATTCCCGCTACTTGGAGGATCAGGCAAAGCAGGGCAACTATCCCGACCTCTGCCTTGGCAGACACGGCGAACTTTCCCTTCTTGACAACGAAGACTGGTGCGGAGAAAAAAGTTCAGATTTCGTGAGGCTGCGCATTTGAACACAGCTTTCAAACCAAGGAGGGCCGAGCAGTGTCTTTCTCCTACGCGGTTTCTGAAGCAAAATGTCGCAACTAGCCAAGCGTAATGCGGATGCTGCCTTTGAAGACATTGCAGCTGACAGCCCTCACTCACGAAAGCGCCAGAGAAAAAGAAAGAATCGGAAAAGCGAGGACAAGGCCTCAAAACAGCCAGAGACTGAGTCCTCCCCTGCTGCAGTCTCGCCAGCGAAGCCCATCAAGAAGCAATCTGCGATACCACAAGAAGAAATCTCAAACCCAGTACACCAATCAAAACCGACCAACGAAGTCACCAAACCATCAAAGCCTCGCACGACAGGTTTGACGAAAGAGCCGACTGCTTCGGACAATGGCTTATCCGGTTTGGGAGCATCTACGGCAGATGACAAGAAGGCTCTCATCAAGAAAAAGAAGAAAGGGCAGCAGAAGTCCTCACAGCTTGAAAAGAGAAAACCCAGACAGCCAGATGGGGATAACAATGCCTGGTCTCTATCTTCAAGTACAGGAGGCGTGTTTATTGGCCAAGATCCTCTCTTGACAGAAGACGACCAGTACCTGATCCTTCCGACACACTCCGAGATTCAAGTTTATTCTACTCAAACTTCGCTCCTAGTCAGGAGTTTCCGAGTCGACAACAAGTCCGATATCACAAGCTGTGCTTTCTCCAATGCTGATCCAAAGAAAGTGTACGTTGCAAATTCACGAGGCCTGCTTTCCCTATGGGATTGGACAACAGGGAAACGATTGAGCCGTCAAGACACCGGGCGAGGACTGCAGCAAGTGTTGCCCTTGACATCGCAGGACGACAAGGAGACAATACTCGTTCTCCAAGAGGGGCAAAAGAACAAAACCGCCGTTGTTTTTGCTGTTGACTCATCTACCCATCAGTTGAAGGAGATACAACCGGTGCTTCGCCGGGCTGATCTTGTATCTAACATAAGGTCGTTGGCCGACGGCAGTGTGTTGGTTGCTTGCGCGGATGACAAGCTGTTAGTGGGACAGTCTCAAATCGGGTCGGATGGGAAGCTTACTCTGGATTATACTTGGAGAGAAGTGTCAGTGTCTGCTCCCATCTTGAGCTTCGATGCTCAGATCAACGTGGGCAAGTCGAAGAGCGGTAGAAAAGTGCCCTTTCTGGATGTGGTACTCGGCCTGAACAGCGGAGTCATCGTTCACTATGAAGATCTGCTCTTCAAGCTCATTGGGAAGGAGAAAAAGAACTCGACAGACGATATATTGGGCCGTAAACTCCACTGGCATCGGACAGGGGTCAATTCAGTGAAATGGTCTCGTGATCGCAACTACATTATTTCCGGGGGGAACGAAACTGTGCTCGTCATCTGGCAGTTGGACACGAATCAGAGGCAATATTTGCCTCATCTGTCGACACCCATTCTTGGTCTGACCGTTTCAGCTACCGGCTCAGCATATGCATTACGGCTGGGAGACAATTCCGTCATGGTCCTGTCAACGGCGGATCTGCTACCGTTCTCGAGCGTCAGTGGTCTGGCATTGGGAGACGGCCAGTCAACTTCGTCTACAATGGTACTACATCCGAATAATGCAAATCAACTGGTGGCTGCGGTCACTGCCAATGCCGTCACACACGGGTCTCGCCCAGCAAAAAGCACAACCCTTCTTCAAGTTTACGATCTTCAATCGAACCTTCAACTCAGCCGCCAGGCTCTGTCGAGGAACATGATAACGGCCCAAAACGTGGCCCCTACTGGCGAGACAGTCAAGGAACCCAGTGTGACCCATGTTGCTATCAGTCAAGACGGAACATGGTTGGCAACAGTTGACGAATGGCACCCAAACGAGCAAGATCTCCAGCCAGTGTACATCGATGCAGATGTTGCCACGACACGAGGTCTTGCTGTCGAAACGACACTCAAGTTCTGGCACTGGAATGCGGACGACAAGATCTGGGAGCTGGTCACTCGAGTGGATGAACCCCACAAGCCAGGTCTTCATTCTGTCCTTGGTCTGAGCGTCAATCCGACCAAACTCGAAGTTTCTACCATCGGATCAGATGCTTCCATCCGGATCTGGACCCCTAAAGCGCGACATCGGAATGGTGTCGCCGTGAAGAACAAGTCCAATGAGCAGTTGTATACCTGGGCGAGCTCGAGGACAATCAAGTGCGACTCGGAAGGGCAGGGCCTAGCTGAGCCCGCAACGTCTGCAGTACTTGTGTATTCCGAGGACGGGTCGGTGCAAGCGGCCTCGTGGTCTGGGCCCGCCTCAGCACCTCGGTATGTCCACCTGATCGATCCTGCGACAGGACATATCTGCGTTTCCCAACCCGATCTTCTATCGCCCGGGGACGGGAAACTCGCCTTTGCTGGCCGTTATCTTCTATGCCTCTCGCAGACCTTTAATGTTCTCGACACTCTAACCACTCAACTTGTCGCCAGCATCACTCTCGATCCCAACTACGTCGCACCAAGTAGTCAAAGCCCAAGCCTGCTCGCGACAAATAAACTGGACGGGACGGTTGCTATCAGCATTTCACGCTCCGACAAGCCTCGATCCACCAAACTGCTTGTTTTGAGTCTTCGCACCGGGGAGCTGGAGCCCCTGTTCGAGACTTCGTTCACTGGCTGTCCAAAAGGATTGCTCGCGCTGACAACGACGCCCGGGTATTTGGTGGTTGACGACAAGAACCGCCACCGCTCATTGAGACCCGCGGGTGCATGGACGGCCATTCACGCGGCTTCGGTGGACATGCAGCAGTCTGACGAAGCCACCAGGAGCCTCGACAGTATTTTCGGCCAAGGCCCTACAAATACGACGACGGAAGTGGCTCGACCAGGTGCAGAGCCGAGAGGACTGCTGGAAAGTGCAGACCCGACCTCTGGTGCTGCAAGCTTAGACACCGTGCTAAACATTGTATCCTCGGCTCAGGCGCCAACCCCAGCAGAGCTGTTCCAGAGAGTCGTGGGAGTATTGGCACGGGCATGAGATGACGACGAAAGACACTATGGAGGTAGAGGCTACTACTTGAGTGATATGTTTGTCCCTGGAAACAGCCAGAGGCAGAGCTATAGAGATGGGAAGATTGATTTGGATACGAGTAGCTTCGAGCCTCGATCTCGCTGGGAATGCTTTAGATGTTGATGCTACTATGTACAGTCGGACATGGACGCTGTGAGTGTGGCGCCCGGAGGTACATACACGAGGTAAATAGCCGTTCCGAGGACTGTGTCAAGGAAGTCAACGAGAATGCTCCTATGCAATTAGGAACAATCCGTACTGGTCCCTGTGCAAATAGGACCACGTAATAGTGAATCTGGAAGCACCAGAAGTTTCCATATATGTTAGATACCCCTGACTAATCCATCGCCCGGCACGGCTAAATACAGACAGAGTACGGGAATGCCAGTGTCAGTTGAATCTACCGTGCGGCCGCCGGGCCAAAGGCTCAGGAGGCCCCTTAGCCTAAGGCCGAGGGACCACATTGCTGTGCGGGGGATTTCCAGTGCCGACGAACCATCCCCAAGCTCAAGCTCAAAGCTGAAGCCCCTCATCGCTACCTATCGGTACAATGTAATTTGAATAACGCTGACAGGAACAACCGCAGGCGGCTGGGCGCCATGAAACCGAGGTGGGAATCGCACCATTGACAATGCTGATGGTGATACTAGAAGCCATAGGCTAGTAAGTTCGGTTGCAGTCCAGGGACGAAACGGCCTATATAACCAAGCCGTCTACCTCCTCCTGTCTCCTCTTCGCCCCGCTCTCTCCTCCGAGCCTCTGCTTTGCACCGCCTTGCCCACTACCAACCACCACCACTTGCCTCACCTCACGCCCTGCACCACCGCGACAAGCCCCCAAAGTCCAGAGAAGACATAAGAGACCCCGAAGGAGACAACAAGCCGGTCAACCCTCCCCCTGCAGGACAAAATGCCCGCCAACGCAACCGTCCTCTACCCCGCCGACTCGGACGCGACATTCGACCTGGACTACTACCTCAAGACACACTTGCCGCTAGTGCATGAGAAATGGGGCAAATACGGCTTGACGGACTGGAAAGTCATCCAGTTTGCCACTGGAGCAGATGGATCTAAGCCGTACAGCGTCGCGGCTCTGTTGACATGGGACACCATTGAGTCTCTCCAGAAGGCCCTCGGCACCGAGGATGCCGGTGTCATCTTCGCAGACGTGAAGAACTTCAGCAACAAAGCCCCGGTGTTCTTGCTGGGGAATATCGTCGGTTCGTTGTGATTCGCCCATCACTTGGTCCTACCGCACAGTGGCGGTCCTCGCATTGCCCCCGGCTCCTATGTCGGACGGGGGTGCTTGCGGAGCAAGGATGAGAAAGAGAAGGGTAAAGGTTGGGGTGATGGTGGCAGTTCAAGTGACGGTCATGACTGGTCGCAGAAGAGTGTATGTACCGTCTACAGTGTATGGAGCAGAACACATATACCAAGTAGATGGTATGCAAATTGGATTGTCCTGATCGAAGAAAAGATAAGTGTACGGATGCATGTTTGCTCTGCAACTTCCCTCCCCTCTTTCCATCTACTTGGCTAGTCTGGTAGTTTTGTCTTTGTTGAATTGTTGCCAGGCCACTCACTCACTGTCCGATGGCTACTTCGCGCTCCTCTGTATTCCGTACCTGGCCAAAGTGCTGCCTGACTTGAAACAAGAGTTTAACCTTTTCGTTTTCAATCTCAATCACTCTGCCGAACTTACAGACCTCGCTCACCCACGCATGTGACACCACCCCACAGTTATTGTTGTTGCCTGCGATCCGACGGCCTCAACTGAACAGTGGCAACGGCGTCGCCCAAATTCAAATGGTCGGAATCAGTTCTCTTCAAACTCTATTCCATCCAGGCCCCGCTGTTATAGGATCGACAATGCTCTAGAGCCACTTCTCAATTTAAGATGAAAAATCCTGGGCAAGGACAGTTCCTAGGTAGTTCAAACGTCCATCAAGAGAAGTCTGGGTAAAGATGAACAAGCGATCGAAGAGACATCCAAGAGATTTCGAGCTGATGGATGAGAACATCGTTGGCATTTACCTCTCGGAGCAACCGTTATGCGATACGAATCAAACAACAAGAGATGATGAACCGAAACTGCGGCGCTTCGTCAACGACCAAGAAAGCATTCAGCAACCCCGTCTGGTCGGCAGTGGAATACACGGCGTCGTGATTTTGGCAGTCATCAAAGGCGCTGAATATGCCTTGAAAATCGTAAGTCCGGCTTCGATGAGTGCTGAAATCATCTGATGTCTGGTCCAGTTCAAGGAATGGAAGCAACCCGGTCCTGTTTTCTATTCATATGATCGCGCCATCTACGTATCTCCGCTTGCTTGCGAATGCAGGGCTTATGCTCGGCTCGACTCAATCAACGAGAATGGAACATGGGCTGCCAAGTGTTACGGTTGGATGAGGTTATCCGATGCACAGTTCAATCTGCTTGGGAATACTATCGATACCTGCGGGTTGAGCCGATGGGTCGTCGTCAAAGAATACATATCATCCCCGACAAACACGAGCCACCTCCAGACGATCTCCGAGAATTTCAAAATCCCCCAAGCGGCGAGGATATACCCTGGCGACATCAGGCCTCCAAATTACAGAGGATCAAAGATCGTCGATCTCTCAAGCACTTTGACAGACCCGTGTCCGGAGTGGTCGGAATTTTGCTTCGGCTTCTTCTACGAGAATCTTGTCCATGGTGTTTTTGATTGGTTCAACGACGAGTAAAACTTGTCTCAGTAAAGGCCATAATCACCGCTTCGCAGGGCCTTTACCCTTAGGTATGCCTGAGCCCTGATGTACTCGGAGTATGCCTGAGCCCTGATGTACTCGGAGTACCTCCAGATGGCACCGTCGCATGAGCTTTGCCAGATCGTTGTTCTACCTGGCCATGCCCACTTACTCTCTAGTGGTGCTGTTCCCCTTCTTGCTTTGGAACCCTTTGCAATCTCGGTAGGGTCTTCTGGGTTACGCTCAACATAGAAGTAAGGCCAAGCGACTCTCAAGGCAGCAGAGACTTGTGACATGATTTCTCGCTCTAGGACAGTCTCGAACGTGTTGTCGGTGAAGATTTCCTTCTCCAGTTCTGTCAGAGGAGGAGAAGTTTCCGGCATTGGCGGGACCTGTGTCTGTAGAATATTCCCGTAGGATTGCATCAGTGCATCATAACTAAAGTCCGCCCAATCCTCCAGTGCGGTGGTACGGTCCCAATTGGCGTTAAATGAGTTTGAACCGACGGAGGACCTGGTACAGTTCAAGTGTGGGGTTGGGTCGAGTGAGATATTCCAAGAGAGTTGTGTCAACCATTGTCAATGTATTTTAGCTACTGGTGCTGTCTCAACATTAAACGGAGAATATAACTCAGTTCTACTATACTGCCGTACTTATATCCTTACTTCTGCAGTCCACTTGAGCGGGAGGAGATGCGGAAGGAACCAGCCTGATAAATCTTGACACGTGCCAAAGCTAGCCAACGCACAACCCCTACCTGAGGTATGCTTGGTCGCATGCCTAAGCGACTTGAAATCATGTCTTCTGGGGTCGGCTGGGAAGATCCAGGCTGTGCTCCAGGCTCCCGATTAGAACTGCCAGGGCTAAGGCTGAGGCTGGGTGCCAAAATACATGGCGGATTATACGGCGGTCCTTCTATCAAGTAGATGGCTGCTATCTCTAGATATAGATATAGAATTTCAGTACTCGAAGTAGGAGATTTACTCTAGGGAGGCCGTGGAGTATATTCAGTATCTTAGAAAGATAATCATCCGATGGAGCTGAAGGTTTCCCTAATCCTATCGAAGTAGCAGTTAGGCAAACCGCCTTTAATTCTGGCACCCGCCCTAAGGCTCAAAGGTAGTAATCATGGTGGTCTGGACATGGCGGTCTTCTGTGCCTAAGGCCTTAGGCTCATGCCTGGATCAGTCAATTCAGCGTTACTACTCGGAGCGATGGCTGGCATGCGAACGTCTAAGGGCTTGGAGGGTGCGCAAAAAATGCCTCGTTGAAGTAACAACTGATTTTGACCATGTATACATTAGGAGCTGACACGCTCCAACTCGCTTGAACTCCTCTCAACCTGTCCGACTTCCAGGGGAACGGCTGAGCATGACAAAAAACCCCAAATAGACCGTGACTCTAGGAGGCTGAGCGAATAACATGTCGGGCCCTGATACCGCTCAGGGATTGCTGAGCAGATACTCTATGGCCCCGTTCACGCTGCCACCAGTTCTTCGCAGTGCCTGAATGTTGCGGTCAAAATCATAGAAGCCCATATCGTTGAGTTGCTGGAGTTGAGTAGCATATCGTTCTTCCGGTGGTCGATTGTCGGGTGGTGACGTTGGCCGTCCGGCTCCAAGGAGATCGAATAGATTCCCAGTATTGGCTCCGGTACCCGCGCCACCACCCATAGCTTGCATGAACTGAGCCATGGCCTCCGGGTTCTGCAAAAATGGATTATTCTGAGGTACAAAGGGATTCACAGGAGGTGGCGAGGTGGTACCAGGGTTAGTACCTTGTTGCACCTGGCCGAACAATGCAGGGTCGAATAACGCGGCGAAAGGGTTTGGTGGCTGTTGCTGTTGCTGCTGTTGGCCTTGACCGGTCGGCGTCGCCCCCTCGGTCTGCGAAGCAGTGTTGTTCTGCGACGTGGGTGTCGTCGTGCTTTGGCTGGGATTTGGAAAGGGGTGGAATAGGCTTGCGAACGGATTGGCACCTGCGCCAGCACCTCCTCCAAACGCAGCGAATGGATTGGCACCAGCACCGGCACCAGCACCAGCACCAGCACCTCCCGCAAGGGCAGCAAACGGATTCGCGCCGGCACCAGCACCTGCAAGCGCAGCAAACGGATTCGCACCTAGACCGTCACCTCCACCAAACGCAGCGAAAGGATTCTGCTGAGCTTGTTGCTGCTGTCCTGCTGGGGGGTTTGAGTCACTCCCAGTATTTGGCGTGTCGGTGGTATTGACAACACCAGGTGCCGGGAAAGCCTCTTGGCCGCTAGCACCAAATGGACCAACTCCCATGACTTGCTGCATCTGCATAATCGATCGAATCGCCTGAGGGTCTGTCATGACGCGGCGGAAATAGTCGGATTGCAGTATCTCCCTGGCTTGCGGCCCCATTGCTCTCAGCTGCGGACTCTGGTTGATCATCATATCTATAACTTGAGGGTTGTTCATGGCTTCTCGCATCATTTGCTGAAAGTTTGGATCTTCTAACTGCCGCACAAAATCTTCTGGACTTTGTGGTCCCTGCAACATGCTGGCACTGGGAAGCTGTGCAAAGCCCGCATATCTCGCACCGGTCAAACCGGCCAGAGGATCGTTTCCAGTGCCCGAGGCCAGATTCTGCGGTACCCCGGCAGCTGGCGGTGCTGCACCAGGCGAGGAATTGGAAGTAGAAGATTGCGCTGCTGGATTCTGTCGTTGATTACTTGCGGCACTCTTGACCAGGTGCATGGTGTTCCCTTCTTTCACATTATGCTGCGCCAGTGTTTCGTGGTCTTTCAATACTTTGCCGCTGTAAATCAATCGCTGGGCCGACGCAGGGACATTGGCATATTCCTCGGTCGCAAGCTTGTTCTTTAGGTCGATTGTGGTTGTTGAGAGAGGTACGGATAGAGTGTACTTCTGTCCGCCAGACGACTTGACGTGGAAAGTAATCGTCAGATCTTCGGCGCCTGAAGCATCAGCCATTGTAGCGATGTCGGGTCAGGCGAATCTATCGTGGTTTGTCGATTTGTAATGGGTCCGAGGAGGTAGGGTGGAGGACGGAGGTTGCAGCGCTGGGAGTGGTGAAGATGGGTACGATGACACTGTGTCGGGTAGAAGATGGAAGAAGACGGCGGAAGGAAGAGACAGGTGACCGATGGTTGTGTGTCAATGAGGGAAGTGATGTTGATGACGAGGCAAGGGGCGAACTGGCTGGAGGTAGTATGATAGCAATAAAGCACTGCGTCGTCTCTTGTACGGTTGCAAGTTTCCTCGGCGTTTGGCGACAGTAGTAGTACATGTAGCCAGGCAACTTCTAGTAGATCGTCATCGCCAGATGACTGTCTGGGCACCTGGGGCAGATTGATGGTGGGCTACAGGACAGTTCTTTCCGACCAAGTGGACAACTTCTTTCTATACTAGCTTTGAAAGATGCTGCCTCGGTGTAGCTGCACGCTTCCTCATTTCCATCGCAGCAGTTGTAGAATAAACCGCCATTGATCCGATGTGACGCTTTCGTAGGGTGGTGAGGGGCAGCAGCGCAGGCTGCTTTTGCTCCCGCGACCTTTTACTCAGCCTGTATGTACGGAGTACTCCATAGTACTAAATAATAAGGTACCTAGGTACGTATAGAGGTCGCGAGCGCCAGTGCGGCGCAGGCAAGCTGACCACGGCCTTGGCACAACCTCGACTTTTTCCCGCTTCGCGCAGTAGATACAGAAAAGTCCACTGCAAGGCTTTGTCTCAAACCTGATCGTCCTCTCCGCCGTTGACTTGCGCCTGTGAAGGTACTGGACATATCTGTTGAGTCTGGAGCCTCATTTATTACCTCGACCACGATGTCAAGTATATTTTGATCGGAGCATAATCACCACCATCCTCCTGTAGGACTCCCTCAACCAATCTCTCCTCGCCCACCATGGCGACCACCAGCTCTATGTTCATGTATAGCTTGACTATACAGCCGCCATCAGCCATAACGTCAGCGGTGTTGGGCCAATTTGCCGGTACAAAAGAGCAACAGATCATCACAGCATCTGGCTCGAAGCTCACCATCCACAGACCCGACCCTTCTCAGGGTAAAATCTCGCCGCTGTTTACCCAAGACTGCTTCGGTATCATCAGGAGCTTGGCTGCATTCCGGCTCGCTGGCAGTAGCAAAGGTATGTCAGTGTCGCCGCACGGGTCGACAGCACCGCTAACCAGCCACTAGACTACCTGATTGTGGGCTCCGATTCAGGCCGCATTACCATCCTCGAGTATGTCAAAGAAAACAACCGCTTCAACCGTGTGCACCTTGAGACCTTTGGCAAGTCCGGTATTCGAAGAGTCATCCCGGGTCAGTATCTCGCAGTCGACCCAAAAGGAAGGGCATGCATTATCGCCTCGGTGGAAAAGAACAAATTGGTCTATGTTTTGAACAGAAATGCCCAAGCAGAACTGACCATCTCATCACCACTCGAGGCGCATAAACCGCAGACATTGGTCTTCGACTGCATTGCCCTGGATGTCGGATACGAAAATCCTATCTTTGCGGCTCTCGAAGTTGACTATACCGAAGTAGACCAAGACCCGACTGGCCAAGCTCTGGAAGAGGTGGAAAAGTTACTGGTCTACTACGAGCTTGATCTAGGCCTAAATCATGTCGTCCGTAAATGGGCGGAGCCTGTTGCTCGGGATGCTACGAAGCTATTTCAGATACCTGGTGGCTCGGACGGCCCCAGCGGCGTCCTCGTTTGTGCAGAGGACAATATCACATATCGCCATTCTAATCAAGAAATCTTCCGCGTTCCCATCCCCCGGAGGCGGGGTGCCCTTGAAAACCCCGAGCGCAAACGACACATCATTGCCGGCGTTATGCACAAGATGAAGGCTCAGTTTTTCTTGCTCCTGCAAACGGAAGACGGCGATTTGTTCAAGGTCACCCTCGATATGGCGGAGGACGACAATGGCCAGCCCACTGGCGAAGTCAAGGCTCTGAAAATCAAATACTTCGACACTGTCCCTGTCGCAAACAGTCTCCACATTCTTAAAAGTGGCTTCTTGTTTGTGGCTAGTGAAAGCGGAAACCACCATTTTTACCAATTTGAAAAGCTTGGAGATGATGACGAGGAGACAGAGTTCTCCAGCGATAACTTCCCGGCCGAACCAACGGAGCCTTATACACCGGCATATTTCCATATCCGGCCACTTTCCAACCTCAATCTTGTTCAGAGCATCGACGCAGCAAACCCGTTACTGGATTGTAAAGTCGCAAATCTCCTCGATGAAGACGCACCACAAATATATTCAATATGCGGCGCAGGGGCTCGAAGCAGCTTCAAAACGCTAAAGCATGGCTTGTCGGTAGCGGAGATCGTGGAATCCGAATTGCCAGACAAACCCGAAGCTGTCTGGACTACAAAGTTGACGAGAGAGGACGAATATGACGCCTATATTATCCTGTCTTTCAAGACCGGCACGCTGGTGCTAAGCATCGGAGAAACGGTAGAGGAAGTCACAGACACTGGTTTCCTGTCGACCGCCCCTACTCTTGCCGTCCAGCAACTGGGCGAGGACGCTCTGATTCAGGTCCATCCCAAAGGCATTCGGCACATCCGGGCAGATAAGCGAGTCAATGAATGGCCCGCCCCACAACATCGTTCGATAGTGGCTGCTACAACAAACGCACGCCAGGTTGCAGTAGCGTTGAGTTCTGGCGAGATTGTCTATTTCGAAATGGACACAGACGGGTCCCTAGCAGAATACGACGAGCGGAGAGAGATGACCGGAACAGTCACCTGTTTGAGTTTGGGTGATGTTCCTGAAGGTCGTGTTCGCAGTTCCTTTCTAGCTGTCGGCTGCGACGACTCCACTGTCCGCATTTTGAGTCTTGATCCCGATTCAACGTTGGAGAATAAGTCTGTTCAAGCACTTACTTCTGCGCCATCTGCCTTGTCGATAATGGCCATGGCCGACTCTACCTCTGGAGGAACCACACTATACCTTCACATCGGGCTCTATTCCGGCGTCTACCTCCGGACGGTTCTGGATGAAATTACCGGCGAGCTTTCGGATACCAGAACTCGTTTCCTTGGACTGAGACCAGCAAAGCTATTCCGAGTCTCCGTCAAAGGTCAGAATGCTGTCATGGCACTGAGTTCTCGTCCTTGGCTGGGTTACACTGATACTCAAACCAACGGGTTTATGTTGACACCTCTCGATTACGTTGGCCTCCAATATGTGTGGAATTTTACTAGTGAGCAGTGTCCCGAAGGAATGGTTGGCATCCAAGGACAAAACTTGAGGTAAGCCCAAACTTCTCCTCAAAACCCCCTTTCCATGATGAATACATAACTATGCTCTTTCCCAGAGTCAAAGACTCATGCGGACTCAAACTTTAACCAATTGTTCCTGCTGAAACCTCCTTTCTACCATCTCAATTCTCCAAGCGCAGACGAGGGCTCTTTTTCTGACATTTATCAAACAGGATTTTCACCATTGAAGACCTCTCGCGCAATCTACTGCAGGAGAACATTCCACTTTCGTACACCCCTCGAAAATTCGTCAAGCACCCGGAGCATCCGCTGTTTTACGTCATTGAGGCCGATAACAATGTCCTTGCACCAGCAACGCGAGCAAAACTTCTCAACGATACAACCGCCGTCAATGGCGACGCTGTTGTCCTCCCTCCTGAGGAGTTTGGATATCCTCGTGGAACCGGCCATTGGGCATCTTGTATACAAGTTGTCGATCCCGTTACTACCAAGTCAGTTGTCTTCACACTAACACTGGAGGATAACGAAAGTGCCACGAGTGTTACCGCGGCGTCGTTTGCAAGCCAGGACGACGAAACCTTCCTGATAGTCGGTACGGCCAAGGACTTGGTGGTCAGCCCTCGTTCTTTCTCTGCTGGGTTTCTACATGTTTATCGCCTCCATGAGGATGGCAAAGAGCTCGAGTTCATCCACAAGACAAAGGTGGAGCAACCTCCGACGGCGCTACTGGCTTTCCAAGGACGCCTGCTGGCGGGCATTGGGCCTGATTTGAGGATCTACGATCTAGGGATGAAGCAGATGCTCCGGAAATGTCAAGTCACCACTCCCAATCTCATTGTTGGTCTCCAGACGCAAGGGAGCCGGATCATTGTCAATGACATCCAAGAGAGCGTCACTTACTGCGTCTACAAATATCAAGAGAACAAGCTGATTCCGTTTGCGGATGACGTTATTGCTCGCTGGACAACATGCTCCACTATGGTCGATTACGAGACCGTTGCGGGCGGCGATAAATTTGGCAATCTCTGGCTGTTGCGATGCCCTCAAAAAGCTTCGGAGGAGGCAGACGAGGATAGCTCGGGTGTGCATCTTCTCCACGAAAAACACTACCTCAACGGCACGCCGAATCGACTCTGTCTGATGATACATTATTTCCCGGGTGATATCCCGACCAGTATCCAGAAGACAAGTCTGGTCGCCGGAGGCCGCGACGTCGTATTTTGGACAGGCTTTCAAGGGACACTGGGCATTCTTGTGCCTTTCGTCGGCCGTGAGGATGTTGACTTTTTCCAGTCACTGGAGATGCAGCTCGCTTCAACCACCGGAAATCCACCGCTTCTCGGACGGGATCATCTCATGTACCGCTCATACTATGCGCCCTCCAAAGGCGTGATTGATGGCGACCTCTGTGAAACGTTTTTCCTTCTCCCTAACGACAAGAAGTTGACGATTGCCGGCGAGCTTGATCGCTCGGTCCGGGAGATCGAACGCAAAATCTCGGATATGAGGACGAGAGTGGCTTATTAATATCTGCGCCCACGACACTGGAAGCCGTTGTGAAGCAGTTTTGCTGTTCGTGCTCAGGAATGTTTGATGATACCCATATGAAAGGCGCCAGGCTGAGATTCATGCAGCTTGCGAATGATATTCTGAATTGAACATCCTCTGAAGCAGTCTTGACGGCATGTTCGATCTCTTTTGTGTGCTTTCCTTCTTCCGGTCTCTTACCTCGCTCGGTCGAACGTCTCCAATCGATTGATCTTGAGCTGGATGCTGCACATCCTCCGGATGGGTTATGCACGAGACAAGAGCAATGCAACATAGCACTTGCCGATCTTTGAGTACGATCCCATCCTTCTCGTATGGTGGGTCATTGTAATTTATGCGGCAAGACATGAATCTGGACAACAGGCTGGTCGAGCTACAGTGCTTGATCGTCTATCCAGTGTTTGTAGGTCAGGGCGGAGGGATGAGATCCAGCCCGTCCACGGTCAGTTTGAATGCATCGGGACGCGCATAGTGTCCTGCGGCATCAAAGTCCAAATGGCCTCGATCACAGTCGTCAAAGTCCACCTCGGCAAACAGCAACTCCTGCTCCTGTTCCCAACATGGCCCTGCAATGGTCTTGCCCATGGGATTGACTATGCAAGAACCGCCGATGGACACAAATTGCTCGTCCTCACTACTATAGGATGATTTGGGTTCCAATGGAGACGCTTCAGTGTCCGACTCCTTGATTGGGGCATCTTTGCACCTCCATGCGATCTCGTGGTTTTCTTCCGTCCGCGTCGACATGGACAATCGCCGTCCGCCCGCAGCAGCGCCGTGATTCCCGTTGGGGAGGTCCGTTCCCGCCGCGGTCGCTTTGGCGGCAAGGTCCTGACCGCCTTGTCGAGTGCCAGCGGCTGTGCCACTGCCTGTGATCCAACCGGGCAAATCTTTTCTCTTGACACACTGATTGGCACTGAGCACAAAACAGCGTCCCTCACAAGCTACGGTTTTCATCAAAGGCTCCCAGGTATCCCTCGCATCCGCCGTGGGGGCCAACCACAGGTTCACACCCTGGCTGTAGACGCTGTAGCGCAGAAGTGGCATGTAGTTCTCCCAACAGATGGCGCAGCCCATGACGACCCTGACCCCCTTGATGGTTGCCGCCACGGCCTTGAGTGTCGACGGCTGGCCCTGTGCCCACACCAGCCGCTCAGACCCGGTGGGCATGACCTTCCTCCTCTTGCCTACAATCCCGCGCTTCGGGTCGACATAGACGGCCGCACAATATAGACTGCCGCCGGCCCTTTCCACCAGGCCTGTGACGATGAAGACGCCCGTCTCCCGTGCCACGTTCTCTAGAAACTCTCGTGTCCCGTCCCCGCGGCGTCCCGTCTCTTTGTTCACGGGCAGTCGGCCTTCCAGCCAGTCATCCCCAGCCCCGTTGGGCGTGTCGCCCAGGTCGACGGCAGACTTGAAATATTCGAGGAACTGGTCTCGGCCGGCGTCGCTGCGCGCTCCCACCGCGGCTCCGAATGAACAGGTGCGCGGGTAGCCTCCGAGATAGGCCTCGGGGAAGAGGAGGATCGAGATGCCCTTTTCTACCGCGAGTAGGGTCGTTTCGCGAAGCGCCGACAGCGTCGATTGAAGGGAGGAAAGGGTGTGCGATTGCGAGAGTCCTATCGTGAGCTTCTGCGGCATCTTGACTGACTGACTGGGGGAAATGTGTTCTTTGTAAGGAGATTGACTCGAAGGAAGCTCAACTAGATAAGACAATTACGGGTCAGGACGATGATCTGGGCAGTGTGAGATTACCAGTTAAGTGGTTGCAATCGAGCCATGAAATACTAAGTCAGAGGTCTGAAAGTCTTAATTCTTGTTCTCTTCGTACAGGCAGCCAAGCGACTGGAGATGTGCGCCTGGTCGGACATCATGCACATTGTTCATGTTGAGTAATAGAAATCCGTACCTTCTCTTGCGACACTGTAGTATTGACGTGCGGGGGAAGATTGAGACCGGCATGTCCGGAGCGCTCGCTGCGTAACACAAAGGGCTTAGGGGCCGGGACCAGGACTGGTGGGACCAGGCAAAGTCTACGAGTCCTCCATACTGGATAGCCTCGTCGGTTCCATTCTGGATATATCACTCCTTCTTGTACTAATCAAAGTACCAACTTGGCGATCGACCTATTTCTTACCTTTGTCACCTTCTTTGCTGTCGCAGAACCTCGCGATATACCAGATGATATTTTGGTTACGCGTCTCAATACGCAGCGTCTGGTTTATCTACCAATTCTGATTTGTAATACACAATCCTCACACTTGGGCTACAGGCGACACCCATCACCCTCCGAATCCTGCTTCATCACACCCCGGATACTGTTTGGTATTAATGCCCGGGGACGATGAAGTCAATTTAGGTGAGTTGAAGCCTCTCGGTACTATGACTCCGTGACTTATTCTTCATTTTTTGTTCTCAGGTGGCCGATTTCATTTCGTTTCCGGCCTAAATCCAGATGACCGTACAGCGAAGCGCCTAGCCCGATCGCATGCTGTGGCGCGGGGTCTGGAGAATAAACGGAAGCTTCAGCAACGGTCGAGTCTTCATTTGCATGCAGTAAATTTGAAAGGCCATGTTGGTCGACCCGCGAGCAAAAGGGCACCAGACCAGACTCTTGTTGCGCCACCATGCTCCCTGTCCACCGGTGCGCCCAGTCCGTTCCAGATGCTAGCTGCTGAGTCACCGACACTGCAGGCATGGTTCAGTCGACGTAAGACCTTTCGCAAGCGCTCTGAGTTTCTGGGTGAATGGTTGCTGATATGAAATGATCTAGACAAGGTCCAATATGCCGCTGAATCAGCCTTTAGCGTTTCAGACGAGCTTGTGCTCCCGAACTTTCGCTGGGTTCTTCGAAAGGGCCCAGATGATGACGCTCTTCTGAGTGCCGTAATGCTTACGTTTTCATTTGCAGCGACTGCTGGCAAGATCAACCGGGATTTTCTCCGGTACCAGGGTGAGGCTCTGGGTGCCATTCGCCGAAGGATAAGCTCTCCAGAAAGAGCCACTACAGAGTCGACTCTAGGGGCCATTCTGCTCCTCGCCGGTATAGCGGTGCGTATTGCATTCTCCTTGAACCTGACAGATTTGTCAGGCGTCAGTCACAAAGAGCTGGCTGACCTTTGAATGGTCTGTAACAGGCTCGGCTTGGAATGCCGCATCAGGTCCAACTTCACATGGGGGCAGTTCAGCAGCTTCTCGAGGTATGCGGAAGGAAGGGTGTATATTTGAGTGACGGTATCAAACGTGCTATCTTCTGGTGAGCAGCCTATTGCAGTAATCAAGCTCCTTCGGCAGCTCTGTTCTAACATTAGTCAACAGGTCAGATTTGAATTCCTCGGTCATGACAGGCTCGAACCGAGTGGTTGATCACACCACCTTTTCCGAGCTTCTGTGGCGAAGAGATCCTTTCTCCGTCAATTTCTTTGTCCTGCCACCTGGAATCCAACCCCTCTCCCATTTGCTGGGGGAAGAGTTCATTGAGGTGCTCAAGGATGTATTTGCGCTGCAATGCATCCGAGACTCTGCCCTTTTCGGCAAGGAGGATGTGATGTCGATGGCACAAATCGATAATCATCAGGCATCCATCCAGTCGAGGCTGGTGAGCTTGCCAAACTGTTCATCCATCTCCGAGTGTTGTCATATAGCGGCATATCTATGCTCAACCATGCTGCGCTGCCAAATTTGGCGTGCTTCAACCATTCCTGTAAGTCGATACACACATGGATTGGATTGCGTTCTATCACATCACATCACACATCACAGCACATCACCCCTCAATCCTCTGCCGACTCACGCTGATATTGGATGTCATAGTCCCATCTTTCATTACAGCTCCTGCGCAAGCTACAAGAAGCAAACGACCATGTCGTATGGGATGACTGGCCTGATTTGCTAGCTTGGCTGCTGCACATTGGCGGAGCATTTTCCCCCACGGGAAGTATCCGATCAGGTTACGTGGCACTGTTACATGTGAACCGCCACACCCGGCTGAGAACCTTGTATACATCATGGCCGGAATTGCTGGAAATTCTAAAGCAGTTCATTTGGTCGGACAAGGCATTTCTGTCACAGGTCAAGGCGTTCTGGAAAGAAGGTCTTGTCGAGAGTAGACTTGACTACCTAGTTTAATGCAGCCCTGCTCTGCTTTTGTCAAAGGTTGAAAATGTTCCCTGTTCTCTATCAAAGTGTCGCAGGGGGAGCGCATGCTATATAGTATAGTATGCCTAAACCAGCCTTCTCGTTAGAGGGCAAGGTTGGGAATGCCTAAGTTTGCCTTTGAGGGCTGTGCCGGGCACATGGTTTACTCCCTCTCTCAATTGTATGATCAGAATACTTAACAACGGTGTTGAGATTTCAATGCGACTTGCCTCTATCACCGACCAAGTTCCCTTCTACCAGTACGGAGTGCGGATACCGCATTTGTAATCGGCTGCTTAATACCGCAAACCATTTGCTGGGTTTTTTCCCTCACTGGCGTCTCCTGAGCGGGGATATGATTGGTCAAACCGAGCCGCCATGCATTGACTATTCCCAAATCGGAAGCATCTCGGTTCCCTTTTGGGAGGTATCTGTCTACGGAGGACGCTGATGATGGAGCAGAGACAATTCTGTCACGTTCGTCCAACGTGTGATTTCCTTTGAACGATGAGTACAAATACTAGAAGGAAATCTCTAAAATGTAGCCAACTCCTAGGATCGAGATTTTCAATTTCCAATCTTCCTAGAAATTCATACCAATACCTACCTGAGAACCGAGCGAGCGAGCAGTCTTCGATCTTCTGGCCATGGCTCTTCAATCGCGACTTTTCCAGACCCTTAAGATCGGCGATGTGGAAGTGAAACATCGGGTTGGGATGGCACCACTCACGCGCCTCCGCGCGACCGATGACCGAATCCCGACGGCCTTGATGAAGGAATACTACGGCCAAAGGGCCGCTGTGCCCGGCACCTTGATCATCAGCGAGGGAACCTTCGTCTCAGAAGGCTGCGGTGGCTTCGCCAACGGCCCAGGTATTTGGAGCGAAGCCCAAGTCGTCGCCTGGAAAGCCATTACCGACGAAGTGCACCGCAAAGGATGCTACATAATTTGTCAGCTGTTCGCCATGGGCCGTGCTGCGAATGCCGAAGTGGCGCGAAAGGAGGGTTTCGACGTCGTGGCACCTAGCGCGATTCCGATCGGAGAAGGCGCCGCGGTGCCCCGAGCCATGACTATCGACGAGGTCAAGCAGACGGTGCGCGACTTTGTCGATGCATCCAGGAACGCCATCCGGGCGGGATTTGACGGCGTCGAAATCCACGCTGCCAACGGGTACCTGCTCGACCAGTTCCTTCAAGACGTCAGCAATCAGCGCCACGACGAGTACGGCGGCAGCGTGGAGAACCGGTCGCGCCTGGTCGACGAGGTGATCAAATCTGTCGTCGCTGCCATCGGTCCTACACGTGTCGGCCTACGTCTCAGCCCCTGGAGTACGTTCCAGGGCATGAGAATGAAGGATCCGATTCCGCAGTTCACGGATGTGATCCAAAAGGCCGCCCAGGCAGATCTCGCCTATCTTCATCTCGTCGAGTCCCGCGTGGCCGGCGCCGGGGACTACGATGGCCACGACCGACTGGATTTTGCATATGATCTCTGGAAGGGAGTTCTCCTCGTTGCGGGCGGCTATACGCCACAGGAGGCACGGGAGCTCGTGGATGAGAAGCATCCGGACAGGGACATCGTGGTCATCTTTGGCCGGTATTTTATCTCGAATCCCGATCTCGTGTACAGGGTGAGGGAGGGTCTGGAGATCAATGCGTACAATAGGGACACCTTCTATGTCGCCCAGTCGGCCGTAGGGTATCTGGATTACCCATTCAGCAAGCAGTATCTAGCAATCCGTCGGGAAAGAGAGGTCTGATTGGAATTGATCTGGGTTCTGGGGACACATTAGATTAGACGGAGTAGGATAGACTTGGATATCTGCGCTGAGCGTATAAAGGTACTCAATATAGCGTCTGCTGATATCTTCTTTTCACTTGACGTATGCAAGTTGGTGACGAGGTCGTTTTCATGCTGTGGTAAGGCAGCAGTACTGGAATTCGACGAATATTTCGTGTTGTGTTTGTCGAAGAGGACGAGGTTGAGAGGGAAGACTGTCTCAGTGTCCATTTCCGTCCAACCCCACGCCGCCCCCAAATTGTGTTAGGTTGGGTCTTAGGCGCAGTACTTACCGTAGTGCCTAGAACTCTTCCGATCGGTTCATCTCTACACCGCCTAGGACGTCACCACAGAGCGGATATGTCAGACTCGACTACTGCTCCGTAAATCCATCTTTTGTATGTACCGACATTGTCCAGTACGCCGCTCTATCTAAGGTATGGATGGGCCAGACACCCACAGAGCCGAGGGAATGGCATGGGACGACCTGACATCCAGGCCGAGACTGGAATCCTTGTCACCTTTCCCAGCACCTCCTTAGGAACCTTCCGATCCGAGGTACAGAGTAGATTCCTTCCCCGCATTGCCCCAGATTCTGGAAGACGCTGACAGTCGAGTCGTCAAGTTACGACAACCTTGTCCCTACCTCTGGGGTTGTCACAAAATTCTCACAGGAACAACACACTACACCGCCTAGCGAGTCGGCTTGTGGGAAGTCGACGCCTGTACGGATACATCGAACAAGTCGGGACTTGACCTACCGCTCTCATGACGAGACAAGACCATACCTTCGAGGATGTGAGGAATCTTCCCCTGCGCAAGGCCATTGCAGTCGTTAACATATGGGGGCCACAGAAACGCGAGCGTGCTTTGGAGAGGAAAAGAGCGGCAGACCGCAATGCCCGTCGTCTGGAGCGCAGTCGTACGAAGGAGCATATTGCGAGGCTAGAAGAACGCATCCAGTTGTTGCTGTCCGCCCAAGATAGCAGCAGAAGCAACATCACTGAGAAGCTACTCGCCGAAAATGCTGCTCTCCATGAACGCATCCATGAGTACCAAAAGCTGGTCAACTCGGCCAAATTGACCCTAGAGAATATCCAGAGCAGGCCAGGATCCTCCCCCCAGTCTGCATCGTGGGCTAGACCTGAGCAGGCAGGGGAAGCGCAGCAAAGCCCAAGCGTGCCGACGGACATCTCGCCAGCAGCAGATTCACCTAGACCTGTGGACCAGCCAACCGTCTCGGCGCTCCTCAACCCGATAGCAGACGCCAATCTCGAAGTCCATGTAGGGGAATACACAAACAGCATCACCAGCTCAACGGCAGGTGCAGATCTATTGGGCCACTTCTTCAGATCAGACTATCTGCCGGGAGCGCGCTCAGTGTATCTGCTCCACCATCCATCACCACTTGCGAAGACGTCCATCTACAGAACTTCGGCAGCACTACCAGACTTTCACACGAATCGTATACCGCCGCATCTTGATCTTTCTGCAGGTCATACCGTCGCCGATGTCGTGGCTGAGGAGAAGCTGGACACCTTCTATGGCACTCTCCTGCCAATTTTCAGTCCAGGCCTCATGAGTCTCTACCAGGGACTTTCTGATAATATCCCGGGACTGAACCCTGCCAGCGTTTTACGAGACCTCTTGCCCAACAGAACCGACTCGACCACAGCGAGTTTGTCACAACTCCCTGTGCCAAACTGCATCGCATTGTTAAAGATGTCGGTTGCCAAATATGTCGCTGGGACGATTCGCGAAGCACAAAGCAACCTGGAGCCAGACCAAAGACGATCAGACACTGAGATGTGAGAAGTCCTTCTGCCTCTGCCCAGGAAACGGAGGCTGACTGAACTTACCAGTGTGGCCGTGTTCTGGATAATGACCAGATTGCTATTGGTATACCACCCTCGTAATATGATCTGAAGCAGTACTGACCTAGTTAGTGGATGGCCTTTCCAACCTCAAAAAACTACTCGGCGATTCCGGTGTGGTACCGGCCAACCCAAGCGCAACTGTCTGTCCCTCACCCAAGCTACATCGATTCCCTTGTATTTCCGCTTTTGCGTGAGAAGCTTGTCTACACGTATGAGAATTACAAGGATACAACACTCTTGAAACATCTCAATTCTCTCTATAATCTCAAATGGGAGCCTCTGCCATGGGCCATGTGTCAGCGTAAGGAATATCTGGTCTTAATCTAGACTAAACATTGCTGACCATGGCCAGTTGATGCCCCCATCATTTCGCAGTCGGTCGACGACCCTTGGGAATTCCAACTCGAACCGAACTTCGCTAACGTCGTTTACGACCTCAACTCCTGGCGAATGGCTCCAGATTTTATCAGACTCTATCCGGAGTTTGGCAGCTGCGTACATATATGAGTTATGCCATAGTGGCCTTTCAACCAGGATCGTCCCCATCATGTACTGGAGAGACACGATTCGTGTACTCTTGGTCTCCGTGAGGCAGGGGAGAATTGGGAGGCACCGAGTTAACAAGACCTCCAAAATGTGCCATCATGTACTTATCATGAATGATGAGGTTATGTCAAAACATGCCACTACCAATACAGCTGGCAGAAACCCGACTTCATCACACCGTTTGGCATTAGTATTGAAGGTGTTGCCCGTCGTCTCTGAATCTAGCGGTGTCTCCCTGGATGAAATGCATTTGATTGAAAACCACACCCACTTCTGCTGCCAAATCCAGTCACGAGCCTTTCGAACAGCGTTCACAAACCCAGAGAAATGCACCATCTGCTGACCAGAGAGCATGCAGCATATCTCTCGCCTGCTTAAGCTCAAGTTCATGGTACGGCCGCTTGATCTTACCAGACAATTACGGTCTTTACAGTCATTCCTGAGCTCATCTCTTGCAACGCCCTCTGGTACTCGTGGACCTGCAAAGAGAAGCGTGAGAAATAGTGTGCTCCCAGGAGTGCATTGGAAACCAGGACGGATGTCAATGAGTACTGCATCTGGGGCCACCTACTGGATAAAATGTGACGAGGTCCTTGATAGGAAAGAGACCGTCACGGTACCACTGGATCATGTCTCTCAGAAACTGGCATCATATCAGCCAGCAAACGAGAAAGCAGACAGACATGACCAACCTTTTGTGGAACGACGTCTCCAGCCTTACTCGCCAGAAAGGACTTGCCGGTCTGCACAGGATGATCCATGTCAACTTGCAATTCCGAGCACGAAACGATGGGGAGAGCAGTTTATGATCGGGAGGTGCTTCCTTACCGCAAGGAATTGATGTAAAGGGATCTTCAACTCAGCCCCAATGGGATTCGGGAGGCCCACATGAACAAAACGGCCTCCGTCTTCTGTCGCTGCTACGCCTGATTCGATCAGTGGCAGACTGCCCGTGGTGTCCAGAACGATGGAGGCTCCAGCACCGGCAGTCACCTTAAAAACCTCTTCAGCCAGGTTGAAGTTGGCGCCTGACAAAAGCGTATGCGTGGCCCCTAGCTTTCGGGCCGCCTCGAGACGCGATTTGTGAGTGTCGACCGCGACGATGGTCTTGGAGCCCAGGACTCGAGCAGCCTGTTCAACATTCGCCTCTTGTCAGTGTGTTTCACTCCGGTGATCCGACAGATGAATTTTGATCTCTGAGATGTCAAGAACATGCTCTTACCACTATAGCTCCCAGACCAACACCCCCCGTCCCAGTCACCACCACAGAATCTTCCTTTCGCCCATGGGCGACATTGATGATGGATCCAGCACCGGTCTGGAATCCGCACACGATGGCTGCAAATAACCGTAGGTCGTCCTCATCCTTGACCAGTCCAGACACGTTGACCGCCGCTCCTTGTTTCACAATTGTATAGTTGGCGAAACTCGATTGACCGAAGAACAAGCCATGGACGCCCTGGCCCTCCTGGGCGGTCCGAAACACGCCTGCCTCGCCGCCGAGATGTTTGTTCGTGCGCACCGTGCAGAAACACGGGTGGCCTTCGGAGCAACGTCGACATGTGCCACAGCCCGTAAACGACAACAGAACTGGCTCGTCAGGTTTGAAGGCGGTCACCCCACTGCCAACTTCGACAATGTAGCCGGCACCTGTTCGCACGAGGGTTGACCGGACTCAGCATGGGCGGTCTCACACGACTTGAAGTAGGGGAGCACGCTGGCTTCATGATGAGGGAAGAGCAAGAATACCTTCGTGACCCAGGACTCGGGGGTATGTGCCTTGACTGGCCGACTGACTCGCATAGTGTATATCTGAATGACAAACTCCCGTGGCCACGATTCTCACCACCAGCTCGTCAGGGCCGACCGGTCGCCTGGTGACTTGTTCCAACTGCAAGTTGATCTGCCCATCAACTGGAGGGTGGCTCACTAGTGCCTGAAAAGCACTGCTCGTCGTGGCCATGTTTCTCCCGATTCACGATTCACGATCCTGAGAGCCTGAACCTGAGAGTTGTCTCTGAATGGAGGGATGGGTAATTGAAGCAGTAGGATGCTGGGGATTTGCCGGCAGTGATATGGGCTGAGATCGGGGCCAACCTGTGGAGCCTGAGCCTTAGCCTCAGGATGGGTGCCAGAATTAAAGGCGGTTTATCTTACTACTAGTTCGACAGGATTAGAGAAACCTCCAGCTCTACCGGATGATTATCTTTCTAAGATACTAGATATACTCTACGGCCTCTCTAGAGTAGATCTTCTATTTCGAGTATTGAAATTCTATATCTATATCTAGAGATAGCAGCTATCTACTTGAAAGAAGGATCGCCGTATAATCCGCCATCTATTTTGGCACCCAGCCTTAGCCTGGCGTCGCTGCGCTATGGGGAAGCTGATGCTCCATTGACTACAGCAGATCATGCAACGTCTCAGATCACCGGTGACGCTGGTTGATTACCCCCTTGTGTCTTTCCAGCCGTTTCGTGGGCTCAGGCTTCGTCATACGCCTCAGTTCTAGCCTGAACCTAACGCCTACCTCAGAGGAGCGGAAGTGTCAGGAAATGCCGACTCGGAATTTTGTGGGGAATAATGAACAAGGGTTGATGGCTCGTCATCCGTGGTTGACCGGTGGCCCCTAAGCCCCCTAACCCTTCCGTCTCTGACCCGAGCGACGTCCAGTTGTCGGTGGGAATCGATCCATGGCTTTTCAGCCATCGTCGATCTATGTACCGATACTTGGCATGACACTGCTTCAGCCTACGCGCCGACTCTCGAACATTGTCGCCTCCGTGGCCTAAGAAGCCATTCTATGCCCGCCCGTGGTCAGGCAATGCGGAGCAAAGACCTCCGCCACTGTCCTCTCCGATGGATCGCGAATTCACTGGCCATCAGGACAAGACGAACTTGAAGCCAGTCACAAGGTTTGCTTGGAATTTCGCCGTTTCTTTCAAGCCTGGCATTGCCCAGAACACATGGGGATAGCCGGGATAGTCATCGTGTTGAACGGGAACACTGCGGTTTGAGAATTGACGTGTCAACCAATGGTTCCGAACACCTTGCCTTGGTGGCAGAACATGAACGATCAACGAAGAGCCAACTCACCCATGTTTCGCCAGCTCCGATTGCAGAAGTCTGCCGTCGTCGCGTAACGTGTCCGCTCCACAGGTCACGATATAAGTCTTTGGAAATTCCGAGAGAACGGGAGACAGGAGCACCGAGAACGACGGGTCTGCGTCATCATGGCCATTTGCTCCTGTGTGCTGGTCAGCCGGCCATTAGACAGCGAAGGTGGGAAGAACAGGCCACTGACGCATGAATTGGTCGATCAGAGTCTTGTCTACCACGGGGCCATCTGCGTTCTCCGTCATTGACTGGTACCGTGGTTTCAGCTCGGGTGGCACTGCGCTCTCCCCAACCGTCAAGGGCGCCAGAGCAACGATGCCGTGCGGCCGTAGTCCAGATTGGATCAACGCGGCGGCAGTGCTAAGGGCCAGTTGGCCACCGGCGGAGGTTCCACAGAGCACGAATTTGGACGTGTCGATACTTTCGGACGTTGCAAATTTGTCGAGAGCCTAGATTGGACGAGGACAGTGAGCTCATTGTTCATTGTTCATTGCTCACTGACATGTCTCAAGCTGGACGTCGGCGGACTCACCCATCTCGTCGCGGCAATGCAGTCGTCGCGAGACGCTGGCCACGGATACTCAGGCGCCAGGCGATATCCAACCGACACAACAGTCAAGGACGCTTGGTCCGCGATGAAGCGCACGAAGGCTGTGTCCTGGTCAGCCAAGGGAAGCCTGAGCCTATTTTACAGCAGCTGTCATGTCCACACTGCTCTAGCTTAGGCCACCTACCATCCTCGCCGTCCAAGTCGCCCACGCAGAACCCGCCACCGTCTGCACAGAACGGTAAGCCTTGATCATCAATGAGCGGCAAGACACTCAAGAAACTCACGAAAGCTACAGTGGTCAGTGGTTACGTGCACCAAGTCAGTGGTTCAAGGTTGGGCCGACGTACAATACAGCGAGATGCGTGACCTTCCCGGCCTCTTTGGGCGTGTAGATTCGAACGGGGAATTGCTCGAGCTGCTCGTCATCTGCGCACCAGTGTCAGAGTCAGAGTCAGTCGGTTGACGGCGAATCGAGCTCCAGCAGGAAGGGAATACTTGCATATCCTCAGACTCTCGCTAGGACCGGGCGGCGGTACTCCCGCTCGCGTTTTCTCAATGTTCGCCCTGATGTCCGGTATATCTTTGCCGGCGATCTTGGGCCGCGTCCCAAGCATGGCTTCGAAAGCCTGCCATTCTTCGGCGAGTTCGAGAGGCATTTCTGATAGAGATGGATGTCCTGTCCTGTCCTGTTCGACGAGTGGAAGGCCGATCGATAGACTGACCGACTTGACTGACTGACTGAGTGACTGCCAATGAGCGGCTGGGCGCCCACCCGCAACCTTTATGTATACGTAAGGTACATGTATTTTCCGGCCGGAAGTAGTCCTGTAGTAGTACCAGCTTTGCTCTGTACTATGCACCAATGGCGCCGTCCGTCCGTCTCCCTTTCCTACTCCTGCCGGGCCGAAGGCTTCGGGCTTCCGAGACCAAGCTGGAGGGAAGTCGAGATTGAGATTGAGATTGGTTCTGTAGCAGTAGTAGTGGGGCAGAAATGACCCTCCCCCCCTGCACAGTCCGACTGGATACACACAGTCTGTTCATTGTATCCTTACACCTGTTGATCATGGTGTTGGACCATTGTCACGGTTGCAGATTGCAGATACAGGCAGGATACTATATACTTATACTACCTATCTAATACTTAGTGTAGCGAGATGGTCTTAGTCCTCAGGGCTAGGTCCGTGGCTGAGGCCGAGCAGAAGGTCGATTGATATTCAATGAAGACAAAGACGAGGAAGGACACGGATACTAATCTATGGCTGCTCAATGGGCCGTGACCCTGACCCTTCACGCCAAGTCGAGACTTTGACGATATCGACGTTGGAACCTACTCCCCCAATACCGTCGCGTATAATTGAATGTCATAGTATTTTAATGCTACAATTAGGTGATTTTTAATAATTCAGGTTGTGGTATAATCTGTATGTACCACTATCACTATTTGAGTCTGTTTGATCGTGCCGCTGACGACCAGGTTTGTCTTTTGGAGAGGGGAGGCCCTCGACGCAGCAAGTTCAATACGACAGGCAGTTCGAGCATGGCAGAGACTCGAATCTGATACTCAATCTCCTTGTCCACCAGTAATGCAATGAGGTTTTCACATGGCTTTGGCCCAAATCAGGCCGAGGATACTTGCAACAAGTCACTAAATTCCGCCCACTTCCACTTCCGCCGAGTAGAGCGCTGTTTCCTACTTTCCCTGGGCCAATGTTTCTAGGTTCTAGGTTCTGTGACAGAGTGACACCATTCTATGACTGGAGGCTGGGATCCAAGATGTCAAAGGGTAAGTAAGGGTCCTGTACCGCATGACCTTGATCTTGGATTCAAACACGCCAGCCCTCAAGATTCAAGCCAATCATCATTGTTACATAGTCTGGAATCAGAATCAGTGAGTTCTGGGAAACGAGACGAGATGAGACGAGACAGACAAACTACTCGTAAAACGTGGTCGACCTCCCCTGCCATCGAGTCGTACATTCTCGACACATACGGGGCGACTGCCCAGCACTACTCCCTATTACGACTACTAGCTACTAGCTGCCCCGCAGAAACTACTCCAGGTCTGCTCGCATGGTGATGGAGACGACAGACGACCAGGATGAGAATGATTCTGGGGAATTCCGGGGTAAGATACCCACACCAACTATCACTCACTACCTAGTACCTAGTAGGTGCCTAGTATGATGGACCGGAGTGACTGGGCTGCTTGATATGTACAGCCTACTCCGTACAGCAAGTCGCTCCGGTCTGGTCCTCTCTGTCGGCTCCTCGCGCCAGGGCTAGGGTTATAGCCTATCTTGAAGCAAGCCGACTTAAAGGGTCAGACCCCCAGCACTTTCTGGAGTTCAGAAAAGATATCATGATTTGAGCTGGTGCAGGATATTCCGAAGCGGCCATCTCGATTCAACCTCATCTTCGTGTCCGGGGAAAGTCGATTCAACCTCCTCTTCGTGTCTGGGGAAAGAAAGATCAGTCAACACCAACCCCCTCGCGGCAACTCTCCCACCAACACCATGGCAGACCTCACCAGAGTCACGACGGCCGACACCTTGACCGCCGACGCAATCGGTGGCGAGCATTTGGGCAACAAATACTACCGTAGCTTCCGCTTCATCGGTACCATTCTCGGCACGTCGTTGGCTCTGTGTGCAGCCTACGCCGCATATCTGTTGCCGGTGGGCATTATCAGCTACATAAATGAAGACATTGGTATGGCCGGTCTATGGCGAGGATACGTTCATTATACATTCAGCACTCTTCCTCAGAATCATCTTTGTGCATTATACATTCAGCACCATTCCTCTGAGATGATTCAGATCAGAGGAACTGCGGGAATGCTGTACCTGTACCAAATGCCTCTGGGATCTTCGTGCAATGAAACCACGAGAATGCTGACTGACGGTGCCGTGATCACCTCCAACAGGACCCGATCCAGACAATGTTTGGATTCCCGTCGTCTGGGCCATCTGCGTGGCTCTCGGGTACATGTTGTTTGGGCGTTTGTCCGATATCTTTGGTAGGTGCCTATGGAATATGCTTCCAGGTTGCGTTACTGAGAGAGACTTCGACCCCTTGCCCTTGTTGCGTCTCTCATTTTATGTTGCTAATCTGAATCCGCTTTACAGGTCGACGGTACTTCGTGGTGATCGGAAACCTGTTCGGGCTGATCGGAGCCATGTCAGTCTTGAATGCCCCTGGCCTGGCCGGCCCGGCTTGAATACAGCGCGGATACTGACCAACATGCAGCGTTGCAGCGACTGCCTCGAACATCAGGACACTGATCGGGGCGTCGGTCTTCATCGGCATCGCGGCGTCCGTCCAGCTGTCCTACACCATGATCGTAGGAGAACTCGTGCCGATCAAACACCGTGGATACTGGTACTTCCTCACGCTGATTCCAGTGATCCCATTTGCCTTCTTTGGGGCCTATCTTTGTAAGAAGCGCCCTTCATCCTGAACAAGAAAGTCGACCCAGCCTAATGATGCATGGTCCAGCACACAACTTTCTGCAGGTTGCCACTTGGAGGTGGTGCTACTACTTGTGTATCATCCTCCAAGGTCTGGCTCTGGTGCTCCTCGTGGTGTCCTATCACCCTCCCTCCTTTCGGAAGCTGCATTCAACCAAGTCGCGAACAGCCATGATCAAGGAAATCGACTACATCGGTGTCTTTATCTGGATGGTCGGGGTCGTCCTGTTCCTCCTGGGGATCAACTGGGGCGGAAGCAAATATCCATGGGATTCGGCGGCAGTGATTTCCACCCTTGTCCTTGGAATCGTAGGAATCGTTTCCTTCTTCGTCTGGGGTGAGTCCGAGTGCGAGTTCGAGTCAAACACTCACCCATACAATTTCGCAGCCATGCTAATACTGTCCCCCGGCAGAGGCAAATGGCACGGCCAAGAAACCTTTGCTGCCCTGGGCATTCCTCATCAAAAACCCGCGTGGCTTTCTGCTGCCCATGGTCTCAGGCACGATCGGCGGAATGTTCTATTACGGCCTGACCATCATCTGGCCTACACGTGAGTGTCTCTGTCTCTGTCTCTGTCTCTGTCTCTGTCTCCGACCAAGTCTGACATTTTTGACGGACTAGAGGTCAATACCGTGTACGCCTCCAGCCTACAGGTTGACGGCTGGCTGGCAAGCATCCTGGCGTGCGGCACCCAAACCGGCACCATGCTGGGCAGTCTGGTGTTCAAAAGGCTGGGCCATCACCGCCTCCAGCTGATCGGTGCCTACGTCTTCATGATCGCCTTCTGTGCCGGATTGAGCCAGGCGGGAGTGCACCAGCGTTCCGTCGCCGTCTCCTGTGCTTTTCTGACCGGGCTCGGATGCGGCGTGGTGGAAAACCTGGTGGTTCTCGTCGCCCAGGTGGGCAAGGACGCCGCGGAGATCGGGCTGGTGGTCGGCACCATCGGCTCCTTTCGCTCGCTGGGCGGTGCGCTCGCTCAAGCCATCTACGTGACCATCTTGACCAACAAGCTGAAAGGCGAGCTGGCCAGCAAGGTGCCCGCAGCGGCACTGAAAGCCGGTCTGCCTGCGTCTTCGCTGCCGGCTTTGTTCCAGGCCATTGCGGCCGAGAGTGCGGCGGCGTTTGCGGCCGTGCCTGGCATCAGCACGACCATCGTGGCCGCGGTCGAGCTGGCCGAGGTCGAGGCTTATTCCGCCTCCTTCCAGTACGTCTACTATGCGTGCATCGCCTTTGGCGGCGTCGGCCTCATCACGTCCCTGTTCATCACCAAGAACGTGGATGCGGAAATGACGGATTTCGTGGCCAAGAAGCTGGAAGGCGTTGCGGTCAAACACCACGACCACGAGCATGACTTGGAAGGGAAGCCCGGCACGGGAACGGCGGCACACGAAGAGACGGTGATGGTGCAAAGCATAGTGGAAGAACCAAAGGGGCGTATTGCCCAGTGATCAGCATAAAGCCTGAGGTTGTAAAGCACACTGTGGGCAGACAGTACCTGTACCTACAGATAGGTGCGTACCTACGTATGTCGTGGGCACGGGCATGGTCGGTCATGGGCATCAAGTGCTACAGTATATCATCTTAGTTAAGATCTTAGGCGTCCCTATGCCTAAAGCGCCCCCTGACACATACATATGTAGAGGGACAATATGTATTTAACCCCAACCCTCCAACAGACAGGCAATTGAGTTCGAGCCTTAGGCTCAATAGGCTTAAGGAGGCCCGAGACCCAGCCGCATGCTAAGCCTAAGCCCCTAAGCCCCTCCTGAATATTTCAATACTCCCTGGTAGTCTAGGGGTTGACGTTAGGGCAGGTTGACATTAGGGCAGCATGCTTTCGGCCAAACGTACTGTACTCCGCTGTCTTTTTCGTCAGGTGTAATTAGCCTACGGGTAGGGACAATATCTAGATGTCGAGTCGAGGCTTCGCTTCGCTTCTTCTCTTGTTGTCCTGTCTTCTGCCTGCCCTGCATTCCAATGATCTGGCCCTATTCCGTCTGTGGCCTGCGATGGCTTGATGATGGCTGCCGGATTGCTGTTTATCTACCCGCACCAAAGCTCTCGGATTTCTTGGGCTGATGCCCACTGGGCAGTTGTGATGCTCTACTCCGTATAGGCCACTCACTAGGCGAGCACTTTACGAGTCGACATTCCTCGACTCGCAAGTGGGACTCTCTCTTTCTTCTCCGCCCTTCACTTTTCCTTTTCCTTTTCGCTTTCTACGGGCCGCAGGCGAGTCTCTTACGTGGCCCATCAAAAGCTACGTACCGCCGTCGACTTGTCATGCAACGCAAATGTCGACATGGCCCTTTGCCGAGTCGCCCGGCCGCCTCCATTTCCTCTCCGCACACCTCAAGTCGACGACGGGGAACATGTTCCACATCCACATCCGCCCACAGTCACAGAGTTAGGGCCATGTACGTTCCGCATCCACATCCACCCACAGTCACAGGGCTAGGGCCATGTCTGGGGATGGGGGATGGTCGCGTGCAACTAGTACAGACCCTGGAGAGGGTGGATGTCTTCGTGGCTGTGGGTGGTAATTGATCATACTAAAGAGCGGTGCAGCCAGACGAAACAACCGTCGAAGCTGTACACAGACAGACAGCTACAGTCTCCAGACAGACAGCTACAGTCTCCAGACAGACAGCCACAGTCTCTCGACACACTCGCTCTGCTGTCAAGACATAGATATGGCATCAACAACGGGAGATAACCTGACATCCCTCGAAGGGGACATGCTCGCCGTCGATCAAAATGCGGTGGCTGACAGTTCTGCCACTGCGGCGGTGGTGGCCAACGGCTCGATACCGAACGAAACTCCCTCGACAGAGGAGAATGAGTCTCATCCTGGTCCTGGAGGCGAGGACGACGACTCGGGCAAGGGGTCAGCAATACCAACGACGCCCGGCCATTCCCACCCCCCAGCATCAGTCACCCCCCAAATCGACACGGACGTCGTGGTTGTTGGAGCGGGCTTCAGCGGGATCTCAGCCATCTACCGGCTTCGCAAACTCGGCTTAAAGATCCAGGCATTCGAGGCCGGCTCCGACTTTGGCGGCGTGTGGTACTGGAACCGTTACCCAGGGGCCCGCGTCGACTCGGAGACGCCGTTCTACCAGCTCAACATCCCCGAGGTCTGGCGGACCTGGAACTTCTCTAAGCGGTTCCCCGACCACATAGAACTACGTCGTTACTTCGCACACATCGACGCAACACTCAACCTCCGTAAGGATGTCGAGTTCAACGCCCGCGTCATTGACGCCTCGTACAATGCCCAGCGCGGCCGGTGGACGGTCCAGACAGATGCTGGCCACACCGCGACGGCCAAGTACCTGATCCTAGCCACAGGTCTACTTCACCGCCGCTTCATCCCCGACTTTCCGGGGCTCGATCGATATCAAGGCGAGGTGCACCACTCTGGATTCTGGCCGGACGGAGTGGACGTGCGGGGCAAAAAGGTCGCCCTGATCGGCGCGGGCGCGACCGCGGTCCAAATCACCCAGGAGCTGGGCAAGCAGGCCGACCAGCTGACCGTTTTCCTCCGCCGGCCCAGCTACTGTCTGCCCATGCAGCAGCGGGCGTGGTCGAAGCTGGAGAACCTTGGCTGGAAGCCGTACCTCGAGCGACTGTTCAAGCAGGGCAGGTTGTCGCGGGCCGGCATGCCCAACGAAGGGCAGCCCTGTGGCGTGTTCGACGTGACGCAAGAAGAGCGGGAGAAGTATTTCGAAGAGCTGTGGGCTCGCGGCGCCTTCAATTTCCAGATGTGCAACTACAACAATGTGCTTCTGGACAAGAAGGCCAATCGCGAAGTCTACAACTTTTGGCTCAAAAAGACGCGCCAGCGGATCTCCGACCCCGTCAAGCGCGACATCATGGCCCCCCTGGAGCCGCCGTATTTCTTCGGGACCAAGCGCAATCCGCTGGAACATGACTACTACGAGGTCATTGACCAGCCTAACGTCGAGATTGTCGATCTGAACAAGACGCCCCTCGAGACCTTTGACCAGACCGGCATGATCATGACAGACAAGAAGCGCGAGTTTGACATGGTCGTGCTCGCCACCGGCTTTGACAGTTTTACCGGGTCGTGAGTTTCTTTCCTGCCCAAGATGGAGATGTTCATCTGCATTGACTAACGTACACGGCCACAGCCTGACGAATATGGGACTGAAGAACAAGGACGGCGTCGATATCAAAGACGTCTGGAAGGATGGCATCTGGACGTACTTGGGCATGATGTGCTCTGGGTTTCCCAACATGTTTATGACATATAGTCCACAAGGTAACATGCTGCTCACACACACATTCTCAGCCTGCCTCCCTCCCTCCCTCCTTCCTCTCTCTAGGACGCCAATAATCCTCGCGATTCATATTCTCCCTCCTGAAACCTATGATAATGCTATGGCACGTAACTAACAACAACTCCCAATCTAGCCCCAACCGCCCTATCCAACGGCCCAACCATTCTCGAATGCCAAGTCGACTTCGTCGTCGACAGCATCGCCAAGCTGGAGCGCGAAAATATAAAATCCATCGAGCCACTACACTCGGCCGAAGTCGAATGGAAGCAGTTAATTACCACCATGAACGACAGGACCTTATTCCCCTTCACCAGCTCGTGGTGGACCGGAGGCAACATCCCAGGCAAAAAGGCCGAGCCTATGACTTATATTGGCGGCATCGACAACTATGAAAAGCAATGTCGCGCCACTATGGAAAATTGGAAGGGGTTTGCTGTGGTCAAGGAGGATGAGGAGGCTCAAGACGGTGAGAAGGAGGAAGAGAAGGGGGGTATCAAGAAGGAGGAAGAGAAAGGGGATATCAAGAAGGAGCAAGACAAAGCGGTTATCAAGAAGAATGACGGTAAAAAGGAACTAGAAAAGGAAGAAGATGAAAATATCAAGAGTGGTTTCGTTCATGTCGAAACCGTCAGCGTCAGTGCGGTCGAAGTCCATGCCTGAGCTGCTGAGTTGTGTTGATACTATCTGGTATATATAATACATACGCATCTCTCTACCAAACTTAGGCATTTGCAGCCTTGCCCTTTAATCAGAAGACTGGTTTAGGCATACTATACTATATAGCCTACGCTCCCCCTGCGACCCTTTGATTAGGTAGAGAACATGGAACATTTCAACCTTTGACAGGTTTGTCTTGAAGAGGTCGAGTTCGCATCTCTACTCCTCTCTGCTTTCCAAGAAGTGGAGCCTGTTTTATCTACCCTAACCTACATTACCCTCTCTAATCAGCGTAATGGTCAAGCTTGATATTTTTAAATACCCCCATGTTCATATCAGGCACAGAAACAGAAACAGGCAGTGTGGCCTTATTGCCAGACAGGCTTTTAGAATAGACGAAAATAACAGGAACCAATTCAAGCTTAAGTCGTCTTGGACTCGACACGGTCTAACTGCTGGACGGTTGGAACGTGTTTCAGTTCTAGATCGTGGTCCTGCACGGGGGTTTCAAAGACATTGTTGATTTCCTCCAAGGTGCGGCCCCTCGTCTCGGGGAAGACAAAGTAGACGATGAGCCACAAGAGGGCCAACAAGACACAGAAGACGATGTAGTACTTCCAGCCGATGTTGCGCAGGCCGATCGGGGTGACAAACAGGCCGATCAGCAGACCCGAGTAGGTGGAGAAGAGCGAGACGGTGAGGCCGCGGGCGCGCAGGGTGAAGGGCCAGATCTCTATCGGGTAGGCGATCAGGAGGGGCGAGAAGGCGATCTGGAAGAAGAAGGAGAAGATGAAGATGAAGCCGAGCACGGCCTTGCCCAGTCCCTTGTCCTGTGACAGCGAGAAGCGTGCGGACAGGATGGTCCACGTGGTGAAGGCGATGAGCATGCCGCTGACGGACAGCATAAACAGGAACCGACGGCCGGCGCGGTCGACGAGCAGACCCGACCCCACCGCCGTGAAGAAATTCATGACGGCAATGAGCGCGTTCAGCAGCGTCTGCGTCGACACCGCCGTGATGCCGATCGTGTTGAGCACCAGCGTCAGGTAGTACGTGATAACCCCCACGCCCGCCCAGTACGCGTACACGCCGACCACCATCGAGATGAAGGTCCGGCGGAGGTTGGGCAGAGTGCGAATCAGATCGAGATAAGATGTCTCGGAGAGTGTTTGCGCCTCGAGCCGGATGCTGGCTTCAATCTCCCTCATCTCGAAGTCAACCAGCGCCGAGGTTTGGTCGCCACCGGCATGGTGCTTCTCTAGGATCTTCCGCGCTTGTTCGTGCTTCCCTTTGGCGATCAGCCACCTAGAGGATCGATGTTAGGGTCGGTTAATCATTAAACAAGGGATCTCCGCGAGGAAGAGGGAAGTGATGGTGACCCGTCAGTCATGGATTGGTAGCTGGGTAGAGCCATCGAGTCGAGAGGAAGGCATTGAAAATGGAAGAGAGAGATAGAGATCTCCCTGATAGGGGGCGTAGTCTGCATACCTTGGTGATTCGGGGATCCACCAAATTCCCACCAGCTGGATCAACGGAATGGTGGCTTGGAGAATGGACGGTATCCTCCAGGACCAGTTCGAATTCATCCTGAATGTGCCGTAGGTCACCCAGGCGGCAATCAGGGTACCAAGGTACTATGCCGTCGCGAGTTAGAGTTAGCCGGTGGAATCGGGTCGGGGCAGTCCGGGAAAATTGATAGGAGACCCTTCTTCTACCACTTACATTGCTGCTGTAATAGACGCCTGTGATCCTGCCACGATAAAGCGGATACGCCAATTCGGTGATGAGAATCGGGGAAGGCTGAGCTATGAAGGAGGTGCCAAAGCCGACCAGAAAGCGAGAGGCAATGAACCAGCCAACGTTCTGTGCCGAGCCTTGCAGAGCCGCTGCGAACAACAGGAGCGGAAGGCCAATTCGAAGAGGAAATCTTCTCCCAAAGCGGTCGCTGAGGAAAGTGACCAGGAGCAGACCGATCATCTTCCCGACCGGGTACATGGCGTTCATCGTCCCCAATATGGTTGCCGACGGTTGGCCGAAGTAGGACCTCCACTGCGGAAGAGCGAGGAGACCATTCATCATTGACCCTGCGACATGTGTAAAGGCCGTTGTCAGTCCACATATGATCCCTTGGAGGGCCCCAGGCCCCGACTCGGGCTTGAGAGACTTGTTACATACCATCGTAACCAACCGTACTGGGAGACAACAGGGGCAGCATGAGCATTAGATTCAGCTTCAACAAATGCGGCACCCGATACCACGGTCTCGGGTCCTGTGGTAATACCTTGCCACCACTCTCAGCAAACGTCTCTTCAGAGGCCGGATGATACGTACAGCTGATAATCCTTCACCTGCAGCAAGTTTTGCCGCCTTCTCTTTGTTGAAGATACCCATTGCAAGGATTGGTGTCTGCGCAGCTGCCGATTGGGGGGCAGGGGCAGGGACAGGGACAGGGGCAAGGCTCTATGTCCCAATCTAGATGTATCGCTTGTTCAATTCACGAACACCCTGGTCGTAGATATAACCATTTTGGTAAGAATGAGATCGGAATCCGATTCGGAAATCTTGTAGAATGCCCAGCCTTATGGCAGCTTGCTATCTGTTTAGTTCTCCTTCGAGGCTGGGCTTCTCCAGGCGGTATGATTTACTATTGCAATGCCTAGAAATGCCCAGAAATGTCACCGCCACTAAACACAGTACAGAATAGTTAGTATGCTGAGGGCAGCAACATTGTGGAGGGTGTTAGGAATTAGGACGGAATGCACGGAAACGTGGGATATAGGTAGGTATGGGGAACCGTGGGGAAGCTTGGGGTTCAAACTCGGCTCAGCTGCTTAACCGACAACTTAACCACAATCGCGTCCCAAGAGATGGGGGCGTTGCTGTCAGGTTCCGCCCTCAGAAACCCAATCCATTCGAAGGACTCTTGCACACGGCCATAACCCGTCAGGTATCGAACCCCTCAGGAGCTGGGCCAAAGCCTGGGATGACCTGACCATACAAGAATTCTCCGCCTCTGGGGTGGCAACATTTGAACGTGTCGAGCAATAGCCTGCTTCCTACGAACTGTGGCCACCGTCCACTCCAAGGATCTGGCCATTGACATAACTCGCCTCCTCGGAGATGAGAAACTCGGCCACTCCGGCGATCTCGCTGGCATCACCGCTTCGTTGGGCAGGTGTCCGGCAATTCGTGACGAGGGAATTGATATAGGGATTCTGCAACGCCTCGGTACTGTGGTTGCCCGATGCCATGCCTGCTTCAAACGATCCCGTGCCGATTGCATTGACGCGGATCCCTTCGGCGGCAACCTCCCTGGCGGTTTGGCGCACCAGACCCAGACACGCCATCTTGGGAACCGCGCTGCATCCATCGTAGGCCAATGTTCGTAGCACGGCCGTAGTCAGGATAAAGAGGATCGACCGGTTCTTTGCCGCCTGTTTCCGGAGGATAGGAATCCCTCGTTTGATGATGTTGAATCCACCAAAGACTTCAGTCTCTACCACACTGCGAAAAACCTCGTCGGAGACCTCGAAGATGGGACAAATGGGGATTTTGGGCCCGCTTGCCAGGATGATCGAATCTAACCGGCCCCAGTGAGCCTCGGTTTCGACGAGAAACTTCTCGACCGAGTCGCCGTTGGTGACATCAACCTGTGCAGTGGACGCTTTCCCCCCAGCGTCAATGATTGATGTAGCCAACTCTTCAGCTGCGGCTTTGTTGGCGAAATAGCCCAGTGTCACAGCAGCACGCTGGGCAACTCGCTGTGCGATGGCTCGCCCCAGTCCGCCGCTGGCACCCACGATGGCGACGGCCTTGGAGACGTTCAAGTGCTGCCTTTCACCCATTGTGACTGACCGTGAGAGTTCGCCAACCAAAGTCTCGACTAGCTATGGACACCGGCAGGTATTGGGTGTGAAACTCTAAAGTTGCAAGTAGGGCTGCGAGTGAACGAGCCAGAGGATGTGTCGAGTCCTGTCCATACCTTTGGGCAGCTCTTCTCATTTTCCGTGCCAATTCCGAGAAAACTTAGTCTGTACTCTGTATTCCACCAGGCAGTGTAAGACAAGTGTGCTCAGGGTAGCGTTCACCACCACGATGTCCCACCAGCTGGTACGGTTCTGGTTCCGGCCTCGGGGTCCTGGCAATGCTTCAGGACGACTGCGATCGACGGGGCGCCGCACATGAGGCTGAGGCTGAGGCTGAGGCTGATGCTGAGGCTGAGGCTGATGTTGAAGCTACATAAGTAAGGCGCAGGCGCCGAAAGATTGATTGCGGGGAAATGGGAAATCCATCGGAAGCGGGCGCCGCCCAAACTGCGCCTGCGCCACGCTGCCACCTTCCACCTGCCGCCTTCCGCCCTCCATCTGCATCTGGCATCAACTGCCACTGATTCTCTGCTGCTCCCAGCGTCTCCTATGGCGGAATCCATGTCTCGACATCCCATGGCCACGGCGAATCCAGACCCATCAGACCTCGTCCTCCGCATGCTTCCCCGCCGTAGTCGGGCTCCGTGAGCATGGCAATCAGCCGAGTCCTGATCCTCGATCCCGCCCCGGATCCGAGGGAAGCAGCCCGACGCCGTCCATCTGCCGACGTCCACGTCCGATGCCTCGAACCTGATTCGTCGGGATGGAGCTGAAGTTGGAGCTAGAAGAGGATTTCTCATATATTGCCTCAATCTGACATATTCTGTGTCTCACCTCCAGCTCTGCTGAACGCCCTGCGTCCTCGTTGACACCCATGCAAGCTGCATCGGAACGGCTCTATTAGGTTGCCATCGGAATTGGCCCGTTGTACAACACTAAGTATGCTACGTTAAAGAAAGATAGAGATTATTCAGACGGTCGACAGAGAAAGGCAGTCAAGCAGACACGACAGCCATACTACCACCACACTAACTGGTGACCATGTCGCAATCCTACGACTTCCTGGTAGGCACCTTCAACACGCCCCAACTCTACACTCTCCGATTCACACCTCCGACACCTGAGTCGTCTACAAAGAGTTCTAGTTCTGGCTCCGGATCAAACTCCGGGAATTTAAGGATCCTACACCGTACCGCAGCCATCGGCTCACACTCGTGGCTTCATCTTTCACCGCCCAAGACGAACGGAACGCGAAACCTATACGCCACGGCGTGGACGGAGCCGCCTTCAGTTGTGGCGTACGCGGTCGACTCGTCCACCAAAATCAAACTGCTCAGCAGAGCCCAGACAAAGGCACGGAGTGGCTATGTCACCGCCAACGATGTTGCCGTGTATTCTGCTGGCGGTGCGACCGGCGAGGTCTTCAGCATCGACCGAGATAGTGGGACTTTTGTAGCACCCCAAACCAAGTCCGCTTCCGAGGCATCACCTCCAAGACTCACAAACGGGACAACCGCTGGTTCCCACCATACCGCAGGACAATCATCGTCACAACCATCATCGCCAAACCAGCTGTTGCAGACCTTGTCGTTTGTCGACTCCTCAGCTCAACGCGATAATGGAAGTGTCATGGACTTTGGCGGGCTCCGACATGGCGCACACTCCGCGGACCTCTCGCCCTCCGGCAACACCCTATACATCGCCGACATTGGACGGAATTGCATTTGGACCTTCGCCGTGTCTCCGACCGATGGGAGTGTTACGCTGGGCGAGAAACACATTTCGCCGCGGCCGAATGACGGACCTCGCCACGTCTGGCCCCATCCAGCCGGCGGCTATGTGTATTGTGTCCAGGAGCATACCAGCATGGTGGACGTGTTTTCGACCAACCACGACGGCGTCTCCCTGACCCACAAGCAAGGCGTGCGCATCATTCCGCCTGACCAGCACGAGCAGGATTTCTGGGCCGACGAGGTCCGCACCAGCCTCTCGCGCGCCGACCGCCCGCAGTATTTGTACGCCAGCACGCGAGGTTTGAAACCGGGCAAGAAAGGTTACGTGGCAGTTTACAAGCTGACCGATGACGGACGGATTGATACCTCTGTCTCTGGGCCCAAATCAGAGCCAGCCGATCTGTACGCCGGCCTGCTGTACATGTACGAGACCCCAAACAGCGGTGGTTGGGCCAACGCCATCCAGCCAGGCCCGACGGTGCAGGGGGTCGAGTACCTAGCGCTAACGGACAGCGAGGACGGGTGGGTGTTTGTGTTGAGCTGGAACGGTGCCGAGATCAAAGAGGTCGCCCGGACCAAATTGGACCCAGGTGCCGGCGCCGCAACTGCGGTCTGGTTGTAGCTTAGGAGCGTCGTCGAGACCCTGATTCGAGTCACTGCAAGGAGTGTAGAGGGAAAGAATTAGAGTTTCGACCTACTGGGGGTATGGCACCCATACACAGCTTCATTCTGTATAACTATAGTCTGCAACGGGCGGCTTCCTCGGAGAGAAGATGAGACGAATCGGATTTCCGCTCCGTGCTCAACGTAGAAGCAGGACTGTCACTGTCTTGGGCGCAAACATTTATATTATACCGTACTGTGTGGCTATCAATATCCGCACAATCGCAATCACGATGATACATGACTTCGGACAGAATCTCCAGAATGACATGGTGACATGGTGACACGTAAGACCAAGGGCGAAAGGCCTTCCCCGTCACTTCAATCGACCTTCTCGGACGCATGATTGGCCGGCGCAATAGCAGTAGCAGCCGCAGTTGTAGCCATCGAGCCATTCGTGCCCGACCGGCTCCTCCGTCCTCCTGTGTCAAGATCGTGGTGCACTTTACTCCGAGTAGCATACAATGCAGCCATCTGCAATTCCTCGTCCTCAGCACCGCCCTCGTCATCATCGATGGGCTTCTTAAGCGCCATGGTGGGGGCAAATTTGGACTTCTGCCGCAGTTTCTTGCCATAAAAATAGAAGAGCACGGGGATTGGGACGAGACAAAACGCAAGGCAGCCGAGCAAAGTCCCGGCCCATTCGATGCCCATACCGTTGAACATCTGACGCGCAAAGAGCGGGAATCCGGCCGCGGAGATCGACCGGAGGAAAGTGTTCGCCGCGACGGCAGAAGCCGCACTAGACATTCGTTAGTTGTAAAACAGAGAAGCTGGGAACATAGCAAATTGTCCACGTACAACATGAGATATGAGTCGATCAGGTAGTTGAAGCACTGAATAAAAATAGCCAGTAGTCCAAACCCGGTGAATAGGCCAGAAAGAGTCGGGACGATCCAATGTACAGACTCCTTGTAGCCGGACCAGCCGAACCAAAACAGACCGAGAGCAAACAGCGTGCCTCCAATCATGACCGGGGGTAGACGCCATTCAGGAACCGGGATGCCTCCATTGGCGTCAAGCTTCCTGTTGTAATCTCTCGCATTGTAGATGATGTAGCCTGCGACAAAGAAGATACCCACCACCATCCCGAAGAAAGGCAGGCCCGAGACACCCGGCTTCATATGATGGACCCCTGCAAATACTAGAGGGTAGGCGGTCAGGAAGAGATAGAGGAGCCCATAAATGAAAGACATGTAGCAGGTGATGGCGAGGATGATGGGTTCGGAAACCAAGAGCCGGATTGGACGAGAGAAGTTCTTAGTTATGAGCTCTCGGAAGTCCACCTCCACTTCCTCCTGCTTTGCGTGAATGCCCCAATTCTTAGTCCGGCGACGCAACTCGGCGGCTTTGCCGACCAGCACCATCGGTGCGTAAGATTCTTGCAAGAAGATAAGGTTGAGAATAAAGGCAGCGGAGCCCATGATTCCTGGCAGATAGAGATTCCAGCGCCATTTCAGGTAGGAGCTGTCGATGAAGCCTCCAACGAAAGGCCCCAGCATAGGACCCATGAACACCATGGAGGAGAAGATGACAACGGCCGTGCCTCTCTGGCGGTTATCGAACATGTCGGCAAAGACGGCCGCCACGACCGCCAGCGGACACGAACCGAAGAAGCCGGTGAAGAATCGGCAGATCATGACAGTTTGAAGGTCTTTGGCTGTAGCACAGCCGAAACAAAAGACTGAAAAACCAAACATGCCAATCAGGATTGGGATTTTCCGCCCTCGCAGTTCAGAGAAAGGGCCCCAGCACAGCGGGCCAAATGCATACCCAAGGACGTAGAGAGATGTGCTGAGGGTAGCGACCTCGACGCTGACTCCAAAGTATTTACCAACCGACATTGTTGACGAAGAGAAGATGGAGGATGTGAAGGTGCTACACAAGCAGGTATATGCCAAGATGGCACCAAGATAGAATCTGGTTGTTTTCAGCAACAGCTTTTCCACAGGGGTTTCGCTTGCAATACAGTTCACTTACTTCTTCTTGAAAGGCCAGTTCTGTGGATGGAGAGGGTCATCTATGCCATCGAATTCCACAACGTAGTCTTCCTGCGCCGGTAATGGAGGCGGATATGGCTTGCCCCCACCAAATTCAGGGAGAGGCTTTGAATCCGTCCTAGACTTGACGCTGGCCCCCACGGTCTGAATCTGTTGTAGGCGGTGTGTCTCCGTTCTCAGGTCTTCGATGGGGTGCGTGGTTGACCGTCTGAGGCCGATGTTAGGGCTTGGTGCGGTGGCTATCCGTCCCATTGAAGTGCCCGAAGAGGCGCTTGAACCGGTGGAACTGGAAGAGGCGGATGAATGTGAGTTCTGACTGCGAAGAGGACTGCGAAGAGATCGGCGCTCTTTGCTCTCTTTAGAAAAGGTCCGGGTCGCTTGCATCTCAGCGCGCTCTAGGTCACGGTCGACGATGTCCATTTTGGCGAGTGTGTAGGCTGTCTTGCTTCCTTCTCTTCCACACGATCACGGTTCGAGTGGCTGAAATAATATAAAGACCATTCAACGATCCACTGCTAGAGGGAGCGTATGCGTCTTGCAAAGAAGCGAGTTCGAAAGCCGAGATAACAATGGTGAACGATCGAGAATGGTCGCGCGACGGCTGACTCTTGCGGATGGGTAGAATCTATGCTTTGGAATAGGTAGCCGAGTTCGATGGAGGGGCAAGATAGTGGCGAGGCTAGATATACAAAGCGTTATGGACGATGGGTGCGGAGGAGGAACACAAACTCCCGAGTTATAGCTGTGGTGAACTTAATACACGAGATGGATGCGCAGGAACGCTGTCGTCGAAATGGGGGGTGAACGGATGTCATCGACCTGACCTGACCTGACCTGACCCGACCCCTCCGAGTTGTCCTAAGGCGCCCCAAACAAATGCTTTTCGCCGGGGCGGGCAGGGTCCTACTGTAGTTAAGATTGGCCAACTTGCCCCGGTAGCAATACCCATGTTTAGCCTGCCCCAGTGCCTGGACTTCGCTGCTTGCTAGCCTTTAGAGCCCTATTAGTAGCTGCAATGTCCAATCATTCACAGCCTAGGTAGCCTAAGCGGCTTAGTCAGTGCTGGCGCCCGGCTGAGTTGTGCTGACTCACGTTGAGCCTTGCCTGAATGTCTCATGTCACCCTAGCTAGACCAGAACCTTCGACTTCTTACTACCAACATCTAACATCTGCTCCATACATACCCTGCCGCTCCTACCGCTGGCAAGATGCATAACAGTACCGTCGGCCGATCGCAAATGAGTCCACTCACGCTCCACCTCTTATCAAGTCTACTTACATGCCGTGCTTATGATAAACGCAGATGGTCGGAAAAAGACCTGCCTCGTGCCTCAAACTTGCGAGCTTGCAGGAACTGAGGCTTGGGAGTCACTGTACTCCGTACGGATACGCAGTACATATTCGCCGGTTCACCGCCGAGTCAAGCCAGTCTCTACACGATTCCTGCGTCGGATTTCCGACCACCTAGTCAGGTCTCCCGCCTCCAACAAACTGATCTTACGGGACAAGCCGCTAGGGTCACCCAGTATTACTGGCTCCCACCCCTCCGCATCACTTTCTTCATCCTGTCTGCCAGGGAGCATTTGCACTGTTCGCCAGCGGACCAGGACCACCACTACAAGTAGTGTCAATGCCAGCAGGACCCCTGCGACGATAGCCGCCGCCTGCGCTGCCCCATATCTTCTCTCGACGCGACCACATATTGCCGTCGATATCGCCCCGAATACAAATTTGAGAGACTGAGTGACCGCTATGCCTGCGCTGACCCTTGGATAGCACGAGAAATTGGTTCTTTGCTGGCGGTATGGTCCCATGACTGACTGCCGTGCTGGCCGTCCGGTCATTCCAGGCTGCAGGTCAGACGTGTCGAAGGTTTGCATGATCAATGCGTAGCATTCGCCAATTCCCAAGACCGATGCATAGCCGACAAGTCCCGCAAAAAGGCACGGGACGGCCACGGGAAACACAGGACCTTTCGAAGTCAGAGCATAGCCAATGGCTGCCAGTGGAAGAAACACCATCCACAATGTCCGCCGGAGGGTATGCGATGTCCAACCGATTGCGCTTTTCAAGGTCATACTGTTTGTCCGCGGCGGGAGATATCGGGCACGACTGAGCCACGACGCCTTCTGGAATGGGATCGCCATTACCGAACCAATACCCAGAGACAGGACGCAGAGTCCGACATGGACAGGCTTGTACCGGTATCTAGTGGATGCCAAAGCTCCAAGAAGCTACTGAATGTGAGCCCAGATATTTCTCCAGTTCACAAGACTTACCATCAATACCAAGGTGAATTGGGCGTAAACCCACGCTGTGTATATAGACAGCACCAGGAAACCAGGTTGCTTGACCATTTTCCAGCTTAATCGGAGGCCAGCAATCACCTCTTCGCCCCACCAGTAAGGTCCTGTACCGGTCAAATGCAATTTGACCTCCCCTCGAGCCACCCTGCTGAAGCCACCGCCCTCGCCGAGCACATCTGCAATAGTTCTCCGGAAGGCCGACCGACGGACCTCGGGTGTGATAACGTTCAGTAGAAGGACAAACATGAGGAATATCAACGATACCCAGAAACCCCAATCTACAGAGGCTCCATTGATGATGAAGGCTCCAAGCACAAACCCAAGCGCAATGGAACCCATTGTGCACCAAGACCAGGCTGCTAGCCATACACCCATTCCTCCTCCATGTCGCCGGACGTCAAGTGGATCTTCCAATCCTTCGTTAGACTCACTGCTCTTGAGCGATGCCCCGAAAACATCTAAAAGGGTCCCGAAATTGTTGATGTTGGCAAAGCCGAAAACGAGTCCCGAGACCGCCCGAGATAAGAGCAAAAGTATGCGATATGTTCGCACATCGGGACTTCGGAATGTACTGACTGCCAGTCCTTGAGGTATTTGGAGACACAATGCCAGAGTCAAGGCTGCAATAGTGTACGGTTTCCGGCCGTGTAGAAGAGGGAGGGGCCACAAGAGCAGGGTTGGTATAGCGAGACCGCAGTACAGAAAGACGTTTCCGAAGATCATGAGTCGATCGAAATCGACGATCACATATTGAATCGCTGGCACCTCTCCAGAATAGATGCCGATCAAGAATCCCAGACAGGCTGTATTGACGCAGCTACCCAGAGCAGCCCAGCGTTTTCTCGAGTTTGGCCAGTTTCGGGCCACAGGGGCGTGGTTGCAGCTCTGGTGTATGTCAAAGTCATCTGGTCTGTCGGCAATATCAACATGCCTCACGCCGTTGAGATCAATCTTGTGGCTGTGACTGGGTATTCCGTGCGCCAAGTTAATGCTTCCCTGCCTGGAATCGATTCCGAACACCTGGGTGAAATGTCGTTCATGTCCCGGGCGAGGAACTTGAAGCTTCTCTCCGCCCTCCAACAAATGATCCTTCTCTTCGTTCTCCTCATCCTTCAGATCATCTCCGTTGAGTCTCAGAAAAGGCGGCGGCTGTGGAACTAGAGAGCTTCCCCTTCTCTCGTAAATACTGCCGGTGGACGTGGTGCGCGGACCAATCTGTGGCGGCCGAAGAGACTCGACATGTTGATTCCTGCTAGGTAAAGTTGCTTGGATCGAGGTCTTTCTTCTCTGACGTGACCGATGTGCAGGACTTACAGGCCTCTCTTCTGTCGCCACTCTCGTTCTTTTCTGGTCGTCTACAGACCCTGCCATTTGAGCAATCTTGACAGCTTCATCCAGTAAACGCTCCATTTCCTGAATGGTGTGAGCCATAGTCCTGGAGACATCCATGCTTTGCGTTTGGTCCTCCTTGTCCTTATCCACACCTGTTTCATTCTTTGGTAGAAGTGCCGGGATATTTGACTGACGTCGGCGTCGGGACAAGGAGCGGAGGGGCCGAAGTTTCACATTTGAAGTCTCATCCCGTTGCTTCTCCGGCCTGCCCGGTCTATTTGATTGACCGTTACCTCGGCCTGGAGCATCTGCTGAGGGATGCTCAGAGTTGTCTGCGCCGTTGCCCATTTCCTATCATCCAACTTTGTATTGAGGAGGTTCTAATACGATTGACCAATGGCGTCATGCGTTCATTGAACATGGAGACTGGAGACTGCTCAGGTTATCATGAGAAGTCTCGCAACAAAATCGTGAAGATATGTCAGGGATTACGACGATAGCGATAGTGGAGGGAAGAATACCTGGGTGTGAACATGATGGCTGCGCACGATGGCTGCGCATACTCTCGATACTTGGGTACAATCCAAGAGGCATGGGACCTGCTCCTGCCACATGGCCATGGTCGGTTCTTTCCTCGAGAGTACCATATATGACTCGAGGCAGCAAAACTACCACCTACATGTAGGCGCGCCTTATTGGCCCCAGGCGTTCGCTGTATTCAAACCTGCCAGCTTCGGCTGGTACCTCAGCTTCTCAAGGTCCTTGGGTGACTCTACGGTGACCCTGCAGCCTTTGATGTCTTCGCGCGCCAGGATCTGTTCGTACACCTTCGCGTAATCCGACGCCTTCAACTTCCATGCGTTGGCCTCGCCCTCGCACTCGGCATCGTACTCGACACGATAGTCGAGATATGCTTCGTTGAAGCGAACATTGGTCTGTTTAAGCTCGCGACACGCCACAGCTGCGAGCGAGAACAGAGCTCCCTGCGAAACGGCAGTGGCGCCGGCAGTCCCTTGCGTGCCGGCCCCGCCGGTGACCAAGGTCCACGTCGATGTCGGGTGGCCTTGCTCGAGCAAGTGTGGAATCGTGGCTCGGTACGCAGCTAGCATGGAAAGGAAAAGAAAAACTGTTAGTCTCGTCATGGAAGTATTTCAGGTGAGTGCATGACTCACAGAATGCACACTCGGCATTGATCTTCATGGTCTCACGATAGTAGCTGAGATCGACCTCGTAGAGGGGTGACCGGGCATTGAAAACACCCACTGTGGACATGTTTGATCAGCTGAACTGGCTTCTGCTGGGACTGTGCCACTTGAAAAAGGGACAACTGTGGTCTTCATACCTGCTGCGTAAACATGCTGGAACGAAGGGAGGGTCCCGGCCTTGACGCGGTCGACGACTTTCTGCACACCATCGTCGCTGGTCACGTTGCCCTCCACCGTCGTGATTCCTGTTTTCGTTCCAACATGCTTGTAGATCTTTTCCGCCGCGGCCTGGTTGCGGACTATGGCCAGGACCTCTCTCTTTGAACGTAGAGCGGCAATGATGACGGAAATACCAATGTTCCCCGTGGCTCCGACGACGAGTACTCTTTCCATATTGACAACCCTGTGCTGCAGCTGTTGGAATGCCTTTTAGCTTGCAACCAATATCAAAGGTCAAAGAGATGGCCGCAGCATTATATATGCCGGTCTTAGTCAGTATCAGTCCGAGGGCTCCCGTCATTGAGAACTCTGTTGTATTCGACAGCGACAGGTGCGGTCCAGAAGAGACCGAAAGCATGACTAAGCCAATCCGGCACCGGCACCAGTTGGCTCCGCTACCCAAGAATCGGTCTTGGAGGTGTCAGTTGCAGATTTGGGGAAGGGTTGTTATCTCCGTCCCGGTAGTCGAGATATTAACTATATATCTGACATCAGCTTATAAATTCCGGGCCTTGTGACATAGTTCGCATCCTGGCTTCAATCTCGGAACCGGCCACATGATCGTCGATGGGAGGCCTTGGTGTTGAGAATCGACCTACAAGTAGCGAGGATTTCCATCCGAACGGCAGACCCTGGTGCTAGAAAGTGGTCTCTGGCTTGAATGCCCTTGAAGGACAAGTAGAAAAATGGCTGCTGAACTGGCGAATTTCGAAGGCTACGTGAACCGGGTGATCCCGTTCAAGACAGTCGATGGTCTCGAGTTGAGCCTGGACGTGTTGTACCCATCCACGAAGCCGTCGTCACCTCGGCCGGTTGTGATACACTACCATGGAGGATTCTTGGTGAGTTCTCTTTCTCAATATCATGAAAGACCTGTCTGCTGACAACACCCCCCAGGTCATAGGAGACCGTTATGCCTTCTTCCCGTCCTGGTTGGCCCAAGCATGCGTCAGTCGAGGCTGGATCTTTGTCACCCCTGATTATCGCCTGATTCCCGAAGTGACTGCGCATGCTTCGGTAGAGGACGCCGTGGACGCGTATCAATGGGTCTTGAAATCTCTGTCCAGTCATATCGGCATCGAGCTCGGTCCAGTGGTGCTTGCGGGCTCCAGCGCGGGTGGCTTTCTGGCCTTGACTACTTCTGTCACCGTCACCCCAAAGCCAGCTGCGTTGGTCTCCATCTACGGAATGTTGGACATGGCCAACGAACGATATCTCACCAAGGGAAGCAATATATTCGGTCTACCTGTTTTCGACACCACCAAAATCAAGCAGTCTCTCACCGAGTTGAAGCAGCCAGTTTTGTCTGCATATCCCTATCCCGCCGATCCGAGCAGCGATCCCCGTATGGCTATCATCGCGACTCTTCACATCGACGCCCTCTTTCCCGATTATATGACGGGGATATCAGGTCTGACCGAAAAGGTAATCAACGAAGGCGTCGAGGCGATTCCCGCAAGCCACCGTTCATTGTATCCTTTGACCTTCGGGGACGTGGGCGACCTCCCTCCAACTGTTGTCGTCCATGGACGAAATGATTCGGCTGTACCTGCGGCGTTGAGTGAAGTTGCGGTTGAAAAACTACGCACTGCCGGTGTTAGCGTGCACTCGGAATTTCCAGACGTTGGAGAGCATGGTTTCGATAGAGTCGCAGGAAGGAAGTTGGAGCAGGAAACTACAGGAGAGCTCGCTGCTCCGAGCTTCCAGAGTTTGCGGAACACACTGAAAACGCTAGAACAGATGGTCGCCAAAGCAGCAGCGAGGCCTAGTTAGATATCTTGACCTTCTCGAAAAAGGGTGGTCCAGGCTTCAATGCTAATGCCCTCAGAAGAGGACCCTCTGGCATGCAATCAACTTGAAGGTCATGAATCCACCATTTCATTGTAAGGCCTGTTATATGTATAATGAGACCAAATACGGGGTTGCTCTACAGAGTGCCTCCCGCGGCCTCTCGGCTAAGCCTAACCCTAACCCTAAGGGTCCGGTTATTCTGTGCACACCTCTTTTTGCTGGGGTCTGCTAATCAGTGCACATAGCGCTAATCATTCTATGCACAGTCACATAATCGTAAGCGGAGCGCTCTCATTGGTCGGTTTAAGGCATTCAATATTATTCCAACGTGCCTCTTACGCCTGCGCTCTCTTACGCCTACGCTCTCTCCCTGACTTGCGTGCGCACCTCGCCGTTGTTGACGCTATTGTTGGCGCTGTTATTGCTCTCGGCGCTGTTAGCGCTGAAGCAATAGGAGGAAGTACACAAACCTTGAGGGTGTTAGATCTCGATCAACAACGCAACGCCGAGCCTACCTATCGACAACGAGTCCATTATAACTAAGTTGAGTGTGCACTAAGTAGTAATTTCTATAGAGTGAGTGCACTTTTACACTAAAATTTTGGTGTGGTGTAACTACACAGAATAAGTTAGGAAATATTACCGAGTGCACAGAATAACTAGATTATGTGCACTGTTTAGAAAACCACAGCGAAAATAGGTGTGCACAGAATAACCGGACCCTAACCCTAACCCTGTGCTGACAAAGATGTCAGTCACGTGATGCAGGTCGGACCTTGTTCGGCCCGAAATATCGTTGTCAGCCTCGCGCACGGCACCAGTGACTACCGGCCTGGTTCCTCGCACATAGACCGAGCGTGATCAAGATATAACAACTCACATGGCGCGTCCCGATGGAACCTACCGCTGGTGACAACGGCTCTACAGTTGATCAATCAGCAAAACGACCCAGAAATACACAATCATGTCTTGCATGCCGAGCCACCAAAAGCCGATGTATCCCGGTACAAGGATCTGACATCTGCGAAGCATGTACTAGACGATCTCGACAATGTGTCAAGCCCGGCCCGGTCAAGCAACGCATCAAAACCTCTCAGAAAATCTCAAGTCTCGAGGAGAAGATCGAGTTATTGACCAGGGCGTTGTCCGCTAAGGCGCAGGAGCACCCAGACAAGACTCTTCCTTCCACATTGTCTCCTGAAGCAACCACGCACGACTTCATCGCTGTAGAGACGTCGTCCCATGAAAATTGTAATAGAGAACTCGCTTCGGTGGTGGACAAGGCCAGAGAACGGATTGGTAACGTCGCTGACTGCAGAGATGTCCTCGGACAGCTTGATCTTCATGCTCATGATCGGATTGACGACCGCATTTTCCTGGATAGGCTCAAAGGCTTCATCGAAGGCAATCCTGAACTAGCGAAATCGTTCAGGGTCTTGCTCGACTTGGATCGGTCTGGCCCTGGTATCGGTCCTCCGCCGGAATATCATTCGCGGTCTCACATCTCTCACGTCTCTCACCAGCAATCAGCCTTCGGAGACCACCTCGCTTATGACGTGGTGGGACGTGGCCTGATTGATATGCCTACTGCGGAAGTCTTGCTCAATCACTATAATCTGACGATGCGGCCGATACTGCCTCTTTTAACTGCCTCTCACAGCTCGACGGCGGCAGGTCATCGATTGGCAACCCCAGTCTTGTTCCTCGCCCTCCTGGCAGTCACAAGTGCGGCGATTCTGCCATCCTTTACCTCTCGACTTGTGGAAGAACTACACGAGCAACTCGCGCGCGAGATCCTTGTTGTGGGAACGCCATCGATGGAGCTTATCCAAGCGGCGTTGCTCTACTCACAATACTGTATGCTACCCACGGGCTCACACTGTCCCATTTCGACTCTTCACGTTTCGGCCGCCGTGACTATGGCCTGTGACCTGGGGCTTTTCAACAGAGCGACGAGATTGGTCGCGGGGGAACAGTCCGAAGGACCAATGGAGGCAGCTCGGATGTGGTTAGCGTGCTGGTATGCAGCGTCAAGGTAAGATGCAGTGAGACCATCTTATTTGTCATATGTCTGATGCCTTTTGTATCAGTAATGCAACACTACTTCGGCAGAAATTGCCCGTATTACCGACAAGTGAAGTAGACTCCTGCCTGGCCGTGTTGTCACGGAATGAAAGCCATCAGCCTCATCTCCACGACCGATGGCTTTGCAGCATAGTCCGTCTCCAGATGATTCTGGAAGATGTTTCCAATATTCTGGCACCCGTGTCGGTGGGTACATCCGGGCAGACATTCGACGAGCCTGCCATGCAGTATAAAATGAGCATGCTGCAGCGTCGGGTGGAGGACTGGAAGTCCACTGTACCCGTTGGTGTCGATGAAGGTAAGTCATGACCCGAGCCCAGCTACTGTGCATCCTGACACCCCTTCGCAGCTCTCGTCAAGTTTCACATGAACACCGCCCGACTCTGTATCAACCACATTGCGATCCGGAGCTACGTGCGCAGACCACTGAACGTACATGGCGAAGTAGAGATGTCGGCCACACATTTCAATTCGCTATGTAGTTGCGTGGAATCCATACAAGGCATTCTGGAGACCTACATATCCTTCCCAGACTCGCTTGCCCGGTCTTTGCCCAACAGCTACCTTTCATGGACGCTATATGCCACGGTATGCATGATGAAGCTGGGACAGTTCATCGACTCAAGTCTCACCGATCGCGAACCTTCTATTGCCCAACTTGTCGATGCAACGATCGAAAAGGTTGCCAGAGTGTCGGAAAATGGATACCTACCGCAAGCGAAGGCGTGTGAAGGAGCATTCAGGAAATTGAAGCTTTGGTATCAGCACAAGAGGGCCATATGCATCAACGCCAAAGGACTACAGAACTGCATTGGTGATGGTAAAGGCTCGATTTACAGCGCCTTGGGCGCGACGAGCGACCCATTCTCGCTGGAGCAAGCTTCGACTGTGGCGACGTCCGGCATTGATGCAACACAGACCGTGTTGACGCCGGACATCAATCCGCACCGCCAGCTCTTGCCACCCAGAACGATGGCGGAGGAGGCCACAGAAGTGGCGTACGATCCCTCGACGTACGAAAACACCAACTGGGCTGAGTTCACCTTCGATTCTGATGCGATGCGCGAGTTCGACGCGTATATGATGGACGAGAATGAAGACGAGTCATGGCTGAGATCGTTCGTCACGGGATACCAAGGAGCTGATTCGGTTGAATGACATTAGATCTGATACTGCTTGCTCAATGCCAAACACCCAGCCGAGTCCACTGTATGCCTGCGGCAGTAAGCCCCTACGACGGGTGAGTCGCGGGTGTAGCGCGGCATCACCCACGTCGGGGGTGAGTTGGCAGACTACGGGAGTACTGTAGGTGGTCCTGAGCCTTGGCTTTTAGAGTTATCGCTAAGCTTTTCAGCGCGGGAACTGCCTCGGGCTGTGCCGCCATAGTGCCACTGCGGACTGTACCTATCAGGTGCCTATACGATGAATGTCCAAGGTAAACGGAAACGACGGGAAAGCTGATGCATCATGTACATATCTGACCTACCAGATGCCAGATGCCAGTGGAGGTCAAACACGCGTCTAGGAACCGTTGTCAGTTGTCAGTCATACAACGTCTTGCTCTCCCTCTGAAGTTTGTGACTGCGCCTTACCCCTCCATTCCACACTCAATTGGTAGTTTGCGTTCGCTGTTCGTGACTCTGGTCTGTCACTTCCGCTGCGCACTCACATTCCTTACCGAACGTTTCACCTGCCAAATTTCTCTTCTCTCACCGCTACTCTTGGCCAAGCTACCTTACCCAGAGCGCCCTGATTTCCTAGCTCCTCGTTTCATCCTCATCTCAACTCGTTCCCTGGGATTCTCACCATGTCTTATTACGACAACCAATATCAGGGTCAGGGCCAATACGGTCAGCAGCAGTCTCAACAGTCCTACAACGGCCCCCCTCAAGTCCCGGCACCATGGGTTGCAGAGTGGGATCCTCAGAACAACCGCTGGCTCTACGTCAACCGGGAAACCGGCCAACGTACCTTTGAATCTCCACAGCAGTCCTACTATGGCGGGAACTATGGCGGAGATTATGGTCAAGAATATACTCGACAGGCCCAAGGGGAATATTATCCACAAGATCCACCGAAGGAATCTCATACTGGTCGAAACATTGCCCTTGGTGCAGCTGCTGGGGTTCTTGGTGGTGCTGTGTTGATGCACGAGGGGGAGAAAGTTGGTGAGTAGGCTGCCTACAAACAAAAAGTCCTCCTTCATACTTCATACCATGTTCTACATCTGGAGTTGCTGCTGACATGTTGCAGAGGACAAATGGGATGATGTCAAATATGGAGCCGAGGATGACGTTGCCAATGGTATCCAAGATGTTGAGAACTTTCCCGAAAATGCCGCTCGCTGGACTGGAGAAAAGGTTCAAGACGTCGAAGACATCCCTCAGGATATCGAAAACAAATGGGACAATGGTGTTCAGGATGTTGAAGATATCCCCGAGGACGTCTCTGGCTGGGTCGGTCGGAAAGTAGGGGACGTTGACAGATTTGGGGACAACATTGACGATGCATACGACCAAGGTCGAAACGACACAAGCTACGATGACAACCGATACTAGCCGTCATGCAGTGAAGTTGATGTCTACGAGACACACTTTGACGAGCTCACCTTGAACAAACAGGTTGCGGTGGTACTGAGACATCGATGCATTGCTATGAATGTGAGGTGATGCTGGGTGAATACGAGCAATAGTATGGCTCTGGCTGACAATGAATGGACCTGGACCACATGACCAGAAGCGCAGCATAGCTGACACACCTGTTTTCCCACGCGCTCCATTCTTTCAAGATACCAATGAGAGAACAATTATTCTTCAATTTGCAAATCTGCAGTTTCTATCAATTGGACAAAGGGTAGACAATGGTAACGTGCCGGTCAGCTAACGATAGTTCTCTGGGTATATGCCAACAATGACTTCTTTGTTTACCCTCAAAGACAGCGCCTGATACCTGTTTTCCAGGCTTTGATTGCCACGGCATGACATTCGATGCAACAGCAACAGAACGAAGAACGAGTTGAATAATGTCCTCGAGGGGTGGGTGGGAGATTCCATTTCCCAGCGCAAAGGACACAACATGGAGCTGTCCAACAGCAGTCACGAGTACAGTGCCACACCATCACCACATGGCACCGCACCGCACCGCACCGCACAGCATCGCAGGAGTGTCCAGTGTTAGTGTCTGGTGTCCAGTGTCCAGTGTCAATGTCCATTGTCCAGTGTCCAATATCCAGGGTCCGGTGTCCATTATGCAGTGTCCATTGTCTAGGGTGGCCTCCTGACAAAGGATACAAACAAAGAAATGACTCCCTCACCACCGGTGATCTAAGACAAGGCAGTCAGACTATGCTGCCGGAAGCTTTAATCCTTGAGCCTGGCTTTGATCAACAAAGAGTGACAATACCCTCACTGCCGTTACAACTGCTGCGGGTCTGAAACCTCCTCGACTGCTTCACATGCAAAGTGAAAATGAAACCGCGATTTGCATAAGAATATCTTTAATCGACAGGCCAGGACCATCTCTTCTTCAATCACACCACACCCGCAGCAACCGTCTTGCCAGCCCAGATCTGAATAACAGCTGCATATTGCACATTCGCTTTTCAGTCAAGTTCAAGGTCGAGGTCAAGGTCAAGTTCAAGGTCAAGGTCAAGTTCAAGTTCAAGGTCGAGGTCAAGGTCAAGGTCAAGGTCAAGGTCAAGTTCAAGTTCAAGGTCGAGGTCAAGGTCAAGTTCAAGTTCAAGTTCAAGATCGAGGTCGAGGTCGAAGTCACGGTCAAGATCAAGGTCAAGGTACCGGTCAGGGTCAAGGTACCGGTCAAGGTCAAGATCAAGATCAAGATCAAGATCAAGGTCCAGTTCAAGTTGAGATTGAAGTTTTTCTCAAAGAAAAACAACCCACCATTCAGCCTGCTTGCTGCCTAGTGCTCTGAAATCGCAATGGCCACAACAGGTCAGTCGTCGTCCAGACCTTTCCCAGCCGCAGGGAAACAATGCTCAGTAACATCCAGTCCTTCGAAGGTGCCAGTAACATCCAGTCCTTCGATCGTTATCACTGACACCGAAACCGAAACCGAAACCTCAATGGACGTGGATGAAGACACAGCTGTTGCAACATACATTCTCGCCGAAACAGCAACAGCCACCTCGCCGTCCAGAAGTAGGGCGTCGTTGGCCTCCACTTCCACTTCCACTTCCACTCTCTCGGTCCCTGCCCATGAAGAAGGCGACAGTGGCTTATTTCACAGAGAAGAAGGCGACAGTGAGTCCAGAGCATTTCACAGAGAAGGCAACAGTGAGTCATTTTCCAGAGAAGAAGGATACTATGCATACGAGCAACCGTTCGATCCAGACTCCTACGAGAAGGAAGAGGAGCGGGACACGGACGCCATATTCCCCGGTGAGATATGGCAAGCTGAGTGGACGGAACTGAAGGCATGGTGGGACAACGACACTTCTGATCCCGAATTTATCGAAGTGGACGACTCTGACTCGGACTCGGTCGGTGAAACTTCCAACACTAATACAAATTCATTCGTCGGCGCCGGCAGACAGAGACAGAGACAGGCCAGGGTCGTGCCGTTGGATCGACATGGCATGCCTGACTTGCGCAAGTTGGCTATTGTGAATTGGCGTCTGGAGAGGCTTTCGATGCAGGACCAGGACCAGGACCAGGACGAGGACGAGGACTAGGACTATGACTAGGATCAGGACCATGCGGCCTGAGCCTAGGTCATGGTCATGGCCACGGCCAGTAGTTTCGTTCTTTTTAGTCAAGAGTGAAGAGTGACCTAAGGCATGCATGATAGACAAGGAGATGGAGATGGAGATGGAGATGGCGCAAATATCATTAGTAGAGAGAAACTTGAACTACCAACCCTTTTACCCTTGACGGGTAAAGATGGCGTAAAATATCATTAATATATTGTGATCGGAGAAAGAAACTTGAACTTCCAACCATTTTTACCCTCAATATATAAAGATAGCGTAAAATATCATAGTATATTGCAACCAGAGAGGAACTTGAACTTCCAGTCCTTTTGCCCTTGATGAGTAGATAGCCTGGCCAAGCAAGGGAAAGAGAGAGGGAGGGCGACCCAACCCTTACTAAATATCTGTACCTACAGTATCTACAGGTGTCAGGTAGTAAGTAGTAAGTATCAAAAATTGAAATATTCCATGTTCGCCATCAAAGGGGTATGGGTATTGGGGGAGCCCAGACTATATATGTAGGTATGCCTATCGTGCCTATGTATACCAGCCTTCTGAAAGGACAAGTCTGGGACTGCCTATATACCTGAAGTTAGTGCCTACATAAGTTTGACGGTAAGTACGTAGGTACGGAGGATATACATATATAAGGTAGGCAGGCACATAACAACCAGCATCTTCTGGACTTCTACCAATATCGGCCTGTCACCTATGGTTGTACCACATTAATAACTGAATGATAGTCATGGTCATAGCCATAGGCCAGGCTTGGTCTTGGTCATGGTCTTACGTCGTGGCTGGATCTTCCAGCGGGTATCTTACGAATATGTCTTTATCACCGTACGATGCGTCATCAACTAGCGCTGTGGTTGTGGTATGTTACTAGTAGCTTATAGAACAGCTCTATCGCACTTTCCATGATAGATCATAGATCATAGATCATAGATGATACATGACACATGATAGATGATATATGATAGAAAGAGCGTATCCATCCATCCATCAGTATCCTGTCAAACTTATGTAGGCACTGACTTGGGCATTCTCAGCCTTGCCCTTGCCCTTGCCCTTTAACCAGAAGGCCTAAGCCCTAAGGCTGGTATAGGCACAGCAACGTATATTGTCTGGAACCCCATACCCCTTTGATAGAGAACATGGAACATTTCAACCTCTCACATACTGTAGCCTAATCATCGTCGTCGTCGTCGTCGTCCACCACCACCTCTTCCTCCTCCTCCTCCTCCTCCTCCTCCTCCTCTCAAATACAGTAGCCTAATCATCATCCTCCCCCCTCCTCCTCTCCTCCTCCTCTCCAGATCACCTCAAACCAAGCTAATATCAAAGCCTCGGCTCGCTGGTCCCAGTGCCAGGGACAGGTCGAACGACAAAGCCCAAACGCGGGAAATGGACCTTGACCGCCCCGACGGCCGGCCCACCGCCGATTTTGTCCGGAGCCACGACCACCTCTTCCGGCGTAATGGCCAACAGCGTGCCGTGGGTCGGACTGTCTCGTCCGGTATCCTCGGGAGCCACAGTGACATGGGCGCCGACGACCAGACCATTGCGTTTATCTAGGGTGGCGTGTGGTGCTGCGGGCGTAGGGAGTAGTGGTATAGGCACTTCGACCGAGACCGAGACTTGACCCGGCACCACTTCCGCTGACGACGAAGATGCTGACGACGGAACCACCACCTCCTCCTCCGCTGACGACACCGACGCCGTCGCTCCTCCCAACCCCGGTAGGGCTTTGATGCGGTCCAGGACACGCTGGATGCCCGTCTCGTCGGTTCTCTCGACCCTCGTTTCCGTGCTGGGTAGACTGTCGAAGAAGGTCTTGACTCGATCGAACCAGGCAGCGAGCCCGGGATACCGATCGGCATTGAAGACGCTGGATATGCCCTCACCATCTCCATCTCTCACCCCGCCACCGCTCAGGTCGGAAATGCCTTGGCCGCGGCTGATTTTGTCACCCCAGTCGAGCTGGTAGTAGAGTGCGATGTCGGCGGCGCTGGGGGTTGGGCCGTCAAAGACCCAGTGGCGGTTGGAAATGGCGACAGAACCAGTACCTGGACCAGGACCAGCAACAGCACCAGCACTAACACCAGCACCAACACTTTTGGTGTTGTCGTTGCTACCCCGAAAAAGCGGCTCCAGCAAACTAAGTTGCAGATCCAACCCGCCCAGATTCTCAGGCACCTTGCGCTCCAATTTCTCCGCGTCGAGACTGTGGCCGATGAGATTGGCGCGGTCGGCGCCGAACCGTGTCCGCCACACGCTGCTGGGGATGAGACCCGTCGTGACTCGGAACAGGGGTCTATCTGTCCAGTAGGATGCGAAGCCACGGATCAGAGGGCGTTGAGACGATGAGGATGAGGCCGAGGCTGAGGACGAGGACGGGGCTGAGGCTGAGGATGAGGACGGTGTAGGAGTGGTGGTCGGCCCCGGGTACAGTGTGCCGAATCCTTCGGATGCAGGAAATCGGTGTTCGAGCACTTCTAGGATCAGGGACGTGTCGATGTAGATCTGGACATGGCATCACACATCACACCGTCAGCCTAGGGTTAGGAAGAAGGAAACATATCAATCGACAGCGACAACAACGACAGCAACAACAACGACAGCGACAACATCGACAGCAACAACAACGACAGCAGCAACATCGACAGCAGCAACATCGACAGCAACAACAACAACAGCAGCAACAACAACAGCAACAGCGACAACAGCGACAACAGCGACAACAGCAACAACAGCAACGACAACACCAACAACACCAACAACACCAACAACACCAACAACACCAACAACACCAACAACACCAACAACACCAATAACAGCATCATCCTCATCATCGACATCAACAACATCATCATCCTCAGCTGGCACGGCTGGCCTCTGTCCAGTCTAGCAACGCAACACTCCCGGGCTCACTCCCAGGCTCACTCTCACTCTCACTCTCACTCACCTCTCTCCCAATTGCCAGGATAGGTATCTTTCGATAGGTGATGTTGAAATTATCCTTCACAATAGGTCGCGGCATCATGGACGGGACAATGACGAATGCTGGATCCAGGGGAAGAATGTCAGTGACAGTGAGATAGATGGTTGGTTTTGAGCATGTCAGTGTCAGTGAGATAGATGGTTGGTTGGGATCATGTCAGTGTCAGTGAGACGGTCGGATGTGATCATGCCTTGCATGCATTAATGGAGCTGTGGGATACTTTGTAGGTATAGGTACAGGGGTCCGTTTCACTCACTATAAGGAATCTGCTTCAAGCGGAGCGCAAGCCTGACTTTCTGCGTGAACGGCGATGCTGGTCCCAGTCAGTGTCAGTGGCGTACAGGTGTGGCCAATAGGTCGCGAATCGAGTAGAGCAAAGAAGATAGAAGATAGAAGATAGAAGATAGGACATAGGACAGTGGTGTCTCTTACAATCATACCCGAACAGCACCACCGGTGGCGATGGCGATGGCGAGGGCGAGGGCGAGGGCGCCATCATGAGAATGAGAGAGGAGACTGGTGACTGGATCGGATTGGATTGAATTGGATTGAATGAGTAGGTAATGAATGACTTGATTGATCCGATCCGATCAGGGGCTCAGACACCTTAAAGGCAGCCCAGGAAAGGAGGAAAGGACTGCTGGCAAGTGTCTGTGTCTGTGTGTGTAAAAAGCACAGAGGACAAGACAATTAGACTTTGTACGTGACCTACTGTACACGGTACACAGTACACAGCGTGGTGTGAGAAGGAGGAGTCAGGGGCAGGGGCAGGGTCTGAATTTATCCAAAGCCAGAGTCCAAGTCAGAGTCAGAGTCAGAGTCATGGCCGAGTTTTCTCCTGTCCGAGACACAATGAATGCCTGGCCACGGTAAAGAGAACCGTCAATTAAGGGAGAAAAGAAAAATAGGAAATAGAGAATGGGAATAGTAATCAATCCGTTTCATTTCAGCCCAGCTTAAGCCCAAGCCCAGCTCAACGACACGGACACGGACATGGACATTGACATTGACATGGACAAGGCGTGCGACTCCGCTTCCAACTCAACCTCGGTTATATGTAATATGTAATATGTGATTATGATTGACTAATATCATGCTGAGGGATACGACTGAGAATCAACCATGACCGAGGCCTTGGCCTGACACCAAGCAGGCAAGCATCTCCGCGGAAGTGAGTGCTGCAACAGTATCCGTACAGCGATCACAAAGTCGGTTGAGAGAGCAGTGTACCGCTATAACATCTGAGATCCACCACGACGATGCCATTACGAACATAATTCGGATACTGTATACGGTACTTCCTTTTGCTACGGCATTTACATGACCAGTCAGCCTGATGGAATGAGGCTACATAGGTACATGGGTACTCGTCCTACTGGGACAATAGTACAGCGCACTCTGTTGTATACCTTGAGAAAGGTCCCATGCCATGGCCGAAAAGGTGAAGTTCAAAAACCCCCTGGGTGCCTGGGTGTTACTGATCACCCCTTCACCATCCATGACCAACAAAATGGCCCAGTTCTAAGGCGAGTGAACACCATGGGCGATGCAATCAAACACCCAAAGAGAATCAAGATAAGTCCTCTCTTCATCTTAGTAAATCCTCAGTCCGCAGCATTCAATCGATGTCGGTCGCACCGTCGCCTTGCGTCCCCACCATAGACGCACCAATTCCTCAACGAACGCTCGGTCAGACGCACTCCAACTGTCCAGACCCATGGCTGCCATGTCTTCACGACCAATCTCAACTTCGCCCTCGCGTTGCTCGCCTTGGTCGCCTAAAAGACCCTGTGTCTCCTCTTCCTCGACGCAACTCCCAGGCTGCATGGTGTCTTGGTCGATTGAGCCTGAATTGTCCTCCTCTTCGTCATCATCGTCATCATCCTGGTATGACCTGGCCCCTGATTCATTCCCATCGGTTCGTGTGATGGCTTCGGCAATGGTTTGGAACATGACCTCTGTCATGCGATGAAAGTACGCCACCAGTGCCACCTCCCGACTCTGTTCGTTGTCGCTGTCACCTTCGTCTCGCAAGAGTGCCAGATCTTGCTCGGTTTCCGCTTCTTCCGTCTCGGTGAATCCGCCGCGTCTGTCTCCAGCAGATGCCCACCACACAAGAGAGTCATAAGCCACTCGAGACCATGATGGAGGCTCCACAACCGCCTTGTTCACCGAGTATGACGATGCTTTGGACGGAAATAACAGACACTCGTCGGCATCGTTCCCCATCAGGCCGTTGGTCGTTCTGCTCGGCACGAACTGGCCGAGACCTTGTCGGAGACGCACAAATCGTTGGAAATCTCGCCAGGTGGATCTGATGCCTACTCTAGGAATGCACTTTGTGAGTTCCGGATCAGACACCACCATCCTAGGAAACACCTTTTTAGCAGCGTTTTCTGACCCAGCTTCAGGCATCACCACGAGGACATCGTAAAGCTTCGGCTTCGTCCCCAGCACATCGTCAGTCGTGCAAGCAATCCAACCGTCATTGAAAGCTATGGTAGACTCTGGAGAGCGTTGGCCAGCTTCAAGTTGTGGAATGTCCCCCACCCCCACGGTGAACAGCGGCCGAAGTCGAAGGCTTGGGGTGTCGGCCGAGGGCAAGTATGGAAGCAGTGCTTTTGATACAGATGACAAAATGGACATATTATATACTGACGTTCCGACGGTAAGCTTGAGGCAAAACCTAGAATGTAGCAGACTTACCAAGATTACAACTGGACTGAACGGGAGTGTCTGCGACGATTAAAATGCGCTTGCGGAGTAAGGCCGCCCGGTAGAGGGGGAACAGGAGAGGACCGAACAGATCCACCGACTCTAGTAAGGTCAGGGCAGGATGGTGAGGCGTCAAGGCGTGGTGCGACGACAAGAATGTGGTCGCTATACTCATTGACCGAGATTTTCGGTACCCAGATGCGGGTGGTCGGGTGCCCAAATCGTCATCGTCTTGTTCCGGCTGCTCTTCCGGCCCAAGCCTGTATTTCTCCCAGTATTCTTCGAGGGCGGTGGTGTCTTCGACATTCTGAATCTGCGTCCTGCTTGGCGTCAACCGCCTGTTGAGGCCACCGTCATGAATACACACCTTGCGAGTGCCTGCAGAGCTGCCGCATGACGCCAACTGCGGCCGGTACGACCGTGATCAAGGGGGACCAGCACACCAATGGCCAACATGCGCGCTGCCCGTTCGGACTGCCCATCAGGCTTGTTGATAAATGCGCTGAGACCGCTGTATTCATCGTGGATGAAGTATCTTCCCATGTTCAGTCTTTTCCCGTCGCCAACATGTGTGCCACTTACACCAGATCCTCCTCGACGTTGTGTAAGCCCGAAGGTAATGATTTGAACTCGACAACGCCCTCGACCTGGGCTGCAGTTTCGAGTCAGTGCGGAACCGCGATGTTCGCAGGTGGAAGCTGACCTCCGTCGATCGACCTGTGCCATACTAAGGTGTATCTCGGGGCCTGTCAGATCAAGTAGAGACAACCATCTAACGGGGCCGGAGGCATACCCTTTACGATGGTCAAAGTTAACCAAGAAGGCCGCCGCAATCGAAGGAACAGGGGCTTCATTGGTGGTGTCAATGCTCAAGGGACTTCGGTCCGCCATATGTGAGTTGCTGTGGGCATAATAGAGATATGAGCTACCGTGTCACTACCGTGGATATGAATGCCGCTGATAATGGCATACACATCCGGACCAAGCGTAGACGTAGACGTAGACCTTGACAACGCCGGTCCATTGGGAATCGCATGGAACGAGTCCAGCATGTTTAGTCTCGGCCGTCGCAGTCGCAGTCGGGAGACGTTGCTTCCCTCTCGCGCTGGGAGAAGGTTTGCCGAGGCCTAAGCCTAAGTCCCCGCGATACGCATTCCCTCCGTTGCAGTCCCTATTCGTGTTGGAGCCGAATAGGAGAAGAGAAGATCCAGTGCCGGTACTATGGTACTCTGGACTCTGTAAATGTGCAGCTTCCCAGCGCATCCTGTAATCTATTCAAGCAACTGACTACCCTTTGTCTTCTTGAATACATACGATACGCCACCGCCCCCAAGCATGTCAGGCTCCAGACGCACAATGTGTTCGAGACAAACATCGTCAATGGCTGACATGACCTGGTTCACAAGCTCCTTGCCGTCTTCTGGTTTGGACAGTATTGAGGTATCCAGATGCGCAAATTTCATGAGCTCTTGGGACTCTGCTTCACGGTGAGTCTCGGCTAGTGCTTCAGACTCCAGACTCTTCCGAGCTCGTGATGTCGGCCTTTCAGGACCATCGGCCACGAAGGCAGTGATATCTGGAAACTCCTCCTCCGAATCTTCAACAGGAGCATCCAGTTGTTCCGCGTTCTCTGCCAAGGCTTCGGCTGTTGCAACTCTCGGTCCTGTTCCGTGGCAATCACATTCAATCAAGTCGTGTGTGCGCAATCCCTCACTTTCATCCAGACGGAACAGGTCTTTCAACTCCTCCTGGCTGAATGTCGAAGTCTGTCCTTTGGCGCCTGGCTCGAGAAGTCCCGATGAGCTAGCCGATCGGCCTTGCATGATGCTGTCAGCCAAGGCTCTCTTGACCACCTGCCGCTGCCAGATTTTCTCCTCGATGGTGCCTTTGATCAGGAACCTGTAGATCTTGCAGTGTAGCTTCTGACCCTGTCTGTGTATACGTGCCACAGCTTGATCGTCCGTTGCCGGATTCCAGTCGACGTCAAAGAGGACAAGTCGGCTCGCGCCAATCAAATTGAGACCCACGCCACCCGCCTTTGCGCTTAACAAGAAAGCAAATGACTGCGCAGATGTTGACTGATTGAATTGATCCACGAGCGGTTGTCTTTTCTTCGCTGCAATGGACCCATCGAGGCGGAGATAGGGGAGGTTGGAATTGACCAGCAGCTGTTCGATCAAGTTCAATGTTGATGTGTAATTTGAGATCAAGACCACCTTCTCACTGGTATTGTGCCGGATTTGCTGCAGGAGTTCGTCGAGTAGGCGAATCTTGCATGAGAGAGAATTGTGGTATAGCTTAGACAGCCCCTCAGGAAGCATCTCGTTCAACGTGGTAAGTGACGAGGAAGGTGTTACGTCGTCGTTGCCGAACTTGGGATCCATCAGAGCAGGACTGTTGCATAACTTCTTCAAGATAGTGATCAGCTGGAAGGCACTCTCGTTGCTTCGGAGGGCGCTATGAAACATCGGAGACTTCAAGATATGTCTGTAAATCTTGGCCTGACCCTGTGTCGGTTTGCAAAATAGCACGTATTCGGTTTTTGGCGGCAGGAACTCGGACAAGATATCGGCGGTTCTGCGCAGTATGAATGGCGATGTCGTACGAGCCAATTCTTCACTGGCTTCGTGTCCCCGTTCGATCTCACTTTCCGACGCATCAGGCTGACGGCTTCTCATAATAGGCCTCTCAAAGTCTCTGATAAAGCCTTTTTGCGAGCCCAGACAGCCATCATTTACAAAGTTGACCATGGCGAAGAACTCTCCAAGGTCGTTCTGTATGGGGGTCCCGGACAGAATTATCCTCCTGCGAGTGTTTAGTGACTCGATAGCCTGAGCGTTCTTGTTCTTCATGGTCTTCAGACGGTGGCCCTCGTCGCAGATAACAATATCGATCGGATGGCCCCTGGCGAGATCATCGGCCACTACTCTCAACCTTTCATATCCAATGATCATCACCTGATAGACTTTGCCGTCAAAATCACTGATGCGGCTGTTTTGATCCTCGAACTCGAGCACACCCAGCCTGTCCGAGCCGAGCCATTTTTTGAACTCACGCTTCCAATTTCGAATCAAAGAAACTGGGCAGACAATCAGAGCCTTTTTTATGACCGGTGGATCCCTGTACACGGGAGACTGCCGTAGCAGCGTCCACAAGAGAGCAATTGTGGTTAAGGTTTTGCCCAGACCCATGTCGTCCGCAAGAATACAACCTTGTCCATCGAAATTACGCAGTCCCATAACGCATTCATAGAGAAATTTGACTCCTTCTTTCTGATGTGGTCGTAGTAGCCTACCGATGACAGGGTCTAGAACGACATCGACTGTCTGACGACCCGCGGGTACATGTTTAGGCCTCTTGAAGACAAGCGCACCATCTGCATCAGGATCGTGCCGGGGCCTAGGGGTCTCAGCAGTCCCTCGGGGCAAGATTGTTGTCTCTTTCAGAGGTTGCCTGAACGCAGATACAAGATTTGTTTTCAAGGGACCATGCTTTTGACTCTGTGCCTTTTCATGCTGGATCTGCGCCTTCATCTGGGCTTGTATGCTCTGTTTGGGGTGTTGGGGTGCAGATGATGACGCGGAGAGAGGTTTCGAGGTAGAATCCCTGTCGAGCTTCGTGGCAACAGCTTTCGGTTTGACAAGCGCGAGATGTTCATTTTTTTCGATACAAGAATCGACCTCAACCTCTTTGCCGCCAATGGTCAAGGTCGAACCAGGCAATAGTGGGCTCGAAAACGCCGTGCGCCCTATGCTCTTTCCCGATCTGTTGTAAAGCGTTGCAAAACCACGAGCAACAGTAAGCTGTCCATCGTCGGTCCAGGTCTTGTTTTTCTTGTTTGTGGGGGCACGCCTGGTAACGCAATTAGCAAGGAGGATCTTTCGTGGGGTCAGTCAATATACCATAACACCGTGTAATAGCTCGTGAGGCCATCTGCGTCCGACTCCGCAAGATTCTCGACGGAACTTGAAGGATTGGGGATATCTCTAAGAGCTGATCTAGCCGACGTACTATATGAGGGCTTGCGACCTCCGCTGGGCGCAGCTGGTCTCTCCCTAGTTGAGTCCTCCGGAGGACTGAGCTTTCTTCGCTTGTTGGAAGGGGTTCCGATGTCGTTACTTTCGTTGCTAGGAAGGGACTTTCTGAGGGTCAATGGCTTAAATGGCTTTGACAACATGACGCAAGTGTGAACTGGCGCTTCCGAGGTTGCCCTTGTCTACACAAATACGAACAAGTTCATCTTTGTGATTCTCGACTTGACAATGAAAGAAAGCGCGTCGCGACGCGTCGATGCGCATAAAGTGGCTTGGCATACCACGAAGTCACGTGCTCCACTGTTTGCCGGCCACCCAGCAGCCTCGTTTGGTATGATACTTCAGCTGTGACTGCAGAAAAGATCTTAGCGTTATGTAGCTTTGGTTTTGCTGTTTCTAGAAGATTGGTTTTTCTAATGTATGATCAAGATTTGAAGACTAACTTCTCGCTATTGGATATGTTGACGGCTCATGTAACGCCCAGGAATTGGCGGAAGAGGACTAAAGACACTCCCACGCCATCATCTCGCTTCAGACCCAGACAGGCCTAACCATTGAGCGTAGTCACAAACACTATGGCAAGGCAGAACATTGATTCCAAATGGTCATGCCCATCGACGATACATATGGTAAGAAATATGACAGAGCCAACTAGGAGGGCTGGAAAGGACGATCGTGAGAATAAAAAGAGCGCGCCACTGGCCACTGCAGCTGCTTTGGTGAAGAGAACAGCCGCCTGGCTGAAAAGGGATGGATGGATGGGATAATCTTCCAGTTTTCCGCAAGAGTGCAGACCCGGTTCTTTCTTGTCTGCTTCTGGGCAGCTATTTCTCAGTTGTAGCTCCGTCTGCAAAGCCTGTACCATAGCTCTCAGCTCCTGGATCTCGTCCATGGCCACGCCCATTCGCTTCTGCAGCACGAGCATTGGTGATTTGGCAGATGTTGGGGCATCTGGAGGCGGCGTGCAGGGTGAGAGCGTAGCAGGACGGCAGGGTGACTCGGGCATGTCGGATCGTAGTTTCAATGGCGACAGGGGATGTTTGCGCCCCACTGGAGACCTGATACCCCAGTCGGGCTTCATTCGCCACATGCGGAATGGGGTGTTTGGGCCAGCCGGCGATGCTGCGCTCGCTCTATCAGCCGGCGAGGTGGGTGACAAAGCCATAGTCCTGATTTTGCGGGCTCCCACCGGTGTGCCGCAGTGGGCGATGCTGCTGTTCAATGGCGTATCGTACTCACCCTCGGATCTCCATTTAATGGAACTGAAAGTAGTACGAAGGATCTTCAATAACACGTCTTCGCTTCCTGCAGCTGTGTCGATGGACAGGGTTAAAGACGGCATGGGCGAAATGGGGGGTGTATCGTTGAACCTGAGCATTTGGCCAAGAGAAATTTTGAGGGCTGGGAGCAGATACATGGATCCCCACTGTTCAATTGCTTCGATCCAGCCCTGAAACTCCTTGAATGATTTGGTGTCGTCAAGGTCGAACCGGGAGATCTCAGACATGCAATAACGTCCATCTGCGTCGATATGGTGGTAGTTTACGATCGCCGTGGAATTATCGATGGCACAGGAGAATGATATAGGCTTCTCGAGCACAGGGTTTGGAGCACTGCAGCGTCTGAAGAGGAGTTGCATTGCACGGACGCAGTGAGCACCAGCAACTGCACAATGATTTTTGGCAGATTGAACAGCGTCACCTGACGCAGCTGACATCCGCTCAAAAACAAGAAATGGGCTGTAGGTAGTAGTCCCAGGAGAGACAGTGCCGGTTGCAAAGTCCACGATGGTGCCCGCTGCCGAAGTGCAGTTTGGAAGGATCGTCAGTTCGTTCTCGCTGAATGCAGAGGTCTTGAAGCCAGTTATGAGACTTGGGCGAGGAGCAGGTAGCTCAAATATGCTCTCTTGGGCTTTGACTGCGCGTGGGGGAAGAGCTTCTCGATTCAACTTCGGAGCTAGGCATCGATGCAAAAGTCGGCTTTCGCTGATAGGAGGTAGGGCATTCGGCGGAAAGATCAACGTAGAACTGAAGCCTTTTCCCGTTGCCAGTTGGTTTCGCCATTCTCTCTCCTGGGCGGAAAACCGAGACAGATTCTGCAAACATGGCTGTAATCTATCGGCAAATGGGCCCGATATTTCCGCCAGTTGCATGCTGTCGTTGAACACGATTCGGAAGGCGCTGAGGACGCTTGTTCGAAAGTCTGACCATCCAAGGTGACTGCCGTCAATCGCTCTCAACAATGACACTGTCGATTCTGCAGCCGAGCCGGAGGACTCCATAGTCTTTAGGGGAGGAGCCTGCGTCTTAGACAAGCTGCTGAGAAGCCCGCGGCGATGACGGCTGTGCGACGGTGGTCCAAAGCCTCTGGACGTGCTGGCAGAGTCGCCCAGAGAGAAGTCGGCCCAGTGTGGACTGGGAACGAACGAGAAGATGAAATCGCGGGACACAGTACCAGAAAATATGTCTTCGCCGCACGGATAGCATCGTGTGCCGGTAACACATACTCGGCGGCTATGCAGGAGTACATAGAAAGCCAAACGGGTCTTAACTTTATTCACCAACCTCGTTACATTAGATATTGAGCCGGCAAGGCTCACAGGTAGTATAGTAGCGACAAGAGCTGTCAAACCATGAGACGATGGTGCGTGGCAGCACAACATCACAACTGCCCGGCGAATCGGCGACCCAGGTGTTCCTTATCATCGGGCGCGTAGTTCAAACAGTACCGGCGCATCTGGGAAGAGGCATTGTCGGTCATCAACCGATAGACTGATGGCGCCAGAGCCAGACGTTCGGTTGGTTCCTGAGACCCCATATTTCGGTCAGCGGCTACGAAAATGATGGGGTATAAATAGGACGAAACCTCGACAGCGCGTAGCATCGCTACGCAAGTGAAAGGGCCGAAGCGAGTGTTCAAGAACCAGATCACTGGACACAGGAGCACTGCATGTTCGACAGCATGTCTCACGAAACGAAGACCCAGCGCCTCTGCTCGAGGTGAAGAAACAACTTGGAAGGGATGAAGGGCACCAATAGGAAGACGGAAAGCTGCGACAGTCTCTGGCTATGCCAAACAGGCAGCTATCCCGAAAAAACGAAAGGAAACTGTGCCGAACATCGCAAACAGGGCAAACAAGGCAAACAGTCCATCCATTCTGCTGGACGATGGACGATTACGATGGCTGTGAGACGGAGCAAGATGAAGCAGTGTTCTTTTCCAGCTGTTCTCACATCTGAGATGCAATAACCCGAGACCTGGGGTTCGGGTGAGGGTCTAAACTAAGTTACTGTATCAGGAGCCCTCCGAGCCCCCAACGATACTCGTGTATTCTGCGCTTCCTCTCTGCCCATTCTCTCCTCGTATTTCTCCAAGATCACATGCCCTGCACTGGCAGTGGATGTGGATGATCGAAGCCAAGGAAGCTGTCATTCAAGTTGAAGCTTGCTGCTGCCAATTTCGCTGTTGCGGCTGGGTGGTCTGCAATGCAAGCACGACGGACACCTGCAGTTCTGCCTGCGCCGTCGTCAACCCCTTCATTTTTTCTGTGTTAGGTCTTGTCTTGCTATGCATCTGTCTCTTTGCTTCATCCCTGAACACAAAGTCTGCGCCGTGTGACCAGGCCTCGGGGTCTCCCCTGCGTTGGATTTTTGGATTTCCATTGGCACAGTCACCGTTCCATTGTTAATGGACCTCCTTTGAACCTCCACATTTGACAACCCTTACCGGCATGTTAATTGGAAGACAGGCTCTTTCGAAGTTGTGAGATATCTTTCGGAGACCACCATCGAAACCACAACATCCACATGAAAACGTCAACGCCAACATTGACTCAGCTATATCGCTAATATCGCAATGCCTTCGACCCCTTCCTCCAACAGCCGCATCAATGCAACGGCCGTCGAGAATGCTTTCCCGACCCCCTCTACCGGCGACAGTTCCGACGCCTTTTATCGAATCAAAGGTAGCACCGGCATGTCTCCAGCGCCCAAACGGATGATCAACCAGAACCGCGCGCAGTCCACCCCGCCAGAAATTACACACTCGACCCAGTTTGGCATCCTCACCAAAAGCACCGACGGGCATTTATCGGACGTCGCAAGCTTGGAACGCTCCTGGCAGAGGCTACATTTATCCAAGAAGAAGAGCCAATACTATAGCGACGCCTTTGCCTCCCGAGAACCAACCAACACCGCAAAGGATCGAGTGGCAAAAGACTCAGTAGTGCTTGCTGAAATCAAGCTGAATTGCTGCGTAAGGGCACTCATACTAGATGGAGATAGTCGCTAACTATCTTCACAGCTGGAATCTGAGAAAGAGTTTCTAATCGATCTGTCCTTCCGGTTGTCGGAGATTTATCAGCGGCCTGCATCTTGTATCATGGCCATGGCGTCTACAGAGGTTACAATGCTTCTCGGAGGTAATTCTGAACCCGCATATCATCTCACCATTACAGCTCTCTCCTCGGAGATAGCTGCCACCAAGAACAAACGAAGCACGCATCTGATACAAGATTTCGTGCTCGATACCTTGCAAATTCCTCCCAAGCGAGGGGTAGTGCACTTCGAAGCAGTCGCCGAGGAGAATCTGGCCACAAATGGGATGACAGCGCTACAAGAGATTGAACAATTGGAAAGACAGTCGAACGAGGAGGACGGTCTCTTGAGAGCACTCAGCCAACACAGGAGCAGGAGGAACAAGAAGTCAAGCATACCAGCACTTACCGAAAGGGTGAAATCCGGGTTTCCATCTTTCAGGGCTGCAACTCCGGGAAATCAGTATTTCAACACAGCCGCAACCGTAGAGACGAAGTCGACTGAAGCAAGTGGCCCAGGTAGGAAGCGCGTTAAAAGAAGACAGAGCATTCTTGCCTTTTTCAGAAAATGACAGGAAAGTACGACTCCAATGCGCTTCTGGTTTCGACTCCATTTGATCATGTTCGATCCACTGTTGGAATAGCTGCGCAGCTGGCAAAGCGGTCACTCTGGCATAGTGGTGTGCAATCATCAGCTACTGTGCATACAATACAGGATCATTTTTGAATACCACCTCTTGTAATACCTCTTTGGTTATTGTCAGTTGTCGTATACCTTGCACTCGCTGTCTTGCAAATCTTCGTTGTCGACCTCACCTGCGCAAATCACTTCGGCCTCAGCACCCGGTCTTTATCTCTCATCTCAACCTCTCTAGCCTCGTCCTGGCAGATAATCACCTCTTTGTCTATAAAATCTTCTCCTAGGTAGAGCCACTAGACAAATCGCCGGACCAGCACAACGCGACCGCGGATGCCGCGAACCCAACCTCTTCACTGTTGTCTGTCAACACACACGAACCCATTTTTCCTCATATCTGGACACATCCAGCATCATCATGAAGAACGACGACAGTGCGCGATCCTACAGACTTCTTGGCCTTTCCGAAGGCGCATCTCTTGAGGAGCTGGATGAGAGATACTTGCAGCTGACCCTGATTCAGAACGGACCACATGCTCCCCAAAACAAGGAGGAGGCCAAGCAGCAACACGATCTGCTCGATAAGGCCTACAATACCATACTCACGAGATTTCTCAGAGGTGAAGAGGAAGTGGAAGTGCCTAGTTCTCCCCAAGAAGACTTTACCATGAAACAGATCACCAACGCTCAAGATCGCATTCATATGCCAAGTACAAGCGATGAGGATTTGTGGATTTCCCCGGAGGCCTCACGGCCATCCAGCTCTCAGACAGACTCCGAGTTGCCCGTACCCAGAGCAGCAAATGCGCCTGGCTTCAGCCTGCGAGAAATTCAAGGTGACATCCTCGAGGCCCCAGATCGAGCCGTGATTGTTCGTGAGTCATACACTCCCCGCAGACATGGACGTACCTAATTGTCTTCACTGTAGATGCAGTCAACTGTCAAGGGGTGTGGGGGTATGGCATCGCAGCACAACTCAAGAAATCGGTACGTATGTGGTGTCAGAGCCATCCACAGACTGCTGACGTGACGACAGTTTCCGGAAGCCTACAGGGTCTACCGCACTCACTGCCAACAAAACACCAAGGCTTACGACATAATTGGAACAGCTCTCCTGATCCCGCCTCAACCAAAAGACTACAAAGAAGAGATGACAAGAGAAGATGGAAACACACAACCGGCCACAGTGTGCACTGGTTCAACCACCGTGTTTGCCAAACGCCGCTGGATTGCGTGTTTGTTCACGAGTGCCGGCTATGGGAGGCCAAATCCCGCAATCAACAAGATTGGCAAGGACTCCAAGCAGCGAATATTAAACCGCACGAGGAGCGCTTTGGAATACCTCAGAGTCTTGCTGGAGGAGTTCGGACCATCAAATTTTGACGAAGACACAAACTGGCGAACGGACGATGATAAACCGGGGGAAATTTGGAGCTGCAAGTTCAACAGTGGTGCTTTTGGGGTCGAGTGGGAATCAAGCTGTGCTATCTTGGAGCAAGAATTCGCAACCTTCGAGCGTCCGTGGACCATCGTGGATAAGGTTGACAAGACGAAGGATGGCTCGAAGGACGAAGCTAGAGGAGCGTCGTCTCAAGATTAAGGTGGCGTTCACATGAGATGTCACCCGAGTGATGGACCGTGCTCGGCAGCACTATGACACAGTTGCATTGATGAGCCGATCTTGGAGCTTCTGAAGAAAGGGTTGGCGAAATTGTACGACTTTCTAGGAGTATTTCCGCAGGAACGCTGCAGTGACCAATTCAATACCCCTGAGGGGCTTGTGACCAGCATTCGGCATTCGTCAGGACAAGGCGTAGAAGAATAGGGGCCGCGCTAGACCAAAACAGAGATAGAGTGAACAAAGGCTTGGCGTATCTGATTTCATTCAATTGAAGTTCCAGTTCGAGTTTTCCATCTCGCCAAACATTAACCGTGCCACGACCTCTGATTTTCCAACAGGTATTTTCCAATCGAGGCATTTAAAGAGATCATGGACCACTCATCTGATGATGCACGCCCTCTGAAACGAGCCAAGCTTGCCAGTGCGCAAGCAGATGGAAGTGTTGACGACCATACATCCGGCCTTGGCACAAATCAGACCAACCTGGGCTCGACTCTCAAGATGCCGGTCAATCTGCCGGGCGACGGTGCTTCCAAGGAGCTTGAGGTAGGTATCATAACTTTCATCGATGATGCTCGTGACAAGTTCCAAGCCATACTCAAAAAGAGATACACCGACTTTCTTGTCAATGAAATTTTGCCCGACGGTCAGGTGGTGCATCTGCAGAGCATGAACGCCAGAGAAGCCGCCAAACAGGCATCAAATGACGACGGTGTGCGCGCAAATGATCAAGCTGGCCAAGTGCAGGTGCAGGAGAGTATCCCTCATTCAGCCCACGAGAATGATACCACGGCAGAAGCCCTTGGCAATGACAAAGGTCCAAGCTCAGACGCTGCTCTCGAAAGGAAGGGAGATGCGCAGCGCTCAGAGGTAGGATATCTCTATAGTCTGAGACTGCACTGCTCACACAAAGCAGGTATCTGACAATGATCGCGCAAAATTGGTAGAATATTTCAGCGAGGAAACTGTTCAGCAACTGACATCTCTGTACGACCTCATTCTCCGAGACCCAGAAAAGAAGGCTCGTGACCTTCCGGCAGTGCGGACGCCATTCACCACGGACCGGAGTATCAGAACCCAGATCCATCAAGACATCCGGCGAATCTTCGACAGCAAGATCGAGTCCAGCACCGACAAGGATGGGGTGTTAGTTCTCCGTGCAGCGACCCCTAGCAACCGTAACCGTGGGTGGCCAAAACCTGCCGGTAAAGCTCGACCGGGAGTACTCAGCTGGATGGACCGTGGCGGCGAGTATCTCCACTTCACCCTCTACAAGGAGAACAAGGACACTCTGGAGGCCATATCCTTCATCACAAAACAGCTCAAGACGACCAACAGGACGTTTCAATTCGCGGGGACCAAGGACCGACGAGCGGTGACGGTGCAGAGAGTCAGTGCGTACCGTATCGAGGCGCATCGGCTGGCGGGACTGAATAGGGTCTTACGTTATGCGGCGGTCGGAGATTTCACATATCAGAAGAAAGGGCTGGAGCTCGGTGACCTTTCGGGGAACGAGTTCGTCGTGACCCTCCGAGACTGTGCCATTGACGGCACAGCGAAGCTGACTGCATCTGAGAAGCTCTCATCAGCTCGGTCATATCTGTCACAGTCGCTGCAGAAGCTTCGTGAGAAAGGGTTTCTGAACTATTATGGTCTGCAACGATTCGGCACGTTTTCTACTCGAACGGATGTGGTGGGGGTTAAAATACTACAAGGAGATTTCCAGGGCGCATGTGACGCCATTCTCCAGTTCTCTCCGATCGCCTTGGACGCAGCGAAGGACCCAGAATCCAGCGCGCTCGTCGGTCAAGACGATAAAAACCGTGCCGAAGGGATCAACATCTGGCGGACGACAGGAAAAGTACCCGAGGCGTTGGAAAAGATCCCTCGCAAATTCTCCGCCGAGACCGCACTGATCCGACACCTAGGCCGACAACGTCAAGACTTTCTTGGAGCGTTGCTATCGATCCAGCGAAACCTGAGGCTGATGTACGTGCATGCATACCAATCCCTGGTGTGGAATCTGGCGGTCGGCGAACGCTGGACACTCTACGGCCACGCCGTGGTGGAAGGGGACCTCGTCCTAGTCAATGAGCACAAGGAGAAAGAAGCTGGACAGGAAGTGGTGGAGAGTGTGGATGCCGATGGCGAAATCGTCGTCCAGCCGTCCGCGGACGATCGGGCATACGACCCGGACGACATATACGAGCGAGCCCGAGCTCTCACGGCCGAGGAAGCCGCCAGCGGCCAATACTCCATCTTCGACGTCGTCCTGCCTCTACCCGGCTTCGACGTCATCTATCCGCCCAACGCCACCGGCCAATGGTACCAGACATTCATGGCGAGCGAGGCTGGAGGCCGACTCGACCCGCACAACATGCGTCGCAAGCAGCGAGACTTCAGTCTGAGCGGAGGGTACCGCAAGATCCTGGCGCGGATCGGCGCCGACTACGACTTTCAGGTTCACGAATACACGAACGACGATATGCAATTCGTCGCGACCGACATGGACAAACTCAAAGGGAAACGTGGTGGCGAAGAGGCAAAGGAAAAGCTGCAGCCGGCGTCGAGCGAGGAGACCGCTGAAGCAAGTGCAGATCGTGATGGTGATGGTGATGGAACGGCCGTGTCGGAGCCAGCGTCGGAGCTGGAGCAGAAGAAATTGGCTGCCGTGCTCAAGTTCCAGCTCGGCGCAAGTCAGTACGCGACGATGGCGCTGCGAGAGCTGTCCCGTGGAGGCATCCAGGCTTACAAGCCGGAATTCATGGGCGGCAGATGAGGTGCAGAGCCTTCCTTAGCTTGCCTTTACCGGTCTGTTCAAAGGGCAAGGTCGGACCTCGGTGAAGTCCCTGTGTAATGGGCGGGAGCATGTGTGATTTGCATAGAAATCCAATGACTACGACTGGCCCCAAGTGCCGTACTAAGGGTAGAATGTGTCGCCTCTTTCGTCTCTGCCTTTTTCATTCCAATCTACTGTGTGCTAGTCTGTGAATAGTGAACAGGACAGACAGAGTTCAGAGTTCTGGCACATCATAGCCTCCAGTCCAGCCACGATGGATCTAGAAGAAACGCAGGAGGTTGTGCCACAATGCTAGTCCGTCTTCTCTTGGGTTCTGGTCGCCTTCTCCGTCGTTCCTGTCAGTCTCAGTCTTCGTTGACCCAGATCCAAATCTATACCCAACCATTGAATCATCTTCGCGGCCATCTTGACCTTTTCACGTCCCAGTCCTTGCGTCGGCTGGCTAGCAGCGGATAGAGCCAAAGTCGATTTTCAGCTCACAGGGAGCGCCGAAGCCCTGCAGCATGACCAGTGCGGGAACGACGAGCAGACTCTCCGAGCCGGCACTCCTCGAACGGCTATAGATGGCTGGCCGGAGACTGACCAACACCGAGGTGTCCTGCGGAGGTGCTTCGTCGCCCTTGTGTGCTGATTCCATCCATGCCTTGTCGAACGGGTCTCCTAACACGGCCCACCGGAAGCTGTATGGGCACACGGACTGCTCCATCATCAGTCTCAGGTCTAATGCCTCTTCAAATGCCTGGTTGGCCTTGAGCTCCCATCGAGCAAGGTGGTCAACTCGATCCTGCACTGATGGTCCGGCAGAGGCCGCTTCTGCCGCTTGTCGTGCTGTCCGAAGACTGAGGAAGATATCCAAGAGCTTAACTTGAAGGCTTTCGGCGAGGCGAGGCATCCTCGGTTTGACGCTCTTCTCTAAATGCTTCATCTTCTCGCTGGTGGCGAGTTTACGTGCAAAGGCCGGGGCATCTACAGGCTCGAATTAGTATCTATCAATCAATTGGATAGGTCGGCGCAAAGCAGGACTTACGCTCGCTCAGAGTTTGAAGCACAACCTTCAATTCCCTATCCACCTCGCCGTTAAAACGCTGAAACACCCACTCCGTCACCGCAACGGCAGCGTAGACTTGCAGCACCAGATCAGTGGAGAGTGCGGGATCATTGAACAGGACGGTCAGAAAGCGATCCAGTTCGGCGCCCTTGGCCACACCACAGTTGAACAGTAGGCTGCTCAGATCGCTTGCATCGGCGGTCAGGCGCGACACGGTCAGCCCAGTGGTAGGAATGGCCTTGTAGAAACATTGAATGGCAGCGGCCATCTTCTGTAGTATCTTATCCATGGCCCGGTCCACGAAGTTTTCACTCGGGTTGGCCTCCCAGCCCCTGTAGATGGAGGGGTTCCGAATGCACTTGATCAGGCTCTCCTCTGCCGGGTCGAGGCACGTCAACGCGGGCGGTGATGATTCGCCTATCTCGACTGGATCGGACAGCCTGAGGCTGGGTCGTGGAGTACGGGTATGGGTATTGGTATGAACCACCACCGTGGCATCTTCTGTCGGGCTTGTAGGTGTAGTGGTTGAGCCTTCTAATGGGATCGGATCTCTTGTCGTCCCTTGCGCTTCGTTGTAATATTGCTCTAAAGTCTTGTCAGAGGCTGCTTCCGAGAGGCTGTCCGACCCTCCTTCCCAGTTCTCTTCATCTTCGTCTTCGGAGGAGATGTCCAGCGTGACTTGCGAAGACCTCTTCCTCTTCCGCTTGAAATTCAGCTTGAGATTCGATGGACGGTTGGCTCCGTCCGGCGCCTGCTTCTTGGCTAGTGCCAGAACCTGGGCTTGGTGGTCGTTCCAATTCTGTACGAGATCCGATGCGCTTTTCAGCCTAATATTCCGAGCCAAAGACAAGATTTTGTTGGAAATCTGTTCCTTGGTGAAGGGTTTGACGTTGGGTGAGAGGGATTTGAAATGGTCGACTGCCACACTCGCAGCTCTGCCAGATGTGGTAATTCCCTGTCCTTCTAAGCCGTCGAGTACACTAGAAAGCTCTGTAATCTCCTCAGTGGTCCAGAATCTCGCCATCCTGTAAGATCCCATTTCTTGGATGAGATCTGGCAGCTGGCAGTCTGTGGGTGATGCTGAGATGGAGAAATGTGGTGGAGGGAGGATATTGATCTCTAATCAAGCAGATGCGCAGATATAGATCTGGTCAGAGAGAGAAGTAGGGTGGGATGGAGGGAGATAGAGATGAGAGAGAGAAAGAGAGAGAGAGAGAGAGAGAGAGATCAAGACGCGGGCTCCTGCTGTGCTGTGCCGTGCCGTGGTCTTTCTTTGTTTGTTTGCTTCCTAGGTAGTTGGGCAGATTTGAAATTTTACATAGTATCTATTTCAATCTCAGATATCTCTCACCTCACACCTCAGCCTGACCTAATTCAACTAACTTTTCTTCACTATTAGTACACAATACTAGTACATTCACTCTTCTCTATCCCCTTAGACTCTGACTAGATCTAGTCTACCATTCCGCCATATAAGTACTCCTGTATTTCGGCTCGTTTCTCGATAAACTTGGCTGGTAGGGACCTACTTCAGCTTTAGTAGCAGTATTGTACCTCACCTCACGTATACTGCCTACCTTAGATACCTAGTATCTTCTTTCATGGCTGGATCACCCTCATCTGAATCTTCTCTGATCACCATCACCAGCCACCGTTGCGGAAATGCCATGCTGCCAACCCTGTCGCGCCGCACATACTCGATGCTCCCTCTCCATTAGCAGTGTGAACCGGGGTTCCTGCTCTCGATGCACGGAGAAGCGTCTCACCTGTCGGGTTGCTCAACCGAGGAGTGCTAGACTCTCACAGTCAACGACCGACACAACTACCACCATCTCCTCCTCCTCCTCCTCCTCCTCCTTGACAACCTCACAGTCAACGGCTGACACCGCCCCAGCCACAGCCTCACGGTCGATTACCACGACCGCCCCAACCTCGGTCATAACCACAGCTACATCTTCCAGGTCCAGACGAGCCATGCCTCTATCCCGGCAAGACATCCGCAGCCCTACCCTCGGCGCTACAACGACCAGATCGCGGATTAGAGAAGTGCATATCTCTCTAGATCTCGGCCACGAATTCCTGAAGGGAGCGTTTTGTCTCATTTACGACTTTGAGACAGACTCTAATTTAGAAAAGGTGACATGGTCAAACTGTCAGACCACTATGCCCACGGAAGTGGCTTATTGTGTGGACACAAGTGTCTACCCTCACGTCCTACGCCCAAAATTCGGCCGGGACCTTAGAGTTGCTTTGGATCAAGAAAAAGTCCTGGAGAGTGATATTATTCGGCACTACAAAACCTATCTCTTTGGCAAAGATATTGGCCACGTCGCAAAGACCTAAGCGGCAGGTTTCTAGAATCTCAGCATACCTGCCCGAGGGTGAGACTTTAGAAAGGAAAACTTGCTAGAAGACTTGCTCGCCTACGCATTCAGATACACCATCCACTCTATTGCGGAAGCGCACCCAGACCTCGGATGGCCAATTTATTCGAACCTGGACGATTACCGAGCCTGGAATCCAGGGCAGGTGAGGATACAGGTAGCGTTACCTTTACCTGTTGCTACCACGCCTCAGCAGATCTCTCTTGTCCAAGACGCTGCTAAGATAGCAGGTCTGCCTAAGCCGTATATATGCGGCGAGCCCGCTGCGGCACTGATGTATCATATGACTGGCAAACCCGACCAAGTAATACTGGGTAAAAGCATCATGATTGGAGACATCGGTGCAGGCTCTGCCGACTTCGAGGCGTGGGAGATTGTGGACGTCCATCCACTGCGTGTCCGGCAACTCCATGCGTCTCAGACTGAGTGGTGCGGTGCCCGAACCATCAACGTCGAATTCAGGCGGCGATTCCTTCAGAGCATCTCTGATAGGAAGGAAGCCGTTCTGTCCTCACTAAGAACTGTTGACACGACAATGGACTGGCAGACATTGGGCGAGAGGCTGGAGGCCTCTTTCGAGGGAGCCAAGAAAGACTTCCGCGCGGAAGGCGATGACTCCTACATATTGCGCATACCTGGCTTACCGAACATGCCTGAGAAGAGTATGCCTCGCGGCGGCCGGATAGAAGTGGATGCGGATCTAATGCGAGAGTCGCACCAGCCCCAACTCAACACAATCATCCAGGTGATCAGAGATACGCTTCGAGCGATCGAGCGGCGGAGGTCTCACGGGTTGGTCGAAAGCTGTCCAGATGAGCTCCTGATGGCAGGCGGAGGGGGTAACAACAACTACATATGCCGAAAAATCCGCGAGACGCTTGAGCCAGATGGCATTTCAGTCTCACTGCCTACCGCCTAACGGTCAGATAATACCGTCGCACTGGGGTCACTGCTGCTTCTAGCCAACAAGGAACTTGTGACGGAAAGAATCATGCGTCGAGCATACTGCGTCGGTCGATGGGAGGTCCCAGAGAATCCGAGGGCGTACCCTGCAGCGAGTCGTGAGCGAAGCGAGCAGGACGGGCTCGAGCGAGTCCTCATGTCTCGTTTCTTCTATCGCCTTGGAGATTCTCTTCCCCGGGTCTATGAGGCCCAGATTCGGGGCTGGCGCGGTCTGCTGGTTGAAGATGTCAACCACGATGGCGGTTGCCTTATTGAAGAGAAACTCTTTTACTCGGACCAAATCAGCGAGGACCTAGTTTGGCTAGGCCGGCAAGACATGGACATATACGAAAAGATCGAGCCGCTCAAATGGTGGTTCTCAAAGAGGCAACTGAGAGACATCAAGCTTAAAACCGACCGGACCACCCGGCGGACATTCTACTATCTCGAGTACGAGGTGACCCTAAAGCTGGTGGATGATGAGATGACGTTTGAAATCACCATTCCGCGAGACGGGATGTTCAAGGATGGCCATGCAAAACCCGAGGGGGACAATCCGATCCGCCAAACGTGCCTTTTCGATTGTTCGGCGGATTTCAAGCTAATCAATACGGTGGATTGATACCGAAATGTCATGTTCTCCACTGGTGTCTTGTTGCAGTCTCCAGTCTCGCCATATTTCAAGACCTGGAGGGGACTAGGACTCTATTCAGAGGTTAAGATTTGGCGGGGACTAGGACTCTATCCAGAGGCCATGCTCATGTGTCGAAACGCCATCTTGAGGTCGATGGCAGGATGGGACGATTAGTTCAGGGAGCCATCATCGGCGAACCGAACTGGGGAGGAGGTATGTAGAGAGTCCATCATGATCTGTGAAATTAGGCGATGCCGGGAGAAGAAGCATCGGGCATTGTATTGAACCAGCTACAATACTGGAGACGCCATTGTAAAGAATATGCAGATGAGAACTAAGTCGATTCTACCTACAGTGATGTGTCCCTGTACTTATAGGGACCTATGGAATATTTAGGTCTGAGCCCAAGCCCTAAAGCCTCATAAGCCGTACTAAGCCCGGCTTAGACCTTAGCTGTACACATTACACATTGTAAGATATTGTGTGTATATTACGCATCTATAAGATCTTGTGTGTCTATTATATAGTCTGTGTGTGTATATTATATAGTCTTTAGAATGTTATATATATATTTTGTATGTAGTCTAATTAATTCTAATTACCCGGGGCATCCTAGATACTCTATCCGTACATACAGTACTCGGTACTCGCTAAACTCGTATTAGGGTTAGGGTTTCCCCTGCCTCGATTTGATACTATCCACAGGGTGATCTATTTATTAGAGATATCTAGAATACATAGAACTGACATGTCATCGCTCCACATTTTCCAGGAATCATTCAGAGTGGGTAGTGTGTAGTTCTTCTATTCCCAGTACGGTGACACGCTGCAACGCCTCAGGTATCTAATTATATCAATGGGAGAACGGCCAGCGTAGAAGAAAAGAAATGAAAAGGGAGATAAGAGAACAATTTGAAGGATCCGTCGACGTCCACCTCCACCTCCACCTCCACACGTGCACTCAAGAACTCTTCCGGTCCAACTCCTGCAGCATCTCCTTCATCTCGCTCTCGGTAGGCAGGTTGACGATAGTCAAGTAGAGGACGTGCTGCTGCAAGACGCGGCGGATGACGCCCTGTCGGCGGCGAGGCAGGCGGCCCATCTCGGCGTTCTTGATGTCGGCTTCACTCAACTCGTAGCCGCGGCGACGGGCGCGGCGCTGGGCCCTCCGGCCGCGCTTTTTGGCCTTGGGATCGAACTTGCCGCCGGTCAGGAGGGCGAGGAGGGAGCCGGAGTTGGCGGGATGGTTGGGGTCGGAGAAGCGCGAGGCGAATTTCTTGTCGGGCGGCGGCACGGCCAGCGCCAGCTTGCTGTCTGGATACATGCCCGCGTAGGCGGCCTGGGCTCGCCGGTCGAGGTAGCTAGCCACGAAGCCGGTCGAGCTCTTCAGCGCGTTCTGCTTCGCGGGCGTCATCTCGGCCGGCCGGTCCAGCGCGGCCTCCAGCGCCGGGTAGATCAGCGGGGCGGATTCCGGGAGCGACATCTCACCCTTGGTGGCGCCCGAAGACAGACGCAGGGTTTTCAGCTTCTGCCGCATTTCCGACTCCGGGTTGGACGTGGCCTTGGCCAGAGCCTGGTCGACCGACCGAACGTCCATGCCGATGATGGGCTCGTGTGGGCTGTCTGGTTTGAACGTCATGATCATGCAGTACAGCCCGCGCGGCTTGAAGAGCGTCTCGTTGATCTGGTCCAGATACGTGTTGCGCCGGTGGCGTGACTGCACCTCCTGCGCCGTGCGGCTGGCCACTTGCACCGCGATCGACACGCCCATCGCAATCGGGCTGGGCACGAATCCGACCGCGAAGCAGGCCAGGTTGACCACGTCAAAGACCGGGCTGGCCCGAGAAGCCCGGTCGAGCCCGTTCAGGAAATCGATGAACGTCGCCTGGTCGATGCCGGAGCATGTGTCGAGGACCGGGGCGTAGGCACGCACGAAGCCGCGGGACTTGTCCTTGGGCCGGCGCTGTGGGAGAATGACGGGGCATGGAAGTGGTTGATAGCTCTTCTTTGGGTCCCGGGCCACTTGGTGGGTGTTGAGGAAGGCACTCGCCAATTCGTCGGCAGATGCGGGGCTGGACGAGGATGCCTCGTCGTATGTTGGCGGAGGCGCCTCCAGCTGCTGAGCGGCGTCGTCGAGTGCCCATTCGGCCTTGTCGTTGTCTAAATCCGAACTGTCCATGTCCAAAGAAGAGTCGGAGTCGGAGTCGGACTCGTAGTCGCCATCCTCGCCGCCAACTCTTTCCTTTTCTCCCCGGCCTGCCTCTGCTGACCGTGAGATAGACCGCGACCCCTCGCCGGCCTCGAGCTGAGCTGATCGGAGAGGCGAGGCTCCGGGCTCTTTGGCGACTTTCTTCTCCTTGTGGTCGGCAATGGCTTCCGAGGCGAGGCCTATGCCGGAGCCGATGCCTTTGACGACTCTCTGGAGGAGTGGCATGATGGTGGAGAGGCTGCTATGTGTATATGTACCGAGTAGATGAGGGGTAATTGCTGGTACTTGCTATCAGGTATTAGGGAAACGCTTCAAGGGGTTTGTTGCGGCAGGTGACGTGTAGACGGGTTGAGATGCAGATGAGAAGATGCCACGAGTGTAGTCCATGAGGTGTGATCCCATATATACCATAGACCGTATACTGTCTGACCATCAGCTCGAGGCAGTGCTGGCCGAGTTTGATTGATTAACATCCACTCTAGGTTAGAAGCGCGAGGGTTGCAGGCCTGCTTAAGCACTGCCGCCTAACTTGGGCTGCGCACTTAACCCTCGCGATACTGTCCAGGAACGGTTTGGCGCGCGAGACAAGGCTTAGCTAAGGCTAAGATGCCCGCGTCTAAGATTTCCTCCCACCCCTGCTAGTAAAGCTTGTGTATGCTTAGCTCGAGCCACTGTTCAGGCTTAGCAAGGCTTAGTACGGAGTACTCTATACGGATACACCGTACCGCCATGGTCGATTAGCACCACCATCACCGCGACTAGTCAGTTTCTACCTTAGGGTGCCTATAGGGGCATGTGCACATAATTACAATAGATGTCCCAAGAGGCCGTCCTGCTAACATCGAACTTCGACAATACCTTAGACCTTGTTGATACTAGCGGAGTCTTGAATGTGGTATTTACCTGTTCTCTATCTCTAAGTGTTCTGCCAGCATATCTGACGTCATCTCGGGACTCTTGCCGTACTAGGAACTGGGAGACTGCTGATAACACTTATCACCCTTGACAAGTTTAGGCAGCCAGAATGTCCGCAGCAACCCTACTCGTACAAGAGCACTCCATACCATACTACGTATGCGGTAGATCGTCAGCACCATCACGTCAAGGTGCGCTAGTAGCAATACAGTTCTTCAAACTGCGCAGCCTACAATCTCACCCCGGGAAACAGGATCGGCCCCTCTCCTAGTAAGGTGCAATCTGCACTGCCAGCGTCGGTTTGAGGCCCTCCCTTATCTTTGAGTACCGCCCGACAGACAACTGTACGTCCAATCCTGTCTGTCGGTCTTGTATTCGTCCAGCCAAGATTCGTATACAAGGCACGAACAGGTAAGTGAGTTGCAGGATGAGGAGGAATGGTCGCTCATTAGGGCACACCAGGTTCCTCGGCCAACTGTTACTTATTTTTTGTAGGTTGTTCTCTACCAACTATACTTGGGTACTCAGTACGTTATCTAAGCCAGCTTCAAGTTACTGAAGTGAAGCTTCACGCTCTGGTGAATCTGGGCATTAGCAATATCGCCGTTAGGTGCGTCGATAGCCTCGCTCAAAGACAGCCCCTCAGGGTCCAAGAATGGCTTTTCGCCAAAGATAGCAGTGCGCTTCCCCTCTCTGAGAGACGGGTCATAGCCGCCGGGAACGGCTCTATGGGCGACAACTCTGTTGTCCCAGAAGGCGACGCTGCCGGGAGTCCACTTCCATCGAACGGTAAGGTCATCAGCCGAATGGAGATGGTCGCGCAGGAAGTGGAGCAGATGTACGCTTTCCTGGCCCTTGAGCTCGGGGAAGTGAATGACGAAGGACGGATTGTAGAAGAGGGACTTCACTTTGGTGACGGGGTGAGTGCGGACCTAAAAGACAGGACAAGAATGTCAGTCCACGGTACCAAATGATATACGTGGATGAAGCGTGCTGGACTCGAGACTCACCAATGGATGTGTCACTCGGTGGGGAGCGCGGAATGGCTGATACCCACGGTTCAACGAGTTGATATACTGAGCCTGCGTTGTTGTATCAAGGTTAGACCTTGCCAGGAAATAATAAGATTGAATTTTGGGATGAATGGAAATGGAAATTCACCTCCGAGCTGTGGACGGCAGTAAGGCCATCAAACAGGTGTTTGTAAGTAGGGCTCAGTTTATCATATAGCGCAGTCTGACTGGTGAAGATGGTGTCACCACCGGTTGGTGGAGTTCTGACCATTCGTAGCATCGTGTATGCTGGCGGGTTGAGCTCGTGCGAATGGTCAGAGTGGAATTCACCCCCATTATCGCCATATTGGCGGATGTCGCTGGGGTAAGGGCTCAAGGTTAGCTCAAGGTATCAGAGCCGCGGGCTTCTTTCTGCAGAGTTCTCCGGATTGCAGTTTAGGGTATTAGATGGTGATCGACTTACTGGTTGTGTCCGAGAATTGTGACATGCCTAGGGTCCTGCTGATTGGGGTCTCGGTCTTGCTAATTGATTGTTAGCCACATAGGCGTCCTGGCGGCTAGAATTCTGATTTTCCTTTATCCGTTTGGGTTTCAAAAGGACCAAAGTGACGGGGTAGATTTACAATGCCATAGTGTTTAGTCAACGTGTGTTGCTGCTCAAGCTCAAGATCCTGGTCCCGGAAGAACACCACGCCGCGCTAGGGAGGCCCGTTGTCAGCGCTTGCGTTTCTGAATTACATAGAGCAAGCAAGGAGGGTTCAATGTACCTCAGACACGAGCAGGGCAAGCTCGTCCTTCTGGGCATCGGTGAGCTGGCTGAGTTGCACACCAACAAGCTCAGTTCCGATGTACGGAGTCAGATGTCGAATCTCTTTGGCCGCAGAGAGGAGAGCTTTCTTCTCCGGATCAGCGAAGAAGGCCCGATCTTTGGGAGGCTCGAAGTGGGCGGGTTGCGGGTCTGGCGCCTTGTAGGTGAGCACCTGCTCAGTGATTCCGGTGTGAGTAAAACTCATGATGGGCTGCGGCTGACGAGATGAAAGGGCGTGGTATGTAACGGGGGATAGGTGAGTGTGGTCTGGCGATCTACTTCAGTTCAACTCTGTGGTGATATCGACCCTTCGACTTCCATGACCACGACTTTATACTTGCAGGGTGCGGGCGTTGCTTTAGTAATCTTGTCTAATATCCCGTGTCCCCTCCCCCTCCTCCATCCATCTCCGGTGTCTCTCTCCATCCGTCTCCGGAACGTCCTTGTGGCATCTTGGGACCAACCTCCACGAGAAACGTCAAACTTGGTTCGGTTCCGACAGTGGTCGAGTGGACCGATCGGACTGGGAAGGTGGTTCCCTTCGGGAGGTATCAAGATCTTTGCGTGACTGACCGTCGTGCGTTGGTTACAGGCGAGCAGGCATGGTTACTGGACGGGTGAGTGGTTGGCAAGCCTGCGCAATTGTTATCAACATTGACGTGCTACTGCCATGATACGCCAGCCGTGTCATGGTTGGCTGCTCGGCCCATTAGTGGCTGGCCTAGACCGCACTATGCCTATCCTGCATCTAGCGTCACACTAAGCGGCCCTTAGAGGTGCCTAGCATATTGCCCTAGCCTTGCGCCAAACCTCCTGTCCAAGGGTATCTACGTATCTACGTTGCTACCCTTGTACGACACCTCGCCAAAACACAGCCTTCTGACGGTCTGGATTACGAGATAGTACCTAATGGGTATATTTTTTCTGCAAAGCACGACATTGGAAGTAACGTTTCCTTGACTAAACGCCGACCGCATCAAGGTAAGCCCCGGTAAGTCTGGGACCTCCAGATGCCCCCAGATTACCAATGTCCACGATGTTATCAGACGTTGGTCTTCCTCCAATGCTATTCTTTCTCGATCAAAATTCTGCCATCATCACTCCAACACCCGCCGGGCTGTATACACATACAATCATACGGACGACTTGACTTGGCCCAAGGGATCCCAGACTCCAGCTAGATATAGATCTATCCTCCAGCAGTCCATTTTCTGCATATCTAGATTCCCGCCAGGACTGTCCACACACCAACGACCATGTCCGTAGCTCCTCCTCCAGTTCCATTGACCGAGTCAAAGCTCGGGATCGATCAGAGCAGGACCATCGTGGCCGACCATGGCTCCTCCGACAAATCTGACAGCATCGACCTGAAAGCCGAAATCTACGACAGCAGTGCCATCGATCCAGTGTTGGCAAAGAAGATGGCCTTGGCCAACAGTGCCCTTGACGAGATTGGAATGACCAACTTTCAGTGGAAACTGTTCTTCCTCAATGGGTTTGGCTATACGGTCGACTCGGTATGATCATCTACAATACCTACACTGAGAGCTTTATATCCCATCCAGCCTCGGGCTTCGTCACTGTTGACTAACCTGGCCTCTGCCTCTAGCTTCTTATTGTCTGTCAATCCATTGCCCAGCCTGCGGTGAGCCAGGAATTTGGCAACCCAAGCAAACACATTGCCGGGATTTCTCTTGCATCTCAGATAGGGTTGCTTGTCGGCGCAGCCTTTTGGGGTTTCAGTGCCGATATCATTGGCCGAAGGATTGCCTTCAACACGAGCCTGTTCATCTGCGCAGCCTTTGTTCTCATCGCCGGAGCCATGCCCAGTTATATATCCTTCAGTGCGATGTGAGTTTAGCAAAGCGAAATCTTCCGAGGACAACCCCCTCCCTGACCGTCTCTACAGGGTGGCCATCTATTCCGCCGGTGCCGGTGGTAACTATATCCTCGATGCCACGAATCTGATCGAATTCCTCCCCTCGCGCCATTACTGGCTTGTGACCTTCATGGCTGTCTGGTGGGCTGTCGGCTACACGATCACCGGTCTTCTCGCCTGGGCATTCATGAGCAATTACTCCTGCGACCCTGACGCCACTGTTGCAGAATGCACACGCGCTGACAACTGGGGCTGGAGGTATCTTCACTTCACCTGCGGCAGTCTTGTCCTGTTAGTCAGTGTCCTGCGAGTGCTGGTGATCCGCATGCCTCAGACCCCCAGATGGTTGATTTCTCAAAACCGCGACGCCGAAGTGGTGGCCGACCTGGCCAAAATGGCCAACCGATACAACCGGCCACTCTCCCTGACGGTCGAACAACTTGAGAGCCTCGGACGTGTGAAGCACACCGAGAAATCCGTCTACTCGGCCCTGCGCTTGCGACAGCATTTCTCTCAACTTTTCGCCACCAAGCGCCTGGCCTACTCGACCATCATGATCATTGCCAACTGGACCGTCATCGGCACCGTCAGCCCGCTGTTCGGGCTCTTCCTTCCGTACTATCTGAAATCCCGCGGTGCGGATGTCGGTAGTTCTGACAACTGTAAGCACAGAGTCCACATCCCACTGGGATATGGATCCCTTCTTTTCTTTGTACGCACTATTGATGTAGATACATGCTAACTTCCTCCATTTTTCAGACACGGTGTGGCGCAACTACGCATTGAACCAGGTCTCCGGCCTGTTTGGTCCCCTGATAGCCGCCTTCCTCGTCGAATCCCGCTACTTCGGTCGCCGCGGCACGCTGGCTGTCGGCGCCGCCATCACCACCGCCCTGCAGTTCGGATACACGCAGATCAAAACCCCGGCCCAGAACGTCGGCGTCTCCTGCGCCATCAGCGCTGCAAGCAACATCTACTACGGCACCATCTACGCCTATACGCCCGAGATCCTCCCGGCCGCCCATCGAGCCACGGGCTATGCCATTTGCGTCATCCTCAACCGAGTCGGCGGCATCATTGGCGTTCTGGTCGGGAGTTATGCCGACGTCACCACCACTGCCCCCTTGTTCGTGTGCGGCGCCTTGTTTGGCCTCTTGATCATCTTGTCGCTGTTGCTGCCGTTCGAGACCAGGGGGAAGAGAGTTGTGTGAACAAGATTCAAGATTCCGGAGGGACTTGGGTACAGTATCTTGTCTTCACATAGATATTCGGTACGTACCTAAGTACTTGTGTACTCTCGGTCCACGTAGTCCCTGAATACTTGGAGACCTACATCACGATAGAAGAGAGGGGACTCTGCGAGATAGATCAATGAGGTGCCACTTGGTTCTAGAAGTATTTTTGATCTAGTACGACCTACAGTAAGGTACTTTAGGTACTATATACCTTAGTATATATCGTGAGCCTTGGGCGACTTACGCCGCTCCTAAACACCACTCACCTCCTACAGCACACACTACACACTCTACTTGCCTCATTGAATGAAAAAACACACATTCCAGTCCCTAGTTAGTAATTAGCCATCCGACATCTCCCTGGAATCGTTAGTATGCTTGCCTGCAGCATCGGAGTTCACAGGGTAATAGTGATGGTGATGGTGATGGCCATGTTCAGGGCGTGGCTATCAGAGCCAAGGCGCCGGGCACTTACATACTACCTAGTTAGGCAGCAGTACCCAACGGGATAATCCCTCGCTGGTGCGTAAAGGTGTGATATCGGAAGAGAGGAATGGAGAGCCGCCAGGAGCTATGTAAGGCAGGTTGTGATCTTGGGAATGAGAGAAGTGAAAAAGGAAGCCATGGGATATTACGAGCCAACCCGCCCACCGAGAATGCCCTGTAGTTGAAAGCCATCCTGGCCAAGATGCCGGAGAGAGGTGCAAGCAAGGCAGGTGGTGAGCCATTCATACAGTGTATCCCTGACAGGACAGGGCATGATACAGAGTCAGAGTACGGAGTACTCCGTATAAGGTATGAGGTAATCTAGACACGGTTAAAGCGGCGAGAAGCATTTCAGGCCGCCATCTCCCTGATATGCAGAATATGTAGGGATAGGTATCTGTACTCTGTATGTGCACAGGGGTAATAATAATGCATTATAAAGGATGGTCCCGAGAAGTTAGAACCCAATTGATTTGCCAGAGGCACTTGACTGGCTTCAGCCTGAGTGGATGGAAGTTAGAAGTTTCCCGCTCCTCACGAGTCATCTTACTCCCGTCCTCAGGTGACTGTCACTGCGACTTCTGCAGATCAAAGCCGAAAAGTGGAGAGATGGAGATAGAGAGAGAGATTTGGCCCCAAATCCAGTGTTTCAGGTCCCTTGATCCCTGCATCGTCAAGACGATCAGGGTCTCCGACAATTTTACTACTATAATAATAGCACGTACGGGATATGGAGTCTGGACTATCCATATCCATACTTCATGCACTGTCCAAACGAACTGGTGAACCACCCAATGTTGTTACGACAGCTGCCGTCCTGTAGGCGAAGGTCTTGCCATATGGCAGACCCGTGGTGCCCGTCCCTATCAGGGAATCGTTGTCCCCTCATTGTCCCTGGAATTTGCCCTCGACCTCGTGATGCTACTTTGTAAGCTGAGATCAGGTCAAGCAGGAAAGGGGTCGGCCATCACACTTCGCCCGCGCAAAGAGACTCGTGAACGATGTTGGAAATGACCGTTGTGCTGCCGCGACAACACTGTCTCCACGCGGGCATGGATGAGTAGCTGGACCGGGATTGTGATCTTAGAGACTTGGAGTGTGGGGAGCCGAGATTAAATCTGAAGCCGGGGATAACCCTGGTTAATTAAGATGGAGAGCGACGCGGAGTTGTTCCTCATGGCCGCCGCAACACATGAAATGCTGTTGGGCTGTGATCTTGTCTTCACCCAGAAGCTCCCGATACCTGCTCATGGGCGAGGACCGACCAGAGTGGTGGAGTGAGCATCCCGCAGTCTGTCCAACGCCCCGATCGGGTGCGTGATGCAACGAGGAGAGGGCTTAGAGACTCCGGAGGCTCGGCCGCCAGTGCAGGCCCGGACAGAGCAAAGCCAACGCATGTCCAGATTTCAGGGCGGACAGCGAAATCCTTCGGCTACCGTCAAACCACACATGCATCGACCGAACAACCGAGCTGATGACTAGGACTGCGATTAATATTGCATTTATGGGATGATTGGATTCACGCAGATGCCTGGAGGACCGGCAGCTTCAGCTTTAGGAGCATGCATGCACCTGCACCCTGCACCCTCCTCGCATATCCGTCCCAACAGAATTCTCCCCCGCACTTCAAGACACTTTCCATGGTCGGACAGCAGCACCAAACCATGCAGCCACATCACGGAGATCGGAGTGCACCTGGACTTCCCTTGGTTGGATCCTTGGCCAGGGGCAAACAGTAAGATCGGAGTTACTGGGCTCGCTCAAAATCTGAATGGTTCACCGCAACATGCTTTGCCCGTCGTCTCCGGACAAGTTGAAAGTGGTTGGCCACAAATCGTCTTGTGCCTGGATGGTGCAGGAGTGACATGGTAGGCCTGACCGTAAGGTATGGACGGCGGGCTAAGTGCCTATTCCTACTGCAGAAGAGTACCCTATATCCGTACAGAGAAGAGTACGGATACTCACGCACTGGTCACCTTGTTTGGAACTTGAGTATCCGTACAGTACGGGTCTCACGATACTTGTGGCTGAGCGAGTTAGCTTGACGGCCGTTAAAAGTCGATGTTTGAGTCAAGCGGGGGCTTCCAGGCACGTCAATAACTTTTTTCTGCTGCATATGGACGCTGGTGGCCCGCTTGCCACCCCTACTAAGGTAGTTAAGCACATTGAAACCTGTCTGCTGCAGCTCTCGGAAACCATGCAGGTCGCTTGCCTTGTGTGGCCGATGTTGCATGTGAGACGAAAGGTGGTCAACTTGATGAGCATGTGAACTTTGTGTGGTTGTTCTTTGCCGGCCAACTTGATGCCCCTTGTCTCGTCTTTCTGCTCGGCTGCACAGGCTTACTTTACGGGCGTGGGGGAACCAATGGCCTGGTCTCCAGTTCCTGGCGCAAGCAGCCTAGTCACAAGAATTTCTGGCGCGGGAATGTCGCAGAACGCGTCGAGATCAAGGCCCACCAAGCATAAACATAACAGGGACGCAGTAAGGGAACTCAAAAGCGTGGAAGAGCAGGGAGCAACATACAGAGGATCCACAGAGATAGAGAAGTACGGAAGTATAGATCGTCGCGCTCGATTTCTCGATCCTTCTTTTCCAGACGACTGTTCCCGATGGCAGGAGAAGGGATGCGGCCCTGAGGACACGCTAACCAGACCCCAACCTTGACGCAACAACGCGGTGGAACCGGGTGAAGCTTGGGTCAAATGATCCATCCTTCGCTCTGTAATGTGTAGCACCATGTCCGTACTCGTACGCAGTCGGTCAGGTGCAGACAAGACGGGCCCTGGCAAAGGAACACAAGAAATGGACATGATTTGGGTTCGGATTTCTCGACGCACCCTGGACCGTCATCCTGCGGTGCCTTGCAAAGCGAGTGCCAATTTGAAGCATTGAAACGGCCGAAGGCAAGAGGAACGGCTGTTTTCTGCAGGCGCCATCAACTGCGGGCCACTCTGTCTAAGCCTAGCACTCTAGGATCCACCACTTTTGCATCGGTGGGCTCGGTTCCTCAAGAGGAGGAATGCATGCATCGTTTCCGTATTATTAGGGACAACCCCTTACCCTGCTGCCCGCCTATTCGATATGTTTGCCAGATGCTTGAACGTCCCTTCGTCATGCCCCATTCTTCTTCACAGGCCGGGCTGGCTACAGGAGAACAAAGCCAATCGTCTCCCTTGAATCACCATCAGATCTGGGGTTCAGGAGGAGGCGCTGCCGTCTGGTGTCTGCCAGTCCGCGTCACTTGGCCGTCAGTCTACTGCAAGCGGTCTCGGAGGGTTTTGCGTGAACAGTGTGGATTGTGAAAGGGACGGACTCTCTATCAGGGTGATATGAAAGAGTTAGTGCCTGCTAGACAGTCGGCGATGCACCTTGACAGAAGGTACTCTGTACGGAGCACAGTACACTCCTTTATAGCATGTTAATACCTCATAGTTGCAAAGAGTGAGCGTCGAAGGTTCATCGGCTGGCTGCTGCTACCAGCATGCAGATCACTGAGCAGTAGTTGCAGACGGAGTAGTAGTGGTAAGTGTGGGTGTGTTAGAAAAGAACGCATGCTTCTCGTGCAAGAATTCATACACTCCCTACGGAGTGCATATACGCAGTCGCAGTGGTGTGTACCTAGGTATGGAAGTATATGATTACCTAGGTAGGTACCTACAGTACTAGTGTACTGTACATTTCGGGGCAGCTGCCAGGCAAGTCATCGCCAGCACCAGCTGCGAGAGTGGGAGGGCTCCTCAGGCTTCGGAACACGCTTGCACTCCATCAAGGGGCCGGGCTCATCCGCTAGCTAACTAAAGCCCGCCTGTGCATACGTCTGCCACTCTTCCTCGCTCATTCAACTCTCTCCTGATCCTGATACGCCGACGCAGACACAACCACTGACTGGGTGCGCCAAACTGCGTTCGTTTGCAGTGGCACGGGCTCCAAACTGCGGTTGACTTCCTTCCTTCCAACGCCTCCTTCTTACCACCACGACCTCTGCCCATCCTCCATCCATCCTCCAATCCCAGTTCTATCCATCGATTCAACTCCATTTCTTCATTGTTGTTCTTGAATTGACTGTCTTCTTCTGCCTTTCACCCTCTCCCCCTCCGCTCACGGTCACCTTCACCTGCAGACGCGCCGTGGCCGTCACATTCGTTTCGTGAGCTTCTGCCCACCAGAGCTCTACTGGTTCGAGAGGAGACAGAAGTTGCTTTCGACCCTTCGCTTCTTGCTCTGACGACTTAATTCCCATAACTAATCGACCTTCATTTCTCCTTCTCGACGTCTCTGTCTGAGCCGAGCTCTTCAACACACAAAGTCTTTTCTCTCCTGGTTTAATCTTTGTCCCTTGCTGGTTACGCTTCCATGTTGAGCCGTCAAACCCCCTTTTAGAAACATCTTCGGCTTACGGTATGTTAACCAGCCTTCACCAATTGCTGCAGATTCTTCTCCCTGCATTCGTTGCTGAGCAGTATTGGTTGTGACTCTGCTGACTTCCATTCACAGTCCGGTATCTGTCGAACCCTCGGGTCCTTATCCGGCGTCCGAATTTCTTAAGGTTGTCAAGATATAGACTGGCATCCGCCAGCTCACTTCTTCCAAGCAGAATTGGAAGGAAAAGATGGCTGCTTTGGTACAAACCCTACCAGCTCAAACTACAACGGTCACAATGGTCGGTCGCCCTTCATCCTCGGGAAGTTATCCTTCCCAGGGCCCTCACGGCCAGATGAGGAGTCATCAACCGAGCCGCTACAACAACATGTCGGCGACTGGGTACAGAGGAATGCCAGCTACTGGACCTGTGGCTCCTTACGCTTTCACGTCAACACCGCACCTGGCCAACCCCAATATAAATCGTCAGTCGAATCTCAATCCTGGCCGAACCAGCTCTGCTCCCAGAGTTCAACAAACACAGCCCGGCTCCTCCTCCAATCAGCCTACCACCTCCAACGGTCATACACAAGTCGATGCTGGCATTCGGCCTCTGTCGTTAAATCTTCCCGCCATCCCATCCACCGGTTCATTGATGGGACCGCCGCTGCCAAGCCCTCCCGTATCCTCTACTGCGGTTAAGCCATCACCAGATCGATATCGAAGGAATACTCGGCGGCCTGATGGAGAAAATGGTTTCGTAAAGGCCTCCGCTGGTTCTGCCTTCCCTTCGGGCTCTGGTATGGCTGCTGTTGGCTCGCTCTATAATCACCCGTCTCAATCCAGCAGTACTCCATCCTTGAACTCGCAACAATCCTACCGGGGCTCCTTGTATAGCAACACTGGCACACCGAAAAACTCGAGTGCAGATGATCTTCAATTGAGCCGACCTCAGCCCGCCGAACTTGCTGCAAGGTATCGCAGACGTAGTTTTGGAAGCATAGAAACAGCCGGTCTAAACCATGCAATCGACCCCCAACAAACCTCGTCTCCACATCCGAATGCATTCCTCCAACAACAGAATCCAAATGTTCCCGCAACGAGCCAGCGTCCCTCCTACCACAAGCACACTGGAAGCTCTGAGAGTATTGCCTCCTCAAAGTCAACTCAGTCATCGCGCCCTGGATCGGTGAGTACCATGTTCACACTGAAGGCTTATCTAACAAGTTTCTAGGCTCGGATTGAACAACCTACGGTTAATGCTCCGGTCTCCGCAACTGGAGCAACCACCTCACCCTACTCAGACCAAAGATTGACAGCCATGTCGCGACCAGGGGATTCGAGCATTCGCCAACGTTCGCCTTTGTCTCGACCAGTCGACTTCAACGCTGATACCATAGACCGCGTGGACCCGGCTCCGACCCATGCAGCATCGAATCCAGCTTTTCATACGTCCAGAAATCAGGTTACAACGAGCCCAGCCGTAGAACATCTCTCTGCCCTCAACCAGAAAGATGCGAAGAAGCCGAAGTCGAAGTTGCGGAGGGCATTCTCTTTTGGCAGTGCTGCAGAGCTCAGACAAGCCACGACTCAGAACAACCACGAGAAGAGTATTGCTAACAAGACTGTGCATACGTCCAAGAGAAATTCCAAATATGAGGACGAGTTGGATCCCGAACAGGCCAGGATTGCCGAAAAGCAAGAAGCTGGGGGACTGGGCGAGAGCATCTATTCCGGCCAGGGTAATTTCTTCACCGGCTCAACTGACAACTTGTCCATTTCTTCCACGGCGTCTTCCGCCTCTGTGATGCTCCGTAAGATGGGCAAAGGCGTCAAGAAGGGCACTCGATCTCTGGTGGGATTGTTCCGCCCGAAGTCCGTGGTTGGAGTCCCTGCGGCTGATGGCCCCGTCAACCACGCCAGTATAGCTGAAGTTTCCATGGTCACGGTCGAAGCAGAACGAGAGAAGGTCAACATCAATCCCAGCCCTCGTGATCAGGTTGGAGGTGGAACTGGATTTCCCAAACTGGAGCGAAACTCTATCGAGACCAAACTTTCTTTCGACAGTGGAACAGTGTCAAGTGATACGCGATCCCGTCGGAGTATTGTTGGTGGAGAAAAAGAACGTGCCGAGGTTCTTGCTGCAGTAAGGAAAGGTATCCTGAAACGATCGGACTCGAATCAGCCGTCACCGAAACTTAAAGCGTATGACTTCAAAGTGCCCGACTTCAATCTACCACAGATCCCCCACGTCAACGATTCACCGAAGTCCAGTGCACCAAGCACTCCCGGCGACGAGCCTCCCCGGTCTGGCCATCGTCGTACCGACTCTATCACAATCGAAGGCAACGACCATGATGACTATTTCTCTTCGATGAGCAGATTCGCCAGCTTAGACTCGAAGAATGCACCATTGACACCCCAAGGCCTGATCCGAAACATTTCTTTCAGCCCTCGAATCCAGTTTCACGACACTTGGCCAAGTGCAGAATACGACCGCCGCGGAGACATTGCGACCTGTAACCGTTTGACTCCAATGCTTGCACAGCAGATCAAGGAGGAACTCAATACCTTCAAAATGGTGAGAGAAGTCGGTTTCGTTGAAAGAGAGCCGCCACTAATATCTATTAGGAAATGGAGGTCCATGAGTCGTCCAAGGTCTACACTCATTTCTTCTAGCGTCATGACTACCTTCTTGGATACCAAGAAATGTCACCATTGCACCAATTTTGCAATTCGCCCACACGATCAGAGACATTCAGAATATCAGCTCACCCTCACGATTTCTACGACTCTGGCGGTACATGTGCAACACAGCATATTTTTCGTCGCTAGACATGGGTCGGCACGAAGCCTTCTTGGGCGGCATCTGACGTTCGACCCTATGTACATTTAAAAAGCCTACCCATGTTGCATTTCCATTCACGACTCGTTTTCATTGTAAGGTGTCCGGCGCTGGGGATGAACGACTGGAGGATGGTCGTTGGAATGTTGAGAAACAGCATTTGTTTGGTTTTTCTATTATTCTCAAGGCATGGCGATGGTATCATTGGGTCTCAGTCCACTTCCCTAATTCACGACCACCTGAGCTGGCGCCCGACCTGTTCTCAGGTACGTGGTTGTGCGGCATGCATGGGCCTATCTTTGAATGTGGAAGAGAACTCGTCTCTGCGGGGTCGTTGGGCCCGGCAAGTCTCTGAGGGACAGGACCGGGCGCTGCTCTCTAAGGCACTCTCACCTGTCCAGAAGACATACTGGCCTGATCTCCATAGCGAAGAAATTTAATTGATTTTGAGGAACAGCAAACCTCCTTTCCGGGCCAGCGGTCCCACGGTCCGCGGCTGGCTTGTCCAAGCCCATTCCAGTAGCCGGGTTTGTGCGAATGACACCATGCATGTGGCGTTGATGCTGCGAAAAAGGATCTTTCATTACTCTCATCCCCCTGAAGTGCATGCCGCATTCAACAGCCAACTGAGAACATCAGGCATTATATGTACGGAGCAGTAGCAGTAGTAGTTAAACCATCCTGGCGCCTCCGAAGTCGATTTCCGCATCTCGTCTCACCACCCCGGCGTCGAGTGCACATACTTTCCCAAACCTAGGCTATGTGATATCAATCCAGCCTGAGATATTAGGCTTCGCCAGTCTGCTGCATTGCACCGATGCACCACGGTCTGCCACAGCCCAGGGCAGACGGTAGGTAGTTATATTAGCAACGATGATAAGCGGTAACAAAGGTGCACGCGCTCCTACACATCATTCTGGCTGCAAGGCTGCGGGTCTAAATCATTTCGGCACTGTTCCTCCTAACTATAACTTGGCCTGGTACCTAGTGGAACAGGTGGCGGCGAGGGAGTCCCTGCAGGAGCAGGGGAGTGAGCGGCCGCGTGCAAGACAGCCGGTTTCTTCGGCGGCGGAGGCGGCGGCGGCTTCCGGGATATCGAGGCCACGATCTCAGGGCTCGGAGATTGCGTCTGGCCTTGCAACTGGGGCGATGGAACGGATGTATTCACGGCCGGCGGAGTCTCCGACGTAGGGGAGCTATGCTTTTCCAAGAACGAGTTGAGTCGGCCCGTCACATTGTATTTCTTGTTCCACTGGCTCGCTTTTTGGCCTGCGGCATTCAGGGTATCCTGATGTCGCTCGCGAAAGGCGTTGGCAGACGAGGCTGCAGAGCGGGCATCGGAGACGCTCACGGTCGATGGATCTCGGTGAATATTCTGGGCAGTGCGGAGAGTCGCCTGCTTTTCGGCCCACGTCGAGCCTTGGTTTTGAGGTTGTGTTTGGGAGGGCGACGGTGACAGAGTCGGGTAAACAGGGCTTGTGACGGGTGGAGGGGATTGAGTAGGCGACACAATCGGAGGAGTGGTGGGTTGTTGCTGGCCAGTATTACTTGTACTCATGCGAGCAAAACGGGATTGGAGTTCGGAGAGTTGGTTTGTCGCCGGCTGCGGTCTCGACTGGGCCGGTTCGTTCTGCCAAGGGTTTGAGGGCGGGTTGGCGCTGATTCCCAGGGCGGGCACTGACACCCCGGCGGTTCCAAGTCTATTAACCGCTGCTTGATTGATTCCGTAGTTCGAGGTCCCTTGGGAACTTGGCTGGCTTGAAGGGATCGAGTCATATGCTGGCGGAGCATGTTGTGGAGGCGGAGATGCTGTAGCAAGTGGTGGTGTAATGCTAGCCCCTGTATTTTGTCGGGATGGGAGCCTTGGAGGTAGACCTGGTTTTGGTTTGGGCGGTCGCGTGTCCGTAGTGCTGGGGCTTCTAGTGATGTCCCGGTGAACGGGCGGGGGTGGAAGATGATCCGTCCTCAGGCCCGTTCTGTCTGCTCTGTACGGCAGAGGTGGACCGGAGGGTCTGGTGTCTTGTTCTTCTTCCTCTTGCGGAGTATCTCTAGCGACTTGATTCGCAGTTTGAATTTGCTCCGGCGTCAACGGTGCGCCCCAGCCGTTGGTATGTGGTGTTACCTCGTGCGGAAGTGCAGCACCACCATGATAGTTGACATTTTTCGGGGGAGGCCCAAACAATGCGGGATCTTTCAGAGTCGACAAAGGACGGGAGACATGATCCGCGGCATCTTCTTTGCTGGGATCTCTGGTTTTGCCCATCCATCCTGCCTATATGTAGTTTGTTATCTCAGTGTGAAAGCCTGGGTCGGCACGGCACATCTTGTACTGACCACTTGGTTGATTCCCTTGAAGTCTCCTCTCCACGACTCTTTCCCTCCATCTTTGCCCTTCGGGTGCCATCCATCCTTCATGACATTGCGGAAACTCATTCTCGGTAGGCCTTCGGAGGTTTGCGGCCGTAGGGATTCGAAGGAGTCTGTGTGGATTCAGGTGATAAGTGAAGATATGAAACGGCTGAAGATCTCCAAAGCTGAGCCGAGCAGTGGCAACAAAAGAGACCAGACTGATTCACTTGGCCTGCAGGCAAGATGTCGGCGAGAGTGCTGCGCTCGAGTTCGAGAGATCGAGGTCGCTGACGTCGCATCCCGCATGCCAAGCTCAGGGTTCCGCCGCAGCTGCGAATGCTGCCAGCCTCGAGGTTCTATGAACGGTCTAGCGTGGCACGTGATTAATTATTCAGCCTCGCAAACCATCATCGGCCAATCCCATGCGGCTGTTGCCACGAGGGAACTTGCGACAGATGGTCGCTTTTATCCCAGATTCAACAGACGCACTAGGCACAAACTTGGGGCGATTTGCGGAGCTAGAAAATCGTGTTCTATCAAGCTCCATGGAGGGGAGGGAGCATGTGACATAACGAGTAGGCGGGCGTCTTATATATTCTCCCCTTTATCCGCTTTACTTTTGTCGCTATCACCGAAGGATCGAAGCTCAGAGAGGCATGGGCCATACCGACCCAATCTTTTCCAGTCACCCAAAGGCCCGAGTTGGGTGAGGAGCTGTTAGCCTTTACCAAGCCCAGCGCGTGGCCCAGATAAAAGCCCGACAGGCTGGGTGGGAGAACGGTTCGGTTATAGGCCTAGACAGCCGATAGCTCGACTCAATGCTAGATCACTGTGCTATACCAGAAATTAGGTATGACTGCACTCCGTACGAGGAAGCATGGGACGCAAGGCGTCTAGTTTGACGTCGCTTGAGTACGGAGAAGAGAGAAGTGAGAGAGCTTGACGGCGACCAATCGACCATCCAGCTTGGATTTGAATCAAGCAACGTCAAAAGCATAGCGCCCAAACAACAACAGATTTTCCTTGGCCCGCGACATTATGTCTTGGATCATGAAGCATGTCGAAAGTAGACCAACACGAGAAGAATACACCAAACAAACTCGGGAGAGAAATACCGATACATGAGACCTCAAAGAACGGGATCTAATATGAGCAACGGTCCTCCGTGACTTGCCGGATACGGGGGTCAACCATTGCAGATGCAGAATATGCGACTGATGCTAGTAGGAAACCACCATCTCTTCCGACCATCGGTATGGCTGAGCTCATGTAAGGAGTACAGAGTAGCGCTATTATATCACAGGGCACTTCGTGATGCGAGGCCCTGGGCCATGGAAAGCGCCGGGCGGAATTGTAAAGAGCGGGTAGGCTGTGACCATCGAGCAAGGATGTCGGTCGGACATAGTATCCATCAGATCATGTCCAAGATGGACTCGGCTTGAATGGCTCTCGCTGCGAGCGCCTAGCAGAACAGGTTTGAACAGCGAACGAGTAAAACGTCATGGTGTTTCGGCGAATCCAATCGGGGCGTTGACCAAAAGGTCTTGGATTGAGCGGTGTTCTTCGTGTCTCAGAACAAGCGTTCAAGAGAAGTTGGCTTCTACAAGTCCACAGCCAGGATATGTCGGCGGTCGGCGGGTTATGACCACCGATCTCCGTGACATGTGACCTATGGCGAATGACAGAGCCTGCACGTGGCCAGGCGGCAACAGTAGTAGCCGCCATTAATAGATTTGGCCTCAATAAATTCCACAAGTGCACGTTTTGTCCGATATATCCTTGGATCATCCCCAAAGCCATGTTACACTCCGCCTGCACACGGACCGAACTGCATGCACGGAGCTCCTGTGGCGTCCATGCGTCACCGTCACAATTACATGAGCCGTCGTGCCGTCTTCCAAAGCTCGACATTTGGAAGCGCATGAGTATACAATCAGTGACAGCGGGTGGGCTCTGTATTTGTGTCCGTACAGGTCAGAGAAAGCGTTGGTTAGCTGATGGCTGGCGGCTGACGGCACAACGGGTGAGAGGCAGCCTGGGGCCGCTGGAGGAGAGCACTCGGTAAGCCTAGATCCCCAACTGGGCAGCCCGACTAAGTGACAGTTAGTTCAGTTGGTATGGTGTTCGGAAGTCCGCTGGCTGGAATGGGCCTAGTTGTCTCAAATATACTCTGTCCTCTCCGCGACCAAGATACCTAGCAAGATACCTAGTATTTGATTTTAGAGGCGGGTTGAAGCTCTAGCTGTCTAGCGTTGGCGACGACCAGTAATACCGTTCGGGTGCCCGACTTAAACGACGCCATCACCAGTACTCCGCATTAGTTCCAGGGCAGCGAAAGCCGGTCACCGTGCCGAGGACATATCCGTATGGGCGACGCTTATCATCTAGGTATGCATTGTACCTGAGGTAAGGTACCTTATAGCTGCCCATCAAGATGAGTACCGTGTCATCCTCAGCATGCGGCTGCTCCGGCTGGGTAGGGCGACGTCGTCAGCACCTACCTAGCACCTAGTACCCTGTAGTAGGCTGTACGGATGCTGGCAGGAGTGGTACGGATACTAGGCGCACCTGGGGAGAGACAAGCAGAGTCAACCTCCTCTCCACCTAATTAAGCCTGGCCTGGCCTGGCATTAGCAGCCTGAGCCCTGCAGCTGCCAACAGCCAACAGCCCACAGCCCACAGCCCACTCTTAACCCCTTCGTGCCCAGTGCGTCCTGCCCCGAACTCCCCTACAATGAGCGCCCTACTAGTACTGCTGCCTCGCCCTCCTTCCCCCCTGCTGATGATCCGTCCTCGTATTTGATCCTTCCTGTCGCCCAAATACCAATAATCGACCTTCACCTCATCCTCCTCCTATCTGGCCCTTTTTCTGGGTGGCCTTAGCCTGAAATTGGCTGGCGTGGACTCCGAAACCTGCCTCTTCCTTCCTCCGGCTGACAGGGCGTTGACTCGCTGTCCGCGAATCCCGTCCGGCTCGCTCCCTGCCACCCTTTGCTCGGAGTCCTCTTTCCTTTACATGTAGCACTCTGACCTCTCGGGGGTCGACATCACTCTGGATCTTAACAACTACCTCCACCACTTCCTCTCGAGGCCTAGGATCGCCCGAAGAAGTCCAAGTCCACCAGATACACGCTCGTTGACACCGCCGTTCACCCCGACCTTCACGCCCTCCTTCACTACTATGTCGCAGTTTGACAATAATGCCTTCACCGGCATCACCACTCCCAACAAGCCGGGTACGACCATTCTCGGCCTGGCTTCATCGTTTGAGAGTGAGTTCACCCAAACCACCGGCGCACGAGCTGGTCCCGGTGCCAGTAACCAGCCTGCCTCTTCGGCCGTCTCCGAAGCGTCGAGTGCGTCTGATGCTGCTACCGCGTCTGGATCACCGGCTGTGGCGGCGACGTCCACCACCTTCAGCACTTCTGTAACCTCGGTTGCATCCTCGAACTCGAACGACCTCCCCTCGACAACCGCATCCAATGCAGCGAGCAACACCAGTGGCGCCGTCACCGTATCCCACAGCTCCTGTAACAGCATCTCGTGTTCTTCTGCCCTCAAAGCCGCTGTTGCCGTTCCCATTGTTGTCGCGGCTATTGCAGCTGTCTTTCTTTTCTTCTTTTGTGCCAGGAAGAGGCGGAATCGTGGCTCTGCAGCCGTCGTGTCTGAAAAACAACCCAAAAAGGCCGGCAAAAAATGGTCGCGACACTTGCGCGCCTTCTCCTTTGATGCTGAGTTGCTGATGGGCGGCCGTTTCTCCAGCACCAACAGCATTCGCAGCAGAGATCCGAGTGTCCGAAGTGGTGCCCACAACGCTCATGGCGTTGTGCAGAGTGCGGAGCCCAGCTTACATAGCATTGAAGAGGAAGTCGCTCCGCCATATCGAGATGCAATCGCTCATTCTCAACCTCCTGCCAGCCCGACTCAACTGCGGTCCACTGCCCCCATTACCACTGTAGCGAGGGATCCAATCGCTCGTCCAGCTTCAACCGCAACAGCACCACCTTCGTATGGCTCGGTCGTTGGCGAGACCAGGACGATACGGGATGCTGGCAGCAATCCGTTTGCGGACTCGGCCCCTGTCAGTCCCATCGAGGACTCACCTTTCAGTGATCCTCCGGAAGATGAAGAAACACACGCTGGAGGTTTAAGGCCAATGCTAAGCCGAGGCTCATCAATGTACCAAAGCCTGAATGCGGACGACGCTTCGGAAGTGGCGAGCATACGACAAGCGCAGGTTGGCCGACGGGTATCTGCCAGAGCGACCGGCAACACCGGTGGCGGCAGTGGTTAATGTGTTGGTTCGAGTCTTGTTCGATATTATTAATCATGGCATGGCGTTTGGGATGTTGGGCAATGAAAATGCTTCTGCTCCTAGATGCGCTGGAGACAGAGCAGAGATGTGGAATGTGGAATGTGATTGAAATGTGCCGATATATTGTATATGACAGCAGCCGAAGCCGCGGGCCAGACCCTCTCGTACACCGGCGATGGGAATACAAAATGTCTATCTGGGACTCTACCTTCCAAGGCCATTGTGAACACGACTGAGAGGAAGTTTATACTAAGTTTCAGCCCCTGCCATATTCCGCTTCGTTTTCGCGAAGCTGCAACGTCGTACAATGCAGGCACAATTACCACCGGGCGACCGAATGTTGTGTCCTGACCAGGCGGCCGGTATCTCCTCCCACCGACCTCTCCCACCGGCCAGTCTGTTTAAGCCGAGCCGACTCTTGCAGAGTCTCCGTACGCCGGCGTTGCGTTGTACGGAACGAAGGTGAAGAATTGAGGCCAGTTGTACGGAGTACAGGGCGTGGATCACAGCATCCTTGGGTATCTACAGACATGGGTTGGTACTGGATCCGTATACGGATACTGTATACAGAGTAGTAGTAACGGACGTGCTGAGCAGGCCGTCTGCTCAGGCTCAGGCTCAGGCTCCTTCAACTTGAGCAACAATTTTGTATTCGTATCCGTGCTCCCTATTGCGGCATGTCAAAATATGTATCCGTATCTGTAGAACACAGCATTCCCTTAGATCCTACATGTAATACGGATATAGTGGCCTCCGTGTCCGGTTCCGCAGGCTCTCACATGTCCAGACCCTGTACGGTGTACACATATTCTTCGATACTGCCATGTCATGTTATGCTAGGCCAGGGCGCCACATCACACAAGAAGACAGGACCGTGCTGAATAGGACAACCTACGCTGTGGACAACCTACTCTGTGAAAATGACAGTAGCAGTAGCACTTGTCTGTCATGTCGGCTGGGCAACTTGGTTGCCTTGAGAATAGTGTAGCAGCGTAGCAGTGTAGCAGTGTCGCCGTACTAATTAATCGATAGCTGGACGTTGTTGGGCGCTGGAACCTGGGACCTGGGACCTTGGACCTTGACCTTTTGCTGACAGCCTCGAGGAGATTAGTACAGATACAGATACAGGGTATCCGTACAGAGGTTACTTACTTACTCAGGTACCTACCTACCTACCTAGTCTACGAGGAAACTATGTGCATACTCCGTACACTTACGGATGTATGAGGCGTAGTTAGTAGAATATGCTATGTGCCGTGCACGTACACAGTAGTATGAGTGATCGGCGGTGTCATCCTAAGCCTAAGCCCTTCCGCTCATTTCCGAGTCTGTCTGCCATGTCGAACATTGACAGGTCGGGTTGACGCATGACCAATGCTCCGAAGGGAAAGTGAAAGTGAAAGTGAGGGAACGAGGCCACTGATCGGTGACAGTGACGGACAGCCTAAGCCTAAGCCTCAGGTTTGCCTACCTTGCATTATTCAGTACTGTACTCCTACAGTGTTCATACGTACTTATGTGCCTTGAAATTACCCAAAGTAACAAGTGACAAGTGACAACCCCTACGTATAGGTAGTTCGAGGCCCTTGCCATGTGTACAGCAAGTACTCCGTACTCCGTACACCGAGGTAATTAGGTAGTTGGCCGTTGGATGTGGCCTTTGCGTGACGGGACTACTAGCCTACTAGGTATGTACGGATACCTTGTAGGTGCCTTGGATATTTATAGAGTACTAGTATATACTATCTGATGTCTAATGTCTAATGTCTACTCTTGGGTACGGAGACATACGTTACCTAGGTACCTGACCGGTCTCCTAGGGGGATCCTTTCCCTACTACCTAACTTGACGTCGCTGATTGCCCAGTACGAAGTATGGATAGTACCTATACCTGTAAGCTGTGAAGCCCTATCGGACGTTAGGTCGGTTGTCTTGTCTTGTCCTTCGAAGAGGAAGAGAAAGACGAAGAAAAGAGGAGAGGGAGGGGAGAGGCTGAAAAGAGAAGAGGAGAGTCCACAGAGAGGTAGAAAGACGGTGGACGGCGCAAAGCAACCAGCCTCTACTCCGTACAGGGCCATGTCCTAGCCTAAGGTAACCTTGCTGATACGTGAAAATGAATATCGCCCAGGTCGTATATCTTAGACGTTATATGTCATGCTCGTGTCTCGTTACATGGTCCTACTCTATGCTATCACTTGAGCGGATGGCAATCAATTCTATCATAACGGGGTGTCTGGGATGCCTGGAGTGCCTGAAGTGCCTTTCGTCATGAGAAACGAAAATGAAATCTGGTTCGCAGGATTTAAAAGGACATGTATCCTGCCACTCGATCTATTTCAGGCTTCGTGGCTACGTGTAGCTGGTCGGGGCTGTTCGGCTATGTGAGGCTGAGTATGATGACGGACGTTGTGGTGCTAAATCTTAGGATCACCGTGTCCTTTCATGTCCATTCATCAGGCCACCACGGACTTCTGCTTGATGTTCCAATCCTGCTGAAGACTCGCTTCATCGAAAGGCGTGGATTTATTTCAGGCACTTGATGAGCCTCCAGCACGGCGCCCTGGCTTACTGTGTCTTACTCGGTCGAGCAAGAAAGCTCAGGATTGCGGAGGTCTTGGACAGCCCCAGTCGAACCATTACAACGGCCCTTGGAGCCTGTCCCTGCGCCCGCAGTCAGGCTTCAGTGCCAACTGCGTGGGTGGTGGTAGTGCGTTTCAATGGTTTGCTCACCGGTAGCGCAGCCACATAGTACGCCGGCGGTGGAGGTGGAAAGGCGCTCGTCGCACGTGTTCGCGACAAACTGACCTGACACCGAAAACGCATTCCCCTGTCACTGTATGGTGGACTTGAACCCATTGTATGCTTGTTCCATGTCGAAGGCAAGATCTCGGGCTTGTTCGTCGCTCAGCTCTTCTGAAGTCTTCATTTGATTCAGCGTGATCAGCCACTGGATGATCTTGCCTCGGTGGTCGAAGTCCTGATCGGTCACTTTGTTCACAGACTGGATCACGTCCGAGAGTAGAGGGTGTAAGGCGCTCTTGGAGACCATGTTCAGCCGCAAAGCATCTAGGAACGTGATGAAATTCTCCGTCGCAGCCAGAATCAAACTGCCCAGTGCTGGGGCTGCCGGAGCCGTGGAGCCGGGCGCTGCCTTCTGCACAGTAAGGACCTCATCTGCTGTCAGCCCGACCTTCAACCTCTCTTTCGCACGCGGACACTCAATGTTCCATCTCCGCGTGAAGGTATCCAAGTCCACGAATTCGCGAGCCACGGTTTCGTCGTTCAGGATGGAGCGGTACTGCTTGAGCATCTTCGAGCACATGTCTGAGTACTGGTTCTCCGGTATGGCATCTTTGATGTAGGCCTTCTCAAGCCCGTCGAGCGTACGGATGATGCTGTAGATCTCGGCCAATGAATCGATCAGGTCGCGCTCTGCTGCAGTGTCGGCTAGCTTCACTTCTTCGTCGAGGTTGATGCGTGCCGACAGAGTATTGGTTGGGGCATAGCTATACGGCGTAGGCGCATAGGACAGCGGGCGCGACGTCGGTGTGCTGTACATGCTGTGCTTGCCAAATCCTACATTGGGGAAGACATGTTCCCGACCCGGCTGATCTGTCACAGACACGCGAGTAGCAACTTGAAACCGCAGTCCAGTGGTAGCGTTGGGGGAAGCAGGCGGAGAAACTCCGGGACTCGTTCGGCTTGGCATGATTTTTTCTGGACTGCCTGCAAAGTTGCAATGGAACATGCGCCCTTCAAGTTGAGGATGAATAGTCCAAGGTGCTCCAGTCGCCTTTTCATCCAGTACAATCTTACACGAGACCTTATCGCCTCCCCATAGTTCTGTCATCATGGTCAAACAGAAGAAGGCGACAAAGAAGTTTGAGAAAAATCGGCTCAAGGAGACGATTGACCGCAGGAAGGAGTTCGCCAAAATCAAGCAACGACACCAGCAGAATGCTAAGAGGAAGCAAAGAGCAGAGAAGCGATCAAAAGGGGAAGATGATGCTGCAGGCTCTGATGCTGAATCGTCATCGCAAGAGCAGGATGTCGATATGAATGCCGACGAATACTTCCAAGAGGCACTGGACATACCTGGAGATGAGACAAACCCTGTCGCGAAGAATAGCAAGGGGAAACGCAAGAGAGACGGGGCCGCACAAGAGGATCCACTACCTGAACCGTCAGAAGGCAGTGACTCTGATGATGATGTTGACGATGACCACCAAGGTCAACTGGCTGCGTTGGCGGAGAAAGATCCCGAATTCTACAAATACCTCCAAGAGAACGACGCAGATTTGCTGGACTTCAACGAGGATGACGATCTCGCAGAAGTAGATGACCTCAGTGACGGAGAGCCTCCAGCTAAAAAGCAGAAGACCAAAAGTTCAGGTGGTGAGGGTCCCGCTGGCCCCGACGACGTTACAGTGGCCATGGTCAAGAAATGGAAGTCCTCTTTGACCGAGGGATTTTCGATAAGAGCACTACGACAGATTGTTCTGGCATTCCGCGCCGCTGCCCATGCCGATGATGAGGAGGAGCAATCCTCCAAGTACAACATTCCAAGCCCCGAAGTGTACCACGAGGTTCTGGTAACGGCGCTGAAGCAAGTTCCGGAAACGCTATCGCACCATCTGCCCGTCAAGGAGACTGCGGGGGGCAAAGTGCGGGTGCCAACTGACTCGCCCAAGTTCAAGACCCTGGCGCCCCTGATCAAATCCCACGCCTCGTCCCTGCATCATTTGCTAGGCCATTTGTCAGACACGAAAACTTTGAGATTGACTCTTCAATCGTTTGAGCCGTTACTGCCTTATCTCCTACAATTCCGCAAGTTTCTCAAGGTGGTCACGAGAACGCTTGCCTCCATCTGGTCCGACAACGCTTCAGATGAGGCAACCCGGATAACAGCTTTCTTGATCATCCGCCGGCTGATGGTGATCGGGGATGCTGGGATCCGAGAAGCTGTCCTGAAGGCCACCTACGAAGGTGTTGTCAAAGGCAGTCGAAATACCACCATTCATACTCTGGCCGGCATCAACCTCATGAAGAACTCGGCTGCGGAGATTTGGGGCATTGACCAAAAGGTCGGCTACACTACTGGCTTTACTTTCATCCGCCAACTCGCAATCCATCTTCGGAGCAACATCACTAAGCCCACCAAGGATTCCTATAAGACTGTCTACAACTGGCAGTTTGTGCATTCTCTGGATTTCTGGTCACGAGTTCTGTCATTGCACTGCAATTCCCTCCTTGAAGCCCAGAATGGCAAGCAATCCCAACTTCGACCGCTGATTTATCCTGTTGTCCAAGTGACGCTGGGGGTTATGAGGCTTATTCCCACCTCGACCTATTTCCCTCTTCGATTCCAGCTCATGCGGTCTCTGTTACGGATTTCACAGGCGACCGGGACGTACATTCCACTTTCAGCAGCTCTTCTGGAGGTTCTCAATTCGGCAGAGATGAAGAAGCCGGCCAAAACTGCGACCTTACGACCCCTCGATTTTGAGACCAACATCAGAGCACCGACCACCTATTTAAAGACAAAGGTCTACCAGGAAGGTGTTGCAGAACAAGTGGTCGAGTTGCTTTCCGAGTTCTTTGTGCTCTGGACCAAGAGCATTGCATACCCCGAGCTCCAACTTCCGACCATAGTCATGCTGAAAAGATGGTTGAAGACAGCTTCCAAACCCAGTGGAAATAAAAATGGCAAGTTGAACCAATCTCTTCTTTTGCTGGTGCAAAAGTCCGAGGCCAATTCAAAGTGGATCGAGGAGAGAAGGAACAAGGTCAACTTTTCGCCCAAAGACCGTGCCGAGATCGAAGGGTTTCTCAAAGACGTGCAATGGCAAGACACTCCACTCGGCGCCTTTGTTCTGGGGCAGAGAGCATGGCGGGATGAGAGGAGGAAGGTACTGGAACAGGGAAGAAAAGAACAAGAACGTCGGAACAAAGTGGAAAAGCATGACGATGAAATTGAGACGGCATGAGTACTCTGTATTAGAAGTTGCGAGAGAAGCCAGGAGGCATTATTAATGCGAGACTGTGACCCACGTTTGCTACATTCGGACTGAAAAGGGACATGTTAGACCTCACGCGCCACGCCTCACGCCTTCTGTATACAACCATAGGTAATAAGCCAAAATGGCGTACCCGTAACGTGGTCTCGCACCGATCCGCTGATGCCACCCTCAGCCTTGTCCCAATCAACCACCGACACGCATGCCATGCCGGTCAGAGAGGAGTCAGGGCCAGCCAGCGCCACAGTAGTAGTGAAGCAGCGAGCAGGGATCAAGAGAAGGCTTCCCATGCAGCGAGAGTACGCATTGGGCTCGGCAAGTCCCTAGATCCCTAGACCGTCAGGAGACGTCGGATGAAACCCTTTGATAGGGGCAACATGAGGTGGACCACCACCACCATACGCGGCAAGCAAGGTACATAACATACGTACGGAGTACATAACATACATACATACCACTCGACCAGATACCTTACACACATATGCACGCTGTTCAGGTGTCGCGGAGTCCGCCGCACCGCACAGCAGATGTAACGGTATCAGTCAAACAGTTCTGTACGTACCAAGTCCAGAGCAGGGAACCAATTTAATTTAGCGAGCAGAGCCAACAAATTGCGGCGACCGGTAGTACGCCGTATCGCGATGTTGAACTCGAGGCAGATGAGGCACTGTAAATGCGGTACCTGGAGGTACTATAGGTGCCTAAGTTACCTGGGTGAAACATGCTGCGGCTCCTGTCTCGGATGCCGGCTAGACACCTCTGTGAGCTGTGAGCTGTGAGCTGTGGCTGTCAGACGTTGAATTTCCTGCAGCAGAATGGGCTACATGCCGCCGTATTGGGTCATTTCAATCTTGTAGCTTGTACCATACCTACCCGGTACCAACCACCCTCGCATCCCGTTTCCAAATCCCTCAAAGAGAGAAATTAATTACATAATTACGGATACGGATACAGAGGACAACCCTCCTTCCAGCACACTCATCTACAACCTACAACACACAAGGCTGCTTATCGATCACCAGCGACAGCTTGTGGCTTTAATGCCCTTGTCCACCCACGGGAAAAGGAAACCGGCTCAACGTGACGCACAGCGCCTCGAACAGTGGCCGTGGCCGTGGCAGTGGTCGTGGCAGTGGTGGCAGCTTGGCCTGTGACCTCAGCCTAGCAACCTCAACCTCAGGTGATGTTTGCTTGCACGGACACCAGTGACAAGAGCAGCCGAGGCCTTAGGCTCTGATCCAACCAGCTCCGTGCGATACAAGCCCACCGTGATCTTCACTATTCAGGCATCATCTCGACCCTAGCCTAGGCCCCCAGCCGCCATCCAGGGTCTAGGATCTCCCCGATCGCCTCGCCGACCGGGCCTGTGGACCCGCCTGCTGCGCCTGGGCCGGCGGTCTTCGCTGTCTACGTCAGAGAACCCCAAAGAATCGACCTTGCAACTTGATCTCCAGTCCCCGTCAGCGTCAGCGTCACCATCACCATGGGATATTAGGGAGAGCAACCCTCCAAGGATCTCGAAACTCACCTTACCCTTCTTGCCTCCCTTGACTTGTTTGTCTACCACCTCGCCAAAGATCCTGCTTGCCTCCTCCTAAGCTAGGCTCGCTTCACCCAAACACCACTCTCTTTCTGAATCAGCCGAGCCTTGCTTCTGCGGCCTGCGCCTTTTACTCTGTACACCATTTCCCGGCTGTCTAGCCACCATTCTCCCATCCTTTGCTTGTATAAATATTCGACACAGCCCTCACACTCGCGTTGTGCAATCATTCATAGCAACTTCAAACTATGGGCGACGCAACCCTAAAGCACACCACCGAGGTCCACCGGGACTTCGTCTCACAAGTCCCGGAGTACCATCGTGTACGATCTCTTAGTATCCAGCAACAGCCAGATAGCTTGGCTCTCGGGACCAGCTTGAGTGTAAGTTCACCCCCATCGAATCATGAGAGCCCGGCTACCCCAGGCATGCCGCATGTTGAGGCGGTCTCTGGCGCCCGCTTCGTGCGCAATCTAACTGTTAACCTGGATCACTCTCTAGGAATTCTGGGCAGGTATAGCAATTGAGGAGGAATCCGCCTCGGCCCTGAAGATTGGCATCGCCATCCATGATGGCACGTACAGCGTCGACTTTGCAATTCACCGTCTAAGTGCCCAAGAAGACGCTCGCAAGGACAGGGACTCCGACTGGGTGGTTGATCACATCGTGTCACAGCTGGAGGCTTACAGAAAGGAACATGTCTGTAAGATCCTCGGAGCTGGCATCACTGCCGATCTCCACCACAAAAGTCCGAACCTCTGTTCAAGATTGTGGGCAGAAATGGACATCGTGCCAATCGTGGTCGAGTCCAATCCGATCCTGCAACCAACCCAAGGTCGCCAGAGACGGAGGGCGCTCCTGGTGGACGAAATGGCAGATTCTGCTGCTCGAAAATGTCTCGCGTGCGTTTTGCCCCTGCTACCTCGCTCAAGGTCAAGCTAATGTAGCAATCCTAGAGCCTACGCCCCGACCAAACTCCCACGCCTGGCTATCAGCTACCAAAACCAGGTGGAGGTCGATATGGCAGGCATGATTCACTTGGCCACTGCTGATGACTACAAACGATCGGTGCGAGAACCGACGTGGACGGCAGTCCAGAAGTACATCAAGGACGTGGTCGACCGCAAGCTGAGGATTGTCTTCTTCAGTGCGACCCCCCAAGGCGGAGGCGTGGCCTTGATGCGGCATGCATTGATAAGATTCTTGCGACTCTACGACGTGGATATCGAATGGTCAGGACCCCTGAGATGGAATTGATGATGACATGGCCTGAATGATCTGACCTTCGTGTTGCAGGTTCGTGCCCAAACCTCGGCCAGACGTCTTCCGCATTACGAAGAACAACCACAACATTCTTCAAGGCGCGGTACCGCCTGACGTGCGCACCAGTGACGAGCAGCTCGCCAAAATCAAGGAGTGGATCCAGGACAATGCCGAACGATACTGGATGGGGGACTCTGGTCCGCTCAGGGCTCCTGCAGACGGCGGGGCGGATGTGATCATCATCGACGACCCCCAGATGCCGGAGCTGATTCCAATTGCCAAACAGTTCGCCCCGAACCGACCCATCATCTTCCGATGCCATATCGAGGTGCGCGATGATCTTATCCTTGAGGATGGCAGCGCGGCGCAGCAAGTGTGGCGGTTCCTGTGGAACTCCATCAAACACGCCGACGTCTTCCTCAGTCACCCGGTGCGGTCTTTTGTGCCAAATGATGTCCAAAAGCCGGCCCTCGGTTGGCTCCCTGCAACCACCGACTGGTGAGTGTGAATGAAGCTGAGCTCGAATGACCCAGGGTCGATGACTGACACGTTGATTCGTTTATGTTTAGGCTCGACGGACTCAACAAAACCATGGCCGATTGGGACCTGCAGTACTATCTCCATGTTCTCAGGCAGACCTGTCAGGCCCAGTGCCTTCCGCAGCTTGCGTATCCCTCGCGCGGATACTTCACGCAGATCGCCCGGTTCGATCCTTCCAAGGGAATCCCAGATGTGATCTCGAGCTACGCCCGATTCTGCGAACTGATGAAGGACGAGCCGTTACGGAATGTGCACCAACTGGTCATCTGTGGCCACAGTTCCGTGGATGACCCGGATGGATCCTTGATCTATGACCAAACCATGAATCAAATCCGCGAGTCCTACCCCGACCTCATCGACGACATTGTGGTGGTTCGGCTCGGACCGAGTGACCAAATCCTGAATGCCATCATGTCACTCTGCACGGTGGCCCTGCAACTGTCCACTCGGGAGGGCTTTGAGGTCAAGGTTTCGGAGGCACTGCACAAGGTGAGGAATCGACCAAGAAACGAGGTCGACCAGTGCGCTAACATGCTGTTCTCAGGGCAAACCCATCATCGCCACCCGCGCCGGCGGCATCCCGCTCCAGATCGAGGACAACAAGAGTGGCTTCTTGGTCGAACGCGGTGACCACGAAGCGGTGGCGAAGCACCTCTACGACCTTGTCAACGACTATGACCTTTATGAGGAGATGAGCGAATACGCAAGGACACATGTTAGTGACGAAGTCCACACGGTCGGAAACGCCCTCAGTTGGCTGTATCTCGCCTCATCCGTGGCGGGTGGGAAGACGCTGGAACCGAATGAAAGGTGGATCAACGACCTGGCCCGAGAAGGTGCCGGTGAGCCGTACGCCGATGACGAGCCACGTCTACCTCGACACCTTTCGACCTGATGCGATACCTATCGCGCAGTATCTGGGCAAGGCAGGAAATATGCAGAACTTGAATTCACGGCTTTTCAGGGCTACTAATCAAGGCTAGCTCACCACGACAACTACAACTTGGCAATGTTTTGGCGCACACAGACAATTTGGAGAGCTTAGGGCTGGCTGGCCATACCGGAGGGCAACATCATCCAGATCCGACTACAGTCATGACTCCACCAGCAAGAAAAGAGTTTCGGAAATACCGTGTCCACTTGGAAGATTTCGACTTGTATTGCGATCATTCTATTCCATTCGAGCTCTCGACCTCGGATGCAGTGAAGTCAAGAGAAAGAAAAGTGCTTTTCGACTGGCAAGTAACTCAGCAGTAGAGGTTTCATAGGGAAAGACTCCAATATAAATAGGTATCTAACATGCTTGCTGCTATAAGCCTCTATGTTTGCTTCGGTGCTGCTGGGCCGAGACAAGGCTGAAATTCACGCTCACGTAGCGCTGGCATTGGCATTGGCAATCAGTTCAGCCTTGTGCGTAATTAGATGACTGCCACTGCTTGGGTTCAAAGGCCGGCAGAGACAAGTGTGTACCAAGCAGTTGCCTATCTATGGTGTTGCTTGGGTTCAAAGAAGGTTGACATCAGTGGCCTATGTATGGTTGTTGCCGTTGTCATTGTCAGTTTCGGCTCTTCATCGTGAACACCACTCATATATCAAACTTACAGTAGGCATTCCCAGGGAAGCCTTACCCTTTCCCTTTAACCAGAAGACTTGACTGGTTTATGCATACTCCGTACTATCTATACTATATGGCATGCGCTCCCCGCTCCCCGCTCCCCCTGCGACCCTTGCCCTTTGATATCTCGAGAACAAGGAACATTTCAACCTTTGACCTTTGACATCATGGTCCGATGACTGCGTGGCTGTACTCTGTAGGTGAGACCGTCTGTCTACCTTTGATGAGGTTGCGTCTGATCTGCGTGGCTGTAGGTGAGACCGTCTCCCCTTGACAAGGTGGCGTCTGATTCCAATCACTCGTTGCGCGTTGCATTGCCATTTCGTTGATGTGATACTATCGAGATACCATCGATGCGAAACGACTCCACGCATCTACAGTATCTGGACATACGTTACATGTTTGCCTGCGTGCTCCGTATCTGTCCCGGTCGAAGTGGCGCCGCTGTTCGCGACCGACCAATGACAAAGACCTGGTCCCTGTCCAGAGCGCCCATAGCCAGATTGCCATTGGCCTTAAGCTGGCCCATTTGGGAGAGGAGTCGTCAGAGCCGGAGCCGGGCGCTCCGTGTCCGTGCGGGAGTTTTGCGAACCATCGGACTGTCCTTCAGATTAGAAACAAACCCTTCCTTTCATCCTGTCCGGCGTGCCGTTGAACGCATTGCAGACGGAGCCGTCAATAATACAGAGCTCGGAACCATCCACATCGCTCTGGAAATGCGCCAGCCTTCAAGTCCCGCCGAAACATCCCTCTGGAAATGCGCCAGTCTTCGAGTTCCGCTGTCCGAGACGTGTTCCCCCTATCTCCGCCGAACGAGAACCCGAACCCCGGCCTCCGCGGACCCAGAGCCTGTGTGCCGTGCGCGCGGCTCAAAGTCAAGTGTGAAGTAGAGCCTGGGGGAATTTGCAAACGGTACTGTAATCATTGATGGGCTTAGGGCTCTGTGGGCGGGCTTTAGGCTCTTTGGGCAGGCTCCAGGCTCCATGCTCCAGGCTCCTTCCTTGATCAAGACACTGACAACGCAGCAGATGTCGACGGCTGGGTAAAGTGTGCGGGTCGCAGGCTCCCGGATCGCAACGACGCAAGAAGGCTGGGTCAAGGTGAGGATGAACCCGTCTATGCGATCCCGTGCATGCTGCTGAATTACCATACCCATACCTCCTTACCCTTCCGTAAGCGGAGCCTGGCTTGGACTGTACTGTACCATACCATACGTCTCGCTTGCGATCGTGTCACGTTGTTGATTCGGAAAAGCATTGACTGTATTAACCTGGACTTCACCAGTGCTGTGACAAGGCTAGAACAGAAACTCGACGGGGTCGCCAGCCTCCTCGCCGCGGCGCAGCGTGACTCGGCGCGAGACTCGGCGCGAGAAGTAGGAAGAAAAGACCAGGACAGTGCCGGGTCATGGTCGGAGCCTGCCGAGGCCGAGGCTGGGGAGCGAGCAATTCAGTCTCCGACGCTTTGTCTGCAACGACACTTCAAGGACGACGGCGAAGCAGAATTGATTCTGGACGTTTTCCGAACCGACATGGCCTTGCATTTTCCGTTCGTCGTGATCCCGCCCACTACGGGGCTGGACGAGCTGCGACAGAAGAGACCGTTCGTGCTCATGAATGCGCTCATGGTGGCATGTCGACATGACAGGACACGACAGGCCGCGCTGGCAAAGACCTTCAGGGACCTCCTGAGCCAACGAGTCCTGCTCCCGCTGTCGGTGTCGGGCGAACTCGGCTTCGACCTTTTCCAAGGCCTGTTGCTTTACCTCTCGTGGTGGGTATGACCTATGACCCGTTTGAACAAGTCCTATCCTACAGCCCCGGCTATCCACAAGACACTGTTTGTTGACCACAAGATACTGTTTGTTGTCCACAAGACACTGTTTGTTGTCCACAAGATACTGTTTGCTGACCCCTTGGTGTCATCAGGTACCATTTAAATCTGCAAGTCGGCCCGCACCTGACCAGCCTGGTCCACCTGGCAATGGCCATGTTGACCGACTTGGGCTTGAACAGGCCCGGCCTGACTGCGCCGAGGAGCCTGTCGAACCGGATAGGCCCATATCTGGTGGCTTATGACCGGCCGGCTTCTGCTGCCGCCGCGGCCACGCTTGATGAAAGAAGAGCGTTCCTCGGTTGCTTCTGCCTCACCTTCATGTATGTAAGCTGCTTCCTTGATTCTTGTTAGCCCTAACCCTAACCATTCCTTGATTCTTGTTAACCCTAACCCTAACCCTACCTTGATTCTTGCTCTTGCCACCTGCGTCGCTCACCTCACCCATGCTTCCCGGAAGTCCGCTGATGTGTTACATATGACCCTCTGCAGAGTGTCCATGTGTGCCCGTGACATCGTGCCTCTTCGATACACCAAATATGCCGACGAGTGCTGTCACCTCATCTCTGAGGCGGCCGAGTATGAGACGGATCTATACCTCGTCCGGCTCACACAGCAATGCCGTCTCGGCGATCGGATGAGTCGGACGCTCAGCCCCGACGAATGTGAATGGGAGTCAGGGTCGGACTTTTCCTTTTCTGCTCCCATCGGGGCCTGTGTGAAAATGTTCGAGGCAGAGCTGCAGCGGCTTAAAGCATCAACTTTGCAGGATCTTTCCGCGGGTGAGAGCGAGGGTGCCCGGTCCCAGTCCCAGGGCCAGGCCCCGTGCCCACCGACAACCACCAGTCTGTTGACGATATTTCACCACGGCATGGAGATGTTTTTGTACGAGACTGCTCTCGACGACAGCATCCATCCGGCGCGGTATGGCATGTTCCCGCTGACGCGGCTCGACATGCTATTTGCCTGCTTGACCGCCACCAAGTCGTGCCTGGAGGCTTTCTTGAATCTCCCCGCGCCGGTCTGGTTCGACATGTCGTACCTGCTGTGGGGAGTGGTCGGGCACGCATTCGTCGTCATGTCGAAGCTGAGTCTCTTTGTTGGTGAAGGCTGGGACCAGGACTACGCCCGCACCGTGCTGCACTTCCCTACCATGGTTGATACCGTCGCTGCCAAGGTGAGCGCGGCCGAGGCCGAGGCTGAGGCTGAGGCTGAGGCTGCAGCCGAACTGTCGCGGGCCTTAGGATTCCAGGAGCACGAGGCTGGTGTGTCACGGCCCTTCCAGGAGCACAACGCTGGTGTAGATCCAGCTGCAGCTCGAGTCGTTCTCCCACGCGCTGTGCCTAAGATCTTTGCCTCCGTCCCTCCCAAGGCGCAACGTATGAAGGAGGTGTATGAGATGAGACGGTCGCGCCAGGCCTGCGCCGACAACTCTCCTCCAAGCCTTGGCCCGCCGAAGCCCAGGACGAGGACGAGCACCGAGGAATCTTCATCATCATTTCCAGCCGCCCCTAGTGACGAGCACTTCATTCCTGGCTTGACTGGCCTGTTTGACTTTTTGGATGAAGACTTTTGGCAGCAGCAGTTCACTTGAATCAACCGCCACCGCCACCGCCACGCCACCGCCAGCTTCGTGTTTCTGACTTGCTCTTTTCGCCCGCACAGCAGACAAGAAGTATTTCCACGGTTTGCGACGCTCGCCTGCGTAAACTGCAAACCGCAAACCGTGTAAGTGCTTCTTGTCTGCTCTGCTGATCGAACTCGACATCACGCAGAACAGTTATGACAGTTACGCCATCATGAGGCCAGGCACTGGACTTGGATGCCGGCCCTGAGAGCTTATTAGCATCTACGGATATGTACACTCCAAATCGGAACTGACGATCAGATCAGACACGCAAGCACCAGTGGATTCGGATTCTATCCACCGATTTCGAGGGTGCACTTCTGTCTTCCGGGACGACAATAGATTCGAGACTGCACCTCTGTCTTCCGGGACGACAATACAATCCGTTCTGTTAGTCAATGTGCAGGGGAGGGGCAGTCCAGTCTACCTACTAATTCGATCGAGGGTCCTGAAGACGTACGAGTACGAGCCTTTGCTGATGCGAGCACACGCTACTACTGTCAGGGCATAGGGACGCCTTCACGGCGTGTGTTCTTCATCTCAGGTCCAGCAGAGCAGTCCATTAAGTCTCAAGGTCCTGCACAGCAGTTCATTAAGTGGAAAAGTCCAGCACAGCAGTTCATCAAGTCGAAAAGTGAAGTGGCTCAAATTCGCCAGGTTCGATACTGTCAAATAAAGGTTGAAATGTTCCATGGTCTCTATCAAAGGGTCGCAGGGGGATTGCATGCTATCTAGTATAGTATAGCCTAAACCAGCCTTCTGGTTGAAGGGAAAGGCTGAATGCCTAAGTTTGACAGATACAAGTCACCCTACAAACCACGAGGACTCGCAGTTCAGTTTACTTGGGTGAATTGAATGGCAGTTCACCTCAGATGACTATGACTGCTGAGATTCCATTCACTGATAGATAGCCCTACCCTAATCACGCGGCCGGGGGTGCGGGTGCGGTAGAATCACCCACGTTCTGCCTTCTGCCCCCAAGATCGGATTTCACACACACACATACACACACACACGAGCCATAAAGTCTTGCGTCTTGAAGACAGCACAACACTGAATCGAACAGCCGACTGAAACAGCAAAAAAATCTCACGCAGTGGAGTTAACCTGGCCTCATAGTCAGTAAGAACCGTTAGTGTCTTAGGCTGGGTTTTGTAGTTATGGGTTTGTAGTCCCGCAAACAAGCAAGTAGAACGATATCCAAGCAAGCAAGCAGCACTATATCCATGCAATGCAGAGCACAAAGCTAAGACGTGAAGATGGGGCTGCCATGCATCAGGTCAGAGCCTATATGTACAGGCTGCGATTGTTAGGCAGAAATCGGCGACTTTGATCTATATACTGTACTGTATTGTGCGGGCACCAGGCAGCCTGCAGCCTCGTGGGTGAGGCAGTATGTCAGGTATGCTTCACTTCACTTGACTGGCCAAACAAACCCACGAGGCTGCTTTACTTTACTGGCTAAACAAACCCACGAGGCTGCTTCACTTCCCTGGCTAATTGGAGAGACTGCTTCACTTTACTGGCTAAACCTACGAGGCAATATGCTTCACTTCACTGGCTAATTACAGAGACTGCTTCACTTCACTGGCCCAATTAGAGCAAAGACAAAGACGGCTTAGGGGCCGGCCGTACGAGTACTGATCCTTGCAAGGACGCACGCCCTGGGTCTCGTCGATTATTGTATATGTACCCAAGTGTGCTGCAGGTAGTTCCGACCAAAGCGAACTCTACGACCGCCCCCCTAGATCGTGGAGCATGTTTCTGAAAGCGAACTTTACGACCGACCCCTCAAATAGAACGTGAAGCATGTTCTGAGTTTGCGGACAAGGGAAAAAAGGAGAGAGCAAGACTAAACAACCACTGGACAACACGTCAAATCCATCTTTGCTGGTGTCCCACATCTCGGTGTTATTTGCTGGAAACGACGGCAGAGCATCCAAGACTTGAGCACGACATATGGGTCATGTCTCCGTCGGAGGAAAATGTAAAACGTTAAAACACCAGGTCAGCATTCCACACCTCGTTGAGCATGTGATAGTTCCAAATCAGGCGGTACGGCTCCCATTCATCTGAGGTACGGTCCCTGCTTCACAGACAAGGCAGACCGAACAATCTGCTTGGACGCCTACGACTTCTGTTCAACACTGTCACGGCCATCGACTCCGCTGCCGAGCACAGCGGTGCCATTGGCGCCTTCTTCCTTTAGTCCCTCCGCCCGCAAAGCCGCGGCTTGCTCCTCTGTCAGTTGGTTTAGATCGAGGGTGATCTGTGGCCCCCGGAACCACTTTCGCGCGTCGATGAAATAGTAGAGCAATGCACCTCCCCACACTGCCGAATTGATGACACATGTATAGTTCATGCTCTCAGCGTCGGGGTTGGGGCCACCCACTGGGAACATGGACAGCAGGATACCAAAGATGAGGAACACGATCGCCGCCCAGGCAATAGGAGTCGAGGCTCTTTTGCCCGTGTATATCGGCCCCGGGCTGAATTTCTTCTGTCCCCAGACAAGACGGCAAAAGATCGGAGTCCCCCACGCAAGGTTGTTGCCAGCTACTGCCAGAGAAAAGAGGGCCGAGGCAGCAGCTGGAGCGATCAAGCACAGTAGTCCTAACACAGCTGCCAAAACGGCGCATCCGATTGTTGTTCGAAGCGGAATGTATCCAAACCGCTTGGAGATGGGTCGGAAGAATTTGGAAAATGGCAAGGCTCCGTCACGCGAGAACGCCCACGATTGACGCGAGGCGGCCACCAGGATTGAAATACCCATCTACGTGCAGGGTTGTCAGTCGTACAGTCGTATCTTTTCTCCACGCTTCCGTTATACGACAGAGATTGCTTACCAGGAATTGAACAATCATAAGGAGAGCCATGAACCCCATGGCCCCATTCTTGCCAAGTGCGTCATAGTAAATCTGCGCCATGGGTTGACCAAAGGGCGATGAAAGAAGGTGGTCCAGGTCCTGGGACATGCACGCCGCGATCACAATGCAGCAGATCCAACCAAAGAGCCAGCATGACCCGATGGAGAACAAGATGCCAAACGGGACAGCTCGGGTAGCATTGGCAGCCTCCTCGGAGATATGGACCGCCGAATCGAACCCGCCGATGGTCCAAATAGGCGACAACCAGGCCAACATGAAACCCCATCCTGTTGGCCAAGTGGTAAGATTCTCGACGTGGGTGAAGATATAAGACGCGCTGTTGCGGTGATTCGCCCCTATTGGGAGAGCTATGATTGTGGCGAAGATTAGAATAAAGTTCATCGCCACAAAGACGGTTTGCATCTTTCCCATGATGCGGGCCATGGTCGACGCGATCAGGCCGTGGCAGGCAACTGTAGCAAGGAAGGTGGCGTAGATGACGCCGTTGCTGGGAGACCAGTTGCCGTCTCGAGAAATGACGATGATTGACAGAAACATCAACGAGAAACCGTCTGAAGCTTCAATCAGTCCAGCCCCGTTAACACAAAGAATAAGCTAGGACGCACAATCGATGGAACAGAGCCCCCCCACTAGTCCGAGCGTGTTGCTGTAGCCGACGAGAAAGCTCAGAGGGTTCCTCCACTTCGGCGAGGCATAGTAGTGAGTCCAATAGTAGAGGCCTGTACGTTCTTAGTCTTCAGAGTGCTTTTGGGCCGAGATTTACAGCCTTGCGTTCCACGCAGTAGCTTCGGGAAGGAAGGGGAAAACCTTACCGCCACTGGTGGGCATACTGGATCCCAGATCTGCCATGGCAAGGCCAACGACGAAGATACAGGCCGAGGCAAGGAACCAACCCCAGACAAGACCGACTGGACCAGCGGGGATCGAGTACGACAGCGTACTGGCAATAGAGGGCAGGAGACCCATGATTGCAAAGGCGATTCCAAAGACTTCTATCATGCTGAAGTTGCGTCGAAGTTCCTGTTTGTATCTGCCTGCCAGTCAACTATGATGTAGTATTTCGACAGGGAAGTGGACGAACCCCATCTTTGCCAGAACGGCTGCATCTTCTTCACTGGCAAGCGTTGGGTCGACAAGCAGAGAAGTTCGGCGTTCCGGCTGGGACTCGCTGTCTCCCGCCGTCTCGCTGGGGCTTTTGGGCGACATGATGCTGTGGTCGTCGAACTGCTCTCAATTTTGTCCACGCGCGTATGCTTTTTGCCAATGGCGTCTGCCTCGCAGCTATATCTTAATCCCCAAGAGCGAGGACAACGGAAGGGTCAGGCAACAGTGGGGAACAAGCGTGCGAGAACAGTCGGGGAGCCTCAGACCAGATGGTTGGGAGAAAGTGGTCTGCCACCATCTCCTTCATCGGAGTTTCGCGAAGGTCAAGAGACGATCTTTCGGTTTGTCTCCTGTCATGATTGGAAGGATTGCAGAAAGCCGTGGCAATGATGTGATTACAAGGTCGCAGCAGGGATCGCAGATAAGCCTTTCCAAGAGGCAGGAAGCTCATGGCTCGGGACATGGCCGTTGGTGCTCAAACCTGGGGAGATTGCGCTCCCTCTTGCAATTCGTCGACTCGATGCTCGTGGCGCACGACGAGGCAAGGGGTAGGACAGCACCAGAGGCGCAGGAGGGGCACCGAAGGGACGGTCGGAGACAAGCTGCAAGGCCAGGGATAAGCTTCCATTCGAGCTCATTGGAGGTGTTGGTGCTCTGTGGCGATAGTGCAAGTGGTTATCAATGCAGTGTAACTGTAACGCGGAGGATAGACGGTTGACGGCTGGAGGCTTAGCGTTGCTTAGATTCCGACTTTAGCATGGACTTACTTGTTGCAGTTAAAATATACATACAGAGCACATCGAGATTGCAGGACACCGCTCGCGAGAGATAAGTCTCCAAAGGGCGAAGGGAAGAATACTAATCAGTAGTAGGTACCTAGTTCTTTTGACCAAATCAATGGGATAATGACAATGCTTCCCTGATCGAGATCGTTGCAATCATTGACTCTGATATTGATTGATCTGCCCAAGCACCACTCCCCAAGCACTCCGTGAAAGCTTCACGATCCCGAGAGACACTTCTGCTTATCCGCATTCTAGAAACGAGTGTATCTTAAAAGAAAACAGCCACAAATGTCGTGAAGACATGTATGATCCCGAAAAGACCCGCAATCCAGCACAATTTGCCAGTTTCCACCCTGGGTTTCACGTTGACCGACCCTTGAATGAAAGTGCAAAATCATCACCGCTGACCTTTGTCGTGCCTGAGACTCCTAACAGCCAAGTTCCTCCTGCTCTCCCTTTAGCATTTACTTGTCCCGTCCATTGGCCCGCTGGCTGAACTGAGGTCACACGAGGGGTAGAAGAAAGCGGCGACCGCGATGATCACATAGGCAGCAATCAAGAGAGCCCCCTCTAGGTAATTGCTGCGGCCATCAATCATCAAGAAGCTGACGATAAATGCGCTGGCGAATAGACTGACTGTCTCAAACAGACTGAAATACAAGCTCATGTCGGTCTTCAGAATCCATCCGAGAATGACCATCAAAGGGGTAACAAACAGTGCGATTTGAATGCTGCTACCCAAGGCAATGTTGATGGCGAGGTCCATTTTGTTTTTGGCAGCCACGGTCACCGCAGTGACATGCTCGGCCGCGTTACCGACGATGGGAAGAATGATTAGAGCAATAAAAGCTTGACTCACGCCACTGTTGGCGATGAGGTAGTCGATGCTGCCTACCAGAAATTCGGCACAGAGTGCAACAAGGGTTGTGGTTACCAGAAGGAGGACGACGGCCGAAGTGCGAGACAAGTGCTGCTTGATCTCGACGACTGCTTCGGTCCCGACTTCTGTGTCCGCTTCCGAATGAGGAGCATCAGGTTGTACGGTTGCTGTAAGAATCGGTGAGTGTCGTGACTGTGAGACTGTGGCATGAAGCATGTCCGGCATGGAGGAGGTTCGGCGTACGCCTTGAGACCTCAAGCGTGGCTGAGAGACGGGACGAATGGGCATTGCCAGCGGTCTTCCGGTGGCTTGATGATGCGGGAAAACAGTCGAATTGAAGGCGGGCTTGACTGCCTCGGATATATTGCGAATGTTGAAAGGTCGCTTGGAGGCACCATCGTTTGGTACGTCCTGGACCTCCGATGCAAATTCCACGCGGGCAACTTCGGTGCTCGGTGCTGGGAAGACATCGTCTCTAGATTTGGTCTCTGCTACCGGGAGTTTCTCCTGTTCGGATCTCTTCTCTTTGTCCTTCTTCGAACGTCGGGACTTTTTAGATCTCTTTTGCCGCTTCTTGGATTTCTCTGATGAGTGATCTGGCTGCGCTTCATCTTCAAAATCGCGTGATTGGACCGCCGCGGTTCTTGAACGGTGACGTCCACTCCGGCCTTCACCATCGATGTCAGCCTCGTCGCCACTAAAGACGGGCTCGAGTTCCTGGGACGTAGGCGACGTGGCCTGGAGAATTGAGCCACCGTGACCCGTAAGTACCGAAGAACTTCTCGTGAAAACCGGGAGCGAGACACTGTCTTTCGTACTTGATGTTGACTTACGCCTCCTCCGTCGTAAAGCACGTCGAAGACGTTTGGCGGTAGTATGAGAGCCAGAGCTGGAATCAGTATCGGAGTCACTTGAGTTAGAGTTCTCACTGGAAGAGCTGGAAGAGTTGAGGATTTCGGCGAGGACTCCAGGGTGAGATTCTTCGTCAATCAAATGTTGTGGCGTACTTTGATACATGAACGCATGCGATTTGAGGGAGAAGAGGAGGTACAGAATGTAGACCAATAAGAGAACCACGCTGGTTCCTCGTGACACTTTCAATACCACACGATCTGCTTTCTCGGTATCGGAGAAGGAGGCATGAAAAGCCGTCTGAAAGGAGATTAGCCACATGAATAGTCTAGCACCTGCGGACTTACCGGTAGAAGGAGACTGATGACGCTCAAGCATAGAAGGCATGCACTCATCTGAGACACGGTCGAGTTGTACAGCTGCTCTCGAAATCGAAGGCCGCCGGCCACAAAGCACATGCCCAAGATCAATAAAAGATTGGACAATATTGAACCAAGGGCGGCGGCTTGGACGACGCGGATTTGTTTTGAGGCCAGAGCGATAATGAATATGATCAACTCGACCGCATTGCCAAAGGTCACATTCAACAAAGCTCCAACGGTGTCGCCTAGTCTGAGAGCCACACTCTCAGTTGCATACGACAAGAGCGAGGCCAGAGGAATGATGGCGACCGCATTAATGGCAAAGACGGCACTGGGGCTGACCACGTCGATATGAACCCAGTCGACAAGAATCCCGAGGATGATGCCAACAGGGACGAAGACGAGGAGCCAGTTGACCCAACTGGAGAAGAGGATGCGTTTGGCATCGCGGAAGAATCGATTGACCAAGGGCGCCTTGTCCTTGGTGTCAGTAGTCCCTATGGAGGAAGATTGCGCTCCATGTCCTTTCTTGTCCACAGACGACAGATCTTGTTGCTCTTTACCCGCCCCGTCGGCAGGGTGGTCTGGGTGTGCGGGACCAGCTGTAGAGGAGTCGTGGCCAACATGGTGTAGGGGAGTATTGGCGGGTTCAGGTCGAGGATAGGAGGATTGCAACGAGTCTTCGCGGAGCGTTCGGGGAGGATCAAGGGACGCCAGCGGGGGTCGTGGGTTGGTCTTAGCCCATGAGTGTCTACTTCTTGACAGCGGAGGCTCGTCGGCTGAGTCGACCATCGGCGTATGAGTGGGCGTAGAGGGAAATGTTGAAGGAATGTGTAACAGACTTGCTTTCAAAGCAGGTCACAAAGGACACCGAAGTGGTGAGGAGTAACGAGGAGTTTGGGAGACGGTGTGGAGGATGGCTTGAGCCTAAAAGACAGCGCAGGCAGCACCTAGGTGGCACTGCAGTGCGCGGCTTGGAAGGCCCTCAAGCCCAAGCCCTTTGGAGGCGAGAGCAAGGCAGCTCTGCGGGCAAGGACGCACGTGGCGGAGGTCTGATTAGAGGGTTCAGCCAACGGTATCGCCACAAGAGAGCGGGCGACGCGGGCAGTGGCTGAGTTCTCCTCTAAATGGCGGGAATGATGTATTGCCGAGCACTTGGCGCGTTCCTTGGAGGAGTGGGATGGTGATAAGGTCAGATTGACGAAGGAAGCAACGAAATCCTTGAGATGTTGGGGTATGGCAACTTTATAAGTAGTGCTGGTAGAAATGTTGCATTTGATTGCTTCTATTCTTGCTTCTTGTGTCTTTGCACAACCAGGATTGTGTGTTCAGACTCACAAAGGACAGTGCAGTGTACGGAGTACGGAGTACTTGCAAGGTTGGCACATATCCGTAATGATCCCTATCGCTACAACTGTGAGCCGATGGATGAGCGAGGCGAGGTATGCGGGCGGGGGAGGAACCCGCTAAGCCTGATATGGGTGTCTGGCTCTTACTAGTACTGCGAGCACGGCAGCTTTCGTCCTAGCGGTGACCCTGAAATCTGTCTACCTACAACCCAATGCTATATTGCAGCATCCGAACATGTCCAAAGTACTCTGTGTATGTACCACATTGTGTGATCTTAAGACGCTACCATATAGAGACACCACGGTGCGGAGGTCTCAAAGCTACCAAACCTCGCCGCAGCCTATTCCCATTTACCAGTCCTGACCGCCTCATTGCAATGCTTGGAGGCAGTGAACACTATCTCAAGGTATTGACCGGCACATACGACCTGGGAAAGCAGCGCTTCGAGATAACTGCACCTCTACGGAGTACTCCGATATACTTTGAAAAGAATACCTACTCGACTATATCAGAGATTCTTCGTCAATCTTCGGAATGCGGCGTTTGAGAAGGCTGGCTTTAGGGATTAGGCGCATCGTCCGACTTACGTATGATTAAAAAACAGGAGAGCAAAGTACGGATACCTATAGAACAAACACAAAGTACGGAATATCCATACTCCGTACACCTAAGAGCACTAACTGCCGCCGTTGCAGGGGCTCCTACCTAGCCACCCTATCGGGTATATCCAGTGTACAATGGATATCTCCTTTGTCGCTAGGAATTACGTGTTGGTAAGATGCGGTCCACCCAATCCGAGCGAGATTCAAGAGCAAGGAACAAGAGGTACGGAAAACCATTCGCGCATTCTGTTGTGGTAATGGCAATGGGAAATGACAAAATACCGTCTCTCTCGATTTAGAATCAACATGCCCATACGGAGTACTACAGAGTCTTAGCCTAACGGTACCTAAGGCTCAGGCTATAGGTATTCATTACTTAGGGCCAACCCGGTGTTTCTTAAAACCAGTGCCTGGAGGGCGACTCCAGCGGGGCCACAGTAGGTAGTACTCCAAAGTTCACATACCTACAGTACCTTCAGTACTCTGTACGGGGCACGCAAGTAAGGTTAGGTAGGCACTGTACCTACTACTACCTTGCATTATTAGATATCAGCTCCCTCTGTATGGGTTAAGTGTACATTTTTCGGTATTCATATCCATAAGAGAGTGTATCTCGACCGCAGATCCCATATCCAGCTTTATGAACCGCATGCAAACCATCAATCGTATCATCCATTCACCCGACACGCCTCTTAAGCTTTCGCGCGTTTGTCATCCTATCCGACATCAGTGCAGGCCCTCACTCGGTCCTCCGACATACAGTCCTGGTGGGATCAACACCCCTGACGCTGGTTCCGATCCCGCCACCCTTCCTCCCCTCCTGCTCAGTGTTGTGCATCCATTGCCACGGGAGAATGGTCTGTCTTCTTTATGACCACCCCAGCCAACATTCCCAAAAATCCACGCAGTCCTCCCCCCGGAGCGAATCAAACCCCGACTGAAAACCCCCACCCTTCATTGAAACGCCCTCACGTCTCTACGTTCGGTCCTCCTACCCTCGAACTCCCGGCTAGCAAGTACCTCAAACGTTCACCCGGCACTCGATTCCTCGAGCTCGGCGATGAGATCGTAACAGAACAACCCCGCGGTGGGCATGATGTGCAAGAGGAGGTCTTGAACGCAGACTTCCCCAATCCTGCCGGGGAAGGGTTTTCGCCGGCAGATCCGATATCCCTCCTCGAGGCGGCTACAACCGTCTTGAGTCGAGGAGCCAACATGCCGCTCCCAAGAACATCGGGGTCGGGGTCGGGGTCGGAAAGAGGACATGTCGGGAGCGCAATTCCCATCAGGACCTCGCCTCGTCTGAATCGCAGGGGCAGCGACCACGATGATGATGATGCCAACACTCGGACACCGTCAGGCACGCAACTTTTCCAGTCTGTGGCACTCGCCGAATACCTACAAACTGACGAGCGACCGACGTTCGTGGTAGACACAAGTGACGAGACGAATAGTCGATCTGGTGGCGTCAACTTGATTTTCGCCAACAGCGCCTTGAGGTCGCGCCAGGCACTTTTTGACCTTGTGCAAGGGAGGTCGGAAGATTCTACTCTGCTTCTTGACCTCGGAACGTCCTTCAGTGATTTCAAAGCGTGGATCCTCAACCCACTGGCAGAGCCTGATATTGTTTCGACCTTCCCATTTGCTGGGTTGCTGTGGCAAAGTGCGATCGTTCGGAGTCGACTGAAGGTGATACATGGACGACAGCATCCATTCACTTCTCCCGCTGTCGGCGATCTTCAAGGTCGCACGTCTCTGCAACGATACAAAGGCCTAGGTTCACTCTCCTCGTCTTCGATGCCTGGTCGAGTTGATACTCCATCATCCAGTTATTTCGATCTCCCCCCAAGATCAAACACACATGCTGCTCGAACGATGCAAAATTTGGTGACTAACTCCTTGTCGGACCCATCCCCAGGGAGTTTGGAGCCGACCTCACCAGTTGCATGCGGAGATCTGACATACGCCGAGCTGATCTCAGGTGCAAAGTCGCCTCCCCCAGAGCAGAAGGTCATATCTTCCAGCATCATTGTTGACACCGACATTAATATGGCCGGCGCGGAGGGGCAAAAAGGCTACTTTGATTGGACGCGGCTACCTTTGTCGCCGTCTTTGCCAGCCCATGTACAGTTCGCTCGAGGCATCGATTGGGCATCGACCAGCCTCGGGCCGATTGAGAACTGGGCAGCAGATCTCCGGGGAATGTGCAACCTGATCATGGCCAGTCCTCATCCATCAGCCATGTATTGGGGCAAGGATCATGTAGCGATCTACAATGAGGCCTATGTTCTTCTGGCTGGCCAAAAGCACCCAAAGTTAATGGGAAGTCGTTACTGCGATGTGTGGGCCGAGATCTGGGATGCCCTTGAGGGCGTGTTTGAGAATGCCTTCAGGAGCGCGCAAGCTACTATGAAGGATGATGATTGCCTCTTCATCTTCCGCAACGGCTTCTTGGAAGAAACTTATTTTTCATGGTCCATCATCCCCTTAATCGGGGCCGACGGCTCCGTGGTTGGGCTGTACAATCCCGCCTTTGAAAAGACACGCCGCAAGATTGCAGAGAGACGGATGTTGACGCTTCGTGAAATCGGCGAACGCACTGCTGCTGCCCGCAAAGTCTCGGACTTCTGGGGTTTACTTCTAGAAGGGCTTGAGTACAACGAATATGACGCACCTATGGTTCTGATCTATTCTCTGAGTGAGGACCTAGCAGACAATGAGGCTGCCTCATCCGGATCGAGTGGAGCAGCTTCGAACAAAATCTGCTATCTTGAAGGCAGTTTGGGTGTTCCCCCTGATCACAAGGCTGGACCTTCTACAATAGACATGAAAACAAGCACCGATGGCTTCGTCTCGTCGTTCCGGCAGGCATTGACCACCGATAGACCGATCGTCCTCCGGCTGGAAGATGGCTCACTTCAAGGGGATCTGCTCGAAGGAATTGAATGGAGAGGCTTCGGAGACCCTTCTCGTGTTGTTGTGATTGCTCCGATCCATCCCACTACCGGAGAATCTACCTTGGGGTTTTTGGTCATGGGCACGAACCCCAGGAGACCATATGATGAAGACTACGACTTGTTTGTCCAGCTGCTCGGTCGGCAACTCGCCACGTCGATTGCATCTGTGGTATTGTTCGAAGAAGAGATCAAGAAGGGCGAGCGAGCCGCTCAGTTAGCTGCGCAGGACCGGATCGAGCTTAATAATCAACTCGTGGCAAGGACCCAGCAGGCGGTTGAGGCTGAGAACAAGTTCACCAGAATGGGCGAATTAGCCCCTGTGGGAATCTTCATCGGCGATGTCGATGGCAAGATCAGCTTCGTCAATGATGCGTGGTACAACATCACCACCTATCCACGGGGGATTGAGGTCGATGAGGAGTGGATCAAATATGTCGATGAAGAGGATCAACCTAAAGTCCGGAACATGTGGACGACTATGCTCGAGAAGAAATGCGCGGTGTCGATGGAATTCCGCTTCAAGACACCATGGCGCGACAAACTCGGAAATACGGGGCCAACTTGGGTTCTGACCAGTGCTTCACCGGAACGGGACGAGGATGGACGGCTCAAACGAATTTTTGGATCCATGACTGATATCAGCGCACAGAAGTTCGCGGAAATCCTCCAGACTCGTCGAATGGAAGAGGCCGTCCAACTGAAGCGACAGCAGGAACGCTATATTGATACGACGTCTCACGAGATGCGGAACCCCCTCTCAGCCATCTTGCAGTGCGCCGACTCGATCACCGCCTCTCTCGTAGAGATGCGCGAAGAAGACCACCTAAGCAAAACTCAGCAGGAAGCCCTCGATCTTTGCATCGACTCTGCGCAGACGATCACACTGTGTGCCCAGCATCAGAAGAGAATTGTCGATGATGTGTTGACTCTCTCCAAACTCGATTCGGCAATGATGGCGGTGGCGCCTGTCGACACACAACCTATAACGGTCATGCGCAAGGTGCTTAAAATGTTTGAAGCAGAATTGAAAACGGCCGACATTAGAATGGAGGTGAACATTGAGCCTTCTTTCAGAACCATGAGCATCGACTGGGTCCGGCTGGATCCACACCGGCTTTCCCAAGTCTTGATCAACCTAATGACCAACGCCATCAAGTTCACGACCATGCGAGAGAGCCGGGTGATTCGAATGCATGTCGCTGCCTCAGGGGACAAGCCCTCTTCGGAGGACAAGTGGAGGTTGACTTATATACCATCACGGACAACGAAAGAGAAGGATGTCACTGCGGGGGCGGAATGGGGATTGGGAGAACCCGTGTACATCCATTTCGCCGTGCAAGATACCGGCCAGGGCCTGACCGACTTGGAGAAGAAGCAGCTCTTCCAAAGATTCTCCCAAGCTAGCCCGCGCACTCATGTTACCTATGGGGGCTCCGGCCTCGGGCTCTTCATCTCTAGAGAACTTGTTGAGCTTCAGGGTGGCGAGATAGGCGTCGCGTCGGAAAGCGGGAAGGGCAGCATATTTGCATTCTACGTCAAAGCTCGACGATCGGTTGGAGAACCAGAGGACGCCCAAGCAGCAGCAGGATCACGGGTCTTGAATGGTTCAAAGCCCCCTGGGGCAACACGATCCATCTCCCAGAATTTCGTGCCCTTGCCGAGTCCATCATCTGGGTCGTTTGATGTCGCACCGGTCACCAAAGTCACGCTGCCGAAAACCATCCATATCCTGGTTGTAGAAGACAATCTCATCAATCAAAAGGTGCTGGCGACGCAACTACGGAAGGTAGGTTGCGTGGTTCACGTTGCCAATCATGGCGGAGAAGCCATTGAACAAATTTGTCATTCGAGATTCCATCGCGACCACATTGACGACGGCATTGAGATTGATGTTGTGCTCATGGACCTTGAAATGCCCGTCATGGACGGCCAGACTTGCGCCAGGCAGCTCCGAGACATGCAAAGTTCGGGGGAGCTGATCCGCCACATCCCTGTGATAGCGGTCACGGCGAATGCCCGGGCAGAGCAGATCGAGATGACCTTGAAGAGCGGCATTGATGATGTGGTCAGCAAACCCTTCCGGATACTGGAGCTAATTCCCAAGGTGCAAGACGTGATGGACAGATTTCCCAAGGGAGAAGCTCAGGGTGGATGACTAGGTACTGGCCGACCGTGGCGATCTGCTTGGGCACAGTGACTGGTTAACACAGGGGCCAGAAACTGGACGCTTGAAGCTGTCATGGAATAGCGATATCCTTGATGACATGAGTCTCGAGAGCAGGAGACGACCTTGGAATGATACGTTAGAAAAATTCACATATGGGTCTCCTCTGGCGGATTGACCGGGATTGGTCTTGTGGTTCGCAACACGTAGACGGAACGATTGCGAGTAGACATGTACTGTATATAGATATGAGAAGCCGATCCAAGACCACTACTCGCTGCTGTCGCTCTCTTTCTCTGGGCGTGTGTCGGGCTGGACTGTTCTAGAGTACCTAATGTAACTGCCTGTGTAGCGCGAACAGGGCAACCTTATAACCGCACCTGTTCGGCGCCTGAAGCCATGGGGACCTCTAGACCTGGTCACCAATGAGCTATGGATAGCTCATGGAAAAGCCACACGGCAAACTTGAACCTTGCAGCGCCATCAACCCATTCATTCACTCATTTCCCCAACAGTATAACGCCTCTGCCAGAGCAGAGTATTTCAGACGTCTTTTGCACATACAGCCGGAGTACTGTGCCTCCGTCCTTCGTCTTTGTCTTCGTCAAGTTCGAGCGGTCTGATATCGACGTGTCGACGAGAAAGCCTAGTCAGCCTCCCAAAGAGCCCGAGCAGGAGGTGGCGCAACCGAACACAATGGCTTTGGGGGACGGCAAGGAGACGTCAAAGACAATGGCCAGGCCGGGACCGGAACCAGAACTAGAACCAGAGATCGAGTCCACGTCCACATCCACGTCCACATCTACATCCATGTTCACATCCACATCCATTTTCACATCAGACCCGACGGTGTCAGCGTTCGCGGTGCCATGTAAAGAATATGTCGCTAGACACACGGACCCTCAGTTGAACGCACATCTACATCCGTCTACGGATACGGATACGGATACTGTGATAGGGTCGAGGCACCAACATCGTCAATATCAATATATCGCGACGGGGGCGCTCGTGTTTCACCCGCCTTTACCAGAACCGGGGTCGGGGTCGGGATCTGGATCAGGGCAAACGTCAACATCCACGTCAACGTGCATGTCCAGGTCCAGGTCCAGGTCAACATCCACGTCAAAGTCCAAGTTAACTCCAACTCCAGCGGAGCGGGACCGAATCCTCCTCATCCAACGCGCCGAACACGACTCCCTGCCTGGTCGGTGGGAAGTGCCCGGCGGCGGGTGCGATGATCCAGGTGATCCAACCATCTTGCACGCCGTGGCGCGGGAGCTTTGGGAAGAGACGGGTCTCGTGGCGACCCGGATCGGACCTGTTGTGCAGGTGGGGTCGGCGGATGATGCGGGACGGCGACAGGGAGAGGGAGAGGGACGGCCCCAGGGACAGGGACGGCCACAGGGACAAGGACGGCAACAGGGAGAGGGACAGCCACAGGGACAGGTATTTGTGACGACAAGTGGGAAGGTGGTATGTAAGTTCTATTTCCTCGTCGACGTATACACGCATCTACAAGTCGACGGCGGGCCGATGGAGACGAATGTCGATATAGATGGGAATGGGAATGGGAAGAGGAGCGAACGCAAAGATGGCGTGGGAGAGAACGACAACCACAACCACAACCATCTCCCGCAGGACCATGACCATCGCTTCAATGCCTCAGGCCCCGTACCAGTGCCAATGCCAATGCCGGCAGTCCACCTCGATCCCAACGAGCATCAGGCTTATCTATGGGCGGACGAGGCCGAAGTCAAGGCCAGTCGGGTCGGCCATGTCGACGTGCGCTTCACCACTCCGCAGCAGCGGGAGGTCATCCTGGCCGCTTTCCGTGTCAGAAAGGGACGGGAAAGGAGATTCAGATGATGTGGACCAGGCTAGGAAAGGAGATTCAGATGATGCGGACCAGGCTGGGAAAGGAGATTCAGATGATGCGGACCAGGCTGGGAAGCCTAAGGGCCCTGCCTGCCAGCTACCCACCTTAGCTACCTACCTTAGCTGCCTAGCTACCTTACCTTACCTTACCTACTGGTGTGGCTGTGGCTGTGGCTACACATGCGTATCCGGACAGTGAAGAAAGAAAACCAATTGTGTCTGGCTCGTCACTGGCCTTGATTGTATTCCAAATCAAAAGGCAAGCCAGGCAATACTCGTCGTCACCAACACCGGCTTCATCCTCTCTCACTGTCCCGTGCCACTCTCGGGCACAGACTCGAAGGCACTGTTGTAGATCAAGATCAAAACAAAGTGTTGTATGCATGCTTTCATCGTTATTGGTATCATCATTACAAGTACAGCTAGCTAGCTCAGCTCGTGGCAGACCAGTCGCGCTATTAATGGTGGATTGCTGATGCTGATCTTCCCAACCTCATAAAATGCCGAATACTGTTTGCTGTTTCTTTCGCTGTTTGCAGTGTTGCATGCCAGACATAAGCCATGCTCCATGCTTAATCCATTTTCCACCGCCGATCCAGCCACACCATACTCCTTGCCAAATGTTCTTAGTCGTTGCAACAGCTATGAGAGCTGTCGCACTAAACCACTTCAGGTCTTGCATGCTCAGATTGGGACGGCCTTTCGCTCAATGCTCCTCCTAGGATGGTAACGTCCATCCGAAGCTGCTGCTGGAGCTGGCTCACCCACCGGTGCTCCGTGAGAGTGTGTTGTACCGTTCGTATATCCGCCTGTGACGCCGTTTGTTGGCGCGAAACCAGCGTTGTGTTCGACATCGTGATTTCTACTTTCGACACCATGGGGACCAGCACCAGTATTAAAGCCAGTCGCCTGCCCTCTCAAACCGTGAGCGGCATCAAACGGGGCTCCTCCATATGCTTCTTCGTAACCCCATCCTGCCCGTCTTGTAAAAACCGCCGACTCAAATCCTCCCGCCCCCGCAGCACCAGCTCCGTAGGAGAAGGGAGTGTGTCGAGTCAGAGGGATATGGTTGAAGCGGAAGTCCCAAACAGACGCGTAGAGCATACGATAAGCGGAGAGCGCAAAGACCGTGCCGATAATGGCACCGGCTAAGCAGTCGTACCAATTGTGAAACTCATCGATGGTCAACGCACCGGTAATGAGCGTGGCTCCGAGAAGAGGGGCGTAGATTGCAATTAGTTTCCAGAACGCCGGGTGGTAGTTGCTGAAGACCTTCAACTTGGCATTGAGGTAGAGGTAAAGGTAGAAGAAACCAGCCCACGCCGCTGTGCTGTGACCTGATGGCATCGATTCCAGAGAATCATCAATCTTGTCAACATTTCCCCGACAGACGTTGCGTTGAAACATGACGTTTCGGAAACCCGACCCGCCAAGGGAAATCAATGCCGGGTCTGGGTCGCAGACGCTCAAGAAATGCGGACGGAGACCACCGATAAGCCATTTGACGAATACCTGAAAGACAGCCGCGGCGATGAGGGAATAGAGGAGACCGAGAATGGCGTTGTTGGCGTCCCAGAAGGATCGAATGCGGACCTGCATGCACAGGATGATGAAGATGGGGATCAAGGCGGCCATCAGGGCGGCGGCCCAGATTGGGACGATCTCGTGGCGCAGGGGATAGGCAAATTCAGGGTAGACGATCTCTCCGTCCTGAAAGGTGACCGGGAATGAACGGCTCGGTGCTGGTTTCGCTTCGTAGACTCCAAGGCCGACTGCGCCCATAGCAGCCATAGTCAAGATGTCGAGCCAGGTGAACTTGAGCCTTGAATTCATCAGCCTAATGGTAAAGGTTTACAGGGAAGTGTAAAGAACTTACCATTGTCCAAAGCTCGGTCGACGGTTTAAGTGACCCGAGTCAACGTCGAAAGGCTCGCGCTTGGTTCTGGTCCGATCACGTCCATGACTCTTCGGCACCGGCGTAGAGTTGTGGCCATTGGTGGCTGCGCCATCAGTTCGTCTCGAAAACAGACCCATCGTCCAGGTTGCAAGGAATCAAGAGTAAATGGGACGGAGGGAATGGTGTGGAGGTATGTTGGAGGAGGGAAGAGGAAGGAATCAATGATTCCAAGGGGCGAGGAGGAAAATCTCGCGGGCCAACTGCAACCTGAGGGAAAGGTGAGAACGAGGTGAGGAAGAAGGCGTTGGTGCGAAGGAAGAGGTACGGTATTTCAGTTCAGTGACGGGAGAGACTACGACGATGCACGCATGACGCATTGGGAGGGTAAGAGGATTATTAGCCCGTTCGGCCAGCGCAGGGAACATGAACATCAACATCTTCTGCCTTGGTTTGAGGTTTGACGGGCCTTGTCCTGCACAAACTGGGCAGAGCAGGATCCTCGACGTGATGCAGCCCGATTGGGATGGATTCAGATCGACAAAAGAACCGCTGGACACGATGACAAGGAAGCGGGAGGGTGTCGCGCTCAGTGTCTTGGCTGACGTTTGCTGTGCCAGTGGCAGTGTGGCTTGACCAATCTCTATCCCCATATTTGCTACTACGGAGTGGCTACCTGGTACCACTCACTACCTTGATACCCAGGCCGCAGTACTCTGTACGTCAGTACGGAGCACTTTCGAGCAATTGACAGAGCAATTGACAGAGCAACAGAGACGAGAGCTGCAAAGAGATCTGCCGTAACATCTAAAAAGTACAGGTTTGGGATCGTTACAGTATTCCATGCATGGCTCGTAGCTACATGTATCAAGCGTAGAGGCTCCATCTGGCTCTGGCAAAACAAGTGTGGCGCCGAAGCCACAGCACGCTAAGGCCCAGATTGCAGGCAGTCTTCCTTGTAATTTCTCCATAATGCCACTGACGTTCATCAGCCTGCTCAGACATCCCAATCCGTGCATAGACATTATGTAAATCTGATCGAGTAAAGTACTCCGTAGCGGCCTCCCAATCTTCCCCAAACGCCCTGTCATGTGGCAACGAGCTCAAACGTATTGTGCAAAACATACACACACCATCCTCCTTTTGAAAAAGGCCGCGAGCACCAGTCACCAGCTTGCAACTGGGAACATCTTCCTCAGCAGTGACGGGTCAAGGATTGAAAACCTAACCGGCTCTTTCCAACTTGGAGTGCCTTTACTTGCCTCAAATCGAGTATGAGCTGTCCCACTTCCATGAGTTGAGATTCCATGTTATTCGTCAGTCGTGCTGTTCCAAGACTCCCGTTGTGAATCATCAATTCGTGATTTGTTCGTCGCCGGCCGCCTAATCGAGGCTGTTGATCCAATTCATTCCTTCAAAGACTTCCAGCATTTTGTAGCAGAGTCCGACGTCGTCGCCTGGCTCACCACCAAATAACTTAATCTGTTCAGCCTCCATCTTGACGGCTTCGCGTCTTTGGACTACGTCGCGGTTCTGCCAGATCATATACCGGTTGTGCCAATGCTTGGAAGCAACGGTGGAGTTAGGATTTCGAAGGAAGGGTGAAGTTGCAATTTGGTTTGATTTGATTTCTGACGTCGACGAGGGCGAAGGAATGGCCGAGCCAAACGGCACTGTAAAGTTGTCAAACATGTCGAAGGTCATGCTCACTGTCCGGGAGCTGCGACCGCGTGGGCGCACTCGCCGGCGGTTATGTTTGTGTGCCATCGAGGTTTGGAGATGTCTCAAGTCTATTAGAGAGTAGTGTGCCCTGTAGCTCGTATCATCTAGTGCCACCGAATTGGCTTAATTGAGTGAAGGGAGCAGAAGCGAAGAGTGAGGAGCAGACAAGACACGAGAGTGAAATATAAAGAGGCACATTTGCCTAGAATAATCTATAGCATCAGCGTAGGCAACGTGAGTCACATGAGACCAAATTGGTGAGGCCATAGGGATACAGGATGGTTGTATGACGAGATCGAGGCGTGCCTGCGTTTTCGGGACATCAAACAGGCGCAACAAGGCTGCGTGGTGTGAGAGTCATAACCGGTGGCGTGGAGGTGGCGGCTGCGTGGGCCGAGTTTCGTTCGTGAGTCAGAACACCGATCTGAATCTGTCCCCATGGTCCGGAACATATGGCGAGACAGTTTGAGACCATCGGATGATTTGCCGTTTATAGGGACCATTCGAATCTGATCGCATCTACTCGCTGTCATTCTGCTTCTGCGAACATGACTCTGGACGATGGTTCTTTCACGTCGTTCTTTTGTTACCTGTGCAAACCGCACAACCACGGAAAGCTCTCATGCCACTGCGCCGCCAGGCAAGTCTACGGCAGAGTGTGCTAACATAAGTGCTCATTATTGTAACTGCGCTTCTTTCATTTTGCTCGACCGTCTACTAGCCATCACCAGCCCGAAGAAGGTATGAGGCTCAAGGCTAATCTACGTCTATCCAACGCTTTGGAAGTGGAGATATTGTTGCTCTCGGTCTAATGTCACTGGATGGAAAGCAAATCTTGCTATCCAAAAGTACTCGGTATACCATCAAATAATGTTGTTAGCAGACGGACTTTGACGACCAAACCGCAGCCTAGGTACTACCAGTCAAACAGCCGAGGTTCACTCTATGCCGTGTGGACGACGTTGCCGATGGCCCCATATTTTTTAGGTGTATCAGCGACTCTTAAGTGATCTGTTCTCCCTTGATACTTATCAGAAACAGCTTGCAAGTCAAGGCTCGAAGACAGATTGCCAAAATTACAAGAAACCCGGAACGACATCACCATGACTTCGACAGCCGACCTCCGAATCTCCACGCTGTTTGATGTCAGCAACCATGTTGTTCTCGTCACTGGAGGGGCTACCGGCTTAGGTGAGATGGCAGCTCAGGGATTCATCCAAAATGGAGCCAGAGTCTTTATTGCCAGTCGCAAAGAGTCCCAATTGAAAAAGACGGCAGACAGGTTGAATGCCCTTGGACCTGGAAAATGCGAGTACATCGTGGCCGACCTCAAGGACAAGGCTGGGTGTGACGTGCTGATTAACGAGGTCAAGAAGCGAACCGACCGGTTGACTGTGCTGGTGAACAACACGGGAGTTACCTGGGGAGCAGACTACTACGACTTCCCCGAGAGTGGATGGGACAAGGTGATGGCCCTGAACGTCAAGTCCGTCTTCTACACAACCGTGGGACTTGAGTCTTTGCTGCTCAAAGGAACCAACGCCGACAATCCATCGCGAGTGATCAACATTGCTTCTGTTGCCGGCATCGCGACTGCAGATGTCACATCCACCGACGACGGAGGGCTTTCAGCTCCGGGTCATGGTACATATAGCTGTATGTTTTCTGGAACGGATCACTGGCACTGTCGATGCTGACCATTTGCCCTGCAGATGGCCCCTCAAAAGCAGCTTGTATCCACCTCACCAAGATACAAGCCTCGAAACTGGCTCCGTTGAACATCATGGTCAACTGTATCTGCCCGTAAGTCTCCCAGGATATTGACGCTACGTGTGCTCCCAAACCTAACCAAGACCTTGCCAGTGGCGTCTTCCCATCGCGAATGACAAACTTTGGGCTGGAAAAGTACATTGATACACTGTTGGAACGACAGCCTACCGGGCGCGTAGGAAAGCCCTCCGACTTTGCAGGATTGGTCATTTTCCTCAGCAGTCTCGCGTCGGCGCACATGACCGGCAACGTCATTGAAATCGACGGTGGAAGTAATCTCAGTGGATGGAAGTCAAAGCGCAAGGGAAGCAAGATATAGAGGAGAAGTCGGATACTGAACAGTCAGTGACTGGCTCTGGTTGTGAAACAATGGACGCTGCTGGAAACAGTCCGAGTACCAGACTGGGTGGGGGTCGATGCTTCAAACAAGCGCTCGGCAGGAGTGATGGCCATCTGGAGTTTTCTGAGAGGTTGAAAATGGACCATAGTATGGAGTACAGTACTGCCGACCTCAAGGTGTCAAAGGGAATACAGGGCAATATCATTATTCGCTGCCACAGCAAGATCAGTCTAGGAAATTATGCATCCGTACATCTCCGCGCAGTCTGTCTGGGTCTGGCGTGGCAGGTCTGTGCCCAGTGGCCGTGTCAGTGCTGTAGCTCGTTGCTATGGGGGCGCCGCTTGGGCTTAGGGGCTCAGACAGTGGTGGGTTGTGGGAGCTTCGGGGCAGCCACCACCGCCAAAAAGGTCTCTGGGCGCCTGGGGCGCCTGTGGCCCCTGGCCTTAAAGCCGATGGCTCTTCTGGGCTTGTGCCATGCCCCCGGAATAACTTAATTCCTTGTGCTCGTGCTCGGTCGTCTTCCACCACTGCACGAAACACAGTATCTGATCTACCTACCTTCTAGAGTGACCGACATCATCAGCGTTATGGCATCATAACAAGCACTGTTTGACCTCAAAATGGTGGCCCTGTGTTTGACGTCCTTTCCCCGGAGGCACTGCACCTGAGTCGATTCGAAGCCCCATTTGTTCTCAACTCGAATCTACTCCTCCTTCAAGTCGAGCTCACTCGATTGGTCTAGACCCCGCTGCGCCTGTACTTTCTTCTGCATCTTCCTTCTCGCCACATTCAATCTCCTGCCAACTCCTCCTTGGTCTTTCCTCATCGATTACGCTCATTCTGGGAGCGATGCAGCCCGGTGCTGAGCAGATTCAACATGAGCGACTCGCGATGACATTCGACACCTCCATCATTCCTTCTCCTACGTCCCTGACCTCCGACCCTACCTCCATACCACCCTTCGCCGGGCATTCCGGCTGGCGACAAGGCCGTTTTCGAACTACTACCGATGTCCCAGCCGGTTCAATTGTCATAAATATCAATGATGGTGGATCGACGGGTCGTGGCATTCTTATCGGAGTGTTGTCAGCGTTCGGTTCGGCCGGCATCGCAGTCCTCGTCCTTGCCATTTTCTTCTTCTTCAAATATACATCTCGAGGCCGTATTCTTCTGGACCGGATAGGCCGACCCGGCGAGTTTGACGATGAGCAGGCTTTCGCCCAGGAAGAGGCGGAGGCCCTGGAGACTATGGATGAGTTGCAACGGGCGGAATACATGAGGGCAAAAGGTGGGTTTCCCTCTCTCACGTCTCCGGGTTCAAGTCTTGTGCTATTCGGACTCTAACTATTTGGCTAGCATTCATCCAAGCAAACCCTCCCGAATCCGTCCAGACCGATATATCGCTTTCGCAGTTCCTAGCCATCCAGGAAAAAGGTGTCTCGGCTTGGGAGTTTGAACCTGAGCTAGAAATTGCCAACTGTTTTGTCGAGGCCAGGACGGAAATCGAATTCTTTGATTCAGAGTGTAGCGTCCAGAGCAATCTACCAGTCCCGAAACAGAATGAAGTTTACTACTGGGAGGCCAAGATATACGACAAGCCCGAAACCAGTCTCATCAGCATTGGGATGACCACCAAACCATATCCTTTATTCCGACTTCCTGGTACGTTGTGCCTTTCTGATTCTGATATCGCCGGTGCTAACAGACTAGGTTTCCACAAAACCTCAGTCGCATATGTTTCGACGGGCCATCGAAGGTACAATCAACCGTTCACCGCGACTCTTTACGCTCCGCCATATGTGCAAGGAGATGTCATTGGGGTTGGATACCGACCTCGGACCGGAAGTATATTCTTTACACGCAACGGCAAAAAGTTGGACGAAGTGGTGCACAACCTCAAAAATCAAAACTTCTTTCCGACCGTAGGTGCCAACGGCCCCTGTACCGTGCATGTCAACTTTGGGCAGCTGGGCTTTGTTTTTATCGAGGCCAATGTGAAAAAATGGGGATTGGCACCAATGACTGGCAGTCTTGCTCCACCTCCACCATACGGCAGCGAGCAAGGTAGCATTCTGCTTGAAACAGGCAGGGAAGGGGCTCGACAGCCAGAGTACCAACCTGGTCACTCAAGGACACGCAGTGGGCTTGCGAGAATTGGATTAAGTCCAGGACCTATTCGTTCCCCGACCGACATATCACTGTCTCAACTTGCGCATATCTCAACGCAGGATCTTCCCAGCCAGGGGAATACATTGCTAGATTTTGGTGATCTTCAAGACCAACCCGTCGAGAATACACCCAACGGACAGGTCATCATTCCACCACCAGAGTATAGTAGTCCAGCTCGGAGTCGCACAAGCAGTGGTGCAGGAGACGAAGACGACAGAAGAGATCCGCCGGATCCTCGAACGGGTCAGCCACCAATTCCGACCTATGATGCGGCTGTGGGCGAAGCGGCCGGACCGAGCCACACATGAAGATACCCTAGCATGAAATTGAATGTTTACTATTGATGATTTATGTATGATCCATGAGTCTCCCGAGTAGCTGTACGACGGGCCTCGGGTCCCCTTGTCGCATGAATGTAGAGTAGCTTTCTGCCCTGGAGTGGGTCATGATTGAAACTGACGCTGAAGCAAACTGACGTTACAACTGCGCGATCGCTATAAATTTATTGATACCTAGGTGCCTATACTAATTAGGTACCTTGGTTGTGTATGTAGCATGTGAACTGGTGGATGGTGGCCAGTCGAGTCGCCAGTCGCCAGTCACCAGTACAAAGTACTTCCTCTTCCCGTCTCCTTAGTGTATGGTATGGACTCGGTACTCTGCATGGCAGGAGAATCGGACACACGTAACGAGCCACGAACATACCTTGGTGCCTGTACCTAGGTACTTATGTAAGATTCGCCGAGGATGACTCCGTTCGGCACCGAACCTACATTACCTACTAGGGAATAGCCTGCGTAACGATCATGATTGGTAATCCGGCAAGATTCCTCTGGGGCCAAGGTTGTCTTCCCCTTTCCCTTTTTCCCTTGACGATTAAGTGGAGTGGTCATCTAGAGAGTCGGAGTCAACAGTCCTGGATGTTTGTCTGATATTGTGTATTGTATAAGTAACTCCCCCAAACAGTATATTGTAGATTGTAGATTGTAGATTGTACCCAAGGCTGTGTCCTCCGTCCTCCGTACGGTAGTGACTTGCATGGTAGGCTCAGTGACAGGTACGTAGGCTCAGTGACAGTAAAGAGTGGCTTGGTCCAAGTCGGCATTACTTGGGGTTGGGATGTCCATGTCTGTATTCTCCTCTACGGACCCTTTCACTCAGATCTCGCAGGACTTGGGCGGCAAATTCGCAATCCTTCAGGTCGACATAGACGGTGACACTCAGGCGAGCCCACCATGCACCCTTGTAGAACAACAGGTACAAGAAGGTTCTGTATGTTTGCACGAATTCACGATTCATGAACTGCGTGACGGCCGGCACGTCGCTCGGGGGCACCTCTCCTTTTGCGGCGCCGACCTGGATGGGCAGGCGGACATGGGCGAAGAAGACGCGATGGGATTCGGGGATGCCAAACGACTGGGTGCCGAGGACGCGGACGAGGGTCTGTTCGGCCTGTCTGGCCAGGGCGGTGCAGTAGTCGCGAATGGCAGCTTCACCGCCGCAGACCTGGTCGCGGAACCGGAGGGCGGCGTCGATGCAGCAGTACGGGGCTCCGTCGATGGTGCCGAAATACTCAAATTGCCTAACCATGGGGTTTGTCTCGGCGGATGCAGGCATCGGGTCGAAGATGTCGCTGCCATCTCCTCGGTCTCGTGGCGAGAAGCCGTGCGAAGTGGGCAGCGTGGTGCGAATCAGATGCTGGTTCCTCGTGGCGACGAAAAATGCTGCCACGGACCGCGGTACAAATAGCCATTTGTGACAGTTGGTGACTAGGAAGTCAGGGTCCAGCTCGCTCAGGTTGAGCGGGATGTGTCCGATGCCATGGGCAGCGTCGACCAGACTCAGTACGCCTTCGTCTCGACATGCCTGGATCAGCCGCTCGAAGGGCATGCGCAAGCCGGGCATGCTGACGATGGTGTCGAAGACCGCTATTCGGACTCTCCCTCTCCCTCCCCCATGTGGTTTTGGATCGGGTCCGTTGTCGTGGTCGTTCTTCGTCTCACACCCTCGCTTTTCCCGTCGCAAGGTGTCGCGGAAGAGCTGGACAATGTCGTCGTCGCTGCGAGGGAGGTCGAGGTCGACCTTGACGCTCTCGGCAGGAGTCGACTCGACGATATACTCAATCGTCTTTTCTAGCGCCCCATACACGCCGGATGTGTAGATGATCTTGTCCCCTCCTTCCCACTGAAGGTTGTGGAGCACCGTGTTGGTGGCGGTCGTGACGTTGGGACACAAAACCAACTCGTCGACGGGACAGTGAAGAATCTCGGCCAACAAGGCCCGACTCCGCCGCAGGAGTTCTGGATAAGTGTACCGAATGAATTGGTCCGGCTCCCCTTCTGCCATGTCTTGGAAGTGACGAAGTGTCTTTTGAATCGGTCGAGGATATCCTCCAAATGAACCTACGGTGACAGTCGTTAGATCGTTCACTGCCAGACAGAATCCTGACAAGGTAGAAAGAAGTGGACATCTCCTCCTGGTCCTCCTCCTGGCCCTCCTCCTCCTCCTCCTCCTCCTCCTCCTCCTCCTCGTCGTCGTCGTGAGAACTCTCAGGGGTCTGTCCTAGGCGGGGCGGGGTGCTGTACGAACCTTGATTTAGGTTGGTGTAGCCTTCTGAGAAGAGGAAATGAGCATCTCGCATAGGCTTGCCGAAGGGCACCTGCGAGTATGGGTTTTCGTTGTTGTTTCCGTCTTCCATATTCTATAGAAACCAATGTAAAATGCTGAAACGTTCGTCCAGTCCCCGTAGAGTGAGATGAAGACGATTGATAATACTGACGCTGACACTGATACTGACCTCACATTCAATGTCTTCAAGGGCCTGATCTTATTTATCGAGACAGGACAGCATAGAGAGTAATCAAAAGGCTCCATAGACGGAGGAGATACGATCTCTTCACCATTACCTTTGTTCGGGGAGAACAGTTTCATTCCGAATCAGACGGAGCGCAGGCAGCGCGGATCACGGTCGTATTATGACAAATCATGCAGATGACCAAGACCCTCACTTCCGACTTCAGCACAGTAGACGGTCCCTGCACTATCTAGGGATCCGTAGTGGTCAGTTCAGTGTGCTAGTTGGCCCTAAAGCTGGGCAAATCATACCTTACGTTTGATTCGATTGATAAGGGGTCTCAGATGTGGAAGGGCGCTGGGGGCCTTGCAGCGCGTAGAAGAGTGATTGATAAGCAAAATCCGACCAGACCCCCAACCCACCTGCCCCTTTGAGCAAACGACGACGACGAAGAACATCGAACAAGACAGCCGGTGTAAAGACTCGAGTCTGAAGCGTCTATTTAGTAACATTGGTTCGTCACCCCGTTCGCTTTCCCCGTTGAAACCAGATCCCATACTAGTAACGAAGGGACAATAAACGAACATCAGATACGACATGTCTTCCACAGCGACCGCCAACGTCCGTCTCGACAATGCCGTCGTCACCGGCAATGCTCCAGCACCCCTCCCCGTTTTCTCCCAGGCCATCAAATCAAAGAACTTGATCCATGTGTCTGGAAACGTCGGCATGGATCCCTCCACCCAGGAGCTAGTGCCTGGTGGTGTCAAGGCCCAAACGGTATGTTGTATTGTCCTCTTCCTCGGACAATGAGAGCGTTGGGAAACCTGTTGCCGCTAACCACGCTCCCTCCTGCATGTAGGCTCAAATCCTGAAGAATCTCCAAGCTGTCCTCGAGGCAGCGGGATCCGGGATTGGAAAAGTGGTCAAAGTCAACGTCTATATCACCGACATGCGAAACTTCGCCGAGATGAATGAAGCCTACCTTGGGTTTTTCCAGGATCCCCAGCCCGTGAGTCTCCCGTAACAACTCTAGAACAATACTGGCCATGGGCTCATAGTTGTCACAGGCGAGAACTTGCGTTCAAGTGGTGGGTCTTCCTTTCGGAGCCCAGGTGGAAATGGAATGTCAGGCCATTCCGTGACTCGGGACCTTATTTCGAGTGTAACATGATTGGTCATGCATTGAGCCATCTCTGTGGACAGCGGTGGCGACAAGGGGAGGATGAGTAACTAAGTCGTACGTAGCTCGATGACCCCTATAAAGTTCACCGTTGCCAACTGGGTTTGACTGCTATTTCAATCAACCGTCTTCGAGCCTTGTTGAGATAGTAATAGAGGAAGCAGACCAGACAGTACTTCTCCAACTATGCCCATCTACGAGTTTCACCATGTGCTGCCCTTGACGGCAGCCCACAAGTCGAAGTTGGCCCGCGCGGTGACGGACTGGCATAGTTTCACCTTTCGGGCGCCTCGATTCATTGTCAACTGCCGCTTTGTGGATATACAGAAGTTGCCGAGCGAGGACAACTATATCGGAGGCAAACCATTCAAGAGCAACAAACTGTTCGTCTCGCTCAGAAGTGGCTCCGGGAGAACTGAGGAGCAGTACATAACCATGACACAAAAGCTTCAAGCCATGTGGAATGGGGCGGTCCAAGACCTCGAGGCTGAAGTCGAAAAAGATCTGAAAGACATTTTCATCCTGGGCACGCTGGACTCGGCTATGGAAAGAGGTTGGTTCCTGCCTATGGTCTGTCACCCTCCTGCCCCTTCGCGTCAGAACCACAGCTAACCAAGCCTTTCACAGCCTGGAAAGTTTGAGAGCTGGGTCAAAGACAACCGTCCGGGCTTTCAGAAATTGGCGGACGCAGGTGATTTGATTTTCAAGGATTTGATGGAGGAGATCGAGGCGAGACCTGAGTTTCATTAAGGTGACCAGGGTCCAACATCCATGACATAGTTACTGTCAATCACCGAGAAGCCTGCGAAGACTCGATTTCAATGCCTGTATCTCGTCCAGCTTAGCTTGTATAGAGTTCTGTTCCTCTTTATGTTGCTTGAGAAGATTATTCTCTTGTACCTGAGCATCGTGAGCACTGGTTATCGCCTGAATCTGCTGCTTCAGGGATACTATTTCAGCATCCCTCAGGGAGACGGCTTCCTCTCGGCTGGAGCGTTCGAGTGCCAGACGACCCTCCAGAATCTGACGCGCTTGCTCAGCAGCTTGCAATTTATCTTGGAGAAGCTTAATTTCTAATCTCAGTTCCTGAACCGATTCCAGCTCTCGATAGATGGTTGTGATCGCTTGATCCACTTCATCGGGCATGGTTTGATACCTAGACTTTTTCTTCTTAGCTCTAGATGTTGTCTTGTCCGTGCTGTCGGCTCCGTGCACGTTGGAAGGAGAATGGGACTCGTGAACCAGAGCGTCGCTAGTCAGGGTAGACAAACTGGGCGGGGACATCCTTGTAGAAGGTCTGGACACATTTTGAGTTGCTGAAGCCAAATGTGCTGATGGAGCATGCCCCTGGAGGGCGGTGGGCGATCCACGAGCAACTATGCCAGGGCCAGTGGTCAAGTCGCGAACTGGTTGATTGGAATCGCGTTGTGTGTGGCCACCATCCTGGTGTGACTGTCTTCTTCCCGTGTGTGTGTCAGATACTGGTGTCGACGCAGCTTCATTCCTTAGCGGTTCTGGGCTGGCCTCACGCGACGACGCAGGTGTCAGAGGCAGTATCTCGGGGGGCGGCTCAACATCCCAACCACGCTCGATGCATGACGGGCAATGGAACCTGCCCCTCACCATACTTTCTTCGGGGATATGACTTTTCAAGCAAGAGGTATGGTATGATCTTTTACACGTCCGGCATCCGACCAAGTCGCCGTCCTTATTGCATTCGAAACAATAGGGTACGTTTGGGTCTCCAACTTCACAAACACGAGTTAACCACAATGTCGTGCTATACACTCCGCCGGCTAAAGGAAGTACTCACTGCGCCAATGTCGACAACCTTCCACTATTTCAGAAACCAGCTTCTTCTGCCCTGCAGGGTCGCGCACAACCCACATCCGTATCGCATCGGGGTAAAACGGCGCCTCGGGAGGACGGAGGGCGGGAGGGACTCTGGCAGCGGTCGGCCTGAGCAGCGTGGACGTTCTGAGGAACCTGGCTCGCTCATCAACATGAGACTTCCTTGTATCAGACTATTGGATTAGCAAACAAACCTCTACACAAGGTCGCAGAGACGATTAGAGTGGTGTACTTACGCTCGCTGCGTTGGCGGCGACAACCATCTCATCGGAGGTATCAAGTTTCCTGCGTTTTGTCCCACGCCCACGCAGGGCATTCCTATTTGCGGACATTGATCCGAGGAAGTTGATTGATCTGAGGAAGCCGAAAGACAAAAGTGTGATCTCGCATGCTTCGACCGCAAGCAGGCGACATCGCAGGTGCTGAGGTTGGTCATCAGCTCAGCGAACAACTCCCCTAAACCGCCCCACACAGTCACGTGGTTAGCATGCAGCGTCGGCCTCCATATCATGTACCAACCCTATCACCAGCCCTTAAAAGGGCCGATAGTCTCTCAGGAAATGACTTACGCCGAGCCACCATCACGGTTCGGATCCGTGTTATAGCCATAGTATCCATCAATCGACGATGCTGGTGCACAGGACCCTCAAAGCCACCTAAGGTATGGGCGATGTGCTGATAAAGCAACATGGTCTTATCTGGTGCTATCTTGTTACGTTTACTAATCAGTGCCAGACAAACTAAGTAGCCAATCAACCTTTCTTGTGACCTTGGAAATTTGAAGATTGGTCATCCACATGGCCTCCTCAATCGGAATCCAGAGCCAATACCAGGAGGGAGGGCTAACTTTAGTTCACGGCAGTGGTTTCGGATCAAGGAAGTATGATTTATCAGCAGGTTCAGTCCGCCGTGGCCCTTCTCCTGATACATGACTTGGGCGGCACATGAGGGCACCAGCTCCCCAAGTATACCGGGGTCCAGAACTATCAGCTGGAAGCCAAAAACATTCCTACACGGAACTACCTTGGGTAGCTGTTTCTGAAAGTGACCGATTTCTCAGCATGGCTTCGAATACCATCTCACTGTACAACAACCAGGACTCACAGGCGGCACGATGGCAGGAAAGTCCAGCAAATCCACACAATTGGCCCCTCGGCAAGAAGCTCTACCACACAAGCATTTGTGCCTCTTACGCCTTTACCATGTAATATAAACCTCCCATGTCCCGGTTGGTTAATGAGAGTAGTACTTTGGCTGACAGGCTCATAGCACCTTCATGTCATCGGTCTACGCTTCCGGCTATAAAGAGGTTATGCAACAGTTCCACGTCTCCTCCACGCTCTCCCTCCTCGGGGTGTCATTGTTCTGTCTCGGACTAGCATTTGGGCCAATTATCGCCGCGCCTTTGAGCGAAACCTTAGGCAGACTTGTCATCTACCGGATTAGTTTGCTTGTTGCTGGGATCTTCATTGTAGGAGCAGCTCTATCCAACAGTCTTGCGGCTCTCCTGGTATGTCGGTTCTTTGCCGGGCTTTTCGGAAGCCCGGCTCTGAGTATCGGTGGAGGCACGATTGCGGATATATGGCCACCGATTGCCAGGATTCGTGCTACCTCCATGTTCGTCCTGGCACCTAACCTTGGACCAAGCCTCGGTAGGGCAAAGTCACCGATCCTGTGGAAAGAACACTCCTGATAAAAAGATTTGCGCAGGACCCGTGCTGGGAGGCTTTGTTGCGGAAAATAAAGGCTGGAGGTGGCTTGAGTGGGTAGGCGCTCTGCTCGCCGCAGTAACGTATGTCTGGGCCCTCGGGATGGAGGAGACATATCAAAAGACCATTCTGAGAAAGATAAAGAAGAATGAGGAAAACGACGGTTCCAATACACCAAAGGGGTCTTCTGGTCAGACTCTGCATTTGTTGGGTATCATCAAAGAGTGGCTTTCAACCACTCTAGGAAGACCGCTGGTCATGCTGCTAACAGAACCGATTGTCCTCTTTTTCAGTCTTTACGTCGCTCTGAGTTTCGGCATTCTATACAGTTTCTTTGCCGCTGTCCCCTTGTGTTTGGCCAAAGCATATGGGTTTGATGATGGACGGTCTGGGCTGGCGTTTGTTGCCATTGCGGTCGGATGTTTGTTGGCCACCATCACCGCCGTCGGCATAGACTTGTGGTTGCTACACAATCAACAGACACACCAGATTCCTCCCTCTCGTAGACCCGAGACCATCCTATTCCCAGCCATACTAGGAAGTCTTGGTCTTCCCACTGGATTGTTCTGGTTTGGCTGGACAGTGCGACAAGATATCCATTGGGCTAGTCCCGTTTGCGCTCTGGTTGTCTTTGCATGGGGGAATCTGTGTATCTTTGTAAGGTGTCCGGTTTCGTTCCATCGGTCCAAGGCTAAACTCAATGCACAGTCTTCTGCAGTGAGCTATCTCATCAACAGCTATGGGCCATTTTATGGTGCCTCAGCACTGGCTGCAAACTCATTTGCTCGGTATGGATTTGCCGCAGCTACTCCTCTTTTCACGGTTCAGAGTGAGTGAATAGCTTCTTCCAGAAAAGCAGTGAGGCTGATACAGGTGAACGCAGTGTACGAGGCACTGGAACCAGCAAATGCAACCAGTATTCTCGGCGGCTGTTCAGCCCTGATGCTTCCCATCCCATGGATTCTTTACAGATGGGGTCCTACCATTCGCAGGATCAGTGGCCGTGCCATTACATCCGAGGGGTGAATTCACAAGATTGAGGATGTGGCGGTGTAGGGGTGGTGTTTTTGTCCTGAGCGCACTCACCTGAGCAGATTGCTAATCTGCAGACATGGCAAACGGAGCTCGCTGATTTATCAGAATTGGCGTACAGAGTCGATGTCTCTGTTCTTTGATTTGCCTACACGGTGGATTTCCATCACTAATTGACATGGAAAGTTCTGTTGGATATTTCTTGCACATATATGTAGACTTTTAGAAGAGCATCATCGATGACCTTTACCTAGTAACAGTTGATCTAGTAAACGGATATTATATTACACTTACAGTGCATATACTACTCCGTACTACTAGGTGCGATCATATATGTCCAATGGCGCAGTGACTAACCGCATTGCTCGTCGCCCTACCAACAAAGGTGGCTTAGGGGGATTCCCCAACTTAGGCCTCCTTAGTCCTTAGCCCCTACCCCCTGGCCCCTGACCCCGGCCTCCTTAGCCCTAGAGCTTCTAGGCCTTAGGCCTAATGTGCATTGTGCAGGGTGGCCCAACACTAGGAGCCCGTCGGCGATGTGCACCTGCGAAGGACACTATAGGTATTTACCACAACTCACCTTATCTGCTGAGGGCGGAGAGCAATGACGGATGCCAGCGAGATATTTGTTATTGCTCGGTTCCAGGCTCAAAAAGCCACAGATCTTCGATCATCTTAGGCACAGTCTATCTCCAGTCCGCAATCAATGCTATACCGAGACGCGGCCTCCTCCCATTGTCCTGAGTACTCACGCTGCGTCTGCCGAGTCCATCAACCAGACTGATCATGTCTACTCGGGGTCGCCGGTTCACATTCCAATGCTTGAAGCTCTTCCGCCCAGCTGCTCTGCTTGAGTGAATTGAGTATCAATTCTCGACGAACCTACGCGACACTCTCTCGTTCCTATTTCGTTTGGTCTTAGACTCCTTGCGGTTCTCAGTCTCAGCTTCACCCTTGAAGCACCTACCCGATCCGACCCCGCCCTTCGAGTCGTTTAAAACATTCAAAACCAGACCAACTTGAGTAGGTGGCCGACTGAAAACAAAGCAATTGTGCGACGGCCCGGTAGAACAAAGGAGCAGGACAAAGAATATAGCGCAGTGTTCCGCCCGACGCAGCACATACACTCATGCGAGAGCAAGATGCTCTACGCGATGCTCTGCCAGAGCTTCGCGTGCATGGCAAAAAGGAGGGCGCCTCTTTCCAGGTTATAGTGCTGGTAAGTGCCCCATAAGAACCGGGGTCCGGTAGTAGACACATTGCATGGCCGTTGTTATGATGGTCAATCATCCTGCATTTCGTTCCCATCTAGACCTCATCAGTACATTGGGGATATTTCCTCTCCACCATGGCCCCTTCGAGGTTGAAAGGCTGATCACATCAACAGGGATCCTCAGGCGGCCCACGCGAGGACAATGTCACAGGCATGCTTGTGCGCGCTCCTCAGACTGAATGGAGTAAGAGTTCTATGATAGCGGTCGATGCTGGAGCGCATCTAGCCAGCATTATCCGCATCCTGCAACGAGAGATGCCTTCCTCGTCTGAGACTATACCGCCGAAAGACTACGCCAGAATACTAGAGACAGGCCCATTCGCAGGCGTAAAGTTTCCCAACATCTCTGCCAAAGCGAATGCTCTTTATCTCTTCCGTGAAATCCTACACGCCTTTCTCATCACACACCCGCACCTTGACCATCTATCATCGCTAGCGATAAACACCCCAGCGCTTGAGTTTGGCAGGGAGGCAAAGGCGATTGTGGCTCTACCATCCACAATTGAAGCTATCAAGAACCATATATTCAATGACTGGCTTTGGCCCAATCTATCGGACGAAGCTAATGGCGTGGGATTCGTCACGTATCGCCGGCTGATCGAGGGAGGCAACCTCCGACTAGGGTTGGGCGAGTCTCGAGGCTACGTCAATGTTTGCGATGGTCTGGCTACGAAATGTTGGAGCTTGAGTCATGGGAGATGCCAGCGAAGAAGTCACAGCATATCCCATCAACATGGCGATTCTCTACAATGGGCCCAACCCGACTACAACTATCAGTCCCGGAGACTATCTCGAATATCTGATGATCACGGGTATTTTGCAGCCGTCGCTCAACAACAATCCCAAGGCGGGGGCGCATATCCAGCTGGGTCGGCACCACTGGCGGCGGCGGCTCCCATGACTCCTGGCGGCGGCCCAGCAGCCCCAGGCTACATGGAGGGAACTTATAGGTTTGAGCCGGTCTCGAGCTCTGCCTTCTTCATTCGCAATGATGCCACGGGTCACGAACTTCTCATTTTCGGCGATGTTGAGCCTGACTCGGTGAGTATGGCCCCGCGGAACTACATCATCTGGGAAGACGCGGCGGGCAAGATCGCGAACGGGACCCTTCAAGCCATCTTCATTGAGTGCTCCTACGACGACAGCGTCCGCAACGAAGACCTTTTCGGGCACCTGTGCCCGAGGCATTTGATCGCCGAACTGAGGTTCCTTGCCAACTGCGTCATCAGCAAACGCAGACAATCGGGTTCCGAATCGGGTCAAGCGACAGCCGACCAAGCAGTCGACAGTCAAGATGTCGAGAGAGAGCTGGGGTCTCCGCCGATGACAGGCAGCAACATGCGCATGAAACAGCCACCGACGCCATCCGAGCTGAGACGCAAACGCAAACGAGGACTCAACGGCGAGCTGACGGTGACGCCGGAGCTGGCGCCCACCCACTTCGACAGCGTGACATCCCCCCAGGCCTTGAGTAGTGGCTACGTGGGCAATAGGGCAAGCTCCGCGTCACGTCGGAAGCGGTCTCACGAGCGTGGAGAATCTCACCAGGGGTCCTCTATTGCGCACCCACCTACCCGGGCTCGCACCCGTTCTGTGCAGTTTCAATCAGATTCTGCCTCTAGCCCTCTGCTTGCGAGTGGGGGACCAGTCCCTTCTGGTGCAGCGATGTCAGGATATCCCTATTCAACTCCGAATCCTCAAGCTCAGCTGCAGACACGTGAGAAGCTCGCGCAACCTCTGAAAGGTCTCACCGTCCACATCATCCACGTGAAAGATACGTTGATGGACGGGCCTGATCCGGGCGACGTCATTGTAGGCCAGCTACGTGCTTTGGATGAGGAGGCCGGTTTGGGCGCGGAATTCAATGTTACCAGGTGTGGTGATAGTATTTGGGTCTGATCCGGGCTGAGTGGGATCATTATGTCAGGGAGGCGGAGAGAAAACCAGAACAGAACAGAAAGTTCTCTCCTCAAAGGCATTACTGTAGTGATTACAAATTGTACATGTTGTTATCTCGCCACACTGTTTCGCTGCTTCGGTCCTTGTGTAGGTCTCTATGTGGGCGGATGCTTTGAATTGGACGTGATGGATCAGGGTTGGCTCTGGTCAGACCATTACGTGGCGATACACGGCACTTGGGCATTTCTTCAAACTCAGGCGGATGCTCCATTGATCTCGCGAGGGCGGAGTCATGTCAGGGACTGGGGCGAGGAATGTCATACTGCAGGCTTTCCAAAGTCGCCACGAATCACCAACGATTCTGTACAGCCTGTAGAATGATTGAGAGACGGGCAATCAACGCGTTCGCTGACTTCAAGTCAGGTTCTGATTTCTGTTCATTGATCAGAGCTTGACAGGGCCACGAGGTTGAATTGTCCAAAGCTACCACGCTGAGATGGCACTCGCCGACCATGATCATGTTCAGCGAGCGAGGCAGCCGGAGGCGTCACACTGCTCCACAGTCCACGGTCTCCTCTCAACGCGAAAGAAATGCAGATCTGCCCATACAGCCCCTTCTGCCCACGATTCTGTTCCATTGAATATTCCATGTAAACCTTCGAGTTTCTCCGCAGACGAATCGCCTTCTCGAGTGTCCACAACGGAAGCCCCTCAACCTGGGTGCGCGCGATTCCTTGAGTTTTGTTTGGACCGGAGCATCGACTCCAATATTGAGGTGGTTTTGAGCGATTAATTGCAGAGAGGCATGGGGGGTGGCATTGGGCATTGGCCAGTCTAGGGAGGATGGCGGATGGAGGATGCCACTGTACGGATCTGGTGGCTGCAGGGGTCGGAGGGTGAGGGATCATAATTGGCTCATGGCGTCCGCGTTTCAGCCTGGTGATTGAGTTTCAGCCGCGTCGATATATCATGTCAAAGCGGAGGGGAGACAGTCGGAGTGGGCACGCGGTGGCGCAGTGGGTTGGTTCCATGGTACAGACCAGGATTTGCAGCCACAGCCTTGTCGAACCGCGTAGTTGAATGGAGCTCAGACCCTGTTCGCCTGATGCTGACCGTGTCTCTTCCCCATACCGCAGCCTTGCGTCCCAGCCAACACGTCTTTCGTCGCCCGTGGCAGCACGAGTCCATTGGCCGACCCAGACCGCAGTTGTACTTCGTAGCCACACTGCCTCCAAGTTCGTCCACTTCACTTTGGGTCTTCACTGCACCACGCGCTGAATCCCAACACTTGCCCACTGTGATTCACTGCCATCGTCTTTTCTGCCGCACTCTTTTCTGCCGCACCTTGTTACTGCCGCACCTGTTCTCTGGACTTGGCGTCCTCAGGTTGAATCTGAAGGGTATAAGTATCTCCTCCTCTCCGACCTTTCTCTTCCTTCTTCTTTCCTTTCTTTCCATCACTCGTCCTGGTAAGTCCAAAACTGAGGCGCCTTCAGCAGGAGAGCAGTTCCAGCAGTCTGCTACTAATCTCCATTTTAGTTGGCTCTGGCAGATCTTGCTGGCTGCTGGCGAACTGCTGAAGGCGGGTGGTTGGAGTGTCGCTCATCTTTGAAGAGCGGCCGGGTCCTCAGAACTTCTCTTCAATACATCTTCCTTCCTCCCCCATATCCTCTCTTCTTCTTCTTCTTTACACACTCTGTAGCTTCTTCATCTTTGTACACTCTTCACCTTCTTCAATCATCTTTGACATCTCCTCCTCCTCCTCCTCCTCCTCCTCCTCCTCCTTCATTGACACCTCATCATCATCCTACCTTATCATCTTCATTGACACCTCATCATCATCCTTCCTCATCATCCCTCCTCATCATCATCCCTCCTCATCATCATCCTTCCTTATCATCATCATCATCCTACCTCATCATCCTCCTCCTTCATTGACACCTCGTCATCATCCTCCTTCATCAACATCCTACCTCATCAACATCCTACCTCATCAACATCCTACCTCATCAACATCCTACCTCATCAACATCCTACCTCATCATCCTTCATCATCATCCTTCATCATCATCCTTCATCATCATCCTTCATCATCATCCTTCATCATCATCTCCCTCCCTCCCTCCTCCTCCTCCTCCATCTTCTTCTTCTTCATCTTCATCTTCATTGAACACTTACCTTCACCTTTATTGATCTCCTCCTCCTCCTTCTTCTTCTTCATCTTTATTGACCTCCTCCTCCTTCATCTTCTTCTTTACACACTCTGTAGCTTCTTCATCTTCATTGACACCTACCTCTCCCTCCTCCTCCTCAACCTTCTTTGAACTCTTACCTTCTTCATCTTCATTGACACCTACCTCCCCCTCCTCCTCTCTTCTTCATCAACCTTCTTTGAACTCTTACCTTCTTCACCTTCTTTGACATCTACCTCTCCCTCCTCCTCTCTTCTTCAACAACCTTCTTTGAACTCTTACCTTCTTCACCTTCTTTGACATCTACCTCTCCCTCCTCCTCTCTTCTTCAACAACCTTCTTTGAACTCTTACCTTCTTCACCTTCTTTGACATCTACCTCTCCCTCCTCCTCCTCCTCATCTTTCTTCTTTACACTCTCCCCACCTCGACTCGCCCCCCTCCCCCTCCCCCCCCTACCGCCAAAGTAAGTACACAAACTGAGGCGCCTTCATCAGGAGAGCAGACCAGCATCTGCTACTAATCTCCATTGTTGGTTGGCTCTGGCAGTTGCTGGCTGCTGGCGGACTGATGAAGGCGGGCTGGTTGGAGTGCCGCACGCGGCCGGGACCTCAGAATATCCATTGTCTTCTTCGTCGTGTTTCTCAGTCTATGGCTAACTGTGTACAGACTGCTTCAATCTTTTCATCATCTTCAAGCTTCATGCTTGGACCTGGAGAAGAGCATGTCCTGGTAGAGCGTAGTCAGCCTCACTGTAAGAGAGTTGTTGAGATGTAGCCTGTGTGGTTATCGAGCTTGTTTCCTCCGAGATTGTTGCCGTTCTCGGTTGGGCTGCGCTGCGCTGCACTGCACTGTGCTCATTTTCAGTGTTGAGTGCCATGTAGACATGGCACGACATTACTCTTTCCGTCAGCGAGACCCCGAGACTGTTTTCAAACGAAAGGATAATAACGTCAAACCGTGCAATCTTGAAAAGCGGACACTTCCGCGTCTTAGTCCTCAATCACAATGCTCTCTCGATCTTGCTGACCGGAAAAGCTAGGTCAATACCACCTGTCAATGAAGCTCACTCCTTCCGGTTTCTGCAGCATCGCAAGCAGATAGCAAACTGTGCTGCTCCCCTAGCAGTCGGACTCTCTCATTCGCAGTGCTCACGATGCCTTTTAAATTCCCCGAACTCGCTCATCCTCCCCACCTCAGCCGCAGCCGCTCCCCTCAAAGACTTGCTTCTTCTGTGAACAGTGGCAAGGGCGGGAAACAAGTGACAAAAGAAGCTGGATACAAGTTCAACCCTCCACTATACGCTCCAGGTGCCAGAAACAAGAGACTATGAGGGAATACACAATTACAGCATCAAAGTGATTCTGGCCAGGAGACAAAGAGATCGGAGAGACCACAAACGGGGGGAAGATGTAGACAATCTGAATCAATCAAGCTACCTCGTCAATGGAACGTGGCAGTTGATCCAAGACAAAGAAACCATTCTCCTCCATCTCAACAGGGACCACATCCTTTGACTTACCAGACTCGACACCAAAAGCATATTTCCTCGAGCAGCCCTCTTACCTGTCCCTGCATCCACTGTTTTCTTGCACAATCTGCCAGATGACAAGAGCGTCGATAACTAACACCAGTTTCCCGCAATGACCCGATACCTACCTGGAGACTGCTGAGCCGTTTATTGGGCTGCTACAGTGGCCTGGCATTGCCAATGAGTCAAAATAGAGAGAACAATCACCTAAACGTGGCCAATATTGTGAACATTGAGCATAGATGTTTGGTGCATGTTGTGAGGGTGTCAATTGCCCGTGGATAAAGCAGAGGCACAGCAAATCAATTCGAAGACTCGCTTGCTGTGGCCGAAGACTCGTCGGACTTACTTGGGAAGTATATATTTGCAGTGGCTTTTGCAGGAAGTTGAAACCCATATATGTCTGGGGCAGAGACTGACAAAAATGAATTTGTGCAGGCCGATGATGAAGTCTCCTGGGCTAAAGCTGTCAGCGCATGGAGGGCCAGACCAAACATTTGGAGATACGACGTTCCACGAGATCTCGACAGAATGATTTCCCTTGCTATTCGAGCAGAACGGCCGTCACTCAACTGGTTCGGAGCTATGGCCACTGGTGAGCTTCTGAAAGCAGCATCAGTGAATGGGGGCACAGGCAGCCGAGCTTCTTCATTCATTTCGCATAGTGAAAACGGGCATGAACATGCTTTCAAGTACATGCTGGAATATGTACATAACTGAGAACGAGATTGAAGTGTTGGAAGGGCGTGAGACTCTCTAGGAATCAGAATGTTGCATAAAAAGCGGAGAGGTTGGGATGAGGTGATTACGGTTTCCCCAATCAAAAAGATTCCATTGCTTACTCCATGCTCGGCCTCTTCTCCGAAGACAGCTGCTTTCATCACCTTTTAAGCCCCCTCACTATCACCAGTCAACTAACCGCCTTTACCAGAAGTTCTTGTCGAGAGTCAAGCTTAGTCCTGGACGTCTTCAAAGTCGAGGCCAACGTCGGTATCACGAATCCAGTCCAACACGATGTCTGACTCTCATTCTCACGACCACGACCACGACCACGACCACGACCACGACCACGACCACGACCACGACCACACTCACACTCACACTCATGACCACGACTCCTCACACTCGCACTCGCACTCACATGCACATGACGGGACGCCCGTTCATCTATTCCAAGCGACGTCTTCCGACGAGCAACCCCCGGACGCATGGCGCGAGAGCGGGGTGCGCGTGATCCCCGGAGACAAGCTCGACACCAACACGTCGCAGACTCCCGGCATGAGCCGGGCGGCGGCGATCACGACGGCGCGGGTGGGCGCGCAGAAGCTGTGGGCAGGCACGGTGACGATCCACCCGAATGCGAAGACGGGCGCCCACCACCACGGCCATCTGGAGAGCGTCATCTACGTGGTCAAGGGCAGGGCGCGCATGCGCTGGGGCGAGAAGCTCCAGTTCACCGCCGAGGCCGGGCCCGGCGACTTCATCTTCGTGCCTCCCTACGTACCGCATCAGGAAATCAACGCCAAGGAGGACGAGGAGCTGGAATGCGTGCTGATGCGCAGCGATGGCGAGGCCATTGCCGTCAACTTGCCGGACGTGGTGCCGGTGGAAGATCCCGTTGGTGTTAAATGGATCGATCCGACGCATCCAACGGGAGGAGTGTGATTGTGATTGTGATTTGATCCAGATACCAACTTCATAGCAAACCATGGCATACCAAACCATGGCATACCAAACCATGGGATATCATATCATAGCGGACTATAGCAAACCACAGCAACCCATGGTAAACTGAACCAAGGCATACCAAACTATAGCATATCATACCATAGCGTACCATAGCAAACCACAGCAAACTGTAGCAAACTGAACCAAAGCAAACCATGGCAAACCGGACCAAAGCACACCGTGCCATGCATGGTCTTCACATATGTAGCTGGACATGTATATGTAACATATATAGATATAATACGGAACAGGTCATACATGTGTGGATATATGTACCTTAGTATCGATCGCATACTGACCGTATCTACCTAACTAGGTACAGTATTCACGCTTAGTTTTAGATATCGTGTTTATACTGTATTGCACGTACTGACTGTATCTACCTAGATACAGTATACACACGTAGTTTTAGATCATCCATGTACAGACAGAGTATATACAAAACTAGACAGCCAATCGCACCAAACATCCTTTTAAATCTCCGGTAGTTTTTCTTTATCCGGCGAAGCTGGCTCGGGTTGACTGTGTTCCTTCTTCAGATTCTTCAGGCAAGGCGCATAGAACAATCTGCCGGACCAAGCACCCTTTGCGGTGGCGGCGGCGACGACGCACCAAAGCAACATGACGGCAACAGCCAAGATGGTGCCGAGGATCTTGAAGAAAGCGCTGGGCATCTCGACGCCGAAGGTCATGGTGCTGATGGCATACACGCCCAGCGGGAAGGTGAACCCCCACCAACCCATGTTGAAGGGGAACGGGTTGGTCAGATAGATGGTGGCAAGCGCGAAGACGAGCCAGCACAGGCCGAACCCCCACATGATGAGGGCGACGAAGACGCCCATGACGTAGACGACGTCGCCCGCCACAGACAGGTTGTGAAAGAACTCGACGCGCGGGAACACCTCCCGTGCCACCCGGCCGAGGTACATGATGGTATAGCCTCCCATGCCCAGCGGGCCGAGAGGGAGGAATGAAGACACCACGACTTCGCGCGGCGGCAGTTTGTGTAGCGCCAGGCGCTGGTAGTAGATGACCAGAATGCTCAATGCCAATGGGGTCGCCATCCCCCACATCACATAGGATGCTAGTAGAGTGCCCAGGGCGTGGTTCGGGTTGTCGAGGATCTCGGCCACTTCGCTGCCTACGTGTAACGAGCGAGTCGATGGTTAGCAGAATAGACAGATGGAACAAGCTTGGGAGAAGCAAAGCAGCACAAGATCCAGACGGGTTTGGCATAGTGTTGGGTTGGATGTGGATATGTACGATATGTATGTGCCTTCAGGCTGTGTGTTTCGGGTGGGAATGCTTGACTTACCAGCTCCCGCAGCCACGATCGTTGCGGCAATAGGCAGCAGCTGCGCTGCAGTGATCCTGTCCAAGGATTGCTGGTAGGACTGCGACATGAGCAGGAACGGCAACGACACCGAAACCGCGGCGGCAACAACGGCATCGATCATCCAGCATACCCAGGCGACCGTCACGGCCCAATAGCCCCAATACGGACAACACAGAAAAATCCAGGACTCCAGGAGCGTCGCGAATCCCATGGGGATAGTGCCCAGAAACAAGGAGTTGGTCGAGTCGGCGATCATGACCCCCCAAATCTCCGGATACAAGGTGTACCGCAGGATGGAGGTGGCCAGCGCCAGCGAGAACAGGACGCTGTTCAGCACGAAGAAAACCACCGCCAGCCAGTACAGCCAGTCCGCCTTGTAAGGGATCGTGATTAGCAGGAGTGACACCACCCCCGTGCCCATCGTCACCGAGAACCACGATGGTGAGAAATTGCGCACCACTCGGCGCCAGCCTACTTCGTATTTCGAGGGCTGCCCATGGCCTCCATGTGGTGATGCCACGGGTGGAGACTGGGACGACGTTCTTTTGATAACCGTCTCATTGTCGCCTGCCGGGTCAGATGAGGTGAATGTGTTGCTGCCGTGCGACCGCATGCGTTCGACTCCGGATCGAGAGATGATCTGGCTCGCCGGGACCGTCATGGCTGGGTTGTTGGACGCCAGGCGCTCCATTTCGAGGTCGTCTTCGTCGGTGTTGGTGTCGGTCATGCTGGCGGCACAGCACCGAGGCTGTCGCGGGTGTAGTTGAAGATGTTACCGGAGGCGCAATCTCACGAGCCTACCAAAACAACATGTTGCACCTGGAGAATAGCAAAAGAGAACAAGAATTTTGCCTCTGTCGCTGTTGTTGCTTCAGGTCTTTCATTCCATGACGTCCAATCACAGGCGGAAAAGCGGCGATGAACTTGTGAGAAATCCGGCCGGCCCTCTGCCCGAGCCACCAAAGGATGTGACCTAATCTAGTTAGCATACCTTGCTAGAGCAGCAACAGCAAATCCAAGAGGGAGATAGCTTATACAAGGCACGTGATAGCCATTTCCCATGAGATATCGATACATTGAATTGCTCTCATCCCATTAGATCTACGGAAAAAGGCAACTGAATGGTCGGAAATGGCGGTATAGCCCAGGTCTGATGATTTAACATAGTAGAGAATACTGTCAAGACCCGCCCAGCTGGAACCGGGCATCCTCCTCCCTCCTCCATGCCGAGCATTAGAGTAACTCGACTCGGTGCGAAAAGGACCACTGCTCCGATGCATCAACTTAACATCCGATGCTCCTCCCCAAGCACAGCTTAGACCCTGACGAGGTCATACTGGCAGAACCAAGTCAGATCAACGGAGCCAAATTCGTGGCAACTCGGGATACCATGCCCCCCTACTCGTAGCAAGGACTAGATATGACTTTGGCCGCCAGCCTCTAGCAGGTGAAAGTGTTGTAAGTAATGTTTGACTTTGCCCAGATTGATTTCACTGTTTGACAGTAGGGAGGAACAATCCAAGGCTAGATCCTCAGTGCCACCAATAGGGGTCATTCAGCTTTGAGTATGAAGTGAAAGCAGAACAGTGAAAAGTCAAATGGCATATGTAACCTGGAAAAGTTTGTATACCTCATGAAAAGTTATGATTCACGGGCTGACGTTGTTTAGCTCTTGTACATCAAACTCCTCTCCGGTATCTGCATCGCTGTCACTGCCTTCTTCGTCGCCTAATAATGGAACGAAACGGAAATCGACAAAAGCAACGCTTCCGGGAGAGAGTGGAGCAGCAGCAGCATCGGTGTCATCGCGACGTGCGCCGTTGTTTGCGCCATCTCCAAGGTCAATCATAAACTGTAGACTCAAAACTCCTTGTTGGTCCTGGCGAACGCTCACTTTGGTTGCCAGCGCCATAGCCCTCCCAGCCCTTTTTAACATATCAAACTTGTATCTCTGCCTGATCCTCCCATGTGACCCAGAAGGAGCTACGACAGAGAAAGTCTCGGTGATAAGAGGTCGCTTCTTCCCCCGGGTTCCACTTGGCGTGGGGTCATTCTTTGACTCCGGCATGAACTCGACCGTGCTGTCTCCAAACGGTCCGCCTTCACCCTCCAAAGAGAAGTAAGGCGTGGAGCGGTTCGAAGCGTTTAACATAAGGGCTGTGGGGTTCGTTCCAGACAGCTCTGTTATGGCATCATGCAACCAAGTGCTCCGCATGATCGCTTTCAAACACAGGGCGTTTCGATCAAGTGGGATTCCTCCGTCGTCCTCATAGGCATCGTGGGCATCATACGTGTTCATCTCGCAGGTCGTTGTGACTGACCCTTCCTGAATAGTGATTGTGAGCGGAGCACCCGCATGTTGGTACGTGATACGACAGGTCCCACCCAGCGCGAGAGCTGGAGCAGTGAATGCATTCCCATACGAGGACGAGAAGCCGCCATAAGGATTCCGAGAAGCGCTCGTTTCAGCTATCCCAAAGATTTGAAGAGTTTCAAGGAGTGCGACAATGGAGATTGAAAACGGAGGCAATGAATGCTGGTCTTCGTCCAGGTTCAAATTGAACGTCGAAAACAAAGCCTTGTCGAGAAAGGTGAGGCCTTGGACGACTCTAGCTTCTTCCACCGAGAATCGTATACCTGAACGGGTGATCTGAACCTCCGCCCGTTGAGAGAAGGCAATACACCGGAGCAGGGTATGAAGCTGCCTGGCTGATGTGGAGACAGCAGTGAAAACAGGTTGATCAACCATTGGTGTGATCCAGTAAACGATTGTATCCAGCGACTCTCAGCTCGTATAGTGTGCAAGGGACGCGCCCAGAGTATGGGTGGTTCTTAGACGTACACTCCGAAACCACAAATGGCGTAAACAGCGCCGAATCTATCCAAACATCAGGATGGATATATCACATTTTGCCTTGCCAGTACATACCCAAACGCTAAAGAGGCTGGAATTCCCAAGAGAGGTACCGAGAGAGGAGATCGATCTTGCGACAAATCAGCACAAACAAGAAGCAGTGAGGAATATTCGTACTCAGTCCGAAAAGGCCGGTAAGTATCAACCCTGCAAAAGTCAGCTTGAGAAGTCGGAAAACTCGAATGGTTTGCACTCACCGATGAACAACAGGAATAAGCCTATAGTGAGCTGGCTGTCCTTTCCAACTGCAGGCTGGAAAGGGCTGCTTCCCGCTGCTTGCCAGACTTCGTATAGAGACATTGACAAGGCCTGCGTGGTTGATCCTGGACCTGAACGTAAGAGGTAGCCTGTGACGCGTCAAGAACTGTTTGATAGCTGGACGAACTGTTGGCAGTGTTGTATTCACGTCTGGCTTTGGACAGACCAGGTGGTCATTGAGAACTGGCTGATGCGTCTCTTCAGGAAAGTCTTCCGAAACAGTGTTCTTCTTTGGTACTCAACTGCTGCTGCTTTGAGCCCGCTTTGCGTCTTTGCCTGATTTCGGCGAGTCACCTTCTCAGCAAATCTGGCTCTAGGCTCTGCTCCTTCTTATTCTACGCAAGGGGAGATGTGTCTATCACGTTAGCTTTAAGCCAGATCTGATTCATACCGACCTAGCGACTAGTAACCGTGTGATGGCGCTGTAGTTATCAAAGTAGGTGTTAAAGCGGCATTATATGCGTTCGTTTAGTATTCATCTGCGCCCCTCGACTGCGGCTCCAGTAGAGTCAGCGCCATCTTTTGACGCTCTCACGCGTTCCCATCTCGGCCGATTCCTTTGCCAGAGACAGAAGCGTTCGAGGACGCACTGCTCCTATACCTATAGGATCCTCTTGCCAGATGAAGTTCATACGATCGTCATGGCTCTTATAAATCCCGAGAGTAAGTCACTCATACCGCCGTGCGCAACGTCATGGACATCACAGTTAACACCGAGGAAGGCACCAAGAGAAAAGCTTCAGAGGAAGCATCCTCAGCGCGCTCCAAGAAGGCTCGTACAGAGTCTCCTGTCCTTGACAGCCTTAGCAAGCACGACGAGGTAAGCTTCTTATCATCCATCTTTGATCATGGGTTCAGGACCGCAACTTGCCCGGTTTCCGCCCGACGATAATTTGTATCGTATTCCAAGCAATATGTCCTCCGATTCCAACTCGACGATATGCCTATCATGCGAGCAGGAGTTTGGAGGCTCAGACAATCGCTGGCCCTGCGTTGATGCCACCCATGATTGGAACACTGAGACTAATCCTTCCACTATCCAGTCCGATGCCGATCCTCCTATTACACCTACACCGGTCGATTTCCCCGACAAGCCTGCGGTCATCGAGGAGAAACAAGGGCTCATCGAGTTCAGAGTGGTCAACAATGACAATTCTCGCGAAAGCAATATCATCTTGACTGGGCTGAAATGCATCTTCCAGAAGCAATTACCCAAGATGCCCAAGGACTATATTGCGCGACTAGTGTATGACAAGACTCACTTATCCATCGCCATTGTCAAGCAACCACTGGAAGTCGTCGGTGGAATCACATACAGACCTTTCAACTCGCGAAAATTTGCCGAGATCGTCTTTTGCGCCATTTCGTCAGATCAGCAAGTCAAGGGATATGGCGCCCATCTCATGGCTCATCTTAAAGACTACGTCAAGGCAACTTCTCCTATCATGTACTTTCTCACCTACGCCGACAATTACGCCATCGGGTATTTCAAGAAGCAAGGGTTCACAAAGGAGATTACCTTGGATAAGTCGATCTGGATGGGCTATATCAAAGATTACGAAGGCGGAACGATCATGCAATGTAGCATGCTGCCCAGGATTCGTTATCTACAGGTTCCACGTATGCTGCAGAAGCAGAAAGAAGCAGTCATGGCGAAGATACGGGCCGTGAGCAAATCGCATATTGTCCACGCTCCGCCTGCACAGTGGAAAAACGGCATTATTGAGATAGACCCGATGTCCATTCCTGCGATCAAGGAATCTGGCTGGTCACCGTCAATGGATGAGCTCTCCCGCCAACCTCGCCACGGTCCCAACTACAATCAACTTCTCCACCTGCTCAACGATATGCAGAATCATACCGCTGCGTGGCCATTTGCTCAGCCTGTGAATAAGGACGAAGTCCCCGACTACTATGAAGTTATCAAAGAGCCCATGGACCTATCGACCATGGAGGACCGCTTACAGAACGATCTCTACCCGCGACCAGAAGACTTCATCAGAGACGCCAAGCTTATCTTCGACAACTGTCGCAAATACAACAACGAGAGTACACCTTATGCTAAGAGCGCCAACAAACTCGAGAAGTTTATGTGGCAGCAGATCAAGAATATCCCGGAGTGGTCGGTGAGTAATATCTGTCACTTTGGCTCGAGGAACTGTACTAACCTCATTCTAGCACTTGGCGGATTGATCTGCCCAGGCTTTGGGCTATGCCAATGTCTGCTGATGAAGGGCGTTTTTGGATCTTAGGCCACGTTAGGGGGGCATAGGCCTGGCATGGCTCCGTGGCTGGCTGGTCCTTTTCTTGTTTTTTGATACCCAGGTTGCACTAGAAGGCAGCATTTTTGCTCACGAAGCGATGACGATGATAGGAAACGAGACATCAAAAAGCGTCTTTCTGCGTATATGTGCCCATGTGCATTGATTGTAAAGTAGCGCTCCTCAAAGTTGTTTGGCTATTGGGGAACCGGACATGTGCAGCAAAGTAGATTAGCATCGACAAGTCCGGACCAGTCAGCGTCGAGATTGCAGGTCGTTGCCCGAGCGCAGCCAGGTCCAACTTCACTCCTGTCAATGCATCTTCCTCCCAACACACGACCAGACCAGACCACTCCTTTACACATTTCATCGCCACTGAGTTAGAAATCTATGATCCTTCCGCTCGCTGAAGATTTCCGACGCCGACATTCACTACTTCTTCACACTCGCTGGTTGCAGCCGCATAAAGGATCCCTATTGCCCTGACCACGCGTCACCTTTCGCGCGACATCACCTCACCTTGATCTTATACTTGTCGGACGTGACAATTCACTTCTTAGCCTGCATTTCGCCACAATCGCAGAAGTGCTCACCAAAACGCCAGTCATTGTATGACTTCAGCGGCGAAGACGACCCGATCTCAGAAAGTGCGGCGCTTGGGCAACTTCCTATTGTCGATTCACAAGCTCTAAGTGAGAATAATGGCGCACCACACACACCCAGACCATGAGCTAGAACAGCGCAACCGGTTGCCGACGTTGATGGAAGTTTTGGGGAGAAGAACGCTGGCGCCGGTAGACCTGTTTTCGTTCTATATCTACATGCGCGATCAACAGCGCTCGGTGGACTACTTGGATTTCTGGTTTGTGTGAATCTGCGACATGGCTCGCATGAGATACTGACTTGACTATAGGCTAGATGTGTCCCAGCATATGTCCTTATGCCGGCATTATGTTCGCGAACTGCGACGCTCTATGCTTGTCGATACCCCGGAGATGGAGAAAGCCACAAGTAAAAGGTCTTCCGCAATGCTGGAAGGATTCGACCTGGGCGAAGGGATCGACACGAGAAAGAGTGGTCAGGAGTCAAGAGTCTCGGCAATCTTGAGATCAGACAATGGAGCAGCTCGCAAACCTAGCAGCAGAGAAGGAGGTGTCGACCATTCTCCTTCACATAGCATGGGCTCTGCGCATTCACGAACATTTGGTCGTCCGTCAGGAGATAGACCTTCGCCATCCGAACAACTGCCCCAGCCCAGCTATTCGAGTCCGGAAGTGCGCACCGATTCAAACTCGCCTGGTCACAGTGTTGCTAGGGCCGACATCAAAGCTAGTGCAGAGAAGATCCTCTACACTTTTATTCTCCCGGGCTCGGAGCGAGAAATTGTGTTGCCAGATAGTATGGTTAACAGGATAATCCGTGCAATCGAGGAGGAGGGGCGCGACGACCCCGAAGTCTTCGACGATGCAAAAGACTACGTCTTCCAAGCCATGGAGAGGGATGCATTCCCGGGTTTCCTCCAGGCCAAAGCGTTGGGCAACCTAGTTCCTCTGAGCGTTTTGATAAGGCTGATCATCGGCCTTGCGAGTCTAATGGCCGGCTTCTGGGGTGGGTATTACATGATTTTGAGGGACGAATCCAGAAGCATCCGGTGTTGGGTAGGATTCCCCAATCTCCTTCTTGCCTTCCATTGTTCCACACCGCTGACTTCGCTTCAGGTCATTCTCCCATTCACCATCGGCGCCTACTTCCTCGTGTCATACCAGTACAAACTGGACATCATCGCCGCCTACCTGGGGTTCAGCGAGTACACATGGATGAACTGGTCGAGGGTGCGGGAGCCGTTCGTTCGCAGACTGCTGCTGACTCGCGCAACCATGGCGCTACTCATGTTCGCCGCGGTCGCCGTTGCGCTCAGCGTGTTATTCATCTTCGTGCCGGGCACGAGGTTCTGATCCGCAACGCCTGGGTAGCACATGATATCATGGATGGAACGATTGGGACGTGGCGTTTGGCGTTCAGGGAGGCTCAGGAAACGGATAATGCGCGTGTGCTCGTGCTGGTGCTCGGCGGGCCGTGTAACAGTATCTACGCACCGGAAGGGCAAACGGCAGGCAATCCATGGCACAGATAATGGACACGTTTCGCGTTTCGCGTTTCGCGTGGCGTCCTGGTTTATCTCTTGCTGCGACACTGGCACGGCTGTTTGTGTCTGGAGGGGAGGGAGAGTGGTCTCAGAAAGTAATGCCAGGGCTGTACTGACCAGACCGGCCAGACCACAATGTGTCGACGAAGCGGTCAAAACAAACACAAAGGAACTTGCGAGCTTGGATACCCATTGTTTTAGATTTCTATCGACTGAGCTTCTACTACTGCTAATTGCTATGCAATTCGCTGCAAATATCACCGCGTTAAGCGGTTCTCCGTGCCAGGCAGTCTGGCTGGCCGGTACCTATATCCTTCATACGTAGGTATGATAGATACGGTAGTCCTCTCTGTGGGATTATCCATGGGAGGAGAAGTTGTGGCTTGTTTAATCGTCACTCATACAGTCGTTGCCTGGCCTTGACCATGCATGACCAGTGCCAAAATCTAAACCTGTGACGCCTTCTAAATGCGAGCCATTCGACATTATCACACCTTTGCATAGGGTGTAAGGGGGGTCATTCGATCGTTTCACTTCACTCCACGTCCTCGGTTTCTCTTTGCACCTCTTGAGCTCCCAACACCGTGGCCTCCGCGACCGCCGCCTGCATGAGACCCCACATCACTCATGCCCTCGTCCAAGTCCATGCGGCCATCGTCATCAGTGAGCTCCCCGCCTTCACCTTCCATCTGCTGATCTATATCGCGCTTGCTAGGCAACTTGTGTACTCCCCGTGACAGGCGAGAACCATTCTTGAAGTCGGCAGTATCCAGAGGTCTGTCACTCAATACCGCCGCGTCAACTACCTCCTGCCGTTTCTGTTGCGTCGCATTGCGCTGAGTAGCTGTATGGCGTATGGCGGAGATTTGGGCTTCCAGCTCGCTCACCACGGATGTACATCTTGATTCCCAGGTTTGCAGAATCTGGAGGAGCGCTGGAAGGGATTGAGGCCGCAGATCACGGAGTGGAGCGACAGAAGTGATGTTGACGACCGGGGGATTGGATGTGGGCGAGAGTCGTGCGGTGAGGAGGCCCGAGTAGGTCGATTGAGTGACTAGCGATTCGAGGCTCGCAGCGTCTGGCAGGCCCAAGGACTGGAGGAGAGATGGGTAGGTGAGGGCATTGGTGGTGGTTGTATTATTACCCGGAGCGAACGGGGAGGCCAGTGTAAGGAGACTTAGTTGACGAAGTTTCAGAGTCTGAGGTTCATCCAGCTCAGGGAGACCTGGAACGCCTGTCGTCGAACAAGCAAAGCAACGTTAACCTTCATGTGGCTATCGATTACGTTTTGGAGAATCTGGGAGGTATACCTGTATATTCTTCGTAGGTGCCCCAGCTAAAGACCTCTAGCAAGGTCAACCATGGCAGCAGCTCAGTTCCACGAAGACTTTGGCACGCTGGTGTCTGGAGGAGTTCAGTGAAAATGTATGTGCCGGGTGCGGATAAGGCGCTTTTGATCAGCTCGGCAACAAAGCGCGGAGAGGGCGATTTGGTGGTAGTTGCCAGGTGCACAAAAGGCTGTAGGGCTGCCAGTGCCTTTGTTTGAGACTGATCCATACTAGTAGCTGAGGGTTCGAGTGAGGGCGGATGAGATGTTGTCTTGTCGACTATTTCGTATACAGTGGACTCATCGACGAGGCGGCGCGCATTCAACAATTGCAGTGCAGTGCAGGCCAGGCAGGGACTCACCGCAGCCTCAGCTCATAAGCCTTGGCAGGAACCGCGGGGAATTTGAAGTTGGGAAGGCCCCTAAGTCTTAGGGGTTCCTTAGGCTCCTCAGGCCTTAGGCTGCGCAGGTTTAGGCGTGCTGAGCCCTGAGTTGGCTTCCGTTAGGTGCTAGCACTACTCCGTATAGGTACATAATGTAGCAGCCTGTGTTTGCTAGTTGTCCTGCATGTGGATTGCAATTTACCAGCGTACAGTTCCGTATAGATAAATCTCGCCTCTGGCTTGTTATTAATTAGTTGTTTGGATTCTGGAACAGTGTGGCCTGACAGGCTCTCGGTCTTGCATTGAATCAGCAACCGACATCGGCTCACCTGGCCGCGTGGACTGACAGACAGAGATCTGGGGTAACGCAGGCACTGGCGGACCTGGAACCACTTTGGCATTGGCGTCTGTCGCGTCGGGTATTTTTAGTGGCGCAATTTTCCAACTCCTTTTGTTTCCTTGCGCCGCCCGCCGCCGCCATAAGATATAGTAAGCAGCAGAACGTCTCACCTCACGTTTCACCTTCTACTCTCACTCCTCACTACTCCAAACAACGTCGCGACAGTCAGCCTTCACCTGCTTGCCCTCATTTCTCTTTCTCACACTCCTTTGAATCCAACCTCCGTTCGTTCCTACTCTGCCCTGTGTCCCGACGGTTCCCTCTCGCCTCCGACGACCCGAACCACCGAAAAATGCCTCTATAAAATACTTGATTGCGCATAAAATCTTTGCTGGAGAGTCTGCCGCCGGAAACAGTTCTGGATACATGTAAGATGGAGTCATTACAGGGTGGGCCCCCAGCCCATATGGCTACCACAACTTTGAAGGTAGACGGCATGACATGTGGTGCCTGTACTTCGGCGGTCGAGTCGGGGTTCAAGGGCGTGGAAGGTGCGGGAGCAGTGTCTGTGAGTTTGATGATGGGAAGGGCTGTGGTACATCATGATCCCGTCCTGCTGCCGCCAGAGAAGCTTGCCGAAATCATTGAAGACCGCGGATTCGATGCTGAAGTCCTTTCGACGGACATGCCTGAGCCCGCGCCGGTGGTCTCCCAGCAAGATGACTCCAATGCACGCACCGAAACAGGTTCACAGATCACCGCAACAACAATATCTATCAAAGGAATGACTTGCGGGGCGTGTACCTCGTCGGTAGAGGCGGGTTTCAAGGATGTGCCAGGTGTCAAGAGTCTGAGCGTATCATTACTTGCCGAGCGCGCGATTGTCCAGCACGATGCAAACCAAATCAGCGCCGAAGCTTTAGCTGAAATAATAGAGGACCGCGGCTTTGATGCCACCGTTGTGGAATCCAAAGCACAGGAGAATACCAAGCCTACCACAGGAACTGGATCTGGAGACACTGCTGCCCACTCTACGTGGACGACAACAGTTGCGATCGAAGGCATGACCTGCGGGGCGTGCACCTCGTCCATCGATGCGGCTTTCAAGAACACTCCAGGACTGGTGCGATTCAACATCTCCCTCCTTGCAGAACGAGCGGTCATTTCGCATGACCCAGTGGCCTTACCCTCCGAGAAGATTGTCGAACTGATTGAAGATGCTGGGTTCGAAGCTAAGATTATATCTTCGCAAGCCGAAACAGCGGTGCAAGGCTCATCGAATACTGTACAACAGCTTAAGATTTACGGGCTTCCTGATGGCAAGGCCGCTACAGATCTGGAAACCGAACTGAGGTCTAAACCTGGAATCAAGAACGCTGTCATCAGTTTGTCTACGTCACGAGCCACTGTCACGTATGATCCGGCTATGATCGGCCTCAGAATGATTGTCGGCGTCGTCGAAACAGCCGGCTTCAATGCGCTCGTGGCAGACTCCGAGGACAACAATGCCCAGCTAGAGTCACTGGCCAAAACCAAAGAAATTCAGGAATGGAGGCGCGCGTTCCTGACATCCTTGGGCTTTGCCATTCCTGTCTTACTGATCAGCATGGTCATACCCATGTTTTTGCCGTCGCTGGACTTCGGGGCCTTTCAAATTATACCTGGTCTCTTCTTAGGCGATGTCATTTGTTGCGCCTTGACAGTACCAGTGCAGTTTGGCATTGGCAAGCGCTTTTACAAGTCAGCATACAAGAGCCTGAAGCATAGATCTCCTACGATGGATGTCCTGGTCGTTCTGGGGACGTCGGCAGCATTCTTTTTCAGCTGTTTTGCTGTCGTTGTGGCGGTTCTAATACCACCTCATAACAAACCAGGAACGGTGTTTGACACAAGCACCATGTTAGTCACATTCATTACTCTCGGCAGGTGGCTTGAAAACCGGGCGAAAGGTCAGACCTCAAAGGCACTTTCCAGCTTGATGTCTCTTGCCCCCAGCATGGCGACCATCTATGATGACCCTTTGTATGCCGAGAAGCTCGCCGATGCTTGGTCAGTCCCTGAATCTCCGATCCTGGAAAAGACTCCATCCATCTCTTCGAGGCATAATAGTCTCTCGGGACCATCGGGGCCATCTGCGATTGAGAAAGTCATTCCCACAGAACTGATCGAAGTCGGAGATCTTGTCATTCTGCGTCCTGGCGATAAAGTTCCAGCCGACGGGATTGTTACTCGCGGCGAGAGCTACGTGGATGAGAGTATGGTGACTGGAGAGCCTATGCCCATTTTCAAGAAAAAGGGCAGCGCACTCATCGCTGGTACGGTTAATGGAGCTGGCAAGGTGGACTTCAAGGTGACTCGTGCCGGAAAAGATACACAACTAAGCCAGATCGTGAACCTGGTTCAAGAAGCACAAACATCTCGAGCACCGATTCAACGCATGGCGGATCTTGTCGCAGGGTATTTCGTCCCTGTCATCATTCTGCTGGGTCTCATCACCTTTATCGGATGGATGGTTCTCAGCCATACCATGCCGAATCCACCGAAAATCTTTGTCGACGGACAGAGCGGTGGCAAATTTATGGTGTGCCTGAAACTCTGCATCTCTGTTATTGTATTTGCTTGCCCCTGCGCCTTAGGTTTAGCCACTCCCACAGCAGTAATGGTGGGAACCGGAACTGCCTCTCAGCAAGGTATTCTCGTCAAGGGAGGAGCTGCTCTTGAAGAAGCTACACGAATCACGCACGTCCTTCTCGACAAGACTGGTACCTTAACATTCGGCAAGCTCCATGTTGCTGATACAAACATTGCATCTCTTTGGAGCTCCAATGAGTGGAGAGTCAAGTTATGGTGGACTCTCATTGGGCTTGCTGAAGCCGGCTCTGAACACCCCATTGCCAGATCTGTGGTCGCAGCGTCAAGAGAAAAGCTTGACCTCGATGACGAAGAGCCGTTCCCTGGCCAAGTAGTTACTTTCGGAGTGACGGTTGGCCAAGGTGTTTCTGCTATAATCGAGCTAGAGAACTCGACCGCTGCAGAACAAACCAGATACAAGGTGTATGTCGGCAACGCGAAATTCCTGCACGGCAAGAAAATCCCGATTCCAGCAGAGTTCGAGGATGATGGCAACCCGACGTCGGCCCTCGCGACCGCCGCTAGAGAGAAGTCCAAGACCGGGATAACAACCGTCTACGTAGCCATCAACGGTCAATTTGCCGGTATCCTGGAGCTCTCAGATGCGCTGAAACCCACGGCGCCAGCAGCCATTGCAGCCCTGCACAAGATGGGCATCAGCACATCCCTGGTGACTGGCGACACGTACAACACCGCTTTCAGCATTGCGCGACTCGTCGGCATCCCTTCCGACTCGATCCGTGCATCAGTATCCCCGGGAGAGAAACAGGCCCTCGTGGCCGAGTTGCAATCTCAAGGCGAGGTCGTGGCCATGGTAGGCGATGGGATCAATGATTCACCCGCCCTTGCGACCGCCAACATCGGAATCGGCTTGGTCTCCGGCAGTGACATTGCTGTCGAAGCAGCGGACATTGTCATCATGCGATCCGACGACCTGCTGAACATCCCCGCCGCACTGCATCTGTGTCGTGTTATCTTCCGGCGGATCAAGATGAACCTGATCTGGGCGTGCGCGTACAACGTCATTGGCCTGCCGTTCGCGATGGGAATTTTCCTGCCTTTGGGATATCACATGCCACCGCTGATGAGCGCAACCGCAATGATGTTTAGTAGTATCAGCGTCACACTGTCGAGTCTTGCACTGAGGTGGGCGGGGCGGCCGAGGTGGTTGACCGTCGAGGCCATGGATGCGGAAGGCGCCAAAATCTCGGTGCCCGTGGTTGGCCAGAAGCGGAATCTGGGTGTGGTGGCGACAGCGAGGGACCTGGTGTCTGGACTGTTCGATGCCGCGCTGACGAAGCGAAAGGCGGCGGAACGCGACCGTGGCAATTATGTTCCTCTTCGGAATGTAGAGCCTGTTTAGTTCGGGACTCACCATGTTATTTTGTCATATAGTATAAACATTGTGGCGGCATGCCGAGAAATTGTCTGTCATTACTCTGTATACTTTTTACTGTATAGCATATGAAGGTTTGCGTGCAATCTTGCAAGTTGAATTTGAGTTCTGAAAAGACCAAGCTTAATAGTCGCCAATATACGGAGTAAATAGTCCGTAACTGCTGGTGTGGTTTGCGGCTACAGTACTCAGTAATAGCTTATTATATTAATCCGTTACCTATGTGTGTGTGTGTATCACGAGGCTGAGCCCCTTAGGGGGGCTGTCAGGGCCTAAGCCGGCAGGGCCAAGGCCAATTGTGATTCGGACCTTGCAATGGCAACGAAGACGAAACCAGGCGCAACACTACTAGTAATAGTAGCAGTACTACTTTCATAGGCGTCATCCGTCCGGATGACTCGCAAATCAAGTTCAAATTCAAATCGGACTGTTCTGTTCGTACCCGACCGAGTCCTGGTACCTAAGGTGGGTGGTAGTCTAATGTGCGGATGAAGAACAAATACTGTACTCTACCTTACCAGGTGGGTAGTCTAATGTGGGGATGAAGAACATATACTGTACTGTATGGATGGATGGATATATACCAGGTACTCCGTACATGACTGGATGATTGATTGATACTGTACTGTACAGTATGTATATATGTCGAGACTGGTGGCTACCTAGGACCTCGGGATCATCTCACTGCCTCCTTGTTATCCTCAAGGTCACATCGTCCTTGCCATCAGCATCACTTCCTCCGTCTCATCATCCATCTCACTGCAAACACCTCCCAGCGTGAAGAGTGTCTCTGTATTGTTGCTGCCGGCATCGCGTCAATGAGATCCTCTCTTGAACTAATCCCACCCTTAGTCCTCCCACTGCGCACAGCTGGCCAAGCCGTTCATCAAGTTCTTGGCAGTGTTGTTCTCATCACAGGTCTTTATCCATTCTTCCTTGCCGTTGCCTTTTCCATCCAGCCCATAGATCTTACCGTAATCACTCGCGAAATTGTCATAGGTTGTTTCTGGTTTGTCCCGGCACAAGCCACAGAGAATGCTGACCACCTCATCCTTCAATCCAAGGCGCGGGAAGGCGGCCACAATCTCCTTGTATTCTTCCACGGTAACGAGACCCCCAGGAAGAGGAATGTTGGGGCCCAGAAAGTCGGCGACAATCCCCAAATTCGTGGCGAATACCTCGGGTTCTTTGTGCCAGGCTATGGAGTGTGTGCTGTGAAGGGCAATTGAGTCCCAGACAAGTTGGAGGCGGTGCTTGTCCCATTCTTGGTCGTCGGGGTTTGTGGACTTGATGAATTCCCGTGCGATGTTAGCACCGTCCACTTCGAACCTCTTATCAGTAGACAACAGGGTCTTTGTGGTTGCCCAGCCCATGTCGTGCAGTAAGACTGACAGCACCAGACACTCAATGTCGATCTTCGCAGCAGCCAGTGGTGGGAACTTGCGTAGGAGCATCAGGGAGAATGCTGTGCTTCGAAGGCAGTGGTTGAGGGTGCACTCGCTGGTGTGTTGTTTGACGTATGAATACGCCGCATCGATGAGAGGAGTCGAAGGGATTGTGACTTGAGAGATTGGGAGTGAGGGAAATTTTGACGAAGCCATGACTATGGGTTGAGCCGTGTTAAGATAATGCAAGCTGGTAATTGCAGGAGTGTTGCAGAACTGTTGCAACGGACTCACTGTCGTGGGCACCCAGACGGCTTTATATCTTAGGCTTCGCCCTTCACGTCTCAATTTGCTGGCAGGGATGACGAGGCTTCCCAAGTATGACATCCAGCCAGCAACTACCCGTTCAGGAGCTGACTGGATATAGTCTGCAGTTTGTCCGGTTCAGCCTTTGAGCCGACACATTGCTGTGAGGCCCGATTCCGGCAAACTCGACCTTTGATTGGCCCATTGCCAACACGGGCAGACATCTCCCCGAGCAGGCTGAGGCCGCGCTTTGCCAGATTGAGACAAATATCCTAGTAAGGAAAGGCTCCTAATTCGAAGTCGCCACCGTAACGGAAGGGTCACTTCCTGGGACGAAGAGACGGATCCGCCAGTTAGTTGAAAGCGAATCCAAGTAGTCGTCAACCTAAGGGCGTAGGGCGCTCACAGCTGAATGCAAAAAACCAGGAGCGGAGGCAGCCGGTGGACTCAGAAGTTCCGACCAAAACAGCTGGGGCGAGTCACCTGGGGTTTTCTGCCACGAAAATAAAAAGGTAATTGATGTCCACCGCTGCTCTCGGCTGGCACGGAAGAGAAGGCAGATACAGTGCAGTCAAACTCTGATCCGAGCAGAGAGCGAGATCCCTTTGACTGTCTCTTTGTTCGTGGACCTTTAGGTACATATCTCGGAACCGACGGCTCTCTACTTCTTCTGAGATGTGAGATTCGATGTAAAGGACGCAGCGAGAAGGATCTCGACGAGAGAAGGGCCGTATGGTCAACGCCGCTGTCTTCTCGGAGAATGTCAACCTTCCGCCAGTCCTTTAGGCCATGCTGTCTCGGCATGAAAGGAAAGATAGGTGATATGACGCTCTCTCCCTTCTACTCTCGATATTCCCGCGCGTGAGGTGCGTGGTCTAGGCCTCCGGTGACGAGGGATGAGGGACGAGGGACGAGTGGCAGGCGTTGGAGCAGGTAGCCAGGCGAGCCGGCCAGACGCTGGATTCAATCGATCGAAGTCTTGGATACGTCCAGCCACCGCTCTGTGTGTCCTCAAAGACATGGTGTTGGGGTCACCGCCGAAGTGGAAGTGGAAGTGGAAGTGGTCTTCACCTTGTCCTCGTCCTGCTCCCCATCGCCGTGCAAAGTGAGTACAGTAAAATCTACCTACCTGGTACCCCGAGCTCACGTGCGACTGCGACTCTCAACTCCTAAATGGCCATGCCGCTTATATAAAGCCAACTCACCCTCCCTCTCATCTCTCAACTCTTACACTGTACGAGTAACAGCAGCCTGCGCTGACCTGCCTGCCCGCCCGAGCATGCCGTGATATCATTGGCGGATACAGCGTGCCGTGGCCTATCCAATCATGGCCCTCCGCCCTCCACATTGCGTGAAGAGAGGACCGATGACGACATTCACGTTTCACATGTCACATGTTGACAACGGACAACTTCCAATATTTAACGAACCCTTGTAGGTGCTTGTACATAGATGCTGCTAAGCAAAAGATTCGTCGACGGTGTCTGTGTCTGCCTTCTCCATCCCATCGCCATCGAGTTGTTCGTATATCCATCGTTGCTTGAACTGTTCCGACCGATCTGATTCACGACGACCAGCTACCAGACGAACACAGGGTGCCTAACGAGGGCGAACCACTTGTCTTGCATACGAAGTACATACCTACACAATGCCGTCAGCACACTCCCAGCTCATCGCTGCTCTTGTTCTCCTTCCCACTCTCCTACCCGGTGTCTCTGCAGGCCAAGTCCCGATCCACCACTCTTCTCATAAATCGCCCGATATTCCGCCCATCGGCTTAGGGCTGTGGAACTCAAAAGATGAAGAGGTAAGTGGGAAGTGGGAATTATAATTAGGTCTAGTAGCGGCTCGATGCTTGAGTTGCGACATAAAATGGGAGGGACAAAGTAAAACCGTGAATCAAAGGCAACATGCCCACTAACCGTGCCGCGTGATCCTCTGCAGGCAACGCACGCCGTGCAATATGCCTTTGACGCCGGATACAAACATCTAGACTCGGCGGCTGCTTACGGTAAGTCGAAGAACCAGAAGTGTTTTTGGTCTGGCTATGGACCGGCCGTAAAAGTCAAATATCACCCTCCACCCCTGGCCCGGACTGACATGCTATAACATGATTTAGGAAACGAGGACTTCGTCGGTCAAGCATTGAAACCCTCTACGGCCCCGCCCCGAAACAAATACTGGGTGACTTCGAAATTGTGGAACACAGACCATCGACCCAAACGAGTCGCTCCGGCTCTGAAGAAGACGCTCTCCGATCTGTCCATCCCCTACCTTGACCTGTATCTGATGCATTGGCCGGTGGCGTTCCTGCCGGACACGGAGCCAGGCCGGACCATCATCGACCAAGATATAGACATTCTAGCAACGTGGCGGGCGATGGAGGACCTTGTCCGCGCCAACCTGACCCGTTATATTGGCGTCTCTAACTTCAGTCCACGCCAGCTCGACATCATCCTCAAGGACGCCGATATCCGACCCTTTGCCCACGAGTTCGAGACCCACCCGTACCTTCAGCAGCAGGACTTCGTTGACTGGCACGCCGAGCAAGGCATCAAGGTCATCGCCTACAGCCCTCTGGCCAATACGAACCCCACCTACAAGGATAAATATCCCAAGTTGGGTTCTATCTTGGAGGACCCCTTCTGGAAGGACGTGGCGAGTCGAAAAAACGTCACTGTCGCCCAGGCAATTCTCGGCTGGGGGCTCCAGAGAGGCACCATTGTGATCCCCAAGAGTGTCCACGAGAAATACATATTCGAAAATCTAGGAGGCGTCAATGTTACTTTCGCACAGGATGAGTTAGAGGAAATCGCCACGCAGGACAAAAGGTCGCGGTTCAATAACCCGAGCAAGGGCTGGGGGGTAGAACTGTTTGAGGGCCTAGATGACGGATCGAATCGGTTTTTCGTTGACGAACTGTAGTAGCTTTTGAGCGATTGACACCCTGGGGGTTGAATTGGAAATCAGGCTTGTCCGACATGTGCAGCAGGAAAAGGATGTCATGATATACAGTGTTACTCGGGTATGTGGATGTTCCAACTAATTCGATAAACCCCCTCCACACCAGGGCACTCAAGGCTCTGCCTACCCTGTCGCCATGCTGTATTATTGCCACACCGTGCCGCGGCCCGATGGTCCAACCGGGGTATCAAAAGACCTGCCAACAACGCCAATCAATGCCCTCGATCCAAGCACCGTGTGGCCGTGTACATCATTTTCCAAGGATGAAGACGATAAGGGTCGAGGTGGAATCTTCCGGTTTCCATGCAATCAGTCATCAATATCCTGGTGACGAGCCAGCACCTTTCTTTGGTACTCCTCGGGGTCGTTTTGATGGAGCTGGGCAGCTTCGTTGTTCAAGGGGCTCGCACTGTATCCCATCATCAGTATCCTGTTATGGTGACCTGGAAGATCTGCTCACTTGTTGGGTTCCCCCAGCAGGCTTTGCAAGCTTAGCAACACCGTTTGCACGTTGTAGACTGCGCTCCACTTGTCCTTCAAGATGTCGAGGCATATCCGACCGCTGAAGTCAATGTTCGGATGGTAGATGGGTGTCTTGAACTGAACAGTAGGGGCCGTGTAGGGGTAGTTGCCCGGGAACTCGAAGCTGAGTTTGAGGTTGAGGTCTGCGTAGGGAGTGTCTTTCGGTCCGACGATGGTGGCGGTCCAATGTAACAGGTTGCCGTCGGCGTCTGGAAAGGCTGAGATGCCGGGCGTGGGCGACATCATGAGGGTCATTAGCTCGGACTGGAGTCTATGAGCTGGTTAGCACATTGTTCTGATCCTCCTCCTCAATGGCGGTGAGAGCTGAGATGGTACCTTTTGGTCACACTCTGGGTATCGGCCTTGCGTGGCGCTACGGCCAGTTTCTGCTGTTCGGCCATGCTGGGCAATCCTGGGGCAGCGTTCTGGGTGTCCTCGAGGGCAAAGTCCATGCTCATACAAGGCAACTGAAATATATCGGCTTCAAAGTGCTTGGGCCGTCCGCAAACGGTCAGAATGCGCAGGTGGAATGCTGAAAACGGAAGAATGGTCTAGACAGCGGAACAAAGTAGTTGTGAAGACCAGCGATGGCAGTGCAGAAGAATGGAAAAAGCGGTTGCAAGGATCTAGGGACCGAAACGACAGGCACGCTGAACGAGAGAGAGAGGGCGAGGAAATGGACGAAGGACTGAGGAGAATCGTGTGAGGCAAGACCGATCGATGGTGATGGTCGAGTTGGCGAGAGAAGACTTGAAGAAGGGAAGAATGAATGGAAGAATGGTTCTTTGTTGATGGCGGGCATCACTGGAGTAACAAAGCGCCAGTCGCCCACCGACCACACCACGACCACACCACTGCGCACCAACGCTTTGGAGATGAGACAAGACACGACACGACACGCTTCGCCCCTCTGCAACCCCCGACGCGTCCACCACACTGTTCAGTGCATCGGCTTGATTCTGGCCACACTTTGAACATGATTCCACCAGTGTGATTACACGGCAAACTGTCAGAAACCGAGTCTCGACCCTCGACCCTGACCCTCGACCCTGACCCTCGACGATGGAAGGCGTTCCACACTCACAGTTGGCGCCTTTGCCTACCAAAGTGCCGTTTCGCATTGTCTCTCCCACAATCGGCTCTGGAGCATACGCATGGTAACATAGTTTGTCCGCAAGAGGCCACCACCCAAAGCAGACTCATTCTGACCGTCGATAGCATCAAGAAAGCCGCTCCGCAGGCAGCCGCAACGCCGGTCTTCGCCGTCAAATTCATCAACAAACTGTATGCCCTGAAGTATGGCCGAATCAAGCAGAAACAGCTGGATATGGAGATTTCCCTCCACAAACACATTGGCCTGCACAAGAACATAATAGAATTCTACGATCACGGCGCCGACCCGTCATGGGTCTGGATCGCCATGGAGCTGGCTGAAGGAGGGGACTTGTTCGACAAGATTGAGGCCGACGCCGGGGTCGCAGAGGATATCGCACATGTCTACTTCACTCAACTGGTCAGTGCGATTGGGTTCATGCACTCGAGGGGAGTGGCTCATCGCGATATCAAACCAGAAAATGTTCTACTGTCTGCGGACGGAGACCTCAAGATCGCGGACTTTGGAATGGCAACTTTGTTCGAATACCACGGCAAGAGAAAGCTGGCAACTACCCTGTGTGGGAGTCCGCCGTACGTTGCACCCGAGGTCCTATCATGTGGCGCACAAGCAGGGACAAAGGGCAAGGGCTATCAAGCAGACATGGCAGACATTTGGTCTTGCGGTGTTGTTTTGTTTGTCCTATTGGCCGGAAATACTCCTTGGAGCAGGCCGGTGCCAGGTTGGGACGAGGATGGTCGACCAAACGAGTTCAGCGAGTACGTCCAGAGCAATGGCAGACCAAGCGACGAGTTATGGGACGCCCTCCCTCTCGAGGTTCTCTCACTCCTCCGAGGAATGATGAAAGTTGACGTCAAGTCGCGGTTCTCGCTGGAGGATGTTCGCAGACATCCGTGGTTTACACGACCGAACAGATTCCTAGACCAGAAAGGCCGATTGAGTGATCCGATTACAATGGCCACGAATATGTTCGAAGCGCTTCGTGTCAGCTTCGATGCAGATCCTTTGGTCGGCAGTCAGAAACCTAGGGCGTCTGATGATATGGACATTGACCATCCCTGGGAGGACAAGCTGGCGGCCACACAACCCGACATGCCCACCGAAGACATGTTGTTCGACTGGGAGCGGCCCAAGCACCTTGCTGTGGCTAGCACACAGGTCGGACCCGGCCTCGCCGGACTATCATCCACACAATCCATCTCGACGACCAACTTTTTGGCAGATGAGCCTTCGATGTCGCAGTTTGCGGCAACCCCGAGCGTCCCCATCAGTAGGACGCAAATGGCCCGGAGATTCCAAGATATCATTCCAGCCCAGAGCCTGACCAAGTTCTATTCGTGCTGGTCATTGAACCTGCTTGTGCCACATATTCTAGAGGCATTGAGTCGGCTGGGCGTGCCTACGCCCCTGATCCCCCGACCCGAAGCACACGACTATGAATGCAGGATCAAGGTCAAAACTCATGATAGCCGAGGATGTCCACTGACCGGAAACATTGCGTTGGAAGATGTTGGCGAAGGACTGGTGGAGGTGTGCTTCGTCAAGGCTTCTGGGGACCCCCTGGAATGGCGTAGATTCTTCAAACGAATGGCAGTGCTCTGTCAAGACTCGGTGGTCAAGCCGGAGGAGTAGGCCGCTTGTGTATGGGATGAATTGCAATTGCAATAATGGCCTCGGCAACGAGAGAATCAGCAGCGTACATAGTAGATTGATACCCTGCTGTTACAATGACAGATGCGTTAGCTTAGGGAAAGGAAGTCACCGGAATCCGGGGAGGGCTGAGGCTAAGGCTGCCTCGTACCGGATGCGTATGCGTATCTCGTATCATGGGCCTCGGCGGTAAGTGGCTACTGGCTTTCACATGTTTGGGTGTTGTTGGATGACTTCATTCCGGGCGCCGGTGGCAGTTTGGGGTTTGCGGTTGGACTTGTAATTAAACTGCCATGTGACCACTTTCTTCTGCTTCTTTCTGTCCGACCTGCTCATCCCGACACGTCCTTCTCGCCCATTGAGATTGAGATTGAGATTGCCCGACTACCACTGTCGTCTGTTATTCCACATCTTTCTCCTGATCCAAATCGACATCGCACTCCCCAGCCACTCCCCCGTTCTGCTTAACCCGGTCAACAATCAACACTTCGATCATGTCTCTCAAGAACGGTAAGGGTAATCTCGGTCCGCAGGAGAGGAGAGGCCTGGAGGCTGACTGTCCGCTGCTAGACGCATTTCCCTCGTCACCGGCATTCGAGGCCATCAATGACGCTCTGAACTCCAGCGACGCCGAGCGAAAGGCGGCGATCAAACAGGGCGGCGCCGTGTTCGCCTTCAAGCTGAAGAACAAGAAGGGCCAAGAGGAGGCATGGTACCTCGACCTCAAAGAGACTGGAAAAGTCGGCAAAGGCGAGGCACCGGCAGGCAAAAAGGCCGATGGTTAGTGGTGACCTGGTCAATGACATTTGTGCCGAGTCGAGTTTGTTGACATTGCGTCCTTTTCCAGTGACACTCCTCTTATCCGACGACGACTTTGGAAGACTGGTTTCTGGCAAGGCAAAGGCACAGTCGCTGTTTATGACGGGGAAGCTGAATATCAAAGGCAATGTGATGAAAGGTGAGCATGAGCATGCGATGTATGGGCACTGCCGTTGCTGGACCGCAACACTGACAAGAGCCCGCAGCTACGAAACTGGAGCCTGTTCTGGCAAAGGCCAAATCGCAAGCGAAGCTATAAAATGTCTACATGGAGACAGCACAGACGGGGTCGTATGCAGATGTGTTCGTCTTCCTCCTATAACTGCCGAGCTCGTGGGACATGTCCATCTATCAGTCATGTATAACGTCCCTCCAAAGACGTAATGATACAAGTTCAGGTCCTTTGGTCTGCTTGTTCGAACCGAGACCTGTCTGCCTCGGTATACGTAGGTGTTCTGATCCTGTGGTTGTTTCATGGTGCTACACCTGGTTTCGTTGAATTGAAGATTGAATCGCCTATCCCCGGAGACACAGCGTGCCGCTCCATAGCATCGAGCTGGTCTCGCTCACTGACCGGTGGATTGTGTCTGTGTGTCAATACGTAGGACGTATGTTGGATGCTCAGCCCTCTTCCCAACCTCAACACCAACACCCAATCCACCCAGTGGAGGTCCTCAGCTACAATCAATTTCCTTCCCATTCATTCCATTTCGCCCCGTCTTTCCTCTCGTGGTAGAGCGCACCACGTGGGATTGTTTGAGGCTGTGAATATAGTGTGGAATGTGGAATCCGATATGGGCCATGGCTAGCAAAATCTAAATATATATTGATGACAATGCTTCAGCAACCCACTTCGCCGGCGGAATGCCGGTCAGTGAACGGGACCGGAACAGGAACCCGCCAGGCCTTCACATCTCACATCTCACATCTCACTTATCCGACTAACAGATACCTGGAAGACGATCACGATCTGGCCTCGCTTCGCCGGGAATCGAGCGATGACGGCCGAATCGAATCGCCTACCCTTTATCCCCATGTAGGATGAGATCTTCACACCGTTTTAGAAGGGAGCCGATTTCACGTCTGAGAGCACTCCAATGCCATTGAATCACAGACACTTTTCCATCCTGATCATTGGAGCCATTTCTTCCAGGCTGAATATCATTTGGCTACTGGTTGGTAGGGGGCTGCGGCAGGGTAGTCAAATGCCCTAGCCAGGTAGCAGTAAGGCCTATGTTACGACAGAGGGCATGTAGCCTTGGGATTACCCTACAGTATGGACGGATAAGTCGCCCAGAGTACTCTTGTCTGCTGCCAGTACCTGGACGGAGTACATAGGTACCAGGTACATACTACTCTGTATCTAGGAGTACATATTAGGACATACTGTGTACTAATTCTACAACGTAAAGTCGGTTCACGCGGCACCCGGCAGATGCCCGGGGGCGCGCCGAGTGACTGACTGCATTTCCTGGAAGGGCTCAGGCTCAGGTTAATTAATGGGGCCCAAGAGAGAGTGAGTGTTCTGTCAAACTTGAAGGGGGGCGAAGGATTCAGGATTCAGGGGTGAGAAGGGAGGAGGAGGAGGAGGAGGAGCAGGAGATGTGTGTTTCCAGAGTGTTTCGACGACCCGAGTGGCGGCCAACCAACCACGACTACCCACTACTCCCTACTATACCAGATACTCTCCTCCTATCCATCCTCCATACTCCATACAGTGCTACTTGCTACAACCAACCAACCATCCCTTTCTGTTTCGTCTCGTGTTGACTAATAACAATCAATACTAGCCAGAGCCGCCGGAAAAGTTGCGCGGGAAGCTGGCCAGACTGCTACTCTACCACTCTGACACTCCGCTATTCGGCTGTCTGTGTCTGTGCATCTATCCGGCCATGTCAAACGCGATCAGTCTCGCATTCCCCGTCGACCAGGAGAGCGCAGGCTCTGGGCCGGGCGCTCATTCCTCCCACTCGCCACCCACCACCGAGCGTGACAGGCGAGCCAGGTGCTCAGACGTTTGCCGTTTGGCTATATTTGGTAGTGGAAATGAGGTGGTGATGGCGGTGGTGATAGTGATGGCGATGGCGATGGCTGTGAGATTCGAGGTCGGATTCGAATGCTCGCTCTCAACCAAGCAAGCCCCTTACTTTCGCTGCGGGCTCTGGCACACAGTAGCCACTCCGTATATAAGGATTGGTTGACCTGGAGGCCTGGTTAGAGGTTTGTTCATCTCTACTCTACTCTACACATACGCTCTATTCTGTTGACTTGATATAATTCTCTCATCTCTCACTACCACTACCACTATCTCACCACTACTGCCTCAATACAACCGCTCTCTCAACCACAGTCACAATCACACCACACATTCCTCCCACCCTCGACCATCCACCCACCATGCATTCCATCCTTTCTTCCACCAGCCTCATCCTCTCCGTGCTGGCCACAGCCACATCCGTCTTCGGCTCTCCACAATATGGCGATTCCGCCGCCAGCTCCGCCTCGGCCACGGCGACCGGCTCCTCCTCAGCATCATCTTCTTCAGCCTCGGGCGTGCACTCGGTCCAAGTCGGTCCCGGCCTGACATTCACCCCGGACACAGTCACGGCCGCCATGGGCGACTGGGTTGAATTCACCTTCGGCTCGGGCCACTCGGTGGCGCAAAGCACATTCGACAAGCCGTGCGTGCCCATCGGAGCGGCGGGCGTGTTTTCGGGCTTCCCCAAGGACGGCGACGTATGGCGCATCATGATCAACAGTACCGATCCTCTGTGGCTGTACTGTTCGACCTCGGGCCACTGTGAAAATGGAATGGCGTTGGTTGTGAACCCACCGTAAGTGCCTGACATTAACATGAACATCAACTCAACATCCATCCACTTCCACATCAACATCAACATTCAATCCACTTCCACTTCACGTCCACTTCCATATCATCGACGCCCTCCCACTTCCACATCCATATCATCAACGCCTTCGACAGCTACAATATCAATTACTGACACTAACCCGTCCCACAGATCCAGCGGCGCCAAAACTCTCGACGCATACAAGTCCGCAGCGCAGAACGCCCAGGGCTCGTCGCCCAGCACCGTGCAAGGCGGTGTCTTTGGTGCAGCCAGTAGCAGCAGTGGCAGCAGCTCCTCGGCGTCTGGTAGCGCTAGCGCCAGCGGCAGTGCCAGTGCGACCGGCTCCAGCGCCAGCGCGAGTTCGTCTGCGGCTGGAAACAGTGCCGATGCGAACGTGGTCAAGAACGGGCTGCTGGTGGCTGGGGCGGTGGCTGCCGGGGTTGCGGCCTTGCTATAGTTAAAAGCTATAGTTGAAAAGTTGGTCTTTGTCTTGAGAGTATTATGCAGCTTGTATATCTATTAGATATCTGGATGGAGGCGGCAGACGGGAAGAGCTCGCAGCACAGCACAGCATGCTCCATGGGTCATGAAGTCCGTCGTCCGTCGTATCATGGACGATGAATTGAGATGGGATGAATCACGTCGTTTATCGTTTCTATGCAGTCTGAGTGAGTGCTGTCTTTGTCTTCTTCTGGTCTCCTAGTAGAATGTCCCTATGCTGCCGACATCCATCATAGTATACAATTAATGATAGGATGGTCTTCAGAGGATGTCCCTGTGGCTGTGGCTGTGGCTGTGGCTGTGGCTGTTCCTCCTCCCAGTAGAATGTTCCTATGGCTGCGGCATCAGCATCATAGCATACAATTAGTGATAGTGAGAGAGTTAGACGCTTATGTATGCCTATACCATCTTATGTACACGTATACTTTCGCCAGGCAAGCCCTCTATAGTTCAGTCGGACTGCTCCCTAACCCTAACCCAAACCCTAACCCGATGCCCGTGACGAGGCTGAACTGCACTCCTAGTCCAGTGACGTGCAAGGCTGCGCCAAGTCCAATCATCTTCGTTAGTTGCCCTCCCCCACATTGAACTTGAACTGCAGTTGAGTTGCGATAACTTTTGATGCGTCGCCAACGTTCGTTGCTTGCTTGAACCTCGTACACGCGCCTCCCGCTATAGAATTTGAAAGGTTTAAGATTCTACGACATCCTCGTCTAGATTCACTACACATCCACATTCACATCCACGTCCACACCTCCTACTCAAGTCATGTCTCACGCTCAAGTCGAGGAATTGTCCGACTCGGACCCTGAGATCGATGACCCTTCCCACTACCTCCCACACAGCGACGACCAGGTGATCCGGCTCGCAGACACCTCTGCTCCTCGTTCCAATTCCTCTTCGTCTTCCTCGTCCGTGTCGCCGTCGATTCCTTCGTCAAGGCCAGACTCCAACCCGACCCTCTTCCGCCCTCCTCCCACCTCCTCCGCACAGCAATTCCAGCAACAACAGACTCGCGAGCATATCAAGACCTTCCAGACCCTATACCCCGTCTACTTCGACAGCACGCGGACACGGGCCGAGGGAAGACGGGTCAACTCTTCACTGGCGGTGCCCAACCCGCTGGCGCTCAACCTCCTAGAAGCTGCGAAAGCCATCTTCCTCGACACAGCGCCTTTGCCCCGGATCGCCTTCGAGCCGGACAAGACACACCCCAAGGACTGGGCGAACCCGGGCCGCATCCGCATTGAGATGTTCCACCCGCAGACGCGGAACCCCGTCCACCCGCAAATCAAGAACAAGGCGCACCTCTACACCCTGATGGGCCGGTGGTTGAAGGCACACCCGACCGACGCCAAAGACCCGTTCCAGCTGAAGATCCCGGGCCTACCCATCCCCGAGACCTTTGGCAAGGAACCTATACCCGTACCCCGAGGCTGGAAGATGGGCACCATCTTGCCAGTGCATTCGCCCGCCGTCAGTGGAGGAGGCGTCAAGGACGATTTCTTCAAGGAGGCCATGGAGGAGATTCGCCAGGCACAGAGTCAGGGTCAATTGCCGGCGGGTGGGGGTGGCGGCATGCCTGATTTGAGTATGTTGCAAAACATGATGAGCGGTATGGGCGGTATGGGAGGGATGGGAGGGATGGGAGGTCTAGGCGGTGGAATGGCAGCCGAGTCAAGCGGAGGTGGAGGAGGGAAGAAAAGAAAAGACAAAAAGAAGAGCTGATGATACTATTTTATGCGCCCACTGAGTGCCTGGACGTTGTCTGGTCTATTTATGCCTCCCACTGAGTGCCTGGACGTCGTCTGGTCAATCTATGAATAATTGACCACATGAAGTGTCCAAGCGAGAGCGAGGGCAATAGCAAGAGCAAGTGAAGAGCAAGCCATCAAAATGCAATGATGACCCATGACAGGCGACCTAGTGTTGGTGTGCCTCGCCTTCCCATATACCTGCTGTCATGCCCGTACACCTGTTATCATTCTCATCCATATACCTGCTGTCGTGCTTCGCCTTCCCATACACCTGCTGTCATTCCATCCATATACCTGCTATCATGTCTATATACCTGTTGTCATTCCCATCACTCCCATATACCTGCTATCATGTCTATATACCTGTTGTCATTCCCATCACTCCCATATACCTGCTATCATGCTTCGCATTGGCCATACTACACCTACACCTACAGTCATATCGTATCATATCATGTCATGTCATTGCCCTGCTCCTTTTTCAATGGACATCTCCAGGCTTGATTGTGTCATTCATTGCTTTGCTTTTTTCAGTGGACATCTTTGACCGCGCCCGCCAAGGAGCCTAGGACAGGACTACACCAAGCCTTGGAACGACACTGGCAGCCGGCAAAGCTATATCTATATCCATAGTCATGGCAATGGCAATGAGCTTCAAGTACTCTGTACCGCGGGGACGGGATGGGGATGTTAATGTTGAACTTGGACGGTGGAGGCAATATAATAACAATAACAATCACGACAGCGTGCCATACTATCCACGCCTGTTCTTCCTGTCTCTGTGTCTGTGTCTGTTCTGTGTGTGTTCTCTATGTCTGTCTCTGTGCCTGTCTCTGTATCTGTTCTGTGTTTGCCTTCCTCCCTACATATATCCCTATACTCAGTCTCTGTCTATCCTCCATGTCTGTCTGTATCGCACCTCGCACATACCTATCTACCTACCTACCACCAACCTACCTACCTAGGTTCGGTACCGAGTATAAGTAAGAGTACGAGTAAGAGTAAGAGTACGAGTAAGAGAAAGAGTACGAGCAAGAGTACGAATACTTCTTCCGACCTTCGACTCCTCGACCGATTCACCCCGGTCTTGAATATCTCCAACACATCCTTCTCTCTCCCTCCGTGTGATGTTGATGCCATTTACAATCCCGCCTCTCACTGGGTGAAATCAGTCCTAGTCCGCGCTCCTTTTCCTTTTCCCCGTTCACCTGGTCGACTTTCGCCGACAGCGCACTCAGAAGGCTGACTTTGACGGCTGTGTTTGTGTCGGTGTCTGCAGACGGTAGGGGACTTTTGTGGGTGATTGGGGCAGATTCATGCGCACGCACACCACTACCACCAACACCATCATCATCATCAACATCAACACCACCACTGACACCACCACCAACATCACCACCATCACCAACACCATCACCACCGACACCACCACCACCACCATCCTGCATGAACTCGACCCAGCCCCTCGTGACGATACGGTAAGCGACACATTCGAGCACGTAGTCTCTGAACAGGTCCATCCCAGAACCAGAACCAGAACGAGAACCAGTATTCACAACACTAGCACTAGCACTCGCACTATTCCCGCCTCTACCACCACTTGCTCCTCCGCTACCGCCTCCGCCCCCGCTGGACAAGTACCAGGACCGGGAATTGAAGTTATCAAGACGGCTCAGGTAGGCCAGCCCGAGCCCAGACGTGCCCTGCCCCTGGATCGCGTCCATGACATGGTTCTGAAACCGATTCGAGCCGACTAAATCGGCGAACTGGAAACATTGGTCGAGACGGCTGAAATTGTTCATGTCAAAGTCTGATGTGGGTAGGTATAGGTGTGGCTGTGGCTGTGGCTGTGGATGCGGTTGTGGTTGTGCCTGTGCCTGTGGATGTGGATGTGGATGCGGTCGAGCCGCGGAACAGAGTGTCGAGCCAGAGAGCGAAGATTTCCGAGTCGGCTGACGCCGGGGCTGGCCCGGTGGGAAGGTATACGACCGATCGGGCGGGCGAGGTGTCGAGAAGAATGGCGAAGAAGGTGGAGTTCTGGATCAGAAATGAGCGGTTGACGTAGAAGACGTTTTCTGGTTCGCTGTCGGTGCTTGTGGGTGTGTTGCTATTGCTACTGCGATGTTCATTGTGTTGTTCGGTGCTGTTGTTGTCGGTGTTGGTGTTGCCATGTTCAGTGTTGCCATGTTTAGTATTGCCTTGTTCAGTGTTGCCATGTTCAGTGTTGTTGTCGGTGTTGGTGTTGTAATGTTCGTGGCTTCCAACGATGATTTTAATCATAGGACTTCGGGCATGGCTGATATGAACGCAGTTCGTAGGTTAGTGATGGTACTTGAGTCAAGTCACTCAGTGGCAGAAGGGGCCTTGAAAGAACGTTCGAGGATAGACCAGCATAGAGGAATGGAATGGAGGAATGGAATGGAGGAATGGAATAGAATAGAATGGAGGAACAAACTGTCCGTGTGTCTATGTGTCTGTCCGTCTGTCCATTTACACATGTTCAGATTTAGACTCAGACTTAGACTTACTCTGCTGTCAGGCCTGTGTAGACATGGCTGGCCATAGTGACAGGCTTGATGGTGCTGTGGTCAGCCATGAGATGAGGACAGGGTGGGAACTGAAGCTGAAGCTGAGAAAGAGAGATATAGTTGATGAAACCGGTTTGCTAGAAGGTTATTTTCCGAGGAAAACTGAGAAATGTAAATGTCTAAGACAGAGAAGGAGAAGGAGAGGGATATAGTGGAAAGTTGTCTGGTAGATGTCGAAGGGTAGATTGAAATGTTCCTAGAAGATGTTGATGTCTGGAAGGTGTCGAAGGGTAGATTGAAAGGCTCTGTCTCTCTCTGTCTGGAAAATATAGAAGAGTAGATTGAGTAGAATAGATTGAGTTATGTTGAAAGGCAACTTAGGCAGAAATCGATACTCGATGGTAGGTTGTGGTAGAGTCAAATACAGTCAGATGATAGGGAGGGTGGCGTAAGCTGCAACGAGGATGAGGTCGAGGTCGAGGTCGAGGACGAGGATGAAGACGAGGTCAAGGTCGAGGTCAAGGTCAAGGATGGAATAAGATATAGGCGAGTCTTGAGTTCGTGAGCGTGAATGACAATAACCTAAGTGAATCATCTGAGACATGGGAGTGAGTAATGCACAAATCAATCAAATGAATGGGATGGACCGTCACCGTAACTGATGGGGCGTTGCGTTACAGGATTGCTTCGGCTCAATGGCAAGCTTCACTACACAGAGATGAATGCGAGTGAAGAGTACAGTGGGTGGAGGTATGCACCGTTCATGACATAGGACCAGGTCCAGGACTTGAGGAGCAATTGTGACTTCAGCTCTTTTATTTTCTTTGCCATATCAGCTAAGTCATCGCCGTCGTTATGAGGGTTCTTCGCGGCGATGTATTCAGCTGCGGAAACCGAGTGAGCTCTGATCCATCCTCTCATTCTTCTTTATTCGTACAAAGCCAAGCAAGCAAGCCTCTAGAGGAGACTGGAACACCCCTAGCAAAGGCTGTGACTGTGACTGTGACTATCACTGTGATTGTTGCCGTGACTGTGGATCGCTGATTCTGCTGTCTGGTCTCGATCTCGATCTCGCTGTTGAGCTCCTCTTGGGCCGACGCCTCGCCTCATCGGCATACATCTGAGTCTTCTGTCCATGGCTCACAGGACATTCCCTCACGCACTTGCAGATTCACTCGCTGCTCTTGTATCGGGGACATTGCTTCTTGTCCTCATCCGTGTGCGTATGGAAACTGCAATCCTTGGTTTCTGCCGGGTCCGAAAGTTTTACAGTTTTCAATAACTCAGTTGCGATGTCGACCTCGGCCATGAGTCGAAGGAGGAGCGGGAGCCCGGGATGCAAGAAAGATGTTCTAGTTATGTCTTCCCAGAGACTTTCAGCAGTCTCAATGAACCTGGTCCATCCATGAGCGACAATCTCGTAGCCCACCTTGTTGCGTATGTAAGTCGCTAACTTCGTTCTGTCATGGTTGCCGTCGTCGAAATCGTAGAACATATGAATGAAGCATTTGTCAAACTTGAGACCTTGGCACCAGTCCACGATAGCGTTCTGGAATAAGGGAGCTTCTAGCTCAGTGGCAAGTCCCCAGAGTCCGCAGAACTCCCAACAAACTACATTCGACGAGTCCCGACTTTCTCCGTAGTAGAGCCAGTTTACAAAGTATTGGAACTGCCAATCCGCGAACGTCGTGGTGATGACGTGGGATTCAGGAGTGGCATTCTGGCATGAATCGAGGGCTTTGCTGAAGTAGCGAGACTTGTTACGCAAGAGTGATTGGTGGATGTAAAAGCTCTTGGGCTCGTCTAGTCCATCCTCAATGGCAACGACAGTAATAACAGGTGATTGGGAGATCCTAGTTGTTCGAAATCAGATCCTGACAAAGGTGAATTACCTGACGTTTCGACATAAACTTACTCGCCAGAAGGATACGAAGATGACTCTGCCATGGCTATGAATCTGCAGCCGCCGACTGTGATGGTAGGAAGCTGATCTGAGACTTGACTGTGATGACAGCTGAACACGATGATTGCGAAGTGGAACAGGAATGTGAAAGCTTTAGCCTGGGGACTCGGCGGAAGTGTGTCCATAGCGCCTTCCAGCGATCTTGTTCCTATTACACACCTGACCCTGAACACTTCCTGCACATACTGGCTGTTCTCATTCTTGCTGATTAGGTCCAAGAACATGGCTTCCAGTAGATCACAGTTCGGAATGTCCCTCAGCATGCGCAACGCTCAGTTGTCAAATCCCAATATGGACAGGTCGTAATCGAGGTCGAGGTTATCCTCCCGTGTGCTCAAATCCTCGTCCTGAGCTCCAATACCCACCTCCGTCGGTGTATTCTGGCCTGGGAAATGCTGCATACAGAACTCACTTGGCCGTTGAGTGTGCAGGTCTAACGAGGGACGAGTTCTTTGGGCATTGCCGAGTCCAAGCTGCGCCCTCAATTCCGACACCTTCGCCCCTTCAAGCTCCCCCAAGTCATTGAGATGCTTCACACTTGCATGATTGTGTAGTGTCCGAATTGACAAGGGGCTTCCGTTCCCAGTCACAATATGCCGAGCAATGCAGTCTAAAAGATCGCATTCATCTCCCACGACACGGCACAGGTGGATGATACAACCAAGGTCAACGTCCGCGATATCGGGCCCCTGGTCATCCAGGAATTTCTGCATCTTCTGGACCAGATGCCTCATGAATCGCGGGACAACGTATCTGTGGCCCAACGCATATGCGTCGATGATGTGATGAGCATCAGCCTCACAAGATGGGCAATCCCAGCCTCGGAACCAGTAGAGCATGCAGGCGACCGTGTGCGGGTTAATGCTTCCAAAGTTGATGTGGCGTTGGCACGCTTCTCGATAGTCTCCATGGAGACGGTCGTCAAAGTACGTAGACTCCTGACACAGCCGGGACAGATCGAAAGTAAAGTAGTGTTTCATGTGTCCCTTTCCCGCCACCATTGTCACCACATTGGAATAGTCAAAGAGAATCCTTGACCGTGCATCAGCAGCATCGTGGTGCTGAGATTCCATGTTGCCTGACCAGATCGGGGGCGTTCTGGCTTACGACAGCTAAGGCGGTGGCTGAAGGATGCAAAGACAAAGAATACACTCATGCTGAGGAACGGGCATCGATGGGTGGGAGTGGACATTCGGTGACACCGAGGCGTCTGCATCACTCATCAACATAGTCCGCCCACGTCACATCCTCCATCAAATCAGTGAAGCCGGAATATTGGCCAAACACGGCATCCCAGCGCTCCCAGTCAAACCCGAGCTCACCGTCGGTGACGGGTGATCCGTCATGGTGTAACTCGGGGGTTGGACCATGTTGGTGACTCTGCATGTCATATACTTGCTGGTGATGTGGATTGCTGCTATAGCCATTCTTCAGGCCATTCACGACAACAGGCCCATCCGCTTGTGGTTCAATTGTCTGTGCATCTGGTTGGACGCCTGGCGGTCCTGTAGACCCTGAAGTCGGCCGGTGGTCCTGCAAACCTGGATCGTGATATAGACCTAAGGGTATGGTCTCTCCCTGCCTCGCACGGATTTCTCCATGGGCAGCATCGGAAAGGCGTCCGGTGTGGTGTCCGGCTATCGGGAGGTGTCCGTTAAGTTGTAGTAAACTATCCTGTGGGAGCGGACCAGCAGCTACTTTGCCCGAACACTGCTCCATTCGACCACTCAACGGGAACGGCATGGCTTGCTGGCCTCTCCTCCGGACAAGACCTCGATTCCGGCGGTTGAGACGGTCATCATTTTCAATCTCCTTGAGATACTGGTTTCGCAGGGCACGCGTACAGGGATATCCTTGCGATTCATCTTCTGTCCCGATCACATCGATTTGAGCCAGCCTAACCATGTAGCGAACACCATCCTCCGTGGTCTTGGGTTCGGACTTGCTGTCTTTCATCAAAATGTTCATGTCCATGGTGTATCCAACATGGTCATGGTACATGGTGTCTTCTCTCATGCTCTGCGCCATCTTCTGACTATCCGTGAGAGGACTGGCAAGACCGATTTTGAGATGATCATCCTCCGTCCAGAGTACGGTTGGATCCAGTCCGGCTTTCTGCCATGCGGCGGATCGGAGTCCACGCAACATATCCCAGGCCTCGAGGCCACCTTCCCGCAACGGTCTCTGCACAGTGACACCATTGGGACCACCCACAATGCCTGACTCTGGAGCAGACAGAGCGAATATCCGATCAATGAGCTCCCTGGTTCTGGGTGCCTCGACGCTATCCGGTCTCTCGTAGAGATCGACCAAGGCGATCATGGCTGCATGCAGAGGCCCATGCATGGCAGGCCATGTCCATCGGAATGGCTCCAGTTCGGGATCGGTCGCCAATGAGATGAACTTCCTCATGAAACTGTGGCAATTGTGAAGCGCGCATTGCCTACCCACGCTCCATAGTTTGCTCTTTGCGTTCTTCAAGAAAGGCGCATAGGCGACACATGCGATCTTGTCCTTAAGCATCGACAGGCTGATCCTGGCCCACTTGTTGTAGGCCGTCAGCTTCTGCCGGTGGTAACGTGCCAGAGGAGCGGACACTGCCTCATCGCCCGAGTACGTCTTGTAGTATGTCGTCTCGTTGGTGCTGACTGGGTTAGCCATCGATGGGTCACAGTCCAGGGCACGTTGCGAATTGTCTTTCGCTCCATCCGGAACGAAACCAAGTTCAGGTAAACCTCGGGCAGGGATCAGTTTGATGATAGCATCAACCTCATCCCCCGATTCCTGAATCACTCGTTTCATTTCTTGCATGTCTGTGTTGGTAAGCATCTTCGTCCCGAGATGAGTGGACACAACGCTGCGCAAGGCACAAGCCGCGATCGACCTTGCCCTGCCAATGAGCTTCAGCGTCCGTTGAGATGACCTCTTGGATTGTTCGTCGTAATCATCACTGGACGGGGAGACCTTTCGGCTCTGATCCGAATGCACACCATTACCATCCTCACCGTCAAGAGCCGAATCCCGACCTTCACAGATTATGTTCGTGTCACAGAAAGCCTCGGAGATCTGTGACGGAAAGCCGCATGCCGCAATAAATGACACATCCAGTTGGATGATCTGCCACCACAACCGGCGGCGCAGACCTTCCTCAGACACGGAGACACCGAACAAGGTTGGCTCCCTGTGAAGACCCATAGTGGACGCCAGCCGAACGACCAGATGCATGTATAGGCTAGCCTGTATCGGATCCTCTTCTGCGATAGGCAAAGAGATAAGAAGGATAAGAGCCGCTAGCTTCTGCAAGGTTATATTCCTCGTGAATGACCCTAGGTGAAGGCTGAAGACCACCTGGTCATGGAAGCTGGATGCAAGTTTGGCTCGGGAAGTTTCTGGGAACCAATGCTGGAGGCCCTGGGCGGAAATGCTCAGTGAAGCGGTATACCATACCGCGTTTATCAAGGCGAAGAAATCAAGATCCGGGGGATTTGTATCGGCGGATTGAAAGGTTTCGATATCCGTCCAGAAAGCTTCATGCTTATCCACCAGCTCGGGAGGGTTCAATATTGGCATAATCGGGTACACCCCAGACAGCCAGCATCTGAGGAGGACGTTGCTTTGGGTCCTGCTAGGCATATTCTTCAGAAGGTGGTGTTTCGCGCTCGCCGGTGAGCATCTGATCGGGATGCCTTGAAGCAGAGTGGATTTGGCGAAGGGCATCATCTGACACACTGGACAATCGCTGTCCGGATCGTAGCTGTGGGGAACGTCTTGGCCGGCTTGTTTGCGGAAGCTGGTTGGGTCCCAGAAGTCATCCCTCTCCATCGTAGGATGTCCGTTAGATATGCGTGGGCAATCTTGGTGGAGTGGCTTGTCCTGAATGCCTGCGGCACGTACGTAGTCGCTGGTTCTACCTCGCATCAATTGATTGAGCTGATCAAGTTCCTCGGAAATGTGACTCCAAAAAGGATTGTCAGGCAGTCGGTTGCCGGGAGTCAATTTCAAGCCGGAAAAGGGCGTGGTAAGCTCACTCGTATCCCTGACTGGTCGCGGAGCCTTCTTTTGGAACATGTCCAGGCTTAAGCCTTGGTGCTGGTGGGAGTTGCTGTCCGAGCTCGACGCGATGGGCGTGAGCAAATCTTGAAATTGGATATCATTAGAAGCCTTCTGGCGCAGAGAGTCGATCATTGATGTCAGGCGATATAATTGCTCTTCGATTGCCTTCAACTGCGCCGGGGGGGCCACTTCATTAGAGGTAGAGGCTGACGGAGAAGTCGATGACGTCTGGCTTGGAGGACTTATTTTCCTCTTTTTGGGCTGTGAATTGTTCTCCTCATCACCGATACTGGTAGGGGGGTTGGCCGATAACGCATCATCCGGGCCGTACTTGCATTGCTCCTTGGCTTTTCTGCATCCTCCGCATACTGGATGGCCTTTATCACACTTAACTTTGCGTCTTCTGCAGGTGGCACAGCTGTAGCTCGTCCGATTCCGCGTGATTTGGCGCTTGACGGCGTTGAGGCCAGGGATTGACCCACTGAAGAAACGCGGCGAGGCTTCCTTGTCTGGTTGAGATACACCAGAGCGAGACATTTTTGGCTGCGTGGACGCAAACTGAGTGGACAGCCGCAGATCCCAACGAAACCGCTTTGGGTTTGAAGTGTCCCTGCGGGCGCCGGGCTCGAAGGATCCCGACTGTCGATATCAATTCCAATGTAGTGTCGGAAAATGATCCTTGGATATGGTGCTGACAAATGCTAGGGCAGCATCCGCCAGTGCCCAATGTTGCAAGGCTTGGACATTGGCCTTCCTCATCAAACCCTGGATCCTCTAGCGAGGGCAGTGATGTGCTGGGTTTTCATTGACTTCCATCCGAGGCTGCACGGGGGAGATGGTGTTGCTAGTAATGATGGGTTCCATGTTCGAGTTCGCTGATGTTGAATCTGCCTGGAGCGGAAGACTTGGCATGACGCTGATTGGCTGCCTTGTACATACATATAACCTACTAGTACGGATACTCTGTATATTGATACTACTACTGGCGTGGGAATCCTGCTCTGGAGAGAGTTCGAAAGTAAAGGAGACAGCAGATAGGCTACAATTGTGTGCTCGGTGCGAGTAGCAGTCATGCAAGAGTTACATCTGTCCTAATCACTAAAGCCATCCCATCCATCATCAGCCTCGCTGAAACTGCCGCCACCTCCATCGGCACGAACAAAGCCACAGACGAAGAATCCCATAGTACCGTCCTCGTCACCTGGGTGGCAACGAATGCAGGCCTGTCGTTGTTCCTCGTCTAGAGCAGGACTGCCTACGACAGCCGGGTCAGCTACTCCCCGGTGCTTCCACCGTCGCAGCCCCTCGGGCTGTTCTTCTCTGCGCAGCACACGCCAACCTCGTAGCTTCGCGGTTTCGGAGGCTAGAACCCGTGACACGACAGCTTCATTCTCCTCGACGTGAACGGAACAGGTCGAATAGGTTATTCGCGTCGCGGCTGGGAAAGAGAGAGCATGCTCCACAATTCTGGTCTGCAAAGTCGAGAGCTTCTGCAGCCGCTGTTGATCAACTACAACCTCGCGGGTTTCTTCCACACCGGCAGGATCGTCCCCCGGCAGCTGAACAGGGTCAATTTCTTCTTGCCCTCTCTTCCTCTTCTTTGACTGCTCTCCAGACTTGCCTGGCTGGATCTTGGGCGCCCTCGGGTCGAGCGGTAGGGCTAACGATGGAACGTCTTCGCGGCCAACGATGCCACTACCAGAGCAGCTTGGATCCAGGAGTAAATGAGTGACATTTTTGTAGTGCGAAGAGCAAGGATCGAGAGCCAGAAAGTCTTGTCCGAAAAGTACCTTCACCTTCTCTGCGCCACTTCTCTGCATCATACTCCTCAATGTTTTCGACCGAGAAGTATCCCTCTCACATGCATATATGTTGCTCTTTGTGCTCTTGGAGCGAGCGAGAAGAGCTGCAAGATGTGAGGTCTTGTTTCCGGGAGCCGCACACCCATCCATACAATCTCCGATGGTCGTGTCATTGTTGGATTCCCCAATCAGCAGATACGCTGGAAAACAGGAGGCTTTGTCCTGCAGAATGAGTTTCCCAAGCTTATACGCTTCTGTCTTGGTAAAGTCCGCCTCGGGAGGTAGTGCGATGACATCGGGGATGTGCTCGTCAATGACCAGGGCTTTCGTCGTGCTCAGGGATTCGGAAATATCCGCTATTGTCGTATCGGTTTTGAATCCGTGGAAAGTCGAAACCAGTTGTTCGTCAAGGCTCGTTTTCAAGGTGTTGATTCGGATCCATCGCGGCTGGGAGCGATGCGACGGCGGCTTCTCTTCCAGAAGATGCCTTTTCAAGTCATCTAGCGTCGCACACTTTCTTCTTAATCTAGCCTTCGTAAACTCTGCGCGTAATCTTGCTTTGTGTCTTTCTACCGCTTGCCGAAGAGGATGATTGGCGGAGGCGGCAATCCCACGTTTGGAGAAGAAGTGGTCGTGGACGAGGAGGAGAGAAAGTGTCGGCGTCAACTATTCAGCATGCCGTAGAGCGGCTGCGTCAGTCAGCACACGAAACGCGGGGAGGCACTCGATGGCGAACCTTCGGTTCTTGAGACAGAAAGCCTGCATTGTCAATGACTTCTTTGAAGAAGTGGTCGAACTTTGCCGTCTCCGAGATCAAGGCGTACAGATGTGCAGGTTTGGATTTCAGGTCTAGCTTGTTGCCATAGATCCTGGATTTGAGGGATCCTCCGAGGGAATCCGTGGTCAAGACTGTGGCCGCATCATGATACAGCGACATTTCACGTATCGCGGAGGACGACCTGGCTGTGCAGAAGAGAAGGGACAGAAAAAGTGAAGATGGCCAGTCTACCCCAATCCACTTTGGCCTCCTCGCACTAAAGTGACCAACACTGGCTCAAAGAACAATTCTTGTACCCGTCACTCGGCGCAAACACCGCCACTGTGAGCGTTAAGACTATCGCTATACACTATCCAGACCATATCAACTGCCAAAATGGTGGACACACCCGACGACACGACAATAGTTATGCTGCCGCCTCCAGGCGACGTGGTGGCTCCCCATGGATTCCCAGCTGATCCACGGCCTGGGGGAGCCCCCCAAATATTCCTCGACGCCATGGATATTCGCATCAAGGTCTTTTGTGAGGAGCAGAACTGTGCCTTGGAACCGGAACTGGACGAGGACGACCCGAGATCCTGGCATTGGGTGGCATATCAACAAGGACACCCGGTCTCAGTCATTCGTATAGTGCCGCCACCTCATGGACCGCACCCCAATGGATTCTACGATCCGTCGGAAGAGCCATACGTCAAACTTGGCCGTGTTGCAACGATCCCCAGTGCCAGAGGGAAGGGTATTAACCGGAAGTTAATCGCTGCTGCTTTCCGATATCATGCGGCGCACAAAGAGGAAACTTCGACAGGCTGGAACGGCTTGGTGCTCACTCATGCTCAAGTCGCCGTTGAGAAGATGTACTCGAAGTTAGGATTCACTGCCGACGCGAGACTAGGCCAATGGGACGAAGAAGGCATTGAACATGTAGGGATGTGGAAACGACTCGCTTGACGGACTCGTAGTCAAGAGCAAACATTTAGAACGACATCACGAGAGTAAGATATATTCAACAGCGCTGGGGGTGTAGTCTTGATCTTCAGGAGTTAACGCTGGTGCTGATCGCTGCGCAGCCTTGCCCGTCGCACGGCGGCCGGAATTGTTGTGGGACAGATCTTTATACGGGCACAATAAGCCAGAAAATCCGGAGCGTTCAGGAAATCATGCAGTCTGCCGGAAGTCATTGTATTGTGGCTCATGAGCCCGGCGATTCGAAGTATTCAGGGAGTTTAACTCCCGCCACCATTTGCTGTCACTTCTCCATCGGACCCAGACATTTGTACAGTTTTTCTCGTTCCGTGTGTTTTTTGTAATTGCAAATGCAAATGCAGCATCGACATCAGTATCAAAACTCGCTGATTGTGTCGCCCCTCAACTTTCCGCGAAGATCATATTTGCCCTAGTTGTTGGATGCCCTATCAGCAAGGCCATCCGTACGAACACAGCTCCCAAAGGAGGCCGCCGGATTTCAAAAGCCATTGTAACTCACATCTGTTTTTGCTAATGCGTATCCGACCACACTAGGCACGAAGACGGCATACATGAACGAAATCCACGCAGTACGCGGCGTCCACCTGAAGTATCTCCATCGCTCTTTGTTGAGTTCTATGACGCCTCGTCAGTACAGGCCTGCTTCCACACATCCAGTGCCTCGGGGTCATCTGAGAGGAAACTCGGAATGAACTATTTCGACAGATTCGGGTGACGTACGGTTGTATTTCTCGAGACCGGGATCGTGGTGTAGCGCTGCAGGGACATTGCGGTCAGCATGATTCAGTCATTAGGCGGGTCTGAACAGGAGGAGTGTGGTCTTACGTGTTGGTCCGGCCATGTCTGCGCACCTCTGTGATGTGAACAGTGGTCTGGAGAGCTGTCTTGTAGCTTGGTGAACCTGCGATGTCCAGGCTCAGCTTCAAGTTGATTGACATGGATTCAAGCATTGTGGCTGATGATTGTGGCTGGTGTATCTTGGCGTGGCGTTATCAACTTCACTACTCCGGCTCCTACTCGTAGAACGCTGGTCTCTCCAAAGCTACCGCAGGCATGAGATGCTCAGCTGTCTCGACCCAGCGTCGCAAGCACCATCAAGGTGCCCTCTGTCGAACAGCATCCAGATTCGGTGAAAAGAGCAATTTTCACGACGTGAGGGGGCATCCCAGGTACTAATTGTACGGAATGGACAGCGAAACAAATCAGCCCAGCCGGGGTCCACAACACCTAGATTTCTTTTCAGGACACGATTGTGTCGGAGAACGAAAGCAGCTGCCCATACCATTACGGCGCGATCCAAGTCTCCGTTCTCTACATAGTCGCAGCGCGTTCCTTAGATCATGTTTTCGTCGACTCGAGCCCTCCCTCATTCGATCGTGTGGAACGGCAGTGACCCTTAACATACGGATATATGAAGTGGCACGAGCTATGTTCAAATATCTACCCTGATTTCACCTGGTTCTGTTTCGATCGGCTCTTATACAACATGTTGCGATATACCTGCTCAATCATCTCCTGCCGATCATCATTGTCATGCTGAGGAGTATTCCCACATCGGAAGAGGACATAGTAGGAGCATTTATGGATGAAATGCAGTGGATCGGTGGCTTGGTAAGAATCACCAGGATCATACTGGCACATTGGCACATTGGCACATTGGCAATGCATGAGTCTCCTCCCAAGCTGATGCTTGCGGATCGCGGATCCAGCCAGTGCAGCCTGCCGGCGTGCCGGTGCTTGTATTGACGTCACTTATCTTGCGCTGCATCGACCGCGAAGACTCGTGCTCGTGAAGTCAATCTGCGAAGCTGCGCACACCTCACCTTCCTCAACATACAGCTATCATCGAGTCTCAGTAGGCCCACTGAAGCTCAGACACAGATCCGGTGGCCTCGCTTACAGAAGATGGCTTCATCTCCGCCCAATGCAGATGGGAAACCAAAGATCACCCTTCACTGGTTGGTTCAGGTCCACTCGTGCAGAAATCTTGGGCTCTTGCCGTTCTGACATAAGCCAGGCTCGAAGTCTCGCGCTCGCATCGAATCCTGTGGCTGTTTGAAGAGCTTCAAGTTCCATACGAACTCAAAACATACAAGAGAACCAAGGAGGGTCTGGCTCCCCCAGAGCTGCAGCAAGTACATCCCCTCGGCAAGTCCCCAGTTGTCGAGATCGAAGTGCCAGGCTTAGACAAACCTATCGTACTTGCTGAGTCTGCGGCGATCGCTGAATACTTTTACGACTACTACGGGAGTCAATTTATTCCCAATCGGTACCGCGATGGCAAAGATGGGCAAATCGGAGGCGAGACCGAATCTTGGTTGAGGTATCGGATGCTCATGCACTACGCCGAGGGCAGTATCATGCCACTGATGTTGATGTCCCTGCTAGTCAATAGTAAGATTGTCCCTGTCCAGGCAAGATCCCAGCAATGCATGCTTACATGAAGCAGGAGTTCGGAATTCACCCGTTCCATTCTTCATCAAGCCCATTACAAACGGCGTGGCAAGCAAGATTGAATCGTCGTTCCTGCAGCGAAACTTCAAGACCCATTACGATTTTTTGGAGGGCCAGTTGGCGACCGTCCCTGACGGAGGGAACTTTCTCTGCGGAAAGGACCTCACCGCAGCAGACATCATGTTGTCATTTCCCCTGGAAGCTGGTCAAAGCCGTTCAGGATTCTCCAAGGAACAATATCCGAAGATTTGGGCCTACATTGATCGACTTCATGAGCGAGAGGCATATAAGCGCTCAGTCCAAAAGATTGTCGAGCTCGAGGGCGACTTCAAAACGTCCTTGTGAGAAATTTCTCGCAACGATCAACAACAGCGACATGATGACTTGCAAATCATTGAGTGAAATATTGGCCTCGACATATAGGGAACGTGGTACCTCACTGTCTTTATCATGGATAGCTCGGTCTTTATGAGAGAAGCGCGCGCTGAGTCTACTTTGGTGTCTCATCTACTATGATTCTAATCCGTCAGGACTAGAACCCTAGGAGGAATCACCAGAGGCTTTATTCGTGCATCACTCCGTGTCCTGACAATATACATATTTATATCCGATGTCCTGGTAGACCAGCAAATTCTGTCAGCGAGCCGAGAGAATTTCTGGGATTCTGTTGTTTCCGCAGCTGAGCTGTATGTCAGGCGACCTCCCACCGATGTCCAGCTGAGAATCTGCGAGGCTGCGTACCGGCCAAGTCATTTTATGAGCGACTTTCCCTGTTGCGATTGTCGAGGTGATATCATCGGCAAAGACGGGGCGACTTACACACGCACCTCTGCTTCTCCGCGGCCATGTGTGGAGCGTCAAAGGCATACATTCTTCGAACCCTCGGAGAGAAACTTAGCTAGAAGTTTCTCGCGCGATCTGCAAACCGAGCCATGAACATTCCTTGTCGGTACCTGGCTGCTTGAAGTCTCCATGATCTAAGCCTGAACGTAGACTCAGACCGGCAGGTCAAATCGGAGGCGGCTATTCTCTACGGCATCTACTCGGCTGGCTATGGCCGATAGATGCCCCTGGGACTAAACTTGGACTGCGCCAACAACATCAAATGAACTACGGAGTACAAGGATAGCCCGATCGTGATGATCAACGTGGAGTCGACAAGGGCAGCTCAGCTCGCTGAACCAAAAAGAAACCGGCGTGAGCCCGCCTCATCTGGACAATATGTTGAGGCTGTTGCCAAAGGCTAAGCCTGCCTGCCCCACGGCGCATAACCCCCGGCTGGTCTTTGTTTCCACAGTACGAAGTACTACTATTATCCATGAACGGAATCCAGATTCTAGTACGTACTGATTGCGTGCACGGAGTTCCATAAGCACCATGTCCCAGCACTCCTATCCTTCTTCCACTCTGTTTCGATCCCACATCTCCAACTAACTTTACTGGCGCGGCCTCTTGGTAATCGACGTGCATCACAAGACTGGCCGCCATGCCCAATCGAGCAGTCCGCTTCACCATGACTCAGGACTTACTCATCATCGACGGGGCCACAGGGGTCAAGGTCTGGTTCTGGCTTCCACTCCCACTCCTCGTGGCGCAGAGCCCGCCGGAAACGCAGCGGCGACCGTCTAGAGGCCACCAGGTCACTTTTGGCGATGGAGAGACCGTAGGCAGAGATCCAGCTGTGACAGACGCAGATACTGTACAGAGTACTCCGTACGGAGCACAGAGTACATCCATCCCCTCGCTCACTGTCTACACCGAGCTGGCCCTGTAGCGCGTGCTGGACAGGTGGATCTCCCTACAGCTCAGCCAAACATCATATTCAGTTTGATGGCCGGGGACGTTCCGTGGTTGTCAGTCATGCTGCAATCTCGCCCTGGAGGAGCGCATCCGGCGGGGGCGGTGGCGTGTGGCCGTGGCCGTCCACTGCAAAGGATAGGCTGCTGACCATCCTCCTCGCTCGGCGATGGCCCAGCGAGCCTGATCACAGTCCGAGTGATGACAGACCCACACCCGACCTTCGATTTTGACAGCAATGTCACCAACACTTCCCCAGCCATCTCTATTCCACCCCCTACCAAAGGTTACCAATCATCATCGCATTACAGCCAAATTGATCTCTGACCGCGAGGCCGAGCCTGCTGACGCGGCTAATCATCCTTCTCTCGGCACACGACCTGTCTGTCCCCCTCGCCTCAAATTCAGAGCATCGCATTATACCGCCCTAGTTGTCGGTACAGACTCTCAACGCCTCCTAATTGCCACCTAGCCATGCGACTGCTGCAACTAACTACCCTCTAGGCGGCTCTAAACTGTCGGCCTTGTCCTGGGTTGCTCCTCCTGGCTCCTGTCTCAATTTTGTATCGCAGCCGCTATACGGGCCTGTGGGTGAACTGCTTCATGAAGACATCCCCGTTTTGGACGAGTTCGACACTCCATCCATCCCCAGGCTTACCCCTACTCTGCTCTCGCCTCTGATCGATCTGCCAGCACCGTCATTCAATCCGGTCGACTTGGCCGCAGTCCCAGATGATCCCAGTTCGGTAGCGGCATTCGTTCAGTCCACGCTGCCGCGACCTGCGTTGAAGCGAAAGACGAGCTCTATCGCGGCAGCACACACCAGTCCAAAACTCGATACACGGCCGTAAGCATCATCTGGCCAGGATCCAAGCCCTGGACTTGATTCTGCCGTGGCCAACAGTCGTTCCGCGACCTTCGAGCGGATGTCAGGCGCAGGTCCAGCTTCGCCTGATGAAGAGCCTGCCTCTTCAGACCCCCTTGCTGGTTCCAGGGCGAATCTGAGCGCAGGAGATCCCAGTCGCAACCGCAGGACTCGGCCGTCTGCAGCTTCAACGCCTCAGCCATTACCGAACGTGCCATCGCAAGGATCGACCCGGAACAGAGGCACTCGCACTGCTTCAGGCCATCCGCCGTCCATTCTGCCGCCTGAAAAGGTGTTTCCCATCCAGATTGGTTCAGATCTTTTCAGGTTATCTGGGGCCTCCATATCCTCCGATGGTACGCCCATGGCTTGACTTGTGATGCTGCCAGTGTGCAGACTGACCCTGGATATAGCCCCTTCCTACTTCACCCAGTTTTTCGAGGAGCAGATCAGGCAGAATGAGGACTCTGGTGGTGTCAGGACCCTCTACATCGACCGGGACCCGGCGACCTTTCGAGACGTCGTGCGACATCTACAAGGTTGCATCCCTGCGCCCCGCCACGCATGGCCCAGCACTGACACAGTTGCAGGTTACTACGTCAAGCCTGTCGACGGGAGTCATTTTGTAAAGCTATTCGCGGACGCTCAATTCTACAGCCGTACGTACGTGAGGTGGTAATACCATTGACTCAAGGCTCACTGTCCCATAGTGCCACGGCTGATCCACCAGCTGTTCGAGTCGGAAATCTTCATCCAGATTGGCGAGCGACACTTTCAAATCCCCAAAGACATCTTCTCGGAGCCGGGGAACTCGCCCAACTTCTTCTCTCTCGGCTTTGCCGTCTTCTTCTCGTCGCCCGATGAAGTTTTCCCAGGGCTAGATCGGCGAGGGCTTCTCCGGCCGCCGTCCATCACCCCTCCTTGTGTTCCCGGTCGTTCGTCCGAGATCTTCGCCGAGTTGCTCCACCTGCTACGGGGCTACCCGTTGTATATCAGAAACGAAACCCACCGAGCCGAGCTCCTCCGCGACTGTCGCTACTTCCACCTTCGAGGACTGGAGCAGAGGATCATTGCTCACGAGACCAGCTACAATTTGGAAAGACACAAACAAGAGATTTGTTTACGACTGGAGGATGTGAAGCCCTCGGGGGTGTCGTACCACGGCGACGATGCAGCGGGTGACAAGGAAATGGCGGGGGGATGGGTCTACTACGCGAGGCCTTTTGTGGACGACACGTCGTACGAAATGGTGCTCGAAATCGGTGGCGAATGTACGGTGCTTGATCTGACCGACATGAGAGCCGACTTCCACGGATTAACCAAGGCGCGGGTGTCGTCCCTTTTCCAGGTCGTGGCCAACAAAATGAACCTACCTACCAACGCTCCGCTGGGGTTGATGATGCTGTCTGGAGGGCCATCATTTCAATCTGCCAGTCCAGGAAATACACCACTCAGCGAGGACCTGGTCAAGGTCCGGTTTGAGGCGGCGACAGACATCACCCTGGACGGCCAGAGGTATGAAATTGACGGAGAAAGTCCATTGGGACAGGTGATGCTTCAGGGGCCTGCTCTTGGCCCTGGTGGATCAGAGTCTGACTCGGAGGTCATGAGTGATGCGACCGCATCAAGGCAAGCCACGTTGACGGCCGGGAGCCACCAACGACATGCTCCAAGTCGGCATGCTCCAAGTCGACAAGCCCACGTTGGAACGTCGTCGCAAAAGGCCGGAAGCCGCAGGTCCGTTCCCCTTCCGCCGGCACCGACACCGACACCGGCACCAAGCCAGACCAGTCGATTGTCGGCTCCAGCGCCATCGACGAAAAAGCGAAAGAGACAAAGTAGTCAAGGCGATTTCGGAGAGTGGACCATCCGCACCGGACAGTGGCGCCTGCGAGTCCAACCCAGCGTCCAAGACGGCAGCAGAGGCGGCTTGGAGATCATCTTCATCGGGGTCAAGATTGACGCGTACTCTGGCGAACGGGCGAGGAACGCCAGGAGGGGGTTTCTGAGCTGAGCTGAGCTGGGTTGAGTCGGTCTCGAGCTTGGGTGTGAGGTGTGACCTTCTCTGATAGCCTGGGGCCTCGGGGTCTACCGGCAGACTTGAACCTAACATCTCATGCCATACGGACTATCCGTATGGGCGATTCAGTTCTGAGCTAGATTTCAGCCAGCCAACCTCATGTATGACGGGTACTCAAGAGTATCTACCGTCTAGCATCTAGCGACTAGCATCTAGCATCCAGCAGAGAGCATATATCGACGATATATCACAGGCGTCCCAGCGTTATTGTGCCCAATCTTCGTTCATGCCAAATATCATGGGTTTCCACATACCTAGTCCTTACCTATCAGTAGTATATGTATGTGTAGTACTGTATGTGGACGGAGTAGAGTAGGTATACGGAGGAGGTGTACGGAGGAGGTGTACGGAGGAGGTGTATGTGTAATTAAGGGAGGCTTAGGGGCCTTAATAGTGGTGTTACTGTAGCACTTAGCCCTAAGCCCCCTAGTAGTAATAAGGTGCCTAAGGCTTAGGGCTAAGGCCTAAAAGGGAGGTCTGGCGATACACTGCCGTGAGGTGTCGGCGATAAAGAGCTGGCTCGGGCTTGCCACTGAGACATCGCAGAGTACGAGGACCTGCAGTGAATCAGGCACAGGACTTTTGCCGCGGGCACTACGAGGCCACTCTCGCATCTGGCCGGTAACCCGGGGCACCTAACCCAGCTGTTGGCTGCACGGACGACAGAACCAGATCGAATCTCAATCCTATTCAATTCTACTCTACGCAGCATAGCCTGCACGGCTGCCACGGCTTCTACGGCTTCCACGGCCTCCATGGCCTCCATGGCCTGCACAGCCCTGTGTCCACCGTCCCAGTTGCAACGTCCGGCACATCCACTCCTCAGAGATTTATGTCGAACATGTTCATGGCATTATCATGGCATTACTGCACCGATCACCTCCGCATAACGCATTGACAGTATTCAGCACGCCGCTGCAAGGCCACCTTATCCCTGCTGTACCGAGTCAGCAGCTGCCTACGTGGAGAGATGTCCTGTGTACACTCTACAATCCACGACCGCCACACCTCTCTATTGGTTGACAAGTCGCTCTGGCAAGGCAAAGTTTGCCGTACGTACGAACCAGAGAGGGGGATGGACACCGGATTTGCCCATCCCGCGTGCGTCACCACCGACAATGAAAAAACCATGGATGAACAAACATAGCTGAGGGGCCCTGGTCGAATTCACAACAATGATGTAAGACAGGCCCTGAAAACGGGAGCAAAGGGAGCCAAAAATGCAGATTCACACCAATCATTGGTAGGTGGCGGATCAAGCGGCACGGATCTGGCAGACACCATGAGGCCAACGCGCAGGGATCACGGATTTTAGAAGGCTTCGATGGCAATCCGTGGACGAGCCCCAAACTCAACTGCGCTATGTCCGCCGTGTATTAATATTGCAGACAAGCTCATTCTGCGGTCGATTGATCCATCTTCGTTTACTGCACACAATATCCGGCCAGGGAAGCTGTTCAACCTTTGTCGCGCCCACTCCAGCGTCCTTCAGCGTCCTCCAGCATGGCCTCATCACCTTCTTCCTCCAACCAGTCTATTTCGACCGTCTCTACACAGTATTCCCACGAAGTCGACGCCGCCCAGATTCCCACACACAGTGAGAAACAGAGCGAAGACATCGAGAAGCAAAGTTCAAGTCTACATCATTATGGCCACAAACAAAAGGTGCCTCATTGGAGGATTGTGGCTAGTCAGACCCTTATCACAGACGCCGTTCTCCATCACGAGTACAAGGGCTCCGGCACCGAAGACGACCCGTATATCGTCGAATTCATCCCCAATGACCCTCGCAACCCAATGGAGTTTTCGCAGCTCAAGAAATGGGTTCTTACTATGACAGTTGCCATCGCAACCCTCGCCGTCGCGTTCGTCTCGTCGGCATATTCCGGCAGCGCCAGAGAGGTGATGCAAGAATTCCATATCGGCGAGGAGGTCTACACACTTGGAGTCTCGTTATTCGTCCTGGGCTTCGCTCTAGGGCCCCTCCTTTGGGCGCCGCTTTCGGAACTATATGGTCGCCAGGTACTGTTTTTCGGCACCTACGCCGTCCTCACAGCATTCAACGCCGGCGCAGCTGGAGCAAACTCGGCGGCAACCCTCATCGTTCTTCGATTCTTTGCTGGCACGTTCGGCTCCTCTCCTCTCACCAATGCCGGCGGAGTGATTGCCGACATGTTTGCCGCTAATCAGAGAGGCCTGGGCATGTCTATCTTCGCCGCCGCCCCCTTCCTCGGTCCGGTCATAGGTCCCATTGTTGGAGGCTTCGTGGGTGAGACCATCGGCTGGAGATGGAATGAAGGTCTCATGGCCTGCTTTACGGGCTCATTGTGGATCTTCGCCAGCTTGGTGGTTCCCGAAACATATTCGCCCCTGATCCTCCGGAAACGTGCCAGCGCCCTTTCCAAACGGACCGGCAAAGTCTACGTTTCGATTCTCGAGATGAAGCAGGGCAAGGTGACGGCCAAGGCTGCCTTCAAGAAATCCATGGCTCGGCCCTGGGCTCTTCTCTTCCTCGAGCCTATTGTGTTCCTGATCTCCATCTATATGGCAATCATTTACGGCACTTTGTACATGTGCTTCGGAGCATTCCCCATCGTCTACCAGCAGGGACGAGGCTGGTCGCCCGGGATTGGGGGTCTTTCCTTTCTTGGAGTCGCCGTCGGGATGTTAACCGGGGTAGTCTACAGTATTTTCGACAATAAGCGATACGCCCGGATCGAAGAGGAAAATGACGGCGAGGCTCCGCCGGAAGCTCGTCTCCCACCAGCCGCCGTCGGCGCCGTGGCGCTACCCATCGGCCTCTTCTGGTTTGCCTGGACGAATTCACCTTCTATCCACTGGATTGTCAGTATCATTGGTACCGTGCCTTTCGGGTTTGGTATGGTACTCGTGTTTTTGGGGTGTATGAACTACCTGATCGACGCCTATACCGTGTATGCCGCCTCAGTACTGGCGGCCAACTCGGTTTTACGATCGCTATTTGGTGCATCGTTCCCCTTGTTCACCACTTATATGTACCAAAACCTCGGCATCCACTGGGCGTCTTCGATCCCTGCCTTCCTCGCCCTGGCCTGTACACCGTTTCCATTCATCTTCTACAAGTATGGAAAGCCCATCAGACTGAAGTGCAAGTATGCCGGTCAAGCGCATGACATCATGGTCCAGATGCGCGAGCAAGAGAAGCGTCTCCGGGAAGAAGAGGAGAGAGAGGCTGCCGAAGAAGCTGCCAACAGCGAGTTGAATCCGGTGGAAACGAGACCAAGTCGCCGACTGAGTCTGGCAGGCATCATCCGCACCAGTACTCATGCTTCGCGCGCCTCTCGTGCCTCTCGTACTTCTCGTGCCTCTCTAGGCAGAGCTAGGACCGAGGAGTTTGGACGGGTGTACAGCCATTCCAGTCACCCTCACTTCTAGTCACCTCACTTCTAGTCACCTCACTTCTAATCAGCCTCACATCTAATATTGTATCACATCACGGACATCAGGGCGGATCATCATGAATGGCTTTGTTTTATGTCAGCATTTGAGCGATTTGGGCACTTGCATTTATAGAACTAGAACTATTTTTCCATGCCTTGTCCAACTTTTCCATGTTTCCATGTCTTGTCCAGCAATAGGCACTAAGCACCTGCCTAGGTAATACAAAAGAAATCTTCTGCACGAACCTCGCTGTCGCAACCACAATGTCACATGTACTGTTCTACTATATGGGGTGGAGTGGGGTGCAACATGAACATGATATGATGTCAAAGTAAAGCAGGAACAGGAAACGGAAACGGGGTGTGATGGTAATGACACCGTGTCTACGATCTGAAGTTGAAATGGGTGGTAGTGGTACTCATCCTCGTCCATGGCCATGTGTGGAATGAAAGCTCAGTCGGCATCGGCATCGGCAGCGACGCTACTCCTGCCTGCCTCAACGTGAATGTTGGGATTCAAAGCAAAGCAAGAAATCTGCCTTCAGCTAGTCCACGGCCTTAGGCTTAGGGGCTCCTCTTTCACTTTCACTTTCAGAGCGTCCTCCTCTGGGTCATCGGTCATCGACCCCTGCCAGGGCTCAGCCTCCTCCTCCTCCTGCTGGGCCTAAGCCGTCCTTGTGGTCGTTGTCGTTGTCGTCGTCCTCCTCGTCCTCCTCGTCCTCCTCGTCCTCACCCATCCTCCTCATCCTCCTCATCCTCCTCATCCTCTCGTCGTCGTCGTCGTCCTCACCCAACGCCGCCTCCAGACGTTGCTGCAACGCAACAATCGTCTGAGCGCACGCTCGCAGCAACCTCCCGGCCGGAGTGATGCCCCCCTCCTCCTCCACCGCGGCCAGAATGTCGGGGTCGACAACAGCCCGAGCCTCCCTCTCGCAGACTCTTTGTTCGGCCTGCCGACTGCGTGAGTCCTTGGACCCTTCTGTAAGAAAGAGTTTAGGTTAGTAAATGTCAATTTTAATCTAGCTTGACAGACAATACACATAAATATCAATTTTGGTTTGATAGACAATTCACTTAATGTTAATTTTGGTTGGTTTAACAGACAATTCACTTACTAGTCTCTGAATACTTCTTTTTACCCCGTTGGGTCGGCCCGGCTGAACTGGCGTCTTGTCGCCCCTGGTTGGCAGCACGGCTGGTGGCACCGATAGCACGGGCGGCGACCGCACTGCCATGGGAGGTGCTCCTTGCCCAGTCATCGACGTGCGCCGGGGTTGGGTTGGCTCGGACGGCCGCCACGACCGCCGCCGGGAACCTCAGAGTGACTCTGCGGCCCCCGGGCCCGGGGTTGGAAAGAGAAGAAGAGGAAGAGGAAGAGGCAGTGGCGACGGTGGCATTTATAGTCGATGACATCTTCTCAAGTTTAGCGAGACTGTCCAACTTAAGGTGTTTACAGACCTTAAATACCTTGATACCGATTCCAAGACGAGAAGTAGACGTCGAGAAAGGTGTAAGGGCTTGAGAGCTTGACGTCAAGAAAGCTGAAGTCTGTTTGGGCGATCAGCAGTAAGAAGACTCTGAGATCGCAACAAGACGAGACGAAATAAATAGTCTAGTTCCGGTGCTCTTCAGATCGAATAATACGTCGTCTTATTGCCGCACGCTCGAATCTTCCAACACTTGCACTCAACTCCTCAATACAATGTGGGTTGGTGACCTGCAGCCCATACATCCAGTCTGTACGGCATCAACCGCATCCAAGCAGTCAATACCACCACAGCCACCGCAGTATGGCAGGTTGAGAGTTCTGCACACAACAGCAACGAGATCGGGATCTCTTCTTTCTTGCAACAGTCGTTCTTGTGCAGTCGAGGGTGATGGATCATGTTGAGCATGGCTGTCTGATCATCGCATTTGGTACGTGCTGGAAGCTGGCATGCATAGGACGGGACATGAGAGGCAAAAGGAGCATAATTGTACCACAAGAGCATCTCAGCAACAGCCTCCTACCATCAGCAACCAATACTTTCCTCCCTCGCAAAGGGGTACCACTCTTCTTCTGCGATGCATCTTCTTGCTATGCCCGAGGGACTGTACAACGGCAGCACAAGCAGATATCGTAGCGCTGGCGCCGCAATAAAATCTGTGCAACGGCGCCCTTTCCGGGAGATACATTGCGATTAAGAGAGCTTCTGACTTGAAAAGACTGTCGTTCCATTCTCTGTTGTGGGAATAAGGAGGTCAAGCTGCAGAGACCCCACGCGAGGCCCCTAAGCCTCTCCGCAAAATTCCCACCTGGACGAGGCTTCTCCAGGATGGGGTTTACCCACTTTTGCGCTTCTCTCCCCGGCATTCAACCTGGTTGGCCATTTTGCCGTCTTGAGCAATTGCCGAATATCACTGTTTCCCCGCCGAGGGTGATATTGGTCACGCTTGACTGCTCGACCTCGCTTGATGAGGAGGTACAACTGGATTGACACTGTTGGATGGCCTCAATTCAACTGCCGTGGTGAGCCCTCGCTAGATTTCTGGGGCGGAAGGGTGACTTCCATTTCTATATCTGCAAGCCGCCACCCCTGAAGAGAAGAAACCTTTCCACCTGAGATTCACGACCAAGCTGTGATCTGGAGAGTCAGAGATCCAGCCAGCAAAATGGCCACGGAAAAAGGGCTGCCCGAAACTGAGACCATCGAAAATGCCCAGGCTGAAGAGCGCCTCCGGGCGGCAGAGTTTGAGCCTCCCATGCAACATATTCAGGAGCTCAACGAGGCAGAACATATCAATCTGAGCTGGCGATCATGGCTCGTCGTCTTCGTGACATGCTTTGCCATCATGGCTCAGGTTTTTGTTGTCGTGGCTGCGGGCTCCGTCATTGCCTTTATCATTCGGGATCTGGGTAATGCTTCGATAGCTGGCTGGATTATTCGTACGCCACATCCTCCTCTTCCGTTACGGCTTGCTGATGATCTGATTGAACAGAGGGACCGCTACTCATGCAAAGTGTTCTTTCGCCAATCGTGGGCCGTCTGAGCGATGTCCTCGACCGGAAGTATTTGGCCGCGGTTCCTGCCTTGATTGCTTTCGCCGGTGCAGTGGTGTCAGCCAAGGCAACTTCAATGCCGATGCTTATCGGAGGGGGCGTTCTGATCGGCGTAACCCTCAGCACTATCGCCATTGTCCAAGCCATTCCGAGCGAGGTATTGCCCTTGAAATACAGGGCTCTCGCAAATGGATTCGCATTTCTGGGAGGCGCTGTGGGTGGTCTGTATGTGGCGAGTAATGTGTTTCGAAACAGGAGTGACTCTGCTGATAGTATCGTTGCTGTAGGGTCGGTGTCCTGGGCTCGGGGGGTGTGACGAACGCGAGCCCATCGGGCTGGCGTGATATCTTTTGGATACAGGCTGCATTCCATCTTGCCACCTTCCTCGGCCTCATGCTTTTCTACCACCCAAGCCGACGCTCTGACTATCCGAAAATGTCGTTGAAGCAGTATTTTTGGGCCGTAGATCCTATCGGATCATTCCTCTTCATCGTGGCTTGCACGCTGCTGCTGTTGGCATTGGACTGGGCGGGAGGGGCATATGCTTGGTCGGATGCTCATGTTGCTGCACCACTCGGTCTGGGGCTTGGATTTCTGGCACTCTTCTGCATCTATGGTGAGTCGTCTTGGAGCTCGCACAAGGCACGGTCTGACCAAGTATACCTTTCACAGAGTGGAAGGGTCGCTCCGATGGCCTTGTCGCCCACGTTTTCTTCAAAGGCTCACCCAACTTCGCACTGTCGGTCTTCGCATTCGCAGTCGAAGGTTGGCTGTTTTACAGCGCCGTCAACAGTGTCACCCCTCAGATTGTCCTGAATCTCGGGTTCCAAACCAATGCCTGGGATATCTCTATCAGGCAACTGTCATATAACCTTGTGACTCTGTTCGCCTCCATCCCCTTGACGTGAGTACCCCACCCTGTTCATCGAAGGGAGTTGGAAATTCTAACAGAATATGCAGGCTGTATGCCACAAAATACAAAGACTTGAAGTCTCCATTAATAGCGACATTCATCATCTTCCTCGTCGTGTGAGTATTGCTTGGAAGCCTGCGACCGACTCGCAGTTTCTCTGGTTTAATACTGACCGCGCACAGTTGCATTTGTTATTCGGTGATCACCCCTGGCATGAATAAAGCACAGATCGGGTTCAATGTGCTTTCCGGCATTGGCCAGTCCGGGCCGCTCACACTGATCGTGGCACTGGTCCAATTCACCGCGCCTCACGCTTTTCTTTCAACAGCTACCGGTCTCGGATTTTCTGCTCGAGCAATTGGTGGGGCCTTTGGTTCTGCTATACTGGATGCGATCATCAATGGCAAACTCAAGTCCTATTCAACCAAAGTTGGTGCAGCGGCGGTCGACGCAGGTCTACCGAAGTCGTCGGTGCCCGCGTTGCTGGAGGCCCTAACAACAGGGATGGGGTTCTCCAGCGTTCCTGGCATCAACACCACCATTGAGGCAAGGACGTTAGATGAAAGCCACAGGGTGTATGCTCACGCGTACAGGGTTGCATGGGCCAGCATCATCCCTTTCGTGGTGCTTGCCTTGATCGCCATTTTCTTCCTCAGAGGAGTCAAAGAGCTGATGACGGAGAAGGTTGAGGCCACGGTGGAACATGTCAAGAGGGAGGAAGATGGCGGTACTCCGTAAACCCTGAAGGCTCCGGTCGCCTACGGAGTTGTCAGAATGGCATATCTGGAGCGTGTGCGGATTCGCGGCACGCGGAGACGATACTCGAGTCTGTGAACAGGAGGACAGGGCGCCGATGTCCCATGCTTGTCGCATCTTCCCCTCGAGTCTGGTCTGTTGTCCAACGATGAGATATAGTTCTGTGTCCTGTGTACGACTGTTGTAGTCTAGCTTAGGCGAGGGGGCAGTTACCATCCTTGGCGATCACGTGACTTGATTGTTGCTGACTAATCTCGTCACATCAACTCCTCTCCCTGTCGCTGTCCCAACCCACTGTTTCATCACTACTCTGAAGTACTTAGCGTTCCTGCCATGGTATACTGGAAGCCATAAGAAGGTTCCCCGGTTCCTGGTTCCTGGTTTCGCATGTTTTTGCTCGTCGCAAGCTACCGACAACCATGGATAAGATGTTTCGCTATCTACCGATCCGTCTCCTTCTGTCTCAGGTCGACGAATTGGTACTTCAGTATCCGGCATCTTGCTCGCAAGATTTATAGCAGACGACCGCCATCTAGGACCAATTAGCGTCGTGGAAGCCACGTCAGTTTGATCTCGTAACTCACCAATCTCAATCAGGGTGCCAGTGGCATAATCTGCCCGGATGGCGTACAAGTACGCTTCAGCAATATCCCGTCCTGTGGCGACAAATCCCACCGGCAGTTGCTGGCTGCCCTTCTCGAAGATTTCTTTCTGCTGCTCGGGCGTTTTACCTTGCTTATCCCACAATTCAGTTTTCACCAAACCTGGAACCACCGTGTTGACCCTGATCTTCTTCTCGGACAGATCCGCGGCAAGACCCTTGGTGAGAGAAAGCACGCCTCCGTTGAGTGCTCCTCCTACAGCAGCCCCTTTCCCCGGCCTGATGCCTGCTGTTCCTGATGTGAGCGTGAGCGAGCCGCCCTTGCGTATGATGTCGTGCTTTGAGACAGCTGAACAGGTCAGATCAGTAACTTTCCCCTTGGTGCGCCTCAGACTATCGTACCTTTGCCGACAATGACAGCCCCCCAGAACTTCACACCGAAGAGGTGTTTGGCGCCATCGAGATCGAGATCGGCCAGTTCGCCGCGGATGATATTATCAACCGCAGAGAAGACTATATGGTCAACCGGAGCCAACGACCGCAATGCTTGAATGAAGGCTGCTTCATCGCGCACATCGGCAACCACGCCTTTGACATCTGGGCTTGCCAGGCGCTTCACTGCTGCATCGATCTTTTCTTGCGAGGAAGAAACAATGGTGACCTTAGCACCTACATCGAGAAGCGCCTCAGCAGCACCAAATCCGATGCTGTGGAGTTGAGTTAGTTGTGACACCAGAGGCAGGGCATAGAATGCGATTGACTCACCCCGAACTTCCTCCAACCACCACGATGTTTTGACCACGAAGTTTGTCCGCGAAGCCGCCCATTTTCAATAATGCCAACTAAGGATGGGTCGTGCGAAAGTATTTGAGGAGGTCTGCATATGCTTTAGCATCGCGAAAGCGTCTGTCCTGTATATATTGCGCCTTGGTTGACATTGTGCAATCGTTTTGGAAATCACGCCAATTGTAGCTGACTAATAATATGCAGGGTTGCGAGCACCAGGAACAGCACATCCAGATCAACCTCACTCATTTGTTGGTGAGGTCCAGCGTTGACGCAATGGAGGGACCATTGTAGAGAGTGAACATGGCCAGCTCACTGAGACGATGCCTGATATATCATTCTCACTTGGAATATATTCAATTACTTACTTCCTCGTGACCCATGGTGGATATCGTTGATTGTATCAACACTTGATACGGAGAACTTGTTCCTCAATGCCCCTCGGAATAAAAGACCATCCTGTACGAGTAGAAGTCTATTGTGGCGCCCACCTTTGGCGCTGCTTTGATGTTACCCGCCAGGTGCCCGCCCGCCACAATCAAGCCGCCGGCAAAAAGCGGCGACTGATCGTTCCGGATGGAGATTGTGGCTGAGCTGGGATCAGACTGCGGTCGGTGATTAAATGGGTGACAACCGTCCTGATACTCCATACATTTCTGTGACCGACTTCATCTTCGCAATCTCCCGTCGACCCCACCGCTTCATCAAACCCTCCTTCTTCGAGCCACTCCTGTTTCTTTTACCGAGACCCATCTGCAGCACAGCATCGGCCCTGTCCACTCGATCAGTAGTTGGCATGGATCTTGCCGGGTCGCCTTCTCCGCTGAGAAGCCGCAGCCTTGATCTGGACGTATGGCTGATCTGAATACACGGTGGCGTTGACTTTATCATAAGTGGCGCCTAAAGAGATTGTTTATCCCGACGCTTAAATGGTTTCTGGGTACTTTCTGAGACTGGGAGACCCTGGCCAGACGGCAGACGGGGATTGACAAACCCAGACATGTGGAATCTGAAGTAAGTAAGGCAATCAGAAGAAGCCTACTCGTGTGCCCAGGGCCCAGGAACACGAAACTATTGCATGTTGGAGAGGAGCTAGGCCTGGAAACGTTCTGCACTCAAGGATCTTGATACTGTCCTTCCATTCTACCTCCTTGTTCTACATGTGCTCTTCCTGCCGCTCCAGGATGTGATCAGTTGCTCCTGCAAATCTTCTTTCTTGTTCGTCTTCCGCGCTCTCTTCAGATCTGTTGCACTCACTCGTTTGTGCTTCAGCATCGTCCGCTCGTTACGCTCGTTTTGTGCCTTTCTTTGCCCACCTTTGGCGGAACACTTTACTATTCTTGAATTTGTTCAAATAGGTTGTCAAAATCCAACCTCGAGTTCTACACTCCGAACCGAATCCACAAAAGCTCTTCAATACAACTCGGCACCGGGGGAAACGTTCGACATGGCCGGAGTGCGTGATCCAGCATTCTGGCGCCGCTTTTCAATGGCGGTCCACCTGGATGAAGAGAAGGGAACAATGTCAGACTCTAGATCTTCTGCGCCGTCAGCAAAGGCTCTGACACACACGTATGTGGCGTCAAGGACAGACGATACGCAATGATGGTGCTAACAGTCCGCGGCAGGGACAGTTGGTTGGAGCGAACGCGGAAGAAACAACGTCGGACTCGGATCCTAGGCTGGGTCATTGCACTTGGATTCGTCATTCTGATTGCTGTCGTGGTCATGCTACTGCTGTGGTTGGCGAAAGTCGGTCCCTTCAAACAAAAACCCTCATGAGAGCTTCGAGCGGAACAGTATTGGACACCAGCACGTATACTGCGTGGATCCATCAGTTGCCGAGAAGATCCCTCCGGTCATAGGCATATTCGTGACTTCGCCGCCATTGCTGGATGTATGGCCACGATGCCTACCCCAATCCCCCCTACAAACAACCGGTCTTGCGTTCGACGTATCATCCATGGGCTACAAGGAGTGCAGCGGTCATTTGGGATTCAGACCGGGGAGGATGCTGCATGGCTGGATCTCGCTGGATCTCGCTGGCTCTCCAGCGACTGAGGAAACATTATTAATTTTTCTCCGCGGGTTCTTTTTACCAGCGAACAACAATTACGATACTACGAGAACCACGGGTTACTGCCGATATGGCTGATTGAACAGATGGATAACTAGATTTCGAACAGATAGACAATTAGATCTTGTAAGATTCGATCAATGGAATCTTCTGAATGGCGTCGCTACATGTACTATTTGGGTCAAGCTATTTAATCGTACAGGGCCTTAGGGTAATAGCGAGCCTACGAATTAGATAGAGGTGAGGGAAAGAAAGTATTGGGTTCCTTGAAATCAAACCAAGACCATGAAATCTGAGATTGGCTTCCATTGTCGCTGGCGCTACATGCACTATCAAAATATCTCCTTTCCCCCTGGCTCTGCGTCTCGGCCTGCGCAATCTTGATTGCTAGTTGCTCGTCGCCCTGGAACGTCGGACGAGCACAAAGGCTTTGGAGCGCGAGACGAACTATGGAGACTTTTCAAAAGCGGCCTGCGCCCGCATGGGGGCCGCAGTGGGTTCCGGATGGGTGATCCAGTGGTCTCTTGCTGTTGATCGCTGGGAGCTGCCATGACCGGACTGAGATTGGGAGTGAGTGCGTGGTGAGAAGGGAATCGTGGGGACAAGTTTCATCGAATTTTCGGACTGCAGCCCTACTTCCGGGTTGCAGTGCTGTCGGGATCCAGGCCTGCGCTCGAATGTTGCTTTGTTGAATAGAGAATAGAAGGACAGGGCACGTCGACATTCCCGACTGGAAATCCGACGAGGCACCCTCCTCGAGTGTGTTTTCCCTCCTATACATGGCCATCTGGTGCGCTTGTGCGGGGTTTCTTCTCCCAGTCTCTCCGGCATCCACATGATCCTTTGCTGTTGATCGACCACCAGCGAATCTGATGGTAATTATCGGAATTGGTTCCCGGCTAATTGGGGTGATGTTGTGTCGCGGGCCTAGGAAGCCCTACCGATCTCTGTTTCCCAGTGTGTATGCTGCTCTCTTGGTGCATCAGTCGTCCAGGACACCTAACGGGCGGGCCGATATGTTGGCTCTGATGGCTCACACACTTGGGGTGACGTCGGTGAAGCCGACAGCCCTGAAGGCAGCTCCTCTGTGGTGAGAATTCTGATATGCAACAAACCCCTTCCGTATATCGGTCGCTTAAAATCTCTTCCTCGTGGGCTCGGGGCTCGGACTCCGAGTGACGCTCCTCTCATCTCTGCCACGCTCCTTCAACCACTTCTTCGTGCTGAGTTCTAGCTCTCTCTCTAGCTCGGGACTCGGCTCTTTTCTATGGATGAAGTTGCAGAATCCGCCTCGCACACAACCTTCACCTGAATTCAACCGACAACACGCCTCTCTAAAATCCGTAACGGGACTGAGTTCGCAGTAGATCGGCCTTGCGGCGTACCATCTGCTGTTCAACGCGTCACAGGCTGCCTGCGCCGAATCTTCATACTTGAACCGCGCGTAGACGTTGCCGATCAGATGATCGTTGTTGTTGTCGCAGACCACCACCTCCTCAAGTTCGCCGTACTTGCACATCTCGCACCAGAAATCCTCATAGAAGGCGTCAAAGTGGTTCTGCAGCTGTGACGCATTCATCTTGTTCTTGGGATCGTACGCCGGGTTCTGGTACAGGTTCGGTAGGAGGATGGTCTGGCTGTAGGACGGCTTGACATGTTTACGCGAGCATCGGTCGCCGTGGCGGCAGGCGCCAATCTTGTAGTAAAACGAACAGTTGACCTAGAAAATCCTGTGAGCTGTCTTCAACTATGTAGAGGGGATGGAAATAGACTTACTTTGTCCTGTTCTGTTCCGAAAATGGAGGCGAGGTAGTTGGCCATGGTTGGGAAGCCTGAGATTCGGGGTCGAGGTCTTTCAGAATGTTATAGATTTGAAGAGTTCAAGATTTCAGTCTTGTAAGTCACAATCGACAAGAGGCGCGACAGTGTTGAATCGTAGTTTGCGTGGCGAACAGAAGTCACAATTGTCGATGGGCCATCAATAATAAAAGGTGCAGCTGGGTTCTAGTAGCCGGTCATGTGATCACAATCTTAACTCGAGTCTCGGCTTCTAGAATTTTCTTGGCGCCAGCCTTGCCGGGAACTGCTGGTGGTAGTAGCCCTGTACAGTGTCACCAGGTGTCTAGGCCGACATGGCGCATCCATCCTCCGTACAGTGCAAACAGTGACCATGCTCAAGGGATTGGGAGGAGTCGTGGAACGCCATACCACTCGCTTGCTGCAGAAAATTGCAAGCCCACAGCTACACAGCAAAAGTCTCGAGGCGGAGCCAGCCGTGTGTTACTGGAGGCTGAGAGAATCAGATCATAGTCGAACGCCCTTGCCACCATACCGGCGCATTGCGCAACGGGTTCCTCACCGTACTCTGTAATCTCTCAAGAATCAGTTGGAAGCGTTGTTAGAGCACAAGGTCGAACATTGCTCGTCTCATTCTCCATCTACGACCTGAAACCCCAAGGCTTTGAGACCAAACTTGTACATTCTAGATACCTGCCATTGGCCTGTGTTGCGTCGCCGCAGGACTGGACGTTTCGCCCTTGAGAAAGCCCAGTGGTATGTGGTCTGTCCGTATGGGAGTAGGTCTGGAGGCTCTGTTGCACGTGGACTAGTGATGTAGTTCGTAGCAGAGTGTTCCACAAACACAAGCATATTCTGCCGCACCCGCGATAACCCATCGCACTTGTTGAAATCACTCTTTCTGAAGCAACAAAAAGGACACATCCGACACTCAGGTGATTCGAACCGACCGTACTCTGCCCACAGCCGAACAGTTCCTTCGATGATTGCATAGAACTCTGTACTATGCCGTGCTAATGCTGTAGGTCCGTTGACTTAGCAGGACCTACTTACGTTGCTTCCCGTACCACTCGGCCAACGGACCAAAAAAACAAAAACTCTGACCCGGAACCCAACCCCCGGTAAGGGTTGAGGTCCGGATCAAGAGAAATCCCAGTCGAGAAGGGATTTTTTTCGATCGTTAGGTTGCCTCCTACCATAAGTCTCGGTTGAGACTTATACGGGTAAGAACCTTCTACCATCGTCCGTAGTCTCAATACCGCCTCCACCGGTAAAGTGGAGAGTATTGCTTAACTCAGAGTCAGTCCAGTCAGGGGTCCGCCTCAAGGATTCACGGCGTCGCCCAAAGCAAGCTATCTCATGCCTGGTGGCCACACCCTCACGCCCTGACTAGCCTAGCTAACACCCACCGTAGGTGTATTGTTGCTAGGGTCAGGACCCGGGATAGACATGAGAATTGTTGAACAGAATTCCGATGATTTAAAATATAAGGTAGCCTTTTCACTGCATTCCTCGAGGGAACCCAATCATAGGGCTGGATTGCGCCGGCAGAAAGACGTACCTTCACCACACCGCGAGCATTCACCGCACTACCTTCTCTTAGTACTCGTACTCTAACCAAATAACTCCGTCTTGTCTAGTAGCGAGTACCCAGGTTCGAACCGCGCTGGCCCATTCGAGTTATTTCGAGGCTGAGGGGGGAGGCTACGGGGGACGAACTAGGCAGAAGTCATGCATATTGACTCCTGCGTAGAAACCTCATAGCATTTACCGGTCCCAAGTGCCCTGATCTAGCATCCTGCAGCGTCATGGTCTTGCGGTTGAGGCGGCGACTGTGTTGCACTCCTCCTCTGTATACTGGCCCGGAGAGGTGATGTTGGTGATGTTGGGCACGTCGTCAGACCACCTCGTGATGCCAAGCCCTGGAGCTCCCAAGCTCCCAGCAACCAATCATCGCTCAGCCAAACTCGACGCAGTTTCCACGATCTCCTGCTTTCAACATCGCTTTTGCTGTTCATCCACCACTTCAACCACTCCGCTCCTCACGATTCACCATGTCGGCAGCACGCGTAGCCTTGTCGCTGGCACGGCGGGTGCCTCTCAGCCCTGCTCGGCTCGCTCCTCGCACCTTTTCTACCGTCGCGGTTCGACGTACGTCAATCAATGCCCCTAAGCTCTGGGAAAGCACTTTCTGGATGTTATTTCACTTTTGAGAGTCCAGCTGACTGACACTGGCCTCTAGGAGAGAAATACACCCTGAAGCCCGGAGATCCGGAGGGCAAACTCGTTTCCTTTGACCGTGAGTGTCCAAACCCGGCATTGCGACAAGCTTCAATTCCGTCCAATTCGGCGAGCGACGGTGGGAGAAGAATGTGGCAGGACTCGGATTAACAGAATCTCATCACAGAAATCAAGACGGAGAAGGATCTCCTCCCTCCCGGCGCCGAGCCTGGTACTGTTCCCACGGACCTCGAACAAGCCACGGGTTTGGAACGTCTCGAAATTCTCGGAAAGATGCAAGGCATTGATGTCTTTGATATGTCACCGCTTCCCTCGGACAGGACTGGTATGTAGTGAATTGGGAGCTCTTGCCAAGTCAACAAAGCACAACTTGGGACTCGACTTGACCAGTCTAGATGGGTGCTGATGATTTCCGCAACTAGGCACTTTCGAGGATCCAATCGTTGTCAAATCTGCTGGAGATGAGATTCAAGTTGGTTGCACTGGCTCTCCTGCGGACTCGCACATCGTCCGATGGCTTGTGGTATGTCTTTCCAGTCGTTTGGTACCATTCATTTTGGGATTCGGTCGCAGGTTGGAACTACAGACACACTAACAGTGACGGCCTTCCAGTTGTCCCGAAAGAGACCATTCGAACGATGCAACGAATGCGGTAGTGTGTACAGAATGGACTACGTTGGACTTCCCGACGACCCACACGATCACCACCACGGCTTCGAGGAACCCAAGACCATGGCTGATTTCGTCAAGCCCGACTACTGGTACAGGTGAACAAAGGCAAAGCGAGCAGAATTGTTGAAACAGTGCTTTGCGGAAAGTTGTACATAACGCGATACAGGGTTGATCTGCCCTCAGAAAGCAATGCATCATCCATGATGGGCCCAGTAGAGTTCTGTGTCATGGCGGATTGCTTGTTTTGGAGTGCTAGCATAAGCTGCTCAACATCCCAGGTTAATTTTGTTTTTATCGAGAGGCCGGACTGCTCTTGTGGCATTGCATCAAATCCGTCTGAACCCGATCAGGCTGACAGACAGAGCGGACCCATACAGAATAGCCGTGAATTTGTTTGCGCGACCTTGCTGGAGGGACGATCGATGATGCATCCATCCCTAGAGCGCTGTTCGGTTCCTCGGGCATCTCTTGTCACCACTCGCGATAAACACCCTGACCTCCGCAGTAACATCTATCAAACCCATGAACTATCTAGCTCATGCATCTTAGATATTTGTGTCAGTGGAAGGGCGCGAGGCGGGCTTCTCCATGAGATGGAGATAAGCTGAGGGGAGCGTTTGCCACAGCCTCCCCATGTACAACCTATATAGGTGGATGAGGAGAACCTCGGACTTCAGCAAGTATACAGGTGAGGTGGCTCGCTGACTTGGTGTATATTGCCACAGTTTTGCAGTCATTATGCCGCATGCGACCGAACCCGTTTTCCAGCACATCCAAGTCACGAAGCTCGCCCCGACGTTTGGGGCGGAGGTGACAGGAATTGACTTCAATAAGCCTGTCGAGCCAGAGGTGTTCAAGGAGGTTCTCGACGCCATCACCGAGGTAAACGAATTCGCAGCGCCAATATTACCTTGGTCGCTCACACAGACCTAGTATGGCGTCCTCGTCTTCCGCAAAGCCGCCCTCGACGACGCGCGGCACGTGGCCTTTTCCCGTCTCTTTGGGGAACTAGACGATGTGAAGCCGTATCTCACCCTCGGGCGCAAGAACCGCTTCCCCTTTGACGAACTGTTCGACGTCTCGAACATGGAAGACGACGGCTCTCTGGTGCAGGTTGACAGCAAGAGAGATCACACATCCAGGGTACGGAGCGACCCAGACCTCCCTAATGCGTTGCCGCCCCTCTGAGGTGCGGCACCGAAGTTACAAGAGAGGCGAAGTTCTATCCTGCATACATACTCAAACCATTCTTGTCTGAATTAGGGCAACTCCTTGTTCCACGTCGACTCGGCCTTCAACCCACGCCGGGCCGGCTACTCTCTCCTGCGGGCACACGAGCTCCCACCACCAGGCTATGGCGGCAACACCGACTTCGCCGACACACGCACAGCGTACGACGACCTGCCCGCCGAGTTGAAAGCCCAATTGAACGAGGCCGACTACATCGGCGCCAACTCGCTCTGGCACTCGCGCAGGAAGGCGTGTCCGCACTCGGAGTTCCTGCGCGACATCGACCCGGAGGCACACCCGTTTGGCCGACACCGCATTCTGCAGCTCCACGAACCGTCGGGCCGCATGAACCTGTACATCGCCAACCACCTGCACCACCTGGAGAAGGCCGACGGCACGCGCGTGCCCGAGCCCGAAGGCACCGCGCTCATCGAATCGCTGCTCACCCACGCCACCCAGCCAAAGTACCTTCTCAGCGTCGACTGGCGCGACCCCGGCGACGTCATCTGCTGGGACAACACCGCCGTCATGCATCGCGCCGGTGAGTTCAAGGGCATGGGCAAGTTCAAGCGGGACATGCGGCGTACTACCGTTCATGATGGGAGCAGTACGGCCTGGGGGCTGAATGAGCGTACGGAGGAGAGGATGGGCTTGCCGTGAGGCTGGACTTTGTCACATTGCAACTGCACTGTAGTGTGGAAGTGGAACAGTCTATCATCTAGCTATCATCTATCTATCTATATGTAGCTATCACCCATCTATCTACGTGTAGCTAAGGTCAGCTATCTATCTACATAATCACACCTTTCTCCCTTTTTCCTCTTTTCTTTTCCTCTCTCTTTGAGAACCCTTCCACTTGTAGAAGACAGCTCACGTTGCGGACGTCCTCACTGGTGGGGGGTTCGGCATCGTCATGCTTTACTTTAGAATGGAAATGGAAATGGAATCATCTCTAGTCGATCGGCTCACTGAGGGTAGATATGGATGTGGATGTTCTGAGAGTGAAGTCCAGTCCAGTGCAGTTCTGCTTCATACATGAGTTCTGCTTCATACGTGTATGCTTCAAATTGTGTGCTGCTTCGGTCTCAGCTCCTGTCCCTCCTTGGTCTGCAGTCTCTGAGTCTGACTGCGGGCCTTGTTTCTGTTGTATCTCCAGCTCCATCTCCAGCTCCAGCTCCAGCTCCCTCTCCAGCTCCAGTTCCATCTCCAACTCTTACTCCCACCGGTCTACTCGTTTGTCAACTCACAATCGCCGAACCAAACCAGACCATTCGCCGACGCAATCAAGCGATTCACAATCGCAATGGCAATCGCAATCGCAATCACATCGCCGAGCTGGTCTGGTCTGGTCGCATATCTTCCTTCATCTCTCAGACACCGAGAGCTTTGTCTCCCTTTCTCCGCTTGCGCGATCTCTCGTTCCCTGCATCTGCATCTGCATCTCCATCTCTGTCTGCATTGCTGCTGTCTCCAGGAAGCCCACCTGTGATATCTGACACCGGATACTGTCGTTTCAGTGCGCCTCGAACCGGCAGAGTGCATGTGTTTCGCGGTTGCGGTTGCGGTTTAGGCTGTTGTTTCTCTTGCTCGCTTATGACGTCTGGATCTGGTGTTCGGGGAGGGAGAATATAGGTGATTGTGCGTGGAGTGTCCGAATAGCGCGCCTTACACTCATACGAGCGTTCCACGATTCCATCTTGATCGGGATCGGGATGATCGTGCTCTGACGGCTGAGTTTCGTTGTTTTGCATGTCATCGTCGTCGTCGTAATCGCCAACTTCCTCGTCGCCATCTTCCTCGTCGTAGTCGCCAACTTCCTCGTCGCCAACTTCCTCGTCGCCATCTTCCTCGTCGTCGTCGCCATCTTCCTCGTCGCCATCTTCCTCGTCGCCATCTTCCTCGTCGCCATCTTCCTCAAAGTCTAAGTCGTCATTGTCGTCCAACAGGGTGCTGCCCCAGATCCTTGTCCCATCTTTGAAAACCCCACAGACGTCGGCCATTCTCAACCGCTCCTCGGGAATCCATGCAGTTTTCCAATCGGAGATCCTAGCGACTCTGCACATGGGGCGATACGGCGTATGTTCGCTGGGATGGCAGGCCTTGAAATTGGGGACCGTGCCAGCTCCGCTGTCGACGAAGAACCGGTCTTTTTTCCACAACTCGGTTTCGTAGACCAGGAACACATCACTGGAGTCGTCCGGTCCATTGAGAGTGACGTAGTCACTATAGCGGAATTTGACTTTCTGGAGGTCTGAGGGACCCGTATCAAACTCGCGTCGGGGTCTTAGGGACCGGGCAGTCAACTGCGGATCCCCGTTAAGAAGCTTGATGTCCATGATTTCGAAGGGGTCGAGAGAGGTCCACAGGAAGAACCAGTCACCAACCTGGAAATGGTCTGGACGGAACTAAAAGTAAACAACACATCGTGTCATTAGGATCGAACATGAACACAACAACCACGCGGATATTGATAGGGCTTATAGCACACAGGGCCAAGGGAGACAACATACGTTTGCGACGTCCAGGGGGTAGAGATTCGCCCCTCTCTTGCGGTCACGTCTTCTCACATGCATTTTGGAGGCCGTGGAGCAGATGCAGCTGCTGAGATGCAGATGACGGCTGTGGTAACCGAAGTTGAAGTTTGGAATGGAGAGGAAGAAAAATGAGGTTCAGAAGACGTAGGTGTAGAATCTTAGAAGTCGCAGAAGATGTAGAAGGTGTATAATCAGTATTGCGTTGCAGTATTCTCCCAATCTCCACAATCCGCAACTTCCTTTGTGCATGGTTTGATCCCAATCTCTAGCAATCTGCATGATGCCGGTGTGCAGATGCCGGGCTCCCAAACAAGGAGCCTAGCGGGATGGCTGAGACCGGTCCAGTTCATTTGTCAACCGTGCTCTTGTTTCAGGCTGCCAACACATCTCATTCACAACCCAGGCATAAAGGACCAGATCGTGTGTAGAACCACCGGGACTCTTCGTGGTTGCCACTGAACATGGCAGGAATGGCGTCTAAGTTCCCATGGAGTGTGATGATGGAATTCGAACCAATGTGGTTCTTCGCTTTGCACCACAGTTGATTGTTCGGATGGTCGTAGACATAGACATACGGTATCATCCAACGCGGCGGCCCTTTGCACTCAGCAATTCTAGCTCAGCGACAGTTGGCATTCTTTGTATCGTGGCCAGAAATCAACCCTGGCAGAACAACTCGCCTGTTATCTGTTGTCTGTCTTTCATTTCCTTCTACTGCCTCATTTCGCATGTTCGGATGACCTTTGTCCAGAGACGCTGTGGCCGTCGACGACCAAGGATGAAAGAAAGGATTGCGCTCGAGGGGCCGTGGAGGTAAAGCACAGAGCACAAACGGAGTGATTGACATGCCCAAGGAAGGATGAAAGAAGCGTAAAGAGGCAGGCGTCTTGTTGACGGACAACAGCCAGTCTACCACATTCTCCTCCAACGCGGTCCCAGAACACGATAGCCAACACTGCTGGTGCATGTCGCAGTGAATCCGATGCGTTCTCCTTGTTTGATTCAGAGAACAGAGAACGCGTTTTTCCTCGTTCGAAGGCGTTGATGTGTTCGTAGGAGATATAAATCTTGTTTATCAGTATGTTAATTCCATCACGTTTCCAAATCATCGTCTGCCCTAGATCGAATACCACACCAGCTTGGCCTCAGTAGGCCTTGCTTCAGCATGCCAGGAAGACCTTCTCGGGTAGACAAGGACAATCCCCAGAATCAAGAACCCTGGCCCCCTGAACAACAACAGGGAAATGCAACTCAGCAGGATCCTTCTGACTGGTTTGAAGATGAATGGAACCCACAAGGTCAACATGCTGCGTCGTTCTCATCACGAAGTATGCTAACCTTCTCAGTAGATGGCACGCAGACCGAACAATCTCGGACCCCTGGTGACAACCTACAGAATTCGCAAGACCGAGTGGATCAACATGCTGCAAGCAGACCAGCCCAAAGTTCTAATCAACCTGGAAGGAGACAAGACCACGGTTCTCATCAACCTGGAGGAAGACAAGCCTATGTTTCTGAACAACTTACCGGCAGACAAGGCCAAGATCGTCGTCAACCTACAGGCAGACAAGCCCGAGGAGGTGGTCAAGGTATGCAAGAGACCAGGGGCGTTGAAAACCAGGTACGCTGAGCCTTTGGCATCCTCGGCCGCAGTCGAGTGACTGATAGCAGAACGAACAATTTTTGCCCAACGAAAGACAACACGATCGTCGAGTAGATGCGAACCCACAGCAACACCAACGGTCGATCACACAGTCTAAGAACCGGCGTGACGTAGAGGGCGGAAGTGCTCTTGCATCGTCTGCTAAGCAAGACGTCCGATCGGGGACATATGATGGACAGCGTTGAGACATGGATGTGGATGCTTATGATGGTGACACGCACGGCAGAGCAATATGTTTCGTTCAGGTCAATACTAGCCTCACCCTCTGGGGCGCAGATGAGGCTAAAGGGTCTACCAACTTGAGCTTTGACATAACTGTCTATAGCATGGAAGCTGGTCGAATGAATAAATATTGCCGAGGACTCGAGGCATGTCGGATAGATGTTCGTGTAACAGACGAAGATTTCCCATCACCGAGTACGCCTTGTCACTTGTGCAACTGGATGTGTAACCATGACGGCGGCGGTGCGAGGTGTTCAAATAGGACGGCAGTCAACACTCACTTGCGTGTAAATGTGTCTGCAATGCAATGGCTGTCGAAAACGACGTTCTGTCCACCGATGGAGCAGTTGAAGCTAGAGAGAATGTTGGCCACTCCGCGCCAAATATGCCCGTCAATCCAGACGAGCGAGATGTCGAAAAGGCCCAAGATCCGGAGACCCGGGGACAGAGGCGTAGGCGCGAAATTGAATCATGAAGGGGTAAAGATATCAGCACTAACAACGAGACATAGACTGTTTGACTTGGTGGCTCTCCAACATATTGAGGGTAATCAGAGCATGCCCAGAGGAAGAAGAATACAACAAAACAAGGGTCATGGAAAGTAGGAACATCCCCCAGTGTCCCATGACAATGCTGACACTGACGCTGAACCTGCCAGTTGAGAGCAACCCAGAAGGATGGCCGAAACTCGCGGCCGTTATTGATAGCGACCCTGCGTTTATGATTTTCCGCCGTTTCGGATACCTGCGAGCCAGGCTACTGGTTTGGCATCAAGACCGCCTGCGAGAAATCGAGCAATCGCTGGAAGATCTGGACTGGGAGGATTTTGACAATGAGGCGACACGGAGAGCACTTTGCTGCCGTCAGGGAGACGATCAACGACATCCCGCGAAACGGAAGGAGTTGTTCGTACGGCTGAGCAATGAGCTCAAGCTTTATGGTGAATCTTGTCCGACAACTAAGGTTATAGCACCGTCACTGACCATGAACAGACGAGCTCTTGCAACGGTCGGCCGCCATTCGCGAATACGATGCGCCGAGTCATAGAGATCGTGAAGCCATGGCAGGGCTTATCTGGAATGATGGACAGCTATCTCACCTTGACAGAAGCTATATCCAACATGTCGACGACCTAATCGCTGTTTGCAGTGACAAGGAATCCAGCTGGATCCATGGTGTGTTGCTAGCGCTGTCGTTGAAGATCACGACGGGAAGATCTCTCATCAGGGTAGGAAAACGGTGACTTTGCAACCAGTCCTGCTTCTAAGGCTCACTGATCGCAGTATTGCTTCCGCAGTAGCACGCAGCGAAGAAAGCTCAACGGGGAATCGACACTGCACCTTGAGTTGATCGACAAAGAACGCTTCGACGCATTTGTCGCATTTGTATTCACCATGATTCTAGTCTGTCTCATCATGGGTCCAGTTATGATCTTGTACAGGATTCGACACATGGACGGGTATCGCCAGATGTTAGTGGCGTTGGCGTTCGCATCGTTGTTCGCGGGACTGTGCTCCAGTGCCACGAGTGCGAAGCGACATGAAGTGTTTGCTGCCACAGCAGCGTAAGTGACCACCGATGGCGCCAGACTCCGATTCTAACTTGAAAAGGTACTGCGCCGTCCTACTTGTCTTCTTAGGTCAAAACAACTGAGGCTCTGCGGGAGGAGTGCATAGACCATTCGCCAGACGTCAGACCCATGAAGGTAGCTCATAAGGCGGGCCGATGCAGGATCAGAAAGTGCAGATTTGATGGCGGAAGGATGTCATTCACAAGATTCATGTGGTGGTACGGTCGATCAGGGACAATGGAAGCTCCCTAACCTTGGCCCATGTTCGAAGCCACATTGTATGATTTCGTGATGCCAGACTCGAGCCCGTATCTTAACGACATTTCACCCAGGATAGAATGTGTACCGCATCCAATGCGTGCCCTCGAATGACCTGTCAAGTCACCATTCCTTTCCTTCGTCGTGCTGAGGATCCGCCGGTTCAGGTGAACATGTCACACGAAGTCAGGATCCATTAGAGGCACCGAGTTACTCAGTCATGACTGGTGGTCGGATCCCAGCTGCACGGGACATAAGAATCTGGGAAGTCGAGAGCTTTCATATCCTCTTTGTCGAGTTCAAAGTCGAAGATAGCCGCATTTTCTTCGATCCTGGAGGGCGTCACACTCTTCACCAATGGCACAAAGCCCTTTTGCAAACTCCAGCGCAGCAATATCTGTGCCCAAGTCTTGCCATGTTTTTCTGTCAGAGCCTTCAGAACGGGCTCATCCGCACGCTCGCCACGGACGATCGGGCAATAAGCTTCAATCACGACATTTCTCTTGCGCGCCCATTCCACAATGTCATTGCGAGGAAGCCATGGATGAAGTTCCCATTGACCAACGTCGATGGTACCGCCTACGCCTGAGGTCTTGATGTAATCTTCCAGTTCGTCAAGATGGTGGACGCCATAGTTCGAGACGCCGATTGATCGAATCTTGCCCGCTTTCTGGGCTTCCGCGAGAGCTTTCCACGCGCCGCATCTGGCTTCCTTGCCGCCGTAGGGCGAATGAATCAGATATAGATCGATGTAGTCCAGCCCGGTCTGATAGAAGGACGACTCAATAGATTTCTTTGCGGCCTCGTAGCCCATGCTCCTTGGGGGGACTTTACTGGTGAAGAAAATCTCTTCCCGCTTCAGACCGGAGTTGCGAATGGCATCGGCGCAGGGCTGCTCGTTACGATATGCCCGGGCCGAGTCGACATGTCGGTAACCGGTGCGGAATGCATGCAGCGTGGCCTTTTCGCACTCGGCAGCGGGAGTCTGGTACACACCATAACCGAGGACAGGAATCTGGTAGCCTGAGTTCAGGGGCAAAGCGGTGTTGATGTTGAATTTGGCTGGGACTTGGGCGGCCATGGTCCGGGTGTGGTTGATGGCGAAACTCGTCGGAGCTACTAATCGTTGGGGACGCTGCAACTGTTTACGCAGTGCCGCCGATCGCATGACAGAAGGGTTGAAAGGAACAAAGGTTGAGCGGCTAAAGGGTCTGGGTCTGATTCAGGGAATCCAATCTGAGGGGACAATGTGAGCAGGCGCAGGCTGCGAAATGTATCCGTACATGGGATTTGAGGGGTGTTTCCATCGTCGCTGCAGGTGGAAATATACTGCCGCTTTAAAGGTGCAGGAACGAGTCACCACCACCACCACCACCACCACGACGTATTAGTTCAAATTAACAACTACATGTCCAGAAGTCGGTTTTCAGTTAAATCAGCATGAATATTGTCTATACTCCCTACAGCACGCAGTAACCACGAGAGTTGGGCGCACAAGGGTATCTGAATCTAGTATCTAGAGGATTCCGTCTTTCTATCCGAGTCTTGATGGGAGGACACTCATTCTGATATTCAACCCCGTCCACGTCTTATAGGGAAATCACAACTTGGCCGTCGGCTGTCTTGCAAACACCACCTTGTCATGGATACAACTGACACAAAGCTTCCCATCGACGAAGATCTTTCCGGAAATGTTGGCAGTATTCCGTCCGGCGGCCTGGATTTCACAGTCTATTGTGACTCTAGAGCCGCCCGGAACAGGTCTTAGATAGCTCATCGTGATTGTTCGGCTGACGTGGCCTCCATCCAGAAAGCCCGGTCGGGCTATGGTCAACAAGGCCGCCGAGGTGAGGTTGTCCAAAATGGTGGCCGCCGCACCTCCATGTAGATTGCCAGATTTGTTGCACAGATGGGATCCTATTTCCATCTCCCATTTTGCCACGTTGGGTTGGACGTCAACCAGCGTTAGGTTTTGACCGACAGCATGTGTATCGAAGCCGGAGTAGTTTGGGTCTTTGGTGATCACGTCAAAGACGGCCTGGACGCGCTCTCGGATAGGTAGACTGGTAAGCCCACCCACTTGGAAGTTTGGTGTCCTGGGCGATTTGTCCTTCGTCATGGTCGGATTAGGTGGTTGTAAATACACTTGTCGCTGGTCGAACTTGATCTCAGGCCGGCTGGGGATCTGCTGGCTGTCAGAGGTCCAAAAGACGTGCTGAAACCGGACTCGATGATGGCGAGCTGAGAACAGAAGGAAAATGGAAATGGAAAGGAACCCTCAATTTACAATAAAGGACTCGGGGACCATCTAGTTCATTCCTTTCATTCCTTTCATACCTCGTCGAGTTGATGGATCAATCACTATTACTAGGAGTCTCCTCATCCTGGCTCATCAACCGAGGTTCGGCCCCGTCCAGGGCACTATCCCCCGTGATAAGATAAGATGGTTTCGGCACACCTTCTGCATTAAGGAAAGGCATGTGATTGGACCGTCGCGCGGCGCAACGGCACTTCCCATAATTCCCAAACGGCTCCCGTCGGACTTAACCAAAGGCCAATATTAATGAAATGGTAGAGGGAGTCCAGTGTCTACTCTGTACTATTATCTAGCGACGAAGGGGGCAGTGTAAGCGTTGGCCAGGGTTCCCCTGCTTACAGAGTACTAGTAGTAGAGTAGTACTCTGTACGGATACTCCGTACTGATACATGTTCCTGGTGAGTCGTTACCCATCTCTTGTCGATCCTTGTAACTGACTGGCTGATGGCAGAGCCGCCAGCGCAATGCGTCCCATGTGCATCTTGCTTCACCACGGGCCTGCACTCTGCATTCCAGCCGCCCTCGTCCTCCTTCCCATCTGACATCCACCTCTCGACCCACTCATTTCAGCCTTTCGGCGCGTATCGAGGCCCTTCCTTCCTGTTCCCCTCATCGATCGTCCCCTCGACCATGATCCCGGCGCATATCGACTGTCGAGATGATGGACGAGGACGACAGGGCGGAGAATGGCACGCCCGACCACGCCAAAGCATCCAAACGAGACCGATTGAAGGGGGCCCTGGCCAGGACCAAAAGCAAATTCAAGAAACAACCGGGGCAGAATGAAGAGTCGGACAATATCCTCAGTCATGATGTGGATGAGTTCCTCTCGGCAGGCCGGGCATCGACCTCGAGCTGGACTTCTGGCCATGATCATGATCGCCTTGTTCCATCCACCCCTATTCCAGCATTGAACCCCTCGTCGATGGAGCAGTCTTCCAGACCGTCGTCGTCTTCTGACACCGTCCCTCGACCTAAACAATCGCCGAGACGAATCCCGGTGCCACGGATCGACGTGTCCAACTCGCAGAGATGGCCGACTGCGCAGCCAATCGTTCCGCAGGAGCACCACGGTGACGGTCCCGAGTTTCTCAGTCCCGAACACCAGACTCGCAGCCAATCAGCCAGTTCGATACGAAAGCGCAAAGGGCGTGGTAGAGAATTGAGCGTCAGCTTCATCGAGGCCCCTCCCGTAATCATCGGCGAAGGCGGCGACGAGGCTCTGGTCCCTCCGGTCGAGATTTCCAAGGCTCGGGCGAGAGCCAGGTCGTTCTCTCCGATGACCAGTCGATCCGAATCCCAGACTGTTCAGACCCCAGATGGGAAAGGTCAAGGGGTTGTCAATAATAATTCCAATCCTCAACCAGACGCTGCTCCTCGACCCGATCCGCCGGATATTCTGCGACCTAGGGGGTTGCGCAGAGTCCAGACGGGGGCCGCATCGGCCAACTCGGCTTCGGCTTCGGTTTCGGCTTTGGACAAAGAGTTTGAAATGACTCTACAACTGGGTTCCGCTGTGAACTCGCCGGACGGGCCAAGCGCGTCGCCTCATACCCAAGAGATCATCGCCCCGAAGCCAATGCGTCCTCTCCGGCCACCACCACGTCTCACCGAATCACCGGAACCTGAAGTGGTAACAACCTTCGCCACGGACGACGCCCGGAAACCTTTTAGAGAGGGAGACATTCTCCGGCTGCATCATGAGCGCGACATGTCAGATCTGGTAGATGATGGCAGTGCCAGAGGAGCAGGAGCAGGAGCATCGAGGAGAGGAACAAGTCTGGAAGATGGTCGGCCGCCCCAGAGGACATGAGCCAAGTGGACTGCACTGAGTATTCTTCTACATAGACTGTTCTTCCTGTCTAGTCTAGAGATACGGTTGGCACGTCGGCAGGATCATTCATTCCTTGATCTCTTGCCTGATGGCTCTGAACCCCTGGATGAGATCGTCCAGGAGGTCTCGGTCATCCTCGATGCCGACACTTATCCTCAACAGGTCCCTTCCCACCGTCGAGTCGGACATGGTCCGCCATTCAATCAAGCTCTCCACTCCGCCCAGACTTGTAGCGTGGTGGAACAGGTGTAGTTTGCTGGGCAAGGCGCGGGCCAGGTCGGCGGATTTCAAAGATATGGAGAAGACCGGACCAAAGCCGTTGGGCATCTGCCTCTTCAACCAGGTCTTGTAGTCTTCGGTCTGCAGGCTGGCATGGTAGACCTTGCTCACTACCGACTTGATGATGTCCACATCCGCCCGGGACAGTCCCGTGCCGACGGTCCTGCCGGTCAAAGCGCCGTCCAGCGCGTCGACCAGCCTCTGGGCGCCTGTGCTTTGCTTCAACAATCTCAGTTCGAGGGTGCGCACACTTCTCACGCCCAGCCAGGCCTCCAAGCCACCCATGACGGAGCCGAGGAACAACCGCTCCTCGACCATTTTCGGGATCCATTCCTTGTTCTTGACCGCCAGAACGCCACACAGCATGTCCGAGTGTCCCCCAATGTATTTGGTGCCGGAGTGCATGACGATGTCGGCGCCATGCTTGAACGGGTCCTGCAGCGGCGGCGGGGCAAAGGTAGCATCGACGCTGAGGTAGGCGCCTTTCGAATGCGCCAGGTCGGCGTAGTGCTGGATATCAAACGCCTCGCCCGTCGGGTTGATCGGGGTCTCCAGGTGCAAAAGGTCGCCCTGGTGCAGGTCTTCGGGCTTGCAGTCCAGCGGCAGGAGCTTCAGTCCCGACAGCTTCTGGTGCAGGCCCAGCACGCCGTGGCAGCCGTGGTATCCCGCGCCGATGGCCACTCTTTTGGGGTTGAGGAAGGTGATGAGCGCGTTGAAGGCCGACAGGCCCGACGAATACGTCAGGCACGGATTGTGCAGCAGCACGCCCAGGATGGCTTCGAGCCGCGAGCTGCTGTGCGTCGTGTGTCGCGAGTACAGGTGCTCGGTCGGTTGGAAGGCCGGCTCGCCGCGCTCTGCCCACGGCCGCAGCTGCGACGGGTCTTGATTGTAGCGGAACGTCGTGCTCACGTGGATCGGCGGCGCCACGTCGTCCACCACATTGAGCGGATCGTCGGCGTGGATCGCCTGCGTCGCAGCCGACAGTGACTTGATGTCTAGGGCGTGAGAGTCTTCGATCGTGTGCGCGTCGACACCGCCCGCCGCCCCAGGTACCTTGTCGACGTCGTCCGCGTCCACCGTGGGCTGGTGAACTCCGTTGGTGGCCATTGGCGTCCCTGGATTGCGGTTGGGGGGGAAAGGGAAAGGGAAAGACGGAGAGGAGGCTTTGAGTCACAGCTCGAGGTCGAGGTCGAGGTCGAGACTAAACTAAAGTGAGGTCGTGCGAGTATTAGTATATAGAAGTAGAGGTAGAAGTACGGAATCACTCTGACTTACATCCTTGTAGGCATCTTTTTTGTCTTTCGGTCGATAACGTGCTCGATTATGGAACAGGTCGATGGAGACGTGATGCGGGGACTGACGGTGGACACGAGGGTCTTGAGCATGACCGGACTGTCTGACCGAAGCACAGTCGGCGAGTTGAGTACCACATGTCATAGTAGCTGCTGTAAATCTACTGGTCTGACAGAAACAATTTGTTTATTGACTGCCGCAGGGCGCATGCGCTGTTATCCGGCCTCGCCGATGCGCCGAAGCCTGCGTTTTCGTTTTCATACCACCGTCGCCCATCGCCCATCACCGGCTGGTGCAACCTACGCTCTCATACAACACAGCAACAAAAGAAGCGCAGGTTCAAAGCACCTAGGAACATTAAATGACTCCACTAGATGGACACACAAAAGATCGGTGCACTGACTTGGAGAATATATAGAAGAGTGCTCATGACATTACACCATACCAAAACTACAATCAACCAGGTTCATCACATCTGACCCGACCGTGACACAGCCAAGATACCCTCGCTAACGAAGACAACACACAATGAATACTACTCTGTGCGCCTACGCCATAGCGTCCACTTCAGGCCGTGCCCACGACGTCCTTCCCCTCCCTTCTTTATTTCACTGGGTTGGTGACGCCGGGATGGATCTTCTCCAAGATATCCGCTAGCTCGTTCCAAATCTTCTTCGAGGCCTTGTTTCCATCCTCGCTCCGCACGAACGCCGACAGCGCACCATCGTTGGGCAGGCCGTCGGTCATGTACTTGCCATGCGACTCCGGGCCGGCCTCGGCAGCCGCCATCAAAGTGCGACTCCCAACCTCTGTTGAGCGGGCGAGAAAAAACTTGAGAATTGATATGATGAACGGGCCGTCACGTGAGAGTTCTGAATGACACAGACCTGGGTTGAGATAGTTGAGGACGACACCGGTGCCGCGTTCGGCGATCTTGGGCGCGATGGCGCGACAGACCAGCACCTCGAGGAGCTTGCTGGTCGGATACCGCTCGCCCATGTTGGCTGTTTTCTGGTCGGAGAGTGTAACAAAGCTATTGGCGGCCTTCCATTCGGGAAACTTGCTATGGCCATGCACTTCGCTGGAGACGATGGTAAGGCGTGGGTGAGTGTTGTAGTCCCGCGCCGTGGCTTCGAGCTTGGGCAGAAGCAGCAGCGCCAGTAGGAAAGTGCTGATGACGTTGACGGTGACGGTCCGTTCGTGGCCTTCAGCCAGCGCGAACTTGCTGACTGCAATCCCCGCGTTTTCCAGGAGCACGTCGATGCGGGCCAGGTCCTTGGCTGCCCGCGTTGCAAAGGTCTGGACGGACTCGTACGACGCCAGGTCAAGCTTCCACACTTCAATCACGCCGGGGCCGCAGTGGGTGGTCTCTTCAATTTCCCGTCGCGCATTTTCGCCGGCTGAGGTGTTGCGCACCGCGAGGATGAGTTTCGACACCCCAAGCCGCGCAAAGTGTCGGGCCGCTTCTTTTCCCAGACCCGTGTTGGAGCCCGTCACGATGACAGTTTGCCCCTTGAATGATTCTGACGGGTACTTTGGCTTGACGAAGAGCTGGGAGTACAGAAACCCCATGGTGACGGACAGATCGACAGTTGGTTGGTGGTTGGGGGAGTAATGGGAGGTGTGTTGACGTGGGATGGGATGGAGACTGGATACAGTATCGCGTTCGTGGTCAAGAGGAGATCAAGTGCCGTCAATCGAGAGCGTGGACACTGGACGGCCGTAAAGTATGTATGTAGATAGATCTTCTCTACTCTACACAATGCACATACGGGCAGGTGCCTAGGGTATATATACATACCTGTCAAAGTATCCGTCCAGCTCCCGTTCAATACTCGACTTTAGGGATCCTAAAGCCCGTGATTTCCACAGGCGCCATGTGAACGTGCACGTCCCATCCCAAGCCAATGTAGACAGTCTCATGGTGGCCACATTTGGAGGTGTGGAAGCCGTTTCCATCTCATCCGGTCGCATCTGGCCCCGTCGCCCGATCCCGCGCTATGCCGCATCGAGAGAAACCCGGCGAGAGGGACGTCATTCGTTCTTGGTCCGGAGTACAGAGTATATAAGGTATACTGCACCATGCTGTAATCTCCCCCAGGCTCCCATGAAATCTCCCTCAGGCTCCCATGTCCGGTCGATCCCACTGCATGTCCGGTCCATCGCATGGCCTATTCCCCGGAAATAGTGTTATTTCCATGTCTACATCCATGCCATGGCCATCGCCAAGATGCAAGATGCAAGATGCATGATGCAGGAAAAAGACAACGACAAAGAATTAATCCGCGCGGATGAGATGCCTGCCGCTAACGAACGGTATGATGGCACTCGTGGCGGTGTTATGGATGGTGGTGGTGGTGGTGGTGGTGGTGTATACAGAGTCAAGGTAGGTTGTAGGTTGTAGATTGTAGATAGGCCATAACGAGCGACACCATCTGCCTACCTCATATTATACCTAATGCACGGGCTGGCACTGAGTTTGTAGGACCAAAAGGCGTATCAGGGAGACCGTACGTCAGGTTTATCTTCGGGTCTCGTCAGAAGAAAGGAGTGGCCTGCACGTTTCTCATTCTCAGGGACGTCGATCAACACAATCATGCGGAGGATATGTGGATATGGCAACGAAGAAATGAACTGTGAATCAATGAACGCTTTGATTTGGCAAAATGCAATGCCTTTTGTTTTTGTCATTTGACTGCAACGATGGCAGGTTGAAGGTATATAAATAATCCTAACTAAATAATGGTTTTGCTGAACTGCTCTGTTGTCTGTTTGAGATGTGATATCGTGTATGTCATGATATGGAATGGTTCGTCGATAACGATAAAGCTGCTACCAATGATATAGGATCGAAAGAGGAAGGCTGAAGACTGAAGACCGGAACGCCAAATATGCAAAGTTGATCAGCCCGCCGACTGGGTCCAGGACGGTGATCTGTGGTCCCAACTCGAACATTTCAGTCGACGTTGATCTTGACGTACTCGCCCTCGCCCTCGTCGTCCGAGCCGGCTCTTTCCCAATCACTCATCTCATCCTCGTTCGCATCATGTGGCTGATGCTGGGCGTTGGTGGTGGTGGTGGTGGTGGCGGCAGCGCCATTACTGTCCTCACGCTCGTACAGAGGCAGCGTGTCGACGGTGGCGTTGGCATGCTCCAACCCCAAAGTTTCAGAGCGATCCTCTCTGTGAGCCTCCTGCTCGGCTTCTGCGTGCTTGCCCTTGGTGTCTGAGGCACTATTTGACGCAGCCTTGGCTGGGTATGGCCGGGTGGTTTGGGCTGGTTGCGTAGCTTCGGCGCCGTACAAGCCTTGGTGGTCACTGGTCTCCTCAGCTTCGACAACCCCCGCAGTCAGGTATGGCTCATCGTCCATGTCAATGTCGTCGTGTCCTTGTAGATGGTCGACCGACGCCGCGGAAGGCGAGCTGTCGACCCGGACTTCCTTCTTGCCAAACTTCTTCTTCTCGATCTTGGGCACGCTGACAATGAGGACTCCATCGACCATCTTGGCCGTGATGCTGCCGACGTCGACGCTGGCGGGCTCCTTTTGCGTGCCAAGTCGGATGTTCTTCTCGAACACGCCTGTCTCGCGCTTGCGTCCGTCGACCACTAGGTGGGATAACATTTGTTCGTCGGCGCCCGGTCGGTGAACCACTCCGGCAATGCGCAGGTTGGAATGTTCGTCGTCCCATTCCACCCCGACGTCGGATTTCTTCGCCCCGGGCAGTGATAGGTGGATGATGTAGTGCGAGGCAGTGTCGAAGATATCCGTTCTCGGTTCAAAGTCGCTGTCGTGAGAGCGGGGCGAGGTGAATCGGCCAATATCCAGACCGAACCCTTCGGCAGCCGAGGCCAGGTCGACTCCTAGGCGTTCCCCAAGATTGTTGAGGAAAGTGCCCAGTTCGAATGGCCCCGAGCTCGGGCGTGCTCCAGGCCCTGCAAACGGACCGCCGTGGGGTGGTGAGCGTGAATTAGGACCGTGGTGTCCAAAGCGGCCTCTGGGACATCCTCCGCGACCACGAGTCCAGCCGAAAGGTCCTTGACCGTGCGGGCCGGAGCTACCTGCTTGTGGTGGAGCAAATGGGTGAGGCCCAAACATGAAGGGGCCTGCACCGAAGGGTGGTGGCGGCGGTGGTCCTCGATGACCCCCTCGACCCCATGGACCGTGTCCGTGTGGACCATGACGGCCGTGATGGTGGCTATGGCGTCCTCCACGATCGTGGGAGCCTCTTCTGTGGCGACGGCGACCTTCTCCCTCACTCTCGCTGCTGCTGCTGCTGCTGCTGCTGCTGCCGCCGCTCTTTTCACCATTGAATGCCTGGTCGAATCGTCCGCGTCCGCGGAACGGTATGTTCGTGTCTTTGTCCTTGGCCGGGCCTTCGGGACGGACAGTGGAGGGATCTACCTCTGGCGGATCCGCGATGGTGGCTTCCGACTGCTTGCCTTTCGATTGACCTTTCTCGCCGGCCTCAGGGGAGGCAGAGGGAGCGGCAGCAGCATGTGGTGGTGGTGGCGGCGGTGGTGGTCCGCGGTATTGGGCGAACATAGGATGGTCCTCGATACCATTGATGAAGTCCCAGAAGGGATTGGGTGGCGGATTCATTTGGAAGAGCGGAGGTATAAAGATGGGAGGCATGGTGGCGTTTCTCTCACTTGATTACAGGTGCTTTGAGGAACTGATAGACTCTTGATTGTAAGGAATGAAGAGGTTGATGGCAATAAATAGGATGGAAAAGGTAGAACAAGAGACTGCGAGGGAACAGAGATCTTATAGCCCTTCACACGTACTCTGGACGCACCTTGACGTGAACGCTGACCCCGCGGCCAGGCAAACACGTTTCCTACGAATCCCAAGGGTCGCGATAGCGCGCCACAGCCGTACTTAGCGCTCATGCTAGTATCTTAGCTCGCCATATGTAGCCTCACTACACAGCCGGTTCTGGCACCAAAGGCGCTAACTGCGGCACCTAATTGCAGTACTTTTGCTAAATGTGAACGGACATGGGGATTGGTTAATTTGCAAAGGCCACCCTCGGGCAACGCAATCGTGGCGACACAGTTGCTGGCCACCCTTTTGACGTCGTGAACTCTGATGCCTGGACGGCGACGCATCAGCCACACCACCTGGGAGAAATGGGAGGCGAAAGCTAAGAGTCTCGGCCCCGTGTGGTGTTGCCTTTGTGATCCATCGGCTTCTATCTCGTTCTCACTTGATGTTACGTGAGCACCCTTCGGGCAAATCCAAGTGTGAGTGACTACTGGTTCGGCGCCGAACACTAGATGTATGTCCGCTGGGCCATGGAGTGCAGAACCCTGGCTCTTTTTGGGCGATCCCCATGAGCTCATGGATGGTAGACCATTCCAGCAGCGGGTAAGTAGTATTACTGTGTAGTTCTCACTCTCAACTCGACTCACTGGTTTCAACTCGACTCAGTCACCATATCTCAACTCGCCCTAGCCATGCCTAGAATACGACCGTTCTATTAGTGAGCGGTTGCAAATGCCAAGCCTTTCAAGCCACGATGACGCTAAGCCTAAATGAAAGACCACCTTAAAACTCTTAGAATAAGTACTCTCTAGCTCAAAAATCATCTAAATTCCACCACTGAGGAATTTGCTGATATCTGGCAAGATGGCCGAGTGGTCTAAGGCGCTAGCTTCAGGCCCATTTGATTGGATCTGCTAGTAGGTAAAACTGCGTGGGTTCGAATCCCACTCTTGTCAACACGCTTCATTTTTTGCTTTTTTGCAATCTTTCTGCACGCTGCATTTTTTCTTAGTCGTGTTGAGAAAAATTATACAAGTACATCGCTTAGAGATTCCGACTCGTAAAGAGGCACAGCTTCTATGTCGCCTTTCCTTGGACCGGGAGATTACTATACCATTCTATCTAGATTCTCGTTTAGCTCTAATATTTCCCACGTCTATTCCAGTCTATCTCATGGTCGGTGTCTATCTCGGGTTTCTTTTCTTCGTGTTCTACAGTAGATGTGTCAGTGTCAGTAACCGCTGACTCGACGCTTCGCTTGTCTGATGATTCTAAATAGACACTGATAGTTCCCCTCTCTTACCTAAAATCTATATTTGGTCCACATCACATCACTCTGTTGATAGTGGTACAACACTGACGGCGCCTTCCGCCTTTCGAGGGTCGACTTGCTCTGGACTGGCTGATTCTCCTCCATCGACGGACGACGACCGAGGATGTTCGAGGGCATACTTTCTCCTAAATGGGAACAGGTCAGTCAGGTCAGTCAGGTCAGGTCAAGTCAGGTCACAAAGCCCAAGACCACCACCACAACCACAAGAAATACAATAGGAAGGGTGTACTAACTCAGATCTCCGATGGAGGAAAAACACGACCCAGGTGAAGCAAATCAGGCAGAAGGAGTCGACGGCGGTGAAGGTATAGCCCTTCAGGAATTGGGGGGCTTCGACAGTCTTCCACACCAACAGCGGGGTCCAACCGGTGGTGCTCTGGGCGACGGCATTCATCAGTACCAGGGTGAGAGCTCGGCGCTGATTGTCGTGGCGCAAGATATCGTTGGTCCAGCCGTACAGGACGCTGCTGACGCCCAGCTCAAAGTACGACATGCAGAAGGCAAACCACTTTGCGGAATCGGGCACGTCCCAGATAGCGAGGATGATACAGACGATGATATTGACCGTCAATGCCATGGTGATGGCGCCGGGCGGGCGCAAGACCAAGTCGGAACTGAAGTTGACCAGGAGAATCCAGGCCATGCCGAGACCAGGGGCCAGAGCGCCGAGCGAGTTGATCCTCGACTCGGAGTATCGATCCAAACTCTGGAGCCAGAGGAGGAACTGGCCGTTGACGGCGGCCGCGGCGTTCCAGAACAGCGAGGCCCAGAAGGTGAGGTAGTAGATCTTGGAATCAGTGAAGATGTCCTTGAAGATCTGGAGCGACGGCCTCAGTCCCTGGCCCTCGACAACGCTGTGGTTGGTGTCGGAGAGTCGTTTGCGCGCCAACGTCAGGTCTTCGGCCGTGAGAATGAGCTTGTTGGGCATGGCCGGCGTCCCCGGCCAGATGAAGACGCCCGCAATGCCGACCGGGAGCGTCATCACCGCCACGATGATGAACATCCATCTCCATCCCGCAAGTCCAGACACGCCGTCCAGGTGTTTCGACGCTCCGCTCTGGATCAGACTAGCAGTGACGCCGCCGAACGTCAATCCGACATAGAAGATGCCGCCCCGACGAGCCAATTCGTCGCGTCGATACCATGCGCCCAACACGTAGTGCACACCGGGGAAAAAAGCACTCTGTCCGAAAAGAGGGAAACAAACCGGTCAGCGTGTCTCAAAGTGGAGTTTTATGTTCCGCCAGTCCATGAATGGGGAAGTATAAATGAATTGTTTTTTTCTTCTTTCAGCTTACCGAGAAAAAGCCCACAAAGAACCGGTACGCCATGAACTCGGCGAACGAGTTCCCACGGTACTGTAGCAGGGTAAAAATGCCCCAGGCTATCTCCATGCCCGGAACCAAGTAGTTCATAGGGAACAAGGGGAACAGCAAAGCAAAGGGCAATTGGCCCAGCACCGCGCCCACGGTGAAGATGGTCTGGAAGCGGACGAGCTCATTCCCGTGGAAATCCAAATCTCTCGCGAGCCCGGACACGTATGCATTGCCTATCAGTACCGGTGGATGCGGACGTCAGCCATTATGCCCACTCAGCTGGGCTGCAAACAACCCAAAAAAAACTTGATCAGAGGGATCGGGATCGGAATCAGGATCGGGATTTCTCACTGATATTGGTACTGTCGATATATTCCAACCAGAAGGCGATAAAGGCATAAGGGATGATGAGCAAGTCGAGCTTGAGCAAGAGCCGGCGCTCCTTGGGGCCGTCTGACTCGGCATACCAGCGATACCAGGGCAGGCCTTGACGGGGATTGTGCGACATGATGATGATTATCCTCCTTAAGTCTGCCTAATAAGCGACTAGGTGATAGTGACAATCACAACAAAGGAGAGGGAGGCTGAGGCTGAGACCGGCTCTGGGTCTGGATGAAGGGCAAATCGACCAGGATGGATCGAGGCTGAGACTGAGACTCGACGTGCAGCGGCCAGATACTACTATTATGTAGTATTTCGATCTCAGCGAGCCCTCGCAACCATTCTATCCAATCCATACTCCTTTCTCCCGTATAGTAAGTATGGAAAAATCAAATCCCAAGTCGAAGACGACAGACAAGATGAAGATGCCGTCATCTGAGCACAAGCACCTCATACACCGCTAAGTCTGCTAGGCTATGGGTGAAGAGCGAGCTGTTTAGATAGAGTACACGGTTTTCTCTCCACACCGTAGGTAGGAGGATGGAGGATGGAGGATGGAGCCGGGCTCGCACGTGTCGAAACCGAAACCGCCTTTGACTGCTCTGACCCGGACCCTGCCTTGTGTCATTTGCTTGATTGGTATGTATACCAGTCCTATAGCCATAGCGAGGGCACTAGTAGTGTTCGAGGCTTGCTCGGTCTCGCACCGGCTCCGGCGTGGCTAGCTTGAGCTTGAGCGAGAGCTTGATCTCGCTTCGAGACACTGGTGTAAATATTCCACATACTTGCATAGTATACTGTTCCCGTCGCCTACGACCGCTGTCATTGGTGTCACAGTAACAGGGTCAGGGTCAGGGTCAGGGTCAGGGCCAGTGTCATGGCGCCATATCCTCACATCTGGGATCCGGATCTGGATCTGGATCTAGACCCATGCATGGATCGATTGTCTTCTCGCTGTATCGAATCCAAGGCGGCAGTAATTATGTATTCAAGGCGGCAGTAAGTATTCTACGATCGATTCAGGGCCAAGTCCATATAGAGACAAGGTTAAGAAAAGGCTCTCTCGCCTCGCTACGTACCTGAACTCTCAACATGCTATCCTATCCTATCCAGGCTTTCTAGCCGACCGGCGTGAGCGCCAACCATCTATGGCCCCACGATGTTGTGACATTGACTAGCTATTAGTCCAAACAACCCCATATGGCGAGTTGATGAACCCCGATGATAGACCCCGATGCTGAATCCTGAAGCCCGAACCTGAACCTGAAACCTAAGACCTAAGACCTGAACCTGATTGCTTTTTCATTTCACGCGGGGACATTGCCGGGGTGGACGGAGTGGACGGAGTGTATGGACTATACGGAGTTGTACTCCCGTCTATATACGCCATACTCCCGTTCATGTACGCCACAGCAAGCGGTCTCGTCATATAGTATATAGTATATAGTATTCTTCACCCTACAACTGCGGACAATGGCAATTAACTACGTACCACACCCAACCAAGTAAGTAAGTGATTGAGCCAGCCAGCCAGGAACTTCGCACCTGATATAGCATGGTGAGGCGATGGGGATCAGTATGAGCTATATTAGCATGGAATCAAAATGGTCTACTGGACGTTGTAAGTACGACCTATGGCGCTCTGTCCTCACTATTACACAGATCTACTACCTGAACCACTTTCCTAGTTCGTGGGAAATAATGGGGTCCTAGAGCACGACAGACGGCCATAATATCGCGAAATATGCCATTTCGGTTCGAGTGTCGACATGATTGGTCAAAGATAACCTCCTCCGTCTCCTTGGTCTATACCCCAAGTACTTATTAGGTACCTATATGGATACCAGGGATGGAATTGCTTCTGACTACACTCCGTAGATGTCAGTAACATTACATACATGTACAGTAGATTCAACTTATTTTCAGCGGTCCTTTCTAAGCTGTTTACTGGTAAATTTAGCCTGGTTTAATGGGCTTCGTCCCGTTTTCATTGCTTCTCCTGAATCTCTTGACTTTCGTAATGTGACCAACTCAGCACTCTCTGATATGATCAGAAACAATCATGGAGATGGTACGCATCTCGGTAGAACTAGATTGATCATGCTCGTAACGTAGTAAGAGTTTCTTCCATGCCAGGACGCTCCTTCATCTGTCTTTGATAGATCTGGTCAACCCTCCTCCTGGTTTCTTGCATCTTGTCGTAAACCAGTCAGACTTTGGACGCGGCTGAGAGGTCGGCTCAGATACTATTAGAGAGTGTGGTGGTGGAGATGGTGCCGACAAGGAGAGTATTAACAGCTCTGTCGGCATGCATGATCATTCATTCGTCAATCCAAGTCAGGACGGCTCACCAGGCACCAAACCCTCATCCTCAGCTTGCGGATCTCCAAAGTAATGTAAAACATCTTGGGGCAGATACTCAAGCCAAGGGATCATGTCACCGCCGGGAAAGTTGAACCCCAGGGGTTGTCCATTCATGTCAACATCTTGTGTTTCAACGAACATGTTGAAGCTTTGGTCTTGAGCATCCATGAATTGTTGCGGAAAATTCATGGGTGTCGCATGTTGAGAATAATTGAAAGTACTCGGCGGCTGACCCTGTTGCTCGCACCCGGGCTGAATCATGGACGGATTGGTCGAGACTGCAGCGTATGGCGCATGTAGCCCGAGTAAGAGGTCTGCTTCTGCCGTTGAGACCGGATCATATGGCAATGATGACAACTTGTCGCTGGCAGTGGATTGTCCTGGGTAGTGGTGACTTATTGGTCCATTCATACCTGGTGGTTGTATGCTCGGTTCATATGAAGCTTGCCGAGTGTCCTCTCTAGGTTGTGCCTCGGTCGGCGTCCTTTTACCATTTCCTCCATTGGCGTTCGGGTAGAGAAAGCTAATATTGGGAGCGGGCGAGTTTGTCGTTCCAGTCAAGGACCATCCAATGGCTTGACCCAGGTCCATTTGGGAGGAAAAGGCCGAGTTTTCATTCATTTGACCAAGTCCTCGGAATCGGCGGAAGGTGTTCCCATCGGCCCCGGGCGATACAGCCAAGGTCGTACTCCTTCGCCAACCAGGCGTAGTGAACGACGGTTCCGTCGACGGCATTTCGCCGTCAATATCTTCGGCAGTGAAGAGCAGAGGATCCTTCAACCCCTTTGATTTCTGGTCAAGGGCGGTCAGGATGTAACGACATCCAGCCCAATAAGAATTCAAGGTTTTCAGTGCCTTGTAACACCGCTGATAGTTCTGATTGGCAGCAGTGGCCAGTAAGGTATGACGTGCCGAAGCAGCTTTCTGCTCGGAATGTGACTTGCCGTTTCCGTTCTCGAGCTTGACCCAAGCCGCCTGTCCGTTGCCTGGAGGGGACGGTGCTCGAGACGGCGGTCGGGATGCATGAGCAGCAGCTTCCGCGAGGAAAGCACATGCGGCGACGTACATAGGCTGACTAGTGAAAGGATTCCCGATGAAACTCTTAACGTCAACCAATTCGGCAAAAGCAAGAATATCGGCAATGGTTTTGGCTGATGAGATGGACAGTTCTCGGCTGTCGGGGAAGAGCTGCTGGATTCGTCCCTCAAATGAGTGCAGTAATGTCGGCTGATGGACGAGGACGATCAACGTGTGAAACCAGAAATGTAATAAAATGAAATTCGTCCCGTGGCCTGCTTTCACATAGTGCTGGAAATTTGTGGCATTGAAATGCAATTTGGGCGATAGGCGTTGATAGATGCCTGCGTGGTCAGCATGAACGCCTCATCTGAATAAGGGACACGTACCGGTCAGATCCTTTTCCATGCTCGCTAGCCGCTTCAGCACGTCTGGAGTGACTTGACTGACGTCCTTGATGTTATTCAGAACATCGGCAACCCGTCCATACATGTGGACAATCTTGATCATGGCCGGGAAGGGATCCGGATAACCATCGATGATCGTATCATCAGAGCGGTAAGGGAACGATATCTCGATATCTTTGTCCCGGAGAGTGACGGGACGACCGACGCCGGATGACACGGCTCGGTCGAGGAAAAACATTGCCCAGAAGGTATCAATTCTTTCCTGTTCGCTCGCCCTTCGGTCACCAAGTTGAGCGCTATCACGACTAGACAAATTACGAGAGAGGCTCTGTTGCTGCTCGTATCTCCTCTTTTCCTCGGCCTTGCCCTCTGGTCCATGCTTCGCCGTCTTGGGGGTCGGGCCAATCCGCCCTTCCAGTTGCAATCCTTCAAGCTTCTGGATGCCCAGATCCTGGGCCATTCGGATAGCCGTCCCCAGGTACATCCACAAGCCACTGTCGTGATCTTGGCCGAATTCTTCGTATGCTAGCAGTAAGCATGCCTGGGCCACGGATATCGTGGGGCAAGCAAAGGTGTCGACGACTGCAGACATGGCTCGTTGAGCGAATGCATGCCCGCGAAAGGCTCTTTTCACGTTGTTGTCGGCATCCAACGGAACGGAGGGGTCGTTGGATGCCAAAAGAAGAGGGTTCGAGGAAAATCGGGCTGCGACGGCGCAGACCGCGTCAACCAGGAGAGTGTCCACCCGCTTCTCCTCCAGGTCCCTCAAGAAACGTTCGCGCTGGATGAACGGGTAGTTACAGCCAAGATGGGTGAAGAAGATCTCGCACAAATGAGTGATCAGAGGCGGGTTCTGGTCCGGGGCAGTAGCATCGTAGAATGGTATCTCAACCGGAGGCCTATCTTGACCACCGACAAAGTTCGGTTCCAGGGGCTGTCCCGAAGATGGAGATTCCGCCGAAATAGAGGGCAAGCTTCGTCGATGATCCTTCACCTGAACCACCATCTGCTTGAATCCAGGCACAATGGCCGTTGGGCCAAAGTATCGAAAGTAGGGCACGCGATTCCTCGAGGACGTGAAGCTGCCGGTGGTGTTGTTGCTGGCAGGACTGATGACTTCCGCCGCCTCGTTTCTATCGCCCGCCATCGCATGTGCTCCAGCACCTGTTGGGTGTGGCCTTTCTGGCTCTGGTCGCGACCATGGTAGAGCTTCGCCATCTTTGAGATACTTTCGAGGCGTGGAAGAGCCCGATTCTTCCTCCTCTTCACCGTCATCATCGACCCTTTCGCCATCCTTCCTGGGCGGCCTCTCTGCATACCCTGAACAGACGTGACCATTATCCGTGCAGGTTTTGCACTCTGGGCGCTCGCCCGAACACCGCGTTTTTCTCTTGCGACATGTCAGACAAGCCGCGTTTATCCGTCTTCTCTTGGTGTGTGGCTGTCCATCGGTCGAGACGAAGCGGATCTGGCGAAGCGGTGGAAGGAAGCTTGTAGAATTAATTCGCGCGGTTCGAGGGTCGGGATGAGGCGCCCTGCTCAGGCTCATAATGATGGTCCGCGGACAGGGCTCGCGGTCGTCGTCCTGGGGGGAAACATTGTATCTCTGGGCTTCTAGAGCGTCCACGGCTAGACAGAACCGTACGCGTAGCTGCTCAGAGAAGGAGCCTGAGCCTTGGATGAGGTTCGTGTCGCTTGCAGGCGTTGAATGGGGGCCATACAGCACTCACGAGAATATATACATGTGCGTCCCGCCGCCACATTTGCGGGGTCATCACTACCTGCGGCATGAGTACTAGTACTCTACCCATACGAAGTACAGGGCAAACTATACTACCATCTGTCAAGTTCATCCGTATGTAGCTGTACTGTCGGTGGTCAACCCGCTGACTCTATGTGCTCTTTTATTGTGCCAAATCCGCTCTTCCAACGCCGCCAGAGACTCATTGTCCTTCCACCTTGGGCTTGAGCAGTTCATCCTTGATATCGCCCTCCTTTCGAACTTGCCCCAACACGGGCCTAGGTATCTCAAACCCATCTAGGACCCTCGCGTAGGTGATTCCTCCTAACCGGGAAACCGGCCTCAGGATCTCCGGGGCAATCACACTTCGGTCCTCATTGATGGCGTCCTCCCTCACCCAGAATTGAACTCCTTCTATGACTGCCAGAACACCGGTCTTCTTACCCGGCGTGGCTCTGGATTCGAACTCTTGCGTGTTCATCAACTTGCCCTCGATACTAAAGACCGCCTCCTTGACTCGAGAAGGCGCCACTACCTTGCTGTCGGCCGGAGTCAGGCCCGAGACCGCCCACTCCGACAGGCCATATGGAAGGTCGATGGCACAGGCGTTGGCTGCCTCGACGTAGTGGTCAGAAATGATGTTAATGACACACTCACCGGTGTCTAATAAATTCTTCAGCGTGTCTTTGGCGTTGTCGAACCCTCCGCTAAAGCCTACACCGAAGACGGGAGGGTCGTGGTTGAAGACTTGGGTGTAGCTAAACGGTGCCAGGTTTGTGGACGAGCCATCTGGAGATCGGGTCGACAAGAATCCAATGGGCCGTGGAACGATGCCAGAGATGAGCAGTTTGTAATTGAGGACTGGTGGCCTTCCCTCCGCGTAGGGATCGATTGATATGTGTGCTTTCGAAGCGCCCGACTTGTCCGTGGCTCCTGAGCCATAGGTCCAACTGGGTTCTCGGGTTTTGCTGTACTGCCACTGTTTCGATTCGTCCCAGTCGGGTCGGGATGCCTGTACTTTGCCAAAGTCGCCATGAGGGTTTCTCTTCACGGCCGACTCGGCATCATGCTTCTGCTGAGCCTCTTGAGGCTTCGAATCCTGCGAGGACATTTGTATTCGTGCCACAAATACCCCTCAAAGTGGCACTCGATAGACCAAGGCGCAGGATCCCAGTGTTTCTAGGTGCGAGGGTCAAAAGCAAGGAAATCGATCGCCTTGGCCACCTACTAGAAAAAAGTTAAGACAAGCTGACTGCCCATACGGAGGACACAAGGTTCACTTGGTGATGAGTGCATCCAAGTCGGCGGAGAAACTCCAGCCGATGCTCGCGTAGTTTTATCTATCCGTCCATCCAGGACCCTTGACCTTTCGAGTCTCACATGGAGATGAGCGCCTTGCGGGGTCGGAAGCAGTTATCAGGATGAACCAAAGCTCATATACAGAATCGTAGGCGGGGATTCCCCTGGTGCGTCTTTCAACTGGCATCAATCAAGACCGCAGAGATGTCCGACTACGAGACATATGATCTGGGTGACTTCAAGCTGCAGAGTGGTGTCGTCTTGCCAGGGGCATGGATAGCCTACAAGACGTACGGTGATCCTGGCACCCCGGCAGTTCTGTATCCAACCTGGTATTCAGGCACAATCTCTGACAATGAATGGCTCATTGGCGAGAACATGGCCTTGAATCCCAAGAACTACTTTATCATCATCCCGGCCCTCTTCGGAAACGGACAGTCCATCTCCCCTTCGAACTCGAAGATAGCTCCCTTTCCGGATGTCACTTTCTACGACAATGTCAGAGCTCAACATCAGCTTTTGACCCAGAAGCTGGGCATCAACCACCTTCGCTGCGTGACCGGGTGGTCGATGGGTGCTGGTCAAGCCTTCCAATGGGCTACACAGTACCCAGAGTTTTTAGATATCTGTGTGCCCTTTTGTGGTTCGGCAAAGACATCCATCCACAACCAGGTCATGCTCGAAGGGGTCAAGTCGGCCTTGCTGGCCGCCAAAGGTGCATCTTCAGCCGGCAGTACGTATGGGAGGTTCGAAAAAAGAGGTTCTGAAGCGCGGACCTGGACCGAGGAGGAAAAGACGACTGGCCTGAAGGCGTTTAGTCGAGTCTACGCAGGCTGGGGGTTCAGTCAGGCATTCTATCGACAAAAGGTGTATGAGACGGCGTATGGCTCGAAAGAACTGGAAGATTTCATGGTCTGTTTCTGGGAGGCTTGGGGGTTGAGCAAAGACCCCGAAAACCTGCTTGTCATGCTGCATACGTGGCAAGCAGCGGATGTGAGCCTGCAGGAGCCATACAACGGCAACTTCGAGAAAGCCCTGGCTAGCATCAAGGCAAAAACCTTGGTGCTCCCCAGCAAGACCGATTTATATTTCCCGTGAGTGTCAGCAAGTCACTCACTAGCCTCTTGACTTACTGACTGCGAACAGACCGGAAGACTCGGAGTACGAGGTCCAGAACATGGCTCCTGGAGTAGGCAGCCTGGATGTCTATCCGTCCATCTGGGGCCACTGGGCAGGAGGACCTCCAGGAAACATGGAAGACGCGAAGTGGCTGGATGAAAGACTGGCAAAGCTGCTCGCTGAAGCCCCCACGCTGGGCTGAGGAGGATGCGGTTGGTTGAAGACCGGGCGCACCTGGAATTGGAGGGGCTCGGCCGTTGACTTGATGAGGTTGGAGGTTCTATCGCCGCTTCAGGACAACGGGGCAACAAGGTATGAATACCTAGGCAGCAGTGGCAGATGAATATTAGTTGAAGAAATCGTGAGATCTACCTTCAGAACCGGTGGTACTATCGTAGATCGACACTGCGTCCCCTGGTACCGCACGAGGACCTCTTAGTAGGTGCCTAGTATGGCGATGCTTGGCGCCTACTCCTTCCCGCTCGCTGACTCGCCGCCTCAGCCTGCGCATCGGTCAGTGGCTTGGACGGATTCACGTCTCCAAAGACAATCGGGTGAAATTCCCATTCACCAACACCCCCCCTTTATCATCTTGCCATTTGCATCTTTCACTTTCATCTTTCTTTTGGAGTTTGGCGATGATGTCTTTGCCCTTTCGAGGCCTTCCTGTTGCCATTTTGTGCCACTGAACCCTACCACTGTGTCTCGAAAGGCTCCTTTCTCCGCTGCCTGATATAAATTTCAGTCACCACAAGCGCAACGCTGCCAAACAGGACCGCACCAACCCCCAACGGCCAGAGAGTAACCATCCACCATGGCGACACCAGGCCCCTCGGCGCCCAAGCAGTGGGGTGTCAGTCCGCCCATCTCAACGGCCCTTCCGGAGCCTTTAGATAACGAGAAGACGGCGGAGTTGGTGGAAGAGTTGAAGCGAGAGAACAACTATGAACCTATGGATGAGACGAAAAAGAGGATGAGCACACTGGGCCTGCTGAACAGAGTCACTCAAGAGTTTGTGCGAGAAGTGAGCCGGAAGAAGAGATTGCCGCCATCTCAAATCGACCAGTTTGGGGGCAAGATCTATCCCTATGGGAGTTACCGCTTGGGGGTGTTTGGGCCAGGTACGGGATCACCGCCGGCGGCGACACATGGCAGGTACTAACCATATGCAGGATCCGATATAGATACTCTTGCGGTTGCTCCAAGGCATATCACCCGTGAAGACTTCTTCGAACACTTTCCCACAGTGCTAGAGCGCATGGCTGGGCCTGGCGCAATCACGTCTTTGACGGCCGTCCCTGATTCCTTCGTCCCCATTATCAAACTCGTCCTCAACGGTATCGAAATCGATCTCATCTTTGCCTCCATCGCCTCGCTACAAAGAATCCCCAAGGATCTCACTCTCAATGACAACAATCTGCTTCTGGGCTTGGATCAGCCTACAATTCGAGCAGTCACCGGACCGGTAAGTTCGGATATCAGTGGCGGACCAGGAGCGACCTACTGACAAATGCCAGCGTGTGACCGACGAGATCTTATCCTTGGTACCCGAACAGAAGACCTTTCGTACCGCGCTACGTGCCATCAAGTTATGGGCCCAGAGACGAGCCATCTATGCCAATATTGTTGGTTATCCTGGCGGTGTAGCTTGGGCCCTACTCGTTGCTCGAGTTTGTCAACTATATCCTCACGCGGTCGGGGCGACAATTGTCGACAAATTCTTCTTCGTCATCAGCCATTGGGAGTGGCCGACGCCGGTCATGCTGAAGGACATTGAAAAGGTGAAGAATACCGAGCAGAACAAGTTTTTCAAGGTGTGGAACCCGGCCATCTATCCAGGTGACCGCAAGAATATCATGCCAATCATCACTCCTGCGTTCCCCAGCATGTGTGCGACGTACAATATCTCCCAGTCAGGGAAGACGGTCATCTTGCGTGAATTGAAAAGGGGTGGGGAAATCACCAACAAAATATTCTCCGGCAAGGCTCAGTGGAGTGACTTGTTCAGGAAGCATACCTTCTTCACCGCCGATCACAAATACTATCTCAGCGTGACTGCCAGCTCTTTAAATGCCGATTCGGCCAAAGCGTGGGCCGGTCTCGTTGAGTCCAAAGTGCGCATTTTCGTCATGCAGCTAGAAGCCATCCAGGAAATTGAGCTCGCCCGTCCCTTTACTAAAGGGTTCAAGCGTGTCCACAAATGCTCGGATGAGATGCAGATCCGTGAAGTGCAGAAGGCCAGCATGAAATACAAAGTGGAAGAAACAAAAACCATGGAGTCTACGGATCCCGAGCTCGTCACGACGAACGGTGAAGGTGCCACTGTTCCCTCCGTCGACAGTGCGAAGCCGGAAGCCGAGCAAGGCGGCCTCACCGTGTACACGTACACCTTCTACATTGGCATTGACACCGTTGCCAAACGTCTAGATTTGGTTCCGGCCTTTAGAGCCTTTAAAGATATCTGCGAGAACTGGGCAGGGTTCAATCGAGACATCCATCATCTGAGTCTGGCCTCTACACGAAGCTGGGATCTCCCTGAGGATCTCTTTGATGAGAAAGCTGGCGAAGTCAGGCCAAGTAAACCGATCAAGAAGATCGTCAAGGCTGCCAAACCAGAGGCCAAACCAGCCCGGCGGACTATCAGTGAAGTCGAGGTAGGTCGTCACCCGGAGTTTCCTATGGCATTGCACACGCTAACCTTCCTTTCAGGACGCCGAGACTAATGGTGATTCCGTGAAGCGACAAAAAGTGATTCAACTTACACCGACGCCGACACCTGCTGCAGCCCCAGCCTGAGCAATCAATGATGAGCTGACCAGTAGCATTTTCTAACGTGATTTACTCTGAGAAGGCCGCTTGACGGACCCTCGGATGGCCCGCCGTGGCCGGCACGTTCCACCAGCGTCCCTCTGCAATTGAGGGTCAAATCGCAATGCAACACCAACACAAAAAAAGGTGAAAATGCAAAAAGCCAAAAAAGAAGTGAACAACATGCAGCGTCCTGCGACATAATCCAAACGTGAGGTCCCGTACCCGGTAAAGAGACTAACCTAGCACAGCACAACTAGCATCAGAGCAACCGTGCAATTGCAGATGGGATCGGTCTCGGCGAGGATGGGAGGTGCCCGACATGTTCTTGAGTTCGGCATCAGATTACTTTTCAGACGCTTGCGCCGTATCAAAGACGACAGATGAGGACAGGAGAACGGCAGTGACCGAGAGACGCGGCCTGCGTATTACCTCCAGAGACGAACCAGAGGCAGCGAAATGGCCGATGGTCTCAATATCATGTACATATACCATGGTGTCTGCAGACAGACACCCCCAAGTACCGACAAAATGAAACAGCTCGTTAGAGGTCTACGGACCTCGCCCACAAATGTGACGCTTTGGAAGGCTCTCCCTTGGTAGCGATGGTGTGTAACACGGACCCGCATGACAGAATCTGGGCACAACTGTCATACGACAGTCTCGACAGCTTCCCGGATGCAGAACGCTCTGGCACTGGGCGGGAGAGAGGCTGCAAACGAGAAACAGGGAGAAACGACCATCTGTGCGTATGTGCGGCTGATGGCTCAGGAGGCCTTGCCAGGGTCTCCCCTGTCCGACGGTCCCAGGCCCCCCAATCAGCCCCCAACAAGTGTCGCCCATCGACCCTCGATTCAAAATAGGCCTTTCGTCTCGTTGGTCGACATAGCCCTGCTGCATATAGCCTCAGACTCTGGACTGGAGAAAGACGCCCAGGCCGCCTCAGGCTGACCTGACCGTTGCACGAGGCGTCAGCTGAACAGAGGGCCGAGACTGAGTCTCACAGCCATTCAAGTCGAGGGGGTCCATCTCTTTGCATCTGGGGTTACCAGAGAGGGGAAGATGGCGTATATATACCTGCGGTTGGATGCTGTCGAAACTGCCACTTTTCAATCACCGCCGAATCAATGTCACCTCCCAGTTTTTGTCTCTCACAACGGCACAGGTGTTGCAACCCGAACACCTCACTCCCATTCAAGTTCTAATTTGACCATCGGACCTGGGCAAAGCCGCTTGCCCAAAAGAAAAAGGGAGCCGTTCTGTCTTCATCCTACGCATTCATCACCCCTCGAATTTTTGTACACCGCCTCACCTTGTTCCCAGAACCGACCATCGCCGTCCAATGGCTTCTTCAGCGCCGAGAAAGCGGATCATTGTCTGCTGTGACGGCACTTGGCAGGACAGCGACGGTGACTATCAAACCCCGAGCAATGTGACGAGACTGGCTCGCGCCATTCCTCCCGTCGGCACCGACCGACGCACAACTCCCCATCATGCTATCCCGCAGGTTGTCTTCTATCAGAATGGTGTCGGTACAGGCTCCAACTCGCTCTACGACAAGTACATTGGGGGCACGACAGGTGAAGGCCTGGCCGAACATATCCGAGAAGCCTACAGTTTCATCTGTCTCAACTACAACCCGGGAGATGAAATCTTTTTGATTGGATTCTCGCGGGGAGCATTCACGGCGCGGTCGATTTCGAGCCTGATCAACGCCGCAGGCTTGCTGACGGCCAAGGGACTGGAATTCTTCGTGCAGGTGTTTGAAGACTGGGAATTCCAGCAGAAGAAGAACTTCAAGAGCAAATGGCCGGATATGCCGTTCATCGGGCACAAACCGCCCGTGACCGACCCGAATTACCAGCGGCAACTGATCGAGAAGGGGCTGACCAGACCGAACATCAAGGTCAAATGTGTGGCCGTCTGGGACACGGTGGGCGGGTTGGGCATCCCCATGATCGGGCTCCTTCCACAGCCTCCCAGCACGGATTTCGCGTTTGTGGACACGCGGGTGGAATCCAACATTGAATACGCATTTCAAGCGCTGGCTCTGGACGAGCATCGTCGGTCGTTCTCGCCGACGGTGTGGGACTGGCCTCGTGTTGAGCCTCACGATCTCAAAGTCCTCAAGCAGACCTGGTTCCCCGGCGTGCACAGCGACATCGGTGGGAGTTACGACGACACGGCGCTGGCCAACTTGACCTTGGCGTGGATGGTGTCACAGTTGGACCCGATCTTGACCATCAACCACGAATATGTCATGGAGCTGATCCGGCCAGACCACCCGGGCACCATCCAGAGCCACCAGTCCTTCACACATGAAGGTCGAGCAGCCACGGTGCACAACACACGCACACACCTGCGGCCGTGGGGCTTGGGCAAGATCCACAACAGCTTCACGCCCTTTTTCTGGCTGGGCGGGTCGCGTGTCCGCACGCCAGGGGAGTACCGGGAGCAAGAACTGGCGTCGCAGCACGGCACGCTGGTCTGGATCCTGTTGAAGCTGAGCGACCGCGTGGCCCGGCTGCTCCGGGTCCGATCGAGCTCTCCGGTCCTGCCCCGGCTCCGGCGCACCAACGAAACCATCCACTCGAGCGTCCGCATCCGCATGGGCCGCTCAGGATTGGGATACAACGACAAGGGCAAGTACGACTCGCAAGCCCTACAAGGCTGGGAGCTGCAGGGGCTAGACACGCATCCCGACACTCCGATTGCCCAGGATACGCCCGGGGCCGTAGGTCGGATGACCGGAGTGCTGTGGAAGAAGGCGGTAGTGCCTGAGAAGGTGGTGGAAGTGAACGGGGTTGAACAAGTGCAAGTCGACGACCCCCGCGGCCCCAGTAAGAAGACGCACCTCATCCAGCTGCAGGAAGAACCGCTGGGCCTGTTCGAGCGCAAGATTCTGCAATTCTGGCCCGAGATCAATACCGACTTCGACTCCATTGTCCCCGGCCGCCACGCCAGGAAGGTCAGCAAGTCGACCACGTACCCGGTGGGATGGAATCGCTCTCATTATGATGATTCCAACGGTGTCGACAACGGCGGTGGAGAGGGGGATGAATTGGCCAAGGAGGTCGGTGACAGCACCACCTCGGCCACGAGGGACGGCTTGAGACTTTTGACCAGGCATAGCAGGGTTGAGACGACCTAGTCCCGGGAAAGAGTCTATTGAGTCTGCAGCTGTGTGTAGGAGTCTGTTGTCCCGTCAGAGGTCAGTCCGAGGGGTGAACTTTTCGTTATGTCACTTCTCGTCAAGTCACTTCTCGTTATGTCACTTCACGTCGCATGGGTTGATCGTGGATTGATCCTAGGCTGATCATGGAGGTTAATACCGCGTGGGGACACGTAAGGAACTGCCGCGGATGAATGACACAGTGCTGAGTGGGTGAGGTAGCAGAGGGAGCAAAGGGAGCAAAGGGAGCGAAAATTGACATCGACATCGACATCGACATCGATCTCCTATATCGGGCAATAACTTGGGTAATAATGTAATGTCATGATATGCAGCCTTGGGTCTGAATCTGAATGATATTGATATTGAATATCGTAACTTTCGTTGTTGATAGGTGCTCACAGTGAGTGAGTAATTAATTAATCGGTACTAAAGCTGCATGTACTATGTATGTATGCTATCAAGCTTAGATGTACAGTTACAGTTCAGCCAGTTCAGACAAGCACATAGCATAGTGTTATTGTTATTGCTTCGCTACGAATATTGTCAAGATGGTCTCTAAGGTCTGTCCCTTCGTGGCGTTCCCTGCCCGGATTATATAGGTCCTTTCTGCATGTTGCGTTCCCTACCCCGATCATGTAGGGTTATTACTTCGCTACGAATGTTGTCAGGATTGTCTAGGTCTGTCCCTTCGTGGCGTTCCCTCCCCGATCATGTAGGTGGCGCTCCCTCCCCGATCATGTAGGTGGCGCTCCCTCTCCGATCATGTAGGTGGCGCTCCCTCTCCGATCATGTAGGCCTTTCCGCATGTTTCAGAACTTCAGTTTCGCGATATGGGTGTGGTTTCCGCATGTTTATAACCTCGGTTTCACAGTGTGGGTGTGGTGGGAACTAGAACCAGAACCAGAACTAGGACTACCACCAGTGCTGGCACTGACACTACCCCTAACAGCATCATCGACCCAGGCCATAGCGTCGAGCAGCTTCTCGTCCTGCAGCCGCGGCACGACGACCTGGACACTCAACGGGGTGCCGAGATAGATTCTGCGGTCGAAGGATGGTTCGCGCCACAATTCGCGATTGCGACGGTCCCACGAGCCCAGCGGCTCCCCGGCCAGCGGGACGCCCAGCTGCAGATCGGAAAGCCGACACGGCCGCACCGGCACAGTGGCGGCGGGATAGTCGAGCAGGACCCAGGAGCTGGTCATGCCGACGGCATTGTAGGCGTCGATGGGCGGGACGGGATGCGGGGCGACGGGACAGATGATGGCATCGAGGCGCTGACGACGACGAGGACAACCACCACCACCACCACCACCACCGTGGCCATCCGAGTCGGAGTCAGAGTCAGACTCGACGTCGACCCAGAGACGTAGCATCTCGCGCTCAAGAGCGGCGCGCTGGGCCTGTAGGTCGGCGACGCGGCGTAGAGGCTGAGGCTGACCCTTGCGGAACCGCGTCGACATCCACGGCACCAGTGGCTCCTGGGTCGCGGCTAGCATGTCGGCCATGACCTCGGCGCCGTCGACCGTCATCAGCTTGCTCATGACTGATTGGCATTTCGTCCAGGCTGGAGGACAGTCCAGATCGACGACGGTCACGTTGCCGGTGGCGCGTAGTGCCGTCGCCACTTCGTCCACCACGTTGGCAATGGGCGGCAGGAGCGTGCAGTTGCCGTCGCTGCGCAGCACTCCGACCACGAATTCGCCGTGCTGGCCACTGCCGTGAGGTTGCCGACGTTGACGACCATGTTGACGTCCATGTTGACGTCCGTGTCGATGACTGGAGCATGAGCATGACCCTGAACATGACCCGGAGCATGACCCTAACCCTGACCATGCTGTGGCGTCCACCGGCACGCAGTCTTCGCCCCAGAGGCTGGAGCGTGGGACCAGCTCGCGCAGCAGGATGTCGATGTCCTCGACGCTGCGGGCAATGGGCCCGGCCACGGCTTGGACGCTGGTCCGACCCATGCCGTCCGGGCCGGTCAAAGCCTGGCCGCCGTACGGCAGGCGGCCGTGGCTCGGTTTGAAGCCATACAGGCCGTTGCACATGGCCGGGACACGGATGCTGCCTCCGATGTCGGTGCCGATGCCGAGCATGCTGCCCTTCATGGCGACGAGGGCGCCTTCGCCGCCGGACGACCCGCCCGCCGTGCACAGTCGGTTGAGGGGGTTCATGGTGCGGCCGAAGACGTTGTTGATCGAGTCCAGCGACGCCAGCGTCTGCGGCACGTTGGTCTTGGCCACGATCACGCACCCGAGCGACAACAGCAGGTCGACCAGCACCGCGTTCTTTTGGGCCGGCTTGTCGCACAGGTACGCCAGTCCGATGGACGAGTCGACCCCGACCACGTCGAACGAGTCTTTGACCGACACTGGCAGCCCGTGCAACGGGCCGAACGGCTCGCCGTGATCTTTCAAGTATCGGTCCAGCTCCTTGGCCCGCTTGATGGCGCTGTCGAACAACGGCTCGGTGATGCAGTTGGTCAATTGCTGCGCGATGGCTGCGCGGTGGCTGAACGCCTCGGCCACTTCGGCCGCTGAGAGCTGTCGAGACGCCAGCGCGGACAGCAGGCTCGCCACCGTGTAGGTTTCGGTGATGGAGATCTCGGCCTCAGACAGGAACTGGCGAGGCACATCGAGCACCGGTTGAGGCCCATCCTGGGCTTGTGGAGGGTCTTTGGGGAGTAGTTGGCTGTGGCTGTGAGGAATCAGCCATTGAGCCGGGATGCGGGCTGCCCGGTCGGCTTGTTTGCGCCGGGCAATGGCTTGCCAGGGTGCTTCTGCTTGTGTCGACGACATGGTAGATGTGATGGCGGGATCGGATTGGGATTGGGAGTGACATTAACAGCGCCTCGTCGAACAAGAGTGCAAATTCATGGTTGAGTAATAGGCGTTGTTATGTATGTACAGTATGTACCGAAGATTGTCAAAGGTGACGACCATCTCCGATCTCCGCAGTTTCAGTTTCAGTTTGGAGTTTACAGGAAGATGCCTCGGCTAACCTCTAGTAACGAACCTCAGCCTAATTATAGGTACTGTACTATACTGTACCTTTATGTAAGCTCAAGTCTGTCTACAGTGTACATCATCTAGGGTCTAGGTACCTATAGGGGTGTGCAAAGGAAGTGTGCAAATACATACTGTACCTTCTTCTATCTTCTAGGCACTTGCTGGGCGAGAGGGGGGCCAGGTTTCCCACAGAAGGCCATAGATACAGAAACAGATGTAGATACAGATACAGACCACTAGTATTATTGCCTACGTACCATACTAGATACCAGACAGCATTGATTACTAGGTACGTACTAGGTAGGTAGCTAGGTTGATACACTGTATATTATGTTATATAGTATGTTGTGCAGTATGTTGTGCAGTATGCTGTGTAGTATGTTATGTAGTATGTTGTGTAGTATGATAATATGGTATGGTGGTAGTATGGTATGGTAGATACTATATGTCCATCACATTTCCAATCCTCTACTCCATACCATATGCCAGTGTGGGAAGAACTGCCCTGGATCAGCACACACACTGAGAGGCCATTCAAGTTCACCAAGAACAATTGCCGAACCGAACGGAACAAAACATAACCAAAGAAGACAGCGCCCATCCGTGAAGGAGTCGTGAGTCAGCCAGCCTTGCTAATTACAACCAGCCAGGCTACCCAGGCTAAGGCTCATGAGACCTGAGACCTGAGACCGATTCAGTGTCCCAGTACTCCGTAGTGAGTGAGTACCTATCTATGTAGGTAGTAGGTAGGAATTCAGCCTTATACCGCGCACTACATGACGCGACTTTTCCAGAACACCTAGCCATGATCAAACGACACAACCGCAATTAACAACCTGAATCTCGACTGGGCTCTATAGTCCCGAATCAATCTGATCGATAGGTCCGAGTCCCGTGAAATCGCCCCAGGTCTTACATAGGTTGCTGACCTCATCGGGGGTCTTGATGTTGGGGATATCATTTGGTCGTTCCTGCATTTCACGAGAAAGGTTAGTACACACCTCACAGACACACACACAGACACAGACACAGAGAGAGAGAGAGAGAGAGTGAGAGAGAGACACAGAGACACAGAGAAAGAAAGACAAACATACCAGAATATTCACGTAAAGTCCTCCACTCACATGCCAGGCAATGTGGCAATGGAAAGGCCATACCCCCGGATTGTCCGCGTCAATCTGGAACACCAAATATCCCGGCCCGTCCGCCCCGGCAGGCTGGAGCTGCTGGGTATCTCTCCTGGTAGGATTGTTTGGTCGGACAATGGTCCCGTCCCATTCCCCGACACCTTCGTCGAGCACGTACATGTTGTGACCGTGTATATGCATCGGATGAGCCACCGGGGTCAGATTGTTGACGATGATGCGGATACTGCTGGCGTTGCCGAAATCAAACACGTTCCACTCGGTGGGAAACTCAAACGACGAGGCGTTGCTGCCGGCGGTGCTGCTGTACTTTTCTTGCGCCCGCATCAGCACCGGGTCATTGTAGCAGGTGCGGAAGGTTGAATTGTTCATGGTCCACACCAGATGCCCGGTCGCGTTGACCCCGAAGTTGAGATCGATCGACACCTCGGTTGCCGGGTTCGCCGGCGGCGCGATGGGAAAGTAAGGGGCGGTCAGGCTCAGGTCGTCGTTGGCACAGATATCTGTCGTGTCCGGCCAGGCCTCGGTCAGCGGCTTGCTGTCGAGGTCGGCATTCTGGTAGTAGATCATCGCATACGCATATGGCTGGTGGGTGAGCGAGCAGTTGCTGATGACGGACCGCATCCACACAGCATCGGTCGGCTTTCCTGTGGCTTCGACCAGCACATCTGCTCGTTGGCCAACGCCCAGAGTCACAATCTCCGTGGTGTATGGGACAATCGGCACAAAGTCGTACGAGATGACCTTCAGCTGGTGGTTGTCGATGCTGAATTTCTGCACCCCTTCTCCTCCGGCATTGATCAGTCGGAGTCGGTATGTTGTGCCCTGCGTGAACTGGAACTTCGAGTAGCCCGCACCAGGCGTACACTTGGTGCTGTTGCTGACTTGGGAGCAGTCGAAGGTCCCTTTGCCGTTGATCAGGTTGTTGTCCGAAAACGCGGCCGCCTTGCTCAGGTCGGTGCCCATGACGTCCTCGAGAATGTCATAGTAATTGCCGTGATAATAGTCGCTGAGGATGACCGGCCCAAGGTCCTCATCATAGGCCGCATTGGTCGGGCCGTGGATGATCATGGCACCGAAGACGCCCGCAGCATATTGGGCTGAATAGTGCGCATGGTACCAACTGGTTCCATACAGGTCGGCGTTGACGGAATAGGTGAACGTCTGGCCCGGCGCGATCGGGCATTGCGTGATGCCAGGCACCCCATCCTCATACCCGGTATTCTTCTGCAACAGGCCGTGCCAGTGAACTGAGGTCCCTTCTTCAGGCCCCGTGATCGCGTTGACCACCGTAATCTCAATGGTATCTCCCCAGTCGGCCTCGATCGTGGGCCCGGGAAATTGTCCATTGATGACAATCACGTCCCTTTCCACTCCATCGGGAGCCAGCACCGCGCGTTGGATGACGAAGGTGTATTTGCGAACCACTCCCGTCACTGGAGGGTCTTTATAAGGATTGGTGTTATTCGCTGTCCTCGAACCCCAGGGGAAGGATCGAGGGCCGCCACCACCTGGTCCTCCGTTCCCCCTGCCACCGCCATAGCCAGTGCTTCCCGTATTGCCACTGCCGTTGCCATTGCCGTTGCCGTTGCCATTGCCGTTCCCGTTGTCACCGCCGCCGTTGTTATTGTTCCCACTGCCACTGCCACTGCCACTGCCACTGCCACTGCCACCGCTATTGGAACCGCCATTGCCATAGCCGCCGCCGCCGCCCCCCCCGTTGTTACCATAAGTCCCACTATCGAAGCCAGGGGCACCGATGAATGGAGGGAACTGGGGTGCACCTCCCTTTCCCCTTTGTCCGATTGTCCCCAATGGGGATTGACCGTTGGTCCGAGATTGCGGCAGACCCCATCGTCCACAACGGATGTTCGATGGCTGAATCGGTCGATGCGGGATGACGGTGGGAAAGATGAGATCCGAAATCGACTGGGGGAGAATATGGGTAACCGTGTCCGCCGGTGATGGGGGTTTCGTATATGTCACCACCGGTTTGGTCAATCTTGTCGTCGTCGATGACGAATTAAAAGAGGTCGAAGAATTATGAGCGCCGGTGGCCCAGATCGTTGTGGACGAACTCGACGCCTCCGCCCTCACAGAAACGGCAAACAAGCAGAAAAAGACTTCGAGGAGCCACAGCGACGGATGCATCCTGAACCAAACCAAACCAAACCAGAAAGAAAAGAACAAATGATGGCTGCCCCGAACGAGTGAAGAGGTCAGCGATACCGAAAGTCTGCCCACAATTGAGCAACAAGAAACTGCACCACCATGAATATGAAGATGAAGGAAGAGAAACTGTCATTCATGGCGGATACAACATAGTACTTTTACCTGCCCCAAAGACACCGTCCATCTGTGGGTAGGTGGAGTTCCGTCGTCGTCTAGCCCTGTCATCGCATGGAATACGGGTTGGATGGCCGCAGCGATTCCTCATCCGGACTCAGCTTCCAAACAACAAGTAGCTTCGTTATGCGACCGGTGGCTGTGACATGCGCTTGGCCTTACCGTAGGTTCCGTCAGGGAGAGAACAGACCTTAGGCTCACAAACGAGAGCGGCGGCTGGCCACTAGTTCCAGCCATGGTGCATATTGTTGATCCCAGACTTTGTTTTGGTGCGGTGACTGATGACAGCCATGACGGCCGCCTTGACTTACCAAATTTGTTTACTCAGATGATGATCCGTCAGAATGACCATCCAATTCCTGCGACCAGCAGCAGGGCGAGACGGCGGCTATGCCTGATTCGCGATGGAGGACTCTCCCTCCTGCATGTTTCTTTTCTCGTCAGGGGTAACAACGAAAAGGGAGGTCTAAAATAGAGTGGCTGTGGCTCAGCGATTTGGAAAAAGGAGAGAGGAGGAAAGGCTTATGAAAGCTTAGCGGGACATGGTCAGGTACCACTTGTCTCGAAAGAGGTTGGAGAGGCGATCCACAAGCGGTCCAGAACCCTCCCGTCTTTGGATCCCGTCTTTGGTGGCAGATGAGCCTGTGCCTTTCCTCCTGGGGGAATTGGGAGCCCAAGCAGCCAACCGCGTGACGGGGAGATCTTGACGTTGACACCCTGTTGTCTCCGATCTGGCCAATCCGGTCCTCCATATTACAGTGTCGGGTCCATCAAGTGTTTTCGGCCAGAAAACATTGACAGCAGGCCGGGGTCACAGAGCAAACATCAGGCTGCTGGTCGTGAGGGAAGAGCAAGGAAAGTTCCGGTTGTCTATCCCCCCCGGAAAAGCGAAATTTGGTCGGGCGCTATTGTGGTCGATACGGGCCCCATACCATACAGAGCACTTCCATTTCGGGTTGGAGGCTGCGACCGAGATAGACTGCTCTCTGATAACGGTTCGCACCAGTCGGTCTCCAAAGGATTCTGTAAGCATCTCGGTTAACCTAAATCGTTCAAAGCTTTCGCAAGGCTAAGGCTCGCCATCTTTTCAGCTATTCTTCTCTCAGCCATCGCGGCAGAGTCGATCGCCCGAGAACGGCCACGACCCAATGACAAGCGAACATAATTTCCCATATCGGCGCCATCGTCTCCGCTGAACAGCGGTGAACCACGTTCTTGAATTCCGTCTCTCACGCTTGGTGCCCATGACAGCCGAGAGATGCAAAGTCAACCAGAAGAAGCTTTTCAGCAAGGGTCTCAGCCGGCCCAGTGCAGTGCGATCGTCCTCGCCGGCCGAGATGCACTTAAGAGAAGGCACATCAGAATCTCTTGATTCTACCATGTCGACTTGAATGAAATTGGCACAGATTAACGGGCTGATTTCTTCGTGGGCGCGCACATGATGCTGCCTGAAATATGGCGCCTCCGTGGTAGTCATACTCTAATCGAGGAGCAGGTCCATCCTCGCGGAACTATTGAATTGGCGAGCACCGGATGCTGCAAGCCTGCAACCATTGGTGTCGGCCAACGGAGAACAAGCCCCGACATGCCACATGGTCGACGGTGCATATCTCAGCTAGAGCGCAAAGACGACTGGACAAAGTAGTGGTTCGGAAATCATCCAGAGCGTCCAGTCGCATCTCTACATTATTAGAGCAGGTAGCTGGCTCAACGAGGATTCAGTTAGGTATCTCAAACCCATAATAATAATGGGACTGTGCTTGACCTTAAACCAGTCGATTAGAGCGTTGGAATATAATGAAGAGGAATTGTGGCGGACAGGCGAATCGCCGGTAGCCAGGACAGTCAGCAACGCCAGCCATCGCCACGGCCCTCGCGAAGATAGCCAGAGGGAGCTCGACAAACTGGGTGATGATTACAGACAGAATCAGTTGGTAACACTGTTCGAGTTCGGTGCAATTTCCCATCAGCCGCACCGGTATGCAGGCCGTTGCGTAGCATGAGAATGATATTCAAGGACAAAACACGCTCCATGGGGTACGGAACCCTCTGAGAACTATCCCAACCTCTTCTGCTGAGACCAGGAAGCCATCCCAATAATTGCAATCGAGGCTGTGGCAGGGAGGGCTCAGGCCCTGAGGTAGTCCGCCTCTGCAACGGACAGTATACGTAGCTAGGAGGCGGTCTGACCCAGCGTGCCGGCGGGATAACGTGGATGGCCAGGTTGCTCGGAGGTCCAGGGTGCTAAAGGCCCTTAGCCCTGTGAATATGCAGCTCCAATCCCGCACATGTGCGTTGTTTGTTATGCTCCTCCAGTCATTGTATCCCACGAGGTTCCATGTTGTATCTTGACAACGCATGCGTGAGGATTGTACGCTGTAGGGAGCGGGGGATTTTGTACGGTTAGTGACAGGCGCGCGGGTCTTGTTGTGGCCAGACAGAAGACCCCGAACGGAGGACGGTGGTGAGGTTTTTCTGGTGGTTAACGCTAGATGGTCAGCGAAGGGAGGACGGCAGCGGCAGCGCTGGTCGAGGTTTGTGCATGCTTAGCAACCAGAAGATGGACAGGTGTCAGTCAAGGAAAAATGCGATGAGGGTTGACTGGGCGATACGAGAAGACTGGCTGTGATGTGAGGGGTGACAGTAGAGACAAGCTCGCAGAGCAATCAAAGCCAGCCCAGATCTGCGTAGACAAGAAACTTTGGCATGCCGCACGAGACCAAGTGTTCCCTTGCAGTGGTAAAAGTCGAGTAGAGTCCGATGGCTGGAGGTTGCCTAAGCAGCGGGCTGGTCAAATCGAGGTCCAGAGATCGAACCCTTCGGTTGCCCTTGGAGGGGGGATGCCGATGTCAAGTCCAATGGCCTGGAGCGATAGAAATTGCGCTACAGAGGACAGTATCCCGTACAATACATTCCTGTGCCCAACAACGCTGGCGATTGGAGACGGGCTGGTAGATGGCTGGTCATTGGGTGGAGCGGACGAACAGGTGTTCATGCAGAGCATGGTTTCTCTTCCCCCATGTCATTTTTTCTGCGAGTCACAGCCATCGCTCATTGGCGGTTCGAAACGGGACTGCGTCCGGAACAGATGACCGACCCTTGTGGACAGCCGAGTGGAAGACATGGTCGACATTTGTGACCGTTGTGTGGTGCAAATAATGGCGGTGGAGTGGTACGTTCAGTCTTGTTCAAACGAGGTTGTGCAACGCGGGACTCGGGACACGGGGCGAGGCTGCGGATCAGTAGGACAGAGGAGGAGATCAAACGGACAGGAGGGTAACCTAACCAAACGGACAGGTATGGAGAAGGGAAAAGTGATCGGATGCAGCAGTTCTTTTCCTGTCCGCATCATTACGGTTGGGGTGGGTAGAAGAAGCTGGAGAAGACACAGGGATACACACAGTCGGAGACTAGCTGCAGCTGCACCCCGGAGTCCGGAATAACATTTTATCCGGTAGGCACTTTGTTTGCCAAGCATCTCTTCAGACTTCAAGCTGCGCCTTCAGTCCTGCTGTAATATACCAGGCAATCCGACTGACTATTCCTGATGATAGTGGGCATTGGGCAGTTTGTTAAATCCCACGAGCCTCGAATTGTCACCTGCTTTTCCGGCCGAGCGGGACTCACAGTGTCCCTCGGGGTTTCTCAAAGATGCTCAGGCTCGCGGCCACCGTCGAACTTGGACCAGCTACTACATAGCACAGCCCTCTACTTGGTGGGTGACCAGAGAAATCTGGAGTACACAACACCAGGATGCAACACGAACCGGAACTCTCCTCGTGATTGGCATCCGCCGCATCGCATGGTTGACAGATTTCTGAGACGCTTGAACCACCCCAAACGGGACCGTGGACAACCTACAATCCGTTTTCCATCGTCTGGTCTCTCCAGTCCGTGGCACACTGCCCAAGGGGTCGAGAGGACAGCCGGTGTCTCGCTGCAGGGAGACTTTTTATTTGACAAGTGATCTGCTGCTGTTGTTGAGCAAAGTGCCGCCGCCCATTCGTTATTCGTCTACGGTCGCTATGACTGTGAGCTGCACGTCGACGCGGCGATACAATCTCGGTTGTTCCGTCCGTTGCTGCGATCTTTGACACCTTGGCCATCCCCGGCGGTCGAACGGATCAACTGAAGACATTATTCCATCAACTCGAGTGACCTCCCAACGCCTCGCTTCCTGTCGTTGTACATAATCATGACTCCCAGCTTCAACCATTCTTGAAGTGTTCTCTGGCATACTGTTCGCAGGCCTGGTCGTTCGGAACGTCAGTGGAAATGAATCTGAAAGAGAAGATGGCGAGGGGAACCTGACCTTGGCCGGCTTTCCCAACTTCTGGCCAATGGCCTTCCACTTGTTTGCCTCGTATTCTTTGATAGCTTCGCGAAGAGCCACCGACTGTAGAGGTCAATATGGATTCAGGCAGGAAGCCAGAATGAATCGATGCAGACATACCTCGTCCTCGGCAAACTCTGCGTAGTGCATATCCTAACATGCATCAGCAAGCACTTGGATGCTCCATCCCCAGCTAGAATTTACCTTGTACCAGTGTTTCTTAACACTGCCTTCGGTGCGGGCAGGGAAAGCCTGCCGTATGTGAGCATTAATTATTCCAGGGGATGGTCAAATTCAAACTACTTTTGCGATCTCACTCCAACTATGACCGGCATCTCGCATTTGCTTCAGTCTCAGCTCCTCCTGGGGTGACCAGGGAGTGTTGGTGCGCCCGCGTTTCTTGCCCGATTCCTCTCCGACCAGAGACGGCATAGACCCCGGTGTTGCAGTCGAGTCGGCTGGTAACGATGTGCCTGGAGGAAGCGTGTTCAGCTTCGGACTGTGTGATGCTCGCCGCTTGCGAGGATTGGGGGTCGAAGTGGGTGGTGGGAGGAGCTCTGCATTTGGTTGTTTGGGTGCCAGCTGTGCATGGCCCGCTGGTGCGTCCTTGGAGGGTGTATTGGACGACGCGGTGGTCAAGGACTGTTTTTGCTTCTTGGGTGGCGGAGGAGATCTGATGGCTTCAGTGTCAGGCCCGATTCCCGAGGCCAGCAAGTAGAGAAGGGCGACGATGGGGAAGGGTAAATCGAGGCGAAAGACCCAGCTTGTCTGTCGGTGCAGTTTGGAATGTACCACTTGGGATAAGGAGAGAACTTACGACATGGTGACGACAGTGTATGTAGTCAGAAGAGGTTGAAGTGAGTCGACTATGCCGTCGGCATGGTCAACAATCGTCCAGGAAGGTCCCTTGGGGTAAGCCAGCCACACGCGCGCCTGGCGCAAGGAGCGACAGGCGTGGTATTAGGGTCAAGGCAAGTCCGTGTCACACGGTGTGAGGGACCAGCTGGTATGGCGCGGCGTGGAAGACCTTACTAGAGTCGTGGGCAGAGCAGACAGGGCGCGGCCAGGAATAGACGTGCGTACGGGATCCAGGTGTGACCGTGCAAGAGTGAAACCAGCAGGTTGAAGCCAATCACGATTATGCCACAATGCGAGGGAAGTAAAACCGGCAGACAAGGTTGAAGGTACAGTGCGACGATAACACAGGTTCTTAGGACCTCTGTTTTTCTTTCTTTCCTTTCAATCTCTTCTTTATTTTGGTTCTCGTGTTGCGCGCAAGTGGCAGAGCAAGTCGAGTCCAATAAGGGATTGTTGATCCGATGTATTACTGTAGTTCGTATGGTCCCTGGCCGATAGTGGGCTCAGAAGAGACTGAGCTAATAGGTCGAGTCAAGTTGGTCCAATATGCAACAGGAGGAAAAGGAAGACAGATTAGATCGAGGGTTCGAGCCGAAATAACAATCTCGACAGCCGACGCGGGCGGCCTCAACAGGCAACTAATGCAGAAACTGGCACCGGCGCCCTAGACGGCGGCAAGCAGATGGACGAGAAACAACGGTACTGGTCACGTATTGATGTTGTGATCGTGATTGTGATCGTGCCAGAACGGAACGGGCTTTGCATGCGACGACCTTTTTGGTCGATGGAAGACCAAAGAACAGAGTTTCGAAGGCACATGTCATGACCCGTGAGAGCATGGTTCGGGGCAGAAAAGGTGGAGGTGGAGGTGGACGTAGCAGTGGTACTGGCGGACGAGGGATCGCGGAGGTGGAGGAAGAGGGGGACGCAGACAGATACGGGCCCCGGTTGGGCCACGAGGAGTATCGAGCAGGCTAGGTAGCTGGCGTGGGAGGTAGCTGGTGTGGTAGGTTGCTAGGTTGGTTACCAGCACAGTGTGGTCAGATGGTCAGATGGTCAGAAGCTGGGGTGGTGGGTGGTAGCTCAGGTAGATACTGGTGCTGGGTACTCGTACATACGTAGTGGTGGAGGAGGCCAACCAGGCCGGGACCGTCCATCAGAGCAGCCAGAGCAGTATCCGTACCGGAGACTTTGCGGGGTAGTGCGAGCATAGTCTGGAGCTGGAACTGGAGCTGACGAGCGCTTGTCAGCATCCCAGGGCCACGCAGAGGCACAAGGGTGTCCGTTGTCCGTGGCGAAGGGGAAGAGGTGCCTCACGGTACTGTCCTCCGTCCTCCGTACTCGTACCATCACCAACATGCGAGCCAGCAAGAAATTAGAAGGTGCAAATCCGGCATCTGATCGCCTAAGATCGAACTAATATTCAATAAGTACAATACTGAACAGTTGGCAACGGTCAAGTCACCCAGCCGTAGCTTTCAAGTAGCGTGTACTTGATGCCCATGAAGCGCCGGGTGATGCGTGCATGACAAACGAGCATGCTTTGGCCGCTCGTGGTACGGATACTGTGTACACAATACTCCGTACATCCAGGACAAGATCGTTTTGCGGGATGCGTGAAGCTTGTCACCTTGAATGCCATTCATTGCCATTGCCATTATGGACGACCCTGACCCTGTTACTGTGACATCAATGACAGCGGTCGTAGGCGAGGGGAATACGCCATGTTCGCAGCGTGGCGGGCGTTTCCTTAGGCTTGGAGCCCTTGTCGTCAGGGGGCTACAGTAAGGCTAAGAGGCTAAGAGGCTAAGAGGCCTCGTGTCCCAATAAGTGAGGAATACGACAGCAACCACCGTACCCCGTATCCCGTACCCCGTACCCGTAACCCCCGCCCCCTACGCAAAGGATACCTGGTAAACCCTAAACGGATGAGGAGTCAGAGCTCAGGGTCACAGCGACTTGTAGGAACCTCTGTGTGACTTGGTCGACGCTATGTGCTGTTGTGGCGGAGATCGACACGCTTTGGGTCTGGTACATGCCACTCCGTACCTAAACCGCGCCTAGAGCTGGAGGATTGCTACCTAGGTAGTAGGTAGCTCTCTCTAGCTCTCCGTGACGTAGGAAGTGACCGCCGTAGATAGAATGTGTACGGAGTTCGGAGTACCGATACTGTAGTTCAATGATGCCTCAGCCCTCCAAGCTCATCACTTGCACGCCATGAGGACTGAGAGACCAGGGTGAGAAAGGTCGAAAGGTCGAAAGGTGGAGTCGGGTGTGAAAATTAGATCCTGGTTCTCTTTCTCTGTGCGTCACTTAGGTCACCGAGTACCTGTGACCTTGTGGTACCCTCATGTGCTCTCCAGCAAGTACTCCGTCTTCCGTCCTCCGTCCTCCGTACCGACGTGGGCATGTTCCTCGTCTCTGATATCTCTAGACCCCGAAGGAAATGGTTCACTGTTCACTCTCAGCCGCAGAATCATCCCTCCCGGCGAGTTTCGTCTGTCTGCGCGATCATGAGATGCAACCTTCTGGAACGATCTCCCGTAGACTGGGCTAACTGATTTCTCTCCTCAGCACGGCCAACAGTGATGGAAGATAGCGTTCATGAGAGTCCCTTCTGCTCCAGAACGGAGCTGGTCCTATCCAGGCTCAAACGAACTTGCCCTTGTCCAAGCTGACTCCGATCCTCGATCATGGCCACTTGGGCGCTGTTGCTGCGGCCCATTGCCTTTTGCCATGTGTGGGCATAGGTGATGACTTGATCTCGTCCTCTGACAAATGCTTCACGGTCGCACCACTCACCCAAGAACGAATTCCGCCACGTGTCCGCTCGGCATCGAATGTCGAGACTGATCCATCCAATAGCCTCTACCAGATCCAGTCGAACATCTTCGGGATCGAAAGAGCTCAGGATATCGCAATCAAGTTGCCAGATCAAGCGCTTCACGAACGGCGCACATGGATGGCCGTCACTGATCCTCCTGGGCAATTTTCCTGCAGAGGAATGAGTCAAGACATGGAAGATGGTGTTCGCATATAGCACCGGCCGAGCTTCCAAGAGGAGGGTCCGATTGACTCTCAGGAGCTGAGCAGATCTCTGGCTATGATTCCGAAAAATGCTGTCCCTGGGGAGCAAGCAGGGACTGTCGTCCTCAGTATTGGCTTCTACCATCGCCTTGCCATGGCCAAAGACCATGGCATAAATTCCCAGCCTGATCTCGAGAGGAAGGTCAAGAAATCCCATAGCTCCTAACATCACTGACTTGGCCAACCAATCGAACAGCAGACCCAATGGGTTCTATTGGCAACCACTGCTAGGACATGAAACGTTGTGAGAGATGTTGTAGCTACTACTGAAAAAGTTCTCCTTGGCGCGAAGGTAAGAGAGTCAATGCTTAAGAACTGATATGCCAAAGAACCAAATGACTCAGGGCGTCATGTGCAGAACCATTGGTATCGGGTCCGGTTGCACTACGGCCGCGGCTGGAGACGAGACAGTATACATATATTGATCTTGTCGACCGTGTTCGAACGTCCAGCCACACATTAGTCTGGCGTCTGGACAAGATTGGACCACGTTTGAGGCAGAAGCGCTCACATGAGGCTTGACAGGGCCTCCGTGGTGTTGTCGAGATGGCAGATAGATGGCTGGCTGAAGAGAAGTCCGTGAGAAGATGTTGACGCCAACCAATGGCGCCTCGTATTTGATAGCACCCTGGAGCGAACATGTTCCTGATTCGGTTCAGCTCTCAGCCGCACCAACACTAATAGCATTCATAGTTGCCTCCATATAGCGATGAACCTTGTCTTGAGATGACCGCATGATTGCATGTTTCCTGCCATACTCGTATTCCAGACCGCGCATGTCAATCCTCGTCGTTGATCCATATCTACTAGTTCGCTATTTACCCATCGTAATTGGACTGACTCCGAAGCTGTGGAATGTTGCTTCACATATATTCAAAACCGTTGACAGTTAATCGCATGCTCAGCTCGAACCAGGGTCCAGAAGTAAAAGTGGTGTCGATCGTATCCCTGGGGCCATCCTATTTTGGACCGAGGCTTCTACTGAGCCTTGGGAAACCATTTGCATGGGTGTCTGGCTGTTGCTTGTACTGGGAACACTTGTCGACATGATTGCAGCTTCTGAAAGAGATGAACATGGTGTCTCCATGTTGAGTGTTGCAGTGACTGTGGCTGTTGAGATTGCAATGCTTGTTGTAGTCACTGTGGTGGTGGACACTTCTGTAAATGGAGCTGAAGGAAAGGCGGGCGGGGAGTGAGTTTGATTTTCAGCAGACTGTCGACCGGCCCAGGCGAATAATAAGACCATCAGACTCAGCACGGCAACAAACAGGCCCTTGCGCTCGTGCGCAAAGTCTCTGGCAAGCCCCAAGTATGGCATGTTCAAGTCAGGTTCGGTGGGTGCAAAGCTTGGGGCTGTACCGGCCAGTATGTCGGGTCTCCTCAAGTCGTAAAACTCATCCGGCTCAGACGGACTATCTTGCCTGCCGGACTTCCCGTAGATCTCACGCTCACGAGATATCTGGGTGTTCTGGCTCTGAAGCAGCGGTGAAGCGCCCGCGGGGGCGACTTCGGGTGACGAGGTCTCGATGAGCGCGAGCTTGGCCTCAAGTTCTCGTTGCAACTTCTCCGGTAGCCAAACCTTGACTTCCACGTCGACCTTTTCCATTTCGTGCCATGCTGCGGCCCATGCGCCTGCTCGCATGAGGCCGTTTGCTGCAAAGACCTTGATTTCCCATTTGCGACTGATCTCACCAGTGGCTACGCGCCGCCCACAGTCGGGACACTTGACGTTATGTGGACACTCCTGATCGGTTTCGTCTCCGGTGAGGCTGCCGCTCTCGAAGCCGCTGTCATTGCCAGTGGCGTCTGCTTGGAAGTAGTGGTTGTGCCGAATTCGTGGGGTTTCGAGATCGAGGCTTTCCAGCAGTCGTTCTTCGAGAAGCTCATAGTCCTCTTTTGGGTGAGCTATCAGGATCCCTCTTGTTTGAATCTCAACATCTCCCACCAGTTTATCTTGTAGAGCAACCCATCGCTCCCTGAACTCCTCAGGCAGTAATTCGGCTATCAAGGCGTCATCCTGAGCCGTTGACCGCAGGAGGAGGGAGGGTGGTAAGAGTGTGCAATGAAGGAGCACTAGTGGGAACTCAGTTCTCAGATTGCTGTTGGGTTTCGGCGACCCTTGACTCGACTTGGTGAATCGTTTGTTGGAGGACGCATGAGGAGAGTAAGAAGTCCTGTGGCTGTACGATGATCTTTGTGAGCCGCTGTTCGTGCGGTGCCTCAAAACACTCTGGGTGTCGCTTATTACTTCGTCCCTCATCTGCAATGCCTTGACACTGCTGGGGTGGCGAAACGGTGAATTGTACTTTCTCGAACTCGTCGGCGAAACACTGGGATAAGGCACTCCCCTGCTGGGAGCGGGTTTCTCAAACAAGGGTGTCCCACCCAAGGCATGCTTGGTCGGTGTTCTTGGGCTTCCATACTGCCCTTGTCTTGGAGGAAGGGGCTGGGACACTGAGGCAGGAAATGACGAGATTGATGAACAACCCGAGATGCGGCGCTCGGTATCCAGTAGATCCTCCTCTTGTTCCTGCTCCTCTTCCTCGTCCTCCTCCGGCAACTGATCTTCAGATTCTGCTCCCGAGCCACTCCCGTCGTAGACTGAACCAGAGCAGTTGTAGTCGTGAGTTTGCGCAAGGTTGGCCGCAGGTGGAGCGGGTGGAGAAGAACATGGCTGCTGCCGTAGGGAAAGCGGAGAAGAATGCTCGAAAGGAAAGGCTTCTACTTCCACGGCGGGAGGAAAGGACGATGGCGAAGGTCGTGACATTGAGCAGGTAGGTGCCCAGTGCGGTGCGTGAATGGAGCTGATGTGAAGTGGTACTTGCGCAAAGCACAGGCAGTCTTCAAGTTGGAGCTCTGGGGTCGGGTGCGGGTGCGATAGTCAGTGCAGCGGATTTCAGCAGAAGAAGGAAGGAGCGACTGTTTACTGCAGAAGAACGGCAGGTGTTGCGCCGGGCAACCACCCCGCCCCAGCCAGTTCACGTGACGAAGCTGCGACAGGCAGCTCTCAGGCGGCTCTCTGGTCTCCCCTCCCACATACCAAAGCTGTCTGCTATCTCAAATCCAGCGTCATTGGCACTATCTCAGTCCCAATGACCCTTGCTTCTTTGACATCCTGCGTCCTGCATGCCGCACCCCACCACCCTGGCCAGGACCACACGCCCGGGCACGATCGTCCCGTCTGCCCTCAACACATACCGGGACAAGGGCAGATGTAGCCTTGGGTCAAGATGAACCGGCCGAATGACCTCCGTGGCCCCTTCTGTTACGATTACGAACACGCACACGCACACGCGGAGAAGAAACTACAAAGGCCTTTACCCCAGAAATGGTGGGTGATTACATTTGATCGGCACTTCGGGGGATCTCGGTGCACGGAGCATTGGAGTCCGTGAGCTCACAGCTTTTCGTCAACCCTGTGTTTGGATAGAAACTTGCAAGACTTTGAAGACAGTCTGCAAGGCACGGACCAAAGAGTTGGCAGAGAACATGCCGACTCCGCTGACGGTAGGGGGCCTCACAGCCTCCGCAGTTGAGGACAAGATCGAGCTCTTGATTCACAACCTCGTCAACATCAAAGACGAGACGGGTCAGTTCCTGCAGAAGCTCGCTGACGGGCGAATCATTGATACGAAGGGATGGAATGACTGGGAATGGACGCACGGGATCGGGCTCTATGGCTTGTACCAATACCATGCGTGGACGTCCTCGTCTTCCGCGCTCAAGACCATTCGGGCCTGGTTCACCGCCCGGTTGGCAGAGGGGACCACCAAGAACATCAACACCATGGCGGTGTTTTTGACTCTGGCATATCTCTACGAGGAGACGGGCGAGCAAAGCTATCTCTCATGGCTGGACTCGTGGGCCGAATGGGCCATGTACGAATTACCCCGGACTACCTTTGGCGGCATGCAGCACATCACGTATGTGGATGAGAACTACAACCAGCTTTGGGACGACACCTTGATGATGACGGTCATGCCGCTGGCGAAGATCGGGAAGTTGTTGAACCGCCCACACTATGTTGAAGAGGCGAAACGCCAGTTCCTGCTACATATCCAGTATCTCTACGATACCCAGACGGGGCTGTTCTTCCACGGTTGGCAATTTGACGACACGGCGCCCGGAGGAGTGGGCCACAATTTTGCCCGGGCCCGATGGGCTCGCGGGAACAGCTGGCTGACCATCGCCATTCCCGATTTCATCGAGCTGTTGGATCTCCCACCGGACGACGGTCTCAGGCTCTACCTGGTGTCGGTGTTGGAAGCACAATGCCGCGCTTTACGCTCCTTGCAGACCCCTGACGGTATGTGGCGAACGCTGCTTGATGTAGCGGAGGAGGAGGGAAGCTACCCGGAGGCTTCTGCTACTGCGGGCTTCGCATATGGCTTGTTGAAGTCCATTCGCAAGCGGTATATCTCCAAAGAGTATACAGCCGCCGCGGTCAAAGCCGTCCAAGCGGTATTTGAGAAGATCAGCGGTGATGGAGAGCTCATGGACACCAGCTTTGGAACCGCCATGGGACGAGACTTGAAGCATTACACGGAAATAGAAAGAACCAGCATGCCATACGGTCAAGCCATGGCGATGATGGCACTGGTGGAGTTTTTGAGGGTGTACATCTGACAGATGGCCTCCAATGCGCCGGTGAGCCGCGCAAACTCTGAACACCCGTAGATTCAATATATCTAACTCGTCGAGAGCCCGTCTAGATTTACAATCTCCCTCGCGACAGAAGGGAACCGCCGTCGGTCGCGATGACAGCACCGTTGATATGGGAGGCAGCCCTGCTGGCCAAGAAGACGACCAGGCCGGCAATGTCCTCAGGATGACCGAGTCTCCTGTTTGGCACTTCCGCGGCCAGAGCAGCCTGGCCACCTTGCAACTCCACCAATCCTGACGCCATTTTGGTGGGAAAGAAGCCAGGCGCAATGGCATTGACGATGATTCCACGAGGGCCCAACTCCACCGCAAGGTTCTTGGCCAGATGAATGACGGCGGCCTTTGACGCTGAATACGCAAAGGTGGCATTCTCCCCCAGTGTTCCGATAACGAGGCCAGCAACGCTTCCGGTCACGATGACTTTGCTCGGGTCGGATATGGGGGCCTTCTTCTTTAGAAGAGGTTCAAACTTCTGCACGGTGTAGTAGACGCTCTTGACATTGAGGTCCATCACCTTGGTGAAGGCGCTCTCAGGATGCGTCTCGAAGGGTGCGCCCCATGTCGCACCAGCATTTGCAAACAGGATATCGACATGATCCGTCGTCTTTGCCACTTCTGCAACCAACCGCTCGATTTCGGAGATCTTGGACGAGTCCGCAGGCACCGAAATGGCCACTGCGCCGGGCCGTTTGTTGGGGAGGGCGTTCAGGGCGGCCACGGCTTCGTCGCACGCTTTGGCTTTCCGCGAGGTGATGTAGACCTTTGAGCAGCCGGCTTGGAGGAGACTAGAAATCCATGGGTCAGTGACAATCCCAAATATTACATAGAGATGACATATAGTGTCCTGGTGATGGTAGGGGGAGGCCCGGTCGCCTTCGCTCACTTACCCAGACGCCGCGTTGAGCCCGAGGCCACGACTGCCGCCGGTCACCACTGCGACCTTGCCATCGAGCTTGAAGATAGTCTCGAAGTCCTGCAACTGGACCTCCTGCTTGGCGCTGCTCATCGTGTTCTGTGAACTGCAGATGTCTGTCTGGGGTCGAGTTGGGCTGTCTACCAATACCTGTACGGAGTACGGACGAGGAGGTCGTATATCAAGATGGTGGTATATGGTGTAGGCCAAATTAGAGAGTAGACAAAGGGATCTTCAGGTCAGAATCCCACGATATAGCCGAGATCATTTCTAGTAGTAGGTAGGAGGTATTGTACACGTCCGGAATACTAGATTCCGCCCACTGGGTTTGGATTCCGAGAGCCCAACTTGATGGCAGACGCAGTCGAGACGAGAACGAGAACAAGCCGAGGCACAGCCGAAAGGGGAATGGTGCAGCTGGGTGCAACCCGGGCGGCAAACTGGGCAACTCTGCCGAGTCCGGTCCATCAATCACTCACTCTATCGCACTCTCGCTCCATCATTCGGTCACCACATCGATCGTTGCATCAGCCAGCTGCATTGTTGGGAGCTGTGTTGCTCTGATATTGTGGACAGGTATGTCTAGTCGGTCCTCGCTGGCCCTGCCTCACAGAATGCACATGTCAATTGCCGTCAATGCACATGCATGCCCGGATGTCCTCCCACGACGTTCCTATTGCCGCTCCGTCAGGGAGGAAACTACACTGCCTTGGTCTAGCTCGGCGAGGAGGCAGTTCTCCCCTGCCCTCACTGAACTGGCTGCCTTGGAAGGTGGGAGACAGAGACACATACTTTTACGGACCTGTTTTCGACAGCCATTGGCATTGCCCATTCCTCTGTGAAGAGAGAGTGCCCTCGAAAGGGTGGTACCATACCCAGGTGAAGAAGGCTACTGGTTGTTGAAATCCTCGGCTATCCATCAGCAGGACATGCCTAGTACTCCGTACTTGGTGGGTTCTGTCGACTACTTGCATTGACTGAAGAGTCAGGTCCTGTATCGTCCCGTCCTGGTGGAGAGTTCTTCTCAAGAAGCAGTTCTCCATGTTTCACAGACGGAGAGATTGTTTGCTTCCAACAGCGAGGTAGTCGGGCAACAGCTGCGGAAGTTGATCTGGAATACCAGGCTGTGTTGAAGGCCGAGAGTTTGCTCCATCAATGGACCAGAATCGAGGTGACTTTAGGTACAACACCGTCGTACCTTTCGCCCTGATCAAACGGTCAGCCGACATGCTGTTGTGTCACCGTGAAAACCACATCTTCTTTCTCATGTTTCCTTGATTCAGATGTATATTCCAGCAGCTCTGCCGGTATTTATAGACTCTGATTCTCCTGCCTGACTCATTGATCACTTTCTTCTCGTCTCTCCTTCTGACGCTTCTACCTCACGCATTTTTCTCATAGTGTCTTCACTCCCCAACACCCCCACCCCCACCGGCTCCCAGTATCTTCCTCGATCAACTGTCCGATCCTCACTACTCTCTCGTATCAGCACCTCTTCCAGTGCTCGCTACTTTGCAGATCACCATCGACACCATCACTCGATCTGTCTTAGGCTAGCACGATGACGCTTCTCATGACATTTGCACATCTTATCATTGTTCTCACGGCGTTGATTAGACCGAGTTCAGCCCATCCGCAAGTCAATCGCGACATCACGTCCGGCTCAGTCACCTCGACGTATTTGCCCACCAAGACGTTCACGGGCGCTCCAATCTGCAACACCGGTGGGGGAGACTGGCGAATAGATCCCCCGACAGCGATGCGACTTGCCCAGGTTTTTTGCGATGAACTTGTCAAGCCACAGAACTATCCCGTCGAAGGTAACTGCTACAACCAAAAATACATCTATCTGTCACTCCCCTCTCGTGTTGTCCTCAGCCTGCCTCTGCCATAGGGCTGCCATAGGGCTGCCATAGGCTATAGGTTGGAGCTGCAAATTGAAATAGACCCATACTAACGACGGTGGCGTGTTTCACAGGAGCCAGTTTCTTCTCGGCACACTATCCCAGCGAATTGTCTCCGCAGCCCGGGTCTCCAAACTACACTGAGATTGAATTGTCCGGGCTTTTCGCGAGGGGCGGACTGTACAGATCGAAGCCATGGGTGGCCGAGGGTGTTCTTCACGTCGAGGGCACGGACGAACAGTGCGAGAGGGACAATTGCACCAGCGCCCTACAGAGCGCCATTGGAATGTGTAAGTATGAAGTATAGGATGAGTAGGGGTTTATTCCTTTCTAGCGTGGCCTCAAGCAAGGAAAGCCCATCACATCCCATTATCGTCTATTTACTATCCTATCACCAGGACCACACTCTTCCAGTCCTATTCTAGGGCCACCACTTTCCAGTCCCATTCTATCGCCACCACTTCTTTCAATCTATCTATCTCCCCCTCAGTGCCAGGATTCCATTTCCTTACGGTCGTGAGGGTCAATGTCGACTACTACAGTCTCAATTGACATGTACAACCTCACTACTGACACTGACACTGACACTGACACTTGCAATACTCTTCACAGGCGAATGGAACTCCCACTACGTCGGCGGAGACAACGACTTCCTCTCCGATTGTGGCGTATACAGCATCCTGATCGCCAATTGCAGCGGCAACTGGTTCGACCCGGACTGTGACAAATGGCACGAAATGCATCCCAACGTCGGACTTTCCAAGAACGAGAGCCTCGCCTCCCTCGGCCTGCTCCCTTCAACAAACACCACTACGAGTGTGTCGATAACGCAGAAACCATTAACATCGGGGTCGGGGACAACGCAGAAACCATTGCCATCGGGGACAGCCACAGCGACAGAGACCATCACCCTTCCTTTGTCTTTGTCTTGACTCGCATTCATGGGTTGAGTTGAGCTGCTGGCGAGGGGAGTGGAGGACTACGACTAGACTACGACTAGACTACGACTAGACTACGACTATGACTATGATCAAACCGTCAAACTTGGACTTGGACGATCGTGACCGACTTGCAGTCCATTTCTTGCTTGCTGGTAAGGTGGGGTGAGGTGAGTCTCAAGGCCAGGACGGGACAGGACGAGCGTTTATGACATGGTCAACCATAGCTGACTTGACTTGACTCGACACCATACGTCGTTGTCGGGCGTTGAGCTGCGCTGATGAATGGTGAGGTGAGGCTGAGGCTGAGGCTGACTCAACCTGACCTTGAGCTTGATTTTGAACAAAAAACAAAGAACAAAGAACGAGATGTGTCGGTGTGGCGGTGGCCACTGGAGTCCGACCGCGCCGGCATGGGATTTTGGCTTGGGCTTGGGCTTTGGGCTTTGGGCCTTCATCGCATGCGACCTGCAGATTGCAGACCTGGGCAGACCTGGGCAGACCTGGGCTGGGCTGGGCTGGGGCGGATAGAGCTGTACTGGAGACCACGATACCGACTAGACTGGACTGGGCTGGACTGGACTGGGGTGGGTGAAACGGATGAAAGTGCTGGCGGAGCTGGTAGTAGGAGTTTGGACTGCGGTGCTAATTGAGCTGGTCGAGCTAGTTGAGCTGGTTGGACTACTGAGCTAATTGAGCTAGATGAGCAGGATACCATGTTCTACAGCTACAGAGAAGAGATCACAAACCAGATCACAAACCAGACCACAAACCAGACCACAGACCACAGACGAGATCGAGGCCGACACTACAACTAGCTACCTTAGCTAGCTAGCTAATCCCAATATATTGCATTGTATCAGGGAAAACAAACAACAATATTGAGACGAGACGTGATGAGACGTGACGTGACGTGACGTGACGCGATGCGATGAGATGAAAAATAATACAATTCCACGCAGCTCGACATGTCACACATACTAGACTGCGAGGCTGCGAGACTGAGACTGAATGCTACGGCGGTAGCAACTGGCTAAGGATCTCAGCTTATAGTAAGGCAGTAAGGCAGTAAAGTAGTAAAGTAGTAAGTAGTAAGTAGTATATGGATATATATGCTCGTCTCTCGTCTCGACGTTGATTTCATCCTCTTCTTCACCCTCTTCCTCTTTCTCATCATAGTCCTCATCCTCATCCGTATCCTGACTTATCCTCGATATCATATACCGGCTGGCCAGTCCTGTGATTAATCTACCATGTCATGTCATGGGTGGGTTGGTTCAACAATACCAAACGCACAATCACGCTGCGTCGATGTTGATGCCGATGCCGACGACGTGTCCATGTCCATCTCCGTGCCCATGTCAATGTCGATATCGGTATATTCGTATTAGGCCAAATCACAGACTGAATTCCAGCCGGTTGCCAGCATAGTCTCGGGCGAAGAAACGTTGGGGGAACTCGACGCCCTTGGTTCCTGTTAGAGATGAAGAGAAGAAGTCAGTTTCAGTCTCAGTTTCAGTTTCAGCTTCAGCTTCACTTCCAGGATAGAATCAGAACCAGAATCAGAATCAGAATCGTCTTCACCAAACATCAGATACCAGCATAGCATTTCCGACAGGGCACGGGCACTGGACACCAGCAGAGCATATCCGACAGTGGTACAGGCACAGGACACAACCCAGACCCGGACCGAGCAACACAGCCCTCTTCCTCTTCCTCTTCCTCTTCCTCCCAGACTTCGAAGTAAAAGGTGAAAGGTGAAAGGTGATCAGGATCAGAATCAGAAAGGTGAAACCATTTCGGTTTCGGTAAACAGAAACGGCAGAACTCGAGCAACACTTGACCGAGATCAACAACCAGCAAGGCCATATTCATGTTCTCCTCCACACACACATACCCATGCCCACACCTAGACCTACCACACCTAGACCTTCCCACACCTAGACCTACCACACCTATACCTACCCTACCCCCCGCATAACGATAACGTCAAAGAAAACCACAATCACTCACCACTGTTCTCCTTGCCCGGCTCATCCGCCTCTCTGGGCGCACCGTCCCCCCCGCGCAAGTAATGATCCCAGATCCTCTGCCTCAACTCGAGCAGGGCCTCGGGCGACCCGAGACGGAAACACGGGTGGCGCGACGACTTGTTTTCGGCCAGGAATTCCGTGGCCGGGCCGAATGCGATGTGGACTTGCTGATAGGGAGTGGGAGCGGGATTGACGCCGTTACTGTCTCCGTTACTGTCTCCGTTGACCGTGGCCTGCACATGCGCAGCTTTGGGGATGATGTCGAACCATGCTAGCGTCCCCTGCTGTAGAACCGGCACGGGGCGCGGAGTCAGCCCGAGCGTGTTGCCGTAGAACTCGTTGGCCGCGGACAGCGAGCCGTGAGGGACGGTGAGGTTGATGTGGGCGAAGCCGGTGATCATGGTGGTTGCTAACGGATTGAGGGTGAGGGTGAGCAGGGGGCGTCAAGACCGTGATTGAGGTGAGCAGGGGGTGTCAACAGATCGTGATGGAGGTGGTTTGATGCAAGATGCTGGGCGAGAAGCGAAGTAGGTTGAACTGCAATTCAAATCTCGACAGGAAGAATAAAATCAAGAATCTGGATATAATAGCAGAATACCAAATAGTTGAGTCGTGTGGAGAGCAGAGGGCGAGATGAACGGCTGAGTGTTTAGCCGTCGGTCGACCTTCGATCGGTATCTGGCCGTGTTCGAGAGATGCAGCATGCGATCAGACTCGGCGAGAATTACGCCTTCGGGGGCGGGGCATATATCCGGGGGTTCCTGAGGTGCACCACGGGGTTTAGGCGTCACAGCTAAGGGGCTTAGAGGCTTAGACGCCTCTTAAGGGCACCTAAGGGGGTAGGGCTTAGCAGGGGTAGGGCTTAGGAGGCGTAGAGCTTAGGAGACCTAAGGCGTAGGAGACCAAGCGTCCAGGCTTAGTTAGCTGTAGGTTAGCCTGGCTCTCTACCGTGCCGTAGGTAGACCACATCTGCTACAGTGCAGTAATTTACCCTAACCCTAACCCTAACCCTAAGTCATGGCAACAACAAGCTGGAGAAATTACCAACTTGAACATCAAAGTTAAGTATTGCAGGATATTGTGCTTGCCTAGGTCCTTACTAAGGCACCTATAACTAAACATGCAACTGTATCCATCCCTACTACCTACCCCTACTGCCCCCCCTCATTACTCAACGACCTTTGCCATTCAGCCAGTACCGCTTCCGAAGACTGAACTTGAGGATGCTTAGCACCCAGGACCTGCCTTTGTAGTCGAGTGCATTCCATCATATGCTGGACAGCCTCGGTCTTTCTGCCTTGGTGTTGAAAAGTGATTGCAGATTGGCGCTACTGGCCAGCGTGTCGGGGTGCTCAGCACCCAGGACCAACTCTTGTAGTTGAGTGCATTCCATCATAAGCTCGACAGCCTCAGTCTTTCTGCCTTGGTGTTCAAAGGTGAGTGCCAAATTGGCCATACTGGCCAGCGTGTCGGGGTGCTTCGCCCCAAGCAGCATCTTTCTCATCTCCAGTATCTTTTCATTCAGCTCTTCCGCCTCCTCCAGCTTCTTCTGAGACAATAACATCGAGGCCAGGGCGGCCATAGTGGTAAGCGTGTTGGGATGACGCACCCCAAATGCCCTTCGACTCACAGCCAGTATCCGTCGGCATACCTTTTCCGCCTCCTCATAATCCCCCCGGTCTCCTAGTATTAGTGCCAGTTCGGTTTCACTCATCAGGGTGGAAGGATCATTTGGCCCTAGCGTCCCTTCCATCGTCTCTGCCACTTCACGCTCTAGTTCGTAGGCCTCCTCGAGTCGCTTCACTCGCCGGTAAGCTCTCGCAAGATCATGCTGTGATGATAGCCGATCAGGATGACCTGGAGGCAGCATAGTATTTCCGATCTTGACAATGCGTTCCAACAATCCCGACGCCTCTTCATAGCGCCCTGTATTCAGGCAATGATTAGCAGAAAGCCTATAAAATGGTAGCAATTTTGACAAGGGTGTCGGAATCATTGGATCGGCCTTGTACTCCTGGAAAACGTGGTTCAGAAGTTCGACCAGTTCTGCATCAGCGAGTATTTGCAAAAGAATTTGACCACATCGAAATAATATCCACAAAATCATTTCTTCTGGACCGCCGGAGAATGCGCCGGCAAGATCGCCAGCGAGCAAAGAATGTAAGTGGGGTCGTAACATTCGCTGGAAATACCATTGGAATAAGGACGACTGGAGGTTGGATAGAGCAATTATGCCACCTGCATTTAACCAAGACCTAGCTTGCTGGTCGCTGTTCTGGCGGTCTTTGGCCCATGCGTGCACCAATGGGTGCATGGAGAGTCCACGATCGTCTCGAATAACGAAGGATAGAGATTCAAGCAAGTGGATCGCTTCAGTGAGACGAAAAGAATCTCATTCTTTGTATCCTGGTGGACCGACAAATTCAGGTAACGGCAGTGTCTGAGTCTGCCACCCAGTCAGGTATGTCGACCCTAGCTGCAATTTCTGTGTTTGACTCATCTGCAGTTGGACCGCACCGTTCCATGCATCTTCGAATATCTTAATGGGAACAGGACTGAAATGCAGCATCGAAAGCACGTCCAGTAAATGTGAAGCATCTGTTCCGCGTTCACCTTTCTCCAAAATAGCAATGGAGGCTTCGAATGTAGCGTAAATGTCCCCGTATCGAGATATTGCTTGCCGTGGTCGATATCGGAGTATTTGCTGAGGATGCTGTTGGAAACGCTTAACAAATTCGACCAGTTTGCAATGCCCTGCGGCGATGAATGCACCAGCCTGGATGATTGCAAGAGTGTGTGACTCCAAGATGCTGATAACGCGTGTTGCGTCTTGAGAAGAGGATGAAGATCGACTTGGATAAGTCCCTGATGCCTTCAGAAGCAGTTCGGTAAGCTCCTCTGTAGTGAGGCAGCCCACAGTCACTGCTCCGATCGTGCTGTAGCGCTGACAGTCTGTCATGCGAGAAGTGATAATGACGGTGCCGTCCTTCCCAGATGGAAGAAGTGTCTGGTAGTCGGTCTCTGGATCGTCAGCATTGTCTAGGACGAGAAGCCATCTCTCCCTAGTATTGGTAAGTACTTGGACGGCATCCCGAGCATTCTCCACCGTAACTCCAAGCGCTGTCGCCACAGCGATGAACCCCCTTTCAGCAAGGGAAAGTGTGCTAACGTCAACCCAGAAAATGCCCCAATACCTGTGCCGGTGTCAGCTTGGAGACCAAGTTGGCCAATGTTCAGGGTCAAGTTGATGACGAACTCTTCTCGCATGTCGTGCGCAAGCTTCAGACAGATCTCGCTCTTGCCCTGACCACCCAGTCCAGTGATAACCAGTATTCACGGTAGATCAGCCTGACCGGTCTGGCCCGAAGTCAGAAAGAAGACATCTAGGGCCTTACGTCTTGCACCGGCTATGACGAGTGCCAAAAACGTTGCGTTTCCATTTCTCGTGGTCAGGTGTAGGGTCAAAATGGCCAACTAGCCGTCTTGCGGCTAGACTGATTATCTCTCCGTCATATTTCGAGGCAGTAAAGGGCCGTCGCAGTCTCGTCCTCAGGCTCGGACGAGCAAAGACAGTGCTCGATCAGGCACAGAATCGTTCGATGCATTCTTCGACAGGTCATTTCCAGCCGTCCGAGCATGATCGCGATAAGTCTGGTAAACATCAACAGGCGTCACTTGTTTGGAGGACGACTGAGGCAGATATACCCGCCACTACTGGATCCGAACATGAAGTCAAAGATCTCGCACGGCTTCCTGGTAATGGTCTCAGGGGCTTCTGGCCAGTTAGAACAACACCTCTACATTCAGCAGGACAATGCAACTTACAACCGCCGAGTTGCTTGGCCAATTCATCGCATATGTACTTCATGAGGGTTTGTAAGATGAGAAGACTCGAGTAGCTCTTAAGTCCCCCACCATCTTCGACAAATTGTCAGTCGATACGGTAGCTTGGAACTGTACTGGACGTAGGACACAAACCAAAAGTAAGCACGATTGGAGGACCAGCCTTTGGGGGACGTGCTGTTGGCAAGGGGTGCTCCTCCTCCCAAACGGACATTTCGCCTCTGATGGATGGTTTGAGAGATTTCAGATCATCAACCAGGTCTTTGATCCTCTGGCAGTGCTCCAGTAATCTTGCATCATATTCACCGTCTTGGGATCTGGAATTTGGGATTGACGTACTACGTGTATAAGAATAAGAATCTTGTTTATCCTCTATCAGCCTAAGCAGGTAGCCGATGCCGCCGAAAATCCGCTGCAAGCTAGTCTTCAACACATGACCAGAGCTCGACAGATTGCGCAGATACTCGAGGAGTGGAATGCCGGTGTCTGAAAGATCATACGCCCAGACCCGAAGATCAACCAGTAGGGTCTGCAGGGATGAAGTCACATCTCTCTTCTCTGAAAGTGTATTTGAAGCCGCCCACTCTCGGCTCTTCTTCAGGCATGATTCAAGCTTAACGGTAAGGTCGACGTATTGAATGTCAAGAGGACCGGGTTCGGCGCGAGCGTTGCTGTTGTCGTCGGTGCCGTCGCTGTTGTCGCTGTTGTCGCTGTTGTCGCTGTTGTCGCTGTTGTCGCTGTTGTCGCTGTTGTCGCTGTTGTCGCTGTTGTCGGGTGGGTGCAAGTAGCGTTTGGGCTCAGACCTGTGGCGAGATATGGGAGAGTTGCTTCGGATAGTGGGTTGTCCCACTGCGGCCGGGTCCGGCGCCGGTCTTGGTGGTAGTATCTGTAATACTGGGACCTGACTTGGCTGAGACAGAGGAATCGGCGGAACTTTGTATACCTTTTCCATGCTGGGTTTGTACCGATAGCAGCGCCTGCAACTGTGCAAAGGTAAGGTAGGTAGGTGGCAGTGACGACTTGCAAGGTATCTACACTGCAGTCTGCGCGATCACGGGACCCCGACTGCTATAAATAGGTCGCCACGTACCTCTTAGGCTGACTGGGCAGCCGCCTGCGATGAGGCTTTCTTCTCGCCTGCGAATGGAGGCGACGTCGACGACAACGTCGCGAGAGGCGACGTGAATATTGCCTTCACCTTAGTCGTACAATGGTCGAACCCACGATCCCGGCTGGCGCAACTATTGCGGTGTTCATAATGACGGTCATAAGCTGGTATGGCATGCTGAGGACAGGGATTCAGCTTGTCCACGACGACATTGAAGGTCACAAATCCGCCGAAGAAGACATTTTTGATATGCTTGTGGACCTGCAACACCAATCAACTAGCGAAAAGATCATGGCAAATCTCGAAGCAAACACCCAATGCGGTTTTACTACAATACTGGGGTGCAACACGACTCAATATGATCAACGAGAAGCTTCAACGCATCCAATCAGACCTGGCAAAGGCAAGGAAGAAACTGGGTCGACTTGCCGAAATGGAAAGAGGCAACTGGGTGAATCTGAACAAAGTGAAGAGGGCGTTGTACAAAGCATCATTCATTTGGGCCAAGAAAAAATATGTCCAAGACCTGATTGACAGGTGGCCAAACAACATGGATGTCATCAAGGTACAGTCAAATAATGGCTGGCAACAGCAGAGACGTCGCCTTACCAGAGAAATCGCGCACATGACCCCATATCACACCCAAGTGGCTCATCTGCTTGTGGAGATCGCCATGCGAAACCTGAAGGACACGGATACCCTACGAACCTGCTGTCAAGTCGTCCGAGACGAAATTACCGTTTTTCTAGATCTCGATCTGTTCGACGCCTTTACCGCCGAGACTGAAGACCAACTTGTCGAGCGCATCGCACAGGCACACGAGGTCGGCCATCTCAGGCTGGAGCTGCTTCTCCGTGAAGCCAACCGGCAACAGGCAGAGTTGACAAGGGTTGTTGTCGAGAGGGTCTTCACTGACGCTGTGCCCGAGTCGAGGATTGTCGACGCTTTCCGGGCCATCTTGGGTACGCTGGAATGCACTCCTTACTTCGCTTCCAATGCCACGACATTGTTCTGCTTGTCCAAATTTCGCCGTCCAGGAGATCCTTGCTCCAGACTGCAACAATCAATGCGAGAGGTCCCTTGCTGATCAGGATCCGCCAACTTACGATGCGCATACTGGACAGTTCTTGTTGCATGAAGCTTTTCTAGGAACATTGTCCAACGCCCGGGCAGCATTTGAACTGGCCCAGGCATGTCTACTCTTCCTTCGAACCTCGTGGATCCGGGGACTCTGTCGGTGCACGGTTCGATGTGGAGCTCTGCCCGGCACATCCGCTGAGAGACGGCATCAATTCGGTCTAGAAGTAGTCGAAGCAACACATCAGCCCCCTTTATGGCGCATCCCTCATTTCCCTGACCGTTATGAGGTGGGATCTCCTGAGCATTCGTGGTGCACGACCAACCATCATTGGTATGGCCTCAACAAGCCGATCCGACATCTTGGCCTTTTGCTGGTCGAGCTCTCTTTGAGTACGATAGTGTTTCCGCAAACAAATGGCGATGAGGACGGGGCCGCCCCTGTTGCACGACTCCATATATTTGTGACTGCCAACCCCGGACTCTGGGATTGGCAAACTGTCAGCCTCGAGACAGCCTTGGGACTTGTGAGACAGTCATTCAACGATAGCGAGCTTGTTCCGAGCGCTGTCGAATATTGCCTCACCGCATCACTCCCTCACTCGCCTTCCGACGACGAGATGGCGGTATATCTTCGAGCTTTCTATTTCAAAGTTGTGAAACCGTACGTCCCTCCCCCTAGATTGGTGTATCCTTGTTAATCTGACCAGTCTTCGGGACATATATGACATCCGACTTAGCAGTGTAGGCCCTTCGTTATGATTGACGGAAGCAGAATTGCAGGTTCTGGTCCACGATCGCCGAGGTTCTCGCCTGGGAAAAGGAGGTAACTCAGTTGGTATGACGGGCGTCCCTGCGTATAGTAAGGCCGTACGAAGGATGCGTACGGAGTACTTGGTTGGAAATCCGGTACAGATGAGAAAGGAAGTACACCGTAATGATTTGCGGATGCCTTGTGATGTACGGATACTGCCGTGATTGACCGCCTACAAAACTGGTAACTTATGCTCAGTTTGGCAAGGCGTGCTTGCTGTATTTTTACCCCTGTCAACGCGGTCACGGATACAGTCTACGGTCTACTGGATTGAACAAAGCGCGTTTTCATGACAGCTTCCTAATTATCAGATTCATCTAATTATCCGAATTTCTTTCCATATGAGCGAAATGAGCGACCTGGAATAGTGGTGCCCAACAGGCCCTGGAGTTCGAATACAAATAAATACTGAATCTATCTCAGCTCTACCACTCACTCTCCCACTCTCGTTGTGGAACGGCCCCTGTTTTCCATTTACAGTACAGCACATGCGGTCCAACCGGTCGACATCATGTTGCAGTTACGTCTGGCGGCGACCCTACGAGACCATTTTCTCCCTACTACCTGGCTGCACGTCCTCTTTGCGATTCCATTGTTGGTCGGGGCAGCCTGTCTCTTCACATGGCTGGTCACGACGATCCAGTTCCGGCGGACCGTGGCGCAGATCAGGTCGCGCAGCCTCGCCGCCTCTGCAACGGCAACTGCAAACGTGAAGCCTATCGCTCCGCCGGTTCTGCCATACGTCGTGCCCTGGCTCGGAAGCGCTCTGGCCTTTCTTAACGAGAACCCCGGTTCGTTCTGGACGATGCTGCGCAGCAAACTGGCCGAGACGGGAGCCAGTATTCCGGTCTGCACCATCCTCCTGGGCGGGCAGAAAGCCCACGTGGTCAGCTCGGCGGCGGCGGTGCAGGCTCTGTTCAAGAGCAAACATGTCTCAAGAGACATCTTCAATCATCAGCTGGCGACCAAGGCTCTCGGCTCATCGCAACGTGACGCCGAGATCATGTTCCCACCCACCATCACCGACACGACGCACGACCAGCGAGACAAGGACAAGGCCGACAAAGCCGACACCATGGAAGCACTCAATCACGAGTTTCTGCTCAATCAGTCGGCAGTCAATGCTCTGACCAAGAGCTTCTTCGATTGCTTGCAGCGCGAATTCGACCGCGCAGAGTTCGATCATGAATGGAAATCGGTCCATCTGTTCACTTGGCTCAAGAGGGTCATGTTTAACGTCGCCACCACCGCCGTCCTGGGAAGTACAATCTTGAAGCTGAACCCCAACCTCGCCGAGCAGTTCTGGGACTATGAGGCCGGGCTTTTGGCCAGGTTCTATGGCGTGCCGAGATTGGTCAAACCCGAAGCATATGCCTGCCTGGACGTCATGCTCGACAAGACACAGGAATGGCTGGAACTCGGTCGCGATCAGGCCGACTTCAATCCCGCAGACGACCCGGAGTGGGAACCGTTGTTCGGATCCAAGGTCGTCAGAGCAAGGCATCGACTCTATGAGAGGATGGGTTTGACAGCGAGAGGGAAGGCGGCCTTCGACCTGGGATTCTTGTTTGGGTGAGTTGAGCCTAATTGCTCTCGTCGGCGTCTCATTAACCATGTTATTCTCTCCAGTTTACAATCGAACGCGGTCCCCATCACTTGTTGGCTCCTAGCTCACCTCTTCTCGCCCATGACTCCCGCCCATGTTCTCCCCAAGATCCAAACAGAGATCAAGGCTGCACAAAGGCCGAACGGCGAGATAGACATTGCAATTCTATCCTCTCAGCCTCTCCTTAACTCGGCCTTGCACGAGACCATGAGGCAATACGTTGATTCTCTAGTCACTCGTCAGCTAAACAAGGACATGATCATCGATGGATATCTGTTGAAAAAGAATGATTTGATCATGGCCCCCAGTTCTCTAAGCCAGCATGATCCTACATTTTGGGAACAAGAAGATGCCCCGTCTGCTGATAGCTGGTACGCCGAAAGGTTTCTAAAGCACGATGACCAAACCGGTCGAGACTATTTCAGTACTTCGTGGACGGCGGGAAAATTCTTCCCTTTCGGAGGCGGGACTCAGGTATGCCCTGGTCGCGTCTTTGCCAAACAAGAGATCCTGGGGGCACTAGCAGCAATCTTGTCGAGATTTGACATCAAGTTCGTGGAGTTTGCGGGCACCGACAAGAATGCAAATCTGGTCGGTTTGGGGAAAGGCGCGTCGGGATTTCCAAAAGTGAAGCGACAGTACGCGGGCAACGGAACATTGAAGATGGACGGAGACATCTGCGTGCAGATTAGAAGGAAGTGATCTGCGTCAAAAGCAATAAGCCATCCGGGGGATCCTTTCGACTTTGGTCCATCACATCACGCTGGGTGTTTCGACATAATGAGGTCTGTAAATCAACTCGCTATAACCGACATGTACAGAGTAGAACCGCTGTTCGTTCTCTAGAGTTACACCAGCCACTGCGACTCGAGGGCAGTAACAGGATATTGCCGCGCGGGGAGAGCCTGATGACGAAGATGACGATCATTCGATGGGCTGCAACAGTCATCGTGTTTGGACAGGCAACCGAATGGCTGGCGACCGAAGTGAGACAGGAGGCACCGACGATCATTGAGCTGAGGAAGAAACTCAGACAGCAACAATGACCCATGGCGTCATTGTTGGGCCTTAAAACCCCGTGCACTTTTTCTACCCCGGTTGCCGTTTAAGGCCAAAAAAGATATGCTGCGTCCGTTCCTCGAGCACAGCTTGGTGAGCTCTGAACTCCTGGCATTTGCAGCACACTGCATACACATGGAACAGTAGTAGTATCTTAGTCAGGGCGGTATGAACGTAGTTGGATGATCGCCATGAACCGAAAACTCGTAAGCCTTAAATTGTCTCCTGCCAGACGCAGGGACTCGGTGTCACCACGCTTGACGGAACTGACACGGAGAAGAGGCGGATTTGGTAAGGGTGCCGGCGCGCTTTGATTCGCAGGCTGGGGTCAAGTCAAGATCCCACTCTCCAAATGGTGTAGTGCTTGGGTTTGAATTTCCGGCCCATCGCGTCATTGTGGTGGCGGCAGAACCCTGAGACATGGGCAGTAAACTAGGTACCTCGTACGTAGTTGTGCAGTTTCGGACCTGATCGATTTGTATTTTGTATTTGGGTACCATCCACCTTTTTCAGGCAGTGAACAATGTGTTGTGACTCTCTAGAGCCACGCACCGCGTCGCCCAGCTGTCTCGGAAGAACGGCTGTTATTGACCCCCTACTCTGTAGCAAGCTAGGGAGGATGATCTCTGTTAACTCGAAGTTGGCCCCCACTCGGAGGGCTGCGGATTAGGGTACGGATACTACAGAAGTAGTACGGATAGTTGAGTTTGACTCGTTAGTTGACATAATGCAGGGAAAGCCAAATGAGAGCAGGCATAATATCGTTTCTTCTTCGAAAGTCTTGTTACTGCGTAGACAGTATTTTGGTGCTTCTGTCTGTCTGTCATGATGGTAGTCGGCCACTGGGAGGCCTTGGTCGTGCACAGGAATCGCTGGCTTGGGGGTGATCCGGAGAATCAGGATGGTTGGCGATGACTATTCGTTGGCAAGACGAAGGAAGGTCACAGTCTGTTCAATCATCTCCAAGACAGGATTGGCCACCTCGACGATGATGTCGATCTGTAGACGGCGGTGGTGGCGGGTGGTGATACTTGCCTGGTTGAGAAATGAGATGGAAGACGGTGCTTGCCGGGGGGGAATGATCAACTACGTCAAGTCGCAGACGGTGTGTCCCAATTATTTTGCCTGCGCCCTTGAGGGGCTCTGGGCTCTAACCGCTCTCTGTGGCTGCCACGCCTCCACTAACACCCACTAACATCCACCCACGGAACACTTTTCTAGGCGTCCCGGGCGTTGAGGGCCACTAAAATAGCGACCATCTACATAGTCGGCCTCGCTTAACCCATTTCTCTCTCTGCCCGTAGGTGCCAGCAAGCCTGTAGCCTCCTTTCGGCCTTCCTCATTGACTGCGGGCTGCTTCTCCCGGGTTCCCCCAGTAGTCCGTACATGTACGGAGTAGCGAACAAACAATCTCTTCGCTGCATTAAACATTGCCGCTATTGCATAGTGGCGTGAACTAACACGGGCTCGACCACGTTCCTCGTCTTCGTCCTCACACACCTCAACCAGCGCCGTGGCGAGCAGCCTTGCGCCACACGACCCTAGTCCGCCTTGCCTTGGACTTCGGACCTGACACCGACTGCGAAACGCTTCGACGCTGCACGAGCAAGAGAAGGAATCAGGAATCCGTCCAACTGAAACAATCCCCCTTCAACTCGCCTCCTTGGTCAATACCCACCAAGCAAAACGCAGTCTGATCCAATCCTCCAACAATCCACAAGTCAAGACCACCGTTGCTGTCGATCAGAACAGCCCCGAAAAAAGGTCATCTGGTGGAGCGGAGAGTGAACGACGTAAGTTGTCGCTGGGCGAGAGTGACTCCCCGAGTCCCAGCTAACCGACGACCCACAGCAGCCTTTTCCACTCACAGCCTGCGCCGAGGGTCCAGCAGTCCATGTCTGCTCCAGCACTGAGCACTGACCGACCACCATCCTGCCGACCATCTATGGCAGCGTCCCCGTCCTTGGGAACCTCACCACAGTTGCCCCCCCGAACGAGGTCTTCGCTGTTGCCAATCCACCGGCGATCATCCTAACCAAGGAAATCAACCTCCACCCTTTAAGCCTGCCTCTCCCGACCACAGCAAAGCAAGTCAGCCGCCCGACCACCGCTGCCGCCCGACCAGAAGCAAACTACTGATCCCTACTATTTACTACTACACCTCTTCGCCAAGCGCCAGCTGTTCCCTCACACTGTGCCCTCCCACGCCCTCCTCCATACCTGGACGTTCCTCCTCGATAGCCATATCTGGCCCATACCAACTGAGTGGGTGTTCTGTGTTGGATGTCGGGACGACTCCCGTAAAGACTGCACTGGGCCTTGGTCAGTGCATTTTTCACTGGACTGCGCAGCAAGGCCAATGCGGTATCCGACAACACCACAATTACCGTCGACCCGAGTTTTGGCAACAACCAGGACGACCCGAAGGATAGTGAGGACGAGTTCAATATCACCGATTGCCGCGCCCAATGCACAGTTCGCCAACCTCACCTAAGGCTACGGCTTCTTTGCCCGAGCCTGTGTCTCTGAGTTCGAACGCTTTGGGGGAATTTACGCATCGGCCTTCGATAACTCCCTCGGTTTCCAGCTCGTGTTCTTCATCGGAATCAGAAAACATTTCTCAGCCGCAATCTCCTCGATCCAGCTCGCGGCGTGGGCGGATGGAGAGGCCTCGACTCGGAGACAGGCAGCGGTCGAACTCTATCATTGTTCCCAAAGATCGAGCCATTTGGCAACGAGAGAAACCCCGATACCCACCGGACGACGCGAGAGCCATGAGTCCTCGACGGAACAGTGAAGACATTGAGAGACTGGAACGAGGTGTCCGGGAGAGTTTGAAAGCGTATGGACCCTGACTGCCCCTGTCATGTCTTCCCATGCTAACTACTGTCTTTTCTAGGCAAGCTCGCAATCTACAATCTTCACTGGCTGCGTTGGCCGAAAAGATCGACGAGGTCAAGACCGACCACGATAAACTCGAGACGGAGAATCGCTTCCTACAAGACTATATCGGTGGGCTCACGAGAACAATGTCGAAAGATAACCTCGCCCGGAGTACGAGCATCAGCGGGAAGAAGAAGGGAAGGAGATGAACAGTCATTCCTTCTACCCCTCTCTATTGCCAACGGCTTCTGTCGACATATGCGCATCGAAGGGGTCAGATTCCAAGGACATCCTTGGACCTAACGAAAGAGTCCAACTCAAATCAGCTGTCTCGACAACAGCGCACAACATTTTATGATACCCACGCCTCGAAAAAGCCGGCTACGAGGAACAAAGTAGACCTTTATTTGCAATTTTCAGCATGGCATTGTTGACTCGATCAACATAATTTCCAATCGTTCATTCGGGTTTCTGGCATTGGCAAGCACAGCAGGCTTTTACGGGAAGAGCAAGATTGCTCTCATTGCAGACCGACCGTGTCAAGGTCGTTCTTGTACAATACCTGGGCAGGCTCACTATTGGCGTTTTTGAGTTTTTGCAGATTCACTCATTTGCTGCATGTTCTCACGGCCATATGATGATTCATCTGCCGGAAAAGATGGGGCTGGGGAAAGGAAGGGGAGATAATGATTCTGGTTCCAGCATGAGATGGAAGCCACTTGGTTTGGCATGATAGAGGAGAAATGTCCCGGCACGGTGTGTCGGCGGGCATATGAGACCACGCATATCGTTGTCTTATCAGACATCGAGGGTGTTGCAATTGCCAACAAAATTGCACTTTTTCACAAACTACCTACGGTTCGATTGTTTCTTTGCTCTTCTGGATTTCCTTGTTCCTCTGGAGTATCCTACATTTTGTGCTTGGGTGTCGTCTTGTATTGATGTGCTCTCTGTGTCAAGTGCCTAGGTATTCGGTCCTCAGGACATGAGCGATCCGGTGATGAATTTATCCAGTCGCCGCCATACTACGACAAGCACTGGGAATAGATGAAGATTTGCCGGTGTCGGTGTTCCAACGAATCCAATCTACAGTAATCTACAATCTACAATCTACCCAGCTACTCTGTGCTACGTACTGTGTCTATCTAGCACACGTGAAATCCGCAACGAGGGCTTTCTGGATGTTGGTTTTCATTGACCCTGGATCACATCAACTTAGCATCAGAAAGTCACCACCCACCGCAGGATATGTACGGAGTATCCGTATGGCTATCGCAACACAACGCAACGCAACGCGATCAACAATCAGCCATCGTACTCTGTTCGATAGATCCAAGCAAGGATAGACTCAGCCATTGTACTCTGTTCTGAATCAAAGCAAGGATGAACTCTGCCATCGTGCTCTGTTCTGAATCAAAGCAAGGATACTGTAAACTAATCAGGGATCGAACTTGAGCTTGACCAGCCGGACTTTGACTGGGCTCTATCTCTATCTCTGTCTCTATCTTGGACACTTTCTTTAACCTTGACTTTGACTGCACTGGTGGACCTTTGGACTTAAACTCGTCCACTCCTTACACTTCACTTGCACATGGCAAGACATGACTCGACCGTGGAAGATGGAATGCAATCTCAGAAGAACTGTCTCGACTCACCAGCAGGAAGAATTAGGAGGAATTCGAGAAGCGTCACGCCACGTTACGGTCAGTAGGTAGGTAGGACGTTTAGGTACCTAGGACAGGCAGTCTTGGTTACCCGGCCACGACGACTACATACTTCCCTTGCTGTGTTCCACAACCTGTCAAATGCCAACTGTCATTCAGATTCCATGCTAGATGGATGCCACATGGCGGGAGCACTACCACACACGGTCGACCACGTACCTAAGGTACCTAAGGTACCTAGGACGTATCCGGACGTACACATGTGTGTGTTAGGTATCTAAGGTAACTAGTACTACGGATACAGGTGTGTGTTAGGTAGGTACCTAACTAAATACCTAAGTACTCCGTACTACGGATACGGATGCAGGTTTGAATGTGACACGTACCATGCCATGTCAGATGATAGACCATTGACCATAGACCATAGACCACATGGCATGGTCAGTGTCCACCTGCACTCACTACATGTACGGATACTGTACTGTCCGGCAACGCATAGACGGGACTAGATTCCCTCTTGTCGGATGGACTGGACTGGATCTCTCTTGTCTCTTGGATGGCAGACGGAAACTCTCGTCTCTTGGATGGACTGGACTGAGACTCTCGTCTCTTGGATGGCAGACGCAAAGGAAACCCTAAACTCTCACTCACTCACTAACTATTGTATCTATCTATCTGCACGAGGTATCCGTGGGCATGCAACTCAGCTAATAGCTAGCTAGCGAGTCGGCAATTTCCTGAGTACTAGTACTAGTATGGGGTTAGATTGCTGCTTGAGCCTTGACCTGCCACATGGTTGCATACATGCTCGTACTACATGGGCCATACAAACACGGCATATGTCTAGTTTCAATCTACGGATACGGATCTATATGCGTGCGTCTGGTTTCAATCTACGGATCTTGTTTCAATCCAAGGATCTTGTTTCAATCCACGGATCTATATGCGTTCGTGCGCTCTGCTGCGCCGTGGTCGGGATTGTCTCTGCCTCGAGCATCATACGACCACGTAGATAATGGCAAGGTACCTAGTAGGTTACCTAGGTGCAGTACATACATATCAGTATATAAGTGCAGTGGCTGGTGATTGAGTTCAGTCTGACACGTCGCTTAGCAGAAGGTTTGGGTTGGGGCCTTATTATGCTGTGTCCGTAGTGTGTCCGTGGTGTGTCTGCATCTGTGTCTGTGTCTGTGTTTACGTCTTCTCAAGCTCTAGAAGGCAACAAAACGTCCACATCGCGAAAGGGAGACATGGAGAGGGAAGGGGAGAAGGAAGGGGGAAGCGCAAGGGCAGTAACAACATGTATCCACTGTCCAGACACTTCACCTGTCAGACATCCAAAGACAGCACGTGCTGGTCGGCGAGGTTAGTATAGTAACTAAAGTAAGGTAACGTAACCTCCCGGCCATCGCCCATCGCTTCTAGAAATATATGATTCATACCCCTGACGAGAACGAGACCGCAGGTAGGTACCTACCTATAGCACTATTGCCATCATACAAAGCAGAAGGAAACTCACGTGGAGGGACATACGTGTTCGAAAGTAGTGCATTGATAATTTCCGGCCAAATATCCAGGCTTCAATCCTGGAGAGCAGTGCTGTTCCGCATACTATACTGGGCGAGCGTGTCCTAAAGAACAACACTGCTGACACGCTCGATTCCATTGTCCAAGGGTTCTGTTCTCATTCTTGAACATCTGCAACCGCAACACCAATCGTCGCATCCGCTTGGCCATAGTACAAAAACCACTTGCCGTGGAACTGCACCAGGCCTTCGGCAAACACCACCAGGTCAACTTGTCCGCTTTCTTCTTCCGGTGTGCTGGGGACCATGAAAGGCGTTTCGAGTCGAGCGATCGGTCGGTCTCGAGCAGGTGAAGGGCGATCCGAGTCGGCTGCGAAAAGCGGCGATTGCGCTGAGCCCCCCTGGTTCCCATGGGCATACTTCTCTCCATCTGTATGTGATGATGGCTGAAAGGAAGTGCTGGGATCCAGTAACATTTGACCCACCGAGTATTGAGTTGGACGATAGCCTGCCTCGCCGGTAGTCATGCCGTTGTAGATCTAAGACGTCAGGTCAGAGACAAGTCTTTCAGAGCGACAGTGCGTGGCTAGATAAATTATGGACATACCAACAACCAGCGTCCGTCTCGGGTCTTGATCGGCGCCGGCCCAGGCTCAATTAGTCCGTTCTCCCAAGGATTCATGGGCGTGGCGAACGGCTCTGACGAAGCTGTCCAATTCAGTAGGTCCGTTGATGTCGCGTGGTACATGACGCTGTCGCCAAAGTACATATGATATAATCCGTCCGAGGTCTGTTCGGTGACTATAGCGCCGCCTGGAGCAGATGTTAGCCTATCGCGACCAGCCCCTTCGGATGTTGCGGCGACGGGGTTGTACTCTTGGTGTGGTCGAATCCCGATATAAGGGTTCCATTCTCCGCCACAGTCATACCTCCAAGCCCGGCGAATGGAGGGTTGAACTTGGTCCAATGCACTAGGTCTTCACTGGTGGCGATGCATAGTCGGGGGGTGTTCAGGTCGTATCCCGTGTAGGTCAGGTAGAACGTCCCGTTGACACGGACAATTCGAGGATCTTCTGTTCCCCCTCCCGCTTCCCACGGTAGGGTGGCGTACAGGACGGGCTTGTTCAATCGAGTGAATTTATAGCCGTCATGAGACCAAGCAAGGCCTATTGACGATGTCTTGCTGGCGTTTTGAGCTCGGTAGAGCAAGAAGATGGTCTCGTTCAGCACAATGGCTGCAGGATTGTACACGTATGCCGATTCCCAATCATTGGCTGGGTTAGGTGTCAGTATGGGGTTTTGAGGGTACTTGTGGAAGGGTAGAATTGGAAATATTGGGGAGATGTAGTTTAGGTCTCCTTCCACAGTCGATCTTGTGATGTTGAAGGGGAGAATGTCGGCAGACGGGATGTGGGAAGATGATGCAGCTTGAAGACAGGTAAGAAGAGCAGTAACAGCCCAGTTGACGGCTCGCATATTTTCAGCTGAGGCTCGTTCGAATTAATCAAGAAGACACGTCGTAAAGAATGATGTCCATCAAGGCTGGTTGAGTGGAGATTTGTGATGTGGTTCAAGGGGCCAGGAAGGGATATCGCATGGCTGGGAGCCACCTAGGAGCAACGAAGCTCAGACACACATCACTAGCCAAGGGTCGCCAGGAGCTATCTTGACTACCGACGAGTCCAGCGGTCTGCAATCCTCCAGACAACTTCTGTGCTTGGTAAACATTGAGATCCTCCCATTGAGTAAGGAGTAAGAGTAGATGGGGTCTGAGGCAAGGAGTGAAGTTGAAGCTGGAAGATGAACGACGAGGCGCTGCCGCTGCTATTGGCTAGGTGAGCACGTGATATAGCACTAACTGAATGTGGATGGGGGCTTCAGGGACAGTCATCGCAGGCCGTTGTCGTCATCTCACCAGTTCTCTCTGGTCTCTCCCCCTCTCTCTAAACTGTCAGTATAGCGTCCACGCTTCAGTATCAAGTGGAAAATATATGCAGACCGTCTTGGAACCCTGCTCACTGTCAATTTAAAGCCAAAGCCATTTAAGGCTAGCATATGAAATGCCAAAACTCTGCCAATACTTGTTCCTCAGTCCCAGTCTCTTCTAGCCTCGCTCTCTGTTTTACCAAGCTTACCATGATCGTGACCCTGTCAAACTTTAGGGTCAATAATGGGTGGCGACAGCAAGGTTGCCTCCGGACCTGCACCATGTGCCTTGACTTCTGGCGTTAGGGCTAACCGCCGTAAACTGGGATTGGTCTTCTGTTGGCCAACTCTGACCAGTCCAAGGCAGTGCACAGGTTGCCACGATGCCAGGATGTCGCCTAGGCCTTTCCTGTTTGAGCATGGCCCAGATGCGTCCTTCACCTATCACAGGAGTGTTGGTCCGTAAAGGATGCAGCGTGGCAGACAGCGGGCATCTTCCGTCCAGCCTGATCAGAAGCTGTGAACCTGCTCCTTACAGCAACCGGAGATCAGAACAACGCAGATGATCTCACTGAGTATGCCCTCGTCTTGCGCGCACAGTGCGAACCTTGATCTCTCCTGAACGATCATGCCGATCCCCTCTCAGCCTCCAAACCGCCGAGGCTTCAACGTGGCTATCGTCTGCGCCTTGTCCTTGGAAGCCGAGAATGTACGATCTGTGTTCGACAGATGTTGGGAAGATGAAGGCAAACATTACGCAAAGGCCGAAGGGGATCGGAACGCATATACAACAGGAACAATTGGAAATCACAATGTAGTCCTGGCCCACATGCCGTACATGGGCAGCACCAGTGCTGCGGCTGTAGCGGCCAGTCTACGTTCCAGCTTTCCAGAGGTCCGGCTTGCCTTGGTGGTAGGGATTTGCGAGGTTATACCTGTCCATACTAAGACTGAGGAAGAAATTATCCTAGGAGACATCATCATCAGTACAGCGGTCATCCAATATGATTTTGGCAGGCAGTACCCGAATGGATTTCTAAGAAAAAGAGACATTGATGACAGCTTAGGGCGCGCAAACCCGGAATTCCGAGCATTCATCAACATGTTACAGGTACGCCGCAACAGGGAAAGATTGAGAAGAAACCTGCAAGAACTTCTCCGATCGGAACGCTTCCAGGGAGAGTCTGTTGCCGCAAAGTATCCCGGTACAGGCCGAGATCGGCTCTACAGGGCGTCTTATGTCCATCAACATCGTCAACTGGATGTGGCTTGTAACAAGTGTCAAAACAACTCCGAACCTTGCCCAAGAAGCTGTGATGAACTTGGCTGCGAGGAGAGAGAGCTCATTGTACGACACCGGCACAGCAGTCCGAAGACCAACGATCACATCCCCCTCATTCATTTTGGTCGATTTGCATCGGCTAATAGTGTTATGAAGTCCGGCGTCGATCGTGACAAGCTGGCAAGATCTGACGAGGTGGTCGCATTCGAGATGGAAGGGGCTGGTGTCTGAGATCAGCATCCTACCGTTGTCATCAAAGCAGCCTGTGACTACGCCGATAGTCACAAGAACAAGGACTGGCAGGCTTACGCTGCCGCTATGGTCGCTGCTTGTCTGAAAGTGTTCTTGGAAGAGTGGACTCCGCCGGAAGTAGATGATCGAGGTCAAGCTTCCCCCATCGAAATGGCTTGTAGCATTAATGACTAATGTATAGCAGGTGAATCGCAAGATCCTATCTGGCATGTGCCCTTTGATGAGTTGCCGGACTTTGTCGGGCGGATAACTGAGCTCCAACATCTGAAGTCAAAGATCTTCCAACCCGAAACTCGGCGAGTCATACCTATAGTCGGGTTGGGAGGTGTGGGTAAGAGTCGACTGGCAATGACCCTAGCCTTTCAGACTAAATCGGAGCATCCAGAATACTCGATCTTTTGGGTCAACGCCACCAATATACTGACCTACGAAAAGGATATCCGCGAAATTGGACAGAAACTCAAGATTCCTGGAATCGATGACGAGAAAGCAGATATCAAGGCCCTCGTGAAGCAGCGTCTTAGTGTCCCCTCGAAAGAGAGATGGCTCTTGATACTCGACAACGCCGACGACGAGACATTATGGGGCCCCCAAGCGAGGCAGAGCCAACAGGGATCATCCCTAGGGGATTACTTACCGACGACAATGAACGGTTCTATTGTCATAACAACACGTACACGACGCGTTGCGACATTCCTTGCCAGGAAGGATATGATTGAACTACATGAACCCTCGCCGGACGAAGCTACAGACATGTTTATGAAGGAGCTTGGAGACTCCCACCCAGCAGAAGACCGAGATACAATCTTAATCCTAGTTCAAAAGCTGGCTTGTCTCCCCCTCGCGATTGTCCAGGCTGCTTCATTCATCGCCCAGACTCAACGACCTGTTCAAACCTATATTGAGCTTCTCGACCAGCCCGAGTTAGACGTTATCAAGCTCCTAAGTCGAGACTTTGGGGATCCTTCACGATATCCGAGCGCTAAAAACCCGGTCGCTTCTACCTGGCTTATCTCGTTCGATCACATCCGCCAGCATCATCAGCTAGCAGCAACATTCCTGTCCTATATGGCGTGCTTCAATGAGAAGAATATCCCCCGGTCACTGCTACCGGAGGCAAGTTCGGAGTGCGACAATATCGATGCTATTGCCGTTCTCACGGCATACTCATTTGTGAGAAGTCATATAGGGGCATACAAGAACGGTCGTACGGAGGAGCTGTACGATATACACCGACTAGTCCGGCTGGCCGCTCGGAATTGGCTCAAGATGGAAGGCTTGCTCACTGCTCAGACAGCCACCTGCATTATAAAGATATCCAAGGTCTTACCTTCTACGGAATACGAGAACAAAAGCATTTGGACGCTGTGCCTTCCGCACGCTCAACGCCTTTGTAATGAAGGCGAGGCTAGGGACCTTCCCGAGCGTGCATCGCTACTTGCTAGGATGGGCTACTACTATATTGGTGATGGGAAGTACAGTGAAGCAGTGGAAATCTTTACTGAAGCAGCAAAATTGAAGGAGACTGAATTGGGTCCTCTAGACGAAGAGACACTGACGGCCTCTGCCATCCTTGGGATCGCCCTTTTGTATAAGGGCGATCTTTCTGCTGCTGAGAGGTATCTTTGCCTGGCCCTCGAACCACTCAAGGAAAAGCGCGGTGTGGAGGATTCTGATGTGCTCCGTATTATGGATAGACTGGCGACGACATACATCTTTCAGGGGCGGCTTGGAAAGGCTGAAGCGCTAGCACTACATGCACATCAAACCCAAAGAAGGACTCTAGGAGCTGAGCATATTGACACACTCAGTAGTATGCTCAACCTAGCGCAGCTTTATGAACAGCAAGCTCGATGGACGGAGGCAGAAGAGCTGCACCTTGAGGCCGTCAAGACCTGCAAGAGGCTGTTTGGAGTAGAACATTCCCGACACGCTAGTCTGCATACACAACCTGGGGTCTATGTACTCGACAATGGGTCGATTGGAGAAGGCTGAAGAGCTGCAACTGCAGGTTCTGGCGATGTCAAGGCGGGTCCTTGGGCATGAACACTCTGATACTCTCATAGGTTTGGCCAATCTTGCAACGACCTACGTCCAGCAAGGCCGAGTGAAGGAGGCAGAAGAACTGTATATGCAGGCTCTAGAGGCGATGAAGAGGGTACTAGGGCTAGAGCATCCCGATACACTGACTTGTCTGACCTTGCTTGCGGTAGTCCGTCGCAAGCAAGGCCGGGCGGATGATCCAGAAGAGCCAGCAGAGGCTCTAGAGACAAGGAAGAGGGTGTTAGGACCAGATAACGCCACCACACTGTACAGCATCTATCTCCTGGCTCTCTACTGCAAAGATCAAGATCGCGAGGATGAAGCAATGGAGTTGGCGACTTCCGCCGTGGCAGGATTGATCAAGGTATTCGGTCGCGAGCATCCTGCAACCCGAGAAATAACGGAGACCCTGGAGTCCTGGCAGAAAGGGCGTGATCAACCAACGGTCCCACCTGAAGCTGAGCCGAGTGCTGGTGCTCTCCAGCACGAAACACGTTCGAATGGTGGCACGAGGGAAAGGTAACGGAATCGCGTGCTCCAACGACTGTCCCTTCGTCCGTCGAAGCACAGGTCTCGCGCTTGAGGACAATAGGCATTTGGTCAGGACGACCTGTTAAGACAATGATCCTGGCGTCTCGGCTGGGATTCGAACCACTCCGTTCCTTTACCTTCGAGTACGATCCAAAGGCAGGTCGCAGGTCGCAGGTCGAGAGCGTCTCAGCTGACTGCGAACATACTGCTACAGCTGTTCGTTTCGACCCCGATGCACTCGGCTTGGGCAAGTTCGGGGCCAACGAGCTTCAAGCCAGACACATGTCAATCATCGGCCACCATTTTCGACTGTACGGTGCTTCAATGGGTGAACTGTTACTTTCGGTCTGGTTGCTTGGATGTCGTTCTCCAATTGTTGCCTTGATTGGGACTAGTCTCTCCGACCTGATGTATCAGCATGAGCCAGTCGATGCTCCCGCCGCCGCCGCCATTGTCCGCTCGAGTCTTATATGAAGAAGGGCAGGTCAGCGTGAATATTCTGGGGATGGCCCATGGGTTTCATCGACTTGGACACGAGAGACCTGCTCTTCTGGTAAATGTCGGATGCTGACCTTCACCTACTATTGAGCTGACACGACCAGGACAGGAGCACAGCGAGCTCTTCCATCTCCCCTCAATCAGAATGAGCCACTCCCCTGGCCTGAAACTGAAGGATCTCGGAGTGCTTCAGAAAACTCTTGCTCCGATAACAAGTGCAGACCTTTTCAAGCCGGATGACTGCTTGTGTAAGCCCAAGTCATCCATTCAGGTGAACAGGTTCCTCAGCAGAGAGGCCCGGATACGTGCACCGTCTTCTTTGAAGGCCAGTGTGGCTGCTCTTGGGATAGATGTGATTAGTTTCAGCACGGGTCGTCCGTCACCAGAAACATACCCTTTCGAACAGCTGGATTTGACCTTTTCAGACCCAGCCTTTCTGACGAGCTCTTCCTCTCGAAACGGCGACGACTACCCTGCCAGTGGGCCATTGCGGAGCATTGTTTACAGGAACGACCCAGACTCTTCAATCGACATCTCAATCGCCCTCTCTTACGGCTATTCTCTCGGATGCGAACAGCTGCTTCAATTTCTGACCACCCATATAACTCACGTACTCTGTCCGCCATACTCCGACTGGGAAATATGTCTTACAGTCGGAAACACATCGGCTCTGGAGATCGCTCTGCGCAACTTTGCGAATGAGGGTGATTGCATGTTGGTGGAAGAGTATTCGTATTCTGGCATGCTTGAAGCAGCAAGGGCTCTCAATCTCAATCTCGTCCCCATTGCTATGGACTCAGATGGACTGTGCTCCAGGGACCTCGAGGCCGTGTTATCATCGTGGGAGTCGTGCCATCCAGACAAGCCAAAGCCGAGACTCTTGTACACCATACCAACAGGACACAATCCGACGGGGATAACACAGCCACCAGGGCGTCGGCGAGAAGTGCTGGCCGTTGCTGACAAGCATGACCTTCTCATCATCGAGGACGATCCGTACTACTATCTCCATTTCTCCCAGGCGGGCACACGATCGGCAGCTACCCTCCTCCCATCATACCTCTCTCTTTCTACAGCAGGACGCGTGATCCGACTCGATACAACTTCCAAGATTCTGGCACCTGGGCTGAGACTGGGCTGGCTTACCGCTCCAAAGGCTGTTGTTGAGACTTTCCAAGCCGCGCATGACCTGGGAATCGTCCATCCCAGCGGGCTGAGTCAGGTCGTGGTCTACAAGTTGCTCTCCGAGGCCTGGGGACATGACGGGTTTGTAGAATGGCTGGCTCACCTGGCCGACGAGTACGGTCGGAAAGCCAGGTTGATGCTTCAGGCCATGAGACAGGCGCTAGGGCATAGGGGTCTCGAAGACATCTGCAGCTGGAAAGACATTGAGGCTGGGATGTTTATCTGGCTCACGATCGACTGTAGCAGCTACCCGGGTCTAGATCACACAGTCGAAAGTATGGCTGCGAAAGCAAGCATTGAGGAGCATATCTACACAGCAGCGTTGGAAGCCGGGGTGTTATGCTGCAGAGGCAGCTTCTTCTGTGTCCCGTCACTTTCTGTGTCCGCCGAAGCGCCGGATCGTGGCGATGGTGACCGTGACGGTGACGGCGCTGTTCCTCTCGCCCCGTCGAAACCCATCGTCTATCTCCGGCTGACGTTTGCGTCTGTCTCAGACACAGATCTGGTGAGAGGCATTGAGCGTCTTGCAACTGCGCTTCGGGAGGTGTTTGGTTTGACATAGGGTTGATTCTATTCATATTGCATCAAGTCGTCAATCAAGCAACCATTCCTGTCATAGTCGTCATACTGGACATCCAGAGTTCTCTCCTTCATCCGTACATGCCTCGAATAGACGAAAAATTCCGAAGATTTTACCAACCTCTAACCTCTCTTGTCCGTGAATGGTCCTTCACGCCCGATAATCATACCGTGACAGTGAATCCCTGCCGCACAGGTACCGGCAGAATTATATTACACTTCACCGCATCCCAAGATAGAATATCACAAGTACAAGTATCAAAGTCCCATATTTTCCTCCCAATAACGTAAAGACCCCCAGAAGCGGCCCCGACGGCCAAGTCAGCACTGGGCGATCCGATCGGTCGAGCCTCATTGTCGACCTAGTACTAACCACTAACCCTGCGAACCCGGGTTTCACTTCCCGCAACCCCCGACCGAGGGGCTTGTGGAAAATGTTTTTGCCAATTCTCCAGAAAGAAGAAACACGAAAGACGAATGGAGGTTGGATTGGTGGTTTATACAAGTTAAGTTTTTGCAAGGAAGAACAGGAGGATAGACGGAGTGAATACAGAAAAAAGAGAAGATAAAGTCTAATCAGGAGAGATACGGGCATAAACACACACAGAGAGAGACACACACAGACAGAGAGACACACACAGACAGAGAGAGAGACACACACAGACAGAGAGAGAGAGAGACAGAGAGAGAGAGAGAGACAGAGAGAGAGAGAGAGAGACAGAGAGACAGAGACAGAGGAGGATAGTACGTAGTAGGCTTTTAGCAAGTAGTTTTTGCATTTCTAAACGACTAATATTAAATCATGACCCTTGAATCATGACCCTTGAATCATGACCCTAGATTCCGGCATCCATGGTCCATCTCAGATCACGGCCGAATCGGACTTCAATCTCCACCCCGCCAAACACTCCAATGGCGGCATATAGGTCCGCTTCGCCCATGAGGCCATCGACGCCCTCGTCGCGCACGTCGCGCTCCTCGTCGATGGGCCAGCTCCAACGCGGATCGGTGCGGCCTTGTCTGGTGATGAATGCGGTGGTGTTGACTTTGGTGTAGGGGGAGTTGGTGCTATTGCCTTTGCCATTGCCTTTGCCATTGCCTTTGCCATTGCCTTTGCTGTTGTCTTTGCCGGTACCGTTGCCTTTGGTGTAGGGGGAGTTGGTGGTGTTGCCTTTGCCTTTGCCGTTGCCACTGCCGTTGCCATCACTGTACGGTGGGATTGAACTTGCAGCCACTGCTGGACTGGGCTCAAACGTCATGCCGACACCGATGGTCTCGCCCTCTTGGAAAGCATTGACAAAATCCCTTCCTCCCCACGAATCATTGACGAACCGTCGTCCATCGTCCCCATGCACGCCGATACTGGCGCGGTGCCAGCCCGGCAGACGCCACGGCGGGTACGGTTTGGCGGCGAACCCGATTGCCACGCCCGACGACTCATTGACGATTCTGCGCACCACAATCTCGAAGTAGATGGTCTTGGTCTTGGGTTTCTGTTGGTCGTGGCTGTGGGCGTGGCCGACCAACGGGTTGTCTGTCGCGGCAAAGTATAACGGGAGACTGGATGTGATGATGGCATCTTGCTGGGCGGGGGTGGTGCGGATGAGCCAGGAGGTGGATGCAGGTTGTGATTGTGATGTAGACGTTGTCGTTGTTGTTATATTCCTGGGTGTGGAGGAGGAGATTATGTCGGTTGAGGTCGGTATTGGCTGCAATGTGAACCCTCTGGCTATAAGTGGCCGAGGCGGTGTCTCCAGCGCGATCTCTCCTCGAGCCGCGAGCGCGTGTAGGTTCGCTGACGGCCGCGATGGCGTGTAGACCGGGTGTGCGGCGCACCACTCGTGAGCGCGGGCGGCCGAGTCGTAGCTGGCGTTGTTCGTCGGGCTGTAGTCCTCTGGGAGGGGCGGGGGCGGAGGGAGGAGCGCCGTGTCGGGAATCACGGTCCAGTCGTGGTATGGAGGTGGGTTTTGGTTGAGGTTTGGATCTGGTTCTGGGTATGGAGCCATCTCTGTTGGTGACACCTGCCCGGCCGTACCAATATTGGCTCTTCCGGGCGGTGGACCTGGTGGCGGGCGGAATGTCTGGTCTAAGGCAGAAGAAGCAGAGAACGAAGGTGGCGGAGCAACTGGAGGTGGAGGTGGAGGTGGGAATCGGGGGGTAGTATTTTGGTTGGTATTGTGGTTGTTGTAGGAGGCCTGATAACCCTGGGATGCTGGAGGCGGGCCGGGCGGAGGTTCATATTGCTCGTCAGACATTGAAAGATTCCAGTTCTGGCTGTGGCTGATCTTTGGTATCGTGCTTGGGAATGGTGACTGCGACTGTGACTGTGACTGTGACTGGCCTTGACCTGGAGTTGGCTCTTGAGGGTGATGTCGAGACTGGTGTGGATGTTGCTGGTGCTGGTGAAGCTGGGCATTCCCAGATTCGGCCTGGCTAGAGACTGCGCTGGGACCGGTGGAGGTAGAGGCAGAGGTAGAAGATCCCACGTCCAGCTTCCCCCGGAGTAACTTGAAAAGGCCCATCGCACCAGGTAGTGGTAATATGTGAGTGAGTGATGTCTAGTGGAGGATTTGGGGATCTTGAGATAGGGAGGACCGCAGTGCGTGCACAAACCACAGACCAGGGCTAAGGCGTCGGGAGGCTAAGGTAGTGTTGTTCGTGTTGTTGGCGCCTGGTTGTGCAGACAGAGATATGGACCCAGATACTGTAGCTGTAAATGGATAGCAGTGACGGTAGAACTGGTGACGGGTTACAGTACATACATACATTACTCTAAGGTATGTACTCCGTCCATCATGGCGCAGGTTAAAACAAGCTTTCCACTGCTGCGCTCTAGCGTTGCACCGGCACCACCCTCTTATCCTTATGTAACCCCTTACCCTTAACCCTTACCCCTTAACCCCCTAAACCCTAGCCCGAGGCCAGTGCTAAGGGACCCTTGGGCTACCATGTATGTATACTGCAGAGTGGTAAGGGGAAGGGTAAGGGTGCGTGCTAGACTCTAGGTAATGGCGGTATATTCAATAACTACTTCAATTGTATCAAGGAACACTCTGGCTCTCTCTACTGTGGCCTCAAGAGGAGTTCGAGCTCGGTTCAAGGATGTGTTACCGGCGCTCTCCGCCCATATGATATATGCCTACATGATATATCCATTGAAGGTGCCTGTGGGCTGCTTTTCCTCGATGGACTTCTAGATGGGAAAGAGGCGTTTTTGATATCATCAAGTACAATGGGCTCAATGAGAGGCCATCAGCTGAGGCCGATGGTTGTAACGAGTGCTTTGCACAACAATATCTAGAAACCAACGGATCTGCCAGTTTATAATCCCCCAATGCCAACTCAGACTGCAATTACCGGCAGGCCTCTTCGTTCCCATTGTCTCGCAAGCACACTCCAGTCCTGACCCGGGCTATGCCAGAGCTCTTGAAGAAAGGTAAAGAGGTTGTTATAGTGCTCGAAGCCAGTACTTGTGGATAACATTCGACACAGGTCACTGACGGTAGCCATGCGCTTTTGCTCTTGCTGTTTGTCGCCGCAGCTGCAAATCCCGGCAATGAAAATGGGCCATGCCAAGTTGTGCAATGAAGCGTTGATATCTTCGAATTGGTTGAGCACTTGGAAAAGTCGGGCAGCGTGGTGTTTTTCAACTTCATCGCTGTCGCCATCGGATAGGTTCAGGCGCTTGCAGGCGTAAAGCACACCGGCATAATGATATGTCTGGACCAGTCGGACAAAGTCCTGCCTGACCGATCTGCTGGATGCTCCGATCATTGGCCCGGCCGTCAGCAACGTCGAGCCGCGGGCGAGCTCGAAATCTTGCTCGAGATCTGAGAGTGAAGGGCGGGAGCGGGGAGTGGCTGAGTGCGGTCCACCGGCCAGTTCTTGCAATGACCCGATCGTGATCCGATGCAGGGTGTTCAGGAAGTCTCCAAACAGAACATCTCCTCGGTCCGGTCGTGGAACAGTGGCATGCTGGACATGCTCCAAGTTGAACAATGTGGTGCACGCCAGGATGTCGTAGCTGGCCAGTTGATTCTCGAGAAAGACTGTCAGCTCGTCATCAGGAGCCCTCTTGAGCGTCACAGTATTGATCAAGATCCGTGCCGCTTGTCGGTGTGATTGAGCGAGAGACAGCTCCGACCCTAGGAGTGAATGGTTGGAGAGGGTGAGCATGGCCGCGAGCATTGCTTCAGCCTCCCTGTCCTCCCAGATGGACTCTGTGTGCGTCATGTGCCGCACTCTTTCGGTGATCATGCGGATGGCAGCCTGGCCCGCAGACTGTGAGAAGGTGGGATCGAGGTCCGGGTCCGGGTCATGCGGCATGTGAGCTGCCGAAATGGCCAGGATGGCAAGGCGCAGTAATGGATGCTTTTCCGCCAACGGAATGACAAGCCGTCGGTATCCGTTCTTTGCAGAGTCCAGCCAGACCATCAGAGGGGCAATGGCAGAGGCATAGTGGTCTGTTAGACGGTGTACCATGTGCTCAGGTAGAGGACGGGTTAAGCAGGACAGCTCATTATAACTCCTTGCTCGAAACATGGCGGTGTCACTGTCAGAGATCTGCGTTGACGTTGATTGGGAAGTATCCGGCGCCCCGAGACCCTTGTATCGTCCGCGAACTGCGATGCCATTTGCCCATCGGAACTGGGGTCCATATCCAGGACATTCGAGGCCTTTTTTGACACACTTGGTGCATGTTGGGAGCGTGCGGTCACATCGAATACGCCGCCTATTGCAGATTCGACAGTCTAGACGTCGATATTAACGAAAGGATTTGGAGAGCGTTTGAACATTGAACAGTACACACACACCTTTGGGGGCAAGTAGAGTTGCCTCCCCAGACACCATCACATCAGCTGGGATTGGGAATCATGGCCCGCAGACCGCGGTGTCCGATTGGGATTGGGATTCCTCGCCTAGGCTCAGGTTGAAGACTTCATAACGCTTGAGAGCAAGGTGGACGGCGAGATTGGTTTGCACCTGTAGATTAGTGTAAGCACCTGTAGCAGACATCCAGGATGCACAGATCTATTGATCAAGAGGTCAAATTGATAAAGCTCCGAATGCAACTGATAGCAGCCTTGCGGCGCCAAGAGGTCACGTGAAGAGCGCAGCCTTGTTGACGTCTAGGCTACTGGTCTTCCAGTCTTTTAGAGGAACAATAGCACTCTTTCTTCAGAAATGGCAAAAACTTTTTCCACAAGCCCCTCGGTCAGGGGTTGTGGGAAGTGAAACCCGGGTTCGCAGGGTTTTTCCGGCTTTGGCTTCGGATTTGGTGCTCGTTCTTCGCTGGTTGGTGATAACCCGGGTTCGCAGGGTTAGTTACTGAATTGAATCGCATCGCTGGTTGGCATCAGTCCGGGTTCGCAGGACTAATTTTATCGAGTGAGTTGCTGTTGCTGTTGCTGGGCCAAATACTCCAACCCGGGTTCGCAGGGTTGGGGGGTCGAACTTGAGAACTTTTCGGTCGGTCGCCCAGTGGTGCAGTGCTAACTCGGCTAACTGGGGGTCTTTGCGTTATTGAGGACATATTTTCGGGATTGGGTTAATATACGTATTATTATTATTCTCTTTCACTGGCATGGTATTATGTGAAGGTGAAGGTGAAGCTAAAGGTGAAGGTGAAGGTGACGCTAAGTGAAAGTGAAGGCGAGGCTGAGGCTGAAGGTGAAGGTTGGGCGGCCGCCCTAGCTAATTACATAGAGTTACAGTACGGTGAATGAGGAATTATTATAAATGACTAGATCTGCCGCTCCTATTTACCGAACCGAGGGTCGTTCCGTTGGCCTTAGGATCCCTGTAGTCCTGTCCGTTGGTCTTAGGCTTCCCTGTTGTCTTGTGTTATACGGTCGAAAGGAATAGATGCTAGATCCCACCTACAGCGAGCAGTGAGAATAGAATCAAAGGTGGAGAATAAGGCTGGGGATGCTCCTAAGTTTGATATTTTTACCATCAGTAGTACTGATCCCATCGACTTCTTGACAAACATCCACAGTAGTACTGATCCATCCAGACTTCTTGATAAGCATCCATACTTGTCAATCCTGTCAACCCGACCGTAGACAAAAGACAGCTTACACCTCAAAAATATCCTCACCGACCATTTCGCGCACCAATCTGACCCATTTCCGGACTTCGTTCTCGACTTCCTCATCATCATCCTCTAGACTCTCGTTGACGTAGACCATGGTCTCACCACTTCCGCCGACGCCCTCGGTACTGGTGCCGACCACCACATTGTTGACCCACTCTTCGCCGACGTCCTCGGCCTCCGTGAGCGCGAGCTGCGTGCGGATCGCCGCCAACCTCACTCCCGCCGACGTATCGTGGCGCAGCTGGCACAGCCCGTGGTTCAGGGCATGATGGTGCGCAGGAGTGTCCTGGGTGGCGGTCGCCAGGCCTACAATGGTGGGGATGACATGATTGAAAACCGCCATGCGCAGCGCTTTGGGCGATTTCGAGGATGCCAATGTCAGTTGCGAAACGAGGAGTGTCGACAAAGGCGAGAAGTGTGACGGCGCCGCGAAGAAGCTGTCGGCATCATGGGCCAGTGCGGTCGTGAGGAGGGTCAATGTCGACTGGTACAGTCTCAACTGGTCCTCGGTCATCGTCCTGGTCGTGGCCTGGTGAGACTCAACCACCGACTGCAGCACCTCGTTCGCCGCGTCAAGAACATAACTCGCGTACGAGGTCACGATGCTCTTGAGCGTGCCGAAGAGATGTTCGCCCAGGGCGAAGAGACTGGTCCTCCGCGCCGTCCTGGCTTGGTCGGAGAACTCGGCACCGCCCAGGTCGGGCGCTTTCAGGGCCCAATCGACCCAGCTCTCGAATATCGGACGGAAGGTCGAGTCATTCAACTTGTAGATGAATGTGATGCTCACGGCGTGCAGTCTCGACTCGATCGCGTCAATGTCGTCCGGTGAGATTTCGAGCTTAGTCTCCTGGCTCGTACTTGTCAAAGACAAACGTCGCAGGTCCAGAACCTGCAGGATGAAAGTGGATATCGTCTCGGCCGCACGCACCACGGTGGACTTGGAGTTGCGCTCGACGGATTGTGACAACAGGTCTATGTACTCGGTGATCGCTTCGACTTCAAACCCCACGTCGTCCGAAACCGCCTTCCATGCTTGACTGAGGCTGGTCGCGATCGTGACCAGATCGCCCTTGTGGGCGAGCAGGGTCAGAGTCTCCGTTCTGGCCTCTTTGCACGATGCTTCCATCTTGGCCATGCAGGAGCGGTATGACAGTTCCAGGATCTCCACCACATTCTCGTCGGAGACCATGAATGCCACATATGATAGGAAGGATGCGATTAGCGTGAATGCAGCATTATGGAGTTCTTCATTTCTGCCACCGTCGGTGAGGCTGGCCCTCAGGAGATTCAGGACCTTTGGCATAGCCTGAGGCACAATCGGTACCGCCGCCTCCTTAAGAACTTCCAACATTGAAGCAAGGCAGAGGAGCGACATGATTTGCGTCCTCGAGTGCTCGGAGCTCAGGCCACGCTCTCCCTCAATCAGGATTGACGAGGCGGAGATGATCGTTTCTGGGCTCTTGCGTCCATATGCCTCCACAAGCCGGTCCAGACAAGCGATCGCGGCGTGCCTGAATACTTCGTCCGAAGTGGTTCGGATAATGGTCTCGACAGTCGGTAGGAAACTCATGGCCTCGGCCTGAGTCTTGCTGTCCTTGGAAGGATTACGTTGAAGCTGAGCGGCTAGGACCCTCAGAGCGAGAGGCGGAAGCTCCGGATCTCCAACAAGTTCCATCTCCTGCAGAAGATCGGGCATGATACCCAAGAGCTCAGCAAGCGAGGGCAAACCCAGTAGAGCACTCAAACACTTCCTCGTGGAAGAAGATGGTTGCCCTTTCAGGCTCTTGAGCATGGCCAGAAGCCCCTGCAGACACATTCTATACTCTGCCCAGAATGGTTCAGTCTCAGCCTTATCCATTTTCTGTAGTTTCTTCACTTGAGCTTTCAACACCTTCGTGTCGAGCAGTCTCCACGCCGTCTCCAGAAGAAGTACAGAAATTTGCTCTTTCTTATCTGTCTTGGTAGATTTGTTCACGTCTAAGAGCGGTTCCGCATTGTGAGGATTGTCGCTGAAGATATCCCTGGCCAGCGCGAGGATCTTTCGGTGCGTCAAGAGCTGAGATGCCGCCGGCAAGTCTGCAGTAAGGACCGACAGGAAGGACGACATGTCCTCCTGAGGTCGTCTTGATGCGAGTAGCGCGATCATCGCGAAAGCAAAATCGTCCGCTCCTAATCGGTCCAGTAGCCTTCTGTAAAATGCGACCCGTCGATGCTGTGGGATATGATCGTAAGCGGTAACCAAGCTCGACAGAAGACTGGACGTGGCGTGGACCAGGTTGTTCGCATCTTGCCTTTTCAGAGTACCCACCAAAGGCGGTACGATCTGATCGATTGCCTGGTTCGTAACGTAAACAGACCGCTCATCGTCCCTCGACAGTATGCCGGTACCCATGAAAGTGAAGATAGGCATAATGGTGTGCAAGATGCGATCCGGCGCTATCGAAGCCAGTGATGCCAACAGCAACAGAGCCGTAGCCTGAACTTGTGGATTTTCCGTTGATCGAACACAATCGGTAACGAGGTCAGCACGAATACTCGACATGTCGATGTTTGGTTTCCGTGTTTCCCTCGCCTTGTCAGTGATGGCCAGGATGCTGCTGAGACACAATGTGAGGAGATACGGGGATTCGGACGTGCTTTTCTCTCTGAGTCTTCTTAGGGTGATCAAGAGATCGAATAGACCCCCGAGCAGCTGAGGATGCGTTTCTGGTTTGGAGTCTTCAACCAACTCAAGGGCAAGGGATAATCTGGAATCGGCGAGGTCCAGTTGGACAACCATGTCTTTCGGTATGCTTTCACGGCCATGACTGATCCTGCGTCGTTTCTTGGGCGGTACCTCCATCTGCATTTGAGCAAGTCCGGAGCATGCGTGGTCGAGTAAGCCGGCAAGAACATCGGTGGGGTGAGTGGCGGAACGCAGCACTTGCTGACTTCCTGCCGCTATGGTCTCATCGTCGGAAAAGGACATGTCAAAGAGAAGTTTGGCTGCCGTAATCTGGGAGTCAGGCCGGACGTCTTTCCAAATTGTGGCAACTCGGTCAAAAAAGGCCTTCACCAGGCCAGGCCTGAGCTGCAACCTTTCTCTTTCGAGCGTCTCAATTGTGTGCTCAACGGCCTCCTTGTCATGAGCATTGATGAGTTGGACCACCGTGGAGTCGACTTGGGCTAGACTCAGGCCTTCAGAACCCGCGGCAGATGTGGCCTCGGCTTCGTTTAGAGACGCCCAACGTCTGAGGACCGGCTGAAGGGTTTTACTCGTGGTGGCACTGCCGACCTTGTGAATACCGATGAGCAGGTTCACAATGCCCAGTTGCACTTTGATCAGTGGGCTGTTCAATGCGCAACCGGTCAAGAGTTCGAAAAGATCCTGCTTCAACGATTTCTTCAGCTCCACATTCACCACCTTCGATCCGACAGAGGAGGAGCGTGAGCGGCTATCAAAGGCATTCTCCACCACCCTCCTGATGTGAGAGGGGTCTAGAACACATTCCTCCAAGTTTTGCAGATACACATGCGTTAAGAGCTTCTTTGCGTGAGCAGAAGGCACGCGCTTCACGTTCGTCATCGCCACAGCATCATATTCAGCTTCCGGGTCCTTTTGTTGGTCGCCGTCTTCTTCAAGGCTCTGTGACATGCAGTTCTGAACGACAAGGAGGCAAGATGACGCGGCTCGCCGTAGCGGCTGGGCTGGATCACTCAGGAAGATGGTGAGGTAAGGTATGAGAAGCTGAGTGTCTTGTCGAGACCCCTGTTGGAGGGTCTTTGAAAGAAAATGAAGAGCTGCAGAGCGCTGCGAGTCTGGATAGTCGCTACAAGCAGTTCTCAAAAGAAAGCTCGTGAGAAGATCGGAGGGCGTTTCAGTTTGCGGCTGCCATAGTGGAAGACTCTCAAATCTTGCTAGGGTGGACTCTTTCCGATAACACAGCGTGAAAACCTGGAGAAGTTGACTGAATAACGGGGAGCGTTTATTTGTCAAGAAGGATAGCTCGGTGGACACCGTCGGCAAAGTGGCCAACATAGAGTCAACGAGATCATCATTCGACTCTGTTGGCCCACTGATTTCGTCAAGGCCCACTGAGTTTGATTCTAGGAGATTTGGGCCATCCGCTGGCTCAATGGTCCCTTGAATGATAGCCTCAACTTCCGGCAACGACCGACCTGACAGTATCACTGCTTGAGGGAAGGCGGCAGAGAAGGTAGGCATGTCATTCAATCTCTGTAGGGTTCGAATAATCCCCTCTTGGATCACCGAGTCCAGAGAGCCCGCTGGGGTGGTGCTTGGTAATTTCCGGAGTAAGGCAGCAAGGAAGCGGCTTGTAGCAGATGGTTCCACAAGATTGAGACTGAGGTCGAGTAATTTTTCGACGAAAGGGAGCCTCGAGCTCAAGTTCGAGTCTTTCAAGCGGGTGAGTGATGAATTGATCAGTGATTCGCATAACGCATCCACAGGCACCTGTCCTTGAACCTCGAGCATGAGAGAGTCTAGATCCCGGATTTTCAAGAAGACCTCGAGAGAATCTCTTGAGACCCTGCGCTCGTTCTTTCTTGAGACCAGGACGCATAGACAAGCCAGGGTTGATTTTGGGTCGGCTTCGCCGTTTGTGATAAAGGGGGAAATGGCCTTGATTATGGAGTCAACCACACGGTCCTCAAGACTAGAGTTGGTTGCTAGCACAAGGGCTATCGTAAAGCAGGTGAGGGTCATCTCAGGACAAGCCCTGATCTCTAGACCTTCATCCAGAATGGGGATAATCTTTATTAGCGCATCCTCCAGACGCTGCCTCTGAACCTCTTTTCTCCCACTTTTGACTTGGTTCAATCTTCCGGTAATCGCCTCGACCACCACGCTGCCCCAGAAGCGCAAAAGTTGAGGGTGCCCCGCTCCTTCCTGACAGACTCGAAGAGTATAGTTGTTCAACACGGCGAAGAATGAATCGTTGTGGATGGCGCTGTATACGATGGCATGCCGGGGAACATTCGCCGCGATCTTGTGATATGGGCCGAGGAATTTCCACTCGTTGGTGATCTTATTCGCCGGAACTATGCTCAAGATGTTTCGGAACACTGGGGTTTCGTGGTAAGGCAGGAAAGTCGTGAGGAGGGCGTCAGTGTCGTAGACATGCACTCGAAATCTCCTGACGAGCCACTCTACGGCTCTGATTCCGGGGCGCAGCAAGACTTTTGATCCTAACAGTGCCAGACATCGCTCAAGGACCACCCCTAGAGCCTCATTCTGTGATCTGCTCAATTGTTCTCTGTCTTGGTCTTTAGCCTGTGGACTGTAGAGATTCAGTTCGAATTCTCGCAGCCTCGAGTCCAGCAAGCACAACTCTTGAAACCCCTCGAGGCATATCAGATATATTGTCTCCCAGTCCTGTTTGACGGCGACGGCTCGGTCGAAGATGAGGGATTCGGCGTGCGCATCTCGGCGGGCGCGCAGGTCTAATTCATTCGTAGAGTTTGCGGCGATCGTGCGCAACTGCGCAGCGAACGTGGAAGTCATAGCAGCGTCGATGCTGCAAAACCGGGGTGTTCTTCAATCATCAGCCCAGATATGGCACGTCAAGTCGTCCTCCGCCCAGCCGCAGAGTCGTGAACGTGAGAAGTGGCATAAAGCATACAGCTGCAGGGACTTTAGTCGTTTGTAAAAAAGTTCCCACCGCCAAAAAAAGTTTTGGAGAAACTTGACCGGCGTTTAAATCGGACATAATTAGCGCCAAGCCACGAGTCATTTGTAGATGATGGAGCAGCCATCACGAGTCAGGCATCTATAGCTGGCAGCTGGCAAGATACAGATAGATACGTGAGGAGGCCACCAGAGGGAGCATGTTGAGTCTTGACAGTCTGGTCGTTGTAATATTCCAGCACTGATGCGGACATCTGGAGCTACACTAGTCGAGATCTTGCTGTACGGATACTGGAGCCACCCCCTTTGAAATCTAGGTCAGTGAGTGTTACATCTTGACCTGTCTCCGTCTCCGTCATCTCAGTGGGACTCCGGCAACTCGATGCGAAGTCTCAGGCCTCGATCTTGCATACTTTCATAGACTCGCTCCAGGCCCTCGTGACTGAGACCGTCTCTCAGAATCTCCTCTGAGAAGGCCAGCATGTACAGTTCTTTGGACCATGGACAAGCCCTCAATGAACTGTAAAAGACGTCTGCCAGCTTCTGAAGCTCGTGGCGTCTTTTGGATTCGCTGGCGGGCCTGCTTTCCTTCGCCACAGGCTTCTCACGGGGTACAACAGAAAGCTCCCACATAACATATGCCTTCCAAACAGCCATGCAATGATACCCTTCTGCACCCTGATCAGTGGCTCGTCTGAAAGCCGAGCGAATACTGTGATCCGTACTTCCAGCGTAGGAAGGCCTCCTCACTTCGGTTAGGAGATCGAACATGCAGGGAATGATGCTGCTGCTTCCCCGATCCACCTGCTCCTGTCCCGGAGCACGGGCATCGACCTGACGCAACCGGTCGAAGAGTCCCGATTTTTGAGCGTAATGTTGCTGCAGCATCAGAAGACGAAGATTGTCAGGAAAGATCCGAACTGACTCTCTCAATATCAAACAGTAATCCCCGGGCTTATAGGGCCTGCTGAACGTCGTTGCATGAGAGTGAAGGAGATAGGCCCGGTGCTCGTGGACAGTTTCCACTACGGGGGCGTCTGATGCCCATCTTCCAACGAGTGCGTTCAGACAGCTTTCGTATACCTCCAAGGCAGCTTCGAGATCCAGGCCCTGGGTGAGATATTTGTAAATGACCAAGACATCAATAACGGCTGGAAGCATCTGTGTATCGGGTTTGGAAAGATTCGCTTCAAATTGTGTTTTGATGTAGACCTCGGCCTTGATCTGTGTCGAGATCGATTGGGGCGTGCGAACACTTGTACTCTTCTGTAGTTTGGATAGATCAATTTGGCTGTCTGGCAACATACTCAACAAAACTTCTGCATCATTAAATCTCTTCTTTAACAGGTAGGAGTATGCCCACTCGCGCCAGAGAGGAAAGGCACTGCTTTCGACATCTTGGCCGAGAGATCCGCGCATAGATATTGCGGTTGACCACACTCTCTCTGCAGCTTCGAGATTGCCTGTTCGATACTCGAGGACGGCATATGTATTGTAAAGGCTCAGACTGTTGGGCCTTTGCTTGAGAAGCGCTTTTGCTTTTCTCCTGGCAGTTTTCAGGTCCGCTTGAGCTTCAAGGGCGATAGCATATTCAGCCAGTAGTTCGTCGGGTTCTCCGTCCCGCCCCCTTGTGGCCAGTTGGAAAAGGAAACGCCGCAGAAAATCGAAATATAGCTCTGCCACTGTTCGAGAACTTGACAATCCATTTAAAGGCATCGAGGGTTCACCGTCGAGGTCCTGTGGCGCGATAGACAGTGTCCATTTTTCTGTGCAGCGAGAGTGGTTGAAGACAAAGGGATCTCCTTGCCAACGCCTCGATTCCGGAAGGGAAGATAGCACAGGAAGGCCGACAAACAGTAAAAAGGCGTCTTGAAAAGCCCTCAGGCCTTCGCTTGTACTTGGGGAGAACAGGAACTCCCTTACATCGGAAAAGAGGAGAACCCGGTATGGATCAGTTTCACTTACTTCGTCCAGAGTACGCGCCGGCAATCCTGAACATCGCTCCTGATCATCTTCAGCGGCTGCCCAAGTAGCAAAATCCAGGCCAGGCATACGAGAGTCCTGCCTATCGGTATTTGGTCCGAGTTCGGGACTGGTAATGGAGTTCCACCCAGTAGCTCCTTCTTCGCCAATTCGTGCAACCTCGCTGGCCCAGAACCGATGAAATGATTCAAGCGGGTCCTCCGATACTGGCAGCTGGGGACGGAAAAAACAGTATTCGAACAAAGCTTGCCAAATCCCAACGGCCCGTTCGGTGAAGCCGGACTGCCACAGGAATAGAGTACACCGGAGAAGAAGGTAGATACAATTTGAGTCTCTTTTGCGCCCTGGCGCAACGGCCCGGAAGATTTGGAGACAATCCTTGTAGACTTCAAGACAGTTTTCGAACGTAAACCTGACTTGATTACTTTGCATGAAATTGAGGTAGAGAATCCACAAGTCAAAGGAAGCGTCTTTGTTGAGGAAAGTCCGCCACTCCGAAGCCTGCTTCTCTGAATCCCAGATCTTGCTCCCTTCGTGCATCAGACCCAGAATTAGGGGTTGGCGCTCTTCATCACCTTTGATATGAGATAGTGCCTGTCGGTAGAGTGAAATCTTTATGTCGATGAGGCTTCGCCCAGACGATAGACCGAAACTTCGGGAGTCATTCTCGCGACTGAAGGACGTTTGTTGATAATCAATGAAAGCGAGCCACACCTTGGGATCCTGTGGATGCTCAACGGTGGCTCTGGAGAGTTCGACGTGCCGTTGGTGGACCGGGTCGCTTTTGAAAGTTTCAAATGCATCTTCCATCTCTCCATCTGTTTCCAGATCGGAGATGGAATCATCTCCGTCCGTGTCGGAGACCTGTTGGTCGCGCTGCCTTGTTATACGTCTCCTCTTTCTGGAGTATCCATGCTCAAACCTCAAGAAGCTCTTTCCTAGATCCTCTTGATTGTCGGCGACTGGCAGAGCCTTCAAAGGCGCAGGATCCTCGGTGACCACGCTTGAGAGAAGAGACTGCCTACGGACTTTTCGAGTTGAATCAAGTTCCACATTTTCAACTTCATAACGGGTTTCCGTTCGCGAAGTGATGCGGTATTTTGGACCAAGACCAAGCAGAGCACCACTGCCGGAGACTCGATACCGTGGAATAGCATAGCGGTCCGGGGACCCATATGCCAAATTTTGACGGTCCCCTTTTCGGTCTACCACGAACAGGGAAGATTCATGATCTCGATGGATCGCCGGATCTGGCTTGTGAGTTTTACTGGGCCGTTGGGTTGGACCGGAAATAGGTGCAGTAAGCTGAGGCATCTTTCGCCCAGATCGAGGACTCTCATGCTCAAATGGACGCATAGTCAGGGACGTTCAGATATTGTAGTACTCCGTATGGCGACGTGTTCATAGTGTATCAGGCAGGAAGGAACCCGTATTTAGACCGTCTCCGAGACATCCTAGGTCGATCTCTATACCTTTATACTAGCTCATCACATCAGGATGTTTTGGTGAATCAGTGTACCGATTAGAAGACATCGTTGGCACCCCCTGCGGGCTACCTACCTTATGTAAGAGGTCGAGAAGATGCCCCAATGCCAAGAGCAAGTTAAGTAAGGCACCTGGTATTGTAGTATGCATCACGTGCCGCAACCCGACAACGTGTCTCCTCGGTTCCTCTCCCAGTCTGGCCTGCGGCTTGCAGATGAGTCTTCGTGGTAACCACCCTGAAGAGGAAGGACAGTGTAAGATACAACCAAATTGGCCCTCTGTTTGATTGAACACTGAGGTTGCAGACGCCCGTCCATGCATGTCCGCATGAAGGCCTAATGGCTGCAATAATGGTCAATCAATCCCAGATTCGAAACTCGCCTATCGGGATGGGGCTTAGGGGCTACCCTAAAGCAGAAGCCACGAGAGGCCTAAGCCTCCTAAGCCTCAGGCTTGGGGGCTCGAGGTCGCCCTGTGTGGGCTATACGCCCCCTGAGCCCGCCTACACAACAAGCATCCTTAGCCCCTTAGCCTCCTCAGCTGGCTCCTTAGACGCTTGATTATTTTTTTGGGCGCTTGGACATCGTGGCTGGCTTCGTCGCTCCCTTCCTTCGGCCGACTCCCCCGGGGGTTAGGAGGGTACTGTAAGTGCGTGGTAGGTGCGTGGGGTTAGGTCACTAGCACGCTTAGGGATCTTCAATTAGAGCGCAAAATCAAAATTCGATCCATCGGCGTGCTCATCCTGCGCATGCCAATCCGGGGCACGTTGTCACCGGTGTCACGGTACTCGCCACTAGCCCTCTCTTTCTCGTCCATACCAGCATTGCCAGCGCTGCGCCCATGCCATGGATACACCTCCTGTGAAGAGGGGTTCTCCGCCCTCCGTGGAGCGTGGTACTCCCTCGAAAAGGATCAAGACCCTACCCGAAGAGCCGACGCAGTACAGCGATGCCGTGCGAAAGAAACTCGCCGCCACCTCCCGCACAGGACAGGCCTGCGATCGATGTAAAGAGCGGAAAATGAAGTGCGACATAGATCCCATGGCCTGTCAGCCTTGTCGTCAAAAGGGTCTTCGATGCTACACCACCGACCGTGTCACCGGCCAAGCCAGAGAAAGAGGAGAAACAAGCCGGGCGGAAAACGAGCTGCATTTCCTGAGGGAACAATTGGCTGCGTATCAACACAGGTACGGCCCTTTGCAGAGGCCCGACACCAAAGATCCGGTACCTGCAACGATCAAAGAGCCTCCTCCTGTAATCGGCCCATATCCCACCGTGTCTGTCCCAGATGCACGCTACGTCGGGTGGCCTGCGCCGGACCACTCAGAGCCACTTGAATCCGGCCCCGTTAAAGGCACAGTGGTCGACATCATGGACGGTACAGTTGATATAAGTGCGTGGGATTGTGAGATGATGAGGGACTATCCTCCAACCACGAGGAACAGATTCAACCTGTCCAGAACATCCATTACCAACACAATAGCAGGATATCAACGGGTCGAAGACCCTAAATTGCCCCCCAGAGAGGAGGCCTTGCGCGACGCCAGCCATTTTCTAGTGATCATGTCGCAATATGTCCCAGTCGTTCATCGACCCAGTTTCCTGGAACTAGTGCGAGATTTCTACGCTCGCCCGACCATGTTGACGGCAGCCGAGCGTGTGCAAGTGGTAATGGTATTTGCCATTATCGCCCACCAGACAGCGGTTAGAAACCACTACCATTCAACCGAGAAGTTTGAGGACTCACATCGCTATCTACACTACGCGTTGGGGTCCTACCGCGACCTGTGGCACGACCGTTCGCTCGCTTCCATGCAGGCCATGGCCCTGATCATTGTACATTTTCGTAATCTCCCCAAGCCAGGTGTCTCATGGACATACAGCCACAAAGTGCTCGTGCGAGCCATTGAGCTGGAGTACCATCGTGATCCCGACAAGATCGATCTTCCCGAGGGCGAGAGAGACCTCCTTTCAAAGGAGCTCCGAAAGAGGGTCTTCCATTCCATACTGGGCATATGTGTGACGACGGGCTGCAGGGTGGGTTCGCCGGCTCCGTGGCAGTTCCAGCACATCGACTTGCCGCTTCCCAGACCACTTAAGGACTCTGAGCTGTCCAAGGAGGGTGTTTCCTCTGACCTCTCGGGCCATTGCGATTTCTGGCCCTGCCTCCACCTGGCAAAACTTCTTCCGTTACTCACAGAACTTCATAATAACATCATCTCCGTGAGGAGGCCGGCCGCTACATATCTTCGTACTGTGAACGCACTCAACACGAAGATCAACGCCTGGAAACTAGATTGGGACGAGTCGATCAAGAACGAACCTAAACACGTCAATATCACAGTGGCTACCCTTCTTATAGAGACATGGGCTGCGGAATATCAGCTGAACCTCTACCATCCAGCCTGTTGCACCAGTGACGATCCTGAAGTCATGGATCGGCATTTAGACATGAGCCACAAATCCGCAAAGCGTCTACTACAAAACTTCCACATTCTGTCAAGCAAGTACAAAGGCGTCGACTTTACCTGGCATTCGACTTTAGCCTATGCCACCGGCTTTGGGATAACGTTGTATACCTACAGGCGGCGGAAAACATTGTTGACCATGGAACAATATGAGGCCATGAGGAACGAGCTGAAAGGCTGGATCTCCCTCATGGCCTATGCGGATTTGGTCTTGAGTAAGTCGATCTCTGAGAGATGGAAGAAACTTCATTTTAACAATACCCATGTAGGGACTGGCAACCATCTAGTTCGACTGTTCCAGCCTCGGGTGCGGGCTCTCGAGGAAGAATACCGAAGGGTCATGGTCGATGCCGCCCCTAAACCCCCGAACAGTATCCAACCACCTTCCTTCGTCCCTGTCAACGGCCCCGGCATCCCTCTTCGACACAAGCTCGAACTGCTCAATCAGGCACCCAGTCTCGAAGCCGAGACTTTACGGCGGAAACATACACTCCCTCATCCCGTCTTCATACATTCCCAGGTTCGGCCACAGAGCCAGCCACAGTCTCCATCGAACCAATCTTCATCGCTGCAGCCATGGCCCTTATCCATTCCGTTCCTGGCACAGCCGCAATCGCTGAATCTGGGTCATCCAGCAGCAGCGAATCCCTCGTCCCCGATATATCCGGCCTTCGGCCAGTCTCCGGCCGGTGGACTTGCTACGCTGGCTTCTCCGATCCAGTCGATCCCGACATCGTTGGCTTCGCTGCTCAACAATTCAGGTGGGCTGTATGTCAACTACCCGTCACCATCTCAGACACAAGATAGCCTGGGTGTAGGTGGCGGTGGGGGCGGCGGCGACGACCCCGTTATGAGCTTCTCACCCAACAACCATTACTTGGACGGACCGGGTCCTACGGTCTGGCCGCTGATAACCATGCCACCTGGGCAGCAGTCATCGAACTAAAAGGTGTGGTGTAATCGGGAGTGCCAGTCCGGCCCGTTGGAGTGGTGCTGGTCTGTTTTGTAGGATCGGACTGCTTCTGACTCAACCCCGTGCAGTGCAGCCTTGACACATGAATGCTTAGCTGCCAATATTACCTTGTAATTTTTGCAAGAGCTGAGGAGCTGATAGTACCCCATTAGACACAAAATATCCCTCAGGGGCCCGAGATATGTTGCTGTAATAGACACAACCACCGGTTGACATTTAATCCATTAACTGTTATTGCCTATTACAATTACAAGCGAGAAATCCGTTTTGGGCAATGATCCTATCCCTCTCTCTCTCTGGCTCATCCACACACTACTGACAGATTCTGCCCATTCAAGCCAACACATTTTTGACCACTTCGGCAAACGTCGTGTTCCGACCACTGCTATCAATCACTTCGCCACTGACCTCCTGGTACGCTCCGTCCCAGAACATTGCGCCGGCCAGATTTCGCAGCCCCATCGCCTTGACGCGCTGCAGAATGGTCTTGTACGTGGCGACGTCCACGTAGCCACTCCCGGCGCCGGCGAATGCTGGTGTGCCGATCAACAGTCGTGGCGCGCTGATGCCGTTGTTGACATTGAGGAAGTTGGACTCAGGCGCTGATGATGCGCTGGTCTGCGGTTGTCGTTTAGGCCGGATACGCATGCGCATGCTTGGTGTGCCGCCAGTGCCGGTGGCAGTGGGAACTGTGTCGCCGGTATCGGTGAGCAGGTCATCAGACCAGGCCTGGAGCGACGCGAAGAACCCGTCAGCGTTCAATTGGCAGGATGGGTTGTTGTAGAACTGGACGCTGAAGAAGTCGATTGACCCAGCTAGTTGGGATACGGGGATCGAGGCGTCGGGCCGCGGGCACTGCGGTGCGGCGGAGAGGTAATATGCTTTTGAGGTGTCACTAGTAAAAAGCTGGCGAAGGGTTGAAGCCAGGGTTGGCAAGTAAACTCCGTTGGATGGGGTTTCGTTGTCTAAATTTGGTCGCATGCTAATCAGTACAGATCTTGATCTTAGGTGCTCGCGTTGCTCGGTTCAGCGAGGTACGAAAGGGTCAATCAGCGGTACGTGTGCTTTGAGTGCATGGGTATGTGTTCTTACCGATGTCAATACCGTCCAACACGACGGTCCCGTATGGCCGTAGAGCTTGCAGATTGGGATCAGCACCGCCCAGGAACAAACTCCACAATGTATGTGCGGCCTCGACGGCTTTCTCTTCGCTTGCCATGTCCAGATCCCCGAAGGCCCCGCCGAGACTGAGCAGAACCTTCTTTCCCTTCTTTTGGCACCTGTCGATCTTGCTGGCGAAACCGTCACCCACGCAGTCGAGCAGTTTCATGGCCCCGGCCGCTTGTTGTGCGGCATTGGGTGCCCAGCAGTTGGATGCCATGTTCATGGCTGGGTATCCTCCATCACTGAAGAGTGCTGTGACAAAGGCGATAATGACCATATCAATGGAGTCATCACCGCACACTTGGTCCAGGGAAATGACGGGCGTTAGGTCGGTTTGCGAGTAGTAGACGACGTTGAGGTCCGATGCTTGGGGGTTGAAGGAGTAGGTCACGGCGGGCAGTGAAGAGGTGGAGGTTGATCCTACAGTAGTCAGGGATACTGTAACCCCTGGTCCTGTTGCGGTCGTGGTGGCGTGGATCGCTGCTGATGTTGTAACAGAGACTCGTGTGGACAAACGAGTGATGGGTAGGATTGTCGACTGCAAGGGTGGCGACCCAGACTGCAGAGCGCCGATGCCGAATTGCGACGATATCAATTGAATCAGCTCTTCCAGCGAGCTCCCAAGGCTCGCTACCAACTGCGATAACTGGTCAGAGAAATCTTCTGGTGACGAGGGCCGCTGTGATGGGGCCAACGGTTGCCAGTAATTTGGTCGTCCGAACCCAGCATCTCGTCGGCTGGGTTTGGAGCCTGACTGTGCGAGGTAGTCTTCATGAGACTGCCGCATGGCATCAAGAACCTCTTCCAACGAAATTGCAATGTCTCCCCAGCTTCCTTCCTGCGCGAAGGTCAAATTGAGGCATAATGCTGAGGCTATCAAGAAGAGGAACAGTCTGCGCAGAGCAGCCATCGTGTGGAAAAGACCAAAGACAAAGCTACAGAGGAGCAGTTCGGACCGTTGAAAATGAAAGATGCCGACTTATACCGTGAGCTGGTCAACATGGCTGGTCATTCATTCCAAGACAGTGCCATACCACCAATGCGAGGAAGTATGGGCAACTTCGAGGGAGGAATTTGATACTGCTGGTCACCCTTGCGGTCTGGCCAGTGCACGGTTGCATTCCAGCAGAATCATAACCCGCCTCGGGTCGTCATCTCAAGCTTTGCATGCCAGGATCACCAGCTTCAAGTCGATGATAGAGATGGCGCAAGACCAAACTTCAAACTCATGCTCTCAAGTTCTTGAATGGCCATGATGACGGGCCAACAGGTGTCTGCCTGCAGCACCGGCATGGTTCAATGCGGTCTACGCAGCGTATCCCCTTCAAGACGAGTTCAATCATCATAAACGAGAAGGTATATGTGCGTAAGGAGGGATGTTACAGTTCGCCAGTGTTGCGGTTGGTGTTTTGCTGGCATGCAGTGAAATGATCCTCCGTACTGAGTACATAAGGTAGCTACGGTACCTGCAGGTGCCTACCTAACTGCGTTTGTGTGTTACAGCGCAGGCGGCCGCCAGACCAAGATCTCAATTGACTATTTACCGGTCCGGATTTCCAGACACAGCCTGAAAGTGCTGGAATATCAAGACAAGCGGCCGTGTACCTCCCGTGACAATTTGCTGCATACTTGTTGGAATTTCTCCTGATGTCTTACTGCCCTTGCGTTTCCAGACCTTGTCCCTCTCTTGAGCAGGGATTGCTGAGCACCTCTCATGAAGCAACGCCGTCCTCTGAAATGACCACCAAAACAAGTGGGCGCGGATCTGTGGCTGAGACTCAAAGGAGAGAGACAGCCCTCATCGTGGACCGGGCGAACCAGCTTACCCCTTTCGAACGATCCTTTCATAGCTGCTGAGGCCATCTCCGCGGTGAGAGAGACTTACCGCCAGTCCTCCGTAGTCTGTGCGATGGGTACTACTATTCCCCTTCCTCCTATACTCCGTACACTGTACGGATACTGATTGTTGGTGTATCCAGGGTCGACATTAACCGAATAGCACCGACCCAGCGTCCTCCGACTTGTTCCGTTGCCCTGTCCGATCCTTTGTGTGGTGGATACATTTAGACTTCAGTTGGCCCTGCATGATAAGTTGGGCCTGCCCCTGCTTTTCCAAAGTCACTCGACTCAAACACAGTAAGGTGAGGGAAGAGAACAACTGCATACTCCCAGCTGCAGCTGGCTAGTCAGTGGGGACCTCTCGCATCCATCATTGAAATCAACTCTCTTTCGCCAGGCCGCTTCAAGTCAGCGTTGCATGTCCTCCAAGCTGATGCTACATGAAGTCCAGGACAAAGGTTGCGACTGTCCATCAACCTATACCTGCCAGGCCAGGAGCACAAGTACTGACCGCCACGACCATAAGGGAGGTCGTCGTGTCCTGGAAAGGCAAGAGCGGATACTGTGGATTTTGTGACTCCGCCATTGTGCTTTGAAGCTGCAGAACTGTCATGTAGGACAACTAAATGGTGAATTCAGGCACTCAACCCTCCCGTCACACCATCCTTTCTTCCTTCAATCGAGCGGATGGCGCTTGAATGGTGGCCCGTCTCGAGTTCACCGAGAGCCAGAGCCATGAGACAACGAGACGGCACAGTCCACATCGTCCACATCGTCCACATCGTCCACATCGTCCACATCGCCCACGTCAAGAGTCCGCTCGCTCAGCTATGTAACGTTCCAGCGGATTCTCACCTTTGGTCTTGGTCTCTATTCAAAGGTCCGAGCACCTCTCACCAACACGATCTACCAGACCAGCCCAGACCTCTCGTCAGCGCCGCACGTGACCTTGCTGGTCATTGCAGCCTCGTTGTCCGGCGGGTTTGAGAGATCCTAGGCCACGAGCATGTCAGGGTCCTTCCAAGCACACCGCAATCAGGCTGCACACGACCACTGTCTGTGGGGCAAGATCAAGACAGGGCTGTTGTTCTACAGCATCATCACACAGCATGAATCCTCAACATCGTCTACTTTACAAATGACTTGCACCGCCGAACGAAGGCCTGACAACCCGGGGTTAGCGGACAGGCCAAGATCGGCAATTGCGTAAGACTCCGGAGGCTGAAGGTAGTAGCCCCGAGCCGTCCCGTGTGTCGGTGATGCTGTTGCCAGCATTGATAGCGAACTCGCCTAACAACCTTGTACTGAGCAACTAACCAGGGATCAAGCCTCCTGTAAGGTGACGGGGGTGCCTCGAGCTATCAGGGTTGAGCAAATGGTACGTCTCGAGCAGGGACTGGGTCACGGACACAATATTTTTACATGTCACCAGCCTCCTTAGCCCTTCCATTTGCGGTACATCGCATAAGCAAGCTCTCGGGCACCGCTCGGTGCGCATAGCCCGATGGCGGTAGATCTCAAATCCAGCCGGGAACGTGGAACAACTCTGATGTTGGCCAGCCGACATGGAAGCTGGCCCAGCGTTGCATGGCATGTCTGAATCAACTCAATGGCATCGCCCTCCCATTTCCGGCGAGGCGCATTCTTCGACAAGCATGCCCCTTGTACTCATCTCTGATCCGACATACGAAACCTAATCTACTGTGCGGTGTACCCACCATTTTTAACTCTGATCCTGGCCTGAATGGGGTCTTGTTCTGTCTGTCATATGATGTTAGAGTCCCTCACGACTGATTGCGATCACAGCAGAGTTGCACAATGCACATGGCACGGAAATACCTGATTAGGGATCCATCCGGGCACCTGCAACTCCATCATCTCGCGATACGGAATCGTTCTCTCTAAACATGCTAGTTAGTCAGTCACTAACGGCGAGAGTCCAGAGCTAAAGTACTATGTAGTACTCCAAAACTGCGCTCTGTCAAGACTCACGCCGTCATGCAAGCCACATCACATATCACACGCCGTTCCCTGTGAGGTGTCATCGTCCAGAACACTCCCAACCACACTGCATGGCATGTGTCCCTAAGGGCATCGGTAGGTACTTTTGCCGCGAGTGTTCCGTACGAGATATGGTGTACGGACAGTGTTATCGGGTGCGCTGCTTTCAAATGGGGGTACACCGTCCCGCATCAAAATAGGGCGGACGGAGTCACAGGTACGCATACCTACAGCCTAAGAGCCCCAACGACTGGCCATGTTCAGTCCCTCATTGCGGAGCAGGAGCCTGAAGGCGGAGTAAGAAAACTTCAGGCTTGCGGATACCTATACAGCATCCAGCTTCCAGCATCCAGTATACAGTATACAGTATACAGTATACAGCATACAGCGATGCTCCGATTCTGAATCCAGGATTGATGCTTGACACCTGCAGCGTAACTCTGCCTCAAACCATGCACGCCGCTAGTACCAATCTAGAATATCTCGCCTGTTGTCTGCAGTCTACATCCTGGAACTTCCCTGTGTTCAGTTCGGTCCGCAGCCGGCTACCCCTCGCATGAACGCCGCTGTCAGAATCGTGTACAAGGTCCGACAACCACTCCGAGCGACCGAGCGAACGTGCCGGGACCTGCATCTCACAGGCTGCCATCACAACAGAATCACCACCTCCAATAGGCGACAGGCTGACATACTGCAGAATGGCTGACTGATGAGGCACACGACACCAATGCCGTGCAACACGCAAGCACAAGGTCAAGCACAAGGCCAAGCGCGTCTAGTGGACGTGGAAAGGCCGGAGCAGAGCTGAATAGACCCAAACGGGATAAGGAAACAAGACACTACTCGACAAGAAACAAGGGTATACGAAAAGTTCAAGTGAATCGTGCAGGAATCGTGCATTTTAGACCAGCCGAAAAAGAGCTAATAGTTCCATTTCCAGCTAAGCAACCCATGTCGACTCAACGGACTTGTGTACTCCGCTTGCAAAGTGGAAAGAACGAATGAGAATCTCGTTGCCGTCGCTCATTCTTGGAATTCCAAGTGCATGACCATGAGGTCGAGCAGGCAGAAAGTGTGCACACGGCGTGCCATGTCCCATAAGTCATGGGTCCCAGTCAGCTCGTAATTTCGTCCATCTGTCAAGCCATCCCATTGTTCCGTGCCGGTCTCAGCAGGCCACCAATTATGCCCACCCAAGACACAGGAGGACCACAGCAGTCCAGCAAGCAAAGAAAAAAGAATAGCACGATAAGTACCACAAGAGCCACCCCATTTATGCATATGCATGAAAAGACGGCCAGGAGTCATGCTCCTAGTCCATGATGCCGAATAGAATCATAGGATGAGCGGCTCTAGTGCAGTTAAGAGAACAAAAAAGGACACGTGCGGTTCTTGAACCACAAGAGACAAGGCTAAACTTCGAGGAGCTTTTGAGGCCAGAAGCCAGATTGGCTTGGACAGATCAAGCAGAAAGCCTCCCACCATCCCACATATCGTCAGTTGTATCCCAATTTTGGGGTATCTCCCTTTTATTCTTGGCGTCAGAAGACAATGTTGCTTTCGGAAAAAGTAACCAGAGTGACCTTGCCGATCGTGAAAACCTGGTATTGTGGAAGAATTAGACTTAAGAGGGCGCATTAAGGGTGTAAGGAAAATATGCGGTCGTGATAAAAAAAACCCAGACTAGGCGGAAAGAGACTGAGAACATTTAAGGTCATAGGCAGCGTAGGGTTTCGTGTCGTCGTTAGAAAGGAGTTGGCGGTGAAGCTTTTCATCCAAGGAGTCGAAGTAGTGGCGAGTTTTCTTTTGCTTGATCATTCTTCCAGAGTCGCTGGCATCGGCATTGGCCCGGCTGCCCCAAGTTGTCTATTTCCACTGTTAGTTTGTTTCACCAGGGCAGAGAAGAAGCAGCCTACCTCATTCAGTGTGAAAGCCGCATAGAGCTTGATGGCGCCATGGAACCAGCCAAATAGGACTGAGACAGGCCATAGAAGGATATCAACGGGGTAGCGGACAAAGTGGGTGATGAGCTTGACGAACTTCGAAAAAGCCATCCATGCCGCAAAAGTGTAGAAAGCCAGACGGGCATATTCAGCAGGCCAATCACTAGTGCCTTGCACAAGGAGTAACCACAAGAAGCCGTCACTCATGATGGCAGGGGGCATCAGAGTTGTGAGTTGCACCGCGTAAGAGCTATACAGCTGCTGCCTATAGGAGCAATTGTCAGCGCCAAGAAATCTGACAGGGACGGCCCCAAGACGACATGTCAAGCGCTTACCTCCAAATGTGAAGCTCAGAGAACATGCTGGTCAGGTTGCTTCGATAGTTGCTGCGTGCCCACCGCAGGCATTGCTTCAGGAACTTCGGGTTGTCCTCCAGGGTAGTCAGCACCTCACAGTTGGGATGGTATTGCATGTAGGTCTTGTGACCGTGGGAGAGCATCCAGCGAGTGAGGAAGTTATCGTCGTCAGCATTGAGTTGATACTGGCCAAACCACCATTTCTCATTCGTGAAGCCGCTGGTGAAGTTGACATCCTGCAGAATACTGGTGCGGTAGGCACAGGTACGTCCGGAAAGACAAGGCATGCCGCCGTCCATGTGGGCGGTTGCTGCACAGTCAAAGTTCCGGCGCTCCAGATACAGGGCACCTAAGAAGCCGTAAATCCGTTGCGAGAACGAGGGGTTCTCAGCTCGCCTGAGCCTCTGGCAAGTCACCACTCCTCCATATCTCTTGTCTTCGAACGGAGCCAGCATCCACTGCAGGGTCTCGGCCGGCCAAGTGACGTCGTCATCGGCGAAGACAATGATCTGGGTCTTGACTTCAGGAATGGCACGGGTCATTTGGCGTCTCTTGTTTGCCTGCTTGACCGACATACAGCGGATGCGTGCATATTTGGCTGCGGGCATCTTGGCCGTGGTCCTCTCGGCTTTGTACAAGTTTTCATCAATGGTGACCAGGATCAGCTCCTTGGGCTCATTCTCCAAAATCGAGGAGATTGTTCGCTCCAACTCTTCCCCTTCTCCGTCAAGAGTAGGTAAAATGACTGTGACATCGGAAGGCGAGAGAGTCGGGTTTTCCGGGATGGGGATTGGCTTGAAGGTCCAGAACAACCATAGGTTCACTATCAAGCGGACATAGCGGTAAAGGCTGTGTTGGTAAGCTGGCGGCATGATTTCTGAAGACAACATCACTTACAAATAGACGACAAACCAGTGAAACCAAGTACGGGGATCCATGATGGCCGTTTAAGTCACTGTCCTCGGGCAACAGGGACTCTGGGAGACCGGTAAGCAATAACGACTGTAAGAGTGGTGAAACCACTCAGGACATCCCGCACCGCAGCACAAAGAGAGGAAGAAGACATGTGAAGGAGGAAATGGAGGACGAGAGGGATGAGGGACAAAAGAAAGACATGAGGCGTCAAGGTCAAAGTACATGGATCGTAAAAATATGGGGAAGGTAGAGGCTAGGACATGGAAGTGAGCGTGCAAGCGACACCAGGGCAAGTTTGCGGCTTTGCAGGAGGTGGTTTCGGCTCGAACACCCCGGAATGAAGAGGGCAGCTTGAGCTGAGAGCATTCAATGTTAACTGCACGTGGTCCTTTTGATCAGATCAGGACAGTGTCATGGTATGATTGGTGAGAAGGGGTTTCTACAGATGCAGGTCTGGTGAGGTTGTGGCCGTTAGGGCGTTCTGCACAGACAGACGACGAGTGGTAGAGGGGTGCGAGGGGTAGAAAGACGGAGGGGGGCCCGCGACGAGGTGTGGCAAGGGACTCGATGGAGATGGAGACGGAGACCAGAGCAGGACTAGTATGGCGGTTCATTGAATTGGGATGGTGTGTATGCTATGCCATGCAACGCGATGGTGGTGGGTTGATATGAAGGGTGAACTGGAGGTAGCAAAAAACTGAGGTGGATAGTCTATGTACGGAGGTGGACTGCGACTAACAAGTACCACAGTACCTAAGTACGCGCCTGCGTGTGCCTGCGTGTGCCTGCATGTGCCTGCGTCTAAACACACATGTAAATTGCAACCGTACTGTGTACCTTGACGAGCCTCCAACACTCCTCTAATTTCCACCCGAGCTCCGCGGCGTCTCTTTTGTTCCCTTGCTTCAGTGAAGAAGTGTCTGCATCGACCTCTTGTTCTGTCGAGCTGTCTTTCCTGTCTGACTTCAGGCTTGGGCTTCGATCGCCTGAGGGCGCCCTCTTGCTCCCTAACTTTAATGACTGGGGTAGGCCAGACCCGGCTGATGAGGCTTAACAGAATCGGTAAGTCAGGTTATCAGCAGCATGGAGGCGAGCACGCTACTGGGCGAGTGGCTGACCGAACCACCGCATTAGTCCCTACTCGTTTGGCCACGGTCATGATCGGTCTGCGACTTTCGAGCACCTCCTCGCCTAAGCACTGCCTTCTTACACTAGGACCACCGAGAACGGGCTCACATACTACACAGGTGATAGTATGGCTTTGGTCACCCCTCACGCGAGAAGGCACATGCCGAGGTGGATCAACAGAAACCAGGAAAGCTACCATCATATCATCAGATGAATATGTCCCACATATCCCAAACGTCAGATGGCAGCATGGCGGCCAAGTGGCGGGTGTGTCATGTCATGCAGGTGTCGACAGGGTTTGCCCCCAGGCCTGCTGGACATGCATTTCGCCCAGAACAATCATGATCACAGAGCTGACGCTGCATAGTAGAAGTCCGGTCGTGCGCTGCCAGTAAGTGTCTGGGGATCAGAGACATATGACCGAACACTGACAGCTTGGAGGCTTAGAGGCGCCCGCCAGCCTCCAAACTACTGTTCGTGTGCTCTCTCTCCAATAGAAGCTCTCCTCAACATGATTCTTCTTCCTGCGGCAGTATCCATCCTCTTGCCGCCGTCACGAAGACCATGGGCTCTGCGGCTCTCACGTTCATTCGCCACCAGGTTGACACACGTCGACGAAGACCTTGATGGCGGCCACGATGCTGCTGCAAGTGCCCATACTAGACCAGAAGCACCGTAGGGCGCGCAATCCAAGCGGTTTCGGCGAACCAACTACACAAGAGCTATGCCGCGCAGTTCCACCAACCAGTAAGCACTGCATCCATCAGCTAATTCCTCCCACATCATTCCATTCAACATTTCCACCCTGCCTCTCGCTCGCTAGCTCCCACGCCTTCGCCAGGCCCTCTTTCATTTTTACTACTTGGTCGCTCTTTAGCCCCTCCCTCGTCCAATCCAATCCGGTCGATCCTGGATCGAAAATCAGAAGGTGCCCACTTGATTCTGAAAGAGGGGGACGCTCATGAGCTCTTTGAGCCTGGAAGTGGTAGTTGCCCCCCCTACAAGCCCGCACTTTGTCAATCGTAATGCTAATTATGGTTTTTCCAAGCATGTTTGCACCGGGGTGTCACCCAAACAACCAACATGACGTCTAACGTCTTCAATACCTGGTATCCGAATTATCCGCATGGCATCCCACCCCAAACCTCCCCTGTGCTGCTCTTCTACTCGTATCTACGATCGGTTGCATCTTACCCAGCAGGGTCCGGCCCAGAACGGAGCTCTGCATCCACAGAAGGTCTGTGGTCTGTGTGGCCTGCCGCTCGCCCCAGATGGCGCAATGCGTGATCCCACTCAGCGCGGATTCACCCGCAGGGCCCTATCTCACCAGCGCCACCTAGGTCTGTGCCTCCCCTAGTCCTACAGACCACTGGGGCGTTGGCTGAGGCTGCGGCCCGGAGATACTGTACTCCGTAATCAATCTTCCACCGTGGGACGGTTTCGATACTGAGGACCCTTCGGCTCTGCTATGGACCCCTCGAAGACCCTTTGCTTGATGTTGTTTTCTGTACGCCGTACGAAGTACGCTTTCATATATCGTGTTGCGCACTGATTCGACAAGGTCGGCCCTGACCTCGGCCGCACAACGGTTCTCTCCGCAAAAAATAGTGGGCTAATTATCACACCCTGGTCTTTTGGAGGCAGCCAGTTTATGCACGAGAAGCAGTCTGCCGATCATAGGCCGAAACCTCTGATCAACGACTACAAATCGCTTGGTATTATTGCATCTGATCTGCCGCCCCCCTCCCCCAAAGCGATGGCGAAGTTCGAGACAAAGTAACTCTGACCACCCCGTCGTTGTCGGATCCGAAATTCTGAAGTACAGTCCCAGAGCCGCCGACACGGTCGACACAAACTGTTCGGCTCGAGGACGGCGAAGTAGGGCGCGGTGGAGGAAACAGAGAGTCTCGGGGTTGACTGAGCAGTCATGCCACCCACGGCTGTGGGGAATCACTATTGGTACGAGTATGATAATAATCAACGCGGTCACGTAGGTACCCGCAACCTTTGAAATGATCCAGACTCTGCTTCAGTCAACTTTGGTAGTGGACTCCAAGCGAAGAGCATGACCAGGCCAACCCCTGCTGGGTGAGGAGAACATGGATGGCCCTGACTGCATAAGTGCGTGGTGGCGTTCACCCTAGAAGTTGGTGGTGCCGGCGAACCCCACAGCAAACTCGCTCATCAGCGATGACAATCATTCAATGACGAAGAAAATTGCTTCCACCTGCTGCCGCGCTCCTGCATTGTTGAGTCTGGCTTATCGCCTCAGATGTTTCAGCTGGCTTCTGTAGCCAAGCTAGCCAGCACATCCCTCTGTAGTACCAAGTTGCGCGGGCGCGCCTATCGCAGCAGCGTTAAACTGGATTGCCTAGCCGGAGGGTACGAGCATATGTCCGACCGACGATGGGCAAACCCTTGAGTTCAGCAGGTGGCTCAATCGAGTCCTGTGACTAGTCGTTCTGTCGTAGGACGAGTCAGTTTATTCATGTCCTGGGAAATAAGTGGTGTGGAAGTGAGAATGCAGTGCTGGTCGTGTGGTCATCGTTTCAGAACTAGATTCCAATCCGCGTGCGTGATTAATACTCGTGTCGAGAATGAATTTTGGGCCGGAGACCCTCAGCCAAATATTTCATCGCCGGGATCATGGCAAAGCCAATGTTACCTTAGTGGAAGTCAAATGTCAAGGTCTTCCACACGGCTGGTACAGCGGATTCTGGTACAGCGGATTTACAGGCAATCAGTCCGGCAGTCGTCTCCCTCACAAATACCTGGAATTCTCTCGGGCCACCAACTGCGGAAAGAGTAAAGGGTCAATCTGTATCATGTGCAGTGTCCTTGCTCAAGGGCAACGCAGTGTTCGACTTCAGAGCCGCGTATTCGTGTCATCATGTCTCGGAAATTGTGTTTGGCTGACAATCGACATGTATATCGAGTCCAAAATGGGTTTACACACACCAAACTGCACAGTTTTATGCCATAGATTGTGAAAAGTTAACAATTCCAAAACCCCCACAGCATGACTGCTTGATTTGCACATCCGGTGGCTGCGTGCGAAGAACATTGTCATCTCCTTGAGGGGCCTTCCTCTTCCATTTAAGGTAGTAGAGTCACTCGAAGTATCGAGCTAGCTTCCAGTGCTTAGTCGTATGTGTGCATGTGTGTTGCATTGTATACGGCCGACTGCGATCCCGAGTACTTCGTCATGGAGCATAAGAGGCTGTACTTTCGCTGCCAGGCTGAAGGTCGAAGGCTCAGTCTCTTGCTTTCAGTGCAGTTCAGGGTCTTTTAGGCGCGAGAGATGCCTTGCCTCAACGAGTTCGTGGGTAGGATGAAGGCGGAGAGAATGTGCTGGATTGCTTTCCAACAGGCGATTAGAGGTGGTCAGTTGTAACTCGAACTGAAGTCGTCAACAAGCTGCGAATAAAGACGCAGGAACGTGACAGTGGGCGGAAGCCAGGGCTACACTTCCCCGCGAAGCCAGCGCGGTTGATGTGCATAGTGATGGAGATTGCTACCTAAGCACCCTAAACAAGTGAGAGCGCGCCGGGGTGCAAGTGGTGCCCGGATGATCGACCAGGCCAGCCACGGGAACGGCAGGGCATGCCACCTGAGAAACACGCTTCTTTCCAGCATGCAAAAGTGGCAGAGAAGATAGATGGACAGGAAAACTGCACACCAAATATCGGTCAGGACGGCGCTGACAATCGCAGGCTGTCTCGAGTGATGCTTGGCAATGACGTCGGCCCAGATGTTTGTTTGGACGACCTCGCCGTGCTTGGATTTCCCATCTGCAGTGTATTTACTCAGTACATGCTCTGTCGCAGTAGCTAGAACCACGCATTTTTCTTTCCTGTGCGAGTGTTCATCGAGTCATCATGGCTAGCCACCGACATACCGTCTGTTGGATCTTCTACGATCTGTGGTTCATGCACGCAGCCGCGTACCTGCATGTGCCCTGTCTATCTCTGCGGATCCTCAGCCGCCTTCACCGCCATTCCATTTTGCAGGACCTGGCGCCAAACAGGCGGTGAAAGTGAATCCGGTCCTTGCAAGGCTTTCGTTTCCGATCGCCCAGGTCAACAACCGTTACTTACGTGCATTACTTACTCGACGGGCCGAAGCGGGATCGACCGTCAACATTCGCCTGCTCCCTCTGGCCTGTCACTCGGCTGTGTTCACCGCCCCCTAATCAAACGACTGGGTGAACTTTGATCGGACTACATACAGTCTCATACCCTCCAAGGTTCTTCGCTCAGAATAGTCCATGTCAACATGTCTACGAAGCTGTAACAGCGCATCACATGTATCTGCTTCCACGGGGTCCCAGCCTTTCAAATGGCATTCAGCCCCCACGGTCCGGTCACATTGTTGTTAACGAGCTGAGAATCTTCTCTCTGCCCACTACTTCGTTGACTCTACTCCTGTATAGCCAGGTTCACATTGTGCGCTTGACCACAGCCTGGAATAATCATGCAAAGCAGTACCTGAACAACCATGATATATCTCGCCGTGCTGAAGCGTCTAGCGTTTGCGCGCTCGGGAGAATGTCACTACATCCGCTGCCGCTGCCGCCACCACCAACCCGCACTGATCTCACAGGTCACATGGTCACATTGTCCGCAGTAACCTTTCCCCCCATGTGCCAACCCCGACGGCGCCTTGTTCCTGCGTCATGCTGTGTTCCGAGCTGCACAGATCGACTGCACAGATCGACTCATGCCATGCAGGTGAGTTGGCCTGAAGGCGGGAACTGGCCTGTACCCCGACTAGACACGTTGTCCTTGGAGCGCTACCCCTCTATCGGCATTCCGACTGGCTCGCTCTGGATTGCGCACACTGTGATCTGCCGACAAATGACAGCTCCTGGATGAGGAACGTGGGGAGGCAGCCGACGCACCCTGGACATTCTCGTCAACTCTGTACACCAATCGGCTGATCAGGCAGCATCAGTACTTACACTCACTTGTTAGCGCGACTCTAGGCTAACAGTTACTAGTACTCAATTGGTCTCTGTTCAAGTCATGCGCAGGTACATCATACAACTTGAAGAATATCACGACGCCGTTCTTGGCAGCATCAGAGACAGTATTGCCAGAGTGCTGGAACCAGTAAGTCTCGGTTGACTTACCAATCCTCCCCCATCAAAACTCTCACGTCCCGCCCGGCTCGGCCCGGCTCGTGCCACGCCTCTTATTGCTCTTCCGACGTTGGCCACCAACTCTACTATCATGGGAACTCTCATCCTTGCCCTTTCCCAGCACCTCTTGTGGATTGGGACAATTGAATCCAAAGCTTCCGTTGACCAACTCGCCGTTGGTTGAGCACCGAGACACCCCGAAAATCGAGAACCAAGAGAGTTCTGCCAGGATCGAACCCTTGTCTCATACAGCTACAGCGCCTACAACCGTACATTGGCATCTCAGAGTACGCCCTGGAGTCATTGAAGCAGGATACTGTAGTACTGCGATATCCGTACTTACAATAAACCCGGCTCGCCAGTTTCTCTCGTCAGATGTAAAACATGGTGTTCTTCAGATCATCGTGGACCGCCAGGTTGAGTGCATACTGCTCCGGGTCAAAGTCTGTTTTCGAAACAGGGTGGTAGACATTTCGCAGGTAGCACCGGGCGCGATCTGCCGCAAGATCAGCGTAATACGCGGCCGGACAGACCCCGACGGATCGTGTGGCGCGGCCAAAGAGATAGCACAGATTATGTGTCATCTGAGCGATGTCGTGGCGGGTGAAGTCGGACTGGTTCTCGAGGATGACATAGTGAGTCGGCCTCGCGGTTCCCTGGATGGCCTTCTGGCTGATCAAAAAGAAATCCCGGCCTTCGCCATACGTGATCTCACTTGTGACCAAGGTGCCGGGCAGCGGGTTGTAGTTGTAGGGAGCCCCGGGTCTCAGGCTCGCACTTGCACTTCCTCCGTACCCAACAAAGACGTCGTCGTTCGGTGCGTCGGTCTCCGGGAACAGACGAGTATTGTGCCGCTTGACCGCACAGATCAGAATGATGGGAGGCATCTTGGTTGCTTCCACATGGACACCCAGTTGTTGAAGCAACAACGCCACGCCGGCGCCGATGGCTGGGAGTTCCATGGTGGTACACATGTCAAACTGACTCTCGGAGAGGCCGTCTCGGTAGACGACGAGTCGGTTCGGCACACTGTGGTTGCGGCGGTGGTAGTCACGCAATCGCTCGTAAACCATGTGTGCGAGATGGACCACTCTTTCGTTGGATTCTGGATTTCGGCCGCCGCCGCCGCCGCCGCCGCCCTCGGACCGCCGGAGCTGGACGTCGACGTCGTTGACATGGAGACTCGCTGGCCACTGGGCAAACTCGGCATCGACGCTGCCCACTACGGCCGCCACGCTGGGGGCTCCCTTAATGGCTGCGGTGCCTGGGTGTGTGACGTCGATGCCTAGGACCATTGTGCCATGTGTTAGGATGGGCCCCTTGCCCTTCTGGTCGAGCGCCTGGTTCACGGCTGAGACGTCCAATTTCAGGTTGACCTTCATGCTCAGGTTTCCGAAGAAATCGGGAGAGTCCTTGGGAGTCAGCTGGCGCTTCTGTTTCCGCTTGTCCCAGCCGAGGACGTGGCAAACGGTCGCTATGCCGACGTCTTGATCCCCGGCGCGCTTGATGGCACTGTAGAGCTCCGTATCCTTGTCTCGCAGAAGGAAGACTACCAACCGGACTCCACGCTTCTGTTTCAGCTCGGTGAGTAGTTCCTTGATCATGCCATATTGCCTCTTGATGCCCGCTTCGTCGTAGGGTCGTGGCCGTGGTCGGGACAGATGATACGTGTGGCCATGGCCAGGACCGGGCCCAGGTCGGACTAACTGCAGTTGTGTCATGCCGGACCGTTGCAGTTGTTGTGCAAGGGAGTTCCCAAACGCCGTCATGAGCAAAGAGTCGCATGTCTCGCCAGCAGGGACGGCTAGCTCAACGTATGTCCAATGAAAGCCACTGGCTGGCTTGACAAATGATCTGTCCTTGAGATTCCAAGCACCATATTTGAGCAGTTGGAGGTCATCCTGTCCCAACCGTCGTTCTGGGAGACTTGTGGCCTGGCTGCCTGGACGGCGTTGTTGACGATACCTGAGATTTGGCTGCTCGAGTCTGACGATTGGAACTGACACCATTCGCGTTGCGAGATCGAATCCAAACTGGCCGGCGCCCGGTTGAGCACGGTCCGAGACGAAGAAGACTTCTCTTCCAGCCGGGAATATCAGGGCTTTGTTCTGTGAGGGGCTTCTGACGCCTGCCTTTGGCTTTTCCGCAATGTTTCGATTCATCTGGCCAGGGATGATCTCAAGACAGCCTGCGGGAATCGTCTTTCGGAAGTCTCCCTCCCCGAGCACGACGACCATTTCTCTCGAACTATTGCCCACCCTGGCGTCTGGATGACGGGTTTGAAAATAGTCGGCCACTGTCTGGTTCGACTGTAGGTCTGGGAAGACCATTGTGCAGTTTCGTGGGAATGGATCCTGATCCGGCCGGCGTGCACCGGCAAGGTCGGTCACCATGCCAATAAAATTGTCATTGTCATTGTCATTGCCACCCAGGTAAGTGGTTCTGACGCGAATCCCTTTCAAAAAGTTGACGAGAGAGTGCCGCACCGGGTCATCCCATGGTGAATGAGGATGGTAGCCACGCTTCAACCTTTCGATCAGTGCCTGAAGTGTATTTGGAGTGCCTTGCTGGTAGAAGACCGCCGTGGCAGTGTTGATGTTGAGATAGAGTCGACCCCGTTGCGAGATGACGGCGCGGACACTCCTGGCAAACCCTGCAATGGCATCTAAGCCAAATCCTGGTCGCGGTTCCAACGGCTTTCCCGTATCAGAGGTGGAGGTGGCCCCGGCAGCGGAGACTCTCATTATCCCGTAGAACTTGTGGCCGTTGACAGTGGTCAAGTCGGCATTCTGCACCACTCCGTGCGGCGTCAGGGCCGGGAAGCATCGTCGATAAGGCCTGTAGCTGAAGATGGTGTTGAGAGCCTTGATGGTCTCTTCTCTGCGCCGATAGTTTGTCGCATTGACGTGGGGGGTGTCTATGCTGAGAAAGTCAAGGAGCTGATCCAAGGAGAGAATGACCGGTCCAGAAAGAGCGACTTCGAAGACTTCGCAGTCAGGGCGTGGTCCACGCTGGTATTCATCGAAATACTCAATCTGCATACTCATTGTCTGAGAACTGCCACTGTCATTGTCATTGCCTGATTGAATCTCAATCTCGCCACTGCTGATCACCTCGGTGCTATAGTCTGTCGCCAGCGCCTTCCCACGGTTCCATTGCTGGAGGCGTTCCATGGCAAGCCACACGATTCGACGCTTCTTCGCAGGACCAATTCCTGGGTTGGTACTTGTACTTGCACTTGCCGGGTCTGCACTTGTACGTGTACTTTCTGGATCTGGGTCTGTACTTGTACCTGCTGGGTCTGGAGCCGGCCGGTTCATGGCGTTTTCTTCCATCTGGAGTTTCTGGTCGTAGTCTTCTCGGTTGAGCTTTCGAAACGTCAATTCGTAGCGGTAGAGCTGGCGAAGGGTCCCGACTTGAATCTCGAAATGATTCGCCAGAAGAGATGGAGATGCATGCGAAGACGAAGAAAGACTCAGCTTTCCCATGGAACCATCAAGGTTCTGGACTCTAGGTCGGGGGTTCTCGCGTGGCGTGGATGAAGGAGCTCGAGGTGTCAGATTGGGTGAACGTGGAAGAGCTCCAGGTGTCAGATTGGATGAACGTGGAAGAGCTCCAGGTGTAAGATTAGTTGAACGCGGAGCAGGAACCGAGCCACCACCACCCTGACCCGCCCCCCAGGCTGGATTGTAACCGCTCATTGTTGGTTGCAAGGCTAGAACGAAGACGATAGACGATAGACGATGGGGAAATCGAAATCGAAATCGAGGCGAAAAAGAGCGTCCTCAGAAAGAGAAAGTGTATGAGCGTCATCGGAAAAAGTAAGTGTATGGGCACGCTGGGTTAAATAGAATGAGAATGACGGCAACCACCGTGGCGCGTTGTGTCGAGCGTTTGTACAGTAGCTGACATCCAAATCCGCCAGGCTCAAACCGGGATTCATACATACCTACATACCTAGCCAAAGTCCCGTTGGAACGGAACACAAGGGCGGGACCGGCAAACAGGGTGAAGGGGAAAAAGCAAGTTGCAAGGGAGCGAACATGGTATTGTGTAGGGCCGCCGGTAGTGATTCCAGCGTGTTAAGTTGACCAAACTTAGTGCTCGGAGTGCACGGAGTGCACGGATATCTGATGGAGGATGAAAGAGACAGAGGTGAAACGTTTCTGGGAAGTGCACACAGTACGAACAAGGCTGAGCCCATCAGGGGAGCCCGAGGGGCGCCTCAGGGCTAAGGCGCCTCTGGGAGAACCGAAAACGATACATCAGGCTTCAAGCACCGAGGACCTCGGACCTCTGTCGTCAAACATCATGGCGTTCCCTTCGTCCAAACAGACTTCCTACGTTTCATCCACCTGTCGCCCCCGTCTCTCATGTCTTTGTACTTCGAGTCTGTCTCGTCTGCCGCAACGGTCGCTCCGTGGTCTGTTTGGTCTGTTTGGTCGGCGTGTCTTTCGTCAAAGATGTCTTCTTCCCTCGACCTCTGCCCTTCATGACCCCTCCCGCATTTGTCTGTTCCTTCAAAGGTGGCGACGCTTCTGCTTCCTCCGTTATCTCCACGTCGCCTCCCCTCATTTCCGTATCATGATCATCATCGTCATCATCATCCTCGTGCACGCGGACATCTTCCTCGCCATTCTGCCGAAATTGCCCCTCATCCGTCTCGTCCGTCTCCTCTCCTTGTTGGTCTTCGTCCGCGCTCTTGCCGTGGTCATCATCTTCGTCCTGAATTCTAGCCTTCTCCCGAAATGAAGTCGACCGGCTCGCCTTATGATCCAGGCTCTCCATGTCAGCATCATCTGCGTCACTGTCCGCTTCAACATACGATATAGCATTCGAGACGCGAGTACTTTTCCGGGGTGGCACTTCTGGGCTCGCAGGCTCGTTACTCCTCCGTCTTGACTTGGATGTTTTTCTGATTGCAAGAGTGGTCTTCTTGGGTTTTTTGGTCGCCTTTTTCCGGTCGTCACCGTTCTCATCGTCGTTCAAGCCCATCGCGTCACTCTTTCTCTTCTTCTCGCCGGTCGCCGCCTTCCTAGCCGGCTGGCTCGCACTTTTCAGCTCCTTGATATAAGTCCGAACCAACTTTTCGAGGCCAGCGGCGACATCTTCTGGCAGATAGTTTTTCTCGGCAATCTCCTGCGCAGCATCATGATTCGGTAAAGCCTTGAATAAAGAGCGCGGTAGAGTGACCTTGCCTGGCCACGTCTGCAGGAGGTTGACACCCTTCGCATGCGCGGGCATGAGGTCCGCGTAGTTGCGTATGACGGCCTGAGAGAGATCACTGAGCACGTACAGCCTATTGCTGGCCTCGTCCGTCCCAGTGATCCCATCTCGAGCACCTTTCACGCGCTGTGCTATATGGAAGATGAGTGAGAGATTGTCCTCTGTGGCAACAGCAAAGAGGTAGAATACGATGTATTTAGAAAAGTCCAGCAGTTCCCCATCAAAATCCTCGCTGTCCGTGTTCGGATAGTCAGGATGGTGAGCCAACAGACTGAGGAGGCGGGCGAAAATTGACTCCATAACAGTCTGATGCAACTTCTTGTCCGCTGCGGATTTTGCTTGGAGTTGCTGCCTCACGAAGAACTGTACTCGTGCCTTTATCCAGGTAACCACAGACGTACGAAGCTCGATGTCAGGTTCAAAGGCAAGAAGGAAGAGGGCCGTGAACCACCTATGGGCGAGTCCATTGTGCCCGAGGTACTTCTTCAGGCTGTTCACGAAACCGGTTCGGACCGGATTGGGGGGATTGATCATGATCATCGTGATCAAAATAAACATGGATGCAGGGACAAACTCCTCGCACTTTCGCTTGTGACTGCACAGCTTCAGAATCAAGTGTACAGCAACCAGCCTCAGCCGGTTTTTCTGCGCAGGAGGTGTATCTTTCGAGGGAGCAATCTCGCCTTCATTCCTGATTATTCCCGTCAGTTGGCTGAACGCCTCTTTGGCCGACTTTTCGAACCCGCTTGCATCGGATTCCTCGTCCTGCCCTCTGCAACGATTGACCAGGATCTTGAGGGCCAAATCCTTGGATTTGGTCTCATCATCGGGAACCTCGACCCAGGCACTTGGGTCGGCCTGAGAAATGGGTGCACGGTTTTTTTGTAGAATGCCTGACACAACAAGTTGTTGGATGGCGTCCGCCTGCAAGTTTGCAGTTGCTGGAGCGAGCAAACACACCTGGGATATTGTTGCTAGGCGTGCTAGGAAATGAGGAGAGCCCGGCTCACAACCCTTCAATGCCTTTGATAGCATGTCTTTGGCGTACATCTCCTTTTTGTCTGCAACCATGAGGATGATGGATACGGCGTGCTTTGCAGCCCGGGGAGATTTTGAAAACAAGGCGAAATGTGTCAACGCAGTAAGGAACTTGCGCTCTGCCGGGACTTCGGTGGGATACTTTCTAGCAAATCCTGCGCACGCCTTCAGTGTGTCTGCTGCTCCAAGTTCTTCCGCTTTGGTAGCCGAGGGGGCACGCTCTTCAAGCTCTGTACATAGGGCCTGAATGTGGAATTTGAGAACTTCTGGGTGGCCAGCTGATATTTCTTTGAGGATTTCGTGAGCAACCTCTCCAAGACCAGCTTCGTCACTCCGGGAGACCTCCATTATTGATGGAACATGACTCCGATTGTACACGATCAATGCACACCGATACAGTATCGGTTGCAAAGTATTGAGAAGAGATTGCAAATTGGCCGGACCCTCACGGACGCGCTTGCTGAGCTCTTTAATTGCTTTGGTGACGGTTCTGTAATCGTGCTCCGGGCCCATGGCGAATCTGATCAACTGGTACCAACGACGATTATGCTGCTTTGCGAATTTCCACAGATCAGCTGCAACATTGGCTGAATCCGGAAAGGTCTTGGAGATATGGTCGATATAGCGGGTGAGTCGGTCTTTGATTGTTGCTTCATCAATGTTGTTGTCAACAACACCCCCGTTGTAGTCCTCGCATGCTTGGAGGAAAACCGTCATGGCTTTGCTCACTTGGACCTGTCGATTTTGGAGCTTGAAGAATACTGGCCGCGATTTTGCATCGAGGCCTTGCACAAGGGTAAGAATTCGGCGCGTTCTGATGACATCGGGCTCAGAAGCTGCACCTTCCGATGAGCTGCCCTCTTTGTCCTTTGTACGCTGCTTCTGAGTGTCAGGGCGAGAATGCTGCGCCTTAATCGGAGGGAAAGACAGCGGCAACAAGCTTTCGTATAGCACTTTGTCAAGAACCTCATGGACATGCAGATCGTTGGTGTAAAAAGCGCGGAATAAGCGATTTGGAATACCACCAACTGCGGCTTTGACAACCTCAATCCCTTCCTCTATGTCTCCTGATGCAGCACCCCAAATGCGAGCGAGTAGCTCGATTGCCTCTGCTCTGACATCATGTTTTCGATCAGTGACACGTTCCACCATGGTTGCGAGCACTGTCCCGGGCCTGGACAGACCGCCATCCGCGGCGAGCGTATTTATAATGTCGTGGTAGTTAAAAGCATTGACAGATTGGATTGCAATCAGACGCACGCGTTCATCAGGATCTCGAAGCATTTGAGCGAAACCAGCGAGCAGGTCCTGCAACTCTCGGTCATTGAGTCCGATGCCCCCCGCGGAAGTCAACAGGATGCGAGAGGCCGCAATCGCCCAGGCCTCTCGGACGAACGCAGCTCTGTCAACTCGACGGCCTAGAAATGCCGAATATGCTGAGGCGTGCACGTTGGCAAACGGTTTAGGCGATGCGGGTGCCAACAGTGGGTTCGTGGTTTGCAGAGGCTGCTGCTCCCGTTGCTCAAGCGAGGGTAAAGGGTATGCTGCCGGGTCGAGAGGAATTGTAGGAGGGGGGCCAGAAATTCCTATGCCGGCTGTGATGTCCCCTATAGTCTCTGTCGCCAGTTGGCGCAGGGCTGGTGAGTCCGCTGAGAATTCTGCTTCGATCTGAGGGACCACATTCAGAAGCACATCGGGACAAGCTCTCCACAGCTCTCGCAGCAGACGATGGGCTTTCCGCAGATCTGTAAGCCCCTCATGCTCGTCCTCCGAGTCTCCCACGTCTGACATTCGTCTATGCGCTGACTTGGAGAAGGAGGTTGCAGACGTCACAGCAGTCGCATCAACGATGATTGTCCCAAAATACTGAGTGATTTGTAATGTCATTTTTTCCGGGCAAGTAGTGCAAAGGGCTTTCGCCATATTGTAGGCTGGTGGGTACTCTTTCAAGAATAACGTGGCTTGTTTGGTATCCTGAGCTCCTCGCCTTTTGCCTCTGCTGCTTTGGTCTTGAGCATTCCGGGTATCGACTCTCATAAATTGAGAAATGATGATGTCGGTGACTTCCTGGGGTAGGGTGACTTCGTCGACAACCGCCGCGAGGAGATTCTTCAGATGATATTCCACGCTCTTGGAGACCTCGACTCCGGAAGTATTATTTCCCGAGACGGAAACGATATCAAACGCCGTAGTAAAGAGAGATATGACAAGATTCTCATGGTTTGGTATGTCCGTGACTAGCAGAATACTTTGCGACTCGGCCAGAGAGCTCAATATGTAGACGTGCTGGGAATTGTAGGCGTTCGTCGGGTCAGCGAGCGCAGGGAGAATCGAGTTGATCGTTACGGTGAAGATGTCCTAACTGATGTCAGTTGTATGTACAAATGTACAAATGTCCTGGCGGCACATTCTTACTTTGAGCTGGCCAACTTGGAATGGCGCATCTGGCGCGCAGATTCTGAGAACATCCACAATACACGAGAGGGTCCACGCTCGTACACCCTTGTCTTTGTGTCCCAGCAGGTTCGGGTTCGCGAGATCATGCGCAAGGGTGGTAAATGAGCGCGAATCGACCTGGTCAAGATCATAGTTTCGTAGCTCAGCAGAAAGCTTTTGTAATCGGGCGAGGAGTTCTGCGACAGGTATGGGTTTGCCAGCACGCCAAGTGAGAGTATCTTCGAACTGAAGGCCAGAGATCTCGTAGCGAACCTCTTTCTGGGCGACCTCCGCCGTCGCGGTGTTTCGTAGCCGGGTAGGCATGGTAGAGGGCGGAGTTACCGCATCGCGCACAGCTTCAGATTGAGCGACAACCAGGATTGGAAGGAAGTCTACGTGTCGATTGACTGTAGCTTGGGATGGACGGCTTCCAAGGGTATGGGTCTTGGGACACTTGTCGCTGCTAGTTGTCCGGTGCGTGCGCTGGTACAGGGAAGAGGGACAGAGAATTGGAGGGCAAGTTGTTGGCCGAGGAGAAGTTTAATGACGACAACGCGTCCCGAACGCGTCGAAAAAAGTCACCGCCTCGCAGGCTCCAATACCCGTACAAGTGGCTCTACGGAGTACTATTACCTGGTACTTACCAAGGCTAGAACAAGCACGCTGCCCTTACCCGGCACGATGGACAATTGAGTAGAGGGATCCCTCTGAGCCATCATTGATCCTATTTACTCCGTTCAGCGCTCGAAAACTTGCGTTGCCGGACACTTCTTTCGAAGCAACTTCATCAGGTACAAATGCGAACACACTCTGTCTCTGGCATCTGTGTGGCAAGGGCAAGAGCAGGCTCCTGCCTCACTTTTCCAGTTACGTATCCATCTCTGTTTGAATAGACAGCTCATCGAAATGGACAACCAGATCCTCCTTCTCACCATGCGGAGCAGGCTTTGCAGAGTAAACCCCAATCCAGCATTCCACGTCCTTCTCGAGATCTCCCCACCAAGTCACCTCTCTCAATGGCCATTTCTGAGCATTTGAGTCTACGAGCCATACCCACAGGCTGCCATCCTCCGCGGATTCCATCTCGATAGTTGCACCGGGGCTGGACTCTGACAATGAGGGTCTGAGACTCCAGTCTGCCCAGCGGTCCTTAGCGACGACGCTCACGTTCGGCTCTCCGTTCAGGAACTCGATTCCAGTTTTCACCCAGCGGATGGTGTCGGTTGTCCGGATGATGAGACAAAGTCCTCCCTGGTCGTACTTATCCTTCCAGGCAGCCGATACCCTGACACGGGCGGACCTGAAAGAACCCACTGTTGTGGTCTGATATATGATGGGCGCATTGAAGGCGTGAGTTGAGGGAGGTTTGTCCCAGATGTCAGTAGCCGGCGAACAGGTGATTTGAAATGCCCCGTCAAGGTTTGGGATGGCATGATTCAGATGAACCTGGTAGAATGTCGGTGCCATGTCGCGGAAGAGGCCGAACACTCTAGCGATTTGCAAGGAAGATATAGACAGACACCGTCTATCGAGTGAGACAGGTGATTTATCCTCCTCCAAAAAAGAATGAGAGTAATGGCCGACTCGGGTGTGCTTATTATGTACCTACTATCTGTCGTTATCTGACTTGCGCATCTCTTTTGCTCCAGCAGCTGGTGGACGGAATGAGCCGTACTAGGCAACTTGGCCGCCTCGGAACCCAAAATTAAACTGCGATCCGCCCATTCGATATTCGACAACTCTCAACGGACCCTGGTGCCTGCAGTAAATTACCTTAGGTAGGTATAGGGAGGTGGTCCGTACTGTCGGATACTGTAGGGAATACGGAGTACGGTACGAGTACGGGGTACGGAGTATAGGACTTGAAGTTCATAGTGTTGCACCCTGTAATAGCCATCACCCGTCACCCTGACCAGGGGGCATGGCTGCAACCTAATATTACTCCGGACATTTGTTCCAGGCCTTATAATAGGCAGGCTTAGGCCTAAGCCCTTTGGCCCGTCTTATCAGGTCGCGCCAAGCTCGCAAGTTATGGCCTGAATTGGACTTTTTAGCAGCGCCACGCGACCCTACGTACCTTAGATAATGTTTATTTCTGTGTCATCTGGCCAACTGGAAGTGGCCTCGTCATTCCTGATCAGCGCGTCGTCATCGCAATCCTAAACCCACGAAAAGGACACGAATCTTGGTGCTACATAGTACACACGTCTAAGAAGCGGTTCGGGCTTGTAAAGCCCAGGCCGCGACCTTCTGCGAAAATAGGAAGCGAGCAATGACAATCCGAGAGGTATGAAGTAGAAGGCCGAGATCAAAGGAGCAGTCTACAGTCACACATCGGGGTCGTAAATGTGGCAGAACAGTTGGACCCCACCGTTGATCTTGCATGAGAGCGTGTTCGGTGTTCAGGGTCGAGGGCGCCAGGTTTCTGGTTGGATGGCTCTCGCAAACAAGGAGATGGGGAGATGGGCGCCGCGGAGTCTATATCCACCGTAAACCACCTATGAGGACCATGTCTTGCAGGCGGCGATGTCAGAGTGACGCCTCGTTCAACCAGCGACGTAGGCATTGGTGATAGTGGGTGTGTGAAGGCACAGTTTAGGACTGGCGACCGAGACACCAACATCCTGTGCAATCTTCTAGCCTGCAGACTGGCCGTTGAAACACCTCTAGAGTGGGTTACCCGAGGGCTTAGGGGCTAAGGAGGCTGCGGTCCAGGGGCGGCTAAGGGGCCCCTAAGCCCCCATACCAGGAGAGATGCTGTGGATGAGAAAGGGAGCGTGGCTGTGCAGAAGTGCCTCCGTCAAAACCATAGGAGAGTCTAATCCTGATCACGCTGTGAATTAAGTGCCCGTTGCTGGCCTCAGGAAACCACATCCAGCACTGGCCCAGTACAGGAATGAGACGAATTTGATCCTGCTCTTATACAATCTCATTCCCCTCCCAAACATCTCATGGTCTCATGGTCTCCTGCTCTCTTGAACTTTCGACCTGCATGTTGCCAGCTCTTCTGCACCTACAGCTGGTATCTTATGGCGGCTCTGGCTCCCTGTCAAGACCGCTGTCATTCGTACTTTCTATCTCCACCCCCCGCAAACAATGAACTCCCAGTGCCTGCAGGTTGACGAATATGAGCTATCAAGAGGCAGCACGCAAACATCAGATGACTACGAATCCCCTCTTTTCGACGATGACTATGAGTACGGCCATGACCACTTCCGATATCCTCTCCTCACTGGCCAGGTGGTGCCAGTAAATGCCAAAGGGGCACTCGCTTCGCGCTTCGCGTCCATCACCCCCGCATGGCTGCGACACCAACGACCCAGGGCAAGATGTCTTGCACCCTGCCGCATCTGCCTACCCAGGTCGTTCCTTCGGACGTTCGCTCTGTTAGCCTATACCATTTGCACAACTATCCTCGTCATTATCATCGCCGGGGGCGTCTTCTTTCCGGGTTATACTCACCTGCCACCACATTATGAAGATTTGCGACAGGCGGTACGGGCTTCTCACGACGCTGGCCGTGCCAACTTGCGCCATCAGAAAGTGTTCATTGCGGCGAGCATATATGACAAGGGTGGAAAATTATGCGGCGGCGTCTGGGCAGAGAATGTGCTGGATCTGATACAGCTGCTAGGACCGGAGAATGCGTTCTTGTCGATTTACGTGAATGACTCGGGCCCAGAGGCGAGGGAGGCGCTGGCAGACCTACAACGGCGGGTGCCGTGTGATCACGCTCTTGTTTTTGAGGATCACATTCGTTTTGACGACCTTCTTCACATCACAATGCCAGATGGTTCTGAGCGCGTCAAGCGGATTGAATACTTGGCCGAGGTTCGCAATCGCGCCCTCAAGCCCCTCGAAAACTCAACAACGATCTTTGACAAGCTTCTCTACCTGAACGATGTTGTCTTCCATCCTATCGATGCGGCCCAGTTGCTGTTCTCGACGCACACAGGGGCGGATGGCAGGACCGACTACCGGGCTGCCTGTGCAGTGGATTTTATCAACCCTTTCAAGTTTTACGATACGTTTGCAACCCGGGATATCGAGGGATACAGTATGGGCTTGCCATTTTTCCCTTGGTTCTCGGCAAACGGTGACGAACAGACCCACCAAGATGTTCTCGACGGCAAGGACGCTGTAAGAGTCAGGAGCTGCTGGGGTGGCATGGTAGCCTTCGACGCCCGATTCTTCCAGACCAGAAACGACGGACTGGACGACTTGATTACGGCAGGCAATCAAAGCCCCAGTAACCTTTCTGTTCCTTATCGATTCCGCTCGGAGAAGGACTTCAGCTGGGATGCCTCGGAATGCTGTCTCATTCAAGCAGACATTCAAAGCCCTGAGCCTGGCCAGTCAGGCATCTACATGAACCCTTTTGTCCGGGTCGCTTACGATGCTAAAACCCTCTCCTGGCTTGGATTTACACGTCGATTTGAGCGTCTGTACACGCCAATTCATTTCCTGCTGGACGTCATGACCAACGCGCCTGGCCACAATCCACGCAGGCAAGAAGAACCGTGGCAAGAAGTGGTAGAAACTATCTGGATTCCGGATCAGGCTTCCGAGCAGGGAGGATCTTTCCGAGAGGTGACTAGGATTGCTACCCATGCGGGCTTTTGTGGCCGCCTGGGCTTGACGGTCATGAAGGAAAACATTACTGAAGGAGAGAGAAATTGGGAATCCATCCCAGTGCCTCAATCATGAGCTAGCATGGCGTCCGGATCGGGTTGACAATGGTTAACAAAATGTGTAACAATGATTTGCAAGGCTAGGGACATTCACACTCGGGTTTTTGTGGGAGGAAAAAGACCATCAGTGACTAAGTTCAAGCTGTTCAGTCCTATGACCATGCTTCTGTGATATCTTCTGTGATATTCTCTCTTTTTACCGCGGTCTGCTCTCCGTCCTTTGACAACCCCTATCTTGATTTGTTACGTTTGGTTAACAGGATGTCGGCGTGTGTTCCAGGGCCATGCTCGGCATCTGTACCAGAGCCATGCTCGGCGCGCACACGTTCTCATGCTATCAATATTGTGGTTTGGATTTGAAAATTCGTCTCTCACACCAACCTTCATTCAAGCACCATACTATCACCACCTGCCTGCAGCCTCTTTCTAATACTCCAAAATCCCGAGTCTGTTGTTTGGGTCAGTACGACTCGGCTTCCGGAAGATGGCAGCATCTTTCGACGACCCCAGATCTGTCATCGCCTTCCTTCGCGCCATGCATTCCACTCCGACATCGAAGACTTCTGATATGCAAGTGTCACCTGTGACTGATGGCTCGGTGCGTCTAGAGATGAAACAGAACTAAACCTGACAGCTTACTGACTTGTTCAAGAACCTCGACCTTGCTGTGCCTGCACCGCAGAAGGACGTGGAATCTGGCTCCGGTGAAGACGCTCGCCCTGCTAGCGAAAGCCCACGTTGTGCTTCCCCCACGAACGTACTCACCCCAAAGAGTCCCAACATGCCTCTCAAGACGACGAGTTCGGCTAAAACTCAGCTCACACCCACGCAGCAGAAGCTGTTGAGGAAGAAAGACGCAGCGGAGGTAAAGGCTCAACAGAGTTATCTCTCGATGCAGAAAGAAACGAAGGGCTACATGGACAGTGTCATTGAACAACACCGTCAGTCGAACGTGTCTATGTTTGCATCTAGCCCTGTCAAACACCCTGCTTCAGGTGAGATGCTGTCGCGCTGGTTGTTTCGATCTTGACTGATTGCTTCTTCAGTGGCCGAACCTGGCGGTAGGACTATCGGGATGCCTGAGGGGATGCCTGAGGTGGCGGCTCGTCAATATGCCAACGAGATTACAAACATTGACTCCCTCGAACATATCAGTTTTGCTGAAAACCGTCATCCTGCCAAAATGCCGACCCCAGCATCAGGCGGTGCAATTGCAAACGCAGGCACGGTGGACGTGACAGGTTTCACTACTGCAGACATGCCTCGCACTCCTAGCCAGAGTGATAACTCCAACATCGCCGTCTCACATTCTCCTTCTATTGCAATCAAAGCAGGTCATCCAGCAGCTGAGAATGACAGTTGTATCAACGGAGAAGAAGACAAGGATGAAGAGATCAGAGAGGATACAGAAGATCGGGAACACCTCACACATTTCAAATCTTGGGGAACCCCAGCCAAGCGCAACAGACCAGGTAAGACATCTGAACCTAGTGGTATGTATTTCCACTAACATATCAGCGTCCCGCGTTCGCACCGTCATCCTTGCTGGCCTCCCACGCGCTGCAGACTTCACCTTCGTTCAGTCTCTGGTCCGCGGAGGCTCCATCGAGACCATGAAGCTCTCCACCGGTAAAACAGGGAGTGTCAAGGCCACTGCATTCGTCACATTCACTACTGGAGATGCATGTGACAAATACATGGAGAAGTATCCAAACAGCATAGAGGTTCGCTATGAAGGCAAGAAATACATGGTTTTAGTCCATAAGAGCACCAATATCGACGTGATGAGCGGCATGATGCAAGGCTACCTCGACTGTGGAGCTTCTCGAGTCGTCAAGGCGACAGGGGCAGATGATGACTGGGGCATTGTAGCCTTGAGCAAGCTTGCAGAAGGGAAGAACAAGGCTCGTCAAGTGGAGGCAGTGACCGATAGTCTTCACAATGGGGTGAGTTGAAGGACTGACATCCATGGTCTTTGAAGCACCTCAATTAACCTCGCACAGGTCCGTACCATCTTGTTTCGCTTCGCCAATATCTCCGATGCCGTCAAGTTCAAGGGCACGCTCATTCGCGATTATGATTGGGAGGGCTGCCGAATTGAGTTTGCAGATGATCCATGTGCAAAGGCAACCGGGATTCACTACGATTGAACGAGGAAGCTCATATGAACCCGACACCAATGTGGTCGTTGCCAACTTAGCATGTTAAGAGGCTGTGGAGGATGACGCCGTGCTGACGTTGAATGGTCGATGCAGCGCCGGCCTGGGTGAATGTTGGAGTTAGCGGGCGTGCGGGTGAGAAATGGCATGACAAGGCATGACCGCGTGTAACCGAGCCTCGAGCCTCGAAATCGATAGCGACAAGCGATAACCGATACACGATAAAATGGTCAATTTTCTTCTGCCCCCCACATCTCAAGCTTCGCTACCCACGCACCCAAGTAAAGAGTACGGATACACACCGGCACTTTTCTCATCATTTCTTACTCTTTCCCCTTCTTCCGTGCACTTCCATATCTCCTGGACCTTGACTGAGCAACCATATTGCCATCTGCTAACTCTTAGATCCCCTCGATATGGGCCTACCATCTGAGACGGCGTCCAACGCCATCATCTACACAACCTATGCTGTCTTCCTGTACGTCCTCCGTTTCCTGACCGTGCTGATCCGTACCTAACAAGGTCTCTCTAGTATTTTTGGACTCTCCGTTGCATGGACTCTACGCCACCAGTCCAAAGGCGAATACCTCGCGAGCCTCCGAACACAGAAGGGTTAGAATATATGCCGCTGCAGCGATCTTTCCGATCCCCAACAAGCCGTCAGAGCCGATACTGATACATTCGCAGGCGTCCCTCTGGCCCTCAACTTCATCGCCTCGGGTGAGTGCGCTCGAAGGGCGGCATTAGCCTGAAGCGGCAGCATTGGGCATTCACGATTGAGTCGTGAGACACAAAAGACAAGAGCCGATTATGGATTGAGCGTGAGGTCCATAGACAGGCCTCGTTGACTTCATACACTACTGCCCGAGGGCATGTTGAACAAGGTTATCTGAGGTTCGTAAGCTTGCATCAACGGCATTGGCCTTGCGCTTTCAGCCTGGAATTCATGAGCATTCATCGGCTGTCATCTTTGCTGAGATGCAATATGGACTTCTTCGGCCGAAGGTGCAAGGCCGATGTGCAGCACTACGGGCGCTTGTGTGTCACTTCCTCGCCCTTCATCCACCTGGTCAGATGCCATCTACCAGAGATGAGCGAGTTTCAAGTGCTGACACAATGCTGAGATTGTACCGTTAAAACTCGATCAAGTTAATGCTTGCGTGGGAAACGTGCTGCCGCTTCTCCCCAACCCCCCCTGTCCCCTCATCCGTGATCGGAAATACTAACAGCACCGTTCTTTGTTGGTGGTGTACAGCTCTAGGCTCTGGCATCCTTTTCACCTACCCGGAGATTGCTACCATTGCTGGCGTGCAGGGACTCGTTGTCTACAGTCTCGCGTCTGCTCTTCCTCTGTTGGTGTTTGCCTACCTCGGCCCCATCATCAGAAGGAAATGTCCGGAAGGATTCGTCCTGACAGAATGGACGCGCCAACGTTACGGCGCAGTTGCCGCTCTTTACCTCTCCGCTTTGACGTACGTATCTGGGACCTGAGTCCATCCAGAAGTGTCCATCTAACATGCTACCAGCCTGATCACAATATTTCTCTATATGGTGGCCGAGCTTTCAGCACTTCAGCAAATCGTCAATGCCCTGACAGGCCTCAATGGCCTTCCTGCCGTGATCGTGGAATGCGCAGTCACCACCATGTACACGTCGGTGGGTGGATTTCGGGTCTCCTTCATCACCGACAACATCCAAGGAGCCATGGTGCTCGCGCTCATCATCATTGCTTGTATCACGGTTGGCGTCAAGACTGAAATCCATCACGACATGATCGATCGCAGCGGGTATTTGGATGCAAGTCTCTTGGGGTGGCAGCTGATCTACATTCTGCCAGTGGCAATCCTGACCAACGACTTCTTCATTTCCGGATTCTGGATGCGAACTTTTGCCGCAAAAACCGACAAAGACCTGTGGGTCGGTGTGGGCATTGCGACGATTGCAGTCGCAGTCATTCTGACTCTTGTCGGCGTCACCGGGTTACTGGCAGGTTGGGCCGGCATTCTGGGCAATCCGCCCGAGGAGTCGTCGATCGCCTTCTTCCTGCTTCTGGAGCAACTTCCGGCGTGGGTTGTTGGCATTGTTCTCGTCATGACGATTTGTCTGTCGACTGCGGCGTTCGATTCTTTCCAGTCGGCAATGGTGTCGACCGGGTCGAACGACATTTTTCGCAACAAGTTGAACTTCTGGTTCATCCGCGCCGCCGTCGTGGTCATCATCTTTCCCGTGGTTGTTGTGGCCTTGAAATCGCCTTCCGTGCTCCAGATCTATCTGATCTCCGATCTGATCTCTGCGTCTAGCATTCCGTGCTTGCTTATTGGCCTGTCCGACCGCTTCTACGCCTGGCGCGGGTTCGAAGTCGTTGTCGGTGGGCTTGGCGGGATCCTCACCGTCTTTCTGTTCGGGTTGGTCTTTTACCACGGTGACACCCAAGCCGCCGGAAACCTCATCCTACTTGAGGCAGGCCTCTATGGCAACGACTGGTCGGCGTTCGGTGCCTTCGTGGCGGCCCCCGTCGGAGGTCTACTCTGGGCGCTCGGAGCGTTTGGCTTTCGTATTGCAGTGCAGTGGTGCATCGCGAAATACAAAGGCACCCACTTCGACGCCTTTGATAAGCCTCCTGCCCCGACCGCTGCTTTCTACACCGGCCAGACTGAGCCTGGTGTTGGTGTGGCCGATGCAGAAAGGGAGGTGTACATGGACAACGACGGCGTGGAGAGAAGCGAAGTCCAAGTCAAGGGGAAGTTCTTCTAGCCCCTAGCAAGAGGGCGAGGGCCTTTGTTCTGCACCCTCAACCTGATACCCTCAACCTGATACTCGTGTTGTATGGACTGGAGGGTGTGGAATACTGGCCCTAACGCCGATGCAGTGGAACAACTGGTTCCAAGGGAAGGGAAGGGACTGTCCGGTCGGTCATGTAACCGTGACTTTATGGAGTGGATAGAGATGCTGGAGAGCAGTGGCCGACAGTGGAACACAAAAGCACAGTTAAGTGAAGGGCGGAAAGCAGAAAGGCAGAGATTGGGAATTTGAAATTTGACATGAAGGCATTGGCGGGCGGGACTGCTGGCTGGCTGGTTTGTCTAGTCATCGCTTCACAAAACCATGCGGTGGCATTGGTGATGGCGATGGTGATGCCAGTCAGTCAGTGCATGTTGAGACCACGGTGCACCTACATAGTTTGCCAATTACAATAGGAGTAGGAAGCGTGCAGGGGGGGTTCTTCGAAGTGAAGAACGACCTCGATTTATCAATCGTTGGTATCTTGTCGTACACGTACTAATAGCTACCTACCTTATTGGATTGAGTGATCGAAGCATCGTTGGTGTCGTACCCGTACGTAAGGTACTAATAAAGAAAGAATACTGTTGACACTTCACTCTCCCTAAGGGGGATCAGACGCGCTCTTTTGTTCTTGTCTGTGACTGTGACTGTGTACGGAAATTCAGTCCCCCACTGCGCTACTGTTCTTCTTTCCACTTCCACTTCCACGCGCCTGGCCATTGCCACGCCACCCGCCTTTCCAGAGACAGCAGACGCCATTAGCCTCGCACCACTCACGCACTTCGAGCGGACCGACTTCGCGGTCTTCACCAATAGCACGAAATCCTTCGGTGTTCAACCAGACCGTCAGATCTTCCAGACAGATGGGGTCGTACATGAGGATCTTCTCGCGCCAGGTTGGGAACATGGTATGGTCTCGCTTTCTGGAGTCGGCGCCCGTGGCCTTGGGGTCAGGGCGGAAATGTATAGCCGCATGGATTTGGGTCTGAATATCTGGTATGGGAGGTGTCTGGTCCGGTGTCAAGGTATGCTCCACGCTCTTGAGTTCAGCGAGCCTGGAGGGATCCTCCAAGCGTGACCCTTCACCGGTCACTGCCTCCATCGAACAGTTTTTATTAGTAGGAGGCGATGAAAAGCTGATGGGGGGCATAGTGGGAGGTGGAGTCGCCGGTTTTGTGGCTCGTGCGGCCGAAGCGAGTTTGGCCTTGGGAGTTCCTGTTTTGCGTGATAGGGGCTTCTCTGAGACTAGAGCTTGCCCATCCCTGGTGCTGGTTCCTGCTTCAACATCAATGTCGTCCACGTCCATGATAGCCTCATCCGATGAAACCTTCTTCCCCGTACTCTTGCGTGGTTTCTTGATGTCTTTACTTGCGGGATTCTTCCCCTTTGGCTCGGCTTTCTTCCGCTGCTTCGGTTCCTTTGCAGGCTTGGGCTCCGTAGCTTCTGACTTCCGCTTTGCACGGGGCTTCTTCACCTTGGGCACCGGCCGAGCCGACACATCATGGACTTTACTGAGGATGTCGCCATGTGTTGTAGCCTGAGGGGCCTCTTCTTTATCACCGCCACTTTGCGGAGCGCCATGCCTGTCTTCCCAACATCGCTCGAGGAGTTCAATCATCTTCTCACGCTTCTTGACGGGCTTGAACCCATACGCAGAGATCTGCTTCTGCAATTCATGAATCGAAAAGCCTGCATAGCACGGCTTAACAGGGACGGCCTTGTGTGTCGCTGGTCCAGCAACTTCTGTGGGCCCAAGTTCTGGTAAATTGGGCTCAGCAGTTCTCTTTTCCCCCTTCGGTTCCCCTAACACCCGTGTGGTATGGTACGACCTTGTTTGTGTATTCTTAGAATGGCGCACGGAGCCTTGCAGTCCTGGAGTCACAATGTCATCAATGTCGATCAACAAGCTTGTCTTGTTGGCCAGTGGAGTGTCGGTATTCTGACCGATTGGCCCTCTATGACCCGTCTCGCTCCTCTGAAGACCCGGCTGTGCTGGCTGCAAGAGGACGTCTTTCCCAGTGAGGGCCAGACGTACAGCCGGAGAGTCAATCAAATCAACTGTATCGACGTGCAACAGCGCATTGTCTTCGTCCCTGCCAGCAGCACTCCAGAGATTCCTTTTCTTCACAAAGCGAGTTGTTCCTCGACAATTGTGCGGTGAAGTTGACTCAATCGAGCCCGACTGTGTCCGCTGAGGAGAGATAGGATCTGACGACAAAACGCACTCCGATCTTTTGAGAGCTTCCAGTGTATCTCGCAACAGCGTGGGCGACTCCTCACGAGCAAGTTGGCTCGCAGACCCGAAAAGAGTCTCTTGGCCTTCAATTGCCTTCATAGCAGATGTCGGAGACAACAACTGACTTTTGGCCAAAGTCTTCTTGGTCGCACCGGTTCTCTTACGACTGATCTTTGGTTTTGTGCTCTTCTTTGCGAGGTTCTCCCCGGTGGTATCAGGCTCGTCCGCTGCGCCGAGCTGGGTAGCGGTTAGATATTCCAACATTGGCGCAACCTTGTTGTCACTTGTCCGGTATTCCTGGCCATAGTGTGAAGTAGCTAAGCCGGTAATTGTAAGCAACTTTTTTGTGGGCGGTTTAGGCCTCTTCTTGATGCCCTTCCTTACCACCTCTTTGCTCTGATAGCTATCAGCCGGAGGGAGTGGGGGTTCTGCGTGGGGATTCCCCGGCGCCACAAGGTCTATGCGCCTTCGTTTCGTTGGCTCGCCGTTTGCGTCCCCTTTGGTTGCTACATAGTGTACTTCACGGCGCATCGGCTCAGCATACGTGAAGTTGTCGAGGAGGTCTCTTGAGAAGCCTAGAGTAGGCTCTTCAGGTTCGGAAGTAGTCACTGAAGTCTTCACGCTTGGTTTTACCGGAGTCCAGTCTAATCGCCGAGGGAGGGCTTGTTCCAGGTGCAGGGGACTAGAGTCGTTGGGGCGGCGTCCATCCTGGGTTGGGGATTCTTTGCGCGGTGTAGCATCTGGAAGATCGAACACATCCGCACAGGCCAAAGTCTCCGGGATTCGGATAGATGTTTGTGGTCGAGACCGTGAGGGTTTAAACTGCGCCGATTCCGGGTCCGGGTGTAAATCCACCTTTTCCGTGGCAGAATTGGTGCTCGAACTGCCAATTCCACCATGATCTCGAGCAGCAACTGAGCTCGCCGGCTTAAACATTTCTCTGCCGGGAGAGCGCAGCGGGATATTCTCCGCCCCGACCTTTGTGGCTAACAACGACCGAGCGCTACTAAAGCCACTGGAAAAGCCATCTCTGGTCTTAGCGGTGGCCTTGAACCGTGGTGGCCCGTGTCGACCGCCCTTCAATATCGTGTTCGGCGAGGGTAGAGGTGATGAGGACTCAACCGGGGTCGGCGAGCGGGCAAATACTCGGGGCGGGGAGGAAGAGAGAAGGACGATTGCTGACATGGCGGGTACAGCGGTTGCCCATCGGGGCGATCTAGCGAGTGCCAATGTGAAAAGTAAAGCCAATGCCTACCAACAAAGCAAGCGGCGCTGCATCACTGAAAGCAGTGTTGCTGGATCGAGGCGGGAGGCGGGAGGTGGCAACATTGGTCTCCAGCAACCACCATTGTCACCACAACAAAAAGTTCCCTCCACGGCGGCCCAACAAGGCTTGGCGGAACGCGGTCCGCTCGAGACTGATATCGCGATGGCACGTGACTTGATTGTTCTTGTTCAAGTAACCCCTCCACCTATTAGGTGCCCTCCGTACGTAGTTCGACGTAAGACTTTTATTGGAGCCTTTAAGTGCTAAATATCAAGAAATAGACACTATAAGGCCCATCACTATGACCTCATGCTCAGAAAACGGGGAGTCAGAGGCACTTTGTACCAAAATCCCACTCCATCCAACACCACGACGAGCTTAGACACCCGATTGAAGAACCAACACGAATCGATCCAATTAACAAGTCCGAATTCATCAACACCTAGAGCCACGTTCCTGAAATATGCCACCAATCCCCGGAAAGTCTTGTGGATCATTGGAGGCCATTATAGGGGGCGGTGAACCGGGTGGAGAGAACACCGGCGTCGATCGACCGGATGATGGGTTTGTATTTGTACTCGAGGCTGAAGGCTCAGAGAGAGCCGGACTCGCGTTGTTGTGGACGGGCAGGGTAGGCTCAGGATTACGATACCCAAAGACTGAAGTAGTGTTAGCACAAGCCTGAACGCAGCAAATCAGCCATCAATACTCACATCTCAACATTGGGGTAAAGAAAGTGCCACATAGATTGGAAACGGCGTACACCAAGGTCACAACGGCGGAAATGACATGGCTCCGAGCTGTAGTCAGGAGTAATTGGATAACCTTCCAAGTGTTCATCGTCAGTCTCGCGTGACGCTGCTATTACCTATGTAGTAAGAAATCTGAGGAGATCTGATAATCGATCTATCAATCAACCAACGAACGACAATGCTATGGGGGAGTGGCGAGACCATATACCATGACAGACGAGAAGGAAACACCACCATAATGAGGAGAGATGCAGCCGTGCGACGAATTCACCATACATAAATGACTCATCTTGGTTCAGCATTGGGCGGTCATTGTTGCCCAAGAGTGCGATGAAGCAGGGTAGGGGGATTTGGGCGCTCTGGCCTCACGGTCGAGGTCGAGGTCAAACGCGGAGAGACATGATGTCAACCACCGACCTCAGTCCTAGTAGGCAGATGCACTAAGCTTCAGCTTGACTATGTCGAGGCCCATGCCCAGGAGCAATTGCTGCATTGTGCGTGTTAGTTGGTTGATGGTGGGAGGGGAATTGGGACGTGGATTTGGGAGTTACAGAGGACTGTAGCTGTAGCAGCCGGTAGATGGTGGATTAAATACTTCCCCGTAACCACCGTTGCAGGATGCTATCGGCTACGGTTGGGCATATCACTTCTTATGATGCTGGCTAAGGAGGCCCGGCCATGCCACTAGCCACAAGCCACAGCCACAGCCACAGCCGCCAACGCGCCATCAGCCACTTCTCCTTGTCAGTACTCGTACTCGAACGGAGTACGGATACTATAGGCTCTAAGGCCCCTAAGCCCTTATGTTAGGCGCTTGGTCCGCTGCCTGTTGAGCTTGAGCCTGAGCCTGGACCTGGATCGCGCCGGCCAGACAAAGCTCCCGACGCTTCAGCCGCAGCGGCCCCCCACCGTGACCGATGCTAGTGATTGGGGCCGAAACACCCGGGGGACGGATACCAACTACCTATGCCTGATGTCCTGGTTTATTGTGACCAGCACATGCGTTATTAGCGCCTGACTTCGGCTGAATATTAAATCACAATGATAAGATGGGCCACACATCGTCATCTATGGCTTGAACTCTTTCCATCTCGTTATTGATCTGCTCCTGTTCCAGCAACAGCAACAGCAACAGCAACGGAGACGACTTTTCTTCGGCTAGCTGACGAAACCAACCTCACGTGGCAGCCGACCCAAGGTCAGACTGCGACACAGTTCGGACTGATCATCGATCTTGTTACCACTTCAATCGTGGCGATGGCGTCCGAAGACGAATCGCAGGCCTTCGATATCACCCATGACGAAAAAGACTGGGACGCCCAGAAGGAGAATTTCCGCAAGTGCTACATCGATCATAACATGACCAGGAAAGACGCCGCGCAGTACATGAAAGACCACTTCGATTTCGACGCCACTCCGCGGCAGTGGGAGCGCAAAATCAAGCAGTGGGGGTTCACCAAGTACTCAAGCCGGGATGACAGGTTGCAACAAATCGCGCAAACCGGCAAATCAATCTTCGATATCGGCCGCCCAGGTCGGAGGCCTCGAGCGCGTACGGATGAGCATGGCAATCTTCATCCTCATGATGACCGCAACCTGCGGCGATTTGCTCGTCGAGAAGTCAGTCGTTCCAGGTCCAGGTCCAGGTCCCAGTCTTTCACTGGCAGGTCGACCCCGAACATCAAGGACGAACATCAGCCTGGCCCGTCCAACACGGTAACAGACCAAACATACAATCTCAAGCTCTCAAATCCTGCATTGCTACATCCACCCAGTAGCGGCGGTTTCAATATTGCTGCCACGCCCGCTTCTGGCGACCAGGACGAGCCAATTCAGCTGCATTATCTTCGCGAGGAGAACCCCCCGGCTGCTAGTGAAGCGAACGAACCTGAAATCCTCCTCACTGTGGATAATAGTGAGGAGTGGCCTCAGACCCAACTCTCTGACCTGGCCGCACAGTTTGACTTGGGAGATGGACCAGACCAATATCAAGCTTTCGCGGACGATATTCTGTTGACTCAGGGGCTGGTGGGAGATGATCTCCAAAACCCGAACCCTCAATATTCGCTCGACCCGAATGACCCTTCCTTGAGTTATCCAATCAGTGGCCATACAATGTCCATATCTACAGGGTTCGACCACTTCGCCGTGTCCGGAAACGGTATGGAAACCAATCCTGGCGTCCTCTCTGATAACATCCTGCCCGACCAGCAAATCTTTGGGACTGGGCCACAGATTCAACCAGCGCCAAATGCACTAGACTCAATGAACTTGAACCTACCCATAATCACTTTTGACGTGGTAGAACCCGACCCTACAATGATGCTGCCTCCACCTGAGACTTTGCCTTTCCCCAACCTGCCGGATATGCCGGAACCGGGTCCAGATCTATCAGTATCGGATAATGGACCTTTACATAGCGATGTGATGCCACTTGTGGACGAGTACACCAGGGCTGTTCATAGTACCGCTCTATGGAGCCTCGGCCATCAGCAATATGGTGATCAGTTTGCGGAAAATTTAGCTGCAAGTCTTGACCAGCCCGGTACAAGCTTCCCACTCCCGCTAGGCTTGCTCTCATGCTGACTTCTGTTTTCTAGGACAAGTATTCAAGGCTAAAATGGCTGTGGTGTTGGAAAACTTTGCAAAATCCCAACAGCGGGCATTCCAAAGCATGCGGGACACTTGTAGCAAACTCCGACAGAAAAACGCAGTGCTAGAACAGATGCTGAAAGAGGGTGAGTATGCGACAACTGACTACTCTGGTCAGGTCCTGGCTGACATGTCACGTCATGTAGAGAGCAGAAGAGACATGGGCCAGTCTGCAGCAGCTGGGCCTCACCGATCGTCACTCCCCGTGCAGGCCTCCGTGTATGACAATATATATTCGCCCAACTATTGAACAGCAACGATTGGGAAAGCGGACGAGCAGCAGACTCAGGCCCTGATATCACGTGCACGCAGGGTGACTTTCCCGAGGCTAGAGACGGAAGGAGGCATATTATTATTTGTTATTATCGATATCAGCCGCACAACTCTTCAACCTCCACGGGGACTTTCTCCCGCGACTGCGCACCGACTAAGGAGTTTGCAATGCTCGCAGCTCGAATTCAGACCGGAGACATTCTTCAAGATGCTGGTGGTCCTCTTCGACCCTGACACGCTTCTCCACCAAACCGTTGAACTGTTAGGGTCCAAACTGATCCCTGCTTTGGAGTCCCCGAAACGCCTTGAGGCCATCCTCAAATCGCTGCGTATCTCCGAGCATGATGTTTGCACGATCCGGGCCAGCTCGGGCGACAGAGGAGAAGGGAAGGCACGTTTGTTCAGGGTCATCTCGGAAAGTCACCACAATGGTTACCTAGAGCATCTCCGAGACGTGCACGACGAATGGGTCTCAGCAGGACTGATCGAGCAAGACGGCCATGTCATGCCCGAGTGTTTCTGGCTGCCCACCAGCACAGGCAAACCCATGCGACCACCTAGAGACCCTTTTGCCCGAGCCGGATACTACGCTTTCGATATGAGCTCCGGTATCATGTCAGAAAGCTACCAGGCTATCATTGCCTCTGCAAATCTCGCTTATGAAGGGACAGACATGCTGTCAGGATTCTCTGTGAACGCATCTGGCTCCGATGTTGACACTGTACTGGCACTCTGTCGACCTCCAGGTCACCACTGTGATGGCCGGCGAGCCGGAGGTTATTGCTACATCAACAACGCCGCTCTGGCCGCAAGTACATGGCGAGCTAGTCACTCGGACGCTCAGATCGGGATTCTCGACATTGACTTCCACCACGGCAACGGCACCCAGGAGATATTCTATGCCGACCCCAAAGTCTTGTACGTAAGTATTCATGGGGAAGACGAGTTTCCGTACTACACTGGTGCCGAGGACGAGTGTGGCATTGGTGCTGGTGAGGGGGCGAATATTAATTTCCCACTCAAAGTCGGCAGTTCCGTGGAAGAGTACATGGAGAAACTGGAGCAGGCGTTGCAGCACTTGCTCGATTTCAAACCGGAGTTTCTCATCGTGAGCCTGGGGTTTGACACGTACCATTCGGATCCGCTGGGACATTTCCAGATCCATACGGAGGATTACGCGACAATTGCAGAAACCATACGGCGGAAGCTGAAGGATGTGCCGGCCCTGATCCTGCTTGAGGGGGGTTACGTGATTGAACATCTGGGGGCCAATGTGCTGTCATTTCTGAAGGGGTGGAAATCCGTATAGTGAACCATCACATATTCTGCTGTATAGGGTAGAGGCGTAAGGGCCACAGCCTGCTCTGATATGATCATTACATCCTATCGCGGTCCGGGTGAGACGAGAGCAGGATAGGATGGGATGGATGATATCGAACAATACCTAATATGTACGGAGTACGGAGTAGGCGGATTTTGCAGACTTACCGCCGGGTGCACGTGATGGCTTCGGGTTTTCTCTGTGGCCAATCACCAGCCGTGCACACTAAGCTAGATTCGACGTCATTCTCGAAAGACGGCGATGGCAATGAACCGCGCACTGCGCAGCTGTATAACTGCCTGCGGTGCCGCTCTTGTTCTTTTTCACCACCTCATTCAGCCCAACAACGTCCTCCTTCTCCTCCCGCTTCCTCTCGGATTGTCATCACCATGTCGTTCATTCTCAGGAGGCCGTTTGCGGTCTCCTCGAACGTCTTCAAACCATTCAGCAAGCCTTCCACCCTGCTCCGGTCTTTTCATTCCTCCGGTTCGAACTCACCAAATGCCTTCTTCAACACTCGACCAACCGCCTCCAGCGCTCAATCTCTTTTGAAGTCCGCCGCTCTCCGTGATGGCTTCAAACGCGGCTATCAGACTCCTTCTTACCAACCTGCCAACCCGGCGGCGCGCGGAAATTTGACACAACGACTTCTATACGGCGCTGCATTGCTGGGTGGGACCATTGTCGCCACCAACTTGATCTTCAACCGGGAAACTCGCGAGGATGGCGGTATGCCTCCATTTGAACGCGAATACCTGAATCAAACATTTCTGCACACTGGACTGGGAGTTGGTATAATTGCGCTTGCCGCTCGGACGCTACATGCCAATGGTTGGAGCTACCGACTGATGGCGACAAATCCGTGGCTGGTTATGGGAGTATCTCTTGTGGCGAGCATCGGGACTATGTACGGCACGTTTTACACACATCCGGACAAGTAAGTTTCGAGAAGTTCATTTCTTTTGGAACAGACCCAGATTCTAATGTGACTCACAGCTACATTCAAAAGTATGCCCTCTGGACCGCTTTCAACGTCACTCAAGCTGCCATCCTCACACCTCTCATGTTCATGTCCCCCGCCATCCTGGCTCGCGCCGGTTTATACACTGTTGGCATGATGGGCAGCATTGCCTTTGTCGGTGCCACTGCTAAGCAGGAGAAGTATTTGTACCTTGGTGGCCCGCTGCTTGCTGGTGTTGCAGTTGTGGCCATTTCTGGGTTTGCGCCTCTCGTACTTCCAGCCACGGCTGTCCGAACGCTGGCTTGGACTGAAAACATCTGGTTGTACGGTGGTCTTGCGGTGTTTGGTGGCTTTACGCTCTATGATGTTCAAAAGATCCTTCATCACGCTCGCATGAGTGAGCGTGGCTTGGTGAGTAAGGACGTTGTGAATGAGAGCGTCAGCCTGGAACTGGACTTTTTGAACATCTTCATCCGGATGGTTCAGATTTTGGCCATGAGGCAGAACAACAGGAGATAAATCGTGGTCCGGTCTGGAAGATAGATTGCACACTGGAGGTATTGACGGGTGTTTGAACTTGTCCACTCCGGAACCTGTCCACTCCTACAACAAAAGTGCCACCTAAGTGCCACCTGAAGAGCTCGCAGGCGTTCAACAACAACTCACCGCGCTAGATGGGGACCGACTTTCAGGATGGTCTTGATCAAGCAGGGCGGTGAGCTTTGCAGAGCCACAGGGCTGGCGTCTCGTAGCGGCATTGAGCGGAACGGAGATTGTATAATTACCAAGACCAGAAACAAAAACAGTTGAAAATATATGAATATTCCACTCGAGAAACTTCATACCTCGGCGTGCAAGTCCCGTGTCTCCTGGGAGCACTGGGACTGGGAAGCGTAACCTAAAGAGCCTCACCGCGTACGGTGGCCAGGTGAGCCTAGGTGTTGGCATACCATCGCAGATGAGAGGTGTATCTATGCGTTGAATTGCTCTTGCTCTTGATCCAAGCACGGCTCCTGACATGACATGTGAGTTAGATCAGATCAGATGGGATGTGATGTGATGTGATGTGATGTGATGTAATGTTGTGTTGATTCTAGTTTCCAATTTTGATTTCATTTTCGTAAGAGACGTGATCTATAGAGTTCCGGTATCTCTTAACAACAACTTAACAACGCCAGTCTAGGGCATGATCAAACCTCTCTTTCTCGTTACAGTAACAATCGTGGTCATGAGTGAGCCGGCTCTCCTTGCAATGAAATCGTGGTCATGAGTGAGCAGGCTCTCCTTGCAATGCCAAAATATAGATGTACAGAAACTATGGAGCGCATGAGGCAAAGAGGGAAATGGACTTTTGGTTGAGAACCCGCTAGGCGTACTTCTATGCGTTGGGGGGAATGGAGGGTAAAGGAGCAGTTACTGCTTAGCGGCACTCTCCTTGTCGGGTACCACGGGTGGCTTCTGTCCGTAGACGACGAATCTGGCAACGATGTCAGTATAGCCGTTTTCACGATCTTCATACTCGCTGAACCAGACTCACATGGGAAGATAACTGTGCGTGCTTCGACTCATCCATTCCTTCCTGACATCGGCTAGTAAAACCTCGAGTTCTTCAGGAGTCCAACCAAGGGCGCCAGTGAATACTTTTAGACTTAGGCCGCTGAGGCCGTCGAGCAGCCCTCGCATAAACAACGCCCCGGCTTGTCGAAGACGCCCGTTCTTGGGCCAAGGTCCGACGGGCAGCTTGAATGGGATGATGGTTGTGTTGATGAAGCCGGCCTCTCGCATTTGCCGCGTCATGAGTTCGGGATCGCATTTGCCAGTCAGACCGAACTTGGCGATGCCTTCGCTCCACAGCTTCTCCCACGCCTTGACGGGCCCGTCCGGGTTGAGAGTGCCATCGTCCGAGGCATAGTTGAAGTCGAATTCCTGGTTCTCCACCCAGCCCCCGGGCTTTAGTGATCGAAAAGCCTGTTCGTAGAAGAATGGCCAGCTCTTGATGGAAAAGCCGTTCATAAACCGCGTGTGGACGAGGTCGAATCGATTGTCCATATCCCAGGGCTCGTCGGCGTCGGCGACCTGGTATTCAAGGTTTGGTGGGACCCAAGTTGGCTGGATGGGCGACAGGTCGGTGCCTAGCACAGCTGCACCTGGAAAGTCGTCCGCGACATCCATAGCCCAGATCCCAGTCCCTGTGCCAACATCCAGGATGGAGGTTGGATCCGTGATGGGTGCAAAGAAGTGTTTGTTGTCGAATGTCAGCCTGAGACTGTGATAGTGGACTTGTTGGTCCGGTCAGCTGGGGGTCAAGCGTCTGGAGGGCAAAGGAAGAGAAGGGCAAGGGTAGAGAAGAAAAGACCAGGGGGCGTACCATCCATGCGTTCTTTCTCGCCTTCATCGTTGGGAATGACATATTTGCCAGCATTGTATGCATGATAAGTGCGCCCGTATTGTTGCTCGTAGTCATAGATGCTGGAACTCAACGACGCGGTCGACAAGCTCTTTTCGTCAAACCCGGAGTCGGTGTCACTGTAGTCTGTGGCGTGCAGCGGCTCGATCGGTGCCTCCGACACGTTAGGCCTTGCCATGAAGGGCGGCGCTAAGGTCCAGAAATCCAATCCCTGACTCTTTTATCTCGACTGGATCTCGATTTGAACTTGATCTCGGTCGGGGCAAACAGCCCAGATCTGGAAGAAATTACTAGTGGATTGGGAGGCGCCCGCGACGTCAAAAGGAAACGAATTTTCTCATGGTCGCACTGCCGGCTGCGTCAGTCGACAGTGGCATGTCATGGGGATGGGCCGCCGTTGTTTGAAGAGTGCTAGCTGCATGCCTAACAGTCCAGGCCAAAGACGTGAGAGGAGAGAGGAGGTGGCGGAAGATGGACACCTACATCATTAAAGGTACGGGATCCGTATTCAGTACCTTAGTGATGTTCTGATGCATGGGCCCATTGGCCTTAGGCTTGCAACACGAGCGTTAGGTTTAACTGCGGTGGGCAGCAGTGGGCGGTGGGCGGTGGGCGGTGCGGGAGAGTGAGGGAGCCCAGACCGTATGTGGGGGTTGTCGCCAAAGGTGGCTGGCGCTCCCATTCAGACGGAGAACAGCAGGCACCTAGTAGCGTAGTAGGGTGATTTTGGCAGAGAATGCCAAATGGCCATAAAGTGCGAGACTAATCTATTTAGGGCGACGCTAATACCCTAGCGCGGACTAGCAAAGAAGTCACTAAATACCAAGATGCGGTCACGTGGCAATGGCCATCGTAGCTCCTGGTAGGTGCCTGGCTCAACTCTTTTCCCACGTCCACTTCCACCCTCGCTTGCTCAACACATGCTAGGTAATCAATGCTGGTCTGATCTTGTACTCCGTACCGACAAACAGACGGACACACTATCTGTACGGATACTCTGCACTCCGTCCTTGTGGCCTCACCAGCGCCGCGCCGGCCCCAAGGCTAAGGCCATCTGCCCTGCCAGCTGTTTATGCGGACGTTACAGCCCATGCCCGCTGGAACAACTACTAATTACTAACTACTGCCCAGTAGTACTGTCAGTGTACGGATACGGATGTGTACCGAATCTTCCGTAGGGAGTACCCGTACCCGTACCTAACACCTACCTAGGTACCTGCCTATACGCACCATCTGCCACTTCTGACGTGGCGCCGCTACTGTCTACAGAGTACTCCGTACAGAGTATCCGTACGCTACTCGCTACCAGGCCGTAGTGCTAACAATCCCATCAGCGATCAGCGATCAGCGCGGAGTGTGTTGGACTCCCTCAGCTCTATATCCATCCTACCGTCTAAACTTCTAGATTGCTTTTGCACGGCTGGCACCTCTTCACATCATGGCCACTCTCCTTGGCCTGTTGACCTCTCCACGCTTGATTCCTGGGCTGGCCGCTCTTCTGGTGCTGTACCTCGTCGTGGGGGCCGTTGTCAACTACCGCAAGCTCCGGCAGTTCAAAGGACCTCCGCTGGCAGCTGTCTCTCGAATCTACATCTTCTGGCAATCTGTGCGCCACCGATTCCACATCTCCGAGTACGAGGCGCTGCAGAAATATGGTAACTCATGAACTTTCTTCGTCGTCAAACCACCACACCTCACCCGACCCATTAGCAGTTGAGTTGACACCCTGGAACAGGATCCCCGTGTCGTTTTGGCCCGAATCTGGTCATCACCGATGATGCAGACATCATCAGACACATCAGCGCGCCTCGGTCGGCGTGGAGTCGTGCTGACTGGTATGATGCCATGAGACACGATCCGAGGCAAGACTCGGTCTTTTCCACCAAGGACGAAAAGCACCACGCCGATCTACGAGCCAAGATGATAGGGGCAGTACGTTGACCTTTGACCTCCTTGAATATCCGTCTCTCAAGGCGCGACGTGCGCGGCGTTGGCCCGGTCGGCTTCTTCCACTTGCTGACTTGGTTGTCTAGTACATTGGGCGCGACATCGACACAATCGAGCCGGAAACCGACAAGATAGTGGTGGACTTTGTCAACCTCATCAAGACGACATATAGCGGCAAGGCCATGGATATATCAATCACGTCTCAATTCTTCACGCTGGACGTGCTCAGCGCCGTGGCGTTTGGGCAACCCTTCGGATACGTCAAGGCGAACCGCGATATCTACAATTACACGCAGGCTAGCACGGCGTTCCTGTCAGCCCTGGAGCTGGCCAGTAACCACGCCTTCGTCCGCTGGGTATTCTACTCGCCACTGTTCCGCTGGCTGGCGGCGCCCAAGGACAGCGACGAGTTCGGCATCGGACCCATCCTCCGCATCGCGCACGACGCCGTGGCCGAGCGGTTTGCCGGCGACCAGTCCAGCAGCGGTGGCGGTGGCGCCAAAGCGAGCGTGGCCGGTACGACGAGGCGCGACATGCTGGGCCACATGGTCGGCAAGGGCTTGAACCAACTCGAGTGCGAGGTTGAAGCGTACGTGCAGATCATCGGCGGGGCCGAGTCGACCACCTCTACCATCCGCACCACCATGTACCTGCTGCTCTCGAACCCCGGGGTGTATGCCAAGCTGCGCGCCGAAATCGACGCCGCCGTTGACCGCGGCGACATCTCCTACCCGGTCGTCACCTACGCCCAGGCCAGACAGCTACCCTACCTCCAGGCCTGCATCTGGGAAGGCCTGCGCATGTATCCGCCGCTGTTCGGGCTCAAGTCCAAACTTGCCCCGCCGGGCGGCGACACCATCAAGGGAATCTACTTCCCCGAGGGCACCGAGGTCGGCCTCTGCGACGCCGCCATGTGTCGACGCAAGGACATCTTCGGCGACGACGCTGACGTCTTCCGTCCCGACCGCTGGGTCGACGCCGATCCGGCCACCCGCGCCCTCTACGATCGCACCGTCCACACCATCTTCGGCGCCGGCAGGTATGAGTGTCTCGGTAAGCATATCGCCATGGTCGAGCTGCACAAGGTGTTTGTCGAGGTAAGCAGACTAGAACACATCTCTCTTTCCTCTTTCTGCCGCATGTCATGGTCCCGTTGTTGTTGTTGCGCTTTGGATTGGGTCGGTTGATTTTCACGCATACCAAACTAACCTCATGACTGCAACTCCAGTTGATCCGCAACTTCGACTGGGCCATCTCCAACCCTCTCAAGGGCATCGTGCATTATGGCCACGGCGTGCACGTCCAGAAGGACATGTTTCTCACGGCTTGGCCGAGACAACACTAGTACTACAGACTACTACCTTAGGTACTAGATACTAGAAGCCACGCCCAATACATCCAGGACAGCTTCATTACAGCAGTTATGCTCTCAGGCTCTCGCTCTCGCTTCCGGTTCTCCTTCTCCTTCTCCTTCCAGTGCTCCGTTACCGTGCAAACCATTGAACGTCATGTAGGCCTTCGCAAAGGGGTTCCGTGTCGTACGAAAGCGTCCCGGATAAACAGCCTTCTCATGTACTATATCTACGTCTCCCGAGAACAAGTATATAACTTTACATTATACAAATCCCATATCTCTTATAGAAGTTGTCTAGTTAAACAGAAAAGGACTGCCAAAATAACCAGCCATCTATATTGACACCTGCCCTTAGGCCCCGACGGTAATCAACAAATCATTCATATCCTCACAATTATCGTCGCTCATTTTTGATGGGATGCAAGACCATCATGGGCAAACACATCCTTCCACCACCCGAGCCGCCCTCAGATTCCCATTGGATCTCATTATTGCCGTTCTCTTTTCCCAACCATCGTCGCCATAGATACCCCGCAAACCCGGCGTTGGAGTAGTACGTCGAGCCCCTGAACACGTGTTCCCCAGGTCCAAACACGCTCCCGTTCTCACCATGAAAGTATCCATTCCCGTGGTCCATACCTGCATGTTTACTCGCTTCACTGAGGGGCGCATTGTTGAAGATCTCGTTGACGTGGGCGGCAGGCCAATGGCGGTCAAAATACACTGGAAGCGGGGCGTGGATCGCTTTGAGACCATAGTGCAACGCAATCGAGGCGGGATACATTTCTGGGAACATGGTATGTTTGTGGCGGTAAGTTTCTTCATGCATGAGCAGAAGGAGTCGCCGAGACATTCGAGAGGCAGTGATGAGCGCGGCACGAGAGGGCGGCCGGCCGTCTGCAGCAACGTTGTAGCCGGTGATGTCGTCACGAAAGGCCCAGAGAGTGTGGGTTGGGTCGAAGAGTGGATTAAAAGTGATGAGATCTGTTATGTCGTCCGAATTTGAAGGGGTCTGCTGCGGTGGAATGTTGAAGAGATGCTCAGCTGGTAGCTGCGGTCCTGAGATGGGGGCTTTCTTGGAGGCTTTCATTTCTGCAACGACGGATTGCGCGTAGGTTTCGTAAGAATTGTTGTACAGCGAAGGAATGTAGAATTTGGACGACCGTTCCCATGCATACTCTCGTGGTTGCTTTTCCGACCATGATGTGATCCGGTGCAATAACTCATGATAGTGTCCGGTAATTCTGATGTCCATTTCCCAATGCCAGAAATAGTCATATTCGGGGTGTCGGGATGCAAAATATTGCATTGGAAAATGCAAGGATCGATAAGCCTCGTAAATGTCGCCCCCGGAGAAGTTGACAATGCTCTCAGGAAATGGCGGAGGATATATCAACTTCATCTGTGCCACAGACCAGAGCACGCCCATGCCCTGGAATTCTTCCGGCAGGCTGTCTTTGAGAGTCTGGTCATAAAGATCCTGAGAAGCCCAGATTGGAATAGTATCGTCCTGAACGTGAATGAGAAAATGAACCGTATATTGACCTCTAGAAGTCAAAGCAAGCTCGCTGACAAGAGCTCTGAGCATCGTGATATCGTATGCGGTGTATTTGTAAGTGCTCCATGTACGAACGACAAAGGCAGTCCGGGATTTGAGTTGGTTTTTGTTCTTCTTAAGACACTGTTGCTGTGCACGGTGCCATTTGACAGGGCGCCAGTCGATGGGATGCACATGATCAAGGCCGTGATTGTCACCCTCCCCACTCAGACCCAAACCACCCTGATCCTGGGGAAGGCCCAAGCCGTACGGAGCATACCGGTTGATTCGGTCATAACAGATTTGATTGTTGATCCCGAGCTCTTCCTGAGAGCCAAATAGAGGTGCTGGCATTCCCTGTGGGAGGCCTTGTCTTGCAGATATGGTGGGCGGCAAAATGCCTCTCTCCTCATTTATGTAGCAAATCTCCATATTCGACGGGACCAAAGAGGGCGCCGCGATCAAGTCGCCATCATTGTGACGGCCAGGGTCGAAGGGATCAACTGAGTCGGCTTGTTGCTCAGGGACGTACTGCCAGAAGGGGACAATGTTCCTGCGACCACGGTAGAAGCCATGGAGCCTGTGAGATCTATTAGAAGGGGACTAGCGCTCACAGTGGTAGCACTCACAAATCGAACTGTTCCCACCAGAAGACCTCTCTTCCATTACGATCTCGCGACTGGCCGATTGGTATAGGTCCCTGCTCTTCTTGTGCTTGAACATCAGGCCGTTGTTGTGACAGAGGTGTCGGCTCGACCGACCACAATAGGCCGACGACGATCAACAAGGCAATGGCTGCCGTCGACCATATCGCCTTTCGAGGCTGGAATCTGGGACGACTCAATTGGCGTCGGTGAGCCCGTCGCGCCCGTGGTGATCCGACGGGATCGAGGAGACCATCGCTACTGGCAGAGCCTGTACTCCAGTGGCGTTCATGAGATGCCGACGTTGATGGATGGTCGAATTTGGCTGCGAGAGACTTGGGCAACAGTTGAAGCATTCCCCCACGTGGAGTAGACGCAGGTGTCACGGGCGGATTGGAGATCGAGGAGGGCGGCCGGCGGTTCTTCGGGCATTACTCAGCCAGCGATAGGAATTTTGATGATATCGATCATTGAATGCTCGAGAGGTAGCGAATGCAATGCATGCGACGACGAGGACGAGGGGACAAAAGAGGCAGAAAGCACTCTCGGCTGCAAGGACGGAGTCGTGCTACGTATCTCGCCATCTTGGGCGTCTAGACGATAGTGCAGGCGCAACTCAGCGTCAATTTTCTTTTTTCCCATTAGCCTCCCAGCCAAGCGGTCCATGCTGAACTTCCAGGGCCGACCGACGGCGACCGTGCCTACAGCCAAGCCCTAAGTTGGCCCTAGCCACCCTCTCAACTACCCGGGAGGTGCCCAGAGGGTGGAACTTCAGGGTCAGATAGTAGCCTAAGGCCCAAAGATTGCGAGTTTCAGCTGCGAGCGCCGAGCAGTGCCCAGAGCCAGACAATCCCCCAATCGAGCTTGTACAGTCCCCACTGTACACTGCTACAGTACGTACTGTACTCCGTGCTCACTCCGTAGAGTCCTCCTAGTCCCCTGCTCCGTAGCTGCAGCGGGTGGCTTACGAGGCCCGGAGGCGTTCGAGTTGCCCCTCTTCTCTTCCTGCCGACCGCGCCTCCCCGCCAGCACCTACGCCAGTCCCCCGGAATGACAGTACCCAGGACCCGTAGGTACGTATGGATGTACGTACTCCTCCTAGGCGCTCCAAACAGACTTGTCTCTCTACTCTGGCTCTGTAGCATTTGACCGCCAACAGACCACACTATCCTGCGGTGCCTCGAGGAAGACCCCGAAGCCAAAACCAAGAACCCAATGCCTACTGCGGTCGTCACCGGGGCAAACAGCGGCATTGCCCATGCCTTTGCCAAAATACTGTGCGACGAGGTCAGCACTACCGCCTGGTGACTCCTTCCGACATCAAGGCTCAGCAAGATGACACCCAGGTGGGATTCATAGTGTACGCCGTCGACCGAGATCGGGGCGAAGGTCTCCAGGCTCTTGAGTCTAGAAAATGCCACACGGCAGTGGTCGATGTAACCTCTCCTGAGTCGATTCAGAAGTTCAAGGACTCGTTGGATAACACTCCAATTGATCTTCTACTCAACGTTGCAGGTTAGATGTCAATCCTTTGTGCCCCCGATTCTACATGGTGCGATGAAAGTTGAGAATGGAGCGGGTTGATTCCTTGTACCAGGTGTCGCTGCAGCGCCAGAAGCCGACAGTCTTACAACGACCAGCCTCGAGATCCTTCAGCGTACCTTTGCGGTCAATACCTTCGGTCCTTTGCTTCTGACACAAGCTCTACTCCCCAACATCCTGAAGGCCTCCAACCCCAAGATCGCCATCGTCTCCAGCCGCGTGGGTTCTGTGGGCGATAATAGTACAGGCGGACATTATGCCTATCGGTCGTCCAAAGCTGCAGTCAACTCCATTGGGAAGAGCATGGCCGTGGATCTCAAAGACAAGGGGGTTACAGTCATGCTTCTGCATCCTGGCTATGTCAGGACGAACTTGTTGCCCACGACGCAGATGCCTCCGGAGACAGTCGAACCTGACGAGGCGGCGAGAAAGTTGTGGCAGAACATCGTCAGCAAGAAAGAGATTGGAGCTACGGGCAAATTCTGGCATCGTGAGGGATTCGAATTACCCTGGTGATGGGACGAGTACGGATACAATTATCTTGCTCGCCGTTCACGAGGAAAGCTGGCAGTCTCGTGCCTAGGCCATGTACATCCGAGATGTGTGTCTCATGAGGATTATTACAAACCACAATCATTTCGATCAAGCCATCACACACTGGCAGCACGCTATCAGCCAGGTGGAGAACTATAGCTCGCCTCAGTCGCCTTCATCCTCGGCCCCTACTCGGCATTCCAGTAGCTTATCGCGTCGGTCTCCATCATGCAACTGCCTCTCATTAGAAATCAACTGGAATAAGTAATATGGTATAATAGAATCCAGGTGGATGCTGCTTTCGCGATCCAGCTCAAGAGTCTGTCGCTTTTGTCGTTCCGTTCATTTTCTCAAAGTATAGGCCAACATCGTCAGTACAACTGGGGTTCCAGCATTCTGTGTGCCTCTTGCGCTGGGTAGACATCGCAGCCATGTCGACGCCAACCCAACAACCGTCGGCGCTGAACGTCGGGGTGCCCAACCTGCCTTATTTCACGCCTGCTCATATTGCAAACCCAGGCACACCAACCCAGATCTCCGCCGACACCCCGACACTCTTCACCCCGTTGAAAATCCGGTCCAAGACATTGAGAAATCGCATCATTGTAGCTCCCATGTGCCAATACTCGACCGCGGCGTTTGGGCCCGACATTGGCAAGCTGACAGACTGGCACGTGGCCACCTTGGGCCACTACGCCATCAAGGGCGCGGCGTTGGTCATCATTGAAGCCACAGGAGTACAGCCCAACGGACGAATCTCGCCGAATTGTCCTGGCCTATGGAGCGACGAGCAGATCGCGGGCGTGCGGCGAGTGTCGGATTTTGTCAAGTCTCAAGGCGCGCTGTCTGGAATCCAACTTGCCCATGCTGGACGCAAGGCGAGCAGCTCGGCGTCGTGGGTTGCGGCCGCAGTTGAGACCAAGCGGCCCACTGTCCGTTCCGACCGCGACGTCGGGGGCTGGCCAGACGACGTGGTGGGCCCGATGGGAGGGCTGGAAGAAACCTGGGACGGCAAAGGGTTGGCCGAGGACGGGATCTTCTGGCCTCCAAGACAGCTGAGCGTGGCCGAGGTTCAACAGGTGGTCAAGGCCTTCGGAGAGAGTGCGCGGAGGGCAGTCGAGGCGGGCATCGACGTGATCGAAATCCACGCCGCCCATGGCTACCTCATCCACCAGTTCCTCAGCCCGGTCACCAACCGACGGACCGACCAGTACGGCGGCAGCTTCGAGAACCGCACTCGCCTGCTGGTCGAGATCATCCAGTCGATCCGCGCGCACATCCCAGACACCACGCCTCTGTTCCTTCGGGTCAGCTCGACAGAGTGGCTGGAGGGGACGGCGCCGGCGGAGAAATGGGGAAGCTGGGATGTCGAGAGCACCATCCAACTGGCCCGGCTGCTGCCCTCTCTGGGCGTGGATTTCCTCGACGTCAGCAGCGGCGGCAACCATCCGTTGCAACGCGTCAACATGTTTGCCTCCAAGGACTACCAGATCAAGATTGCCAACCAGATCCGACAGGCCATCAAGGCGGCCGACCTCAAACTGCTCATCGGCGCCGTGGGACTCATCACCGAGCCAGAGCAAGCCAGAGATATCGTCGAGGACGGACATGCCCATGCGCATGGAGTGGACCGCAGCATTGGCGAGGAGGCCGCTGCTGCAAACGAACTGACCGATGCAAAGGGTGGCAAGGAGCCCCTGGCGGACGCCATCCTCGTGGCGAGGCAGTTTCTGAGGGAGCCCGAGTGGGTGTTGAAGGTGGCGTGGAAGTTGGGTGTCGACGTTGCGTGGCCCAACCAGTTTTTAAGGGTGAGATTCCCTAAGCTGTGAAGGTCCGTTGAAATCAGAGGGATAGAGGACGTGATAGAGAGCCATGACCTGACAGATACCTACCTACCTACCCTACCTATACAAAGGAGCAATCCGCTTGAGATACCGATACACTCTACACGATCCACGATACACGTACGCACAGGGTCTGGGTCTGGCCCTGGTCAGGGACTGGCCTGAGCCCATTCATCGACCCCTGCCTCTCTCTTGTTTACCCCTTTTTTTTTCATCCTCCCTCTTCCCAATTGACTCGGCCGCAGACAACGTAACGACTCTCGCTCTCGGGTCAACGAGATAACAACACCACCAACACGACCGGCAGGTCGCAGACAAATTGGAAATGTGACAAGTGACGCGACCACACCCGCCCCTTGCTCAGACGGCTAGTGGCAGGATCGACGGGATCTTGACCAGTCCAGCACAGCCTTGTGTCCCCTTCGGAACCTTTTTGCTCCTCAACACAACCACAAGTGCGGCTTGTTTTGACATTCACCATTCACCCCTCCCACCCATCAAAGTCTTATGTCCTTCCGGTGCCACGAGGATCTCAAACTTATCTGTAATGTAATGCTATTGCGTGCGTGGCCCATTCGGTTCCGGACTTCCGCAAACTATGTGATATGTGATCAGCCTTCCGGACCGCTGCAATGTGGGCCACGGCAGGAAATGCCTGGCCTGGATGCCGCGGTCACTGTTCAGCCATACATACTATCCTATCCTCGTGTGAGAGAAGGTGCGAGAGGTTACAAGAGAGCCCTCCCTCCTTGGCCATATCATATCACTACAGGATCCAGATCCTTGATGGCTTCGGGCACGCCCTCGTCCTCCCCTCCGATTGAGATCAAAGACTGAGATTTCAAAGACTGAGATCCTACATACAGCCTGGCCGTCATGCTCTCTTCTCTGCAGAGGCTCCGGTTCCGAGTCAGTGTCGGTGCTCTTGTCTGCTTCTGCGTCGTGTCTTCCACCAGTGCAGCCAGACCTGTCTGGCACGATGCGACTTTCACCCCAGACATCGTCCTTCGAGTCAGCGTGGCTACCATCCAACTGAATTGCCAGCCTCGCCTTTCCACCCTGGTGAATGGCACGTACCCTGGACCGCCGATTTACCTGGAGCCCGAACGAACGACGTGGATCCGCGTCTACAATGACGCCCAGGTCAACACCACCATGGTAAGGAGCATTGAGCATTGACATCCATATCCATATCCATATCCATTCCCCTTCTGTCACCTATTGACTGACTGACTGCAGCACTGGCACGGCTTGTCCCTGTCGACCGCCCCGTTCGCAGACGGCTCCCCTCAGGCTTCTCAATGGCCGATCCCACCAGGCCATTTCTTCGATTATGAGGTGCACCCGCAAGCCTACGAGGCCGGTACTTCCTTCTACCACTCGCACGTGGGATTTCAAGCAATCACAGCTTCCGGTGCGCTGATAGTAAAAGACACTTCACCCCTGCCCTACCCGTATGACGACGAAATCATCCTCAAAGTTGGCGATCTCTATCCGCAAGACGACCATGCCATTGAGTCACAGCTCACAGGGGTCCCCTTTACCTGGATTGGGGATCCGACGGCTTTGCTGGTGAACGGCCAGAGTGGCACGGCTCCGAACCAACAGACCCCAAACTCGTCCGACTCTTCATGCCAGCCGTGGACCATGAATGTCGAGCCGGACAAGACATACCGTGTCCGGTTGATTGGCAGCACCTCGATATCTTTGGTCGTGTTCGGAATCGAAGACCACAACAACCTGACCATCATTGAAACCGACAATTCGTACGTCTATCCGGTTGAGACCTCCTACATGCAAGTCGATTCGGGACAGCGGTTCAGCTTCCTGCTCAAGACGAAAAGTCGGGGCGAACTGCGAGGCCGCTCGACCTTCTGGATCCAACTCGAGACTCGACAGGGTGAGCGGACCGTTTCGGCATGGGCGCTGGTCAACTATGTTGTCGAAGGTGGGCGTCAAAGACCACCAGGCCCATCCCCGGGAAGACCATACCCGGTCCCAGCCACCCCGACAACGCTTACCATCCCGTCTTCACCTGTGCTGAGTCTACCGACAGACGTGACAACCTGGCTGGAATATAGATTCCAAAACCCCCCGTTTGCAGGCTATGATCCACCGCCGAATTCATCGGAAGTGACTCGCCGGGTCATCATTTCGAGCCTACAGTTCCTCAACAACACGTCGGGCCATACAGTAATGATCTCGAACAATGCATCCTGGTTCGACTCCCCTCCGCTCGGTCCCACCGCGCACACGCCGTATCTGGTGCAAATCCTGCAGAACAGCACCATCAACGGCGCCACTCCCGACTTCAACCGGGCAACCAGCAACAGTGATAGTCCCGGGCTGGACCCTCTGTCGAACACATACCCAGCGCGCATCGGCGAAGTCGTCGAGATTGTCTGGCAGAATGCCGCGTCCTCTCCGACCCGCGTGTACGGGGCGCACCCGATGCACGCCCACGGCGGACAGTACTGGGACATGGGATCTGGGCCACGGGTCTACGACCCGCAAAACCACTCCGCGTTGTTGCAAGCGCACTCGGTTGGTGGAGGGACCGGGGCAGGGGTAGGGGCAGGAACACCGTACCCAGGATCCCGGCGCGACACGACCCTTTTGTACAGGTATACGTCCCAGGGCAGCTACCCGGGTGAAGTCGACGGCTGGCGTGTCTGGCGTGTCAGGGTCACCGAGCGCAACGTCGGGGTGTGGATGATGCATTGCCACATCTTGCACCATATCCTGATGGGCCAGCAGACGGTTTGGGTGTTTGGAACCCCGGAGGAGATTAGAAACCATACTCTGCCGGTCCAAGGGAGTTTGAACGGGTACTTCACGTACGGGGGTGACGCCGTGGGCAAGACTGGTGGGCAGGGTCCGAGTCAAAGCGAGGGCAAGGGAGTGAGGGTCGCGCAGTTCTTTGAATGATGGTCACCGTCCAGTGTCGCCAGTCTCAAATGCCGCCTCGGAAGATTGGTAGAATCGCACTGGGAATTGTCTTTGATGTCAGATACCCTAGACTGCAATTGTTCTTTCGACGAAGCCTTGACCCTTCTCTTTCTCACCTTTTGACTTCTGGGTTTCGTTTCATCACTGACGATTGGGTGGCCGTAAGTTCTGGTAGGAGTGGTATGTCATTTGCAAATAGCCGCGGGCGGTGTGACCCAGACTATCTTGCGCTTCCCGGTCGAGATCTCTCAATGGACAAATCTCTAATATGATGGTCATTGTTGTATGGTCTCCCGTCTCCGCAATCCGTGGAGTATTGTCTGACTAGGTTGTTGATAATCAAATAGTTGGCCCTGGCAGATAGAAGCACGGTCAGCACACGGTGTGACCTTGGTCTGATTGCTTCTTCCCTGTCTTCCGAGTCGATTTGTGCCCCTTGCGCCCCTTGCGCCAATAGGAATCGGCAAGTGTCGGGGTAGACAGTAGAGGGTAGAGAGTAAAGGGTAAAGGCTAGAAGGTAGAGCCTCTGGTAGAGGGTCGAGGGTGAGCGTTGCTCTTAAAGCGGCGGTACTAGTACGGAGGAGTATAGAGTAATATAGAGGAGCGCAGAGTACAGAGTAGTAGTATCCCGTACAGATAATACTGCGGAGTATGTACTCCCTAACAGCGCCAAGGAATGATATTTCAACTTGGAGTTCATCACCACTGGCACTGCAATTGACACGACGACAGTACTCTGTACATGTAGGAAGTATTTCCAGAGCCCGCCGGGACCTCGATCGCCATGCTTCAACCAATCCACCTGGCGCACACGCCGGCTGATCTAACCCTCTATGTCGCCGTGTACCGGGAAGTCGAAAATGCGTCGAGTCTCAAGCAGCAGTTGCTCGCCGGCAATACAGAGTTCGAGTACGCCTTCATCGACGCCAGCATGGTCAGTACACACAGACATAGCACTGGGCTATACCAGCCATGGTAGATTTTATACCATTCATTATTGACACATCTCGTAGATACTCTCAACCAAACAAGCCCTGGCAGCCGTCTTCCGCGCCATCAACGACTATCTCAACCACCGGCTCAAGTCGCGCAACATCCACTCGGAGATTGTCTTTTGCCTGAGCCCCAACAACAACGTACGTCTTTGAGTCATCATCCATCATCCATCATCCATCGTCCATCATCCATCATCCATCGTCCATCATCCATCATCCATCGTCCATCATCCATCGTCCCCTAGCAGTAGTGGCCTCTGCTACATCTCCGCTGGGCTGCTAATCCTGGGAGCTGACCGAACCACACAGATCGGTGAAGCATTCCGGCGGTTTGGCGTTTCCGACGCCACGAAAGACTTACTGGTCATAAAGGTCGCCACCACGCCCGACGTCACGTTGGAGAGCGTTGGCCGCCATCTATCGACGCACGTCCAGGGCCAGGAGAGTCCTTTTGACGACGCCACGTTCCGTGCGACCGCAGATCTCGATCGGATTCGGAAAGTGTACAAAATCTCCAGTCTCGCCCCCAAGGCGACAGGACGGAAGCCCAGCACCACTTCCAATGGCATCCCCAACGGCGAGAACATGGACGCAACGAAGAATTTGGAGGTTCAGATCCTCGGTCTCATGGCTCTCAGGGGCGCGACTTGACTTGACCAACTTGTCTCACAGCAATTGGGAAGGTCTCGCCTTACAGGCTTAGTGTCATGTCAGCCTTTCAAGCCGGAAGAACAGTCGACCGTAGTTCTCAGCAGAGGGAGGGTCTGGTTCTCGGCCTGGAGGTCAAGACCATGCATGCCACGTCGACTACGGGCCGTGTGAGGCATGGTCTTGAATACTCTATACGACCCTGAAGATTGTCTCCAGAGCTCCACCTGGACTTGCGAGAGTGTATCGACAGATCCACGAAGCCGAGGCCATATGGATGATCTGGCTCCTGTCCGCCAACGAGCGGTTCTACCATCTGCACCCACAGCAGCCTGTTTCCCCGAACAGCTGCAGCGCTTCGAGCTATGGGGCGGTTGAACCACACACTAGGCTCACAACTGGTTCGTATCTTACATGCCTATAGGGCCTGAATGGCACAGCCTGGAGACATGGCGCCATACAACAGTTTTGGCCACAGTCTGCTGCCGCTTCCAACTCGGCCATCTTAGAGCCGACTTGACTCTGCGACGCCCGCGCTGTCCGCGACTGCGGCATCCGACCCGGTCTGCTACCTCAGAAGTGTCTGCGTGGGCATGGAGCATGGCGCCAATACAAGGTAGATGTCACTCCTCAAGACTTGAACACACAGGGGTCGGGCGATAGGCATTATCCGAAATCCCATCGGCGGACGATATGGGCGTTTTCTACATCCACGCACACGCATTCAATCCACCTACCTCCTACTTCCGCGTCGGGATGTTCATTTTTCTACAGAATTCCAGTCTCCTCTTGGGGGAGGGGGGAGGGGGGTGGAAATCAGTATTACTGTTCAAGGCGTTGCTTTGCTTCTTCTTCTTCTGGTCAATTACTCGATTGCCTCCTGTCCCTGTCTGCTATGCTATTCCATAATAGACAAAACTCGCATAGCATACCGAAAACGAAAAACACGCTTTACAATTCCTTGCAATCGGAACCCAATCTCTGTCTCAAGCCAAAAGCCAAAAGCCAAAAGTCACAACTCGCGTACACGCTCTTTGATTTCATTACAGTAAAGCAAGCCAAGGCAAGGCACCGCAGAAAGGAGCAACGTGTCATCCTCTCCTGTCCTCCACACCCCTTCGCACTTGGTGCGTTGACCCTCGATCACTCTTGGTCGCTGGCCCGCATACGCATGCTTGTTTGCTCGCTTGCTTTCCCCATCAACAATCTCCCATCGGCCGACAACAGTCTATGCTTTTATCGTAAAGTACATGGCTGGAAGGTTTTTGTTTTGTTTCCTTCCCTTTCAAGCCAACCTTCTTCGACGCACCTCCTCCGATGCGTATTGATCCTCCTGTCCTCCTCTGATTTCCTCCACTGATTTCCTCCTCTGATTTCCTCCACTGATTTCCTCCATTCAATTCCTCCACTAATTTCCTCCTCTCCTCCCCAAACCCACAAAACAATGATCGCACTGGCCCCACGGGCCTACCCATATTCCCTCCGATTCCCCCTTCCTTCCTCTGCCTCCTCAATGCACATCCATCTCCGAAAGAGTAAAGCCAATCTGATCTTCTTCCACTCATCGGAAAACGTATTTCTTTCCTCCACTTCCTTGCAATCCAGCCAAAATGGCAAGGTCAATTTCTTTATCTGAAAAAATTCGAACATCCATCCAACGCCGTCGCTAAAAAATCATGTTTGGTCTTTGATGCCGGATGAGGGGGCGAGAAAGTATATTGGATCCAGAGGGAACCATTGGACTTTCCGCCAGAAGCAATTTTGTGTTTTTGAGCTTTAAAACAATGCATAAAACCATGAGACCACCCTATCAGGCACGGGTCCAAAGACAGAAGGTCAAGTTAATGGATCCATCTTAGGCCGATTTCTGAAGTTGTGGTAGAGCTGACATTTAAGTCATGTGATGATACAAGAGGGTTTTAATCCTCCTTGGGAGAAGTCGGCGAATATTGAGGACTATTCGGAGAATATTGAGGGCTTGTGACAGACGCCGACCTAGCCTGAGGACTTCTGGGTGACGCATTGTACATCGGACTCGTAGGTGAGTACGAAGGACTGGTGGGAGAAGTTGGACTGGTCGGGCTATACGTCGGAGATGTTGGTGAATAGCTAGGTGAAGTAGGAGACTGCTTGTTCCCGGTTGTACCGTACATCGGGCTAGTAGGACTGTACATCGGCGAGGTCGGACTGTAAACAGGCGACGTGGGTGAGGTAGGCGAAGTAGGACTGAAAGCCGGCGAAGTCGGTGAGTAGCTTGGCGAAGTCGGCGATCCATAGGCAGGAGATGTCGGCGAATAATTCGGCGACGTGGGAGAGTAACTTGGCGAGGTTGGCGACGCTTGATACCCGGGTGATGTCGGCGAATACGCAGGCGAAGTGGGAGTGAATGCCGGACTGGCTGGAGAGAATGACGGCGACGTCGGGCCAAAACCTGGACTGGTCCTACCAAACATCGGCGAAGTTGGGGAGTAGCCGGCAGTGGGCGAGAAGCCGGGTGAACTTGGGCTTGTGCCGAGAGGACTGGCAGGCGAATAACCTCCAGGACTCCGAGGACCGTACGGACTGAACCCACCAGCGCCGCCAAACCCAGGTTGGTACTCTGTAAACCCTCCTGGAGTCTCTGAACCAGAGGCGGCAATGGGTGAGAATGAGGCGCCATAATCGGGAGAACCAAGATAGCCGGAGTCGTGCATCGGAGAACCCGTATCGTAAGGAGTGGCCGCACCCTCAATGAGTTGCTGGGAGCCTTTAACACCGATAGCTCCACCAAGACCAAGGTTAGCATTGTCGGTAACAACCTGTGACAGCATATTCTCGTCAAGAAGGATCTCCATCGCACCAGTGCCAACAGGAGCAACCTGGCCCAAGATGAGGTTCTCAGAAACACCACGACAGTCGTCCAATTCGCCAGCAGCCGCAGCCTCCAGGAGAATCTCCACCGTCTGTTCGAAGGAACATCTCATGAGTGCACCGGTGTCGGACTTGTTGATACCATGACGAGTAACAGCCATGACATAGCCACGCGCAGTCATGACATCGCAGAGGATACCCAAGTGGCGAGCGTTGACATAAGAACCGTCAAACGACAGTACCTGGGTCAACTCCCGCAAGATGGCCGCGCGAGTAGCTTCAATACCAAGAACCTCGAAGATTTCAGTGAAGCGATTGGTGTAGGTACGAGCGGTGTCCACCCCTTCAATCGCGAGGACCTTTGCAAAAGCACTGCCGCTAGTCTCAAGGACATACTCGTTGCACCGTGGATCACTCTTGGCCATGTACACCGAGTTGTCATCGTCGATGATGGCACGGCTCTTGTGATCAATGAAGGCTCGGCTGACTCCAGGAACACCGTGGAAAGTCAAGTGGTCGAGCATTTCGTTCATGAAGCGGCGAAGGATCTCGTCGTCTTCCTTGCGGTCTTCATCTTCGTCCTTACCGTAGCCTTGGACCAGTCGCACACGGATGACTTGCTCGTCTGCGTTGATATCACTGAAAATGACCGAAAGATCTTTGCCATAGGTTGATTTGATCTTTGCAGCCACCTCCTGGATGTTGAGACCTTTGTCCAAGAGTTTGGCACGACTGAGTATGACACGCAACAGCCACTTGGAGTGGAGAGACAGATCTGCCTCATTGTCTTCGGGGATTATGAAATACGATTCGACCATATCCAAATCCTCGGGGATGATTGTGCTCTGGATGTCAGGATCATACCACAACTCACAGGTCTCGGCGACGGACCGCAGATTGGTGTGCTGTACGCGAGATCGAAGGAGTTTGGCAGCCTCCTTGTCACCTGCATTCTCAGGCAGTTGGTAGACAGTCATCGACGGAGTCCGGATGGTTTGAGACACGTTCAAGATTTCCTTGAGACGAGGGACACCCAGGGTGACGTTCTTGGCCGACACACCAGTGAAGTGGAAAGTGTTCAAGGTCATCTGAGTGGCAGGTTCACCAATAGATTGAGCAGCAAGAACACCGACCATTTCGCCAGGGTTCGCTTGTGCAGCAATGAATCGACTTTCGACGGCACCAATGACATTGTCAAATGCCAGTCTGTTCAATCCATGCTCCAGTACAAGTCGCTTGTATGCGAGACGCGACCGCAACTGAGCCTTTAGGAGAAGAGTGGCATTAGACTGGGCTTCCTGGGAGATAGGATCGTCGCCACGAACAACGACCAGGCGATCCAACAACTGCTTCACGGAAGTAAGGGCATGGCGTGGATCAAGATCAGTCTTGTCGCCGCGACGGATCTTGAAATTCTTCTGGGCTTGGTCGATGATACGGGCGATGTTGAGTGGGAGTTGCATCGAGTCTTCGGTCCCCTTGCCCATCTTGCGCAGGAACTCTCTTGACTCACGCAGAGCTTCGAGTTCCTCGTCGAACAGTTCTTGCAACTCGGTGTCGCCTTGTATCTCTCTTGCTTGAAGCAATTTACCTCTCCACCCAGAAACATCACCACTCATAATGTCCACAGCGTACCGGTTATGGAAAGCTTTGTCAGACATGGTGATGATATCGACCTTTTGGTTCTCGATGTGGGCACCATCGAGACCATCTTCTCCGTAGATGAATTGGACGATATTTCCACGCGAGTCACGAACCGTCGAATCGTACTTGACAGTAACCTCTTCGAGGGCCTTGACAAGACGGCGCTGGATATAGCCTGTCTCGGCGGTCTTGACTGCCGTGTCAATGAGACCTTCACGACCAGCCATGGCGTGGAAGAAGAACTCTGACGGTGTCAAGCCCCGCAAGTACGAGTTTTCAACGAAACCACGAGAGGGCGCGGAGTAGTCGTCCTTTGCGAAATGAGGCAGAGTTCGATACTTGAAACCGAATGGTATACGTTTGCCTTCGACAGCTTGTTGACCAACAATGGCAGTCATCTGTGCAATGTTGATAGTGGAACCTTTGGAACCGGCACGCGCCATAGTGATTCCATTGTTGAGATCTTTCAAGCTGTTTTCGGTAACAGCACCCGCCTGGTCACGGGCTTGATTGAGCGCGTTCATGACCTTGCTTTCGAATGTCTGACGGACATTCATACCAGGCGATGGCTCAAGATCTTCCTTGTAGGCCCGAATTGTGAGCTCTTCGACTTCAGCTTTCTTAGCATCGACGACTTCTTGAATCTTCTGGACAGTTTCTGGATCAGGTACTGTATCACCAATGCCGATACTAAAGCCGTTATGCAGAAGCCAATAGTTGACAACATGCTGAGCACCGTTAAAGAAAGCCATAGCAGCATCGTGCCCAAACTCATTGAAAATGGTGTGAATGATACCGCCAGCACTAGTACCGACGAATTTCTTGCTGAACAAGCCGAACATCAAGTTGCCTTCGAGGACCATGAGACCAGTGTCGTTGGCGGGCACGTATGGGTCTTCACCCTTCGCATCCAGTCGTTCAAGGTTGAGGGCATTTGGGAGAATCATGCTGATCATCTGCTTCCCCGTCCAGCGAGGTCTAGGCTTGATGATAGCTGGTTGAGGAATCACCCCGTCCCAATCCGGCACCCAAAGCATAATATTCATGACCTGCTCTCGGGTCAAGAAGACATCACGACGACAGACCTTGTAGATACCGCAGAGCGTATCTTGTACAATACCCATCAAGGGACCATTTCGCTGAGGAGACACAATATTGAGTGGCACCATGCAAAGATTGGCGAGCTCGGCTCTGGATTCTTCGCTCTGAGGAACGTGTAAGTTCATTTCGTCTCCGTCGAAATCGGCGTTGTAAGGCGTAGTGACGGACAGGTTCAGTCGGAAGGTCGAATAAGGCATCACACGGACACGGTGGGCCATCATGGATTCCTTGTGAAGGGAGGGCTGACGGTTGAACAGGATAACATCTCCATCTTGAATGTGTCGCTCAACTTTCCAACCGTATTGTAGAGTCATCTCCCCAGCACGCTTGTGATGCCGCAGATCGATGCGTTCACCGGTGTCCCGGATGACATACCTGGCTCCAGGATGTTCGGTTGGACCATTCGCCACGAGACGCTTTAGCTTGTCAAGGTTGAAAGGCGTGACTGTTTCGGGATAGGTCAGGTTGCGAGCAATGCTGCGAGGGACGCCAACTTCGTCGAGCGATAGGTTAGGGTCGCCAGTGATAACTGTACGAGCCGAGAAGTCGACACGTTTGCCCATTAGATTCTGGCGCAGTCTGCCTTCTTTGCCCTTCAGCCGAGCACGGATTGACTTGATGGGTCGGCCACTCTTGTGCTGTGCTCTTTCCAAGCCAGCAATCTCATTGTCCATGTATGTGGCAATGTGATATTGAAGCAGATCGCAAAGATCGACTTTGATATGATCAGGTGTACCATCAACTTCTGTACGCAGGACCGCTTGATTGGCTCGAATGATGTCGCCTAGCTTGAAGGTCAAGTCGTCTTCACCGCGCGAGCCTTGACCACTGCCGTCGACACTGATGCTAGGCCGGACTGGAGGAGGAGGGACAGGAAGCGCAGACAGGATCATCCACTCTGGTCGGGCGTAGTCCAGACTGAGGCCCATCATCTCCAGGGTTTCATCAGTCAAAGTGCGGAATGTGTTCAGAGCATCTTGCGGGAAAATTCGTTTCTTATCCGGAGCTGTGTCTTCGTCATCATCTCCTTTGCCTGCCTTCCACGTCGCCCACAGCTGCAACCCGGTCCGTCGAATGTCCGGTTGCGCATTGCCACACCCACCATGTTTGGGTTGCGGTGGCCCCTTCAATGGCTGATCGGGGTCTTCAGGGGGATCGGCTTCACAAATGTTACGAGGCTTGCTTAGGCGCCAAACCGCATCAAACCGTCGTTTTCGGTCACGAAGAGATATCGCGCGGCGAAATTCTTCAGACTGTGGTTAACGGGTTAGTAATCACGCACGCAGAAGCAGGGGACAGACCAACATCAAGTGCTTTGATCTTGCCACAATTGTGGCAAACAGTCTCCAAGATCTTCTTGACTTTTGACATGAAGCCATAGTGATAGACTGGAGTTGCAAGCTTGATAACACCGAAGTGACCAGGACACTCGGCCATGTTTTCTTCACAAGTACTGCATCTGAAATTGCGATCGATTGTCCCGAGATGAGGATCGTTCGGACCTTTCTCGCGAGGTCTGAGGCGCTGCTCATCCCTGGAGTCAAATGTTAGAGAGACATTTCAAAGTGGATGGTCTTGCTCTTTTGTATTATCTACATACATCGTCTCTGGATATTCAATCTCGATGACCGCGAGGCGTTCGGTTTCCTTGGCCGAGAAAAGGCCAAACTGAATCTCCTCGACGGTGCGCAGGGGCGCGCTCGAGTAAGGGAAATTGAGGTTCGACATGATTGCTCGTGGTAACCTTGGGATATCCTTGGGAGACGATTTTTACTTCTTCAGAGACGATCTGGGATGACCGCAGTCCTTGCGCCGATGGCCAGAATTGACCTCCCGCCCCGTCGGGCCACCCAAAACAATGCAACCTTCTCCAGCTGCGCGCTTCACCAAATCTCCTGTTTTCGACCCGAAACTTCCTGGGTTATGATCGACTCGTGATCTGCAACGTGTAGATGCGGGAGCGCAATCGAGTCGAGATGGTTGGAGTGGGGGTGAGATGAGGAAGGGTGGTCAAGTTGTAAGACAGCGAGGTTCGAAATTTCAAACCGAAGGCGCAGGCGGCAGCGCCAAGGAATTTCCTCCTTAGCGCCAAAACAACCGCGCTCGAGACGCGCCTCCTTGTCACTTCAATAATGTACTTCAGGTTGTCCTTTATCAACACTTCAAACACGATGATCTATAGCTAGGCGTTTGCAAACGGTACTACAATAAATGGGGGTAATAAAGAGTGACCAGTGTTACCAATCGATGCCTGCAACAACCACTTCTGAAGACTCCTTGTTTCCTGATTCAGAGGCCGGTCATTCATCCTGTATATCCTTTTAGATACCTTATGAGGGCTCTGTCTTGTCAAGCACCTTTTATCTGTTCAGACAATAGACATAGACAAATTCACAAATTAGCAACTACATAGCTTCACTATTGCTTGTTGATTACACGGCAACGACTATTGCGATCACTTCACTGACCTGATGGAAGAAGACTGTTCAGGCCTGTTCACGCGTCTCAGTAGATAGTAGACTTCACTTCTTGCCGGCCTAGTCACTTCGTCGCAAGTCTGCTGGTCAATTCACTCAGGCCTAGTACCACCTAGGTGCCATAGTCCTGTGTGTATCTGTTTCCACTACTAGACACTGAATCTCGCTGCTTTTGCATTCAGCCTTGGTTAGCGTCAGAAGTAATTACCACTATCCGCACTAGCGCGACCATGTCTGAAACACGTGACCTGGAAATCTGGCGACTGGCCACTCTTCAACGAAACAACCAGTTTGGCATCTGTATGTGAGGGCCAGCCCTGTCTTGATGCTCTTTGTTCTACAACGCGCATCATGAATTTGGCGCTGATTGACCCGTTTCAACTAGCACAAGACTCGCCGGACGCGCTTGTGAATGATCTCCGTGAGTTTCTTCAGCTCGAATCCTCTTCTGTTGTCTTTTGCAACTAACACTCGAGCGCTACAGGATCTGGCCATGCCACCACTCTGCGCTTCAGCCGCAAAGGCGACTATCTTGCCGCAGGTAGAGTCGACGGCAAGGTTGTCATCTGGTGAGTGCAACCTTTGGCTGGCATACTCCTGATATCTTCTGGTCGAGAAGAGGCCGTCGAACACAGCCCCCACCTTCTTGCGATGAGTACCAAATTTCAACTAACACTGCGTATCACAGGGACATGGAGACATTCGGCGTGGCAATGAAACTGCATGGCCATTGGAAACAGATCCAGAGTCTAAGGTAGGCAAGATAAGCATTCCCCATCTCATCCATCTGCTGCTACACCACACTCTTCCCAGGGCATCAGCCACTGACTTCAACCTGTTCTGTCCAGCTGGTCTCGAGACGGCCGGTACCTTCTTTCCGCATCGCAAGACTGCCGCGCTTGTCTATGGGACTTGCAAACCCAACAACGAATCCGGACAGTGAAGTTCGAGGCGCCGATCTACACGGCCGAGCTACACCCCTACAATCGCAACCTATTCGTAGCATCGCTGTTCGAGGACCGGCCATACCTAGTAGACATTACGGCGCCCGAAGCGATCAAGCGGATCCTACCAACAACACCGCTGAGCGACAGCATCCCGCGGTCTGAGAACAAACAAGCAACCACCTCAGCCATATTCTCTGTTCTGGGTAACCACATCATCACAGGCACGTCCAAAGGGTATATCAACATTTTAGAAACCGAATCGCGCAAGATCATCCACTCGACCAAGATCTCGACGGGGTTGATTTCACTGCTGCGCCTGACCTCGAACGGCCGCCAACTACTCGCCAACAGCACCGACCGCATCATCCGGATCATCAACCTGCCAGACCTGGCGCTGATCGCACCCTCGACGGTATTGACGTTCGAGCAGCCGTCATCGTCCACCAACGCTGCCGCCGCCGCCGCCCCCTCTGGGGCTGAAGAAGACAATCAGCTCGATCCTGCGACACTGGCCGAGAACATCGTGCTGACCACCGAACACAAGTTTCAGGATCTAGTCAACCGATTGCGCTGGAACCACTGCGCGTTCAGCCACTCGTCCACGACGGGGATCGCCGACTACGTGACAGCCTCGACGTACATGAAGAAAGACATCTACATCTGGGAGCTGCGGACCAACTCACTGCTGCGAATTCTGGAGAATCGTGAAGAACCCGCAATCATCGAATGGCACCCGTCGCGGCCGTTGTTGGCCTGCACCAGCATCGAGACCGGCAGCATACAGATCTGGGGCATCGAGCCGCAGCAGAAGTGGTCCGCCCTGGCTCCTGACTTCACCGAACTGACCGAGAACGTCGAGTACATCGAGCGCGAGGACGAGTTCGACACCTATCCGCAGGAAGAGCACCAGAAGCGTCGGCTGGACCGCGAAGACGAGATCGTCGACGTGCTGACCGTCGAGCGCAAAATGGGCGATGAGGACGGTTTCGTCTTGCCCATGCTGTATGACATCGAGGACAGCGAGGGTGAAGAGCAGGAGCTGGTGAGGATGGGCGTGGGGACGATGAGGAAGAGAGACATCAATGAGGGCAAGGAGTACGAGAACGACGCTGATGAGGTGGCCAAGGCGGGACGGAGACGGAAGTAGTCTGTCGGCTCATGTCTCGAGGTCTGGTTGGAGAGAGGCATGTCCAGCCCGCTCCAGCGTCGGCGCGGATCAAATGAATCGTTCTCGAGATATGCGAGATATGACGAAGCAACGGCATCCGACTAACATCCTCTTACCAGGAACCAATTGTATGACTACAGCTCTTCAAGCGGCGTTACCGGGAGATGGGGCAAGCGGCTAGGTTCTTCTCTGGCGTTTCTTGGATAGATGATAAGGTGCTACGATTGGTACAGATGATACATAACACTGGCTTCTCTGGTGCTACATGGGCAAAGCATGGTGGAACACGGCGGGAAGGTAGAGCACAAGGCTGAAGCAGCAGCACATTGGCAGCGCATGCTACACGTAAGCATTATGACCTGATGTGTCAATAAGTATTATTGAACATCCTTCTCAATAAGTCAGCACATGCTTCGACTTGGAGAATCGAAGGCACGATTGCATCCATGTTCCTCTCAGGAAATTGCCTCATGTCTCATACATCCCCTGAAGATGACTACACCCGCAGCTACTGCTGTTCAGAACTGTGCTTGTACCTGCGGTGAAGGGTACACTCCAGATAACACAGGCAACGCGACGGGATCCAACAGATCGTTGTGCTGTTGCTGTTGAACTTCGGATTGGAGATGGGAGTTCGGAGTAGTTGGGTTTGTGTGACGTGCTGAGGATCACTGGGGAGGTGCTGGGTACCTTGGTAGTATCGAGTACGGAGGGCGGAGAATAGCGAAATTCGAGGAAGACCGAGCATCAGCCGTGCAGGGCAAGTTTCCCGACCTGCGATTTCCGACTTTTAGGAGGAATTTGGACCGGTTGTCCGGCGGTAGTCGTTGACGGTTGATTCCTCTCAATTGTGTCTACCTCCTCCCATTACGGCGTACTTTTCACAACCTGACTGTAGCGGATGGCACAGTCTGCCTATACATCTTTTTCGGAATGACATCCGTCGATGACCTCTTCCGGAAACACAACGCGGGTTCCAAACGTAAACTCGAAGACCCTACGACCACCTTCTCCCGTCCCCTCTCCAACAAATCCACCAAGTTGACCAACGGATCCTCTCCGCGTAGCCTGGTCAATGACGCTTTCGATTCCAATGATTCTGGGGGCAAGGCTGCTTTTCCTCAAGACGAAACACTAGATGGTCAAGATGACGTCGAAGCCGGACCAACACTACCGCCCGAAGAGGTAGAGGACGAGCCGGGTGACGATGAGGAGGGACGCTTTTTTGGGGGTGGGGTCACAAAGCAAGAGCGCGAGGTTATAGATTTCATTGACAAAAACGACGACGGTGATGCAGATGAGAAATTCGACTCCGCCTGGCTGCGACGCACCGCCATCAACTTCGAGCGGAAGATCAATAAGAATGCCGAGTTGCGTGCCAAATATGAAAGTGATCCCATCAAGTTCGTGGGGAGCGAGGCAGATCTGGATGCCGAAATCAAAGGCTTGAGCCTGCTCAGTGAGCATGGCGAGTTGTACGGCGAATTTGTCAAAATGGGTTGCTTGGGCAGTCTGGTTGGCCTGCTCGCCCATGAGAACACTGATATCGCCATTGCTGTCTGCGAACTGCTCGCAGAGCTGACTGACGAAGATTCTGCAACCACTGAAGACCAGTGGAAAACCTTGGTGGGGGCTATGGTTCAGAATGACCTTGTGGATCTTCTCTCGAGCAACCTGGCTCGACTTGACGAGGAAAACGAGAGCGACAGAGCAGGCGTGTACCACATCTTGAACGTCCTCGAGAACATTCTCTCTGGCTCCGATAACCAGGAAGTTGTTGGAGCCAACAACAACATGATGCAATGGCTTCTCCAAAGGATAAAGAAGATCGATCTCAATGCCCGTGGCAAGGTCGGGCAAAATCGCCAATATGCGGCGGAAATCCTTGCCATCCTCCTGCAGACCAACCGCATGAATCGAGATCGCATAGCACAAATGGAAGGCGTCGACACGTTTATGGAGCTACTGAGCGCATATCGCAGGCGAGACCCGGAGAAGGATTCGGACGAGGAAGAGTTCGCCGAAAATTTGTTCGATTGTTTGGCCTGTGTCGTCGAGGAGAGATTTGCAGGTGAGAAATTTGTCGAAGGTGAAGGCGTCGAATTGTGCCTCATCATGCTCCGAGAAGGTCGGCTGGCAAAGGCGAGGGCATTGCGAGTCCTTGACCATGCTATGAGTGGAGGCAACGCCATTGCAGTTTCAGTGAGACTGGTGGAGGCAGCTGGACTCAAAACAATTTTCGGCATGCTCATGAAAAGCCACAAAACGGAAAGGAGTCTGGTCGAACATCTAATCGGCATTCTGGCCAGCTTGCTAAGATATCTTCCGGGAGGCTCCGCTGCAAGAATACGTACGCTGGCCAAATTCGTCGAAAACGACTACGAGAAGATCTTGAGGCTGGTTGAGCTGCGGCGCGAGTACAAGGCTCGGCTCAGCAGGGTTGAGGCCTCAATTAGGAGGGAGCGTGAGCAACTGAGTAGCTCGGAAGTCGAAGCACTCGCTGACGAGTGGCTATCTCGGCGCCTCGATGCCGGACTATTCTCTCTGCAAGCCATTGAGTTAATCCTCAGCTGGATGGTGGCAGAGGATAATGGTGCTCGGCAGACGATATCGGTCCTACTTGGTGAAGATGGACTCAAGATACTAGAACGGAGCCTAAGAGATCAACTTGATGGAATGGATCCCGGCCAAAGCGATGAGGCCAAATCTACGGAAGAGATGCTGGAAGCACTGCTCCTGTGCGTCGAGCAGTAGATCTAGCAGGTCTTGATGAGGACATCATCACGGCGTTAGAAACTGAAATAGCTCTGACAATATAGCATCTTTGACCAAGTAAGCGCCGACGCAGGAGGACCGCTGCTTATGATTTAGCACTTGTCTTTGCCCAACTCCCTTTTCCTCGCGCGAGGCTCTGAGCGAGCCTTCCACGTGGACAGGATCAGATCACGTGACTAGATTTGCCAAGGCTCTTACCTAAAGTTGCCTCCTGCCTGTTGTCGCAGTCGAAAAGTTCCCAGGAATTCTATTTCACGACAACTTCGGCTGTTCTCGTCGTGGTCGCTTTCAGTTGGGTTCGTGGCATCCGTAATCTACGATCGTCTCTCCTGGCTGTCTCGCGCACTGTGGGTTCCTCGTGCAGGCATCCTGAAGTCTTGACTGACATCTCAGCGCCTTCAACCGGACCGCGACTTGAGACCAAACCTGTGGGTGACAAGGCGACGAATCGTTCCTATCTTCGAAATCTTCGCCCCTACCTAGTTTGCAATCGCTCAAATTCCTCAGTCTGGCGCCTCGCGTCATGGCGGACTACGGAGATGCGAAATATGAACCCAACGGATATTATGGAGATGACGGCGGCTATGAAGAAGCGGACGCGAGTGAACAAGACATAACCTCTGAAGACTGCTGGAAGGTCATCAGTTCCTTCTTCGATATCAAGAAATTGGCTTCGATGCAGATCGACTCGTTCAACCATTTTATGCGATCGGGTTTACAGGATTTGGTGAACGAGAAGGGAGGTGTGACTCTCGACCATGCCCAAAATGTGGATGAGGACGATCCGAATCCCGTTGTTGTCAAAAGACATGAAGTCAAATTCGGCAAAGTCACACTCAGCAAACCAAACATGGTCGAAGGCGACGGCGTTACGACCGACTGCATGCCACACGAGGCGCGACTGCGAAGTCTAACCTATGCGAGTCCAGCATTTGTCAAGATGACGAGGAGAACATACTACGCGAAGGAGAAACCGTGGGATGATGCTGGCGTCGATGAAGGAGTCATGAAAGAGGATGGCACACAGCTCTTTTGGCGAGAGGGTACAGATGAGGATGATTTCGATGATGAGCGGGAGGTCTACGTTGGCAAAATCCCTATCATGGTCAGAAGCATGACATGCCACCTTGTGAGTGAGAGGTTTCAAAGCGACAAAGATCTGTTTGCCTGGGGAGAATGTCCATACGACCAGGGTGGCTATTTCATCATCAACGGCAGCGAAAAGGTCCTCATTGCTCAGGAACGAAGTGCAGGCAATATTGTCCAGGTATTCCAGAAGGCGGCGCCTGCTCCATTTACGCACCTTGCAGAGATCAGATCTGTCATCGACCGTGGTGCGCGGATGATGTCTCAATGCACAGTCAAACTCTTTCGACGAGTGGACGGTCCCGAGGGTACGAAGATCGATAACCCAATCCGAGTTCAGCTTCCCTATGTCAAGCAGGACATTCCTCTTGTCATAGTCTTCCGTGCCTTGGATATAGTATCCGATGCTGACATCTTGGAAAAGATCTGCTTTGATCAAAGTGACAAAGAAATGATGGACATGTTGATGGGTTCTCTCCAAGAAGGCCAGCCTATACAAGGGGCTGATTTGGCGCGAGATTTCATTGCCCGGCGAGGAAACGTCCCGTCATTGAAAAGTCACGAACGACAAAAACATGCCACTGATATTCTTCAGAAGGAATTTTTGCCTCACATCGGACAAGGCCCCGACGCTACTGCTCGAAAGGCGTTCTTCCTCGGTTATATGGTTAACCGCCTTCTGAAGTGCGCCCTTGGACGGGCCGAACCAGACGATCGAGATCATCTTGGAAAGAAGCGACTCGATTTGGCCGGGCCGCTAATGACAAACCTGTTCCGCTTGCAATTCGACAAAGCCACGAAAGACTTTTACCGGTATATGCAAAAGCGTGTGGAGTCAGGTCAACCTATCAACGTCATGGCAGGTTTTAAGCATCCCATCATAACCAGTGGTCTAAAGTATTCACTGGCCACTGGCAACTGGGGTGACCAGAAGAAATTGGACAAAGCGAAAGCTGGCGTCTCCCAGGTGCTCAGTCGTTATACATTTTCCTCCACCTTGTCACATCTTCGGAGAACCAATGCACCCATCGGCCGAGAAGGGAAAATTGCAAAGCCCCGTCAATTGCATAACACACATTGGGGATATGTGTGTCCGGCGGAAACACCCGAAGGCCAGGCGTGTGGCTTAGTCAAGAATCTGTCGCTGATGTCGATGGTGACCAATTCCTACGAGACCGGGCCTTTGCTCAACTATGTTATGACAAAGCATGTTGAAGCACTTGAGGATTGGGAACCTCGCCTCAACCCACAGGCTACCAAAATCTTTGTTGATGGTGTCTGGTTTGCAGTGGTGCTTCGCGATCCTAAGCGGCTTGTAGATGACCTACGCAAGCTACGGAGAAAAGGTGTCTTCGACTCTCAAGTGAGTTTGGTATGGGATATCCGAGAGAAGGAATTTAAGATCTCGGGAGACTCGGGCAGAATCGTGCGCCCCCTATTCGTTGTCGAAACCGACCGCTCTTCAGAGAATCTTGGCAATCTGGTCCTCAACAAAGATCACATCAATAAGCTCGATCAAACTGCATACTTGAAAGAAAGTGGCTTCCAATGGAATGACGAAATCAGACCCTATGGGTGGCCTGATCTACTTGAATCCGGTGTCGTCGAATACTTGGATGCCGAAGAAGAGGAAACCGCCATGATTTGCATGACTCCTGAAGCCTTGGCTGACTCGAAAGCAAGATGGCTTGGAATGGAGATTGAGAACGAGGATGACCCATTGAGGAGAAATGATCCGCTGCTGAATCCTCACGCTCACACCTTCACTCATTGCGAAATCCATCCGAGCATGATTTTGGGCGTCTGTGCGAGTATCATTCCGTTCCCTGACCACAACCAGTCGCCTCGTAACACATATCAATCCGCTATGGGCAAACAGGCTATGGGCGTGTTTCTCACGAATTTTGACCAGCGCATGGAGACCATGGCCAATATCCTCTACTACCCACAAAAGCCTCTGGCCCGGACCATGGCTATGGACTATATGAAGTTTCGAGAGCTCCCAGCCGGGCAAAATGCCATTGTGGCCATTGCGTGTTATTCCGGCTACAACCAAGAGGATTCTGTCATCATGAACCAAAGCTCCATTGACCGTGGACTCTTCCGATCGCTCTTCTACAGAACGTATCAAGACTCAGAAAAGAGTGTTGGACATTCTGTCGTGGAGCAGTTTGAGAAACCCACCAGGACTGATACACTCCGTCTCAAACACGGAACTTACGACAAGATTGACGAGGATGGCATCGTTGCTCCTGGTGTTCGTGTTAGTGGCGAGGACATCATTATGGGCAAGACGGCCCCCATGGCCCCAGATGCCGAAGAGCTGGGCCAGAGACTGAAACAACACATCAAGCGCGACGTCTCCACGCCGCTACGATCTACGGAGTCCGGAATCGTAGATCAGGTCATGCTGACCACCACAGCCGAAGGCCACCGGTTCGCCAAGGTCCGAGTCCGAACCACCAAAGTCCCTCAGATTGGGGATAAATTCGCATCTCGTCATGGGCAGAAGGGTACTATTGGTATAACATATCGCCATGAAGACATGCCTTTCACCAGAGAGGGCATCGTGCCTGATCTCATCATCAACCCACACGCCATTCCTTCTCGGATGACCATTGCCCACTTGATCGAATGCCAGTTGTCGAAGGTTGCGACCTTGCGCGGTGACGAAGGTGATGCGACCCCCTTCACCAAAGTCACCGTGACTCAGGTTTCAGAACTTCTTCGAAGAATGGGCTATCAATCTCGCGGGTTTGAGGTCATGTACAATGGGCACACCGGTAGAAAGCTGGTCGCCCAAGTCTTCCTGGGACCCACCTACTATCAGCGTCTACGGCACATGGTTGACGATAAGATCCATTCCCGTGCCCGTGGCCCAACTCAGATCCTTACTCGGCAGCCAGTGGAAGGTCGTGCGCGAGACGGTGGTTTACGATTCGGAGAAATGGAGCGCGACTGTATGATTGCCCACGGGGCCAGTTCGTTCCTGAAAGAACGACTGTTCGACGTCTCGGATCCCTTCAGGGTTCACGTCTGCGACATTTGCGGCCTGATGACCGTGATTGCGAAACTCAAAAAGAACACGTTCGAGTGCAAGAACTGCAATAACAAGAACAAGATCAGCCAGGTCTATCTGCCGTACGCGGCCAAACTGCTGTTCCAGGAGCTATGGGCCATGAACATTGCCGCCAGGCTGTATACCAAGAGAAGTAGCTAGGAGTCAAGGTCTCTTGGGTACGTTCTGCCGCATGGCTGAGCAAGACGGCAACTCTATGCGATTGCGGCATTTTGACAAGTTCAGGTCTGGCGGCAAGCAATCGATAGACACTGCACTGCAAATGGCCTTTCGACAGCCGGATGTATAAGCCCAGATGGAGACGGAGAAGATGATGAGGCGTGGAGGAAACAAGGGAGAAGATTGCTTGGGCCGAACAATATTCTGCCTCAATGTGTACTCAAACGAGCGTGTTTTTGGCTTTTGGCTTTTGGCTTTTTTGCCTATGATTTCATTTTAGACATTCTTACCATCGCAGCAACACGGCGAGTAGGCAGGTCCATCCGTGTATTCTTAGAAAGGGGAAAAGCGGTAGAAAGCTGAAAACAAGGAAAACAAGGCATTTTACCAACCTATCGATCGATGATTCAATTTCCAGGGCGGCGGAAAGACTGTCGACAAACACTTGAATATAAGGCTGTGGAATGAACCGCACTTCATCGCCGTCCGGATTCGGCATGGATTGGACGAAACAACAGCAGTGGGCAGTGGGCAGTAGGCTATTGAGTGATAAATGAGGTGTTTGGAGAAAAATACTCTCCTTTCTGCCTTGGGTTGGCTAGTCCTAATTATCACAAAGTTGTACCGCATCAAAGGCAGTGTGATAAGCATTGCAGTTGCAAGTCCTCATTATTTCCTTCAAACCACTACTGTCCAGCTAAAAAAAAAGTACGTGCTTAACATCGCAGAGCGTACTTGCGCAACAAAACTATCGTGAGTCCCGCTGTCGAGGTAAGTGGTACAACGGGACAATTGATTCTTTGTTCCAGTCGGTATTCGTGTTCGTGTTCGTATTCGTAACGTTCTCGTCCTTCATGGTTGTGGTGGGGGTTTCAACTCGTCGAGAGATGGATAGGTAAACACTTACGGCATAAAACACACCCCCTGTGACTGACGATAAAGCAGGGATTGATTGCAGCCCAGGCAACATCTCGTCTCCACCGGATGGAAGGGTAAGATTGCCTGGGCAGTGAACAATCATTGCTTACTAGCCCTCCGGTAAAGTTGAGCAGCGGTGTGGAGATGGCGGAGCTTTGGTTTAGTATTGATGCTGCCCATGCGCACTCACACCTGCTGTGCCGGACGGTTGATGTTCCTGGCGCCCTTGAGAGAGGCTCTCTGCAGTTGGTGTCTCAGTGGCGGTGGGAGCAACTGCGTCCTTGTGTAGAGGATTATAGGACGGTTTCAGGAAGCCGCCGCTCTGGCCAGCCTCGTAGCCAGAGCCTGTTGGCTGGTGAGCCTCGTGCTCCGCTGCAGTGCCAGTAACGGCTCCTGCTCCTCCAATCGCGCCTGATTCTGTGAGGTGCTTGTCACGATGGGACTCTTCCTCTTCGTCTGTGCTGTAGTCTTCCTCCAGGCCAGTGTCGTTGTTCTTGCGGCGCTTGAAGATACGTTTCAAAATCCCGGGTTTCTTCTGGGGAGGGTCCTTGTGGAGACGGTTGCGGTCCGTGTCGTGAGAGCTCTTAGGAGTATCATCATCGAGCGACTCCTTCCCATGAGATGTATGCGCCACAGTACCAGCAGTGGCGCCTACTCCGACGGCAGCACCAGCAGCTTCTTTCTCGTGTCGCTTTCTCTCAGCTTCCGCAGCTTGAAAGTTTTCTTTGTCTTCCAGTTCACGCTGCTCGTGATGCTTTTTCTCTGCCAATACGGCCGCGCCAGCCGTCTTCTCTCGTTCCTTCTGCTCATGCTCAAGCTCTTTGTGGTGTTGCTTTTCTTCTTTCTCCAGCTCCTTGTGGTGTTGCTTCTCTTCTTTCTCCAGCTCCTTTTGCTGCTTCTTTTCTTCCTTCTCCAGCCCCTTCTGGTGCTTCTTCTCGGCTTTCTCCTCCTTGACCGCCCGCTTCGCTGCGGCCTTCTCGTCCTTGTCAAACTGCTTCTGACGAGCAGCCTCTTGCTCGGCGATGTCTTTCTGTCGCTGAGCCTCTGTCTTGGCAGCGTCCTCATCAGCTTCATGTTTGTTGTATTCATGAGCGCCGTAAGCCGCTGCTCCAGTTCCGGCCGCCCCGGCGATGGCTGCATCGCGGCCGGTGTGCCTTCCATCTGTCTCTGAACTGGTATTCGGATTGGAATTGGTGGCCTTCTCTCGGACAGGTACAGTAGCAGCCGCCGGCTGGAAGGTATTGGTGCCCCTGGTCGAGGACGCAGGTTCTTGACCAGCGGTAGCAGCAGCATCTTTGCTAGCTTCCCAAGGCCGGGCTTGTGCACTATCCTGCGTCGTCGGATAAGAACTATCCCCCAAGTTATCACCGGTTCGAGGTTTGTTCTTGTGCTCCACGGCATAGATTCCCGCTGCACCAGCCCCTGCACCATCGCCGGCAGCGGCAGCGGTCTTGCCATATCCTGTGGATTCACTGTCTCGTTCAGCCGCCGAAGGGGGTTGCGAGTAGTTGCTGGAGGGTTGGCTGGCGTTTGTGGTGGCTGCTGGATACTGATCAACGTCCCTGCTTCGTGGGAGGGTCTGCTGACCCGACGAAATTGGGGCAGCCGAGTTGGTGGTGATCTGATGATAAGCGCTGGTCGTTGCACTTGGTTGGATAGGAGCGTCTTGAGAGGGTGACTTCCTCTCATCATATTCATGAGCTCCAATAGCGGCAGCACCTGCGCCTATACCAACACCTGCAGCTGCAACAGACTTTTCATGTCCTTTGAACTTCCGGTCTGATTCGGTCCCCGTAGGTGGTTCCGAGTAAACAGTGGACGATGGGCTTGTGAATGCGGTGCCTCTTGGCTTCTCGTCAATATCGCGTCCTAACCCTGAGGTCTGCTGATCGGGTACATACGGGGTAGGTTGGCTGGTTTGCGGGTAGGTTGAGATCGCTGCGCTTGGAGGGCTTGAAGCATCTTCAAGAGGCTCTCTGCTTTTGTTGTAATCATGAGCACCAGCAGCGACCACTCCAGACCCAACGCCAACACCAACACCGGCAGCAGCAAGTCCTGTATGGCGACCACCGTGACCCTTCACATCTAGTTCCTCGTCGGCGACGGAAGTGCCACCAACAGGTGCATTAATGGGAGTAGGGGACGACTCGCCTTGGGGATACGCAGTCGTAGGAATGCTCTCCTTTCGGTGATGCGAAGAGGATGGTCCAGAACGTGTCGGAGCAGTATAAGAATCTACTCCGGTGGTTGTGACCGGCTGCGCTGGGGCTTCGGTGCCTGGTTGGGACTGTTCATCCTGTCTTGTTGTAGAGTGAGAAGTAGCAGCACCGCCAGCAACTGCCCCCAGCCCTACTGCGCCCAGGATCTTGCCCAGAGTACCAGACCACTGTGGCTGGTCTGGCACTTCGTCGGCTGGTGTAGGATCAGTGGCAGCACTTTGAGGCTGCTCAGCCTGACCGTCTTCGGCATCTCGATATGCTGGAGAGGCTGTGGTCGAGGTTGATGGACCCACCGTGCCACCTTCGCGTTCCGATGCTGGGCCAGAGGTCTCATGCGTAGCAGTCCCTGCCCGGTGTCCATTCAGGCCCGCAGTTGCCCCTGAGGCTGCCTCAGTGGACCCGGTCGTGGATTTGGACGGTTCCTCCTTTGGATACGCTCCTGGTATGTGTGAGACTGGCTAGCGTCAGAGTAAAGTTGTGTAAGATCATGCCACTTGCAACATACCGTTCTGTTCGGCATCCTTATTGAATGCTATTGAAGCTGCCGTCTCAGCTGCTCCCGAAGGAACTCCAGTGCTGGGTTGGTATGCGTGCTCGGGCATCGTGTAGGTAATGGGGTCGTTCGAGGTTTGGTCGATGACACTCGGGAGGATATCGCCTTTGGGGAGGACGTGGGAACTGTAGGTCGATGTTTCGCCAATAGCAGCCGTTCCAAGGCCTTGATCGGAGGGGTTGCTTGGTGAGGCTACTCGGTGTGAGTGCTTCGCATCTAGTCCCAGTGATATGTCAATAGTGATACAGGAATTGCAGGACGTGCGACTTGGGACTGGGGAAATATGTAGTCTAGCGATGAGCCTAGTGCCTGCTCTTCTCTCAACATACCCAGTGTGTTAACAGAACCAGCAGCGTTGCCAGGAAGCCCGTCTCCTTTGGGGAAATGTGAGCCTTGCCCTTGCACTTTGCCCGTTGGACCGGTAGCGGAGGAGGGCTCAGGATCTTCCTTGTCTTTGCTGCGGCTTGCAAGTCTGTTAGACGCTGGACTTTCCTATGTTGACAACAACGAACAATGCTTACAGGGAAGCTCTCAACTTATCCATTCATGCAACTATGGCGGATATCCTAGGAACTGACTATGTCCTTGAAGAAGAAGTCGGTCGTCTACGAAGGATGCTAGATATGAAAACGCGGTGAAGCTGAGATTCCCTGCGCCGTTATTGCAGTTGCGTCATCACGAATGCTTCGCAGTGAAAGCAGGTAAATGACTGACACAAGACAAGTTCCAGGCGTCACCGACGTGAGACAGCGGAGGTCGACACTCCAATTGGGCCGGCCATGGCTCCATGGCCTGCCACTGGTCTTTTTGCCGTCTGCCGTCTGCCGTGTGGGGTGGCCCAGACGGCAGAATAGATCCATGGACATTTTGTACTGGTAACACACACGGCGTGGCTGGTGGGTGGTGGCATAGGAGGTGAAGTCATCGTGGACTGGGTTTGCCAACATTACCTTATGGAGTACAGTACGGAGTACCTAGTATGATGAGGTGACGACTCCACGGTTGCTCATTACCATTGCAGACGGTTGGCATCTGCGCATCTGCGTATCATCGCCCACAAGGTTATCCTGCCATCAGACCAAGATCGGGACTAAAAGACTGGTGATGGAGGGCGAAAAGTGGATGGAATTACCATTAATCTTGCATTCTCGAATTCGAATTCGACAGCTGCAAGGTTGCTTTTGCATCCCCACGACTATGACGACATGTCATATCACGTGATGAGTATCACGTGCCGCAGCTGAGCAGTCCACCTGGGTACATGACCACATCCTAGCAGCAGGCGCCCGAGTATTTGCCGCCTTGTCTGAGGAGCCCCCGTCCCCGTGTCCATTATTGCCACCACCCTAGGTCCTACACTCCGTATTTTAGTATCGCAATAAGGAGTACAAGCACTAACTTGTGGCAATGATAGAAACACTCCCGCACCGCCCTTATCAGGCTACTCATCCCAGACGCCTTATCAAAATACCAGAAAATGGAGTGAGCATGCTGCAAACTTCAAAGTCCAGGTCACCCAGCCCGTGATACTACCAGATACGGCAGGTGAATGCTGCCAGCCAGTGCCAGTGCCCGGTGGCTGCTGCAAGGAACCGTATATTCCACCCAACCACAACGCCCCGAGTGTGATAAGCCGGAACAAGCCCAGCGCTAGGCTTTTCTAGAAGGCTTAGGAGGCCGACAATCTGCGAGACAGACACAAAAAAGATATGCAGCCGACGTGCCCGTGCTAGTAACTCCTAACCTCTTGAGAATCGATCGCCACACCGTCGGCGCTGTGATCTGAAGCCTGCCCGATCTGACCTTGCTGGTTACCCAAGACCGGGGTACAGGTCGCACTGGACATGCATACTACAGAGTAGAGGCAAATCTAGCAACCACCTAGGCCTCCAGATGGAACCCAACACTTCCTCCGCTCCGGACGGGAATTAAGCCATAGCTACATCCTAATATCCTACTGTTCCTTAGTGAGGTGGGATTGGGATTCCAAGGGCCCAGATTGCTGGTGTGTCGTCCAATAGCCACTGCTGAGCTCCGCTCCCGGGGCCCCTAAGCCCAGTGGCCATAAGGATTAGGAGGAGATCGATAGGCAGGGCGCAGGCATCCTATCGGAGCTGTCTGCACATGGCGGAATGGTCGGATTGAGACCCTTGACACCCTTGACCCTATGCTACTATCTCCGTGCACTGTGTACTCCGTATGCTCAACCACTCGCCTCCCTCGTGCTTCTCCATCCACGGCGTACTTCAGCTTTGCCCATCCAAAACATTGATGATAATGGTGGCCGGGTGGGTACTAGCATCCACACAGAAGCATGGAGTTACACTCTCATCTTCCTCCATATCTGATACCAGACATGTCCCAAACTCCAGAGCCCTAGCCCCCCACTACTGTGCCAGACTTCCACCGACTGCGTGTCCACAGGCCTTGTCGCTTCCGGGCACGATATTATCCACCTCACCTGATAGACCGGTACCCCCTCTCGTGGACTCTTTAGACCATCCTTCTTATCGTTTTCTCTTTACAAAGTATTGCAATCCGCCTGAGTTCAAGAAACGACAGAGTCCATGTTAACGGCAGAGCAACTATCGATATCCCACCCCCGAGAGACCTCTACAGACGGCCACGGCACAGATTGTCCGTCATACTTGCGCCGACCAAGATCCTGATATCTCACAAACATCCGGTTTCCAAACCGACGCCACCGTCATGGGTTTACGGCTACGGTTACGAAAGACATTCTCCTCCTCGAAGCAGAACAGCGTACCGGATTCTGTGATTCCCAACGAAACACACTATACCGGCCGCACCGACATCGAATACTATAAACCACACCAGATTCCCAGGTCCAAATACAGAGGCAAGGTCGATCCGGAGCATCAAGCAAGCCTTGCGGCCTTCTCTCTCTCCGATGCCTTTTCCGCGCCCGGGAGACGGACCTCCTTGGCCTTATCCGGCTCGTTTTCGCCAGGTGGCACCAACGGCCAGAGTCGGGCAGCAAGCAGGATTCCGAGCACAGCCGCGAGCAGGAGACAGTCATTCCACGACCAACATGGATCGACACTCAGGATAGAGAATAGTGTTGACACCGGGGACAGCGGTAGTTCAACCGGTACGAGCAGGGAGAAGAGCGTCGCTGCTAGTACCATCCTGGACCATGATACCGCAAGCAGTAAGCTGTCTTTCTTTTCAGAGCTACTGTCGATGATTGACAGCCGTCCTTCTAGCATCCCTCTCCAGTCAGCCGACCGCGATTTCCTCTGCGCCCGTAGAACCTGACACGAAACTCGAACAGCACGACAGTGGCATCGGCATGCCCAACATTGTCCTTTCGAAACAAACGACAGCTCACGACACGCCTTTTACGGCCGAAGAACTCGAGCTGGCCATGTCACGGGCGTCGTTGCGGCCAAGGAAGTTTGACAAACACGATCACGGCGACATCAGTGCTACTTCATAACATTTAGTTTATACCGCCCAGACCTGACCATGGGCCATAAGATCGTTAAACCCTTTAAAGATTGGGAGTATGGTATATGATAAGAAACATCGATATCTTTGAGATATTGACACGATTTAAAACGGCTGGGAAGGACGGGGCCTTTTTCTTGAGAATGCGTTGGCTAGAACATGCCAAGGGATATGGATATGAAATGAATGTGAATCCGGGTCATGGGAGTTGCGCTTCGAAATAGGAGGTGTTGGCGGCATGGGGAGGGTTATAGAATCGGGCCGGTCTTCAAGATGTTGTGCTATGAATTCAATCCAACTGGACATGACCATCGTTGGGAAGCGCTCCACAACACGGGGTTGGTTGGGTTGGCCCCTTTTGGGCTCGCATCTGGTCGAGCAACATTCCTCCATGAGAGCGTTCAGCATCACGAATAGATGAACCGTTTTTCTCTCTCAGTGACTAGTCCCGTCATCCGGTCCTCTGTATTCGACATGCATCAAGCGGAGTGGGAGTTCGTATCGACTCAGAGCCATTGTTGTGAGCTGTCACTGGGTGCGACTCGTTCTCTCGAGGGCTAGTAGTTAGTTCCCGTGTGCCCTCCAAGAGGAAATCCCTCGCACAATTGCGAGGGATTCTCCAACAGTGAAAGTGTCCCGCCGGCGCCAACGATTCGGAGAGCGACGCCGCAGAGATATTAGTAGACACCCTTGAGTGTGAGTTGCCCGAGGACGGCATGAGGAAATCTATGGTGACATGGATGTTTGCCAGTGTCTTCAACTTCGAGTGGGCGACATGCAAGCTCACAGAAGGCGCTGGTTGCCTCGGAGCACCAGAGAAGCAGTCACTTTCACCAGACTGATAGGATGTAGTTGCGATGTCTGACACGGTCATCGCCGTGGTCATGATGGCAGAGGATGTAATGTAGTCGAAGAGCACACCAGACCCATGGGATCCTGAATGCAGTTCCTCAATCGTCGGTATGGGTCACAGCCATATCCAGAACCTCAAGCCTGCCTCTGCCCTTGGTCTCGGCAGAACAGAATTCTCCCAGGGCCTTGAAAGCGCCTGGTTCCACAAAGCCCACGACCTCCCACTCTTCACCCTGGACGTCCTGGCTTTCCACCTGTTCCACAAACGACAAAATCCTGTCTTTAATGGTGCCTTTTCCTTGCTCCCCATCTGCGTCATTGTCTGAGTTTGCAAGCTTGGTTTTCGAAGCCTGCTTTGCAATGCTCGTGGGGCAGGTGATTCGTAGCCTCATCCTTGCCCGCATGACGGGTATGGGTTGCCATGCTATCAAAGCGCGTATTGCTTCGAGAGCTTGCTGCTTCACTGATTTCGTGGCTACAACACCCGTCCACGTGGGCATGTCGCTCTTCTTTCCTTTACCACTTTCTATTGTCTCGTTGTCCTCGTCCGTCATGGGGGTCGCCTGGCCACTTGTTTCATTGGAGCGGTTTGAACCCCCTGATCCTTTGGCGCCACCATCGCCCAGATTCAATTTCCCCAGCTTGTGTCCGAGAGAATCCTGCGTGGGGGCATGCCCTCCTTGCTTCGACAGAACATCCAGCCCTTTCTTAATCATGCCTGGAGTGTATACTCTCTTCGTCTGGGGATCGACGACCCTCTGTGCGACTTCTTCCACGATCTCCCTTTCCATGCGTTCCAACAACTCTTTCCTCTCGTTTGCATTCACCTGGATCTCGCCCTTTTTCAAGATTTCCTCAATAATTTTGTCCTTCCAGGACTTTTCGACGTCGTCTTCGTCGCTAGCCTTCCCCTTGCCCTTCTTGCCACCCTTTCCACCCCCTTTGCCTCCGTGCGACGATTCTTCGGGCTGCGAGGGGAGCGGCCACGCCTTCAGGAGTTCGGCGTTCGGAGCAGTTTCGCCTTTCGATACATTGAAGAAGATCGTTGGGATTTGTAGGACATTATCGAGGTCTGTTTCTGTTCCAGATCGATATTCCAGCAGCTTGTTCTTGTAACAGGCGAGTTCGAACCGCTTCTTGCCCTTCTTGTACCTCACAAGCGAAACGTTTGTCAGCTTGATTTGATTTGCCGGCTGCTGGATCATAGGCATTTTGACGGCTGCAGATTTGGTCGGTGTGATGCTGGAAACTAAGGTGACCTGCAGAGACAACTGGACTACTTAGGTATGTGTCACACGTCGCAATCCTTGAAACGGCGACTAGTGAACTTTGGAAACTACGTAATAATAGGCCAATACACTCGATGTGGAGGAGCACGCGGAGAAAGATCTAATTAGGTACGCGCTGCAGTCTCCAAATCTTAGAAATTTATCCGCAGTAGCGATCCTGAGCAAGCATTGCTCCAGACACACACAGACCTGGGTACGAACAAGGGCTCTTTGATTCGTGCTCCTGACGTTCTCTTCCTGTGGTTCCTACCATGCAGGCATCGAGAAATAACAAAAGATTGACCATTTCCCGACAACTAGCATACGTCTGCCCAGAGTGCCAGTCCCATCTCCGACGGCAACTTGCCACTTATTCACATGACCGACTTCCATATCATACAGTGTTGCGACCAGCACCGCATTTTACGCAAAGGAAGGATGCAGTCACCATCAAAAGAGCGAGGTTCAGTACACAAAACAGACTTCTCTCGCTGAAAGAGCCGTCGCAAAGGCTAAACCCCCTTGAATCCACCCTGCTGTCCTCGATATCCAGCGCACTCACTACACCGGATAAAACTCTGCCGGGACAGTCTGCTGTCCGAGATCACTTAAGAGCATGGAGCATCGAAAACAAGAAGAGAAAAGCAGAAAGGGCCGAATCAGGTCTTGATGGTACCAGCCGGGTGACTACCCTACCCAATTCGCTTTTTATCGAAGAGGCAAGGTTCGGCGATGAAGCATCCCAAGATGATGCGGAGCTCGAGGAATTTGAAGACTCTCTCGAGGGCCGTCAATCTATCAATCTCTATCCTGGAGATCTGATCTACCACCGTCCCCGCGGGGTTAAATCACGCGAGCAGCTGGCAATATACATGGGTGAAGCGGGCGTTCAGAACCAATTTTTTCTGGCTGATGGCAGATGGCTGGCAGAGACTACCCACCGAGTGACTAGTCCAATTGTCAGAGGGTTCGCCTCGATGGAAGAAATTCAACTGATTCGGAAACATCTCCCCATAAAGCCCTTGGAAAACCAGCCGCGCGACCTGGGACTTGCAACAAACTTCAGCTTTGCTGGTGAAGTGCCTCACCGTGATTCCGCAGTTTTGATGAGCCGTCTTCGGGAATTCATGGAGGAAATGTCGGCCTTCCGTCGAGACAATCTCCGCGCTCTCGACTTCGTTCACGAAGGGCTAGCCCATGACGAATATTATACCTGTCTTGCTTTTGAGGACGTTGTGCATAAACTACTCAACAAGAGGTATGCCACGTTGTCGCCTGCAGCGATAATGATGACGTTCATGACGTTGAGATCGAACGCGACGTCGATTCAGTCGGTTGGATCCAAGACAAGAGAAGCCCCGCAGTTCATCTTCACTCCCAAGAATTTAGTAAAGCGGTTTGAACAAGTTTGTGAATGGGCACGAGATTATCAAGAGTGTGCTGCTCAGGCAGCGCAGGGAAAAGATGTTGCGAGGGCCTTGGAGCGCAATCCCCTGAGCTCATTCATTGAGAAAGCAAGACGCTTAATCCTCAAAAGCCGAACGCTGCGATCTCCCACTACCACGGGCAGCCTGGGCCCTAGCTCGATCCAGCTCATCGAAAATGGCAAGATAGCCACCAAAGACACAGGAGAAACATTTTCCGAGAATGATAAGATGTTGCTGGAATTCCTCTGGGACTGTTATATTCGTACACCAGTCCCAGAATATCGAAATCGGTATCACTCCATTGGATCCCTGATTCTACGGGCTATTGGAGCATACCCAAAACTTCGCTTGGAACGCAAGATCGGCAGTCTTTTACTACAGGAGTTAGGGGTGCTTCCTCCATGGTCAGATTCGGTAGACCACGACGTGTCCCTTCAAATTCCTGGCCGGAGAGGAGCACATGAAGTAGACCTACTTTTTGCACAATCGGACAAGGTTTCTGAAGCGATGGGGTTGACAGAGAAGCGTGATCATAACTTGCTCCAGGATTCCATGGCATCACTACGACGCGATCTGGGTGACATGCCGGTATTCTGCGTGGACGAAGAAACAACACGAATCAGGGATGACGGCTACTCTATTGAGGCCGACGATGCCATTCAAGGGACGTACTGGGTTCATTCTCACGTTGCGCACCCCTCTGCCTTCATCACTCCTGATCATATCTTTGCTAGGAGGGCCCGCAGCATCGGTCAATCCTTATATTCTAACTCGGTTCAGCCTATGTTCCCCTGGGGGTTTTCGCATGCCATGAGTCTTAGGGCAGATTCTCCGGCGTTAACAGTCAGCACTCTGCTTACAGAGGATGGCGAAGTCAAAGATATCAAGATTCTACCTACCAGGCTCCGAAACGTCATTGATCTAGATCCAGCAGCAGTGGATTCCGTGCTGGGCAAGCGTGCTGAGGAGCAAGCCTACTTGATCGTGGGTTCCGGAGAGAACGCGACCATAGCCTCGGAGCGCGCCGGCACTGGGCAGAACCTCCAAAACGCACGGAAGCACCAGTCGGCCCTACGCAAGCTCCATGAGTTGATGTTGGCTCGGAGCGAAGCTCGCCGAAGGGCAGTTCCCGAATACGCAAACTGGCTTATGATGCAGAATGAGGCCGATGTCAAAACCTCATACGTTGAAGAGTATCACCCAGACCGCCTTTATCACAGCTACCACTATCAGGGTGATCCGCTCATTAAGTGCGTTGCTCCCCGCGTATACTATCCGATTCGGCTGGGGGAGTGGGAGCGGTTTGCCAATTTGACTACATTGGTAATGACGCTGGCAGCAGAGTCGGCTGCAAAATGGTTCAGCGACCGGGGAATTCCTGCCTTTTTCACCGGATCTCTGACACAGCCTGGCTTCCCCCTGTCGAAGCTCAACAGTATGGGTAGCCAGGAAAGCAAACGTGCTCCATTGGTGACATTTTCGTCCACTCCAATTCCGCATGTCTTCCTCAGCACCAAGTCATACTTACGCTTCACTAGCCCCATTCGACGGTTCACGGACACCCTCGCACACTGGCAGGCCGATGCATACTTGCAAGCTGAAGCGAACGGACTTGTCGAACCCGGTGGTGATGCGAGCAAGCTAGAACTACCCTATAGCAAGGAGATGGTGGACGAGTATATCTTGACTGACGCCGAAAAGCTGCGCGCTCTCCCTTACAAGGTGATGAGAAGCCCCAAGGTACACTGGGCTCTCCGAGCACTTTTCCGGGCTTTCCACTTTAAGGAGGCTGATCTGCCCGAAGTGTGGGATCTGAGGGTATTAACCCTTCATGACGTTGCCTCGACTGGCGACGATACTGGTTTGCGAGGCCAGCTTCTGCCATTCCAGCTACCCACACGATTGCTGGAATCTCCGGAAGGATGGGAGAAAATGGCGCGACGCAACTCTTTCTTGCCCGTCAAAATCGAGCTGGTCGACCTGGACGAGATGTGGGTTTCCTGTCGTGCAGTCGGCCCCCCTAGTGATACGTACAACTTCAGAGATCCCATCAGAATCGTCCCTAAGGGCGCCGATATGGTAGGGGTCTAGGACAATACTCCCGCGAATGACCCGGATCCGGCAAATTCAATGGCATGAGGCTTGGCTTCTTCTAGAGTCGACTTCCGCCTCTTGTCTCAATCTCCAGGGTCAATAATGCCGATAGTTTACAGTAGCACCATAGGCGACAAGTATAGACGCCAGAGCGATAGAACTGCATCTCGGCATCCCTGTCATCCAATCCTTTGACAGATAAGCAGGTACCAGCGATTTGGAGGCCGTGGGGCCTGGCCTCCTCTGGAGTCGAGTTTCATCTCCTTGTCACCATCTCAAACAAGTCACTGCGGATAGTCTACGAATGCACCATCTGCGGCATTGTACACTAAGCAATGGACAGAGCTGCAGTCCGGCATCGCCGTCGCCTGGCATGTTCGGCGCGGTCTGGCCAGCCAAAGGGTGTCATGCCGATGAAAGTTTCAGGTTTTTCCAATGCGACACTTCAGATCTGACGGCCAGGCCAGTAAACTCTACCACAGTATCCCTACACATGTGGGTGATTGACCATCTCGATTTTGAGGGCGATCGTCAAGGGTGAGCGGAGGTGATTTGGCGACACCAATCTGCGACTGGTGGGTTCACCTTTGACCCTCTACAGAGTACAGAATGTGTAGACGAGGTGGGATCTTTTCTCCGGTGACAAATACTCGCTTTTTGACAGAAGTCTCTTTGGTCAAATTTGCCGCTGGGGGCTTGGATTCTGACACTTTTGACGGGGGGGAGTGGTGGATTCTCCAGTCGGCTGGTCAGACTTTTACGGAGTACACAATAATGCACACGAAACGACGAGCCTCTGCGTGGCGAGTGATCGGCGACCAAGTTACTGTAGTCAGCGAGGAATCTAGCTAGGGCGAGATCCCTAGCAGCGGCCATTGGGAGCTGAGCACGGTGCCGGTGATGCAGCAAAACACCTGACAAGGTGGAAGAAGGCTCCGGCGCAATCCGCTGCGAAGACATTTGTCCCCTCGAGTTCTACAACATCGCCCCACCGTGACGAGGCTGCCCATACACGGAGCGAGCCAGTTGCTCTTGAATTGGGAACACTGCAGATATCCATCGGACCCGACACCTCTATCAACTGTTGCAGAGGTCCGGGGGGCGGCTCAGCCTTCCTGGGCAGCTCAAAGTCAGGTTGTGGGAGCCTGAGCAACGATGAGTGGCAGTGGCAGGGTTGCCAGTCATATTGTACGTACAGTTCACCTCCAACTTGAGACGTCACTGGTGGTGCCCCCTGCCGGACCGAACGGGCCATTCAACGGCGTGCCTCGAAAGACGATGAGGTGGCGGGTCTCAAGGAAAGAAATGTGGCAGAGAGGCAAGGACATTGGCCAGGGAACGACGCGGGCACTCGATGGGCGAGTGCTGACCAAAAGAGCCACCAACAGTCCCGCTAATAGTCCAGCTAGCACAGGGCCACAGCCGAGCGGACAGGACCGGCTTTACCTGTTGCAGTATGAGGTAGTCTGGACAGTCTAGCGGTTCTCCTCCTGCAGAGACAGCCGTCCGTGCTGGGGCGCTGGGGCGTTGGGTCTTGCGATCAAAACACAGACAATCTGGAGGGTTGAGACGAGGGAGGGGACTAGGAACGCGCCTTCTCGGCCCCCTCAGCCGTGTTTGTCGCACACTCCTGGACTTGAGAGTTTCAGACGGACCTGCAAACTTCTCAAACTGCGAAGGAAATGCCGGGACCCCCAGGAGTGCATGCAGCCAGGCCACCGGCGCCCTGTCAGTTTCGCGGGGGTCATCGTCCGGATCAATAATGCGCCTCCTTGCCCCTCCCTGGATCCTGGAAGCGCTGAGTGAGGGCGAATGGCCTCCGCGACCACGACCAATCAGCCCCCATGCGATGGTATTGGCGGTGAAAGGCTGCGCAGTGTCGTCGTGTACCTACTACCCTGGCTCCTCGATCGCTCTAGTGTAAAGCCCGCAGGTCTGGCACCAGCACACAAGATCTGGTCTACGATCTCTCGTCTATCGTCCCTCGTCCCTGGCTGGAATCCCTGCTGAGCAGGGGGGGAGGGGTGAGCTTGGACTTGCCAGCAATCCTTTTGTCGCCGATTCCCAGCCATCCGGCAATCAAGGTTATCTGGGAGCACCGTCTCCCTCTACACGCCCTCCTGGTAGATCTCGGTCGCCCGCCCCTCGGGCCCGAATCAATCGACTGGTGTGCAGCTCAGCTGCTCTTCTGTCGAACTTGACACAGACAGGCATCCTGCAGACAGACTCGTGGCTCGGGAGCATGGCCTTGGAACTCGTGGATGAGCATCCCATCCCACGACTCGTCGGGTCCGGTTCACCGCGCGCATCCGCTCCTGCGACCTCGTACATGGTGTCTGGTCCATGAAGCTCTAAATATGCCATTCTCGCTTGCTCGTCGCCTAGTCCTAGTCACTGTTAAAGACTAAACAGTGCAAAGCACAGACACACCACCGCAGCGCAGCAGTCATAGGCCGGCGCAAGATGGATCCTTCCGTGCGAGACCCTCGCAGGCTAAAGATGCCTTTTTTATAGAATACTTGTGTGCGCCTCGCCTCATGTCGTCTCGGCGTCGCAAGGCTAAGAAATTGACCGTCGTGGTCGTGGGAGTATGCGTTACACCGACGCTTCGAATCGACCGACTGGACTCGATTGGCGCGACGGTTGGCTGCAGAAGTGGAGAGGTGAATCGAGGTACCCTTCTGTCCCTCTCGAGAGCAAAACACTCCCTTTCGGACATGGTTCGCCCAGCATATGCAGCTCGCTTCCCCTCCTTGAACCGATCCAGACGGTGGCCCCCTTTGATTGGGACGAGTCCAACCTCGACACCAACACCAACGCCAACGCCAGCCAAACATCTCCACCTCGTTGCGCAACTCCCATTGGCATCTGGCAACTTCCAGCTCAAAAAGCATCATGTTGTACAGCTGAAGACCCCCAGTCTCCTCTCGGGGTATCCATCAGTTTGCAATTCCCATATCGCTAGCATCGTCGGCCCTTCCCTTCGCACTAATTGTTCTTGACGCCTTTTATCTATCATCTCGCAGTGCCCTCATCGTTCGACCCTCCAGCATCGCAAATCGTGGGTGGCTCTCCTCGTGCTTAACTCTTGTCCCGTGCGCACATCTTACTGCTTGGTGGTGGTTACCTCACGTTCCTGTGGTCATCGGTATCCAGCGCATTACTTTGGAGTCGACGCAACACAGATCCTACTTCTCGGCTTCGGTTGGCTGTCTCCTGTGCTGTGATTGTCAGGACGAAACACAGATTTGGGTAGCGGGGCGAACCTGCCCTCCACTCAGCGGGGAGGCAATGGTTGCACAAACTATGAGGGTGACACTTGAAGACACAAATGTCAACACAAGGTCCTCCATCGCCTCAAGGCGCCCTGGCTGCTAAGGTTGCGAAGAGAAGAGCCAATTCCTGCATCCCGTGCCGCGTGAGCAAGTCTCGGGTATGACTTTGTCCCTTGACAACGAGTAAGCCATTCCACTGACCGCCTGTGCAGTGCTCCGGGGGCACTCCCTGTTCAACGTGTCAGAAGAAGCGAGGGAAGCCTCGATGCTGGTATCGCAATGTCGCGTCCAAGGACGACGACGACAGCGAGGTGAGCAGGACCCCGCGCAGAGTTCAGAGATTGGGGCCGCCCTTACTAACCACAGAGTTAGCAGTCCAAGACCTCTCCTTTGGAGCAGGATCAGAAAGAAGGATCCCAGAGTACTGCTCAGCCAGAGGCGGACGACGCCAACCATGAACAGGCTTTGGCCTGGCCACGCGAGACGTTCTATGGGGCATTCTCGCTGGCTCGTTGCGTTGACAAGGTGATTCCGACGCGTTCCTTGCAATTGCGGCGGTCTGCTGACTGTAAGAACAGTTCAAGAGTCTCTCGCCCATAGACGGACCTGTCGAAGACACAATCACATCGATCCAGACTGTGCAACTGTTCAACTGTAAGTTCAATGACGAAGAAAAGGCACGGATCCTCGACCAGGCACAACGAGGGCCTGCCGCTAGAGGGATGGGCCTCTCTTCACTATTGATTCCAGAGCCCGACCGTCTACTATCTGGCCCTCTTCGCGTTCTCTATCAGAAATTCCTGGATGCGCGACAGCTTCTGGATGTTGGAATGGTGGCGGAGGCCTGGAGCGCATCGGCAAGTCTCGTGCGCGATGCACAGCTATTGGGATGTAAGATTGGCCACCTCTCCTGTGGAAGGATAAGTTCCAGCTAACAATGCCAGTGGAGGAAGATGACGGCTCCGGGGGCACTGCTAGCAAGCAGGCTGACCGTGAGCCTGGCCGTCGTATCTGGTGGCTTCTTATCGACCTCGATGCCCAGCTCAGCTTCCTGCTCGGCCGGCGCCCACTGATTTCCTCCTCCCATGGCGTCCGCAGACCCACGGTGGACTACTCGAGGCCAGAAGAGAAAGACCTGCTTCAGAACATGCTAGACTTGTCCCAGTACATGTTAGAGGTTCTTGGAACTATCATTCCCAACAACTGCCCAGCCAAAACCGAGTCAGAAATGGAAAAGGCAACACTAGAGTCATACTTGAACCGGCTGCAGGACCTGCACTCGAGGTTCTCATATCTTCCGCAGAATGGCAAGGCAGATCCTCCATTGTGGGCCGCCGTCGCCGAACACCAGTTCAAGGTTCATCTGTTTCTGATGGTACTGAATTGCCAACTCGTCATGTCAATGGCGTCGGTCCCAAGTCAGAGACCGTCCGAGGGACGAATCCCGTCATCGTCAAAGCTAAAGAGATCATCTCTTCGCAAGAACTCTTCGAAAGGTTACCTGGATCAGCTATTTCAGTCAGTCCGCCGTATTACCAGCCTATTCGAGTACATCAAGGTTCTTGATCCCTTTCCCATTCCACCCTGGCCACGCTGCTTCGGCGTCTATTGCGCGGCATCTGTGTTGGGTATTGCACGAGTCCGACAGGATATCGAACCTCTCCAGACAGACACCGATCGCCTACAAGGTCTGCTCAAATTCTTCCAAGGGTCGTTGAGGAGGTTACCTCGGTCGGCAATTGCCCAGGCGGCCGTGGTGTCCCTGGATGGTGTCCTGGATGGGCTGGCTGAGCAGCAACGACCCCCCGCTGTTGCGGAGCGCGATTCGGAGCCACATGATAGGCCGATGAAGACGCCGAACGACGAAAGCTCACATGCCACCCAGTCGAACTCTTCCATCAAGGAGGGAGCCGCTGACAACAGCGGCTCGACACAACATCTCAAACGGACGAGCACATCAATGTATCCGGATGAGACGCGAGCAGAGAAGAGACCGAGGTACAGTGCGATGCCCCTAACCTATGAGAACTCTGTACACGGGAACCCGCCGGCGTGGCAGGGTGAGCAAGGGCCGTCACCATATGCCCAACCCATGTCTTCATTCAGCGAGATGTCTGCCGCTTCCTTTCACGAGTCTTCGGTGCAGAACAGCTTTGACCAGGGATCTTTTGCACACAGTGCACCCACTTCATTCGCTGGCAACGATCAGCTACAATATGCCAGCCTCGGATACGCAGCGAGTCACCCGGACACTGCAGCTCAACTGTCATCTTTCCCTTTCTGGATGCACCCGCCAATGCTGATCCATCCACCCATGTATCATGCCGGATGGCAGGCTATGGATTCCAATCCCTGGATGATGCAGGACACGGGCCAGCAAGCGTTCTATGGAGGGCCGTCCGCAATGCCAGTCAGCGAACCACATCAGCATGATGGCAATGTACAAGCATCGCAGTCGGCGGGCATGAACAATTTTGCGCAAGCCACTGCATCTCGAGACGACGTGCAGGCAACGGGCAACATGACGGCTCCGGTGGACAACGCCAGAGGGGCCAATGACGCTCAGTTCTACGCCACAGCGCCGGGTCAGTACCAACGGCTAGATCATCCTGCAAGCTCTCCCATCCGAGACGACAGCTTGTCGCGTCAAGAGAGCAGCTTCGGTCGTCCCCAAGTGACGGACCGCCGCCGCAGTGCCGCCGATATCAGACCTCAGCAGAGCAGCACCTGGACGATGGAGATGCCAGCCGACTTTGCCAATCAGACTTCGCTGGGTGAACAACGAGACGTCCTGCAACAGGCCACGACGCCCTCCCGGGATGATCTGCTCTCCCCAGTCAGCGAGACGGAACCCAAGTCGCGACGCAACTCAGCCACTCCCCGGCAGATAGCTCGCAAAGGCCGGCCACCGCGACCCAAACAGTCGGATCTTCCTGCGCAAAACGTCGATGACGGGGATGTCAGCGGTCTGCGAAGGCGATCGATAGCCCATACGGGCGATGTGATGATGGTGGACATGGCTTCAGGGGGAGACTCGCGGGCTGAGCCTGCGGAAACCCGCACGGAGCAAGCGCCAGTGTGGCAGAATCGAGCATCAAACCCAGGCCTCGGCCATCCACCAAGCTCAAATCTGTATGGTCTGGAGATGGTAGGGCCAGGGCACGGCCATGCGATGGATTACGAGCAGAATTTCGACCCTCACCTTCCACCAAGGCAGGTTGTCACGACAGGGCCATTTACGGGGAATTCGGGAGGCCATCACTGGTGGGCCCGGTGATGGACCAACATGGGACAATTGCCTGGATGTACAGAGTACAGAGTACGTAGATATGATTCCCGGCCGATCAAGGCTCTGTAGTTACCGTAAATAATAGCAGACAGTGTACAGTATTGTGGATTCGATGCATCTGCATCTGCTTCTGCTTCTGCTTCTTTGCCTCCCCTTTCTGGCCTGGGACAGTGGACAGTGAACACTAATGGCGGAGGCCGGGCCAGGGAATCAATCAGAACGCATTGCGCCCGTTCCCACTGGAAGAGGGGAGGGCCGGTAGCGATATCGATCTCAATACCACCAGCTCGGCGTAAGGCTTTCAAAAGACAACGGCGAGACGGCGAGAAACAGGGGCAGATACCGGCTCTGGTCTGTTTTGACCTGTACAGGCTGTACAGGGACGATTCAGTCTGACCGGCGCATGCGTCCCCGGTGGATGGATGGGGACAGCCTTATCTCTTGCTGGACATTTGACATTTGAAATTTGAAATTCCCTCCCCCCGCCGCCGCTTATCGGATAACCGAATGACCTCCGGTATCAGCGTCAACGTCCCTCCAGCCCACTCGCTCCCCTTCTTAGGATTCCTCTCATATACTAGTAGTATCCCAACTTCTCCCAACCGTTCTACTCATTCCTGGCCGAAGCTATGTAACCTGTCAAGATGTATCCCTTCGACTACCTTGACCACCGCCGCGCCTGGTAAGCCTCTACCTCCCACCTCCCGCCTCCAATGTCTGGTCCCCCGGCTAACCTGATGGATGGTGCTCCCTCAGCACGGCCAAGCAGAGTCAACGCGAAGCTCGGTTCGCCGCACTCCCAGACGCGTACAAGGGCCCGTTGACATCGCAGCAACGGTCTATCCTCAATGCGCCCATCTCGTCGCTGGTCAGCGACGTGCAAAATGGCGTCCTCTCGCCTGTCGACATTCTGCGCACCTACGGCAAGACGGCTTCGATCGCCCATCAACGGACCAACTGCGTGACCGAACTGCTCCTTCCTGAGGCCGAATCGTGGGCCAAGGGCGACGTGAATCTGAAGGGCCCACTCGCTGGGATACCCGTATCGTTGAAGGACAGTATTGTGGTCGGAGGCTTTGATACCTCGGTTGGATACTCGTCAAAAACGTTCAAGCCTTACCCCGAGGACGGGATTATGGTCAAGCTCCTCAAGCGAGCTGGAGCAATCCCGCATGTGAAGACAGCGCTGCCCATCACTCTCCTCTCGTTTGAATCCACCAACGATCTGTGGGGTGTTTGCAAAAACCCTCACAATCCCAAATACTCGCCTGGTGGCAGCACAGGCGGTGAGGGCGCTCTGCTCGCTCTGAACGGGTCCAGAATCGGAATCGGGTCTGATGTAGCAGGTTCGGTGCGAGCGCCTGCAGCATGGTCTGGTATCAATTCCCTCCGTTGCAGCACCGGCCGGTGGCCCAAGATGGGCATGGACACATCCATGCCGGGCCAGGACGGCATTCCTTCCGTCTTCTCGCCGATGGCCCGAACACTGGATGATCTGACTTACTTCACCAAGGCCTTTATCCAGATGAAGCCGTGGGAAGTCGACTACACCGTCCATCCCATCCCGTGGCGCCAGGAGCTGTACGACGCCACCTCCGAATCGAAGCGTCTGCGCGTCGGTCTCATGACCACGGATGGGGTCTGCAGACCGGCTCCAGCCATTGCGCGCGGCCTAGAGCTCACGGCGGACGCATTACGGGCTGCTGGTCACGAGGTAGTAGAGATTCCGGTCCCATCGTTCCCGTCCACGGCGACGCCTGCTCTAGGGCTACAGATTGCGTCCGTTCTACTCTGTGGTGACGGCGGTAAAACGTACCGCTCGTTCTTCCGCACGGGCGAATCCAACGACCCAGCAGGGGCTCAGATCAACTTCTACCAGTCCCTCCCCCGACCTTTCAAATACCTGTGGTACCTCTGGACAAGATACGTCAAGCGCGACCCACTATGGGCGTCTCTCCTGAGATACTTCCATCCCCTGACTGACGTTGAGCACTGGAAATGGGTCTCGAAACGTGAAGCCTTCCGTGCCACCTGGTTTGAGTGGTGGGATCAGCCAGCACAGAAGTTCGATTTCATATTATGCCCCGGCAACGCGACGCCCGCGCTGCCGCACAAAGCCATGCACGACGCCGTCTCTAGCTGCGGTTACACCTTCCTCTGGAACCTGCTGGACTACACGGCAGGCATTGTGCCCGTGACCAAAGTGGATGGCGAGAAGGATCAGTTATCCAAGACCTTTAAGCCGGCCAACGGCGTTGAAAAGGGAGCGTACAAGTACTATGATAGTGCCCAGATGGCCGGCCTACCCTGTGCTGTCCAGGTCGTTGGGCGGCGGCTGGAGGAGGAGCAGGTCCTGGCGTATATGAAGATTGTCGAGGACTCACTGCGCGCCGCGGGCACCGTGTATGAGCATCTGGACATTTAAGGCCCTGCCGGAAGAGCAAGTCCCAGTCAATGCTTAAAAGATGTGGGAGAAACAAAATACTAAATACTAAATACCAATCACAGATCACCAACTACCAATAGTGCCCTTTATCAGTGTGCAGCAGCGTGTGTGTCGGCCCTATCCACCGAGTACTGTAATATGTCGAATGTGACAATTGCTCAGGGAGAGAACGGACGCCCCAGGCCTGAAGCCATCAGAGCACGCCATGTCGCGGGATTTCGATCAACGATCAACACATTCGTAATGTATGTGTCTATATCCAGAATGGCCCAGTACTATAGTGGTAACTGATACGTAACTTGAACTCGCCGGCCAAGGCTCCGTCTCGCATCCCCTAGGGGCTTAGGGGCTAGACTTCGTCCGTTAAAACGGACCTGCGCAGGCGACAATCCCGTGCCAGGAAGCGAGAAACCCGCCACAGCCTGATGTGCCGTGGGGAGTCGGGGCTCAGGAGACTTGGACCTTTTCCGGTACTTGTAACAGTTGTTCGACACCTACATGTTATGGGTGCGTACTCTGTACTCCGTACGTCTCTAGACTCTATCACCAGCCTGAGGTTGGCCCCAAATGGAAGTTCCATCGCTGCTTTGATGAGCCAATAGCACGGAGGTGCTGCTTGGCCTAACCCTCGCTAAACTTCTTGCCATCTCAACTCGGCGCCTCTAACCCAATCTGGTGGCCGGTTGGTGGTTAGAGAGCCAACTGCGACCGCTGACCGCCTGCGAAGTGTGTACCAACGACCAAGTGTTACACTTGTTACACAACTGCATTATGCTAGCTTCGAGGTCATGCCCTCCAACTCGCTTAACTCGGCTTTGAAATCTCGCCTCCCTGCTGTGTTCGGGCGAATCACTCATCACCGCCGCCGCTGCTGTGTGATGGCTGACCTGACTTACAGAGCTGCTCTTTCGATCCAGATCCCAATCCGGCCAGCGTGAACAAAGCAAGGGGCGAGAATTCTAATGGACATTGGACAATGACAATGACACCACGGGCACCCCTGTCACCCCTGTCACCTTCACTCGCTTCGTGTCTTCGTTGGAGACCCCACGGGTTGGAGGCTGACATATCATCGCATCCCATCCGCATGAACGCAAGATTGGAGGTCGAGATTTGGTAGGGTACGCCTCCTCGAACACATACGAGTCTTCCTGGCTTCAACCTGTTAGAACTTGAAAGCGGGAAAGACCACCATGTTCAATGAGAAGCCGGTCGAGGTCAAGCACAGGACCATCCGAGGCTCACTATTAATACCACATCCCCAGGCGCGGCCATGCTCGATGATGGTGCAATCCAAATTGCAGAGCACGACTCCAATGCAGACCCATGCATTGGTGTTGATGGTACAATATCAGCCACTTATGAGAAATATTCGACCATGGGTTAGGACTCGAGCGATGCTACCTTGTCTAAGGCGCCACGTGGGACAGTACATACAGACGCTGCTGCACATATCTACAAGCGAGACCCCCTCTCTACCAACAGCTGATCTCTAGAAGTCCATCTTGGGATCACAGGAGCAAAGACAACAGGCAATGGGCGTCATCCACAGATTTCTCCCCTTCGGGAAGGACCACGTCCACGAGGTCAGAGTCAGTGGCAGCGAGGTACAACAGGACTTCATCGGCGCCGGCGAATTCAAGTATACCATCGAGCAGGGTGGCAATGGCTCAGGCCCGAGCTATCAAGAAGTTTCCGGGGCTCCGGTAGAAACCGACTCGCCGCTCGGATACTCTGTTGGAAGCATCACAATCTTGTTCCTGAACATCAGCATGATGATTGGGACCGGTGTTTACTCTACCCGCAAGTATATCTGGCCCAACTGTCTGAAATTACGTGCTGATCTGCGTCTCATCAGCGGCCGCCATTCTGTCCGGGGTTGGCTCCGTCGGTCTCTCGTTCTTCTACTGGGTCATTGGCTTCGTCCTGTCCGGCACTTCGCTCGCCGTCTACCTCGAGTACGCTTCGTACTTTCCCAACCGATCTGGCGCGGAGGCGGTGTATCTGGAACAAGCGTACCCGCGACCCAAATACCTATTCCCTACCACATATGCACTGTGGTACCTCATTCTATCTTTCAGCTCCAGCAATTGCATCGTTCTCGCCAACTATCTTTTCCAGACCAACGGCCATTCGCCCACGGCATGGCAACTCAAGGGAGTGGCCGTTGCGGCGTGGACAGTGTGTATCCTGCTTCTCATTTTCAGCAATCGTCTCGGATACCTGATTTCGAATGCCATCGGCGTCGTCAAGCTCTTGACTTTGATCTTTGTCAGCATCACCGGGCTTGTTGTACTTGGAGGTCACACTAGGGTGAAGAATCCGACATCACACTTCAAGCACTCTTTCTCCGGCACGTCGGATCAACCGTACGGCCTGGCCAATGGTCTGGTTTATATCATCTTCTCTTATGGTGGCTACAACAACGCCTTCAACGTTGTCAATGAGGTCAAGGTCGGTCACCAGAGCAGAGTGGGATTGAGTGTTCTTGAAGCTGACCATTTAATTCTAGAATCCTATCAAGACCATCAAATTCTACTCGTCCATCTCGCTGCTCGTCGTGGCCACTCTCTATATTCTGGCCAACGTAGCGTACATCGCCGCTGTGCCGCTGGATGAGCTCAAGGCCTCACAGCAGATTGCCGCCTCGTTGTTCTTCGAGAAGGTTTTCGGCTCCGGCCGGTCCGTCAAGGGGCTCAACTTCCTGATCGCCCTCAGTGCGTTCGGGAATTTGCTGGCCGGCAACATTGGCATATCTAGACTTACTCGCGAATGCGGCCGACAAGGTGTTCTGCCTTTCCCACGCTTCTGGGCCTCGACTCAACCGTTCGGAACCCCCCTTGGACCATACTTGGTGAAGTATATTCTTACAGTCATCATGATTCTCGCTCCTCCAGCAGGCGATGCTTTCAACTTCAGTATGTTTCAAAGAGTCTCTCCCGTCTCAAGCTTCCATTGCACTGCTAACCCTTTTGCGTCTTGTCATTCAGTTGTCAATCTACAGGTGTATCCGAATGCACTCTACAATGTTTTTATCGCCATCGGCATCTATCTTGTCCGCTGGCGACGCGGAAAAGCCAAGCTACCACGTGGAGTGTTCAAAGCCTGGGACGTGGCTGTCGTCTTCAACATTCTCGTGAATCTCTACATGGTCGTCATGCCGTGGTATCCGCCTGAGACCGGCGCGGACGGCGGCAGCTACCATTTTTGGTACGGCACTTCTTCGGTGGTGGGCATTGCCATGTAAGTTTCTGTATCCGTACCCCTACTGCGCGCGCAGACCCCGTGGATATCTTCTCCCTCCGGTCCTCGAGTCTCTTGTCACTGACATTTTACAACCACGCCACCCACAGCGTTGTCCTATGCGGTCTCTACTACGTGTTCTGGATTTACGCCATCCCTTACTGGCGAGGCTACAGAGTTCGCCAGGAGACACTGGAACTCGACGGCGGTGCCAACACCCACAGGCTCACCAAGGTCCCCCTGGCAGAACTCGAGGAATGGGATCGAACCCACGACCCTATTGGTAGAGAGATTGACGACACCAGTACGGCCGGGGTCGAAAGCAAGACAAGTTCCAACAGTGGAGGGAAGCGAGCCACCATCATCGATGAAAATGAACCAAAGGTGTGAATGTGAATGGCCACGCAGTGTACTTGGCTTTTCTACTTCTGTCTCTCTCTATCTCTTACCCATGGTTCTCTGCATCTGGTCCTCGAGGGCGGACGAGCCCAGATCCGTAGGGACTCCGAATGCTAGGACGCATATTGTGTTGGAATATCGGAACAACCGACCGTGGAGCATGATAATTCGTAGGTGCAGCATATATTATTATGAATCCTGCTTGTCTTACATGACTTTGAACCCACAGTTACAGTATCATGGATGGCCCATCTGTATCCGTACCTGTATCCGTACCTGTATCCGTACCTGGGTCAAGAACTACGGCGGAAGTTGGCCGACATCAGCACCGGCATCCAGAGTTGGAAGTTTTCTAGTCTCATGCTCCATTCGTTCAGAATTCTTTCAACCGCCACGGTTCCGGGCCTAAGGGCCCTTCCTATATCATCTCACGGCCCTATTCATGACATCCGCATCGCTTGCAGCTGCGGACCGTAAAAATGCAGAGCCGTCCTGGGGAAAAAAAAACAACAAACCCTTCCAAGTGGAAGCAAATCCGCTGCTCACCAATAGCGCCCCCGTCCATCCCTTTTTATGACTCAACGTCTGCGAGAAGAAACGAAAAAAACAACAAAACAAAACACACCCCTGCCCTTGACGCCGCGCTCACATTTGTTGTTGTATATGTCCCATAGCAGCAAACAAGCGTGTGAAGAAAATTGCTATCTCTCGTTTTTCCACATCCAACGGCCCTGGAGAAAATCTCTTTCCTCTTCTCTCTTCTCTGCCAAATCTTCTGCTTGGACACAGCGTAAGATGGGGGAGATGTCTGGCAGCGTTGAAAATGGCTGATTCACCTTATAGCTGACTGGCGGTATCACGAATTAAATTATGTTCGGCTCGTCAGGATTATTGCCGTCCATCTGATAATAAGATCCATCATGTCTTATGTTCCTCCTCACCATGAGAAAAAGAAGTCGTCGTAGTCTTCATTATGGCAAAACGGCAGCCCGGCTCAATACGCAGGCCCAGGTCTTCCGTGAACTTCTGCCGTGCTGCCTTCATATTCTGGAGAGTCGGGGCTGTAATGAATATGGTCGCTAGCTCTGTGTTGTTGCACAAAGCCCACATTCGATGGCCTGTCATTGAGAATATCGGCTCCATGCGCAGCACCTAATGCCGATGAAGTGTTGCGGAGATGATTGGTGTATGAAGTACGGGGACTCGTCGGATTGTTCTCGCCTCCGTCCCGCAATATGCTCGAGGTCGTCGATTCCGCGCCCGTCGAATACCTCTTCTCCCTCGCCATGGAAGTCTGCGTGCTGGAAAATGGGATGCGACTGGCGCTCAAACTCTGAGAATGTCCTTTATCAGCAGGAGGGTTGGAAATGGCAGCACCACGGAAGTTCGCCCTTGCGTGTGTTCTATCATTCTGATTTCCCCCAGACTGTCTCCGAGAACTTTTTCGAGGTATAGCTGGAATCGCCGGGACCTCTGGAATCTCTCCTGGAGGTGGCTTTTTGCGAGACTTTCGGGAGGCTTCCGAGCCTATCCGACTTGGTAGTTCGATCGCACCACCGGAATCTATAAGCGGCAAAGATGGTGGCTGTGAAGGAACCGGGCTGATCGGCTCCTCCTCTTCAGAGGACTCCTCGGCTACAGCATCGTCGTAGACACCTTGTTCCAGGGGCGAAGGAGAAGCAATCCTCGAACTTGTTCGATCAGGCCGACTCTCTTCATTGTCCTGGACATCGTCATCGTGGTATGGTTCGTGGGCCGGGCTTCCTGGGACAGGAACTGGCGGGAATAGACCTGGTGGTGGAGCTCGAGCACTTCTGACGACTTCGAAACCCTTGTTCTTCTCTTTTGTCTTGCCACCCAGAATACCCTTGAACCAGCCTCTGGCGGTGGAGACGGGTCCAGTAGGATCAGCTGGCCCAGTCTTGAGCTTCCTGGTCCCGCTGGAGAGTGCTGCACCACGAACACCGTAATAGAAGTCGACTTCTCTCACCGCATAATCGGTCTTAGTCCTCGTCAATTCATTCGCAGCATCCTCGAAATCATCGTTGTCGACACGCATGGGAGTGGAAGAGCCTTCAGCCGCATCATCCTCTACTGCTCCGTCATTGAGAAGAGCACCTTTCGACTTCCCGCTGGCCAGCGACATGATAGGGCGGCTGTCAGCAGCGGAGAGCGGCTCCGTTGTATTCCGGCGCGGAGGCCGATAATATGGATCTTTGGATTCCACCTGCTTTTGGAGACCAACGATTCCTCCCAGCGATCCTGTGCCGCTTAACCTGCCCGCAAGTGGCTTCGAGCCTCTGCTAGATCGATCGGGGGTCGTCTGGCCGACAACACGGCCATCGATGATCTGACTCATTCTGCTCGAGTTTCTTCCGCTGTCCAGTAACACGTTTGAAGTGGCAGAAACACTGCGGGATCTAGTCTTGGCCATATTGAGTTGCTTCGGTTCACTATCCACAGTTGCCAGCATGGCGGCATTCGATGACATACTGTGGCGAGGGGGCTGGTCACGTCGTGGCACCCGTCGTGACAACTGCCTCATGCCAAACACCTTGTTCAAACCGCCTCTTGTGGCCCCGCCTGTAACCTCATCTCGTCCACCCGCGCCAGCAATTCGAGCAACGACCTCAATCAATGTTTGCACGGCGTTGAGGAAGAACCCAAAAACGAGGGTGCAGGCGTGGATCACAAGGATAGCATACCCAATCCAGCCCCTTGACGCGTCCCCGACACCAAGGGAAGGTACAAATGCTATCGACAAGAGGATTGTGATCAGGCGGATGCTCGCGAAACAGGTATGATAAATGTTCATCGAGGTGGCGGACGGGAAAGGACGAAAGGCATTGATCGTCAGAATGAGGACAATTTCGCAGATGGCAAGAAGCACAACCTGCGCAACTCCTGATGGTTGAACCGCGCCGATTGCAATCCCTCGGAGAAAGTTTACCAGTAGTGGAATCAAAGCGAAGGTGGCCGTATTGTCACAGTATGTGTTGTACAGCGGTCCGTATGCGAGGACGGTCAGGAGATCGTCGAAGAGAAAGGAACGCGGTCTCGTCCGGATGAACAGAAGGAGCAGTCGGCCGGAGAATACAAGAACCACTATCAGGCAGATTGCCGCTAATGCCACAGAGTATGCCGGCCCTCGCGTTGCGATCAAGAGTTGGTAGAACGATAGAGTGATCAAGGGTAGTAGGGAAAAGTTCAGCACCAGCCGCACGACATTCCCGATCGTGAAAGGACCATTCTTGGAGCGGAGATCTTCTGCTGGCTCATTGGTAACGTGACGATACAGCCATCGAGCAGCAAATCCCAATTGAGTCAAGATGGTAACAGCTGCAACAATAACGACCAGCCAAACTATCATGTCAGCCCACAGATCTCGTTCAGATGTCATGCCCACGAGTTGACTCATCCGGTCGAGTCCATATTTGGTATTATGTCGAATTTCATAGACTCCGTCAACCAAGCTCTGCGTACCATTGCCGCCAGTCACAAAACTCTCATTGAACATGAGGGAGGACCAGGACACTCTGCTTACGGCTGGTTGGTAAAATCCAGGATAATTCAGTGTCAGGCTGCCGCTAAGGACGACAAATTGGATGTATTGCAAACAGTCACCGAAGCCCGGGGTGACCAGACGCAGGAGATCTTCATCGCGTCCAAAGTTACTGCTCCAGTTGAAGATATCTCCCGAACCCCAAGGGCTCAGGATGGCAGCGGCAATCGTGGCGATGCCGACAACTATCAGAACTGCAAGAGGCAGATAGCGCAAGATTCCTTTGACATATCCTCCTAAATCGGGTGTGACGGTGGCACTGACGCAGCTGTAGTATTGACCACTGGCGTCGCCTGATTGAACCCTTAGGGTGGTTTGAAGTGAGCCAAATGCGTAAGTCGAGAACAAATCATGGGCAACGGAGAATGCAGGCAATCGTCCAAGGTCACTCGAATTGGCGAAGAATGCCGGGGCCAATGGACAGGTTCCTTCAACAACTGATTCGCAAAATCTCATCGGCTCAGCGTTCCATGGAGTGTAACTTAAAAAGTTGAACTCGGTAAAAAGAGTCGTATATTTGTTGTTCGTTTCGCTGAGGTCAGGAATCTTCCCAAAAGTATCGTTGGGATTGGTCCAAGACGGATCATCCGGAGGAGGGTAAGGTTCATCAGTAGCTTTTCCGGAGACATTTCCATAGACGGTGATGTTGAGATTGTGCCTGGGCGACGAAGTGTCGAAGACGGCCGAAACATTGAACGGAACGAACTGAAGGAGCCGAGGATTCGAAGTGATAATACTTCGATCGAGACAATTCTGGAATTCAACGTACGCTCCGTGGGCGGATGTCAAGAGCAGCGTCAGAACGAGTGTGATGGCTGATGAATGGATTGGTTTCCACATTGAGGATCCGGGACGAGAAAAACGTCCATGTTGTGTCCTGCTCGTCCGCCTCGACTTCGACATCTGGTCAAGGTATCCATTAGGATGGATCATGGCCATTGGCAACTCTATTTCGCCTCTCTCCGTCTCATCCGTTCCTGATATTTCAATGTGTCGACATCGTCGATAACCAAGGCCTAGATACAGCTGCGGAGATAGAGGCTCGGGGCTTCGTGGTAAAGGATGCTTGGATCGGTCCAACCGGGTTGGGACTAGGGAGCCGAAATAGAGGTAATCAACTCGGGTTTGAAGGTCTCTGAGCGTGGTGAAGATGATGTAGAAGAAGCGGTGCCCAGTGTGAAGATGCCGGCTGAGAAGGTGAGAATGTTGGGGGATGCAGCACCACGCGAGGAATCGACGGCGGTCGAACTGGGGCGAGATGGCTCGCGTAGGATAAGGCTTGAGGGTTTCAGTGTGGAGCGCTATTCGCTAACGAATGGGACAATTAGAAATGATTAAAAGGCGAGTAGTCGATAGTAGAACGAAGGATTTTGCAGGCTGGAAGTGGAAGTGCTGATGGTAGTAGGTAGAACAAAAAAGAGTGACGAGCAGTATCCGTATACTATCCGTGCAGAGGATGCCTGGAAGAAGACGTCGGGGGATGGAGAATTGTTAGCGGATGGAGGAGGAGCCTTACAAGTTAGCAGCCTCATTAGCCTGGGGCGCAGGGAAACTTTGTGTGATTCCAGCACCTAGGAAGCCTAGGAAGCCAAAAACCGGGTAGGTGTCGGGTGTCCTCTGGAGTGGTCCGTAGTGTCACACCCTTTCTGCCAGCCCGTTGTTTCTGCTGCCCGTCGCACGCCGCCAACCATGTCGAGTAAGGCTCCTCGCCTACCCATGGCGATCTACCGCCCGCTATTCACCAAGGGACTGCCTGTTACAGCAACAGCAGCACACTGCTTGGTACTAGCAGGTGCTAATGCGTTGCTATTTCTGATTCTCAGACAGCAAGCCGCTGTCACGCCTCCCTCATACCTGTGAGAATCAGCACGAATCTCCGCGACATAACCCAAAGAACACGTCCTTTCTTCCAGCTGTTTCTATGCGATTAAGGGTAGCAGCCTAGGAGTATTGACACCCGCCGGTTCTCGCTCACCGGTTTTCCTCAGCAGATTTTCCGCAACTGGTCGAACGTAGGTCTGCCTGAAAAGTCGTCCCGCCGACTGCATCATTCTGTGTCACTAGCCGAAGAAGGATGGGCTGTTGTTTCACTGGCTACCTAATGTAAAACACACAGGCACTTGGCCGCCTGTGACTGGAGTAGTTTCGGCGACCTTGAAGCCAAGCCGCTCGAGCGTTCCTAGGCCGCCACTTCAAGTTGGGCGAGTGTCATGGACGAGGTTGGTACGAAGTACGGAGTACATATTGATACACCAGTCTCTAGGCTGGGATAAACAAACGACACGAGTCTTGACACATGTCCCCTCCCTCCTAAAACATCGCTCACCATTGTTCAAAACACGTCTTCGTCTTCGCAGTATAGTTACGAGTCTGTCATGAGGCACCGTCATTGCTGGCGGATTTGAGACATGTAATGGACACAAAATGGAAGTATCGGAATAAATGACGCGCCAGACTTGCTCAAGCTGCTTTTAGCCTCCCGCATGCTGGGAATTAATCGCGACTGTACAGTATCTGGTTGAAGTATGGGAGCTGTTCAATGTCTTGTACATCTGTTTACCCTGTTGACATGTAGACAGGTCTCCCGCTGTCACGATTCCTAGGGATCTGTCTACTCCAATTCGTCCACCTCAGTCTGCTTGGTGATGCGTAACATACTTCAAGTTACTGGTTGACCACGTGCTTACCCTTGAAACTTCATCGCCACAACTCTACGTTTCCCATACCTCGAACGACCCTCTGTTGTTCTGCTCCTGCTTACTGCCAACGCAGCCATGTCCTCCTCAGATACGATCAGCTCTCAAAGCAGCTTGGAAAGTGACACGGGAACACCAACCCACCACTCTCCTGCCCCTCCTTCTGACTTCCACACTTCGAGGGGACCGTACCCGAATCTCTCGTCGCAGCGACCGTTACCGGACCCCCCTCCACGATCCTCCTCAGGTACAAGCGGCCCGATGCTTGCTGCCTTGCAGGCCGATCGTCCTTTGCCCGTTCCGACGTTTCCTCTGACTCCCGAAGAGCGCAGGCGAAGTATCATTGCGCTGGATCGCAAGAGGCGGCTGACCAATCATACTTATGACGAAGGAAGAATGCGATCAAAAAGTGGTGGCTTCTACGACAGGAGAGTAAATTATGATGTCGGCTATGGAATGGCTGGCCCATCTTCTCCTGGCCGCCCTCACGCCTCTTCCGATGTTACCAGGCCTTTGCCGGAAGTCATAGATTTGACTGGCTCCTCTCCTCCAGCCCAGCCACACACGCCTCTCCCCGGCAGGTCAGTCAGGAACTCACCTGCGAGTTCAAGAGGATACGTGGTACCGCGATGGCAGCCAGATTCAGAAGTTGGTGAATGTCCCATCTGCAAGCGACCTTTCACCTGGATGTTTCGGCGGCATCACTGTAGAAAGTGTGGCAGGGTCGTCTGCAACGATTGCTCTCCTCACAGAATCACAATTCCTCGCCAATTCATCGTACGCCCTCCGGCAGGCGATGTTTTCGATTCACCTGACATCTCTTCCGCTCAGCGCCATAATACAGTGGATCTGACGGATGAAGACAGCGAAGAGAGCCCATTTCAAGACTCACAAAGCCCTGGAGAATACGTGGGATCTCGACTCGATGGCGGTGAGAAGGTTCGGCTTTGCAACCCCTGTGTTCCTGATCCTCAGCCTGACCCTCTCCCGGCCTATCCCCACTTCCGTAACAGAATTGTTGCTCCGCGGTCAACACAACCGTGGACTTCCGAAGCAGGACCCAATCTTAGTCTGGATCATGCGGGTCTATTTGAAGGAGGGTCTGGCGGCGATGGCAGAGTCGGTTCATTATTCAGGTCTTCACGGGTAAGTACTCGTTCTTCAAAAGAGAAGGGCGGTCTGCTGATTCCGTTCGCTTTGGATGTGCAGGGCAGTTTCCATCATCCGAACGCGTTTGCTCAATCCGCAAGTGGCCATCCTCATGCTCGGGACAGCAGTTTGTCGTGGTTTGGTTCATACCATGGGGAAACGTCGCCAACAGGCCGTCGTTTGCCTGAACCACCTACTTCAGTTGCCGGTCGACTATTCTCCGGCTCTCCCAGGGTATGCTCCAGAGTCGCTCAGAAGTCACGTATATTGACTGGTGCAGGACAATCTACCGCAAGACAACCGATCAAGTTTTACCATGACACGCCCTTCGTATCCTGAAAGTCGCCAGCCCCGAACGGAGCCTGCAGGGGTTGCCTCCGCAAGGCCCCCTCATGTAGCTTCCAGTGGACGATATGAACGGCCTGCTCGAGCTTTGCCAAGTGCGCTTGAGGCAGCTTCCCGCCCTCGATTGGACGAGAGGGATATTTGTCCCATCTGTCGACGCCTGTTGCCCCCTAAGGAGCCGAACGGCGACGAAACTGCGCGAGAAACGCACATAATGGACTGTATCAGTTCTCGAGACCCTGCTTATCGCGCCCAGAGTGGCAGTGCAGGGCCTTCTCAGCCCAGAATTCATATGCTCCCCTTCATTGCCACGGAAAAGGACTGTATGGGCCAAGATGGGAGCCCGCAAGAGTGTTCGATCTGCATGGTGGAATATAACGTGGGCGACGAACTGGCTCGGTTGGAGTGCCTGTGCAAGTTTCACAAGCAATGCATCGTCGAGTGGCTTGGGCACAAACCAGAATGCCCAGTGCATAAGCTGATGACATGATTTTCACGACGATATGACGAACTAGACGATTGCTATGGCCACTACAAGGTCAAATCCAGTGTCTTTAGAGTGGGGAGAGGCATTGGCCGTCACGGATCACGCAGACATGTTAAGGAGGCGCGACTTTGGGCGGTGTTTTGATGTTTTATTAGTTACAGGCAGAGATTCCCCGGTTCACTTTGGAGTACTCGATACGGTATACGTATCATTTTGGTTCAATGGCCCCTCTGACCACTCTCTGAGGTGGAACTATGCCAGGTCTGTCATCGGTACCATTCTATTATTATATCGAGAGACTGCAACGTGGCTGGGCTAGTGTAGGGAAAAGTAGAGCAGCAAACCTTAGCTGCAAGATCAATCAAGCCTTTTAGAGCCTGATCCTCCTAATCCCTGAGCCCTGCGCCCGATGCCAATCTGGAGTTGACCGCAGCCAGGAAGAGCGCCAAGCCCCTGCTCCTCTCGTCTCCGTCTCGTCTCCGAGTCTCTGGCCCGGATCCCTCTCGCTGTGAGTGAGTGACTGTCGCCTGCTGTTGCTACCTGGTACTGTAATCTATGCCCGGTGACAAGAAAGAATCCCATCCGTGTCGAAAATGAGAAGTGACGGTTGGACCTCCGGAACAATGCTCGCATCTGCTGTCGTCAACTAAACTCGAAACGTCCCTGACCCAGTCGGCGCGCGGACACCGCGGACGGCGACAGCTAAGTACCGCTCTCCCGACAATTCACCTTTTGCGTCAGCACGCCCGCCGGCATCATGGCCAGCATCGAGTCCTTCAATCACATTGATCCAGCCTTGCGAACTTCCTCCTTGAGCAGTCCACCAAAACCACGCGATCCCCAACCGTATCAGAATGGCGCGCCTGCTGCCTATTCTCCCCTCCAACCGTCGCCTAATACGTCTTATCAGAGCATACAAACGCCAACCTATTATTCAAGCAACCAGCAAACCCAGGAAAGCCCCGACGACCAAAGTCCCTCTGGAAACCCGGCCGATCCCAACGACCTGAAGAGACCACGCGCCTGTGAAGCTTGTCGACAGTTGAAGGTCAAGTGTGAGCTCGACGACAACAGTCCGACAGGCTCCTGTAAGAGATGCGCCAAGGCCAACCGACAATGTATTGTGACAGCTCCGAGCAGGAAAAGGCAGAAGAAAACCGATAGTCGTGTGGCGGAACTGGAGAAGAAAATCGACGCGTTGACTGCCTCCCTGGCCGCACGAGGGGGTGCCGATGCAGACATTGCGGTCGATCCAGCCATGGCGCACCCGGCTCAGGCCATGCGTCCTGGGGCATATCCAGGTCAATGGCATGGTCCACCACACCAGATTGGCACGCAGTCACCACAGACAGTCCAGCAAGGGGTCAAGAGGAAAATCGCCAACGATTACGACTACTTTGGCGGTGAGCTACACAAACCCTCTGAGCCAGTGTTCAAGCCGTCGGCCCCTGTAACGCACTATCAGCCTGTACAATCCGAGCCCGTGATGCCGAAAGGGAACTTCAGCGACCCGTCTTCTACTGCTGACCCTGTGGAGCGCGGTCTCGTGGATATCACTACGGCGAGGAAATGCTTTGAACGGTACATGGCAGAGATGTGCGAACATCTACCGCTAGTTGTCTTTCCACCTGGCACCAGCGCTGATCAAGTTCGAACGAACAAGCCTGTCCTATTCCTAGCCGTGCTCGCCGTGGCATCTGGCACGATCCGGCCAGACCTTCAACCCAGACTAATCAGCGAAATAACCCGGACCCTTGCGGACCGGATTATCAACCGAGGAGAGAAGTCATTGGAGCTTGTGCAGACACTGCAGGTGACGACCTGTTTCTACCAACCTCCTGAGAAGCACGAGGAGTTGATCTTCAACCAACTTATCCATATCGCTGCCGTCATGGCCTTGGACCTTGGAATGGGTAAACGAACAAAGCCGGGTGGTGGCGGTCCATGGCGCCCATACCCGGAAAGCAAAAGACCGTTGACAGATCCCAACAGCGCCGAGACACGGCGGTGCTGGTTGGGGTGCTACTTTATGTGTTCAAAGTGAGTTGACCGGTGGCTGTTTCGATGGCCGACACTGACGTTTTGGCAGTTCTTCCATGTCTCTACGCCGGCCATTACTGATTCGCTGGAGTCCATACGCTGAAGAGTGCATAGAGATTCTCAATTCTTCCCCGGATGCGTTCCCTTCGGATAAGTGGCTCTGCCATCTTGTCCTGGCACAGCGTATTGCCGAGGAAGTTGGATTGGAATTTTCCATGGATGATCCTGCCTCTCTACTCTCACTAGACGACAACAAGACCCAATACCACTTGAAGGCGTTTGAGCGTCAGTTGGCGGAATGGCATGACTCTGCCACCGCGGAGATGCTGAAGAAGCCAGTCATCCAGCATACCGAGGGCATCATCAATCTATACATGCACGAGATTGCCATGCACCACAACCATAATGTCGACGACTTTCGACCTCCATTCAATGCAACCCCGATCGAAGGCCCTCCCGATCCCGACAACGTCACGCCGGCTCACATTGAAGCTTTGACCACTTGTATCCAGTCTGCACATGCTGCCTTTGATGCCTTCTTGAGGATGGACATCAAGATGGTTCGAGCTTTGCCGACACTCTTCTTTGTGAGGAACGCGTACGCAGCTGTTGCATTGATCAAAATGTACACGGCGGTGTCGGCGAAGGGTTCCAAGTTTGCGTCAATATTCAAGACGAAAGACCTCAAAGTCGAGTATTATCTCGACCGACTAATGGAAGTCCTCACCAAGGCTGGGGAGGGTCGCGTCAGTAGGGTTGCCAATAAATTCAGCCTCATTTTCACCATGTTTAAGAGCTGGCATATGAAGCGCATTGAGCCTCCCAACGGTGGCAATTATCCTGCCTCGACACAACGCACCTCTGCGGGAAGGAACAACGCTCAGTCGTCATACCGGGCCATCCCTCCGCAACAAGACCAAGGTAGCCTTGGATGGAGCCCGCAGAGCGCTCAAGCTCAAGCCCAAGCTCAAGCTCACCAACAGCAGCAGCAGCAGCCGCCGCCACCGCCGCCGCCCAGAAGCGGTCTTCAAATGCTCTCAGATGCGGCAATGGGGCCTGGGCCTCCACCCCCGGCTATGATTCCTCCACCTCAACAATGGATGCAGCCTATAAATCAAGGTCAGATGCTACCTGGAATTGCAGAAATGTCGATGCACGACCAAGGTATGATGCAATATGGGATGCCTGGACAAGCTCTGGGCCCGATGGATTTCACTTCGGATGAATTGATGGCATTCGGATTCGGGGATGAGTTTCTGGCCATGAACTTTGGGTTTGAACAGGGCAACTGGCCCATATGATGTCGCGCCACCCCTTTCTTTGCTCGGGCACCAAACTGAAGTGTGTTTGGAGAGCATGGGTGTCGAGTGTCAACAGCGACGAAATGACCCGCCACGGCATGGCACCTGTCTACCTGTCTACCTGTCTATCTCTCTTTGCCGAGACATGTCTCCACGATCTGCGCCGGTTTGTACGAAGTACTGTTTGATGAGTTTGTATGTTTTACGGCCGCCCGCCCAAGAAACCGTCTGACTTGACCTGACCAAGTCTCCCGTCTCCCGTCTCCCGATATCTAACAGCTTCAACGTTGGTATCGCTTCGCTTCGCACCTGGCAATAGATGATTTGTATCTGTTTCTGTACCTGTGTGTACCTGTACTTGAATCAATTACAATTACCTACCTAGAACGTTTTCAACATGTTAGTGTTGTTTTATTCTTTCCATTCTTGTTCTTGTTCTTGTTCTTGTTCTTGTTCTTGTTCTTTTTCCTTTGCCACACAGCCATCTCAGGTAGACTTCAAGTGTCTTTGCTATATAGATACATACATAGTAGTATAGGTAAGGTGAGGTACAGTACCTATCCTATCCGTCTTATTGAGTTAGCCTTGGCCCTGGGGCAGTAGCAGCAAGGAGCAGCAAGTACAATATCAATATCCCCATGGCGGACAGGACTCTCAAGTTATTGTATTGTCACTTGCGGTTGGCGATGCTGCCGTGCTCCGTTTCTGCGAATCGTACGGAGTAGGTACTGTACCCACTACCTTGGACTGTACTGTACTGTAACTTGGACCACTGTCACCGTCTTCGTCGCCGTCTCCGTCTCCGTCTCGCGCACAATATGGTTTACGCGGAGGAGAGGTGGCCGAGGATGGGGCTGAGTTGGCTTGAGCCCACTGGCACGGGAGTCACTTGACTGTTGATAGAGAGGCCCCTAAGCCCTAAGCTGAGGGATTTGTCCAACTACTACTGTTCTTGTGGGAATGGGAATATCTTGGGGATCCTCAGCCTCGTCACTTTCGTTTATCGATCTAGTCAGAGACTAGGCTCCCCCTTCCCCTTAGATCCATTTGATAAAAACGAGCATGTTTCAACCCCTGCTTGTATGTGGTTGTATTGAGCCCCATCTCAGTAGCAAAATCAAAAATCAATTCGTTCTGCCTTAACCTTGGTATCCCTCGAGAAGTTCGACAACATGCCACTGGTCGCATATTCTCGCGTCCTTCAAAGCACTCCTGCAAAGATCCCTCTTCGGCCGAGGCCCGTCGTAGTTGTCCAGCAGTAACTTGACTGTCTCGAGTCTCCCCATTGCAGCTGCACCGTTGATCGCACGTAGCCCATAATTTGGACTAGGTTCCGCATCGGTGTCGGCGCCGTGTTCCAGCAATATTTGCGTGATCCTCAGGTGGCCACTAATACAAGACGCCTGTAGGGTAGTCACGCCACACCTGGGGCCTGCAGGTGCGTTGACATTTGCGCCTGCGGACAAAAGCTCCTGCACTAGATGCACATTTCCTTGTTCAGCGGCTGCCTGAAGCGCAGTTCGTCCATACGGCCTTGTGGATGGTGGTGCGTTAACATCTGCACCCAACTGCAGAAGCCTCGTTGCCATCTCGTAATCTCCCTTCATGACAGCTTGTTGGAGGGCTGTGTCTGTGGTCGCAGCGCGACAGTTGACGCGTCTGCCATGATGCAGTAACAACGATATTGCTTCTCTCCACGCATTTCCTGTCCACTTATAGCCACAGAGCCAACCCAGCGCCTGAGCATCATTCACGTCCACGCTCATATGTGCACCTTCAGTCAGAACAAGCTCCAACATCCCCAAGTGACCCCTAAAGCAAGCTTTCTCAAGAAGTTTCGAGCCTTGAGCGGCTGTAAAGTTCAAGTTTCGGTTTACTGCGTGTCGCAGTAGCTGTCTTGTTGCCGTGACATGGTTCTCAGAGATCGAAGTCCTAAGCGCCTCCCATATAGAGTCCAACGTTCTGGCGTCTCCATGCTCAAGAAGGTACTCTATGACATGTGCGTGTCCGGCTGCCGCTGCCACTGTCAACGCTGTATGGCCTTCCCATTCAGCATTGATATCGGCACCCGCCTCGCACACAAGTTTCAGGCTTTTCATGTCTCCTGTAGCGGCCGCCCATGCAAGCGGGCGTAGCTGAAGTCTACGCCCACGCCGTCGATTTCTTGGATCTAGAGCGTCAATACTGACACTGGCTGGCGTTTCCACATCTGCACCACTCTGGATGAGCAGTTGGGTCAAGTCGGTATAGCCATGCGCCACTGCAGCTGTCAAGGGCGACCTCGCATGCTGTGAACACATGTTCGGGTCTACTCCTGCGGCGAGAGCTCTGCCGACATTTTCGAGGTCATGATGTTCAACGAACCCTTGCAGTGCAGAAATTCCCCCGTCAACAGCAAGGTCGGCAACTAGGTTCGCACCCCTATCCAGCAAATGCTGAATGACGCTGCGGTTGCCCATCTCGGCGGCCAGTTGGAGTGGTGTCCTTCCTCCCTGGCGAGGCGAGCACTGGTTGATGTCTGCGCCAGCCTCCAGCAACAGTGTGATGATATGGATATTCTGCGCATGGACAGCACCTTCAAGCGCAGAGAACCCCCAGCAATACCCGGACACGGCGTTTACATCAGCCCCACAATCCAGTAACAACCGGACAGTTTCAGACCGAGAGTGGAAGGCAGCAATGGCCAACGGCGAGGTCCCATGGCGAGGGTTGATTGTTCCACCGTGTTGCAGCAGCAAATTGGCTAAAGTGGCATCTTCAAGTCCTGAAGCTGCTTGTAAGGGAATAACAGTTAAGGGCCTAACAGCACTGTCGTCGTAATGAAAATTGTACCATTTCAGAATCTGCGGTACTGAGAGGGGCCTGCAGATGTAACCCCCACTGTCGGCGTGAGTAGTATGGTTTTTTTCCAAGAGGTCCAATGCCGATATGTTTGGATCTGCGCCGTTTTCAAGAAGCAATCGCACCAGCCTCTCATTGCCCGTTTCAGCAGCGAGAAAGAGCGGTGACCGAAGTTGTTCGCCAAATTTGTAGTCAGATAAGATCCCGGAATACTCGTCACGAAGGGGACCATCTGCATGGGCACCGAAGTCCAGCAGGAGTCTTGCCATATTCTCTTGGCCCCTTTCAGCCGCAACCGCCAAAGGCATTACCTCAGGGGACCCTAATCCTGAGCCGCTTCGAGGTGCGCAGTCGTTGGCATTTCCCCCTCTTTCAAGCAATGACCGCACCACCTCCTCACTGCTTCCAGTCCTGACCGCTGCAATCACAACTGGGCCTTTGAGCTTGGAAGCGGATGCCCCTAGAAGAAGTGTGACTATTTCATCAGGCACGCCTGAACAAAACTTAAGTCCGAGTGGGTTTTGGGCATCATACTCGCAAGGGCAATAAAGGCCCTTGACGCCGTAGAACTCAGCCGCTGTACGATCTGGACGACCTCTTCCGGATCCAGATACCTTGCACATAGAGTAGCTGGACAGCGGCGTCGACATCCTCTTCACCGTATATGAGGTGGCCATTTGAGATCAGGAAAACCGTGATAAACATCAGCACCTGTGTTCTGGTTTTCGATTTCGAGTCCAACAATTGTTCGACAACAGTCTGGAGATCATGAGTTAAACTCTCTATGAAGAATGGTCTGAGTCTGTTCAGCAAGATTGAATTGACCTGCGATAGCGTCCGATATGGCGGTATGGAGAACAAAGCTCCAATGTAAGTGTCTACCGGGGTGAGAAATAGCATAACTCTGCAGCGCTCTGACTGCGGCCTGGTTTGGGATCGGCAATGAAGTGAGTGTATGAGATCAAGTGTTTCGCCATCCGACTCGGTTGCTTCGACAAGGGCGCCCATATCGTCAAAGGCATCATCCAGCAAGGTCGAAGGTGGAGGCGAGGCATGCTCCCAGCCACAAACAAGCTGGAATGTCTCCTGCAAAATCGGGAGGAACTCGTAGCTAGGTAACTCGAATTTCAGCTGTCGATGCTTGGGGCGTATGACGACCCCGTCAGGCGTGGTGGCTCTCGCTGTTTGAATGTTCAGCATGTGAAGTAAACTGTTAATTTGACTTCAGGGGAAGGGAATACCCACACTGCATGCACAGGCGCATGGTAGGAAGGTCATAGCGCAAAATCCCCTTCTTCAGTTTCTTTTCTGGAATAACCTCACCATTGATGAAGACCTCGACATTTGAAGGGGCCAATTTCCTTTTCTTCAAGCTCCTGCTGATTCCCTCCCAAGTCTCAGGACGGAAGCCTTTCTGGAAGCCCCACACCGAGAACCTAGTTGTATATTGTGATGTGCTTTCGTCCTTGGTCAGCAGATAGTCAATGTCCCGAGTAGGAAGGCTCACGTAGCGTGGAAGTTGTACTCAGAAGCCATCTTCTCCCTGACAGTGGCCAAGGTTTTGTTCTCCACAATGTACAGTTGGTGAATGGTGCTCTTGTGCCCTTCCCAATCGGCGTCCGTTATCTTCGAGCGGCTGGTCATCGTGCCGGTCTTTGATGACTCCTGGGTAGTCTGTTCTCAAGAAACAGAGGTTGAGATTTCCCTTGTTCTCTATCAAACAGGCCTGGGGTGTAGCCCTGACTAGATAAATAAGTGATGGAAATGTGGCTGGGGAAATGCTCTTGAGTCTGATAGTTGTCCACGTTAGAGGCCTCTTCACGGAAATTGGCAGAGAAGTAGAAGGAGCGTTGGATAGAGTGTGTACTACGGCAACACACTCACAGAGTGTCTGATGCAGATGTTAGAGATATACGTAGGTCAAGGGAGCTCTGTTGTGGGTTGGTCTTCCACAGGAACAAAAGGCACAATCAGGCTGAGTACGATGGGATCCGGAGGGCAGATATATCGAATGCTCTGACAAGTGAAGCAAAAGCTGGCAAGGGAAAGCGCCCAGCTGGCTGCAGAGATGTAGCTGGGGATATATATCTAGCAGATACCGGAGGGTGCGAGGTCGTGTCTGTGTGAAAGTGTGAGATGGAGGAAGCGAGGTTGGCGCCTGCTGTCCCCATGGCCGGTCCATGCAATGCAGGTGACATGAATGAAGGCAGGGGTTCCTTAGCCCTGGCTTATGTAGACCCTGACGCCTTCTCGACCTCAATTGGCTGCATCCAAAATTCGACCAGGGTGTTCGGCCATCTTCTCGCCGTCTTCTGCAGGGTTATTCCCCTTCTTTTCTTCTTCGTCTCAGCCTCAGCCTCAACCTCAACCTCAGCCGTCAGCTTGTATTGGCCGCGTGTCCCACATCTCTGAGCCCAATCCACCCAGCCAGCGCCCCGTACTGGTCGTTGCCAAAACTCCAGGCGACTGTCACTTCGACACTCTTGGCTCGAGAATCGTCATCAGCACACACCCCTGGCTTCAAGTTGTCGCTATCCTTGTCCCCGTCAATAAACCTCAGATGAGGCGCAGCAGTAGCAGCAGGATCTTGATCTCACCCCTGCCAATAGCCGTTGTTCATGGACCTTGACTGGACTTCGACCACTTTTCGGTGCCACTGGCAATGCCAGTCACCAAACACCGCCCATATCGTCGTCGGTCTCCCCATTGGCTGCCGCCAAAATTCTTCAAGTATTGCCTCGATTAATGCTACGACAAGCCTATATCTTTCAGTAAGTTCTCACACGTCTTGGAAGATAATAGCGTTGAGATGAGACTTTGACTTTGATCCTCCTTCTTGCTGCTGTCCTCTGTCTTTGAGCACTGTTACAGACCATGTACTTATCTTCCGACTCTATCATCGCCATAATCGGGGTGCTTGTTTCCCTTCCACCATCGGCTCTCCTTATCTGGATGCTTGTGCTCCAATGTTGCCGATCCCAAGGTCACGCTGCCACCCTTCCTATACACGAGCCCACGCACACCCTGACTCCGAGACCTCCCGCCGTCAGTCCCCCGGGTTCGAGCAGTTCAAGTCACTTCTCTCCACCAGCAGCTGCCATATCAAATATACAGGTCCTCGAAAACCCTGATACACCGTCATTCTCAAGAGAACAACCAGATCGCCAATCAACGACCATTGAGCACACGACACAAAGTTCTAACCCGGCAACACATCTTGCAGTGCCTCCAGCAGCGTACCTCACGAGTGGAAACCATGACAGTTGACACAAGACCTGACCGGTCGAACGTCACTATGGATGAGGCCGTCACCGGCTTGCTTCCTTCAGAAATATTGACGAAAACATGAGCAATTTCGCGTCTCAGTGTTTTGGTATAGAATCAGGAGAAGGGGTGGGATTATGAGTGACTCAATCTTCATTGGTTTCAGGACAGGATGTACCATTGGGGCCTGTCGACATATCTTGCTGTACTTCCATAGATCATGATTGACCATAGTACGGCGGACCAGAGCCTCGAGCAGGCAGTTCTTTGAGTGGGATGAGTTTCCAATACAGCTAGAGCAAGATATTAACTCCTCATTTCGTCTCAGACACGGCACGCGAGATGATCCATCCATGTCTCTATAGATTGACACTGGGAAGTGCGAGTGGCAGGCTGGGAATCAATTGATAATTGCTAATTGATGTTGTGATGCCGCAGGCGGAGCCCCTAGACTTTCTCCTAATCTTGGCAGCCTTGCGGTGAGTGGAGACTTCCCACGCAGACGCTTTGACTTTGGCTAGAGTACGGATCACACCTCACCTTTTTAATTCTGTGCATACTGTTTATCCGAATGTCAATTTCACTTCCCACATGTCGGGGCCCGCATCGACCTTTTCGCATCTGCTACTCCCATCCGCCTATGTGGGTAGTACCGACACGAAGAACCAGATCGCACGCCTCCCGATTCCGCGTGGGCCGCCAGCCTCCTTGTCCTCATAGGTAGGTGCCTGGTACTTGTGATGATGTTGGACTTGGTCAGCGTCTGAACTCCACCGTTACCCAGTGCAGTTCTTTCTGCCTCCGTACCTTCACCTTAAGGCACCAGCTGTGAGCTCAACAGCTTGTGAACCTCGTTGATATGGATTGAACCCGTTAACGGGCTGATCCCCGTAGACAGTAAAGACTACCTACCGACGGAAGAGAAATAGCCGGGAAGGTGTTCATCTAGCAACTATTGTGTCAAGTACAATGTACATTTGTCAGCTGGCCTGCAAAGTCTGCCCTGATCGACCAGAAATCTCTAACCATTACAATCAATACCATGATCGTTTTCCCTTGATCGGTTGAGATTGAAAATCTCCATCCTCATCGTTTGGCGTAACACCCGCTTCGGAACGACACATTGGCCACTGTCGCCATGGTTGTTCAAGCTTGGGTAGCAAATGCCTTGTTAGTCTCCTTATGAGATGGATTATCCTTGCTCTCCAAAACTTTGGCCTTGTCAGTGGGGTTGCTGTGTGACTCGGGTTCGACTTCAACTGGAGCCACCTTCCCGTTCTTGACTGCAGCCACTGCATCATCCTTGTCAGTACCCATTGCACCATTTTCGACACCAGCAGCAGCTCCATTTCTGGCCTCACTGTGATCGGCCGCATGTCTCCCATTTTGTCGGCGTGCCCTCCATTGCCGCTTCTTTTTCCCCTTTGCAGGATGCGCGGCCGAATTGACAGACTGAGCTTCTCTGACGGGAAGAGTGTCGTCTTTCTCAGAATTTGTGGCGTTGCCGACCGGCTTCCCCTCATGGCTTGTGTCTGATGGCAAAGCTGCAGCTTTTAGGCTGGCCGGAGACGGATCGGTTGTTCCAATATTTGGGTGCATGCTCTTGACGTCGTCAATGGGTTTGGCACCGGTGTTCTGTGGTTCTCCTTTGTTACTCTGCTGGATCTTGTCTTGAGATGGTTGTCCACTGTTTCCACTGTTGCGGTTGCGACGAGAAGCTCGACGATCTCTCTGTGCTTGGCCTAGAGCACGCCGAGCTGAAAGATGGGTTTCCCCTCTCATGTAAGCAACAGCACGTACAATAGTGTCTTTGGCCTGAATACCAGCACCAGTCAGCCATGTATTCGAAGCGTCAGAGGTGACTCGAGACTCACAATGTATTCTGCATTCATAATTTCAACCAAGTTTGTGGTGAGTGCTGCCAGCTTCATGGTGTCTTCCTCGGTGAATGTGCTACCATCCTGGATCGAGCGGACACGGTTCATCAAAGTTCGGATCTCTTTCTCGGTAGAAGTACTGAACTTGGGAATGATGTAAACCCGTGTATCTGGGGCAGTTGCGGCAGCATCTGCGGGAGGAGTAGAACTACCGTTCTGTTGGGCATTTGGTTCAGCTTTGGTAGTACTGGGACAGGTCAAGTCGTTGCCGGAAGTGCGAGCGCCTTCATGGTCAGGAATAGCCTTCTGGGTGTTGCCAGAGCTAGGCTGACCAAAACCAGGAGCAGCTTCAGGATGAGAATTTTCAGCCATGCTTTCGGTGCTGCCGTCAAGGCGTGGGCAGGTACCTGGCTGATTGAGGTTTAGTATTTTCAAAGGACTCAGTGGAAGGCTGTGCCTACAAAGGAGTCTCAAATAAGAGCGAAGCAGGTCGTAGAAAGTGAAATAGGTGTGAGGTGTTGCAGGGTGAGATAGAAATGATGGGAGGATGGTGAAGGGTAACGGGGTCAATCGTCTGATAAAGGCACGATGTGCTTTCACTGTGGGCTGCGTCTGCGTACAAGAATAAAAAAGGAAAGCACATAGGCGCCTGGGGATGGCAAGCGACAAAGGTCACGCTGGGGGCCTTTTCATGCGATACACCCACCGCAGGTGCAGGCCAAATCAGTGAGACTTGATGTAAGCACCAGTTGAGCTTATTCATAGACAATCTACCAGTGTCTTGGCTCGTGATTGCGACGAGGTCTCCCACCATCACGTTTTGCTGGCGAATGCTCTCTCCCACTGACAGTGATCAGCAGCCATAGGACCTCAATCGATTCCTGTAACGAGGGACCCGGTCTGCAAAACATGCATTCCTCATATGGCAGCGCAGCGCAGGCTCCTTGTGTCCAGTCATGACTGCTTTTCAGTTTCCTCAACAACTCTTAAACCTCCCACTATCAGCAGGCTTGTAGTGGACGTGCTCAGTTCCAGGAGTTGATGTCAGTGATGAAAGTCAGGAAGTGCTTGACATGGTGCTGGTGGAGCTCGAAGCAGAGGGGAGGACGGCGTGTTCGGCAAACTTTCCATCGGAAAAGTGATGCCGCTCAAGCTGCGGTTCTTCGGTGTGTCGGGGTCCGTGTCCCGCATCTGCTCAGAGATCCAAGCCTCCCAGAAGATATATATTCCTATTCTTCTGTATCCTATTGTCGCTGTTCCTGGTATCTTAATAGACCTCAAGTTCTCTGACCCCGGGTGCTTCTCAGCCATGGCTGGTATTCTCAAGAAACCATTCAAACTAGCGCTGATACAACTAGCATCAGGTGAGTTGTGAGTGCCAGTATTTGGACATTTGTATCGGAAAGATGCTAAAGCATTCCTAGGTGGTGACAAAGCCGCCAATCTAGCCCATGCAAGGTCCAAAGTTATCGAAGCAGCAAAAGCTGGCGCCTCCATGATAGTTCTTCCCGAATGCTTCAATTCTCCGTATGGCTGCCAATATTTCCCCAAATACGCCGAGACCGTTCTCCCGTCACCCCCTTCCAAAGAGAGATCACCTTCATGGCATATGCTATCCTCGGTCGCGGCAGAGACAAAGACATACCTCGTTGGTGGAAGCATACCGGAATTCGTACCAGAGACGAAAGAATACTTCAACACCTCATTGGTCTTTGGCCCCACGGGCAAGCTTCTGGCAACACATCGCAAGGTACACTTGTTCGATATTGACATACCTGGGAAAATCAAGTTCAAAGAAAGTGATGTTCTATCTCCGGGAAACAAGGTGACCATAATCGATCTTCCAGAGTATGGTAAGATTGGCCTCGCCATATGTTACGACGTTCGCTTCCCGGAACTTGCCACGATTGCGGCGAGAAAAGATGCTTTCATGTTTATCTATCCAGGAGCATTCAACACCACAACCGGTCCGATGCATTGGTCTTTGCAAGCTCGAGCTAGGGCGATGGACAATCAGTTTTACGTAGCTATGTGCAGTCCTGCCCGGGATCTGGAGGCATCGTACCACGCTTATGGACATTCCATGATTGTGGATCCAATCGCGGAAGTTCTGGCCGAGGCAGAGGAGCATGAAGATATTGTCTATGCCGAAATCAACGGCGCGAAGATTGAAGAGACCAGGAAAAACATTCCCATCTATACACAGAGGAGGTTTGATGTTTACCCCGACGTTAGCGCTGGAAAAGTGCGCTACGAGGATGACAGTAATGGAAGTCAGGCATAGACAGAGTCGCAGAATGGTTCCTGAACAGCAGGCTCAAGCCCCGGGCACCAGCGTGAATTCTTCATGAAAGACATGTCACCAGCACCACCAGTATGAATGTGCTAAGTCAGCCCCTTATGGGCTCTATATATAGGGGATCTCCCTACCTTCTACTGCAATCCCTCGAATAATGCAGAAAACTACGCTCGACTTACACGTCGAATAAGATCACGTCGGGGGGTCTGATCTACCTGTGCTTCCTGATGTCTTCAGCCCACAACCCTCTGAAGCCCTGGAGGACTCCAATAACGACGACTTTCAGACACACCAAGGGCTGATGTAATCAACATTTGGCACAGTCACGTGACAGAAAATCTTGGCACGTATTTCCATCTAGGGACTAGCCCACACTTTCAGAAAGTTCGGCCAGGCTGCGCCCAAATTCTTCGATTCTCGGTCCGCAGACGCTCTTCTCTCACCTCGTCCCATCACCTCGAACGGTCTCGCATATCCCTGTCCATTTGACTAGCATTACAAGTAAGTGCTGTGATCTTCTCTGCGCATTTGGTTCCATCTTGGTCCCCCCCTTGCGACAATACAAATTCTCTAACCATCCGTGTGCGATTGCAGAAGCGTCAAAATGGCCAAAGACAACCCCAAGACCCAGCCGAAGAAGACGACTTCGGCGCCTAAGAAGTCGCGCTCTGCTATCTCCGACGTCGTCGCTCGCGAGTACACCATCCACCTGCACAAGCGAGTATGTCCTCCCTAAGTTCAGACCCTGCTCCTCCCTGGTCGAGTACAAAGTGGAAAGTGAAGGGGGAGAGAAAAAAGCCCACACAAAACAGAAAGAATCAGTTTTATGAAGTCCACCCGAATGGCTTGCCTTGTTGAAAGAAAGAAAAAGAAAGAAAAAAGGATTGATTTCTTGCCGACGATGAAATCCCGTTTGTATCAATATCAAGCATTTTGGACGGAAGACTGATTTTTACACCTACACATAAAGGTCCATGGCGTCAGCTTCAAGAAGCGAGCCCCCCGCGCGATCAAGGAGATCCGCAAATTCGCCACCCTGGCAATGGTACGTGTCTCCCTTGCGCGGGCCTGCGCGGGCCTGCGCGGCCCATTGGGTCAATTTTCCTTTCGAAGCCATGCATAGCTCACACTCTTCTAAATAGGGAACCAGCGATGTCCGACTCGACCCGCAATTGAACAAGAAGGTGTGGGAATCCGGCATCAAGGGCGTGCCGTTCCGCCTGCGTGTGCGCATCAGCCGCAAGCGTAACGACGAGGAAGGCGCCAAGGAGAAGCTCTACAGCTACGTCCAGGCCGTCAATGTCAAGGAGTCGGAGGCCAAGGGCCTGCAGACCGTCGTTGTCGAAGACTCGTAAACGAACCTGCGTCAAGCTGGCACTATCGAGGCCTTGCAGACCATGAGACCTGATGGGTGAACGGCAGAGGAGATGGTGGAAGTCAAGAAAGGACCGAATGTGGTGATGGTGATTGCGTTTTCCCGATGCGGTCAATGCATGAGTTCAGCGACATGCACCTGGCATTTTCGGTGTCGGGCACCCGGAAAATGAAGGGCAACCGGGAGGCAGAGCCAAACAACTCCTGGAGTGTGTAGGCGGTCTTCGATTTGATCTCTGAAATCAAGCCCGCCCTATGCTGCAGCACAACAGCGTTCTGACAGTCTCGCGGCTCAACAGATGTTCGCGTCATCACATCGAACAATCGACGAGATCGGACGTGTAATCAATCAGTTGAAAAATTAAAAGAATTCATGACTACCTACCTACCTACATCCTAGCCTAGCCTGGCCCGGCTGGTTTCTTTCCTTCCCCCGCCTCAGCATTTTGGTCTCTTCAAGCCGCGCTTTCTGAGTGCGCGAACAGTATGAATTACTACCTTTCTGAGTGCGCAAACAGTATCAATTACTACCTTTCATTTTTCTGTTCTTTGGGTGGGTGTACTTACGCTCACCGAGAACCTAGAATGAGACAAGACAGACAGACAGGCAGCAAACAGGATAACAATAATCAATAATGCGCTGTGTCAATGTCTCTTGATTTATCATTTACTATCATTTATCAACACAAGCCAACTGAACTTTGGCAACCCCTTGATTACAATTGCTCGTGCTACTCCAAGAGGTACAGTAGCCCATCGATCCCTGGCATATCAACTCTCGCCGTTGTCGGGACTGATCTGGCTTTTCGAGGCGTGATAATTGGAGAGTCACCAGTGCAGTCATTTCCATCCCGGACGGTAAGGGCCAGTGGGAGTGCAATGACAAGGTGATCACCTTCTTGTCATACATACAGTTCAAGGTAGGCCATGGTCCCAATCGCTCAGAACCATTGGTGCTTGAAGAAGAAAGCGACTCTGTCGCGCTTTACATTGCATAGGAAAGATGGTCCACAAGCAAAACCCTAATAAACTCCTTCGCTGTGCATTGTACAGTCTGGTGCTGTGCACTCAGCAATGTGTAGAATGTGGGAATTCCCTCTGCTTCGTTGTATCCTGTCCATACCGCCTCACGATGCAGCCCAGCAAATTTTTACTTCTCAAACTCCGAAGACCGGTAGAATTTTGCAATTGTTGAAAGGAAGATTTTTTCGATCTTTTGGGAAACCATCTTTACACACTGGCCTTCTTGTTGTCCTCCAGGAACTTGGCAAGTTCTATGGCCATATCTGGAGATTTGACCTTGAAGACCCAGCGAACAAGATTGCCCTTGTAGATAAGAGCACCCCTGACAGCACCGCTCTTAGTGGAAGGAATGTTCTCGTAGGTAACGCCCTCGACAAGATGAGAGTTGATGAGGATATTGGCGTTTGGCTCCACTCGAAAGACGACCCGAGTCTTGCCTGTGGTATTGTCCTTCAGAACTCGAATCTGGCCAACACCCATCGAATTCCAATCATTAGCGGCAAGTTTGGTTCCTTCGGCCATTTCTTCGTTGACAAACATCAAAGCTTTTGATCTGCCCTCCCAAAGGCAACTCTCATTTTCTTCTCCTGCTCGTGACTCCATCAATGACGCTGCCTGTGTGTCCTCAGGCGTCTCGTCAGTCTCGTTAGTGGCAACAGACTCATTGTCAGTCGTGCCAGGCGATGTGGCACGGGACGAGCCTGCAGAACTTGTACCAGATCCACCTCCCAGGTGTGAGATGGCCCCTAGAAACCCCGGTGCCGGGATGGGGACTGGTACGCCAAACTGGAACCCGACTTGATTAGTTGTCTCGGTGTCCTTAGATGCTGTGGAGGGAGTGCCGAAAAGGGAACCGAACGGTTTTTGCGTGGATGAATCTTTCTCTCCAGGAGAGGGGGCTGTGAATTGAAATGTGGGGGCATTTTGGTTCTTCTCGCCATTTGCGAATGAGATGGGGCCGCCAGCTTTCCAGGTGTTGTCGGTACCCGGTGGAGAAGTCAGAATCGATTTGGCTAAGTTGCTATTCTTCTCCACATTGCTAGGCGTGCTTGGTCGTGAACCAAAGAGACCTTCCCCAGGAACTGGGCCTCCTTTAGTAAGTCCGCCAGCAAAGATCGAGGCACCTGGTGTTGGTGTTGATGTGGTATTTGGTGCAGTGGGAGTGAAACTGAATGTGGCAGAAGGCTTGTATGTTGACTTCGTTGCACCTGCGGCTGGCGTGAGGGGTGAAAAAGTAGGAGCCTCGGGGGTAGATTTGCCAATATGAGATCCCCAGACAGAAGGCGGAAAAGAAGAGTTCTTTGCCGGCTGCAAGACAGGGCTAGATTCGCTGCCAGAATCTTTTGTGTCTCCATTAGTGAATGCGCCGTTCTTCATCGTTGGGTTGGGTTCAATCCGTTCGAACAAGCTTTTGCCTGTATTTGAATGCTTTCTTGACCGATCCAAGGCTGCTTGGAAATCATTATCGTCACCGTCATTTTCCTCTTGGTCTTCGAGAGCCTCGTCGCCTTGGTGATCATGTTCGCCCTCTTCATCATTGTCATCGCTGCTCTCAGAACCTTCTTCATCACCTCCTTCGGCCCCATCCTTAATGGATCTGTTGGACTCGCTGTCGTCATCTTCTTCGTCGTCTCCTTGTTGAGACTGATCACCACTCGTGTCCGTAGAATTGAGTGCCGCAAAAGGATTAGGAGAAGCAGCTGTGGCAGTGAATGCTGAGAAAGCAGGTCTACTCGACTCTGGGTTCTTGGCGCCTTCGGATTTTGACCCGAAATTGAAGAGGGGTTTCGGTGGTGACTTGTTGCCAGATCCAAAAGTTGGCGTGAAGCCTGCCTTTGCAATGGCATCAATTTTTGCTCTCTTCGCCTGCATCTCTTCCTCCGCCTGTTTACGGAATGCCTCCTCATCATCTTCATCAGAATCGAAATCCTCGGCTTTTCGCTTCTCTATAAGACTTTGCTCAAATTTCTCCGCATTTTCCTTTGCCTTTTGTCCGAAGGCGTTCATGAAGTTTATGTTACCCCCAACAAGCTTTGGCACTTCGAAAGTGGGCATTTTTGGAGGGGACTTGGTAGGAGTTGTTGAGGATGCTGACGTGATAGAGTGAGTTGCTTTCAAGGAGAAGGAGTTGGTGTCCTGACCAGCTTGCTCGGAGTGACCAGCCGTGGTATTTGAGCTTGCCGCAGGGATCATCTCATTCAACTGCGCTGTCGCTTTGGTCGCTTTGGATGAACCTGCTTCCTGAACAGGATTGTTGGGAGCAGGAGAAAGCGCAAATCCTGGTCCCTGGCACGCAATGCCGGTATCAAATGAAGCAACTGTAGGTTTGGACTGTGCGGAGACCTGCTGGCTATTGTCCGAGCGTGTCCGCTTGTTCTGTACGTGCCCTTCATTATTAACATCAATGCGGTCACCTTTACGCTTTGTACCTGCAACATTTCGTGTGTACATTCCCAAGGAAGCGCCTATGCTGTCTCGCGCTGCAACATAGTGCCGGACTAGGTTGTCGAAGTCGTGTGAACGAGGATCCAAGCTTGCCAGCTTTTTTTGCAAGCCAGCATTCAAAGAATGTAGACGATAGTTGCGATCATACTCCCGAAAACGCTCGGCGTCCAGATGGCTGGGAATGAAGGGCGGTGCCTTTGTGTAGACAGGGCGTTTCACAGGCTCTGAGGCCGACAACGACTGATCAACATCACCACCCATGATCTGATCCTGATTGGTTGAGCTCGATTGGAATAGATTGGACTTTTCGCTCGAGGGCTTGCTCCTAATAAGGTTCTGCGCACTCTGAGCTTGCTGGGTCTGTGCCTGGCCTAGGCGGTCGACTGAAGAGGGGATAGACGAGGGCTGTGTAGCCGCGGCTCCCGCAGGTTTGTTGCTCGTGTCCGCAGTAGGTTTGGGAGTTGTCGAGAACAGATTCGACATATTCTGCTGGTTGCTCGCGCCATTCGTGGTATTTTTGGCGGGAGAAAACAGACCACCACTTGAGACAGGCTTGGATGCATCACCTGGCTTATCCGAGCTCGCAGACTGGTGTCCGAAAGCAAAGCCGCTGGAAGGCTTTGGTTCGGACGGCTGCGGTTCTACAGCGCGGGCCGACTGTGTCGACGGTTGATTTGTCGTGCCGAAAAACGATGGCGTCTTTGACGCTGGAGCAGACCCCGCCTCTCCGGGCTTTGATACCTGGCTCGCTCCACCAAAGCTGAACGTTGGCGTAGGTGCAGGAGCAGTTTGCGTGGCATCCGTGGCCTCTGAGGTGCTTGCTGGCTTAGTCGTGGTGCCAAAGGTGAACGTCGGTTTTGGTGCTGGCGAGGCTGCTGGCAATGTATTGGCATCAAAGGATCCGGCTGGGTTGCTCGTCGTGCTGAAGCTGAATGTAGGCTTGGATACGGGAGCGATTGGTGGGGTGCCAGCGCCAGCAAACAGGTCAGCAAAAGGATTCGTTGATGCTTCTGTAGTTGCACCAGAAGAAGAGGGCGCAGAAGACTTCGCCGGTGAGGCGCTTCGCCGCTGGGTCTCAGCTGCAGGTTGCGGGGTGGTTGCGGAGCTGCCAAACAAAGAACTCGCAGCTTTTGTCTCATCGCTCTTCGCTGCGCCAAAGGAGCTGAAGGCGTTGCTTTGGGTGGAAGCAGGTTGACTTTGTCCAAAAGGAAAAGGGTTCGACGCTGTCGAAGATCCAAAAGCGACACTAGGGGTCTGGCCACTACCAGCATTGCCAGAACCAAAGATGTTGCTACTACCCGTGGTGTTAGAGGTAGCGCCGAAACTGCTGGCAGAGGCTTGACCATGAGCAGTAGTCGAACTCTGTCCAAATGCCAGTTTCGGTGGTTCCGTTGATGATTTGGTTCCAATTGCATCCCCACCTCCGAAAGATGGAAGAGGGCTCTGGGGGACCGATGTGCTCTGACCAAACCCGAAACTTGGCGCGGAGGTTGAGGCAGCGGCAGTGCTCGTGTCCTGGCCGAAAGTGAAAGACGATGCTGGACTTTGTGGTGTAGATGCCGGCTGACCGAAACCAGTAAAGGAAGGTTGGCTTTTTGAAGGTGGTCCAAAAGGGTTGTTTAGGGGTTGTGAATCTTCTGGCTTGGAAGTTCGGCCGAACAAACCTCCACCGCTAGAACCGGTAGATTCATTCGCAGTCTGATTCAAGCCGAAAGTGAACGGGCCATTCGACTGTTTTTGTGGTGTCTGAGCGAAAGTGAAGCCTGAACCCATAGTGTTGGTAGTGTTATTTGACCCAAACGCGTTTCCAAACGCAGGCTTCTTTTGAGGCGATTCCATAGAAATGTCAGGTTGTTGTGTGTTCGGTGCATCACCGGTGCCGTTCAACGATACGAAGGGATTGGGTGTGGAGGATGGCGCGCCGAAGGTGAAGGTGCTCGACTGCGGAGGCTGGAAGTTGAAGCCAGTGTTCGTTCCAGAGGGGTCCGGAGGGAAAGACTGGCTTGCGCCAAAAGAAATGCCGCCGTTGATGTTGGAAAAGGTTTGTTGGGGGGCGTCTTTTCCAAAGGGATTCGCGCTACCGATTCCGAGGGGGGGGTTTTGCGAAGTGCGGTTCGCATTGAGCCTGCCTTTCGGCACCGCAATCCTATATTCAAGTCAATGTCGTTCTTTATAGCTGGAAAACAGTGAAACAAGGGGGTAAATAGAGATGACGACTGGACGCAGTAACAGACTGCGGGTGCCAGACCTGGATGCTTCATTCCAGGAGAACAACAAAGCGTGCGCGTAGTGAAGCAGCCACCTAGCCAAGAAAATGGTACTTACTTTCTCCTGGCAAGCTGCGCAGCTGTAGACATCTTGGGCTTCTCTTGTCCAGAATCTGAGTTGGCTACCGAACCGTGCTCCTTCGTGATGTATTCTTCCGCGCCACGTTTTGGCATGTCACTACCGGAGGCCTAGTGACGGCCGAGGGAGGGAGGGAGGGAGGCAGGGAGGTTCAGTGATCGAGGCGCGTGTATCATCGAGGCGGGCACATCGGCAGGGGTATAGGTTGTGATAATGGCGGGCCTCGACAAGAGTGAATTCGACGGCCGACGAGGGTGAATGCAAGGGCGGATGGTGATGGGATCGGCTCAGCGCTGTTGTGAACCGACTGTCGAACGCCCAAAAAGATTCGAGTCCAGCAAGCTCGGGCTTGGCATGTGCCCAAATCACGTGGCGGACACCAACGAGCGGCGGTTCTCCGCAGTCCGTACTGACACCAAGCTCGTCGACGTCGCGCTTCGGATTCAACGTTAGCCAAGGTACCGTATGTATTGTTCAGACAATAATCTTTCCCTGCAAGTCGAGATGTGGCAGATGTGGCGGATGAGCAGTCGAATGGAAAACAGTTCCGTTGGTTTGGGAGATGCCTCGTCTGGGAGGAGCAACACCCGATATTTTATTCTTCGTCTCCCGCTTTCTGTAACAACTAACTGCCTGGCTTCAACTTCACAACCTTTGTTTTCTTGTGAGACATTATCACATGAGGTTGGCCGTAGGCCAGGGGTGAATAGGGCTGAGTGACCTGCTTCAACTTACCCCCCGTGTCTAATACAAGGAGTACGCTCAACACAGGCCCAGCACATTGGAGTTTCCAGGTCTTCACGCAAAGTTGAACTTTTAGTTAAGACATGAAATCTGAAACCTTGACTGCATTTAAATACTGGGGGCCTTTGCATTCATGTTAGAGATCTCAGGCTATAAATGCAAGGCAGGATTGCTGTTGCTGAGCCCGTCAGTTATGAAGGTCTTTCTCAATCGTCTTGCCGTCTAAAACGGGAGATTAAGAGGAGGGCCTCGGGTCGACAAATCGAGCAGGCAATTCTAGCATTTCATTTATTCGAACGGGGGCGGGAAATGCTATTCCCTGATGGATGTACTCCGTAGTCCAGTTCATTTTGAGGGTACAACAACAACGGCACCCATTTAGCCTAGGTGAAACAGACGACATAAAGACGAACATGATTCCAATCACGTCCAGGCACAAAGAGATTCACGCAATGCCGGTCAGAGAGCAATTAGACTACCGGGCATGGTGGCGTAGGTTGTGCTATCGGCGAAGTAGCATCACTGGAGGTGGTTCGAGATGCAGAGCCGTTGAGGTAAGACTGGCCAATTTCACAACCAGATCACAGAAACGACCTGGGAAATATGCTGTGCAACAGAAGACAGCTGGCATATTCCTCCGAGTTCGACAGCCTAGTGCCTAGTGCCTAGTACCCAGTATCCCACACGATCTAGGTAGGTATTCACCGTCTCGGAACACGTGCCTCTCAACAATCGGCATACCACACGGCGAAAAAGGATGCCTGCATCCTAGCACGGGTAGGTGGTAGGTGGTAGGCGGGGAGGAAGGCAATTGCAGTCTCAGCTGCGGGAAAACTTCCACCAAATCCAATGCTGTACGAGTAAGCTTGATGTCACGGTAATCTCACCATTGGCCGGACGAGGCCCCCGACGAGCTGCTGAACTGTGTCTCGGCGAGCTCATTCAGGGGTCGTGCTGAGCAGGAGTGACCAGCAGCCAAGGTCGCTGCAACCGAATGGGACAAATGATACATCGAGACTCAGTATTGGGCAATGCTGGGGCAGTGGCAGGTAGTAGACGAAAAGTCAACCAGCACCCCGACAGGCGGATCTTCTGTAGGTACCTGTTTCTTGTCGTCCTTCTGCGCCTACCATGGAGCTGGGGTCTCCCCGCAGTCAATATTGTGGTTGTGAACAGTGGTATTGTTGTTGTCAGCTGGGAGGGAGGCTGTACTGCCAGCATGTCCTTTGTTTAGAATTGACAGAGGCGGGGAGCCTCGCTAAACTAAACTCACTGCTGAATCTAGCCTGAACGAGCTGCCCTCCGCCTGGAAAATGGTGCTTCCAGTGGTTGCGCTGCCCGCCCAGCCTGCTGACCAAATCGCGCTGCCAGGCTGCGCCAGGGCTGGAGGCAGGGTGGGAGGCACCTGGGAGGCACCTGGGAGGGATGCAGGAGGGAGAAAATCAGGGATGCAGGGATGTTGCTTCTCCCGCCTCCCAAAATAACCCTGTTCATGCTGTTCGTGTCAGCGATTGGTGGGCGCCGTGCCGCATGTGGTTAGCATCTCACTTTCTCAGCCACAGCCACCGACCTGGACCGCAGTAACCTGGACTGCGACCGCACCTGCGTCTGCCACCACCACCACCACCACCACCACCTCACCACACACCCTCCATGCATCCCGCCTTGCAACCTCGTACATACGGCTGGATGCTCCTGCAAAATATCAGCCCGCCTACCTTAGGTACTGGCTCCTTCCCGGCCATCATGATTGATTTGTATTTATTCCGTCGTTTGTCTCTCTCTTGTCTCTCCTCATCTCTCGCTCGCACTGACTGATACACTGCATTTACAACTGCATCCCTCCGTTGCATTGGAACAATTGCTCAACCATTGACACTCGCTTCTGCCTCGCCAGCATGCTTCCCTCGTTTCTTTCCTTTCTTGCTGCTACAGCCCTCGCTTCTTGCTCGGTCGTCTCTGCCGCTCCTCAGGGTGGGCGCCATTCCCGCTCAGCCGATGCCTACCCATGGTCCGGCTGGGAATCTCAGCAGTGCAACTCCGAGACCATTAGGACGCGGGTGGACTTTAACAATATGGCTCCAGCGGATCGCAAAGCCTACACCGATGCAGTCAAGTGTCTAATGGGCAAGCCTTCGCAGCTAGACCCCGAGCAATATCCTGCCGCCATCAACCGTTACATGGACTACGCGGTGATCCACGTCAATCGCACTCAGCACGTCCACCTGGACGCCTTCTTCTTGACATGGCACCGGTACTTTTTATGGCTGTATGAAACCGACCTGCAACAAAGCTGTGGCTACACCGGTGCCTTCCCCTACTGGGACTTCGCCGCGACCGCCTCAGATCCTCATGCATTCCCCATCTTTGATGGCTCCGAGTACTCCATGTCTGGCGACGGGCTGTACGACAACACTGGTCCGACCCAGCTCGGCGCAAATTTTTCCATCCCACACGGCACTGGCGGTGGCTGCGTCACCACTGGACCCTTTGCCAATCTGATTGCTCCTATCAAATTCATCGATCCCAGCCAGCTAACTACCGGCACCCTCCCAGCCGATGCCTTTGCCTACAACGAGATCTGCCTTCAGCGAGACCTCAACGCATATGTCTCGCAGACCTACACCAACCAGGCCCAACTCGTGGCTGCCGCCCACGCCGACAACGCCTCGCAGTTTGAGTACCTGCTTAACGGCGTCATCGGTAGCTCCAGCCTGGGAATCCATTCCGGCGCACACTTCTCGGTCGGCGGCCAGATGAACAGCATCCACGTTTCCGCCCAGGATCCCATCTGGTACCCGCTGCACACCATGATTGACAAGGTCTACACCAGCTGGCAGGCCAACTACCCCGACCGTGCCTCCCAGCTCGACGGCAGCACAGGGACTGCTCTCAACACTCCACCTAGCGATGTCGTCACGCTCGACTCTGTGGAACCAGATTGGGGCTACTTCCAGCTCACCCCCATCCAGGTCCAGGAGTTGATCAGCACCACTGCAGGGCCCTTTTGCTATCAGTACGATAATGTTATTTCATAACCACGCCACCACTACCACCAACTCTGGTCACAATGAAGGCTCTCGTGTTTGCAAGGCGTACGGTAATTCACGACTCGGGATGTTTCAATGAAAGCGCATGTAATAGGTATTCCACATAATTCGGCTCCGGCAAAACGGATGAGAACAAAAAGGTGACGGATCTCACAGCATGCAGCACAAATAATGGTATGCATGACGAAAATTGACTGCACACCTTCTGTCAATCTGGCTAAATGATGTATATACATTGTGCTACCAATGCTTTATCTTCCTCAAATATCCCCTTCACGATACGTTCGTTGCTCCGTAATGTTGCCACTCCCTTCGATTCTGCTCCTACTTGCTCCGTGTGCAACCTTTCGCAAATTGCCTGGGTGCCTGGTGCCAACTGCAAGTGTTCTCAACCACTGCACGACTGGTCCGCGACAAGAGCGGAATAGTACTTGACAAGGGAACAGTTAGGAGAAGCTTTTGTGGCCACTGACATGTATTTCAAGGTTGATATCGCTGCTGAGGTTCTCATCTGAGCTCACATATAGAAGAGGACGTTTGTCCCATTTACTTCCATCCGTACAGCGGAGTTGTGCCTGCTTCCGTAATACACCTACATCTACAGTGTAGGTAGTCGACGCGAGCCATGAGGTTGGCTACCTCAAAACTAGTCCCGCCTCTTCAGACGGAACCGACTCATCCATATCCTCTCATCGGCCTGCCGTTCCAGTGCTCGTCTCATGGTCTTCGAATAGGCCTCTGCACGCTCACGCTCCTCGCGCTCGCCGACATCCTCTCCCTGTTCCAATTCACTGACCAACTCCTCGTGATTGGCGAACTGCGCGTTGGGACTCACAATGGCGACACGCTCCCCCGTCCAGATCAACAAATCGGCATCGCCGCGCTGTCCGCGCTCCGAGTTCGGAACATTGAGCGGAATGATCTTGCGCGCGACCTGGTCCCCGCTAATAGAGGCACCGGCCTGACTTACTTGGAAGTCGTTGATATTCCACTTCCGCACAAGACTGCGGCCGTCACGCTCGACCCATTTCAGCCCGCCTTCCGAATCGGAAAAAACGATCTTGGTCCCGTGCGAGGCTACGGAGAGGAGCTTGGATTTGGCTGCTTCTTGTCGGTTCTTGTAGCTGAAGAGGCTATCGTCTGGCACCAGACTACGGCTGCCCCTTCCAAGATCAAAATCGATTCCTGCTTCTTCTGTTGCGCTGGTGCTCGTGACTGAATCTGAAGTCGAGTTCCCGATGGCTCTCAAGTGCGGAAGTGAGTAAAGCTCCAGAGATCCGCGACCTCGATATTCCCCACACGCCACGAGAGTCGATGTTGCACTGACGCTCGGTGAAGCTCCGGTTGGAGGGTGCGGGATCGAGGTTAGGCCGGATAGACTTCCGCCAGAATGGATGACATATTGAAGACGGGGGAAGTACCGACGATCGTAGGACAGAATGCTGGGGAACCTGCCTCCAATGAGAATCTCATTTTCAGCGTGGTGAAGGATTGATAATGGCCCTGGTTCTACTTTGGCGTACGCCATCCAATGGTGGCTTCGATTGTGATATGGATCAGGACTCTGCGAAAGTGGTCTGTATCTTTCCAATGTTGAAGAAAGAAGATCTGGATTTCCCGAGAAATTGGGTAGAATGGCGGTTGAACGGCCTGGTGTTTCGTCCACGCGTTCATCGGAAGCGTCACTGGATCGTGTAGTCGGTACCCGGGGGTCGAGGATGTGAAGACTCCATTGAGTCCCTATTGTGAGTGGTAATTCTGGGGAGGTAGATTGCGACAAGGCTGTTATTGGATACTTGTATTTCACGCTCGAGACAACCTTGAGGATGTTGAGGTCGAATTCGTTCAGGATATTGCCGACAGCAACAAACGCCTTTCGTTGTGCAGGGAAGGTACTCATGCCGTCGACAACCAGGGACTCGCCAGGGTGGACAGCATCAGCGAACAAAGCAGATGGTTTGCTTCTGCCAAGTTCTTTGAATCCTCTTCTCCCGGATGAGTCTTCACTGAGGTCCCAGATGCAGACACTCGAGTCTTCTAGGTAACCCACCGCCTGACTAGAGCCGTCTAGAGAAGCAACGCCTTTAACCTCCAAATTGTCCGAGGATGTACCATGGAGCCAGTGGGTGTTTAGCGGAGCATGTCTGCCTTTGTATTCGGAAAACCAATCGACCTTTTCATTCCTGTCTGAAGGGTCCCATAGGTTGACTGCACGTGCTCTTTGGCTCTCTCGCACCGAATGTTCGGAGCCATCTTTGTCTCCTGTACTGTGTTGTCGCTGAGGTGGTCGATCCGATAAAGTCAGACCCTGCAATGCGCTAGTCAGAGTACTCAATGTACCGGCTTTGTTCCTCATAGAGGCGCTAGGAGATTCCTCGAAGCACTTGTACCTCCATAATGTATTGGCTCGTGCTGACTTGGACAGAGTGACGCAGGTTCGCTGCACATTGAGTAATTCCTCAGGATTGAGGTAGTCGAGAACGTCCGTCAAAATCTCCTCTGGAAGGTGCTCCATGGCTCCGTCAAGGGCATTCAGGCCTAGAAAGAGAAGTTTGGATGCAACAGTGCTTGCACAGGCCGCGGGCCAATGATAGAAGCGGGAATATAGTTGAGCCTGGAAGAAGTACGATGGAGCGAGAGTTAACGATCGGGGTCTTGCGACGCTAAGATGTCTAGTAACGTGGTATAGAAAAGGAAATCTATATGCAATACTCCGAAATGCTGAAGAAATTCAATGATGTTAGACTGTTATAAGGGTGGTGTAAGGCTGCCCAGTGTCAAGTCGAAGAATAAATACCTGGTAGGTAATGCTGGACTCGAGGAGAGAATGCAATGGAAGGGCCGCAGCCGAGAAGGCTGAAGTTGCCCCGCAGTCTGTCTGGGAGGCAGGCACGGAGGGCTTAAGGGCCTAGGGGCCTAATAAGGCCTGAGAGGCAGGTCCTAAGGATCCCCTTAATCATCTCTTAGCCACTCACTAGTAATGCCTGGGTAGGCTTAGGGCACCCCCCTAGCACCTAGCTAGAGACATGACTAAGCCAATTCCAGCCAAGAGCTGCCAGTGCCACCTGCCGTAGCAATATCGGACGATGACGAGCACGTGCAGCAAGTTTCTCTCGAGGCTCTGGAGAACCGCATTTCCAACTCGTAGGCAGGCTCCTGCGGTCGTCAACCACACCTTCTGTCTTGTGGTCTGTATCTGCGCAGTGACGGCGACAGATCCAGATGGCACCTTCCAGTTCAGCGGCCAAGAGAGGCCCAAGTGTGTTGGTCAGTCTCTTCATCCCATGCATGCCATGCTGGTTGCCGCCATGACTGACATAGAACTCAACCAGGTTTCCGACCCCCGCGAATCTCGACCTGTAGTAGGCAACCGACAACCCTCTCGCTTTGTCACTGTCGACAGCGTCCTCCAGTATGCTTCCGATATTCCATCCATGCAAAAGAGACAGCCTCAGCGGCCTCGACCATTCCGAACTGGCTCCGGCAAACCTGTCGATCCTAGGCTGACTGGCCGATATGTGGTCCCCCATATACCCTCTCGATCGACCAAGACATCCGAGAAACTGGTTTTGTTACCCGAATCAGTGGAGGAAGAAGAGGAGAGGGACGGGTTCTTGTCGGATGCAGACAAGGGCCCACCCAGAGATGACGAAGACTATCGCAAAGCCGGGAAAGAAGGTGTTAAAAGCTATGCAGAAAGGCTACCCAAGTCGAGGCGCACAGAGAATGAGCTCCCTAGAGTGACCGCGTACTGCACGGCGCAAGCATTTAAACTACAATCTGCTGCGACCTTCGTGCGACAACGGCACGGTGCGCGCGCCAAACTTTACGATGACAGCTTGTATTCTGCATACCATCTGCCGTTACTGCCTGGCAACGATGGATATCGGATCCGAAGCAGTCCTCCTGTGCAGAGTGCCAAAGGTGGAACAGTGTTGGACGAGGCCATCGAGCGCAGTGAACAGAGAGACTACCAGGAACCATACTATGCGGAAGAAGAAGAGGAGCACTCCGTCAGGGGCACATACACACCGGAAGATCATTCGAGTGACACGCAAAGCAACACCAGTGAGTCGGACCGAGCTCGTATCAATGGGCAGCGACGAGATAGCAATCCTTCCCAACGACCCAAAGGTTTAGGACCAAGTGTACCTGTTGATGCGTACCGATATGCGGAGATGTTTATCTTCAGCTACGGCGTGGTGGTGTTTTGGAATTTTACCGAAAGACAAGAGAAGGACGTTCTAGCCGACTTTGCTTTCGCGACGGTCGTTGACCCCCAGACGCATGTTGTGTCCCCGGTGTCCCTCATCACCAATCCCTTGGACGAAGAAGACTTTGAGACGGAAGAATTCCACTTTGAATACAACAACGAGATATCCCGTCCACGGGTATATAACGACATGATCACTCTACGCAGCGGAGACCACATGATCAAGCTAGCCATCAGCCACGCCATTGCACAGAGCACAAAATTGAGTTTCTTTGAGGAAACTATGGCTGCACAGATGGAAGCGGCAAAAGACGTTCCTGGCCGTCTAGCCAAGACCGGCGAACTTGGCTTGAAGCGGGAGGAGGTGATCAAGCTGCTGGGCGGCCTTTTCAAGAGTCGAGTTGAAGTCAACTTGTGTATGTTTTGCTCGTCAATATTCTCACGGGCCTGTGGCTGACCAGACTTTTCTTTATAGCATCGAACGTGCTTGATGTGCCCAACCTGATCTGGGATAGCGAACCGACACTACATCCACTGTACAACGCAGTGCGTGAGTATCTGGAAATCAAGCCTCGAATCCAAGTACTCAATGAGAGATGTCGCGTGTTCCTCGACCTGGCCGAAGTCCTGTCAGACTATATCTCCGACGACAAGATGTCGAGGATCACTTGGATTATCATCGTGCTGATTCTTATCTCCATCCTCGTGACATGCTCGGAGGTGTTTGTACGCTTTGGGATTCTTACCACAAAGGGCGTAGCAAAGGGGCAGTCTACATTGCATCGACTATCTGTGAACAGCGAGCTATAACGGCTAGCTCGAGATCATTCATCAGGCTGAGAGAATAATTGTTGTCCTATGAGCAAGGCGTCGGAAGGGAGCGTCGAATACAATACTTGTCTTTGTTTCTTCTCTCCGCAAGGAGAATCGCTTTTTGAACAGACTTCTCCTCTTAGGCCCGGTGGGGACGTGGTGCTTCGGAGGTGTCCGTGCAATTTGTGGCAAGGTATCAAGTGGTTGACCCCGATATTGCAGCTACTATTTGCCTCCTGGCTCGTCTATCTTCTCCCCTGCTGCCATCGGTGCCTTTATCCAGCAGACATGGTAACATTGCTTTGTCTCGATGCGGCATCCCAAGCATTCTCTAGCATGAAGTCTTCTCTAGCATGGCCGTGCAGACGGAGACGGCCGAAGCGCATGAAGGATGACAAGGCAGTTTGGTGGGCTGAGCCAATAGCCCTTCTCATTTGAGGTGTCCCTGGAAAGCACAATATTCCGCTGGGTTGCATTGGAGAGGGAGGCGAGCCTTGCGGATGGGGTGATCCCTCTCCTTATCTACTTGGCAGTTCCTGTGGGCGGATAGTGAGGAGACATCCTGAGATATGGGCGAGATAGACGGGGGAACTTGGAGCCTTACTGGTCAGTGGCGAGGTTGAACTAGGCCAGATGATGATCTATTCGATGCCGAGCATTAGCAACGTTACAATAAAGATGATATTACCCACCCTCGATATCGCTGGGATGGCAGGAGTTGGCTGTAACAGCCTGGTTCGATGGGCTTTGACAACTGGTCACTGGTGGGACTCGCGAGCCTTAGTCTAGCGTCCTCTCCAGATGTTCCATACCCGGTACAACCTTGCACCACGCTCACGCTCACTCTCCCCGCTGTCCAGTGTCCTCCTCCGTCCGGCTTGGTCGAGTCCAGAGATCGGATCCTGTGCCGCACTACTATAAAGTGTCAAGTGTCTCTGCTGCCTACCATGTCGCCGTGGCTGATCACTTTCGTCGCCTTTGTGCCGGTCCTTCTGGTCGCCTTGTCCTTTCTGCGCTCCACCCTTCTGTCGAAATACCTTGACGACAGCACTCAGAAGAGGCAGCCAGGATGAGCACTGCTCCTGAGGAAGAAAAACAGGCTCACTCTGTTGATGCTCCTGCCGAGGTGGGGGATCGCAGGCACACGCACCACGACATCCCTGACCATGGCCAGAATCCCTCAATGCAGCAGGGAGTCGAGGAGAATCCGGATTTGACTCTACACTACTCGCACGAGCACCAGCACCAGCACCTGCACCACGGTCAGCCCTCTCTTGTAGGTCGCCATGATGAAGTCCTGTACGCCCAAGGAACAACGTTTGACCGGTCAACCATTAAAGACCCTGGCCCTCAAGACTACATCAAACATCATCTACGGCCAGAGCATGCGGACGAAAGGGATTTTGTAGCCGTGGACGCAGAAAAGGGAGTCATTGACTCAACTCGTATAGAGTCCGAGGGGGAAGGAAACAGCCACAGCCTGTCGAGCTTGTATTCCAAATACAAGATCTTTGTGCATCTCTTTATCTGGCTGCTATTCACCGGGTAAGTTCGCTCAGCCCTATCCCCGTTTCGCCCGGTTCCAGTCTGATGCCAATATAGTTGGTGGATCGCTGGCTTGGTCCTGCATCGCTATGATCTCGGGTGGCTGATCCCTTTCCTCCTGTATCTGGCCATCACTTTACGACTCATCTTTTTGTGGGTGCCCATCACCATTGTCACTGTACCTATGCACTTTGTGTGGAACAACACTGGCGTGAGAGTCTATCAGATGATCCCCGACAGATTGCGGATCCCCCTTGCTGCTCTCGTGGCGATTGCGGTCATCTTGGTTGGTTCCTTTGTCTCAGAAGAGTCTGCAGACAATACCCGCGGTAACCGTGGCATTTCTCTCCTCGGTCTGGCTGTGATGATTGCCCTCCTCTGGCTCACTTCCCGAGACCGCCGCAAGATTCGGTGGCACACTGTGATCGGGGGCATGTTGACTCAGTTTGTCATTGCAGTCTTCGTGCTTCGGACCAAGGCTGGCTACGACATCTTCAACTTCATCTCCGGTCTGGCTCGAGACTTGCTCGGCTTTGCCGACCAGGGCACCTCATTTTTGACAGCTGACTCAGTGATCGACCTCCACTGGTTCCTGACTGGAGTGGTCCCTCCCATTGTTTTCTTCGTGGCGCTGGTCCAGGTCTTGTACTATCTCGGGGTCCTCCAATGGTTCATTGGGAAGTTCGCCGTTTTCTTCTTCTGGAGCTTGCGAGTCTCTGGTGCAGAGGCCGTAGTGGCCGCAGCATCTCCTTTCATTGGCCAGGGTGAATCTGCCATGTTGATCCGCCCCTTTGTGCCTCATTTGACGCTGGCTGAAATCCACCAAGTCATGACTTCTGGATTTGCTACCATTGCGGGATCCGTGCTGGTGTCATATATCTCGCTCGGTCTCAATCCTCAAGCTCTGGTGTCTTCTTGCATCATGTCTATTCCAGCATCGCTGGCCGTCTCCAAGATGAGATACCCGGAAACAGAGGAAACTATCACTTCTGGCCGTGTGGTCATCCCCGATGACGACGAGCATCGGGCATCGAATGCTCTCCATGCTTTCGCCAATGGTGCATGGCTCGGGATCAAGATTGCCGGCATGATCGTGGCCACCTTGCTGTGCATTATCGCCCTGATCGGGTTGATCAACGGTCTTCTTGGATGGTGGGGACGGTACGTCGTAGTTGCCTTGCCATTGCTGACGATGGACCAAACTGACCGACGGATGACTTGACAGATACATTGACATCACCCAGGACGGCAAGCCGTATCTCACTCTGCAGCTCATTCTCGGCTACATCTGCTATCCCGTGGCCTTCCTACTGGGCGTGCCCAGAGACGACCTACTCCCAGTTGCACAGCTCATTGGAATCAAGGTCGTTGCCAACGAGTTCGTCGCCTACAACTCGCTCACCTCGGAGCCACAATACATCAACCTGAGCCCTCGATCCAGGCTGATTGCCACCTACGCTCTTTGCGGTCAGTACCACCACATCTATAAGCAGATCTCAGATGCTTTTGTCAGCTTGTCCATCTTGCCTTTACTGACATTTGTGGCGCAGGCTTCGGAAATTTCGGGTCATTGGGCACGCAGATTGGTGTCTTGTCTCAAATCGCTCCATCACGAAGTGGCGACGTCTCGCGTGTCGCTCTCTCTGCCCTGTTTTCCGGCGTGCTCTCGACTCTGACCTCTGCGTCCATTGCCGGCTTGCTGGTTACGGATCAAGTGACACTTGAGCAACAGTCTTCATAGGCCGAGGCCCGATCGTACCGTACAAGCAGCGTGCAACAGAGACATGAGCACGACTGCATGCTGGGCTCTGGCCTGCCCGTCATTTGCAAATATATGCTTTGACGTATACAGAATCCTCTCCGCTGCATTTCCTGTAGAGTCGTGCCGGACCAATCTATCCTATCCTGTTACTCTTCACGGTCGAGCCCTGCCCGAGTGATTGTTTCGAACCCCATGACATGAGCTTATACCTGCCTAGATGTTAGATGGAATCGCTCCCTGCCACCTCCAGTAAGATACGCGGTCTGTCTTCTCTTCTAGGGGGACACATTTTGATCGTGTATACGAAACACGCCGGCTATGAATTGCTGTAAAATAGAAATAGATACTTTTGAGAGCCGTTCCAACACTTGGATTCGGTTCCGTTCCCTTCCGATTGGGTTATAGGTCACCTGGTGAGCGGCATATAGTACTCTATGCGCTCTTTCGATGGGAAAAGAAAACTCAATCCAACTCGAGCGCTCTTATGATGACACTGGCTCGTGATGATCCGGGATCCCTCTGGGCTATTACAATGACATTATCGATATTGCTCGGCTCGGTCGTGAACTCCTAGCAGGGGCGTACTCTGACTGGCTTCGGTGTTGGTGCGACTCAAGACTTGCGCATCCGTATCCGTATCCGTGTCAGGTGCATTCTCAGCCTCCTCGGCAACGCTTACCCGCTCCTGCTCACGAGCGAGATCGGCCATTTCGCTCATGCCGTACCACGCGACCACACCCGTGCCTAACAAGCCGGCGAGGATACTGAAGGCCATGGCGACAATTCCCTTGGTGGTGAACCCGTCGGGTAAGGGGGCGGGCGGTTTCGGGGCGTCGGATAGGTCGAGAAGAGATTCGGTTCTGCCGGCGGCGTTGCCGGCGGTCGGCCAGGCGGGGTCCGTGGCGGTGCAGGCGGAGAGGTGGTCGGCTGGGATGGAGATGGTGCGCTGGAGTGTCAAGGGGCTCTGTTGGACACGATGGTTGTTAGCACGACCAACCCTATCATGACCAGGACCACAACTAGAAAATACTAGTCGTCGCTGGGACCGAGTCCTCCATACTCTCAGGGCGGACTTACCTCGACAAAAGTCATGATCAAACCCGACTCGACGTGCCACTCGATATGGCAATGGAACAACCACACTCCGGGATTATCGCTCCTGAAGCGCATGACGGCATGTCCGTTGGGCCTGACGAGCAGGGTGTCCCGCTTCATGGGCTGGCGCGGGAGCTGGACGGTACCATTAAGGACAAGTGCGGAATCGTAGTCGCCGGCACTTTCGTTGCTGCGGACAACGGCCTGGAAGGCGTGGCCGTGCAAGTGGAACGGATGTTTGCCGTCGTCTCGGTTGTTGAGGACGATCTCAATGATGTCGTTGTGGCCCAGCACATGTGGTTGCGTATTGACCCCGTACACGGTTGGGTCGGCGGCCAGGTCGCCTGTCGTCAGGGCGGTGTAGAGACTGGGCACTTTAGGCTGGACGTACGTGATGCCGCTGAAGAAGGCGTAATTCTACGTCAATGCCCCCGAAGATAGATTAGTTCCGAGCTGGTCCGGGGGCGGAAAAGAAAGGCATTTATGTTCCTTACCGCGCCATCGCCCAAATTGTCCATGACCACGTCAAGTTGTACGACCAGGTCAGGATCCTCGTACGGTTCTTCGCCGTCGGTGGGGACCAGATGCATGTCGTCGAAGGGCTCGAACGACTCGATTTCTTTCGGTGTCGGCACGGGCTTGGACTCGTCATAAACCAGAAACGAAGTGACATTCGGGTTCAGGCCAGGCGGGATCTGGTCGAACAGGTCTTGGTCCATAGAGCCCACAATGGCATAGTTGCTGTCCGTTTCGTTCAGGGTCGTCAGAAGCACCCCATACCGCTGGCCAGCGGTCAAGTAGAGCATGCTGGCTTCGGCGGGCTCGTGATAAATGCCGTCGACCTCGATGATGCGAAACGTGTGGCCTTCAATCCAGAAATACTGGGCGGCAAATGCTGCCATGTTGATGATGCGCAGAAAGTATGTCCGGCCCGGTTTGATGGAGATCTTTAGATTTTGTGTGTCATTCATCAATGCCGACTGGGGAACTGTGGGTTAAGCGGCTATCAGTGATGGTTCGAGGCGAACAACGAATGGATCCGTATATTGAAACCAGGTGAACTTGCCAGGCTCTGCTCCCGTAGGATTGGTCACGCTCATGAACTTTTTGACTAGGTCGGACATTGACGCATGGTACCAGTCAGAGAGTGTCAAGACCAACTCTTCGTCGTACAGATCGGCGTATGGGCTCTCGGGGTCATGAATGACGAGAGGGCCGCGCAGTCCGTCAGGATACTGGCTGCTGACGTGCGAATGGTACCAGTACGTGCCTGCTTGGGTGATCTGTCGTGAATCAGCCTTGAATCGACTCATCAGATACAGGCGCCCCCAACGTTGAAATCATATTGGAAACTGGACCCTGGCGGTATGGGGCATTGGGTGACACCTCCAACGCCATCCATGTGGGTGGTGCCGTTCATGTAGAGACCGTGGAAGTGGAGCGAAGTCGACTGGTTGCCTAGGTCGTTCTTCACATTTACAATCACTCTGTCACCAACAGTGGCTTCGATTCGAGGAAGTGGCCATTGTCCATTGATGCCAATGGTTGGCCGGTCCAACTGTCCATCGGGATTTGCGAGAACCCAGCCAACGGTGAAATTGTACACCCGAGTGCCTGCCCTGGCAAACGACAACAAGAGTGAGAAAATCACAAGAAGGAAAGACAGCGCCATGACGGTGAGGTTCAAGACATTGATGATGTGATTCACTGAGATCAGATAAGATCGGATGAAGGAAGGTTGCTCTCCCAATGCCAAATGTAGAATATTGCCTCGCAGCTCGCAGACCTGACTCCAGACCGGAAGGAAAGAACACTCTCAGGGTCGGGCCTAACATGACAGCCTTAGGGAGAGTGGCGCCCAGAGTGCCGCTTCCAAGGCCGACAGCAACGCCTCAGGATCACCGCTTTCACGGGCCGCGCTTTTAGGTCCCATATATGTACAGCCTAGAGGGCATTGAGGTAAGTATGGAAACGGAGGGTTGCCCATGCAGTGGCGTGTGGAGTGGGCGGGATGGTCAAAGCAGCTCGAACCGGAGCTCCCATTCAAGTTGCCAAGTTGCCGCAATTGAACTGGAATTGCTTGGCCGGCGTCGGGGCCCCGGGGCTCAATTGCAGTGCCAGCGCCAGCGTATGTAGGTAGGACGGCGGATCTGATAAGAGGAAGCCATCAGATCATCTTGTCTAATCGCGTCTAGACCCGGTGTTCCTCTTCAGATCCAGCCTCGACTTAGTCCAGCTCCCTTGCTCAGGAGTCGTACTGTACAATGGAGGTTCGCTGTAGAGATTGAAGCAGATGTGCTCAGCGTGGTCCATTCCCCACGACCCCGCTGGACTGCCCTTCTTAGCCTTAGACTCCCGCGAAGCCCTTTGGAGGAGTCTTCCGAGCGCCAGACAGCGACATCGGCGAACGGTGGACTGACCACGAAACGATGGTTCCTTCTTCTCGAGGAATTGCCTGGCGGCCGAGTCCGTCTGCCGTGCCGACACATTTCCGTTGATGTGCTTCAGACCTAAAGACAGCGTCGCTCGGGCGGACGCGACCCACCTACTTCATCTGTGCTGTGGCGGTCGTTCAGCCCTCCTCGCTTCCTTCTCAAACCAAGACAAGTCTGTCTAGAAAGTGTGAGAGCACATATTGATCATAGACCAAGCCTATCGTCGATTGAGTCGCATCTAACTCGCGGCAGTGCCGGCTTAGTAACATGCCCGACATCTTCGCTGTCCCAGTCTTCTTCATTGTCTTCAGAGAGACGCTCGAGACGAGTATCGTTGTCTCGGTCTTGCTCTCCTTCCTGAAACAACAACTGGGCCCTGAACGAGACAAGGACGTGTACAGGAAACTCCGCAACCAAGTGAGTTAGTCGCTGACCGTTCTTGTCTTACCCAAGTTTAACCCATTTGTCCTCCGGTAGATCTGGTATGGCACACTGATAGGGTTCGTCATTTGTTTGATGGTCGGTTGCGGCCTCATCGGCGCCTTCTATGGCATTGGGAAGGACATGTGGGCCTCAGCCGAGTATATCTGGGAAGGTGTCTTTGCTCTCATTGCCGCCCTGGTCATTGCGGTCATGGGCGCTGCTCTCTTGCGCGTTTCCAAAATGCAGGACAAGTGGCGTCTCAAACTCGCCAAAGCCCTCGAGGCCAAGGACAACAAGAACGAAAGACTCGGCAACCGGTTCAAGCTGTGGGCGGAGAAGTATGCCATGTTCCTGCTGCCCTTCATCACGATCCTTCGTGAAGGTCTCGAAGCCGTCGTGTTTGTGGGTGGCGTCAGTTTAGGTCTGCCTGCCAGTTCGATCCCGCTAGCCACGGTTTGCGGCTTAGCTGCTGGCTGCGCTGTAGGCTTTTTCATCTACAAGGGCGGCAATAGGGCTCCATTGCAGGTCTTCCTCATCGTGAGCACCTGCTTTCTCTACCTCGTGGCTGCCGGCCTCTTCTCCCGGGGTGTTTGGTATCTTGAAGCGGATGCCTGGAACAAAGCCACCGGGGGCGATGCCGCCGAGAATGGCTCCGGCCCTGGGTCTTATGACATCCGGAAGAGTGTTTGGCATGTCAACTGTTGCAATCCAGTGTTGAACGGTGGTGGGGGCTGGGGTATCTTCAATGCCCTACTCGGCTGGCAAAACAGTGCCACTTACGGCAGCGTTATCAGCTATATTGTCTTCTGGACCGTGGTCGTTGTTAGTCTCATCTTGGTGAGATTCAAGGAATCCAGAGGCCATTATCCTTTTATGACGACCAAAGCGACCAACGCCGTCCTCCTGAAGAAAAGGCAGACCGACGATGCCACGAGTATTACGGGTCTTCTTAGGTCGGAGGAAACCCGGAGCAACGCGTGATGGGTCCTGGTCGTCGAAAGGCGGAAACAGGAGAGGTGTCTGGAACGGTCGAACCAGGAAGCGTCTTCTGTACGCAGGGACAGGGACATTGCATGGCTGAACGAGGAGGCAAGGGCGTGACAACCGTTCGTACCTAAGGGTAGTTAGCAGGAGATTGACGTTGGGTTGCATCCGTTGAAATGCTCTCTGCGAAGTAAGTAGCTGACCAGACTACATACGCCATATCATATCACCGTTGACCGCTAAACATTCTTCACGCGCACCTACAATGGCCAAAGACGTTGTGACCTGAGCCCTTTCATTGGCGCTCCGAGTTCACAAGTCGGAGCTACGATTGTCCTAGTCAACGAAAGGAGCAATGAAGGGCGGTCTGCTGCGGGTCTGTTCAATGGCTTGTATTGCTCACGCAGCGGTGGCTTGTCAATTGCAAGTAGCAGAGACGTACATGAAGGTCCTCATCGGAGGATTGCGCCTGCGATTGTGCGTCTTCGCAAACGCCCCGCTGTTGTCTTGCCTCACGCGCTGAACAAAGATGAAAGAGAATCAGTCTCCTAAGCCCGCCCCAAATTCCAGCCAGCTAAACAGACGACAAATGACAAAAACGCGCTTTCCCCTGCCCGCTCATATCGAGCTAGAATTCTTTCAGCATAGAATGTTACCTACAGTGAACTGCAACCCACCCGCCCTCCGTTGCAGTCACTATAAGTTATCTATCTGTCATGGTGTTTTGTCGCACCCACTGAAAGGAAGCGGACTAATAATCTCCAGTTGAGAGACCGAATCCAGAACGTATGCAAGGCGACAAGCCATGCTAGGTGCGACAAAAGCTAGGGTTAGTAGTACAGGGGAATAGGAGAATGCAACGATGGGTCTTGACGGAGACGGAAATCCGGGACCGGGAGGTAAAATGCGAGGGGTCGCGGTGAGAAATAGCGTGATAACTACAATCGTGACCTAGTCAGTTAGTCTCTGCCGGGGTTAGTAGGGGGGCGCAGTCTTCTCCGGTTGAAGCTGAGCGTCATCGAATCGTTCGCGCCGTAGGGAGGACGGTTGCGGAAGGGTGAAAACGTCAGCTAGCAGATGCAAGATCAACAAGCCACAGAGTCATGACGGCCGCCGGCGTTTTGGATCGGGTGTGTCCAAGTCGAGTAGATCGAGCTCGTCGTCGTCATCGACCTTTCGCTTCGCGTGGTTGGCCTTAGACGGGGTGACAGGAGGACTTGCAAGGCTGGGAGGCTCGGGAATAGTTGCGGATGTTGCATCATGGCCGTGGGACGCTGACTGAGCATCATTATCTGCCGGGTGGAATGGATCCTCGCTAGACTGATTGTGCTCGTCGCTGATTTGCAAGGTCGGAGATTTGGCTTCGGGCTCAAGTGGTAGGACGACATTGTTAGCTTCATCTTGGACTCCTGCTTCCTGGACAAAGATTTCTTCGTCACTATAGGGACCAAGGTCTTCCCCATCTGCTTGCTCCGCACCGTTATCATGTTCGAACAGATCTTCGACTTGTTCAAATGAGTCATCAAAAGAGTCGTGCTTTTCAACTCCAAATGCATCTTCAACGCCTTCCAGCGTTTCATTCTCGGCTTGCTCGGCTTCGACGGTATGTGAACTGTTCGTCTCATACTCCTGGGCCTCAAAGTGGTCAGCAATATCGAGGTACGCTTCGTGCTCGCTGCCGTCGGCTTGGAAGGGTTGCTCCTCCTCGTCAAGTGCGTGAGCCTTATCGTCTGTAGCCGCTTGCTCAGGTTTCTGCGTGGGAGATGGTTCGGAACGGTCTAGCTGTTCAACAGACCCCTGAGGAGCCTCTTCCGATACAGCAGTATCAAAGGCTTGACCCGGTGAATTGGCTACGGTCCATTCAACATCCTCGCCCTCTGGTGCAGCCACATCAAACTGATGATCAACCTCGGCCTCAAGAGTAGTTGGCTGCTCGTTCGATACATTTTCATTGCTGTGTTCTTCAATAGGGGCTTCCTGGTTGCTGTCGCCTTGTTGATCATCGCGGTAATGGGCTGCATTAGCATGCTCGTCCTCAGCTTCAGGGGTATCAATATGGTCGGCGGCTATTTCCGAAAATGTCCTACCCTCATGACTCGAGGAGACGAGATAGGAATATTGAGAAGCCAAGCTCACACGGCTGCTCAAATGACAGTATAGAGGGTGTATCTCTTGACCTTCATCGTTGCGACAGAGCTGTAAATACACGTCAAGGATCTGGGACAAGGTGATCTGAGCGGCATATTTTGAATCTTCGCAGATATGGAGGCCTAATGATGTGATGTCAAGCACAAGCTCGTCGTGGTGGTCCAGAGTGCCCGTCAATATGTCGCGACATGCTGCAAGAAGCTTGTCCAAAGGCTCAAAGACAAGGGAAGAGTCGGCAAGGAAGTACACCGACGACTCATCCCCGATCATGGGTGGGAACAGAGACATCTCTTCATCCAAATACAGCAACGTCACGGGATGCACAGCTTTGACACTATCTTTTTGGGATCCACTCAGGCCCTCTGCGACATGCAGCTGCAACTCTGTAACTGCTTTATCACGCTCTTGCAGAACGGGAGTTTCAGCCATTTCAGCTGTTTCGGTATGCTCTGGCACTTGTTCGACATTCTCCGATTCGACGTAGGATTCGACAACTTGAACTTCTTGAAGGAACTCGATGGAACTTCCAGTGTGGTTCTCTTGGGTGGTCAGTTCCTGTTCGAGGGAGTCGTCACCACCATCCTGCGCTTTTGGTTGCACCAAAGCTTCTGCTGAGCTTTCGGTACTGGTAAATCCGGCATTTGCTGATTCTTGTTCAGCGTCTTCAAGGTTCACCTGGGCGTCTGTTCTGGTGTCGGCTTCTGGTTCGTTAGTATCTAGATGGTGCGGGTCCTGCTCGTCAGGCTGTTCTTCAGTATCATCCAAGATGACCTCCGGTTCCAGCTCTTGGTACTGTGGTGGCTCTTGCTGAGACTTAAATTCCAGGGACTCTTCTACCTGTTCGATGGCATGCTCGATGTCTTCCTCTTCTTCATATAAAATGTCCTCATCTTCATCGACTCGAGGTTCGTCGGCAAAGGCATCCATGTTGAAATCCTCGTCTCGGGGGACAGGTGGATTAGTTGCATTTTCGTCATCGACCATGTCATCATCAGGTAGGGTTTCCTCGAGTTGGTCCTGCATAATGTCACTGCCAACCTCTGCTGGCTGGACAGCATCATCGACCATATCGTCGTGTAGAGACTCTATGATGGAGGGTTCACGAATTGAATCAAGCTCCACGTCGAAGTCGTCAGGCTGGAGGAAGGGCGATGATGCTACGTCCATCTTATCATCAAGATGTGATGGGTTCATATTTTGGAATGCGAATGGGATTGCGCTCATTGCTGGTCAACAGGCGAATCCACGACGGCTTAACGCCTGCACAAAGTGGTGGGTGTCTTCTTCCTCGTGTTGCAGATGTTCTCGCTTCTGCCAGATGGTATCGGCGCAGTTCGGAACGGAAATCAATAACTAGTAGGGTAGAGTGGTGAAAGGAAATAAGCGCGGATGGCAAGGACTGCAAGAGGTGCGGGATGTCGAGATCACAAATCTCTGAAGAAGAGAAGACACCATGGACTTCTTGGATACTGGTTTCGCGTTCAGTGCTGTATGAGCAGAAACATGGCAGTGTGCGCAGTGGAAACGAGAATGGCGAAGGAGTGAAAAAGGGCTGGAGAGATCGATTTCAAGTCGTACAGGCACCTAATAACAAGGACTTTTATTAGGCACCTGCGCTGCAGCGAACTTGAACTTGAAGTGTGACTTTCGAAGCTAGACTGGACAAAGTTAGACACCACCAGACTACTTCAAAGCAGCGTCTCATCACACCAATCAGGTAATACTCTACATTGTCATTAAACCACGAAATCGCACTCGCTGTCCTCTCCCTACACCCGCTACGACTTCGACACTAAACCAACCCGCACGACTTTATCCATCTCAGTCGGCAGCCATGGTACGCAACCCAGCACTCAATCGTCCTTGCACAATGCTAATATTGACAGGTTATCCTCGCGGCCTCCGTATGCACAAGGGGCGGCAAGCCCCTACTGTCCCGCCAGTTCAGAGAGATCCAGAAGTCCAGAGTGGAAGCACTCCTGGCGTCATTTCCCAAACTCGCCGATTCCTCGACACAGCATACAACCGTGGAACAAGAAAATGTCCGCTTCGTCTATCAGCCGCTGGACGAGCTGTACCTCGTCCTGATCACCAACAAGAACTCCAACATCCTACAAGACATAGACAGCCTGCACTTGTTTGGCCAGGTGGTGACATCGATCTGTAAGAGAGTTGACGAACGCGAGATCCTGCGCAATGCATTCGAACTGCTTAGTGCCTTTGACGAGCTCGTCACGATGGGCTACCGAGAGAACCTGTCGCTGAGCCAGATCAAGACGTTCCTGGAAATGGAGTCTCATGAGGAGCGCATTCAAGAGATCATTGCGCGTAACAAGGAGCTTGAAGCCTCGGAGGAGCGGAAACGCAAGGCCAAACAGCTCGAAATGCAGAGAAAGGAAGCAGCGCGCTCTGCCGCGTATGGAAGAGGTGTCGCGCCCAAGATTTCGCAACAGCCCACATACACTGTCCCAGCACGGCCAGAAGCACCATACGACACGTACGAAGCCGAAAAGAATAAGATCACAAGCAAGTTCGCAGCCTCGCGCCCCACAAAGGGCATGCAATTGGGGAAGAAATCAAAGACGTCCAATGCCTTTGCTAAAGTCCAACAAGAGCTCGGTCCGGGTGCCGTTGACGCTGAACAGCACACCTCATCAGATCACCTCGAGACCGACCTCCCAGACCGTACCCTCGCAACCACCTCAGCCCACCAGCAGACTCTCTCCGCCGCCACCACTCCAATCCTCATCTCCCTCACAGAGACGCTGAGTGCCAAGCTCACTCGAGAAGGAGCACTGAAGTCTTTCGAAGTCAAAGGCGACCTACAACTCAAAATCACAGACCCGGCTCTTACGAAGCTAGCTTTGTCCGTCCGCGCAGTCGAGGGCCCACTGAAGGCGCAGTTCCGCCCACATCCCAATGTGGACAAAAACCTGTTCTCCTCGCAAAAGCTGATTCAGCTGAAAGACACCAGCAAACGCTTCCCAACAAACAACAGCATTGGCGTTCTGCGTTGGCGCGCCACTGCTGCTGCAGACACCCCTGACGTTCTCCCCATCACTTTCACAGCGTGGGTCAGCAAGTCCGACGACAGCTACACGATCACGATCGAGTACGAACTCACCCATCCGGACCTCACACTGCGCGATGTCACAGTGACGATCCCGTACTCAACGGCCGAGCCGGCCGTCTCCTCGTTCGACGCCATTTACCAGGTAACGGGCGACTCGCTAGAATGGACGATCGGAACGATCGACTCGGACAATCCTAGTGGCAGCTTCGAGTTCGAGGCGCAGACAGACGATGATGCAGAGTTCTTCCCAATGACTGTGGGCTTCGAGATGAGCCGGCCTTTTGTCGAAGTCGACGTCAACGGTGCCCGGCTACTTGAATTGGACGAAGAGGTCAATTTTGAAAAAGCCGTCAAGGCTACTGCCGACGGCTTTTTGATTGAGTAGATGCAATCAAAGCTGCCTCACAAGCACACGGTGGGAGAGGATTCATCATGTATGGCTGGCTTCGAATAACGGGAGGCGGGTTGACTACCTTAGAACCCGCTACCAATTATTCTCATTGATGCCGGTTTACCATCAGCTACGACGCGGAGTCGGATGTCTAAAGGATGTCAGATTCGCAATGTGGCGGGTTCACTTTAGCACCCTTATATAGCTATTGCATACGAGATAGAACGCTCCAAGCACGCAAATGCCTATGTATGACGCACGGGACAACGACTGGACACCACGAAACCACCATGCTATGCAACCACTCGGTAGGTGCAAGGCTGTCGCTCTTGTAGAAGGGTGACGCTATGTGCCACGGCCTGTCCTATAGCCAGAGCAACCTTTTTACACCAGATCATAGATCGTGTATGTTTAATGCTATCTCTTTCTCCTTCCTTCTACTATCATGCTGGTTTCCCCCCCGCCGGGTGAAGTAATCTTCGTTCTCCGGGACCACATTTCGACCGGGTTCTCATCACGTTCTGGACCGCCCTGAACAAATGTATAACCGCATGCGTGGTCCCGAAATGCTTCGTTGTGCTTGATTTCCTCGAAGCTCTTCGCATCGTCATCACACTGGTGAAGGTGACATACTGTCGACGGTATTCGTGCCGATCGCATGTGGACTTATCCAATCATGAGGCCTCGGGCTGGAGGAAACCATTTCGTTTCATCCGCAAGAGTATACCTGTTCATATCGTTCCTCTGTACACTCACGACTAGATGAGACTCCAGATTCCGGCCATGCCTATTGAAGAAACCCGGGCAGACTAGGTCCATCTTAAGCGATTTTGTAGGCGAACTGGTCATGCTTCAATGAGAAAAGCAAGGATGTCAGGTAGTATTTATGATGCCGGAATGAGTTGTAAGTAGTGTCGGGGGTGGCATCAGAATAACAAGATTGCACCCTATCTCGAAGGCCAGATACCGTTGTCGATCAGACGGAACAAATCCCATTCAGGAGCATTTTCGGTCTTGAAGTTCCAGAAGATCCAGCCTTGAACCTTGGACTCAAACACATTGATTTGAGCGTTGATGTAATTGGTCGTTGCGGATCTTTGATCGCTGCTCCATTGATCGATGGAATTGATGTTTGTACATGAGCCCACGTAGGTCGATGAATCGTAGGGTTTGGAATATGATCCGTCATATCGAGCGCCGACTCCCCAGCCATTGAGAGCAGGAGCGCAATCGGTCATGGCGGCTGACCATTCGCCACAGATGACAAACTTATCAAAGCCTTGAGCCCATTTGTTGGCATTCGAGTAGACGTAGTCCACATGTTCCTGCGGCGACATTGCCACAAACTCGTTGGTGAAAGCTTGATATTCGTGGTGGTCGATAATGGCCCCTGAGGTTCCTTGGCCAGTCAGGAAGCCGTTCCATTCGGAAGGATCACTGAATCCGTCATGAATGATCACTGGAGTCTGCCCAGAACCTCGGACTATATCGAAGCCTGATTGGTAGTACCCTTGAGTTGCTGATCTTCCGCCTGACAGACCTGCCATGTAGGGCTCATTCAACAGTTCAATACCGGCAACCACATCAGCGTAGTCTGAAGTTCCATACTTCTGCGAGATCTGAGAAATCACTCCAAGCGTGGCATCGATAGAATCCCGGGTCGTCCAACCAGGGGTTGAGGTGCGCTGGCCGGAGTTATCATAGCCATTTTGTGACAGTGGTGCGCCTAGTGGGAAGTCGTCAGTCATGCTTGTTCTTGCACTCATAAATAACTACACGATGCAACACCGGGGCACTTACCATGGAGATCAATCCAGACCTTCAAGCCGGTCTGTCGAGCCCAGCTAATGGCCGCGTCGAGGTAATCCTCAGCGCCTTGGATGTACGGGTCTTGCTCATATTTCTGGAAAGCCCAGTACCCTATAGGAATGCGCACCAAGTTGAAGCCGTTGCTGGCAATTTTCTGAAAATCACCTATAGATACCCAGCTATCCCAGTGACTGCGCAGGATCTCTTCGGCGTTGGAGGCCTGCTGGCAGAGGGTATATTCGTCAACGACGCTGTTGCCAAACTGTTCAAAGATGGATGGCGTGATCCAAGGCTCAAGCACGAGCCAGCCTCCAATGTTGACGCCTCGCACCGGTGTTGACCCATAGGCAAATTGCCGTTTAGTGAGAGGTGAACTGGGAATGTCAGTCAGGCTCCTGTTCTTTCTGACCCAAAATCAATCGCCCTGAATGACCTGACCTACCCTGACGCCGCAGAAGCTGCTAGAACTGAAAGAAAGACCTTCCCAGCCCGCATGGTAAATATCAAGCGTCTGAGAAAGGGAAAACAAAGTGGATAAAATCCGGTAACCTCAATTCACAGACTGTTTCAATGCTTGAGGCCGATCCCCGACCACAGAGCGGAGGTCAATTGCTCTTTGACCGGGCAGTGCTACCTTTATGCGATGAAAAACGAGGGTAGCCCAAGTAGCAATGATGACGGCGTCGCAGCAAGAGGATTGGTTCAGGAAGGAGGCACTTGACCTGACATGAGGGGAAATTGGAAGATCACCTGGTATAGAAACGAGGAGGCAGACATGGGATGAGGTTGCAGCAGACCTGATTTAACGGGTCTTAATGCTGTCGATCAAGGTATATCCCAGGAGAGACAATGGATCGATCAGTAATGACCAGTACTTCGAACGGGGGAGGAATGCTGGACTAGGTATAGATTATTGGCAACCATTGTGCACCATGCATTCTCTTTCACATAGCCCTAGATAGCGGGCCGGTGGAAGGGCTAGACGATGGTCAGGCGGATTGTGGGTATGAGCATGCTGGAGTCCACGATCGTCAATGGGTGGAATTGGCAGGTGGGTATGTACTCCGTACGTTGGGCCTTTCCCAGTGCGATCGTGATCCTGATCCTGTTCGGCTGGAACACAGGACGAGCAGCTCAGTGAGCCAGGTGGAGCAGAAGACTCCGCGGAAGCCATGCCATGCAGCTGGCCGTTCGAGACACTCGGGAACTCGTGGGAAGCCGAGAGGGATTCGGGTCGGCAGAGGACGTTTCGTGGCATCCCGTTGGTGGGCTCTGGCAAGAAGCGTGGGTAAGGTGTTGGTGCGCTGGTGAGCTCGGGTTGGGTAACGAAAGACGAGGGAGCGTGAGCGGAGCGGAATGAGTCGAGCGTTTGAAACCGAAACCAGGCAACAGCAGGTGAGGTGGAGAGGGACAACGGTCAGTGCGGACAGCCAGGGTCAAAGGATGAGCAGGGCATTCTATTCCCAGCACAACCAGCGCAGACGCCAGAGCAACAGCGCAACAGAGCACAGAGCACGGTGCAGCCATCCTACGTAAAGGTAAGGTCCTACGTACTGTGGAATTGTATCCGGTACTCTTTGCCAGGTACGGAGGACGCTGTACAGTGTACGGATACGGAGCGTACCAAGCTTCAACAATGTCGGCTGCTGTCGATCCGAGTCTGCCTAATCCGTCGTTCCGCTCCGAATGGTCCAACGCAGCCCAGCGCAGTCACCAGGTGTCACCATGTTTGATGATTGCGGGGAGTCACACGTACACGACAACACTGCCTGAAGCCTGACAACTCATCCCGTTCTTGTGTCACGCAAACAGCACGAGACAGAAGAGGTACACAACTTATCGAATAGCGCGGTGTCAGTCCGCTAAACCGCAACGTCCTCAGCGCCATCGCCTTACGCGTCCATGCTTCTCGATGGTCCCTTGCATGCCACTTCTAGCATCGTGAACGGCTCGGCTTTAACCTCTTCTGGAAAGGAACTGCACCGCACCCTAGACTCCGTCTACGCCATCTCCCTACTCGTCCAACCTCTTCGAGCTCTGTGGCCTCCTCAGCCTGTGGCTTGCCCTTCTCCAACCTAGATGGATGCCTGCCGAGGCAATATGTACGGATTATCCGTACCTTGAACACACATGTCAGGGCGGACGCGAAATCATTATATCCGGCGCAGATGCAACTGTCCCCGTAGACGGTCAAACAAATACTGTTTCGCATCTCATTCCACTCGCTTTGAAAATACCATTAGATGTCTAAGGATCTTCATTGGCAATGTCAGCTTGGCCACCCTTGTTTCAGAGAACTGGAGAAAAGAGTGATCTAGCAATTTCGTGCGAGGTACTCCGTACTGCGTGCTATGCCATAAAGGCGGCAGCAAATGATACTCTAGCACATGCAAGCCCAGGCAGCGTTCCTGATTCTTCGCTCTCTCAGTCCGCTTCAGAGCACGTCGGTAATCTTCTGTCGCTCAATGATCGAGTTCTGCATCTGGTCTCGAGAGATTCGATAGTAATACCCGGCAAATTCTGCGCAGTCCATCTGTCGCAGGAAATCCTCGTCATGCGTGATGATGAGGAGCTGGAAGTTCGCTTGCTGTCGCCGGTACTTGATAATGTCGCGTAGAGAATGCGCCAGGCTTTCAATATTCTCACGGTCCAAGTTTGTTGTAGGCTCATCCAATGCAATCAACCCACAATTGGCGCTGAAACATTCGGCCAGTGCGAGCCGGATAATGATGCTCGCCAGAACCTTTTGTCCTGCGCTGCATCGTCCGCGCATGTCCATTTCCGCGCCTCTCTTGACCATTACTACCCGATAGTTGTAGGATCGATTGCCTCGTCCAGACTCATTGTCTGCCCGAATCATGAGAGTGTCGACATCCGTGCCCTTGTACGTCTTCCGCCACAACTCTTCGATGATGCTGTTGATCTCTTCCATCTTCAGACTATGATACTTCATGATCGCCTTGTCCAATGCTCCTCCATATCGTCCCAGATCTTCCACGGCAGCCTTCGTCGCCTCCACTTTGATATGTGCCTCTTTGTATTGGTGAGGTGCATCAGATAGCTCCGTCTGATAATTTTGGAGCAGCTCCAGAAGCTGAGCATCCTTCGATTTCATCTCTCCCATCACTCCGGCCTGCAGCGCACTGAGTTTATTGTGTTCGTGGGTCCACTTTTCCGACTCTTTTTGAAACTTGACTCGGTCCGCTTCAGTATTTTGACTGGCAAGATCCTCAATCTCCGTTCTTAACCGGGCTAGTGCACGAGTTTCCTGTCGATATCGTAGATTGTCCGAGTACCGTCTCCGCGTAGACTCACTGTCCCGAATCTGATCGTTGATCTTATTCATGTCTCTAGTCAATCTTGACTGTTCCCCTTGCAACCGCTCCAACTCCCGCTCCAATTGAATTAGGTCTCTGTTGATGTGCGCAAGCTGGTTTGGTCCGTCCCGGTCGATATAAGCGCGCACCTGGTCGTTCAGGATGTCTAGACCACTGACGCTCTCACTGAGCTCGGACTGCTCGTGAGACATATCTTGTTCCATTGCGGCTGCGCGTTGATCAACGTCCTCATATTTCGCTTTGGCCGTTGCGATTTCCGGGTCCAACTTCTCAATATCATAGTCGAGTTTCTCAAGCGTCTCTCTCTGCTTCTGGTTGAGAACACGAAACTCCTCCACTCGAGCCATCAGTGATGCTTTTTTGTCCAACTGAAAGTCGACGTTGCTCAGCTCGGCCTTAAGATCGCGCAGCTCAAGTTCCATTGCAGACAGGCCAACCCGGGATTGCTCCTGTTCCGTCCTGAGTCGAGTGATGACAATTTGTGTTGCCCTAATCTTTTCAGCAGCGGAGTTGAGTTCCTCTCGGATATCTTCCATCGTCCGTCCACCGCCACGTTGGGACTGTTTGGCGGCAAGGTCTTCAACCTGGCCATTCAACGATTTGATTTCGCCCTCATATTTCGCAATAGATGCCACCGTTCGACCTATTGACTCAACATCACGTTTCACTTGCTGTCGTTGCTCAACAGCTTTGTCGTGTTTCTCAATCTTGGCCGTCAGAGACTCCCGCTCATGGCTCAAAGTGCCCAAGTCTCTCTCAGCTGCAGGAATTTCAACGTTGACGAGTTTCTTCCAAGTGTCGTACACAATGCCCAGGTCAAGTAGGCGCTTGTACTCCGCTTCAACCTCTTTAGAACTCGTGCGTTCCGCGTCCGCCAGAGTTTGCTTCACCAGACCTTCAATGCGTGTCTTCATCCTATCCAACGCTGGATCATTGGGGCCTTTGAATGCTCGGACACAGGTTCGGCAGGCAGGCTTGTCTCCTTTTAGGGCTTCCAAGACTTTCAGGTAGTAATCGTGAAGACCGGCATACTGACCACTGTCTTCCCGTGCATAGTCTGCATCAGCCTCTGCCTGATGGAGTGCCTCTTCATATCCTCCGGGCCCCTCTTCAACCACAGCACGAATCTTCTTGTCGCATTTCTCTGCTTCAGCCTTTTTCCGTGCAAGATCGTCTCGAATCGACTTCTGTTTGAATTGGACTTGGTCCAGCTCCCTGCTAATTGAATCTCTTTCTCTTTCTACTGACGCGGCCTCATGGACGGCATTTGCCAAAACGTCTTGATGGACTTTTTCCACGTTGGCAGGGGTCCAGTCCTGACCAATGAATTTGCTGATGCGGTCGCTGTGAGCATTCAACAAGGTCTCTAGACTTCGCTGGCGTTGTTTGAGTTCTTGCTTCAAATGCGACAGCCTTGCCAACTCTTCGGCTTTCTTGGTCGCGAGGACAATTTCGTCATTCAGCCGTGAGCTCATATCCTCATGAGAGCGAAGCTCAACGCTTGCATCTTGCAACTTTCGATCCCAATCACCTGCCTCTGCAGCTTGTCTTGCCTGACGCATCTTTGCATTTAGGCTATCAATGCGTGACTCAACGACGGCCCTGCTACCCTCATCAGCTTCGATTTTGTCGGCTTTTCTCTGAAACTCCCCGGCCTCTCCATCATTCAAGTCCATCTGCTTTCTTGTGCTGAGCTTGTTGTCTTGCAAGGCAGCCCTTCGAGCAGCCAATTTGTTGACAAGGGTTTGGGCTTCCCGGCGTGCTGCAGTATGCTCGAGCTTGATGCGATCAAGCGCGGCTTTCTGGTCCTTTAATATCTTCTTGATTCTGAGCAGGAACTCTTCGACATGGCTTTCGTCGCTGAGATCATCATAGCCCCTGATTTGATGTTTCGCAGCCACCTCTCTCACCATTTCTTTCCGTCGCACAAGCTGGCGGTTGTGCTCATCCTGTTCCTGCTCGTGCTTGCCCTTCAACATGACCTTCTGCTCTCGGTCCTTTCCAAGCTGTTTGATCTGGTCTTGAAGCTCAATATACTCTTCTTGTCGTTGGCGCATCTTGTCCCTCAACTCGTGTTGTCTTACTTCGAATTGGTCTAGGTTCGTCTGTAGCCATTCATCCGACTCGTTCACTTCTTCAAGATGGAGCTCGAGACCGTTGATAGTGCTTTGTCGGCCCTGGGCCTCGATCCGCTTCCCCTCCAAGGATCCTAGGATCTTGGCATAGTCTTCACCTTTTCTCCAAGCTTCATCGGCAAGGTTTCGGGCATTTCTTATCTTGAGTTCCAATTCTTCTACCTTTGCCCGCATCGACTCCACTTCTTCTTGGAGGCGGGACATATTCCTCTGAACCTTGATGGCATCGTCCTTGTTTTTCTTTGCAATTTGTTCGGAAGCCTTGTAATGGACCAGTGCCTCATTGTGTTTCTTGCGAATCTGCTTGATGTTGTCAATCGCCCTTGTGTACTTCTGTGCCTCAAAAATCTCGTCAAATTTCTTCTTCAGAGTCGAGGGGTCGCTCAAAGGCCAAAAGCTTTCGTCTTGGTGGCAAAATATTACATTGTCAATAATGGCGGCTGAGACACCAAGGTACTTGGGCATGATCGAGTCCAGCTCGGCCACCCGGGATGAGATTACAGTCTTTTCGCCTCCTTTAGACAGACTCAACGAGTTTTCCAAGGATTTCAGAGAACGAGTGGCCTTTTTGACAGTCAATTCTAGACGTCGTGCGATGACCAGTGAAGCCCCATCTGCAGACTTGAAAGATACTCGCACCAAAGCCTTGACCAGCTTGTCGTTGCCCAGTTTGGGATCGTGCACGAAAGCACCGCCGACTTTGGTGTTGGGAGGCTGCATTCCGGTGAAGGCAAACTTAAGGCATTCGATGATGGTGGTTTTTCCAGAACCATTCTGGCCTACTATGAGAGTAAGGGGGGTCTCAAACTTGATTTTCTCCGAAGGCTCCACGGCGAAGGAGCGAATGCCCGAAACCTCCATAGAGTGAAGACGCGACATCTTTGCGGGGGGAGGGCCGAACGGACCAACGAGGCGGAGAGGGGTGAGCTGGAAGAAGAAGCTAGCCCACTGGAACCGTCAGAACCTGTGGTCATTATTTGACAGCGGCAGAGAGTCACGGAAGGAGACTGGCTGGAATGGTTTGATGGTGTGCAGTGAGAGAGAGGCCACGATGGCTGATGGCTGATGCAGTTGCTTTGGGGTGAGGATGAAGCAACGCAGTATGTACCAGTACTGCAGTACGCAGATATGGAGGACCAGCACCGTGCACGTGCTCCACGGGCAGTTCAGCGCTGCGGATGCCTGACGCTAGTCCCAAGGGAGCAAGGCCATCTACGCGCTGTCACGTGGCACACTAGTCGCACGTAGCACCTTGGCCAAAATGCGATTGCAATCCGAATTCTTGATCTGGACACGAAACTTCGATCTTTGATTCTCTCCACCCGTTGCACGTCGTCAAACCACATCCCAGCGAAACAGCGAGGCCGACACTCTAGCCGGCAGTCTTTTCCGCTGCTACAGCCTATGCGGTCGAACGCCTGTCGCATCTTCGATTTGGCCACGCCCAACGCAGGTCCCCCACACTTTTAGGTGCACCAGGAGGACCGTGATTGTTCGACTACGGCGTACCCGTGCTGTCCAGTGTCCAGTGTCCTCCTTGGTCCTGGCCCTGGCGAGCTTCAGCTGCGGTCGAGCAGCAGCGCACTGTGTCAGACCCACTGATCTTGTCGCCGCCCACAATGGGGACTTACCAGCCTGACCCGACGTCTGTCATGGGTTCGTCCTTCGATCTCCAGCAGGGCATGTTGGACGCCTCCTTGGTCAGCAATGCCGATATGGGCTTTTTTGCCGATGGCCTGACCCTCGACATGACTGTTATTCCACACTCTACTTTCGACGAAACTACTCTAGTTCCACACAACCTACTCCAAGAGATCTCAGGCAAGACTGACTCCGCTGATAATATGCCTGCCAACAATGCAGGCGCCGGGCCCTTACCCGCTGGTTTTGCGGTCCAGAGCTCCCAAAACTCCGGTAGCACTCTAACCGAATTCACCAAGAGGCGAAATTGGTCCCAGCGCGTGATCGAGGAGCTCAAAGACTTGATGTACATTTTAACCCCCGATGGCCGGCTTCTCTATGTCTCGCCCTCGGCCAAGAACCTGACAGGGTACGATGCGGCTGATCTAGTAGGGAAACCTATATCAGATTTTATCCATCCCGACGACTCAAACCTGTTCATTCAAGAGTTCAATGAGAGCATTGCCACGGGTAACACTCTACGCTTCTTTCACCGTTTCCGCACCGCCGAGCAGAAGTTCCGCATTTTTGAATGCCATGGTCACCCTCATCTCACGCCCGAAGTTGGGCAAATGGAGCTGTCTGGTTATCCGGTCAGCCCTGCTGGCATCTGTAGGGGGTTTTTCATGATGGCACGACCATACCCGAACAAAAACTCGGAGCTTCTGGATTCATTTCTGGAACATAAAATCGAGAACGTCCGCCTCCAGGCCAGGATTGCTAACTTAAAGCGAGAAGAGGCCGAAGACCTGGAGCTCCAGCAGGAGCACTATCACAAACAATCCGCAACAGTCAGCTCACGGACGAACTCCAATTCAGCCGATATGACACCGCGCTCGCCGTCTGTAGTCTCCAAGTCTGAATACCAGGACTACAACGGCATGCCGCCACCAGCTAAGCCCACCGTATCGAATGTTGCCCTTACTCGGGAGGCTCTTGACGAAGCCAACGCGTATGTTCGACCAGACAGCATACGGGACAAGATGGCGCGGTATGAGGGCTCATCTCACGTCGATTCTATCGAGATGATGACCGGGCTCCGGTATCGTGAGGGCGAGAGATCTCATGGTATATCAACGGGGGGCAATTCTCCTGCACTTATACGCGGTGACGCGGGTATTGAAATCCCGTTCGAGAAAAACGAGGCACGGTATTCGTATGCGGACAAACGACAGAAGAAGGTCAAGAGTGCTGATGAGTACGTCTGTACGGATTGCGGGACGCTCGACAGCCCAGAATGGCGAAAAGGTCCCAATGGGCCAAAAACGCTCTGCAATGCCTGCGGTTTACGGTGGGCGAAGAAGGAGAAGAAGAAAAGCGGCGCTGGCGCCAATACTGATGTGTCTTCCACTGCGCCGGATGCCAGCAGCTCCACCGCCAATACAGCGCCAATACCAGGGCCACCCAGCTCGACTCCCGTCAAGGAGTCAAATTCCACCGAGTCGACATCAATTGAGTAGCGGGAGTCCGCCGATCCTAAGAGATCGTTGGTGCCGGGTATCTCTCGACGAAAAGCGCCCTTTGACGGGAGAACGCCCTCAGCCACCACCAAGCTTTACTCTGCCTTGTGCCGAGTCGGCGCTTAATGGGGAACTCAACCAGCTAGAGTCGGTCAGCTGTATCTGAAGTCAGCCTCCTCGAAGAGCATCTGTGCAGACAAGATGTCCAAGATGATACCCAGACGAGCTATTTACCACACACAAGGCGGGCCGAGGTTCTCCGCCCGCCCCCGGATGTGAGGTCCGGCGCCCGCGGGCCGGTGCACACGGCCTCCACAGCTCCGCGGTTTCGATTCTATCCCGCCACCAGCCGCCATATTAGAGGCTGTGATTCTGCCTTTGAAGAGGCAACCTTTCACATGTCAACCTAGCGCCTCCCCTTCCTACCAGTCCAGCAATGCAGGCTATGCATGGCCCAGCCCCATCTATGTACGACTTTCCACTGGCACTCCAGAGTTGCTGGACCCGACACGACGTAATGAATGTGCAGAATCTAACCCCTCCGGCTGGCTACCTGATGCCACTGACGGAACGAATATCAAGAAACACGAACCTTCTCTTCTTAGCAAGGCTCCCTTCCCCCCCGGCTGGGATCACGCGGTTTTGCAGGAAAGATAACATACTCCTGAGAAGGAGAAGCTGATGCCCACGCCTAATGTTTTAGCAAATGTTGTGATTTGAATGGAACCACCAGAAACATGTGGAGTTTATGCAAGTTGGAATATGCCGCACATGGAGAGCATATTGGCGTTATGAGAACCATGTAACCATGAAGCCCACGCATGAAATGGATTATAGCCTGTGATACGAACATAAGGTATACGGCGTCCATAATACGGAGTGCACACCTATATACACATGATATCTTGTGAGATTATGATTTCTCTGGGCTTGGAGACAGCTTTCATCATCGGCTGGCCTTTAAACCCTTCATTTTATTTGTGGTCTAGACGGTGGCAGAGTCCGAGAGAAAACTCGATGCTATCCCTCAAGAAGAAAATCGACATACCTATTTGGTCCCCCATGAGTAGTTTCTCAGTCTGCAACCGAATCTGTTGTCAGTTCTAGACCACTCCAGCGTGCATCTGCAATGAAATCCTCACCGCATCAACCTGGAGTTCCATGCACGAATTCAGCCCACCTGTGGGCTGAATTCTTCTCATCTGATGAGTAGCTTTGTGATAGCTAGTGAGGCCGCCTTGGCGAAATGCCCTCTTGGTTCGTGACAGAAGATACTCGGCCTGCTCGGCCTGCTCGGCCTGCTCGGCCTAAGCCCTCCTGACAAAGATTCAAGGTGCTCTAGAGGAATCCACGCCATCAGGACCGACGCTTTCACTCGGAACATCAGCTGTCTGGCCTGGTTCGTCCTCAGTTCTCCCATTTGCATCAACGAGTACAATGTCCCCGTCTTGTTCATCCGTTGTGTGCTGATAGTCCCTATCGGCTAGTTGTTCGATGTCATCGAGCTGCATTCCATCAGCTTCAGAATTCTCAGTGGCATCCTTGAGCACGATTTCGAACCCTTCAGAATCCCCTGCCGACGAGGCTGTCGCATCTGTACTGATGTTCGAGGTGTCATACCCCGGAAGCACTGTCTGTGCATCATTCGGATCGGCCTTATTGTCATCTCCTTCACCAGGTGGACTACCGATGCGAATCTGAACGTCCTGACCATCAACTCGACCCACATCCACAGCTCCCACCACGTCGGGTCCACGTGCATGCGGCACAAGACCATCCTCCTCCCCCTCCTCCCCCATGTATAGCCCATGTTCGGCTCCTGCCATTGTCCTGCCAGCATTCGTATGGTGAGGATTCTGGGTCAAAGGGACCACACCGGCCTCTTGTTCCATGCGCATCAGTTCGCCCTGGGTGACAGCACCGTCGGCTCTTTCCGGGACCAATGGGTCCATATCGACCCGGTCGGAGGATAGTGTAATCAAAGGCTCGCCCAAGCCGTCTGTACTTGAACCGCTATGGGAATCCAATTGTGTCGACTCTTCGCCGGAATCTTCACCGGTAATTCCGTTGCGCAACCATGGTATGGGCGTGAGAAGTGCTCCTCCCAAGCTTTCATCACTCCCCAGAGAATTATTGTCGTAACCATTCCTATTATCGCTGTTGTTCCAGAGTATCCCTCCTCCACCGTCACCGTTGACGCCGTTGACCACAGCCAGTGTATCTGAAAGAGGGAAGATATCTGCCGTGCTACTGACACTAACAACACGGTCAACTGCACGAAGCCAAGCTGGAAGCGTCTTGTAATGTTTCGTAGGGTATAATACCAACTCCGCCAGCCGTTGAACGGTATGAGGTGGTCTTTGGAAGAATGATGTTCGTAAGGTGTGGGTGACGCTGTTGAAGATTTGAAGTACAAGAGGGGGAAGTTCATTCGAGGAGTCAGACAACAGATCTTGAGAGGGAGGGAGTGAATCCGGCACACGGCTTGCTGACGAATTTGGGAAGGGAGGCACGGGAGGTAGCGTTCTGATGGGAGTCGACGGTGTCTGGGTGATATTATTAGGGTCTCGGGCTTGGATGGGTGAGGATGCCGGCGGGGGTCTGGTGGTATCGGGATACGGTCGCGGCAGAGGAAATTCGGTGTAGACAATCTGTGAAGGTGTCAATATCGATGAATCTGACCCGCGACAGGCACTCGACTGCGCATACCTGGCTGAGGCGCTCGAGCAGAGGCTCGATCAATGACGGCCATTTGTCACTGGTACGGTCAGTATTTGGTCTTGACAGAGCAGAGCGGAGAGGGCATACTAGTCCATCTCGCCAGTCCTGGCGACATCTTCCAGAATCTTTTCATCCAAGGCTGGATGGACCATCGAGTTAGCGCTTTCTACAGACTCTGGTAAGCGGCAGCAACGCCTCCGGCGAGTGCAGTCGCACCCAGCCCGAACTTACCTAATGACATCTTGTCAAGGGCAAGGGCTATCAAATGTCGACTCGGCCCTCACGACAATGCAATGATACATCATGTCCGCTTCAGAGAGCGCCGAGAAACTGTTGTGATACATTTGCCGCAGCTAAGCGGGAAAGCGAGTGGGATAGTACTAAGATACTAAAATATCCAACTACTCCCCAATAGTCCTAGTCCCATTGTGCCTTAGTCAGCCGATACGGCGTTGACCCTTGAGGCTTATTTAGGAGGCAGAAGCACTCGATCCTCGAGCCTCTCGCCTAGAAGCCGCCCGGAAAGGTGGTGGATGGGTTGCCGAACCATCTCCGTCCTTCCGCAGGCAGCGAACTCCAAATGTACGGGTATACGGATACATAACTCGTAGTAGGTGCGTAGTACGGTTAGATCCTGTCATTCGATCCAACAATGCACGAGACATCCTACTGAAGTTGTCGCTGGAATGGTGAGATATGTGCTTGCAGGACTGCCAGCCTCCCAGCACCCCTCAGGGTCTAGGCACTATTCTGTACCTACCTAAAGACATCCCTCGAGAACAGGTTTCATAGATCAATCTTTCTTCTAGCATACCAGATCTATACTTTACCCTACGTAACCTTAGACTTTAGGTAGCAAGGGTGGACAGACCTTGGGCAGTCTTCTGCCAGCTTTGCCAACAGTCAGATCTTGCCATTTTCATTGTTCTCCGGCTGGGCCTTCTGCACGGTCCTGTCGCCTATTCCGTACTGTAACACAACCTTCCGTTCTCTGCAAGGCAAACCGGTGCTAGCCTGCCGTACCTCTGTGCTCTGTACTCCGTACTCTGTAGAACGCTCACAATCGCAGTGTTGGTGGTCCTTGCAGCAACTATGATAAGCATATGTCAACTTGCAGAAGACTCGAGTCAAATTAGCTGGCAATATTCAGCCGGGTCCTGACACGCTGGCTGTGATACATTGGCACCCGGCCGATCTCGAACGATTTGATGCCCTTCACACCAAGCGAAGGGGAGGTGGCGACTTTTGACGCCCGTTCCCAAGCCCTTAGCTGTCCCCATACCTGATTCCCTACCTTCCGTTGTCAGTCCGTGGTCTCAGGTTGATTCCTAAAACGCCCCGTTTCAGGTCTCCTTGCTTCGCCTCGTCGAGGCTGCCCAGTGTGACAGTCTGGAACGTCAGCACTATTCCCCTTTGCCCGGACATACTCTGTACAGAGAATATAGAGTGCTCCGTATGTGGACGGCATTGGAGGGCTGGCCAGAGCCTGAGCTAAGGGTGCACAATGCACAGTGCACACATGATGCATGGATGGTCGCCCGGTGCAGCTTTGCCAGTGCTGACACAAAAGACAAATGGGTGACCCTAGGCCCCGGAAAGGCGGCGGGCTAGCCGCAGCTGGCCTAGAGAGTTGCCCAGCTGCTCACCAACCTGGGTGCCGAAGACTGGATAGGTCTCGGGGAGCCAGTGAGCTCCTTCACGGTCCCTCCACTGCGGCGGGTACCCCTGTATGCCATCGCCTGGGGCCCGTCTTAGAGGCTTAGGGCTCTTTGGCTCTCTCTTCATTCTTCAGTCTTCCTCAAGTTGTAGGCGAGCTCAGCCAAGTGAAGGCGTGCGTGAGGGGGTGCCGCTCCCGCCGGTGCCCACTGCAAAGGCGCCCGTGTTCGTCCCACTGCAGTGTCCGACCGCGTGCCTTCCAAGATCGGGTGGTTTAGTAGCAGTGCCAGTCTCCTACCAGTGGTGGTTGCAGATGTGGAGTGCTCCCTCCAATCGTCAGCATGCTGTATGTCTCGTTTGGCCTCCCATCCTCGTCCCTCGACCTGCTCTGCTCTGCTCTTTGTTCCTTCACGGCATTGTTGCCCAACGTGAACTCATTCACAGCTTCACTTCTTTATTTCCAAGTCTGTCATGAAGCTGGCAGCCAGCTGCTGTCACTGCTATGCAGCAAGTGACCTGGCGTTAACTGCTTATCGCCCTTGACTCGACTGTCTGATTGTCAAAGCCCGGAATGACCCTACCGCGGTTCAGCACAACTGCCCTACCTTGAGAAGATCCTAGACTCGAGCAGTCAAAATGAATTCCCTGAATATCCCTCCCGAGGGACTCGTTCTTCAGAATAAGCCGAGGCCGGATTCAGAAGATGAACATTCAAAAGAAGCACAACAAGTCTATCGGTTAGACTTGGTGGAGAGTGTGACCAAAGAAATACTGCGGTCCTTGAGGAGTAACGAGCAGGTTCGACTTCGATGTGGCAAGAGGCCAGCCGTGCAATTTGGGAAAAGGTCAATACCCTTGACAAGCAGTGTCGACCCCTTCCCTTCAGAGCTCTTTACCAAATCCTCCGACAAAACTCGCCCTCTCTATTTCTCTGGACGGCTGAGCCACAGACTTGAGGTACAGAAGGCCGAGGAAGACACCGGAGGAAGCGATGAGGCGTTAGCGGCCCTCGAAAATACACTCAGATCCATCCAGGAGCAGAGGGCATCAAATGAGACCAGTATCGTGGATGGGAAAGAGACTATGCGACATGCACGACGAAAAGAAAATAAGCCATCTTCCCTGCTGGGACAGAACTCTGCTCTCAGAAAGGACCACTTCCTGGGAGGGTTAGCAAGATCGACACCATCCACTCCGTTTTTAAGTGCATCTTACTCTCCCAGACAAGGACCGACATCAGCTCCCTCGTCCTCCGGACTGTCCCCGAAGGACAGAATACGGCTTGACGCTATACGGATTCCACTCGTGCATCTTCTTGCTGTCAAACCAATGACTCCGAAGACGATTTGTGCCCAGCTCCATTGCACAATGGATGATTGTGAAAAGCTGCTCGACAAGGTTGCCCGTGAGTGTCCACGGGGCGATGGACTGAAGGAATTGAAGGAGAAGACCTATCGTGAACTGGATGTGTTTAAATTTCCATATCGCTCAACCGAGGACCGACAGTCAGCGATCGATCATGCCATTCAAGCCTATGATCGAATGCGAGTGGAAAAGAGAGATAATCTGTGGCAGCTGTTGTTGCCCCCAGATGAACGAGGAAAAGGGAAGGTTCTCTCGAAGCTCAATTTTGACAAGCGTGTTCCATCCAAGCCCGAGCGTCAAGGCGATGATAGCAATGAAACCAAAGCTGAAGTGTCTGAGCGAGACCAAGTCGGGTCCAAGACCAAGAAGGATACATTGGGGACGCAGAAGAAGCTCAAGGACAAGGCTGGGGCATCGAGAACACCCGCGAAGACAGAATCCAATGGAACTCCCCGAGCAGAGAAGGAATCGACGCAGTCGCAGAGCAAGACCACGAAGCAAGAGGGCAAGTTCAAGTCTTCAGAACGCATAGAAGATTCAGACGAAGAGGCCGATGCTGTTGATGTCGACGTTGCCAAGCCGAAGTCACCACCCTCGAAGACAGGTTCGAGTATGAACAGAAAATCCGAACCCGGACAGCCCGGATCAACACAGTTATCACAGACTGTATCACCTCCAAAAAAGGCATCTCACAAAACATCCTTCTCCGGTTCTTCCTCCAGCACCAGCAGCGGGAACGAAAAGTCTCAGCCTGCTGCATTGAACTCTACCAAGTCATTGAAGCCTCACCAGAAGCCGGACAGCTCGGCATCACGCATTTCACCCAGGCCGCGCCACGATAGTTCACCACAAAAGCCCTCTCCTCTGGGATCTTCCCCTCCGACCACGTCTACCGATCTCGACAATTCTAATTCTAGCAAGGCTTCAAATCAATCTTCAGCTCCTTCGTCTCCGCCTTCAGGTACAGATATGCCACGAACACAGCGCGGGGCCGGAGACAAATACTCTCCGGTCATTTCTGACAAAGGTCGCAATGTGCCAGTTGGAAAGAGTTCAGACAAGTGTCCGATCAAACGCAAAGCAGCTCCAGCAGAAGATGAGCGCCCTGCGAAGAGGCAGCAACCAACCTCGGCTTTTCTTAGCCCGGTTCCTGATGGCAAGCCTGAACATCTGAAACAACCACCCCCGATCAGAGCAGACTCGGAACGCTCATCCTCACCGGACAAGCCGGGACCGAACAGGCAAGACATAATAGAGGAGGCGAGGCGGTTTCAAAAGTATTACAAGCGATACAAGGATCTGTATGATAAGATCTCACAAGTGGACGAGAAGGAGCGAGACGACAAGGACATGGGCGATTTGTGGAGGATGCACAAACGGCTGAAGGAGATGAAAGCCGAAATCTGGCATAACTGGGACAAAGTTGAGAAGGTGGGCAAGGCAAGAGAACTGCTAGCCGTCTAAGTGAGATGAACCGAACCCATGGCAATGACACAGCAGAGAAGGGAGGCTGTGCATTCAAACCTCTTATGAGTGTGCTACGTAGGTACAGCCTATACTATGAATCGAGAAGAACCTCAAAATCCAGATGCGGATGCAGACAGTATCTACTCCGCGCAGGCTGCCTCCTGTGGTGAGCATTGAATCCATGTTGACATCTTGCCTCGTTGTGTGTGATATTGGACTGCATCCTCAAACTTCCTTCCGTTCTTTGCCATGTGCTCTTTCCCACAGTCGTCAGATTGTGATTGTTTGGATTGACAATCCATCAGCTACGATTGTTAACAAACTCGCCCTGGAGGCGGGTCAGAATGGACAAGAGCTACATGTTCGCTTTCCTCTGCTCGAGTCCTTTTCCTCGCAGGCACGCTCACTGTCTTGTGAAGTGAACGCATCAGTCTAAGAGATCGTAATCTCACTTTCACCTCACCTCAATTGACTCCTTGTCCTCGAGAGCATTCTCACACCACCTACGACTTTCATGATCGCAGCTCGAGGCAGACAGCGAGCTCATCATAGTAAAGCCTTTCCGCAGTGAAACACTGAAGCAATGGCCAGAAACAAAAACCGAGAGATAGGTCGGCGTCACGCAAGTGCCACCCCTCAACGACCCCATCGTCCTGTACAGAACTTCATCGATCTCACTCAATCTGACCCATGGGTTCCACGCTCCACCGCCCTACCAGTCAGGCCTACGCCCCTTTCACCATCATTCAGCGGCAGGGCAAGCACAGTTGCAGTTCCACAAGACCCAAAGTCCAATCCGGCCTATCTGTTCCAGCAACTGGCTCTGGCCAAAAATCGTGCCAGTAGCCGACCGGTATTTTCAAGCAAACTAGAAGCGGAGGAAACGGCTGGAGAAAGTGCAGAAGATGGGCAAGTTGAGACACCAACTCCAGGTCAGAAGGAAGTAAAAGAGAAGCGGAAAAAGAAGTCCAAGGAGAAGAAGGAAAAGCAGCAGCTTGAAGAGGCAGAGGCAGAGGCCAACAAGAAGCCTAACAGAAAGAAGGAGCACAACAAGTCGGAGAATGGCAAGGACAAGAAGAAGTCTAAGAAGGTCAAAGAGAAGCCTAAAAATGATATGGAGGAGTCGGTGGAAGACAAGAGACCAAAGGAAGTCAAATACGAACCCAAGGATCAGGAGCCAGGTACATCATTCCCTGGATTACTCCGACTTTACTTTATTCCCTCTCGGAGGCACTTGCTAATCGAATTCACAGTAACTCAGTCTCGGAAACGAAAGCGCCAATATGACGAGGAGATTTCTTCTCGGCGGGCCGGCGAGATTGAAGCCAATGCCATCAACAAGCTCCGGGAAAGCCTTCCAACCGCTCGAATCGCACGGGTGACAAAAGATCTCCAACGAGAGACAGGAGTTGATCCGACCGATATGGCCGTTCTAGTGACAACCGCCCGGGAAACAATCCTCGACCTTGCCAGGCAACAGCTCGAGCAAACAGAGCGGTCATTTCAAACCATACAGACAGAATTGTTGAGAATGTTAAAGAAGCAGAATGACAAATTGGCAAGATTGGAAGGGAAGAGAGTGGAAGACTCTTCTGACGAAGAGGGCGACAACGCGAACAGCCGAGCTCCTGCTAGTGAAGCATGTCCCACCAATTGAGCTCTGCACTGTGCCTTCACACGGCGAGTACCACGCAGTGAATGCAACCTTGGATGACGGGAGTTGAGCAAGCAGAGGAGATGCCTCCAAATTGAGGCAGACTGTGTAGGACAAGGCCTGTCTGGCTGAGTTCTTTTTACTAGCGGACACTGGCGATTTGTGGAATTACGGAAATCCGTTTGGACAGACTGAGTTCGTTGAGCTGGCTTCTCTCGAGGCGCACAGCCGTCCACTCGCAGGTGCTTTAGGCTCCTCCTTTGGGGATACTGTGTCTGAACATGGGGAATGAACTCGGAATATCTGGATCAAGCAATTCCAAAGAGGTGATGCAGATGTAATGGATTGTCGGTCAGTTTCCGCATAGCAACTTGTCGAAGTCTCCTTTCCCCATCTTCTCCATGACGACAGCCCGCTTATAGCTCCGACTGAAGCTCTATTGTATAATTGTGATATCAAGTGCATGAAGCCTTAGCCAGACCACGCTCCCCTGAGTCTCACTCCTGTACAAACGGGCTAAGGATAGGGGCCCCTAAGCCCACTCAAACGAAGATCGTGGACGAATCTCTTATATCCTTGTACGCCACGGCCCACGTTTCTACTTAGCCGTAACGGGTGGGCAGTCACAGTCTCAATTTTTGAAGAGCGAAAGAAGCGCTCGAGGCTTGATGGATATGGATACGGACATGTTCGTTTAACTTTTGAGGCCACCTGAGGCGGGAAGTCAAGATTACATACTGGTTGCCCAACGATCGCGGTGGTTTACATACCATCACCGGCCTTAGGCAGTGAGCACCCCTCACACTGAACCCGACCAGGTTACGACAAGGTCCAGTTGGCACTCCAGACCTTGCCGCCGAGGACGTGCTCCAACCCACTGATGAACAAGGTCTTGCTGGCCGTGTTGTAGGTGCTGTTGGCCACAGTCTGCCCGTTGATTCGGACAATGTTGCTGGGCGGGGGTTGGGGGACTCCGAGGATGGTGAGGTTAGCCAGCGGGAGATCTTGACCAGTGTAGTTGCCCGAGACAGTGACGTTCAATGACCCCATTGCCGCAGAGAACGTGACCAGTTTCGTGGCGTTGGGCGCCAAAGACTCGCCGTCGTCGAGGTATAGTGACCCGGACGCTCTGCCATCAACGCCCGGGGCCACGATGAGCGACCAGCTGGTATTTCGAGCCGCACGGGTGGTTAGGGCCATCTGCTGCGTGGCCAGCACGACCCCGCCGCGGATGTAGACCGGGATGTGGCCCAAGGGCGCCGCGATGGTCGTGTTTTTAGTCGAAGGCACACTCACCGGAGTCTTGTTGTACCAATCATAATACACGGCAGTGCCCTCGACCAGGCCGGGGAAAACGCCATTCACGGCTGTTGCACCCTGCGTGAGCACGGGGGTCACGAGGATGGACGGACCCAAGAAGAATTGGCGATCTGCGTCCGCGAGGGTTGGGTCGTTGGGGAATTCCCAAGCTAAGGCACGCATCACAGTGTCACCTTTGGTGTGGGCATTGTAGAACAGCGTGTACAGGTAAGGGAGCAGCTGGAAGCGCACATTCATGGCTGTTTTGGTGGCGTCGATGACACTGCTCCAGACATACGCCTCCTGTGAGTTTGCCGATAGCGTGTTGTGGTTGCGGTAGAAGGGGAAAAAGGCACTCAGTTGCATCCACCGGTTGCACAGCTCTTCGTCGCTGTTGCCGTTGAAGCCGCACGTATCGACACCAAACATGGGAATGCCAAATAGTGAAAAACTCAGTGCCTGCGGGATGGAGAAGTACATGTAGTAGAATTTCGACATGTTGTCACCACCCCAGTGCCCTGCCACAGTGCCAGAGCCAACAAAAGTACTACGTCCGATGAGGAATGGCCTCTTGCCTGGGATTGCTGCCACCAGAGCGGCATAGGTAGCTTGCAAGATCTGATGTCCGAACAGGTTGTGAACGTCGTATTCTTGAATCCCATTATGATGCGTCGCGTTCGGGGAGACCGCATGTACCGCAAGATCCCCTTGAACGTTGTTGAGTACATAGGGCGGGTGGTTGACATTGCGTTGTCCTGGGGTAGGTGTGGTCCGGAGGTAGCTGGTCGATGATGAAGTCAACCCACTAGCAGTTGTACTAGAGGCGGTCACTGTCGCTTCTGCCTGGGATTGCGATGCCGATGCCGCTGAAGCCGCTTCGGTGGCATTTGTCAAGTTGAAGCCTTCTGGATAGTCATAGATAACATTTCCTGGCTCACCAGGGAGTTTGAAAGGCGGATGTACCGGGTTTAGAGAAATATTCCCACTGCCGCAGCTCCCCACACAGAAGGAAGAGACCTCGCTCATGTCAATCCAAGCACCGTCTACCGGGAGTTTCTGATGCCAGGCCACCAATTGATTTTTCCACCATGTATGCGCCGCCGCTGTTGACCAGTCGGGAAAAGAGGTCAGTCCAGGCCACACATCGCCAATGTAGAGAGAACCGTCGGGATTAAGGAGGAAGGAGTTAGTATCGTTCCCATCATTGAAAGTTTGGTAGGCGTCGCTGGCGTTGGCGGGATTGGGGACGTAAATAGCGCTGTCGATGATAGGTATGTAGTGCTGGCCTCGGTCGTGAAGACGTTTGAGGAAAGCGGATCCAGTCGAATAATTGAAACGGATCGGGTCGTTGTCAAAGTCACGATAGTGATTCATGTAGTCGATATCATTCCAGATGACCTCCAGTGGGATCGCGAAGCGCTCGTAATTATTGACGACGTCCTCCGTAACAGACCAATTCTGATATCCCCAGCGGCATTGGTGGAAACCGAAGCCCCAGTAGTTCTGTAAAGCTGGCTCGCCGATTACATTGAGATATTGCTGCGTCACATCAGGCTGTGTAGGCCCAGAGAAGAAGTATAGATCGAGACTGCCGCCCAGCGTCCTCCATGTGACGTTTGTGGCACGCAAAAGTACTTCCATTCCATGGGCATTTCGCAAATAGACTCCATGGCTCAAAGAAGTATAATTGCTAGTTGCATTGCTGGTGTCCAGTGGCTCAGTGACCAGCGTGGTACGGTTGTGATCTCCGACCTCAAAGTACTTGGTCTGCAGATAGAACGGATGACTGCCGTAGAGGTTGTAATCTATAGGATCGCCTACGTCTGCAGCATAGATGGTTCGAGTTAGGTTGTTGCCCAATCTCAAGCCGTGAATGACCTCGCCTAGGCCGTAAAGGTTGTATTTCTCCTCTTGATGCGTAACCAGTTCAATGAACTGGTTCTCGAATACCAGCTTGGTCCCGGTAGTTGAGAAAAGAACTTCGCCAGTGCCGTTTCGGGTCACGTTGAAACCGAAACCGCTCTCCGAGGTATTTTCCCATGAAAATGTCAGATCACTCGTCGTCGTCTGGCCGTTCTCTTGATTGGGAGCGGGGACGTAATCGGTAGAAAGAAGATACCAGCTCTCATTTTGTGAAGTAACATGAGATGGACGAATGCTGACATGTAGTCGGGCGTTGGTTTGATACTCAACCAAGAGATCCAGATCCTGGACGTCTGTCCCATAGACATTGCAAGCAGTGCCAGCCAACGTCAAATGTGCAGTTACACCTGAAGTTGATGTCTTCACGTTACTCGCCGTATAGCCAGGACAGTGCACTTGGGCATCTGGAGCAGTTGGGTCGTACACATTAGGCAGGAGAGTTGCCCCTTCATCAACGCTTGCCGGGAGTGTGAATTGGGATGCAGCCGCCGCCGTGGATGAGGCCCGAGGGGCAGCAGTTGATGATTGAGCTCTGACGAGACAAGACGCCAGAAGTAGGCTCGAGACAAGAGCTGGCGACACCATCTTGCTCGGTGAAGCAGAGCAATCTTGCCCGACAGGAAGGACGCGTTGGCCGAACAACTCAAGCCTATGGGCACGACAGTGAGCAATAATAGCTGGAAAAGAGGAATTGGACAGTGAGGCTGTTCGACAGAGGGGTCTTGTACCGTCGAGAAGTGGGGGGTCAGCTAGGGAGGAAACACATGTATTTAACGAACCACTCGTCCCATCTTTCGGGACTTACCATGTAGACGAGAGGAGACTTCTGTGGAGAGAATATGCCGCCAGGAGAAAGAGCACGACGCAGCAGGCCATTCCGGTTGCTGTCCGCAGCTTGCGGCACTTGACCTCTTGGTGCGTCATTGATGGCAGGCTGATCCCAGGACGGTCTTTTTCAATTGCAACCTTCTGCAAGATGATTCAAGAAACCGAGCCAGTCGGAGGTGCAGGTGGAAGAGTTAAACCCCCATGGGGAATCTCGTAGCTGTTCGGCTGAGGGGGAGGGTAGGGATGAGCGGTTGGTACCCCAGACATCCCCAGACATGCCACAAGGATCCGACAGCGTTCATGACTGAAGAGAGCGAGAGTTCGGGAGACTAGAAGGAGGAGAGGAGGAGAACGGTGCCGGTAAAGGTGGTGAGAGACACGGTAGAGATGTGGGTGGCCGGGCGCAGTCTGCGTGATTTGCGGGGGAGGCAAAAGACATCCCAACGGATCGGTGGAGAGCCAAACAGAAGGAAAAGGATACGAGGGTGCGCCAGAGACGCACGGAATGATCTTTCAACACCCTGCAGTGCACAGGTTACCTAATAGGTACCTACCAGGTACCTAGGTGCTACTGTAGGTTCGCCATGCTCTTGTTCTTTTCATACAAATGCTATGTAGGGGTATCCCACGCGCTCTTCGCAAACCAGCTTCGTCAACGGCGCTCAATGTTCTCTCGGTAGAAAAATGACAACGCCGCGAATGACTTGATTCCACTCCAACAAGAGGTCACTCAATCATCCTCCGCCTGGGCTCCTGAACAGAAGTGACCTCGCTGAGGATGGTCGTCGACGAAATTCCCAGGCCCGGCACAAAGAGAAAAGGCAATGCCTCCGACAATTAATCATTACAAAAAACTCCCATATTCACTAGGTCTCGATCGAGTGAGTACACCAAGTCACCAATTGATGATCATCTCGCCTCCAAGAGCCGAATGCACTCTCTGCGCCAATCTTCACCCCTCCGCTGGAGCCCGGCGGCGACGGAAGAAGTCCTGCACCTTCTTTACCGCACCAGAACGTCCGCCGTGATGAGTAGGCCCTTGATCACGATCGTAAGCATCAGCAAACCTACGGTTGTTCTTCACGAGCACTACCCGTCCTTGTCGTCCTTGCTGCATCGACGGCCGCCCTGCAGGTTCCACCATGTCGGGGTATTGGGCCATTATATGCGACATCGGTTCACTCTGTTGACGGTGATGGGTGCGGTCTTGGCCTGGAGGGGAATACACGCCCGTTCCCCCATACACGTCGTTCGACGACTGTATCGCCACCCCTCTCTGTGCTTGATACTGTGGCTGGGGTGGCCGAGAGAAGTTGTTGTATACGACCGGTCTCGATCCATCTTGCTGTCCATCGGTGTTGGATATCTGCTGACCCACATATTCCTGACCTGTCGGCGGCCGACTGGAAGTAGGCGGAACATACATATCGCCGTGTGGAGTTCCGGGTTTGGTTGTCGGTTCGTCCTTTGAACCACCCATCAGGCCCTTGAATGAAAGCGAGTTAGGAATAAGTGAAAATCGTCGTACCGTCTTCTCTGTCTGCCCCTGGCTCTCCAAATCTGTACTTCTCTTCTTTCCCAACCCAAACGAGAAGGATCTTTTGGAATCGGTGGACATCCGACGTGGCGCTTCGGAAGGGTATTCCCTCATACTGGTAGGAGGATACTTGCGTCCATTCTTCTGTCGTTCGGTTTCTTTCTTCACCACCGAGTTTGATCTGCCAAACAGTCTCTCCCCGAGTCCACTCAACGTACTCGATCGTCGGTGATGAGCCGGTTTCTGAGGCACCTGTGAGCTGGGGTTTGGCATCGGTGTCGTCATTGGTTGGCCAATTGAATTTTGGGCTCCAGTCTGTGGGAGAGGGCCAGAGATATTGTAGCCTCTCACTGGCTTGGTTGGTTGCGTGACACGGCCCTGGACATTAGTTGCCGCAACTGTGGGCGCTACGGGCTGACCATAAGATCCACGAGATGGCAAGCGAAGGTCGGACCGCGTATTGGCAGGGCCACTAGCAGATGTCATGGATCCTTGAGTGCTTGGCCTCCTCATATATTGACCTCCTTGAGTGACGTTGGGAGAAGCACCGAAAGCATTTGGAGAGTCGGAAACTGATCTTGGAATATCGCGACTGGGTCGGACAGGCGGCGACAGCTTTTCCTGCGCTGATACCTGCCTTCTCTTCTGTGCGCCTTCAACGGGCGGGTCTTGAGGTAGGGGTTTAGAGAGAGACGATGGCTGAGTGAAGGCAACTTCAGGTGCCTCCTCAGCTCGGGTACGACTCACCGCTGGAGCCCCAGCGACAGAGCCTTGCACACGAGCGGTATGTGTCTGAGGTGGGACGTACTCTGGTTGTAGAGTATGGCGAGCAGCCCGATCGCGACGGGAACCGGTTGAAGATTCGTCAATGTCCTGTAGCAATCCTTCGTGAGTACGGGACAAAGCACCAGGAGACGTCCCGCCCGTTCTAGACGGTCCTTCCCGGACAGAGGCGCTCCGGTTCAGTGCAGGCGGCTCGTCTTCTGCTTTGAGTCAGCAACATTCTTCTTCTCCTTGTGAGCGACTTACCAGTTGGAACAGTTGTCTGTGCAATATCCGTAACGTTCGTGGTGCTACTGGTAATATGTAAAACGAGGTGGTGAAACTCGCTCAGCCAGCTATGACGAGCAACCTCGAACAAGTCTGCCCGCTTTCGAGGGTCTGGAACGAGAATACGACGTAGAAGATCTCGCGCATGTGGAGTGACGTATTCCGGAAAGGTCAAGGGCGTGGTGGTGATATACTTGTACAGAAGGTTGATGTTGTCGCCTTCAGGGTTCGCGGGGTCGTCGTCGAAGGGTAGGTATCCGGCCAACATGGCATACTGGGACTATGTCAGGGAAGAGAACATGGATAGTCACTCACTTGACTTACCAAGATGACGCCGCAACTCCAGACATCGACCTTGCGGCCCGTATACAAGGAATCGCTCACAACCAACTCTGGAGCTGCATAGCAAGGACTACCGCAGCTGGTCTGCATCAGGTCCCCTCTTCGCATTCCGCGCGCATCCAGCCGGTCGAGTTTGAACTTCCGTACAAACTCCCTATTACCAAGGTTGTACTCGATTTCATCGGAGAGCTCGTCTTTCGGATCGAAGGTGTTGGCAAACCCAAAATCCGTGATGATGATATTTCGGTTTTGGTCCAGGAGCAGGTTTTCCAATTTCAGATCTCGGTGGACAATGCCGTTTTTGTGCAGATACCCAACTCCTGAAACGAGCTGAGCGAACAGTCTTCTGGCCGCAGGGTCCTTGAGGTATCGGTGATTCAGAATGTAATCGAAGAGCTCGCCACCAGAAGCGTATTCCAAAATGATGCCGATATAGCGCTCGGTTTCCACCATCTCGTGGAGTCTGACAATGTTGGGATGTGCCAAATCACGCAGGATAGAAATTTCACGGTAAATTTTGGGGAGCCGAGTTGGATTAGAAGCAACGGTTTCCCTTCTAATGAGCTTGATGGCGACCTGAGTGCTCCCATCTTTCTTCCAACCTAATTTGACTTTGCCAAATTCACCTTCACCTAAGGTTTGTCCCAGCATGTAATCACCGAACTGCACTTCTTTCCTTCGAGCTTTGGAATAATCCTGCCGGCGGGCTGGGCCCGGCGCAGGGAGTGCTTCATCGGATGCTTCATCGGCGTTCGCGGCGTCGAGGCCAATCGGAGCAGGCTGAGCTTCTGCAACTCTTTCTTGTAGTCGTTCAACATCGACCTGAGGGTCTGACACAACGAGCCGATTGATCACCTCGCTGTACTCACGCACAAGGGGTGGAGGTGCCGGAGATGGGAGCATGGTAGCTTCGGAGCGGCTTTGAGAAGGAGAGGTGTGCTGGCTTCTTTCTCTTGTGCTCACGGCTCGATGCGGGCCATCAGGGCTTGAAGGGCCTTTTCTTCGGCTACGTGCAGCAGATGCCGCAGCTGTAGCTGTATCGTCCCGTGGCCTATCTCGCAGCTCCTCATTGTAATCTCCGACACGGTTCTGAATTCGACCAGTCTGTGACTCCGATCCAGGCTGTCTTGCATGTCTCGTTGCTACTACTCTCGCATCCGGATTGCGAGAGGAACTCTGGTATTGTGAGGATGTTCTCGGGGGTGGGATCGGAGCGCCGTCGTACTGGTCATGTGCGGCGGACTGGTTTCGGAAATGATATGGGAGGGTTGTGGTTTGCACATTGTACGGGGAGGTAATGATGGAAGGTTCTTGTGGTTGAGAGTTGTAGCCCATGCCATCACTCGGGTCATGGGTAGGATAATACTGTTGAATGGCGCATTTAGCATTCTTCCTTCAAGAGTGGTGGGAGGTCCATCTTGCACTCACGGGTTGATCGTTGTAGTAGCCTTCCGGCTCCGTACCTTGTTGCTCGTCATAGTGGCCATTGTTTGGCGACGAATATGCGGCAGTGGTTGTTATCTGCTGGTGGTATTGTCCAGGAGCCTGCATCGTATCCATAGACATCTTGTCACCGCGTCAGGTATGGCGTTGTCCACGGACCGCCCACTCGATCAAGATTGCTCAGGGTTCCTGTACGCGTTATCAAGGCGTTGGGGGTGGTCGGGCGTGCAGCGTCTTAGGAAGTGGACGTTAGGGTATTCCTTCGATTAGAAGGTCAGTGTTAAGAGGCCAAATAGGTGAACTCGGTCTACCACTCACCAAAGCTTCTGATCCCCTTCATCCAGTGATGCGAACTCTTTTCGGCTAAGGACGGTAGACCGGGCATAAGCGAGACAAGGAAGGCTGTTGTGGTGGAATGAAGCGGATTGTCAACTTCACGTGGAGTGTTGCTGAGAGCAAGCTGCGGCTGGTGGTTTGCAGGACAACACAAGCCTGGATTCAAGATCAGGGCAGACGCCGAACCTGCGCCGTCTGCACAAAAAGCCCTTAAGGCTGCGGATGTGAGAAGTCGACGCCAATCATGAATAAACACGACCGAAGTTGTGATGTTCCAGCGCGGATAGGGGATTCGCGGGCATTGCGGTGTGTCAAGGTTGCAGGTTGGGTCGAGGCCGAAGAGGAATAGGCGCTGCGCTTTGAAGATGGATAGGACGATGTTCACTGGCCGGCAGAATGATCAGGGCGATCGAGGTGAGCGATGAGGTCGTGAAACGAGGTAAGGGTATCGGTACGTAGGGCTTGGGCTATGGGAAAGGCGTATGTGTTTGCTCGTGTCGGTGAGGGCGCAGTTGCTTCGGTACCAATGCGGGCAAATTAGACTTCTCCCAGAGAGTGTAGGCTTAGCAGTAGTAACTCTGCGTTTTAGGCGGCGTAGCGGGTTCAGGAGCCACAGTCCGGGTTAACTAAATACCTACAGCCACATCCTGTTCAAAGCCACAGTAAACCAACTGTTGTCCCGGTAGCCCAGTCCTCCGTTTCATCCTCGCCAACATTGTTACCTGGGGTCCCTTGTCTCACAGTGATGACGGTAGTAGTAATAACCATGTAAAGTCTGATGCTTCCGGGCTTCGATGTCCAACACTATACGGATACATGGTTAATTCTACAGTGGTGGAGATCCAGATAGTATCAATGCTAGGGGCGACGCCCACGGTACTACAGAGTACTTACACATACTACTGTTGTGTTGATGCGCTGTCAGTTCGCGCCTACCGCTGCCCACCGCCCGGCAGTTGCTCCAGTGCGTAGGACTAAGGGGCACCTCTCCACTCTTCACTGTCGTCAGACAACACTGGCATGACCGTGAGCTGCCACGATATGATATTCCCAAGCTCTTAATAGACACAAAACGACTCGAACAACACAAGCACACCGGCATTGAAGCAAAGCTCGAGCCCAGTGTGCGTTTCGAAAGGTAAAAAGCACACGTTGACGGGAGTAGATCAGTCCTCCGTACTATCCCTGGAGAGCTGCAAGACACTGGCAGTTCAAGCGAGGTTCGACCCCGAAACGTCGTTTCCTCCGCACTAACAGCTGCCTTAGGGCCTAGTTCAGAGGCGCCGCTTTAATAAGGTCCACTCGGGGCGTGTTTGAGCACGGATAAAATGCTGACACTATTCCATATGGGTCATAGTCTCGGGAATGGTGGAGACACCAGCATCATATCAAACCCAGATGAGGACAAGTCCAAATCTTCTTTTGTTGACTTACCAGCATCCACGGGCTGAAGGACGCGACGCTACAACCAGATGGCAGCGCGCCACAAGTCTACAGAGCAGTAGTTGTTCTTTTGATTCACCAAGTTCCTAATTAAAACTTCTTGGAGGCTTCAACTGTTCTGTCAGACTGATAGTGTCAAACGACGACACTCGAGACACCCGACAACCCTCTGTGCTTGGACCGCACTGCCGTCCTCTCTTTCGCCGTTGAGCTGCGTCGCGCGCTTTGACTCTCCACTACTGCTAGCGCTGGGATCCAGGATCGTGGGATGGAGCGCGGACGTGGAAGCTGTGATCGACGCTGTAAAGCTCCTTGCATTGACAATGGTTTCTTTCGCGCGCATTGCAGTCGCGGCTCGCTTCAGACGGGGCAAAACGCTTCGTTGATACGTGGTAGAGAACTACTTGTTAATGGGAAGTAACCTTGAATCCCATTGCTCAAAAATGCACGTTAGCCCGGAGTTTCAATTCAGCAATTCATCTTCCAATGGGGCCTCTCTCAGGCCACGGTGATTGTCAAGCGATGGTTTCAGCCACACGCGCCAGCGAATGTCATGCAGACAAGTTGCATCGAACCCATGCAAATTAATAAAGCCAGAGGAACATATGGAGAACTTACCACCCCGAGGTGGCAGATCCTCCAAGCACATCTTTTATTATTGGTCATGGTCTCGTTAGATGCTGCAGGTATGGCCTGCCCCATTGTACCTCGATCTACTGAGTAGCATGCATAAGACAAGTTTGTCTCCAACTCGCGAATCGGGAACAGCAATGCTTCATACTTCGTCACAGCAGTAGACCACAGCGAAGTTGAAAAGCACAAAGCCGCAGAAAATGCCGAAGTCGCGCCAGATATGACTATAATACGAAGCCTTTGGAAAACTCGTCGCCGGTCGCGTACAGGAAATCTGACCCAGATTGACACCCAGCCTTCATACGAGTACTCCGTACCAAGCCAAGTATCAGATGGGAAGTAATCAGTCGGTCCCGTGAACCAGGGCACCCGCCAGGCACCTCATCGCTTCTCTCGCACGTTTTGTCCCTGCAATGTCGAGCCCAACGGTTCACCGACCCCCGAAGAATATGCTGGTGGTCCATTCGCTGCATTTCCGTAACTCTCAACACCATATCCTGGCCTGCTGACTCCAGGTTGTGAAGCCCCTCCGTACACCGAGTCTGAAGACTGATAGTCGTGACGCTTGCTATCTGGAGGCAAAGCCTCACCCGGCACAACTCCCCCGTCACCTGTGCCAACCACAAGTTGTTGTCCGTTTGGCAATTTACCAACCACCATGCCCTTCGCCACGGATTTGATCACCGCTCGCCTTGAGACTCCCATTGCGTCGATGTAAACAAGGCCCACGTTCTTCACACCACCGGCCAAACCTTGCACCACAGTCCCGGCCTCCTGGCCATATTTATGACCCACGACACTGGACGCAGCTACAGAACCGGAGGTCAACAAATTACGACCCGCCTGGTCTATCCCATCAGCAATAGTTGAGAACGCAATCATTGTTTTGTTGAGAACCCCGGGCTTGTAGTCTTTACCCGGTTCTTTCTTGGTCTTCTCGCCTTTTCGAGCCAAGGTGGCGCCGAAGTTTTGTGCGTACCGGCCCAATTGACCGACAGTCTTTGCACTGAGCCCAACGGCTCCTTGGGTGAAGGAATGAATCTGTCTGATTCGGGCGTGGGTTGCTGGGGAGAAAGTCAAAGGCTTGGGATTTGGCTGCGTCTTTCGCTGATATGACTCGGCACTAGACGATAGCGCATTCGCAAGATAGTTTGAACTCGTCACGATAAGGCGTGAGGCGGTTGCCGAGGACTGAACGATAGTCGACTTTGCATAAGCTGGGTGTCTCGCCATCTGAAGGTAATCTTCGGACACATTGTCAACACGGATCTGGTTACCTTGACCCTCGGCAGGTAATTGGATCTGTACGGGAGCTAGAGGGAGAGGTGTTAGCGTGTCACAAAGACCAGGCTGAGGAAGACGCCGGACGTACTTTTAGATCCCGGTTTGACTGAAGGAGATTCGACGACATCGTAATTATCCTGCAACTCCCCAACGACGCTACCATTCTCTTCGTCAACCAGCACAATCTGACCATGGTGTGGCTTAACGTCTGCCAGGCTGGCGGAACTAATATAACCCTCTCCTGGACGATAAGTGCTCGGGTCATATCGTTCAAAGTCTTGAGGAGGGGCCGGAGCCCGTTCAAGAAATGCTGTGCATTGGGCGAGAATTGTTTCGAATGTATCCACCTCTTCTTGCGTGACTTTTCCGGGGCCATGACCAATTGAAGGAAACTGAATGCGGATGAAAGCGCCCGCCTCGGGGCCTAGGTCCCAGCGTGGGATCAGATAACTGCTGGGGGGCTTGTGGTAGATCTGGGTGGTCGCCGGCAGTGGTATGTCGAGTTCGGGAGGCAGGTGAAGGTGAAGATAGAAATCTTCTTCTGGCGCCGAGCTCGTCGGTTCTGTGGTGGATAGATCCGCAAATGGCGATGCAGTAGGGACCATCAACAGCGACAGAGTTTGGGGCGAAGTAGTAATTGGATGCTCCTCGCCATTCTGGACAGAGAAAGCAGAGATGTTGCTCACGCTGTACAGAACCTGAGGTTCAGAATGACCAGCAGACATGGTCGCTGCAAATCTAGAAGGTTGTGCTGCGCTGTCTTTTGTCTCGTGAGAAGTGCCAGATGTCTGGTCTCAGCAACACAGCGAAGGCGCGTAAATACAGATGGGACTCTGAAGGAGTGCAGGATGAAAGGGCAGGGCGTATAAACCTGGGCGCTACCTCAGTTTCTTATTATAAGCAAACCAAAAGATCGCTGGGCAGTAGACGCCCGCTCATCAAAACGTTGGCCCATGAGATTCCTTGATTCCAGTGGTCTTTCGTCACAAGCAGGCGAGCGAGATGGTGGCAGTGCTGCGCCACACATGCCCAACTGGAACTTCACATGCTCGGATGCCACACCCGTGCAGACACCAGCCACAGTCGGGTTGTGAACCTCCTGGATGAAAAGCATCGCAAGCATGCAATGCTGAATATTGTCATGGAGGATCCTGGGACTTTGCAGTCTGTCAGGTTGACCTACTGCGTACATTTTTTGCATTACGTTGCCTGGCTGCTTGAATTGGGCCCATGCTTCAGTCCGTCATTTTCCCCCAAGCTCCGACATGAAGAGCATGGACGGCGGAGGCCGAATTATGGGTGACGGGCATCCACCAATAAAGCAACCGCCTATCAGCCAAGCCTACGTCCCTGAGGTACTAGGCAGTTCATACCTAGAGCACTTAGCCATGATCCGGGGCTAAGCGGCCTGAGCCCGGGGTCGCTTCCGAAACATGCCCGTTGCGGCCAAATAGCCGTGGTTCACCGAAGCCGAGGGATTGTCCCAAGGTCGTGGAGTTGACATTCATTGTGTGGCGCGGGATGGCAACTGACCAACAATAGATTTTGTCAGTGGTGGGGGATACTTGATTTCATAAAGTCGGTCCTTCTACTGCTCCCTAGGATTCTGTGAGCATCGACGCATTGCCTTGCCTCACCAACAGTATGGCTTCGATACGAGTCCTCCGGCCGCTGGCCAAAACCGTCTGCAAAGCTCCCTTGACTCCTGCAAGCAGAGCCCTGCCTCGCAGAAGTCTGCTTCCGTATGAGTCGCTTGTCCTGGAGATTCGGATTGCAGCTAACTTTTCATGAGAAAACGTACCTTTGCCTCGACGTGCGGACGACGCAACCCTGACGATGTCGACACCACCTCTCTCACACCAACTCCCATCACTCACTTCTCCGAGACAGAGGTCATGTTAGCAGAGTCCATCTCGAGATGGGCCAACGAAGAACTGGCACCCAAGGTCCGAGACATGGACGAGGCAGAAACGATGGACCCCGCGGTTGTTGAACAGATGTTTGAACAAGGCCTCATGGCATTCGAGATTCCCGAAGAATACGGAGGTGCTGGAATGAACTTCACATCTGCCATTGTTGGGATTGAAGAGCTCGCCAGGGTCGATCCGTCAGTCTCCGTCATGTGCGACGTTCATAACACTCTGGTGGTCACGGCCGTCCTCAAGCACGGCACTGAAGCGTTTAAGAAAGAATGGCTGCCCAAGTTGGCTACAAACACAGTTGGATCCTTCTGTTTATCTGAGCCTGTCTCGGGTTCCGACGCGTTTGCACTGAAAACGAAGGCGGAGAAGACGGCGAATGGATACAAGGTACGTAGCCCTCTACAATCACTCTGTGGCATGTGACTTGCTTACACTTCCAGATCAATGGTTCCAAAATGTGGATCACCAATTCTCTGGAGGCAGAATTCTTCCTGGTCTTCGCGAATCTCAACCCCGAGGCCGGGTATAAGGGCATTACCGCGTTCGTGGTCACCAAGGACACAAAAGGCTTCAGCATCGCCAAGAAAGAGAAAAAGCTAGGAATTCGAGCTTCAAGCACCTGCGTGCTCAACTTCGATGATGTCGAGGTGCCAAAGGAAAACCTCCTGGGCGAAGAAGGTCAGGGCTACAAGTACGCCATTAGTCTCCTTAACGAAGGCCGGATAGGAATTGGAGCTCAGATGACCGGATTGGCTTTGGGCGCTTGGGAGAATGCCGCCAGATACGTGTGGAACGATCGTAAACAGTTTGGCAAACTGGTGGGCGAATTTCAGGGGATGCAACACCAGCTCGCCCAAGCATACACCGAGATCAGTGCTGCGCGTGCCCTGGTGTACAACGCGGCCCGGAAGAAGGAAGCAGGCGAGGACTTTGTGACGGATGCCGCCATGGCCAAGTTATACGCAAGTCAGGTGGCAGGCAAAGTCAGTAGTCTGGCTGTTGAGTGGATGGGCGGCATGGGTTTCGTCCGAGAGGGCATTGCTGAGAAGATGTACCGGGACAGCAAGATCGGGGCCATCTATGAAGGCACGAGCAATATCCAACTGACGACAATAGCGAAGGCGCTCCAGAAAAAGTACAGCTCGTGAGGGAGGTTTGAGCGGGGATCTTAGGACTTCATACTTCATGATGGAGGGAGAGATTCCGGCCTGTAAGGAGTAATTATAGTGAACAATATACCAGGTTGATCTTCGGAAGGCGAGCGGGTTCATGCTCAGAGCCACTGTCCGTACACAGAACGATATCATAACGCAACAAATGATAAGGCGATGCTGTCTGACGGTTGTATATACTAGTACTAGTGGCAGGTGAGTGGTGGTTCCTCTAGGCTTATTAAGAGTGCAGGGTTTTACATAAGCAGCCGAAACGGAATCTGGAGGAACAGTGAACCAGAATCACAGAATCACAGAACCACAGAACCAGAACCAGAATCACAACCACAACGACCTGGAGAATCAACTCCGACCGTCAAGACACCCCTCGCCACGATCTTTGTCGCCGTACCATTGCCCATCGCCCAGCTCCCATCGCCCACCGCCCATGTCTGGCGGCCTCCCTCTTGATTCCCGTTGATATCCAAAGTCTGTTCTTCCTCACGGGATGGAGGTCGACCCCTCCGATCAAGCGAAGGCTGCCCAGGCCTGTGTAGCCTGCCGGAAACAAAAGAGACGATGCGACAAAGCGTTCCCGAGCTGTGGGCTATGTGTGCGTATGTCTCGGCCATGCGATTACACTGATACCAACTCAAGCCCAAGTGCGGACGATTTCGCCATCTTGCAGCAGAAGATTACGGACTTGGAAGCCCGCCTTGAGGGTAGACGGTCGGATTTTGGCTGGTACGAGCCAATACGATCCATCAGCAAAAGTCCGGCGACAAGCCTCGACTCGGCGACTCTCAACGACAGCTCCGGTTTCTCGTCAGCAGCCTTTTTCCTCGATGCCGAAGTCTTCGTCCAAGCCCAGATGAGCATCCCGCGGCTGTCGTTTGCGGTGCCCTCGGATGTCATAGCCATCTTGGGGACTTCGATTTGCGACATTCACGAAATCGTAGACCGGTACTTTGCCAATGTCCATACCTGGCTGCCGTTCATCTCCAAGAAGCGCATGGAGTTGACCCTGTCGAACCCTAGCCTAGATCTGTCGGCCGACTTTGCGCTCCTCCTGCTTTCGATGAAGCTTATCATCCAGGTTCCAGCTGGAGGGCCACAAAGTGTCCGGTCACCTCTCTACGCTCTGACGAAAAGGTATTTTGCGACGGTGGAATCCAGTGGTTTGCTATCGTTACACACATTGCAGGCGGATATCTTGGTTGCCGCGTACGAGATAGGGCAGGCAATTTATCCAGCCGCGTATCTGACAACCGGCCACTGTGCTAGAATGGGCCACGGTCTAGGTCTCCATGACCGTACACTTGCACCTCAGTATTCCAGGAAGAGAATGGGCTCGTGGGCCGAGACTGAGGAGGCTAAGCGTACCTGGTGGGCAACAATGCTCCTGGACCGGTATGACCCATGTCCATGGTCTATTTTGGCGAACGTGCACCTAATATACAAGCAGGTACGTTAACTCAGGCGCCCCCGGCCGCCCCTTGGCCACCGATGACCCCTCCAGGCGCGATGTGCTCCCAGCAGACGATCAAATGTGGGACGCAGGAGAGATGGCAACCGGCGAACCTTTATACGTCTCTTCTCCGACTAACGTGATCGCCGGCCCATTTGCACGGACTTGCCAGGCAACCCATCTGCTGGGTAGACTGATCCGATTGGCGAATGATCAGCTCCTGGACTCTCCTCTACGATTTACGGAAGCGATACACCTGTTTCGCACGCTTCAAGCGTTGGCCAATCTACTTCAGGGGGATGCACAACAGTTGCCGGAGCGTTATGGGACTGCGCTGGCCTTGTGTTGCTCCGCTTTGCTCCGTCTCTCCGATCGTTTCGCATGTACCGAAACGAACGGGGGCAATCACACGGTGGAAGAGACCGAGATGCAGACCCTTGCGATTTCAGGGATGAAGGGGACAGCGGCTGATGCTCTGCAATTCAGCCAGCTCCTGATGCTGAGCATGATAGCAAGTCCTGCTGCAACCAGTCCGTTGATTGGCGACTGTCTCTATATGGCAGCAGCCACCTATGCGTGGCTCGCCCACGAGTCGGGATTAAGAGAAATGGGTGAAGCATACCATCAGCTCCGAAAATCGCTGGAAACCATGAATTGTCGTTGGGCGGTAGCCAGCCAATACCTTGGTCTTCTCGACAAAGCTAAAGAAACCCTCTACCCTGACTGCTTACTGCTATGAGCAAAGCACGAAGCATTTACTCAGGGTCGTTCTTTGGAACCAGCAATGACGGTGCCAAAATATAAGCAAGTTTACCGCCAGAACCAAAAACACCAAGTCTAGACAAGCAATCGAGGTTTGGTGAGTCGACAGAGATTCCAACCGATCTTCAACAGTTATGGCAAGAGAAACGTATGTTTTCAAACATACCGCAGGAGCCGAAAGCAAAGCAGCATGACAAAAGCCGTGAGATTTTTGCTGATAGTCTGTATTTCCTGGGACATGAACAACCTGAGATATAGGGTGAACAATTCAGACCCAAGGGCCTGTGAAGCGAGGCCGGTAAGCAGGATTCTGTTTGGCGTGGTCGGACCAGGCCACTCTGGTCCAAATAGGCCAGTCCGACCAGTATCAACACGGCATGACCTGGATTACGGGTGCCACAACGTCGCATACCATTGTTATCTCCAGTCAGAGACGACGTATGGACTCAGTTGTGATGCCAGCAGTGGAAGGATATAGCCGGTGATCACCATCACCAGGACCAAGCCAACACCACGGTGCTCGTATAGCTTGTTCGGTGTTGGAGGGGTGGTGATTGCACAGTCGTGGGCGGGCGTGATAGGAGAAGTGTCAACAGGGAGCTTGAGGATAGAAAAGCGAGTACGGAGTACAGGGTGGACGGGGTGGACGAGGTTGATAACGGTGGCACAGGAAAGTATACTGTATAGTTGACCAGATGGTAGAATACCCGTATCTAGGACCTGGGTACTGTACGGAGCACGTATCAATCAATATTTGCGTTCCTACTCACCAGGCCGATCCTTGTAAATACACTGCGACTACGGATATGTAGAAGGGGCCGATGGGGGCCGAACGAGGCTGGTGTTGGCTATTATTATAGTGGTGAGGTTGCTGCATGTACTGTATGTACTGTACAGTATATCCGTAACAGAGTAATTACTGCGCATTACTGTAAACAAAATGGTTGGTGCCCACGAGCTCGACTTTTCTCTCAATTTAATTATCGTACCTGGTATCAAACGGCCACGTATGTATGTATCAAAACACCAAGACCACCACCACCTCCTCCTCCTCCAGCCTCCGTCTGTCACCACCTTCCCTACCAGCTTGCACCTTTTCAGCATGGTGGGCTTAACTTGACCTTTTTCCGTCCATCATGGCCGTGGCGTTGGACCTCACAGCCAGCTACAAGGCGCGCAAGGAGGCCTTTGTCTCCAACCTTTCAGGCAGCTCCTTGACTGAGATCAACCTGGTCACCCTCGTTGCGGGAGTATGTTCTATGTTCCATGTCTCCTCCTCCTCCTCCGAACCATACTGACCGTCTTCTCTCCTCCAGTCAGCAGTCCTCCTCTGGTCAGCATTGCAAAAGAAGGAGTCCTTCTTCACTCCGTACACGCCCGTCGCCGCGCTGGCCGACTTTCTGCTTAATGTCTGTGCCATTCTGTTCGCCATCACCTTGTACTCGGCTGCTCCGCTGGCCCTGAACATCTTCCTGGCCATTCCGGCCGTGTTAGTTCTATGTCTCAATACCAGCTCTTCTTCACCTTTATCATCTTCTTCCTCTTCCACCGGCTCGGCGGCGAAGTCCAAGGCGAAGGCAAAGTCCAAGTCCAAATCCAGCCCGGCCAAAGCAGACTCTCCGGCCCAACATGGCGACGTTGATGGCCCTCGTCTTCCACTCCGCCCGTTCCTGACGCACTACCGCGGCTCCATGCTCGTGGTGACGTGTCTGGCCATCCTGGCCGTCGACTTCCCACTCTTCCCGCGCCGCTTCGCCAAGGTCGAGACATGGGGCACCTCTCTGATGGACTTGGGCGTCGGCTCCTTTGTCTTTTCTGCCGGAGTGGTGTCGGCTCGAGCACTGGTCAAAGTCAAGCCAACCGCCAACCCCGAGCAGGGCCGGCCAGGTTCAACCTCGACGTCTACCGACAACACCACCACCGCCACCACCACTACACCCAATTTCAGCAGTCGTTTCGGCCAGGCTGTCCGCCATTCCATCCCTTTGTTAGTTCTAGGCTTCGTGCGGCTCTGGAGCGTCAAGGGTCTCGACTACGCCGAGCACGTGACCGAGTACGGCGTGCATTGGAACTTCTTCTTCACGCTGGCCTTGCTGCCTCCGTTCGTCGAGATGTCCGACATGATCACACGCCGAGTTTTCAAGCAGTATCGCCACGACGCCCTGGCCGTCGCGCTGGCCGTCATCTACGAATTGGTCCTCGACAAGACCGACCTGCTCCGCTACATCGTCGCCGCGCCGCGCGGGCCGGATCTCCTCTCGATGAACCGCGAGGGTGTGTTTTCCTTCACAGGCTACCTGGCCATCTTCCTCGCCGGCCGCGCCACTGGCATGCGAGTGGTACGGTTCCGGTCCCCGACCCGCGAGGCAAGTCCCGGTTCCGGTTCCAGTTCAGGTGTGTCAGACACGTTGAATGCCAATCCAGTGCAGACGACGCGGCGCGAGCGCGGCCTCGTGCTCCGCGACCTGTTGATCCAGTCCATCATCTACGCGGCCTTGTACTGGCTCTCGACCAGCTTCTACGGCCTCGGCCTGAGCGTGTCGCGCCGTCTGGCGAACCTGCCGTACGTGCTGTGGGTCGCCGGGTTCAACAACGCCCAGATCCTTCTGTTCGGCCTGATCGAGGCCGCCGGCCCGGCCTTCTCCTACGAGCCCGAAGACGCCGGCCTCGTGCGCGCCGCCACCAGCCGCATCCTGCGCGCCTTCAACACCAACGGCCTCGTCGTTTTCTTGCTCGCCAACCTCTTGACCGGCTTGGTCAACTTGACCGTGAACACCCTCGACATGACCAACTTGCTGGCTATTGCCGTGCTGCTGGCCTACGCTGCGGCCGTGACCGCGGTCGCGCTAGTGCTGGATGCCACAGGCGTCAAGATTCGCATCTAGTCTCAACCGCTCCACCGGCGTCAAGATTCGCATCTAGTCTCTCTCAACCGCTCCATCGCATCGGCGTGCTGTACCGAGTACCGAGTACTACTGCTATACTATGTACCGATTACGGAGTACTAATGCTATGCTATGCAATGCTATGCTATGCTCTGCTATGCTTTGCTCTGCTATGCTTTGCTCGTGCGAAGCCCTCCCTGGACCCAGTGGCCCACGGATGCGGATGCGGATGCAGATGCGGATGCCCAGCTTCTATGTCATGCATGGTCTAACAAGTCATCTGACATGGATCTGTATATGGAAGGTGTGGAAGGGATGGATCTGTATGTGGAAGGTGTGGAAGGGATGGGATCTCGCCAGATCAACCATCAAAATCAAAATCAAAACATCACAATCAATATCAACATCGCATACATAAGATAAGATAATCTAGATTTCAATGCCATTGGATCCGAATCCGATCGAACTACTCGGTACTCGCTACAGTGCACACAATAGGACATAGGACATTCTCCCTCTCTCTCGTTTTGTGGAATAACACCAAGCACGAAGAAAAAAAAGATATTCACATTATCAGAGCAAAGAGCAAGGAGCAAGAAGCAAGAAGCAAGTAAGAAGCAAGAAGTAAAGACCAAGGAGTAAGAAGCAAAGCCTAAGAATACTACCCTCCTATAGTCGCCCGTCTTTACTCCGTAGTGTTTACAAAGATAAGGAATAGCGATACAGATAAAGAGATCACACAAACATCTATATGTCCCGTATGTCTATCCATCATCTGTCATCGTCACCACGGCCCCTACAGTAATAACTTGCTCTTCCTTTTCTCCGGTGTTGTCTAGACAAAATTAGTGCACAAGATACTTTGTCATTGGCGAAACCACAATGTCCTATTGCAACCAAGGAAACAATGAACTCAGGGTTGAGTCGTTCATATCTTCATAGCCCCCTGTCCCTCTGTCCCTCGGTCTGTCCTCCAACGGTCAGATGCCAAAGAGCTCAGTTCGAATCATGCTCCTGGGACTTGGTTTCCAGCTCCGGCCCTGCTTTTCAGATCTCGGTCTTGCCCAGGGGCAGATCGCCATCAGCACAACCGTATCATTCGATCCAATTCGCCACCTCCGGTTGCTTGACGGAGGCAAAGGTAGTGGCAAATACCGTCTAGGTTCAGTACGGTACGATCTTGACTCTCCGTCTTAGGTCTTCCGGTAACTCTTCCTCCTTGACCAGTCCCATCTGGATACAATCGCCCCAGAAGAACATGGCGCGCTCCTGCGCATAAGCGAGGTAGTCAAATTCCTCGTGCTCATCCTCGTCCGGATCGAGTTTCGCGTCTACCGCGGGCGTATCATCGACGGGGACGCCGACGCCGACGTCATCTGTCACGCAGTCACGGGTGATGACGGCCTCAGACTCGTGCGCGTGGTCTTCAGCTTGGGATATGCCTTGGCCTTGGTGCCGGGTGTGAGGTGGAGACACAACATCGCCGTTGGTAGCGATTGCATCTTGCTCCCCTCTCACTGTGGTGTCCTCCCCCACCGTGACTCTGGAGTGATCGGTGTCAGGAACGACCACGCCTCCATCACCTTCATGGTGGGCCTCCTCTTGCAGTCTGCCCTCCGGTCGGTCTTGGTGACTCTCCTGCTGGAGTCTCTTCTCCTCATCGTCTAGAGGATCCGACATAGGGTGAAGGTTCTGGTGCTTGTTCTCTCTTTCTTTCCATTTCACTCCCGCCACAGCCGCTTGGATCCCCGATTTCGCCATTTCCTTAACCTTGTTCACCATCGCATCCGCGCCGGCCCTGGCGCGGTTCTTTCCACGTTCCTCATCCTCTTGCAATGCTTCCAACTCCGGGATTTTGGCCTGCACTATCCCCCATGCTACCCACTGGGCGGAATTCGCTAGCCTCCACACCCTCGTCTCCCTTAACAACCTTCGGATTTCCTCCTCTTGGGCCTCCTCACGTGCCTTTTCGTCGCGTTCGTAGTCTGTTTCAAGCAGTCCTCCAGCACCACCACCAGGAGCTCCCCCGAGGGGGGTTCTCACATCGAGCATGAAATCACCAATATTCGTTTTCTCTCGCGCCTCTAGCTTGGGGGTGGAGCTCGCGGACGGACTGAATTGTGGTCGGTGCATGACGTAGCTCCGGACGAACTGGTACTGTTCGTGCTCGTTGGGATACCTGCGTGTGTCACATGCATAGCTGTGGTCAGCATGATGATAATTGTAACACCACTCGGTGAAGTGATTGGCGAACTCGAGACCCCGAGTATTCTGTGATGCGTATTCAAAGTCAATCACCACCAACTGCTTGTGCTGGTTTGATGGTTGCGACAAGGGCGATTCCCCACGAGGTTCCAGACGCATCAGGTTTCCATATTGCGTGTCATTGTGTGCGAACACGAGGGCCTTCTGCGTCCCACTTATTCCACCGCAGTCGGCGATCACGCGTCTGCGGTAGGCTTCGAATGTTTTGCGGAAGACGGGCCACTCTACGCCGCAAATGAGACCTCGCCTGACATACCGTGGGTTGACGATTGATTCACCACGATCCCTATCCGCTTCGGTCTCTTGCTGGGCTCGAGAGACTTGCTGATCAAGCCAGGTGATGATACTCTCGCATCGGTCGACCCATTTGTCCCAGTTGATGAAGACCGCAGGGCCGGCCTCGATTTCCGACTCCAAAAGTTCAATCCCGTCGTGGAGCTCACGCATACGCTTTGCGATCTGCTTGGAAGTTTCGGGCACGCGCAAATCTTCGGCGGTGAGAGTTTGTGCATGCAGATACTCTTCGAAGCGGCCATTGTCAAAGGACCCCAACAGACGAGGCCCAATACGTTTCCGGGCCAGGCGGCGGAGAATGCTTAGTTCAGATTGGCGATCAATAAGGTGCTCGACCTGCGGTCCATAGATGCGAAGAAGGAGTTGAATGGGCTGGCGTTTCGACACCGGGTGTGACGGCACAGACGAGTCTGTGGGGACGACCTTCTCGTAATCCGACATGTTTTTGGGAGGGCGAACGACATAGACGGCGTTGGTGAGTGCGCCGCTCAGACGGGCGACTTCGATGTCTTGGGCCTGATCTATCGGGATGCGCCGCCAGCCTTTGAGTTTCAAGGTGTGTGCTAGACGCACGATGTCCGTCTTGAACTTGACCCAATGCACGTAGTCTCGGCTTTGGGCGCTATCGCTCATGTCGACGTCTGCCGCGCCGCCAGTGAAGGCCATTGTTTTGGAATTGTCCAGGAATGCTTCGACACTAGGCACTAGAATATCTTCGCCAAAGAACTCGGTATCCGACGATTGTGGAGCGGTTGAAGTTCGTTTGTATTTCCTGGCTATGGATCCCTTCCTCACGAGTGAGCTCGAGGACCTCTGTGCTGGTCTGAGAAGAGTTGGCAAGCCGGCGCTGTACCCCGAAAGAATGTTTTCCAGTTTCTCGAGGGCCAGATCTGTCTCATTGTCCACGGGGCTGTCATCTCCACGTGAGGGGATCTCGTCGGCGTGTTCGCCAACCACCTTTGGATGATGGCGATGATGATCCAGATGAGAGTTCAGGTGGTGAAGTCGGTGTCTCCGTCTCGGTCGTTTCGCCTTCTCCTCTTGTAGCCAGTCGACAACTTGAGAGAGCACAGCTCGAAGGTCGGGGGTCTTGCTTTCAGTGGGCGTTCCTCCTGACTCGGGATTGTTGCTGTCGAGACTGAGATTTGACATTGGGTGATGGATTAAGGCCGCTGAAGAGCCCGATTGGGGTAGTAGAGGACGGCCAGTCATCTTCTTGCCTGATATGCTGGCACGATGGGCCTTTGGACCGAGTGAGGCAACAAGAGTGGGCGAGGTGCCGGCATCGTAGTCCGAGACCTTCATGGGCTCTATATGCTCGGGCTCGTCAAAGATTGTTACACCTGTTTCGCAGCAGGCAATGGGTTAGTTGGCTGTGGTTCCCACGATAAGCAAACAGCATGCAAACAGCATGCAAGATAGGGAAACGAGGCCCGTCGTTCGACAAAACATCCTTGACCTAGCCCTGCCTCAGCACGCCTAGGGTCACATAACAAACGGCCAGCAGGAACATGCTCCAGGCGGCTTCGACAATCAAATGAAGCGCGGGGCGTCATGTGAAGCTTCGAGAGATGCAATAGTAGTAAGGAGAAGTCCCACACGTACCTTTGTGTGCGCTTGTCCGAGGGGAGGGCGCCGGACCCGGACGCGTACTGGTGATGGGCGGCTGATTCGACGAGTATGATGCCATTGTTTGTTGCGGCTGGTGGCTGCACTGGATGCCAGGCACCTACCAGGTGCCAGGGAAACCCCGTTTGCTTCAATGGGGAAGTCGGGTCTAGCCTGCCATCAGAGGTTCAATATCAGAAAACGGTAACGGTGTCAGTTGCAGGCGGATGAGGCTATATGAGATGGTCGGTAGAGAAAGCCACATAGTTGGCATGGAAAAGCTGGTGTTGGTGGTGGTGGTTGTGGTGGTACTGCGTCAAGAAGGCGCGCAGGTCCAAAAGTGGGCAGGAGCGTGTGACAGGGCAGGCTGGGGCCAAGCTCGCCTGCTGGTAGTACGGCGGAGTACTCTGTATTGCTCTGCACGTCCTCAATCCTGCTGTATACCTGTTAGGTGCCTGTATACTACTAACTCCTACCTCTGCCTCCCTTGCCTACCAGGTAGAGGTATAAACGGAGACTGCGTACCGTGTATTGCTATCCCTACGTGTCCGTTGGTCCTTTGGCTTATAAGTCCGAAGTAATACAGAGTAGTATGCTAATGCTACCACACTTCATGCCATGTTGCGTCCACCTTGTGTGTTTTTCTAGGCCTGTGAACTCCCTCCTCATCAGCCTGTAATCTACTTTACAACTCCTCCCATCCCGTTCGGATCCTTAGACCTGTAAATGCTGTTGTTCGTCGCTTAACCCGTCCCAATGCATTGATATCGTTACAAACCCCCCTCAAAATTCCACTTCCCACCTCCCTGCCTGTTATTGATTCAAGCTCTTTGGGGTCGGTTGTTCGTACAGCCTCGTCACCTGCTCACCTCCCGGCATCCGACTCGGACTCGCTCTTTGGGCTCCCCCCAACTCTTCAGGATCTTCCACCAAGTCGCTTAATCCAAAGGCGTTATGCTCCACATCATAACTGCGCATGAGTCCGGCACTCTCGCCGCTCACGTTTCGGAGTCCTCCCGGGCTGAACGTGAGACTGCTGCTCCGTCGATGCGGATCCAAGCTCCTCCTCAGTTGCATACTTCGCCGGGTCTGCAATCCCGTGATGGGGTCGGTGGGAATTCCGTCCTGGTCGGGTATCTTTCCATTGAGTAGTCGGTGACCATCGGGATCGCCTCGAGATAGGTTGAGAAGATACACCCCAGCAAAGATGATCAGAAAGCCGCACAGAAGGGAGATGGTGTTGACGGCATCGGTGGTGTTGAAGCCTTGGAACAAGATAAAGGACGCACATAGCGTGGCGGTGGTGAAGGTGACATAGTACAGGGGGTTAACGATGGACGTCGAGAATAGACTCAGCGCCTTGTTGAAATAATTCATCTGCGTCAGGATGCAGACTATTGTGACAATCATGAACACATAGGTCGATGGATGGCTGAATTGGTTGTTGCCGGCAAAGGTCAGCTTCAAGGCGATCCCGAAGGCCTTGACCGACATGACCGAAATGGAGCCTACGGTCGAGCAGATCGAAATGTAGACTATAGGATTTCTCCTGCCGTGGACCGGAGCCACCTTGTATATCATGACGGCCGAGAAGACAATGCCTGCGAGGCAGTAGAGTATAAAGGCTGCAGGGGATAGTTAGCTGCAGGGATTTCTCAACCGGGCCTCTGCGTTCAGATTTCAGCCTCGTACCTGGTTTTATGGCAAATGATAGGATTTCATCCACAGTCTCAATCTCCTTATCCGGAGGCGCGTGTAGCACTATGATCACAGACCCGAGAAGACAGATGGCGCACCCCAGTTTTCCTAGGACACCCAGCTCTTCGCCCAGGAAATATGCCCCCAGCACGGCTCCGATCAGCACGCTGAGTGCTCCCAGGGGAGTCACTAAGATGGCCGGGGCAAACGCATATGCGGCAAAGTTGGCCACCTCGCCCATGACCAACGAGGCTATGCCAGCCCACCAAAGAGGGGTTTTCAAGTAGGCGAATCCATCTCCTTCAAAGCCGTGTTTGTCCGCCGCATCGTTCAATCCTTTTTTCGTAATGACAAAACTAGTCCCTATTGCGAGGGTAGAGGTGACGGCCAGCGCCAGGCCGATGTATTTGTCTTCCATCTGGTCGAACATGGCTGCGCGAAGCCTGGGGCGCAGTCGCGGATGCGCGTGGATCTGGCCCGGCTACGATAGTGTGCTGCAAGGTGTGCTCGTGGTCGTCGCCGAGAAAAAATGCGTGTAGGATATCGCAGATGGATAGGCAGCGTTTCAACGCGCCGGCGTTTGCAATCAAGCGTGACTGAACAGGCCTCGAGGGAAAGAATCTCGATCTCGATGGTGCTTGGACAGGTGGCCGGACCGCGACGCTTCTAGGCGGGCGGGGGATGTCACAGAAAGGATCGAAATCTGGCCCGAAGGCAACGAGCGACGACCTCCAGAAAGGACTCTGCTAGTCTGACTGGCTGAATGACCGATCCGGTGATGAATGCTGATTCAAATCGCACAACAAAAAGGACAGGACTGGCGAAAGGGAGCTGACGAGGAAGAGACGTGTTTCGAGCAAACAGCTCCTGAAAATCCAATACGGAGAATAATACCAATGGGGGCAGTTCAAACGCCGCAAAGGGAGGGATGGAGTGACAGATACGGTAGATGGCCAGGGGCGGAGTGCGGCTGATGGGCGGGAAAAGGTGCTGGTGCTGCTACTATCTTGATGGCACAATCATAATCATCGGACTGAAACCCTGAACCAGACGCGTCAACGCCATCCATGCGTGGAATATCCACCACTGGCAGCGCCCATCACATCCCATGCTTGGTGGATGCCGCCATTCCTCATCCCACAGCTTGACACGTACCTAATAATGTAATACCACACTGGCATCGCAGTCCCGGTCAGGCTTCTTGCCAGCAGCCGCAGCCCCTGGTGCTCAGGTGCTCCTAATGCTACCGCTCCATCCCCGATCCTTCACCCTGACATGGGTTGACAGCATCCGTACATACGCCGACAAGATTGTTGCTGCTCCCCAACTGGTCTCTGCCACTCTCAGGCATGGCCCTGTACAGAGTACGGAGTACACACTACACCGTACACCGCACACAGCTTGCCATCGCTGCCTCCAGTGAGTACTACTGCTCGGCGCTTGGGTAACCATAAGCACTCAGGTAATGCATTGTCCCCACCAACAACGATGTTGCTTACAGTGAGTATCCGTAGTTAGTTTCGACCGGGATAGATTTGTCTACCGTATCGTATCGTGTTCAAGTATTTTTTCTTACGCACAACCTCAACCTCAAATGCATTGGTACCGCAAAACTGATCGATTCTGTCGCGGCAGACAGCGCATATCTCGCGCACTCTTTCAAGACGTAAATTCAACGCGGTCGTTGATCCTGGGGAACGAATCTCTCCGCAAATACCGACCAAAATCGGTGGCCATCGCAAGCCAGACTCCTTCTCTATCGGCCAGGCATATGGCTTGTCCCTGGCTCTGATCTCAGAATCTCAATGTGACAGTAATTGTTGTTCAAAGACACCATCCCGCAAAAGAAATCGAAAACGACCCTCTTGAAATAGCCACACCTTCCTCTTCAGCCCAGGACTCCTTTGGAAGAACGGCAAGAGCGGCACTCTCGTTTCGCTTCTATTGCCACCAGATTCTCCTCACCTGTATGAACGCCATGGCTAGGTCGAGTTGAGTGGAAAACAGAGCATCAAACCCCCTCCCCCTTGCTCTATTGCGCTGTACCTTGCCACCCTTTATGTGAAACCCCAAAGCACATTCAACTTTTTCTGGAACAAACCGACTCAAACCCCTCTATCCTGCCCTCATCATATGACCAACTTAGTCCAAAAGCCAGCGGGAAGTCGGTCAGGGCGAAAATTGCTCCCGAACTGGGCGAACTGGCAAGAATTCGCGCATTCCTCATAACATTGCTGGTCAGAGTGTTGAGAAGGTGCCTGGTCTTCTCTTTCTTCTGAGTGGTTGGCCGTGTCACATCATTAATATTAAGACAATAATAAACATTTCCATAGAGAGGCCATGCTGCTCGGGGTGTCAGCTTGTGTCAGTCGCCTCTGGTGTAAGAGGTGGTGACCCTTTCACATCATGCTCGAATCGCCCGAGAGACCAGCTCCCAAATCTCCCGCATTTTGGGCCGCCATCATATTGGGTATGCTCAGGGACGGACTTTGGTTTGGATTCAGCTGAAGTTCGGGATTGCAGGGAGGAGAGTGTGTCTTGTGATATTTGAGGCCGTTCAAGTTCTTGTACCGCTTCTGGCACACCTCGCACTTGTATGGCTTCTCCTTTTCCATTCCCATCGTACCTGGATATGGTGCTTGAGTGTCTGGGTCTACAATAGAGAAGGTACCGTCTCCATTTTCTTGGAGCCGTTGATTATTATGTCCATGCTGCCAGGTTCGTTAGCAAATGCGAATATGTCGTAGGGATTAGTTACTTACCGACTTGTGGTATTTGAGACCATTCTGATTTTTGTAGGCTTTCTCGCAGCCAATCACGGGACATCGGAATGGCTTCGGCTCCTCGTGCGGGAGAATATTGGTGGTGGTATCGGGTAATCCAGCCGCGGCTTGCCGTTCACGAATGGTGCGAGCAATTTCGCTGTTCGGTCCGTACTGGCCACTCCCTAAACGGGTCTGCGCCGCTGATTGTTGTCCTTGCCCTTGGTTGCTAGGAGAAAACAGTCGCTTGGCCGGCTCGTCGATACATAGATCAATCATGTCGTTATTCATGCCAAAGCCGAACCCACCGAAACCATTCGGAAGGCCATTGAAGAGAGGATTGCTCTGCATTGACATGTCGTCCATGCCACTCATGAGCCCGTCGTCGAGTTCCCCCGGAGTGCCTGGAGCGGACGAATCTGGTGTGCCCCGGTACGCGCTCTGCAGGTCTTGGAATTGTTGCATGGGATTTCCCATGAGTGTCGACGAGGCATTGTTACCCTGGAAAGCCGCAGAAGGGCGGCCGGACGCTACCGGGGTATTTGGAGTAGACTGTCGGTAGGCTTGGTGGCCCTGCATCATCGTGGTATTGAGTTGTGGGATTTGGGATTGTGCAGCAGTGGAAAAAGACGTCTGGGGTGACGTTTGGGGCTGATTCTGTGTGTAGAGGTTGGGCGGTGGTGTCTTTTCGTCGGCCTCATCGATGTCATCCATCTCCATATCTTCGACAGTGTCCATATCTGGAATGGTCTGCAGCGTGCTCGAGAAACCCGAGGGACGCTGCATCTCCTGAGGCGTGGTATGCTGGGAGCCAAATGGTCGACCCGAAGCATTTTGCGACTGTTGCTGTTGTTGATTACGTTGTTGGGCTTCGTGTTGTACTTGAGCTGCAGTAGTGGCCGCAATTGCCGCCCGGCTGTCGGGGACGGCTGTTTTGTTATCTGGTAGCGGATCTTTCTGCGCATGTGCTTCTTCGTAATGCTGCAATAAGTCATGCAGAGTTGGGAGGGTTAAGCCGCAACATGAGAAATCTTTCATGAAATTGGCTTCGAGCTTGGGCAGGTAGGACGAAGAGTGGAATGAGGGGGAGTTGAACGTGAAGGGTGAGGTTCCGGACATCATCATACTGCTCACATGTCAGTGCCTCATTCTCTACTGACAGATCTACGCCAACTTGAATAGGCCACTTACTCGTCTCTGATCCAGCTTCCGACCGAAATTCCTCCCCAGCTCATGCCTGCGCCGAGGCTCTGGGCTATGCTCTCACGCCTGGCCTTATCATTTGCCACACCTTTCATGGTAATCGGTCGTGCGCCATGTTCGAATCTAGCGAAATCGTCGGAGGCATTGGAAGGCATTTGGGGGATAGGGCGGTTGAGGGCCGTCTCAGGGACCTGAGTGGCCATCTTTCGTTTCTCTTCACTATCGCTTCGTTGCAAAGCGGAAGTCAGGGTCGACGGCTGGTTGCCTCGAGGTGAGGTTGAGGTCTGTCTCACGGATATACCGAGAGGATTGGCTACGCTCGCCATGCCCCGAACCGGTGGCGAGGCGCCAAAGGTCGGGAAAGTACTATCGTCGAAATCGGGCTTGAGGAGGGAGTTGTCAAGGCACAGGCGGGTGGTGGTGCGCCCAACGTCGATGGGCTTCTTGAACCACGGTAGGAAGTCCCTGTCTGTCTTCTTTCCAGAGGAAGGCCCACTCCCGACGGGTGTGACTGGGGTTGTGTCTCGAGAGGTGAGATGCGACCGATCACTCGGAGAAGGTGAGTGATTCAGTGGCGGAGGACTCTCTTCGTACTCAAACATAGACCTATCAGAGGAACTTTCGGGAATGGTGCGAGAAGAGAGACGTTCTAGCGGTTGACGTCGACAGAGGGCGGTGACGTTGTGGGGTCGGTGTCGGATGGGTTCGAAGTTGTGGCGAGGACAGAGGATGGCGGACGATAATGAACGAAGTGGGAGACGGAGATGTATACTCGAGGATAGATGACTCTCGTGAGGATATTGCCGAGTATTGTTGCAGGTGAGAGGGCGGCGAGGCGGGATGCGAGGATGCGAGGATGCAGGAGGGAGAGAGTTAAAGTTAGTGGTGATAGAACGACCAGAGCAGTTCGAGTCGAGTCAAGTCTGAGCCTTGGGCAGTGAGTGGACGCCGACGGGTTCAGGCTGTCGGAGACTTGAAGCAGCCAAAGCCTCTAGTGCACTGACTGGCCTAGAGGAGGGCCTTAGGGGTCCATTAGCCCGGAGCAAGCACCACAGTTGCACCCAAGAGCATCCCTGCAAGCCGCGGGACCCGCAGGCAGACCTCTCCATTTCCACTTCCAGTCGAGCCTTGGGCCCTCATCGATCCCTCGATTCCGACCACTGGCCGTAGCGATTCGGGATGAACGAGATCCAAATACAGGCTCAGCTAGGTAGGTCTCTGTCTGCCTTTCCTGGCACCGCCAGAATCCCATACACAACGTCCTCCTGCTAGCTGAATGACTGACCGCTCGCTCAGGAATCGGGCGTACGTCTACGTCTACCCCTACACCGTACACGATATGCGATGAGTAACCCGTCTCGTTTCCCGCCCGAGTCAAGCCTAGATCCTCTCATCCCGCACCCGGAACAGGCTCCAGGTGCCAGATTCCAGAACTGCTTGATGGATCTCACCTCAACATGCTAGCGGCCTGCCACTACCCGCGTAATAATGTTCAGCACTGACACTGAGTCCGGTCCTATTCTGTACGGGGGCAGTCTTGGAGGATGGAAGATCTGCCACACCCTGGATGGAGCGGCAGCACTCTCCGTACCGTATACCTGTACTTGTGGTCAAAAGAGCAGATCAAGAGCAATCCCGGAAAGTAACCACGAGTAGTCACAAGAGAAGCCGTGCTTGGCCGGGCCATCGCTCGTCCGTCATCATTGCTAACACCACGACTAGCCGACTACTACCAGGTTCAAGTTGGCAGGCTGAGACTGGAATTACACCCTACGGGTTGGCAACTGACAACCAACAGCCCGGCCAGTAGTAGTCTGGCCCAGTTGCGATCGCAAAAGGGAATTGTTTGCTCGGCCCTTGGCTATCAAAATCTTGTTCTATTACCCTCGTCGGGCCATTTGGAAGGGTTAGTTAAGTCCACCTGGCTACTCTCAAGAGAAGCAATTCGACGGGCGACACAGTGCCCCAAATGCAAGACTCCGTCCAGGGACTCTTTTGAGTCTGCGTCTGACTCTGCGGTGGGCCGTCCGGGCAAGCCTCAGGTCGGCCACACCAATAACAAAAGAGCCGGGGCGAACCTGTCGGACCCTGGATTGGCCAGTCCTACCCACTATTCTTCTCTAAATCTCGCAGAGCTCGTGGCGCCCTTCAGCTTGTGGCACACGCCCTAAGCGCATCCGATGCTCTCAGCCGATGATTACTGTTGGTCCGTTCACATGGGCGAGACCAAACAACCTACAAGGGTAACCGGATGACTTTTGGCACCTGCACTCCGTACTTGTGCTTGATCTATTCAGAGGACCATGATATACGGTAGAGTCTATGGCTCACTGGCATAGCCTGGGATTCCTGTGAATGCAGCACGCAGCCAGCAGCGAGGCGTGGCCTGGCGTGGGAAGAAGCCTGGCACCGATTCTCGAAACGCCTCCTGGCACCTAAGTCCGGACAGTCGGAACCAACATATCCTCGGGGGTTAGACTATGACGAAGAGGCGAGGCAATCTCACGCCTCTGACCGAAACTCAGAGTGTACGTAGCCGCCACTGCTCATTCAGCGGAATATCACTCGGTTCTGGTTTCTGGATCACTGCGAAATGTACAGAGTGTCCCAGAGGCAATGAGCAATGAGATCACAATCTGAGCATCGTGATGCAATAAATTGGAATGGTGTTGAAGAAGGCCAGCAGCGTCTCTAGACGGAGCAGCATTGAGCTGGGATCACACTATGAGTATGCACACCGTACTCCGTACTATGCAGCAAGGCCTCGTCGAGCGAGAACTTAAAATCCGCCCTTGGACTCTCCAACTGGCCTCGTCTAGGACTAGACTCGTGTCAAATCCTCACCGGACATCAAAAGATCTGCCTCATACGCGGAGCCATTGTCACCAGTGTGATCGCTTGTAACAGCCGGAGTCTATCGTCGGCCTCAACGCCGATTTGAACTCATTCAGTTGTACTGCCGCTGGTCGTCAGACCTCAGAAGATAAGCGAGCAGAAGTCGATCTGACGTGACATCACGGTCTGTCCTCTTCAAGTTGGGGGACGGTCGGGCCACGCATCAATTGCTATTATCGATGGTCGCCGCCGCATCAATTATTGTTCAATAAGTGGTCATACCCACGCTAATCGTTGCTCGGACGTCCAGGCACCTACCAGGCACACCCACTCCAAGCCTCATGGGGTTCGCGGGCCTTGGCTTAGAAGGCCCCATGAACGGTGGATGCCGACCTCCCTTTTCCTGTGGAGGACACGCCCAGCTCGACCCAGGACGACCCAGGATTCAGGCTTGCGCGGAAACTATGACTAACAGCCTGCTGAAAACCACCGCCAGTACGGAGTATAAACCCATGGCCCTTCTTCAGAGAGGAGCCAATTTGATTATTTTCGGATGGGCTAGAGGCCTCGAGCCAGGCCATTACCGGTCGGCTGGGTCACGACCGCGATCATTGATGGCAGGGCGTTCTAATAGGCTTTGGATGTTGAGCCGCGTTTGCTTGAAAGCGATGGCAAAAGCCGTATGCGCGGCAGTACGAAGACCGGAGGATCCGTAAAAAGGATCCGTACTCCGTATCTCACCTTCGATCGGATGGATCAACATCACAGGCACTCTAGAGTCTACAGACTACGGGGATTGAACGCTGTTGCCAGGCCCGAGACGGGGCCGAATCTCCCAACGACTTGCCTTTGGCTGTCTTCACAAGGCTACGCAGTCTGGTTTCAGGGCCTTGTTCCAGCGCGCTTCTTCCACAGAGGGAACCCGGTATTCAGGAGCAGGCCCACGGTGGGAGTGGACATGTGCCATGCAGGATTGCTCCATCTGGTGCCGCACAGTGCGTGGCAAGGCGGAGCCATCAGCATTCTTACACCTATGATCGTTCAGGCCTGGTGGAACGGTGGTGAGGCGAGGGGTGTTGCAGCGACCCAACACAACGAAACAGCAACAACATGGGAAGTGTACGGAGTATAACTATACACTGTACGCGTAGTAGTGTGAGCTGTTGGCCACCCCTTTGTGAAGAGCGAGAACCGTGTACGGGTACGGTCTACGGTGTACGGAGTACTCCGTACACATAGATTGTCCATGGAACACACGGAACGACAGCCACGGGTGTTGACCGTGATGATCTCGCCCCTGCCACCTACCTATAGGTGCCTAGGTTCTATAGCCTGCGACAATCCCTGAAGCGACGGACGATGATGATGATGATTATGATGATGATGATCACCAAATGATGGATATGTATGATGATGAAAGTGGTTGATCATTGATCATCCAACCACCGTTCATCCGGACAGGGGAAGAACGGCTTGATTTGCATGATGGATCTCGATCATTAATTGGCACCTTTTGCCGGACACTGACTGCCATTGGCAAGTTGTACGGAGGATGCCACCGCCCTCGGAGAAGCTGTGGCCCCGAAGCCTGAAGGAGGGGAGGAGAGGAGGGTTGGGCTTAGGCTGGCTCCTTAGCAGGTCCCAGGTGTCCCAGGCCCCAGGCCTTTAATCATTAGGGCTCCTTAGGCGTTAGCCCCCGGGCCCAGGTGGGTTTGCGCCAATTTCCACAGCTGTTCTGGAAGGTCAGCACCGACATTATTGGGTTTTGGTGGCGCAGCCTCGGGGGCTTAAGGGCCTCTAGGCTCGCTGAGGATTCACTGTTCGGTGTTCAGCCGTTCAGCCGTTCAGCCGTTCAGATCGCATCCAACGCCGCCTCGCCACTCCGCTTGAAGCCTAGTCCAGAGTAAGTCCGGGAAGTGTCGCATGAACAACTTGAAGGCTGAAGCTGCTAATTAGTGAACACCTAGGTAGTATTATTAGTAGTAGTAACACCTAGAGTAGTAGTACGGAGTGTCCTCGGTAGGGAGAGGCCTGAGGGAGCTAGAGAGTGCAGAGTCAAGACGATACATATGCCTTCGGGCAACCCAGATCAGCTGTCGAGTGCACCGTTCATGTGTCTCGCACGCCCGACGGCTGAAGCTCGACGTCTGTGATAGATAGCTAGACTCGTCAGCTCCCAGTCAGTAAGTAGCCCAGGTACCCAGGTGCCTACCTGATTGAACAGGGGACTGGCAGTGGCGGTGACATTGAGTCTCTCGCCACTCGTCGGCGGCATTGGCATTGTTACTATTACTACTACTACTACACGGAATTGAAAGAATACATATTTGCTGATTGGACATACTACCTAGGTACCTACCTACTACCTACTCTACTATGTACTCTAGCCCAGGATTCTGGTCTCTTGTAGGCAGCCTCCTATGTGCGATGACCAAGATGGTATCGAATGAGTGACATCCTGCAAAACTCGTCTCAACTTCAACAAGGATATGTCTTTCTCACACGGGAATGAACGGAAATGTGTGACATTGCTCTCGTTCCACTGTCAACCACTCTACCTCGTCCACGGCTCTTCTCCTTCTCACACAGTCAATGGATGGAAATGTGTGACATTACTCTCGTTCCACCGTCGACTACTCTACCTCGACCACGGCTGTCGTCTCCCTCTCCGTCCTCCGATAGGCAAGCCTATGAAGGCGGTCAAGTGTGATTTCAAGGCAAGCCCCCTGTTCAAAGAAACGTTGCTAATGGCATTGCTTTGCTCGAGGTGTCTTTATAAATGCCTTGAATTTCCCTTTCGTGGTTCCAGCTTTAGGCTTTGTCATCCTTTGTGGTGATCAACCTATCCTCTTCAGCCTCACCATGGGAGTTCGCCGAGTAGCTCTGTCGAGGGCCTTGTTGCTCCTCTGGGTGTGGTGATGGGGGCAGAGAGAACATGCTTCCCAAGGTACTGTGCAAGCCTCGATGACAATGTGGGCAGCGCGTTCCTAGAGTTTGGCGATAGCGAATGTACTCCCGGAGACTCGTGACAGTCATCCAGCCGTGCATGGACCTTTGAAGCCAACATTAGCACAGGACTGCGTGACATGGCATGTTTGAGTGGGGGGAGAAGGAAGGAGAACACCAATCCACCGGGGTGACGAGAGGCCTTCCTTGACTCACATTGCAACGAGCGCCCCAATAGAGGCGTACGACAACATCATCACTGACGGCTCATCGTAGTAGTAGCGGCCGCCAGCGGCGGCATTGATGGTCGTGCAGACATAGAGCACCAGGAACGCCATGACACCCAAGGTCTCGATCGCCAGAATAATGAGGGAAGGGCACTGCGGATCACCGGCAGTGTTCAATCTCAGTTGTCTCTGGCCGACTGTCAAAAGGACCACAAGGATGTTGAAGACGATGGAGACCGCGAAGAAGACGCCCAGCACGATGAATAGAGCACCGCCCGCAGCGAAACTGAGGCTCATGGCAACGACATTGTTGATGAGAAGCAACGGCCGGAGGACCCTGTCGAGGCTAGGCGGCGCAGCTAGCTGGTTGAGGAGATGCATGTTTCTGTGTCGGCTTTGAGTTGGGCACCGCGTTACCAAGTAAAGAAGTATATCCGTATAGCTGAAGGTTATGGGACTGGAGAGTATATCTCAGTCGGGACGGGAAGCAAGGTTGGCCAACTTAGGTACAGAGCATTGGAGGGGAGATAGATACATACACCTTGTATTTATGTCTCGCCAAACACTTGTCGGCCGATCAGTATCAGGCAGGCCGCAGCACGGCAACTTGATACACATGTCTGAGACTTCAGACGTCTCCTGTCTCCATACCGGCTTCTTGAATGGTGATCTTCGCCAGTAGTGGCCCCCAAACCCAACCCTCTACTCTGTATCGAGCGTCGCGCCTGAATCCTGCCGGGAGGCAGTGCCCAGTGTCCAATCAACGGGTGTCTGGGGCCACTCCACGAGGATAGACTCTGAAGAGTGGGCAGTGCATCAGGCAACCGCCATTCTGATATCAATATTGCCCATCAACATGGGTTTTTGACAGCCATCAGGCTAAAGAAAGACCATCCTTTGTAGTTGAAGAGCAAGAGCAAGCCTGTCACTGTGTCGCCTGCCGTCTCAACAATGATATCGATAGAGTAATGCGCCCCCCAGATGTGGACGTGTCGTGTACTCGGTGCTCTGTATCCGTACTATTAATACTCTCAAAGGCTTTGCGGTTGCCTAGTTACTAAAAGTCTCTAGTACTATTAGTTATTAGTGATATGCTATTTCGGGTTAGCTTTACCACCTCATTCAATCAAGGAAGGATTCCCGAGACAGGCCTCAGGCTTGGCAGCCAGACCATTCCCACACTGGCAAAGGCAACATGAAGAGAGGAGTCTTGCGACTGGTGGCAGTCTTTGAAGCATTTGATTTTGATATTGAAGAGTTATGAGTTAGACTTGTAGGCCGGCTGACCATCGACTACTCCGGCTGTCTCACGCCATGGCCGAAAACTCTACCAGCCAGCCTGGACCAGCCCTGGGCCACATTTCAAACAGTGTTGCACCTACCACTACAGACGCTGAACCATCGGCCGCTCCAACAAGCCCGGTCAAGCGCAAAGTCGATGAGCTGAGCCCCTCTGGCCCATCGGCTGAAGTGAGAGAGGACAAGCGCCGGAAAGGAACTGCTGCGATCAAGCCGGAATTCCTGGTCCGATTTGACGACCTGGTCGAGCCGAGACCTGCTCAAGACGAGGCTGACGATGATGCTGCCGAAGCATCCCACCACAAGGACAGACAAGCTGTCGGCAGCAACTCCAAAGGCAAACGCCGGGAGAAGAACAAGGGGCAGAATAAAGCCCGGGAGTATGGTCGTTCCCGAGACGAAGTCGGCTTATGTTCGACCCTCACACAACGACCCGAGTTCTCTCCAGACCCTTGTCCGTACGGGGAGAAATGCCGCTTTGAGCATGATTTGCGCAAATACCTGAAACAGCACAAGCGCGAAGACCTGACCACCTTCAATGGCCTGTGTCCTGTGTGGGAAACCAAAGGAAGGTGTCCTGCTGGGTGGAAATGTCGCTTTGTCGGTTCTCATTCCAAGGAGGTTGAGCGCGACGATGGGCGTCGAGAACTCGTCTTGATTGAAGATGCCGAGCGGATTGAAAAGTACAGTCAGACCTCGTGCGAGGGCGAAGAGGCTGGCGTCGCGAATGTCATCACGGCCCAGCAACGGATGAGCTTGACCAAGAAGAAAATCGCCACCCCCAAAGCAGATGCGTGCCTCAAATCGCTGGATTCGCAGGCCCAGAATCCGGCCGACCAAGGTCGTCGTGGCAATGGAGCTGTGCGCAACTCATCGTCGCCGGAGCCAGTTGGCGAGGGTGACGGGACGAATGGACGGGACCAGGCCGACTCGAGAGCTGCCTTCCACGATCCGCCCCTGCGGCCATCAGAAAAGCGCCGTCTCTACTTCGGGGCCGAGACTCCTATTCTCGCTCCTTTAACCACCCAAGGCAACCTACCTTTCCGACGGCTGTGTTCTTCCATGGGGGCGACATTCACCTACTCGGAAATGGCCATGTCGATGCCATTATTGCAGGGCCAGAAATCCGAGTGGGCGCTGATCAAAGCACACGAGTCGGAAGTGCAGCCGCCGACGTTCACGGCCAAGGGGACGCCAAACATCGTGTATGACTACGACCAAAGCCAGGATCTTCGGTTCGGGGCCCAAATTGCCGCCAATAAGCCGTGGGTGGCGATCAAGGCGACCGAGGTGTTGACGTCGCTATTGCCCAAAGGCCTACGAGTGGTGGACCTCAACGTCGGGTGCCCGATCGACCTCGTGTTTCGAGAAGGGGCCGGGTCGGCGCTAATGGACCAGCCGAACAAGTTGGAGAAGATGCTTTGGGGCATGAACGTCGTCTCGGGCGAGACCCCCGTCAGCGTCAAGATCCGAACCGGCACGCGCGACAGGCAGCCCACGGCGCAAAAGCTGGTGGAACGGCTCGTCCTGGGCGGAGGGCAGAGCCGAGGCGAGACGTGCGGCGTCGCGGCCATCACTCTGCACGGCCGCACCCGCCAGCAGAGGTACACGCGGTCCGCCGACTGGGAGTATATCGCGCAGACGGCGAGCCTGATCAAGAAGCTGGGCGAGAAGGCCGATGCGCTGACCGACACGGTGCGCGAGGTCGACGAGCGAGACCAGGCCAACGGCCACCGAGGGTCGAGGACCGGCAAGGTCTGGTTTATCGGCAACGGCGATGTCCTCTCGCACGAGCACTACTACGACCATATCGACCACGCTGGCGTCGACGGCGTCATGGCCGCCCGCGGCGCCCTGATCAAGCCGTGGTTGTTCGAGGAGATCGCCGCCGGCCAGTACCTGGACAAGTCGTCGGCCGAGCGGCTGCGCCTGATCGAGCAGTTCTGCCGGTATGGCTTGGAGGCCTGGGGCAGCGACGAGGTCGGCGTCGGCCAGACCCGCCGCTTCTTGCTGGAATGGCTCAGCTTCGCCTGTCGCTACGTCCCCGTCGGTCTGCTCGAGTATCTGCCGCCCAACATCCAAGACCGCCCGCCGCGCTACCGGGGCCGCGACGACCTCGAAACCTTGATGGCCAGCGACAACTACAAGGACTGGATCAAGATCAGGCAAGTCTGCTCCTGTCCATTCTCGTATCCTTAAAAAACTGCATCCACCTAATAGTACTAACACGGGACTGTCTAACCGCCAACAGTGAAATGTTCCTAGGCCCCGCTCATCCAGACTTCCGATTCGAACCCAAGCACAAGTCCAACAGCTACGAGATCCAGGCCGAGGGATGATTCAATCCGGACCAATCTGTTATAGAGTCTGATCTCCTAGAAGCTGCTGTAGCTAGTTACTGTGGCACAGCAACATCGTCTCGGGAATATCCTCCTCCTCCTTCTCCGCCTCCAAACCCCGTGCGTGATCGGGGCCTGTCCTCCTACATCGGCTTCTCTCCAGCCCTCAAGTTTAGAGCCCACAGCTCCATGCCCAAACAATGGTCGATATCAAGCAAGGTCAAGGTCATGGTCATGGTCATGGTTTGTTTCAATTCATTTCATTTCATTTCGTGAAGAGGTAAATGCATCCCGGCCCCCCAAACAAAGGCCCACGCCCACGCCCGCTAAAGACGAGCACCAAACGCGCCGGTTACAGTATTGATGTTCCAACAAGCAAAATCAATCCAAACCACAATCCAAATCAAGCCACCACACGGCGGCCGAGGGGTAGTTCCATCTGACCCTGCCAGTCAAGAGACGGTCGCGGAGACGCCCATCGTCCATCTCGCCCCCTTTTTGCGAACCCTCCATTTGATTTTCACCTGCCACTCGTCTTCCTTGCAACGCCTATCCTGGTCCTGCTCACTTTGTCTGCAAACTTGAGACTGGTGATCGTTTCCGCCAGGCACTTCTTTTCCGGCGCGACCATCACAAACATCAGCGTCTTGCTGTTCCCTCCGAGGCTGAACTGCAACAGATACGTGAGCTTGCTGTTGCGATAGGGAATGTGGCCTCCGGCACCTCCTCCAGATCCGTTTGTCCCGTTGACGCTTTCCCTCGGATTCAAGCCCCCAACGCCGCCTGTTGCCTGTTGTTGGCCGAGCGCACCTATCACGTCGCCCAGACACGACAAGGACTTGTTGATGTTTTGGGTCTCTTTGAGCCGGGCGCCTTCGACCTTGGAATGCGACAGACGTTCTGAGCCTGCCAGGTCCACCAGGTTCAGCGTGCCTTTGCTCTTTTTGCCCGTAATGGAATTATAGCCGGCCAGCTTGAGGATGAAGACGGAATGGCTACGACTGCTTCGTTCGTTGGCTTTCGTTGCGGCCACCGACCGCCTTGCCATTGCCTGCGCCAGGATGCCTTCGACTTGGTCCTGACTGTCGAGGTTGAGCGTGGTGACGTCGGTGATGGTTGTCTCGCAGGTCGTCATGTCGTGCCGAATCTCATGCTTTTTAGGGCAGTTGTCTCCGTCCTTTCCGAGCAGGTCCCGCAGTTCTTCATTATATACCTCGACGAAACTGCCTTCCATCGTGTATGTCCACCCTCTGCTCTCGAGCTCCTTGCTGGTGCTATAAATCTGCCGCAGAGCTCGTGGAATCATTCCATCATCGGATGACATTGTGAATGTCTTGCCCGATCCGGTCTGGCCATACGCGAAAATACACACATTGTAGCCATCCAGCGCGGATTGAATAAGTTGACTGATCTCCTCGAAGATTTCCGCATTGTCGCTTGATGGATCAAAGACCCGGTCAAAGGAGAATTGGTGCGTTTTCGTCGTGATCTTCCCGAGACTGTTGGTTTCGTCGGGACCTTTGACTTCGATGTCTTTGGTTTCCTCCTCGGAATCGGGAATTGTGATTTTGGCCGTTTCTTCCGTCTGGTCGCTATCGATTGTCGGCCGGACACGACAGAAGACTCGGATGTTGCCTTTCAACTCTTGTACTTGATTGTGTAGCTTTCGCCGATGCATTTCCTCCTTCCTCAATTTCTCTTCGCACTCCGTTGCTTTCTCAAGAGCTTCATTCATTCTCCTCTCCATAGCTGCATATGCTTCGGACTGAGACTTGTTGTCTGACTCGAGGTATTCGATCTTCGCTTGTAAGGCTTGTCGTGAGTTCTCCATGGCAGTTGCATTGGTACCAGCCGAGGCTAGGCTCTGACGAAGTTCGTCGTTGAGCGACTTTTCTCTTTCGAGGTCTGCTTTGAGTCGTTCAACTTCCATGCCAATGGTCCTGATTTCCTGGTCTTTCGACTGGAGGTCCATCTCGTGCCGTTGCTTTTCAAGAGCACCCTGGGTGGAAACCTGAGCCAAGGCTTGTAGTCGTTGGCTTCGTTCACCTTCCAGTTCATCTTCGAGTCTTCTCTTCAACTCCCTTATCTCTTCCCTGTGGTCGGCTTTGAGACGGTCTAGATCGCTTCGATGCGATTGTCGGATGCTCTCGCAATCTATTCGATGTTCACGTTTGAGATCTTCGACTTCTTCCTCATTATCCCGCTTGAGTTCGTGATTGGTCCGTTCAGCAGCTTCGAGTCGGTATTTGGTTGTTTCCAATTCGCATCTCAGGGCTATCATTGATTCCGTCAACTCTTTCCGTTCGAGTTCGAGATTTGCTACGGTCGATTTGTAAGTATTGTTGATCTCCTTCGCTTCCACGTTGTCTTCCATGGCTTCCTTGTAATGCCTGCACACGTCCTCATACATTCTCTCCATATTGCCATATTGTTCCTCGGGATCCCAGGCTTCTAAATCAGAATATTTTGTCAGAAAGACTTCCTTTTTGGGTTTGAGGGGAGACGTGGCAGAAATTTTGGGAAAGGGCAGGGGGGTGAATGAAGGCTTCTCCGGCGCTGGGGGAGTGCGCGGAGATGGTCGAGGAATCCTCGAAGGACTGCCTGGATGCGTGGACTTTGGGGTCTCCGGGCACAATGAAAGATCTGCCAGGTCCGCCGTGATCGTCGAGGTCGACAACGCATCTCTCCTGGGCAGCAGTGGCCGCAAGGGCAATCCAAGGGCCTTGTTGTTGGAGAAACTTCGAGGCAGTCTCTTTTGTATGCACGCAGATCCATTGACCGGGACACGGGCACCAAAGGGCAAAGGGAACTTGGAGACTGAAACCATACGTTTATTGGGACCATCCTGACTTCCTCCACGCGTTCCTAAAGATGTAGCAGGCCTCGTGTCGGCCCCTCTCGTTGCTCTTTGTTTCGCCAGAGACGACTTCGGTCGAGCGAGGGTCGAAGACGCGTGGACACTCGGTGGGCGAATTCCACTGCCGACGCTGGCTGAGAACGCCGACACTGTTGTAGAAGTCGAGGCGCTCCTTGAATGTTGAGAATTGCTGCGGTGGGACTGAGAAAAGGAAGAGGGATTGCGCGAGTGTGTTGCTGACATGACTGTGTTATGCACGGGGACATTGGGCCTCGGGGCGGCGGGAATGCTTTTGATGGTTTCTCCGGCCCGTTGGGCCAGAGTTTTTCTCTTGTAATCAGGCTCAGGTACTACCTCAAGGGTCAGTCTCCTCCATCTCTTCGTGGGGCCAGACACAAACAGTTCGAGCCTTGCCGTTTATGCCCAAGGAAGGTGGGCGGTGGCATGGCATTGCGTGAGTTATGTGCTGAGGCACTCAATTCTGCTAACTGTTTCTGTGGAGATGTATAGGTGTGCCGCGTTGGCTGTGGCAGCTGAGAAACAAACTGTGAAGCCATGTTAGCATCCATGAGACGTTGATGGGCCATCCCTCATTCTCATACATTCTCGGTGTCGGCCATGTTGAAGAAAGAGACAGATTGGGGGTTGAGATTAACTGGCTGCTTAGTGAGTCGAAGGCCATAGAACGGCCACGCCAGGTCGCCTATGATATGTAGAGGTCAGAGTGAATTGTAGGAGATACCTAGGTACTCAGATGCGATGGAAGGCACAATCACAATCATCGCCGCAGCCAAAACCAAAACATGTTACTCAATTAGGCAAAGTGCAGCATACCGCGTCATGTGATCCTCCTGAAGCTGATTCAAGAATGACTAATCACATCGCGCTGGTAACATCAACCTGGGGAGGGCTCTACAAGTGTTATTCAAAGCCAAATCTACCACTATTTAGCTATTTAATAGTAGCAGGCTGATGGGGATCTGAGCGGCAAGGTGGCTGACGCTGAACAGTCCAACCAGAATGTCTCAACTTTTGTTTCGCACCACACGGCGACGTTGAGACCTCCTACAGAGTGCCTTTACAGTTTAGCAATGCTTTTCCTTCCGGAATCCTGCACATCTTTGCCTGCCCCTTCCTTGATAACTTCGTCCAACACCTTGACGAGGCCCTCGACTTCTTCCACTGTGTTATAGTGCAGTAGAGAGACTCGCACTACCCCGTCATCGGAATCTTGAACACCAAGGACTCTCTCCAAGAGACGCTTGCTGTAGAAATGGCCGCTTCGGCAGCCGTAGGGGGCCCTGGCCTCTATTCCATTGATGACTCCGAGGGAGCTCTGGCCTTTAACTCTGAAGCTGATGACGGGATGCCGCAGATGCCTGTTCGAGGAAGGTTCACCGTAGATTTTGATCTGATCCGGTTTTGATCGGAGGTAAGACAGCAACACCTCTTGAAGCTTCTCTTCTTGCACTCCCACTGCTTCCCAGCCCACTTGGTTGATATATGCCACTACCTCTGGGATGGATTGGATGCATTCATAATTGCCGCCAGCCAAGCCCAGCAGTTCTTCCAAAGTGTTTCGCGACTTGAAAAAGTGGCCTAGGCTTTGAAGCTGTTCTTGTGCCTTCTTGCTGGCGTACAACATTGACACATGAGGGCCGTATACTTTGTACCAGGAGAAGGAGTAGAAATCCACCCCGAACGCCTTGACGTCGATAGGCGCATGGGGAGCGTATGCCACGGCGTCGACGCAGAACAGAGTGTTGGGGTTGGTGTCGTGGATCACTTTGGACAATGCCGCAACGTCCGTGGTGGTGCCCAGAATGTTCGAGGTATGTGTACAACAGACCAGCCGTGTCCTAGACGACAACAGCGCCTTCAAGTCTTCGGGCTCTAGTCTCGGATTGGAATCCGTGTTCTTGGTGGGAATCCACCACTTGACGACCAGTCCTTTCCATTCGGCCAACTGCACCCAGGGAGCAATATTGGCTTCATGATCGAGAGTCGACAGCACAATCTCGGAGCCTGGCTCAATCTTCAGAGCAATCGACAGGTTTCGAAACAGCTGCGTGGTCGACGCGCCAAAGACCACTTCTGCTGGTGAGGCATTGATGTACCTGGCTCCCGCAGCATAGCCTGCATCGAACTTGCCCGTGGACGCCTGGGAGATGGGATAAGAGGCACCGAGTTGGACGTTGTTGCTGGCCAGATACTCGGACATGGAGGTGATGACTGACTTCAAGACCTGTGCACCTCCAGCATTGTCCATGAAGACCTGCTTCTGCGCCAGGGCCGGGAACTGCGCCCGAATGGCGGCCACATCGAATGCGTCCACTGCCATGGCGGAGGGCGGAGGGGACCACGTTGTCTCTCTCTGTCTCTCTCTTCGACTTTCCAATGCTTCAATGGCTCCTCTGCAGGCCAGCAGCGAGATCTACCTGGCGAGATGGTGAAGGAGAGGAAGGTGGGATTTGGTGTTTGGTGTTTGGTGTTTGGTGTATACGTAGTATTTAGTGTTCGGTATTGACGTGTGGGCAACTCCGTGGTCGGTGAAACTTGAACTGTTGGGTAATAGTGTATACTCGGTCCTGATAGAATGGGTCTGCAAAGTAACCCGACCACACAGGGCCGCTGAAGATACATTTCTCTATCTCAATGGTGCGAACCCACTCTCGGCGTCGACGCTTACCAACCATGCTCCCCTCGTCATCACGACCATATCAAACTCAGCCCCTCCTACCTTATCCTTCTCACATACGAGCGCGTATTTGACAAAGCAGGTTGTAGGCGTTGTAGGGGACCTCAAGCCCTCGTGCCACACAGACCACGCGGCGAGATTGCTGAACTGGGTCCGGCACCACAATGAATGACCGCGGCCCTCCTGGTACAAATACAAGAACAAGAACAAGAACCAGATGGTAGGGACTGTAGCTCCGTGATATTGCTCAAAGGCACGACCATCAAGTCTTCCATTCAGACGCATCAATCTGCGAGGACACCACCAATCGAACCTCACCGTCCAGACCGAGCCAGATCAAATGGCGTCTCCCTTCAAGACCACCCAGACGACTCTATATGTCACCATTCGCGTCGATCCTAGCAACATCGAGCCTTTCCTTGCCGCCCTGCGTCCTTGTTGGGAAGCAGTTTGTCGCGAACCCGAGTGCCTGTACTTCGACATCTCCCACTCGCCCAGCGAACCGGGGACATTTCATTTCGTGGAAGTCTGGGCCATGGACAAGAAAACGTTCCTCGAGCACCAGCTTAAAAAGCCCTATTATGAACCGTACGAAGCTGCGACGAGGCCAATGTGGCTGACGGAACGGAAGTTAGAGTTCTTGGCCCGAGTGGATGGTTGGAGTTATGTTGACTCTGCCTATCTGGCAGGGAGCGTTCAAACATGAGGAAGGAAGCAAGTCAGTGTTGGCTAAGGCAAGGTGCTCTGGTGGGAAGCGTTGTCACGGTCAAGAATCATGTTTGACCATCAGCTGGGCCTTAAGCGGTAAAGAATCAAGGGGCTTTGGATGCAATCAAAGGGAGACTTCCATAAGGATTGCCATATCGAAGTCTGCATCGTCTAACACAGGCAGTCTGCTTTCTTCTAATCATGTTCGGTAGTTGTACACATCGTTGACTCGCCCAGCACACCGAGCATGGTCTCTATCGTCGTGCTGCATCTTTCGCAGACTATTTCTTGTTCTTGTTCTCTCCCTGTCCGTCCCGTTTCCCGCTGGCCTCCGACGGTGCAAATTGCGTCTGGCCTTCACCCACCATTCTCTTCTTCCATTCGATGAACTCGACGTCTTTCTCCTCGCCCAGATATTCAGCCCATGCTGCAAATTCCTTGTTGGTGCGTGATCTCAACGGGATAGGTGGCATGTCCGAGCTAGCCTTCTGTGGTTCGTCTTTGTTTTTCGGTGGAATGTTTTGTGACTCGTTGTGAATCCGTTCGATTCTATCCTTCAAATTTCTGGTATCTTCGAAAGGGTGTGCCATCTGTGACTCATTGTGAATCCGGTCGATTTTATCCTTGAGGCTTCTCGTATCTTCAGGGGGCTGAGCCATTGTCGCAGGTGTCGCTGTTGTTTGTCGGAAACCAGATAGGTATGCTCTCGTGTAGAAGTGGGAGATCGAGCCGGGCTGATCTGACTCCTTCCGACAGTGTCGAGGTCGAGAAGACGAGGAAGGCATCATGGAGTCGGTATTGAATCCAGTAGGCTTTCGCTTTGGAGGAAATGAAATAGCATCTTACCCTGTGCCATGATTTATACTCGGGCAGTTGTAGCATCCTACCTCCGTGTAGCCTTGTTGTTCAGTGAAGTGAAGCTCCTAGCGGAGCAACACACCGTGACTGCTTCGAGCCTTCGCCTCCATATTCACACCAGAGTATTCAACTTGTGAGAGGAGTGAAGGGGGGCGAGGAGCAGGAAGAGCAGCGATAACCTGATGTGAAGTTATAAGTGATAAAGACAAACATGATTCTTCACCCTCCACCAGGCAAGGCTCCTACGCCGAGACAGAGGATACACGATAGATGTGGCCGAGGACTTGAAAGAAAGGCTGATTGATACTGATCTTTAGCTGTATAGCGCATGTAGGATCTCGGCGTCTCATGTATCTCGTGTATCTCGTGTATCTCGCAAGAACGAATCAGGGCAGCGCGTCAGATTCTGGAAGACGGGCACATGTTTTCTGTTCGCTGCGGCTAGGACCCAACAAGCGATACTGTCGCTCGCATATGCCTGGTCGCCGACCCACAGGGATCAGGAGATGCCTGCAGAGGAAAAGAAACCCAAGTACAGTGCGTTATCAAAGAGATGGAGCCTAAGCCCTCTTGACAATGCCGAGCGGAAGCGGACGCCGGCGCCGGCAGTCCAGTTCATTGAGACGAATGAACGTGTGACATTTTGCATCTCTGCATGTGAAAGAGAAAAAGGATCCAACACCAACTTCAGCTTCAGCATCCCAACTCCATCGCCGGCTGGCATGCCTGACGCTATCCACCGTTGTCCTCGCCGAGAGTGGAAGTGGATGCTCGACTCGACCATTCTTACCCGGGCCTTTTCTCCAACTCCAGTCAGGTACCCAACGTCTCTATCCGTACATGTACCGGCCCTCCGCCTGAACCTGTCGCTCTTGTCCAGTTCGGTGTCTGAACAAATGACCTCTCGCTCTCTTACGCATATCAGCCCTTAGCATGTTTTGTTCCTTTTCACCTCGACTCGCCCGATCCTGACCTTGCCGTTCTGCTTATGCGCTTGCCCTGCGGTACAGAGACTGCTCGACATGGAGAAGTTCTCGCAGTTTCGTGACAAAGGTGAGAACTACCCGTGCGAGAGCAAACACAAAGCAACAGGGTGCAGTCGACTGACTCTGTTATATAGGCTCTGGCATCGCTCCCTTCCTCCCTATCCCGACCGAGCCGGCTGGAATCCAACTACCTTTCCACATTTTTCTCTTCGTCTGCCGGGTGCCCCTCCTCCTGGTTTTCGCCCTTTCATACTTCCTCGTCCTACAATGGATGCCGATAGGAGTTCTGGGAAGGAAAGCTTCGTTATGGTGCATACTGGGCCTACCAGGTATCTGGTGGGTTGATCTACGAATCGACGGAGTGAAAAGAGGGTATGGAACTGCACGAAAAAGCCGGGTCATATCCAGCATGTGCTGACATTTGCAGGTCTTTGGCAAAGAACAGTACCAGTATTCCTCAAGCCGGCTCCATCATCGCGGCCTCCAGCGCTTCTCCCATCGATGCGCTCTATCTGTCTGCCATCTTCGATCCGCTGTTTGTCGCAAGCTATCCTCATAGCAGACTGGTGGAACCCATCTCACTCTTCACCGCCGTTTGCCGGGCCTTTTCATACCCGAAACTGAATCCGTCCGGGAGAGCAAAATTAATCGACCTAAAAACCTATCTGAAGAAACATCCGACCCGCATCGTTGTGGTTTTCCCCGAATGCACCACATCTAACGGGAGAGGTATATTGCCTATGAGTCCTTCCCTGTTGAGTGCGCCCCCGCGCACCAAAGTATTTCCAGTGAGCCTGAGATACACACCACCTGATATCACCACACCAATCCCACACGCCTACTTCACGTTCCTTTGGAATCTATGCAGCAAGCCAACACACTGTATCCGCATACGTATTGCGGAACCCGTGTACAATACATCGAAGAGGACCTCAGAACCAGTCGTTGCAAAGACTTCATCGTATGCCACCAATCATTTCGACACGTTAGCCACCGACAATGTGGCCAGCGATGCAGATACGCTTGTTGGCAGTGAAGAAGTAGAAGGTCCCACCACCAAGGAGGAGAGAGCGTTTCTAGACAAGGTTGCGGAGGCGCTGGCTAGGTTAGGACGCGTCAAGAGACTTGGTCTAGGGGCGAAGGAGAAGGTTGACTTTCTGGATATGTGGAAAACATCACGCAGACGACGATGAGAAGCCGAGATTATAGGGGTGACAGGCCGAAGCAATGGACTACCAAATAGGGTCATGCAAGGCTGCAAGTGGTATCGCGCAGATGTCATGGTTCATCGCAAGAACCGATTCTATGTCGCGCAAAACGTCGGCAAGTCTGGTAGATTGGTCTCGCATCAAGAGCCAGTCAAATCCAATTGATGGCGTGGGCTGTCGCGACTTCTGCAATTTGCGAACACCCGGTCTGTGCGCGATTCCAACACCACCACAACGAGCAGTATGCACGTTATACACCGGACACGAGAACCTCATCGGCACATGAATCTGATCATTTCTCATGGCTCTATTTGGTTTTCATACTGCATTAGGACCTGACAATAACTGGATGAACGAGGAACAACTGCATACTCTCCTCTGCTAGGAAATGACAACTGCTCAGTCCCACCGCTTTCCAACAAGAGTCAATTCGGGAATGCGCTTTCTTTCCGTTCTCGCGCTCGCAGTCACACTTGCGCCGCACTTTGCGCATGCAACGACCCAACTCAGTTTCTTCGAACACAACTCTTGCAATGCAGGGACGTCGTTCGAGGTATACACCGATTACAACGCTCTCACAGCCGACACGTCCTGCCATGAGCTGTCCAATGGGACGATAGCGTTCTACGTGAATCAAATGGACCAAGGTTGTTCACGTGAGTAGTCTCCTTTTTTTCTCTACTTTTTCTGTCTCCCGACCACAAATGTCGATGGGCAGGTGGATGTGCTTGACGCGAGCGAGGAGGACACGTTTGGTGGAACGTGTATCCCGCAAGGATTTGTCTACATATTCGCATCTCAATGGTTACCGTGCTGTGCAGCTGTGGACTTTCATCACTTCCGCCGTCTGGTATCACTTTCTGACGATGTTTGTTCTTGTCTGCTGTCTAGTTCGCTCCTACCTATCTTCCAACTGCGACCCGTCGGCATCTTCGCTAGCCGGCCTTCTCATCACCGTCGGCACATGCTTCTACATCGATGAGGGAGTCAGTCTCGGTTCGTGGCGAGCGGACTGCGCGGGGGTCGACTATACATACACCACTGGCCTGGATAAGTCAAATTCCTACTCCAACAGCAGCAACGCCGCACCGGCTGTGCAGTCCATTCTGAGAACCGCCACAGGCGTTGTTACGGTCACACCCGCCTCAAGCTACAGCTCTACTGCGAGTCCGGCAGCAGCGTCGAGCACCGATGCGGCCACCAGCGCGAATGCAAGGTCGAGCACCAGTGTTTCAAGGGCAGTGAGCAGTGCAACCGCATCGGCGACGAACGGCGCAGGGGCTATTTCTACCATCACAACCGAGTTCTTTGGCGCTGTTTTGTCGTGGGTGGTTGGAATCAGTGTGCTTTGCGCATCGCCGGTCCTGTTCTGAAGATGACGCTCCAATGCCTATGCGTGTTTGATTGTCGGACGCGGATCTGGCTGTTCTGTTTGGTTCACCCATCGCACATCATGGCGTGCGCATTAGTATCATAGGGCGCGTCCCAGCCGCTGGACAATACCTCTAGAGGTACGATGTGTATCCGTAGATAGTATGACAATGTTTCCTTCTCGCCAAAGGGGGTGGGTGGAACGGTGAGCTGGCACACTAGTAGCCGTACTGTCCGTTCCACGTTTAGCCCAGTATTCAAGTCGGTCTCAGGCTGTATTGATGTTACTTTGTATTACTTTTATCCCTTCCCTTCTCTAGGAGTTTTCCGCCTCCCACCTCCTTTGTACCTTTGAAGTCAATTTCGAGGAGGAGGACGAGGAGGAGGACGATCACGACTACGGCAACGAATATGAGGTGTGTAGTAACAATTAGCAGGAGGCAGATTCTACCGGACCGACACGGCAGAGGATGAACAAGAGAGCCAAACGAACGCCCAGTGAGAACGGCCAGGAAGAGTCTCACTGATTAAGCGCATCTAATTAGGTCATTTGAAATCTTGGCACGCCAGACAATGAATGCAAGCAACCCTTCCTTCACCGACTCTACCTACATATGTACTAGGTGAACCTTCATTCCAATATGGATTTGTGGTTGTCACTTGTCACCACTTCACCAGACCACCGGCATTCTGAATGTTAGTCCACATCAGCCATCCCCAGAGGCCCTGAGGTATGAGGTCTCTGTCGGGCTTCCAGTCTAGCCTTCTCGCCCGACGAAAGCCAGCACGACTCACTGCTCGTCCTCTTCACGGAATTCTTTGAAACTCCGAAGCCACACATTGCAGCCCGTGTCTGGTCCTTGAACTGCTTCACCTGCATGCCAAACCAGGGAAGGAAACAATCCAAGGTGGCTCAGACAACCAGAAGATTTTGCATTGATGTCAGATGCAACCAGCATGGTACGGGATGAGGCTGCGTCCGAATACTCCTTCTCGACTGTGGAATCAAACCCAGATCCGGGAGGTGTTTTCGGTGATGACATTTGTCCGTCTCTGGCAACGCACGAATCTGTGTATAACGCCGTTAAGAATCGATGGGTTAGAGCCTCGACCCAGGAATTTATCTGGGGCGACGGTGATACTTATCATATCCGATCGTTTTTGGAATGTGTCGATGGTGTGCCTCCCCTCCGCGTCGGTAAGCTCGACGGCTACTATCGGAGAACGCCACACCACGAAGTCGATCAAGTCCAGGCCAATTTCACCATTCCAGGCATGATGCGTTTACAGACTACTGATGCTCCAGATTGCTCTCAACCAATAAAGGATATCGAGTTCAATGTGTTACTGGGCTCCTCGACATGGTCTACGTTTGCCGAAGCCAACGATGAGATTGAGCTGATGACAAGCTCCTTCCGCAAAAGACCTTGTCGACTCAAGCACTTGAGGCGGTTAGTCTTGGGTTGGTCCTACGCATTATCTTGTAGGTGGCCTGAGTTGGTGCAGGCCAGTGGACAGGAGGCTGCAGTTGTGCACCAAGCGAATTGGAGCTCTGAGGAAGCATTTTGGAAGATGATAAAAGATGAAAGCTGGCAAGTCCACTTCACCCATGAGAACCAAGTTTACTATTCTCCATTCATGATCAAAAGCGAAGGTTGGACCAAAAGTCATCGGTATACCATCACCATTTTCACCATGTTCCTTTGCGACGCTAACAAATATCATAGTCTGTCTACTAAACCGGGATCGGCGAATTTCAGCAAAGTATTTGATCTCCTGCTACGCTTTTGTGCTCGGCACCTCCTGTGGCCTGAGTTCTTCATGGCTATGGCGATCGCTGTGTTGTCTCGACCTACTTTCCGAAGACCTGTTCCAAATTTGATGCCATGGACTCCAACCCCGGCCCTCGAAGTAACCACCTCCGGTGGGACAGTTCCTCCTGCTGCATACGAAGTCTTCGACCGAATCGATCAGATTTTAATGCTGGGATCCGTAATTGAAGGGACGGATTCCTTCCTCTCTGAAGCATCGTTCGATCCCTCATTGCCTTGTAATATCTTGGGCGCACAATACATGGCAATATTTTCTGCTCTGGACATCGACAATGAAGGAAGCGGCGATCGTTTTCTCACGGCGATCTGTACGTTGTTTCCACACCTGACCTTGTTTTGGTATGCTGCTGCTGCTTGCGGTCAAGCCCGAGAAATGATGGACGAAATATTCAGTTTAGGGCCTCCTGTCTGTATTCCTCTAGCGATGTGGACGCGCCGTGTACAGACCGCCTGGCAGGTATCGTATGTATTCGACAACGGAGAAGACGACATCAGTCGAGCGAAAGAACTTTCCCTACTATTCCTGACACGTCCAGAAATGATACAGCCGCTGCCTTGAGCACCACCGTTTGGCAAAACCCCAATAAGGAACTTGAGCCTCGCGTTGAGAGAACACCTCGGCCACGATCACCGATTTTTATCCGCCAAGTTTTACGAACGCCTCCAAAACAATGATGTTCGGGAAATGGGCAAAGAGTGGACAGGTGGCACCAAGTCAGTGCACTTGCCAACATTTCTCAGTGAAACAACCCATGACGCTGTGTGAGTCCACCAATGTTTCTGGAGATCCGAGCTAACATATTTAGCTCCTGCCGTGATGACTGGCTATCCGCATTTGAAATCTCGAGCAATGCGACTCGATACCTATATGCCTGGTATTCTCGCTACGAAGATGGGATGTGGCTGGATGAAGGAAGTGGTAAGAGCTCAGAGGAGATCCGCAATCTAAACAAACACCCTTGGATGCAGAATCTTGTCGAAGAAGATACGGATAGTGAAGGCGGAAACAGCCACGAGTCTCCGAAACGAACTCTTGGACAAGCTGCTATTGCCAGATGGCGTGACGAGGTGGTTCGTGAGCAAGATACACCGTCCTCCTCACACAGATCTAGATCGGCAGAAAGGTGCTTGCCAGAGCTAGTACACGGAAATCGAAAAACGGTCCAAGCAAAAGGTAAGATTTCATTCCCAAGACAGACAAGTCACATACAAGAGATGTTCTTGCTAGGGGGCGAATCGTTGGCCTGCTCATTAACTTCTGTGCAAAACATCCATGTGCTTCAGAAAGTCATCCCCGGCTTTGGAACCGGGCTGACCACGAACTCTGATCCCCGTCCTTGCCTGGCGCTCGTTAATCCTGTACCACAACCAGATAGACCTATCGTGAGTGCGTTGCTCTATCGAACTGAAGGCTTTACTTGACTCTCTGTCCGAGTACGAGTGCGTCGCTCGGGGACTACGACTCGTAGGATGGATGTTTCCTCCTGTAAGCTACCTACCTTGGCTTATTATTATATGTAGTCGCTCAGTACGTTAGGCAGACTTCAGACTTGATTAGGGAGGATTCACTTCTAAGCCCTACAGTATACGTACGTATTTTATATTTATTGGCATACATCGTACACAGTACGAGCAAAGCAGAGCACAGTAGCGCAGAGTAGCGTACAAGACAAATGTAGAAATGCCTTGACCTAAATAGAGCTCAGCTCAGCTCAGCTCCAGCTCAGCTCACCACTATCTTAGATGTTTGTTTTGTCCATCCAGGTCGCCCTCGCCGGCCGAAGATACATGTACTATGTATGTGATGAATGGGCCTGAGAATGGCCCCCACAGTATCTTCTGCCATCTTGGCCCTCCGCAATCCGCAATCCGTCCAATTCCCTGCCAATGGTGATCGCCGTCACCTCCAGCCGCGGATGTAAAGTGCAGCAATAGAAATAGCAATGGCAATAACAATAGCAATAGCAATAGCAATAGCACTGGTAGCACTGCAAACCAGTCAGGTCACCGATATAGACTGTTACCTCCATCTTGTGTTGGCTCTCTCTCCCTCCATCAGGCCTCGCTCTAGCTCATCTTCGTATTTGTACGTGATGCGTCTGCTCCCTCCTCCGCCACCACTAGACGCCGTAGAAGCGTTGGCCTTGGCCGCCTTTTCTCGCCTCTGTTGCTCCTTGAGCATTCTCTCCCGATTACGGGCCTCGCGCTCAAGAGTGTGCGGGTCCTTTTCTACTTCTGCAGGAACCGCAGATGTCGACGCCTGTGGGTGCGACGGAGTAGCTGTACTTGTCGCTCGGGAGTGGTGGGAGCGACCGTTCAAAGCCGAAGCAGAACCAGACACACCACCGTCATCGGCGTCCCGGCGATGATCTCTCTTGTGCCGCCGTGACCGGTGCCGTGATTCCTGATCGTCTGCTCCATGCTCGTGGTCGTGGTCGTGGTCGTAGTCGTAGTCGTAGTCGTGGGGCTTGTCATCTTCATGGTGACGGTCGTGGCGAGACCGCTTACGATCCCGGTCCCGGTCGCGGTCTCGATGCTTTTCGTCTCGATCTCGATCTCGGTCCCGCTCTCTATCTCTCTCTTTGTCTCTGTCCTTGTCGCGCTCCCTGTCCCGTTCCCGGTGGCGTTCCGGTTCTCGTTCTCGTTCTCGTTCTCGCTCGTCGTGTCTTGATGACTTGCTGCTTCGATGTTTGCTCCTACTGTCGCCATCATGCCTATCCCTATTTGACTGGACCGACTCGTCGTAATCCTGCATCTCGTGATCTCCAGCGGCATCGTCTTCACGAGACCGCCGAGAGCGGGATGGCTGAAGCTTTGTCGACGACCATGACTTCTCTTTGTCACCTCGACTTCGACGTGAAGATCTCCTGTCCGCTGAGTCCGACCGCGAGTACGAGCCTTCTCGCGTCTCTCGGTCATAATCATCATGGCCGTTTTGCTTGGATCTCCGATGTCGCTTGTCTTTGTCACGGTAACCAACTTCGTCTTCCTTCTCAACCTCATCCCGTCCATGGTCATGTTTGTCCTGTATGGACGGCCTTCTCGAACGATCCCGGTCTCGAGCTTCATCCTGTTCTTGGGTCGGCGGCCTGCTGCTGCTTGCTGGTTCAAAATCTCGAGATTCTGACCGTCGGGGTGCCATTGATGCTCTACCCATGATCTGAAATCCCGTTGCTGCGGACCGAGAAGCTGATCTGGCCGGTGCAGGTGGCTCACGCATCGCTCTAGGACCCGTCGGTGCACCTATGACACCAACACCTTTTAACGCAGGTGCTTGCGTATGAGGTTTTACTGGTGAAGCAGGACGACCATTCGACATAGGCATCATACCCCGGCCACGGGATGGAAACCTACCATGTCCTCGAGAACGAAACCCAAAGTCTTTCATGTGATCACCATACTGAGCTGACGGACCTAGCGGCGCTGATGGCGGCGGCATCGGTCCTTGGAGATCTTCATTGTAGGCTTCTGGTATTGGTTTGTTTTGGTCAGCACCTTGCGCATCACAATCAATGTCTTTTGATTGAACGGCATCAACATCATTTAGCGTCGCAGCGTCATTGATCTTAGTCTTATTTTGATCTTCGTCCACCTTTTCCGGCTCCTTTGCTTGGGAGCCGCGTTCATCATCCGCAACGACAGCAGCTTCCACAGACTGCTTTTCACCGCTGGCAGGCTTCTGATAGTCGTCTCCGAGGGCCTCTAAAACCTCCTCCTGGCCGCCGGGAGCGAATTCGGCGTCTTCATGGGTGGTATCCGTCCAGGCGTTTTTGGATCTCTGGTCACCCGCTGCATCGTTGGGCCGAGTCTCTGTAGTCTGGGACTGTGATGCCTGGCTATCGTACTGTCTCTGATCAAATCCATTCTGATGCCCCTGTTGATGGTATTGCGAGTATTGATGGAAGTTACCACGGCCTCTACCAAAGCCGCCACGGCCACGTCCACGACCTCGACCATAGCCACGGCCGTAGTAACCACTCTGAAAGTCACCATTGGGATATGATTGTTGGAAGTTTCCATTGGGGGCCATATTGAAACCATAGTTGGAACCAAGGTCACCACCCATGCCATTCGAGAATGCATTTGCATTATTATTCTGCCACATATTGTTGTTGGGTTGGCCATTATTCCAGCCAGAAAACATCCCCTGGGTGGGATTAAAATTCATTCCCATGTTCAAGCCATTCATGCCTCCATTGGGACCGCCAAACCCGCCAAACATGCCAGCCGACATTGGATTCATACCCATAGGCATTCCTGAGGAAATGTTAGCGACGACATACGGTTGACTGTATCGAGGAATCCACCTACCCATCATTGGATTGAACCCAGTCATGCCATTTGCAGCCATCATTTGCATCATTTGATTGTAGTCCATGTTGTTGAAGCCGTTCATCATGTTTGAGAAATCCATCCCGCTCATACCTTCTGGGTTGTTGTTGGATGGGTCTTGCGAGTTCGCTTTGAGTTCAGTGGTAGACATAGACTGATCTAGCAATGTGTCTTCTGCATTCGTCATGTGTTGGGTCGAGATCTCTCGGTGATCATCCTCGAGTTCGACCTGGATGTCAACGTCGTCGTCAAGGTCCAGCGAATCAGGATCCGGATCCTATTGAAGCGGTTAGAATCGTTCGCAAGTCATGATGCGCGGGCGGTTTACCTCAATCGACGGTTGAACCTCGACAGCCGGTGTCCCGTCGGCATCCGCCGCGTCGACCGGCTGCTGCTGATCATGTACCACGGTTGCCGTCGCAGGAGGTTCCTCTTCCTGTCCATCCTTGCTTGCACCGTCCTCGGCCATGTTTGGTTGGGTGGGTGTCTCTTCTGCAGTGATTGACTTGGCTCGTTCGTCGGCCCTGGATTTTTCCACCGTTTTCAGATAGGCCTTTATGGTGTTACGCATCGCTTTGTTTGGTTTGCAGACATCGGAGGTGAAGGGTTTGTGGTCACAGACAGGACAACTGACATCACGAGCATTGTTGAAACCTGCTTGACATCAGTAGCTGTGCAGAAACAGTGATCGGTGCCTTACATGATTCGCAGATGTACCCATCACAGCACGTAGACTTGTAAGCGTTGAGGTTGAATTTGTGGCAGGAGGCGCAGTGCAGTTTGTCAGGAACTTTTTCCCAGTCAAGAGTGCTGCCAGGGTTTAGCAGGTTGTACAAAGACAAGGCGATCTTGCACATACCTGACGATGGCTGCCAAGGAGGCATCCAGATTTGAAGCAGCCATGGTGACGTTGGTGTTTATGTGTGAATGGTGGTCGACAGAGGCCGACAGTCCAGAGACCTGGCAGAACAAGTTGACGGCCGCTGCAGAGCAAACGCCATAACCCGACGATAGAGAATGTGGAGTGACGGGACGGAGTTTTGATGTCTACATGGGGCGGAGGTCAAGAGGTCAAGAACTGAAAGAGTAACAATGGTCTTAGGGTGAAAAGAGTCGATAGATCGATATATCGATAGATTGAAGAAGTGCAGTCGCGGACACTGGCGCAAATACAGGAAGTGGAAGTTCTACACTACCGCCGGGTGGGCCAGCGAGCGCAGTTTAGTGCCCTCCTAAGCATTCCTCGACTGTTGGGTGGACTGAAGAGGTCGAGCGAGATCTCCAACAGACTGGGATGGCCACGCTCTATCTCACGCTATTTCGTACACAGCATAGTTGACTTTCGTGAATGAAGTCACCAATGGAGTCATTCGTATACGTACTCCATACTATGTATCCCTCAGTATGAACTTCTTCACTGTGCCGCTGTTGCTGCCCAACGTCCCTATCAATCCAAAGAAAAGACAGGCAAAGCCATGATTCTAGGCCCTGTCCAGGGGGTCGACTGCGTTGTATATGTTTTCTTTCTGATCCCACAGCTACTCTGGCAGATAGATTTTTCATTGCTCTTGCTCGTGCTGATCAAGGTAATACCCTTCTTAGGTGTGCAATATGGCCTCCCTGGAGATCTCGAGTCCTACTAATAGTGTGATACTGTCTCACAGTGTTCCGACTCCCCCATCAGTTGCTGAAGGAGCGATATTTTACCAGGAAGCAAAGCCAATCCCCTTTCACTCGAAATGCCAGCATCTTCCAGGATGTAGTGGTCCGTTGTGTCCGGTATGCATTTGCCAACATCCCCGCCAGGGTGGGAAGAGTGTTTTTCTGCAAATGGGTCTCGTATCCATTCTTCCGTTTCCGCCTCTTGAGACATGGGTATCTGCGCTGCCCGATGTACTATAAAGAAATTATCCAACCTGGTTTTCGAGGTCTTTGGATTGTCGACAACCCCGATACCGAGCCTGATATCATCATTTACTATTGCCACGGTCAGCAGCCCCCTGGCTGAGTCTAGACTCCCTTGAGTTCCAGTGACTGATTGTGGTGCATAGGAGGTGGGTTTTCCATGGGCTCGTCGCATTTTTACATGGAGTTCCTCATGACTTGGGTAACGCGGCTGAAAGAGAGTGGGTTTCAGAATCCAGCTGTCTTTGCTCTGGAGTATACGCTCGTCCCCGATGCGCAGTGGCCGACACAACTCAATGAGACGCGTGCTGGCTATACTTTCCTACATGAAACGTTTGGCAACGGATCGGCCGCAAAGATCTGTGTCAGTGGAGATTCTGCTGGAGCGACCCTGATCCTGAGTATGTTGCTCCAACCCGGAACTGTCGAACAGAATCAGCGGGCTCAACGATGGCATCGACCTGGATTGGCTATATTGCTTTCGCCGTGGACACATCTTGTTTCAGACTTGAATCAGAACACACCCAGCGATTATTTAAACAAAGACAGCCTGGAGCTCTATGCAAAGCAATATGCCGGCGATGCAGCGTTGACCGATGGCGTGGTCTCGCCTGGCATGAGTACAACTCGCTGGAAACAAGTCTCACCGCCGAACGGCTATCGCATTGTCTATGGTGCTGAAGAAGTATTTAGCCCAGGAATTCAAGAGACGATTCAGCGTATGGAAAACAACGGGGCCATGGTCAAGGCTCATCGACGAGAAACAGGCATTCATGCGTGGCCGGTAGTCAATTTGTTCTTGGGAAACACTCGCGAAGACCGATTGCAGGGGTTGGATATCATGACCGAGTTCATCATGTCGTCTAGTCTGGCATCGAGTGTGTCGGCGGACACAAGAACCAGATCTTGCCTTGCAACTCCACTTCATGTGCGCATGCCATCAGATTAGATCAAGTTTGAAAGTCTGTCATGCAAGGCTTTCAGGGTTGCTTACGGCGACCACAGTCTGGTGTGACCGGGTTGCTGCGTCGCGTTATTCTTCCTTGAAGCCAGGTCGAGCATGCTTTGTCATCACTTGGCAGCGGTTGGAAGAAGATATGTAGAGAGTGCAGATCTGATAAATAGCCTTGATCGATGATGGGTGATTGCTGAACTTGACTGGCGACGACGCGGGCTGATCGATGTAGGATGTAGGTTGTCCGGGTGGCAGACCATTGCAAGATGGGGGTTGTTCAAACTATCTAGCGTACAAATAGGAAGCGCACTTACTGTAATATCCGTACATTGCGTTGACATGGGGGACTGCTTGAGGAAGAAACCTCAAGAGAGTGAGGCGGAGGATAGGTCAGTCATGTAGGAATAAGAATGAAAAAAGACAATGTTAGTGTGCAGGCAGGTCATTGGCGGTGCTAGTTGGAGTCAGGACTAGTGTGTGACAGAAACGGGGCGCAGGCTGCAAGCTCGGTGAGGGTGAGGATGACATTCCTACACCAGAGCCAATCAGGGCCCATCAATCCGCCAGACTGTGATATGACTGGTGGATCTTGGATGATCCCATGTCTGCACCACAGCTGGCAGGAGCGTTTTATAAACATGCGCTTCCCCCTCGCCTTCGCTCAGCAGCCCCTCACGCATCCTCACTGTCCGCTGCACTGCATATGCTTTTCTGATTACTCTGCTAGTTGCAGTATCATACCCATACATCGGCCTCGCCAGCTGCGCCCACTCCATCTCTCTACCCTACCTACGTCTATAAACCAATCCACCTGCCGTCTACGGGTACACCGTACACATACCGAGTGTCCGTCCTCTGCATTCTGCTGGTCGGGATTACGTTTCTCCGACCCTCACCCAACCCAACCCGAACAAAACACGTGGTCTCTGCAAGTACTGCTACCAACCGACCTGATCTACCGACCTTCGTTAACTTCCAACTACTTTAACTCGGAGTGCGGATAGTGGGACACGTATTGCTATTTGACCGCCGTTCACGCTTCACGTGATTCACCCGTACCAAGAGCCACCTGCCTGTTTCACACAATGACGGGCAGGAGCATTATGTGATCAGGCTGGTCCAGCAATTCGGCCTTGTCACCATGCTTGTAACCACACCGCATCAACATTTGTTCCGAGAGTATCAACGCGCCGTCTGTCCCACCCATTCATCACTATTCCACTCTTCCTGACGCCATCCTGTATCCGCGGGCTTGACTCAGCAATGAGTGACGAAGACGATAAGTATCGACCTCGTTCTCCGGATCTGTCAGGCTTCGACGCCCCACCGCCTAGACTGGATCGCCTCCCATCCTACTCTTATGCAGCTTCACCCTTCTTCTCGCCTCAAAGCACCACGCCGTCAACCTCCTATTTTGGTCCCCCGGCCCCCTCGAACGGCCCGCACCAGTCCTATTCGCCTTCGATCTCTAGGACTCCAAGTCTACCCACAACTACTAGCACTTATTCTTCCGTGCCAAGTCACTTGCAGCACTTGCCGTCGTCCTACCACAATCCCTTTCCTTCACATTACTCGCAGCCTCAATTTGCCCCAGGGTTTAGTCCGACCGATATCAATCGGCAACAAACTCGTCCATTCTCACCGCCATTCTCGGGCGTCAAACACGATCCTATCGACATGGCCCGCACCCGGCAGAGAAAAGCAGCTGAAGACTTGGATTCAGACTTCAATCCGAATCATTCTGCGAACACCGCCAATCCCATCAAAACCGAGCAACCACCACCCCCTCAGTCTCTCACATCTATTGCCACACCAGATCCCTCCCATGGCATTGAAGTGAAGACCAAGTTCCCTGTTGCACGCATCAAACGCATCATGCAGGCGGACGAGGACGTCGGCAAAGTCGCCCAGGCCACTCCTACTGCAGTTTGTGAGTTTTAATATCTATTGGCCATGGCCTCCACTAATATCATCTAGCCAAAGCACTTGAACTGTTCATGATTACTCTGGTCACCAAGGGCACAGTAGAGGCAAGAGCAAATGGTTCCAAGCGGGTCACTGCACAGCACCTCAAAGCTGGCTTAATGAAAGATAGCCAGTTCGACTTCTTGACGGAAATTTGCGAAAGTATCCCCGATGAGGGGGCCAAGAAAGGGAGAGCGAAGTCGGAGGCAAGGAGTGAAGATAGTGATGAGGACATTACGCCCAAACGGAAAGGAAAGTCTAAGAAGAGGAAAGCCAGCACTGACGACGACACCGACTGAAAGGCGAGCACTTCACTCGGAAATCTTGCCCCGCATCCACCCACTATCATTAGTCTCTGAGTTACAAGACCAGCGGCACCTTGTTGCTACAGAAGCTATTGTAGAGGGAAAAAGGTGCAGATCGAATGTGATGGCACATCATTGCATACGCGAAATTCCAGCCGGCATGGATGCGCCTCGTTCCTCTCGCACATCGGCCACTGTCCACTTCAGAACGGCTCATACAACATATCTGCCAATTCGTCATCCACGGTCCTATCAAAGTCCTTGTCAGTCCATGGACCCGAGACCGCCTTGGATTTTTGCACTCATACATAAGTGCTTTGGTGCCTACTGGATGCTGACGGTGTGTTGTTTCTCCAAGGCCACGGTGTTTGGTTGATGACAGCCACGAGAATGACGCCACCAAAGAAACCAGTGAAGCCGAGTGCAATCCATCCGATTACGCCAGAGTAAGCCACCACCACTAGACACAGCAAGACAAAAGCACCAATGATCAACGCACCCAAGAGCGCGCTAGCCCAACTGGCATACATCTGGACACTCCATTGACTCGTTTTACCATTGATTCCATCCCAGTCTGCAATCCAGTGATTCTTGAAGAAGGTCAGAAGCGTTGAACCGAGTGATGCGAATGCCAGGGCAAGCAGGAACAATAGCCAGCTGATCGCAAGGAATAGTTGGATTTGTTTTGAGTTGAATGATGGAGTCCGCGATGGTGGAATGGGCGCGTTGTTTGACAGGACATAAGAGAAGGTAATGCTTGCGCCCAGAGTGGCAATGCCAATGATTGTGGTGAACAGTCCGTTGAACCAGGTCGACACCGCCGCTCCTGAATGTTTGGCCATAGGGCGGATGCGGCTCAGGGAGTGTCCATGCTCAGAGTATAGTCCCGTGGCTGTCGTCCGTGGAGGGTTGTTAGTGGACGGGTGGTTTACGGGCGAAAGAGAGCCGTCGGTGTAACCAGCAACACTTCTGTGGCTGTGAGGTCTAGGAGTATAGGGCGTCGCAGTGTCTTCTTCTCCATTGATTTGGCTCTGCTCTATAGTCATCTTGCATGAAAGCACTTTGTAGGTGGTGGGTGATGTTAGGTCGAGGCCGAATTCGCTCCGATAAGCCGAACTCTGCAGCATAGAGGAAATCAAACTACAACTTTTAGATCAGATGTCACAATGAGTGAAATCGAGGAGAGGGAACAGATGCCCTTCAGTTGCAGCAGGAAAATATATAGTGTTTGCCAATGAAGGCATCCAACACCGAATTGGCTGCCTGACCTGTCCCATGGTAGTTGCGACCATCAGAAGAGTGTTGCCTTTTGACCTGCGCAGCAAGAGTCCTAAGGCTCAGTTGCACCCTCCACCACTAACTGGCCTCAGGCCTTAGGCCCCCTTCTGGCCTCCCTCGCGTCCATCCTGGCTGTGGCTCAGCTGGACATCCCTCGCACCAGGCCCCTATCATTGTAGCAATATGAGTCAGAGGACATGGACATAGTGAGTCTTGCCAAAACCCGTCTGATGCCGTGCAAGGTTGAACGACTCTAACAGGCACATGACTGGTAGCTCACGCGCCTGATTGCAGGCTCAGGTACATCCCCAACCAAACAAAGAACCAACACACCTGCAGAACGCCTTGCAACCTGTAAGAGCATCTGCAATGCTTTGACCGTGAGTCCACTCATCTTATGGCGCCGTCTTTGCTCCCCTCTCTGACCGGTCTAGCAAACCTGGCGCAATGGCAGCCTTGAGCGCGAGGACGACGCCGCCGTCAATTACACCACGAAACTCCTCCAACGTCTCGAGACAATCCTCCAGGACGAGTCACGGAGGGCCGCACCGCACTCATGCCTACGATATGTTGCCTCGAGCCAAACATACATTATAATCACGAAGCTCGCAGTTGCTTCCAGAAATGTGGACATAATCAAAACCTCAGCGGAGCTCTTCCACATCCTCCTCAATGGGGAAACAGAAGGGCTGCTGGATAGCAAATTGTTCGCAAGATCGTTGCTAGATCTGGTCTGGTATGCCACAATCGGGGGAAGAATCATTGTCGAGGAACGCCTGGAGACAGATCTGGTCGAACTCTTGTTCGAGATCGCAACAAAGATCAGGTTGGATCCAGATATCCTCCCTGCTTGGTTCTACCCAGACCGCGAGATAGCCCATGGCCGGAATGCTGCAGATGACCCCAGGAAGAGCCAATTCCCCTTGTTTCACGTCCTTGTCCAGTATGTCCACCATGATGGCTCCGTAGGCGACTTCGCTCGGACAGCATTGTTGTACTTGACCGAAACTGCCTCAACATTTCGACCACTGGAAACATGGATGATCGAGAGCGATTTAGCACCCCAAATGGCTAGTGGCCTTGGTGCGCTATACAGCAGATTGAGCAGACAGTCAACAGATCTCACAAGCCAAACGTCGGTACCTGCTATCGTCGTTTTGTCGGACAATGCTCAGAATCTTGATTCGCTCGCTGAACCGCCTCTGGATGGGCAGCAGGACCTCAAGGCATTCTTTTCGTATCTGGCATTTTGGCAGGATACATTGAGCCATTGCAAATCTGTCGAGGTCAGCGATACCCTGCTTGATCATTTTCAAGTGCTCTTTGTTCAACAGCTCCTATACCCTTCTTTGCTCGAGTCGTCAGACGTCGAAGGAGGGTCAACTGCAGCTGTTATAACGCACCTGTCGCGAATTCTCCTTGCTCTCGACCATTTCCAGCTCGTCGACCATATTTTACGGTACCTTTTAGCTTCGCCCAATGTGCGGCAAGTACCCAAAGACAAATCCCACCAACGACAGCGTATGTCTGTCAGTCGAAGGAAGTCAATAGATCACTTGAAGGTCCTGGCGGAAGTTACTGACAGCCCTTCCCCTGACCTCTTTAACCTTCTTGACCTGATGGTCATGAGCCTGAAGTCTAGCCATTCGGAAACAGTCAGTGCTTGCCTCAAGCTGTTGTCAGTCATTGTGCAGAAACACCACTGTCATGTCCTCACAAATGTTTTCAGGCTTGAACCTGCTTCACGCCTTCCGAGTCCAGGCCAAGTTGATCAGTTCAATGACCAGCTTTGCAGACTGTTTGACTATTCTACGGCAATAGCCCGCCGTGAAGATCTAGATGCCTCCTACCAAGCGGCTTTGTCAGACGGGCAAGTTTTGCTTGAGCAGCACAGTTGTTTCACGACAACCAAGGCAGATACAGAAGAGGCTCTTACCGCGCGAAAGATGTCGATCGCGAAAGAATGCAAGCTTTTTGACGCAGTTGCGACCCTACTGCGGAACTTCTTCGCCAACAGCACAGTCACGAACCTCTACCTCACCGAGGCTTTGCTCTCCCTGGCCGCGTGCGAGCAAATGGATCTCCATGGGTGGCTACTACCTTGCAATGAGAAGACCCAATTGGAGCATAACTCCACGTATAACATTACGTTTATCATTGGCGAATTAATTGAACAAGTCCGGCAATGGCAGTCCCAATTTTTCGAATGGGATGACCTGATTCACCAAAGAAGGTTACAGCTCTCGGAGGAGGATGTATTAAGCCGTCAAACGAAGGATACAGTCTCAAGGCGCAGGAATCAATTACCCTCCAGCTCTCAATCTCTTGTTCAGCCACGGCCGGCAACGCCGCGAGGAAACAAGATGGCAACAGCGGAATTTGGATCAACAGAGAGCACGGTTCCCAAGACCGAACGTCACCAGCCTAGACTCGTGGAAAGTTCTATTGGTCATTCTCCTTTGCGCGGATCTGAGAGAGCCGAAGAAACCGATGCGCCAGGAGGGCAAGATGAGCCACTACAAGAGCCATCATACGCCTCCGCGTCATTACTCAAAACACAAGTGACTCTCTTGAGCATAAATGCACCCGATGAAGCATCGGCATCATTACCACTTCATGCCGGGCGGAAGCAAACTTCCAACCTTGAACTCAGCTTACATCGCCTTGCTCCGGTCGAGCGTGGAGATTCAGGCACCGTCACTCCGGGCGGCCAAAACGACCAGGCTACACGAAATCAAGCCAGCCTCAGCCACCTATTGACAAATGCAATCATTCTCCAAGAGTTTATCCTTGAAATTGCGGCAGTGGTGCAGTTGCGAGCGACGTTTTTTGACGAAGTCCAACTGGAGGCCAACACAATCGACTAAGGAGAGCATTTGCATCTAGTCTATCTAAAGATATTGGATTGTGCTCCTCACTCATATCCCGTTAACCATACTTGATAGCGTTCTGTTTTCATAATCATCCAGGAGGGAAAGGAAATGGTTTCTCCGCCAGGATGAGATCCATGAAATGCTAAATGCATTCCGCTGAAACTGAATCAGCTCTTTCCTAGTCACATCAGTTTCAGTGGCCATCTTTTCCATGTTCTCATTAGCATAGGCTCTGAAATATGCAGGATCGTCAGAGTTGATGGTGACCTTGACTCCTCGCCGAAGAAGGTCAACGATCTCTCTGCCTTTGAAGTCCTCCGTCACAACCGAGTTCGAGACTGGGCAACAGGTCAGTCCAATGCCTTTGTCGCGGAGAATCTCGACCAGGGAGTCATCCTCCAAAACATTCGTCCCATGATCGATCCTGTCGACCTGTATCTCCTGGACGACCTGGCGGATATGATCGATGCTGTTGGGCTGGTCTATGTCGCAGTGCGCCGTCAGGAGGAAGCCTTCTTTGCTTGCCCGCTGGAACACGGCAGCGAATTTGGATGGCGGATTACCCCGTTCGTCTGAGTCCAGACCCACGCCGATGATAGAGTCCTTGAAGGGCAGAGCTTCCATCAGCGTCGCCATGGCGTATTCTGCCGACTGATCCCGCAGGAAACACATGATCAAGCTGGCGGAGATGCCCAGAGTGCGCTGTGCGGCCAAGATCCCGGTGCGGTATCCACGGAGGATGGTGGGGAAGGGGATGCCTCGCGACGTGTGCGCCTGAGGATCGAAGAAGAGTTCCACATGCTTGATATTCTGGGCGTGCGCGTGGGTGAGGTATGCCAGGGCGAGATCGCGGAAGTCATGCTCTGTTTGCAGAACAACAAGGTTTGGGTAGTAGACCGCCAGAAAGGTGGTCAGATCGTGGAATGAGTAGCCTGAGGTTTGATCGAGGGACGACAACGCTGCAGGCAACGGTAGACGGTTTCGTTCCGCCAGGGATCGAGTGAGCGACGGTGTCAGACAGCCTGGGGCAGAGACATTCGTGCATCAGTGTCTCGGGCACCTCGACATCCTACACAGGATAAGGCCGTTACCTTCTAGATGGACGTGCAACTCGGCTTTGGGCATCCCGGCGATCCAGGATCTCAAATTCTCTGAAGCCATCGCTCCGTCAGGGTCCGCCGGTGATGGGTAGAGTGGTCAGATGTGAGGTTGTTTCCTGGAATGGAGGGAGAAAGCATGATAAGGATGGTCACGTGATCTGACGTAGAGCAGCGTCAACGGGCGGCAGTCCGGAGTACCAGGTACCTTTGCAAGGGGGGAAACAGGATCGTACTCTTATAGTACGAGTACTAGACCGACAATAAACGCAGTTTGCCAGCACTGGCAGCTACTGACACTGATGTCGATGGCGTCCCAAAAACTTGTACTCCGTACGGATACTCTGTAGATCTTGACAGCCAGGCTTGCCCACCGGAACTTCTCTAAGCAGCACACCTCCAGCGTATTGTTGAACGATGGAGCAGGGAGTTGTTATGGGGCACTGGGAGCCAACGGGGCCCTAACAAGCCCTAAACCGGCTCCGTTATTGGGATCCTGCAACCCCATCGCTATAGTTGGCGGTTGGCGTACCACCAACCTCCATGACTAGTCCTCTTCGGGCGTCTGAAACAGCCGTGAGCAGATCCTCCTCAGGCCTGCCTCGCTCTCACTCCTCGCTCCTCGAAGGACGCAGGTAGTCACTTAGTGCGACTCCGAACATTTTCTCCTATCCCGCTGCGTCGAGGACAGCGTGATCATCAACTGCCTGTCCCTTGGAAACAACCACGTCGTCGACCCTCACGGACGCGCTGCATCCAACCTCATCTCCGCTCATACCGGCCACCACCCGCACAGACATCTCGCGCGCACCGTCGCGTCTGACACTCCGCACTGCAGCTGTACCTGCATAAAGTGACCTGCACCTTGGCGATTGCAATCAGACGCCCGCTCCGACCATCTTCAACCACCCGGTTTTTTCTCACCTCGAGTTCGAGTCCCGGACATCCTCTCGATCCCCGATCCCTTTCCTTTGCTGCGTGGGAAGATGACCGACTTTGTCTGAGCGGCGCTCATGGTTTTTTCGTAAACAAGCCTCGCGAAACCGGTGCAGCGTGCCTCATCTTATCGCGGAACACTTCATCGCATGAACACCATACCCGTACCGCGTTGCCCTCTCAGCGCATCCGCCTAAACAGAGAAGTCAGGCACGATGGCGTTCCTGTTCAAGTCCAAGAGCAAGCAGGCGTCGGCGAACTCGAGCCTGCCCCAGGCGAGTCGAAACATTCACACGTCCGATGGCACGCCCTCCTCATCAGCCCAAACTGGCACTGGAGAAAAGAACGGAGAACGATCGACGACGCAATCGCCTCCTCCGAATGCGACTATGAATCCCAACGGCTCAATCAGTTCGATGGGGCCGGCTCTGTCTGGTGCGCCTACATATCCCCGGCGTGAAAGGGCCGAATCAGAGTCTGGGGTACGTTTCCTTTCCAGAGAATCACTGTATCGTGGCTGACATGGGGATTGTATAGGCCCGCCCTGCAACCGTTGGGTCACAGGTAACCCAGATCCCCAACGCTGCGCTCTTTCCCTGGTCGCAGCGGCGGTTGAACTTCCCTACTCCTCAATCAAACCCCTTTCCTCGCTACGGTGCGGCTGTAAATTCGGTTGCGTCGAAAGAAGGTGACATCTACATCATGGGAGGGCTGATTAATGGCTCCATGGTCCGAGGTGACCTGTGGATGGTCGAGGCGGGTGGCGGAAATCTGTCTTGCTACCCTATCGCAACAGTGTCTGAAGGCCCTGGGCCTCGTGTCGGACACGCCAGCTTACTCGTGGGCAACGCTTTCATTGTTTTTGGTGGTGACACCAAGATGGACGATTCTGACGTCCTTGATGACACTTTGTACCTGCTTAATACTTGTAAGTGAATACCGTCCATGTTATGGTGAACGTCGCTTACCGTTCCAGCATCTCGCCAGTGGTCAAGAGCGTCTCCTCCGGGGGAACGGCCCTCAGGGCGGTATGGCCATACCCTCAACATATTAGGCTCCAAAATCTATATTTTCGGCGGTCAAGTTGAGGGCTACTTCTTCAATGACTTAATAGCTTTCGATTTGAATGCCCTGCAGACCCCGACGAATCAGTGGGAGTTTCTCCTACAAAATGAGGATGACATTGTTGGTCCGATGGCTGGTAAGGTCCCGCCTCCGAGAACAAACCACACCATGATCAGCTACAACGATCAACTCTACCTGTAAGTGCTTTCCTGAATCGTCTGTCTTGACTGCAGTTAACTGGAACGTCGCAGGTTTGGTGGGACAAACGGTACGAAATGGTTCAACGATGTATGGACGTATAGTCCTGTCAGCAATACGTGGACCCAGCAAGACTGTATAGGATACATTCCAGCGCCTCGCGAGGGTCATTCAGCCGCGCTGGTCAACGATGTCATGTATATTTTTGGTGGCAGAACGGAAGAGGGGACGGACCTTGGTGATCTGGCGGCATTTCGCATCAGCTCCAAGCGATGGTACACCTTTCAGAATATGGGCCCTTCTCCGTCACCAAGGTCCGGTCACAGCATGACCGCACATCGAGACAAAATCATCGTCTTGGCCGGTGAACCTTCCTCAGCTCCACGAGACGTTAACGAATTGAGCATGGTATATGTCCTTGACACTGCCAAAATACGGTATCCCAATGATGCTCCGTCTCTTGGTCAATCCAGCCATGCGAAGCATCCCAGCAGTCCAACGAGCAGGCCGAGTACAGAATCGAGGACTGTCGCGCCACCAATACGATCTACGTCGCGAGAGGGACAAGGGAGTCAGGCTGGACATCGCGAACAATTTTCTGGTGGTCCAGTCCAACGGCCTGACGGCGCACAGCAAGTCTCACAATCCTCAAGACTACCACGCGCTTCCATGGCTCAGGCTCCTGCATCGGGGCCTCAAGGCCAGGCCGGCCCATCTCGGTTGAACGGGGTTCAATCTCCTTCAAATGGGCCTAGAACTCGGTATAACGGACCGCCTATTGACACTCGAGGACCTTCGGTAGGTTCAGAATCGGTTCGACCGGTGCCCACAGAGACTGTGGTGCAGGCTCCGGCGATTAGGGATATACAGAAAGAGAATCTTAGACCCAGCAGAGAAGCCAGTCCGAACACTCATGGCCGTAGGACACCAACCCAGCGGACAGAGAGTAAGGCGAAAGCCATGGAAGCAGGTGAAGCTGCTCCGTTAGCGGGTGCGGGGGTTGCCAGACAAAGATCTCTACGGTCACAGCGAGCTCAAAGCTCCATCGACAGCACGGAGGATGGATTGCTCGCTCGCTCATCTTCTACCCGGCATCATGGAGAGACTCAAGCCGATAATCGGAGTTTGCGAAGCATCCCCGATGAACCGAAATCTCCCAAATTGAATCCCCACCAGGAGGCTCTGCTCAAGGAACTGGAAGCGGCGAAGAAGACAAATGCCTGGTATGCTTCGGAACTGGCTCTGGCTCGAAAGCAAGGGTATCATCCTGGAACGTCATCCAGCCCGACTTTCGACGAGCGGGCCGTGGGTCAGGTTGCGGAGGACGACCGCCCGCTGATGGAAGCATTCATGATTATGAGAACGGAAATGCTCAAAATGCAGGAAGCCATGGAGGCACAGGCTTCGTCAATGGCAAGGCGGGTCGCAGAGGTCGAACACCAACGTGATGCTGCTATTACAGAAGCTGCATATGCAAGGGCCAAATTAGCCGCCCATGGTGGAAGTCAACGAAGCACTCCTCAACCAGATACCGCACGTGACCCTGACGAGCAAGAACGCTTCACAGACCTTACGCGCCGACTTGCACTGGCTCTCGCTGCCCAATCGGAACAAAAGGCCAAGTTTGATTCTCTGCACAATGACCTTAACACTGAAAGGAAAGCCCGGGAGTTCGCAGAAGAGTCCCTGGAAGCGTTACAACGTCGTTATGAGGAGCTGGGTAAAGGCCGGAACCCTGGTGAGCTGGAGGCCTTGCGCGCCGAGCTTCATGAAGCTCAAAGCTTAGCACGAGCTGAAGCGGGGCGGAGGGCTGAAGTCGAAGAAGAATTGCGAACACTTCGAGTTGAGCATGATGGTCTGCGGAAAGCTCATGAGGACACCTCTTCTCGGCTAAGGGACCATACTGCTTCTATGGCTGCCCTCGAAGCAGCTATCGCAGCGTCTAGCAGCAAAGCGAGTCTCTACGAGCGGCAAATTGAAGAGGAACGTCAGCAAAGAGAAACTGCGGAACAAAAACTGTCACACCTCAAGTCTGAGCATGAAGACAGGACCAGGGAACTCGAAACCACCTCGAGACGCCTGCGTGACGCCGAAGAACTTGCTGACACACATGCGAAGGAGGCAGCCACTCACCGTGAGGCTTTGCTTGCTGGTCTCGCCAAGCTATCAAGCCCCGAAGTGGCTTCGAAGCGCGACTCACTTGCGGAGCAGAAGATGGCAGCTCTGCGAGAATCAGCGGAACAAGCCGCAGACTTGGCCAGGCGCAATCAGGAAGCCGCGGATCAAGCAGCCCAGAAGCTGCGGAATGCCGAAGAAAGAATTGCGGGGCTAGAAGCGTATCAAGAACAGTCGAGTCGGGAAGCCCTCCAGATCCGTCGGCAGCTGCAGGCAGCACTGCGAGACTCCCAAATCTACCAGGCTGAGATCCGCAAACTGCGAGCCAATTTTGAGATCAGCCAGCGCGACGCCAGTGCTCTAGCGGTTCAGCATAGTGCTCTCAAGGACTTGCTTGGCGAACGCGCCATGAATGTGTCCGACATGAGACGGTCGCCAATCTTTGACCCCCCCTCGAGTTCGCGGCTAGGCACCCCTGAGCAGACCCGTTTGCGTGAGCTCGATCAGCAACTCCAAGCAAGTATCAGGGCGCATGAAGAGACCAAGGGCCAGTTCGAAGCTCGCATGCAGGAGGCGGACAGCAGCTACAAGGAGAAACTGGAACAGCTCGAAAACGATTACCAGTCTGCCGTTCACTACGTCAAAGGGACCGAGAAGATGTTGAAGAAGATGAACCAAGAGCTCACCAAGTATAAAACGCAGAATTCCCAATTGACCAACGAGTTGGAAACAGCGCGAAACAGCAATGCCGCTTCAACGGTGGCTGTCGACACTTCAGCGTGGGATAATGAGCGCAAACAGTTGCAAGCATCCATTGAGGAGCTGAGGACGCAAACCGGCAAACAGATCAGTCTTTTGGAAGCCAACCTTGCCTCCTTGAAATCCGACCTTGCTACCGTGGAGTCCGAGCGTGATCTACAGAAAGCGAATCACGAGGAGTTGGTGCGATCAACCGGAAAAGTTGGCAAGGAGCTAGAACAACTTAAATCGGAGAATTCCATGCTGGAGAAGCGTGCGCAGGAGGCCGAAACTCATGTCACCATGTTGCTCGACCAGGTTGCTCAGTCGGTGGGGAACTATCGGCGACAGTCACAGTTGCAGCCGATGCCTCATGGCATCAATGGGATTAGCCACAACCGAGAAGAGAGCACGTCAACATTGACGGATGTGTCGGTGAATGAAGACATTCTTGGTCGCGATGAACGTGGATCTGTGGCTTTGGACAATTTGGCGTCCGAGCTGGAAACTTTGAAGTCGCAATGGGAGACCACCAGCAGGAACAACTATCGGATTAGCACGCAGTTTGACTCGGAGAGGACGCCGACGACGGAGACTCACGGGACGGGGCTCAGTGATAATCTAGCGAATTGGAGGAGGCGACTTGAACAGGATGAGAACAGCGGCAGGGAAACTGCGGTTGTCTGAGAGTCTGCCGTTTGGTTGCGAAAGAGGAGAATACTAGGTAGATGGATGAATGGATGGGTGGATTGAGGGATTGGTTGAAATTCTTTATGATGATCGTTGCATTCAATGGCCTGGTTGAACAGATGCAAATTCTAGTCGTTGTTCTTTTCGTATCAGCGTTGATCTTTCTTCTTGACCGTGTTGTTGTGGCCAGGGGCTCAAGAGGCTTCGAGCCGACATGTGCGAATGAGACAATAACGGCCTGGCGCGCCTTGGTCTTGACTCTGAGAGAGCTGTCTGTGTCTGCTGGCTAGGAGCTCATGTTTGGGTTTCTTGTTTCTATTCTATTTATTTTCGAGTCCCTTGAAGGGCATGGGAAGGGCAAAATCTCAAGCCAGGGTGACGGTGAGCACACGGGCAGAGAGCGGTAGTGGGTGCAGCGTGCGGAACGAATGAAGGAATCAATATCAATGATCAATGCCTACTGCTATTAGAATAGCATGGTACTCGGTAAGCCATCTCCAGCCACCTAGATAGTAGTAGAAGATACAGGACCATCAAACATGAAGCTGATGAAGCAGAGCCGACAAAAGCAGCGCATCAATATCTCCGTTCTGGGAGCTCACACTTCTCCGCATCAGGTGGAGTGCAGTAGCAGCAGTAGCAGTACTACCTTAATACTGTAAATCAGTAGTAGCAGTAATTAATACCTAATAAATCCAACCTCAAAAAGGCTGGACTGTGCCAGCCACTGCAGCACACGTCGCTCGCTACCAGTCAGGCTCGTCTGCATTTTGCTTTCCCGCAGACGAAAGATGCGCCTGTGACAATATAACTTGTCCTCCTGTACTCCGTACTCCGTATCCTTTGGTCAACGGTTTGCGAGGGTTGACACTGCCCGTGGTATTCGACTTCTCTCACTCACCTCGCCGTGCTGCAACCTGGTAATGTCTGCCCTCGAAAAGACACCAACACCAAGGGCTATGCACATCACCACAAAAACAAAATCCATGTCTTCTGGACGGACGTAGATATCGTCTAGCTTCTTTGAATTGGGGAAATATCGGACTTTAAGACCATGGCCATGCAAACCGGGCAAAGACACATGGGGCTGGGCTTGAACATGGATCTACGCAGGTCCGCAACCCAGGGAGACCATCAAGCACCAATACGAGACGCAGGACACGATACCACTCGAGCCCTATCCTCCCCTACGTTCAAACGGCCATCGCACGCGAATGGGACAGGCCCTAGTCAGCAAAATGGGCTGAGGACGCAGAGAATCATCCCAAAAGAGACGGAAGACTACATGACGGCAAGACCAGCGCCGTTACATCGTACAAAGAGTGACCTTGGCCCACGGCGCAAAGAAGGCACCGTGAGCCCCGCGTCAGAAGACAAACTGGCACATATTCGTCATGGCTGGGACGACGAATACACCTCAAACGAATACCTGTCACTGCTACACTCGACCTTTTACATGTATTACACGGAAAAGCGGCACGAAAACAATGGCTCCCTGTCTGAGGAGTCCAAGAAATTTCCCAGTGTGGACTGGCGCATGAAGGACAGGATGAAGACGGTTTCTGCTGCGCTGGCAATCTGTCTCAACATTGGTGTGGACCCTCCTGATGTGATCAAGACAAACCCATGCGCCAAACTCGAGGCCTGGGTCGATCCTACTGCGAACAGTGGTGGCACGACAAAGACAATGGAGCAGATCGGCAAACGGCTTCAGGAACAGTACGAGTCGCTGAGTTTGAGAACGAGATACAAGCAATACCTAGATCCGTCCATCGACGAAACGAAGCGGTTCTGCATCTCCTTACGGAGGAACGCCAAGGACGAACGAGTCTTGTTCCACTACAATGGGCACGGCGTCCCTCTCCCAACTGCTTCCGGGGAGATCTGGGTCTTTAATAAGAATTACACTCAGTACATACCGGTCGGAATCTATGATCTACAGTCGTGGCTAGGAGGTCCAAGCCTGTTTGTCTACGATGTGTCCCATGCAGGCAATATCGTCTACAATTTCGACACATTCCTAGCCAAGCATGAAAAGGAGAATGAAGAGATCAAGAAACGGGACCCCAATGCACCTGTCCAGAACTACGGAGATTGCATACAATTGGCAGCTTGCGGTAGAACCGAGATGCTACCTAGCAACCCCTACCTACCGGCCGACCTCTTCACTTGTTGTCTAACCACGCCCATAGACATAGCGTTACGATTCTTCGTTCTTCAGAACCCACTCCAGAATGGCCCCCAACTAGAGGATGGAAAAATTCCTGTCCCAGGCCGTCTTCAGGACAGACGAAGCCCGCTAGGCGAGCTCAACTGGATCTTCACAGCCATCACCGACACGATAGCCTGGAACAGCTTGCCGCGGCATTTGTTCAAGAAGCTTTTCCGACAGGATCTCATGGTCGCAGCCCTGTTCCGGAACTTTCTGCTCAGTGAACGCATCATGAGAGCGAATCATTGCCACCCGATCTCATCTCCGCCCCTTCCTGAAACACATCGACACCCGCTCTGGCAGAGCTGGGACCTCGCCATGGAGATGGTGTTGGCACAGCTGCCGATGCTTCGAGAAGCGGAGGAGGGAAAGCGCGTGTACGAGTACCAACACTCGACTTTCTTTGCTGAGCAGCTCACCGCCTTCGAGGTGTATCTCAGCTCTGGGCCAACCAAAGATCGCGCTCCGGATCAACTGCCGATTGTCTTGCAGGTCCTTCTCAGTCAAGTACACCGGCTCCGAGCTTTGATCCTGTTGAGCAAATTCCTCGACCTGGGGCCGTGGGCTGTCCATCTGGCGTTGAGTATAGGAATTTTCCCCTACGTCGTCAAATTGCTCCAAGCTGCTTCCCTTGAGCTCAAGCCCGTCATGGTCTTCATATGGGCTCGTATCATGGCCGTCGACTACACGGTGCAGAGTGACCTGTTGAAGGACAACGGCATCTCTTATTTCATTTCCATCATGAATCCTCGCTCGGATATACCCGTGGGCAACGCGAGCGAGCATCGAGCGATGTGTGCATTCATTGTCGCCACATTCTGCAAAAAGTACCCTCCAGGTCAGACTGTGTGTTTGTTACCGGAGCTTTTCCAAGCGTGTCTCCTCAACACGGTCGAACCTGAGAATCCCTTGCTGCGCCAATGGTCCTGTCTGTGTCTAAGCATGCTGTGGTGCGATTACGCGGACGCCAAATGGATGGGGATCCGATGCATGGCTCATGCTAGACTTTGTGAACTTTCCCTCGATCCAGTTCCGGAAGTCCGAGCTGCTATGCTTCATGCTCTGACCAATTTCCTGGGCATCCCTGACTTGACCGACCAAGTCTCCCAAATTGAAGAAGGAATCGCCTCCTCAGTTCTTTTCATGACGTCTGATGGGAGCACATTGGTCCGGAAGGAGCTACTCGTGTTTCTTTCGACGTTTGTCAAGCGATACGAGAACAAGTTCATGGTCGCGGCGTATGAACAGATGGTCGACGAGAGGGAGAGGCTCCCACACAGAGAGAGTGAAGCTGGCGTGTTCGATACCCGTGATTCGTTTACGGCCGTCCAGATTTCGGCAAACACCATCTACGGTTCAATATGGATTCAACTTCTGATCTTGTCGGTCGATCCTCACCCTGAGATTGCAAGGAATGCGTCCATCATTGTGGATTGCGTACATGAAACCTTGCTCAATTCGCCAATGAGCCCAATGGCCACGCGCGTGATAGATGATCTGTTGAGGTTCTCGAAGAAAGAGGAATCTCACCTCACGAAGGTATCGTCCCGGGATTCGCTCAGGGCCATGGACAGACAGCCGGGCACTCCGCCGCCGCCGTTACAGAAGCAGCAAAGCTATCTGTCTCTGAGCCTAAAGCGTGCAGGCAGCTCCCTTCGAAACCTTGCATTTGGCTCTTCTACCGAGGGCGCGTCCACATCCAAGGACACAACTCCTCAGACTTCTCCGGCCAAAGCTAGAGAACCCGTCCATCCTGTCAACACCCCGCGGGGCCGTCTCCCACCTGAATGGAGCCGCCCACCCCAGACGCCTGACTCGAGCAGCACATCCGGATCATATCATCCGGCACATTTGCCTACCTCCGCCGGGTTCACTGCTCTAGATCCCAAAGTGAAACCACGCATTCCCCTTCAGAGCAGTTTACTCGAGTGGTCCACAGAATATTTCCGCGAACCACAAATGAGGCCAAACGACCCCGATGAGCCTGGTTCTGCTGACTACAATTCTCGGCTCTGGCGACGTAATCGTAATGAGAGGATCATCGCCGACAACCAGCCGTTGAAAGGCATAGCTGGCAGCTCCAAGTGGGCGCGTCTCGAAGGATTTCTGAACAACCAGAATCAGCCGATGAATCTGGTGTTCCATCAATTCGACGATCACTTGGCTGTGACTGACGACAGGGATACCGTCACCATCTGGGACTTTCAAAGGAATGAACAGTTGAGTCGATTCAGCAATGGCAATCCTGCCGGCAGCCGAATCAACGATGCCAAATTCTTGAATGAAGACGACCAACCCCTGTTGATGGTGGGGAGCTCCGACGGCGTCCTTAAAGTCTACCGGAACTACCAGAACTCGAAGGACGTCAAGGTCATCACTGCCTTCAGGGCTCTTACGGAGTTGATCCCAAGCAATAAGAATGCAGGTTTAGTCTTTGACTGGCAGCAAGGTCAAGGCAAGGCGTTGGTGGCCGGTGATGTCAAAGTCATCAAAGTTTGGAATGCCGCCACAGAACTGTGCGTGGGTGACATCCCAGCTCGGAGCTCCAGCTGTGTCACGAGTTTGACCAGCGATCAAGTAGCCGGCCAGATCTTCATCGCCGGATTTGGGGATGGCGTGGTTCGAGTCTTCGACCAGCGCTTGAACCCACGGACAGCCATGGTCAAAATCTGGCGTGAACATCGACAATGGATCACCAATCTCCACATGCAGCGCGGCGGCGTGCGGGAATTGATCTCGGGTTCGCGCAACGGGGAAGTCAGACTCTGGGATTTGCGGAGCGACAAGGCTGTCCTTACGCTCAACGCGACCTCTGGTTCCAAGAATGAGTATGCTGTCAACCCAGCGGACAGAGACGCCCCCAACACCCCGGGCTCTTCGACCACACTGCTCCGTAGTCTATCTGTCCACGAACACGCACCTGTTTTCGCCGTCGGCACCGACAAACACGAAGTCAGGAGTTTCAACACCAGCGGCGAGCCCCTCGGCGTGTTTGAGCCTCTTTCCAGTCGACTGTCGCAGGTCGTCGGGGGCTCTCTCGCCGGCCGCGGGTACCATCATTCACCCATTGTGGCGACCGCGTATCATCCGCATCGTATGCTACTGGCGTGTTCGGCGCTCGGGGATGGACATGTCAGTCTGGTGAGCTATTGATTGCAAATGGGACCAGGACTTGCAAGTATAGTTCTGGGATGTTTTTTTATATCAGTCCGCCACCTTGTGGAGTCTGATGCAGCGAAGGGATTGCCCACTGACTCGCGACTACTCCAATGACGGGACGTGGCTGGCCGGGCCGTGAGTGCGTGCATGCAGTTGAACTTGACGAGACCAACGACAGCAGTGAAGCCGTGAACGAAGGGGGAATCAAGGGTAATTAATGGATTGGCAAGGGAAGGAAAGGAATGGTCACGGACATGGGACGGCGCTTGCTGCAACACGACATCATGAGACATCTGAGGCATCGATACGAGTGGACGTCGATTAGTGCGACGTGGCTTGTCGAATAATACGAAGTACTCCGTACACCGAACGGGCTGGGCTGGGCTGGTCAATGCTATCCCCTACTACCGCATTGCTGTTGCTGTTGCTGGGATTGGCGCCGACATGATCCGTCGTCCGTAGTTGTTTTCAAGAGCTCTGCTTTACGCGGCGCTACAATACAATACCATACCACCAATGGAAAAACCATCTCTGCAAAGCTGGTCGTGATGCTTGATCGCAATAAACTTATAGACTTATATCTAGCCTACTAGACTAAGTGAAGGAAGAACACTGTTGCCTGAGCCTCGGCAGGGAGAAAGGATGGAAAATAAACATTTAGAGTCGTAGTCTCATACGTGTGATATACAGATTCAACTCCCATCGAGTCGTTCCCACAGCGTAATTCCTGTCCAAGCTGGCTATACCCAAGCCATGTCAATGTCGTCAAGGTAGATTATTAAATAGAAAAGCAAAGCATTGGTTGGAGCCAGGAGGGTTTTTGGGGAACCGCTGTGTGATTGTTTTTTGTGGACAGATTTCAACGCCTTCTCCTCCTTCGCAATTCAAATTCCGATTCATCGTCAAACTCGTCGTCGTACTCATTCAGAGGGGATTTCTCCTGCTCCCTTTGCTGAGAGAAACCTTTGTCGTGGAGCGGCGTGATGGAAGCTTCAGTGCCCCAGATCGAATCCGAGTCATCAATACTCTCAATGCCATGATTTCCCAACAGCCATCGTCCCAATCCCATAACAGCCTCGTAAGCTTCCTCTCCCGTGGGCACGATGTTGGATTTAGGCAATAAGAAGCCGTAGTTTCCGGTATCTCGGAGTTTGATCTGGAAGGACAACTTCACACTCAGATCATGGTAGAAGAAATCCAAGGCAGAGCCACCTTGCGATTCGGCCTGCATCCGGGTCTTCTTTCTTTGGTCTTGGAAAGAAATGCCTCCTTCACAAGCGCTCTCCACGCCATAATAATGCCCGTTGGTCAACCGGAAAGATTTCGCCAGTCCAAAAGCGACCTCCTCCAAGTCTTCAAGGGAGGGCGGGGCCTGGCAACTGTAGCTGTACGGATAGAGGACTTGTTGCGAGTAGGAGTGGAGGTCCAGGAATGATACAAATGTCACATTGTTGTAGTCTGTCTCGTTCCGTGCCCATTCAGACAGGACTTGCGCCTCGGTGGCTGCCAATGACGCCGGTCCAGCGTAGCTATCGCTGCAAGGGTTGTCCGTGTCATCGAAACCATCCCAGCCAAATGGAAATGAGCGACCCAGGTCGATACCTGGGCAGAATGAGAGTGACGTTGACTGGCGATTCTTGCGCCACAGGCGGTCGGTCGTCCAGGTATACTCGTAGCCGTCCGGGTTGAGTACAGGCACAAACACCACGTCGAAATGGTCTAGCAATTTCGTCACATAGGGAAACTGAGGATGACCATATTGAGCGACGAGGTTGTAAGCGATATAAGCTGTAGTAGATACCGAAATCCATTCTCTTGCATGGGTACCACCTACTATCAACAGAGTTTGTCTCGACCCATCTGGGTGGTTTGGGACGTCGTCAGGTCGTGCGCCGACCCGTAGAGCGGGAATATCTCGACCTTCAGTAGAGAGGCCGAGACTGGTCAACGAAGCATGACTTGGAAACAGGGACGAAATCAGTCGTAGCCACGGATAAAGCACTGAAAGAGGCTGGTAGTCTTGGAAGAATAAGTCCTCAGGCGTGCCCCTCCCGGTTGGCCAGTCATGCGGTGTGGTCAGACCGGAGATGAGAGGGCTTCCCTCGGTCGAGGGTAAGTCTGGATATGTGTCGTACACTGCACGAGCAAGGTCATGCATCAACGGGGTATATGAGTCGCGCAGTGAAGCTGGAAGCAGCCCGATGAAAGAGGGCACCACATCTTTAGCTATCCTGATGTCCACCCACTCATTTGTTGACTCCCAAATGTCCAAATATAAAATATCAGTGGCCTCTGATAGGGCCTTTGCTTCATCTTCGGTGTTGACCTGGAAGCGTAGAACCACGTCGCCTCCGTAACGAGCGCGGAAGTTCTCTGGAGCGTGGCTCGGGGGCGGAGTGGAAGAGAGCCTGTGTACAGGTGTGTCGGGTATCGACCATATTCTTTTAATTAAGGCATCTCGGAGCCTGCGGAGAGGACCTGCTGGCCGTTCTGTCAGGGGATAAATTGCCTTGGGACGGAGCGACGTGGGAGAGGAGTCGGTTGTCGGAATCGAGAGAGCAATGGGAATCGCAATGGACAGGACCAAAATATTACGCAAAGAATGTGCCATGCTGGGCGAAGAGCGGCTTGTAACTATGTAGCATCAGAACGAACCCCTGGGCCGGTTCAAGGGTGGACGTCCTGCTTAACATTGAAAATGAAGAACAGGAGCGGGAGCCGAAACCTGCAACGGGAGGCGGTGCAGACAGCTGAGAAGAAAGGACGATGCCTGGCCGCGCCGCGCTCTCTTCCCATCCATCAGTCGACACCAATGAGATGTCTCATCCTAGCATCCTCGAAAATCTTTCCCTGGCAACTCCCATTCGCATTTGCGGGGTCTCTCATCGTACCATACGGACTATGAAGGTCGAAGTCAAAAGGGCCGCCAATTGTCAGCTCTGCTACCATTTGGTACATCGTCATCAACTGCCTCTTCCCCAACCACTGTGAACGATCGTTTCGCCCGTCAGCACAATTCACGACTTATATAGACATAGCAAGTCCGCCAGAGCCTCACACCAACAGGGGCGCTTCTTTTCTGGTCTGGCAGAGGGAGGGCACTACACATATGGTGAGGAGATCACTTGACGGGGTTCGAAAACGAGGAAAGTTGGACCAATCTCCAAAGTGAGATTGTTCTGCCCCGGGCAACATTGCACTTTTCTATTCTTCCTGATATGCTCGACCAAGTCGCTGTGCATCTTCCGTGTTCGTCAAGTCATGTCGGTGGTTTCCGCTGTCACTTTGCATCCAATCCAAACCAACCTCCCGATTACACCTTGTATTCCTCCAAACCCCACTTCCAGACGGTCGCATAGGGAGTCAAACCGTCCTCACGGAAATCGATCAGCACATACATGCCGTTTTCGCTCATCGATTCGCCTTGGTAGATGTCATAGTTGTCCCAGTTGCCCAGAATCTTCTTGGCCGCAGCTGGTGCTTCAGACTGGAACTTTTTGATATCCTCCTCCGAAGCACCAGTCTCCTTCAATTTCTCCGTCAGAGCCTTCATGTATTCTAAGAGAAGAGGCGACGTCAGTAGGATGCTTTATCAATAGATGGTGCCTGTGACATACTCTTGAGTTCACTCTGGTAGGCCTTCTTGCTCATACCGCCTTCCAACTTTTGCCAGCGGAAAGAATCTGCAAGATCGAGAACTGGTTGGTTGTCGCCACCATCATCGCCGCCATCCTCGTCGCCTTCTTCAGCAGACGGGTTGGCGCCCTCGAGGACTAGAATTTGACTTAGTACTGAGGCTACAGAGCGCAAGAGCTGCAGACATACCGAAGTTTTCAGCGCCCTTCTTAATCATGCGGCCGTCGATTTCCCACAGTCCGTTACCAGCATCGACGATTTTTGTGGCGTCCGAGACGATCTCGTCGCCGGTGATCAGATCCTAACAACAGAATGTGAGTCGCCATGTTCGCTGGAGGCGGGGTGGTTTCCCGAGTTCAGAATGTAGGGTCAGAGTTCACTTACCCTGTAGATGATCATCTTGGGCAGACTGCTCAAAAGGAATACCTAGGCAGATAAACTTGTAGAGAGGAGACGATCGACTAAAGAAAAAAAGACCTGGAAGAGGGAGAAGCGCAGACAGGAGAGAAGGACTGGAGGCAGAAATGTGGCTCTAGGTGGGGGAGAGGCCAAAAATTCCACCGTTGCACATCGCGACCGAAGGAAAATGCCCCCGCCGCTTTATGCAGATTTCTTCTTGGCCAGGTCCTCGGGACTACTCCGTCACGTGACAGCCCAGCTGTCGAAGATTGAGTCACGTGAGAGACCTGTCCCTTCGGCCCCGGCCTTCGTATCTCTTCGTATAACTGGCATAAATCGCGGTTTTAGCTGCACCGCAATCGGGAATTAAAGCCTCATGGTGGCAAATCCACTCACCTCCATCAGCATCACCTTCCAATCCGTGTCTCTCCACCTTTTGTTTCTGCCTCAATCTGGTTTAATACAAACTGCTCCTTTTTCCCTTCTGTTCTTATATTGTTTTCTCCTTCTTCGTTTCCTCTTACCGATGACTTGACCTTTCCGACCCTCTCCAGGACGAGACCTTTGTCTACCTGCGCCGCTCCTTTCTGATCCCGTTCCGAGTCCTCCGGACGTGACTGTATACTATTGTTCTCTTGAGATCGTACCACTCTTCTCACCCTGAGCTCTGCAAACGCCGCATGGTCGACAGTATGGCGAATCGGACACTTACAGACCTTCCTCCGCTTCCGCCCTACACCTTAGCCCCTCGTCCACCCTTGATCTCCGGTGTATCTGATGCCGTCCTACAACTACTGGCTCCCGTCGTGGCCTACTGGGTAGTCTCCCTTTTCTTCCACGCTCTTGATACATACGATCTGTGCTCGCAGTACAGGCTGCACACTCCTGCAGAAGTGCTCAAACGCAACCATGTCACTAGACACGAGGTGGTCAGAGATGTGATTATACAACAAGTGATCCAGACTGCATTTGGATTGCTGTTGGCTTCCTTCGATCCCATGGAAACTTGTGGCAAAGAAGAATACGACATTGCAGTCTGGGCGCAACGTCTGCGACTGGCAGAAAGGTATATTCCGAAATTGTTTGCGGTCGTTGGCATCGACGCCATATCATTTGCGCAAAAGGCGTTCAAGAATTACCCTCAGTTGGCTGGTGCCGTGTCTGGAGGTGTTTATTCAACGCGATCGTTTGCGGCCTGGGAGATTTCAGCGGCGACGCTGATCTACTGGGTTGCCATCCCGTTTGCGCAGTTCTTGGTGGCAATCCTCATCGTCGACACGTGGCAATATTTCCTCCACCGAGCCATGCACATGAACAAATTCTTGTACACTACCCTCCACTCGCGGCATCACCGCTTGTACGTCCCCTATGCATTCGGGGCTCTCTACAACCACCCCTTGGAAGGCTTGCTGCTTGACACATTGGGCACCGGACTAGCGTACATTGCTACCAGGATGACCTTACGGCAAGGCCTTTGGTTCTTCACCTGCTCGACGATCAAGACTGTCGACGACCACTGCGGATACGCTTTCCCATGGGATCCACTCCAACATCTCACATCCAATAATGCCGCCTATCATGATGTGCACCATCAGAGCTGGGGCATCAAGACTAATTTCTCCCAGCCTTTCTTCACCTTCTGGGATCGTCTCCTCGGGACAGCTTGGAGTGGTGGCGATGTTTCCGCCCGCTACATGCGGGACAGGATTGCCGCACAGAAGAAAGTTGATGCCGACACTGCCGCAGACGCGTCGATTGTTAATTCTCCCACGATCGACCTAGATAAGGCGAAGCAGCAAGCTAGCTCGAGTCAAAGGCAGGTCCTTGATGACAAGGCGAATGGCGGCATTCAAATTCTTCAAGAAGAAGCAAAAGCAGAACAAGAGATGAGGCAAACCCTGAGGCGCAGCACGAGGCGCAAGAGTGGGTTTGATGCCATGTTGATTTCCGATCGCGTTTCAGGACGTTTGCACAACAGAAGTCCTACGATTTTACATGCAGACGGAGTACACTGATGATGCTGCATAAGAGAGGAGTTGCTATGGCTGGAGTTTCTTTTCCAGGGAGTCACTTGCAGTATTGGACTACAATTTCAAGCAGGGATCTGTACGGTTGAACCATTGTGGCGGAGTTTAGGAAAGGCTCATGTGCCTTGTATTCACCAGACTGTGTATCGCCGGTAATGTGTATAAAATGGCCAGGTACCATGCTGTGGCATGTCATATCCATATCCTTCCAGCAAATCTTGTTTCCTCTGACGCCTCGGCGATTGCTTATCTGTCGCGCATGAGGACTTTGTCTTGGTTCTCCCAGCGTCTCATTTCGTTACGGCTTCTTCATCTGTCAGCCTTTGTTAGTCGTGCAACAAAGGCTTTGTGGCCACTGCCTCGACACTTGCAGAAAGCCGACCGTATGTTTCTTTGTGCGTCTCCTGTCAACAAAGGTTACGACCCTTGCAGCGCATTGTGTCTGTGGGCTCAGGACCGTGAAGCCGGCAATGACAAGGAGAATACATATTCTTCGTTACCATCGTTGTCGGACATTATGCCATCCACTGGTTTGCAAAGTCTCTTCTCTCTACCGTTGGCCTTGCAACTAGCCAATCTCTCAACACCCAGGACATTCAGGTAAGCCTGAGACTACCACTGACTGCCTCATCTTGCCCAGGTGTGCTAACAAGATGCATCTGCTAGATATTCCCAGCGAGCATGTCCCTGCATTAGCCAGCATCCTCCAGTTCCGACCAGATGAAGATCTACAAGAGCGAGCCAAACGCATTAGCAAAAACGCCAAAGCTTTGCCTGCGTTGCTGCGACCTGGTCGGCTGGAGCGGCTGCTACTCCCTCCTCTAGGTCACCTCTGCAAGATGCACAAGAATCTTGACTATTCGGTGGTCGAGGTGGTATTGCACCACATCCAGATCGAAGTCGGCGAGCGTCTCAACAACCTCATCTGGAGCAGCCAGCTTTTGACCCGTGAGCAGTTCGGTCGCGTGACAAGATTGAGGTCGTTGCATGCCCTATGGCTCGCACCGGCAGAGTATGAGATGACATTTCTAGCTTCTACGCGAGACTTGAAGTGGCAGTACCAGCAAGACCTGTGCGAGGCGTGTATTGTTTCCCATATTACTGGTGATTTGGAAGCCCTCTTGGACCTCAGATATGCAATTCAATCGCGGGCGACGAGCAAATTTCTGGCCAAGCATGGGAACCCTAGACTTCAACTCTGGGTGCACGCGTGGATCGATGCTTTACTGGATCACCTTACGAGCAAGACAGGTCAGGATGTCGATGTTGATGCAATCATTGCGCAAAACGAGATGGAGGCTCGAGAGCTGATGCGGCTCAGAATGAAGATTCATGCGTTGCGAAAGAAGACACTCGTGGATCTGCCCGGGCCTGATGGGGACAAGGATGGCGAGAAGCACATACACCTGGGCGGTGTCCTTGAGGACGCAGACCATCTGGACGAGGCTGACGGGGCTGAACTGGACGTGGTGGATGCATATGCCGCGTTGAATAGCCCCCCCTGTCTTCCAGCGGTTCCGCAACGACACTCTCAATCTCAGAGTAGAAATGCAGCCGATTCCAACTCGGTATCCGCCGATCCATCCCGGAAAGGCCAGAGCCCGTACCAGCATCCCCATCCAATGCCAGCGCAAGAGTCCTTCTACAGTGTCGACACTGTCGCGAACAATGCAGGAAGGGTGGCTGCCAGTGTTTTGAAAGACATTACGGAATGTCCCGAGGACAAGGACGAAGTCTATATGCCCCCAAGACAATTATGGAAGAAGCAGTCGCCGCCGTCGTCAGCCTCCTTGTGGGCTAAAAAGACCTTGCCTCCAATTCCAACCGTCGGATTTATAGAGTCATGGGAAACGGTGCCTGTCAACAGTTCGTACACCATCCACACAGTGCCAACCGAGCCACCTCTAGAGGGCCAACAACGCCACCGCGAACGTTGTCCAGCTGACACTTATGTCAACCTGATCGATCTGGCAGCACTCAAGTCCGACCCGCTTCTCGCAACCGCTGATACATGGACGTCGTTTGGAGACTACGTCTGCTACTATACCCATGAGAGTCAAAGTCAAGATGCAAGCAGGTTCGAGGGAGAACCAATCAACGGAGACAGCCCTACCAGCAGTCATGAGAGTGAATCCGAATCCACCGGCCGAGAACTGGCTGTACAAAGACCTTACGAACATGCCCTAGTGAGATCGTCCCCGTCATGCGAACACAGCAACTCTCAGCCACCCAACCTCCCCCAACTGGGGGACGAGGTAAAGAATACGGCTGCATCTAGCACAACCATCAGCAGCTGGGGCGGCATGTATGGGGATGGGGTGGCGCATAAGAAGGATTTAAGTTGGTTTTATACAGAAGTGAAGTAGGTCGGGAAAAAAAGAACAAATCAGAAATCAGAAATCAGAAATCAGAAATCAGAAATCAGAAATCAGAAAAACTCGCCCGTGACTAAAACCAGGTACAGCCAAAGGAGGAGCAGGAAATCAAATTGAGGAAGAGGCGGGAATGGAGAACAGGATATTGCGACAATGGATAGACGGAGGAATTGGGAAGGAGGGGAGCGTCTTGCAGCTGATATGCTATGGGATTATCCGTACGGACATGCTTGTCAACGAGGCTGGACCTTCAGGGCGGATTTGGATTGTATTCTGTCTGTCCAAAGCAAAGCAGAGCAAATCAAATCAAATCAAACCAATTACTTTGCCCTGTAAATACTTCTAAGGGTACCCCGTACAGTGCCCAGTACTACTATGTCCGGTTGGGCAACAATCTCGGCCCCCCTCAGCCGTTATATCTTCTAACGAGACGACACAAGGCTCTAATCTACATCCTATACTCCGTACGTTATCATCCATCCAGCCCTAGCCCACCACCAGCCATCTATTACCATCTATTATTAGGTATTACTAGTAAGCGAGTGAATGTGAATGCCGCAAATATATGATATGTAATGAGTATGAACGCAACCGCAACTGCAATATAAGCCTGATTCTTAGGGGGAGCCGAGGCAGTGACGAGCATGAAATACCCCTCGACATGTTTGGTCCAGTGGGCAGGCATTGCTGGTTTCAAATCAGCTCTCATATTTCTCTATTTGTTGGCTGGTCCTCGTCTTCCCACAGGATATCTGTGTGAATTCTGGATCGTGAACTGCGATATTACAAAATAAAACATTGGAAGTCCCTCCTGTCTGATGGCCCTAGCCCTTGGATTGTACTCTATAGAAGCTTATCGACCATACTCGTCCTGCTCTGGGACGAGACACAAGTCTGCTAAGTCTATGTTGACTCCTGCCCGCGTATACAAACACAGGGTGAGGGGTGATAGAGGCCGTACCAAGGTGTAGACAGCCTTGAGGGCATGCGGTGTCCTGCACCACAACGACGTCGAATCCATGACTCGTCGCCCGGGGGTTCATCGGCGTATTCCTTCTTCCATACCGAATTGATGGTGGTGATGATCGTGAACGCCGTGGCGTGGCGTGGTGTGGTGTGGTCGGTTAGTTCTTTGACTGTCCGCGAACGGTCCATAATGGGGCAATGGTTTCCACGGCTCTCTCCACCACGGCCTTAACCCGATCTCTTAAAACAGTGTTCGAACATTCAACATCCAGGTTCTCCAGCCACAGCTTCGCAACATGCTTGTCGAATCGAATTTCCAAGCCGGGAACTGGAATGCCCAAGGCGGCCAATCGCGCACACTCGGCCGCCTCGGCACTTTCCATGTCGTCGTCGTCGTCTTCGTCCTCCGACCGATCCTCCTCCTTTTTGCGTTCCCCATTTTCCGTCATCACTTTGATGTCGGCTTGAAACTGCAACCTGGGCTTCTCTATGGGTGTGATGGCATCACCGAACTGCTCTTCAAGAAACATGCAAAGCCTCAAGAAGCGTTCTTGGGGCGTCAGGCCGGTGTGCTCGTTGTGTGGGAGCGTCTTCTTTTCAGGATGAACGTCATGTGAGTGAGACGACTTGCTCGACGAGTATTTGACAGCCGCAGGGCTGCTTTCGACCGTCATCAGCACTGCCATCACGGCATCTGCAATTCCATCATTCATGGTGTTGCCTTCCCATTCCAGTTCGATCTCCTTGTCTCGACCCGACCACTTGAGAGTGATGCAGCCCATGATGAGGAAAGTGCGCGGAGGCTCAGTCACGATCTCTTCGTCGGCCTCCTCATATTTGACGCCGTTTTGTCCATTCGTCAGCTCGCCTGTCGTCTTGCCCTGGTCTGAGCCATGATCTTTCACATCCGGTTTGATAGACCCTACTTCGTCGATACTGCCAAAGGTGCCTTCAAGAGCCCAGCGAATCAGCTCGATCCCGGCAGCGGCAAGAGTGATATGCTGTCGACACAAAATCGTAGTGGTAGTCAGCCCGGCATACTCTCGTAGATCTTCAGGGGCCATGAGGCTGAGCTTGAAGCCATTCTGTACCAGTACTCCACTGACCACCCTGGTATCATCCGGGTCGGTGGATGTGGGTGGAGGTATTTGAGCAAGCTTTCCCACCACTTTGGCCACTTTGTCTTTTCGGAAGGGGATCTTGATTTCGGCGCCATTTTCTGGACTGTATACTTTGGTCTGATGGGCGCCTGGGTTGCTTGCCAGCCGTCGAGAGTTCAAATCCAAAAGTCTTGATCTTAGCCGTGCGGCTTGTGATCGTTCCCCGTGGACAAGAATGACATGAGGCGCCGCAACCTGCTCGATGAAGTCCACATTTTCGACTCCGGTGACGTGGGCCGCGAACTGAAACTCCTCAACAGTACATCGTCGCGGGATCATTACCGCTCCTTCGTCGTCTCTGGTCTTTCGGCCCATTGCTTGACCTACACCAGTATTGCCGCCACTCATTATCGCAGGGATCATTTCGGGTTCTGACAGAATGGTTCGAGCCATGGTTCCTTCAACATTGTAGCCTGTCATGACCACCCCATTCCGTTGATCTGGTGCCCATCGTTCGAGCAGGACACGAGACATGCCGGATTGCAGCATACCCGGCGAAGCCAACATCACGCACCCACCCACATCATCGAATCTATCAAGATTCCGCAGGCTTCGAACAAAGCGAAAATCCCAGGGACCTGCGCTGACACCTTTGGCATTCCCAGCGGCCTCCGCCTCGGCCATACGCTCACGGAAAATGCGCTTTATGTTGTCATTCATGGCATTGATGTATGTCTGATATACCACCATACACTTCCGTGCCGTATTGCCTGTGTAGTATATGGGATACTTTTGAAGTTCCGCATGCTTGGACCAGTAGTCTTCGAGAATAAGAAGAAGTTCCTGCGCTCGGCCCAGGGCAAAAACCGGCATGAGCACCTTGCCGCCACGATTCAGGGTGTTCGTAATCGATTTGAGGAGCGCAGTTTCTCTTTCTGCTCGAGGTGGCGCATTCGAGATCCCGAATGTCGATTCCGTGATGAGCAAATCAATTTTGCCCACGGTTGCCTTGTTAGGGACTTCAGCGGCAACTAGATGCCGATCTTGTTCCCGTGAATAGTCGGCGGTGAAAAATATGTTGAGTCCGGCAATATTGATTAGAAACATGGCGGCTCCGAGGACATGGCCAGCTGGGTACGGGGTGATTCTGACCCCTGAGACGGTGTGCGTAGTGTAGAAATCGATTGTTTCGATTTGTGGTAGGGTCGAGATGTGGTCGGCTTCAGTGTAGAGCGACGTCCTCTGGTCAGAAGTAGATGATGTGTTACTCACTCTGACAGAGTCTTGAATGAGCCATTTGTATATTGCTTTGGTAGGGTGCGTCATGAAGACTCGTCCTTTGAAGTCGGTCTTCGCTAGAACATAAGGCAATGCTGCCGCGTGGTCAAGATGGAAACTGTAACACATTTGCCGTTAGTCACCGATTCTAGAGAATAACGGCCTTGATCATTGCTATCATGCTCGGGGACTGAAGATCGAGGAACAATGACTAGAAGCGGGAGGAGGAAAGGCATATGGCTGAACGGAATTGTATTGATGTTTGCCTATGAATACAAATTTGTTCATAACCATGGCCATGTTCGTTCATAAGCAACAATTACATCCTGAATCCGCACAGCCAGACATTGCCATATGGTAACCCATGCACAGTCTTTTTGAGATCTGGCCGGACAAGAACACGCTCTAACAGAAGGAAGGGGAAATCACCTACTGGCTGATTAAAAGTATGTCCACAGTACTGAGATCGAAATCGTCGAAATAGGGCATGGCTGACATGCCTTCGCGGCCTGTATGCATACCGGCATCAAGCTGCATATTGGTCAATCCTGGCTTGCGCAGATACTGAAATTCTGCTTACCATAACAGTCTTGCCCTTGTATTGTAGAATATGACATGATCGCCCGACCTCTTGACATCCGCCCAGCCCAATAAACACGAGCTCATCTGAAGGGTCAACAGGGTCCTCTTCTCCGACCGAAGTCATGGCCGCAGCCTTTCTTTTCGTCGCCATAATGCACCGTGGCTACCGAAGATGCGGTGACAAGGAATCTCTGAACATTGGACTGCCTCTGATCCAGAAGGGAAATTGAAGAGGAGGCCACGAGGGGAAGTTGTCACACTGTTGTCACACTGTTGAGAGCGTTACTGATGAGAGTGGTGAATCATGGATCTCACCACAGGTTGAGTCTCGTGAGTGAAATGGGACACCGAGTAACGCGTTGTGAACACCAAGGATTGAAGTTCATGTGATCTTGAGAAACATTCGGCTTAGGAAACAAGTGGTGGTAAGAAATCCTGATTGTCCCAAAGAATGTTCGCAGGCAAATAATAGGCTGTCGCGATCACGTGACAAGGACTGTAGTGATGTTTCCAGGAAGGCAGGCTGCGCTTTGAACCAAAGTCGTGAGTGACCCATCCAGTTGACCACCAACTATTCTGTATTATCATTCCCGCATCAGACATTTCACATATCGTTTACTTGTTCGGATGTCGCAAGGTCGCGGTTAGCATGCCAGGGACAGGACGAGAGCTGAGCGGTCGACTACGCTCGCTCAGGAAAGCAAAGAACAAGACAAACGGTCCGGTGGAATCTTGCTTTACGAGACATCTAACATGACCACCTCAAACACGATGGCTCAGTCACAGCCGCCGCTGCCGCCTTCACGGCCTCCTCTTCCCCAGTCTCCTGCCTCCTTTCAGCGCGATTTCTCAGCACCAAATGGCCGACCCAATTCACTTGGACCTCAGTCCCCGCAAATGGGTATGAACTATTCCTCACCTTCACCTCAGCAGTTCTCGCCCCAGCAATACACTCAGCCACCAGCTGCGAAAAGACCGAGACTCTCCCCTGACGCCCTCTCTCCTTTCCCAATCCAGAGCTATCCCTCTACACCTAATGCGCAGCCCGCGACTCCAGGCGCGAATACGCCGGTAAATGGAGTTCCATCTACTGCTCCCCGGGCAGGCTTGATGCCACCTCCTCAGCGACCGAGTGATAAAGCAGAAGACCGAAACTACGAAGATATTTTGTCGGGTACCGGGATCAACATTGAAGAGGAAGCCAGAATGCTGGTCAGGCCAGACTATTATGGTGGCTCTACGCCACAAGCCGCGCTGCAGTCGCAAGGCGCGAATTTCGACTATCAAAACAATTCATTTTCCTCATATTCTGGGCCTGGTTCAGGCGGAGGAACACCGATTACTCCGAAAGATCAGATTGATGGCCAGAGTCAACCTCCGGAGTACCAGCCGTCAGCGGAGGAAAGAAAACAAAGAGAGGAGGCACGTGCGGACTGGGAAGCTGCGAGGCATAGTCAACAGCCACTTTGGGATTTGTTTCTGCTGGGCGGTGCGCTGAACGAGAGAATCCGAAATATTAGCATCACCGAACATTTGATTGATCCGCAGTCTGGGGTGTTGGTGAATACGCAGAAGCATGCGCCGCCACCTACCGTGCGAGTTAATGGCCTGGAGGGCGCTTCTCGTGTGATTGACAGAGGCCAAGCCATCCTCGATACTGGGCAGAAGGGTGAACGCCTCTCCGATATTATGAAAGTCATCAGTCTGGCTACAAAGGCGCGTATGACGGGTCTCGTCAGCTCAGCCTCGAGATTAGCACTGGAACGGCGACAGCACTCGAAAGGAAAGGTCCCTGATGAATGGCAAGACATTGCGTTCGTGGCCAAACCAGCGACCGATGTGCCTGAAGGAGCATCTAGTCCAGCTGGTAGCTCCGGCATCAAGCGTGAGCAGCTCCTCTGTAGCATTAACTTCCTGCTAACTTTATCATAGGTACCCATTTACAGGCCAACAGTGAGTCCCTACCAGGTGACCAGAGTGGTCCTGCACTTGTTGCATCCGTTCTGGAGAAGGCCTCCCTTTCGGAACGATCGCTTGAGGAAGCGCGGCGGCAGAAACGTGCAAGACGCCGAGCATCTGCACAACCAGAGACAACGCCAGGAGGCGACGCTACACCCGAGGCCACCCTTGTCGCCGCTCTCGAATCAGAAAAGAAGACGACGAAGAAAGAGAGGAAGCTCGCAGAGTCAAAATTTTCCGAACAACAACAACATAAATCTGCCAATGAGGCAGCCCGGATGGCGGTGTCTAGTATGCTTGGAAGCCGATTTGGAAACAAGAAGTCAAGAACGTACGACTGGATGAATGCAGGTAAAGGCGGGGGCGCAAGTCCCGCGGGCACTCCGGGCAAGTCTGCACCATCGGGTTCAACCTCAGTCGCAGGCACTCCTGGCCCAGACCGTACGCGGGCAGTTTCTAAGGAGAAAACCTTTGGCCAGTGGGATGAGGACAAGGATACCAAAATCCAGGCTCGAGATGTGCTCCTGGTCCTGGAAAGCGATGGTCGAGCGCCGCGGTCCTATGTGCGAGGGACTAGTCTTGCAGGAAATTGATTCATGATGTGCATTTCTAGATATTGCCGGCCACGGAGAGGACAAGGGTGTGGCCGTGTGTTTGCCAATGGCGCAGCTAAGCATAACCTTTGTAAGATGAATGGGCTCCAAATGAGAGTTCTTGAGACAGCGCATTTACTTTCGACATGATGACCGTCGGGAAGAGGGAGAAAGAGCCTGGTTGATACGGTCTATGGACCAGTTCATAAGGCTGTAGGTAGTGCATGCACACTTCTTAACAGGCTTGTATTCAGTAACTCGTGCCTGGACCTCGAGGTGCAACAGTTTTCGGGGCCGTGCACTAGTCGGGTGTTGTCGCTGGCAATACCGTTATAGTCGGTCGCCCCCTCTTGCCTGCCAGCCATGGTACTAGTAGTACTGGAGAGCCCGGGGCACGGTGGCGGAGCGCTGTCATCTCAGCACGGATGATGATGGTATTTCAAAATTCCAAACAGCACTCCTGCTGCTCGTTGCGGCATGTTCCTGTGATAGTTGTTCTCTTGCGGCGTGAGGGGCCTAGGATTCGACACCAGAAGAATGGCCAGGCATGACTGGTACAGAGCAGGAACAGCGCCTACCAGATCCAAGTCACGGAGGCACAGCCAACAGGGCAGTTCAGAAGGGTGGGCGACGCAGACGGACTGATGAGGACCCTGACTTTTGATGATTCGCGAGAGGAGCGGCTGGCTCCACGCCACTTGTTCAAGGACGACCTAAGAGAAATGCTAGAGAGGAGAAGCGCGTGCGTCGTTGAGTGGCCGAGGGTCTGACTTAGGCCCGAAAAGGCGTCCGAGCCAAAGGCAGTTTGAGCGATAAAGCAGTCAAGCCACGGGGGATGGGACAGGAGAAGCCTGAAGGAGGGAGAAATCGTCAGGACATTCGTGACTGGCATGTAATACGCGGTCGGGTAATTGAGGTTGGGGACCGGAGGAGTGTCAACGGCGGCGATCAACAAAAGACTGCAGAATCGCAGCGGTCATTAGAAGGCAGTGACCGCAATAGGTTTCATCTGCGGCGCTCCTATCGTTACAGCATGATGTTTTCATTCGCTGCTTAGCGAAGGACTTCCCCAGTGGCCTGGGAAGCCCGAGCCCTCACTCAGGCTTGCCGAGCACGACACTGCAACTGCTCTGCAACTTCGAAACCTCGCCATCGTCGACATCACATCATCCGTCTCGTCCCAGTCTGCCTGGCTGTACCAAATCTATTCTTCTCAGATTGTGACCCTTTCCTCTTTTCCCATTTCCCACAGCCCTACAAGTCCGTCCAGGCCAATGACGATCGAGGGCCTGCACCAGTAGAGGCACCGTCCTCGTCAGGGTTTGGCGTGCCACATTTTCTTTGACCTCGAGTCTCCCTCACGACGGCCGACTCAGGCTCTTCAGCCGTTGCTGCGGTTCCTCAGATCTCCTCCTCTACGACTCCTACCATCCCACCTCACGTTCAACCACGGAACGACGGAAAACAGTCCCCTGCGCTCTCGCATGCGGCCGGCATTCGGCGACGATCCACGTAGTTGGACCTCGTTCTCCACAATCAGGGCTTCTCTGGGGACAAAATGTCTACACCTTCGATAGCGACCACCATCATACCAGCACATCATTCACAATATGGTTACGCCCATCAGAATCCATATTCACCGTCAACTCGGACATACCCCGCAACGACCGCAATGCCTGCACCGCAGCGGTTGACCACTTCTTACCATTCCTACCCGGCTACCGCTCAGTATCCACAACCTCAGCTGTCCCCAGGCTCGTACAGACCGCCCTCTAACGTGTCATCCATGGCCCCTTCTCAGCCGGCATCAGCCGTCCCTGACAATAACAAACGACCGCCGGACTGGAACGAATTTTACAAGAATGGCGTGCCGAAAGAGATAATTGTTATCGACGACGATTCTCCCGAACCTCAGCCCGCAGCTGACTCCTCCAGCCAACAGCAAAACCTTGATACGTCGACATACCCTTCGAATGCCGGCAGGAAAAGAAAGGTTGATCAAGGCTATGAAATCGAGTACACAGACAGCCCAGCATATTCCACACACCCGGCAAAATTTGGCGCGTCGTCATCATCCGCCTCTTATCATTCGGGAGATAGGACCACGTCCCTTCAGACTGTGACGGCTCCTACATCACTCGAATCATATGGGAGCAACACTGCAAGTAACAGCTACGAAGACGTGAGGGTGGGCCAGAAACGAAAGAGAGTGCAGCCACAAAAGGAGACGAGAGCACAAGCCAAACGAAAACAACAGGAGACCGCAGACGCCTTTGCCGACTATATTCCACCTTCGAAACCGTTACGAAAGGCTACCGATGTCCATGTCCCCGTCATCCGTGACGTACGTCTACAAATCTTCCAACTTTGACTTCATTGACTAACGCGGTATAGAATCTGCATAAGCACCACAAGGTGGATGACGACGACGGGCACTATATTGTGACTCCCCAGACGACTCTGACAGATCGATGTAAGGGCTCTCGGCGCATTATGAGCTGCTTGATGCTGACGTTACCACAGATGACATCGTCAAACTTCTCGGCCAAGGAACATTTGGCAAGGTTGTCGAAGCCTACGACAAGAAGAAAAAAACAAAATGCGCTGTCAAGATCATCAGATCGGTTCAGAAATATCGCGATGCATCCCGCATTGAGTTGCGCGTTCTTTCGACACTTGCTCTGAATGATAAGGACAACCGAAACAAATGCATTCATCTGCGTGATTCGTTTGATTTTCGGAATCACATATGCATCGTGACCGATCTGTTGGGGCAAAGCGTGTTCGACTTCCTCAAAGGAAATGGCTTTGTGCCCTTTCCAAGCTCTCAAATCCAAAGCTTTGCACGACAATTGTTCACCAGTGTTGCTTGTAAGTTGTGTGCCTTCTGTTGAGTGATCTGGCGTCGTGCTGATTGTTTTTCAGTTCTCCACGACCTGAACTTGATTCACACCGACCTGAAACCCGAGAACATTCTCCTGGTGCACAACGCCTATCAGACCTTTACCTACAACCGGACAATACCGTCGTCATCACATACGATATCCAGAACAGCTCGGCAGAGAAGGGTTCTCCTTGACAGCGAAATCCGGCTCATAGACTTCGGCTCGGCTACTTTCGACGATGAGTACCACTCTTCCGTGGTATCCACTAGGCATTACAGAGCCCCTGAGATCATACTTCAACTTGGTTGGAGTTTTCCTTGTGACATCTGGAGCATAGGGTGTATCATCGTCGAATTTTTCACTGGCGATGCTCTGTTCCAGACGCACGACAACCTCGAACACCTTGCCATGATGGAGGCTGTCTGTAATGGAAAGATTGACCCCAAGCTGGTCAAGGCTGTGTCTGCTGGAAGTCGCGGCGCCAATGCAAACCCTGCCGCCAAGTTTTTCACCCGTGGGAAATTAGATTATCCCAACACTGAAACCACGAAGGCGTCTCGGAAGTATGTCAAGGCGATGAAGCAGCTTCATGTAAGTCGACGGTCGCCCTTTTCGAGCTCTAGCAGACTGACAGAACCCCAGGAATTCATTCCGGCCAATACTTCTTTCAACAGACAGCTACTCGATCTGTTGCGAAAGATCTTCGTCTACGATCCGAAGCAGAGAATTACGGCAAAGGAGGCATTGAAGCACCCGTGGTTCAAGGAGACGTTGGTTGATGACGGCACGGAAGCAATCCGGATACGGGAGGAACGTGCCAACGCAATAGGACCAGATGCCAAGCGACCAAGAGTGTGAGCAGAACACCCTGCGATGATTCATGCCGATATCTCGAACGACTCTGTGTTACGACGACTACTCAAGACAATTACGGCCCGGATCGTCATGACGAGACACCTTGAGCGACGAATGAATGTAGCGATTGATTTGGAGCCGCGTCCTGGTAGGCGCAATGACCAAAGGAATCAACAACCAGCGGCCGTTAGAAATTTGATCTATTCTTGACAATTCTTTGTCCAATTTCCTGAAGGGAGAGGTTGTGAGGAGATAAACGTGGGAGGTATACAGGACGGTTGCCTTTCCTCTCAACTTGAAGATGTTGAGCTGCCGGCGAGACCAACGCCGGCGCAGTGTCCGGAACACTAGAACTACCAGCGTGCCAGTAGCAGTGCATGGTGACAGAGACTGGACTCTCCGAGGATTAGAGGCAGGGCCGTACCTGACAAACCGCCTGCCACCTAGCGTGCCGAGGAGAAGAGGGAAGAGGTAGACCGGGTACATTTACATTACCCTTAGTCCGGGAGACACAAGTATGGACATTGAATTGAACATGATCAGCATTTGACCGTCTGTGGTCCTATTTACACCGAGTTTGGATCCGGTCTTGTTGAAGCAAGCAAGCAGCGGCCGAGACGACCTTCTTCGAGCACAATTGTGCGTATGCTATTGCACGCTGCCATATTCTGATGATTGACTCAGGCTGAGCATTATATCACGCCTGGATCTCCTCAGACCGAGGCTACGTGTTCCGGTGTTTGCAGTCGAGGAGCCATAGTGTCCTTAACCCTGGCGAGGGCCATACCGAGGTCTAACTCATGGAGACATTCAGATTCCCGTGGGGATGCCTTACCTGAGCACAGAGCTGCTGATATTTGGGTCTAGCTAACCAGTCGAATGAATGCGTATGTATATGTGTGTGTATATGAACACAAGCTCGGGGCCCCTCGTGCTCAACTGCATATCTGAGAGAGTTGGGACCACTTGCTTGCTGTGATACTGATAAATGATGAGTTTGTGGATGCAATGGAGCTAAAGGATCGAACTGTGATTGATCGTAGTAAGCAAGCCGGCCGATGCAGTGTGGTAGATATCAAGTTAGGCAGCTGAATCTGTCGCCCAGTTTCACCTAATCAGGATGTGTCATTGATTGTACACGTAGCCCTGTGCTGCTAGGGTCGTTGGGCCCACCCAAGCACATGGGGAGTTGTAGTAAGGGCAGCGAGCATACTGATTGGAGGTTGGGTCAGAGGCTGGGTGTGGGTTGTGGTTGTGGTTTGCACTCTATGAGCGGGATTCAGATGGAAGTTGATATTGGGCCTGACACTGAGAGGGAGTCAAGTAGTAGGCTGGCGAGGCAGAGACTGCGGCTCTAGCAATTTGGACGATCCCAGTACCCAGGTAGTGATGTTGTTCCAGTGCTTGTCTGTGAGGGTCGAGTTGAACCATGTGATTAGTGGCTATATGTTTGATTGTTGCGACTGGAAGGTGAACTGGGGATCCCTGCGCTTGGGTGTGGGTTTGATTTTGAGCACTAGCCAGCCAATTCCATGTTTCGTGCGGCTCACAAACTGCTGGCTGCGGTGGCTGCGGTGGATCAGAAGCTCTGAGCGACGGACAGGGTGGTCGGGGTCCAGCAATCGGTTGTCGAGGCGAAAGCTGAGAAGATGCTCGCGTGTGAGAGCTGGAGATCGATGGCTGCCGAGTGATAGAACTCGTGCGCGGTCCTTCAACAGCAGTGGCAGATGCGCTGGGTGATGTCGCATCTCGTGGTCGTGGTGGAATGGACGCAGAACATAGTGAGATTGTTCGCGCCCCTGATGAGGTTCTGGACAAGTGACGCGACGGTGATGGTGGTGATGGCGCTGGGGATACTATTGGAGTTGCGATGTCCTCAGTCGCCAGAGGCTCTTGAACCGCCCCATCTGTTTCATGCTCATCTACATCGCGGTTAGTGGGGACTCCGGATTCACTTGCCGCGTGTTCAGCGGCATCATGTCCAGATTCACTAGCCGCACGCTCGTTCTCATTGGTAGGCGTGTCTGGTGGGTGGTTCGGAGGATGTTCATCGGGGCTCTCAGGAGGGTCGCTTGTTTCGTTATTGTCACGGGAGTTCTCTCCAGATTCGTCGTCAGCCTTAGGACCAGAGGCATCCCCTTCAGCCTGGGTGTCAGCTTCCTCATCATGAGTTTCTTCCCCAGAACCGCCAAATGCTTCATCTGCTTCATTTGCAGGAAGCTGTTCAGGGCCATCATCGCCGGCGTCAGCAGGATGGTGTTCTGTGTCGGTATTGGCATCGACACTAGGTTCGTTGACCTCGACAGGCGGACTGACTGCTGCGACTCTCTCGCCCGTTCGCCTTGCCCTTTCACGCCTACCTCGCCGAATAGCTTCAATTCGCACATGTTCATCATGCATCAATAACTTGGCCAGGCCAAACCAGGCACTTGATTGGTGGTCGCCGCCAAACCATCGGAGCCTGGGGACTTGTCTGCTCATCACCACGAAGATGCGCTAGTGGATGGGAGCAGTCAACGGTTCATTGTCTGGTCGCTCAGGTTTGGGTTCAAGGATCGACTCCTCAACGAGGACGGGCTTGGGCTATTTGTTCCACAGCATTGGCGGCGTGCGTTTGCTAGCCAGGGCTTACAGGAGTCATGGCAGAGGCCAGATGAGCCTGTTTGCTCACAGTTAGTCGGAGACAATTGTAGGTCTGACTGCGGTGGCTGTGGCTGCAGGTAGGTGGCAGGGTTGTTGTATGGAGCAGCATGCAGTGATGGGCAATGGAGTGACTGGCAGAAAGGTGTCATGGTGATTGATGGCTTGAGAGCAAGCAGGTGCAGTTTCTGCAGTTTCTGACAGAGGTGTGAGTGTGAGTGATAGCTAAAGCACTTGGTGAGAGACATGTACATGGTGATGGTACTAACGTAGGAATTAGGTTGATTATGTTGACCCCATTCATTAAGCTCATCCGACAAAGCTTGTTAGAGCACCAAATGCCCGTATTGGCCCAAATCAGCATTAGTGGGATTCTAATCCGACTTTGTGTTCAAGTTAGTATCAACTGCACATGCGCATCGGGGCCGATGACTAAGGAACGTGACTTGCTGCCACCATTGCTGCTGCTGCTGCTGTTCAGAGTAAATTGTGCACCACCATCGCCAGGCTGTGGACAAGACCAGAGCTTCAAACGAGACGACATTTGTACCCATGGTCGTCAATCTTGCTGGGTACTGGCCTAGTCCGAACCCGAACCCGAACCCGAACCCGAACGTTGGTGCACAATGATACCTGACACCCATGATTGCTGTGCCGTCAGTTTTAGTGTGCGCGCATTATTACCACGTCTATCCTCCATCCTTCCGCTCGCTGCCGAACACCATCTTATGCCCCCTGTGCAGTGCAGTCTCGACTTTTCTACCTCTCCCTCGTTTATTCTTCTTCTTTCGTCGTCCTTGGCCTGACCCTTCGGTTTGCTGCACTCCATACTCCATACTCCATACCATAAGCGAGTGATGTCCCATCCCACCGGCCCTGGCCCCCAGCAACTTCATTCCTATCTTACCGTCAGATTACCCTTTCTAGGCTGACTCCGTCTCCGGCACGACTAAGCAAGACCTCACCTTGAGATCTAATCCTGGCATTGGCATTGCCCCAGACATTGGGCGCCCAATCTGTCACAATCTGTCAGGATGTCATCTCCTTAAACGTCTCCAAACCCCGACGTCGGCACATGTTAACTACTCTTCTCCCGAATCCCAATTACTTCATGAATCCGCCCGTGCAACATGGACTCTGCCAGTTCTTCTGGGACAGAAGACCATACGTCCACTCATGAACAGGACCATGACCGTGACCAGGACTCGTCTCCGCTTCTCGAAGCCCGGGGAGGCCTCGCTGATTTTGGGCCCTCATCAGCTAACCAGGGCCCAAGACCCCAACTCGCGACTGAAGGGCTTCATGACGACGACATCATCGGGGTCAGTATCGGCCGATCCCAGACTCATATGCGATCCCCAGAAACACCGGCTGCTGAGAAGGCGAGAGCGTTGAACTTGCCACTGGAGTCTTTCCAGCGAATCTTGTCCTCGACCGAGGAGGAAAATGAAAGCGAGGATCAACAAGAACCCGATTCCACATCGGCCTACGATGGTTTGAAGCCTACACCACTCTTCCTGGATGGCAAGGCGTCCACCTCTACAATTGACCTGGCGGAAGACAAGGTATCTTCGGCCCAATTAGTCGGATCTCACCACAAAAGGAGTGGGCATGGTCAAGCTGAAGGTTCAAATATCTCTCCCAAGGGGACCTATGCAGACCACATTCGGAAAGGAGCAGACTTGGGGCAAGAATCGTCGACCCCGAGGACAGATCAATCTCCTCTACTTCACCCTCGCGCCCAGACCGACATCGAAGCCGTACCACAGGAAGAATCGCGGAATGGGCCATTCCATAAATCATCACTGGCAAAGGCATTCTTGAATGCGGCGGACCACAGTGGAAGGGGACGTTCGTTCTCAGGTCCGACCGCTCTGTTTTCGAACCTCCGCAAATATCTGCCCGATATACCCTCGCCGTCGTTCAACCGAAGTTCAATCTCCCTCATACCATTCGGCAACAAGAATCCAAGCAATTCAGACTTTGAACCCGCTGCCGACTCACCACTATCTCCATTCGAAAGAGCTATGACGTTTCGATGGTCCGTACGCGAACCGGTCGAGAAGCAGGAGATGACCAGATCTCAACCAGTGACTCCGCCAGAACGGCTGACTTCTGGCCACCTCGCCAGTGCTCCAAAACCGATGCACCGGCCTGATGCACATGATGAAGCGCTGCTTTCCCCTATCAGCCCAGCATCAACCAAGAGTCGTGCACGTTCCAACTCCGAAGGGTCTCTTTACTTGATGAGGAAAGCGTCAGGGATGTCTACATGGGACGACATCAATGCCTTTGCCGACATCACCGAGATGGCCAATTCTCGTTTGAAAGCGATCACGGACAGCTTCCAGAATTCATCGTTGAGGCTACCCAAACTTCCAACCATCCGCCCGATCCCGAAGCGGATCGACACAGTGGCCACGGGCCGTGATGGACACGCGCACGCAGGCCAAGGCATATCCAAGAAAGTCGGAATGGGTGCCGGTAACATTCAAGTAGAGACTCCCCAGCAAAGGGCACATCCAATTTTAGCTCGCGCCCTCTCGAAAACGACCGGCGACATTGTCGTTCTGGGGGGCTACCGAGGCTCGATTTTGAGATCCGCTCAGCCGCCTCATCGACAGCTTTGGGTGCCACTCAAGGTTGGATTCAACCTTCGTAAAGTCGATCTCGAGGTCGGTCTGACACGAGAGGAGGAAGCGAGGACGGAGGAAACTGTGATTCCGTCGAACATCCTCTCACACATTGGACCAATTGACATATGCCGGAGGCTGCTCAGACATATGAGGAAGTGTCCAAATGCCCGCGATAACAAGCTCCGAGTCCACGACTGGGGATATGACTGGCGGCTGAGCCCTGACCTGTTAAGTGGGAGGCTCATCAAGTTCTTGGAATCCCTGGAATGCAACCAACCAGGAACCCCTCCGGAAAGGAGAGGAGCAACGGTGGTGGCTCACAGTCTTGGTGGGCTTATCACAAGGCATGCGGTCAACCAGAGACCGGATCTGTTTGCAGGAGTGGTCTATGCTGGAGTTCCACAACACTGTGTAAATATTCTCGGGCCACTGCGGAACGGGGACGATGTTCTTCTCAGTTCCAAGGTTCTCACGGCACAGGTCAACTTTACGTTCCGCACGAGCTTCGCTCTGCTTCCGGATGACGGGCATTGCTTTCTTCAAAAACACACCAATAAACGATACGACCTGGACTTTTTCGACCCCCATGTCTGGGACGAATATCGGCTGTCACCTTGCGTCAGCCCTCCGCTGCACCACCAGCATCGCCGGAATAGTGAACGGAGAAAGAGTCTGATGGGGACCATTTCAGACACTATCTCGTCATCTGGCAAACGAGGTTCGGCGCAACAGACATTGGAGGCTGCTAATCAGCGGTTAGGCGACACGGCGACTGAGGCTGCGCGCATGGCGGAAGATCCTGGCGAAGAGGTGATGGGACCTACGATGAAGCAGGCTCAGCACGCCCAGAACCGTCCTTCGGTTGCGACAGCTTGCACTATCCCCAAGGATGCCGCCATGGAATACCTTGGGCGGACACTGAGTGAGATTCGAGCCTTCAGGCAACAATTAAACTTTAATCCCAGTCATCAAGAGAACAACTTGTATCCACCACATGGACTCATCTTTGGCAAGACGGTCCCAACGGTCTACGGAGCAAGAGTCGCAAATAAGGAAGCAATCAAGTACGACGATGCATACGATGACCTCGCTTTTGCTGCTGGTGACGGGGTTGTGTTGGCCAGTGCAGCCCAACTGCCAGAAGGATATCGATGTGTCAAGGGCGGGAGGGTGGAAAGTGATCGAGGACACGTCGGCATTCTAGGAGATCTCGAAGGAGTCGGACGATGTCTGGAGGCGGTAGTGGAAGCCCGCGCCAAAGGAGTCGGACGGGGCAAGGATGCTCTTCGCAACAGGAGCGACCAGACCGGATTGTGAGCGCTGGGCAGGCGAGGGATGTAACATGCCGAGGGTCACCGTGTGTATATTGGATGATCTTGCTACTTGCAGCTTGCAGATGATACCCCCGACAGTACAAAGAATTGGAACAGAGACCGGTAGCTATTGTGCCGCCCCATAGAGTCACTCAAGTCTGTATCACTACTTGACCCAGGTTCCTCCCTCCCTTACCTAGGACCTACTCACATCATATGTGTTGCATTGTATTGTATCATCTTGTATCATCTTTTGCCTAACGGAGCACCAGGGAGCACTCGGCCTTGGTTACGTCATATCGAAAAGCTTACTATTGTTATCGTTATCGTTATCGTTAACAGGCCGGCAGCCTTGCCCACTGCATGTTACTGTTACACTGTGTCCACTGTCCCGTCCGACAGACAGCCTGAAACCTGGGATGGTAAAAATTTCCACCACGTGCTAAGAGTAAACTTCCTTGATGATTCTTTCTTTTTGTATTGCATTCGCATTGAATCCTCGAAAGCACAGTAAAGGGAAAGGGTGATCTCATTGACCTTGTACGTCCTATCCAGTCTCCTGGTCTCCTGGTCTCCTGATCTCCTCACCACCTCGACAAAGTTCAATGGAATTCTAGTCTGCAAACGAGAAGAAAACCGAGGAAAACTTGAGTTCGAACGATCCTTTTTTGACAGCCCGGAAAACTTAAGTTCAAACGGTCCTTTTTTGACAGCCCCGCGAAACGAAAGTATCAGTATATCATGTGTCAGGGACAAATGCACGAGTTCCTCCAGGCTCTGCCAAAGTGCGAGCATCATATGCACCTCGAAGGTGAGTTCATGTACAAATACAGACACAGACACAGAAACAGGCACAGATACAAACACAGATGTGTCTTCGAGATCGTCTCTGTGGCTCTCTTGACCCCCTGGCGTTCTATCTACTATCCTTCATCCTTCATGTTGGCTGTACTCCGTTCTCTCCCCTGGTGTCCTACCTACCATCTTTCATCTTGGCCGTACTCCATTCTCTATTGGTCTTGGGTGACAAGAGAAAATGTGAGCTGTTTTTGCAACCACCGTCTTGTACGGATGATTGTCAGCATGTCTATTCTATTCTGTCCCCTTCATGCTCCTGGTTTCTGCCCAAGCTCCTCGTTTCGCCCAAGCTACGGCTACTTATACCTAGCAATTTGGCATGAAGGTAGAATACGAATACCCGAGAGCTGAACAGGTTGTGGCTGGATCGATACTACTTGCTTCGCTTCGTTCGTCGGGTTTCTTGTCCCTTTCTTCTTACCTGCCTGGTGCCCTCCTTCTCCTTGTACCAATACTCCTGGCTGTCTATGGCTCTTGCTTACCCTGTCGGTCAATCAGGCTCGCTCGAACCACCGCTGCTATTCGAACTGGCCGCTCGAAACAACATCTCTCTGCCGTCTCCGTCGTCCGATCCGGCGTTCGCGTCCATTTCGACCCTCGTCGACCGCTACCGCCGCTTTACCAGCCTAGATGACTTCCTGCACTACTACTTCGTCGGCATGTCGGTGCTGATCACGGCGGCGGACTTTGAGAGTCTGGCGTACGAATACTTCCGACGCGCGCACGCCGACGGGGTCGTGCACGCCGAGGTCTTTTTCGACCCGCAAGCGCACACGTCTCGCGGCGTCAGCTACCGCACGGTAGTCGACGGATTTGCGCAGGCCCAGCGGCGGGCGAAGGCGGATTTCCGCATCACTTCCGAGCTGATCGTGTGCATCCTACGGCATCTGCCCGCCGCGGACGGCGACGCCATGTACCACGACGCCATTCCCGACCTGGAAGCCGGCGTGATCAAGGGCCTGGGCCTGAGTTCGACGGAGAAAGGGAACCCGCCGATCCGATTCAAGGACACGTACGCCGACGCCGAACGCCGTGGCTTCCGCCTCACGGCGCACGCGGGCGAAGAGGCCGACGTCGACTACATGGCGTCGGCGCTGCACGATCTGCACGTCACGCGCGTCGACCACGGCATCAAATTGGTCCAAGACCCGACCGTCCTCAAAGAGTTTGCCGACCGCAACGTCATGGTCACGCTGTGTCCGTTGTCGAACGTCGAGTTGCGCTGTGTCAAGACGGTCGCCGACTTGCCCGTTCGCACGTATCTTGACCACGGCGTCCCCTTCAGCATCAACAGCGACGACCCGGCCTATTTCGGCGGCTACATTCTCGCCAATTTCTGTGCCGTGCAGGACGCCTTCACCCTGACCCCGGCGGAATGGGAGCGAGTCGTCCGGAATAGTATCGAGGGCAGTTGGTGCAGTGACGAGAGGAAGGCGGAGCTGAACAGTCTGCTGGACGGCGTCATGAAGAGATTTGCGCCTTGAAGTGCAGACTGTTCGGGGCTTGAGTGCCATGGAGTGCAGGCCCTGCCTCTGCGTATCGACAACGCCGTCCGTACCATTCAGGTCGAGAACTAAGTACCTAGTATCATAAAAAAACCCAGGTAAAAACAAAGCGACGTCGGTGGCCGAAGTTGATGATACACCAGTATACAGTACGAATACTTTCGACAGTCTGGATGACGGATAAAATGGCATGCTCTTTACTCTCATTACATGCCCTTCTTGAATCTTCTTTGATTCTTCCTGCTCGGGTCGGGTCGATCTGAGATGTTGATCTTGCCTCGAAATCTGCCCCGAAATCTGCCTCGAACCTCGAAATCAAAAGCTGAGCATTGAGAATGATAAAGGGGTATCTGTCATTTTGCATTTGCGTCAAGGAGATTCAACGTCCAGTCCAGTCCGGTCCAGCCCCGTCCAAAACCAATCCCACTTCCCAACTCCTACTCCTACTCCTCGATGCTCGCCTCTCCCAACATCCGTAATCCTCCATCTAAGCCTTGGTCCTTGTCTTGTACAGTCCTCCGACAAACCCAACATATACAAGCCGGTCCAACTCGGCTTTAGTCTTGCCAGGATTTGGTCAATCAACTCGAAACCAACGTTTTGAAAATATCGATACCATGGATCGTCTCATAGTATCCCTCATATATCTCCCAAGCACGAAAATCTGGTCGTCACTAAGTCGTGTCATATCTCGTACCATTTTCTTCAACCCGTCTAGATCTCAGATAACGTCCTTGGGTTGGCCGGAGCCATGCTCTGGTGCCAAAAGCACTGTTACCGCACCAACTTCGTGCCAGAACTGACCACAATAAATTCCACGTCTCGGCCCGCTGCACGGTATTGCTCGACGCCGCCCAAAAGAAGCCAAGGTTGAAGGTTCTTGCACTGACTGACATCGAGCAGCTTGAGTTTCTGACATCCCTCGACGACACTCTGCACGCCAAGTCCCGTCACCCGGACGCAGCCTCGAACAGCGAGTTCCTTCAGGGAAGTCAAATGAAGGCCGATTGATCTCAAACTGGGATCTGACACTGCACTGCCGCAGAACGAAAGGTTGAGGTGGGTCAGGTTTGGACAACCAAGAGCCAGAACCTCCGTTGCTGTGTCAGAAAGGGCACAGCAGAAGGACTACGACAGAGCAACAATCAGCTAGACGCACAAAACATGAGCCATGGACAGAAGCACTTACTAGGTCAAGCTCTCTCAAACCACTACCAGCTCCATTGACCAGCCATACAATGCTTTGATCGCTGAGATACGTGCAATCAGCCAGACAAAGCTTTCTCAACCGTGTAAATTTGACGTTTCCCCAGAACTGGAACCCGGCGTCTGTAATGGTAGTGCATCGCGTGAGATCCATTGACTCGATCCGATCATGGGCGTGAGTGGCAATATGAGCCATTGTTCGATCCGTCACGTGCTTACAGTAGCTCAGAGTGATGGAGGATAGTTTGGGACAGCCGATCACCGTGCCCGGAGTCGGCTGTGCCACAGGAGTGCCGAGCTTGGTATTGACAACTGGGCGCATACTCAACTTGGCTCGATTCGGAAGCCCTTGGGGCTGTGCCGGTACTACCCAGCCGACTATCCTCGCCAGTAAGGTGTCACTGACCTTACGGCAATTGCTGAGGTCGATCGCTTTCAATCCACGCGCCTTGTTGGCCATCTCCAGTATTGCCGGTGCGGTTACATCCCAAACACTCTTCATACGCCATGATTCAACATTGGCACCGCAGGTATTCACGAGGGTAGCGAAGCCTCCATCTGTAACGTGGAAACAATTGCTGATGTCCACAAAACGTGGTCGTTTGCCCACAAATGGACAAATTCGGTTTATAAGGACATCGTCGGTGACTGTTCGGTTGTAACGTGACAGGTCGAGATAATGAAACAGGTTTGGTGCTGTATGGAGAACATTTTGCCAATGTAGCGAAACTGCTTGTAGGCGCATCAATTCGTGGAGTTCGAGGTGTTCAAAAACCCATGGTAACACATTGTCCGGAATCGTGCCTCGATTGAGGCCATGACTCGACTTTGACCAGGGCTTGGATCGTCCGCCCGATGAGAAGGGGTCGGAAAAAGGGAATGCGGAACCTTTGTGCTCAAACGTAGGCGATGGTGCTCCTGACACTGGGCTGCGAGGAGATGAACTGGTTGTTGAGACAGGAGATGACCTAGGAGAACGTCGTCTCTGTTCCTTTGGGGATTCATCTGGTGGTGGCGGAGCAAGTGAACCCCTCCTTGACCGCGATTTGACACTTTCTAGCCCTTCGTCTAAGAAAGGGTCGGGATCTAGAGGTTCAACAGGACCCGGTTCATCCGTTTGAATAGGCTGCAGCGGGCTGCTGATCTCTGCTTCAGTAAAAATGACACGGGGAGCATGGCCGATTTTCCTATGGATTCCATCGGCTTTAGAGTCGCCAATTGCTAGTTGGTGAATGTTAGGTTCAGCCCCGGTGTCGTTCATGACAACATCATTGTCCAAGGCCGTCCGTAATCTCTCCTTGGCTGTTCTTTCAACTTGCTGTACAATCTCTGGAGGACAACGATTCCAAAAGTCTGCTAGCACATTTTCAGATATCATCAGACATTCGACCTGTGTGACGGATCGAACAGTCGCGGTCCGGCGGTCGGCCAGCGATAGACCTACAACCTCGCCGAAGTACTGCCCAGGTCTGAGACGCGCCTTGACCCGTGGGGTCGGTACTATTCCATTTGGTTCTTTGGACTTGTGAGCTCTGGAAGTGGTCACGATCTTCTCGTCCAGGACTTCCACTTCACCTCGGACGATAAAATATATCTCCCGGCCCCGCGTGTCTTGCTTGATGATGTCTGTAAATGGTGGAAAGCTCCTCGGCTGTGCATTGAGACCCAGAAAGTGGAGGATTTCGGCGGGCAGAGAGGCAAACAATGGAAATTCTTTCAGTGTTGCCCTAATGTTGACAAGCCCGTGTCCTAAGGCACTGGCCGATGACACTTCGTTCGTCCCTGGACTTGGAGACTTGCGACGCTTGCTCGAGCTAGAGGCGCTGTGGTCTCCCTCACCCATGGGAACATCCTCTTCGAACGACGCTCGTCTCTTGGATCCTCTTCTTTCATTAGAGGGAAGATCTTCGGTGCCGAGTAGCACTTGCCGCTTCTTCTTTTCCAATTGTGTCAGACGTTCCAAGGCCTCATCTCGAATTGCTTGTTCCACATCGGGGTATGTCGGCAGTATCTTCTGCAGATCCTCCTTCTTTAAAACCAGAACCAAGCATCTTGTCCGCGCGACGACGGTGGCAGTGCGAGGACGTTCCATCAGTATGCCGATTTCCCCAAAGAACGCGCCGGGCTTCAATTCGGCATAGGTGCTCTCTCCATCACGCGACGTGACCGCAACAGCACCTCTCACGAGCCAGTACATCGCCTTGGCATCTTCGCCTTCCGTGATGATGTAGTCGTTGCAATTATGAAGTTGAGGTTTGAGGAGGAGGCCAATGTCGACGAGGAATCTGTCGGGAGTCGACTGGAACAAGGGGAACGAGCGAATGCGGTCAATCAAGTCTAGTGGCATACCTTGAATTTGAGAGGTTGCCAAAGGAGATTGCCTGACAGGTCGTGATGGGTTGACCTGGGAGTCAAAGCTGCGGACCAACGACACTTCCGCCGATGGAGGGGTCGCTGTTCGACCGTGGAAGGGAGAATGACCCCGGCCATGATGTCGCCGCATCTTTCAGCACGACCGGTTGTGGTTGAGCGCGTGTTCACCCAAGATGAACTGCTGCTCGTGTTGCAGAGCCCCTCAGCCCATTGTCGCAGGCATCCGACTACGTCCTTCGCGTGAGAGGAGGAGGTCGCCCCGGTCGAGCAGGAACGAGGAGCCGAGAGATGACAGTCGACAGTAGGCACGACAGAAAGTCTTTGGTGTTTGTATATGTCTGGCTTAGTAACCCAGGGTGTCTGCAGGCACCAACTGTCGGGATGCTGTAGTTTGGTAGCAGCTTGAAGGAGGCCGGGCGGGATGGAGATGTCTTTGGGGGCAAGGCGGGGATAGCCGGTGGATGGGTCGCACGCTTGGGTACATGAGTTTTGGGTCAAGAGGTCAGAGCGAGCAGGCCACTGTAGCCGTCAAAAAATGATGTTTGAAGGGACAGGTACCTGGGTGTCGTGCACCTGCCAGACGGTGACAGGGTCGACAGAGGTAGCTACGTATATTGCAAGCGAGAAAGTAAGAAGCACGGAGTACGGAGTAGGTGTAGACGAACAACAGCAGCGGGAGCCAAACCAGACCGTTTGGAAGCGCAGTGGAGCGATCCCTCATGCAGTATGGAGTGCAACCTGTGCAACTTAACTAAATCAGGTGCCTACGTCAAAGGTGCAATTCGAACAGATAGGCGGTGGATAGGCGGGGGGATTGCATTGGAGGAGGGACCCGTAAGCCCAGGGGCCCCGAAGCCGTTGGCCACGCCCATAGCTTGACCCCTACAGAGTAGACGTCTCTGCCTCTGGAGTCTGGAGGAGCGCTGAGATAATGCCCGATTTGCAACTGTGCCTTTTCTATATCTATAGCCGTGCGCATGTCAGGCAAATGAGTTGAATGCTAGACAACCTCGCCTAGGCGGCACTTGTGTGGTAAGGTTGCTGGTAGGACAGAAGCATGCCCTGTCAAGGAAGACGCGATGGCCAAACCCGTAACATGGATGTTTTGTGCCCTGTTAAGCGATCCAATCCTGCATCCTCTGAAGACTGGGTTCACTTTGAAGGGGCGCGCCATGGTTAAAGGAGGCCTCCTTAGCCTCATTATGGAGTACAGAGCCACCAGGGCTGTTGGAGCACTGCTTTACCATGGTAACATTTCGCCTGTGTCGTAATGCGTATGTCCTGATAATTTTGGCCGATTGCTGCTGCTGGGGCTCTTCGGCCACTAGACGCTAGAAATCCCGTAGAAGACTGCGTGGACTTCTTTGTCCCTGTAGATCTCACAGTCTCGGTCTAGACTCTACTCTGTAAGACCATTGCTGCTATCCCCAGCTAATGTTCCCCGTATCCTGATTCTGTGATTCTAGGCCTCTGAATGATCTTCTTCATTGTCATGGTTCCCACTTCCTCGACCGGCGCTGTGAGGCATATCCCCGGACATGCCGTAGATCAGCCTTATTGTTGAACCTCCAAAACAGAGTCTTGTGTTCGGTCTATCGGGGAGAACAAGCTGCGATAGCGGTGTGACGCCACAGACTGGTGACACGCATGCATGGCACATGCATATGTGTTGCGCAGCCCCAGGCTTAAGGCATTCGTACCACCTTGTATGTTGGCCTGGACAAGCCGATACCTATTGTCCTGGGCTAATAGTCAATGTTTTCCACACTAGCGCGCGAGAACATCTTTCTTTTCATCCAGACAACATAAGCTGGAGGATTCCCTCGCACAGTCGCTAGTAAGTCCTGGATCAAGCCGTATGCTAGGGAGAACTTGAATGCTGTCTTCGCAGTTCTAGCAGCCGCAAAGTGATCCAGTCCTTTTTTCCAGCCATAGAATCCAGCCAGGGTCATTCCGGCAATGACAGTACTCCCGGCGTCTCGTTGTCCCGCTGCCACATCCTCGTCTCTTCGAGCCAGAAGTCTGGTTCTGGACAGATCGACCATCTCTTCGGTAATCATAAACAGTGTTGCCCAGCCCATACATATAGCACCAAACCTGCCCCCTTCTTTTATTCCAGCGAGCATGGCATGATAGTTCTTGGACTTCTGGTAAAGAAACCATCCGGTCTGTGTCGTTGGCAGGCGATGGGCGTTCTCTGCGCGATATCGGTATGCGCCCTTGGTTGCCCCTTGGGAAGAGCCCAGGGTGAACCCGCAAGCAAAGGATGCTATCATCAGTGTAGGAGCTCGAAGAACGAATGGAATTGAGAGTCGTTCGTTCGGCCATCCCGTAAATGTAGCAGGCGTGTTCTCTGTCGGTGGATGCGAGGCTGATTGGGAGATTGGTGAAGGCACGGTCGCTTGCATTGGTACTTCTGATTGTAGCAATGTTGCGCCGGGGGCAGCGTCCTTGACCCCGACTTGTGAAGACTTGAACGGCCACATGCTGAGCATGGCCGATAAACTCGGTGATCCTGTGGGCGACGGTCCAACAATCCTCCAGCTTTAGTTCTGGCTTCGAGCAATTTCTGACGCCATCGAAGTAGCCGGAATTAAAATAGGCAAAGGTCCGACAATTTAAGTCACTGTAAAATATGGGATACAAAATAGCCAGGAGTATAACGACTTGACAAGCAAGTCTATGAAATAGAAAGCGGCATCTAAAGCCACCTGCGATGCACCACGGAAGGCAGATTCCGTTGGCGGGGGACCTTCCACATAGAGAAAGACCCTGATTTTCTTGACTGCGGCGCGTCGCGTACATTCTGCGCAGTCTACAAAAGTGAGGAGCAGGCAAGCAGGAATTGTATCTGTACACTCTCTCCGTTAAACCAGAAATCTAGGACTCAGCTCTCATCAAGTTCCAGGTAATGCTATACACTTTCTCAATCGCGACAGCAATCCAAGCAACAACGTCTTAAACCTGAGGCCAACAATGACGGTTTCTGTCGAAGATCTGGCTGCACTGCCAATGCCTGACATGATCACTCTGTTGTTCAAATTCCACAAATCCACTACAGTCCTATCAGTCCTGCCTACAACGCCTTTCACAGAGATCAAAGCACTTCTACTTGCTGCGCTTCAGTCAAGAAATCTCAAATATCTCCCTAACACGACCATTCCGCTTCCTGAGACACCGCAAGAGCTCGAATTTGGTGTGCTGGCTGATAAGAGAGACCCTTCAAAGGGCTGGGTACCATTGTATATCAATGAGCAGGAAACATTGGGGCCCAAGGGTGTCAAGAAGAGAATAGGGGGCAAATCAAGCGTTCTTAACGAGAGTCCCTTGGGTGCTGGCTTGACTGACGGTTCATTGGTCGCGTATCGAATCAAGGCTTTTTACAAGGAAGGACAGAAGGACGGGCATGATAATGACAAGACCTCGGGAGAAGGTACTCCAGGTATTGAAATCGATGAAGATCCAGGATGGGATGTGGTGCTGCCTTCTTTCGAAGATGAGGGCGAATGAAATTGACAAAATAATGACCGGTGGTGACCTGAATGGAGAAACAAGTCAAAGATGCGGCGCAGGCTTGCTCAGCCAATCCAGAAGCCTGCTGAAAGATTGCTGTCAACCAAGATTTGTTAGGCTGGTGAAGCACAGTCTGGACACGAACTGTCTTGGAATTCGGCGAGACAAGTGTTGAGAAATCCACCTCCGACTCGAATGCTCGGTGGCCGGAGTATTCGTGATTTCAGCCCCCACCAAGCTTAGGCGACGCCGTCCTCAGGTCCCCTCCACAGCTTGGAGCATCTCGCATCGTGAATGTCATCTCCCGACAAGCACGCTGCACACAGTGTAGATTGCTGGTTCAAATGGAGTATCCGGCAGCAAGTGTGGAGGAGGTAGGTGGTCAGATCTGTGCAATGTCTGGGAGGCAACCCTTCGCAGGTGTTAATAATGCTGACCTAGGGCTGATGCTCGCTGATCTGTGCTGGAGTCGGTCCGGCGAGGAGCCTAAGCCTGAGGCGCCCGAGATAGCAGCTATTTGTAGTTGAGCAGCTAGAACTCATGCCCCTCTTCTCTCATCTCGTCATTGGTCGCGTAGCCTATTTGGAGAGCCAAATTCAGAAACAGGAACAGGCGGAGGGCTGAACAACTTGAGCCAGTCTCATTTCCATGGTTGCAAGTAAGCTTGGTATCAGCCCGCCCTCAGCAGTTTGGGCTGACGCCCTTTTGTCCAACTCCGAGACCTTTTTGTGCCAGATGCCATCTTTCCCTTTCGAGACGACACTCACATCATCTGTCTAACCCGTCTTCCCGGGCGGATGCGTGTTCAATGCGGCTGTTCAAGTCAAACAAGTCGCAGGCATCCCTCGAAGATCGCAGTCCTGAGCAGCCCGAGACCGCTTACCAGCCTCAGCACCCGAATAGCGGTCTCTACAGCGGGTCCCAGTTTGATCTGACTTCTGACCGCTACAACCAGCAACTGGACGATCACCAATACGAGATCCAAGACACTCAATCTCAATCTCAATCTCAGTCCCGATTCCAGTCCCATCCAGCCCAACATTTGTCTCGCAGTCAAAGCAGTCGCACCCCCTCTGCCGGTGAACTGTATGGCGCACAACGACCCAGCGTAAACATCGTGCCTCCTGTGTCACCACCAGCTACCGTCCCTGAAGGCTCCGCCCCTGTCCCAGGGCAGACCACGTTTGGCCAATCGAGACAGGTTCGGGCTGAACGTGAGAAAGAACACAAGAGATCCAAACGGAGTTTCATCAGTGGATTTATCAAAGACAAGGCTAAGGACGAAGACAAGGAGAGGGAGAAGGAGAAGGAGAAGGAAAACGCTCAATCCGAGCGTAAAATCGGTCGATCGAGTTCTGTGCATCTCCTGCGGAAAGCACACCCATCTGATAATATTTCTCGCGACCCGTACTCTCAACAGACCAGACATTCCGTGTTCTACCCAGGGACCGACACCTCAGTGGCAGACCAGTCGGATCAGACTCAATACGATCACTATCAACGAGGTCCTGGTCAATTCGACTCTCCTCAAAGCCAGACGACTCATAGATCTGTCGACTACGCCGAAGACATCCCCCACTTCAGTCCACGACAGGAACAATATCAGCCGTACCATCAAACCGAGTCTGCCAGTACCTCGGAACAGTACTTACCATATCAAGATCCTCCCTCTCGACCAAACAACGCCGAGCCTGATACATATCAACATCTTCGACCTCCTTCACAGGCTTCATTGGGACCGCCTTCACCGGTGGCTAATATTCCGCATCAAATTCACCCTCAAGAATCTCGCCCTTCAACAGCAGCAACGAACAGATATTCAGTCCAGTCAGCAAGTCAGGGCCAGCCACAGCCACAGCAGGCGGCGGCCATGGCAAGAGGCGATACGTTGAACGGAGGCCTCCGCCAACAACTTTCGCAACGAGACGCTCGTGCCGAAGAGCATGCCCAGTACCAAAGCCAGCAAGACCCAAGAATTAGAATGTCGCAACAAGCCCCTGAGCAAGGACGAAATACCCCTCCACCAAGGAGTCGAGAAGACGCTAGTCAGTTGGATTATCATCAGCTCCTTCAACGCCATGAAGAATTGCAGGCCAAATACTCGAAAGTCAAACGATACTACTTCGAGCGAGAAGCACAAGTTACTCAATTGCAGAATACTGTGGCCAATCAGCGCCTGTCAATGTCAAAGACGTCTTTGGACGATGCCCAATATACGGCAAGATTTGAGAGACTGAGTCAGGCGATCAACAACCTGTCCTTCAACATCCGGAAGAACTGGCGGGCAGTGCCCCCATGGCTCCGGCATGTCTGTAACCAGGACGCGCATACTGTTGGGACTAAGGAAATGACGGCCGTGGGTCGAGCATGTATCACTCGCTGGCTGTACGAAAGTATCTTTGAGCGCACATTCCACCCGGGGATTGATCCGGGGTTGTCAGCACAGTTAAAGAACGTAGAACGAACCTTGCGTCGTTCAGGACAGAACGGCTTCCTGACAGACGAGCAGCGAGATGATCTGGTCATTAAACTCACCACCTGGCGCCTGACCACCATCGAAGGGCTACAGGATGTCCTCAACTCGCCGCAGGCTGAACAGTATACAGAGAACTTGACAAAGTTGTTCACTCACCAGCTCACCGAGTCACTAAAAGCAAATCTCACTGATCCACCGCCGCTCGGGTTGAGCGAGGGGGTCAACATGATCGTTGGACAGGCCATTGGGATCGCCGCCAATCTTCCGCTTGAATCCCGTGATATTTGTCTGGAATATTTCATGCCTGGGACCCCTGTTAACGACACGTACATGAAAATCGAACCGCAATTGATTCCACTGACCAATCCGGGTCTGGACGAGCGTTTGGCCGCCATGCAAGCCGCACAGGCGATGCAAGAAGGTCCAGAAGGCGACGGCATGAGCACAGCCAGCACAGAAGATGGACCACGAGACCGGGACGTCGAGACCGAGATTCGTGAAGCTGCTGGTAAGGCTGCTTCACAAACGGTCTCGCAAGGTGGCGGTGCCGGGGTGGGTGGGCCACAAATGCGGAACGACAGTGTGGCAAGCCAAAGCAGCCAAGCGACTATCAAGACCTCCGACGAGAAGCAGTCTAAGAAAGCGAGCTTTTTGGGAGGGTTTGTGAGCAAGAAGACATCATCGACGCGCCACGATAATCGCGGTGGAAGCACCGAGGCCACCCCGGTTACTCCTTCAACAAACAACGCTGATGAGCAGCGTGGGGGCACTACGGTTGATCCGGTGCAGCTAGGACCTTCTGGTGCGAATGAGGGGAGGATTCGCTTTGCGGCGTTTCTTGCCGTCGAGGTTCGAGGCAAAGGACCTGGATCGAACACGGGTAACAGCGGGGTTTCTGGTAAGGAATCTGGGTCTGCCGCGGGAGGAGTCAGCCAGTCTTCTGCCAATGTGCTTTTCAAAGCGCCGGTGTATGAATATTGAATGACTTTGTGATGTCAATCTAGCGGAGCAGTGTTGGTCGTGAGAAGGGGAAGACTGGGATCAAGGAAATTTCATTTCTTATTTCTTGGTAACCTTAGCACCAGCTACTAGTGTCAGTTTTCTTTGTCTTGGTCGGACGACTTGATGAGAGCGCGAAGATGCAAATGCACAGGCTTGGACGTTGCGACCAAGGACGGTTACAATAGCCATTGTTCACTCTATATGCGAGGTAGGTACAAGCAGAAGCTTAGCAAGCTCTCCTAGCCTCCTAAGCCCTTAAGGCTCCTAAGGCTAAGGCTACCTGCCGTAGGACCCTATAGGTCACAAGTTATGCAGGCAAATTCAGGGAGGGACAGGACTTTTGGTAGAGGACTTAGGTACCTAAGAGTACAGGTACTGTACTCCGTACCTGGTAGGTAGTGTACATGGGATCAACCCCAGGCGACCAAAGGCCACCGGCAGGCCTCAGGGCCCCTTAGCCTAGGGGCCCAGCCCCGAACAGAACTCTGTCAGCCTCCCTAGCCTTCCACTTCAACGACAAGGATTGGTGGTTTAGGGCATGACCGTATAGTGGTTGGGCAGCATAGCCATGGTGTCCTCGTCCTCCATCGAGCCGTCCCCGCGGGCTTTATTATTATTAGGCTTTGGCTAGCTGTGCTCCATCGGAGCAGATGATCGACGGCGGTTCCAACCCGGAAGCGAGCGAATCTCTTCTCACCGCACATTGATCTCTCGCATTGCCATTGCACACCAGGCATGTCACCTACATCCCTACATGTCGACACTACGAGTACGAGTACCGTCTGCTGTCTCCAGACTCTGGCCCAGGCCCATCGAAACGCGGGGCTGACGGACGGCGTGTCGCTTTCTCTCTCTCTCCCATTTGCCGGCCTGCGTGTCTGGTGCAGTGCCTGCGCTTTATTTCATCAACTTGCCTCTCCTGCTCAATAATGGCAACTCCTCCTGTTACGGTCGACGCCATGCTGCCCTTCTGACCGCAACACTGTCTTCCTCGGGCTCCCTTCTCCCTCGTCCTACCCACCCGCCATTTCTGTCTCGGCTCGAATCCGATCCATGCGGGACAAAGTTGAGGATCCATGTCAAGAGTGTCGAGGTATGTCTGCTGTCTAGCTGTACGGAGTACAGCTGCCGTAATCCTTGCGCCCCGTTGACGTTGACCGACTGCCCATCTTCTAGAACGTCATCTGAAGTGTAAGTTCACCCCGGACGACGGGACGACGGGACGGCCGTCTAATCTGTCCTTTGTCTTGGTCCTGTACTGTTCTGTCCTGTCCCTGCTGCATCACCAACCGGACAGACAAATGTGGCACAAGAGCCAGCACCACGCCTTTCTGCCCTGCCCTGTACCCACCCGCTATACATTCTGGCTGAGCTGAGCTGACCGCCTCAGGTGACGACAACTATCCCCGCTGCCGGCAATGTGAACGCCTGGGGGGCAAATGTCGGAGGGCGAAGGGCAAGCTCAAGTTCCGGCATGGTTCCAGTGCTCGATATGACGCGACATTTTCGAAAGATCAACCATGGCTCGAGCAAACCAAAAATGGTACGTTTGTGTGACCTTGCCGGCACAAATTTTCCAGGAGGGACACGGGGGGCGTGTTGAGGTCGGACGGAGAGGGAGAGGGACATGACGGTCATGTCTACGGCCGTCGGTGATAACCTCCTATCATGTCCACCATCACACTACGACGGCACTTGTGCATGCCTTCATGTCGCACTGCTCCAGGAAGAAGTGCCAGCGGCCAGCGTTCCACACCCCAACCCGATGTTGTGACCCTTCCACCGCCTATCAAGTCCTATATTGACAAAACATACCGACAGCAAAGTTCCAATTCGTTGATCAAGGCCCGGAGTTGGAGAACTACTATTCCCAAGACGACGTTGTGTTCAACAACACCAAGTCTTCCGTGCCGGACCAGAAGCAGGATGATGTTTCTGTTCCATCCAAGCAAATCGACCAGCCCGTCAAGGCACAAGGTCCCGCCATTGTCCACAGCACACCTGCCGAAGACTACACTCCTTTCTTGTCTCCTTCCAGCACCAATCATGAGACAGTGCTGGTGCATTCATCCATAAAAAGAAGGAGAACGGCAGATTCCACCACCCAACAATATCACTCGAATGCAGCAACATGGCAAAGAGGTGCTTACGACCCCATTCGCTCTCAATATCGAGTGTACCATCCTCCCCAGGTTTTCAGCCCCGTGAGTCCCGACGGTCTTGCCTACATGCCCGAACAACAACATTACGTTCCCAAAGTGGTGGAGGCCGAGTATCGTCGACTGGCCGATTCTGCGGCCGCCGCCATTCCGCCAGAGTCTCTCCTCTCACCCGCCATCTGGAAGGAGGAGTTCTACTGGCCCAACAAATTCACCACCACGCAATGTGCTTGTTTGATGCGATACTACATCGACCATCTGGCTTCGTGGGTAGGTGCCGCTGTCATTGGCCTCGAATTTCCCGCGACTGACCGAGAGATAGTTTGATGTGGGCGACCCAGCCCGACATTTCACCCTTTCTGTTCCTCAACGGGCGCGAAGATGCCCACCTCTGTTGAATGCGATCTTCACCGCCGCGTCACGACATTTGGCGTCACTGCCGCAATACAAAACGACAGATGGAGTCGTCAAATACCAAGACGTCCTCCTTCCTAAACTCAGCGAAGAAACGGCCCTCAAGTACCACAACGCATGCATTGCTTACTTGATCAAATTGTCCAGTGATCCGGAACATGTACGAGATGAGAATCTTTTGGCTGCGGCGGTCATATTACGATATTATGAAGAGATCGACAGCTCCTTTACCGGGGAAGATAGTGAGACTTTTCTCCACACTTTTCAGGTGTTTGTCACGGCACAGTCGAACCCCTACGCCTATCTGCTGAACGATGGCGAGAATCCGGAGTACCTGAGGCCCGGATCGGCCACGGGCGTGGTGCAGGACAATGCCATCCTTTACCTCAAGAGCTTCCAACACGCGGCGTTTCGAATAGCGCTAAGGCAAGAAACGACGACGGCATTTCTCAAGCAACGCTCGGTCCGTCTGCCGCTGGACTCATGGTCCATTCTGCAAGGGTTTGACGGGGCGGAAGACTTTATCTGGTCCGACCGGCATCTGTATCATTGCGCCAATGTGCTCCAGTTTTGCTTCGGCGGCGACAATGGCTCTGGTAGGACTCAGATTGAGCGCTGGAACGAGCTCCGGCAGTACCAAGAACATTGGGACCAAGTCAAGCCCTTGTCGTTTTCACCCATCCATTACCAAGAATCCGAGCGGTCCCAGGGGGAATGTTTCCCCCAAATCTGGTACATGGCGGAAGTGCAGGTCACGGGGATGATGTTTCTGGACCTCGCCCGGATCCTGACGACGGTGTACAATCCCAACATTCCTCGAATTGGACCTGGGGTGATCACGGCGCAGAGGCGGATTGTCGAGGAAGTCCACGACATTGTGATCCGATTGTGTGGGACAGCCATGTCGAATCCGTCGTCGCAGCCGGCCATGGTGCAGGCCTACATGGCGATCGCAGTCTGTGGAGAGTATTTCTCGAATCCGGTCGAACAGAAAGCGCTGCTGGGGATTCTAGACCGGTTGAAGAAAGAACACGGCTGGCCGACGGGGAAGACTGCGCTGGCGTTGAAAACAGAGTGGAGATGGACATGACATTGCAGGCAAAGTGGGTGGTTTGGGAATGAGACTGCTTGACTGCAATGGTCTTGATATATGCATGGAGGGGGGGACTTTTGGCATTAATGATATGGGCATGGCACCGGCAGGCCAAGAGAGGACATGACATGACACGACATGAGCACGGACAAGGATAAGGACCAGGACCAGGACCAGGAGGGCTACCGGGGGGGACATGGGATCACATAGGGTGGGATTGGTTGGGAGGGCAGGGTTGGTGATAGGTGATGGTGATGGTGTTGCTACCTGCTGCCTGCTGCCTGCTACGTGACCACGGACTACAGCATTACATACTATGGAACTGGGTGGAAAGCCAGTGGTGATTCGACCCGGGCTGAAAATGCGGACAGTAAGTAATCACAAGCTTGAACTTGTTGCTGTATGCTGTATGCTGTATGTGTAAGTGACGTGGGGTTTAGGCAGGCTGCTGTACCTAGTACGAGTAGGGACGAGCCGAGAGTCGTCATCGATATACAATGTTGGCTCATTGAGGGTCTTCGCGTCTGCCCCTCACCTGCGTAAACGTCGAGGGGAGCATATTATTAATTCATTCAGCCTCTCTCTCGGTGCGCAGGTGCGCATGTGCTCGCCATGCCCAATGGCGCAATCAATATCATTACTGTTCCTATTCCATTAGTAGGACGGGCTCAAGTGAAACGTTTCCATTCACATACTCGGTAGAGTATATATAGCTCCCCTTCTGCTCTTCCTCACCCTCACACTTCTCGCTGTTCTCACGTCCTCCGCAATCGACCTGTCTCTTCCTCTCCGCCCTCTTAAGACGTAGCTACCTACATAGGTAGACACAACCCTCACTTCCCGCGTTCAAGTCCAAATCCAAGTCTCAGCCTCAGCCTCGGCCTCAGCCGTGTTCCGCCATGTCGTCAAACAACCTCTACATCTCCGAGACGCCGGCGGAAGTGGCCAACGCCAAAGGCCTGCACCTGATCACGCAGAACACGCCCAACGGGCAAGCGACGCAGATCCTGCTGGAGGAGCTGGCCGACGTCTACGGCACCGAGTGGACCACGACGCTGATCAACATCAGCACCAACGAGCAAAAGAAGGAATGGTTCCTGCGTCTCAACCCCAACGGCCGCATCCCCGTCTTGGTCGACAACACCCAGTCGCCGCCCTTCCCGGTCATTGAGACGTCGGCCCAGCTTTTCTACTTGCTGAAATTCGCCGACAAGAACGACACCTTTGGCTTCAAGGACGACTTGGAGCGCAATCAGGCCCTGCAGTGGACGTTCTTCTGGCATGGCGGTGGCGCGCCGTACCAGGGCCAGGTCAACCATTTTACCCGTGCGGCGCCGGAGAAGATTCCTTGTGAGTAATGCTTGATTTGTCTCCGGTTTTGATTTGATTTTGGTTTTGCATGCCCTCTGTAGTCAGGCTGGGATGCCGGTAAAAGTCTACCTGTATCCGCTTAGTTGGCAAACTTGGTGCTCGGAGTGTACGGATACTGGACTACAGAAGACGCAAGGACATATCCGCTCGGCACAGGAGCGGCCGTACGATCTTCACATCCAGAGGAAGGCGGAAGGAGACCTGGGCATTCGTTTGTTTGTTTGGTTTGTTTGTTCTGTGTTCCTGGTTCTGGGCTGAATCATCCCATCCCCCCGCCATCTCAATCAATCAATCAAACCACATACTAACCCTTGGGACGGCTAGACGCAATCAACCGCTACAAAAACGAAACCCTGCGCGTCTACGGCGTGCTCGAGATCCACCTGTCGGGCAAATACACCGGCGAGCCGCGCGACTACCTGGCCGGCAACGGCAAGGGCAAGTACAGCGTGGCCGACATCAAGACCTGGCCGTGGGTCAAGGGCTGGGAACGCTCCGGCTTCACCGCAGAGGACGTCAAGCCGTTCCCGCATCTGTTGAAGTGGATCGACCGCATTGCCGAGAGGCCTGCCGTGCAGAGAGGTATTGGTGACAAGTACGTGCAAAAGTGAAAGGGCCGTCCAGACAGAAACACGGTATTACTGTCCTGTCACCGCGGATGAGATGAGATGAGTTGGGATGGAATGGATACGATCAATACAGATATCATATCCAGGAACGGAGTACTTACGTAGCTACGTAGTAGTTATTAGCTTACAGTACTACATATAGGTGGAGTGGGATGTGTCGTATCGCATTGCATTGCATCTCATCTCATCTCATCGCATCGCTTCTGGAACGGGGAAAATGCAGAATGAGCCAAATACATATCAGCATCAGCTTCAGTACCAGCGTCTATCAGTGTCAGTGTCGGTGCCAATTCTACTCCGTAGTGCGCCCGATCGAGCGGCCGGATCGGATATGACGGTTCTGGGAACTACCTTAGCTTGATATCAACGAGAATGAGGATAGAACAGTAACAGTAACAGTAACAGTTTGAAGTGGTGGTGGTGGTTATGTTATGCCGAAGAGCTGTGCTGTCACTTGAAAAGGGGACCTACCTTACCTACCTTACCTACCTTACCTACCCTACATACATAAGCCATAGCCAAGGGAACCCGATTGATTACATTATGGACCTAAGTACGGAGTATATCAATCAATCAATTGTCACTTCACTCTAATGGCCCAATCTGCCTCGACACGCCCGGGCGGAAAGACGAAGAGAACGATATATCTAATTAAGGTACATGTATCGTGAAACCATACGTCCTGTCTACTGTAGCTCATATGTCCAGCTCGTATGTCCAGCTCATATGTCGCGACCTCCGCCCACAGTCCAAAGTCCTTGCTGTAGCGTTTGCTCCCGCTGATTCATCCTATCCGCGTGTCTCACTCCCACTCTCTCGGTATGGCGGGTGATTTAGCAGTACCCCTACAGCTTCTCGAGTATCCGTACAGCGACGGAGTTGTCTTTCCGCGTCATCAACAAAGTCCTGGCAGGTGCACCGAATCTGTATGCTGAAGGTCCTTCTGGTAAGGTAGGTAGGTGTTCCTGTCCTTGAGGGTCGCTCAAGATCTTTTCGGGGTATTCTCTGATGTGACGTTCGAGGTTTGGGTCGGCTATATCATCTCATCTTCACAGAGATACGCCGAGTGCAGGATGAGGACGAGGTGGCCTGCCAGCCTCGTACACCGTTGCCTCTCCACCACTTTCACGATGGACCGGCTCACAAGGCACAAGGCACCGTCATTCCTTCGTGGCTGACCGTGGCCAAGGAGCCTGTAGGACAGCCTTAGGCTCAGGTAATTTTTTCTGCGGTCTCGTCGGTTGGCCTTACCCTTACACCACTTGCGAAGGTCAGGGGGAAGAGTTGGATTCTCGCTGGTAATTCTCAAGAAGGTCGACTATCGCCCAGTGACACTCTTTTCTGGCAACTTCAGCTGCCTCGGCGCAGATATCTGAGAGTGACTCGCCCTCTTTGATCTGATAATTGTCGAGCAGCAGTTTCACCATGTCCAGGCGACCAAATTCGGCAGCCCCTTTGATGGCTGTCTGGCTTCGATAAGGGGATGGGGGTGCTCCTACGTCTGCGCCAGCGGCGATCAGCAGCTGAGCAATTCTCACACAGCCTTGCATCGCGGCTGCTTGGAGAGCAGTGAGTCCATATCGACCACCCGCAGGGGCGTTGACATCTGCTCCACGTCCCAGAAGAAACTCCACAACGTCAATGTGGCCGTAGAAACTTGCAGCTTGAAGAGCTGTGAAACCATACTTAGGTCCCGCGGGCAAATTCACATCAGCTCCTCTTTGGACAAGGTACCGCACAAGCTTCAAGTCACCAACTTTGCACGCCTCTTCCAGAACAGACTCACCATGCCGGCGTCTTAGATTGGTGTCTGCTCCGCGGTCTAGAAGTTGTTGTATGACCCAATAATCAGTTTTGTAGGGTTGACGCACGACCACATATACATATTGTAACAATGCGCTGGTGAACACCGAAGCATCACCAAAGATACCAACCTCGAGGATCAAATCCAGCATTTCTTTTGCGTTTCGCGACAGGCACAATAAAGCTTGCTCGGCCAGGCTATAACCTGATGACAGAGGAGTATTGATATTTAACCCGAGGTCGAGTAAAGTCCGGGCGATGCTCGCAGATCCATTTCTTATGGCTATCATGAAAGGGCTGTCATAGTCGACGCGACCCTCCGATTCAACGATTGCTGGATCTGCTCCTGCCTCAATCACGCGCCAAAAGAGAGAGTCACATTTTGAGTCGATGGCAGCAGCCAAAGCTGTGACACCGTTGACGTGAGCTGGGCAAGCGTTCACATCTGCACCAGCACGCAACAGGATGTCAACAAGCTGTTCATGTCCCCCCTCAGCAGCCGCTTGCAAAGCAGTGCGTCCCCCGTTCTCAGCACATGGAGCATTGATGTCGGCACCGCGTTCCAGCAAGAACATTGTCGCTGCCGTGTGGCCTCTTTCAGCTGCGCATTGCAGTGCTGTTCTCCCCTTTGGTCCCATAAGAGTAGCATTGATGTCCGCGCCAGCGTCGATAAGGAGTGACATGACCTCGATGTTTCCTTTCCAGCTGGCCGCTTTTAGCGCATCAGACTGCCATTGACCACAGGACATTTGATGGACATCCGCTCCGTAGTGAAGTAGTAGTTTAACCATCTTGACATCGCATTCCCATGCCGCAAAGACAAGTACTGGGAAAAGGCAATGTAGCAAAGGGTCAAACTTGGCACTATGTAGGGAATCCGTGCTGAGTGGAAGGGTATAGTCAGGATGGCGCCGGCCATAAGGTTCACAATCTTGGAGAAGACGAAGGCTTCGCTCGAAAGGGGTGGAATTTACCTCCGCTCCTGATTTGAGTAACATTTCGCAAATTTCAACACTACCCACTTCCACTGCCTGCTGCAGCGGAGTTGGCACTCTGAGAAGCACTTTTTCCTTGCTGGAGAAATCGGTCGGGTCGTCAATGGAAACAAGGGCTTTCTCCAATACCTCGGTGCTAGTACCTTCAGTGTATGCACCGTGGTCTAGCAAGAACTGAACCATGACGACATCCTCATTCTTGATGGCATAGTGTAGAGCTGTACGAAAGCTTCCATCTATGGTATTGATGTCGGCACCTCGTTGCAGCAGACCACGAACAGTGTCAATATCGACACCTGAACAGACCACATTTGGGAAAAATTGGTTGAAATCAATCTCTGGCGTACGCTCAAGAATGAAGCGAAAGGTTTCAGGCAGGTACGTAGCGGCAAGCTCAATGGGAGGCTGTCCGTAAGGCTCATCCGAGTCTTGGAATTGTTGAGTTTTGACATCGGCACCCTCCTCAATCAGTATTTTGCAGAATGCCTTATTCCTGTGGATGATTGCCTCTTGGAGCGCAGTCCGTATCGGCAGGTAAGCATGAACCGGTCTGTCAAGGTCCACCCCGTATCGCTTTAAGATACCTAACAAATCGTGTCGGTCATTTTTAGCTGCGTATATGAGAAGGCACTCAGCAAAATTCCGAAGGGATGTAGACTCCATCCTCCCGAAAGATTCCAAGGAAAATGTGTTGCCGGTTTGGAGAAAGGATTCCATGATTGTGTCAAATTTCCTCTCCTCTAGGAGGTGGTTGGAGCAAAGGTATATCACACAACCAATGAGGGCGAGATTCCCTACCAGGCCGGGTGTACACAATCGTGAATCAAGATCTGCAGGCAAGTGATCTGAATCATGTGCGGGAAAGACGGCAAGTAGACGAGGGAGCCGGGCCTTGTCCCTTGGATCTGGAATGATCAAGCGAATCAAGTCACCAAGGACAGAGGATGTTGTATCGGAAGGAGTATGATCAAGGCCACTGGGCCTGTAGGCCAGTGCTGTCGTGCCATCAAGTAGCCTCCAACGAGAAATGAACAGATCGGGAATTGAGTATGGGACTTCAACATTCGGAAAAGGCCCTGGATTTGTCGCAAGTTGCCAATCTTCAGACCCGGTATGCACCCTGCCAGGGCCTTGGACAGTGGAAACCTCGATGGCATCCGTGAAATGTTGGGACGGACCAGAATGGGACAACAACATGCTTCGGATGCGTTCCAGAAGTTGAAATCCAGGCAACGCAGAACTGGACAGTGCGTTCGGGTTCGGAAGAGCTCTCCTGATGCAGACGCCGTTGGGGGTTAAAGGACGAGATACTATCCTTGTATCAGTACGGGTAGGCTACAGTCACGGTATAGTGTACCCAGGTGGTTGCTTTGTTGCAATGAAGGCAAGACATGCCTTCGTAAGCCTCTCTGCAGCTTTCCTGGACTTAACTGTCTGACGCCCACACGGATGTCAGCAGAGGTGTGATCGAGGCGGCGTTGCTTCAAGCATCGGCCGATCGCCTGCCATCTCGACTGCTTCTGGTACTTTTCGAACCCCCATTGTTTGAGCTTTCGTTTGTACTGTGACTCGCTGTTGTCTCGTTAGCCCAAACTAGGCAAAGGATAGGCAGTTTCCACCTGGCAGTAAAGGCAAACCAATCATGCATCTGCTGGCGAACATCCTTCAGCTTGAGGTCTTGATTGATATAAAATTCGTAAATGACATCTTTGTGCAGCTCCCACTCTTGGGAAGAGATGATAGCCTCTCGGTCCATGCTGAGTCAAGGGGACAGTGGATGAGGCTTGACCCTTTGAATTGCTGCTCTGGGACAGCAACCACTGGCGCCTGGAGCGGTGCCTAGCTCTTTCCCTTTCCCAGCGGAGCGTATGGTGTACAGTAAGGCTGAGGAACCTCCAAGGCCGAGAAGGGACGGCGGTCAGTGGACGGCGAGAGAGGGAGTCGAGAAGGAATTAAACATGCCCTCTTCAGCGTTGTCGCTTGGGAGGACGCGGGGCTCAGGACGGTTATAGCGGTCCTGGTCGGCGGTTGGTGGTGCTGGAGGGTGGGAAAGCTGATAGGTTGATGGTCAAAAGTACGGTCCGTGGCGCAGCGCCCGAGCATCCCAAGAGCAGGCCGGCATCTTGTTCGCACGACGGGACGTTGGGACCAGGGGTCACCTGGGGGTCATCATAGATCACTGGTCAACACCGCAAGTCCGCAGGCGATGCAAAGACTTGACCTGATAGATCCCACCAACACGTCAGCAGCACTCGCACTCGCACTCGCACTTGCGGCAACACCCAATCAGTCGCTGAGCAGCTGGGTCGACGCAGCCTCACCATGCCCGTCCGCTCCCTTGCCATCCCGCAGGCACTCATTTACTGTAGCTGGCCACCCTCGAACTTTCGACAGCCTCCAATAACGAGGTATTCTCTCCAGTTCGAGCGTTGGGGCACGATGTCGACCTGTTCCGATGGAAAGAGAGGTCGCTCTCATGAGCATTGATACAAATATCCTCCTCCTATCTGTCCACAATGTCTGGTGTTTGAGGGCCTACCCGGTTCTCCAGAAACACTTCTCTTTCCAACCATGAATATCTCTGCAGATACCATCGTCGGTATCATTGCTCTCTTCCTGGCACTGCCCCCGGTTCTCTTTGCTTACTGGAAGGTGCAGGAACGGAGACAGCAGGATCGATTGCCCTACTTCGAAGGGCGCCGACCTTTCCCAGTACCATCCCTTGATCGTAAGGCTAGTTTTCTTTTTTTGAAGCTACACACACAGTACTCCGTACTTCGTAGGGCAAACCCTCGGCGATAAGACTGTGTCTGTGCTCTCGGTGTTTAATGTGGAAATGGCGGCTTAGGAGGCCCGGCCGAAGCCTACCTAGCGTAAATAAGGGTAATTATATCTCAGTCCATAAAGTGGTCTCATGTGGAATCCGAGCACGAGAGACCTCTATCGACAAAAAAGGGAGAAGGAGCTGTCAACAGGTGATGTAGGCGCCATCAATTTATCAGTCGCCCTCCGATATGATAGCACATGCCCGATGGACGGCGAGACACCTACGAGAGCATCATGGAGCGGGCGAGTCGCTATAATCTTCGCGCCTAAGCTCCCCCTCCGCCAACGTTGAATCCTGGCCTTGTACCCTATATACGCTTCCAGGGCCCATGGATAGTGTCTCCATCGCAGTGTCTGCGGCACAGAAGACTCATGTCTTGAATCACCAAGCCATTCAGTACCCATCTCTATCACCACCGGCCTCTCGCGACTTTGTGTCCAGGGTAGCTCCGAATGGGCGTGACCGTTCGTGAACCTGAGCGGCCACTGGTTACGCATACGATCATTCTGCTTCAATGTCCGGTATGCATGCACGAGCCCGGGCACCAGAATGCTATGGCTCGACGACGACTTGTCACTGACTGAGAATGCCTGCCTCTAGTGATATCACCAAGTTGGAGAACGCAGGATGTTTGCGGTGGGAGAAATACGAAGCGGCACCGAGTTTGAAGGCCGAAGGAGGATTCAGACTTGCCGGTGCGTCGGAAAAGGCAAAGGCTCCGTGCTGTTCATTCGTGCATCCCGTGCCATCAGAGAAAGGTCAAGTGTGACAGGGCCCGGCCGTGCCAAAACTGTAGCGCCCGGCGACGAGAGACTGACTGCCACTATGCCACCTCTGCAAGACCTCAGGCAAATACGGATACCGCTTCCTCCAACACCAATCGCGACAAAGACAGAATCTCTTCGGAGTCAACGAGGGTTTCTTCAGACGAGCGACGTGCAGCATCCTCACATGATGCCAGACGGGCCACGACCATTCCAAGGGAGAGATGTAACGCCAGAGACGGGCAAGAAAGAGCTCAAGAGACTCTTGTCTCCTTGACGCCTCCTGGCTCTGGCCCTTTAGAAATTGACAATGTTTCCCCAGCAGAAGTCACCACTCGACCTATGTTTGCACGGCACAGCAGAGGGAAGACCAGGTTCCAGGGCCCAACACACTGGTCCCTGTTAGCATTCGAAGTAAGGATACAGGCTGTGACTACAAGCCTGGACAGTGGAAGGCTGACCTTGTCCAGTTTCATGAGTTGACTCCTTTTGTCTTTGGAAAGGAGCCAGGTTTCGATCGGACGAGCCAGGAACTCCGAGCCCTGAAACAGTTCTATCCCATCCGTGTCAATCGAAACTATCCCTTCCGTTCCCGCTCGACAATCCCCTGGACCAAAGAACGCATTCGCTCGCTGCTCCCCCCTCGAGCCACGGCTGACCGCTATATCGATCGATATCTGGGTACTTTCGAAAAGACACACGTCATGTTGCATATCCAAACATTCCGGGAAGAGACGAAGCTCTTCTGGCAGACACCTGGCGCCCTCCAATATGAGTGGCTGTCGCAATTCCTGATGATGCTTGCGCTTGGGTGTCCAAGGCGCGAGAGACTTGGACACCCCCGACTTGTCGAGTCCTTTCTGGACGGTGCTGAGGCTTACTTGATGCAGTCACAATTCCTGGCCAAGCCAAATCTGACATGCATCCGTGCGATGGCCATGATGGCCATTGCAAAGCAGATTGACATGGTTGCTTTCGACGATGCCAACGCCGTGTGGTCGTTCCTGGGCCTCATCATCCGCCTGGCCATGTCTCTGGGTCTGCACCGCGACCCCCAATGGTTCCACTCAATGTCGCCACAAGAAGCTGAAATGCGGAAACGGATCTGGACAACGCTTGTCTTCATGGACTCGCACAACTCCCTAGAAACTGGCCTGCCGTTGATCCTACACCCCGAGGATTACGACACTTTGGCACCAGTCAAGTTGTGTGACCAAGACCTAGCAGAAGATGTTGGCCTTGACGCAGCATGCCACAATCCAGATGATGCCGACGACTTGGTGTTCCAGACAATCCTGAGCAGATCCTTCCCGGACGTGTTGCGCATCATGCGCCTTGTACATCGGCCGCTAAGCAACACAACACGTCGCGTCGTGCTTGATGCTGAGGCCAAGATCCGAGCATTGCGCCAAACAGCGGCTGACATGTACCGCACCTACGCCACATGCGAAAAGTCTGGGGATCTCGCCTGGAGAAAGTTACAGGGCGTAATGCTGGAGATATATTTCTGTCGCGTGCTCCTGGCCCTCCACCAGCCTTATGTGATGACACCCGAGGCCGCCAGCCGATACCCAGAATCGTGCTGGAGCGCGCTGGAGTCCGCTCTGGCCATTCTGGTCCATCAGAGGAGACTGTACGATGAGGCCGCTGACCCGGTATCGATCGAGTGGTTTGCCGAATTGTTCAAGGGCGACTTTTTCGTCGCCGCTCTGTTCGTCGCCGTTGGACTCCGCCGGAAAAGCTTCGGTACGCAGCAAACCTCCTCTGGGCCTGATCATCTCGCCGAGATGGATATAGCTTTTCAAACCCTCGACGCGTGCTGGTCCATCTGGGGGTCCAAAGTCGGGTTGTCCGTACACCACTTCAAAGCACATTTGTTCCTGGGCATTGTAATCGCTGCCACGAAACCCTCAGACGCCCCATTGACCCTGAGGATCCAAGAGGCTGCTACCGCAACTGTTGCCACCGTCAAAGCAGCCATGTCACAGAAAGATGAGACCATCGACCAACCAGGTACAGACCAAGAGGTCAGAAGGACTTCCGCCGATGGTATGATGGAGGCTATTACTTCCTCCAAGACGTATACTAGGGGATCTTTCGATGTGACCGATTCCCAATTTTCATGTTATGCCAGCAGTTTGGACACAGACCCGTTTGTGGCAGAGCAATTCTTATCAGAGATCTTTGTTGAAGATCCTCCATTCGCCTGGTCCTTCGACTGACCAGATCTGTGAGATGATCGCTAAATCTGTCGTGAATCCACACTACTTGCATGTACTTCCCTCTCAGCGAGGATATGACAGCAACTGTCCGCAACTGTTTAGGAGCATGACTCGAGTTACATATCAGATCAAAATATCCCCAAAGCCGGGTTGCACAACCTCATTCATAGGCATTGAACTTCTTGCAGACTGTACCATGCACCGTATCCATTGCCGGTTGGATACGAGGTACCTTCAACGGGCAGCCTTGGACCCTGGCTCCTATCACACCGGTGCCTTAGGCATCCTGATTCCATCTAGGCTCACACGCGCCACCCACGGCCTTTTGCAAACAAACACCTCGCCAAGAAAGTCAGAGACGCTCCGGCAATGAGCACAGCCCCGCTGAATATAATGGCCTCGTCGTACCCTTTGTACCTCGCAATCATGGCTCCAGTGATCGGGGTGCCGGTAAGGCCCGGAAACCCGTACACACCGAGTGCCATGCCGACGTAACTCCCTATCTCTGTCGGATGAGCGCAAACTTCGGCAATGGTGGTGGGGAACAGTGCAATGACGAATCCTGAGAACACGCCGTAGAGGACAGCGAAGACACAGATCGCCGCTGTCGAGACCACCCGAAGCCAACAGAAGACGAGGATTCCGCAGGCACAACTCGCCATGACCAGGAGATTGAAGCGACCGAGGTGCGGTGCGGCGAATCCAGACGATATACGGCCGACGAGCGATCCCGAGTTGAGAATTGCAAGCATATATATCGACAGGTCCAGACGCACGCCTCTAGACTCCGCGTAGGACGGCAGGAAGAAGAATGGGGTGAAGAGTCCCCACCAGACGAAGAACATCCCCACCACTTGGATCGTATAAGCCGGATGTTTGAAGGCGTGGAGGAGGAAATATCGGCCCTTCCTGGGTGGTAGCCTGGCTACCACGGTCAGGCAAGCCGTCATGCACAGAAACAGCACAAGAAAGCCGACGATCCGGACAGCCCAGCCAAATCCCAGAGAGGTGTGGTAGATCATTCTATCGAGCATCACAGGGAAAATGACGCCGCCCAACGACGACCCGCTCGAGGCTATCCCCATAGCCAGAGGCCGCCGCTTGTGGAAGTACTGTCCGATCACTGCGACGGCGGGTGCGTACGCGAGCCCATTTGCCAGACCACCCAGCACGCCCTGCGCGAGGATAAAGTGCCAGTACTTTTTGCAGATGCTGGTCAGCATCACCGAGGCAACGTAGATGATGGAGAACGGCCACAGCACGACCTATTGCGTTCGTCAGGATCGGGAATATATGCAACATCGAAAGGCATCATCCATGGCTAGAACTTACCCTCGGGCCCCAAAGGTCGGTCATGGGACCGGCGATGAGTCCACCAGCGAATTGGAAGAACAGCTGCAACGACCCGATCCATGAGATGGTGGAAGGTGAGTACTCGTGCAAGGCTTCCCGAAGATAATATGTCTCGTAGACACTGACCAATTAGAAACAAACGTATGTCAGAAAGGATGAGAAGAAGGATGCGATGCAGCTGCCCAGACTTACCCAAAAGCATTCAGATAGCCAAATGTATAGAACATGACGCAGAAACAGCCTAGGACGACGATCCATGCTCTTCTGCCTCCCTCTGGATAGCTTGGAGGAGGCGCAGACTCCTTGGATCTCTCAGCCTCGCCGGCCTCGCCAGTCGTAGTCATCATCTTGTTTGCTGTCCGGTGCAGTGCCATCCGCGGATGAGATGGGTGTAGGATCGCTTGCAGTCTCAACCTTCTTCACATACAGGGGAATTGTCGGTCTTTATATACACGGCCATGGGTAATCGCGATTTCGATTCATCAAACCTGTGCACCGTATGCCACGACCTTAGACCCGAGTCCGACCTTACAGCCGAACCTGGTTCGAGAGACTGCCACGTCAAGTCTAATCCATCTGTTTCGGCGATTATTGTGGTTCCCTCCTGGCTCAAGACAGGGTCCCCGGTATTGTCGCTTTCCGAGAGCGTTATTTTCCATGGCCTCGATAGCATTGGTCATTCTCGACCGAGAGTCTCCCCAAAAGAGCGGAAGGAAAGGAACAGACAAGGCATTGCGGCGAGAGTATTGCCATGGAGGCCACGACCCCCGTGGAAGTGGAGAGAGGCCTTTCATGGCCGGAAAACATGATCTCTCCGGTAGAACCTTTAATAGCGCCAGACAGTCTAGACTTACGTGTAGAAAGGCCTTTCAACAAACGCCGATATGTAGGCATTTCGGCCGATTCTCTGATCCGTACCCTTTGGTCTCGTGTTTAGGCGAGAGGTGGGCATGACATCTCGTCAAAACGCTTAAGATGGCGTCCTGCAGGACGGAAGGTTAGGAATTACTCTGCCTGTGCCTTGAGTATTGGTCTGCTGGAGATACCACAAACAGACGAGCAGTGCAGTGATGAAGGGGGGAATCTCGCTAATATAGTATCGCTGACGTTTATTTTCAAGCTTGAACCAAAATGGCATAAATTATGGAGTTACTCCGTACTAAGTTGGCCCATAAAAGATCGACTGAGAACTAGTATAAAATAGGGCTATCCGCAAGTCTCTCTATTAACAGTTGGGTATTCAACACATCTTATTCTACGGGACCACCAGGTTATTTGGGAGATCAACGGATGGATGAGCATATTCAAAGAGATATCATCGTTCCTACTATTACATCTCTATCCCGGTGGGTGCAAACCTATTACTTTGGGTGTTCAATATTCCTGACACAATTGATCTACTGAGTATTGAAATGACGGTATGAGCAGTTAAACACTCCAGTAGAAGCCACTCAAGGTCAGCGTCTGACTAAATACTTTATTGGAGAAGACGTCTGGTAACTTTTGTCTTTCGAGGCTCCAAATCCAACTACATACTCGGTGCAGTCAGTCTCCCATTAATCACAGCGACACAACAAGCCACTCTCGTCACGACTACACCCCATCACGGCTGAAAATATGGACTTCAAGTCTCTCATGGCGGCACAGATTGCCAAAGCCAAACCTCTCAAGTCTCCATCCCCACCACAATCTTCTCCATCCACCACCCAGACCACCAACTCCAAATACCTCCGCCGCGCAGAGCTCGAAGCCGCTCGCGAAGCCGCCTACGCCGCCGAGCAAGCGAAAATCGAAGCAGAGCGGGCAGAGCGGGCAGCGAAAAAGCGGAAACTGGAAGAAGAGGAAGCGGAGCACAAAGCAATCCGAGAAGAAAAGAAGAGACGGCTCGCGGAGGAATCGCGGCGACGTCGAGAAGAAGAGGAGCGCGAGGAGGAGCGGAAACGCAGGAAACGGCTCGGTCTGCCTGAACTGCTGCCAGACACCAAAGATGGCCAAAGTACATCATCTACTGGGGTCGAAGGTGGCGAAGGAACCGAGCACCAGGACATCGCCGACGACGAGCTGCGGCAGAAGCTGCGCGACCTCAACGAGCCAGCGGTGCTGTTCGACGAGACCCACGCCGGACGACTCCAACGGTACCGCAAACTTATCAAACAGTCGGCGGTCTCGAAACCCAAACTCTCCGACGGCCCTATCCCGACCAGGCTGGAACCCGTGCCGGAGAAGGACATGCTGCTGCCCTCAACGCTGCCGGGCCAGGGAACGCCCGAGCACGACTTCCTGTACCGTCAGTTGGGGTCGTGGTTTACCCTGGTGTTGACGGAGTGGTCGATTGCCCTGGCCCAGCGTGATGCCGCCGTGCGCGCCTCGGCGTCGGGCAAAGCCGCATACAACAGCTACCAGCTCGTGCTCAAGGATCTGACGCCCTTGTTCCGCCATTTCGAGCGGCGCGATCTCGACGCTGGCTTGCTCGAGCCCATCTGCCAGATCGTCCGTGCGGCCCAGCGCCGGCGGTACGTCGAAGCCAACGACGCCTACTTGACGCTGTCGATTGGCAAAGCCGCCTGGCCTATTGGTGTCACCATGGTTGGCATCCACGAGCGGTCGGCGCGCGAGAAACTGCATGAGAGCAGTTCGGCGAAACAAGCCCACATCATGACCGACGAGGTCACGCGCAAGTTCCTACAGAGTATCAAGCGGTGCTTGAGTTTCGCGCAGACCAGGTGGCCTCCGGAAGATCTGGCGCAGTTGATGGGATGAAGTCACCGAGCGAGAGACACAATCCAGTTCTACTCTAGCCACCAATATGCCAGAAGCTGATGAACTCGCCCACATGTGCATCACCGACGTCTCAGAACCCCCGTGATCTACACGCGAGCTTGTTCACATCTCCGGGTCCTGGGTCCCAAGTCCCAGATGGTCGAATCGGACTTTTTGATCATGTTCGCACACGGCGAACGTTATCACTCTCCATGACCACAGTCACAACAACCCTCCTCAGACACAATCCTAGTGATCCCTACCGCTTATATGGAGCCTTCAACACCGCTCGCCGGACGAAATCCCTGGTCAGTATCTCCGAACGAGGCTGTACGATCACGCCACTGTAGCTTCTATTTCTAGATTGTCGATCTTCTGCGACCTAGCACGGGCGCTGGAAGATGCAAACATGAGTTACCCTCGTATCCCAGCACCGCTGCAGTATAGAGATGCATGTGGATTCGGAATATCCCACCACCCGCCAGCACAGGAGATGCCATCGAAGGAGTGGTTAGAGGGACAGAGGGAGCGGACACATCGGCCAAACTGAAATGGATAGACACCCCTCCGAGGCTCTCCGGCGGGACATGGAACCAAGATCGGACTTGTGGCAAAATGCATTATTATCTCCAGTCTACGATTCTATCATCTGCGTCTCTACATCTAGCCACGTTGCCGGCCAACTCAGGCCAGACACGGACAAATCAATTCAATCCGACCCAACCCAACCCAATCCAGATATCAAAGGACAGGCTCGCTTGAAAAACCATGGTATTATCCCGATTCTCCAGGACGCCCGCATCAGACCAAACAAATGCCAGTACAATAACAATGCAGACAATGTGCCGCCTCAGATCTAGTCTCGGCTGGATCGTGTTTTGCAATGATGGTCACAAAGATAAACAAGTCCATCCAGTTTTTCCAGGAAAGGTTTCTAAGCTCAAATGAGCGTCGAGTCGCAATCGTATCGCAGTCCGCATACTTTGCCACGCACTCTATCCCAGCGCAATGAAGGAGTTCGCCGCCAGTACCACGCATTCTCAAAGATTTTGAAATTGGTTGCATCGCTCGCTAAATTAACATTGCATGTCCGTTTGAAAGTAATCGAGAAGTCTCCCCTGTTTCTCGGGGATCTCATACGTTTAGAGGTGCCGTTTGATCTGCTCTCACCTCTCAATCGGTGGTGCATACCCCGACTAAAGTGTGTTGGCCACGTTATCGATGCGGGTCGGCTTTGTGTAACACATCTCCGAACAATTCCCGAGCGGGCTTGCTCCCAAATCTGCACCACCTAGCGGACTCTTTGGTGACCGCTGCTTGCGAGGGCGGCGATGATGGGCGTCGGCACCGATGGTCAACAGTGTGATGGTAGCTCTGAAGATATATTGATGCTCGTCGACTCTCTCTCTCTCTCTCTCTCTCTCTCTCTCTCTGCCGTGGGATGACTCGAAATGTTGAAGCGCAGTCAAAATCGATGCGATAGTGCAAGGCGGCCATCCTCTACGAGGTGGTCCTAACCGCCAGTAGCCGAAAGCCGAAGCCGAAGCCGACGCCACATCCTTGTCAGCTCATTCATTTCATCGCAAAATGCTTTGGTGGCAGTGGTGGGACAAGCGTCGGGTTGCTTTCCTGGCATAGAAGCGGTGCCGGTGGTCGGCCTAAGGCTAGGTCACGTGCTTCAAAAGGTTGACCAGTGCCAATCTTTGGGTACGCTGTTGGCGACTTGCTCGACAGGCTTCCGCGTGCCCGAAATCATTCTTCGATGACCTGTAGGTCCTGCCAGAGGAGTGGGCGGCCCGCTCTCGTTGCCTTCATCCTTGCTATTCTGGCTATTCTTGCGACGAAGTGATCTCGCAGTATCCCATCGTTGATACTGGCGATGACATGTATCGCAAGCTTTGGACAGAACTCCGTCGGGATGGAATCTGGCGTACTGGTCGAGTGGAATCGTGAAAGGGGTGTGTGAGGAGCAAAAGATATGTCCACAATGACGACAGTGATGTTTGCGGACAAAAAGATTAAAAGTAGAACGACATTGGGGCGAGTCGCAAGTTGGCGAAGCTTCGTCGGGCTAAGACGAAAGAAATGCATTAGCCTTTGCCTGCACGCGGTTCATGCACGGACATTGAATATCCGGACATGCAGCTGGGCCAGAAATGGGGACAGTCACTCATGTTGACCGGTTTAGCAACCTACCTTCCAGTGTTCCTTTGTTGGAGGGCCGGTAACTTCGCCCAGCTCCTCCTCTTGAATCCATTCGGGGTCGAAGGACTCCAAGTCCGCCGGGTACTCCGTTTCGTGGCCTGCGGGTTGGGCTTCGGGGTCTCGTAGATTGTCCAGTGATTCATGTAGACTCTTCGGAGGGGTCATGGGCGATGGAGTCGAGAAGTGCTCTGTCGGCCGTAGAACCGCGGGGACGTAGAGAGGGGACTTCAGCGGACGAAGCTGTTTGTAAGGATTGGGAGCATTTTGTTGGATATAAGCGTGCATTCGCGGTGAGGTAGGAGATGCCGAGTTGGCTGGAGACGGTTGTTGGCCGGCATACAATTGTGGACTTTGAGAAATGGTATATGTTTGAGTGGAATAGTTGGCGGCCATTTCGTATGGAGGCTGCTCCGCCGACGGTATTGCGATCTGAAGAGATGTCTTATGGAAAGTACATCACGGTCTGGGGGATGGGGGCGGAAGATATGTACTGTATGCGCCACGAAATCAAAGGTATGGTACAGTGGCAGTGGCTGTGAAGGTGATGTAGTTGGCCCGGGCTTAATATAGGTCCCCGTGTAACTTTCTCGGATCGCAAAACGCCACGAGAGCCAAGTGATTGGTACCGAAGATGACCTCAGGGCGATAGGACGGCGAGTCCGGTAGGAGCTGGATTTCGAGATCCGGGCGAGAGAAAGAGGCAACCGAATGACAGGAAAGGGCTGGAGGGTGAGGGTGTGCAAAGGCGTGGGTGGTGGGAGGTGGGAGGTGGGAGGTGGGGGTTGCTTCAACAGTTCGTTCACGAAGGGGAGTGTTTGATGAGCTGAGAGGAGCCGCCCAATTTGACACCTGCGGATTCTGCTCAACCGGAGACTGTGAAGAGGGATGTTGTTCAAGATGGCAGATGGGCATTCAGAAACACAAAGTACACAGCATCGCAGCAGGAGCCCAGAGTAGACAAAATGGGCGGCGGGAGATAGAGAAATGGACATGCGACACCCGAGACACTTTGAGCCGGAGCAGCAAGTGGGAACTGTGGGCGGGCGAGAATGTTCGGCATTGAAGCATGTGGCCCGCTGATAAGGGAGCCAAGAGGGCCAATAAGACTGGCAGAATTACAAGCCTGGCGTGCCCGGACAGGCATGGTGTCGACTAGCCCGGGAGCCCGTCGCCACCGCCAATAATGATTGCTCCAAGCCCGACGGGCTGCCAGCAGGGGCCTTCTTAGGTAGCCAAGGCCTAGGGGCGTATCTCAGCCAAGTCAGCGCCGAATCTTTGCTGCAGCCCAGGGGCCAGGCCACTACATGCTCCCCTGCCGGTTGGGTGCCCACTGCCATATTGCCATATTGCCCCATTCTAATATTGCCCTGACACCCTAACGTCCATTGTCCACCGCTTATTGTTCCACTACTTTAGGAGCTATTACTATTCTTCGGCCATCCAGGCTCTCCAGAGCACAGCGTTGCCGCTGCCGACAGTTACGGAGAATGTACGCCGCACCTACAGAGAGCCGAGCCCCCATCGCTCCATGTCTGATCGCTTGATTCGCCGAGAAGACTCCTTCCGAACCGAACTCTCGATGCCATTGCTGGTGCCGCAACATCGGTAAACGAATCCTAGGGGGCATCATTGGACATGGATCACCCTGGATGGCCTTCTGTCTACGTGCCGTCTACGATCAGCACCTCGATTGGCCGGCCGAGGCTGCAGGGGGCTTCTGTGTAGTTAAATACGAGGTCCAATTTAGCGAGTTGCAGTTTGACATGTTGCGGTGAAAACAGATTGAGGGCGCAGCTGAAAGAAGGCGGGAAGCTAGACATGAGGGAAATATGGCGATGGCTCAATTCTAGCGGTGGATTCAGGGTCTAGATCGGTATAGAGGGGTACGGAGTATGGAGTAAAGAATATACGTAGTATTATTAACAATAATACTCTGTTAAGGTGAGAATGGGACCTTGGGACACTCGAGTCTGCTGGAGACTGGAGAGGAGGTGAAAACTGGTCTTTCTGTTCTCGCCAGTGCAGTGTTGTAGATCACGTCGAGCCCACTGCGGTAGGTTCAGGGCACCCCATATTTGTACATGCATCTAACAGGCACCTGACAGGTAGTACTCAATAAAGACTGGACGAGGTGCATGCTCAACAGCCACCAACCACCTACATACGTATGTACCACGGGAAGCCTGCAACCTTGCAACCTGTGACAGGCACCGCAGGCGAGACACAGCCTAAACAACGCTTCAAGACGACTCAGGCTCTCCGGTGCTGCAGACCGCCCCTGGCAAGCGAGCCCATTGGCGGCCGCCTCGCCGAGGAATGCACATCATTGGGCAGCAAGGCCGCCCGCGAGCACTGCTGCAGGGGGTCTTGGTCTGGGGGGCTTAGGAGGCCTCAGGCCCTGAGGCTATCCAGCTGCAGCTGGAATGTAAGCCTGGCGCACCCCGAGAAGATTAAATGGCAAACCCTTCACCGCGGGTCTCCCACCGTTGGAACTGGATACTCCATACTCCTCCTCCTACTCTGTCCAGTGTCCTGTGCTGTGCCAGACGGTGAAGCACATCTGCATCTTTATTATTTGACTTCTCCGCTTCTTCGGCTGCTCCCGCCCCTCTTCTCTTCCACTATTGCAACTCTCTCAGTGTGCCTTCAGTGTGCCTTCAGTGTCCCTCCAGTGCTTTCCAGCTACAGACGGTACCAGGTGTCTATCTATCACTTCCGCCTCGTGGTTGACGGAGAGAAGCCAGTCCCGTTTCTTGCTTTGCCTGACGCTTCACACCCCTTGCACTGCCACGGTGAGCCGCTGAGCCGTTGAGCCTGCGATTCTCGTCGAGCTGGTCATCAACCGGCCAAAACTGCAAGCTTCTACACCATTTACGGTCGGGGTTGCCCATCATTGATTCTCCCGTGGACCGGAATCCCTCGCCGGCGTTTATACAACATATGGCGCAGAGCATCTTTGGACGGAGCCTGTCAGATCCCTGGCATCCATGGAACGAACGAGGATACAAAGCACACATTGCACACAGTCCCAGGAGCCCCTCCGAAGACCCTTATGGCGAGGAAGCCTACCATCGAGCCTTCCATGCGGAAGCGCTTGTAGATCGTCCAAATCCAATGGTCCCCGATCCCACTTATTATCTCAATTCCGAGACGGCCAAGGAGGTTGTGATGCGCAGAGACAGAGAGTTGTTTGCTCCTCGAGACATGCCTCATCCTGGAACACAACCACTCCAACAGTATAATCCACCGGCGACCCCCCAGCAACAGCCATCACTCCTACCAGCATCCTTTGCTCCCTCCGTCACTCCTACCTTGGAGCAAGCGGATACACGTCCACATGAACGGCTGCCTTCTCCCAAATACAGGGACGAATCTCCTCGCTCATTCAACAAAAGGGTCAAGAGGGAACCCAATGGCACCGCCTCTTCTTCCTCCTCGGGCAGTTCCAGGCCTTGGAACAAAAGGCAAGAGCCTCAGACCTCCGCCCCAAAACCACTTCTGCCGGCGACCATGAGATCAGTCCCGGAGCCACATGCAGTGACCGTGACTGACTCTCGGTCGGCTGGGATGGATCGGTACGCACCTGTTCCCGATCAAACAGTACCTGTCGACCAAATGCGATCACCTGCTTCACCGGGGATTCCGACATTCCTGGAGCCCCAGGTCACGACCTCAATGGGTCCACCTCGAATGTTGCGATGAGCCAGTGGGCCTTGCGGGCCAGTTGCATATCTGTCGACTTGTACTGGCCTTATCATGCCGGCTCGTGTCTGGGGAGTGAAGGCGGATGTTAGAAGACGGTCTTGATTTTCCGGGTTCTCGACACCCGGCCACGGCTTCCTTGTGCCAATGACATGATTTCCCTTTGTACGACGAATGAGTTTGACATTTGACGAGATAAATGACACGACCTGTGGACCGGGTCATCTGTGACTGCGACTGGCTTGTGCAAAGTGTTTACGCGAGTCAGTCAAGTCGAGAACCAGGCTCTACAAGACGAAATACACGCTTTGTTTTGTTTGCTTTTCCTGTCGTTCACTATCGAGGGAGTAGGAAAAAGGAAGAGGGAAGGGAAGGAAACCCTCAGTCTGGCTGAGAACCTGACGGAAACGAAAACGGAAACGGAAAACCTACACCTCAATCTCGACGAGAAACGGACGGGCAGGATTCCAGCACTGGACCGAAACAAAAGAAAACTCCTAGCCAGCGTACAATGGATGCTCGGGTACACTGCCATGTCGGCCTCTGGAAGCACTATTCAAAGGCCGGGCCTTGCCATTCCCATTAGTATTGACATGAATCATGTGGGTTGGTTTTGATTATGATGGGCCGGGATGGATGCACTGCCTGGTCTGCCCTGGTATGACAGGTACATCGGTCTCTGGGATCGGGGATGGAGATAGGGAAAAGGGAAAAGGCGGAAATTGGAATAGGAAATAGGGAATGGAAATGGAAATGGAAATGGGAAATGGGTCGAGGATGAAGGGTCAAGAGTCAAAGGCCTTGGGACGGCATGACACGTATACGTATGAGTGAGCTTTGAGTTTGAATTTTGCAGAACGTAATTGAATTGAATTGAATTGAATCCACGGTTTCTGTCCATGTTTTTGTCCATGTTTCTGCAGATACTTCCACTGGTCTGTGTGCTCGTTGCCTCGTATTTGGTTCTCTGTTTGGCTGCTCGATCGGTCAGCTTCCATTGTTGGGGCATGGGGCATGGGACATGGGACATGGGACATGGGGCATAGGGCATGTATTGTATCGTCTCGTCTCATCTCGTCTCGTTTATTGTCTTTGTCTGGTGCTCTACCTAAGGGAGGAATTGGGCCTGACGTTGACGCTGGCGTTGACGTTGGCGTTGACGTTGACGATCGTCATATCTCTCCTGTATCAGCCTGTACCAGCATCCTCTACCAGTACCAGCATCATTCTCTAATATCCGTGCTCTGTGCTCCGTACTCGTACCAGCATCATTCTCTAATATCCGTGCTCCGTGCTCTGTACTCTGTACATGCCACACCCACAACTGCAACTAAAGCCGGTGCGGTGTTATTGACAGAGCCTGAGTGAGCCCTGTCTCCCTTCGAGAGAGCGACCTACATACACAATCTAATCCAGTCGAGGGACGACGCCTGGTCTTTGCACGAGGAGATTAATCATTGGTGAGAACAGTGGGCGGACGCGGACAGCGTTGTTGTCGGTCTTGTTGTTGTGGTCATCCAAGCCTGTGTTCTGATGATGGGCTTGACCTTGAGCCTGATCTTGATCTTGAGTCGCACTCTCACTCTCACCCTCACCCTCACCCTGATATTGACCTTGATCTTGAGCCTGAGCCTGAGCCTGAGCCTGAGCCTGAGCCTGATTTTCACCCTGACATTGATATTGTCGGATCTGCGGCCCGGCCCATCCGACCAGGTCGTCCCAACTGACCCATTCCCACCCGGCGCACTTATTTGGCTCTAGTCGACGGGCTTGGGGGAATCCGGACCCGGATCCGGATGTCGATTTGTCTCCAGCACCAGCATCAGTACCAGCACCAGCACCAGCACCAGCATCAGTGCCGGCAGAATCAACATGCTTGACCTGCGCGGTCATGAAGATTGTCACGTAATGCTTCCCTTTGACGGGCGCACTCACACTCGCACCCACACTCACACTTCCTTGGTCCTCTCCATCTTGACTTGCCTTCAGGCTTGAAGAGTCCGCCGATTCCAACGGCATCAGATCATTCGTAGCAGTCAAGAAGGTCAGACTTCCCACGTCCAGCTCTAGGCCGGTTTCTTCCAGCACCTCGCGTGCCGCGCATTCTTCAAACGTCTCGCCGAACTCCAAGTGGCCGCCGGGGAGGGCCCACGTGTTGGCGCCGTGGGAGCCGAGACGGAGGCCGAGAAGGAATTTGGATTTAGAGGTGGAGGTGGAGTTGGGTGGACTAGATGCATCGCCGTTGGATGGACTAGAAGCATCGTTGTTAGATGTCCTCTGTGTAGGCGTAGGCGTAGGCGTAGCTGTGGACGTGTACGTGGAAGATTGTAGTATGGTGGTGGTGTCGGCATGGAGAACGAAGACTGCCACACCGATTCGTGGCACGGCCGAAGCCAGGAGATCTGGAGCTGGTGGCATATTGGTCGTGACTAGACTGCCTTAAGTACCTTACGGTCGACTCCAGGTCAAGTCGTAAGTATGTTCGTTTCGCCCAGGATGTCTGCAGCGGGGAATGGAGATAGTATGTGCCTCTTTGTCAAGGATAGTATGTGCCTCTCTGTCAAGGATAGTACTAATGTGTGCCTCTGTCAAGGAGAGTACTAATGTGTGCCTCTGTCAAGGTCGGGATACCCAATCCTTCACAGTGGTCGTGGTCGAAGGAGGATAGTAGGTACTAGGCAATTAGGTATTTGCCCGAGTCGAGAGGATCTGAGATCTCCCTTTGCGTGGGACCACTTGAATATATCCAGGATCAATACAGTGCAGTGTTTCCCCGCGTCGAGATGGAAAGTCGAAGTCGAATTCGAGGTGAGATGGTGGCTTAAGGTCAACGAGAAGGCAATACTAATACTAAAACTGGTACTATTAGTAATGGTGTGCTGCGCGTCCTTTTGCCTTTTTCTTTTCTCTGCATTAGTACTGTAGATGTGTCGAGACCAGTTTCAACGCAATGGAAGAGAATGTGTCACTTTACGAGGCTCAGGCTCGGCCGGTTTGCCTGTCATTGTGTCACAGCCAAACCACGCCACAATTGTTCCCACCTTCCAAGGCCAACTGACTCCGACTCGACTACGGCTCACACTGCAAGACAGGCACGGAAAAGAGCAGTCATGCCTTGAGGGAATGAATGAATGGATGAATGAATGGATCAATGGATGAATTGATGGATGGATGGATGGACCGATAGGTGCACCATTTACTCAGCCGCTGCGTTCATCTTCCCTCTCTACCTACTAGGTACCTACTACTCACTCACGAGCTACGTGCCAGTCACCACCATCATCAAATATCCTCCACATCGTCATGGCTGATATAGTACAATCCCGTATCCGTCGAATTGGTGATATTCGTCTGCTGGACCTTTCCGAACTTGACCCAGCCATTCTCGACAGGGGTTTCAACTACCGTGCCATTAAACCGGTGCAGTCGGTTTTCGTCCTTCAACACGGTGAAGTTGGCCAGGGAAATCTCGCCGGGGTTGCGGTTCACGATGGTCGGCATGCCAAAGTAGGCCGCGTGCACTGCCTGCTGCGTGATGTACAGCTCAAAGTATCCGCGATAATACAGCTCACTCCACTGCAGCTCCCGGTTGGCGCTGACTAGCCACTGGCTGCCCGCGACGCTCGTGGCGAGGGAGATGTTCTGGCCGCCCGGCGACGGAGATGACACGGCGGTCCCGCCGAACTCGACCCCGATCGATCCCTCTCCGGTCGCTGGGTCGTAGGGGTGCTGGTCCAGCCAAACCAGGTCCGACACCCAGTTGGCGTGGCTGTCCCCAGAGATCATGATGTTGTTGGTGATGTTGTTGCCGTACAGCGTCTGGTACGTCCGGTTGCGGTTGGCTTGGTACCCGTCCCAAGCGTCGTAATCGAAGGGGTTGACGTTGCCGAATGACAAAGACGCGTTGATTCGGCTGAAGACCGTTTGCGACCCGATCACACGCCATGTCGCCCCTCGGTTCTTCGAGTCGATCAGCGACTGGTAGAACCAGTTCTCTTGACGAGACCCCATCATGGACCGGCCCGCATCGTTGGAGATGGCGTGGATGTAGTCTGTGTTCCAGTATAGATCCGTAATGGACCGGTCGTATTGCCGGGTGTCGAGCATGATGATGTCCAGCAAACTGCCGAACGAGAAGGACCGCCAGACGCGGAGCTACAGAATGGTCAGATATGAGACGAAGGATAGACGGCACCTGGCTTGGTCTCACATCGTCACCCATCTCGACTTGCCGGATGGGAATCCATTCAAAATACGCCCGGACGGCGTTCATCTTTCGTTGGTCAACTGACACGCCCCCGTCCTCTACGAACGAGGCTTCCGTGTTGTTAAGCCACGAAGATCCATCTCGATAAGTGTTGTCGCCGACCTCTATCCTTAGAATCAGTTGACCGCAGAGTCTGCCTCAATTGCCCTGGGCACTCACCGTGGTCGTCCCACACGGGAATCCAAGGATATCGTTGGTGGCTGAGAATCAAATCCTGGTCCGTTCGATAGGTGGCGTGTCTCTTGCGGTAGTCGTAGAGAGTGAAGATTTGCCTGTCTGGCAAGGGGACACGCCCGATGGATTGACCCCAGCCATATTCTCCGTTGGCATACTCATAGATATAGTCACCGAGATGCAGCACATAGTCGACCGAACTCTTTCGAACGGGATTTCCATAGGCATTGAAGAAGCCAAAGGGAAAGTTGCCGCACGAGTAGACTGCCAGGTTGATGGCGCTGACATTGTCGTCTGGCGCAGGCGTGGTCTTGGTGCTGCCGACCAAGCTGGACTTGTTGGAGTTGCAGATGGTGAATTGATACCAATACTGTGTGTAGGCTTTGAGTTTGCTGGCCTCGACCTTGACCGTGTAGTCGACATCCGAGCTGGTGTACACCTTCCCCGAGTCTACCACAGACGACAGGCCCGGGTCAGACGCAATCTTCCAAGTCAGGCAGACCGGCGCCTTGGAGGGTGGTTTGCCCTCGTCAGTATCGTTGTAGATTGGCACCGGGTTGTACAGGGGTACGAAGCCTGAAGTGGTGCCGTTGTCCTTGACATCATCAAAGGTAGGAGAGCATCTTGTCCAGAGTATCACACTGTTGGGGTACGGGTCGCCAGAGGCAACTCCGTGAGTGAAGTTGAGCTGTGAGGGTACAAACCCCGCTCTAGGATCCTGGCGTTTAACAACCTTGCGCACAGAAATCGCCAGGCCGGGGTGATGGAGAGACGGTGACCGGTAATTCAAGTTTGCGCCGTAGGAGGCGAGTGTGGCTGTGACCAGCAACGAGAACACCAAAAACGGCAACATGGTGACCATACTGGATGAACTTGAGCTTGATGCTTGTCCTCCTCTTCTCCAGCACTGGTCCAACTTATATCTTCGAGATCTTGCTCTCCGAGGCACTCGACGCCCGACTCCCGACTCTTTTCACCCTGGTTGAAGGAACATGGCCATGGCGGGGTAGACGCAACGCTTATTTCAAGCGCGAAGATTCACATGTGTCGCCAATTGAGCCAATTGATGGGCTATGAGAGGCATGCGACGCCCCGGATGAATGCATCATGTGCTATTAAGCTGCCTTTCTCGTCCATAGTCAGTCGGGTGCACGCGGGGTTGTCCTGGCCGGAATGCGACGCAACTTCTCGCTGCATGTACTCCGTACTATACATAGAAGTGAGCAGATAGCCAGAGCTTCGGTGCACGTGGAGGAAATTCGGCTGCTTCTGTTGAATGGCTTTGGCTCCGTTCATCTCCTGTTGGTTGGTGCCCGCGGACATGGAAGACGTCACGTTGCATCGTCGAGCAGGCCGCGTACGTCTTGTAATCGAGCTAAGAGCCGGGAAGACTGGTTGCTGCGTTCTTCCACAGAGGTGGCCGAGTTGTAGGAGAAGAAGATGATGATGATGAAGAAGAAGAAGAAGAAGAAGAAGAAGACCAATGTGTATGTAGAACAGTCGTGGATATAGGAACTGTATCCAATTATGGCGCCGCTTTACTCGGGCACATTGGCTTAGGCCTGAGCCTCTAGACCTCTCCACTGGCCACTGGCCACACCAATATCCTCGACCGGACTTCTGTAGAACCAGCTAGGACTGCCCTATTTCACAGTATTCAGCTCTGTGAGGACGTCAACCCACATCCTATGGCCCGCTGGCCGTCGGACGCCACCTCCGCTCGCCAGTAAGGACTCGCCCTCCTTCCCAAAGGCAATCAGCTGCTCCTCGCTGCCCCATTCTCCCATGGCCTGGTACACAAAAGTCAGTCGTGAGTGGTGCGAAAGGAGGGAGAAACAAAGGCGTACCATCAGTCCAACAGGCACACTTGCATCCGTGTAGCCCATAGGACAACTAATAGCTGGCGCGCCTACGAAGTTCGCCAGGTACACATATTCCATTGACTTCAAGCTCATGTCGCCATCGCTAACACCGTATCCGCTGGTGATATCGCTAGACTTACTAATTCTCCACCCTGCGCAGGGTGTTGTCGGGGTCAAGACCAGAAGTCCGGGGTGTTCATCCCACAACCAGGCAAGATGGCACATCAGAAGATTGCGGAGCTTTTGCGAGAAGATGAAGTCCTGCGTTGTCGCGTGGCTGCCAGCCACATTGAGCAGGAGCTGATTGTGCCATGTCAGCTGCTTGATCTTGTCAGTGCTATACTGACTGCGGGTTTCGGACAAAATAGTTAAAGCATGGGCTTTCTGGCCCTGAGGAAGAAGGGGGATCGTAATGTCCACAACTTCGTAGCCGTGGACTCCAACATAGTGTTCAACGGCGGCATTGAACATGTCAAGGACGACTTTATCCGATCGTTGAATCCAAGTCCGGTCGATCCCAAGATATTTTTTACCCTTGGGCAGCTTAGATAAAGAAGCCTCCGTGACTCGAGGATCGGGAAATCGAGAGCTCCGCCTTGCCAAGGGGTCTGGTTGAGCCATGATCCGGTAGCTCAAGGCTAGGTCATCAATGCTGCTAGCCATAGGTCCATTAACCACGACGCTGTCTGTCCATTCGTGGTCAACCCTCGAAGAGATCCGGCCGTGAGTCGGCTTCAGACCGTAGATGCCACAGAAGGCAGATGGAAGACGGATGGAACCACCACCATCCACTCCCAGAGCAATGGGACAAATGCCCGAAGCCACAGCAAAGGCGGAACCTCCTGAGCTGCCGCCAGTATAGTAGCTATTGTTGTGAGGATTCAAGGGTGTGCCCCAGTTAGGGTTGTTGTTCGTTGTGTCCAGGCCGGCCTCGTGCATATTGGTCTTGCCGATTATCACCGCACCGGCCTCCTGCCATTTTTCGACACACCAAGCCGTCCTATCTCCCGGGTCTGAGAAGTCCAGCTTTGTTCCAAGAGTTCTTTTATAACCTTTTAGATGGACCTCATCTTTCACGGTCAACGGGACCCCGTCAAGCAGGCTCAATGGCCTCCCCGCCCGATACCTCTCGGTCGACGCTTTCGCAGATGCTCGGATAATGTCCACTTTAGAGTCGATGAAGGCGACGGAGTATGGACCGGCTGGTTCGGTATCCCGTCGGATCAGAGGCAGGAGCTGTTCGATGACGTCCGAAGGGGTGGCTTTGCCAGACTTGTACAGCTCATGGAAGTCGGCGCAAGTATAGTAGTTACGCGAGGAAGCTCGAGGGCGAGGCGTCGGTAGGTCAGTCAAGAGTACTGGAATTTCAGAGGTCGAGGATATGGGAGCGACCGTGGGATCAAGACGGATCTCATACTGGTCAAGATCAGCCGTGTCTTTGAGTTTGTCGAACTTGTTCAATTTCCACAGAACGCTCTGGATCCATGTGGACGATGCGATGCTGGCAACTCGAGTCAATGACCAGCCTCAAAGGACACATCATTTGTCCGTACACTCTAGAGACAACGGCCAGTGCGTAGCCCCGAAGCACAGGGTTCGAGCCTGCATCGTTTTGGTAGGGGACATCAGGCCCTTTACGCGGCTGCGGTCTGTTCCATGAGTTCGCGTACACAGCTTGACTCGACATCGCGAGCTGTTTGTTTCACACCATTCAAGGCGGGTAGAAGGACTTTCTAGGCACCGTTCAGCTGGGAATCCAACTCCAGTGCAGGCATCAGATATCCATCCTACGCAGTCGGCCTAGCATCTGGTGGTCTTACTCTGTACGGATACTCCATGCAGCTCCAGGATCCCACTCCACGGAATTCTGACTGACAGAATAACAACCAGTTTGGCATATAAACGGATTGTCAGACATGTCGCTGATTTCTCCACTCCGATTGGCCGTTCTCATGACCACCTCGCTGACTGATTGATGAATGAGCCTTAGCAACCATCTTGACAACGGCGTTGTTGCGTTGTCAGATGCCATGCACCTTTGCACAACCCCATACTACTTCCCATCCAATGCTAGGTCTAAAACAACCTCTCTGAGTCTGACGTAGGAGTAGTGCAGCATCTGTCTCGTCTGACTCAGGTTCTTGTGAGTAGTAACAGCGGCGCGTACTCCGTACTCCTGATCAGGTTTAGCATCATCCCGCCTTACAGTGAGCATTCTCGGCAGACCTTCCGGTTGTGTCGGTCTCGACCAACTCTTCTCCGCCTCGACCTCGTCTTTTGTTGTGCCACATATTGCTGGTATCCTCGTTTACCTACCGGGTGTCGAGCACCTTGACTTGATTCTACAGTGCGATACGTGGTCCTGAGAGTTTAATATGCCGACGCCCATCGACAATCCAACCGAGGATGAGCCGCCCGCCTTACCATTCAAAACTGGAGGCCGGCTAGCCCGGAATCAAGAATACCTGATCTTTTACTTCTTCACCATCTCTTCATGGGGCCTGGAAATCGCTGCTGCATGTCTCGGATCGCTCTATGGAGCACAGAGCCATTATTTCATTGCCACTGTCGCCTCATTTCTGGCCACATATGCGTAAGCAGCTTCAGCAACTTGTTTCACACTTTCCAAACCAGTCACATATTAACATATACGCGTCTGAACAGCATGGCTTTCCTCCAGACCTTGTGGATGGCGGCCACGGCTCCAAGGAATACAATCGCAGACCGGATCTCCTTTCTCAACCTCGTCTGCAGATTCCAAAGACTCTGTGCTGTAAGTTCGCAACGCCACTTGAGCTTCCCAATCACTGACTTCTCAGCCAACTGCTTTGATCGGCATGATTACCTGGGCAGTTGCTTATAGATTTCGCGGGAAAGCTTCCAGTCAAGCCTATTGGATTATCTTCCTGGTCGTTTGGATCTTCAGTATAGTTGTCTGCATCATGAATGTTTACAACAACATCAGTTGGGAGAGTGATCTGCTATATCAGCTTGCTCCAGACCAACCTCAGGGCAAATTTTGGCTTGCAGCACTGGGCATTCGAGATATTTGTCGATCGAAGCATCCACTCCCCAAGGATGCAGACATGGAGCTGGAGCACTCAGCAGACAAGAGAGCATGACCCTGTGCAATACCTCTGAGCCGAGCAAACACAGAGCTCCTACAACTAATACTGATGTCTCTCTTTTTCAAGCCTCGGAAGATTGTTCCATCACCCTATCAAGTTCTCGCTCCTCGTCTGTTATTCGACAAAAGCGGCACCGCGGTCGAAGACGGCAGAAAGGATGTGCCGAGGACGATGACACGAGTATTCATCGTTAGGAAACCAGGTGATGTCGACAAATCGAAGTGCCGGGACGGTGAAGAGATTTGAAAAGGGGAGAGAGAGAGACGACTGTATGTAGCCATGAGCTCTAACTAAATGTAATACAGCTATCGCAACATCGGAATTTGCGTACGTTCGCGTGACAATAAAGAAGAATTTGGATTTGGATTCATGTACTCCGTAGTAGACGGTAATTCTAGTTGGGACCAATTATGAAAACAAAATCTTCCATCTTCATGATCAGGGAGAAGTTCCCTACCTCCCGGCCACTCTAGGAATCGCCGAACACTCTTGTGAGGATCCCTGCCCCTTTTCTGACGAGGCTGCCGCCATGTACAGAATAGTACTCCGTACTCTGGACTGGGGGGCTGCTGACTCGGGCTGAGCGCCAAGAGTTGGAGATGCCACCTCTGCCACTGCACTGCACGGGTAACTTTTCTGGCGAGCAGCCAGCGACATCAATGTCCTCGCGACTTCAGCCTCATGCTTTCCCTACATACGTTCTCGCCGCCTGCATTGAAGTGGCGTAATATCGGCCGTCAGAAACTTTATTTGCATTGTTCTTCATCTTGACTTATATGATCAGCTCCCTCACGCTGTTGCCTTGGACCACTCTCCCGTCTTCCTAACGCAGCCCCTGCGGCTCGCGCCAACCCATTCACTATGCCCTCCTCCGACTACAACTACGATGACCAGGGGCAATTCTTCCCGTTCTTCATGCTGACCATGGTCGGCTTGGTCACCGTGCCGCTCACATATAATGTCCTCAAAGCGTCAACAGATCTCGAACAGACCGCGGCGCGGGTACAGTCCGACTTTAAACCTAAGAATGACGATCTCATAGAGGCCCAGCGACGGAGGCGAAAGCGCAAAAATCGCAAGACGAAGCGGATCATCGCGGTGGTTGTAGGGTACGCATTCATGGCATACATGATATACCTTATTGCCATCATCCAGCGGACGATACCCAAGATGTGGGATCCGTACGATGTTCTGGGTGTATCGAGGGTAGGTCCCACCACAATTTGCTACAGATGCACTGCGAGACTAACTTTTTGTCTCTGTCCAGAGCGCCACGGAGGCCGAGATCAATAGCTTCTTCAAGCGACTGACGGTCAAGTTCCACCCGGACAAGGCCAGACCGGACCCGTCGAAGAACGAGACAGCCGAATTTATCAATGAAAGATGGGTCGAACTGAATAAAGCATACAAGGCGTTGACGGATGAGGAGATGCGAAACAACTACTTGCTGTACGGGAATCCGGATGGCAAACAGTCCACAAGCATAGGCATAGCACTGCCAAAATGGATGGTTGAGGAGGGGAATCGTTGGTTTGTCGTCGCCTTTTACGGCTTCCTCTTAGGAATCCTGCTACCCTACACCTTGGGAAAATGGTGGTACGGAACACAAGCTGTTACGAAGGACAAGGTGCTGCACGCAACTGCGGGCAACCTGTTTCGAGAATGGAGGGAAGACATCACAGAGGGTGGCGTCATCGCTGCCCTCAGTATTGGAGATGAATTCAAAGAGGTGTTGAAGGGGCCGAGAAGCGATGCTGGGGCTGCCAAAGTTGAGAGCAAAGTGCTCGGCAGTTCCGCTCTTACAAACTCGGACAAAGCGAAATTGAAATCCATCGACGACCCGGTGCGACGAAAAGCGCTGGCATTGCTATGGGCATATCTTGCTCGTATCGACCTGGACGACCCAGAATTGGAGAAAGAAAAGTACGACGTGGCGCCAACAGCTCTTCTCCTCAACAACTCGTTCACGTCAATCACCCTACCTTTCGGCGTGGTCAAGCCACTTCTAGCATCCTATCACACATCTCAGAACGTCATCCAGGCAGTCGCTCCGGGTTGGTCACCTCTGTTACAGCTTCCAAACATTACTCCTCAGATCGCCACCAAGATCTCTGAATCTTCAAAGACACCTGTGACATTACAAACGTTCATGGCTCTTCCACCCGGTGTGAGGAGGAACGCATGCTCAGAGCTATCTGAAGCCCAATACAGCCAAGCCTTGAGAGTTGCCTCCCAAATTCCCCATTTACAGATTGCGAAAGCCTTCTTCAAAGTCGTGGGCGAACGGGTCGTCACTCCTTCTTCTCTGGTGCAGCTCGTGATCAAAGCTCGAGTTATTCCGCCAGGCACAAAAGACATACCCGCCGTCGATCCTCTCGATCTCGAAGACATTGACCCGGACGAAGGCGACCTGGAAGCTCTTCACGGTCGCGAGCCCGCAAAATCCAAACAGCGCAAACTCCCCGACGGCCGGATCGTCGAGGACGACTCCAAAGAAGGGTCCGTCCAGCCCCCCTTGGCCCACGCACCATATTTCGCCGCAGACCATGCGCCGCGGTGGCATGTCTTCTTGTCAGAAGCACGGACAGGCCGTATCGCGGTGCCGCCGTTTACGTTCACCGCGTTTGACAGGCCAATTTTCCACGCCGACGGCACGCCGACTTTCAACATGTTGACATTGAAGTGTCAATTCCAGGCACCGCCGCAAGTTCACGCGTTCCCGTTCGTCCTGCACCTCATTTGCGACAGCTACGTTGGACTGGATTCGAAAGTAGATGTTGTGCTGGACGTTAAAGATGCAAGCGAAGCCAATATCGTCGAAAGCGATGACGAGATCAGTGAGCCTGAAGAAGGTATGTTCCAATCCTGGGGTTGATATTACCTTTCTCAGAAAAAGTGATATTTTGACACATGCTAATGCTATGTGATATTCTAGACTCACTCGCCGGCCAACTGCAAGCAATGAAGACCGGTGGACTGACCGGTGGCCCCACCACGACAAAGAAGAAGAAGAAGGCCAGCACCATTCCCGCGTCGCGAAAGGACGCACCTGTCGTCAATAAAGATCCCGAGGATCAGAGCGACAACGACGACAGTGACACCGAGGGGTCCGAGGATGATACGTCCGACACAGACACGGACACGGACACGGAGACTGAGGACGAGGATCCGTGAAATTCGAATTGGTGTCTGACACAGACACGGACACCGGGAATGTGATCTCGGTACCACCGGATGGGTACCATCCTGGAGAACACACACGCCGAATTCATTCCGGTCTAGTTTGCTCCATGATCCACAAGCCACACATCCAACATCTGCAGTCAGGTGCCCGAAATGTTGCGACATGAGATGCGCCCATGGCTCGGCTTCGTTCAGGTTTCTGGGAGAAGCAGTGAAGTGAGGTGGAATGTACGATACCATTTTCCCCTTGGGGCCATGTACTGTACGAGATGGGTAGACGATACTACCCTCGGTTGCCTGTGTCTCGTTCCATTTATGTCGGCGGCCGCTCTGCCTGCCACTGCTACGCTGTGAGAGAGCAAAGCAGAGCCGAGTCGCGGAGAGGACGGACCAAACAAGACCAATGTCGGTTCGCCAAAATCGGAAGGACTCTACATGTGTATTTAGTGTCTATGGCTACTACGTAGTATCCGTGTACGCCTCTGAGATGCCGAGCTTAGCGAATGGAGAGCACTTCAATCCATCAGCCACCTAATAGTCTACTATCCACTGTCAGGTAGGATCTGTGCTCCGGCTGCCGCGCCAGATGCGTTGCTACATAGCCTTGGGGCGCCGAGTCAATGCTGTCTGTACCAATGTGCGTTGAGCTCAACCCGGATCTGTAAAACAAACACACGCAACGAATGCTCTCTCGTCTCGTCTCGTCTCATCTCGTCACCTGCCTCAGCCTCGGCATCGGCCTGATTTCATTCCATTTCATTCCATTTCATCGAGTAGTGGTTTACTTCTTACTGGCCCCACTCATCTCGTTCATCCGTTCCTGAATCCTCTCCCTTCCGTGGTGCATGTACTGCAGAGTCTTCTTGTACTGGCGGTCCTGAGACTGGATGGACAGCTGAGTGATGGCGAGGGCGGCGAGGCCGAGGACGCCTCCGACCCCGATGAGTGTGCGGGTCTGCATGATTGGTACCCGGTATGTCGAGGACGTAGGGAGGGTGGATGTGGATACGTATTGTAGCTTTCGACGTGTGTAGCAAGTAGGAGGTCGGAGACCAGTGCCTGAACCGAACCGGGACGAAGGCTGGCTGGTTCGAGATGTGTGATCAGCGTCGCTGGTCGACCCGTGTGTGACAGATGGGTCTGGCGTCTAGGGTTGCAGCTGGGATGCCTGCCTGGTCGATACTTTCTTTGTCAGTCAGTCGACAGTACAGAGTATCCGTACGTGTGCCGAGATAGCAGACACTGAATGCAGATGCAGGGGTTGGTGTATGTATGTGCAGTGGTCGGAAGGCGGTGGTGGGCAGTAGAGATTGACTTGTCGCGTCGCGTCGGGCCGTTCAGGGAGACTTTGGATGACTAGCACACTACTGTCCAGTGTCCAGCGCGGCAGTGTTCTCAAAGTACCGAGTCCCGACCTGTCTTTGCGACCCGGAAACAGGGACGACAGCAGAGGAGAGGAGAGACACTGACTGTACCGAGTACTGGGTCACAGGGTGTGAGGCTTTTACCTGAGTGTGAAGAGTCGGTAGAGTTCTCGTGCGCTAAGCTGGATAGAGTGCGGCGGGTTGCAGAAGAGGAAGAGGAAGCCGAAGAGGAAGATGAAGATGGAAAGGAAGAAGAGGAAAGGAGGAAAGGAGACTGCCGGCGGGGGAGGGATGAAACGTCGCGGTTAAATGGTCGATTCGTGCGGTGTGTCTCTCGGGTCCTGGGCCTGGTGACAGCCGAGACAGCAGCCAGACGTCGAAGGGCCTGGCATTCATGAGGCACCGTCGTAGTGTATAGGCAGTAGTATAGACACAGTACTGTAGGCACCTGGGGTACCTTGAGCCTGTACCTACAGTATGTAACAATGACCCCCGCCCGGGTCACGGATAATACCTGTTGGTGCCCCGGAAACCAGTCCTCCTTCAAGTTTAGGCGCAGAGTGGATGGCTCCCCCGCACCCGCAGTGGCACATCCTCCGCACTTGCTCCACGTACTGTACTCCGTACTGTTTGCAGTACCGTATGGATACGGATACTCTAAGCCAGTTGCGGGCCGGCAGGGTTGAGTCTGGACCAGCTTCAGGCATCCTGAAGGCATCCCCTCCCCTGCAGAGTCAACCCTCGGCCGGCTTCAAGCACCCCAAGTGCTCCGGTGTAGTAGTAGGTACATACGGTCAATGGATGCTCCGTACAGTAAGCAGAGGAAGTAAAACGATAACTGGAATTGAAGGGTCCGGAAAGAGTAGCCACGCATTCAAGTCTAAGTCGCTTGTTGCTTCCAACGCGAATGCCCAATGTGATTCGCCATATGCCCGACGCCTTGACAGCCCGCCTGAGCCTCTCCACCCTGTCTATTGGGGTTATCATCGTTATAGCTGCGTATCGTCAAAGCCAAACACCAACAAATCTGGTGAGTATGCGGAGAGTCTCGTGTCCTCAGCCTTGTGTTGCTTCACCCCTCGGCATCCACAAACACGTCCACGTCACTGGTCTCCGTGTCTGCTCTCTTCAATGGCGCCTGCCCGTGCGGTACCATGGTTTCGTGCATGTTGATTTTTGACATCTGGGTATTCATATGGGAGACATCCTCATCATCGTCCATCAGATTGGCAGTCTTTGGAGGATTGCCAGCCGGCGCATTAATAGTTGTGGCCTGATGCACTGGACTCTGCTGAGCATTGGAGGTGGAGTATACTGAATTTCCGGCCACGCCTTCTTTTGCTGTGGCCGGCTTGGGGTCGAAGTCAATTAGGTTATCCGTCGGTTGCGCATCAGATTGAGGCCTCTGGTGCTGCGCTGGCGTTTCTGCCGGGGCTTTGGCAGTGTGGTGATGATGCAAGGGGTCCGGCGCGTCATACTTCCCTTGACCAGGCAGAATCGGTGCGATGGAAAGAATCTTGTCTTCCAACTCTTTGGGATTGTTTGACTCCCTGTCGAAAGTGGTTAGAAACATCATAAACCCGGGAACATGAAGCAGACTTACAGTGAAGCATGGATAATCCATTCGAGATCTTCTTCCCCTTCTTCCAAACCACCCTTTCTGGCATCGACCCTCCGGAACAGCTGCGGTTGCCATTCAACTCCCAGCTCCTCTCTTCGTTTAGCTTCCTCTCTTTGACGGTCTTCGATCTTGGCCTTCTCGGTGGTAGCCTTCTCGTGGTCCACCGCTTTGACAGCCTGGACCGTGTTATACCAGAGTTTCTGAGATTCTCGGTCGCCCTGCTCCTCAAGGGGCCGTGTTCGAGGCGGAGAATGTTTTGCGTGCGTCGCATCGAAGAAAGGCCTTTTCCGTCCCGTCTTGGTGTCCTTGATGAACATCTCCCCTGACCATAACCCGGAGAGCTCGAAAAGCACCTCACCGGTTTGATCGTTTTTGATGGTCCCGCCGACAGCATTATATGTGCCTCCAACCCAGCCTTTGGTCTTGAATTCGATGTCGGCACTCAGGTTGTTCTCAGGACACCGAACATAGGAATGGTCGCCCAATTCGTATTTCATCTTGCCAAAGAGGATTCCTCGAGCGTACATGTTGGGCTGTGTCAAAATACTGCTTCTGTTAGCCGAGTGCCCAATCGCCTTTCCCTCCACACGTACTATTTTTCACCGCCTCTCGACTTTCCTCGATTTGTTAACCTCAGATACGATATGCCCTCCATCATGCTGGCCGCGGAGTTACCAAGGAACTTGCTTCGGGGCTTCAACGTGCCATCCACTCGGATATGGTGATGAGGGGCCATGAAAAAGTACGACGACTTGGGAGGATGGTGTGAGGTTTGTTCTGAGATGTAATAACCTCGCGTCCCGTCCGGATAATCCCAGTAGCAGGTGAACGTCTCGCCGAGTATGGGGTTCAATGGCTTCTTCACGCCACTTCAAGGCCGTCAGTAGATTCGGTTGCATCGGGGTAGGAACCTTCATACGGAGGTCTAATGTGCCATCCACTCAAATAAAAGCGCACCACAGCAACGAATCGTTCTACAGGATCTTCGACCTCGGGCATGGGAAGGAGCGTGTCGGGATGAGCCATGAAGCTATAGCACCGGTTAGCTGCGGGATTGGCAACCTTTACGTCTCGAGCTCACTTTGTTATTCTTTCCAACATCGACCTTGGCTCCAGAATAAAAGTCGGCAGCGTGACCCGGGACAGGTCTGCGCCCGGGCGTAGCTGAGAAATGATGTGTGATAGAACTGCCTCTTGTCAAAACATGTCTGCGACGTCCGAGAGGATTTCAGCGCACCATTTCCCTGTTCTGGCTCGACAACGGTGGTGTCTTCACCTTCGACCTGATCTCGACTCTCCTCGGACGCAGATGAAGATCGATGTCCTGGGAGGCGGTCAGCTTCTTCGCACCAACACGTCCTAGAGGACAAAGCAAGGCGCCCGCCTACCCCTGAGAGACTCGCTGCGATTACGCAGAGCTCCTCCTATTGAGTGTCTCATATTGTCCGAGCGACGACGAGCATGCGAAATAAGGAGGAGCTGGTCCGCGATGAATGAGTCGGCGTAAAATTGGACAGCAACAAGCCGATGGATGACGTCGTTGGGATACCAGGCGGAATTGGCGGGGGAGGCAAGGGTAAGGTCAGGTACGCTGCAAGTCTGCTTGTCGGTGCCAGAGCAGAAGAGGAGGAGTGGGAAGTTGAGTTAATGGCCTGTAGCAGGTGGTGACGACGGGCGCGAGCAGGTATATCGCTTTTGTTTCTTCGGAGCAGGTGGAAACAAGTTGAGGGCCGGTGTCACAGGCAGCCGGGAAAAGACCAATGGTGGCTGATTGATGCCTAGGAGGACAGTGCAGTGTGAATTCTTGTTGGACAGGGGTCGAGCTCAAGTCGTCGATTTTTGCAAAGCCACATCTGCATCCACAGCCTGCGCCGTCGGCACCACAGAATGACTGCACTATTTCTTAGCTATCGGCTATACAGCTGAGGAAAAGCACAGCGGCGGGCATTTGTTTTATGCTCGGTCTTCCTGCTCCAATCTACCGTTCAGTTGACTTCCATTACCGGGTTTCCAAGCCTCGCCCGCCCAAGAGACTTGTTCACGGGCTTATGCAGGGCTGGAAGATTCCGGGCTTCCCTACGGAGTACATACTTGAGTCAAGCATCTTCTCTATCGGCCCCCTTAGCCCTTAGCTCCCTCCATTCTGTATGCGGCTGGCCTTCTGCTCTCGGTTCTAGTCTTCTGACCTAAGTAGATGTACCCCCGGTGACGCGTTCCAGAAAGTCGGCTGGTGCTCTATAAATCATGATGTGAAAGTGCTCTGGCCTGCTCAGCTACACGGCCTCAGAATTGCCGGCTGTAAGATGGACCTACCTAGTGCATGGACGCTTTTCAAGCTCTTCCAGTTCTTAAACCACACGATCTGGTCTCTATTCACCTTGTGCCCCGTCCCTTGCTCCTCCGCACAGAATGTCCTGGCGATGAGCGCCGTAATCCTAGCTGTGGCGTCATGTGTCACTCGGCCCGTGGTCTCGTCCTCGTCTATCAGAAACTTGGTCCATACCACGAGATGTTTGATGTCTTCCTCGATGTAATATGGCCAATTGTTGTAGGTGATTTTGTAATCTGCTGGATTCTCGAACGGCGGGTCGCTGGAGGGAGTGGTCTTGTCCCAGTGTAGGAGCTCGTGCTGGATATATGCCGATACAGCACCATACTGCTTCTTGACCTGGTAGATGTGTTCAAAATATGCGCGCAGTTGACTTGGGGACCGCTGGAACCGATCGATTCGGTTCGTGTCTTGAGTGACCAGGGTCAGACTTTGTTGGGACTTGCTCGTCCGTTGGGTCTGGGAGCTGTTGCTCTGCACGCACCGACTAGTTCTTGTACTTCCGGCCACGACATCTTGTGACAATCTTCCTCCCTCAATGACAAGATCCCAATGTTCTTGTCGCCAATGCCGAGGAGGTACTCGGGGCATTCCTTCGTCCACAGCTCCGGCGCCAAACCGATGTTCCAATACCGAGTAGAGAGCTCATCGTTGTCAGGAGTACCGGCTCGAGGGCTGGGATGCAGGGAATGCGGCATTTCCTTTCCTTGCAATTTGCGAGTTCACCAAGTCTTCATCTCCCCACTAGTGGGCTGTGACATGTACGGAGTACTACTGGCATCACTTGCGTTTGCTCTTTTTGTTAGAAGTTCAAGTTTAGAATGTAAGGTACTGTAATGTTATACTTGGCGGCTAAAGAGGAACTTGAAGCCCGCACCTCTCATAACTACCGCTCACCGCTCGCTGGCTCACCCCTCCACCCTCTCGTCACTGTCGCTCAACCAATCTCTATTTCCCCCTCGAAAGTTACTCGCTAGAAAGTACTGTCTGCTATTCGTAATGATATCAAGTGGTTCAATTACCTTCAATTGAGCATCTCTGTGCATTCGGGGCCCGAGTAAACTCTTGATCCATCAAGCCAGTGTCTCGATATCCACTACTTCACTCTCCAGAACAAATGCATCCGGTCGTCAGAACCGTCTACCAACAGAGGAATCTCATATCAACTGCGCAAGTGTCTAGGAGGTGATTAGCTGGTGGTACTAAGACCCCCATGTCAACTCTGAAGTAGGCCGGTGATGCGAACTCACCCCCGCGGCCCGTCGCCTCATCACCATCCGACCTTGCTTGCTCACCAGGATGAGAAGTCATTATGCCCATATCGTATATCTTGTCATAGGGTGTGTGGCTCTTTGGCAATCAGTCCCGAGAATCATAGCCCTCGACGCACTCTCTGTCTGGCGTTCCCCGTCCTTGGATCATCAAGCATCATCGAAGATGTTGGTACCAACGAGACTGTACTCCTTGACCGCTTCCCAAGTTCTGCGTCTGCTCAAGAACGACACCATCACAGTTGAACAGTACGCGCTTTCTATTTTAGGCCGCATTGAGGAGAGAGACAGCATAGTGAAGGCATGGACGTACCTCGGTCAGCATTTCTCGGATCACAAGACAATTGAGGAGTTTCTATATTGAACACACATTAGATCCACAACTGGTACTGAGCCAAGCTCGAGCTCTTGACCAGATTCCCCCTGGTCAAAGAGGACCGCTACATGGAGTGGCGGTCGCCGTCAAGGACGTGATGAATACGAAAGGTACGTCTCAGCATTCCCACTCCTGCTGGGGTTTCTCATTATTCCAGATATGCCGACTCAGTTTGGCTCTCCACTGTACGAAGGGAATCAGCCGGGCTTTGATTCATCAGCCGTTGCAATTCTACGATATGCTGGCGCTCTCATCTTGGGTTCGTTCGTTCTTGTCTCGACCGGTCCTACTCTAATCGCGCCCGCAGGCAAAACCGTCACGACAGAGTTCACCGCGACCAATATGGGACCCAACACCACCAACCCCCATGACCCAAATCGTACCCCGGGCGGCTCATCGGCCGGGTCCGCCGCAGCGGTGGCCGACTTGCAAGTACCACTCGGTCTCGGAACGCAGACTGCTGGCAGCTTGATCCGTCCGGCATCATTCACTGGAATATTCGCCATGAAGCCAACCTTCAATGCAATATCAACCGAAGGCCAAAAAACCTATTCCGTCAACGTCGATACCTTCGGATTTTTTGCGCGCAGCATGGAAGATCTGCAACTAGTTGCAGACATCTTTGCCCTCAAGGACGACGAACTTCCCAGCTCTGTGATCTTGAAAGACGCCCGAGTTGCTTTGATCAAGACCCCAATGTGGGACAAAGCTGGACCTGGCACGGATGCTGCCATGGAAAAGGCCGCCACGATTCTCAAAAAACACGGGGTGAAAGTCGAAGAGGTATCGTTTCCCCCAGAGTATAGCGATGGTAAAGCCTTGAAGCGGATGCTAGAAATCATTGCAAACAGCGACGCTCAAGCTGCTTTTCTCAGGGAGTATCGGATGGACAAGACTAAGCTGGATCCGATCATTCGTGGATTCGTCGAAAATAGTGCCAACTACACGCGCAAAGAAAGAGTACAAGCGCTGGATAGGTACGCCAGCATGCGGCCGATATTCGACGAGATTGCTGCAGACTTCTCTGCCATCATTACACCTAGCGTTCCTGACGAAGCACCCCTGGGCCTGGACGATATGGGCTCTCCGGCCTTCAATTTCATCTGGACGGTGAGTGTTTAGTGTTGATCAATCAGGTCATTTCTCGCTGACTTCTTGCAGGGGCTTCATATGCCTGTTATCCACATTCCCGCATTCATTGGAGCCCACGGGATGCCGCTCGGGATATCTGTCGTAGCAGGCAGATTTTTTGATCAGCATCTTCTGGCAATCAGCAAAGCCCTCAGTGAACCTCTTATGGCTGAAGGTGGGTGGAAGATATCGTGAAGAAAACAAACATGTTCAATTCTGCTGGCCTCAGGGCGGCCCTCGGCTGCGCTCTCGACTGGAAGTCTTCCATGTAGCTAGTGTATGATGGAGCAGTTGCTGGAATACACACGAACAGACTATCCGTACGGCGTAAGTTCACAAGCTCGTACGTACCGATACCACTAGCATTTAAGTCATTGCAGGGGCAGGGTGCTTAGGAGGCCTAAGGCGCCCCGAGGCATTGACAGCACATGTCAAGGTCAAACAACAACATTGACAGCCTCTGCCAGAACGCCTAAGTCCTCTGTAGCCCTGCCCACTTGGATACAGGGATTTGGACAGTCGGGCCATGAGCCTCAGTGTGCGACTCGGTGAATCGTCACATGGCTGGTCTGGACAGAATCGTCTGTCTAGGGCAGCCTCACCTCCCGATCAGTCGCATTCAGCCACTCTTGCCCCTCAGCCAGCCATCCGTTCACATTTGCAGCCTCACCAACTCACATCCGGGAATCTAGCAGCAGATTGTTGGATGACTTTAGTCTGACCATGATGAGTTGGCAACTGTGGAAGATCGCGGCAAGCAGAGACACTTCCAAAGTCTTTGCGCTTCTATCGAACGGATCAGACCACCTCACCGTTGTGTTCGAGTACAACGCCGACTCTACGCAGCGCCTTGAAAGTCAAGTCTACCTGGATTTATGTGCCCTCGACGATCATCAGCCCACTTGTTTCTTCCCCAACAAGCCCGCTATCTGCTCCGCAGCCGTCAAAGCGGTTGAATCGGTGTGTGCTGATGGCAGAGAAACAACGCGGCGTGCTCTCCAACCTGGCCAGATATTGCAGATATCCACGGCAGACGGCACCCTGTGTGGGTCGCTCGTCGACCGTTCTGCTGAGTTTGCGGCATTCTGTTCATCACTGAAGCAACCTGCTGCCCTCCTGGGCCAGGATCCAGGTGCTGCGAAGTCGCTTCCTGATGTCGTTGGCCTGGAGGTTGTGCGTGGGGAAGAACCCTTCCAAAGCTATCGCGGAGCATGCATGAAAGTCTCACTCTCTAAAAACCCGAAAGAGTTCCTGGTGTTCAAAGGAGTCACCTTCTTCGACTACTTGCAATTGGGTCCAGAGTCATTCCAATACCACCTCGCCGCATGCTACCGAGAAATTCACATGATCAATACCGCCCTGCAGCAACATCCAAATATCATGCCGCCTCCCAAAGCTCTCGTGGTCATGACATCAAGCAGCGATGGTGCCACGGAGCAGCTCGTCAACGGTAGTATATACCCAATCTACAAGAACGGTTCACTTTCTGCCCTCCTCAACAAAGCTCGGGAAGAGAAGTATAGAATCTCGGTCGAGCGGAAGGCCAAATGGTGTTCTCAATTGGCCTCAGTCATGCACCACGTTCACTTTGTTGCTCGGGTATGGCATCAGGACCTCAAGCCGCCTAATATGTTACTTGACGATGCCGACAACATTCTCGTCATCGACTGGGAGCAGTGCGGTGCTAATTCATTCGTCCTGGCTCCGGAGGCCAACGGCGCGTACGACGTGGTTACAGATGTCGAAGGAATAGAGGATCGTCGCGCGCTACGCTATACGGCGTATAATGGACCACGGAGAGTCAACGACCCCATTGCTATTCCTGAGTGGAACGTTTTCCCGCACTGGGTCAAGGAATGTCCTGACGCGGTGGAGCTCGCCGAAGTCTACAGCCTGGGGAAAACCATGTGGTTGATATTGGAACAGGTCAAGGCCGGTCATGAAGATGGAAAGGAAGATTACACTTCTGAATCGGTCCGATGGTCCGACTGGTCTGAGGATATCCCGCAATCATGGAAAGGAATGGTCAGACGTTGCATCGAGGCAGACCCAAATTCCCGGGTACGTCTGAAGGAGCTGTGCGAGTTCTGGGAGGACCAGTTGCACAAGCTGGAGAAGTGAGCCTAGCATCTCGAAGCAAGCATTTGCGTTTTCTTGTCGCTTACAACTCTGCTCTGCTCGGAAGCCATTTGCTTTGTTACTGATAGGTAGCTAACGACATCTCTCTCAGTCTGGGCTATAGCTAATCTGTTTGCTGTAGGGTAATGACCTAATGACCTTGCTGCTTTCATGAAGGCTACAACAGATAGCCCATTTTGGCGGATTTGGTGCGTAGGTAGCTTTTCACCTCGCTTGAATGCTTCTTTTGAAGGAATGATTCGGTCAGTGAAGCAATGGACACTGCCTCTCGGACGATGATTCCGGTCCCCTTTCCCCCAATGGCCCTGATCTTCTCTGGGTTGTTGGTCAACAACCTGATCCCGCGTCCTCCAGCCAAGTCCAGATCATGCAGAATGTCCACGGCGGCACCATACTCACGGGCATCTGCCGGGAAGCCTAGGATCTCGTTCGCTTCCACGGTGTCGAAACCCAGGTCTTGTAGGTTGTATGCTTTCAACTTTTGCTCCAGACCTATGCCACGACCCTCCTGGCGAAGGTAAATGATGACTCCGTGCGGGATGGGCTCTTGGAGGATCCGGCGGGCAGCTTCCTGGAGCTGGTCTCCGCAATCACATCTCGCCGACCACGCTGTTTCTCCAGTGAAGCATTCCGAGTGAACTCGGACAAGCGGGACCGCCTTGGGATCGGAGCCCATCTCCCCTCGGGGTCGGTGACTGTCTGCGCCGCGCAAGATCCTGTCCCTTTCCGTCTCGCCTGGTCGTTCTGCCTGGATGGACCGCGAACGGATGAATTCTCCGAACACGATGGCGAGATGTTGCTTCTGGTTCCTCTGGTCATGATACAAGTGAAGGGAAGTGTTGGGTCCCAAGGTCCTAGTAAGTCAGTCAGCCAGAATCCCGAGGGTAGTGGTATATGATATCTCTGTGGCGCCTGGGGGGAGATGCCTGACTACATACGTCGGAAGCCGTGCTCGTGCTATGCAGGCGATGCGCGATAGGTCTGACTCTTTACTTTCACGAGATGCATCGTCTGAGATTCAGCAAATGCCCCGTCAGTCAGCAATAATGATACCCTTGTTGCCTCAACATGCTGTCAAATAAAAAAACATACCAGTGCCCTTCCCCTCCCTGCTCTCTTGGTTTCCTTCGATCGGAGTTGTGACAAGACGTCGCTGAAGTTCGATGAGCTTATTGACGCCTACGCCAGCTGACGAGCAATAGGCTAGTCTAGCCTCTCAAACGATACAAAGTAATCAGTCCCTTTCCATTGTGGGCAGAAATTGGATACAATTTCAGACCCAGACCTCTTCTGGGGGCTCTCCCTACCTATTGAGCAAAGGAGCTGCTCGTAACCGGTTTTGTTGCAGGATGATGGTCGACGGATGCGCAGCATATCGAACCACAGTCAAGCTACTAGATGAGAGAGAAAGTCAACCAGTGTCCAGCTTTTCATAACAATACCAGCAGCCTCTACACACACCGAGTTGTGTGGATCGAACACCACATTGTGGCGGGAATTGGAGGAACGAGCAACGTCAAACGTCAATGTCAGCCCTAGAGAGGGCAGGCTGAAGAGGCTACATTCGGATGCGATTCAGAGCACACAGAGGACATACTATAACATTCGTCCAGAGAAATGACGACTTACATTAGGCTCAGGAGGGCAGTGCAAAATCGGGGTGTACTCGGTCTGCTGGCGGGGGGTCAGGCCTTTCTCAGCCTCACTCTTCCACAATAGGAAGATATATTGTATCTGGGCTGCTTTCCTGAAAGAGACAGAACAGCGTCTAGTGAGGCTCTTCGCACACTGTTATCGTGTTAAAATACACTACTATTGGTCAGGGGATGCCATCCAGTTTCTACCGGTGGAACTCGCGGCACGGAAGGAACAAGGGTGTCATTGTCAAGACATACCCAGTGCGTCTTGAGGCTCGAACAGGGGAATGGTGTAACCGGTGTGTACCATCATGCGCATCCTGAAGTAATTTGTATGCTGCCTCGTCAAACATTTCGCAGCGGAATGGAGGGGGAGGACTGTCCATAGGTGGCTGGATTGAGCCGATTGCCAGCGAAGACTTCTTCTAGATCTGTCTTTCAGGGGTTCTAACGCTAGAACGAGATTCATGATTGGATCCTGAGCCTACGCTGGTACTAGGATACACGTCTGTGATAGAGGTGGGCAATGACCGGCCGATTTCCGACGGTACAGTACCATCTGAGGAAATCATGCCCTCTCCCACTCATCACCCACCCGCTATCATCGTTGCTCCCATGGACTCAGACACTCGGCAGGAAGGTGGCATTTGGGATGTCGTGATAGTAGGTGGCGGTAAGTTCATGTACCCTTTCCCCTGCTGTGTAGACTGTCTGACAGTTCGCGACGAGGCTGGCAGGGGATTGCTGCTGCAAAGACCTACCTGGATTTGCAGCCGATGATCAAACTTCTGATCGTGGATTCAGTGTGATCGATCTTGTCCATCTCCTGGCGTTTGGACAGACTAACACCGTGACTCGACAGAATCGAACGATTGGCGGCGTCTGGGCGTTGGAAAACCTCCATCCGAAACTCAACACCCAAAACACTCTAGGCACATTCGAGTACAGCTGGTATCCCATGTCAAGCCAGGAGTTTGGAGTCGAAGAGGGCGCCCACATTCCCGGGAAAGTGGTACATCAGTACCTATCAGCAGTGGCACAACGGTTCCAGATCTTGCAGCGGATCCGATTCAGTATCCTTGTTCTCTCCGCCGAGAAATCACCAGAGGGGGGATGGCTGCTGACGGTCAAAGATTCGGCGACAAGTGAAGCTGAATCTTTCTTGAGATGTGAGAAACTCATTGTTGCAACTGGCATCACCTCGAGGCCAAGGCAATCCAACCTTGCTGGACGGGACCGCTTCAAAGGACCTTTCCTCCTCTATGCCGACCTGCTTCGCGGAACCGGCCGGGAGGTGCTGGACAATGCCGCCGTGTCCTCAGTCACCGTGATCGGAGGATCGAAAGGCTCTTACGACGCCGTCAGCTGGGCGATCGATGCCGGCAAGAGTGTCAACTGGATCATCCAGCGATCTGGCCATGGCCCGGCGTGGATGACCCCGGCGGCCCTGAGTGTGGTAGGATTCCGGCCACAATTCGAGACGTTCCCGACCAGAAGAGCCTTCAGTGTCCTTTCCCCGTGCGTGTGGGCCGAAGACGGAGTCTTTGCTGGACTCAGGTGGCTTCTCCACCAGACAAGTGTGGGAAGACTCCTGGTTGACATGCTGTGGTTCATTCTTTCCCATGTCGTTCTGAAGTCGCTTCAGATTCTGCCCGACGACCTGCTTTCCAATCTCCAGCCGAGCTGCGGGTATGTTCCTTCTCTTCTCCAAGCTGTCCCTGTCCTCCGTTGCTATGTATTTGGGAGTTGACAAGCTCTAGCATCCAGTGGCAGGCGTCCTCTACCGGCACGTTGAACTACCCAGGAGGAGACTTTTACCGCCGCGTGAAAAGAGCCAATGTTTCCATTCATCGGCAGGACATCACGAGCAGCACGGAGCACGGCCTTCAACTTGGCGATGGGACTGAGGTACGCACCGATGCAATCATTCACGTCACGGGTTGGCGCTGGACATGTCCCTTTGACCTGGTCGGCATCAACACGCTGGAGCACGGCATTCCAACCGTGGCTGGCGACTCACACGACACGACACAATGGCATCTGAGATCCCAGGAGATGCGGCAACACATGACGAGCAGGTTCCCCTATCTGATGAAGGCGCCGCAGCCACCCTCAAGCTCTCAAGCCAGCTCCCGCCCTTCTCTCGGCCGTGGGCCAGAATCAACCCCCTGGTGCCTCTATCGCTGCATTGCGCCGCCGTGCCAGGTGCGAACCGAGGGCTCAGGCTCAGGTTCGGGTCATAGGGACTTGGTCTTCGTGGGCTTCTTCAATACATTTCCAAAGGTGCTTTTGTCGGAAATCCAGGCCCTGTGGGCTGTTGCATACCTACAGGGTAGAATTGGCTGGGCCGTAGGAGACGAACCGAGCCAGGTCCAGATTGCGCACGAGGCTCAGATGTGGTCCTGTTGGGCTGCTCTACGCTACCCCTTCGGCCACGCATCGAAATACCCGGATACGGCCTTTGACATCATTCCATATTTTGATGTCCTGCTGAAAGATCTGGGCTTGGAAACGAAGAGGAAACAAGGCTGGCTGAAGGAGCTATGCAGCCCGTATGGAGTGAGCGACTACCGGGGCATCATTGAAGAATTCCAAATGCTACAAGTAAGAGGAGGTTGATACAGTACAAAACAGGATACATGTCAGGTAAGGTACCGTATACTCTGTACAGTACGGAGTACTTTACAAGACCTACAGTAGGAGCCTTAGGAGCCTCCTAAGCCCCTGCGCATTGGGCTCCTTAGGCTTATTAGGCCCTTACAGTAAGCCTAAGGGCCTTAGGTGGACATACCCTTGTCCTGTTCCGGGCGTTGGACTCAAGGTGTCGATGCCCAAGCCTGCAACTGCCGACGGCAACCATCAGGCCTCAGCCGACCGGGGTCATCAAGCACATGCCTCACGACTACAGCCTCAGATGCCTTCCGGACTGGCGTATTGATTAACTCATAGTTCTCTGTAGGTTCGTGATTCCTCGGCGTGGCGGGACATGGTTTGCTGTGGTTGAGCCGCACCGCAGGGATTCAGTCTGCACGCCGCCCAAAGCAGCCTCAGGCCCCCTGCCACTACACACACCCACCACATCTGCCTCCTCCTCCTTCTCCTCCTCTTCCTCGTCGTCCTCGTCGCCGTCCTCGTCGCGGGCCTCGCCTCGAACGACGAGTTGTAATGGCCAATGTTGCAGGGGCCCAAGCCCTGCCGCAATTCGCAGCCCCGGGTCCCAACTTGTGCAGATCATGGGTTGCCTGACCGCTGCCTGGCCTCGCACCCGCGGTGTCAGTGTGAATCCTGTCCCAGCCTCGAGTCTCATCAACCTAGCAGAACGAGGGTCTGGGGGCCTCGGGCTTTCCCCTCCTCCTCACATTCACTCCGACGCACTATCCTCGTCTTGCTGACCTTCACTGACTTGACTGCTCTAGCTTGAGTAATGTCATAGACTGATCTCTGGCCCGGGTGCTCCTGTCCTCTACCGCAGCTGGAGACGACCACCCTGCTCTGTGCGAAACCATCCAGCGAAGCCCGCCTCTCGAGGCCAAGGCCGCAACAACCATGCGACTTCTTCAGCTCAATAGTGACGGCAGTATAAAACGAACAGGATACCTGTATTCCGGGATTCAAATCCCCAAGTATGCTATACTCTCGCATACCTGGCTAGACGACGAGGACGAGGTCAGTTTCGAAGACTTCGACAACGGACATGCTGAACAGAAGACCGGCTATGAAAAGATCCGCTTCTGTGGCGCACAAGCCGCCAAAGATAGCCTGGAGTATTTCTGGGTTGACACTTGTTGCATCCCGAGATCAAATAACACGGAGCTCCAGGAGGCTATCACGTCCATGTTTAAGTGGTACCGCAACGCTACCAAGTGTTATGTCTACCTGACGGACGTTGATGTGTCTGAAGGTGAGGCCAACGACGCGTCCTCCTCACGCCTGTGGGAGTCGGCTCTTCGTCGCAGTCGGTGGTTCACCCGCGGTTGGACGCTCCAAGAACTGCTCGCCCCGGCCTCGGTCGAGTTTTTCTCGGTCCAAGGCACACGGCTGGGCGACAAGAAGTCGCTGGAACAGTACATCCTTGAGATAACCGGCATTCCACCCCAGGCCCTTCGCGGAGAGCCCTTGGCCAAGTTCAGCGTGGCCGAGCGATTGTCATGGGCAGAGACCCGACAGACCAAGCGCAAAGAAGACAGGGCGTACTCGCTGCTGGGAGTCTTTGCCATCTTCATGCCTCTGATGTATGGTGAAGGCGACCATGCCTTCACCCGGTTACAGCAAGAGATTGAACGGAAGCACGCCGAGAGTGCCAGACAGGATGCTCTGCTATCCACATTACCTACTGCCCCCCAGGCTGCCTTCAACTCATTCAACAATCAGCACGCCTCAACTTGTCTCCCCAACACCAGGGTCGAGCTTCTTCAAAACATCACCGAGTGGGCGGACGGATCCGACGACAGGTGTATCTTCTGGCTCAATGGGACGGCGGGCACCGGGAAGTCCACGGTTGCGCGTACGGTGGCCAGGACATATCATGACCGAGGCAATCTAGGGGCCAGTTTTTTCTTTTCAAGAGGAGGCGGTGATGTCAGCCACAGCGATAAGTTGTTCACAACTCTTGCCTCCCAGCTGGCGACAAAGATACCTTCCATCAGACGTCACATCTACGGTGCTATAATGGCACAAAAGGACATTGCCGCACAATCTCTGCGTGATCAGTGGGACCAGCTGATTCTCAATCCGCTCAGCATGCTTGACACCCGTGCTGCCCCTCCAGCAATTGTCCTTGTCCTGGATGCGTTGGATGAATGTGACAGTGAGCGAGATATTCGGATCGTTTTGAGACTCTTGGCCACCACGAGGCTGTCGACTGGGAAGGTGCGGTTGCGCATCTTCATCACGAGCCGGCCGGAGACTCCGATCCGCTGCGGCTTCTCCCAAATCCCAGAAGCGGAGCGCCAGGTCTTCGTTCTTCAGGACATCTTACCCACCATCGTGGACCGAGATCTAAGTCTCTTCTTCGAACACAGCTTCGCCAGCATCCGAGAAGAACGCGACTTTCCCCCCGACTGGCCCGGGATGCGAGTCATCACGCGCTTGGTGGAGATCTCGTGTGGTCTTTTCATCTGGGCGTCGACCGCGTGCCGGTTCATTCGTGAAGGCCGGCGACTTGCCATGAGACGAATCACCATTCTCATCAATGGCCATCGCTCCGGTGCGGGTCCGGAGAAGCAATTGGACGAAATCTACACCACCGTTCTCAGAGACTCCACTCAGCAAGGCTACAATGAAGAGGAGAAACAGGAAGTCTACCAGACTCTCAGAGAGGTTCTCGGTAGTATCGTGACTCTGTTATCTCCTCTCTCTACCGAATCCCTGGTCCATTTGCTTCGTAAAACGCCACAACATATTGATGAGACGTTGGCGGACTTGCACACCATCTTCAACATCCCTGCTCAAAAGAACCGCCCGATCCGGCTGCATCATCCTACATTCCGCGACTTTCTTCTCAACAAGAACCGGTGCAGTGACTTGAACTTTTGGGTCGACGAGAAGCAGGCACACAGAACGTTGGCCGACAACTGTATCCAGCTCATGTCGAGAATGCTCAGAAGGAACATCTGTGGCCTCGACTCACCAGGGGCCCTGGTGAGAGATGTCGACCCCAGTCTCATTGAGGAGCGCATACCGCCAGAGCTCCAATACGCATGTCTGTACTGGGTCCAGCATTACCGGCATAGCGGGACGCGCCTACAAGATAATGACCCAGCCCATCGGTTCTTCCAGAAGCACTTCCTGCATTGGCTCGAGGCCGTCAACCTGATTGGGAAGAGTGCTGAGGCGGCGGCAGTGATCAGAATGTACCACTCTCTCCTCATGGTAGGTATTTACCCTGGTTTTATTGACGTTTGGGTGTTAACATTGGGATATTTGAGCCCGCAGACAATTTGCACCAACTGGCCTTCGTCAAAGACGCGAGACGATTCATCTTCGCGTTCCAATCTATCATCGAGTATGCGCCTCTGCAGACATACTGCGCCGCTCTTTCGTTCATCCGGCCTACCAACGAACTGAAGCACCATTTCGGGCGTGAGATGCATCCGTGGATCAAACAGGTCCGGATCGCCGAGGCCATTGCACCAGAAGCCAAAGACGAATACAACTACGTCAACGACATATCGTTCACGCCAGATGGTCGACAAGTTGCATCCGGATCGGTGAACGAGGTGGTCAGGCTTTGGGACGTTGCCACAAAGGCCACTTCCTTCAAACTGGTGGGCCAAACGGAGAAGGTAAGTTCCGTTGCCATCTCACCAGGCGGAAGGATGATTGCCTCGGGCTCGGATGATGCCACCGTCATGGTCTGGGACATGAGGACGAGAGCCGTGCTTCACAGTCTAGGGGGACATTCACGCTGGGTCAACTCGGTGGTGTTCTCGCCAGATGGAAAGCTGCTTGCCTCAGGCTCCATGGATGAGACGGTGCGTGTGTGGGATGTGGTCAAGGGCAAGGAGATCAACATGTTTGATGGAAGCTCAAGCTGTGTGAACTCGGTTGCCTTTTCCCCGGACGGCTCACTCATTGCTTCTGGCACCGTCGATTGCGTGGTGCGGCTCTGGGCCGTCGACACCGGCGAGATTCGGGTAATGCTGGACGGCCATTCCGGCTGTATCAACTCTGTTCGATTCTCGCCCGACGGCAGGCGGATCGTGTCTGGATCGGATGACATGACGATTAGGGTTTGGGACACGGCCACGGAAACCGAAATCATGAGCCTGAAAGGGCATTTGAAAAAGGTTATGGCCGTGACCTTCTCCCCGGACGCTCGCCTCATTGCGTCAGGCTCCGAAGACAGGACTGTTCGTCTTTGGAACGCTACTACCGGTGTTACTCTGGCTACGCTCGTAGGCCATACGAGTGGCATCAACGCAGTTACCTTTTCTCCGGATGGCCAGATCCTCGCCTCGGGCTCCTTCGACGACGAGGTCCGGCTCTGGGCGGCAGAGACGGGCGAGTCGCTTGGAAAGCTGGACGATTTCGACAGTGATGATGTCGAACCCGGCTTCCAGCTGGTCCAGCAGTGGACCAAGGGTGAGGCTACATCAGACTTGGACTTGGACGAGAAGGGGACCCTCGCGTCTACTGCAGCAACCCTGGTGGAAAAGGAAGAGTTCAAAGGTCACGCCAGCACAGTCCTCTGCGTCGTCCCCTCACCGGATGGACGGTCAGTCGCGTCCGGCTCACACGATACCACGATCAAGGTATGGACCGTAGAGGGAGTGGAGCGCTTGAAGCTCGAGGGCCATTCGGGCAGTATCAGCCATCTGGAATTCTCGCCAAACAGTCATCTGCTTGCATCGACCTCGACCGACAAAACAGTCAGGCTCTGGAGCATGGAAACAGGCGCCGAACTACACACACTCAGAGGCCATTCCGGTACTGTTCGGCATGCGCAATTTTCTTCCGACGGCCGCCTTCTCGCCTCATGCTCCATTGACAAGACCATTCGGCTTTGGGACACCGCGACCGGCACGGTCGTCCACAGTCTCGAAGGCCATGTCGACACGGTCAACCGGGTTGCATTCTCGGCGGCAGACAAGCACAATTGTAATCATCTTCTCGCGTCATGCTCGGCAGACACGACAATCATGCTCTGGGACCTTGCCACGGGCCAGCGACGCACAACGTTCCGAGGTCATGTAGACGCCGTCAACTCGGTTGCATTCTCAAGAGATGGCCAGATGCTCGTCTCTTGCTCCGCTGACCGGACTGTGAGGCTCTGGACGACAGAAAGTGGAACAATGTGTGGCATTTTCAAAGGCCATACGCTTCCCGTCAACTCGGCTGCATTCTCGCCGGACAACAAGCTGGTGGTGTCTTGTGCCGATGACGAGACGGTCAGGCTCTGGTCCCTGGAAACCGGCTCTCCGCGCGCCGTCCTGAACGTCGCTGTCGTGGTTCGCGCCGTGGCTTTTGCCAGCAGCAGCAGAGCCATCCACACTGACAGGGGAGTATTGGATGTCGACTCTCTCCCCTTGACTTCTCCTCCTTCTCCTTCTGGGGAACTTGACCTTGACAGCGTCCTTGTCAATATTTCCTTGGAAGATGGTCAACAAACGCTTGCAGACCATCTCTTTGTGACCAAGGACTGGCTGAAGAGAGGAGCGGAAAACACCCTCTGGCTTCCTGACGAGTATCATGCCACGAGCGTGGCTACAACCAGTTCTACTACTTGGGGTGATGCCATTGTCTTGGGCCACCCGTCTGGAAGTATTTCCTTCATTTCTCTTTAGCGGACCACAGATGATTTCCATCGAGAAAGGTCTAGCTCAGTGTCAAATTGAAGGTCAGCACTACTTACTTGGACTGCGTGGCCGAGTTACTACGTATCGTATGGTGGAGGGATCTGATGCCGCATCAACGAGGTGAGGCGAGGTGAGGTGTATCAAGCTCGGTTGTGCTTTTCCTTCTCTGTTTCAAGTTCTATTTCCATTTCCCTTTCTTTTTCGTCTCGCAGGGTGACCTTCTGTCTTGATATTGATACTGATACCCCTGTTGGTTGCGTCAATGGCGATTTTCTTTTTCCCTTTTTTCCCTTTTAAATCTGGATCTGGATCTGGATCTGGATCTGATTCGGATGAATCAAAACCAAGACAATATCTCCGAGAATCCATCTTGGTTCTACAGAGGATGGCCGGGTGATCGGAGTGATGCAATGTAATGCAGTTTCGGTCTGGGAAAAATCCTGTCTCTAATGTCTAAATTCTGTCTCAAACGTCTATAACTTGTACGTCTATAACTTGACATCTCCAAATGTACCTATATTAATGTACCTAAATATCGCGTACCATCGAATTCGAGCACGCTGCAGTGGTTATGGTATGGTTAAACCACCGAAGGTATGTGGGCACTTGGACACTGTAAGGTAGTTACAGTATGACTCTGTGTATTGGCCATCTGTAAGTAAGGCAAGGCATGTAAAAGCCAGCTTTCCCGAGCCAGCAGTAGCAGTAGAAGCATATGGCATATGGCTGTGTGATACATGATCTTTCTTGTCCCATGGAATCAATGAATGGCCGCACCTGAGACTGTGCATTGGCAGCATTGGCAGCATTTTTCAGGGTCATGCAGAGACAGTGACAGTCTTATAGCCTTATCGGATGACGTATTAAAATATATCTCGAGCCTATTACTATCATATCACTCCCAGAGCCTGTGTCAGGGTCACGTAGAGACAGTTGCAGTCTCAGCGGTAGCCTTAGCGACAGCGACAGCGTCATCGACATCAACAGCGACGGCCTTATCAGATGATGAATCAAAATACACCTTAAGCCTATTGCTCTCACTCCTGGAGCCTATATTAGGGTTATACAGAGACAGAGACATCGACACCGACATCGACAGCCTGGTCGGATGACGGGTTAAAATGTATCTTGAGCCTATTGCTATCATATCACTCCTAGAGCCTGTGTCAGGGTCATGCAGAGACAGAGAAACAGCCTTAGAGACAGCGACAGCCTTAGAGACAGCGACAGCCTTAGAGACAGTGACAGCCTTGAAGACAGCGACAGCGTCATCGACATCGACAGCATTGTCGGATGACGGATCAAAACGCATCTTGAGCCTATGTGCTATCATTCCTAGAGCCTGTGTCAGGGTCATGCAGAGACAGTGACAGTCTCAGCGACAGCGTCATCGACATCAACAGCCTTTCGGATGATGTATCGTAATGCATCTTGAGCCTATTGCGATCACTCCCAGAGCCTGAGGCCGGTGGGCTTGGCTCCTCCCGCCTTGCTTTTATAGCTGCCCGCAAGGTTGCAGGACTCGTCGAACCTCATTGCTTTGAGCATGGACGACCTCGACCGAGTCTTGCTGCAAGACGCGCTTCACCTCGGCCCACGCTGCAGGGTCCGGGTCGACACACCTTTGAGCGTCTTCAATCACGTAAGTTGCAAAACCAGCCTTTGCGGCGCCTCTCGCGGTATCTTTGACGCAGTAGTCTCCAGCCAAGCCGACGACATAGACGTGGGTGATATGACGGGCGTGTAGGAACGAGGCGAGATCCAAGTCGACGCCGCCGGCGCCTTCGGTCATGTTGCCAAAAGAATCGGAGAAGGCAGAGTACATCTCGACGCGGGCGTCCATGCCCTTCCTCACATTGACGTCGACTTTCGACACGTCCAGCTCGTCGATGATCTCGGCGCCCCGCGTGCCTTGCACGCAGTGGACCGGCCACAGTCGCTGCATCATGGTTTGCTCTGGCCGGTTTCCCACCAGGTTCTTCATCTCGATGAAAGACTCGAACGGCTTGTTGTTCGGCGCGGTGTGGTTGGCCGCGAATGAGATGTGGTCGCTGGGATGCCAGTCTTGAGTGCTCACCTTCACCTCGAACATGGGAGAGGCAAGGAGCTCGTTGATCAGTGGTACAATCTCTCGGCCTCCTGGCACTGCGAGCGATCCGTCCTGTGTGGATACATCACAATTAGGTCAATGTATTGTCAATGTATTGTCAATGTGAATTGATTGTCAGTGTCAATGTGGATGTTAATGTGAGTGTCAATGTCAACGTCAACGTCAACAAAAAGGACTTCAACAGGAACAAGAGAATCTTGTAGTGCGGGATGGGATGGATCTCTCGTACAGGAGGACAAAAGTCATTCTGCATGTCGACTACAATGAGCGCTGGCTTGAAAGGCATGTCGGGGGGCATGGTGCTGGTGCCGGTGCTTGTGCAGGTGCAGGTGCTGCCGGTGCCGGTGAGCAGATCCGAAGGAGGAGGAGGAGTGAGTGCATCGGACAGGCTTAGGCCGCTATGGAAGACAAGGTAGGTACCGTTTGTCCCGCCCGAGAGAAGAGGGTGATACTGTCCTCCGTAGGTCAGTAGATCGTAGATACACGACGTCTCTCTTGAGTGTGGGTGTGGGAAATCGTGGGTAGATGTAGGGATAGGACCACTCTGTACCACCAGCACTATCGGCGTTGGGTGAGTGAGGTGAGCGAGTGATTGACGTCGACCACTGGCACTTCAAGTTCCCTCAGTTCAACTTCACTGGGCACTCACGGGCTAGAGAGGCTCGGCTTAGGCTTAGGCTTACTTGGGTGCGGTATGTGTTACGGAGGACTGTAGTTAATGGTTAATGGCGGGCTTAGGCTTAGGAGGCGGCGAGCCAAGCCTATCTTAGCGGCCTTCGGGGTCATCTTCTATCTCGCTCTTCTAAACTTGCCTTCCACCCTCTCCCAACCCAACCAGAAGTCCATGCGCAAGGGCGACTTAATTTCCATTACCACTGGCCGTGATCACTACGAGGCGGCTCTGCGACTTCGCGAGAGAACCTTGAGAGACGTTTTAAGCAGAGCAAACGTTACGTTGCAACTTGAATGAACGCTGCTTTCGCTTTGTTCACTGCCGACTGCCCCAAGCAACCAACCTTGACCTTCACTATCTACGCATCCTTTGAAGCCGTCGTCACCGCGCATCACCACAACCCAACACTGCGGTCCGAACCTGTTCTGTCCTTACAACAGTGCGCGTACGAACGTTAAGGGGAAGAGGTGACACAATCCAGCAGAAACACCGCGCATCATGTCCAAAGTCCTGGTGGTGAGTATCCCTCACGACACTTTGGAACAATCACAACCTGTCTCATGGGTCGTGGATCTACCATGTGAGATGGATATGCTAACAATCACCTGCCATAGGGCGACGTGTATGCCAAAGTCATCGGCGACGTCTGTGAATGGTCTCGGCAGGATTTCGAGGAGGGCGGCGTGGAACTGGCAACTCTAGATCTCTTGAAATCGGTAGGTCACCCTGCGCCGTCAGGCCGAAGCTTCCGTGTTTGCATTGCATTGTGGCAGTCCTCCTTTTTGTTATTGCAGAACATTGCATCCAAGCAAACTACAGCCATGTCAGATGTTCATCTCTTCGGTGCGGTCAGTGAGCTTGCGTTGGCTGCTGGTGACAGCAGCGACTAACCGGAGGGGAGGGAGGGCGAGGGCGAGGCGAGCGAGGGTCGGAAGCGAGGCGGGGATCGGAGGGTTCTTGAATGCTGCCCCCTTTGACTCATGCCTCTTTATACGCCACGCTGGCTGCCTAGCCACCAAGCCTGCCCGCTCTAACCCGTCTGGGAATGCCCTCATGCTGCCTCAACCTCAACCTCACCCTCACCCTCGGGTTTCTCCCACTCACCTCTCTATCTTGCATTTGGACAGAGCAGTGGTGTTCAAGTTGGCTGACTCAGTCTCGCAACTCTACAGGAATGGCAGAAGAAGCTGTCTGGCCTCAAGGTCGCTCATTTGCCGTGGGACCCTCCGCCGGCGCCTATCATCAAAGACCAACCAACGGTTCCTAGCAACGCCAAAGCGATCCCACTGACCCTCCCCAGCAATGGCAACACTGTCACAAACACTCCTCAACCTCCACCTCCGCCAGCGCCAGCACCGGCCGCCCCCTCTGCAATTCCTATCAAGTCCGAAAACAAGGCCCCTTCTTATCCTCCACAAGCTCCAGCACAGCAGTATCAGGCTCCCGCTTTCCAGCAAGGCGAACCGATGACAGCTCGTGACCGTGCCGCCATGAATCTGCATCAGAGCTTTGGACAACGAGCAGGACCTCAGATTGCACAACTCCAATCCAACCAGCCCCGGATCCCTTTGCAGCCATCTGCACCGCCAACAGGCACCTTCATCAAACAGGAAGATGGGCCATCAAGTTTTTCCGGAGTTCAAGACTATCCTTCCGACGTCAAGCCACAGATACCCACGCCACTCAAGTCGAGCCAGACCGATGGAGCTGATGACTCTCGCGATACGTGGGCTACTGAGTATGCTCGGCGGAAAGCGTTGGCTGCCGCACATGGTGCCGAAAGTGACCGTCTCATGCGAGCACATTTTCAGGCGAAGCAACAAGAGCTCGAAGGCGGCGGTCTTCTCCTGAACCTCGAAGAACGCAACATGCCCAGCTATTCGCTTTCCCGTAAACTGAAGAGTCTGACCGGCGAAGGACCATCTACCACTCCGTCCCTCACACGTGCCCAGGCGGATGCGACAGGAGATGACGAGGATGATGAAGAGGATGAAGACGCCATCAATTCCGACCTCGACGACCCAGATGAGTTGGCTGCCAACGAAGAAGATGGGGAGAATACCGACCAGGTCATGCTCTGCACATACGACAAGGTGCAGCGCGTCAAGAACAAGTGGAAGTGCACGCTCAAGGATGGCATCTTCCGCGTTGGCGGCACCGAGTAAGTAATCGAGTTCCTATGGAGTTCGAGCCTGCCATGTCACTTTCGTTTCGACTGACCATTCGTTCTAGGTATGTCTTCCACAAGGGCCAAGGTGAATTCGAGTGGTGAGCAATGTACGTTGATGCGCGGATTGGATTTCGGCTATGCGGCGTTTCTGCGTCTACTTCTGCAGTCCCCCACTCCCCGTTCCACATTCGGACGAGACAAATGGGATAGCTGCGCGGCGTTGTCAACGGAGCGGGAGGGGCCACGACATGATATCAAGTTTGGAATCTGCTTATGGGCCGTGCCGATCATGTCGGACACGACGAAAGGCAGGACAGGGTGCGGCAGGGCCATCCAGACAGCACTGTTGCAAGACCTCTCATCTTCAAATCATCACTCCTCACTTCTTGCTCCTCACGGCAAATGATTGATTTGGCTGGGAGAGGGCAGCGACGGGCCGGGCCGGGCACATGCCAGCGTTGATGGGCTTTATGGATGGACACTGGACAGGCCTGGGGAGGATTTCACGCGCGGCCGATTTTCAATGTTTATTATTTGCTGGTCCACAAAAGGTCTCCCGACAGTCATGGCCATGACTCTCCAGGAGATAGAAGATAGAAGATAGCGGAGCGAGTCTTTCCTCTACAATCTTCAATAATGCAGGACTAAAGAACACTTAGGGGAAGCTTGAACAAAATTCGAGAAAGAAAATAGGAAGAAAAAGAAAAAATGACAAAAGGAAGGCGAATGAATCAGATTCAATATTCAATTTGGGTTCTTGACTTCCCATCCCCATGCTCAGGAACCACTGTCGAAGTAAATTGCCACATACCAACCACAGATAGATAATCTATATCCGGCGTAGGGGGGCGCGCGTTGAAGCGTCTGGTCTCGGAGTAGACGGTGACGGTGACGGTGACGGTGACCGGTGGCGGGCGATGCCTACTAGACACAGACACAGTAGGACTCGTATCTGACGCCTTCATACTAAGGTAGGTAGTCTAGATGGTAGATACCAGATGCGAATTGTTATATCAAGAGTAAGAATCTGGCGATTTGACCCATCTTCTATAGTATATAGGTAGGTACTCTTAACTGGCGGCATTCGGGCATCCGGAATAGGATTATGGATGGCAGAATCAAACACAAGAGACAGTAAAGTTCATTCGGATACCTGGCCAACTAGTAGTACATAATCAAGTTGTAACGAGTGGCTCCCCAGACATGACTCTGGAATGAATGGCCCGAGTGGCATAAGCCTCAGCCGAGAATATCGACTCGTAACGACCGCAACTATCTCCTCCGAGAATAGCACACCCACGACATCCGCGGAGACACCTGTGCTGCCCTCCTTGCCCCGGCTGTTTCCTCTTGTGGTGGCCATGAATCGGGATCGAGCATCAGGTTCTGGCTGGTTGAACTGCAGAAGTGCTAGGCGGCGAGGCCCATCGATGTACACTTTCGATCATGGATTCCTGACTTCCCCATAAAGGTACACGCGCAAGCCGTTGGATCGCCCGCTCTTGTGTGCGATTGTTCCTGAGTCTAGCCCTGGCCATCTTCTCGCTAAAGGAAAGGGTATAATCAGGAAGTGTGACGGCTCGCTGACACCCAACCGTTAGCCTTACAGCGCCCCTGTATCTTCCGGCCTGCTCTCACCTTGTCCCTTTCCCAATCAGCCAGAACCTTGCTCAGCTCGCACAGCACTCCAAAGTGACTCGGAACGTCTATATAGTTCGAGAAAAGGTTCCAAACCAGTCCAGATTCCGGATCGATGCATTCGTTTGGGGCGAGATCCGTGGCGAGCAGGTGTTGTTCCTCTAGGGGCAAAACATGCGGCCAAAACTGTGGCCGATCATAATCCGCGCTCCCAGCTCCGTACATTAAGTCCGCGATGGGAGGGGGAAATTCACCTTGGACCTCGCCATTCCGGGCAGCTATGATCTTTAACTTCCGAATCTTCCACTCTATAGTAAGTCTTTCAGCTCCACCATCCAAGAGGAGCTCCCCGGCCATGTCCACGAAATGAGGTAGAGCAAGCTCGTCGAACATGCGTCGCCCCCGAAAGGTTGTTCGCGTCAGAGGCCAAAGGCAACCGAGAGTAACGGGATCATACAAATCGTACGTATGCTCGAAACACTCGACATGGTAAATGTCTGAAGAACAAAGCCATGGTCAGTTAGCGTCCTGGTCTCGAGAGTCTGTTCGGTGAGAGTATGAAACACTGCGTAGGGAGTGGTACCAGCCAGTCTGTTATCACTGCTAGGGCAGGCGGCCACTTGATACCGACCCTGATCGAGCTCACGACCGCAATCCTCGGCGCAGCATGTGCGGGTATCTTGCTGCAGGATGGTTCGTTCAACAAAGAGCCATTGCGCCCTGGTCTCGGGGAGTTCAGGATCTTCCTTCTTGATTGGCCGTGGCGGTGAGGGAGCGGGTGATGGAAGAGGTTGACCATTTTCTGCCGATATATCTTGCTCAGAAGCCATATTGCAAAAATAGCTGCGAATTAAAAGGTATGGATAACAAAGTGTGCTAACGTGCCGATTTTCTTTTCTACATGAGAAGTGAAGGGGATATACTCTTGAAGGGGATATGATCTATCAGTCAGTACTTCATACCTTCCCTCTATTCATAGCTGAATGGCCACTTCCTCAAAAGGCCCTTCCGGGAAACATCATCTGGCAGGAGGAGACCGTTGATGGTTTCACTACTTGCTCAGTGCGTAGGTTGTCCGAAAGGTATTACCGCGGTAGGTGCTAATGCTGGAAAATAGCATGACACTAGCAGGCTAAACTTTGAGGACATTCTTGAGCCTTGAGTGAGAACAAGGCCACAGGCCCTACAGACGGACGACGTAGCGTGGCATGGGCACGGAGGAATGCCAACCATCACGACGGCGCTGACTATGTTTCGCGTTGACTGAGAAACTGCGCTTCAAAAACGGTGAAACATATGAATTGGAAACGGCGGAGTATTGAGGCCTGAGGGGCTAGGGGCCTCATCCCCAAAGCTGAAATCCAACTCAGCTCGTCACTTGTAATATTAGTGGGTGACGTAATGAGCAGTTCAGCTGGTTGTGCAGGCCACAATCATTGTTGTCCAACCTGCTCGCGATCTGCTCCGTAAATGCTCTCTGGCCACATCTTCTTCCTCTTCCCTCCACCACAAACTGGTCTGCCAACTCACGGTTTCAGCCTCTGTTACTTCCCTCCTCCTACTGAACAAAATCAACTGCGCTGTTCGACACTCTAGACTCGTCTTAGCAGCAAGTCAACACCGCAATCATGACGCTCTACTACAGTTTGGTCAGTAGCTTCCCCGACTCGAGATCGACTTCCACATCGATGTATTTCACATTACGCGACCGGCGCTGACCGTCATATACAGGTGTTCGTCCTTCTAGTGGCCGAAATGGTGCTTTTCATCGCCCTGATCGTGCCGTTGCCTTTTACCGTCAAGCGGAAGATGTTCAATTTCATATCGGAAAGTCCATTAGTTGCCAAATTACAATATGGAATGAAGGTATGTAGTGGTCCTCCAGTGGTGGTACAACTCACCTAACATCTTACAGATCACGTTTATCTTCATCCTTATTCTATTCCTCGATAGTGTCAACAGAGTCTATCGAGTTCAGGTGGAAATGCAATCTCTCCTCAAGGACAGCTCTGGAGCAGGGTCAGTTAATAGAGCGATCACGCCGAGGGATTTCGACTGACTTCAGCAGACGAGCAGCGGCAATTGGCTCCGACCGCATGGAAGTCCAGGCCCGCAAGTTCTATTCTCAGCGAAACATGTACTTGACTGGATTCACCCTCTTTCTGTCCCTCATCTTGAACCGTACCTATGGTATGATCCTTGACGTCCTCCGTCTCGAAGAAAAGGTCAAGATGTACGAGGGAGACCCACAAGCCGGTGGTAAGGAAGGCGAGAAATTGGGCAAACACTACCGCGCGGATCAGATTGGAGAACTCAAGAAGCAACTCGAGAAGAAAGACAAGGAACTGTCGGCGATGAAGAGTCAGGCTGAAGGGTTGCAGAAAGAGTACGATGAGCTGAGCGTCAAATACAACCAACTGAATCCTAGCACCGGCGACAAGAAAAGCAACTAGGGCAAGTCTCCGCACCCAGAGAAAAATGAAGAGGGTTCAGAAGCAGCTCTTAGTTGACAAGAATGTGCTGAGAATGTTGGAATTGGGGCATTGCCTCTTTACTGGTAGCATATCTTGAAGACGCTACGGCACAGACACAGACACATTGGTAGTGGCACGGACGATAAGGCTCGCATGGCATGGGAGGCGTGAGAGCCATCATTTCTGGCGTTTGATAGGTGAGATATCGACATAGCCAGTGTAAATGCTGAAGGTGGCATTAGGGAATAGAAATACTTGGTCATGAAGCAGGTGAAAGACTATCCATTACGATGGACCAAGTGATCCTACATCCTACTCTGCAGACCGCTATTTGTTATTTGTCCGGCAAAGCGAGGAGTTCTAAAGCGAAACATGCTGGCTGGCAAGATCAATGTTGACCACGGCAGTTGTCAGACACTCAGATTTCCCTTTCCTGCTCCATGTCGAAAGTATCTTGCTCCGTGTGTGCTGCTAATGTCACTGCCATCCTCGTGACGAAACGTCTTTGCCCGGTGTGTACCAGCAAGTGTCCGTCCATTGGGTTCCGCAAATGGCATGGCGAGCAAGAAGACCAGCCTGCGCCCTCTTTCCGAATAACGAGTCGAAGCAATGCAGTTTCACGATCATCCGCACTCGCAGGGAGCTCTCAGGCGCACGCACCAAACGCAGATGATTCTCGCCGTGCCTGGCAACCGAGTGTGCGACTTTCAGCGAGGTCATGGGCAATGTAATGCAGTGCAGCTCTACGGAGGCCAGGACCAGTGCTGTAGCCACAGCTGCAACCACAACCGCAACCGCAGCCGCAGCCGCAGCCGCAGGCATCAGGCTGTGGGCGGTGCAAACTCTCAATGACGATTCTCCGATCTTTCATGTCCTGTGTTTCGCCGTTGATTGCCACAACCCTCAGTTCCCTGCCATTTCGCCACAAGAGGGCTGGAGTATTGGAGTACTGGTGGGCTGGTGGACTGGTTGCCCCCCGTGTCATCACGCAGCTACGGAGCTCAACTGTGTGAAGCTGACCAGGATGGATCTGACGAGGTCTGCTCTGACGCAGCAGAACGCGTCGTCGCGGTTACCAAGGTTCGAGGATCGTGAGGCTGCCCCCTTTTTCCCTTTTCCCGCCCGGTTCGCCAATGGAAAACCCCTCAGAGTGGGCACAGCCTTGCACATATCGCCTTCGCAAACCTGTCGCGGTTGCGGTCGCGTACACTCGCCTCCAAATGATCTCAGAAGCCCTCGTCATTTGCAGTCGGTCTTGGCCCATGGAAGACCTACTTATACTCTCTCCCTCTCTCTCGAACATCTTCATCCTCCATCTTCTCTATTCACTCCAATACCACACAATTCAACACACTCTTGCATCCCTCTTCTTCTTCTTCTTCTTCTGCTTCTTGCTCTCCCTGCTCTTCTGTCTTGTCTTTCTGCATTCACATTGTCATATCTACATATCATATATCACCTTCTTGATCCTTTGTTTCTGTTCATAGCTGTCTGTTACCATCATACCATCTCCTTGAGCGATCTTGTCTACTTCTTTCTCTTCTTTCCTCTCAGCGTTCTTCTTACCTCTCAGCGTTCTGTTCAAGATAAGTACCTATAGAATCTTGCTGTAGCACTTGCTGTAGCAGCCTCTTCATCCTCGCCCTCTTTCTCTTCCTGTCTCTCTCTCTTTCTGTCTCTCTCTCTTCCTGTCTCTCTTCCTGTCTCTCTTCCTGCCTCTCTTCCTGTCTCTCTTCCTGTCTCTCTTCCTGCCTCTCTTCCTGTCTCTCTTCCTGCCTCTCTTCCTGTCTCTCTTCCTGTCTCTCTTCCTATATTTCTTCCTATATTTCTTCCTGTGTCTCTCTTTCTGTCTCTTTCTGTGTGTCTCTCGAGCCTCTCTCTCTAGAGAGTTTCCCCTATTTCTCTCTTTCTCTTTCTGTCTTTCTTCTTTCCATCGAGTCTCTCTCTCTAGAGAGCCTCCCCTATTTTCTCTTTCTGTGTATCTCTCTCCGTCTCTCTCTCTCTCTCTCTGTGTATGTGTCTCTCTCTCTCCTTGTACCCTCTCTACGTGTCTCTCTCTTCGTGCCTCTCTCTTCGTGCCTCTCTCTTCGTGCCTCTCTCTTCGTGCCTCTCTCTTCGTGCCTCTCTCTCTCTCTCTCTTCCCGTCTCTCTCTCTCTTCCCGTCTCTCTCTCTCTCTCTCTCTCTCTCTCTCTCTCTCTCTCTGTGTGTTTCTTCCTGTGTGTTTCTTCCTGTGTGTTTCTTCCTGTGTGTTTCTTCCTGTGT